TGAGAAATTAGAAATAGAAAACTGAGAAATAAGGTTTTTAAGAGGTTTATTATAATTAAGAATCATTTTCACAGTACTTTTTATCTGTGGGGTGCGTTTTCATAGGTGCGCGAAGTTTTTTTTCTGCTAATCACTTAAAAAATAAAGATTTTAAGATAATTATTCTTTATATTTATTATATAAATTTAAATAAATTCTATATAATAATTAAAGAGTCTTTTTATTATAATAAATATATTTATTCAAATTAAAAATATACTAAATTGAAAACTTTTTTTTTAATAAAAAATAATAATAATTTATAACTATTTAAAATTAAATTTATATCTAGAAGAAGAAGGCTTTTAAGAAATTTTATTATTTAAAGTTATAGAATAATCTTTTTTAAAAATATACTAATAATTTTATAATAAGAGATATATAAAATATTATTAAATTAAAAAAATTAAAAAAAAAAAAATAAAACGAAAAGGAAAAAAAAGAATAAAAAAAAGTAAAGAAAATTAATTAAATAATAAATTAATAAAATAGCTACTATTACCTTTTAAACTCATTCTAAATTATTTAAAAATAATTTTTTTAATTTTTTACTCTTTAAATTCCTTAATAATAAAAAACTTAAATCTTTTCTAAATTATTTAAATATCTAATTAGTTCTTATAAGTTATATTTAAATTTATATTCTATCTATTTAATTAAATAAAAGATTCTTTTTATTTTAACTTCTATTTTTTAATAAAGTTAACTTTAAATTTATTATTATTTACTTTATTTTCATTATTTTCTAGATTTTTTATAGATTCTAATAATAAGATATAAAATATTAAATATACTCTTATTTTTATTAATAATTAGAATTTATAATTATTATTAATAAAATTTTTTTTAATTTTAAAAAATCTATAATTAACTATATTAAGTTTATTATTTAATCTTTTATTTAAAATATTAAAATTTTTCTATTCTATAGTTTATTATAAAAAATAAACTTTTTTTTCTTTTTTAAAAATTAGTGTATCTTTATACTTTTTATTATAATAAATATTTATTCTTTATTCTATCTATTTAATATCTTATAAAATTATTTAATAAAGTGTTTAAAGATTCTTAATTTATATTATTATTATTTTTAATAATTCTTTTCGTAATATAATAAATCATATTATTCTTAGATAATATCTAAGATTTATAAAATATAATACTTATTTTATAGTTATATTTATTATATTATTTATTATAAATTATACTATTAATAGTATTTATATCTAATTATTTTATTTCTAATCTATATAATTCTATAAATATTATTTAACTAATTAAATTATTCTTTTAGACTAATTATTAATCTATTAATGATTTACTATTAATAATTTATATTTTATTCTATATATTTTTATAATTATCTATTAATAATCAATTATAAATAACTTATTTTAATCTATAATAATTTCTCTTAGTAGATCTATTTATAAAAATATTTTTTATAATATAAAGCTTGTATATTATCTTATAATCATATTTTTTAATATTAATTATAGAATAACATATTTAATTAGTTTATTAACAACTATTATAGTATTAATATAGATTATTCTAAAAATAAATTCTTTTAATTCTAGTAATTTTTAAATAAAATTAATAATAATACTTTACTATATTTTCTTTAATATTTTAAATATTTATATTTTTCTATAAGATTTATATATTAATAATTTATTTTAATTATAGTTTTTATAATACTTAATATAATTCTTAACCTTTTTTTTAAAATATAAAAAATAATATAATTAATTTATCATTTTAACTATTTTATTAATTCTTTAATATTCTTAGTTAAATAGATTATAATATCACTTAATAACTTTTATAATCATTATTTATAGTATTTTAATTATACTATTCTATATTACTAATCTATCTTATAATGTTATTATTCTATTATATAATTTCTATTAAATCTATTTATTATTTTCTATTTCTTTCTTTAGTTATTTTCTGAATTCTAGTTCCTTAATCTTAATAGTTACTACTAAAATAACATTATAATTATATTATAATACTCCTAAGTCTCATTTTAGAATATTTATTTTTAATATTTTAATATCAATTATATAGTTTAATTATCTACTTAATACATCTATAATAACATTCTATTTTTCTAATATATTGTGAGGCCCTACATGTTATAAGAGGTCTATAACCCTTCGGCGCCTCTGAGGCACCTTCAGAGGACCTTACAGTGCTGCTGCTAAGACATTAGCTAGTTAAGACATTATATAATCTATATCTATAACTATATATATTATAGATCAGCAATTAGTCTATATCTAATCAAGCTCTATATTCAATCAATAAATCTTAATATTTATCTGCTTTCTAGTAATTATCTCATATTCTAATTACTTCAAATCTTAAAGTAAAAGATTAATAATTATTCAAAAATAATCATTATTAAAAATATATTAATAACTGCTATCTCTAAGTAACTTCTAAGTAAGTTTAAGAGAATAATATTTTAATATAAATCTAAAAATATTAATAAATTTATGAAAATATTATAAAAAAAAATTAAAAATAGAATTATTTTTAATTATTATCTTAAAATATTAAATTATATTGGGTTTTCTTTTCTGATAAAGAATTATTAATATTTTAATCTATATTATATTGCTCTATTAATGGTTTTTATCTATAGATGGATTAATGTCTAGTTTTATTTTTTTAGTAAGAGTATACTTTTTTTGGTTTAGTATCTTTTTTCTAAATTATATTTTTTTTAAATATCTTTTTAATATATCTATTAGATTTTTTAAGACTTCTTTATTATTTTATAATCTATTTATATTTCTATTTAAATCTCTATTTAATAATCTTATTCTATATTTTTTTAAAATTCTTTTTTTCTTTATTATTATCTGTTTTAATGATTTTTTAATATAGAATAGAGAATTATAAATTAATAATTACTACTTTTTAATAGCTGATATTATTAGATTTTTATTCTTATTAATATTCTTTTATAAAGTATCTTTTTTATTTACATTTATAGTAGACTTTTTCCTTATATCTTTATTCTTTTTCTTTCTTATTAATAATGGTGTTAAGCTGTATCTTAATATCTTTATTATAATTATAGTAAGGCTTTCTTAGCTATAGAATATTTATTTAATAATTTTTTTAATATTAATCTTTCTTTTCTATAAGCTAATTATATTATTATAAGTCAATTTATAATATTATTTTTATTATTTTATAGAAGATCTTTAATTAAGAATTTATTATTAAAATTATATTTTTAATATTTTTCTTAAGTCTATTATAATATTGATTATAATATATTTAATCTTTATAATAAAGATTATTTATAATTTAAAGATATATTGAAGTATATTTTTTTATAAATTAAATTTATTAAATGTTTTAAATCTTATAGATTATTATAAGCTTTTTATTAATAATTTTATAAAGTTATTTGAGCTTAATAATAAAATATTTATAATTTATAAATATTAAAATTATTTCTAAATTTTTCTATTTAATATTTATTTTAAGCTAGTTTTTAATATATAATATAAATCACTTTATAGTATCTTTAATTAAAAAATTAAATATTATTAATATTTTTACTTGCTTAATATTAATCTTTACAATATTATTAAAGAAATAGATTCTTATTTAGATAAAAAATATATTGAGTGTTTTAAACTTCTTTAAGAATAATTCTATTTTATTAATTTTTAATCTTTATTTTAAGCTATTAATATATTATTAAATTATAATATTCTTAAATTTAATAATTCTAATAAGAGTATTTCTAAGCTTAGTTATTAAAGTTTATTTAATTTTATTAAAAGATAAATAACTATTATTTATTATTATTAAAGATAATATTATTTATTTATAATTTTTTTAAATATTATAAAAATCTTTTATTATTAAAAGTTATTAATAATTTATCTTAAGATTAGAAATCTTAGAGAATATTCTACTAATATAAAATAAAAAAGTAATATAAGATTAATATTAGAGAGTTATTTATTAAAAATAATAATAATAATAAAAAAACTATTAAATATTAAATAATAGTATACTATTTTAATATAAAGATAAAAGATAATTAATTAAATATATAATAATAAATAAGTATTTATATATATTAAAAGATATTAAAACTATATTTTAATATCTAGAATTATTATTTTATTATATAGAAGTTATATTTTTATATATTAAAACTTTATTTTATTAGATTATATACTTAGTATATACTAGAATAAAATATTAATATATAATATCTGATTATATTATATAACAATTATGATCACTGCTGCTCCCTAAGCAGTCTTCATTTAATATCTATTTTCTGCACTTATTCTATGTATATATAGCGCATATATACAATCTTATTGGATGCTTATGTAATAGTGTCTGCTATAATATTCATTGGCTGTGACTTATTGATTCTTGTGACAATTATATATCTAAGTATAGATATTTATATAAAATATAATTCTATATAAATAGTAAATAAGTAGTATTTGTCTATAATAATTAATTAATCATAATATTAGCTACTTAAATAGACACTTATCCTAAAGTAGTCTAGACCATCCTAATCTATCCTTAGCCTTGCATATGTTGGTTTCGTAACACCACTCTACCTAGGCCCAACTTCTCTGACATGCCTGCGGCATGTCATGCACTCTATCTTTAAGATTTTACGGGCTAGGGCCTAACCCTGCATAGCAGCAATAATATGAAAGCTAGCTAGAACAGGTTAATGAGATCTAGTTCTGCTACTTACTACCACTACTACTACAAATGGGCGGGTGGGTTGTCCCCAATCGCCGACTTTGCCGAGCTGCCGAGCAAGCCAACCATATCAAAGCAAAACTAAGCGGCGGTCAACTCTCCAGAGTAGTACTTGATGATTTTCCATCTTTGCTTCGAAAGTGTTTTTCAGACTTCAATATACACTAGCTCCTTAATAACAAAAAAACATGTCATTCTCCACTCTAGTTTCAGGTATCGCCTTTAGGGACGCAAATCCTGATGACCGCAGTTCTCAAATATCTCGTGCTCGCTCACACGCCACCGCTCGATCTTTAGCTAGTACCCAAGCAACGAGCGTCAGCATTTCTGGTGACATATCTAGTCAGCTGCATGCTGGATACAGCCATCCATTAGCGAGAATATGGCAGGCTGAAAGGCAATTGACCAAGGTCAGCTCGATACGATCACAGTATACAAATCAGTAGCTGACCATGCAAACTAGGAAATGCTCATTTATCCCCTATTCATCACCGACAATCCTGATGAAGAGACCCCAATTCCTTCTCTGCCAAATCAATATCGTCGAGGCTTAAATCGACTTATACCATTTCTCACACCCCTCATACGAAAGGGCCTTCGTTCAATTATACTTTTCGGTGTACCCCTCGACCCAGGCGCAAAAGATGCATTGGGAACTGCAGCTGATGATCCCAACGGGCCTGTTGTACAGGCAATTCGATTATTACGAGCCCAATTTCCCCAATTATATATCGTGGTAGACGTATGTCTCTGTGAGTACACGTCTCATGGACACTGTGGAATCCTTTGCGACGACGGGAGTCTCGATAATACCCAGTCGGTTGACAGGATATCTGATGTGGCCCTGAGCTACGCAATGGCTGGTGCTCACTGTGTTGCTCCCTCCGATATGAATGACGGTCGTGTTCGAGCCATTAAGCTCAAATTGATCGAGGCAGGGCTTTCTCATCAGGTTTTGCTCATGTCCTACAGCGCAAAATTTAGCGGCTGTCTTTATGGGCCATTCCGAGATGCTGCCGGCTCAACACCTTCATTTGGGGATCGTAAATGCTACCAATTGCCCCCCGGTGGGCGTGGACTTGCACGCCGTGCAATTCAGCGTGATATTGCGGAAGGTGCAGATATTGTTATGGTCAAACCGGCTAGCAGTTACTTGGATATCATCAGTGACGCAAAATCACTGGCAAAAGATATGCCAGTCGCAGCATACCAGGTCAGTGGAGAGTTTGCCATGATTCATGCCGGTGCCAAAGCAGGTGTTTTTGGATTAAAGGAAATGGCCTTTGAAAGCACAGAGGGAATACTCAGAGCCGGTGCCGGCATCGTGGTTAGTTACTTTGTGCCTGAATTCTTGGACTGGCTATCTTGAAGTGCAATTGCTGGAATTTTTTTATATCGGTTGGCCTGTAATGTGCAACGCATATTTGATGATATCCCTAACTAAAAACGAGCCCTGTACTTTGTTTAATATACATACAATTGTTTACCCATGCTCATACATCGTCATAATAAATAAAAACCTCGAATTCCCTCATAAATGCCATTGTTAAAAAATTACTCCTACCATTGCTTCGTCTGAACTCTTCGCCTCCAACCGTAAGGCTAGCTTGGTGTAAAAACCCCTTTCCATATCACATGTAGCTGGGTTTTAGCCCTTGAAATCCATATGCAACAATGTCAGTCTTCACTACCTCGCCTGGAGCAACGTAGGCACCGCGCCTAAGTCGTACTCCGGGATATATAGTACAGTTAGCACCGACATAGCAATCTTCTTCGATCGTCACTGAGCGGCCTTGATAACGGCTCTGCGACCCTTTACGTTCTTGCATGTTGGCATGTGCCATCGAACTTAGAATCGTAACATTTGGGCCTATCCATGTGTGTGCACCAATATTGATGGGGCAGTCATCCACAAGTGAGCAGTTTTCTGAGATCATCACATCTTCACCAACGTGGATGTTGAAACCATAATGGCAGCGAAAAGGGGCCTCAACGACTGCCCCCTGGCCAATTGACCCTGCAGGTCGTGCAGCGGGCGAAGCAGATGGCGAAGCAGGTACAGGAGGAATAATGACCTCTCTAAGCAAACGGTTCTGTTCTTTAGAACTGACTCCGGACTGAGGATTGCAGGCGTTGTTGAATCTCCATAGGGCTGCTTTGCATCGGTCTCTATCTTCAACCAACTGGATATCGAATGGGCGATAGAGATCTCCATGAACCATCTTATCTCTTTCAGTATCTTCGCCAGCGCTAGGGCGCGCAGATAACTGGTGCTCAATACTGAGAGCCATGCGAGCTTGTGTTTGAGGGCTGCTCGTGTCCATGGAATTCACATGCGATGGGCGTTGATCTACAGCGCCTTGAAAGATAGGCATCCCTGGTTTGGGATGAGAACCTTGCTGAGATAGTTCTCTGATGGAAGGGACGACATGATAGTCTGCCTTGGATTGTCCTTCGCGAGATAATTCGTGAATTGATGGGACTTCCCGGTAGTCGGATTTGGTCATGTGCTCTGTCAAATATGACGGATGCGCGGCGCCTGGCCAGCTCCGTTTCGACCAAGAACTCCGAGCAGGTCCAACGCTGGTAGGACTGCTTATGTATTGACTGGCAGTACGATCGTGATCCTCCACGATCGATCTAACCTTATTCAATTCAGCCTGCTGTACGGCTACCGAAGCACGATCATGACGCGTAGCGTTGACATCCTGTATGAAATGATTGTTGGTCGCCTCAGGATAGCCCTCTTTCGACTGTAAAGGAATCGGACCTTTCGTGCCGGATGGCTTTTGCCATGTGCTTCGGGATGAGTAACCCTCGCAAACAAATCCACCTCGGATGCAGTTGTTACCTGGTACAAACAACGTATTAGCCAGGTAGACGGAAGAGGGGCATAGGTCAACTTACATGCTGGATGTTGTTCATCGCACTTTTTTTTCCTCCTCCGACAAGTCATGCATCCAGTCTTTGTCCGGTTACTGAAGACTCGCTTTCTTTTTGGGCCTACTTGGACGGCGGACTGTTGTTTATCTGAGTATGGAGGAAATGCTTGCTGGTCAATTTCCGAGGAGCCTGAAAGGCGACTCGTACCCCATGTTCTTTGCTCAACTGAATCGGTATCATGAGCCTCTCTTTGCAATGCTTCTGCCAGCTGAACATCTGACGTATCCATATTCTGAGCCTTTTGGGCCTGGCTAACCAAGTGCGAATCGTAGTCTTGCCACGATCCATTAGTCTCTGAGAGACGATTTTCTTCTGTGACTTCTGCGCGAGTGTAATCCGCAGGTGGCTGGCTGGGGTGTTCATAAGCTGTGTGAGTCGTGTTCACTTCGTTTCCACCTAATTGTGTAAGACCTTCAATATCACCTTCTGACCGACGAACAGCATGATCCTGAGCAGGTTCTTGATGCGATAACTGGCGCTCAATAGACTCTGATCGCTTTCGTTTGTTCTTGTTCGCTCCAGTGTATGAGAGAGATGACGACCGTGGAGAGTGGCTATCTTCTAGTTCCAAGGTTGAATGCAAGCCGTCTACTGGGCGCTGTTCCAGTCTTGTCGATGAATGGTGATAGCCGTTAGGGTTCCGATTGCCGTCCACTGTTTCGCTTTGTTCGTCTTTACTACCATGTGTGGCAGTCGCGGCTGCATTTGGAATTGCTGAGCTATGCGGAACCGTCTCCTTCCCGTTGACAGCTGTGAAGCGAGGAGGGCCGTGTTCCGGGTGGTGCTCAGTCTCCGGGTCGTATGCACCGTTACTGACGGAAGTGAGTGGTGCGACAGCAGCCATGGTAAATCTCCAGGCTTGGGGCAGAATTGGAATTCCAGCGATACAGCCAAGGTCTTCGACACCTAATCTCGTTCGGTAGCTGGCCTCGCTCTCACCGTTTCTCGTCTGGTGTGCAAATCCGATCTATTGCTTGGTGAGGCGTATGTTTACCGGCAAGACTCTTGATGTTTTGGCTTATGCTGCGCTGTCGTCCCAGGCTATCGAATTTCGATATATATATCTATTCGCAAGATACACTGGATAATACTCTCTGGCTTCTGCTTCTCTGACGGGTAGTGGATGGTACAATCTGGTGAAGCAATTCCGTTTTCGCGGACAGCTTGCTATTGCGAACACCAGAGCCAGCGCTCGTTTTCGAAGCGTCAATCACGACGGAGCAAAGGGGAATTTAATAGGACGAGTCTTCAAGCAGCAGTCACCACAACAGCAGCAACAGTTCGCGCGGGTGGGAGAACGACTTAATAGAGGGAAGCGAGAGAGATTAGAAGGGGGGGTCGCAAGGAGTATTGTTTGTATGTATGGAGCTTCAGCGGGCAGGAGTGGAGGGGGAAGCTAAAGCCGCATTGGCAGCAAAGATAATAAATGTCTTGGGGGGGAGGAGAGAGGGAAGGTGGTCAGTGGTGTCTGTCGAGGCAGGCCATGGTACTAGGCGGAATAATGGGACTCCATTACTCGGCGGGCCGGACCACGGACAGCACGGGTACGGTATATTATTATTATTGTGATGATGGACCGACGACCGAGCTTGCCTGGGCAGCAGCAGCGACACAGTGCTCTTGCCTGGCTCAGGATGTGAAGGAGGGGAGGGGCGGGTCGGCGGGCAGCGGGCGCTGTGCAGTGTGCAGCGTGCAAGCGCGCGAAAGGCGTCGCAGCACTGGCTGGCGGGCCAGGCGGGTGGGCGCGCTGCGGGTGCCAGCGGCTTCACGTTGGCGCGCGATCGGCAGCCAGAACCAGCCCGCTACGCCTCCTGATTGGCCCGCCGGGTTTCATCAGCGCTACGACGCCCTGGTTGGCTGCCAGCCCATGTTGGCCAGCCAGGACTGAGAAGACTAATAACGGAACTAAAAGTAAATGGTAAAACAATCATTATAATAATATCAAATATAGCCACATACTCTCCGAAACCAAAGCGCGCGCAACAGCAGGCAGACACAGCTGTTATGGGCCGCGCGCCAGAGCGGCACCGGCGAGGCGCTAAACAGGAAATCGCGCCGAGCGCCAGCCCCATACTCACAGACATAGGTTATATTGTATTGCTCAATAATACGGTATTCGCTATGATAGATGCAGAACGCATATCGATGCCAATGCTAATATCACGGCTGCCCGGTTTACCCAATGACGCCGCCAGCAGGCAGGTGCAAAAGGCGAGCGAATTAATTAGTTGGTGCGGCCGGGAGTGGTGAGGTTGCAGCAGTGGAGCGGGGATCGCGCGCCATATGTGCGGCGGCTGTGGCCTGATATCCTCCTGAATGCTCGTTATTCCTGTGAGTGTCCTCTTATTAATCATAGGTCGCTTACTCCCACCCAACACCCAGTGGGCCCGCGCGCAGCCTCCTCGCCAATTTATTCGCCGTTGGCGCCGCACTGGCGCGGTTAGAAAGGAAGGCACCCCCGGCTGCCCTGCTCCTTGCTTGCTCTGACTGGCAGCCCAGCCACGGCAGCAGCGACCACCGGCCAGTGGCCACGCCTCCCCCGCCCACCCTCGCTGCGCCATCATTGGCCAACAGCGTTGTTTCTGAGTAGTTGCAACTTACTGCTACTTAGGGTTAAGTTGTCAGTTAACAGTCTTGGCCTGTCTTATCTGAAATGGCCCGGCCCGCTCTGGACCACTGGAGGCGCTTGCCTGCTGGAGCCTTGTCCGTCAGGCAAACCGTGCTGGAACCATGAACCATTCATAGTTTCATGATAGGATCACCCAATTGTCAGCCTCTACTGTTCTGTCGCGTTCGCCCATGCTATTATTGTCTCGTCGTATTACCAATCTATACTCTCCGTTGCTAACTATTATTATTACTGACTGCCTTCTCAGTAGTCGCTGCCTACTTACTAGCAGCTCTAACTCGTACTAGTAGCACAGTGTGCGACAACCTCTAACTACGCCGTCGCCTCCTCTCGCTTTCTTGTGGCGGCATTGACCCGGACCCAAGATGTCTTGAATTGCTCGTCTGAGTTCTTCCTCCCACCCGTCGTCAATTAATCTTATCTGTTTCACGCTGAGACGATGGATGCTGTCTGTTATTCGCCATCCCCTTGAGTCTGTGTCGATTCCAGCGCGTAATGAAACAACCATCCCAAGATTCCCTCCCATGCCCATTCTAATTGATTGCTGAACTCCGAAAGTGATCCGAGCATTCACTAGCGAAACATGCTACTGGGCGTTTAGCGGCATGCACATACCTCCCTGTCGTAATCGCTGCAAGTTACAACACTCTGCTCCATGTTGTAAAGACAAACACCAATGGCAAGCGTCTCGCTTAATTATGCGCCTATCGCAAGCCTGTCTGCTGTGAGTTCTTGCACTCGCGCTTTAAATGAGCATGTCGTTGCCGCTGACAGACGCGCCGATTCTGATAATCACCTAACATTCGAAGCCCAGCGGGCATCACTGACAGTAACCGCCGCCGTAAATGCTAACCTACGATGCGCAGTGCTGTCTACATGGAAGATAGTTGCCCTCGACAGCTTTTCCCCAGTCTAAATATTGCCAAGGATGGTCGTGCTCAATGGTACTAATATCATGAATGGATTTATCGACTTTACAGTACTCGTAAGTGCCCTGGGCAAGCCTGCATATTTAGTATATTTACAACTACACTTGTTGAGGATTTTGACCTAGGGGTGTTCTATAAATTTCAATGTCAGCGGTAAATCCGGCGCCTTGATGTCGTATGGCAGAAATTTCAGGCAGAGAACATCTCACAAAACAACAACCCTTTGGGTTTCAGAAAGCATTGCGTAGAGGGTAGATGAATGTTAGACTGCTCAGTGTTTGAACGTGAGAGCGTCTCCACTCAGTCGTAGAAATTTAAACTGGTTCATAGTGGCTGACTCAGCATGACTTTGTGAAATCTGCTTGTCTTTGCGCTGGTTACGACGACTAATGCACGATTTCAAAGGTGGCTGCCAGAAGCAGAAAAAAGTAAGCCCTTCATCATTCAAAAACAGCCCTATCAAGGACTGTCAGGTTATTGAAGCGCCTGTGGGCTGGCTGGGCCTCATTGTTTGTTTTGCTTTTTGACGTCGCGTTGACCGCCCAGCTATCTCTGCCCCGCCTTCAACCCTGCCACTGGCTTTCTTCATCTTCCTTCGGAAACCCCACCACTTTTGCGGCAAGCCTTGTTCAACAACATCACTGGAACGTCGCAAGTAAAAAGTTTGAGTGACGCTGAAGGCGACCTCGCCAGTGCTTGGTGCGGAATGTCTGTCTCAATCCAGGAGCTGGACAACACTGTCCGCGCCTTTTACGAAGGTAAAGGCGATGTGGTGAGCTCTCGACGTGCCCCCAAAGACATCGGCCATTTCACGCACAGCTAACTCTGGGCAACATCAATTAGCAAAAGCAAGCACAGCAAACTCTTACCGAGGTATGCCACCTTTCTCGAAATACTTCCAAGTCTTCCTCAGATCTTCGCTAATCGATGATGTAATGGATTAGTTTAAGCAAAACCCCGATGCTTGGCTGCTTGTGGGAGATATTCTCCAAGAGGCGTCATACTCGCAAACCAAGTGTGAGCAAGCTAGCGACCCCTGGAATTGTGACTATGGCTAACTGCAGGCAGATTTGGGGCTACAGGTCTTGGACGAAGTGATCATGACAAGATGGAAAGTCCTGCCACGGGACCAATGCCAAGGTAATATAAAATCCTCTCGCCTTCCACACTAAATGAAACACTGAGTCATTCCAGGGATTCGTAATTTCGTCGTCAATATGATTATCGAGCACTCCAAGTCGGAAGAGAAACTGAAAAGCGAGCGCGCCTTTCTGAATAAACTGAACCTCGTGCTCGTCTCGATTTTAAAGCAAGAATGGCCCCATAACTGGCCTACATTTATAAACGAGATAATATCTTCTTGCCACACCAGCCTGTCCATCTGTGAGAACAACATGGTCATTCTTCGGCTTCTGTCAGAGGAAGTTTTCGATTATTCACAGGATCAAATGACCTCAACCAAGGCGAAAAATCTGAAAACGACAATGACACAGGAGTTCTCATCCATATTCCAGTTATGCTCGGAAGTTCTGAATACAGCAAACCAACCTGCTCTGATCAAAGCGACTTTGGAGACATTGTTACGATTCTTGAACTGGATTCCCCTGGGATATATTTTTGAAACGCCTATCATAAATACCCTCTTGAATAGGTTCCTCGATGCTCCAGAAACCCGTAACGTGACGCTCAAGTGTCTCACCGAAATCGGTGGCTTGCAGATTGGCCAACAGTATTCATACGATGAAAAGCTTGTACAGATGTTCACCGAGACTTTAACACGAGTATCCAAAATCATCCCACTATCAATGGACCTGAAGAATACATATGCCAACAGTAATTCGAGAGACCAAGAATTCGTTCTCAATCTTGCTCTTTTCTTATGCAACTTCTTCAGCGTCCACCTCAATGTAAGTGGATCGTATCTCAGTATAGCGGCTGCGAATATTCTAACTCATCAAATAGCTTATCGAAAAGCTGCCTAACCTGGACTACCTCACACATGCGCATTTCTATTTGATTCGGATCAGCCAGATAGACGATCGCGAGATCTTCAAAATTTGTCTAGAATACTGGACCAAACTCGTGCAGGAATTATACGAAGAAATGCAGCAGCTTCCAATTACCGACATAAATCCCTTGGTTAGCATGGGGGTCGGGTCACTTTCAAACGGCGGCGCCCCCCATCCGAGCACCCTTGCAAATTATCCTTTACGCAAACACAAGTATCAAGAGGTATTGTCAAGCCTGCGAACTGTGATGATTGAGAAAATGGTTCGTCCGGAGGAAGTCCTGATCGTGGAAAATGATGAAGGAGAAATTGTTCGAGAGTTTGTGAAAGAAAGCGATACCATTCAGCTCTATAAGACGACTAGGGAGTGTTTGGTCTATCTCACACATCTTGACGTTGTCGATACCGAGAGTATCATGGCCGACAAGCTTGCCAAACAGGTTGATGGTAGTGAATGGTCATGGGCGAATTGCAATACATTATGTTGGGCAATCGGTTCTATTTCTGGAGCCATGAACGAAGAAACCGAAAAACGATTTCTCGTTACCGTGATTAAGGACCTCCTTGGCCTCACTGAGATGAAGCGTGGCAAAGACAACAAAGCTGTGGTTGCGAGCAATATCATGTATATTGTTGGTCAATATCCTCGATTCCTTAAGGCCCATTGGAAGTTTTTGAAAACGGTGGTGAACAAGTTATTTGAGTTCATGCACGAGACTCACGAAGGTGTGTTAATCTCATTATCTATAGACCTTTGAGACTGACAGTGTTTTCAGGTGTTCAGGATATGGCTTGTGATACGTTCATCAAAATCGCCAACAAATGTAAACGTCACTTCGTCGCTCTTCAACCAGGGGAAAACGAACCTTTCATTGAAGAGATCGTTCGCAACATGCGAAAGATCACCTGCGATCTTTCTCCACAGCAAGTGCACACCTTCTACGAGGCTTGTGGATACATGATATCCGCACAAGGCCAAAAGGGTCTGCAAGATCGTCTAATAGAAAGTTTGATGGCATTGCCCAACTCAGCGTGGGATGCCATTATTGCTCAGGCTAACCAAGATCCTTCAATCTTGCAAGATGCGGAAACCATCAAAATTGTTGGCAACATCATGAAGACGAATGTTGCAGCTTGCTCCTCAATCGGTAGTTACTTCTACTCTCAGATTGGTCGCATCTATCATGATATGCTCAATATGTATCGTGCCTCGAGCCAACTTATATCTGATGCTGTTGGTAGTGACGGTAAGAATCAATTCCAATTGCAAGTCGTTCATCCACATTGACTATTTAGGTACTATTGCGACTAAAACCCCAAGAGTGCGAGGTCTACGCACGATAAAGAAAGAGATTTTGAAACTCATCGATACATATGTGCAGAAGGCTGATGACCTGGAGATGGTCAATCAGAGCATGGTTCCTGCACTACTTGAGGCTGTATTACTGGACTATAATCGAAATGTTCCGGATGCCCGCGAAGCGGAGGTTCTGAATGTCATGACCACAATTATTCATAAGCTGCATGTACGTTGGACTCCTCGGACTTCACGATTTTCGGTCAGGAGTGAAAGTTATCTTACTTTTTAATGATACTGACTTCTATCAGAATCTCATGGACGACAAAGTGCCTCTCATCATGGAAAGCGTTTTTGAGTGCACTCTTGAGATGATCAACAAAGATTTTCATGAATACCCCGAGCACCGTGTCCAATTTTTCAAATTACTACAAGCCATCAATCTTTACTGCTTCCCTGCACTGTTGAAATTAGATGGGAATCAATTCAAATTCGTCATCGATTCATGCATGTGGGCAAGCAAGCATGACAACCGTGAGGTCGAAAACACCGGCTTGACTATGTGCCTTGAGCTCATGAACAATATGGCTGAGGCTGATCCACAAACGTCGAGCATCTTTTTCCAACAATTTTATCTGGCAATTTTGCAAGACGTATTTTTTGTGCTCACTGATACCGATCACAAGGCTGGTGAGTTGTTTCTTCCCACCAAAACTTGGGCTGTGCAGTTTCCGCTGATCTTTACTAGGATTCAAATCCCAAGCAATGCTGCTGTCACGCATGTTCTTCTTTGTAGAATCCGGAAAGATACAGGAGCCGATATACTCGGCTGATCAGGCACCTTCAGGAACTTCAAATAAGGACTTCCTCCAACAATATGTTGCTAGTCTGCTTCAAACCGCTTTCAAGAATCTCCAAGAGTAAGTCTGAATGCATCCCTATCCTCCGGGAGGCTTTGCTAAGGGTTGTTGCCTAGGATTCAAATAAAACAATTTGTCATCGGCTTATTCGCGTATAATGATGATTTCAACAAGTTCAAGACACACCTCCGAGACTTTTTGATTTCTTTGAAAGAATTTGCGGGGGATAACGCGGAGCTTTACGCAGAAGAGCGCGAGCAAGCGTTACAAGACGCGAAAGCTGCTGAGAGGGACCGCGCTATGAAAGTCGGAGGATTACTCAAGCCGGCCGAAATGGATCAGGATGATGATTTATGATGTGGCAAATTTGCGGAAATGTCACAAGTTGTGGTGTTGCTGACATTCTTCTAATGGCAAAAATGTTCAAGACACTACCGTTCACTTCTTGAGGCGCATACATCTCAGTAATTAGGGCCGCAATCTCTGCATTTTGGATAACCATTAAGGCTCTGTGGTGTGTCCATTCGGTATTCTCCGTGGTAAATGGGTGCAATATGTAACGTTGGAGTGAAATGATACAAAAGTAATACACTACAATAATTATCTTATGTTGGCTTTGGGAGTGGCTGCATCAGGGAAGGGAGTAGAGAAGGAAGGAAGACAGTTTATCAAACATGAAAAGTATTCTACGCCTGTGTCTGCGTCTTCTTTTTAAGGTTTTGTTATTACATCCTAGTAAACATTTAGTAATCGCAGCTTGGTCGGTACCCCGCTGATTAAGCTTACTCGCCGACTCGCGTGCCGCCGCCGGGCGTGGACCTTTGAATTTGCTTTATGACATATCAGCACATCGCAACCCCAGATTTAAGACTTACACTAAGCAAAACCACAGATTCCGTGTCCTTTCTGCCAGACCTTGGGCTTCTGAATTTATCTGCCCCTGATGTCGACATCTAGACAACAAGACCAGCACACAACAGCTTCAACGCGAACCACAACTGAAGCTTTCTCGCAAACGACGAGACCGACCCTACGCCTAAGAGGCGAAAGCATAGAAGAAGAGACCCAGATTCGCGAGCAACCTACGTCTCGTCGTATCCGTTGGGATGAGAATGTAGTAAATAATGAAGGAATGGGGAAAAAGAGCTCAAAAGGCAAGTCTGTTCATAAAACCTGAAATAGCTACATCTAAACAATTTACTAGTGTGTTGTATCTACCACAAACCCCGAGCTCCTGGCGAAAGTAGCTCGGAATCTTCAAGTTCAGAGTCGAGCTCTGATGACACCGACGATGAAAGCGAGGCCAGCACAGGACCACGACCGCGAGCTGGTGGAAGCAGGTATCAACATGATGGGCCTTGTTCTAACCACCGTCATCACGACAAAAGCATACGAAAAAAAGTCAAAAATGCCTATGAAAAAACTCCGAAATCAAATTCAAACGTTGCAACAGAGAAAAATACATCCTGATAGGGAACAAAAAGAAAGGGAGATAAGACAAATTATCGACAATAAAGTCATTATTAACACTGGCCCTGTTCATTAGACCTTATCGACACACGCTTTGAGGGTATTTGTAGCAAGTCCCAACCTGAACTCCAAAAAAATAGAATACAATGCACCAGAGGCTACAAAAGCATACTTCTCCTACGCGCCGCGGCACGCTGCCCTCGACTAGCTTGCGCCCGATGAACTGCAGCTAGGGTATGTGTGTTTGATTGACTCGCTTGATTATCGTCGTTGCAACTCCTGGTGCCAGAATATTCATCGGCCTGTCCCGTTATACTCTCGGTGATCTGTGTAGCTATCTTGGGGCCCAGGTTTTGACTTTGCTCATGGTTTGCAAAGATATCTTTGTTGGGAGGCTTGGCTTTGTCGTGGAGATCTGCGTTTGACGAATTTCGATGTATTGTTCGCTTATGGGAATGCACGGATGAATTTGTGATGTCTGTCTCGGAACTTCGACTTAATCGGTTGGCTTTTGTCTGACCACCTTTAGATTTTTGCTTCAGTTCAGGCATAGAATTGAATTCTTGTGAACTTTTAATCTCGCTCGTGTTCGCTGATAAAGTTCTCCGCTTTCTCTCCGTTATCACACTTATAGGAATTTCAGTCAATTTTTGGCTGTTATCAGAAGTCGGAATTGTTGTGGCCATTCTAGATGGTTCATCTTCTTGAATCGATAAGGATATTGGGACTACATCGTTCTTTGGACTTGAGATCGATGTTATTTGTGTAAAATCCAAAGCATCTGCGCCGTCTTGGCTCGGATTTTCCACCATTGAAGTAGACGTGCGTCGCTGGTCGATCATCACGGCATCAACGAGCTCATTCGTCGCTCTTCGCATCTTGTCTCGCAAATTCGGCTCTGTATAACTCACTGCTCCTCTGGCGCGCCTGGATTGTCGTGATGGGAGACTTTGGAGAAGCCATGCATCTGCAACAGCTGGCTCATCCATACTGATAGAACCGCGTGATTTCGGTTGCCCATGCTGCGTTGTCAATGAATCTAAGCTATCCAAGGCTGCCATGGTGGAATTGTTTTCGTGCATAACTGGTCGCTTTCCTTGCTCCACCTGCCTGGGTTTAGACAACGATGTACTCCGTCGCTGAGTGTTGACAGGAACCGCATTGCTATCTTTATCCGTCTCCAGAAAAGCCTTTTTTTCGTTACTCTTCTCCACAGAAATTTCACTGACTTGGCGTCGCCTGGGAGAGGAAGCAATCATGTTGGTACTCTCTGAAATGATATCTTGTCAGCTTGTTATTACAGTCAAGATCGTAGATGAGATCTTATTCGAACTCACTTGGTTCCAAAACTTTCCGCTTAGAAAGACTTGATCTCTTTTGTTGAGATTTGCTAGTGTTTAATCCTTTCGACACCTCTGAAATTGTACTTTGACTTGACTTTTGTGAGTTGTTAACTGACCGTGTGAATTGAAAGTCATCTTCAGGTGCAGCATTCCCCACTAGAGAATTGTCTTCTTCATCGGTTGCACTGAACTTGCGTTTTGCCCCGGATATGACAGAAGGTACAGCTATCTCGATTCGCTTAGCTGTGTTGATGGCGCTGGACTCTTGTTCTTGCGGATTGTTTAATATGGCTGGTGAGCGAGTGGGGGGTCGTTCTAAGTTTTCGATATATTCGGAAATATTGTATCTTGCCATATCTGGGTCGCTTACTCTTGCTTCCGAGCCGGGGCTTTGATCTACATCAAAATGAGCAATCGGAGGGGTTCCTATATTGGGTGAATCCGGGTCCTGTATTGTTGTAATATCTGGCATATCTTCATGGCTATATAAACAATTAGCGCCAACATTCAAGAAAAACTGTGCCTCTTCATACTCAAGAGTTTTCCTTGGGAAGAACTTGTCTTCTGCGATCGTCGGCAAACGGCCATTGTCTTCGGCCCGTATCATTGACCGTCGGCTCATTCCAGCCGTATAATAGTTTTCCACGCCATTGCTGGAAGAATTTGAGTGTGTTGAGTTGGAGAACTTTTCAGGGAGTTTTCCCAAATCGTTGATAAGAGAGTTGAGTTCATATAATTTGGCAGCTAGTTTCTCTTTGTATTGGTGGATGTCCTTGGACAAGTATCGGCCAGCCTCGTATTTATGAGCATCTTGACTGAGCGAAATGACTTGCTCTTTTAAAATGGCATTTTCTTTCAATAAGTGAGTTATCTCTGCTTCGAGGCCTTGGATTCGAAGCGATTGAAGCGAGTTTACTCGAGCAATCTCACGATTTTGACGGACAAAACGTCTCTTGACTACCTGCAGGTTAGATTTTATGGTAATGTGAAATTTCCACCAGATAAAGAGAACTCACGAGCTTCTAGGGACTCTGTTGGACCCGGTAAGTCGTTCAGTCGCGCCATTTCGCAGTCCGGGATATAATCCCCAGAGAGGTGTCGCTCGAGGTTAAGAGGACTGTGGCACGAGACTTCAGGCTCAAGGATATTCCCACTTCAACCGTCTGATTTGCTGTTCGAGATAGTTGGTGATGCGCGGGACAGTTCGAAGCTGCCGTTCTTGTTTGGGGCTCGGCTTGGATTGTTGACTTTTGTCCGGATGTGGTTTAGCCTGTTTATCAGGGCTGCCCCACCATAGAACTAGTGTGCAGCTGCAACATTCTTCTCTTAGTATCAGACTGATATTTGCCAAATCCACCGTCATCTCAATCTTGCAGCATTAAATAGTGGACTTATTGCTTGGGAAAACCCACCATTTTGCTGTGGGTGATTTTCCCTGGAATTATTAACTCCAGGGCTCTGTTTGTCGAGAACTACCTCTCGAAATGGCACCCCTTCGTCAGAACGATGCCTACTCCGCATCATCGCAACAAGCAGTGGCTCTTACCATGCGTATAGAAGCCAAAAAGGCTGAACTGGAAAACCTCTGCCAGCTGCGTGACTTTAGCAACGCGCTTGCCACGAAAATGCAAGTTCTTGAAACAAAGTTGAGTACATTAAAGGACGGCACAGAAGGTGTGTTTTTAACAGTGTCAAGGAGTGCAAAATTCCATCTTTCACTAACTTTTCACTAAAGCAATTGCTTGCGTCCTGACTAACTGGGAGAATGTGCTACAAGCAATCAACATGGCAACTAGTAAGCTGCATTCACCCTCGACACGCGCCACGTCACTGTTTCCCTTGTTTGACAGTGGAAATGCAACAAGTTTCGGGACTAGTGAACCATGATAGCTGACATTAGATTGAAAAGGAAAAGCCGTTTCTATCCAAACTCCAGGGAACCCTGTCGCATCAACCACCTCAAATAATACCGAAGAATCTCGCCTGCCCACTCTTGTGCGGGTTCCTATCTCATCGAACGATACATCTCCTGCCACTTGAGACTGAGTGTGAATTGATCAGTGGTTTGGCAACACTTTCGACTGAGCCTCGCTGGAAACGGGTCCTGGCGAAATTGCAGATGGCCGTGAATTCAAGAAATCGTCCACCGATTAATTTCGCCAGTTCAGTGGCACGGTCCTCTTTTCGCTCCTCGACATGCCCTCGGTCAACAGTGACAAAGCCGCCAAGCTATTCGTTGTGATTGGCGTCAACCACCCAGAAAACGCGGGGTTTGGGGCCTCGGGAGACCTAAATCTTTTACGGTCATATCTTACACGCATGTACTGCGCCACTACCTGCGCGACAAAGAAAGAGGACAGTTCGATAATCAATGGATTGAATATGGCAGTGCGAATCAAAGAGTTCTTTCGGTGCCATGCTTACGAGTACCGATGTAGGGGGCACGCAATACTACAGTAGCTGAGCCAGCCACCATCGATAGCAGCGCCAATAATAGATAGATAGCAAGCAGTTAATGTTATTATTGGCGACAGCTCAGGCGGACACGTGGTCTGGCAGGAATAGTTAACGACAGTCATAATAATTGACTAAATAGTTCTGCTGCATACCTGGTTAGTCAGCCAGGAGGTACGTACCTGGAGGCTAGCGGTCCTGGTTTTTTCCTTAAGCGCCGCAACCACCGCAAAATCAGGCTCGCAACCATTCAGATCGGCTGCACCGGCAGCGTTCCCCACCGCCCCCTCCCAGCATCGCACAGGCCCGTGACACTTGGACTCTGTAAATGCCTGGCGAGCGATGAAAGCAGACATCAATACTGCTTTGGGCGCTAGGCTGGCATAGTTTCCCCTCATGACATTCAATGGAGATAGTTGCCCTCGCCATGTCTCCACCGCCGTGCAGCCAGTCGGCGAACCCATGATAGCTATCTTCTTCAGTAGTTATTTAAGGCCTGCCCAGGGAGCTGCTCGTCCGCCCGCTATATTCGGCCGATCGTGCTCTGGGATATTCGTTTTATTCATCGTTCACTTCTTGTCTAGACTAGACCCAGGCCCCCTTGACGGGCTTGCAATGCCCTCGGTGCTTCTATTGTCACTGGCCATGTCTGTGCAGAAATGACAGGGTCCCTTTGCATGCATCCCCCCCCGGTCATAGCATTACATGTGCAGTTGCCTTGGCTTCGGAGGCAATACACGTATTATAATACCATCACGACAGCCTCGCCAACCTTGAGACTCTTCTGCCGTTCTCAGTCCTCATCTTTCTCTTTCTCCGCCACTCTCATTCCATAAATGACCCGGCTGTCAATTGATGTCTCGCAACTCTCGGGAATCACCACCTAGGTCCTTTTCTCCTCCCCCCCGATCTAATTATACCCCTCTTGAAGTGACCCTGCGACTGCGGGTCAAGAAGAAACGATGACCACCCAATGGTCTTTAGATTTCTGCCTTGTCTGTGACCAGCAGATATCAGGAAATGAAGCATATTGCTCTCAGGGCTGTCGACTAGCCGACTTAGACCAGCATTCTTCCACTTCTGCATCTGCGTACCCCAGAGAATCGCAGCTTCGTTCCGAGCGTCGCGATAACCAAATAACATCGGCGCCTCCATTAGCAGTAGCTGCCAGTCGTCGTCAGACAATTGGAAAACACTTATCATCCCCTCGCCGTGGGTCTCTGGCTCAGACTAATGCGGACTCGCAATCATCATCTGTCGAAAGCTCGTCATCTCTACTAGCGTCGCCGTCGAACCAGGTCAAACATGAGTTGCATGATTATACGGGGTATTTTGACCAGGTTCGGGATTGGAAAAGACGGTTAGTAGCTTCATGATGTATTATCACCATCTACCGTGATCTCAAATGCCATCGTTGCCTCTGTATTATCAGGCTGCCTGGAGACGACATCCTGGCCACTATGAATGTATGATACCCATTTGATATGCATGCACTGTTTCGCTTCGCCTTTTTGTTTCAACTTCGCTTGCCTTTGGTTTTACTGTGCGGGCCGTCAATTATCATCGGCTATTTATGAGCGTCTCGATTTAGAGATAAAGGATATGGAGTCATGCTGGATTGGTTAGAAATCTATCTCTATACCACAAACGCACACACAAGCCGTCGTGCTGCAATTGATAAATCCTCGAGAGGGGGAGACGAATGCATCTAAAATTGAATGTTTATGTTCTCGACTATTCGAGAGTTAGTATAGAAAATATTATTGTGTCCAAGCCCCACCTGTGATGGCATCGATTGTAGATTAGGGTCGTTGGACTATGTTATTGGCGGGAACTTGGGCCTCCGAAGCTTCCGACGCAGGCCTGCATCAAACAAGTGCTTACTTCTGCACGGGGTTCGAAATCAAGCTTCCTGGATCTTGGATAGTAAGTCCATGCACCTCGTTTACTATTATCGTTTGTCAGGGACCACATGATTGATGCCCGCATTTCGAATTATGGCCGGGTAGAGTGGCACAAACGCCCGGCGGCCGCGGCTTTACTTGCCTGCGTCCTTCTCCTTTATAACTCTGCTGGTGAAAGAATAATGCTTCTGTTACAACCGTGCGACGTCTGGATGCGAACAGGACCGGTTGTTTCTTGCAAGACGTAGTATTGATAATATGGACCATGCCTTGCCAAAGATATGGCCTGGTGGGTCAAGTCTCTCATACGTCATTTCGTCATTTCTATCATCCAGCCTTTTTGTCCCCAACCCTTCTCGCGCCACTCCCCTACGTCCTCCATTGATCCTCGTTCTCCCATTCTAATGACAAGTTTGTTCTAAGCTTGCTGTATTGGAATCCCGCCCTGTGACTAGAAACAGCCGTTCGGCTGCGTACCAGAATGGCCACCCAGCACTCGCGGCGGTTCTTACGACCTCTCTTGTATACTTCAGCCGCTCTCGTAACAGGTGCTGGCGTTCTCTATATCTCGTATCGTCCACGCACCATCCCCGGCTCTGAACCGGCAGTTGTTCCTCCTCCAGAATATCATTCGGGGAAACTGGTACCGCCTAACTTTCCACGCATCAAATCCCGGGGAGAACAGATTGCGGACCTCTGGCGAAGTGCTGCAGATGCAGCAAGTGGGCAACAAGAAGAGCCATATGATCTGCTCGTTATTGGGGGAGGTGCCACTGGCTCGGGAATAGCCCTAGATGCAGCCACGCGAGGCCTCAAGGTTGCATTGGTCGAGAGAGATGACTTCAGTGCAGGAACCAGCAGCAAAAGCACCAAGTTGGTCCACGGTGGTGTTCGCTACTTGGAGAAGGCTGTTTGGGAGATGGATTATAAGCAGTATGTCACTCAACTCAAATCTTCATTATTGTTGTCGCTTGACTGACAGTGCGCTTGCACCACCTTTTAGGTATGCGCTGGTGAAAGAAGCTCTTCGCGAGCGTAAATACTTCCTAGACACCGCACCGCATCTCTCTATGTGGCTTCCAATCATGGTTCCTGTGCAAAAATGGTGGCAGGCTCCATACTTTTGGGCGGGCTGCAAGTTTTACGATTACTTAGCCGGGTCAGAAGGCATTGAAAGCTCATACTTTTTGACGCATAGCAAGGCCTTGGATGCCTTTCCAATGCTTAAAAAAGACAATCTTTTTGGTGCTGTGGTCTACTACGGTAAGATCTAACTATCTCCACGAGGCCTCGCCCCGATTATTAACGGACACCATAGATGGCGCACATAATGATTCCCGGATGAATGTTTCGCTAGCAATGACAGCTGCTTTATACGGAAGTACTGTGGTCAATCACCTCGAGGTCACTGGCTTGACCAAAGACTCATCTGGCAAACTTAGTGGGGCTCGCGTCAAAGATCTCATCGCCGAAAAGAATGGCGAGGGCGGCAAAGAGTTCTCTATTAGAGCCAGGGGCATTATCAATGCCACTGGTCCATTTTCTGATTCGATCCGGAAAATGGACGACTCTAGCGTGAAGGAAATTGTAGCCCCTAGCTCAGGAGTCCACGTTATATTACCAGGTTATTACAGCCCTTCCAACATGGGACTTATCGACCCTTCCACTTCTGATGGTCGTGTTATATTCTTCCTTCCATGGCAAGGCAATACTATCGCCGGAACCACCGATCGGGCGACGGAGATCACTGCCCAGCCCCATCCGAATGAACAAGATATTGAGTGGATCCTCTCTGAAGTTAGTGGCTATCTAGCCCCTGATATCAATGTGCGTCGAGAAGACGTCCTAGCAGCATGGGCAGGAATTCGGCCGTTAGTTCGGGATCCGACGGCGAAAAACACGGAATCTCTTGTTCGAAACCATCTGATTACCATGTCGCAGTCAGGTCTTCTAACTTGTGCTGGAGGAAAGTGGACAACCTATCGCCAGATGGCGGAAGAAGCGGTAGACGAAGCCATCAAAGCCTTCAGCCTTCAGCCTCGACGAACAGAGTATGTTCCAGATGTCAGTGGCACTGGCCTTAAGACGGACAATTTCAACCTCGACGGCTCTTGTCAAACCCATCAAATCCGCCTTGTTGGTGCTCATGGATATTCCAAGACCCTGTTTATCAATCTTATTCAGCATTTTGGTCTCGAAACGGACGTTGCAAAACATTTGACAGGCTCATATGGGGACCGGGCCTGGCAAGTGGCAGCGTTGTCTTCACCAACCTTCTCCCGGTTTCCAATTCGTGGTAAGCGGATTTCGAAGTTGTACCCATTCATTGACGGAGAGGTTCGATATGCCGTAAGACATGAATATGCTGAAACAGCCGTCGACGTCATCGCTCGTCGGACTCGACTCGCCTTTCTGAATGCGCAGGCAGCTCTGGAAGCACTACCAGGTGTCATCGACTTGATGGCCGAAGAACTGAAATGGGATGAAAAGAGAAAGGACGTTGAGTGGACAGATTCGGTGACCTATCTGGCGTCTATGGGTCTTCCGGCAAATCTCCAAAAATTGACAAGAAAGGAGGTGGAAAGCGGGAAATCACTGTCTTTCGGCGATGTAAACAGCACCAAGTTTTCGGGAATTGGTATGTGCAGCCCCAGAAGGGAGCCGACCACGCTTCCATACTGACTTGTTTTGATAGATGGGCCCGCCGAAATTCTCGAGAGCGACCGTTCCCTGAGAACATTTGCCAGGCAAGACCCAGGTGTGCACTCCGACTCTCCAGTGAATAAATGATTGGGCGTCAAACGGTTCGTGCCTTTTTTGTATATTATATTATAGATCGAGAATCACGCATGAATGGGAGTAGTCTCAGGCGAAACCACGCAGATAGAGAAAAAGCCGGTTTAGCACTGGATATTATTACTATTATCATTACCACGGCATACGGCCCAGGGTCCTGCCACTGCATATGTAGTAATTATTCATTGCCTGACTATTGAATACTGGCTGATCTGGCAGCTCATGACTCGCGGTGATAAATATTGAGCCCGCGGCGGCATATCAGATCCGAAAACTTAAAAAGCCTAAAGCGAGGCAGGCTCCCATTGGCGAGGCTGGGCTCTTCGGTCCTAAAAGCAACTATTTAATAATACTCCGGACCGCGGCCTATCGCCGACGAGGTAGCATTGACTGTGCAAGACAACGGTCAACCACATGCAAATGCATCCGCCATCCTTTCCAGTGCATCCTTGCACCTTCTTGCGGTAATATTACGTATCAGATACCTATGTTGTCATCCAGCATACAGCGCTCAATCAAAGGTTGCCTGCACTGCGCTCGTCCTCACCCAAACCCCTCATCCACAGTGGGTTGGCTGGCCGTGGCAACGAAAGTTGCCGCCCTTTGGAATTGACACTGCATATGGCCGTCTATTGATGATACGCGCTCTCTTGGACCATTGGGCATCCTCGCTCGTGATGGCAGTACTACTTGCCAGTTGAAGGCCATCAAAACCAGGAGGCCCGAAGCTCGTACGCCCCACTGTGCCACAGTGCCACATGGTGTTGCATAGCCGTTGGCGATCAAACGTACAGAATCCTCCGGCTGCCAGGCATTATAGTATTCAATGTATTATTGCGGACGTAAGTTCCCAGCATTTGGAGCTAAACTGCGCTGCTCTCGTCCTGTCTTTTAGGGCACCTGCAGGGAACATTGGTGAAGAAAATGACACATCTCAATGTGTTGCCTCAGCTCTCCGATTTCCCACTCTTGCTAGGACAGGCCGTTGTGCTGGCCTTTTTCCTGCAGAGTGTGTGCCCTCATTACCCTGTTGTGTGATCTGCACGGGGCTTTTCGCATGCCAGGTGCATCGATTTAGCAATCCCATTAGGCCGCGTTTTCGTATCGTTTCCCTTCTTTTTTCTAATACTAGCTGCCGAGAGGACATATATATCTCAAACGAAATAATTATTCCGGCAATGACTGACGTGCGAGAGGCCTTGGATCGTGCGCGAAACAGCACTGACGGTCGCATCGATTCTCAAACGGGCGCCGTGCTTGAGAAAGCCATCCAGGAGCTTTGGAGCAGAATACAAGCACAGCCCACCAGCTACATATTGAATCGAGACGAATTCGCGCTTTTCAACTACTTCAGAGAGCGCTTTAAAAGCTCCGTGGTTGCCCAGAAAGCCGTTGAAAGGTTCTGGAACAACTTTCAGGGGGATTCCGCCGGCATCGGAAGAGGCCGCACGGCGTAATATTCGAGAAGGAGCCTCTTGAATTGTTCTAGATTTATTGTTTCTCATCTATGTGAAACACCCGCTGAGGGCAGCCTTTTATGCCTCGCAAGACATTGAGCGATGCACGAGATGACGGCCCCTCATCTCAGTGAATGCTCCCGCACATCATCTCTACCTCCAGTGATTCTCCTCTATTGAGATGCTTTGGCTATTTTTTTTCGGTCGGGCTTTACTGTTTTTCTCTGCCAGAGGTCAGCATATCTACTTGTATAACAATACAATCATCATAGATACCGATTCAAAACCAATGGCCATGGTTGAGGATCGTGGGTTGATGAAGTATCCAATATATTGAGCTTTAGGTGCTTAGCGATTAAGCACGAATATAGTAACTGTCTTTTGGAGGGACTGACACCCCCAAAATTCTCGTCGGATGCGATTATTTTTTGATCGTCCACCGCTCCAAATGGAGTCAACAGGCACCACTATATGTGTCTTCATACTAGCTTCCAACAAATTGTAGAGAATCCGAAAATCAAGAAACGAATGGCTTCAATAGCACACATCCTTGGTCACATTTGTATCAGTGAGATTTGGTGTATCCTAACCTCTATAGAGGATTGGATGCACCTATTGGCCGGCGGTCCAGTGACCCCACATTGTGCCCCCCCCGGCGCCAATAATCATCATCATCTCGATCCTCCAAAATTCTACCCACATGAATGAACCCCATTCGCTTTGAAGGGCCAAAGGAGGCTGACTATATGGACTGTACGGGATAACTCTCAGGTGCCAAAAATGGTGTATTATTTTGTTTCGAATGTGGTATCTCCCTCTGCCACCATCTATGTCGGCAAAGACAAGTTCGAGAGTACGGCGAGATCGTATCCAGTATTTCGAAGAGCAGTATGAGCTGACCTTACACCGCCTAAACTAGACGAGGAGTTGATAAAATATGGACTAGAATCCGATGTTTGGTAAATAACTTGGCACCTAGCTCTTCATCCAATAGCTATGCAAGCAAAACGCAATACTGATATTTGATTGAATGCTCTAGGGTTCGTTACTTGGTCCGCCAATGTTTCCTTGCAGATATTTAGCCTGACAAAGTTGGTAGTTTCACGTCGACAACTTGTCTAGTGCCCACGTGTACCTACGTCTTAGGGATGGCGAATCTTGGGACAGCATTCCCAATGACCTTTTAGAAGACTGTGCGCAGTTGACGAAGGCCAATTCTATCGAAGGTGAACCATCTTCTTTATGGACGCATTTAGAGGAGGCTAATATATGTACGAAACAGGAAACAAAAAAGATAATATCACCGTCATATACACACCATGGGCCAACCTGATGAAGAACGCGTCCATGGCGGCCGGACAGGTGTCTTTCCATAACCCTAAAATGGTGAAAAAGGTCTTCGTCGCAGCCCGTCAAAATCCAATCGTCAATCGACTCAATAAGACGCGGTCGGAGAAATTCCCTGATTTGCAAGCCGAGGCTGAAGAGATCATGAAAAAGAAGAGGAGAGAGGAAAGAAAGGCTAGAGAAGATAAGAAGACATTTGAGAAGAAGGAAAGGCAAGAGCGTGAGCAGCTGAAGTGGCAGAAGGAACATGCTTATGACGACATGTTCAGCGAAGAGAATCTACTGCAGAGCAACAACCAAGATCGCGACGCGGATTTTCTTGATGATTTTATGTGACAAGCCCATTGAAACACTGCGAGGATTGATGTATATCGGACCCGATGGAGAAGATGAGTTGAAGACCCTCCTCGGGAGGGTGTGTGCAATACATAATAGAAGATAACAAAGGGAAAAAAGAAAATCAATGGCACGAACCTGAGGAGGGAAATATTGACGAGGACGCTGCAGACGATGATATTATTAAACAATAATACCAGTAATATGAAGTATAGGCGCCAAGGGGCGCTTTCCCCAAACGGGAACGCTAGCTGTACTTTCCCCAGTAATGCGCCGTCACCGCAGACAATAGTATTAGTTGGCTTGTCGTCGTGGTTGGCGTTACATATACTTGGTATGTAGGCGCCACATATAACCAGACAATATTGAAGCCATCTCGGAGTCATAATGTCTCCTGAAAAACAGGCAGTTGCACCGCCAAGTTAGTCAAGACTTCACTGACAATGCACCTCCCGCTAACCTGAGCCGTCCCATCTAGGCTCCAAGTCCAAAAAGAACAAAAAGAAGAACTCCGCAGCCAAACAAAATGCCGATGGTAAAGGAGGTGTCAATGAATCGATACAAGTTACTGGTAACAAACCAGGCCAGGAATCAAAAGTATGGCTATGCAATGCGCCTCGTTGGTTGATCTGTTCCGAAGTATTGCCACTAACTCACTACCGTAGCCTCAAACCGAAGACTCAAATGGCATTTCAACGAACGAGCCGGACAGTGAAACTCCGGATATAAAGAGCAACGAAAAAGAAGATGAAGAAGAAAATGGAGAAGAAGAAACGACGACGACTTCAAAAGGCCGTGGCACGGCTGAGCAAGCTGACGCCATGGCAGCTTCTGCGGAATCCGAAAACAAGTTCGATGCACTTGTTCGAGATCGTGATTCTCTTCGTGCTGAAGTGACTGAGCTCCGCAAGTCATTAGAGGAGCTGCAAAACAAACACACTGGAGAAATGGAAGCTCTTCAACAGAGAGTAACTGACTCGGAGACCAAGAAAGAGCAAGCAGAAAGTCAATTTCAGAAGTTGATGGAAAGGGTAAACACCATCAAGTCGCAATTGGGGGAGAGACTGAAGGAGGATGCGGTAATTTTTCCAATAGACCTATATGTTTACTTGAAATTGCACTAAGTTTTCATGTAGGAAGAACTTTCTCGTGCGAGGACAAGGATAGAGGCATTGGAAGAGGAGAACTCGGAGCTGAAGGAAGAAATTGATTCAAAGACGACAACAATATCAGGATTGAGGAAAGATGCGGAGGAAAATTCTAAAGAGCTGATAGGTTTGCGAGACAGAGCTGCCGTCTCTCAACAAAATTGGATTAGAGAAAAGGAGGAATTGCTGGGTCAAGAGTCGGACATTCGCATTGAATTTGAAGAGGCTAAGCAGGCAATGCACAACTGGGAAGTTTTGGCGATGGAGGAGCGCTCGATCAGAGAAGGGCTAGTAGGAAAAGTGAATGACTTGGAGGAGCAACTCTCCACTCTTCGTGACGAGTATAATACTGCGATTAATGACAACAATACACAGTCAGTCACGATTGATGGGTTACAGCGGGCTCTACAGGAGATTCAAGATGGTACGTAACTGGAAGTCTTTGTTGTGCTCCCAAACATTAATTGTAGGCTAGCCCGAAAGCAAGAGCTACGTGAACTCGTCCAGTCCTCTGATGCACAACTCGAAGAACTTAGGACTTCTGTTGGAGCGGCCGAAGAAAGGGCCATTAAAGCTGATACAGAACTGGAACAAGCGCGAACGGAGCTCTCGAGACTTCTCCCTTTCGAAAAAGACGTCAAGGAGAAGAATTTACTCATTGGAAAATTACGACACGAAGCTGTTACGTTGAACGACCACCTTACTAAAGCGCTAAGGTTTCTAAAGAAAGGGAAACCTGAAGATAACGTCGATAGGTATGACCCAGGTTACGTTTCTCTTTCAGAAAAAATTACTTATTCAATAATATTCAGACATATTGTGACCAACCACCTTCTTCATTTTCTTGCACTTGATCGATCTGATCCCAAGAAATTTCAAATTTTACAACTTATAGCAGCTCTTTTACAGTGGAACGATGGTACCAGAAACCCTTTGGCCATTTTTAGAATCAGGAACTTTACTGACAACCTCAACCAGATCAACGTGAGCAAGCTGGGCTTGCTCGTCCAGGTACTTCAGGCAGTGTCGCTGGACTACAGGTGCCGAAGTTTTCCGTTAGTCGAAGACCGAGCGCACCTTCTCTAGCCACTGAATATATGGAGAATGGTCATGCTGGTAAAGAGACATTGGCAGAGCTATGGTCAAATTTTCTGGAGCAAGAAGCTCAAACTGGCGGTGGAAATGCGACCAGGTCTGGTTCTAATGCTGGTCTTAAATCGCCTTAGATACAAGACTGAACACTATCACGACCAAGATATCTTTGCTACTATTCTTGTATTTTTGATCTCCTGGGTCATGTTTGACATATCTTGTAGACGATAATTACTAGATTTAAATCACATATTATATGATTCTAATTAATGTGTCGATACTGTAAGTAGTTGGGTATGAATAATGTTCTAGTCGCCCTACCCTGTCTTTTCAAATGCTATGATGTTCGCGTAGATTAACCTGGAAAGCCTAGTTATAATGCTCATACATAAGCCCCGAATTTCGCATTGAGACTTGTACCCTTGACTTGCTTCACACCCTGTATAGAATGGGAAATTGCTTGGCAATAATAGCAACGAGATGGATTTATTGATTTAATCGCTTTCTAGGCAAAGCTATGATCTAAGAACATGTGTCCATTTGTTTCTTAAGAAGAGAAAGGCCGTGCGAACAATGTCCCCATGCTGGACGGTGAGCGACTCCATATTTACTGCTTCATTTGATACGGCTAAATCAAGATGAAGAACAAAACTTTAGGGCCAGAGAAGACAAGAAAATTTAAGAATTTAAGGAGACTAGCTAGACAAGCCGAGGACAATCCACATGCATGGAAAGCAAGAGGTATGGCAAAAAGAAAGGGAATGAAACAACGTTCCGTAGGAAGCACACAGTTAAAAGGATATCTGTAACGAAAGGAAATGGAAAGCTAGCTATCATGGGCTCCAAACGACAAGCTTTTGTGCACATTTCTGTCCCCTGGACTACACCACCAGCTATGACATACCGTCTGCCAGCTGCATCATTACCGTAGCCATTGGAGTCAAAATTAGTAGCCGTTCATTGTAACCCTCTGCGAGTTTCGGCTTAGTTCTCGATCAGCCGAGGGGCTGATGGGCCTGCTGCCACTGTGGCCTCCAGCGGCACTGCTCTCCTTAAGAGCCAACAACTGCTTGGCACGGAAAGTCTCGTAGTGGATCTGGCTGGTTGTTTCGATGAGGTCCTGGAGGTGTGTACGAGTCAAGAAGTTTCGAAGGTAGACGAATTCGCAATGGTTCTCATCTTCGACGTTAATCACACCCCAACGATTCTGTCGGCCACGGACCTGCTTTCCATTCACGACAATATTCTTTTCACTACCAACAACGGCAAAAGGAATGATGTCCTAATGTCTATTTAGAAGTCGTTCATATATGGATATATTGCTGGTGATCTATTACCTTGATCTGAGCATTCAACCCACGCTCTTCGTCATCAAGCTCATCATTGTCGTACGGGTACATCTTCAAGTTGTGGAATAAAAACTCCTCCTTGATTCTCTCCTTGAACTCTTGTCGCTCTTCTAGAGTCAAAGAGTCAGACTTGGCAATCACGGGAACGACATTGACAACGTCGGAAAGTTTCTTGAGGACGACAATATCGATGGGTTTCAGGCTACACGTTGTGATTAGTATAATTGTCCAGAATCACCAATTTCTTTTCCAACATACGCATGACCGGATGGCTGAATGAAGAACAGACAGCAATGAATACGGGTGTCTTGGATATAACGTTCACGTTGAGCTGTGAGCTCTTTGCGAAGATAGGCGGAATGCTGATCTTTGATGTACTTGACAATCGGGTCCCAGCTATCAAATGAGTTTAGCATGTATTCCAGGTTGCTGGGCTTGAAAGCATACCATCGGTCATTGTTCACTTGATCGCCGTATCCAGGAGTATCAACTATGTTCAGTCTCAAACGCACCCCGTTTTCCTCGATGACTATGAGATAGGTAATTGTCAACATCCATTCATAAATAATTCGTTGTGTGACATACTGTGAGAGACAGTTTGGATTTCGGTGGTAGAGCGAACGGGCTCATTGGGAGTTAAGCGACCCTTGGAGTCGATCAAATGCGACGCGAAGATGGTGTTTATCAAGGTAGATTTTCCTAGACCAGTTTGACCTTGAACACGACGTATCGTCAGTAACCTGCTCAATTTGATGGCCGGGGGAGGCTGTACTAACCAACACACATGACATTGAATTGAAAGCCACGCTTCAACAGCTTCTTTTCGATCTGAGACGTGATGCTGTCAAAACCGACGTGGCTGCGAGGAAAGACGGTGCTCGGTGAAGCAGAGGCATTCGCGGTGGTGGCCATGATAGATAGCTGAGCGAGCTGGCGAACGCAGAAATGAGGAAGGAATAGGGCGGGGGTAGGCAGCGCCTCGGCAGAGCTCAATGGGCAGGCAGGCGGATTGGAGAGAGAGAGGGAGGGGGAAATGCTGCAAAGATGGTATCGAAGGCTTCGCAGCGAGTGGCCTACAAACAGTTTTGAGCGGAGTTGAGGACGACGACCCCCTATTGCCCTCAGTGTTAATTGTTGCGGATCAGGGGTCGGTGCCGCCAAGCCACAAGTGGCCTAGGGCCAGGCAGCTCCCTCTCTCCACTCAGCACGTATGGTTCTTGCCGCTACCCGCAGTTTGATTCATCACCACCATTTCATCTTATTAGTATTAGCAAATTTCAATGCAGCTGCTGTGTCACGTTCCGGCCCTTGATATGTATTAGAGACACCCCGCTTGCAATTCGAACGACTTGGCTTTGTGAGAACGCTACGGCACTTCCCTGGACATCATGGCACTGCGAATAATTCCCAATTTTTCACCTCTGTCGTCGTTGGCGTTACCCATCCTCTCTACAGTCCTCCGGCTCAACACGACAAATAGACCATATATCACGCCTAGTGAACTGCCAGTACTGGGCGGACCTCCAAAAGCCAGTCTCTCCTCTCTCCTCGCAGATATCTGGGAGTCTGTCCTGCGAGCGGTCCCGAAGAAAAAAACATCGCATATGAAAAAGCGACATCGACAGATGGCCGGCAAGGCATTGAAGGATGTTAAGAGCATTGTTAGATGTCCAGGCTGCGGTCAGGAGAAAAGGGCACATATTCTATGTTCTCATTGTGTGCAGGGTACGTTCTGATATTCTCGGATGGTTACTGCGATAGCTAATCCGCGTTTTTAAAAAGATATCAAAGAGCAGTGGAAAAAAGCTCTCCGAGAGTAAATTCAATCGAAATTTTAATCGAAGTACTCGGATACAAACATACACTATGGAGATAGGTTGATTTGGGGAGCCTGAGAAAATCGTGGCCATCTACCGCAGTAGTGAGCGCATGCATGATGAATGGCGTATGGGTGCCTTTTTGGTCATTAAGCATTGGATTGTACTACAATAGTGGTTTACTGTAATATAACTTTCTCTGTATAATTACCTTCTTTTACCTTTCTCTCATCTTAAAAAAAATCAAAATTTTGCGATGGTTGCAACCATATTCGGGGTAGTTTATTGTTTGCCCGCAGGTCTTGGCAACAAATTTGCGATAACCACCTTCAAGGTTTCTCAGGCCCTGCTGATGCTGAGACGGAAACGGAGACACAGGAGACATGGTGAGAAAATCATATATGCATATAAAATCAAAACGGTGACAAGAGCTCTGACAGAGCATCCAAGTCTAAACAATACTTGTCCTGGAGCTCGGCGGACAGTGGTAAGTCATGTTCCATCCCACCCTCAAGCATGTATTAAAAATAGCTATGTACAACCAGCCCATCCAATTGATATTTTCTCGCTGGCTGTGACGTCTAATCAGATCTTGTCGGCATCTGGAGCATCTGCCCTCAAAGTTCATTCTACAGCAGATCCTGATTTCCCTTTGGTCCAAAGCATTGAGGATGCCCACAAAATCGGATGCCACCATGTTGTCACGTCTAGAAACGGTTTGAATGCCGCAAGCATTGGGTTTGAAGGAGAAATCAAAATCTGGGCCCAGCAAAATGGGTCATGGTCTGAGATCACCCAACTATCACGTAAGTTCTACTTGACACCTGCGTGGAATACAATGAGTTTAGCCACCATCTAGATGCCTTACGGCAGTCAGACGCTTGGGCGATCGTTCTGTCAGACGATGCCAAATACCTCGCTGGGACGACACATGATGGCCACATCAAGGTTTGGGATCTCACTAGCAACGGAGAACAGTTTAGGGATTATGAAACCAAAGGGACCTTCGGCTCGTGCATTGATATGGTTCGTTTACTTACACCAAGGCGACCACAACCACCTTTGGCTAATAAAACGCCCCTTCCATCTAGTCTAGTGATGGAAAGTACATAGCAAGTGGCCATGAAAGCGGAAGCATCTATATATTTAGTAACGAAACTGGTCGTATGCCGTTTTCATTATCCGGTAAGTGCCATGAAGATCATCTTGAGTTTATGTTATTCCAAGCATGGACTTATTATTATACAATAGGACTTGTGAAACCAGTGCGTGCAGTTGCATTCTCTCCTGGCGGAAAGCTGCTGGCAGCAGCAGGAGATTCTAGAGTAATTGCGCTCTATGACACAGAGTCTGGCGAGCAAGTTGCCCAACTCTCCGGACACTCAGCATGGGTATTGTCTCTGGACTGGAGCCATACTGGCGAGTACCTTCTAAGTGGGTGAGTCTCAGCGTGGCCTCCTTTTTGTCATTCAGCAAATTATAGATCTTCCATGCTAACACACAGAAGCTCCTTCGATGGGAAAGTGAAAGTATGGTCTATTGAGCGAAGAGCTTGCGTTGCAACTCATTCAGAGTCAGAAAAGGCCGTGTGGAGTGTGAAATGGTTACCAAAAGTAGGAAAGACCGAAGGATTTGCGACCGCCGGCGCCCATCGCAGTGTATGGTTCTACCGAGAAGCGACTGGAGGTTAGACCATTCATGAAATTAAATCAAATGAAATTGGCTATCTGTTGCAGGTTGTCGGATGAAGTGGCCAGGACCCGACAACGAATTTGAAGAATATTCATTACGAAACTCGACGGTAGTATTGCAGAAGATAAAATTCAGGGTATCACTTTATATTAAGATTAATGACATGAGCATTGCTCAGGCAATTAATGGATATCATTTCATGGATTCCACAAATAGTCGGCGCATCCTTTTCAAGAGGGCCCCAAAATCTCGATCCTCATTGACAATTTCCAGCTCTCGTTCGACGGTCGCTCGGTCTAATCTGGGTTTGGTGTGATAGATCTCGTAGTCTCTGGAAGCCGTACTCAATTCGAACCAAGCTTCTTTGTCCCAATCCTTCTCAACAATATGGCTGTAGACTATTTTAAGGCGATCTTCCCTGCCAGCGCCTTCAATTCGCATGCAAAGATAATCCTGCCAGAATTCTAGTTCTGGCATGTTGAGCCGCGCTTGCCCGTCCAGGTATTGAGAGTGAGCCTTCTGAGCTTCAAGTTTCTGATCTATGGCCGCCTGTGTTTCCGCAATCTGTCGCTTTAACCTGTCGCGCTTCGCTAATCGAGAGTCTCGCTCAAGCGTTATCGAGGAAATGTGCGCGTGGATTTCTGCCGCTTCTGCCGCTTCCCTTTGGATTGTTTGCGCGTGATCTTGAGTTTTTGAAGTGAGGATTTTAATATCGTTGCGCTTCATGTCTTCGTCCTCTGTGCCGTTATGGTTAGCCAAAAGCTCAACTTTTACGAGGTATGGAGCTCTTACTTTGAAGCTCCGCTAGGTTGATATGGAATTGATTACGCTCCTCCAATACTTGTTTCCGGCCTCGCTCAATAAACGCGTCGAATTTTGCTGAAAATTGTGACATGCGACTGCGGAGGTCCTCAAAGCCGAAATTGATACTTGGAAGAGAATCGGCCATTGACGGCGCTTCAGTAGAAGCCAGCGGAGGCCGCATGGCGCTGGTCGACAGGGAGGGTTCGAACGAAGCCATCTTGAGTAGATTATGAGCGTATTGCAAAAGAAGCCGGTCGGCACTGCTTTAAGTCCTTTAGCGTGAGGTTTGGACAGGATTGGGTATCTGAATGATAAATTGGTTTTTGTTCGCGTCGAGGGGAGCAGATACTAATTAGATAAGAGAGTGTTTCGCGCTTAGGCTGAAACAGTCACGTTCAGCTGACAGTTGCGGAGGCAACCAGCCCGCCAAGCTTTCATCCGCTAGCTCTTACTTGCCTACTTGCATCATAGCTCAATCTTTTTTCTTTTCGAGCCTGCACATATCTGGACAAGATATTGACGAGCAAACCCAGCTATCACGCCATTACTACCGCCGTAATCAGCTCTTTTTCAAGTATTCAAAAACGCGAATTGTACATGATTACTTTTCGCAATGACTGCATCGTCGCATGAAATAACGGATACGACAATCACCACCACAAAGCCAAATGGATGATAAGCGTGCAGATGCAGATGCTCTTCGCTATGGCCATCCAGGTCCGGCCACCTACTCTGCATCCTCTCAGTCGTGGAACTTTTCTCGAGACTTTAGCCGCAGATACATACTTTCCCATACTGGGTTACAAAAACTAGCTGTTCCTCCACAGTCAAGCGTGTCAGGTCTGGAGAGAGATCGAAATGAAGAGCAAGCGCTGTTTAAAGGCTATCCTGAGCTTCTTGGAGTGACGCTATCCTTTGAGCGGATGGAAGAAATATCCAGAATGATACATGAGGCAACCTCGTTTTTTGATCCGAAGATATCCTCCTTGATAGACTTTGGAAATGCGGTACCGTCGAATTTCGATCGATCGGAAAAACCACCACCTATTCCTATCGCAGCGTTTGCCACGGGAAGAAATGGAAATATTCTTTCTTTTTGGTCCATTGACAACCAATCAATCAGCACCAACCAAAAGCCAGAAATATTTATCCGTGTTCCCACAATAGGCGGTTCTTACATGTCCAATTCGCCTTGTGGTGAGTCTCCTATACGTCAAATACGGTTTGCGGAGAGCCTCGAAGAGCCGGCAAGTCTCCTAGCAGTTCGGCTGGAATCATGTACCTTGATTTTACAACCCCGCTATCACAAAAGCCTTTTGCCTGTACAGCCACTGGGTACTTCCAGTCATAAGCGATTTCCGCTTCAAAGTCAATCTCGTATTAGCCCTAATCTTCTCGTCGAAATTACAACCTCTCAAACAGGAGGGTTTCCTCACGTTGATGTGGCTTTCAATCCTTGGTTTCCGAGCCAAGTCGGTGTCATTGACGAGCGAGGCAATTGGAATCTCTGGGATTTATCTAACCTCCTTGAAATTGAAAATGGTGGTAGTACTACTATTGAGCATTTGCAATCTGGTTCACTGCCTTGGTCTGATTTGAACGGACACTTGGATGCCGATGTGTCTGTTCAGTATGACGGGTGGGGGAAAATTGAATGGGTTGGAAATGTTAATACCTTTTTCGCCTGCAATCGACGCGACGCCGTTCTGTATATCACGGAGGATACCACTGCTATGTCTTGCACTGTGGAGTTCAATTGGGGTTCTCCGTCTGAATGGATATTAGATGTGAAAGTTCCTTCACATGCTCCTGAAATATTCATTCTTACCACTTTAAGAGTTCTGTGTCTGGATATAAGTTACCTTATACAACATCCTCAGTCTTCAGTGAGCCCACGACTATCGTGGCGACATAATCGTGATCCAGATGATCTTACTTTGCGATTGACATCTATTTCTGTTGGTGAGGAGTATTACCTCGTTCTCTACTCTCGCCTTGATGCCTGTATTCTGGCCTTCCAGGTATCATTTCCCCGTGTTGATGATTCAATGACCACCTGTTTCGCCGAGCCTTTTTATGTCTATATCCCCCCGACTTCGATCGATCAAGGGCTCGCCACGATCAGGCACACGGCTTTCCTTAAAACCATATTGTTCAAAGAAGTTGAACAAGAAGCTTTAACGGATCAGGATGATTTTGCGCCTCATGCTAGGCTTATAAAGCTCTTTGTCCTTGATGATACACTCTCTATCCGGGAACACCTGTTTTCATTACCTCTTACTCAGGGTACATCATCTGCTACTGACTTTATAACGAGTCGAGATGCCTTGCCACTTATGAAGAGAACTGCGTATCTACAGAAAAAGGAGCTGTTTGAGTTGGACCTTTTGGGTATTGGTGAATCGGACATAGGTGAATTAGCATCCCAATATAGCTTTACGCATAACTTGTCAGAATCTGTGTCATTAGCAAAGCCATTCTCTTCCCGTGCGGCTGTAGATTTTACGTTGCTTTATGCGACTCTCGCAGGGCATCGTTCACCTTCTCCGAAAGATTCGACAGATACATCATTTATTCGTGTTTACCGAAGTCTCAAGCAGTGTTTGGAGCGGCTGGCTGCGTCTTTTCTGGATACCACTGAAATCGAACCTGTTACTGGCCAAACGATGCTAGAAATCATCAATAGTCTTCCTGTCTCTTCGGATATAGACGAAAGCTCCCAGGACATCTTCTGGTACATTTCACAGTTCGCTCAGATCAGTAAAACTACCGGAAGTCTGATGTATTACCTACCGCTAGGAATGTCGATACAACATGTTGACAAATTGGCAAAGTCGGTAGTCTCATACCAGCGGTTCAACATGTTGGAATTTTACGATAAACTCACTCAATACTGGTTATCTACCTTGCCCGAGGATTTACCGGCATGGACTCGTGTTTCAAAGGAAAAGGCTATACGGAATATAACGACAGAACTATCTTTGGCGACTATGACATACATAGGCACGCCGCTATTTACCAGTCCTGGTGCAGTTGTGGTTCCTAGCACTCCTCAGGAAACAGACCTAATGCCAAGCTCGAGTCATACCTCAGAGCTCGACCATAGCCAAGTTGGTGTACGAGAGACGTACGATATGCTTGGACTCGGTTCACTTGTTGGGAAAGTCACCGATGACACACTGCCAACCGCCGCAGAAGATATTCTCTCTGATTGGGTTATAGGAGGAGACCCCCATGCCGTGAATTGGAGAAAGATTATCTCCTATGATGCTTCAACAAACAAGACCACAATGCCAGAACGAGTACGGAGGCTTTCACGATCACGATCACGAGGTCTTACAGAAGACTTAAAGCTTATACGATCTTCCCCGATTGTACCCATTGTTCAAGACTCCGGAAGCCAGTCTTATCAAACAATCCCCAGAGACAAGCTTTTTAGCAGTCAAGTAGTTGAAGAGAACCTGCCTATGACTCAAGTCGAACGAGGCCTCTTCGGTGGTAGACAAGGGGCCAGGTCAAGAAAGAAGAAGAGAACGGCAGGTTTTTGATCGGCATTAGCATTTTCCTATAGCTTGTGGCAGCAATCGTATCAAGTGTTCAGATATATCTAGTCATGTATGTGTGACGTAGTAAAGCCCTTGTTTTAGATATATGGCGGGTGAGTGTAATTAGTATGATTTTTCTATACCTATTTACAATATCTTACATGCTGGCCTTGACTGGACCATAGATTGGATGAGTAGAAGCCCTAAACTGGTGTGGCACAGCTTACGTTTCAACTAAAATATATTTGTGCACGCGATTTCCAATGCTTGCTTTGTAGCAAATATATTTTGTTGCCGGTCGAGGAGAAGTATATTACGTGAACTTAGGTTGATAAACTTATGAAGCGACCAATAAGTGACTGAAATATAGAACCAGTACAGTGTACGCTAATGCGAACTGACACGCATGAGTAATACTCCGATACAATGTCGACATCTGGCTGTAAGGCGGCGAGCCCCCCCGCCTCCAAGGTGCATTTGTCATTCCGAACCACCTAAAGTGTCAGCGGTGTTTCATACTCCTCTAAAACCCTCACACAACTTTTTCCTAGTTGGCGATAAATCTTGATACTGTGAATATATTTAAATTAAACACCAAGTCGCGTTTCCCAAGGAACCTCGATCATCAAGCAAGTCGCCGGTTTTATTCTACCCCGCATACATCACAGACTCCTTACCATTTGTCAATATGGCTGAACACCAGTACAAATTCAATGTCTCCATGAGCTGCGGAGGATGCTCTGGCGCCGTGGAGAGAGTATTGAAAAAGCTAGATGGTGAGTTCTACTGGATGCTCGTACCTATTCAAGCTCTCTCGCGCGATTGACATTGTTGACCCCGGAAGACGCTCCCTCAGACTGCGACAGTCTATCTTGATTATTTTTGACTATGGCTAACCTCGGATTTTTATTTCTAGGTGTCAAATCATACGATGTCAGTTTGGAGTCGCAGACTGCCACCGTCATCACCGAACCCTCTCTGCCTTACGACACTGTTCTTGCGACTATCAAAAAGACCGGCAAGACTGTAAACAGTGGTGAGGCAGATGGAACACCTCAAGAGATATAAAGATGGTCGACGGATGAAGAGCAATATCTACACATATAGATTGTTAGTCGGCCGTGTCATACACATTTTCGATATCCAAGCTTAGCCAGCTATCACGCTCCTGCATTTTGAATCCTATACGCACATACCTTGTTATTCGAATCTATACTAATTTATGGATTGAAATCCGATATTCTTATAAATTGAAACTAAATGTCTTCGAAAATCAAATACCCAGGGTATCATTGATGCTATCTAAAAATAAACTCCAACCAAATATGCACCCGACAAGCAGGCTTCCTTCGAATACCTGAAATTAACCACAATAGCCGTTACTTAGTCTCTTATAGACAGTAAAATCTGTTCAAGCCAAGTAAAGAAATACAAAGAGGTTCCACGTCCAAGCTATATTTCAGCCTTCCCACAAGGGAAGAGTAGCTGTGTACCACTCTATAGGGGAAACCAACAGAATACCACCACCTATCTTGGTAAGAGTCTCTCAGTAAAGGAAATGCGTACTTCATAATAACTTGCTTCTTGTCGCTAAGGATTCATTGACTTTTCTAGCTGCACCTCGTATCTTCTAATAGCTGACACGGGTAGGCCGTCTTTCTTCTTTTGTGTTGCCGAAGGTGAGCCACGTGAAGAAGCACGAAACCCGTGCAGTTTATGAGAAGATGGTGCAGGTGAATATTGGGGAACAGAGCTCCTTGACCCCCAAGATGCTGCTCTGGGGTCTAATCGAGCGTTTGGATGGTCAGGCTCGTGTCGTTCACCCGGCTGCAACAACCCGACATGCTGCTGGGGCCCATGGGCACTGCTGGGTCGCGTATAATCTTCTGCATCAATTATACCTCTTTGGTACTCATAATCGTTAGCCTTGCTCCGCCATCCAGAATTATCTGGCCGATAACTGAAGTGCGGGTGGCCAGCTATATAGGGTTTTTGCGTAACTTTGTTTCGTGGAAGTTCCACTAGGTAATTTTCGTTACTCAACATCGGACCTTTGCTTTGTTTGAGTGTATCAAGATATGGATCCACAGTATAACGGTGATCATCTCTGATATAGTCGCCTGTAGGTGCCAAACCCGCTTTCATGGATGACTTCTCTAGCGACGCTTCGGGACGAGTTATAGTGTGGATTGGTTGTTCTAGGTGTTCTTCCATCAAGAAGTTTGAGTCTCGACTTGCGATAGGCATTCTGTATACATCCCTGTTATCCAGGGCCTGCCCTATGTGTCGGTTGCGTGCAGTCAGAGGCGGAATGATTGGCAGTCGTTTGTCACCGAGACGATGAAGAGCAATATTTTCACAAGATACAGGGCGACGAAGATCCGAGGAAATCTGCTCAAGTTGTAGGCGTCTCCGCTTGGGATAATCCTTACCTTCATCAGTGAGATTTATAACGTCAATCTTTCTTGAGAGGTCTTCGATTGGACGATCAAGCTGTGCTATAGCATCCCTGTGAACGGTTCTGTGTAGGGAGTAAGAATCATAGGCTCGATTCCTTGCCAATGATTTTTCAATTGCTGACAGGTCTGATCCTTCAATAGAGGGAAAAATTGTCTGCTCGTGAGGTAGCAAGTCTCCCCCGTCATAATTGGTGGCTAGAATTCCAGAAGGATGGATACGCTTTCGGGGATTCTCATAATGTAAACCAAAAGCGGTACTGGGGCCAGCAACAAAAACAGGCGCTACTGGAATATCTGCTGAAGGCTGCGGTCTTCCCTCGGGCGTAGAAGAAGGAATTTTGCTAAAAATAGACCCGTCAGGAAAATGGAGAATATCTGGGGCATTCCGTCGCGAGACAGACTGAATCATAACTCAATCAGTCATTCTATTCCATGAAATATAGTAATTAAACAAGAACGTCTTACCGGATACGGCCTATCATCGTTATGTTGAAGTGAATGATTTTCAGTGTAAAGCTTATCGCCATTGCGAGGCGATTCTGTGCGGCTTGTGCTTTGAAGTTGGAGCCCCAGATTTGATCCTACTGTTATCGGTTGATGATTCGGACGCTCGTTAACTATGGCCTCAGAGATCCATTGTGGATGGTTATTGTTTTTATCAGAGATCTCACGATTGTGAAAATAGCCGCGTTCACGGTCCTGAAATGATCTCCTTTCTCGATAGCGGCCTATGGCTCGGTCCCAAGCTTGGTAGCGGCTGAAACCCCGACGATCGATTTTTGATTTGTTGGTTTCTTGACTTGGACCCTTATGTACGAGTCTAAATCCTCTTGTAAAATCGGCGGCTTGATTATTCTCTTGCTCATCTTCCACATCAACCCTGTCAGTGACAACATTACTCGAAAGGATTTCAACGCTAGAATCGTGATTAATAGTATTGGACTCCTCGTCACGAGTTGGATGACCTTCATCCTCATCGTCTTCATCCTCATCATCAGAAATCACGATGACCTCCCTGAAAACGTCTTCAAGCTCTGGTACACCGTTATCATCTTCACCTCGCCATTGAACGAGTTTTTCCAAAGTAGATTCTTCCACGTTACGTCTTGCCTCTTGAAATGAGGTCTTCTTCAGCAGACGATCATAATCGGTGTATAAATGTCGTATGTGGGCTACAACTGCAAGTTGGGCCCTGCGAGCAAGGGGTAGTTCGACTGCCGTCCCTACTTTTTGCTGTCCCTATGAAGGATTAGACGTTTGATTCAAATGTATAATAAGTGGTATACCTTCTGAAAAGCGGTTTTAATGATCTGATTGACATCGTCGTCAGGGATATTAGGAAAGAGGTCGCGGATGACGTCTCTTGCTTCGGTGTTGATGGTGACCTGAGAGATTTCTGTCCCATTACGTTCATTGGCTATGTTGGTGTTAAATTGCTCAATGGACAGCACGGTTCCATTTTCCGTAAGGTAAACGCCTAGTTCCATACACGCTCTGGCTACGACAGTACTCGGGAAGTGGTATCCCACACGATGGACTTGTTGGGAAAGCCCATGAGTTTTCTGGTGAGGAGTCGTCTGTCAAACACCTTTGTCAGGATTCGGCGTTCATCCTGATCCAAATAATACCGACTTACTGTGACCGCAAATACTTTTAGTCCTTGTTTGCGGCATACTTCCTTACAGACAGTTGTAAATCGAGGGTTACCTGCCGGGATGAAGGTGTACCCAGCCGGAGCCTCTGCCTCGAAATATACCTGCATTCGCGTCAGCGCTCCAAGTACAAGCAGTAATTTTCATGCTGAAAGGAAGAAGGGGACGTACAATGCTTCGAAGCTTCTTTTTCTTTTGAGTGATACTCTCCATGATGACCTTGTGTTTGCGAAACTTGGCTCTGGCCAAGCCATTTTGAGCACGAGTAGCACCCGGCCGCCGTTGTAAGCGCGCCATAGAGGGATAGTTGGTACCTGTTGATGGGGTTCACAGTATAAACCCCATTAGTAGCTTGATAGTGCTCGATGATATCAAATGGCTTGGAGAAAGAAGTAGTCGAAAGAACAGGGCTCGTCTACGTATAGTTCGAAGAACCAGTCTCATCCAGGCTGTTCTGACAGGGTACAAACAGCCAGAAAGCGGAAAGACAGCATCGAACTCTAGAAAGATACGGTCTCACAAGATCGGTGAGGTCTGGAGCATGCACGCAACACGTAAGTTACATGCAGCAGGCCATCATGGCTCCCATCAACAAGAGGAGAGTTGAGAGGGCAAGCACGCAGCGCACATCAATAAAATAAATATGGGCTGCAGGAGCAAGAGTGTTTGGTGGTTGCCGGATGCCAGTTGGGCAGGCAGTGCCGCCGTGGCAGGTGCCCACCATTGAGGGGAGCCCTTTCTGCCTTAGGCCCTTAATTGGTTGCCCGTCGGCGTCCACGGCTAGACTCCAGTACTACTAGTGATCGCCGCCGCCTTGTGCAGGCTTTCCCTGTCGGGCCTATCCAGCAAGAATAATAATTGCGCCCAAGCGAAACCCGGGCGCCGTTGTTTTCTTTGCCCCAGCATATGGACCGGTCAGCCGTCATTGCTGCCTATCGGCATTTGTATCGAAAGGGGCTCCAAGCGATCAGGTATGCGACACCTGGCCGCCATGTTCTTCGACGCTCTCTGCGTTCTGCCTTCGAGCATGGGGACGTGAATGATTTCAACAGCAAAAAGATCGCAAATACCATCCGCTTTCTAGAAAGGGCAGCAGAATCTACGGGACTGGAACACAGGATTGTCAAGAACCTGTTGCATGTCAGGTTTTGGGAGCAGCCACATATGAAACGGCCTTTGAAAAAGTAGGTGTCTAGTGACTCCAATACATCGAGGGAGCTGATCTCTGACCCGGCTAGCCTCGACAATCGCGACGCAAGGCAGATGTACCTTAAAATGTCTGCAAGGACTCCCTTCAATTCTACCTTGATGTTATTGAATGAGAGTCTCGGCACATGCCTAAGATGACGTCGCTTTTCAACGATGATATCTTTCAAGGGCGAATCACATCTGTTGATTTGCAACTCTATGCTCTGCGCAGCATGTTCCTGAGCACATTTGGATGAATATTGAATACTTCACCGGGCTTTAATATAACACAGTAGCAGACGGGTACTGGTTTCAAGAATAATTCGTCGCATTTACACACCGTAAATCTACGCTTGTAACAATATAATATAGACAAATGATATGGGATTCAAATTTAGCAATCAAGCATCCACCACAAAAGCAACTACAGTAATTGAAATTGTATCCTTAGTTGACCGACCCAGATAAGCTTGTATTTTCTAAATGCCGGGTTTAAGTCCAAAGCCAATCAATATCAAACAGGTCTAATGCATGTGGTCCACTCTAGTACCAAGTATTAAACAATTAATTAGGTCGGGCGGATCGCGCTCTTCTTCACTACCTTAGGTTCCGTAGCCCAACCCACCAGACGGAGAACAATTGTCACATGCTCGCCACCACGACGACTTGCACATATTTGAAGCCAAGGAGGAATTCTGGACTCTGCAGCCTATGAAACTGATTCGTCGAGTTCGTGTTTGTTGGAAAATTCCAATGAATATAATTCTTGTCCTTGCGTCTTGAGCCGATAGTTCCCGTTTCTAGACTCGAAAGTTGAGTTCCGAGTCGTTGACTACCATCTGCACACCTCGCCTCGACTGCGACCAGTTTTACCAATCTTCAACCGACTATTTTTCAAACGCAACAGAATATAAGAATTGGAATAGTGAATTTGTACCAGATATAATAAGAACGGCTTTCGACAAAAACCCACACCGGGTTCCAGCACGTTCCGCGGCACACCAGGCGAGCGATGAAGGTCTTCTTCAGCCGGGAAATATGAACAGGCAGGACAGTTACAATATCAACAATGGCGAGGCCGTGCAGGAGCCTGAAACCTACCAGGTGCCAAATATATTATCACAAAATACCCCGGGTGAGCCTTCTTCCTCGAGCACCGGGTCTACACTCGATCGCTACGATGTACAACAACTGCGAGAATTACCCGAGGATGATGGAATGATGTTCCTACGGAAGAAGATTCACGCAATCAGGGACAACAATACAACTAGTCTAGAAAAGGCTCGATTGATACATTCTCTGATGACTGAAAGCTATGATTCTGCACGGAAGGTGCTCGGAGAACATCAGGCATCTCTACTTCGCTCTCCATCAAGTGTGCGCAGTGTCGACCAATCCAGAACCTCGTCGCCACAGCGAATACGCCGATCTCTTGACCAACTTTCTCTCGATCGTAAATTATCAACGGTAGCCCTATCCATCAATAATAGCTACAACCTCACACCTGAAGATTTAGAGCCAACCTACGCGCCTAATGACCCCATCATCGCGACAGACCCCAGTAACACACCGACTTCTGACGCCGAACCGAATGATGGTGATGAAACCGATAGTGATTATTCCGACGAGAATGTGATGATTCTAGGCTGTCATCATTACAAACGAAATGTCAAGTTGCAATGCTACACATGCAAGAAATGGTACACCTGTCGTTTTTGCCACGACGAATCCGAAGACCACGCTCTTGAACGCCGAAAGACCGAAAACATGCTTTGTATGCTATGTGGTCTTCCGCAGCCAGCAGCACAATGGTGCAAGGGCTGTGGCGAGAGTGCAGCATCCTACTTTTGTGAAGTGTGTAAACTTTGGGACAACGATAGTTCCAAAAGCATCTACCACTGTTATGACTGTGGTATCTGCCGTATAGGCCAGGGTATTGGAAAAGACTTCTACCATTGCAAGGTATGCAATCATACACCCTCGTATTTTACATATGCTCACCTGCGAATAGACTTGTAGCGTATGCATTCCAATCTCTATCGAGAATACACATCGCTGTATTGAACGTTCGACGCAGTGTGACTGCCCAATATGTGGAGAATATATGTTCACATCACCCGATACTGTCGTATTCATGAGATGTGGACACAGCATTCACCAGAAATGTTATTCTGACTATTCAAAAACATCATATCGATGTCCAATTTGCAGTAAAAGTATCACCAATATGGAGGCACGGTTTAGGAATCTGGATCGCCTTATCGATAGCCAACCTATGCCAAATGAATTCAAAGACACAAGGGCACTGGTATATTGCAATGACTGTGGAGCGAGAACAGATGTGCCATATCATTGGCTTGGATTGAAATGCGACTTGTGAGTACCTTGTAAGATCAGTTTGCTTAATATGAGTTGCGGTACTAAGAAATCTAGATGCGAGTCATATAACACAGCACAGATTCATCTCCGCAGTGGTGCCGATGAAGTCGACGGCGAAGATATTATGGTCTCACGGGCACAATCTTTTTCCTTTAACTTACCCGAACATACTTGTGAATCATTACCTGCTTCTAGCTTACTTACTGAATCTCTCCAAAACGACCATGATCTGTGGCGGCCGATGACATCGAGCTCAGCTGATGGCCGCCCTTCTGAAGGGACTCAACAGTCTCGTCCACAGCAAACATCTCGTATCGTTGGGAATTATTTCGACCTTTCTCGAGACTCTGCATGGACACCTTCCATTTTCTCCAGTCGTCGAAGTGACGAGGGAAGCGACACCGAAGAATTGGGGTTCTGGGCCAATTCGCCTCTACGTAAATATTCCTTTTTTGGAAAGCAAGATAAAAGCGAAACCGAAAGCGACGGTGTATCAAACGAAGATGATGATGGCGGCATAGGGGAAGAAGAAGAGGAGGAGGATGATGATGATGACGATATTGATCCAATCGAAATCTTTGGGCATCGTTGAAGTCTATTTATAGATGAGCCCATCCACATTGTTAGGCTTGGGTAAATCAGAACCCGTTTTTTAAAAAAAATGCCGTCTTTCGTCATCCTTCTAGAAGCACCCTTGATGGCAGATTCTCCTCATTTCTATTTACGAAACGATCCTAAGGAAGTCTTGAAGAAATGGAAAGTGTTGACGGCAATCCATCATCTTGGCTAATGTTCCTAGTGCCAGCGTCTCCGAAGTCGTGCGATTCGCTTTTGCATCGTCGCACAATGAATGCCTAGCATATACAAAACGAAACCACTGTGATGTCTCTGGACAGCTCTGCGAAATGGGCTTGCTGATTCTTATACGTGTCCATCATTAGCACTAGAACGCTGTGAAATGGGCGTGTTCTAGAGGATATCCAAGTCTTGGAGTGCAGAGAGGTAGGTTCAGCAACCAAAGCAAAGCCACCCAACGATAGTGCAATATACAAGGAAAAAGGACCAGTGGTTGCACCGAGCTTCTCCTGCGCAATGTCTCAGGCCAGGTCAGGTTTGGAGTTGGTATAAGAACACTGTATGATTGCATCATTCCTCCCACAGTGATAACATGGATCGCCTATCAAGGCTTAACCAGACTAGGGAATATGCAACACAAAGTACTTAGTTAGTTAATAATAATAATCAATGACTACAGTCAATAAATCAATTAGCTGTTGAGCATGGATTATCACGACATAGAACCGCAGCTTAGTAAGCCCGGCTCTGCGACGTGACGTTGGTCGATAACGCGCGCGGTGGTTGATAATGGTAGGAGGGGCCGCAAGCATCTTCTGGAATGATCAGTCAGCCACGCCTGACTGTTGCAACAACGCCTGCCTCCCTCCGGCAACATCATCATCATCCTCTTCAGTACTTCTGCATTCGCATAGCGGCCCGTCGCATTAGGCTGGCTTCCGTCGTATTTCCGCGAGCGCCATCTTATCATCTGAAACAAGCACGGACCGACACTGTAATCTCAGTCTTCATGCTGACGATGCCTCTTTTGTTTCATTGTTAACTCACCATTTGTTATCTTGGTTGCATACGTTATCCTTAGAATATCGTCATATCCTCAAGGATCCGCAGCACTCTTGGTATGCCCAGAGAGATTGTACTATGATGATTCGTCGCAATTCCGATATCGAAATTCACCTGCCCGACGCGGGTTCGCAGTCCACTGACTTGACCGACCCTCAGGATATAGAAATGCTCTCCTCCGACAACCCAGAGAATATGATGGCGTTACCGCCTCATATCGCCGCTCGCTTCTACCGACGGTCAGCTAGCGCTCGCCGGGCATCCGAGAAACCCTCTCGCCGGAACTCAATTTCGTCATTACATTCTCATCACTCGAATGTGTCCGCACATGGAGGCCCTCAAAGTAATCACATTGCCCAACATCTTCGTCGTGCTTCCATCTTGGAGAACCGCAAGGCTCGACTAGCTGATAGAGCTGCCCATGCGGAAAAAGTGAGGCTTCGCGCAGCTGTCGCTAAAGCCACTACACGGAATTTGCAGCGGGAGGGGAGAGCTTTAGCAGCTCATCAGGCCCGAGAACGACTTCTAGCTGAGATAACCGCCAAATGTGAGGATGAGGTCCGTCGAGCGAAGAAAATTGCAGAAGAAACCCGAGAGTTGAAAGCCGCGAAGCACGCTCGCCTTCGATTGGAGATGGCAGAGAAATTCGCCGACGCTGAGAAGAGGCGTTTAGACTATCAACAGAAGCATAGACGGCAGCGAGCTAGCAGCTCGCATTCCAGGGAAGAGGCGAAAGCTGTCAAGACTGGAATCAAATCTTTGACTCGTGATTCTGCTGCCCGGATCATCCAGAAGACTTGGAGGAGTCACTCCAGAAGGAGAGTTATGAACTCTTTTCGCTCCCTTGATCTGTCTATACAAAGGATTCGTGAGATGTCTTTTGATGACTTGGGAACCTTTCTCTCTGAAGAAGATGTCTTGAATACAATGGCTAAAGTGCTTCGTCTTTGCAGGATGCAAGATATGGGATGTGGCACTATGGCCGAGCGAGGAGCCGTTCGCACCTTTCTCAGCAGTTATTTAATTCTCACCCACCCAACAGAAGTCATGAGCAGTAATGGTGACCAGGAACAAGATTTGATTGAGAAGGCACGCGACTTGATAGTGGCGTTTGAACAGGTGATCACTCAGCTCTCGAGTGTTCGTCTGCATACTACTAGTTCGGGTGATTTTCAAACACTACGGGAGGCATACAGTGTGTTTTTTTCAGCTTTTCATGCATGGAAGTCTCACGACTCCACGGTACTAGTTGAAATCATGTTAGCTCAATTTGTGGAACTGGAACTCATCTGGCAAACTGTTAAAGATGACCGGGAGGGTGGAGTCGCTGACGACTACAACCAAGGGATTAGGCACAATCAAATATTGCTTCTAGCCAAGTTGAAGCGACTTGCAGGTGCCGATAAGGCTATGGAATTGGTGAGGCAATCTCTCAAGAAGGCAAAGCGTGAACAAAAACGCTTGAGATCTTCGAAACAGGCAGTCCCTCGATCTGCTACCGTTCAGGCGTTGCCTGACAGTCATACCGAAAGCGTGTCTTCTCCCATTAGCGAGACCTTCAATAATGTTGAGAGCATTGTTCTCCGTGAATTGGACAAGCAGCGATTATCCCCGCATGAGAGCTTTATAAAAGCTATGACTGCACTTCCTGAAAACCGAGTGCTGGTGCACGAGCTGCTTCTTAACAAAGAATTTCGGATCGATCAAGACTCGTATACAGCTCCGCGTCAACAAATTATCAAGCATATGACGGATATGATGAGAATAGACGTCGAGGCAGGTCTGGGTACGAAGTGGATAGTTGCAATGGCTACCGTTATACAAGACCGACTTCTGAGGTCACTGAGACCAGGAAATTCTCTGCATGTTCTCATCAGTGAGGCACTGGATCCAAAAATGATCGAAGCTCAATGTAACGCTAATACGTTCTCTTACGACGGGTTTTTCGACTTTATGGGCTGTATTCTTCCCAAACTTTGTGCACCATTCCGAGATCCAGAAGTGAAAGCCTTCACGGAGGATAAGTCTGGTGATGCTATTGATCGGCTGTCCAGATTGATGGGTCTGATTGATTTGCTGTCGTTGGATCATACAAATTTTATGATACATATGGCTGCACCTCAACTCATCCAAGAAGCACCGGGGTATGAGAAGAGAACATTTGAAAAAGGTCTTGAGGACAGGACAATAGTGTTAGATAAGACGAAGCGGTTTTGGCTGGTAAACCGTAACGCGATGGTGGATGAAATGAGACGGCGTGACCCGGAGAACGTCAATGCCTATACACAGCCTTCAGCATCAAAGCTTTACTCCCATGGGTTAGTTGATCTCGTATTCAGCAATTCACCTGTTCCTCGGGATCTTGTCCCTGAGACCCTCGAGCTGGATCATAGTCGACTTGCATTACTGCACATGAAGATCTTCAGAGCTGTTGCAACTGCATCCATTCTATTGACGGCGAAAAATTTGCTCAAACGGGATGTGCGGTCACAGTGGAAAGCGGAAGCCGATCGTATCGTCTCTCTGGATTTCAATGAGGTGCAGCCTGAAAGAATTCTGTCGATCATTGAATCAACCCATCCCATGCCGCCCACGGCTAAATCACAACTACTTTCAACCATTAAACGTGTTGTCAACCCAGTTGTCACTGCCTCGACGACAGCGAAGCTCACTCAGAGCCCTCGATCATCGCTTGAAGTTGTCTCAGGAGCAGTCTTGTCCACTCAGCATGAATCTATTTCGACTGAAACCTCTGCACCCAGTTTTACAGACCCAGTTGCACGGCTCCTTCTATCTCGACTCCGTGCACATGTCTTGTCTCGTCTTAACGCGGCCAGTGCTAGCGAGAGAGTTCGTGCAACCACGACAGCTAGCCAAAGTCTGGCAGCTGCAGGAATGCCTGAGTTCGTGAGTGAAGTAGGCAAACTCGTTGACGACCTTTCTAAGATCAGAGAGGTCGATTGGGTTAGCCATAGTGCTGTATACGACGGAATATTGAGTGATGGCACTGCCTCCACGAACAGTTTGAATTGATACACTTGTCGGATCCTTTGATGCCTCATGAACTTTATATCATTTATCACCATTTTGTATCGTAGCTTATATACATTCTCGTCTTAAAGAAACTACATGTATTTGATTTATTTACTCATCGACTGACGGTCATCAATTTGTTCTTGTATCGCGTGTCTTAGGGGGTTAGAATACATGATGTTTTTTTCAATGTAGAAGAAAGGGGGTAAAATACTTAGAGTTTTGATATTATAATGGTCGTGCAAGCAATAGCCTATGCTGAATTAAATTTGGTGGATTATTGTATGACGCTATGGCATGCGATGCGGCCCCGCAGTCCCCCCATTCACCATAATTTTATTTCTAAGAAACACCTACTCTTGATTTTTCAGGATTTGGTATTCCACTTAATCCATTATACGCCATACAATCCCAAATAGTCGTTGTGATGATGTCCTACATCGCGAATTGAGACTTTTATTATCTTTTTCAACCGTGAACCGAAGGTAGATTTGTCCAAAATCTGGCTGCGGTATCGGATCGCGGACCCCTCCGAGTTTGCACAGAGGACCAGGGAGACGACGACAAGAAGAAGCATGCTATAGCAGTCATGGCCACCACAAACGCGACTATATCGCATATTTCTGATCTTACACCTCCATCGATTGAGAGAACATGGCTGACTGCCCCGCACCCGGAACTTCCCTTCGCAGCAACCTGCAGTGCTGATAAGACGGTGCGCGTATACTCTCTTAAGAATTTCACGCTACTGTCGACAATATCAGGCGGACACAAGCGTAGCGTTCGGAGTTGTGCTTGGAAGCCATCAGTCAAAGGAGAAAGTGTTATTGCCACGGGCAGCTTCGACGCAACCGTCGGGATCTGGCGACGATGGAACAATTACGGACAAGAGGAAGGTCAACGACCCTGGGCAGTGGATGACAACAGCAAAATAGACACAGGCAATGTTGGCGAGCAAGAGGAAACAAGCCATGGACTGAGACACGATGCCGAAGATAGCGGCGCCGAAGACGATGAAGAGTGGCGATTTGCTGTTCTACTAGACGGCCATGATAGCGAAGTCAAGTCCGTATCCTGGTCACCATCAGGGACATTCCTGGCGACCTGTGCACGTGACAAATCAATATGGATTTGGGAAGATCTGGATGACGGCGATAATAATTTTGAGACGGTAGCTGTGCTTCAGGAGCACCTTGGCGACGTGAAATGCGTTTCATGGCATCCAGTCGAGGATTGCCTCGCGAGCGGTAGTTACGATGATACAATAAGGATATGGCGAGAAGATATTGATGATTGGGGCCAAGTCGCTTGCCTGAAAGCCCATACTGGAACTGTCTGGTTTGTTGATTGGGAACCCGTTGGCAATGCCCCGTCTACATCGCAATCGACCGAATTAATAGAACAATGGAAGGAACATTATAGGCTTTCCGGCCCAAGATTGGTATCCTGCTCCGCAGACCAAACCGTGCGAGTATGGCGACGACAGGCGAAGCAGGCATCTGCTTTTTCCAACACTGGCATACCAAGTATTATTCGCCCAGCCGGTCTCGACGAAACATGGTACGAAGACGCGGTTCTGCCGGCTCGTCACGATCTTGCCATATATTCGGTTGCATGGAGTAAAGCTAGTGGGCTTATTGCGTCCACTGGCGCCGATGGCAGAATTGTGGTATACGAGGAACGACTCTTGCCTGCGTCCGAGGCAACCTCTCTCCGCGATGGGGATGAAATGGATGTTGATTCTGTCTCTGGTCAGCCTGGCGATCAAGGCGCAGGCGGCGGTACTCCCTCGGGCCTTCGGACAGAATGGGTTATTCTCGCTTCAATAGAGGCTGCTCATGGAATCTACGAAGTCAATCATATTACTTGGGCTAAACGCTCAGATAAGACTCGGAAGGAGACTTCAGTAACCGATGTTGAAGAAGTCCTCATCAGTACAGCTGATGATGGAAGTGTCAAAGTCTGGTCATTGGATATATGAAGAGAGCGGCTGTAGCTAGAAGATAAAAAAATTACTTGCATATTGTATGGAACATGCAACGTATTATCATATGACCATTGTATACAATGTAAAATGCATACCTCGTCTACATGTTATTAGCCATGGGAGATTGGACCGAATAATGTACGTATGTATTCACTTCGAATTTGATATAAAATCTATATTATGCATGAAAGAGAAACATCCAAATTCAGCACTAGGCTACGGGTTATGTTCCTGGTGGCTTCCGCCGCCTAGAGCCTCGTGAGAGCTTCTGCCCTCGTCACCATCACCAATGACATAGTGACTTGGGTCCATGTTGGGTGATCGGTCGAGTTGGTCGAGTTCAGACTCGTCAAAGTCAGTTGCCTCAATATCTCGACTGCCCGAACGCCCGCTCTTGCGAAATCGACTGAGCATCGTTGAACTGCCGTTGGGGGACATGGCATCCCTATAAACAGGCTCATAAGTAGGACGCTGCCGGCGGCTGCGCCAAATGAAGAATCCCCACACAGTCACCCCAATAATAACGACGATGAGGGCCGCCTCCCCTGACTTTGTGTATGCCTTCCATTCCGCATCTTTCAGCTTTTCGTCCTCATCCTCGGCAGAGCCTGTGCTGTTCTTGTGACCACCGACGGAAGTTTCAGGCAGCTTTTCTCCGTCAAGTCGCGAATCGGCTGGAGAGCCGCCGATACTTGCAATATCAACATTCATGAAACGGTCCAGCATGTCACGGCTGCGCCGGGGCCAGTCGAACGGTACCATATGGCTGGCGTTATAGAACAAGACATACGTTAGGTTGCGGGCTTGCTGATAATATCCAGCAGGTTCATCTTCGAAGGTCCAATCACGACGAGGCGCCCATATCCCAGGTGATGTCTCGAAACCCACTCCACCGTTCCATCTCATGTTGTTAATCAATCGTTCTGTGCCAAGATGATTGCATATTAAGTCCCTATCACCGCTGAAGAGCAAAACGCGAACACCAGACTCAATTATCTCTGGTAAAATTTGAATCGAGGGCACTGATTGATTTGCATTGAATTCATTTCCCACCAAGTTCGAGCACTCTTTCCAGCCAGTTGCCTTATCAGGGTTAATATTGAGGGCCTTCACAACATCTAATCTTTGCAAATATGGCGTTACATTGGCAAGATCTGGAGGCCACGAATTCCCGCAAGTTTGATCGCGTAGTCGTATGTCGTACATATTTATACACTGATTATTTGAAGTTTGCGTCATTTTGAGCATTGCTGTGAGAACATTCTCGCACTTGGAAATATCAACTCGGTTTTCTGCGCCATCAGCAGTCAACAAACCCGAGCAAACATTCTGCATTTGGTCAAGGTCGGCTCCGATCTCGCTGTTCTTATCGACTAAACCTTCGGCATAGGCAAATTCCAAATAGGCCGGGTATTGATCAATAGGTGAAATCCACCCATTCCCAATCAGAAGCCCTTTGATATTCCACACTGCGTCAGATCCTGCTTCAAACTTTTTATTTCGATCTATAATTGCTTTGGCGACGTAAGGTATATATTGACCGGCGTAAGACTCTCCCCCTATGTAGAGCTTCAGAAGAAATTCATTAGCACACCCAACTTCTTTTTGGGACAAGGAAGGAACTATACATCGTCGCTTTGGTACTCGGGAAAGAGTCGGAACCATTTTTCTAAGAATGTGACCATATGATTGGCCACCTGGTCCAAGTCATGAATATAACTGTTTGAGTTCGCATAGCTGAAGCCTGTTCCAACTGGTTGATCGACGAAAAGGAGGTTTGCAAACTCGTTCCAGGATCCATTGTTGTACTCTAACGATTGGTCGCTTTTCACACGGTATGGTCCAAGTTCCATCAGAGCTCCATCCATTGAACTGCAACCTGGCCCTCCATTCAACCAGAGGACAGTGCGCTGTCGATTCGCAATGTGGCGATTCTGGTAATGCCAGAAAAAAAGGTGTCCATTTGTTTCCGGATCTACTTCAATATGACTACATGCACATTGCCTTAGCCATAGGTCTTTGATGATAAACCCAAGCGAGTAACAATCAAATGAACTTACCCAGCATGCATCTTCAGCAATGGACCATCGGGCTGTCCGGGAAGGGACTTGACATAGTAGTCCGCAGCGGACTGGGCCACTACACATATTGGACTGCTTAGTAGCAGGAGCCATGTTTTTCCGAGCATACTGTGCGAAAATAGGGTATAGAATGGACGAGCCACCCTAGAGGCTCAATAGAGCAGCTATACGCGCCCGGTTGGCGAATCCTTTGTTATATTGTACAATCAATGATTTCCGTACATGTGGACATACATTCCACGACAGCGGAACAGCGGAAACAGCGGGCTGCAAGTGGCCGGTCGGGACGGAGTTCCCAAAACAACAAGAACAGAAGTCGTGGTGGTATGAATGGCCAGAGAGCAGAAGCAGAGGCAGAAGCAGTGGGTATTGATGTGAACGAAGATGTTTCCAGGATGAGACGTGAGCATGAGTGAGAGTAATCGATAAGTGCACAGTGGCCTTTGGCCTTGCCAGATAGGGGAAAGCGCACCGCCCCAAGCCGCCGCCGCGCCGCCGATCAATTGTAATTACTGTGTAGCTAAATGTATAACTATAGATCTATTGCCTTGACCTCACAAAAGAGAGCGTTTCTATCTCATTCTATGTTCATGAGCCTGTCCGTGTCTAGTTCTGGTGGCCCCTGTAATTTTTATTCTCGTCGCGCGGCTTACAATGCCTTTACGCTGTGAGTTTGATGAAAATGAAGAAACCCGCATCACATCCTTATCAGATCCCAAAGCCCACGGTGTAGGTCTATAGCTTTATTATATTTTGTCCTTGGCGTTTGTCGGTACCATCATATAAGATCATCCACTGCCTTATCAGCATCATGTTTGATGAGCTCAACCATGCCCTGGGAAAACATTAACAATGGCCTCTGAAAAGCATTGCAGATTGGACTTTTAGAAATAGCCTACCTCGGGCATGATTGGTTTTCCCTGGCTGTCTACAACGTATCGGAAAGGCATCTCGGTGCTTTCATATTCATTGATACGCAATTCAGGGGTATCCACGTAGGGAATTTTGTCGAGCGGAACTGTCGCACTCTGTTCAGTTTGTTGCTTATAATGAACTGTGGTATGCAGTCCTGGACTTGATGCTTACTCCGCTCTTGTACAATCATGCGCGTCACCCGCACGGCGGTGTCTGTGGTCATCTGCTTTGGTCCAAGTCGTCGTCCAGTATACCCTTTCTGGCGGAGTTCAGATGTACGGTCTATATTATGTCAATTGATAAATGATCGACAAAAGAAGAAAGTAGCATGCATACCTCGAGGAGGATCATCACCTGTCATATAAAAACGGCCGATTAGCAAGTCAAAGTCGCACAAAAGTCGACTCCATGTGGATGGCTGGGGCTAGCACGGGTCTGGGGTTTGTGTAGGATAATGTGCATACCGAGAATACCTCCGAATAAAAAGACTTCAAATTGGTCTCCATCGGCAGTGCTTAACTCCGTAGTCGCAGCTGGATCGAGCAAGCAGACTTTCGATTTGCGGTCCACGAATATCTCCTCCACACTGCGTCTTTCTACTTTGAGTTCTTCCATTCGTGCTAGATTGTCCGGCATCTGCAGTGATTCCGGGACCGAGGTTAACAAGAACTGCGAGCCAGCCTCTGCACACTCTCTAGCGATACATGCATATTCCAAGGCTGACCATGAGCCCAATTCCGGGTCAAGATGTTCGACCACAAATGCCAGTGGTTTACCGGATGTGGTCTCAGCCATGTTGGCCAAATTGTTTGTTTGCTCCTATTTTTTTCCCTGGAAGCAGTAGCACTTCAATTTTTAGGATTCCACCAAACAAGTCAAAGACGTCACTAGATTCCGCGGTGCTGGTGATTGGCGAAGGTGAATGTCAAGCGGAAGCCAAACTGGCTGCGTCGGTCGAGGGATCTCTGGAATCCGGCTAGTTTAATGTTTCGATCACGCTTGAGCCTAGACGGATTCGAGGAGCCTGGAATTTGGATGCGTGAGAATAAACTCTATCCATCCAGCATGGCGAGCGAGCGAGCGAGCTGATTGGCGCGAATCGCTGATTTTTTCTTCTCTCCAACTATGGAGCGTCGGAATTGTCGCAGTGGGGTCTGTCTGCCTTTTGTGTCTGCGTGATTCAACGCTTCAAAAATATACAATAATCCTGGGTCTGTAATCAGCCTTAAGGGTATATGTAATAATGAAGCCGGCAACCGATATATTTGTTTTTCACAGTATCAATAGATCGACTGTTAAAAAGTGTTGACGATATAATATCTATGCCTGGAAGCTGGCGGTAGAGAGCTGACCGAAATTATCTACCTTAATTACCCATCCTGAACTACGCAGCAAATCACGACGTCTGCTTTTGTCTGCCAGCGTCTCAGGGCCAGCTAATGGCTAGTATCAACAAAAATGGGAAGCAGTCGAGCAGTTCCCGAAGGCGGGGGGAGATAGAGGGTAAATTAATCATTAGATTGTTAGTGAGGGCCGCTCCCGCTAGTCTGACGTACCCCCTCACGCCTGATCGTCTCAGCGAACCACATCTACCCAGGCCTGACGATACTGAGTTTCCGGCACTGCAGCGAGTGTTAATTAGGTATTAGGCTGTTGGCCGCCCATTTAGCGTGTGTTCTCTCCCTCCCAAAGCTCCTCTTGCGACTTGCGCTACGAGTGCCTATCGCCTACTGTCTGCCCACCACCCGGGACTGCTCCAGAGGTGTCCAACCGCATCAAACTTGTGACCATCAAGCAAATATTACCATCCCTATCGAGCTCACAACCTGCCTGGCTGCTATACCCCTGCTCGTCAGCCTACGGTCCGTTCCAGCGGATAGAACATACGATTCTCATACTCTGGGTGCTGCACCTCGCTTGATTACCCGAGATTAGTTTGTCACAAGGGAGACTCTCGTCCAAGATTTATCGTGCTTGTTTAATTCAACAAGGAAGACTCTTCTTGCTTGTCTGCAGGACACAACAGCAGCAGTTTCTCTTGATATCAAATTGGCCTCGTCATCGCTCGCAGTATTAGTGACCTGTCGACAGTATGAACCCTCACAAGCAAAACAAGGTGGATCTCAATGTGAGCCAATATACCTCTCTGCATCACTATTCTTTTACAGTATCATCGCTAATCCAATTGTTTCACTCTAGTCTCTCAGTCCTGATGAGCAACGTTTACTTCGACTTTACGGCAAAGTGCCTACCAAGAAGGACCTTCTCCAGAATAAATTAAAGGTTCGAGAATTTTCTCACCACCCAGACACAGTGAAGAGCCCTCTCATCTGACTTTGATATTGGTTCAGGAACGGAAATACTTCGACTCAGGCGACTATGCGCTAAGCAAGGCCGGAAAGGCATCTGATGTTGGAGTGACCAGCATTGGATCTCGCCATCCTGTTCCCGAAAACATCCCTCATCTGACGGCAACCTCCCCTGGCGCCCAGAACCCAGGAAACAATGGCAACGGTGCTGGCACCCCAGCAACCCAGGCCCATCCAATTCCAGGTACTATCAGTGGCCATCCAGGATCCACCAACTTCCAAAGCCGTAGCCCCGTGAAAGAAGCGAGCTTTTTGCAACGCGGTACCAACGCCGAGGACTCTGAGAAAACAGACGAAGACCAGAAGAAAGATGAGGATCCTAGCGTCAGCCCTCCTGTAGTAAAAGAAGGCGTGCCCATTCGACAATAAATGCCCGAAAAAAGAAGGGTTTTGGGGAGGGCAGCTGGTTTCTGGCTTGTTTTTTCTTTATTCACTTTGGCGTCGGACTTTTTATGATTGTTTTTTTTTTATGTTTACAAGGGTTCGTGAACCTTTCGATTCTCCTATTTTCTTTTCTTCTAGCCTTGTTTTCTTTTTTTTTCCCTTTTCTTCCTCTCCGGTATTTTCGCATTGCATGAGAGGAACCAGATTGCGGTATCACATGGTGTCGACAACATAAGGTGCTCTGTTGAGCAGGGCGTGCTTTATAAGCTGTTGAATGCAACTTTACATTGAATCTGTATACTTCTACCAGACATAGGTCTTTGTTCATATTAAGTATCACCTATAAGAGCAATACCGATTACAAGTTTTGGCATTATAAACAGTAAAGAATCGATTAATGAATTTCGAACATTATCTGTATCCGAACACTCTGCATGCTCTGACATAAAAACCCAGGTTATCTTCTTGGAAAAAAACTCTATAAGATATTAGATAATATTGATAACATCCCCATAGTTGATCTGTATCTGGATGATACGACGATAAAAGAAAGCGAGAGCTTGAAAGTAATGGAAAGGAGAAAAAAAAAAGGAATGGTATCTCGAAAAACCCACAATTCTGTGTCAGTGAGTGGTATGCATAACGACTCATAAAGGCTAATGCAAGAAGTTATAATATTGGAGGTTAAAACAAGGCTGAAAATTCCGCGGGGGGAGATAAAAGACTCAATCTTTCTGATCTTAGTATTCAACTATAGAGCGACCAGGGCAGGTTTGCACTCATCAAGAGTGCATCTCATGGTTGTATTGTAAATGTAAATGGGGCAGGGTTTGGGTGAGGTTTGCAGAAAGTGTGCAAACCAGGCGAAAAAAAAAAAAAAAACATACACAGTTAACTAGATGGCCATTAGATATCCAGTAAAACGAATGCATGTGGTGATCTTGATTTGGGTGCATGGGCGGCGAAGAGTGTAGTGGATGGGGCTGGTTCGCTTTTTCTCAAGGGATCTAGCTCTTTTATACCCAGTCTCTCAGCTCTGCTTGGGTTCGGGGCGGGGAGCTGTCTCCCGCATGTATTGACCATGAGCAAGCACAAAACTTAATTGAGCCTTGTGTTTTTTTTTCGTGAAGAAAATCACAAATGTAGCAGCGGAAGAACGTGGATAGCGGCGGAAGAACATGAAGCTCTTCTATCAGTCCCCCCGGTCCGTGGAAAAGACACCATTGCCGAGGTCATAAAAGCATTTGAGAAGACAAATATTGCGAAAACAAAGCACTCTTCGCATCAATCCATCTTCCAATGACCAGTGACACTCGTACCGATTTCGTCTTCCTTTCCAATCCATAGTTCGAAGGCATACAAAGCCATTGTGCAAGCCAGGTTTATCCACCGCCAGAAGTTTGAGCCGACATCGCCATGGCTTAACCACCATTGTCCCCCAACTTCTGTTTGAGAGTTGACCGCAAAATGTTGCATCAGCAGACTAGTGTAGACAGCAACAAGGATGGTGGGCGAAAACCAGCTTAGCAGTCCCAAAAGCTGGCCCGCACCATCATCGTCGTCCAAAGACGCCTCTTGGGAGAGAGCTCGTGCTCCAGACTCACGAACAGCGGGAATAATCCGGGTTGAGGCATAAAAGACGAATAAACGATAAGTGAGGGTGATGAGCACTGATGGTGTGATAGCACTAAACGCGGCAGTAACAACATTGAAAGCCGCATGCGTTATAGACGGCAGAAGGGAGAGGAGGTGCATCAATGTGCTATATGACGCCATTATAATAGGTGGCAGAGGAGGAAAATCGGCTGCTTGCCCTGGCAGGGCCTGTTCAACAGGTTGGGATGGTTGATAATCCGTGAATATCTGATAGACACAGAGAACGATATAGGCAAACAAGAGCGAGCTCTCCACGGCATTACCACGACCGCTTCCAATCCCCCAGGCGCACAGTATTACCGCGCTTGTGATTGCTACCCCTATCAATGCAGCATCGACATTAGAAATCTCGGGGAACTGTAAAACTCGCCAGAGGTAGTAGACAGAGCTTGAGATAATCGACGCAGACAAGACGAGAAGACTGATCTATAAAATGTCAGTAAGCATGCAAATTGTAAAAGACACATATAAAGCCGCCACATACCATCCAGGTGTCACCGCCACCGCTTCTATTGACGAGCCATCGGGTAATCTGCCCAGCAGCCTGGATAACGAGCAGACTACAGAATCCTTCCACCAACTGAAAGACGGGAGACGACCAACGCAAGAGTTTATCCCAGTTCCCGATGGTAAAAGTTTCGATGAGACCTCCCGGTCCAAGCACCCAGGCGCTTATCGAAGCATCCCATGCCTGATTCTCTCCCACCTTGTTATCCACCCAACGTCTGCGGTTATCGGAGTCCACCGAAAAACGATTCAACGACCAGATGAGGAAGCTCGGGACTATGAGCCATTGCGTCGATGACACGAGAATGACCAGCAAACGCCTGAATCGCGATTCGTCGGGGGTGGCTAGCTTGAGCAGTGAAAAGAGGAAGTAGAAGCTGGCGAGAGACAGCGAGTAGGCCAAGCCACACGTCTTGCCACCGACATCAAAGGCCAGAGGGATCGATAAAACGATAGCGGTCAGGAAGGCAGCGGAGGAGATCACACGAAGCATCCACATCACGTCGCAAGTCACTGTCCACGGCGACAGTAAGCCCGCGCTAACCACCAAGGACCCTGCCTTGCAGGGACGGATGTTGAAGGGAGCACACACAACAGGCTTAGTGTTGCAACGATTTCGACTTCGACTTCGACTTTGATATAAGCGGGGAGAAGACGGCGTCGCGCAGGTCTGTACTGTAGCGGTGTGATCAAAAAATCCAAACGTTTGCCCGTCGAGCACGCGATCTTATCAAGAAGTATCTTTCACGTGCCGAAGGGTGGGTATTATGCGTGAAGGTACAAAAGCATGCGTTCTCGTCACTAAACCAGCCTGGTTTGGCAGCCACGATCAGTCGATATTTTTCCTTCTCTTCGAGGTAGGCTTTGTGGGAGAATGGTGCTGGTAGAAATAGACAGCGTATCGTAGAACGATTAATTATTACTACGAGTATTGGGAAATTATGGTTCTTTGACCTCCCTTCTGGGCGGTGAATGGTGGTGATTGGCCACGGGGGCTTTGCGCGACCGGCCAGGAACCACCAGCGGTCGGTGACCATCCCACTAAACGATGGCCTAGCCTGTTTACAGTCCGCTGAGCCGGTCTGGACGCTACACGACATTTTCGATGTTGCACTGGGAAGCGAATGCTAGCGTGTGGCGAGGGGTTCTATGTAGAGTTGGTTGTGGCACGTGAATCTGGATAGAAATAAGAGCATTGGCATCTATTTCAGCGCCTCAAGGGATATATTATATATATATATATATATATAAAACTATGATCTACCTATGTCTAACTATATATATAGCTTGTCGCTCTGGTAGAGTAGTAGAGGAGATATAGACATAGTATTGCTTGACTGAACATATACTCGATTAGCCAAGTCGAATGATAGTGTTTGATTACGGAAATGTAATTCTTACCTACCAAATTCAAAGGTTGGCTGCCGTGCCGTAGGTTGACTCTTGCCTTGCGATGGTGGCGAAGATAATACCCGAGTGATAATTTGAGAGAAACGGTGTCCTGGCGAGTCTTTGCATACAACAATTGCTGGATCAATGCCTGATCCTCAAGGAGCTGATATCTTCAATACTCCCAGAGCCATCGCCTTGAAGCCGTGTCTCTTTGTTGCCTGCCATGGCAGTATCCGTTACCGTCTCATCTGATTCTCCTAGTGATCTCTGGATAAGTTTTGCTTTCAACTGGGCGCCTCTGAGCCTCTCCTCCATGTCCGTTACTGCATCTTCAGTATTTTCCAACGATGTTGTTGCTGGATCGACCAACCCAACTAGAGTCTTGATGTTTTTGGCGACTCTGGTTCCCTCGTGAAGGGCTGGCATCTCTCGACACAGACTGGTGTGGGTAACCCCTGTTGACTTATTGATATTATATAGCGATATTGCCGCCTCCTTTGCGTCGACTGGGTTGGCAGGCCCCTGCCCGGAGTGGTTCGAGGCATGAGATCCGACTAATCGCTGATTCCATACCAAGGCTTTCCCGTACAGTTTCCCTACTTCGAGAGCTTTGCTGAATCCCTTTTCTACTGCGAATACGCTTCCTTCGATGTAGCCCGCGCGCGCGCCGTCTGCCAACCCAACATCGTATCCTTCACGATAGAACTTTTCCTCCAGTTCAAGGATACCCTCGAGAATGTCCGAGTCCATATCTGTTGTTTATTAGACCGTTCTCCCACGAAACAACAATGGACAAACTGAGTTGGGAGTGTGTGGAAGAAATTATTAATGTCAAGCACAATGTCTACCGTTTTCTGCCGGGCGGGCTCCACTGACGAATCGGAGATGTATCAACCAGCAACACATTCGCTGTTGAATATTATTCTATATTATTCTGCTTTTTCATGTCGATGAAATTAGGGCTATGAAAATTCTGCCCGTTTGTCTAATTTTAACAGTGAGGAAAGCCGACTAGATGACGTGCAGGAAACAATATATATTATAGTTGCAGCGGTCATCTAGTCTACTTATCGCCGATTTATAAATCTCCTGCGTATAAATATACACTATTGAGTATTGATTGATAATACTTGTATATTTTGCTGGTGAAATCATCTTAATTTATATATACTCAGATACATTGAATTATTGAATTTAATGGAGTCAATAGCTAGAAACATCATCTCAATGGGCAGTGATATTTTCCTGCTACTCATTCTCATTCTCAGATTTGAAATAATGTATCCCAAAGAGCCAAAGTTCTCAAAACAGATGGACCATGTGTCGTAAGTGGGTTATATTTGAGGGAGGCAACGTCTTTTGACTGGAGGGAGGAAAATGATGGATCGCATGCGTTGTCTAGTATTATTAAGAAAGGGCCACGGTGTGAAGGTATCGTCTCGTCATTCTAGATGCTGGCAGAAAGTGCTATCTCCGTTGCCCCTGGACCAAACAGCAGAAGCACTGGAGAGTAATTCACGTGAAATTCACGTGGAAGCTTTTTTACCTTGGCTTCCTTGCGTTTGGTCGAGGCTTCACCTCTTCAGGGGCAACAGGGTGAAGCATCACCTTGTTTGCTGTCTGTGCCGTGTTTCCAGTGTATCCCTTGCTCCAGTCATAACTGACAGCATATGCAAAAATGTTACCATCTCGGTTAAAGGTGGTGCTCGAGATAGTTCCTCCAACGGATGGATAACCTTTCAGCCTGTGCTTGGCATCTTTATCCCAGAAATGGAATGTACCATCACTACCGGCAGTGCTGAACGTGCCATGGATAGGGTGAAAGGATATGGCGTTTACCGCGTAGATGTTGCTCACGTCTCTGTTGTTAGGTGGCGTTTCGCGATGGCACTTGAAGCTGAAGTTGGAAGTTGAGTCTTTCTCCTCGACATACTGGATTGCACATCGACCTTCGATACTTCCGACGGCAAAGCCAGTGGCGTCCGCAAAGCAGCTGACAACCCTAGTCTGGAATTTCAAAGGTGACTGCATTGTTTTGTAGAAGGTAGTTGGGTTATCTAGATTGACGATGTTGATATAACGGTCGGCAGTACCGATGACCAGAAGTTTATTTTTGACATCCATGGTGTACACACGCTCCTGGCACTCTATCTGACCGATTGGCGTTTGTTGTCGAAGGTCCCAGTATTTGACCTTTTTATCCCACGAACCCGTGATGATGAGAGGCTGTGATGGGTTGCTGGGATTGGAAATCATTTCAACACATCGGATCGGGGCATCGTGAGCAGCGACCTGGACAGGAGTAGTCGCGTTCGCACCCAAATCAAGCATTCGAGCCGCTTTGTCCGCTCCAACACCGATGACTTTGGTTCCATCCTATCCGGTTCAACCAATATTAGCGATCGTAGCTATTGACATGGGAGCATGATACTCACCGGAGACCAGCAGCAGTTCAGCACCGGAGCTTCGTGTTCAAAGAGAGCTTTGCCTTCACTCTGTCCTTGGTCGTTGATTTCGTAGATGCGGACCTTTTTGTCCCAAGAGGCCACAGCCAGATGATTGCTGACAGGAGAAAAGGCAAGGTCTGAAATGCTGTCCTCGGGGGGCGAGTTAAGGGCGACATCCTTCGATATGTCACCCGTGGTGCTCGTCTGAGCAGCGGCCGTGGTGGCGCCGACGTTGCCAAAAAGCGCCATCGGGAGCGGGAGCACACTCACTTCACAAGGGCTGAAAAATCGGACAACGAGGAATTGTAGCTATGAGAGTTATGATATCTCTGCGCGCGACGTGGGAACGAAGACGTTGGCGATGGGGCGAAGATCAATGACTGAAAGAAAAGTCGCCTGCTGAGCGCGTTGCATAATATTTCGAGGTGTCCGTCGCGGCAGTACTCTTGCAGCACACACCGCCTTTGTCGCGCGGCGCAGCTAGTGGCTGGCAGGCCTGTTTCGGGCGTGAGCCGCCCGCAGGCATCATTTTCGGCAGAACAATAGCATATCACTGATTGCTACCTACGACGGCAGGCGATATTAGATATATTTGAGCCGAGTTTTCATTTTACACAAGGCAGCAGATCTTCAAGGTGGAAGCATAATCTCGTGTGGCATAATTATACTAGTTGAATATTATCCGAGGCACAACGAGTTGTGCTCAGGCCATCACACGTTTCCGAAACGGGCGCCATTCTCATTCGATCGATGGATGCACTGACACCGCCGACTTTAACCTTTTAACCCCTTTGTTCAAGTTTGTTTTCAACAAAGAAGATAGATACCCTGAGCCATTGGCCCTAGGAGAAGCCCGATCTAGGATAACCCCGGTCGAGGATCGATGTCATTGATGTTTCTAGAAAAGCCAGTAGATCAGGCCAGGGACGGACTTACGCTGTGATTAATGGTTATTACGGCAACACTCCGATGGGGCAACTCCTCACACCTCACACCACCCTCATGCAGGCCGTCGAGGCAGTCAGGTGATCCGCCGACACGAGCTCGCGGTTGCTATATGGAAGCCGCTCACCGGCATCAGGTGATGCCCCTGTCAATTCAACTGTTGGAATTAATTACGATTATTGGCTGTTCTGGATGCCTGACGGGTTTCTCATCCTGCCCTTGCTGCCCTGACCAAGCCCTACTATACAACTATCATCACAATCGGGATGAGCCCATATAGCCATGGAGCCCACGTGACGGGCTCACCCAAGAGCTGTAAACAGTTAATAGTGAATGCTGATCAGGTAGGAAAGACCACTACCCCACACCAGAGCGGTTCTAGAGGCGGGTCCGGGTGGAGCGGGATGAGCTTATGGGGGGTTCCGGGAATGCGGGGTGCAGGGCTAGTGCTGTCTGCTCTGGATCAGAACACAGAACACCCTGTGGTAACGTGACCAATGACGCAGACTGTCCATCACACCATCCGATGCTCCCGGTGCGATTGTGGCATGCGCACGCAATGGTACTTACGTACGTTAGGGCGTGAATCTAAGAGGATGCGAGTGTTCATCCAAGGTACGAAGGTATACACCGTACAGCACGCGGGCTATATGGTGTTACATGCCGTAGATGTCTGCTACAGACAGCATGTAGATCGCGGACAAGCCGTAGAATCTGAGTCCACGAATAGCGAGTTTCGGAATGTCTCAAAAATGGCAGGCCATCGCCTGATAGTCTGGGTGGGCGAATGGGACGCCGCGAGCCTGAGGTCATCGCCAAAGTCTAAGGCCCAAAGAGGCTGTCGAGGGCCGCCAGGGAGGGTGACGAGCCATTCAGCATCCGCCTCCCCAAGCGCTGCAGCACTCCTTCCCTGTCGCCTGTGATGATTCATCCATCGGAGATCAGCCAATCCGCGTCGCCTGCCCTCCTGCCCAGTACAACCGCCATCAGCCATAACCTCCTTCCCCCCTTCTCCTCTCCTCTCTCCCCCAGGTCCTGTTCCTAACACATCCGATCGATCCTCTATCACCACTGCTACTACTGCCAGGTACTGTCTCTGTGCCATCACCACTCAGCCCTGTCCAACGAGGTATACCATCTCCCCCTCTGAGGATCCTAGACCTGTCGTCCTATTGGTGCTGTTCTAATCTCCCGCCCTCGCCAGCTTCCCATTACAACGCTTCTTTCCACCATGACGGAACCACTCACCAGAATCGACTCTGCCGTGGCCGGTCTCTCGATATCGCCCAAGGACGAAAAGACGGAAACCAAGCCTGAGAAGAAGACCGAAAAGAAGGACAAGGGCCACAAGCGTGTCTCATCGACAGCCAACGGCGTCAAGAATATCAACGACTTAGGTAAGCACAAGCTATCATACTATCCCCTCCCCCAGCCAGCCAGCCTAACCAAGACGTACAGAGAAGGACCAGATACCCATTGAGATTGCAATTGAGACACAGAAGCTAGGCTGGTATGTCACTCCATCGTCACCGCTCTTGTCCTCGTTGACTAACACGATTAGGAAACTAAACACATCACCAGGCTTACTGGAAGACAAAGAGGCCCTGTCCAAATTCCTAGTTACACCGCCCGTGAAGAAGATCGACCTCCATTTTCCACTTGGCCTTGAGGTCACTGCGAGGAATCTCAAAGGCGTTACCATTAAGGATGGTTTAGATGCAATCTACAAGCAATTCAAGAAGAAGGTATCTATATTCAACCCGTCCGTCCGTACCCATGATGTGTTACTGACATAAGCAACCAGGCTGATGACGAGCTCGGAGACAAACCCGTCCTCGCTGGTTTCGAGTGGGATCCCGAGGAGAGCTGGACGAAACTAATTGTACACCAGAAGAAGGAAGGTGCCCCACCCCCAAGCAAGAAGTCGAAGAAGAAAGGCGGTGAAGATAAGTAATTCACTTGCCAGGGATGATCATGATCATGGTCAAGCTCTCCGCTTTGTAGTCGGTTGCTCCAGGTCTTCACCGCAGTAGCCTTGCGATGGCGATTTGTATCAGTAGTCTCGATTCCATGTAAATGGACTGTATGTAATCGGTTGAAGAGAAAGGGAGTGCAAGGCTTGTTGGTCATGCATCCGTCTAGTCCTGGTTGAACCAGGGCTTTGAATTCTACAACTGTATCAGTTTGTCCTCTTCAGCCACCTGTCATTCTTTCTAGGGCAAATGAACCACCCAACAATGATTTTATGCCAAGTACCGTGCACACATCGTGCATATCAAGTAAAGTAACGTATAAAGTAACGTACCTAGGGCATTATCATTATGCTAAGAAGTAAAGTGTGGGATTAGAAAATTATGTTTGATTTGTTATGTTATCTCTTGAAATATTACAGGGTATTTTAAAAATGAACATATCAATGGCAAAATAGATTTTGCAAATAAGACAATGGGAGAGAGATTGCCCCTACTATGTTGCTTCTCACAACACATAACCCAGGGGGGGGCAACTTTTTTTTAAGCAGCTAGAATCGAGCGAGAAGAATGGTGGGTTATAGTAGTTCGACGATTCCGTTTGCCCTGCACCACGGTGGTCCAGTCCTCCCACTCCTTGGCCATCTCACTAAGCACGTTGCTCATGACAATCGCAGATGCCATCAAGCCATGCCCTTCATCTTCGAGAACACGAACTTCGCACCGCCGCATGGTTTTGCCTAACCAACGGACATTGTCCACGGGCACACGCGTGTCCTTGCTGCCATGGTGGATCACCACTTCGCGGTTGATATCCACATAGCGGAATCCAATCGTCTGACGGCGCTCTAGACATACGAGAAGATCCACGGCAGGATTCGCATTCGTAGTTGCAAGCTCCCAGATCCGGTATGTCAGTCGCGTGTCGTACTCCGTTTGTCGTTCTTTTTCCTGCATCGCCAGGACTGCTGCCTCTTCGGCGTCGCGAAGAGCCGGGTGTGTGGCTGTTGACACGCGGGATATTTGATTCGACGTGCGTAGCTCTTTTGCCAGCGCCGCGTCTTTCTTATTAGATGCACCGTTTGATGTCAGGTCGGACACCGCGGGGGCTGGGGTGTCTTTGCCAAAGCTTTTCCTTTTGTTGCGCCTAGGGGACTTGGGCAAACTTGTGGTTATGCTGCTACTTGTAGCGTTCATGAAGCTTGAGTTGGCGACTTTCAGGAAAGGGGTCGGAAGAGCCCGTAGAATTCTCTGTGAATATGGGACCGCATTGTTGGGAAGAGGCTCTTTGTGTGTGCCCAAGTTTGTCATTTGGGAAGGGGGAATCCAAGGTGCTAATAGATGAATTCGACCTCGAACATGTTGTGGAATTCGCAGCGCAGTTGCCAGAGCGTAGATGGCGCCCGCCGAGTGAGCCAAGATCGAGAACTTGGTGATTTTGAGGTGGTTACAAACAATAGCCACGTCGTCTATCACGAATCAGTAATGCACAAGAAAAGAAACTTAAGGAAAAGAAAGACGGATTAAGCTCACCAGGCCAACTTAGAGGAGTCCCTTCCCCTTCCTGGGAGGGATCACTTTCTCCGACTCCCGGCCGGTCTAACGTGACTAGTCGTAGTTTGAGAGTTCGGGCTAATTCATCGTAGAAAGCCATCAGGTATCTAGTAAGCCCCATACCCAGACAGCAGAATACAACGTGCCCTTTGGGATCACCGACTTCAGAAAACGCAATCATGCGTCCTGAGCGCGGATGAGGAACCTTTTGCGTCAGCCGCGGTGATAAGACATAGGATTCGACAGCAATATCGATAGAGTCGGCACTAGAAGGGCGCTCCTCAGCTATTGATGGTCGGTTCAAAGTAAAAGCACCAGAGGAGTGACGCTTGTGGGCTTTTGCGCTGATAGGACTAGTCGGGGTTTCCAGTTTTTCTTGGGAATATCGCTTTTTCTCTCTCGTTCGCCGAGTCTGGATGGCTGGAGATGGCGCACTTTCCTCGAATGGGTCTGCCTCATCAAGACTAGTATCTCTAGGGATTGCTGCTTTGCCCCGGTGTCTTTGGCTGAGTATGGGCTCAGTCGAAGACCTGGGTAACGCAGGCCGAGGTTCAGAGGCATTTGGAATAGGCGGTGATTCCTGCGCTTCCTTCAGCTCCGACTTGATTCTTTTCTGTTGTTCCTTAACGCGTTGAATCCGTTTCACAGTCTGTTCAGTTGCATCCTTTGCCTCGGCCACAGCAGCCTTTGCAGCGTTAGTAGACTCTCTGCCATTTGTATGGGCAGTCTCTGCAGGTCGAGCTGATCGCTGTTTCTTGTTGTAGCTATGTCGAAGAGAAGATTCGCGTGTTGGAATGACACGTCCACTTCCAATGCCACCGGGGCTATGCAACGAAGCGGCCAGAATCTGATGTGATGCTGGCGATGGAGGCTGTGTTGCTGCAGGAGAAAATGCAGGGGTAATATCGTTCCTGATATGCTTGACCTGGCCTCCCTCCTCTACCAGATCAGCCATCGAGTGCCTGGATTTTAGACTAGCTCTGCTGCGAGTAACCTTGGTCTTTAAGTTGTCTTCGTAACTTGGGGGTCTTGTCCCACGGTCGAAGTCCTTTTCTCGGGTGGACTCCCGCGATCCGCGTCTCAGTAAGCCCAAGGGACCTTTGAGACTCCTTCTTCCACCCGAACTGGAAGATGCAACGCTGGGAGCACGCGAAGAGCGATTCACTGGCTCTGACGAAACGATGCCAAAGCCGGATAGAGAATAGTCATCGAAAGCAGCTCGTGAAGAGGTATGGGAGCTTTTGGAAGCCGGGCGAAACGGGGAGCCATCTCGTCCAAAGCTAGATTTTAGCTTCGGCGAGCGAGGAGAACGAGGCGATGCAGGCGCAGGCGCAGGCGCCATCCGAACGACAGGCGAGATGGCGGCATCGTCAGGGTGCAGGAAGGGACTGTCAGTGGACTCAGTGGGTTCCTTGTAAGCTCCGTAGTCCATGCCAAACCCTTGTTCCGATATGCGACTCGGGCGTGGAAACTCTGATTGGAAGAAATTCGGGGACGACGGCACTGTTTGAGAGCCGATAAATGGTAGACTATCAAAATGCGATTGCGCGGGAGTTGAAATGGTGGACAGCGACGATATCAACGACGAGATGAGTTCAGGGGATGTGGTCGGCATGGGTGGCTGGTTGTTCAAAGGCGGCACTCGTGGAACACTGGACGAGCGGCCAGGCAATGACTTGCGACGCCGAGAGATGTTTGCATCCTGAGCTCCTGCGCTGCGCTGCATGTCGGCAGGTGAGATGTCCTTCTGGCGACCCATTCTGGTGCCCCGCGTTTGATCTTGGGAAGTTTGCGCCGGCGAGAGTAAAAAAGGTGTAGCGGTGGAGGGCAAGTCAAGGTCGATGGAGGCGACTGCCAACACGACACATGCTCTAGCTGGATGGGAGAAGGAGGAGGAGGAGTAGTAGTAGTAGTACAAATGGTAGCTGAAGCGCAGCGTGTCTTGTTGTGTTGCGAGGAGTAGTCTAATACCCCTTTAAGCCATCAAAATCTTTCCAGGGGTATCTAGAAGCGGGTCACCCGGCTGACAGGCATGAGGCCATTCGCAGTGGCGATAATGCAGAGCTAGATCACAAGCAGGTGGTAGGGACGAGAATCAAAGACGAGAATTGGACTGGATTGAATACACTTCGTCCTAATGATTGACCAGGATGCGAAACGAGGATCGATCATCTGCTGCACATGGAGGAAGGGGAAACTGGGCATACCCGTGCCGCCACTAGCGCCTGGCCAGCGACCCAGCGTTCCTGCACCGCGCGCCAGTAAGATCGGTCGGGCAGGATGTAAGAAATTGATCCTGTAAATTATTCGACCAATTCCGCTGAATCGTCAATAGCACCACTTGCGCTTCTGCAAAAGCCAACCTCGCATTTTTTATGTGATCCGCTCTTCGTCTGCTCCTCTGTCTGTGTTTCAACATCTCTCATATCTGTAATAAAACGACAATCTTCTCGGCTGCACACCACAACTTCAGCATTCAAATGGTCGGCATTATAGAGATGCTGTACGCAAGCAATAAACTGCCGCTCATTTTCAACCACAAGCTGACCATTAAACACAAGAAACTCTTTCTCTTTGTTGAATGCGAGGCCGAATCCCGTATAATTTGCTAGGATTTTAATGAGCTTGTCATAGGATAGGTACCCGGTAGATGAATCAAATATGTCGGCCAGACAGACTAACTCCCGGTTCTTTGCATCACCAGGCCTTGTGAAATGGAGCACTATGGCCAATGGCGAAGATTTGTCATGCCAAGATGAATGGCCGATGGCGGAAGATGTAACACCTTTGTCAGCTGGGTCGGAAATCCTTTCTAATGACACAATGCTGGGAGCTGTCAACGTGCTGTGAAGGTCGGTTATTCGTGCTTTGCCCTTGCTTTCTCTAGTTCCTGAAGCTTCACCTTCCTCGAGAAAATGTTTCATCAACTCGATCCTTATGCTAGGTGAAGCTCTAGAGGTAGCACTTTGAATTTCTAATCCTGAAAGGCCGGTCATTGATACTCCTGCCGAGGAGTCTGCCGGATATTGACACTGCTTAGGCCGGCTTAAGGGACGGCCCTGAAGGTCGCGTCGGACCTCCGCCTCTAACATCTGCGTCAACTCCGCCGTGTATCCACGATAGAACGAAAAAACACGCTCATTAGCTGCTGGCGGAGTAATCCAGCGTGTGTAGACTTTCCAATGGCAGGCGGTGACTTTGAAGGAAGGATGAGGAAATGAAAGGAATGTTTTACACAGATAACAGGACTTCTTGCCCACTCCTATGAAACGTAGAGTGGGCTCGACCTCAGGCCGTTGATCGTAATAGCTAAGAAGCTGCATTTCTGCGTGGACAAGAAGATTGTCGGGGCATCTATTGCGAAACCATTTTTCCACATCCTTCTGCTTCCGAGGGCTCACGAGGCTAAACAAACGACTATGATATTCCTGTGATCTTTCACCCATGATATTTTCAACGGCAGCATGGAGAGAAACCCCTTCACGAGGGACAATCACTGGACTTGGTGCTTCTACAGCCTTCACAAGCATAGGACAGAATAATGCGGGAAACTCCAAAGCTAACTGTATCAGAGCTTGAGCTGCTACTCCATAGCGGCCCAGCTTCAACACAGTCCTGATCCACTTTGGCAGTTGCTCCTCTTGACTGGAATAACCCGATTTGAGAAGTTCCATGTGATCACTTCTGGCCTTCTGAGCCCACCTAATGTATTGCATCAAGACATCACAACTACGAGCGGCCTTTGTGTGGCCGAACTCAATTATGTTGTCAACCCAAACTAGCAGACTTTGCAATTTTCCGGTAGATATATTTGAATTAGATTGCTGAATTTGTTGTTCAATCTCCGAGCGTAACACAACAAACTTTTTCAAATCGCGCAAGATGTCCCTGGCGTATTTTTTGATCCTTGATTTATTCAACAGTACGATTTTTCTCAGAATGTGTTCCGAATTAGCATCCGATGCTTAGTATACAAATAGTCAGGAAAACTTATAGTTATGTGACCAGTGAAGCTAACCTTTGAGAGCTATCTTCGTCAGATCATCTAAAATTTCTTGTAGTGGATCCAGAATGGATTTAGGGACCCCGGCATTTCGTGCAACTCGGATTATAGACCCTTCCTTCTGGCCTTCTTCTATACAAGCCGCTGCTACATAATTGCCTCCTTTTCGGTTAGCACTGATTAAAGCGAATGAGTCTAGAAACTTTTGCTTCAAGAAAATTGCGCGACTCTGCTCAATCTCATCATGCTCATGATCGACATCATTGGCGCTTGTATGCTCACGAACGGGATTCAAAATTTGAAGCAAAACTACAGCCCGCAAGAAACGCTCAAGCAGATCCTGTGGAATAGTTAGAGTAGCCATTGTTTTTTTTGTCAGTTTGGGTAAAAGTACTTTGAATGACAAGAGATCTGATCTGATGGATTGAAATTGTAGGGTGAGTTATATGATGCGAACCTCCCCGGGCCTCATAGGTGGAACATTGGCATATGACATCATCGACTCAGCATGTGCAAAACACTCTGTACTGCATGTAGCTATAGCTGATTCTAGAATCCAGTTGACTTTTACAGTATAAGACCGGAGATTAACTAGGAGCTAAGCCAATAATGGTAAGAGAAATTCCGGGAGGTCAATTATAATAGGTATACAAGCCACTTCAAAATCTTTAAAAATTAATATTATATAAACCTAATTCCCAATGTGACGTATACCATAGGTGTTCAACTTTCAAAATGATTTTAAACAGTTCGATCAAGCTTCTCATCTGCTCTTACTAGTTGATAGATACTTTGATGTAGTAGTGACAGTGCATTATCCAGGAATACAAGACAAGGAATGGTTGTTTGAACTTATTGTCAGGAGTATCCATGGAGTGCGGCAGCCGCCAGAGACTATATAGCAATTCCAGCATCTGCGATTGCAGTAGAAAGACTCTTTAATAATAGGGGGGGGACTTTGTTAGGTCTGCGGAGACACTAAGGAGAATAAATCCTTGCAAGGGCTTGGTGGGCACGTGATATATTTTTCGAAGATATCTCATCCGGGAAATTTATTCCAACTTTTATTAGTATGCAAAAAATTTTCAAATTATTTCGTATTCGAACTTCGATTCCACCCCTAATGATCACTGTAGCGAAATGGCCGAATAAAAAGTTTTAGATAAGTCGTCGCTAGACACTTAACTACAGATTCGTTCTCTGTCCTGAGCATCACCGCGGAGTTCCCAAGTACTCCGCGACAACAAAGTCACCAGAAGAATATGGAGCGGTTCAGTCAAATTATTTCCAACTACTCTAGTTAGCTTCTCCATGACTTGGAAAATGGTTATCAGTGAGTTATTGATACGGAACGACAATGATGGAAGTTATAACAGGGAGGCATGAAATGAAACTACTTACATTTCAACCCTCGTTGCCGCAGTCTCCCAGAAGGACCCTCCTACAACGACTTCGGCATGATGATCGATCGTGGAAGCTGCACTACTGTTCGCCCAACTATCCACATCACAGCACCTTGCTGGATAAATGACCCCTGCGCCCCTGGTTATGACCCCAAGTCTAAGCGTTACCATCTCTTTTATCAATGTGAGTATCCTAATGACTTTCTCACCGTGAAATAAAAGCAGGCAACTGAGACGCAGTTTGTGAAATAGGTAATCCACGGGGAACTGAATGGGGAAATATGTCCTGGGGTCATGTAACCAGCCCTGATCTACTCACATGGAACCAATCGACCTACCAGCCGGCCCTGGAGCCTGATCAGGACTATGACAAGGAGGGAGTCTTCACAGGTTGTTTTTTACAACCCGAGGGTACAACTGAAACGCGCCTCACCGTCTTCTACTCCTCAGTCTGTTGCTTGCCTTTCCATTGGAGCACACCTCCATATCCGCGAGGTGCTGCTGGTCTGGCTATGGCCATCTCTAGCGATGGTGGGAGGACGTGGAGCAAACCATCAGAAAATCCAATTTTGGGAGGTGAGCCGGATGGTGTACAGGTGACAGGGTTCAGAGACCCGTATATTGCCAATTGGCCAGCAATGGATGAGCTCCAATGCCAGCACTCGCTCTACGCTATCATTTCTGGTGGTATTCAGGGCGCGGGGCCGACGGTGTTTCTGTATGCTGTATCCCCGGACAACTTGACTCATTGGGAGTATTTAGGCCCTTTGATCAATTTGCCGGAAAAATTCCAGCAGTCGAAGAAGTGGTCCGGAAACTATGGGATCAACTGGGAGTGTACCAACTTCATGACTCTCGAGACAGAATCGACGGCGAGACAGTGTTTGATTCTAGGAGCCGAGGGAGATGTGGAACGGGATCATATCAAGCACCACCGACAACCTCTAGACGGGCCAGTGAGAACAGTTCGATCCTTGCTGTGGATGTTCGGAGACCTCACCACCCAGCACACAAATGGAGGAGTGAAATTCCAATACAAGCGTGGCGGGTATCTTGATCACGGCTCCTTGTACGCCGCAAATTCCTTCCTTGATCCTGCCTCTGGGAGACGCATTATGCACGGCTGGATACCAGAAGAGGACATCACTTGCGACTATGCCCGCCGAAAGGGCTGGAACGGCGCTCTGTGTATCCCACGCGAGTTGTTCCTTCTCTGCCTACCCAACGTCACAGCGGCGCTCCGCACCGAGCTCTCAGAAATCGCTAGCGTAGAGGTAATGACTTGCCCAGATGGTTCAACGTCCCTATACACCCTGGGAATTCGTCCAATTTCCGAGTTCACGCGGCTCCGAGAATACTGCATCCAAACCAGCCAGCGCAGATCTTTCCATCTTCCCCGTCTCACCCTGAGAGAGGCCGAAATTTGCACCATCCAGACCCCATGCTGGGAGCTAGAAGCCATCATCTCTGTCCGTAGTGACTGTGACGAGGTCGGATTCTGCATCCAGTCGACGTCAAACTCTTTGGTTCGCTTGCGTATCACTTTCTCCGTTGTGGAAGAGACCATAACAGTTGATCGAGCCGCATCGACCGTCACTCCAGAGATCAGCACCTTTCCAGAGAAAGGACCGATTACACTTTTTTTCACGCAGCCTGATGGAATGGCGGACAAGCCGAAGCTAGAAAACCTGCATCTCCGTGCTATCTTCGATGCCGATATTGTCGAAATCTTCGCAAACGACCGGTTCGCACTGGCAACAACCGTGTACTCTGGGTCCTACACGTCGGGCAGGATTGTTTCAGCTTTTGCTGCAGGTTGTGAGCACAGCGCATCATTTGAAGAAGTCCGGGTGTGGGATGGGCTGTACGGATGCAAGGATCTACTTACTGTCGACTAGCCTAGATTTGCCACGAAAATCAAGAGGCTCGCCGTCAGGAAGTTGGGTAAAAGAGGCCATCGGCGAAAAGCATAGGCTTGCTATGCAAGCTGGTCTATACCTTCAAAACTACGTCTAATCTGTTTCTCAGCTTTTACGCCCCCCCAAAAAAAAAGAAAAAAAAAAGAAAAAGAAAAAAGTTGAATTAATAAAGTAATCTGGGAGGATGCAAAGTTCCAAACATGGCAGTGAAGTTGACGTGGTTTGACAAGTAATCAACAAAGTAGAGAACAACAAGTAGAGAACAAGTAGAGAAACAACCAATCTCAGGACGTTTTCTCTAAATAAATACAAAGAAGTGACTTAATATTCCTACGCTAATTATTTTTACTCCAAGAGATCCAGAAATAACACATGAGTTGTACGGCTTCAGAATTACTTGCGGATCCTGAAACTGGGGTTCAGACGGGAATGCCTCTTGTTTTTGGAGTAAAATCCGTTGGTTCTTTCAAAACTCCATGACTTGGCACACCAAATATACTACACCGTATTTTCCAGACCGTAGGTTTGATTCTTAGCCTCTAGAAGCCGTTTATTCAACGTCTGCTGCAGGATTATCAAGGAAGGACTATTGATTTCTGCACCACAGCCAGCTGTCGCGACCGAGGAAAGACACTCGGGAAGCAGGTCGAGACTGATATTGGCCAGGCAAGGAGTTTGTGCTGCTTTCAAAACCACCATCGTGGTAATGAATACGCTGTTCCCGGGGTAAATATTTGAGTAGTAGGATGGGAGGGCTAGTAAGAGGCTTACCTGAGAAAAAGCGTCCATTTGTGAATTAGACAGTCCTGGAAGGCAAATATGATGCTCGGCATCAGTTGGATGTAGGAATCAAAGAATCGCTGACAGTGATTGAGCAGTTGGCTTTCGGCTACACCATCCTGCATTGCCTGGTAAACAGCCGGCCAGTAGATGGACAACTTGCAGCAGTAGTACTGGACACGGAGGAAGTTTGATAGTGATCGAATGTGATTTGTGCAATGTTGGCTAGAGTCTCTGGGGAAGCGAATGCTATCCGGCAGATAATCATACCATTCGTCTAATTGGCGTTCCAGTTCCATGGCAACTCCTGGTGCATAGGCTGACTGACCTGTTGAAGTTAGCGTCACCGCGGAGTTACACCGGTGCAGCATTCGCCGCATCGCTATCTCGGCTAGAAAGAATGACTGTGCCTGGTCTGGCCTGGTGCTGCCAGCTGAATGGGCGCTTGCGGGGGAATGGCTAGCTGGACTGGTGGACATTTCTTCGGAAGGGAATTGCCATGTATGAAGACAGTTCGGAAGCGGAACATAGTAATCAAGTTTCCAGATGTTGCTTTTGGCAACATCGAGCTGGACGCTCAGTTCACTAGGAGACCATCGTTAGCACCAGGACTAGTTATCCGTGCGAGCGACTTGCCTCTCCAGTAACAGAATCGCCCAGTACGCTCGGTAGGTTAACTCGAGCATATCGGGGTCTGTACCTTGTAAACCACTTCATGACAGTCAGCAAAGTAAGGATGAATCCGCGTAGTGTTTGTAGTACCTTTTAAAGAGGTTCTGCACCTTAAACGACGCCACCAGACAGTAATCATGAGCCTGGCAGGGTTTGAGAAGGCAAGCGTAATAGATGCTCAGGAAAATCAGGCATTGAACAGCCGCTAGAGAGCATTCCGCAACAACCGGCGGCAGTAATGAGAGAGCAGCTGTAAAGAATGAGTTCTCGCGGCCTGATGTGGGATCATGGGCCACACTGCCGATGGCAGCCACCAGAAGAACCAAACATGACTTGCACGATGGGGTGAAAGGCTCTGACAGGACCCGGAAGTACTCCTCCGAGAAGTTGGGTGGGAGCATAGGATAATAGATATGGATGCGCTCTGAAAAAGCGGCTAGCGCGCTCATGGCCTGCTGATGGGGGACGAAGAATAGCCTTGAGCCGCCGTTTGTCGAGCCCGTGAGATAGCTGGCTCTTTCGAGCCGGATGAGGGTCTGGGGGAAATCAGCCTCAAGTCCTAACACGGCCATGATGGAGCTGGTTGCCAGCAGCCGAAAGGGAGAATCTTCATGGGAGCTAAGCGCCGCATTCCCCGAGTCTTGGGCATCCTGCACGGGTCCCGGTTGCTTTGCGAGCAGACTAGTAATGTAGTCCAGGCGCTGGTTCACGATGGCCAACTCTGATTCGATCCTGGGCCGTTGTCTCAATAATCGACGCAGATATGGGGAGTGGCGTATACTTACTTGTGCGCGGGGTTTGGGGGAAGCTCCTGATAGAAGCAATCCAGCCCGCGCGCTTGGCAGGGATTGCACGCGGGTCTCAGCCCGTCGCATTTGGTCCTTTTCGACCGGCACGTGTCGCAGGCGAGAATCAATCTCTTCCGGGTCTTAGCCATACTGCCAATACTCCCTCCTGTTGTCAATTTCGTAGCGTTGCGGAGTTGCTTCAGAAGACCGCGCGCGGAGTTGCTGCATTTATGTCATCCCGCTAGGATCTGTGGGGAAGGGCAAGCCCATGGAACCCACGGGCGGAGTGTGCAGGTGATTCCACGAACATACTGATACACTGTCACACTACTCAACATTGTTGTCGACCTACGCGGAAACATGAGCAGCATCGCATCCTTTGATGGGCGGCGAATTATTAGAGCATCTTCTAGTCAATGCTTGCGATTGAAAAGGTATAAGAAATGGCCCAGCAAAGGGTATACTTTCTTCTCCCTTTCACCACCGAAATAGCAGAAACAAGCGAACCCCCTTCTTCATCTTGTCTCAACAACACCAGTTGTCATTTAGTGTCATTCAAATATGAACCCCCCCTTTGGAAACCACCTCCTCGCGGATGTTACCAGGCGCAGGACTTCCCGCAGTGCCCGGGTCTCCAGCTGGGATCAGAAGGGGCTGAACGAAGATGCCTTCGTTGTCCTGCCTGGTGAAACTATGCTGCTCGCCGATCTGGAGGGCCCGGGTGCCATCACGCATCTGTGGTTTGTCCAGACGTGCAGAAAGATTCTGGGGCCTGGGTTAATCCCCTACTCCAAGTCCGGGGTCGCCATGATGGAGATTCACAACGCGCTCGGCCTCAATTACGAAGTAAACGACCCGGACTACTATCGCAAAGTGCTTATCAAAATGTACTGGGACGATTCCGAAACGCCCAATGTGCTCGCCCCGATCGGCGATTTCTTCTGCCTGGGCCACTCTATGGCAGCGAATTTCCAGTCGCTGCCATTCACTGTGTCCGTAAAGCCCTCGGAGGAGAAGAAATTCGGCGGGGCGGCCGCCTTCAACTGCTACCTGACGATGCCGTTCAACAAGCGTGCTCGCATCGAGATCGAGAACCAGAACGACGAGGCCTACATTCAGTACTTCTACATCGACTACGAGCTGTATCCCGAGCCCCTTCACAAGGACACGCTGTACTTCCACGCCCATTGGCGCCGGGAGAACCCAACCAACGGCTGGGCCCCGTCTGGCATCCAGACAAACAGTCTGGAGACGCAGGTCAAGAACCTGGATGGCAAGGACAACTATGTCATCCTGGAAACCGAGGGCGCTGGTCAGTACATTGGCTGCAATCACTCTGTCCTCCACTTTCAGGGGACCTGGTGGGGCGAAGGGGACGATATGATCTTCATTGATGATGATACATGGCCGCCCAGTATGCATGGCACGGGAGGGGAGGACTACTTTACTCAGGGCTGGGGTATGCAGAAGAACGCCTATCCATTCTGCGGCAGCATTATCCACGAGGAAGACGTGCCTAATTGCCAGGTGAGCTATCGCTGGCATCTGGCCGATCCCGTCCGATTTGGCAAAAAGATCAAAGTCACGATGGAATCTGGCCATGCCAACCACCTTCGCGACGACTGGGCCACCACCGCCTACTGGTACCAAACATTGCCGGGTCCCAAACTCGAAATCCTGCCGGTCGAGAGTCGTCTCCCAAGGAGGCCCGAGATCCTCCCACCCGTGCCGGATGTGTCTGAGCCGGAGATTTCCAGGCTGAGTTTGGAAAAGAAAGAGATGTTGGTCCAGCATCGAGAGAGGTATGATTTATTCGTCAAGGATCGGAACGAATGGTTGGAGCGACGGGCGAAGGACTCGCGAGAACGGGCGGTGAACAATGTGCAAATCTGCAAGGATATTCGTCGACGGTTCTTAGAGAGCCTTGAGAAATAATTTAGCTACATTATACAAGAATGTGATTCCTCGCCCAAGGCAGCAAGTGCAGATCTCCTCAAGGGCATCATCCAACTTCCTAGCAGTAGACTTTGCCGAGAAAGAAACATGTTTTTCGAGAAATATCAATTTTCTACACTACGGTATCAAACTAATTTCTAGTTAGAAAGTGCGCATTTATTAACATGAGTTTAGTTGTAAACGAGTTTTAAATGGAAACGAATTTTAATTGTAAACGAATATTAGATGTAAATCCTTCTTTCTCCATGGGATTTGAGTTTCTCCCCCTCAATCTGTCCGGAAGCAGAGGCTCGGTGAGCGGAATGTAGTGAGTATATAATTTGGCTTTTGCATATTCTAGTTAAGTGAGTAAACTTCGATAACTAACTAACTTAGCAACTACATCGCTTACATAGTCTCCGTCCGGACGTTTAGCCAATAAAATAAGATTGCAAAACAAGGATTAGTCTTTCTCGCGGAGAGCGGCTGGACTCCGCGAGAAGATTTCTGATTACTCATACCCTATGCATACCCCATGAGAAATTCTGAACATCCAGATATTCTAGAAAACCCAGCACTCCGCGGCCTCACCAAGCTCGAGCCACTTCCCCGGCTTCCCCAATCTTCTGCATACATAAGGCGGGGATAGACAACATCATGGTGGCTCTGATAAACCGTCACGTCGACTTGGTAAACACCAACATTCCATGAGAATCTTCACAGCGCAGGAAATGCAGACCGCCGCCGAGATTGAGATTGAGATCGATGGGTAAGCCTCTATCTACGCCCAACGTCTGAGGGTGGAATCACTGACTTGTAGAAGGATCGACTACTCTGTGGTTGACCCGTCCCGCAGATGGCGAATGCTCACTTCGCAAAGGCGGTTTTGCTTGTGGTGTAAGTTCTCCTGCATCCCCCCCGGTGGAGGTCCCGTTTTGACAGGAGAGCTAGGTCTCTGGATATCTAGCGGGGTTGTCATGCAAGGATTCGATATTGTGGCTGGAGGTCAGCTGGCTGCTTTGCCAGAATTCCAAAGGCGATTTGGATATCCGCAGCCAGACGGTTCTTATCTGATTCCTGCTCGCTACCTTTCCGCCTGGAGCTCGATCGCTCCTGCGTGCGAAATAGTTGCTACTTTTATCTTCGCTCCACTGCTTGAGAGGTACGGACGGAAACCAGGAATTTTAGCTGCCTCCCTCATTTCCACCGCGGGTGTCATTCTCCAGCAGCTGGCAACTGATTGGCGAGTGCACCTGGCCGGTCGAGGTGTCAATGGTTCGTATGAGCTCTGATGAAGTGAGAAATATACGACTTCTGTTACTGATGCAGACTCCCCAGGTATTGCGATTGGTATTATGTTCACCATCTCTCCGCTATGGATTGGTGAAACTTGTCGGCCGGAACTTCGCGGTTTCTTCCTCTGTTTTTTCAATACTAGCATTGTCTTTGGACAGTTTGCAATGTCGGTTTGGTATTTCCCAGTCATACAGAATTACGTACCTGATCCTATTCTTAGAGCCGTGGTGGCCAGAGGTAGTAGCCATTTGGCTGGCAAATGGTGAGTTTGAGCATTTGTTCTCATCATAACCGAAACGTTGTTGAGTGACCTTGGCAGGCAATGGTGGTTACCCATAGTGGCAATGTATTTCTTTCCAGGTAGGGTCCTTATCTCTCTCCTATTTTATTTTAAGTATATCTTACCTAACCATTCTTTTTTGCCCCCTCTTCAGCTATTCTCATATCTGGTTGGTTCTTCTTCCCCGAGTCTCCATACTGGCTGGTGCGCCAGGGAAAGAACAGAGAGGCCCAGAGATCTCTCCGGACCGTCTATGGCTTCGAAAACGAGGCATTCTATGTAGCAGAAGTTCGCCGAATGGAGTCGGAAAACGGACGAGAGATTTCCACCCACGGTAACCTCACTGAGGGCTCCTACAAGTTCCTTGGCATCGATGTGTCTACCGAAGCCGAATGCTTTAATCGCACTAACCTCAAGAGAACCCTAACTGCAGTTTTTGCCGCCAGCGGACAGCAAATGATTGGAGCTACCTTTGTTATTGGCTACGCAACATATTTCTTGGAATTGATCGGAGTAAAAGATTACTTCGATGCGTCCATTGTCCTTTATGTGGTGATGTTGTTATCCAGCATACTAGCCTTCCCACTCACGGAAATCGTCGGCCGACGAACCATGATAGTGAATCCTCAGTTTTTTCTGTGCTTTGCACTTTTAATAATCGGTATTTTGGGATGCATACCAAACCCAGAGAGAGCAAGCTGGGGTATTGTTGTCCTCATATATATCTGGGCGATCGTATATCAGCTTTCCATTGGAGCCGTAGGCTTCGTGTTGGCTTCGGAAATTGCTACAGCTCGCCTGCGAAGTACTACTCAAGGCCTCGTTACCATCACCAACGCTGTGTGGGGGCTCATCATGCAGTTCACGGTCCCATACATGGTATGAACACACGCACCCCTCTCAATTCCATGTCAATGTCCTCAAAAAAAAAGGTCTGCGGTACTAACGACGCATTTGTCCTTCTCAACAGATCAATACTGATGCAGGCCACCTGGGCGGCAAAGTTGGATTCATCTTCCTCGGAACAGGTCTGATTGCAGCCATTGGAGGATGGTACCTCTATCCAGAGACAAAGGTACAGCGAGACCACACTTTAGAAATGAAGACTATTTCGATTATGACTGACGAAAATGGCCCAGGGTATTTCTTTTGAAAAGATGGACGAGCTTTACGCAAGCAACACTGCTCCTCGACACTTTAGGCGTGTCATGGCCGCGCAGGGTGAAATAACACCCCATACATGCAAGGTAGAAGGCTCCGAGCATGTAGAGGCGGTCAACTCCTCTTCGTGATGGGAGGGAGACTTTGAAGTCAGTTGAACGTTAGGTATTCTTGCGCTTTGATCTGAACTTCCACTTGCCTTGAAAGTACTGGTTCTTCTTTTCTGCTCTTTCGTTTGAAATGTGGTGCTCTTGCATTACATTCACAGTCGACTACTACACTATAGTCGGGGCCAATCGTACCATTCGTGATACAAGAGATTAGAAATATAACAATATTTTTCATGAAACTTAAAAAGGAGGACCGAGTATAATATGCTAGCATTTTACGCTAATATATGTCATTTTGACCAGGCATGGTCCCTTCTAGCGCTATTATATGCAAAATGTTCTTAATGTTCTTAATGTTCTTTGTCGGAGTGTTAGCATGATGATTGTGAATATACAAGCCTCTGACTCTTGTTGCCTTCTTACGCAGGTATAAGGACAAGGGAAGTCATAATGTTAGTCGCACTATGCCATTGCATACTGTCTCACACCTATAACCAAAATATACAATGAGAAGCGAAGATTAATCCTCTACCAAGTGTTCCCCCCAAATCATCATCGCATGGACCACCATCGATAATGACCCTGCCTAGCTGTACAAGATCTCGAATTCTCATCTTTCTACCCTTCTCGCTATGTGGTCATAGTGAAGTTTCGCGACTTTTGTCAAACTCGCATCGCTCTTCTGTCGCTTCTTTGTCTTCTTCGAATGTCTGGGCCTTGCCTGTCATTTCCATAAAGGTGACGCTTGGCTTCCAACCTAAGCTCTTTCTCGCATCCTTTACTTCGCTATAACGCTGATCGACTTCTTCCAACGTCAGTCCCTTTGTCTCATAGATCATAAAGTAACTATGCACAGGAAACAGCAAGCAAATCAACGAAGAAAATCTTGGATTGCACGTTCGCATCCCCGATGAGATCGAAACGCATCCTATCCTGGATGTCGATAAAAGCCAGACTCACCGGTATAGAATCCCCCCAAATGCTACAAATCCACGGACCAGAATTGCAGGCCACGCCTTGCCAGCACTTTCTTTGGGCTTTTCGAATAGAAACCTCATTTTTATTTTTAGAAAAGTGAAAGTTAGTTCTCGGTCTTCTTGAATGCCACAAAACCTTAATGAAAGGGGGGCGGGAGCTTGATATTTATAAGATAAAAGGATAACATAGACATATGAGAACTTCTATGTTCCAACATTGTTATCGAACACCATGCTCTAGGTGCGACTCAATCTGACTAATGAATGGTGAACCCGCGGAGGAGTGGAGAAATCTCCGCGATATTGATCATCGGAAGAGACAGAAAGGATTCGCAAATGGTTCCGAGGGAAATCCGCCCCATGTGGTTTGCTTGATGTTTGCTTGATTGAATATGCCACTTTCCTGTCTGGCTACATATATGTTGGGCATGAAATCCCTCAATATAGCGAAACATGTATCGGGTGTCATTCATCTGAGAGTTTCCATATGACAGCCTCTGTTAAAAAAAGAAAAAAACTACTAGAAAGCAGTGGTAGGCTATTCATACTCTTTGCAGATGATACTGCCTTAACCGGTCTCACTGGGTGGTTATATCTAATGAGGAGTGAGGTAACGTCAAATAATATAGAGGATATTCTTTTAACAGTGTACAAGTGACCTCATACAGCCCAAATTTGAAGGAGATGCCTGATGGAAAGTTCTCTCCTTCAGAATGGCCCCCAATTCGGCCAGCGAGGAACTGACTTCTGTCACGCTTCCAAAAAGATGAACTGCTTTTTCCAAACTCTGCCGGACTCTCGGCGAGACTATACTGAGTAGACACGGTGTCGCTGATGCTGTCAGGGCTCCCATTGAAATAGTAAACACGCTATATCAGACATTCCGTTAGCTATTGAGAAATCCCTTCTACATGTTGATGGAACAGATTACCTTGCATATAATGTCCAGAGATTGGGTTTGCAGACGCTTACAGAAATCGCCGCACTTGCAATAAAATCAACATAACTATCAAAAAAGCTCCGGCAGTGAAGAAGGAGGTCATCATCGGCCTCGCCCGTAACCGATGCCTGGTAGGCCGCCGGCCAATATATTGAAGCCCTGAATGCAAAACATTGCGTATGCAGGAATTCTGCTTGCGCTAAACCCCTAAAAGGGACGCCATCGCCGTTATCACCCCTGAGAGACAGTTCATCTGGAAGAAGATTGTACCACTCCTGCAATTGCTTCTCCAGTTCTGCTGCAATTACGGGCGCATATAAGAAGTTGACTTGAGACAACCTTCGAACAGAAGATGTGCAACGTTGAAGCATCTTCCGCATCGCAATTTCCGCTACAAAATACGACAAGTCATGGCGACGCAGAGCTTGCTCGTGTATTATCCTTTCGGTTTCATCTCCGTCAGCCCTGACTGGGCTGAGGGATGGGCGCCATATCCAGGTGTCGTAGCTGACTGGCACTGTAGTAACTGAATCCACACTCCAAATACCACTGTCGACCAGATCCAGCTGGACAGTGATCTCACTTTGAAACCCGTCAGCCAAACTATAGCTTTTCTAACGCCATATTGTTTGATAGCCAATTGTTGGAATAGGGGTCAGAACCTTTCAATCAAAACGGCAGTCCAGTAGCAGTTTCCGATAATTGTTGACCCAGGTAAATCGTTCTCGCCATCCAGGCGGCTAGGAATAGGCCATCAATATTAGACAAGAGAATGTGTTTCGCCTTCAAGTCTGGGCACTCACTTTATCAAATTATCTTGGATTTTATATGACGCTATAGCCACGAAATCATGTGCTCGACATGGCTGGGCGCGGCACAGATAGTATACGCTAAATAAAAGCAAACACTGTATGCTTCTAGTGCTGCCATCTGTCAGAACGCAGGGGAGCATGTCTTCCGCTGCTTGAATGTATATGGTTTCTGGTCGCTTCTGAGGTGCATACGCAATCGACTCATCTCTGGCCAGAGAACCTATTGCTAAAACGAGGAGAGCTAGGCAAGAATCTATGGAGGGTTGAAACGGGGTTGATACCGCTTGCAGAAATTCATCCATATAACCCACATGGAGAATCGGATACCAAACATGGATATGTTCAGCAAAAGCGTTCAAAAACCTGCGTTCCGATGGTGCTCATTGTCAGTCAATAGGCCAACCACTAAAGAGATAAGTGATTCCCTTGCCACGTACTCTAATGCCTGGGCAAAATCGATCATCACAACTTGGACACTGGACGGACGAGAGCAAGATAATTGACTTCTGCTTTCCATCTGCTCCAGTTGGACCGGTAATGATTGATCCAGCTTAAGAAGCGCCAGGAAAGACTGGTTCTTGATGATCATGATCGGGAACCCGGCCAATGGATCCTGGTCAACAAGGAGATCACATGGCGATTGCTCCTTGGCTGAGCACGCCCGTTCAGAAGCTGTGGTGTCTATGACCCCAGTTATGTGATCCAGAAGTTTCCAAATCCTGGATAACTCTACTGCGAGACTGGTATTCAGATTAGAAGCTGGGCGAGTATGGGGCTTGATGTAGCGCGCCGTGCTTCACTCACGGAGAGGGAGGGTCTGGGTTTCTTTCGTAGAAACATTCTTTGCTCCGGTGCATACAGAACGAGCATTTGGGCCGCCGACCATCACATTTTGTCCGCCTTTCTCGACAGGTATTGCAGACCAGAGGACTCCGGTGTCGCCGACCGTTCTGCGGCAAGTCGCGCTTAAGACTCATCGGCTTGTTGCGTTCATCTACGGGATTCTTTCCATTACGGAAGGTGATTATCTGTTCTGTGAGTAGCCTGTAATATCGTAACCCTTTATAGAATCATTTCAGGTGCCGAAAAAGACCAATATAGGCAAAGGAATAGAAATCAAAAACCGGCATCCCGTGCTAGATACTAGTGCTGACCGGCCGGCACGAACGCTGGCTGTCCAATTGCATATAAGGGGTGGGTTGTTTCCGTTGCCCGAATGCTTCTAAAATACGAGACCCTGCTTCTAGTGCGTTCTACTGCAGCTGGGAAACACTCTGGAAGGGAATCTTATGGCGAGGCCCTATAAAGCTTATGACGCTGTGACTGCCAAGCGAGAACAAAGAAACTCATTGTGACCAATGCCGACGCTGAAAATTCGAACCCCGCGATCCCCGGATGTTGATGGCGTACTTTGCCAGTCAAATCCCTGCATGATTCAGATTCCATACGATCAGCTATACGCAGGTGCTCCGTTATTTTTCCGTTCCTGCTAATATCAATGGAGGCCTGAATTCATGGGCGTATGCATATCCGTCTTGGCGCGTTCTATACCGGAGCATGATGGTCCGGCAAAAAGCCTCATTTCTTTTTCTTGCCTTGGCCCCTAAAGTGTATTTCACAGGCGAACGGGCCACATCAGGGGCATGTGAGATTCTTCACATGATAACGCCAAATGCCAAATGCTCGCTTAGATAGGTTAGATAACCGAACTTCTTCACTAGTAAATATTATTACAATTATTGCCTCTTTATAGGGGACTATAGCGAAACAAGGTAGGCATACTTGGAAATATTAACTTTTCTAAGATGTCTAGATACCGAAATTTTTCACCGTGGGGAATTGCTGATATAGTTAACACGCACAGGTAACTAGTTACCAATAAACAAGTGTTTTACAGCTGAACAGCAGTTTCCATCATTATATAGTACAGCACGCCTCTTTTTCATCTCCTTGTCTCTCGTACATGCTCATGCGGGTCTCCCCGGATAACGATATTCGGCTGGTGCAGAATGTACGACGCTGACTGGACTTTTCAATGGCGAGATCTCGTGGTGGACACTTTGAGGCGCACGCTCATCCGTAAACATTGAGTGGTCTCTGTAGTCTGATACACGTCCGATCGATTGTGAGCTCGTTCATCCAACGGAGCAAAGAAGGGGATAGTTGAAATATAACTAACCTAAGGGGTGCATTCCGCGTCGCAGCAACCACCGGGCACTGAGTTTGTCGAGTGCAGTCTTGAAATCGTCTAGGATAACGGTGTCGCAGAGACATTTGAAAACGAAACACAGCTAGTGATTTACTCCCATTCAGTAGGTTGCTTACAGCCCCTAAAGAAAGGAAAAAACTCCTACCTTCCAGAAGGGATTGATCCCCATAGTCGTAGTTACCCGCAACCTTCCAGTCACGCTCAAGATATCAAGAATGAGAAATACGATGGAGAGGCCCATTGATGCCAACATAAGGCCAAAGCGGGGAGATTCACGCACGAGCTCAATGATGCCAAAATTATAATGCGTCTTGACCACCCAAAAGAGATTACACGTCGTGAAGATCCACCAGGGGTCACTGGACACGCCAATATGTTAGCCCACAAGACTGGACACTGAGTGTGCATTGACACGATAAACATATTCCTCTTCATTGTGATCATACCGAAATAGTGCTTCCAATGGTCGCGTCTTCTCGTAGAAAGCAGCATCGATATTGTTGAAGTAGGCATAGTTGGCGAAAATCTCTACTGCCCAGTACGGTTGAACGATGACAACCGTCCCAATATAGACGAGTGACAACCAGCGTGCCATGAACGCCCTGTTTTTCATCCACGCGATCACATTATGCAAAGACCAGGAGATGATCAACCCAATCGCCGTTGATGCTAAATACCACCCGTACACTGGTTCGGGAGCGAAGATGAACGTTCCATGAGGCATGGCCAAGATCAACTGAAGTGACATAATTAGTTGCTGGGACTGGTGTAGTATTTCAGGTACAAAACATCTACATTACCTCTAGCAAGATCATCTTGTGCAGAAATACGCCCGATCGCATGTTTACATAGGTGATCGCAGCCATGATGACCAGGGCACCCGTCATTAGACCCTGCGACCAGGACTCCAGGATGAGAGCGGCAGGATCATCGACTGGTCGAGAAACGTCTCTCTTGACGAGCAAGGACGCATGATCCAAAACATTTGGGTTTGAATAGATATTAGAATCATCCATAATGCTAGATGGTACGTACCATAAAATCCAGATCTTGAATGTAGTTCTTCACCCCGTGGGGTTGAGCTTCTGCCCTTGCATCTCATTTATTATTTCATCATGCTATGACCTCGAGGGAGTGGTCCATGCTTTTCTCCTCAATCTCTCCGTACTGGAAACCCTGGAGAAGGAAGGATTATCAGCAACGGTCAGGTGAATAAACACAACAAAAAAGCTATTATTGGTAGGGATAGGGATCGTCAATGTCAGCCTCGCGGAGAGGAGGGCTATTCCGCGAAGACCTGGCCAATCAGACTCAAACAAAAACTTAGTTGGCCGTAAATCGCGAGGATACATTATTCATCAGACCTCGCTTAAATATTGTACGATACGCTTCATGGAGCCACACAGTTCGATTAAGAAAGAAAAAGCACTTTCAAACAGGTCAGAGCATTTATATCAGCCGACCACTCCCAGATGACAGGGCAAACTGGAATAGGATATACTACTTAGATTAAGATTCGATTAATTTGTAGTGCCCATGGGTGCCCAACGATCCACCTCCTTCGCTTGCGAGCAATGCCGGGAGCGCAAAAGAAGATGTGACAAAGCCAGGCCTAAGTGCTCGTCTTGCATCGTTCTGGATGTGGAGTGTTTCTATAAACCGGCCTCAGATTCTCAGCCGTCACAGTCAGTCCTTTCATAGTGCTCTTCCGTTTCACTATCTTGTCTGGATTAATCATATTATAGCAGACTAGTGCAAGAACTTTCCAACATTCGAGAAAGGTTGGATTATATCGCACCATTAGTTAAAGACCTCGGGGATCCGCCTACATTCTGGAAACACGCCCCGGATCCTCAACCACAAGCTCCCCCCATCACCATTAAGTCCCAATTCCTAATGCAGGTGGTCGGATTGCGATTAGACTTTCCGGCTTTCGTTTTTCAGCTAGAAACCGCCACACCGTATATTCCCAAGGCTTCCGTGGAGCATAAGCTGCTCAGACTGTCCGAGGAAAAAGTCAACGCGTATGTTTCTTATCAATCAGCAATTAAAGTAAAAAAAAAGAAAGTCTCTAAGTGCGTCTCACCGATAGGGTTATACGCATATTCACAGAGGAGGTTCACGTGTGGTACCCCATCCTCCATCCGGACATCACCAATCACTTCTTTGAGACGAACAGCTCATGCTTCCCACCTTCAACCAAATCCTGCTTATGTCTCCTCGTCGCATCAATCGCGTTTATACTGAGGAAGGCACAGTCAGAGTCTATCCATTTTGAAGCTGCCTTGTCGATGGTTCCCATAGTGCTCCAAGAGGATAGTGTGGTCAGCATTCAGTGTTTAATTCTCTTGAGTATATACTTTGCCTGTCGAGTGCAGCCACGGCAATCCTACGATTATATCCGAATAGCATCCTTCCGTATGCACTCTCTCCTTAGAAGGTATGTTTCTCATCTCAGTAACAATGAAGGAAGACGCGGCCTTGTGTGGCGAAATATACACACCATATGCAGCTAACTTGCAGCTAGAGAAGTCTTTTCGGAGAAGTCGACAGATTGGCAACTGGTAAAGCGCATATATTGGGCAATATACATGATAAAAAGGTCTGCCGGTGATTGTTTTCCCTTCGCAGCCCTGAAATATACCTAACGATAAAGCCAGTGAGACTTCGATGCATTTAAACTTATCTACAGCGTACCATCCGCCACGGCCTGGTGGCTCTTATGCCCCTATTCCCTTGCCCACCAATGACAAGTCTTGGGACATCCTCGCTGAATCAAGCCCGTATAGCTCATGCTTGACTCTGTCACCAGATTCTCCTTGTCAATTGCAGCATTATCCCCTCGACTTTCCCAAAGAACTCCACTTACAACAATTGTTAGACAAGTGCATGGACTCGGCGACAGGAAATTCATACCCTATCCACCCAACTAGTATGTCCTCCACGGAGTACAGCCTCAGTTTGCAACAGTTATTGGATTCTCTGCCACCCATACCGCCGTTCAGGGCGACTTCAATGCCCCAGGAGATATCCACTCGCCACCAGCACGTTACTCTTCTCCGAGCGAAATATCACGCATATGAAATCTCCAGCTACTGGCCGGCGATATATCGTGCCATTGTCCTTAAATTTTCTGACTCAGAGCTACTACCTTACGGTCCACTCTTCGTTGAATCGATCGTAAGCTTCTTGGGGACAGCCAATGTCGCCGTTCGTGTATGTATCCCGAAGTCCTGGTCACTTTGTGCAAGGTATGTGTGTGTGAAATCACAGCAATTCTTTTTTATTTATTTATTTGTATGCCAATTCTAACGTATTGCATCTGAACAGCCTCTTTATCGTGTCCATGGTAGCTATTTGGACAGTAGACAATCTGCGCCTCCAAAGCCTGTTTCTACCTAGGCTCTGGGAACATCTCAAAGATACCTTGGATACTCTTAAGCAATTTAGTGAGCTTAGCCCGTCAGTGAAATACATGGTAGAAGTGCTAGAGAACAGGTTGCAGGAGAGTGACATCCTGTAAATCATCATGGTTGTATTATTCTTGACTAATTAATAAGAGGAAAAGATGAGATGAAATTATTTTCGAAATGTATGGGAATTTTTAGCCGAATCTAAGAAGGACACTGCCTAGTGTTTCAGAAGCCATCTGGCCCTATAAATGGAAGGTAAGCAAAGCCGGTTTTCTTTACAAAGACATCATTTTCTATGAGAAGAACTAAAAACTGAGACCTATTGCTACAGGCTCAAATATGACGGTAGACAAGCTCCTTCCCATTATGTCACAGCTAGTCCTCCACAGGGAAAAGTTGGGTTGGGAGCATTATGAGTCCTATTAGGGAGTGTAGGGCTGCATTTCCTAGTTTTCTGTCGTACAACCCAACTCCTATGTCCAAGTAGAACGTACTTTGCTTATGTGAAGCTGGACATTGTTGGTGCTCCCCCCAGTAGAGAAAAGCTTCGCATACGTGGCATTGTCAGAAGGAAAGATTTGGGCTGTCATTGTGGTTTGTCCTTGATCCCCAAAGACCTCCACGCTTGACCAATCCACAAAGATATGTAAGGTTACAGTGTTATTTGTGGCTGGGGAAAGAGGAGCATAGTAGACACTTGCGAATGTGCTGTCGAATGAGACATCTCCCGATTTCGTTCGATCGATGAACACCTGCTGGGTGGCGAAGTCATATCCTACTCGTGTCTGTTGACTCAAATCCTCAGAGGCTCGAACAATGATTCCAAACTCCGAGCTTCCCTTGGTTGCTGGCTCCCTGCTGGAGAAAGTTAACTGGATGTCGACTGCTTTCCCGATCTCACCCAGGTTGTGGACACCAGTCACGGAATGGAATGTTGATATGCTTCCACCCTTGGTAATAGCTTTCCAGCTTTCTTTGGGCTCTTGAACCACTGCTATCTTCTGATCGATTGTTTTCAACGAAAGTTGACGAGGAATGGTCATTGCACTACGCCAAGGGTCCGTTGGTATGGTTGACCCGTACTGCCAGTTATTCATCCAGGAGATGATCGTCCGCTGATCCTGGGGAGGCCATTGTAACCTTGAGCGGCGTAGAAGTCTGGACCCCAGTCCAGCCAGTTTGCGTTGTTATTCGTGGCGGGAGAGTTGGCAAAAGAGATTTCGTCGACGGTAATATGGCCCCAGCCCCCGGTAGCGAGATCAATAATCTCAATCGTGGCGGTTTGATTTTGGAAGGCCCTAACATCCCAGCTTTGCCAGGTAAGTTGTTCACTATTGGATCCAGTTGTAGCGTACACAATACCACCGTCAATCTTCAGGCGAATCGCAGTTTGGTTAATACTGTTCCCTCCTCCGATGAGGAAGTTTATATACTTGTACGAGATTTTGAAGGAAGGGGATGTCAGGGTTCCTGTAGTCGAATCCCCCTTTAAGAATGTGTTCACCAGCTGCTTTCCGAGGAAGCCTGTCACCGGATTCTGTCCAGCCAAGGTACCAGCCACGGGGGAGGTACCGACCAAGTCGCCGGTAGCTACCCATCCACGATCGGCAAAGGAACGGTTTCCCTCGAAATCTTCAAAGATGAAACTACCGTCCGGGGGACCCCCACCATGAATACTGTTCAAGTCCGGCGTAAATGTGGTCCCGTTAAAGTCACCCACAAAGTACTGAATTCCCGAACCCACAGTCCCAGGAGGGCCACCAGGATTGAGACCAACAATGGCAACCCATTTGACCTTTGATTCATCTCCATCGATAGACAGTGGGAAAAGATTCGGACACTCCCACACACCTCCAACAGCATTGAAAGGTCCAAACTCACTCTGCAAGCTCCATTGCTTGAGATTCGCAGATGTATATATGAGCAGCTTATGAAGTTTTGCAAGACTGATAACAGCCACCCATTTTTTAATAGGTTGATACCAAAAGATATTGGGGTCCCGGAAGTCAAGATACTGGTCCTGGTACGGAGCAGGCGGATCTAAGATGATAGGGTTCCCCTCATCATAGGTAGTCCACGTTGCCCCATGATCGAGACTATAGGCAATAGACTGCGCTTGCTGTTGGTCTCGAACCTGCTTCCCACTTGGCAAGACTTGCTGTGACGGGTACTAAATAGAAAGCTATGTCAGTTCGTCGAGCTGCCAACCCCGATCACGACACTCACATAGGATGTATACATAGCGACCCATGGCGCGTGTCCCTTGCTACGGAAGCCACTGGTATTGTGTTCGTCGATGACGACACTTCCAGAGAAAAACATTTCGGTAATATTATTGGGATATCCACGCGCGAGAAGAGCAACAGGCTGCTCCTTCCAATGAGTAAGATCCCTACTGGTGGCATGGCCCCAAGACATCGCTCCCCAGGTGTTGCCGCCTGGATTGTACTGGTAATACATATGGTAGGTACCATCAGCATACACCAGACCATTGGGGTCATTAATCCAGTTTCGCGCCGGGGTGTAATGGTATTGAGGACGATAAAGTTCCGTATATGATTCATTCGATGGGGCCGCCTCGACCTGGGAGACAAATGCCCCCAGAAGAAGGGCCTTCAACATGTCGAACTTCATCGGTTGTAAATTCGGGATCAGAAGTGTTTGTATAGACAAGAAATATATGGAATTATGATTTGGCTGCTCTAAGGAAGCGGATATTGCCTCTTGTTTATAATTGCCTTCTGGGGAAGGACTCCCAATTTAGAGATGAAATGAGGAAGCGCCGTCACCTCCGTTATGATCACGCCACTGTGGAGAGAGTTTTTTTTTTTTGTTTTTGAGAGACTGAGGATATTCTAAGCGAGAAATATAGTAATTTCCGATGATGTAGATCCCCTTGAGAGTTGTCTCTCATGTTAACGAGCAGAACAAAATTAATTGCTCTTGGCTTGCGCAACACGATGGGGGATTCCGCGGAGCATATCTGAGTCTCCGCGATATCGCAAATTCCGAATGCCCTCCGCGATGCATTATCCCACACTTTTACCCCATACTTTCAACCCGTGGGGATTATTTTGCAACTTGAAGCGGAGATTAATCGGTATCGCCTTCCTATTTACTTTACCGAAGCGTGTTTTTCTCCCTTCGGCGTTTCAAAATCCTAATACTTTGGCCATAACAATAGAGATATGAAGAACCAATACATATTTCTATGGTCAGATTTGCGCTTCAGATCGTCGAGATCGTCGTTAGAAGTCTGAAACTGGAAGAGAGATATTGGGCATTACCCTGGCAATGTATATATATATTTGCTGCACGCCGTCGACCGTAGAGAGTATGTTACTCTCCATTCCCCATCTACACTTTCCACTTGAACAAGCCCAGAGTTACGAAGGAAAACTTTATATCCCAAATCATGCTTTCCCGAAGAATTATCATTACAATAAAAGCCATTTCATTAGTTTGGGCCCTCGTTGGGCCGGCGGTAGCGGATGACTATCGCCCAGCCTTTCACTTCTGCCCGGCTGAGAACTGGATGAACGAGCCTAATGGGCTGATTCAGATCAATTCAACTTGGCACTTATTTTATCAGGCTGACCCAACGGCAAATGTTTGGGGTAACGAGTGCTGGGGCCATGCAACCAGCTCCGACCTAGTCCACTGGGATCATCTCCCCGTCGCCATTCCAGTTGAGAATGGGATTCAATCCTTCACTGGTACCTCTTATTACGATTCCAATAATACATCTGGCTTAGGCACGTCTGCCAATCCGCCGTACCTGGCATTTTTCACTGGTTATACCGCTTCAAATGGAACACAAGACCAGCGCCTTGCTTCCAGCACGGATCTCGGAAATACCTGGGTTAAGTTTCCTGGCAACCCAATCATAAGTGCAGCTCAGGAAGCCCCTCATGATACAAGCGGAGGCCTCGAGAGTCGTGACCCTAAAGTATTCTTTCATGTTCCGTCAGGGAAATGGGTTATGGTCCTTGCGCATGGAGGTCAGGACAAACTGACATTCTGGACGTCTTTAGACGCCAAAAGCTGGACATGGGTGAGCGATCTAGCATCATCCCAGATTGAGGGATTCCCATCTGATGCCACTGGATGGGAAGTGCCAGATATGTTTCAACTTCCCATTGAAGGCACTAATGAAACCACTTGGGTGTTAGTTTTCACACCAGCTCAGGGGTCCCCCCTGGTGGCAATGGTGTCGTGGCGCTGACGGGTTCCTTTGACGGAAAAACTTTCGTGGCTGATTCTGTCGACTCTTCAACATTATGGTTAGACTATGGACGCGATTTCGATGGTGCTATGAGTTGGGAAAACGTACCTGCATCAGATGGTAGGCGCATTATCGCTGCCGTGATGAATAGTTACGGCTCGAGTCCTCCTACGACTACATGGAAAGGGTTGCTGTCCTTTCCCCGGACGTTAACCCTCAAGCAAATCGGGTCCAAGCGATACTTCCTTCAGCAGCCAGTCACCGAGTTAAGTAAAATCGATAGCAGTCTCGCAAGCATTCAGAACCAAACTATTACGCCAAACCAAACGTTGCTTTCATCAGTTCATGGAACGAGCTTGGATATTCGGGTTGCTTTTCAAATTGATTCAGGTGCCACCCTGTCACTAGCAGTCCGCCAGGGGGGATCGGAGCAGACGGTCATCCGATATTCCCAGTCGAACGCGACGCTCTCCGTTGATCGAACGGCGAGTGGAGACATCTCCTATGATCCAGCAGCGGGGGGTGTTCATAGTGCGCAACTGGCACAGGACAACACTGGGCTAGTTCACATCTGGGTGTTAGTCGACACCTGCTCCGTGGAAGTGTTTGGCGGGCAAGGAGAAGCAGTTATATCAGACCTTATATTCCCTAGTAATTCTTCTGACGGCTTATCGTTGAGGGTGACTGGAGGGACCGCCACATTGCAGTCTGTGGAGGTGTACTCCGTTTCAGTTTGATTGAGATATTCTGTGGTCGTTGGCAGCTGTAGGCCCAGGATTTTGGACAGGTGTTTCTTTTCTGAATAACTATCCTGCTGCAATACGCTGCACTTCGGTGCTCCGTAATGTATTAGATATTTCTTGTTTATTTTGAATTGTGGAATTAGTGTCATCTAACATGGATTTGACCAGTTTCCAGTGAATAACACGCGCTCTATACCATGAAACCCAAGCTGCTCTTCTTTATAGCAACGAATCCAGTAACACAACAGCTTCTCAATTCTGATCAGAGGCCAGCGCAGTCTGTGCCGGTTTGGGGCTCTACCAGTGGATTGGTATTATTTAGAAAGCTGACTTCAAGTTTAGGTAGGGCTGTCAGCCGTTTACGATTATACCCTGTGTAAAATAGAACAACTGTCGAGATGCTAAATTCCAGTGTTATTTACATACCCACTACCTATTTATGATTTAAATTTTAATGAGGCTCAATATGGACGTTAAAATTTTATCCCTTAGCTGAATTTCTTGCTTTCAGATACTATTTGCACGATGCTTGCTGCGCTTGATTTCTGATCATAATTCTGATTTACTGTAGCAATTACGTATAGGAAAATTTGCTGACATGTTTAATTCCAATACAAAGGAAAATATGATGTAGCTTGATATTCATTTCACACAAGTGTGGAGATACGAAAGGAAACAAATCTACACTTGAGCAACAACACAATATCTTGTCCACAGAGAGAATAATGGCTGTCAGCTCAATTTGGAAAACAAATATTGAGACATCTTCCCGACGCCTAACCTAACTGTGAGCACCTCACCCCCACAAACGCATGAACATCGTTCCATTGCTAGTAAAGCCAGCTCAAAGTGAAATCGATCGCACGTTGACTGATTCCAATACCACGTTGCCTCCACTAGTAGCCAAAGAGAGGCTGTCTGAAGAGATATCGGGGAATATCAAATCAGATATCACCACCTCGCCTTGTCCGCCATAAACCTCAAGGGAGCATTCATCAACCAATACTCGTAATTGCACTTGCCCATTTGCATCAGCCTGGAGAGTGGCAGTGTGGATACCGCCAGCGGCAGGATCATATGAGATGTTTCCACTTGCATTTCGATCCACTGAAAGCTGCTGGTTAGACTGCACGTATTTAATTACGGTTTGTTGAGATCCCCCCTTTCGAACGGAGAGGGATAGTGTAGACCCTGGGGCAGGAATAAAAGTCATACTAATATCCAACGACCTAGAATGGACGTTGGAGAGAACCGTTTGTCCAGGTGCAAGGGTCTGGTTTGTGATACTCGCAACTGAGTTACTGATCGCATCAAGTTCGCCCACGGGCTGTTGGAGGAATTGCAATTTGCTATTGACCTGCTTGAGTTTCAAAGTTCGAGGGAATGAAAGCATACCTTTCCAGGTATTGGTTGGAGGGTTAGTGCCGTAGCTGTTCATAACTGCAGCAAGAATCCTGCGCCCGTCTGAAACAGGTACGTTTTCCCAACTCATGGCACCATCCCAGTCACGGCCGTAATCAAGCCATAACGTGGTTGGGTCAACAGGGTCTGCGGAAAATACAGAGCCATTAAAAGACCCAGTAAGTGCAAAGACCCCATTACCACCGGCAGGAGATCCACTGGCAGGAGTCACAATCAACACCCATTTCGTTTGCGTAGTACCATCGATCTGGAGTTGGAAAAAGTCTGGCACTTCCCATCCGTTGATTCCACCTGGAAATCCTACGATATTGCTGGCAGTAAAGTCACTTCTCCACGTCCAAGACTTTGCATCTGGAGATGTCCAGATTGAAACTTTATCTTGTCCCCCTGTGCGAGAATCATGACCCAACTGCTCGTGGGGCCGTGATAGAATACCTTTGGATCCCTTATTTCTAGACCTTTGGTTATATCATATGGTGCCTCTTGGCTTTGCGGTATAATCGGATTGCCTTGGTATTTTGTCCAAGTCACTCCCTGGTCCAAGCTATACGCAAGTCTTTGATCTTGCACCCCACTTGAGGGGAAGTAGCCGGTGAAGAAGGCAAGGTACGGCGGGTTTGATGATGTTCCAAGACCTGAAAGATTCGATACGTCAAAGTATGAAGTTCCTGTGAAAGCCTGTATGCCATCTGCACTCGAGATTGCAACTGGTTTATAATTCCAGGACACAAGGTCAGTGGTAGTGGCATGACCCCAGCTTAAGTTGCCCCAAAAGTTTCCGGTTGGATTATGTTGATAGAAAAGGTGCCAGGTAGAGCCAATTTTGATCAGTCCGTTGGGCTCATTCATCCAGTTCTCATCCGGAACGAAGTGGTAAACGGGACGAAAGTCGTAGGGAGCTGTGGACGAAGGGAGAATGCTGGTGGTGGTGCTTGTGGCGGTAATTAGGGTTGTGGCAGTACTGGTAAAAGTTGAGCTCGCACTGATACCAGTACTTGATTGAGTGGGCGGATCAAAAGCAGAACCAAGGACCTCTGCATTAATGGTGACACCATCTGTATTTCCTCCTGTGGAGAAGAGTAGGACATCAACACCATTGACGCTCGGAAATATTTGAGCGGATAGTGTAACCTCCCCTTCGCCTCCAAAGACTTCAATCGAGGAGCAGTCAAGAAGAATGCGTATTGTAAATTCACCGTTACTGGCGGGCTCCAAAGGCGCATAGTAAGTATTGGGAAATGTCCCGTCAAAGGAAACATCTCCGGATTTTGTTCGATCAACAAAGAGCTCCCTCGTGCTGAAGTCATAGCCAATTCGTGTTTGTTGTGTTAAGTCAGAAGTTGCCCCAAGGATGATACCAAACTGAGACGAAGATGCCACCGAGGCTCTGTCCGAAAAGTTCACTGTAATATCGAGTGTTTCCCCAGAAAGTTGTACGAGCTGATTGCCTTCAGCTACTGTACCGATACTGTTGGAGTATGTTGTCGCCTGCAGGCTGGTCCAATTCGCCGTAGGTTGCTGGATTAATGTTGGCCTGCCGTTGATTGTCCTAAGCGAAAGCTGCCGAGGAATTGACAACATGCCCCGCCATGGAGAAGTAGGGATCGAGCTCGCATATTGCCAATTGTTCATCCATGCAATACTGATTCTATTTGTGGATGGCAATCCATTGAATGGTGCTGCAGCATAGAAATCTGGCCCCCAATCCATCCAGCTGGTCCCGTATGGCTCGGATGATGAGTTTGAGAAGGAAATTTCATCAATCAGAATGTGCCCCCAACCAGCGGTGCTAAGATCAATGATCTCGATGGAGGCAGTTTGCCCAATCAAGTCCGTAACATCCCAGCTTTTTGGTATAAGCATTTCTGCATCAGCGCCTGTTGCAGTGCGTACAACCTGACCTTGGACCATTAGGTTGATGCATTCCACGCCAGGTGCGTTACCACCGCCGATGAGAAAGTTTATTACTGTCTCGGTTATGGTAAAAGATGGGGAGGTGAGTGTTCCAGTAGTAGCATCTCCGTTCAAGAATGTGTTGACGAAATTCCCCATGTAACCAGTCACAACCTGTTGTCCCGCAAGTGTGCCCTGAGCTGGCCCTTGGCCAACCAAATCTCCAGTAGCAATCCAGCCAAGGTCCGCAAAGCTGCTAGTACTATTGAAATCGAAAACATCGCTGCTGCTTGGGGGGTTGTTGGTGCCTGTATTACCGGTGAAGGTAATCTGATCGATTAATATATGTCCCCAACCACCTGTTGCCTGATCGACGATCTCAAGTACAGCAGTTTGGCCCATGAAAGCACTTACATCCCAGGTCTGGGGCAGGAGATTTTCGGCATTGAGACCTGTGCTGGTTCGTACAGGCTGGTTCTGTCCTTGAATTATCAAGTTGATGCATTCCGTGCCCGGCGCGTTTCCACCACCGATAAGAAAGTTTATATTCGGATGCGATATTGTGAAAGGAGGAGACGTGAGTGTGCCGATCGTAGAGTCTCCGTTTATAAATGTATTAACAAGACAACATCCGGAATATCCAGTGACAGTTTGTTGCCCCGCAAGGGTCCCTCGAGCTGGTGCCGCCCCAACCAAACCCCCAGTGGCAACCCAGCCTCGAGAAGCATAGTCACCGGCACCTTCGAAATCTTGAAAGGTTATGTTTGCAATTGCAGTTGATGAGGCAGAGGCGGTGCTTACGGAGGTACTGGTGGATGTGGAGGTCGGAGACGGAGTGTTGGAGTCCGCAACGAATGCTGTTCCATTGAAGCTTCCCACAATGTATTGCATACCTGACCCGGTCACTCCGGGAGGTCCGCCAGGGTTGAGTCCGATTTGCGCAACCCACTTGGGATTGGCCTCATTTCCGTCAAGAGCAAGTGGAAAAATGCTAGGACACTCCCAAACACCTCCTACTGCATTCATAGGGCCAAATTCGCTGGTATAAGTCCAGTCCTTAAGGTTTGGGGAGGTGTAAATAAGTAACTTGTGGAGTTGGGCCAGTGAAATCACTGAAATCCACTTCTGGCTGTCTTCGTGCCAGAAGACGAATGGATCTCGAAAATTTTGCCATTGGTCTGCGTATGGAGCAGGCGGATTGAGAAGGACAGGATTGGCAGTGTCGTAAGTAGTCCATGTCAAGCCTTCGTCCAAACTATAGGCAATCGACTGCGCTTGCTGTCCACCGTTGACTGACTTCCCGCTGGGTAAATTCATGGACCCAGGGTACTAGACGAAAAAACAAAAGCATTAGAGTGGCCACCTGAGAGGGCTTCATATACTCACGTAGGAAGTATACATTGCAACGAATGGTACAGTTCCATTAGTAGCAAAGCCGCTCGTGTTCTGGGTATCGGCGACTGCAGAGCCAGAGAAAAACATTTCAGAGATGGCACCAGGGTAGCCACGAGCTAGGAGAGCGATAGGCTGATGCTCCCAGTGCGTCAGATCATCACTAGTAGCATGTCCCCAGGACATAGCTCCCCAGGTACTTCCTCCGGGATTATACTGGTAGTATAGATGGTAGACGCCATTGTAATACAAAAGACCATTTGGATCATTCATCCAGTTTTGAGCTGGTGTAAAATGATACTGAGGGCGGTAGAGCTCATTGTAGCTTTGAGCGAATGCTTGTTGGAATAAAGAAAGCCCAATAGTCAAGGCCAGGGCAAGCAGAAAGGCCATCGCAAAGGGGTGAATTCGGATTCCTTGAAAAATCACCGATGTTTCGAAGAGACAGACAAAGAGGTTTTTAGGACGCGGCGCAGCACTGGCTTTATACTATTTTTGGTCGGCAGTTTTATATTGGCAAGTTATATTACCTGGAGGCTAACATAAATTCCTCCTTGTAACCACCCTCTTCTCTACTAATTAGTATTATAAATGTATTCTCTCAACCCCACGTTGAAATTTAACCAGCTAGAATTCCGTCGGAGTGAAAACATACTCCGTAGATTCCTGCAGCGAAGAATATGACTAGACTTTGCATGTTACATCGGGCGTGAAACTCAATTATGGATACTAGAAGAAATTAATACGAAGGACGGGTTAGTATAGCTTCAAGCAATTGTATATGAGTCACCAGGTGTGCCTATTTCGTGAAAAGCAGCAGCACAGTCAAGTTAGGGCTACCTCACCAACAGCTCCGTAAATTCCTTCCTCCAGAAACGAGGAAGAAGCTCGCGGAGGTCGCAAGCCACAGCGATAGTCAACCCAAATAGATAGTTAAACACACTACGCACTCGCATCACCTGACTTACAGGAGGTGGATACCGTATAACAGACTAGAAGACAAGTCAGCCTAATGCTAATCCTACTTTACTATTACTTATATTAGTAGATAGAATATAGGATACAGATTAGTAATTTAGTATAGCTCTAAGTAAGTATATAAGACTAATAATTAATAGACTGGTGGAAATATCTAAACTTATATGGAATTCTCTATTATTTCCATGCTTTTAATTCCCCAGTTCCTATGATCAAGTTGATGATATTAAGTTTTAACTAGGGAGCAACCTGTGTACCTTCAAGCACCCAAATATCCAAAGGTCGCTAAGGCTTGCATTTGATGAAAAGGCTGTGTGATAAAGTGTATGTAACTATAAAAGTGAAGAACCCCTATAAATCCATGTTAAATTGGTGGCGCCGGATTCCTGAGACTTCATGTGTAATACTGCATATATATGCCGGCCTAATAAGGAGTACTGGACTAATCAGGGTGAACTACGTCGGGGCGGCCAATGCCAGTTTAGATAAATATTTCCAGGGTAAAGTTCATTATCCCATACAAATTTCAGTGTAACCAATAAACCGCTGGTCAGGCAGGCTGACAGAACGGTCAGTCTATCAATACAAGTACATGAAGAATCGGCTCAATAGGTAATTACGTCAACACTATTACTACATATGCTTATTTTATAAAAAAGGGTAATAGTGTTTATTGCTTTAAGTTATATCATCAACAGCTCTGTAAATTATCCTTTCGCGGAGGTCGCAAGCCACAGCGATAGCCGACCCAAACGGATAGTTAAACACACCGCGCGTACCTACATCCGGCTTCGTAAGCTAAGTTTATAACTTATGCCCAAGTAGTTAAGATTATTCTTATATTGATAGAAAAGGTAATACAGGCGAGCTCTCAGGGTTATAGTTCCGAGTCCACAGACTTTTATCCATGAATAAGGAGCGAGCGAAGAAATGGTAGACAGGCCTCGCAAGGAACCATTTACGGTAGGTGACGAAGACCCCATTGATGCAAAATCGGTTGACGCCCTCGAGGGATCTTAAGCTGAGACACCTTGCAATTGTAAATATCGAAGTCTGAAAGGACAACAATCACCGCCATAGACGGCAGTTGGTGGAGCACCCATCAGTTAAATAGTAAGTTGAACCAATAACGGATATTTTCCTGGTTAGCAGTTTTCAAGCGAGATTCTCTATCTACTCAACAGATTGGATCTGCTTACAGCCCCTGGCAATCTGAGAAATTTTCCTCACTAGACGGAAGCGAAGAACAACGAAGTCTGTTTTACCACTCGCGAAATTGTGTCCTTCCCGAAGCAGGAACAGCCTCACCGCGGAGTTCATCTTATCGTCCGCAAGCCAAGTCTCTCAAACCACGCTGAACCCCGTGGGGAAGCGCTTGATCCTAACGTCTCAAAATCTTACAGAGGGGCTTATTTGTGCGGGGTAAACCTTATTTTTGCGATCTCTCTTCTCCGTACTGTTAGCAGAATATCCACCGTGATCACTGATTTCTGTGACGAGATGTGACCATTGTTTGAGACGCCGCGTCATTGGGTCACATGCCTTGGCGTATACATTGAGCTTTTGTACGCATTAGTTGAGATTACTTAGCCGTTAATTAAGCTTAATACTGGCGTCACCACCCACACTCTTTGATTGTTTCTCAGACCTTAATGCCAAGAAACGCTAAGCTACTTTTAACATACCAGGTTGCTGGGCCTTGTAATGTACTTGTACCGTAAAATACCGGATGATCGACAATTCCCAACGTTCCCGAAGAAACACCTTTTAACCAGTTCACTTTTTTATTTCGAATTTGATTGTAGAGACTCGCGTCATAACTCTTAGAACCTTCCAAATATTTCCTCTGCATTTGCATTACAGCATAGGGAAACCCGATAACTGACAGGGAAAAACCTACACCGAGGTATACATTATCATAAAACCCTCCGAAACTTTCCAATACAATGAAAAAAGAGAGACTTCATTCGTTCATTCATTTTACTTTCCCAGTTCTTCCCATACTTTCCTATTAAGAAATCATGCAAACTCTTCAGGGCGGGAGAGCCTGACTAAACGTCACCTCTCCGTATAACGGCTCATGAACCTGAGGTGGAGAGCCATTAAGTTCAATGAGGGCAGGCAAACTTCCCTCCCCGATATTGATGTAGAGCTCCTATATAATTATTAGCTTCGGCCTGAAGGCGGGTAACTGTTATTCTGCTGCCCAAGCTCATTTGCTGCTTACATCCTGCTTCCTCTCTAGAGTGGCTGGATACGTCCTGTCCTGTATATCATTCCAGAAGAGTGTACTACCAGGACTTTGTCTCTCTTAGTGAGTCTTCAAATTAATGAATGAGAATGTAACACTAACCGTATTGGAAGAGCCATGCTCCCAGAAATTGGTCCGCGGAAATGGCCTGTGGCTGAGAAGCCGCCAGGAATTCCTGTCGAGACTTGGAATGATAAATCCGCCGGGCTGACTTCTATTTCTCCTTGCAAAGGAGCCCTATTTTTCCAATTAGGGGGCATCTTGACTTGAGTGACACTTGAATAGAACGAGATATTTTGCTCTGTATTGCTCTGTGATTACCGTAGAATCATACATTCACCAAGTAAGCAAGATCAGTGGATAATCGAAACTAAATATACTTATGGTATATAATTACCAGCTGATAAATGATGCAATTAGTTATTCTCATTGTCACGTCATACAATCTATATTATTGGAATAACATGGTAAGGATTTTTAAATTGCAGTAATGTGTTGGAATGAAGACTAATCTCGACGTCTTCGGAAACCGTGGCTGTCTGGGAACCCTGGCATACGGAAACCTAGCTATCAGCACATAATCTACATCTAGCCAGCCACCGTCAGCTCTGTCCCCAATGTAGTGTGATGTGGTTATTGGAAATGCAATAAAAACATATGAATGGTATCTATTTTTTGGTGTTACCGGAAACGGACGACTATCATTTAACTACCGTTAAAGAAGTCGACAAATGAGCCGTCATGACCCGACTGGCTCGTAACTCATGGCCCGTTCTAGCTTTTTGTGTTTGGTTGTTTGCATTTGTGGAAAATTCTAGACTACGATGGACACGTCATGATACAGTTACAAGATATGACATCATATTACAGTTAAAGTAAGATACTGTATGGATAACGATACAGGAACATTGATATTCTAGGGCTATTTTTTATACAGTCTAGTAGATTTTGGCATTGGGGTTTAAGAAATAATCTTGATTAGAGTTTAGATATAAGCTATATATAGTTATAGTAATGATAATCAAATGAATGGTGGGGTAGTATATACCGCTCATCGCTTTCATGCACGTCCATTCCTCAATAGGCTTGGTTCTCTACATCCACTTTTGTGACAATTTCCACGCCATCATTGACCATGCCTCTGTCAAATATAACATCAATTTCCTCCATGGACATGCCCCTATCTCTGGAAAATAGAAATAAATCACCACACATTCAGCTAAGCACCACAAAGCGGTGATCGAGTAGAACCCCCAGGTAATTCTCATTGCGAAGGGTATTATTATGTATGTGTTGAAGAAGGCCGTAAGGTAGACGATGCAGCTGTAGACTGCCAATCCGTGTGCACGAGTTGAGTAGGCGGCACCTTTACTGGACAGAGTGCGGAAAGAGGCGTCCACACAAATGAGTATATTCCGAAAAAGAGGAAGATTAGGAACACCAAACTGTCCGATGCGTCTGAATTATCTCTACCAATATACATTTTTGTGATAATGGCGTATATGAACAGAGTCATGCCCATTAGAGCGGTGGAGAACACTGATACCAGTTAGCGGTATTTCATAATATAATTTGGACCGTCAAGTATCAAGGTTCTCTCACAGAATGAAGGGCGACGACCGAGTTTCACAGAACAGAAGCTTCCAAGCACGCATATAACTAGACTGAAGCTACTGATACCAATATTGATACCGAGCTGCGTCTGTACTTCTGTGATGCCCACAGTGGTAAGAGTGTTCCCAAGATAATAAGTAATGATATTGTTCCCGCCCACTGGCAGAAGACATCAGTAGAAAATATGTTAAATCAGTAATTGATACTAGTTTGTGTGTGTCTCTAACCGGCCGTGGCTCTAACCGGCCGTGGCTGCAATAAGGCCAAATCTCTAGCGATTGGATTTTGTTGATAAGAGGGCTTTAAAGCCGATCTGTTGGGACTCTTTTTCTTGGCAAATTGTCTTGTATTCTATGGCAACAATAGGGGAGTTGACATCACCTGCTCCGTGGTATTTGATTATCATCATCTTGGCTTCTTCATGACAGTCTTGGTAGATCAACCATCGAGGAGATTCAGGCATAAAAGCCAAGGGCATAATGCACAGGACTGAAGGGAGGAGTGGATCTGAACCAGAATCGAGGTTCAAAGAATGGTCATAGCACCCACCCGGGATGGCAATCTCCATGCCCAGGTAGAGTTGAGATATTGACTAACAAATGTGATTAAGGCAGCAAGAATGCTCCCAACATAATAGGCAGGCCCCCACAGTCCGACCAGCATCTCACGGTTGCGCGGATGAGATACCTCCGCAGGATATCTGGGGACACTGCCAGCTATCGCAGGTATCTCCGCACCTTATAGGTACTTACGCCGGTGCAGCCACGGATCCTGTATTGATCGAGATACCTATTAAAGCCTGCCAATACAGAACATAGCTTCATGGACGGAGACGGCTTAAATCATACCAATGATAGCGATAGCTGAAGTTGCCACAAGGCACTATTTGCGACCCCATTGGTTGGATAGAGTGCCAGCGAACGGAGTTGCGATCACGGCTCCAACGAAGACGATGGCAACATTCAAAGAAGTAGTCACAGTAGTCAGGCCAAAGTAATTGGAATTCGCAGGCAAAATTGAAGTCTATTCGGATGGCCAAGCCTGTCAGTTCAGTTATATGGGTATCTATGCAGGCAGCTATTGCAGTTACTATCATCGAAGAATCATATCCCAGGGTTGTAGATTTCAAGATTGCTATGAAGGCACACGCGAAGAGGATAAACCTCGCGTTCGTATTGTCGCGAGCCATGATGGTACTACAATGTCACTCCCCGGGACACAAGATACGCTTGCACGAACCCTCCTCAGGTCTGCAATCCACCCTGAAAACATCGTCATCGTCAATCAGTCAGGGTCGCCCGTGGAAATAGACTGGGAAACCGAGGCAAATACCATAGCCCACGCATGGTACAGTGGCCAGGAGGTTGATAACACTCTCTGCGATATTCTCATTGGTATGGTTAGCCCATCAGGTCGGCTACCTATCAGCTGGCCGTTCAAACATACCGACTTGGACTTCCAAAAATTAAGCACACGTGGCCTGGTACAGACGAACAAATATTCTATTCCGAAGAGATTTTTGTTGGGTATCGCTGGTATCTTCATCATGGGGTCAAGCCGAGATATTGGTTCGGTTATGGCCTTGGATACTCAACTTTCGATATCTCCAAGCTTGAGATATCGAAGACAACCTCAGGGTGGGATCTCATTGTGGAGGTGAGCAATACAGGTAAGGTGGCCGGCCTGGAGGTTGTTCAGCTGTCATCAACTTTCTGCGATGGTACTGGGGTCTGGGAACTGAGATGGGTTGAAAAACACATATTTTGGCGGTGGGCAAAATGCGGAGGGCGATTTTGAGTCTTGAGAAGAGGGATCTGGTCCACTGGGATGGAAGATGGATTACAGAGAAAGGCCTGTATCTTCTGGAGGTTGGAAAAAATGCTGGCGATGAAATTATGCTGACCGCTCAGGTGAGAATTCATGAACAGATAGAATGGTGAATTAGAAAGACATTTTTATAACATCCTTTTAGTACTTAATACTCTAAAATTTAAAGATAAAAGAGTGTATTCTGATGAGATTATTACCTTAATGTACATCTATTATAATATGTATCTATGTATTAACTAAGTGTGACGTGGTGTTGTTGATATTTAGAGAGGATAAAAATAACCATTTTCTATGCAATACGAGGCTGTGCAGGGTGCATGTGGAATACGTTATGGAATACCAGTAGAACGTTTCCCTCATGCAGGGAATCCCTGGCTAAGTACAAATTTCCCATCCTTGATTTTATAGGTGTATACACTGCGGACCACAAGAATTTCACCTTTTTTAAGTGCTACGAAGCCTTCTGGAAAGCCGGCTTCCTCAAAAGGTTCTTTGATCACGTCGTTCTTGGCCAGAAATTTGGTTTTCACCTCAGCCGCGATACCATCCTCGCCTTGGTAGAAGTTCACCAAGTCGAAAGTCTCCACCATCTGTTCTGCTGTGACATCCATAAGTTGTAAAAGCCGTGACTTGCTGTAGCTGATATTTCCAACTGTAACCTGAATGGAATCGTCGAAATATTGATCTGCAATATCTCGAATTTTGCCGAGGTTGACTTGCTTGAGATATTCCTCGTATGTTGCTCGATCCATATTTACTGAAAGGAGTAAGCCAAAAATCTCTTACATTTCAGGTTAGGATCCTCTTACAGTGAATTGCAGGGTGGAGACCTGGGAAGTGTTTTGATAGTTATGGCAGAGAAATTACTGGAATCTCAATTATGTCCATGTAGGTTCGACTTGACTCTTTATATTGGAAATCAGGCTACTGTTCTTTAAAAAAATCACCGTGAACTTCTCCAATTAGCTTATCATTCTCCAACATCCGCTGATTTGATTCTCGGAGAATCTTGTATACGAGTTTCGCTTCGCTGGGGCCTTCTTTTCTTGGCGAACTTTTCCATGCCCAAATCTCATTGGCCGACTTGGACAGAATGGGTATCTATATGTCAGAAATAATATGCGACTATAATACCACAGGAATCCTTACTAAGTCAGGGTTGCGCCCTTTTTGGTATAGCGGTTAAAAGTTGGACACTATACCACTAACTACTTTCAGAATTGGGAAGTTGCTAACGAGCCTGTGCTAGAGCTAATCCATCGCCCGTCCTATATATTGTCACTAGTTACAAGGTTATTATAGTATGATATGAAAGAGTTTGAGGAAATTAAGATTGAATTTACTGTACTGTGCTCGATTGATTTGCCCTCTAAGACTATGCCTTAGTAGTTAGTACTACCTATTCCATTCAATCTTCTTCATTTGCCATACACCGACTCCGTCGAACTCTCGCTCTTGAGAAATGGTTCTTGAAAGAGTTGCCTTTCAAACCTCTGACGACGTCACTATTCGCGGCTGGTTTTTTACGCCATGCTCGTCCTCATCAACCCCATTACCTTGTCTCGTGATGTGCCACGGGTTTTCTGCCTTGAAGGAAATGGACTTGAACACATTTGCCGAATACTTTACCTCTAAGCTACCTATCAGCTGTCTAGTGTTTGACCACCGAGGTTTTGGTGAGAGTGATACAAAGGAAGGACAGCCCCGATATGAGATCATTCCCTCACAACAGACCAGTGACATCTCCGATGCCATCACTTATGCACAATCTCGATCAGATGTTGACGCTGACAAGATTGGCCTCTGGGGAAGTTCCTATAGTGGCGGACATGCACTCTGGGTTGGCGCTACAGACAAGCGGATCAAAGTTGTGCTGTCCCAAGTCCCTTGTGTTGATGGTTACAGTAATTTCCAGAGGCTGATTCGTCCGGATTTTGTCGCAAATATGAACGAACTATTCCAAAAGGGTGAGAGCTTTTTTGTCAACGCAACTGAAAAGGATGTGGTTCTGAAGCCGAATATATTTTTCTAGATCGCTTGGAACGCGCTTCCGGAAAACCTCCTGGCATGTTACCAGTCATCGATGCCAATCCTCTTAACCCATCTGCATTGCCTACACCAGATAGCTACGATTTCTTTTCCACCTGGGCCAAAAAGTGCGACTGGCAAAATAAAGTTACTCTTAGAAGGTGGCGTGTTCTTCTTTGCCTTACTTGCACTTGAATCAACCACTAACTATTAGTAGCATCGAGGCTCTTCGGGAATATTATCCATCTGCTCATATCCATCGTATCGCCCCGACACCGTTGTTAATGACAGTGGCTGTTAATGACGTCCTATCACCCACTGATCTGTCTTTGGAGGCATTTTCTCGTGCTTTGGAGCCCAAGACCCTTCAAATGCTGCCTGGTGGCCACTTTGAGGCCTATTCTGGTCCGAACTTTGAGCGAAATGCAGCATTTCAAGCGGAATTTCTAAAAAGTCACCTAGCTCATACTAATTAGTGAGCTAATTCAGTATGAATCTCCATGCTGGACACGACATCAGCATATTGTGAGGCCATATATTCTTAAATATCATCTTCAGGGCTTTTTAATACAATCATGCAATCGAAATTCCTTTTGACTCAAGTCATAAAAAGATCAGTAAATGATATTTTGCCGTTCCATGATTTATTCAAATTCATTAAGTCAGTTTGATTGTACAAATCTATATACCGTTACCTGGCCAATATGCTAAGGAGAGTGGCTTTGGCCATAAAACTTTCTGTTATTGATTTCTGTTTTCGTTGCATGTTTTCAAAACCGTAAAAGAGAGGATCTAATTACATTTGTTGAAGTACTAGGAAATAAGAACAGGATCAATTGGTATCTGAAACAAAGGGTCGAGCACTCCATTGGTTTTTAGGTAACGCTTTGGAAAGATAGTCCCATTGAAACTCCGAGCATACCTATAGAACTTTTCCTCCTAGTGCGTTTAGGCCGCGGACTGTCAATTGGTAGAGCGACCCATTATTAATAAAGTTCCGATGATTTGGTCTCAGACATCGTCGATTGGTTCTACTGTCTCCAAAACCATTCCTGTGGGCTCTTTGAAAACTTTCCGAGAATAGGCAAACCAATTAATCAGGCTCACGGTAAACACCCCAGCAATGACGGCGATTGAATAGTTCATGGTGAGAGCCGTAACTGGCAGATAGAGAGGGAAGAAAAGCCATACTATGATGAAAATGGTCCACAATATAGCAATGACGTTGAAAATCGCACCAAATCGTCCAAGGTTGAAATAACGATTATCAGGAAGATTATTCCTGGCTCCGAGGAACAGAATAATAGGCACAACGTAGGACAGCATCATACAAATTATTCCGGCACCCAGGATTGCATTAATGGCAGTTGTTGAACCGAGCTGGATTGCACCTAAAGCGACTGAAGCAGAGAACCCAAATAGGATAGCAGGCACTGGTAATTCATCTTTGGTCATGATTCTCGAGAACAAGTGAGGGAATGGTGTACCATTATCTCTGGCTAGAGACCACCAGATCCTGCTGAATGTTGTCAGGATTGTCACTGCAGACATGATCATTGCCAAAATAAGAAGTAGTGACGAAATTATCGTCAATGGTAGCGATGCCATGGAATCAAGGAAGAGCTGGATGATTGGTTGATTTCCCACCGGGTTGTAGAGAGCTTCCTGATTGACAATAGAGAACATGTATGCAAAGATCATCGGAATAGTGGCAACGAAGCTGAGTAAAGCACTGATCATCATGACTTTAGGGACCTGCTTCCTGGGTTCGGGCATTTCCTCAGCTAGATGTGCTGCTGAATCGAATGCATTTACTGCAGTGACACCCGGAAGAAGGCCAATGAAGAACACCACTCCCTTTGAATCCCAGCCAGTGTTATTTATGATATCAACGAATACTGCTTCGGCGCTTTGTTTCGGTGTTGCTCGGACGAGGAGGACGATAAAGATAAAGATGGCGCCTAGGTTGGTGTAAAAAACCATGGTTTTCAGGAGATGAGGATACCATCGAAAAAGCGGAATGTTGATAATCAGAGCAACAACAGCACATGCGATAAATAGTACGTAGAAGTGCCACAATTGAGTTACAAACGTCGAATCGCAGGCTTGGACGAGAGCCCAGGTCAACTGCGAGGTGAGAAGGCAGGATGAGGCACCCCAGAAGAGCCAGCCAGCAGATGTCAGCCAACCGCTAAGATAGCCCATTGGTCTCACGAAGCGCTTCGGTGAGAGGACTGCAGTCCAGTATATCTGACCTGAATTGCCAACTTAGTTTCAGCTTTTATTTAAAAATCGAACACATCTAGTACTTACCGGATGCATGGGGATATATAGCCGATATCTCGGCCAAAGAAATGCAAATGCAAAGATTCATAAGTGCAGAGAAAATATACCCAAACAAAAAAACAGGGCTTCCCCCAACACCCACACTGACTGAGAGGTAAGAGCCAATGGCTAGAGGAGTGCAGGTGACTGAGAAGGCCAATCCGAGAGTGCTCCACAGGTTAAATGGCCGTTGATGTAGCTCCTCGAAATTCGCAACACCGATCGTGCTGTCGACATTCTGTAGAGATTTGGACTCCAAGATGGATTTCTTCGAGTTCGCCATATTGACTTTTTTATAATGGATAAATCACTTTAGGTGGAGGATATGAGAAAAGCAGCAACTGAAAATGATGAGAGCGGCCATCCTTTTCAGTTGAAAATCATCTGTTCAAAGTCATTATTATACCTTCCACAATACGCATAAGACTAGACGACTCCTAATTCTAAAGTTCGGCTGTCTCTTATCAGCGCACGCACTGTGATTAGTTTCACCCCACAATCCCCCCACATTCCTGTAAAATCAGAAATGGAAGTTAATAGCGAACACTTTGCCACTCTTATCAGTATATAGTTTTCAGCAACACGTATTACCAAGTGCTGCAGTTACTTTGACTGGTAGTCATTCTCCAACCAATTGCCATTCATGTAGGGCAAGATATGGAGCATGGAATAGAGAAGGGCGAATCATTATTACAAATTTAAGCTTCATTTCATTATGTATTCGCACTTAGCAGCAAAATGCGCCAATCTCATTCAAACTAAATGAACTTCAGCCAATGTCGATTTCAGCACTTTGTGGGGAATTAATCATCCAATTTATGGAGCACATAGTATAGATTTGGTTCATCAAGATTGTTGGTTTTGGTATCAACTTTCACTAACCAGAAGATAAAGGGGTCAACAAAGTCACAATCTACGTGTCCAATGCCCAACGTTCTGGAATCGACGTAGTTAATATTCTCTAAATAGAGTTTTGAGAATCATCAGTAACCTCTACGCATCTTCACATAGCTCATAAGATTTGATAGATGATTTATTATAATAAAACTTTGTCTATAAGCAAAATAAACGAGAAGAGCCCTTTGGGATTCTTACTCGCCAGTCATGCAACCAAACGGCGGAGAGAATAAAGACAATATTTTTCAAGCCTGCAAGAATAAGACAGATACTGCCTTGGTTTTAGTAGGTTATGATAATAGCAGCCGTAAGAGATATGTGATCGTATCGGTCGCCATGTGACAAAGCGGCCAAGCAAATGCCTAGGGAATCCAAGGCACACATCGACGGAGAGAAACAAGTATAACCATGCTATGTTGATAGTAGCTTGTAGATAGTTCCGAAAGAAGGTAGGTATGAACAGGGATTTATTGTAAAGTATAGTAGGCTTAAAATCAGTTTAAGTCTTCTCATACACACACCATTCCTCCATTGGCGCACACCGTACTACCAGTAGTCCATCGGCTCTGTTCCTCACTCAAAAATGCCACAATCTGCGCAATATCGTCTACTGTGCCAATCCGTGGTGCTGCGGGAGTTTCAGCAGCCTTATTCGCCTCCCACATATCTCGTACGTCCTTATCTGTCTGTAGCCACATATCGGTTTCCACTGGACCAGGATTCACACAGTTCACGGTGGCTCCATACTTATGGCCCAACTCAATGGCGAGCACTTTGGTGACTCCTTCCAAAGCTGACTTTGAAGCGGTATAGGCAGTTGCTTGGGGGCTACCAACCCGCGCCATGATACTGGACACGTTGACAATCCGGGGAGCCTCACCAAAAAATTGCATGGCCGCCTTGACCAAGAAGATGGGCATTCTGACATTAATGATAATATGTCGGTCAAAGTCTGATTCCGTCAAATCTTCCAGGAAGATATCGTCACCGATCCCGGCGTTATTGATGATGATATGAATTTTACCCCACGCTTCGACAAGTGCCTTCACAATCTTGCCAGGAGATTTAATGTCCAGACAACTTGCCTGGAGAGCCATTCCTTTCGTTCCGAGCTTTTCAATCTGTTCAACTACGCCCTCAGCAGCCTTGGCGGACTTCTCGTAGGTAATCAGAACGTTTGCTCCACGTTTGGCCAGCTCCAGAGCAATACCTTTCCCGATACCTCGCGAGCCGCCAGAGACGATGGCATTACGTCCAGCAAGGCTCTTCGACATGTTGAATTGTTTACCTGTGATATGTTAATTTTGGATGTGAATCCAGCATAGATAATAAAGGTCTGTTGCGGATCGCAATTTTCGAAATAAACATACACACTTGGTTTTGTAGGAGATAAGAGATAAGAGGAATTACCTATGAGATTAACTTTTGCCACTTGTCGGTGGAAAGGAGTGCTCTCAGTTGATCTTAGAAAATGATGACACAAACATCTAGTTGCCTAGGGGAAAAGTGTGTAAATATGTACAATTCCAGGAAAAGTAGGAAGATACTGCATGGAATACGCAGAGCAAATGTCATGGCCTATGTATCGCGTGAAACAAGCACACCGTCCGCGGCAGTTCTAAGCGAAGTGAGTACACCCCACGTCGAGTTACCAATGCAAGTAGGAGCGAGTCTTCATTTCCAAACCTCAACATGATAATAATCGACACAGCTTCTCGCTATTAATTCCTCTATTTTGCCTCACTCAACATTTATTTGCCAACATAGTCCCTATTAATAATGAATATTGGAGAAAAAGAACGGGGGATTGCTTACCACTCAAGACTGTTAGGTCATGGTGGGACCACAGTCTGGAACGAAATAGACAGCTATATATCGAGGTTGTCCTCTGTTCTTGATTGTTTGATTGAAGATATTTAAAGATATTTTTTTTGGGACAAGTGTCTTTTCTTGGTATTCCTAGGCTTTCGACCTCGAATGGTGACCATGGCCCAAACACTAGTTGACGGCGCCGTCAGCCAAAGGGATGACAGTTTCACGGCATCTGTCAAGAGAAATACCCCGGCTTTGTCCCCTCGGGTAGTTGACCTGATGGAGAAGGAAGGCAAGTACGTTGTTGGCGGTTTTACACCCCTACCTGCGTACATTGCGAGCGGGGAGGGGTCGAAGCTTCATGTAAGTTCACTTCCTAGCATTTCTTGAATGGTAGTCATAAAATTCTCACTTTTAAATATGAATCTAGGACATTGATGGGAAGGAGTACATCGATTTTATTGCGATGTTTAGTGCTGGCAGCCTGGGTCAATGCCATCCCAAGCTCGTTGAAGCTATCACTATGACTGCTCAAACTTGTAAGCAACACATTGCTTGCAAAGTCAACTTGTCTATCAAGGACCGGGGTTGCTAACGTTCCATCTTCTTACAAAAAGCTACAATTGTTAACACTTCTATGCGCGTCGCCACATGGCCCACGTTTGCCGAAATGATGTGCCGTCGATTTGGGTACGACAAGATCACCGCCGCTGTCACTGGATCAGAGGCAGCAGATACTGCTGTGAAAATTGCTCGGAAATGGGGTCGAGAAGTTAAGGGCATCCCAGCAGACAAACTGCTTGTTTTGGGTGTCGGGGATAACTACCATGGCCTGACGTCGGGAATTTGGCCTATCATGAACCCAGACAAAGAAAGAGATGGTAGATACTGACGGATTTAAGCATCCGAGGTCTCCTTGGTGGATCTGACTGGCTAACAGATAATCTTCTATTATAGCGTATGGAGTCTTCGACGAGAAGCTCACCAATTTGCATCCTAGCAAAAAGACACTATTGCGGTACGGTCACATTGAGGACATGGAAGCATGTTTGGAAGAGCACCATAGCAACGTTGCTGCTATTATCATGGAGTGTATCCATGGTCACCTGCCGTAAGCGATGAAAATATTCAACTTGCGAATTGCTGAAAAAAGGCCTCACTAACTTTTTGTGTACAAGAGCCTTCGAAGAAGACCAACAATACGCTAGATCAGTTGCTCTTCTATGCAAGAAATACAACATTTTGTTTATCTCTGATGAGATTCGGATGGGCGCCGGGAAGACAGGGCGCTTTTTCTGCTCCGAATGGTTGGGCGATGATATCAAACCTGATATGATCACAATCGGCAAAAACATCACTGGAGGTGCCTACCCTGCTGCATTCGTTCTAGGGAATAACCAGTGCATGTCACTGGTTAAGCCCTACCAGTGTGCGGGAACGTTTGCGCATACGCCAATGGCCATCGCCTGTACCATTGCCGCCTTGAAGATCATTGATGAAGAAGGTCTCGTTGCACGAGCGGCAAACATTCAACAACGGTTTCTCGACTTTACGAAGGACTGGCTGCGAATGTTCCCCTTCATTGAGTATGTCACAGCTCGGGGAGCTGACCTCAACATTACTCTTAAATCAGACTACCACAATCCTAGTGTCACAGCTAGGCGCTTTGCTGCCCTAGCCATGCACAAAGGGCTGATCACATACCCATTAGACGGACGTGTTCGGATGTCAGTTGCAATGACTATCTCTGATAAGGACCTGCAAAGAGGGTTTGACATCCTACAAGACACTGCGACGGAAATTGAGCAATACGAGGAGATTGCAGGTGGTGTTCATGAAACCGAGTGAATGTATTGGTTTTCCCTGTCTTTCGGAAGAGGCTTATTGAAGACTGCCTATGCTTATATTTCCAATAGCTCTTTCTTCTATATTATAAAATGTATGGGGTCTGTTTTTAGATTTGTTTACGCATTCAAACTAAGAGTATGTCAAGGCCCATTTCATCCATGACCCTAGTCCAATGAAGAGCAACATCAACTGAATTCAAATCTTTCCGTCGTCTTTCAACTTCTAGTAATACCTGTTTTGCCGCGGAGTAGTTTCCTATCCTCCTGGGCCAGTCGAGATCGAAAAAGGCGATAGCAGTCTTGCATACCTCTGGATCTATAGCTTCGGCTGCAATGATGAAAATGGGCCAAGAAAGACAAGGCCCTTGTAGTTCATGGTCATGGGAGAGAAGGCCTTGAATGTAAGGAAACGCAGCTGTCACAATCCACTGAACGTCTGTAACTGGGGTATGCAAAACCTGCCTTTCAAAATAGATTTCGCATGCATGATAGAACAAGTTTCTAATACAATTTCTGGCATATGCATCGGGAGCATCTGATGGAGGATGATGAAAGAAGGCAGGATTTGCGGAGGTGATCTGAAATCCCAAGGCTTCAATTTCTTCTTGTGATGCCCCTGCGCTTTTCTGGACCAACAAATTCGTCCAAATGATAGATTCAAATACATTCAGCGGCAGCCCAAACATGCGTTCTAGGTGATATGAATCGTGGAGCACAGGAACCCTGAGCCTGAATCGGTCGATCGTGCAGTATTTGAGCGACAAAAAGGGTTCACGCAGCGAAGGCGTGAGTGGTCGCTTGCCAGAGAAGCCAAGAACCTCCAATAGTAGAATTAGTTCGATCAATATCGACGCATTAGGGTCCTGAGACGGAATCTCCAAATCTCGTGATTTGATCCACAATCTTCCAGCTTGCAGATGCAACTGCCAGTTTTCGCGAGAGTTCGGTAGAGGACGAAAAACGTCAATCAAGGTACTCATTGTTAACGCTGCGAGAACTGTTAGTCCCTGATGGACATCTTGGTTAGAGAAGCAAATGCTAAGGAAGTTCAATGTTTTGGCATAGTAAGACTCTCCCAGCTTGATATACTCGTGGCCGTCCTGGACCATGCGGGCTTTACTGAACGCTGATGCAGTCATGATCGACCAGAAAACCGCACTATTCGCAGGGCCCATTCGATCTAGATCCATTGACTCTACCATGGGGGTGATTATGGTGATGTATGGGTTCTCCGTTGCAAACGGGATCATCAACCGGACAAGGTATCTTCTCCAGTGATGGAACAGTTCACGCAGCTTAAGGGGGGAATTTATATCGGGCTCCTCAGTGGAGACAACAGATGCAGGACCCCAGGGGATTATCGTCTGGTCGGGGGCGAGATAGTCTGTGCCGGCGGGGCCAGTAGACGAGTTGGATAATGGAGATAGATAATTCAGATTACGATGAGAAAGAGCATCATGGAAAACACCAACATCATCGGCAGTCACACATTCTGCGGGGGATATAACCTCATCTCTAAACTGGGGATGGTCGGAATCATAGATTCGTGAGGCAGCGGGCACTGCGGCGCCGATTTCAGATAATGCGGATGAGATCGAATGCGGGTGCGCAGCAATGGATGGCGACTCGGGCTTCAGTCGAAATACCCCAAATGGACCATGCTGCAATGGGCATCCTTGATTGTTCAACTGCTCGCTGTTCAATTGAACCTCATGCAAAATCGTATCTAGTTCGATCTCGTTGTATGAAGGTAGGTCCATGTTGAACACCGTCAGGGCGGGAATATGACGGCGTTTAGATCGACTGGGGTTACTGTCGTCACTATCGTTGTCTCTACGTGAAAAGAGATCCCTAGAACCCCAGTGAGATGCTGCCTGCCTCTGGCAGAGCTTTTCCGGTGTTATTGTAAGCCAGGTAAGACGAATCTCGAAGCCCTCGCATTCACGATTGGTATTCATGCACCTGAAACACTGTGGTTTGTGTTCGTCACATCGGACGCTTCGCCGTCGACAGGTCCAACATCCATTAAAGGATTTGATACTTTTGCCATGTGGTGCTCTCCGTAATCTGACATCGCGATTCTTCTGCATTATACCGGGGACGATGAGGGACCAGGCTTGATGGAACCTGGGTTGCGGACCTTCTGGGCGATACGTCTTTCTTCTCTGCCGACCATCATCAGAGGGTGAACAGAAAGGACGAGCTGCAAGATGCCCGAGCACATACTCGATGATTACGGCAAATAGTGACGATAGAATGGACCGCAACGCAAGGTATTCCAAGTTGACAGAGCTGTGCTCTTATCATGGGGATAGATAACCACGGCGCTGCTGAGCGGACGGGCCCCTCTGAGCGGCAGTTATCTTCGGCTTGGCTACCTAGCAGTGGGGGTGCCCAACTGCAAGCTTCGCTCAATTGGGTTGTTCTTTTCGCAAAATCCATCAATTACCCTGAGAAATGCATAAAACGAAGAGGTTTCAAAAGAACGCCCTGCATTACAGGACGAGCATGCAATTCAACCTCTTGCGTGGGCTCGCCGGTTACTATCAACGTACAGAGCTAATAGCTGTTCATAGAGACGCAGATTCTCTATATGGAGGTGAGACATCGAGGGAATATTTAATTTATATCAACAACAGCTGCTAGGATTCATCCAAATGAATAAGACATTTGTACAAGATAATGCTCTAATCCATACAGCGTACATTATTCAAGACCTTTTATGGCCACTATATTCGCCTGGTCTCAACCCTATTGAAAGTCTATAGGCAATAATGAAGGCTAAAATCTATGAGCTATATCCTTGCTTGTAAAATCAGCTCCATGACATTGATTCTAACCAGCGGACTTCCTGGCTTTACCGGGGGTGGCAAATAGGTACTTTGGCACCCCCACTGAGTAACCGGGGTCGTCAACGACAGCGAACGTATTTCTCAAGAACAAATACTTCATGTAAATTCTTTAATTATTTTCACAACAGATACTTACAGTAGGAAAGATAGGTTTTATTATATCTGGACTGAATCATATTGAATACTTGTTCAATGGAAGAAAAAAGTTAATAAATAGCCAACCAAGGAGACAAATTGACATGGCGGCGATGCATTTCAAGCGGTTCTTTCGGAAGGTGAGAGCGAGCAAACTAACTTTGGGTAGTGTTCTTTAGGGTAAGCTAAAGCAATTTTATCGCTCTGACTTTCCTAATTCTATTTGAACCTTATTTTCTTTGGGGTAACAGCATTCCGATTCGTTGACCTTTACAACGAAAGTGTGCGGTGGGGTTGTAGCTGCTAGCTTTCTCTGTTAGTGGCGCCAGCCCATAGATTTGGGTCCATTTCCTATACAGGATTCTATTTAATTAGTCCTTTGATAATGTCGACCTGCATTCAACTTAAACAACGGTGATTGATAAGTCGGTGGGTAGGGTAGTTCCGTCCGATCATTCCCCAAGGCACTTTGATCAGAAGCATTTACAACATAATTCACCCCAGCATTTTGGCTCATCGGAGGTTGAAAACTTGGTTTCACAGACAAAAGAAATACGCTATATAGCGTTGAAAATGTCGGGTATCTTGAGGTAAATCGGTCTATTGCTTAATGCTTGGAGAACGCTCGGTGACGCTCGGTGAGATGTATCTTGCGCAAGCTAACCATATTTAATTGAGAAGTATCAAAGGAAGAGTTGCCATCGTCACTGGTTCATCCTCTGGACTTGGCCGAGCAATTGCTTTGGCCTTGGCCTCAGAAGGTGCTATAGTTGTCTGCAGCGATATTACACCCGTTTTACGAGCCGGTGGATACGAAGCAGATAATGCACCAACGCACGAGATAATCGCTAGGACGAGTAAGGCGATCTTCAAGAAAGCAGATTCCAGTTCAGCAGAGAATATGGAAGCACTTGTCGAAGCCGCAGTGGCCACATATGGTCGTCTGGATATGTATGTGAAAGTTCTTCTCCTGTGTGGTGTTTGGAAATGACTTATAAGCTCCATTTTAGCATGGTCAATAACGCAGGGGTCTTCTGCGGGCAACACCGAGTAGCAGAAGAGTCGGTAGAGGCATTTGACAAGACAATGGTAGGAAATCCAAACCATGGCTGAATATATGAAGGAAAAACTTATTCTTAAAGGCAATTAATTCCCGAGGTGTCTTTCTTGGAATGAAGTATGCCATTGCACAAATGATGAAGCAGGAGCCTCGAGCCTCTGGAGACCGAGGTTGGATAGTCAACATCTCATCGATTGGTGGCTTGGTGGGGTTGTCAATGGAACGTAAGCAATTCTTTTCTCCATTGCAACGATACATAAAGGGGTTTATGGGTTACTGACTTAGTGACAGCTTCATACTGCGCCAGTAAAGGCGCCGTGGTGGCATTGACCCGCCAGGCCGCCCTTGACTACGCCCCCGATAAAATCCACATCAATGCTGTCTGTCCTGGATTTATACGCACTGCCATGGTTCGTTCCGCCTTGGAAGATGCGGCGCTCAACAAGGAGATTCACGGTGCTACTCCATGGCCGCACTTAGGCGTGCCAGAGGATATTGGAAAAACCGTGCTTTTCCTAAGTGGTGATGGTGCTAGTTGGATCACAGGCGCTGTCGTGAACGTCGATGGTGGATACTGTGCTCAATGATGATGAGCAAATATAGGCTTTGGACACCGTTATTATTGAGCAGTACCACGATAGTTCAAACAATAAGGATAACAAGAACTTTATATATTGTATACCAGGTCAAGTTTGTTTATATAGAACGTCAAAGGATGGTTAAAGTACGTGTTCAACACGGTGGAGTACCCTGGTGATCATCAGGATCATCTATTTAAAAGGAATAATTTCACCACATGTGTAGTGGGAGTACCTATAGCCAGAAAGAAATAAACAATATAGGCATGTAATGCCCTGTTAACAAACAGAAACCTCAACATTCAGCCGCTTAGACGCGTAAATAAATACTACTACTACTACTACTACTACTACTACTACTACTACTACTACTACCCGAGACTCTCAGAGGAGCGGTAGAAAATAGGGATAAATTGACATCCCATGGGGAGATGAGGGGTAATGCGTCTAGACTCCAACAACATCTCATGCGCATAGTGAGAGGTATAGTATTAATCCGAGTACCCGATGTAACTTTGTCTGGTTCAGGAAGGATGTTCGGTGGTAAACACCGCTACCATAGTCCCCCCCGGGCGGCAAGAATTCATCGATTTTACTCATCCGGAATGTCCTCTAATGCCCCTTGGTGGTCACTATAGGCGGGCACTGTAGGATCTAGTAACCTTCTGGGATCAGACAAACCAACCCACCCACAAAACGGTTCCGAGACAGAATATCCGGTAATCTTCTGCACTGCGGGACTGCGCTCTTTCATTGTCTCAATGGGAATGGTCAAGAACTGGTTCTCCTCAGAACGCAGTATACCGCGGCACATGAATGTAGCATGAATAAGGCGCTCTGAATCCTTCGTCGTGTTCTGGCCACCCGCATGATATGTGGAGCCTAGCATGAGAAAGGCATCTCCCGGTTCCATGGCCGCATAGCGCACGCCATCTGCGTTTGGCATACGTTCTGAGCTCCATAGATGAGATCCAGGAATGCACTCGGTTGCTCCGTTCTCCTTCGTAGCTTTTGTACCGGCGAGGAAGAGAGCAAGCGATGTCTCACGTTTGGGAGCGCTGGGAGAGAGGTCTTCGGGATAGACATCGACAGCCTCGATTCGATTGTGGTGAACGGTGTCATCGCGGTGTAATTCCTGAGCTTTCGAACCCGGCCGAATACTAAAACACGAAGTGGCATTGATAATTGGCCGACTGGTTGCCCATAACTTCCTGTTGCCCGACCAGTTCCAGTGACGGATGGTCAAGAAACGCGTGCAGACTTTCTGATAGACAGGATGCATCAAGACATTATTGACCCAGGTTGGAGAGAGCCCAACAAGTCCATAAGCCCGACGGGTCTCTTTAGGGAAAAAGCTCCCTTCCCACGCTCCATCTTGCTCCAGGGTGGGTCGACATTCAGAATTGATTTGGTCGATAATATCCTTGCTCACAAAATTGCGAATCAAGCAGCAGCCGGCGAGCTTGAGGGCATCTTCAACCTCCTGGGCGCTTGCATCTTTGCAAAGCTCAGGAACCTCAGTAACAGGGCCCTTTGGTGCGGTACCCTCCGTATGTGTGTTGTTAGTGGCGTTGTGATTGGTTGATATCATGGTGCTGGTGCGTGTTTGTAGGATGGTTTGATCAAACAAGGTATCCTCTTTGTTGAAGATAACAGGTTCACGCAAACCGGCAGATAATGATGTCTCTATGCCTTTATAACGAACAGAATCAATATTGCGACTGATGATATTTTCTTGGCGGGATACCAAATTAAGAAAATTGTGACGGCATCCAGTTTTGGAAAGAGATGGCGAGCCCCTATACGTTTTTGGCTATCTGTAGCGTCCTCACTACAAAATGACACTTCAACAGTCAGCTTCCACACATAATTAACATCATAATGCGATACTTTTAAACCTCCTCCCATTCCTAGCCTGTACGCCCTGCCACATATCTGTCAGTACGTTTTCGGACCCAAATAGTTCTAAATAACAGTAATCAGTTTAGATGGATCGGCGGTTTTAGCCAATAATCAGGCTTAATTAGGTGTCGATTGGATCCTACGGGTCCCATGGGTGGCATATGTCAATATCTAGATAGGTGTTGCTCAGAACTTTTTATCTTGGGGAGCCTATCGTCCATTGTGGAATATTGAAAAATGAATAGGGTCCCCTCGGAAGCGTCATACCGTAAATAGAGGGGGGGTGCTCAGAGGGGGCAGAGACTGTGGCGCACCTGTTGTTCCATTGCAGGCAGTGGCGGCGGTCGCAGAAGGCCCTCTACAGGGATCTCTTCGGTTCTGTGCTACGTGGACCCAGCAGCGACATGCCAGCCATCAGGAATATACATACATGCTTCAATGGCGTACATGTAGTGATCGACGGACTGCATAAAAATAATTGTTGGCTGTGAATTATATGGTATGTCTAAATTTAGATCAAACTGTCTCTAAGGTCCAACAGCATTCTATGGAAACAGCAGGAGCGACAGTAGCAGCAGTAGCAAGACTGGTTCATTCTGAAAAGACAGACTCCTCGTGAAATGTGATGACAGCTCTGCCGACTTACCTGCCTGCCCAGCTTAGGATTGACCTACGAGAGCCTTTACATAACGTAACACATGAAATAAGCCTTCCAATCATCTCTTTCCGTCTTTGAAGCGGCGTAGAGTGCAGGCTTTGAGGATAAAAGCGAAACAAGGTTACGACATAGGGATAATCAGTAGACGAGGCCTGTTCTACATCACATCGTATAAGTTAGGAAGTAAGGTTAAGGATGGATTGTAGAATATTTCTATAGCTCGCGTTTATAGAGCCTTGCTTCGTATGGTCGAAGAGCCATATTGCCTCCAAGGTCTTCACCTTCCTTGGTATAATTGGATAGTAAGAGGCGCCCAGGATCAAGTGGACATCTCCACTCAACTGTCTGCGCACAGAAAGAACAGACTATGAGGTAGCCGTCACTCTGATCTGTTCTTTCATATGCGTAGACTTGCAATGGCCAGCGGCTACACCATCGACTGACTGAAATTCAGTTCTACTCAGTGCCAATAACTGTTCTGAATCACTCGACAAGAAGAGAGTGAAGATGAAGAAAGTTTGGAGAATTTATGTGTATTGCTGTTATTTACACATATGTAGCCGGTTATAAATTCACTTCTAGAGAATGCTCAATCCCAATACTAATTCTGCCAGACTTTACTCCTCTTCTTGTCCGGCTTCTAATTCTCCAGCCTCATTTCTACCTAGATATTAGCCCCTAATTTCCGCTACAGTAAATCTTACTTTGCCCTGCTTTTATAAATGACATCTCGATTTATTTTTGAGGTACAAAGGCATGAAGGACAGGAAGTTGTGGCAATGGAGTAGGAGTAGTGCAGACATTAGCAACACTGAAAATGATCAATTATATTTTACGCTAGTCTCTGCCAATGTCTTTTCCTTCTGAGCTCGATAAGTAACGGTTGCCCCATAGGAGGGCTCCTAGGCTCTGATAGTCTAGCTTACTTTAGAAAACCTATTTGTCTAGAAAACAGAAGGCTTTTGACCTCGGTTTCTATTTTATCAGACCGTGATGTATTATGCTATTCCAGAAATGGTACAAAAGAAATAGCTGGCCTCAAAGATACACCCCTGCCCGTCCCGAACAAAAACAGCAACTCGCGCACACTCCTACCAAGGAACTTGGCTCATTTGTCCGTCTTCATACTCCCAATAAGTGCCACCCTCATACTTGGTTTCATCATCCCCCATTAGATGGATGATAACCTCCGCTCCAGCGTCCGGAAGCTTCGGTCCTCTGAAACCGTTGAATGCGGTCTTGAGAGGGCCTGGAGCACAAGTATAGTACCTAATTCGGGGATATTCTGACGTTGGAATGTCTCCGTTTTGCTCAGCCTTGATTCGATCGTTTTGCGCAACCTGGAGATGAACAGTGAGCCCGTTCATTCCGATCTTGCTGGCACCGTAGGGAGGGTGGCGCCCCATTTTTTGGGTTAGAGCGTTCTGCATGCTACCCAGACCAGAGCTGACGTTGATAACTTTGGGGTCTGATGATTCATAGAGCAAGGGGATGAACGCATTAGTAACAACAGCTACCGAAGCAATGTGGATATTCAGCAACTCATTGTATGTCTGGCGTGTTCCTTTAAGATCTGAGATATCAGTAGGCGGAATCCTGAGTATTCCAGCATTGTTTACAAGAACTAGCCCGAAAAGATCAGTTTAGCGATTATTACTTGAAGAAAAGGACATCTACCGTCTAGCTTGCCATAAGTCGACTCGACATATTTTGCTGCCGCAGCAATCTGGTCGTCATCGGTGACGTCCAGCTGGATTAGATCAATCTTGGCGCTCACTCCAGACCTTTGGAGCTTTTCTATAGCCTGCTTGCCTGCTTCGAGGTTGCGGCTGCAGAGAAGATAGGTGTTCTGTGGCCAGCGCTGACCAGCAACCTTGATTACCGAGTATCCGAGTCCCTGGTTTGCGCCAGTAACAAGAACGATCTGGTTGGAAAACTGCATCTCGACGTGAGGAATGGTGAAAAGTCCGTTACTAATTTTTTATGTGGATAGGGAGGGTAACTTTAATCCGATGTCATTGTGGTTGGTATTTACTTGTAGTATTGTCGGACTTAACTGGACTTTGCCGGATTTTACCCCTTAGTTCCAGCTTTCTTGCTTCAACATTGAGTGTATTATGCACGATAATATATCCGACACATGGTATTGATGTTTCAACGGTATTCTTGCCTGCTTCGTATTGCTCGAAGGAAATCTATTTGTTTTATTTGCGTTGTTAACCTGTTCCATGTTCACCCCCAAGCTGGTCCCAGTCTGTTTTCATCAGGGCGGCGTCATAGATTGCTCACCATGAATATGTTAAAACAACAATAGTGCCTGTCTATGATTTACAAGCTATTTCATATGCTAGATAATCTACAAATCGCAATGGATAAGTTTGATAGTATCATCCCCGAGTGAGCTAGGTACTTCTCCCATCCCTGTATTATTCACCCCAATGTTTAAGTAATCAGCTTGTCAAGAATTTGCTTGCACAGTAACAGGAATGCGGGTTAGCAAATTGATGTGAATGGCTTCTCATATACAATCAGTTCGAATTCATGCTAAAAGCCACGAACCGTCATTTCAAGTATTCTGTATCCGTCATTCGATGTAGTCATAAAATAACACTAGAAAGTACGATTTCGTACCACTGCATCACCAACCTGGCCTTTTCTAGAAATCAGTCATTATATTCGACAGAAGCATTCAGACTCCAACCACTCAAAGATGGCTAAAGGAGGCTGGTTGTGTAGTCGAGCAATTCGATTAAAGAAATAACTCCAACACCTCATCAAAAGCGCAAACGCATAACGACAGCAGAGCTCTTTGAACAGCCAGCTCTCACGGCAGAAGCTGGTTTGCAAAGGTAGATTACCATCTGGTACCATCATCTCCGAAGCCTGTAAGGAAGTCCTATACCTGTGTATCTTGGACATCTTCGGCCAGATACTTCGTACTGGTATCATGGCCAACAAATGACACTTATGATGGTCCTCGGCTGGTCCGGGGTACCTACAAAGTTTTGGCAATAAGCAGACTGAATCATTTCTTCGAACTAAGCGGCAACAATAATCGGAGATTCTTCAATCCTTTGGTTCCCTTCACGGCAATAGTGAGTGGAGTAACATGCTATGGAATTTGATACGGGCCGCGCTTTATGATCGACTTTGTAAATGTGCCTAATGAAAAGACAACCCGCAAATAATTCGAGCACGAAATTCGTCAGGAGAAAACACCGCAAATATCTAGCTAATACTTTGCCTCATGTCCACGTATACTAATTGGCTTTGTTCTCTTTACACGGATTGTCGGAGATGCACCGAGAGAAATTGCATTTACAACAATAAAAGTGCAAGAAACTAGTTATGTAGTTATGGAGAGTAGTTATGGATGCTTGGTTGCATAGACCAAGAGAGTTACTATTAACTATACAAGATGACAGTGGTATTGATAGTTTTGTATATATATTTAAATATTTAAAAATAAAAATATTCATAGTTTTTATGTTGGGTCGCAATGTCCCGCTCGGTGGCTCAAGCTCCCGCGAACTACCAGCTTTCCTCGTCTGCGTATCTCAACTACCAGAATCGATCACTTTGTTTTCGGCCTCGTCACCGTCGCTTTTGCAGCGACACAAGCTTCAGCGCACTCTGTTTTGCCGCTGACGACATACTTCTCCGACCAAATCATGTCATGACCGACACCCGCACCTTGTCACGCAATGGATGCTTATCCTACTGATTATATCACGCACAATCTACCGTTGATTCTGCTGTCCGGTTTCGCCAATAACGAGTACGATGACGACTCGCTAGGCGCTGAATACCCTCTCCTGGATCAAAAAGGAACGGTTGTCGCATCGGACTTTCCGCTGCTTAATGGGCCCCTCGTCGACGACCTGCGCTCTGCCTTTCTTGACTATGATGCGTCCGAGTCATGCTGGAGAGCAGCTGATGCCGGCCGGTCTCCTCGCCTTGCAACGAAAATCAAAGTGATCGGAAGGGTGAGTCGACGCATTTTGAATTCCCTGATAGCTGGCTCAAAAAGAATTTCTCAATCGTAAAATTGTGCTTCGTTGCTGATATTTTGATCCTAGACATACCGCCTTCCCCCGCACAAGGCAGGATTCCCCTCGGATGCAGATATCACTCTATCTTCTGGAATCCCAGTCGTGCACTCCCCGATTTCTCCTTTGACGCCTGGGTCGCCAACCTTCCCCGATGGCCTCGTTACGCCCTCCTGGGTGCTCAAGCACCAGCATTTGGTTCCAGCCGCAGTTGTCAACATTTTGCCAATTACATCCGATTCTAGTATGAGTATGCTGCGGGATAACCAGTTAAAGATTGAAATAAGGGGGTTGAATGAGGCATGGGCTGCTTCGGGTTATAAATCTCGCTTTGTCGTGGTATTGGTGGCAGAAGATGGTGTTAATACACAGGAACTTGACGAGCGAATGGCGAATATTCGGAGAGCCACAAATATCGACCCAAGATCCCTTTATGTTTTATACCCCGATCTCTCAGCCGTTGAAGTAAAAGACTTTGTACGATCATTATTGTCCTCCTTGCACCCTTCTCTAGTCGATTATTACCGAGATCTATCTAAACATGCGCGAAGGAAACGAAACCGAGGGTCGATACCACCACCAACAGCTCCACCTACAAGTGGGACATCGCAAACATTGTCTTCACAAGGCTGGAATGTTCGTTATGAATTCAAGTTGGGCGTTTTCGCTGAGTTTCGACAAGAAATGGAAGCGGCTCAGCGTAACTTTGAGGCTGCGTACGAGATCCTTTTTGGACAGGAAGTCTTTGAGTCAATTGCAGCCTGGCATCCCAGATTCAACGAAGCCCGGCTACTTGGTGATATATTGGCCATTCGCATTATTCGATGTTTGCTTTGGAGCTGCCAGACAACCGCAGCCGTGCGATTTTGGATAAATCATAGAACCAACACTGAAGATATCGTTCATCGCAAAGGCAAAGGAACGAAGAACTATGGATGGGAAGCCTGGGATTCTAGATGGTCAACTGTTATGTCTGAGCTGATCTCGCGCGCTGAACTGCCTTCGTTCTCACCAGACGTGCTTCGGGATCCCGCGCGAGTTTATGAATCAATATTTCATCCCCCTGAGAAAAAGTTTCCTATCAGTGAGGGTCTTCTCCCCTGGGAGCTTCTTCATCATGAAGGCTATTGGCTTGATCGATCAGCACAGCATCTAATCCAGCGTCAGGCGCTTGCGGAAAAAATTCCAGAGGAGCATCGCAGCTCGACAAACCAGTCCCCAGCCTCGCAAGTCGTGGCTAAATTACAGTTCTATGACATATACCTAGTCCCTGAACCTCACATAGAAGCTCCGAACACTGATAGCTCCGGCTTCGACCACTATTCTGCGATCATCGATACACTGAAGACATCTTTGGGACACTTTGCTGCCCGAGGACAAGTGAGAAAAGTGGAAAGCCTGAGTCTAGAAATAGCCAAATGTCATATTGGTAGAGGGCAATGGATTGACGCTTACGAAACCCTAAAACCCCTTTGGCCGAGTTTAACGTGGAGAAAAAGTGGTTGGTGGGATTTGATGGATGAATTTGCCTGGACACTCAGAGCCTGCGCTATTGAGCTCAATGATTATGAAACTTTGATATGGATTTACTGGGAGCTTTTATGTGAAGGTAAGCCTCTCTTTCTTAACAGACCCGATGTTTCTAGATCTAACGCGCTATCAAGTTTTCCACCCTCGCCCGACTTGGAATTATGATTTCCATCATTGCCTTGATGGAATTACTACTAGCGACCATAAGCCTTCACTTGTTCTCAAGGCGGACGATGTTATCACATGCTGTATGTTCTCAATTCCATCTATGTCTGTTACTTTTTTCTCATAAAATCAGTGTCAGCCTCGTTGGTTTTTGAGAGATCCGAGGGCAATGTTGGTGAGCCGTTGAAAGCTCAATTAAGCATTGAATCCCTAGCACAGCGTGATTCTGCACCGATAAAGCTATCAGAGGTCAAAATTATTTTCGAAGGCAACCTGAGACCTATCAGGTTGCAAACAGAAAATTCAGATTCTGAGGATGATAACCCTAAATGTCGGATTTCCGATGTTACATTGCATGATATAAAAGAGCCTACCGAGTCCTCAAGTTTTTCGTCGTCTATAGTGGGCAAAGTAGACTTGACCTTGAGGCCTTCTCATACCAGGGTGTTTAATTTGACGATAGTCCCGCGTGAGGCAGGTGAAGCTAGAATTGCATCAATCACCCTTGTTGTCAAAGAGGAGAAATTCAATCTCTCATATGTTATACCAAATGACCATCAGAGCATGTATTTCTTCTGGTGGAAAAACACTCCTCAAGGTCCGCGCAAAAGGAGAATAGGCAAAGAACGCGACACTTCCATGTGCAGGATTCTCCCTAAACCTCCAAAGATTCACATTCATACACCAAATCTGGAGAAGTACTATTATACCAATGAGCGGGTTGCACTGACTGTGGCCATGCAAAATAACGAAGAAGATGTGGCGGAAGTAGCTATGCATGCCAAAATATACTCACAGCCCGGGTCGGAAGTCGAATTATCATGGCTTGACAATGCCGACCCCGTTGACAGTACTGAGGAGAATATACCTCACTCGATATCACGAAATGTTGGAAAGCTGGCCCCGGCCTCTACTTCGGAGGTCCAGTTAGTGCTGTCTAATACTGTAAATGCCGTGAAATATGAGCTGGAAATATCGATGCTATATTTCTTGTCGTCAGACCCACAAACACCAATCTCCAAATCAATTGTCGTTGACCTGGATTTTGTGAGACCTTTTGAGGCCAATTACGATTTCCTCCCGCGAATTCATCCTCAGCCGTGGCCTAATTTGTTCAGCCTCAACGAAGCTCTGGCGACTTCTGATACTCCCCGACCAGATGGCCTACAGCAAAAATGGATAGTCAATTCAAAGCTTGTCTCCTTTGCCTCGGAGCCACTTGATATTGAGAAAGTCAGCCTTGTTCTACTGGAAACACACGGTAGAGCAGTTTGTGAATTGAGTACAGAGACTTTGATGACACCCGAGACTCCACAAATCAAGCTAGGAGACCTTCGTGAATCAGAATTTGAGGTCAATGTGCATAAGCTAAGCCTCGAAGATCGACAATCTGTAACCCTTGATCTTTCTTTGGATGTACATTGGAGAAGAACATTGTCAGATGGAACGGGGACTTCGACGGTTTCATCATTAGCGATGCCCCGGTTCTTGATACCCATGGGCGAACCCCGCATATTGGCCTCATCAGTATCATCCGACCAACTACCTGGTTTAATTCACCTTGACTATACTATTGAGAATCCCTCAATACATTGTTTGACATTCAACCTTACGATGGAAGCGAGTGAGCACTTTGCATTCAGCGGATCTAAGACGAGGGCAATCCAACTGGTCCCTCTCAGCAGACACACTGTTCGATATTCCCTCCTCGCGTTCAACCCTGGGATGTGGATTCAGCCGCAACTTGTTGTTATCGATACATACTTTAACAAAACGCTTCGGGTTCTCCCGACCGAGGGCATGCGGTCAGATAGAAAAGGCATTTTAGTATGGGTCGACGCTGACGGGTCATGATGAACAATGGGGACAAGACAATACGCAGTGTCATTGACGTTTGGGGTGTACGCCAATCCGAGAAATTTTCTCTCTCTCATCACTATGAACAATAAAGAAAAGCCATCCAACCTATTCTGGGTTTCATATATGCGAGATTCTAATTGATATCTCGGCATTTACTGGCATTTCACGCTCCTGTTTTCTTCCTCAGAGTTTCCACGTGCATTTATTTTTGGTAGCCCTCAGGAATAGACCGATAGATACACAATCAACACGAGTAGACTGTGAACGATGATTATAATTGACGAGAATCTTACCAGCATTGAACAGATGTAATCGAGAAGAAAACACTGATAAGAAAGAGCAATATGCGCAGGGCGGTGGAGATAAACCAGCCGCGGCGGCAATCGGTGTGGGGCATCCACCGAAGGCGGTGAGCGGTGATGCGTGCAGTAATAGTCTCCAAAGGTGACATTGAGGCTCGAGTCAAGCAACCTACTCAGCTGTCCCTACGTTCGTTTCTCGCCAGTTTCTATGGCCTCGATACTTGCATCGAGACCGCCCCCATTAATATAAAAGTATGTCTGCACACAGTCCTCTCGACCCGCGCACCGGAGCTCAATGGAGAGTTACTAATTCATCGCGAGCCAGACGCAGTCAAGCAAACCATCTTCTGTTCGCCATCTGAGTCGCACAGCGATTCCCAACGTTGAAAAATGGCGACGCAGGCTGCGATGATTAACGACACGATCGTGGCCATGAAAAAGGCGTTACGTCGCGAAAATGATTGTGAGTGTGCACTTGTGTTAATCTTGAGTTTGCGCGACTCATTTCTCTGAGCAGACTCTGGACCCGACGACCCGATCACTCAGCCTACCAATCGAGGAAACAAGCTTAGAGAAAATGCAAAATATGTCCATGAGGGTGTGTTGGGTTTCACAAATCCGCATGAACTGTACAAGGAGGTAAACTCTGCTCTCTACTCACTGTGATGCCGCAAGCCAGCTAGCTAATTGGACCTGTGTGATAATAGAAAGTTGAACATGCCGGGTACACTCGTTACATCCTACGTCGGAATCCCCCACGATACGATTCCGAAGGCGAAGAGATAGGCGATGATGACACAGATTCCGAAGCTGATGCTACTGCCATGGAAGCAAATCCTTTCTCTGAGATAATCCTCGAGCGTGCGTGAACTGCTCTTGAGCGTAACTTGTCTACTCCTCATCTAACTATGATAACCGTATAGAAATTTTATGCCCTCTTAAACAGGCGTCGGAACTCCCCGACCATCCCACAATGTCCCAACCTTACAGGTCGAAGGCTCTATCAACAATGGTTGAAGCTGTCAAAGAGAAGCTGCGAAAAGAGCGCGTTCTCCTGGCCTATTCTCATAACTTGCATCGGCGATTATTGGGAGATTCAGTATGGATGCCGTGCGGGACTGTTGAAAGCGAAGAAGACCCGTTTATCTTCCAATCACGTCCTGTCAATTCAGAATGGGACTCAACGACTAATAAGCAGCAACAAGATGTGAACCATCAAGCTGAGAATAATAATTCCTCACAGGATGCTGAGAATGACTTCAATGGGGAGGATCCGCTCACGAATTCGAATTCGAATTCCGAATACCGAGACGAACAGAACCCTAATAACCAAGACGTTGAAATGACAGAAGCCCCGAATTCTGAAATTTTACAAGGTGTAGAAACCAAAAGACTTAAAATGGAGGACGCCGATCCCTCAGTTGGAGCGATCTCAGAGCATAGCGAACGTGGTGATATTCAATCATGGGCAAACGAATCTCAATCGTATGGTGACGGGGCAACTCGCCCTGCTGAAGAAAGCGGTCTCAGAGAGCAAGAACAAAACAACGAAGACACCATGCAAGCAGATAGCCGTGAAGGAGCTGATACTCACATGGAAAATGCTGAAGGATCCGAGAACACGAATGCTGATGAAGAGCAGCTTTCTCCCGAGCCTCCAAGAAGGATGACTACGCGGGCCCAAGCCAACGCCACGACTTCTCATGAGAACGGTACCGCAAGTGGTTCACGGTATTCTTCACCTGATGATCCCATGCACATTCCATCCACACATGACCTTTTCCTAGTCTCTGAAAATATCCGACCCGACAAAGATTTCGGTCTTCCTCCGAACGAGGCCGAAGACACCAGACGATTGCTTTGGTCATATATTCAAAAACAGGAAGAAACCGTGCGTGGGTTCTCATACATGCTGAATTTACTCCTTCGAGCCCAGCAACTGAAAGATGATGTCTTTGAGTGGTGTAAGGCGGAAGGCCATGTCGGTGAATTGAGCGATGGTGAGGATTGGTATGATAAGGAGAGGTGGGGGCTCGGCGAAGGGGAAGATCTCAAAAAGGGTGCTGACGAAGATGAAGCCGATAATGCTGTTGATGAGGGCCGGACCACAGGTAAAAGAGGACGAGGAAGGCGCCAATAGACTGGGCCTTCCTTCAAGTGAACATGTGCATGCTCTTGTTCTCAACATAGGCAAGATGCTTCCGGTTAGCGTTTCGTATAAAGCACTATTACGACTTTTTCATTCACATAACATGTCTTTAGACGACGGGTTTGGTCTGGAGTTTGGAGTTGCTGGTTGCTTTCGTTTTCTTTGATGTGGATGACTGAGCAATGGTGGACGGGTTCTAAAACACCTAATTTCCATATACCTATGAATTTTGTGTAGATATCGCAAAATCAATTATATTCTATATATATAGAGTGTATGCTTTTTTTAATTTTTCTCTATAGAACCAAACCAACCTCCAGGATCTTAATAGACAGGATCCTGCCCCCGTTTTTATATTCCCATTCAACAATCATGGCTTAGTCCACAATGAGAATATTGTATACTTGATTAATCACCCCACTGGGTATTTTTAAAAGATCGAGAGTAATCTTTTTGAAGCTAGAATCGAACTTCACAACATGTCGACTTTTTTTTGTATGGAATGTAGTCTCGAGTGTGCGAGCTTAGAAGTCATCACTAGTGACTAATGCGCAAGAGCTTACAGTGGCGTATTTAGGAGCGCTTTGCGCTCTTGGCTCTCTCGCGCTCGCGCTTCGCATAAATCTCGGCGGTGAATGGGCTAGTCGCACGGGCAGTGAGCAAAGGGCTTCGATATCTCTCTACGAGTAGGGTAGAATAGGGCAGGATACGAGGATTGAGGGGACTTACTCCTCCCACTTCAAGGCGAACCAGTAGAGGACGAAAACTTCCAGGGTCAAGAGTAGCCCGGCAGCTTTTCCGTAGTATAAGGAAGTAGCAAGGAAGCTCATCGTGCTACCCCAGTACATGGGAGAGCCGGACACGTTGAAAGGGAATCCGGTGACAGGGGCGTCCATCAGAATGCCGAAGTAGTCGCCAAGATACGTTCCAGTGACGCCGAGAGCCCACATGCTGGAAATCACAAGTGTGTTGCCCACAACAAAGAGACCGTATGCAATGTATGGTTGGTGGACGGGCTCGTAGTAAGGTTGGTCTTGCAACGCATTGTAATACAGATGGTCCCGGAAAATGCCCAGTGAGAAGATCACGACAGCTAGGAAGTAGCAGCCATAGTATGGGCTCCCAAATATGCGGGTCAAAAAATGAGATTTATACTCTGGAGACGGTGACCGAAATAACTTGTAAGCTATGCAACGCTGACTTGATTGATTGCATGAAAGAATTTCTACTTACCCTGACGCGCCACAATGCTACACCGGCAAACAGCAAGTTAGCCACGAGCTTCATTGCAACTGAATCCCCAGTCGACACTATTGAATTAAGGGCCACTTACTTCCAGAAGATAGGATTGAATGCAATCGCCAATGCAGAGACTATAAATTCCTCAGGTGTCAGCGTCAAACATAGCACCAGCATGATGGCATGACGCCTTGTAAACATGGGAGAACATACTTCGCAGACTAGGCTGGGAAAAGTCTATGTAATCAGTGAATGAAGACATTTTTGGCAGACAGTGACGGCAATTCAACTCTAAAGGCCGGTATTGGGCGGTTTCTGAGTAAAGCAAAAAAGCAAAACAGCGAAACAATGGCGGGACGAGATGCAAAACACGAGCAGTGAGTGCCGCTTTTTTCACATGTTGCTATGACGTGAAGGGACCAGCGGTCACGGGGTTTGCGGGTCTGCGGGAGGACAGTGCGGAGGCTATCAACAAATACATGTCTATCTATTACTACTCCTACTATTATTACTATTACTACTGTCTATCGACAATTGCGAATATTCTCTCCTCAGCCGTGATATTTTTATCATAACCTACCGCTGACCCCGTGAGCCGTCGCGATCGATGCATGCGTTTCTATGATCCGCCATGGGTCGCCCTGACTCGTCTCATATCTGGGGAGAATGGCCCTTAGTCGCAAACATGTCCTACTGGCAGCTGTCAGCGGCTGCATTTCCTGGGCATTGGTTGTTAATTGGTTGCCCTTCGCTCGATATCTCGGATACGCCTTCATAGCTGGAATATCAGTCGTCACCTGCGTTGCAATCAGTACAATAGTGCTAGTCATCAAACCGAAACCCAACACCCAAAATGCACCTGTTGTCGCGTTTTTGGCCCCAGATACCTGGTCCAAAGAATTGACCAATTATCGGAAAAATATGATATACAAACCCAAGTCTTTATACCCTAAATCTTTTGTGGTTTCCGAGGGCATCGACGAACTTCTTCAACTAGCATCCAGAGACTTCATTGCCTCTTGGTATAAAAACATAAGCAAAAGCCCGAAATTCGTTGATGAAGTGGACAAGGCATTACGCTTAGCTATTGGGAATATTCGTGACAGACTTGTAAGAGAAGATGTAACCTTACTTGTTGTGTCTCGGCTCGTTCCAATTTTAACAGCTCATCTGAAAGAATTCGACCGCGCTGAAAGGGCTGTCCGAGGAAGGAACTTGGCACGAAGTGTTACAGAATCAGAAGAATTGGATCTAGCAATTGTGAGCAAATACCGCGAGGGCAGACTGCATCCAGCTGCGGCAGTGTCCCTCACGGATCAGAAATCTACCCAACAGGAGTATGCTCGTAAACTTGTCATGGGACTGCTTCCACAAATTCTTCCTGAAAGTCTGTTAAAGAGCCGTGCTGTTTCGGTTTTGGTCAGAGAAATAGTGGCATGTGCGGTACTCTTTCCTATTGTCACTCTGTTATCTGATCCGGATACCTGGAATCAGTTAATGGAAACCTACGGACGTACTACGTTACAAGATCGTAAAACAGTACGTAAGCTTCGGGCGGCGCTTGATGAACATGCGTCTCCAGTATCGAAGACCAAACAAACTGCATCCTTTCCAAGACTTTCACCAAATGACTCTGAACGAGCGTTTGAGCGTTTTGTTAGGGCTATCAGACGCTGCAACAATATATCCGATGCCAGGCAGTTTCGTGCCCAGGTAACAAGTCAGCTGAAACGAGAGAGTATGGTTGAAGGACAAGATCAAGTCTATCTTCGGCGACTTGAAACTGGAAAAAGGGTCCTTGATCAAAAAGTTTCAAAACTTGCGGCCAGTGGAAGTATCGCCCGTCCAGCGCCATTTAGACCAGAAATACGTCGTGATAGTGCGCCAAACGTACAAGATGTGACTTTGGTTGAATTAATGCACAATGTCTCAGGCTTATCATACTTCATGGAATTTATGGACCGCCAACAACGGATGTCCCTCGTACAGTTTTGGATCGTTGTTGATGGGTTTCGTAATCCACTAGAAGATGATTTTGGTGATGAAACTTCAAATTCGGCTTCTTCCTGGACGTCGAGTGACGTGAGTGACATGATATTGATAAATGAAACCTACCTCTCGAAACCAGAATTGAACGTACCCGAAGAGACTCGCAACGCTGTGAAAGCCTTTCTAAAAGGAGGCAAGAAATCTACACCTGAACAGTATCGAAAAGCACGAACTGCTATCTTGACAACTCAGTCTGCCATTCTAGAAGAGTTGGAGCACAAATATTACCCGAAATTCAAGACTTCTGATCTTTACTATAAGTACTTATCATCTGATGAAGCAGCTACAGCAGCAGTCCAGCAATCTGAACCAGCTCCTGCAACGACTTCTTCATACGAACCCTCAGAAAGACGGCCTCTTCCTCCTCTCATGACCCGGACACAGTCTCAGCCCAGTATACACAAAACGAAAGATCTTCGGAAGGCCGCTGTAAGCAACGATGTACGAAACAGCAGTACCAAACTGTTCGATGATCATGATCCTCCTCTTAGGAGTTCCTTTGATTCCGAGAGATCGGCTCCACTCTTTGAAGATGATGATGACATTGATCCCTTAGGAATGTCCACTCAAAGTATCGGCACTAACTCCCAGAACGGCGATGGCGAGGAGAGGAAAAAGGAGGTGATTGAAACAATGGAGCAGGCACTCAATGACATCATCACAGACGAGCCAAACAATATGAGACTCGAAGATCCTCGGTTAGCTGGGCCAATCGCATCGTCTGGGCCAATCACATCGTCATCGCTCTTTGGAAATGACAGAGAACAAATGTCCCCTATGAGCTCCTCGGAAATTGCTCGAGCTGAAATAAGAACGGGAGACAAAGGCAAACCCAGCATATCCTCTCTTGGCCTTATTGGACCATCTTCACGAACCACTAGTGTTTTTGAAGACGAACTCTTTCCGGACGAGAAGAAGTTTATTGAAGATGAATATGCCGATCCAGATGAGAAGGACCCGGCGGACGAGATTCATAAAGCAGCTCCCGGGGATCTTGGTTTAGCAGAGGCTATTGCAGCGCTAACCGAAGATATTGAGAAACTGGCCGCACAAGAATCTGTTTTGGAGACTCTTACACGGAAAGCCGAACTTACTAATAATACCACAGAGTTGCGAATCTTAGGGAAATCCAAAGCAAGTATTCATCGTGAGATCCGGAGAAAGGAAATGCAAAGACAACAATACATTATTCAGGAGAGTGATAACAGTCTTTATGGCCGATCGACTGTGCAAATCAAATCTATCATGGTTGGTAAAGAGGAGGACGGTCGAGAATTCGCACTATGTATGCCGTTCTTTTCTTTTACTTTGGGGGAAGCGTTGGCTAATTTACATGTTTTAGATGTAATAGAAGTACGGCGAAATGCAGGGGAACAGATGCCTGCAGCATCATGGGCGGTGCCACGCCGGTATAGCGAATTCCACGAACTCCACCAGAAATTGCGAATGAGGTATCCCTCTGTACGCCAGCTGGAATTTCCTCGTAGACGCATGATGATGAAACTTCAGAAAGACTTTTTACAGAAAAGACGTGCTGCACTTGAGGCGTACTTGCAACAATTGCTTTTGCTACCTGAAGTTTGCCGGAGTCGAGATTTGCGAGCGTTTCTCTCGCAGCAAGCTATTTTACCCCATGGAGAGACTGCCGCTGCTGAGGGCGAGACAAAGGACATCGTGACGAGGATATACAACTCCGTTGCTGATGGCATGGACGATTTTCTGGGAAATATTACCATGCTGGACCAGCTCTCTACGGCTGGTCAGAATCTCATTTCCGCTGCTACCAGCCAGCTCAGTGGATCAGAACCAACCCTTTCCACGGAGGATGCTGTGACTGCGGCCGAGGCGGAAGCAGAGTTGAATGCCTTTGAAGACCGCGAGCTGGAGCCGTTTATTACCCCCATATGCGATCTTTTTCTGGAGGCATTCGAGCTGAATCGAGGCAACAACTGGCTCCGTGGGCGTGCTGTCGTCGTTGTTCTCCACCAGCTTTTGGGTAGCACTATTGAACGAAAAGTCCGCGACACGGCTAAGACTTTTGTGCAGGACGATTCTTTACTTCGCTATGTTTCGCTTGCCAAAGAAACATTGTGGCCCGGAGGGGTCTTGAGAAAGCCAGTCGTCCGAACGCCAACTCAGAAATCCAAAACGCGCAACGAGGCTAGTTTCATGCTGGCGGCCCTCATTCCCGATCTGGCTGGGAACGTTGTCGGAAGGGCCAATGCTCAAGCAGCTGCCCGCAGGCTGTTTGCTACCTTGAACAACCCCCGACTAAATACTCACTTAATCTTCACCATCCTCGACGAAGTGGTACTTGTCTTATTTGGCTCGCCAGAGGCCGGGCGGTCACGGCTGCCTCGACAGAGTAGCAATTGATAGGAGCATATTATAACGATATTACAATTCATATATTAATTTCTCGAGTGTGATATAACATATAATATATAACTACTATATAGTTACATACATGTACTGTTACATCTCCCACTGTATATTAGCGTAGGGGAGATTAGATGCCGGGTGGGCCTGGCCGGGCCTAGAATGAGAGCCCCCACCCCGCCTCCCGGCTGCTGACTGGCTGGGCGCGGAGAGTAACAGTACGTGGTGCCGCAAGGCTAATGCTAATACCCGCCTGATCTGGCTCTGTTCTCCTGGCATTAACCTAGCTCCTTTTCCTTTCCTCGTCTCGAAACATGGCAATAACCCTATTTTGTTGACATCCCACTCTACATCGTCGCTCGTTTCAGCAAACAATCGCTGTAACCCGTCAGCACCACTGTTGGTATTCAGGTATCCCTACCCCGATTATCGATATCGTCTGACTACCTTGATTCCATCGCGGGACGGTGGGACAAATTCAGCGCGTCTTCTATCTGAATTGGATATCTTCACAGCCGAGCATATCCCATCGTATGCACATTTCAGATACTATACACCATATTATAGTATTCCTTTTCTCTTGCACATCATCTTTTTTGGGGTTGAATCGGACCGTCAGTCTCAGCAACAATGAGATCGCAACGCCGGCTGAAGTACTACTTGATTGCAGTCGTCGCTATCCTTCTTGTTCTTACTTATCTCACGGTATGTCTTCACGCTGATGGTGCCGGTATCCTTGTCTACAGCCGATATCTAACTTACTCTGGACTACAGACCGATGCCGCCGGGGGGATACAAGACCGTCACTTTTATAAATCTACCGTGACTGCGATGGATAATGCGAGACTGGCAGCTATTAAAAAGAGCAACGATGCCAAGGACCGATCCCATATACAGAAACTTGACATCGAGAAAGCCGCGGGGAAGCAGAGCGCCTTGCGCGAAAAGCAAGAGACGGCCAATCGCGTCAAGAATGAAGAGTTGGAGGAAATCTCCGTCGCCGGACGAACCAAGATGCAAGTTCCGAAACCAAAAGGTGAAGACTCGGTCGCCGCTCCCAAACCAGCAAAGATTAGCCAGAGCGAAGACACAGATGAGAGCAAAGAAGCGGACGAGGCCAGCGCTGAACTGGAGTCTATTTTGAAACGATCGCCAAGTATTTCCGACCACAATCTATGAAGTATCTCTACACAGAACTTACGTTTATTTAGTTATCATCTTTTCGAAATCGTACTGTCCGTTCAGTAAGAAAGCAAAGAATGTCCTCCTTGAGCGCTATTCCATTGTTCCCGCTCCCTACGTCGTCGAACTCGATATACATCCACTTGGACTTCATATCCAACAGCTTCTGGCTCAAATAACCGGTCGTCGTACCGTCCCGAACATCCTCGTTAACGGACTTAGCATTGGTGGGGGGATGACATTGTGGCTCTCGACAAGGAAGACACTCTTATTTCCAAAATCAAGTCAATAGCAGGTCAACGCGTTATGGAGATAAAACGGTTACCAGAAACAGAACAAGGAAGCGAATGAATACGGAGCTATAGGGTTCACGGTTTACCGCGTACCGTTGTTGCCCTCTTTGAATGATCTCTTGTATATGTCCCCCTTCTTATATCTCGGGTTTGCATGAATGGCGTTGAAAACTTTTGGTGATTCGATTAACAGTATTGGCCTTATCGGTGTTGTGTTACACTTTGTGGCAGGATAAGTTATTGGATCTATTTTTTATCTACCTTGTTGATACATTGGCTATTTTGATGTACAAATCACTAATTACTTGGCGTGTATATCCACAAACACAATTTTAATATCCAAAATACCGGTCCAAATTTGTAATTCTTTTGGATCGTGTGTCAATTGAAGAGGTCAAGTTTGTAAACAATTAGTGGTTCTGACATGGGTGCGCTGTAAATGCTGCGATAATACCCTACTAGCGATTTCAAGAACTTGGCCGTAAGTTTATGAATCAGTAGAAACTATCATTAATATAAGAGCGACAATAGTCACCAAAATTGTCTTATTCTTAGATGGTGGTAAAGGAATGATTCGACTCCAGCCTTGCCCAACGTAGTCACGTGATCAGGATGCGAAGCTAACCGCAATCGTGCACTAAGCGACGCACAACGGGCCGCTTCGAATTTCGCTCCACCAAGCGTTTTTACTCGCCGGCTTTCAATCGATCTCCTTACGACGACCGACCGCGCCCGCACGTCGACATCTCACGACTCTCCTCCTCTCCTCGGTCAACATATCACAGCATTTAGAGAGGCAAGATGCGGTACATTCACTCCGAGGAGACGCTGCCAATCCCCGACAATGGTAAGCATTTCACCGTCATTTTACATAACTTGCCCAATCCTTGTCCCTCAACAAAACTCGAAAAGAGGGACTCTCTTCAACACCTTAGGGGTTTCCGATCTTAAGGAAACTTGCTCGATATTTTCCTGCCATTATATTGAGTTTTGAGAGTTATTTCGAGCGGACGCATTCCAATATATCGGAATGTCGAGTGTTAAACAGGGCACAGCCATGGTTATTTGGCTTGGAAGGAAAACAATGCTAACTGTTCTGCAATGCAGTGTCGATCCAAATTCGTTCGCGAGTTGTGACCGTCGAGGGACCCAGAGGCAAGCTTAGCAAGGATCTTTCCCACATTGCTGTTACTTTCGGCCGTCCCAGCAAGAACATCATCTCCATCCAGCTCCACCATGGTGTTCGCAAGGGTGTTGCTACCCTCCGTACCGTCCGCACTCTCATCAACAACTTGATCATCGGTGTTACTCGTGGTTTCTTGTACAAGATGCGTTACGTCTATGCTCACTTTCCCATCAACGTCAACATTGAGAAGAACAAGGAGACCGATCTGTTTGAGGTTGAGATCCGGTATGCTACTCCCAGTCCTTTCGATGGCTTGTGTTTACCCATTTTTGGGACATAAAATATCTGAAACCCCCCGTGGGTATATGGCAGACACGAGCTAACGATTGTGCTCCAGAAACTTCCTTGGCGAGAAGATTGTGCGTCGCATTACTGCCCAACCTGGTGTTGAGGTCGCCATCTCCGCCAATGTCAAGGATGAGCTTCAATTATCTGGCAACTCTTTGGAGAATGTCTCCCAGAGCGCCGCCGACATCCAGCAGATCTGCAGAGTCCGCAACAAGGATATCCGAAAGGTGAGAATATTGACTGATCTGTCTTGAAACTCTTTGTACTAAATATTTATATCTAGTTCCTTGACGGTCTTTACGTGTCTGAGCGAACCAACATTATTGTCGAGTAAAGGAAAATAATTACGATAATGGTGTATGCTTTATGGGGAGGTGTACCTTGAAAAAAACAATCTGTGATATCAAGGAAAGAGATGTTTTTCATTCTTTCCTATTTCGGTTTCGCAATGAACAGATTTTTATGTAGGAGTCTGTGGCGAAACTCCAATAAAAGATGCAATGGAAACCATGAATTTTTTTGTTATATTGGGCATGATGCGCTTCGCATTACTGGCGTGCAACCACAGGAACAAATCAATTCTCAGTGGAGATGATTTAGTACTGCTCATAAGCCTATTTTTAAGGTGTGAACAATGTCACTAATTATCATCGTCAGCTATTGATTAGCTTTGTAGCAACCGTCTTAAAGTGTATTATCCTTCCCATTACGGTTCGTAGACTCTTTAGTCAAGACTCACGCGCCTTGACAGAGGAATATGTAGCATTTATGAAAGCGATACATCAAGAATTTATCTGCTTCTTCATTCGAACAATAATGCGTAAGGATAACTTCTCAGATATCCTTAAGAAGCCCTAAGCCCTATCTACCCCATAAAGGACTAGTGCGATATAGGAGGGGGGAAAGTAGAAGTTTTGATTCGCTGACAGTCAAGGCAGCTATTAATCATCAGCTCATCATTCATGATCACATGTAAATAGTAACAGGACCACGACTCACTTCCCTAGCTTCCGATATCATAATTATATTTTCAAGGCGTGAAATATAATATCATATCATTGAACATACTAGACTGGTGATCATGTAAAGGTGACACGCTACAAATCCATCCTTTTTGGCCGTGTGAAGTCAGTCAACATAGCTATACTCTGGATATTACGCATATTTGACGAGCAAATACTAGCAATGGGCATCTGGCTAAAGTTACGGGCCTTCTTTACTGGAACCTTGGCGATACTGTGTGATGTAGTGCAATTCTGGGAAGAAGTATCCTCTATCGCCTGTCTTTTGCGTTGTTAAAATGCTGACGACTTTGACAAGAAATGGGTTTCTTGGTGGAGATCCAGATCCCCTCGTGAGCAGATATCGTATCATCTGGCCAACGCGAGAACATTTGAGGACTGGGAAGAAGGTGCCTATCGACTAGATGAGTTACTGAGCACTGATCTATGGTAATCTAAAGATTCAGGTACATGCTACTCTTTGAAACCTATATGCTAATTGTCATCGACAGGCGACAGAACCCAACGAGCAAATATTATGATTACCGACTTATCTTCCAGAGACTCGAATCCATTCTAAGTGCCAGGGAAAACGAAGATGTCCTGACTTTGGTTAACATCCTGCGCTCCGGTCTGGTTCGCAATCTTGGGAACATAACTTCTTTGAAATTATTCAACCGTGCTTATGCGGGTACAAAGCTTCTAATTGACGACTATATCACACAAGTCGCTTTGTCAATTCAATATGTAACGTCTCTACAAACTATACCGATGCATGCCAGCGGTTTTACATCACAGGCAAAGCTGGAGTTGTTACATGATACTCGACAAGCATTCGGGAGAACCTCTCTCGTCTTACAAGGTGGGTCTACTTTTGGTCTGTGTCACTTGGGCACTGTCAAAGCGTTACATCTTCGCGGCCTTTTGCCTCGTATAATTACAGGGACTGCAACAGGGGCCTTGGTTGCTGCTCTTGTGGGTGTCCATACGGAAGATGAGCTTCTGGATTTTCTGAACAGTGATAAGATTGATCTCACTGCATTTGTTCGGCGGAGCTCTGCTCTTTCTGCCGGCGGTGGTACAAATGGACGAGATACCTGGTTTCAGACAGCTACAAGACGCCTACGGCGGTACGTCAAGGAGGGGAATTTTCTCGATATCCGGGTACTAGAAGAATGTGTGCGAGCAAATGTTGGTGACATGACCTTTGAAGAGGCATATGCAAAATCCAAGAGAATTTTGAACATTACTGTAGCCGCTTCTGGAAAAGGAACATTTCCCAATTTGCTGAATTACCTGACAGCGCCTAATGTGGTGAGTGCTAATCTAATTCAATTCACTTAACTGCTATGTACTGACAGATGCCAATGAAATAGTTGATTTGGTCTGCTGCATTGGCTTCAAACGCATCTTCAAGGGCGCTGTACTCTCCAGTGACTCTTTATTGCAAGGATGAGACGGGTACAATTGTTCCATGGCCCCATACGCAAGACGTTACCTTTCGATCATGGCGCCAAGTCAATCTCAGCGGGCGTGAATCACCCTTGGCACGCCTAGCTGAGCTGTTCAACGTCAATAATTTCATCGTCTCGCAGACTCGGCCCTTTGTCGCCCCATTCCTGAACTCTGAATCCCACCCAGGGCAGCGACTCACTGGCCAACGAAGCTTTACCAGTTCTCTCATGCGCCTGGTGATGCTGGAGCTTCGTCACAGGCTCAAGCAGCTTGACTACCTCGGTTTTCTACCAGGGAGCCTACGACAGCTGCTCATCGACGAAAACATCCCCGGGCCGAGCCTAATCTTGATTCCGGATCTAACCACTAGCGATCTATTTCAGCTCTTCCAGAATCCTACCAAGGCCGGGCTAGATTATTGGATCCTCAAAGGAGAGAGGGGTGTGTGGCCTGCAGTCAGTGCACTCAAGGTTAGATGCGCAATCGAGATCGAATTAGACCGATGTTATCAGACAGTGCGAAGACGGCGATCGAGCGACATCAGTCAACAGATTGGTGGGACTAGTAGTCGACAAGGCGCAAATGAGGGAGTGCCACGAAAACGGAGATCCACCGGCCACGATCCGGAGTAGTCAGCTTGTACACTTGAAAAAATAGTTGAGAATTTATTCTGCCTGATATCTTATTGCATCCTTAATGGATGGGCAGGAATAGGATGACGCCTGGTAGTACATTTCACTTGTACCTTATCTGCAATATGGAGATGAAAACACCTGAATTCGATTTTCAGTGGGGGCAAATTTTTTTTCCACATGCTGGTTTCTTACACATCCAGATATATCGGAATCTACGCGGGCAATGATCGTCACCATAGTACACCATTGTGCACTCTATAGCTGTTCTTGTAAACCTTCCGCTATATAATAGAAAACCATCTCCTCGATGCACACTTTCCTTAGATCGCTACATTGGTAGCACGTCCAAAGTTCGATCTTAGGAAACTTTGACGCTTTTCCAACATATACTAGTACTTAGTCTGCTTTATCTCTGTTCTATGTTCGTCTCAGGGTGAGCAGTCTGCACAGCCACACGGAAGATCCGAGGCCATCCGAGCCACAGGACATAATAATAATCATTGTGCCGATTGGCCCATCGTAACCCGCTGATGGCACTAGTGGAGATACGGTTCTTGGCATTGTGGCTGGTGAACAGGGGGAGAGGAAGGCATGGTGGGTCAGCTTCGGTTTTGGTACAAGTGCAATGTATCTAATGCAGCAGGCCCCATCTTGGCGCCGTCTGGTTGGCCCGAGTCCTCTTGCAAGGGGGTCTTGGCATCGTCAGCGGATCCCTGAATTGTTGGGTCAGCCGCCAGCGACTCCGCAACAATCATAATAAATAGTTATTTGAGTCGGTCAGCTTGACTTGCGCGGTTCGCGCCAGATCACTCCCTCTTTCTTTCCCAATTGTGTCGCTCCCTCGCAGGCAATTGCCTTCCTCTCATGGGACTTATTCTCTGAATACGCGTCTTCCTACCCTGCTGTGCTCAATTGTAGCTCTCTTCCATTCGTTGCGCCATATTCTTTTGGTCTTTTTGCTCAAGTCATTTTGAACCTCGTTATGGCGGCCCTGGCACCCCAGCAAAGCTTGAGCGAAATGAGACAGTCAGGAGCGACCTCTGGTAGGCTATCAACCTGTTCCTAATACGCTCAATCTGTTCATAATACGCTAATAAGTACTGTTTTCCTTCCCAGACCATGTCGTTCCAGCGCTCAACGGGAAAGAGGGCAGCGCCAGCCAGCAGCATCTGGAGGTGATATGCGGGCCTCTGTTGAACTATCAGCGCATGGATCTTAACGAGTCATCGACTTGGTACGGCAGCGTTCTCATCGTAACAAATCCTAGCCACCTTCAACCACATTTGATTCTGCGTACTACAGGTCCTGTGTCGGAGAACGACCACGGCACTGAGACTCAGAACCAATCTACGTCAACTTTTCAAGCCACCAAGATTTACGAAGACTCGCATAAAGCCTTTTGGAGATACTCTCTCTCGTTGCCTTTGGTTGACTACGAAGCGCGCTGGGAATACACCATTCCAGGCTTCCATTATGTGAACGGCTCGGAAACCCCAGCATCATGGTCTTTTTCGGTTCCCGCTCAAAGCCAATCTATGCGTCTAATGTTCCATTCCTGCAATGGTTTCTCTGTTGGCACCGATACAGATAGCTGGGCTGGCCCTGCTTTGTGGAACGACGTTCTTCGGGTTCACTCGAAGCGTCCCTTCCACGTAATGATTGGTGGCGGCGATCAAATTTACAATGACGGTATTCGTGTTGACGGGCCACTGAGAAAATGGACTGAAATTTCCAATCCTCACAAGCGACGAACTCACGACTTTGATGGAGCTCTAAGAGAAGAATGCGACGAGTATTACTACAACAATTATGTGCGATGGTACGGGCATGAACCCTTCAAGACCGCCAATGGACAGATTCCCCAGATCAATATTTGGGATGACCACGACATCATTGACGGATTTGGATCCTATACAGACCATTTCATGAAATGTGCCGTTTTCCGCGGCATCGGTGGCGTGGCCTTCAAGTACTACTGTCTATTTCAGCATCACATTGCTCCCCCAAAGTCGACATTTACCACAGACGCACCAGTCATTGATCCTCGTCAGTTGGCTGACACATTTGTTCTTGAGGAAGAACACGAAGACCCGAGATGGATTATGGGCTTGAAACCTGGTCCGTATGTTGAGGAAAAGAGTCGCAGTCTGTACATGCGCCTGGGTAGACGGATAGCATTTGTAGGCATTGATGCCCGAACGGAGCGCACGCGCCACCAGGTCAACTACCCAGAGACGTATGACGCGATATTCAATCGACTTGATCAAGAATTAGCTGGTGCGAATGGGGAGATCAAGCACTTGATTCTGCTTCTCGGTGTTCCCATCGCATATCCACGTCTAGCATGGCTTGAGAATATCTTCTCATCTCCATTGATTGCGCCAATTCGCTTGTTGAATAAGCGATTTGGTGTCGCCGGTGGCCTTTTCAATAAATTTGATGGTCAAGTTGACCTGCTGGACGATCTCGATGATCATTACACAGCCAAACATCACAAAGTGGAGCGCCGAGAGCTTATGCAACGTCTACAGCAGTTTTCGAAACGCCATGCAGTTAGAGTCACAATTCTGGGCGGTGATGTCCATTTAGCTGCGCTGGGTCGATTCTATTCGAATCTTGATCTACATGTACCAGTTGAGAACGATCATCGTTTCATGGTGAACATTGTCAGCAGTGCTATTACAAACAAACCACCTCCCAAAGCTGTTGCCAATCTCCTCGCACGAAGAAACAAAATCCACCATTTAGACCCTAATACGGATGAGACTCTCATGGCTCTGTTCGACAAGCAGCCTGGTGGCGTGGAGAAGGGCGCAGATTGGAACAATGTTACTATGCCCTCACGAAATTACGCATGTATTACAGAAATTGACACACCTCCGAATGGTGCTAGTGTTCAGCCGCATAGTCTAGTGCCGACTCACACACCCAAAAGCGGACATTCGCCTCTGCATACCGGTGAAGAGAATGTCGGTACAGTCCACGTGGCTGCGGATGGTTTCAGCAATAGCAGTGACCTGGTCGGTGGCTTGGATGTTGCCATCCGAGTTGAAATTGAACAGGGAAACAGAGACGGCAATACAGAGGGCTATGGTCTAAGCAGTAAGCATTCGCAACAATCGACCGTCGATGAACAGTGTCAACTAACGTTCTTCCAGTTCCTCCGCTGGTCGCGGCTCAGCAGACCCCCATCCCTTCTATTCCTGGTTCTACCCCTGGTTCTATCCCAACATCTCGTGCTGGGAACGAAAATGGGGTTTAAATAGCCTGTCTTACTACCAATATCTATGTCTATATCTATGTCTTGATTCCCTTTCCATATTCCTGTCTTGTATTTTCTTTGGTTTAACTAATACTCAACTATCTATGTAAGAGATGCGGACTTGCACAATTTTGGTCATTTAGTGGAAGTGACAGAATACAGCCTCGGTTGCGTTGATCAATCGAAGGACTGCTCAATGGTCTGGTTGATGGTGAGCAGAGAGCGCAGCGCTTTGAAAGTTCAATTAGAAAAGATAGCTCCAAGTGTGAAAAGCTGGATAGAGCTAATGAATTCGGCTAATCAACCATTTATCCTGATGACAATGAGGATTGCACGATATTCGGTGCAAATACTTCATCTCTAAGTTTTGCTAATCATGCGTTTATACACTATTACACCATTTTTAATAATGTAAAGATATCAGTATGGGAAGAAATATAATATAGTATATTTAAGGCTAATATATAAATTTATACTTTTGAATTCTCTCTTAAATCTTAATCTAAAACATGTTAAAGCACTTTTATAAATTATCCTAAAAGACCCTACTATAGGTTTTGGAATTGAGAATATATCAATGCTATAGGCTCATAGCTTAACATATTCTACGCAAGCTCAAACATATCACTCTATAAATAAAAAAGAACAAACAAACATTTAAAAGCAAACAATACGCATCTAAGACCAAATCATACTCCACATTAAGCTCACTTTTCCACATCCAGGCCAAATAGGCAGCTATGTTTGTCGATAAACTGTGGAGGACGCGGAGGCAGCTCATTCGCCTCCATCATTTTAGCCACGACGTTCTCACTATAGCGGACTCGGCCTTTGACCCCATATTCCTCCTGCGCGATCTTATAGTGACGGCGAATGTGAGGCTCAAGGTCATCCAGGTCCAGGAGAGGGTGGTCCTGGATGTAGCTCTGGAGTATAAACCAACTCCCCCCAACGCAGCTCAGTTCGTCGATAAGTAGGGCCAACGCCTCCGCAAAGCGTGCCACCGTGGGCACCTTTACTACGTCGATGTAGGCGGGAGGCAAGTGGCCTACCTCTGACGCTGGATTGTACTCTAGGAGGCGAGAATCACTGAGCGACATGTAGTTGGGATCATTTGGGGGGAGAGGGCCCAGTGTGAAGTCCGGCATCTTGAAAGGGTCCAGGAGGTTCTTACTCGAGAGAAATGTTTGATGAGAAGGAATTGTCTCCCAGGTAGGATTTGCGAGGCTATTTATGTATGTCTGCAGACTTAACTCGGGATCCCTCCAGGCGGCCATCGAGGAGGAATTATTCATCGTAGGTAGATGAAACGACATGGACGTCGAGTCTAAGACGATTCTATGACCGATAAAGGAGGGCTGGTAAGGATTTGATGCAATGATAGGGTGTGATACTTGAGAACAAAAGCATCACTCGAGTTTCATCAAGGGTAGCAGGCAAGGAAACAGCCAAGAGTCAGTTCCATGATTATCCATCTTCAATCTGTCAAAGACTCTTCAATCCCGGTCATGGGAAGAGAACAAAAAGTTAATATGAGATTCGTCAGCCATGTCAAATGACAGGCTGTCAGAGGTATACCTATGAAACAATGAGTTTCACCATGTTTAGTTGTTCCTAACGTGGCTAATAGATAGATGGATTGTGACGATCAAAGGGCTTTCACTTTGCTATATATGTGAGCCCTAGGCCCCTCTCATGTACTGTTAGAACAATCTTCCGGGTTCCCTATATAATCAGAATGCACACATGCCTTAGATCATTACATGGATGGTTCAAACTTGCTAGGAAGCATTTCAGATATATAGAGCTTTAATAGATTATATAATAATTTAGTTATATTAATAATATATTTATACCATAAATAACAATAATTAATAGATAATAATATTCTCAAGGACACCATTCTAATTTCCTAATCTTAGTCAGTCGTTCCACGTGACCAACGTGCGGCCCACATGGCGGTATGCTTAATTGACGGCCCTTATTACTATTGCATCTTATCTATCAATTGATGTCTTGATTTTCTTTTCCTTCACCCCCTAATCCTGCCCTATGAAGGCTTGCTCGAGTCGGCTTCTCGATATACAGGCTATCCTTTGACGATACTGGAATATTTGGAATACTTGACAGCCTCCATAATCGTTATCAGCTTGTCGAGTCCCCAAAACCTTGGTCAGATACCTTCCATAAGTTGCTAGCCGGTCCAGCCTTGTTCGTTACTCCAAATACAGTCTATATTTGCATTCTTGTGCGTGTCACTGCTTTCAGGGGCCAAGTCTGTGTAACATTCACTACCTGACCCCTCTATCCAGCGACTCAAGCATCATCCATCTATCCATCCCCTTATCAATGCCACTTGACCAGTTAGAAAAAAACAAGAGTCAAATTGTTAGCAAAAGAAGAATAGCTATAGCAGCAACAGGAGAGCAAGGAGAGGAGTACCGAAAGTCTCGAATAACCAATCGGCCGATGGGTCGTTCCTGCGACAAAGACTATCGCACTTCCCATGTCTTTACAGAGTGTTTCTTTCCATGACGCCCAAGCGAGTAAGAACTGTTGAAGGTTCGTGTTGGTTGTGCAAAGATCGCAGGGTCATATGCGATTTGCAACAACCTCATTGCTCTAGATGCGTGTCAAAAGGACTGCCATGTGAATATGGTGAAGTTCGTCTACGATGGTGTAATGGTGTGGCAGCACGGGGCCGTTTTGCTGGTCAGAACTTGCCTATATCAGTGCCACGGAAAGGGTGGAAAAGAAAATATAAGCAGGAAGGCTCATTCGAAGAAACCGAGTCGTCCGAACAGCACAACTATGACGAAGGAAGCCCCGATTCTCAGCAACTTGCGCTAGTAAATTGCAATAACTTACCACTGGGGCGAATTCAATCACCTGTGACAGTGGAGCACTTAATGCTCTATTTCGAGAATGTTGTGGTCGACCGTTTCAGTTTGTCTACAGAGCGGGTATCAATCAATCTGGCCTCCGTATACAAGGAGCCGGCACTTCGTCACTCTGTGAGTGCTGTTGCGAATGCACATCGAGTTATCTCCCTATGTTCCGATCGCCAGGACGTATTTATGGCTAAGAAGGAGGCTCGTTTAAAAGCTATTCGCAATTTTCGCGAGCTTCTGGAAGAGCCGAATCCGCTGCGAATGTCCAAAGCTTCTGCTCTCGATCTTTTCATGGCCAACGTCCTACTTTGCATCTTGGACGGGGTAATCGATCCACACGACGAGAGTGCCGCTACTTACATCCATTATCGTGGTGGAAGAGCAATTCTCGGTCAATTGGGGCTTCAAAAACAGTTGTTCCAGCAAAAGCGCGGCTTGCCAGCTTTGATGCTGTCTGTTTTTGTAACAATGGACTTGACATTTTCAATGCTAAGTGGCGAGATGCATTACTTTCAACCAGAGACATGGGCTAGCTATTCCGACTGCGATGGGTGGTGGGGAGTCCTTCAAGAAGGTGACCCTTTTTTGGAAATCATGTATATTTTATCGCGCCTGGCTCAGTTAGGGTACCTCGTACGCAAAGGCAATGACCCCACCTGCGCTGGTTTTAATGAGGAACTGGGTACTCTTTTGATAGCGCTGCGTGGCCACACTTTGTATGATATATCCTACGCCACCGAAGACGATATGAGCGAATCGAAAGAGTTATTAGCTGGGCCGCTATTAGCTTTACTGGACTCATCACAACGCCATTTGAATCCGGACCAATCGTGGGTTGTCTTCTGCATCGCATACCGCATAACGGGCCTAATATACACGTATCGCGTCTTCTACGGACTGGACGTTTCTGATCCACTGGTGCAAGATGCCACGCGCTTGGGAATACAAGCCATCTGCAATTCCCGGCTAACGGGCAAGTTATCACATTGTTTGCTCTTCCCAGCGCTTGTGATTGGGAGCCATTGCCGCACAAAGGAGGATCAAACTGCGATTGTGAACACGATGAACTCCACGGCAGCTTTTCTACGGTTTGGGTCTCTTCGTGTGATGAAAAATTTTCTTGATCAAGTATGGACGCAAGACTTGGGAATGCAGACCTGGTGGGAATGTTTTGAACCCATTTCCAAAGAGGCATTCCTATTTTGAAGGCACAGTTTGACCCTATCCAAGCTACTCATTAGTGTAAGATATAAACCAACAGCACGTCACGTCAACCATTTATTTTCGCGACGACGGATTGCCAAGGGAAGACTTTCGGTCAAGGCGCAGCGGCTATTGAGAAGTTCGTTGCTTCAAATCATCAGCTTCTCGAAGTTTTGCGGTGGTCGTGTTTTTTTTGTTTTTTTTTTCAAATTGACTTTGGGCTTGTTCTCGTTCTCATCGCCATTTCTTCATCTTAGCAGAGGGGCATATGGCAGCAACCCTGATGACTTGCCAAACAGTGGAACATGCTTTCTCGGTCTGAGTGCGTGCTGGTCACGAAGTATTTAGTATTCATTTAGCAAGAAAACATACCCGAGGCTTTTGTATACAACAGCCTCCCTCCGCCGTGATTATTCGGCATCGAAACCATTCCTATTTCATTCAGACAAGGCCCTATGCTTGATCTCAGGTTCTACCATTTCAGTGTATGAGATTAATCATAATAACAGTACCAGTATTAATCATTATGAGAGCGAGTCTAAAATTTAGGCTAGCCGCCGCTAAATCAAGGCCGCATATGTAGTATTATTACGATTAGATACTAGTTTAGGCAGCTCCTGCGATAGTATCCTCGTTCGCATTACAGCATGAATTTAATCCTTTATGAGATCGCTGTTCTCCACTAGAGCCGGAAGGGTAACGTTTTCCATATCAAATCCCGGGGACTTTTTCCCCTCATTCGGCTACAACCTTGGACATGTCAATCGTTCCTGTTCCAACCATAGCTCCTGTCTCTAGCCACACGGTCCAGCAATGCAAGGCTGCACGCTAGGCACAGCACAGCGCCGTGGCCTATCTAACTGCCCGATAAGGATAGAACCCATCTGCGCAATGCTTGTCTGGGCACCAGTCGGGGATCCGGCCATGATGGATGCGATGCAGGCGATCAGGATTGAGTTTACCTTACAGAGAGTGGGTCGACTTGACCCATTCCAGACAGCCTGATTGACATCGGAATAACCGTTATGTTTATATGGACGACCGCCTCCGTGATTGGGCCCCGTCCTCGTAGAGCTCTTATCTCGCCGTCATATGTGCGGGGGAGCTGGCACCCGAGCTCTGGAGCAACGGTTCTTCGGTTTGGGTATAACTCTGCATGCATGGGGGTTCATTTCCCGATCAGTCACTGATCCTGGACGGGGAGTAAAATAGGAGAGCGTGTAACTTGTACATATAAGTTGCTGTTGCACTGTTATTGCACTGCGCTCTCACAAAGACTTCCCATACCTCTAGCAACCTCATGCCACTTCCCCCCTTGCGCAAACATTGTATGATGAACTGGCGCTGGTTTTGGTTACACCGATTCTGATTCCTCCATCCGTCGTGGTTACACAAAGCTTCCGGCAATGTACTTTCGTCCCCACAGTCCAGTTGACTTGCTCAAATACGAGGACTGACTGCTGTGTAGACAAGACGCGCATTTCCTCACATCAATCCATCCGAGGTCTTTGTTTCCTAAAAAGGACGGAAAGAAACCCCCCCTCCTCTATCTTCGACACTAAGCACTATTCTCGTCACTGGCAACGACTTCCGGATGTCGGTTTCCAAAATATCGCTGCCAGACTCTGGACGGCCCCTGTCGGCGAGCGAAGAAAAGTCTCCAGCCAAAGAGGAAGGTCTTGAACAGCTGGGGTATACCCAGGAGCTGACGCGCAATCGATCTCTCATAACGCTTTTATTCCAGACCTTGGCTATTGCTGCCATCCCTTACGGTGAAGGCGGTCCCTTGATAAGCGCCATCTATGGTGGAGGGCCTTTGTCTATCTTTGTCGGCTGGATTGTGGTCTGTGTCCTAGATGAATGCGTCGCTCTGTCTCTTGCAGAGCTGGCATCGCGATGGCCTACCTCTGCCGGTCCGTACTATTGGTCTTTCCAAATTGCGCCTCAGAAAGCGAAAACGGCTCTGTCCTTTGTCAATGGTTGGGTATGGTTGATTGGAAACTGGACAATCACTCTTTCAGTCAACTTTGGCTTTGCGTCACTGATATCTGGAACAGTTTCTATGTATCATCCAGAATGGTCCGCCAATGCCTGGCAATTGCTTCTGATATTTTATGCCATTTGCCTAGCATCATTCATCATCTGCACATTTGGGAATCGCTTCTTGCCGATGGTCGATACCATCTGTGCCGCATGGACAGCTGTTAGCATCTTGGTTATCATGATTGCCATATCTGTCAAAGCTGATGTCGGCCGCCACGATGCCGCCTATTCTCTAGGTCATTATGATACTACTTTGTCTGGATGGGGTGGTTTCACATTCTTCATTGGATTACTGCCGGCGGCATATTGTTTCTCGGCTGTGGGCATGATATCTTCCATGGCTGAGGAGTGCGCCAATGCAGTGGTCAAAGTGCCACAGGCCATTTCTCTGTGCATTCCAGTGGGTGGAATTGCAGGCTTGTTCTTCATCATTCCCATTTGTGTCACTTTACCTCCTCTTGAAGATATCATACAAGCTCCTGCAGGCCAAGCCTTACCATACATCTTCAATGTCGTGATGGGCAGCCCTGGCGGAGGACTTGGTTTGATCTTCTTAGTCCTTGCCATTACACTTTTTTGCTCAATCAGTATAACTGTTGCTGCTTCGCGAGCAACCTGGGCATTTGCTCGAGATGATGCCATTCCTTTATCCAAGGTCTGGGCTAGAGTCAATCCCCAACTCGGAGTACCAGTCTGGTCCCTGGTTTTAGTGACCATTATCCAAATGCTCCTGGGCCTCATTAACCTCGGCAGTTCAAGTGCTTTTACTGCCTTTGTCTCTGTCGGCGTTGTCGCTCTGGCTATCAGTTACGCGATTCCCATCGGCACAAGTCTCTTCCACAAACGTGAGGAAGTCAACAAAGCTCGCTTTACGTGTGGACCTATCATTGGACCCATCATCAATATTGTTGCTTTGTTGTGGATTGCATTTGAGCTTGTGCTCTTCTGTATGCCCACTGCTCTGCCTGTTACCAAGGTGAGTATGAATTATGCATCTGTGGTCTTTGTTGGGTTCATGAGCATCTCTGCCTTCTGGTATGGGGTTTATGCACGGAAGTGTAAGTTCTTTCTCTCTTTATTCCATTCTCCTTTCCAATCTCACAATATTTATTTCGGTTTCATTTTGGGGTCTGACAAAAATGATAGCATACAAAGGGCCTCCTGCATCGGATGGATTGTGAAGTCAAACTCGTGCGCATACTGGGAAACCCGCCTCAGCTGAAATCTATTCAAGGGTTATCTAATATTTGCGCTAATGAATATCGCGGTTAGCATCCAATGTACTTTGTAATTTTAAATAAATAATGCAAAACACTGCAAATTGTGAGTAAGACAAATATCTACATGTCGTTGCCTTCGCCAAATATTGCCGTCGAAAAAAAATAAAGCAGGATATGATAGCCAAGCTGAAACCCGAAGAATCCACTGTAAATGCCGCGAAGATGTTTGATAAGGAGAAGAGATTGATAATATCAATAAAAAGGGTATTTATGAGCTTGGCGCAAAACGGTCTAACCAGCCACGTGCCTCGCGTCGCCTCCTCTTCTCCTTCTCCAACTTGGATTTGTACAAAGTGGCCCACACTGCACCAGCAAAATAGCCGCCAAGATGAGCCCAGTGATCAAGCTTGGCGACCTTGAAGGGTGATATAAGGCTCAGAATCTCAAAGGCGACGATTCCTGCTAATACTGTAGATCCGTTTACGGCGACATATTCTCGCCACTCGTGGGGGAGGAAGCTGGGAACTAATTTGTGACTGGAAAGTAAAGAATTAGTCTTAGTTCAATAAGGAGTCTGAGGGGAAGATTCAAAGTCTTACTCTGCATGAAGCATACACCAGCTTCCCACTAGCCCAGCAATCGCGCCGCTAGCACCGAGGGATGTTATGGTTAGCTTCCCCAGCAAGACGTGGGCTGTCAGCGATGTTATTGATCCAAATACGCCAGCTGAGAGGTAGACAGCTAGGAAATTGCCACGTTGGATTTCATCGTGTACTTAATACACGTTAGCAGGATTCAAGGGAGATGAGAGTCTTGCAATGCGACTTACGTCTCGAGCCAATGAGCCATAGAATGAGTGTATTCGTGGCTAGGTGTTTAAATTGTTGGTGACTGAAAACACTACCAACGACGCTCAGTGCATATGGATATAGCGGAACACTGATGAAATATCGATTGAGTAGTCGCCATGCAGGGGGGATTTTCCACAGGCAATATACTGCCACGTTAACGCCAATGATTGCAAAGACTGTAGCTGCAGCCGGCGGAATATCAGGCCACATCCGCGTACTATTATTCGGTGGAACGTATGTATCCGCATAGATGTAACAAAGACCCAGTGTAAGTAGCGTTACACCGAGAGCTGGGAGTATTCGACCGGCCTAGTTGAGAATGAGTTTGGCTCCCACAGCATAATCCTAGGACTAAAGAGAAACTTACTGTAGATATGGTGTTGAAGTCAGTGTTAGTGTTCTCCGCTCGAAGGTAATGTTTTTGAGCCCATGCGAGGAACGGACGCTCTTTAGGATCAGCACGCGGGCGAGCTAAATACAGTCAGCCATAAATTTGTCGAGATCAACCGCACTCTGATTGACTTGCCCTCGACAACCGCAGCCTCAGTGTACTTCTGGAGCTGGGTGTTTTTCTTGATATGACTCTGCATCTTCTCCTGTTCCTTCAGCTCGCTCTCGAGCCATTCTTGCCGCGCTTTCTCTTCCTCGGCAAGCAACCTTGCCTCATTCTGCTTAAGATTCTTCTTTATTATGCTTTCCCCGTAAATATCTTCTCCTTCGCCAAGTCGTGCACCCCAGTGTCCACTCTGGGGACCTAACTGTTGCACCTGCCGGTATAGCCTCTCTTCTTCTTCCTTTTCCTCGCGCTCAATTCGAGCCATTATAGCTGCGTCTTCATCCATTGAATAATTCTCTCGTAGCCAATGCAGCCCTTTTTCTATCGTCTTAGGTCGAACGGCTTTTGTAATGTCGGGAGGAAACGGCATATCCAGAGTTCCTGCGAATCGGCGACCTTGAAGCAAAGACAAAATCCGGTTCCCTGTTTCAACCGTAACTTTTGACGAGCCAAATATTTTTTTCATCTCGCTAGCTGATAGAGGCTGGCGATCGAGGGTGATTCCCCGTTCGGTTGGAGTCTCGGGTTTGGCATCTGTATTTGCGGACCTTCGAAATATCGTCGCGGGTGATTCGATTGCAGTACGGGTGTGCCACGTAGATGGCGCCTGACGCCATTTCTGTGAGTGCTGCACATAGTGTGTAAATGATGACAATGTGCTGCTATATGTGACTTGTTGTGACAATATCGAGTTCCGTAGATTCGTCGCAGGTAGCAATCGCGAGCAAGTTCGCAGGCCTAGAGGGCATGAGCCACGCCATACCATCGGGAGCACATTGCTCATTTCCAGAGACCGGCTCGAGATGTATGTGTCTCTTAGTGGTATGTAGCAATAGGTATTGGACGAAATTGTTTGTCCTGGCAAGAGAGGAAGTGTTGAAACTCCATCTGGAAAAGCTGGCCGAGAAAGCACCGAGAAGGGAGCCAATCAGCGGCTCTGATCTGCAGTCCGGGGAAAGTCCCGCTTCCTTTCATGGTCGAAATAGCTGACGACCGCGTAGGATTCTGTGTTCGCATTAGTTTAGTCCAATAAGCTACCCACAATGAGCCAGATATAAGTCCACCTTTCTTGATTCCGGAACCTCAAGCCCTGCAAGCTTGAACGAGCGAAGTTACATCATACACGTACATGACAAGACATCACGTGGTGATACAGGCCGATAAGGACTGACAGATGGTCATTCGTGCTTGACGCAAGCACCGACGTGAATAGTTCTGGCACCGGTGCTTCTGAATTCTAAAATCTAGATGAGGTCCAAACTCTAGCAGGACATCCTTCATCCGCTCTGGCGCTATTGAGAGACAGTTTCTACCGCCATGTCTGCTGAAGCGCAACCTATCACCCCCGCCGTGTTTGCGGAAGCCATCAAGTCTTTACCGCTCTCCTCCTTATATGCCAAAGTATCTGAGCTCCGCAATTCAATAGCGCATCTCACGCGCTCCAATGAAGAGCTCAGGCTCTATGTCAGAGACTCTGAGGATGGGCCAGACTCGCCGGACAACAAAGAGCTTGAAAATTACATCGTTGAAAATGAACGTGTTATGCAGTCTATGGCCGAGAGGATAGGATTACTCAAGGTCGAAGTGGAGGACAGAGGCCAGCAATGGATCGAGGAGGCTCTTGCAGATGGCATTGATGAAGCCGATGCAGAGAGCTTGGTAGATGGAGAGTCGCCACCGGCGATCAATGGAATTCAGTCGCATGAGACGAGTGACCATTCTGAGCATGTTAACGGCGTCCGAACCCCGTCGAATCAGCCAACTAACGAAAATGGCGAGAACTCTGAGGATGAGGGAATTCATTTATGATACGATGGGCGATTTACGAAGCTTTTCGCGATAGTCAGTCACCAAAAAAGTAACTCGATTATCTCTTTTTCTCGGCCCTGCTACAAAAGGCTGGTTTATTGATATGCTGAAGCAAGCTGAGATGAAGTGTGAAATATGTTTTTTTTTTTTTTTGAAAGTCATTGTCCATCCACTATCCTGATATCATATCTAGGGTTGCTCTACCTTTCAGAGAGCTTGGACATTTGCAAATATGATGGGAGTGCGAGCCGGCGTAACTCCCAGGCTCTCAGATGTTTATCAACAAAGAAAACGGAAAGAAAAAGGGGATAAAGAAGCCCAGGCAGCTCTTTCCACAGGTAACAGCCAGCAGTTCAGCTCTAATATAGATATAAGCAATCATGTTGCCATGCATAACCCAAGTAGTGCAAAATTGGATATTTTCGTTTCGTCCATAATAAAAAAATCATCAGCAGCAATTGTACCTCGTTCGTCCGTTTCATTTCCCTAAAGAGGCCATGATGAATAATATATTGTTACTCGAAATGCTTCGGATAATCTGCATTAAGTTGGAGGTGGGTTAGATGTCGGGCTTGCCGTACCCACAGCCTCTTGAGATGCCCAGTGGCCTGCGATAGCCTCAGGAGGAATCTTCTCCTGCTTGATGAACAAATCGATAAGGGGTTGCATCGGTTCCATCTCCTTCTCGGCGACAAGCTTGTAGTACTTGGCAACTGTAACGAAGTGAACAAAGCACATGTTCAACATCTCATGGCGGTTGATGTGCCAGAAAGGGTCGAGCCAATGCCCATGATACAAGTGGGCGTAGCAGCGGAACATTTGCTTCATGATGCCTTGGCAATCTTTGTAAAAGGTTGGAGGAAATCCACTAGATTTGCCGATCCAATCTTGCCCAGCGAGTGAGGTCAATGATAAATTCAAGTTGGTAGGGCCAGCAGCAATTGGCGTGTTTGCTGGAGGAGTGGACACATCGCCCGAAGCAAAGGTATGTGGTGCGCCCTGGACTGGTTCTGTGGGAAACATCACTGGATCGTGAATCTTACTGACAATCCATTTCTCTACCCGGTTAATAAACTTGGGAGCTGAGATCTTGGCGGCACGTCCGTCGACAAGCCAGGTGTAGGTGAGACTATACGTTCACAATATCAGATAACATGAAGGAGCAATTAGGGTCTAGCTTCGACATACCGTCCAGCAGACATTGTTGGGCAAGTATTCTCGTTACATAGCGGAAGACCAGTCACAGTGTTAACTTCCTGGATAACTTGTAACATACCATGAAGTAAACGGTATTGTTCAACAACTTTGGCGGACGTCAGCATAATTTTCGATCCCACACTCACAGCGCGCTGTTTCACTTACTTTGATGAGCAAGCCACTCTCCCAGCTCAGCATTCTTCGGGCAAGCGCAAAGAGTCAAGAAATTGCCTTTGACGTTCAAGGGTACATATTTTTCTTGGAAAAAATATTTTGGCGAGTCTTCATTGTTGGGAACGACGACATCGGTGTTAAGATTAGACACCACCGAACCAGATTGAGGAACAGCTGACACATTGGCTATCCCCTGCGGCGGATATCCTGTTGGTGGTGTTTGGGCACCATTGTTCGACTTGGGGGGGTTGTTTGGAGTCTTGTTGTTTCCTCCTCGACCGAAGCCCTGGCGACTGGACATCGTGCCCTTGTTAGCCCAAGTGATAAAGTGAAGAGGCACAGAACTAGTGTCAGAAACACATCGTGTGCAATAAGAGAGAGCGAAATGTTTTTGTAACAAACTGACACTGACACAACACGACAAAAAAAGGGGGATGAACAAAGGGCAGTAGTAGGAAGTAGGCAATGCGGGGGAACAAGCACTTACACGCTCTGGAAGAAGGTTGCCATTGTGATAAACAATGTTCAGTGGGAGGGTTCTTGCCCAGTGCAATATGCAGGAACTGTTATGCAGCTCAATTTATACAGTCACAGGGGAAGAGTCAGTGAAGAGGAAAAGGAGCTCAGAGAGCAATCAAGAGTTGTGAGAAGATGCCTTAGTCCCGAGTCGTACTATGCTCCCCTTACCGCTTAGGCTTAGGCTTAATTAGTGCCTAGGCTTTGCTGGCCTTCCTGGTGGCACTTGCCGCAGCCTGTAACGGCCTCTGTTTGGCCTGCGGAGCAGCAAGCCCCCCGCTGCCGCTGCTCTAGTCCTTTCTAGGTCTAGTGGACAGTCCTGCACCTGCCTCGTTCTATCTGCAAGATTCATCATTCTTGTCCTTCTTACAGTTCACATCCTGGCTACAAGCACCTTGTTATCTACTACCAGCCTCAATATTCATCTGCTGCGGTGAACCACGCTTCATTGAGCTGTGGATCTCTGCGCAATTCCCCACGCGCTGCCCAGTTCCTTCTGTTCCCTCTTTCGCCCGCCGCACAATGTCCTCCTCAGAGGATGAAGATGTTCGGCGACCTGGTCGCAATATGGACGGAGACCGTGGCAGACTAAACAGTGATGACGCCAATTCGAACTTGTCCGGCTCTGAGGCCGACCAGGCGAACGACGCGGATGACAAGGATCTCTTTGGCTCTGATTCTGAAGGTGGTTTGGAAGAGTAAGGAATTAAAGACTCGACGCTGTGGGTATTTTTCCAGCTAATAGTTGTTTCAGACCGCCGCACCGCTCTCTTAATGACCCCGAACTCGACTCTGGTGATGATGAAGGCCGTTACGACCGAATGGACGACCGTATGGACTTGGCTGAGGATGGTGGCTACGAGGAGACACTCAAAGTCATGGACCTAAGCCTCGGTAGAGCGCCAGAACCACAGACTACGGACCAGGAGGTATGTCAATTCTGCTTATTTGCCTGAAAATGTAGCAAACGCTGAGTGAAACTGGAGGTCTATACGATGGAAATACCGAACTTCCTAGCTCTCGAGACAGAAGAATTTAGACCCGATACTTATGTTGCTCCCCCCTACTCTACAGCCTCGACTTCTTTGTGTTGGAGATACGACCCTAAGGATGAGTCTCAACTCCAATCTAACGCCCGTATTGTCCAGTGGGAAGATGGCTCTCTTACATTGCAACTAGCATCAAACCCCAAAGAACAATATAGAATCGCCTCCAAACCTTTAGCGCCTCGGAATCAGGCAGGCAATTACGACCCCTCCCTTGATTCACACACCTACCTAGCAGCTGCCGCCGAGACCGCATCGGTATTCAAAATCACATCGTATCTAACACATCAGCTAAAGCCCCTACCAACGAATGCGGCTACCGATGATGCTATCCAACGTCTCCAAGAAGGCCTAGCTGCTGCTGGCCGAACTGGTAAAGCGAATATACAGAGCTCAGGAATTGCCATTATTGATATTAAGGAAGATCCTGAGCTGGCAGGAAAGAGGGCTGAGGCAGCTGAGAGATTGAAGCTGAGAGAGGACCGTAAACGACAACAATACGCCGATCGGGAACAGAATAGGACTGCACGCCGTCCTACTTATCGATCTGCTCGTGGAGGCCTGACAGCTGCAGGTTTGGAGGATGACGACGGTATGCTCGCAACACGGCCTGCAAAGAAGCGCCCTCGTGCAAATCGTCGCGGAGAAATCTACTCTGATGACGAAGAAGATACCGGCCGCCGTCGACAAGATTCTTACGAAGTAGATGATTTTGTTGCAGACGATGACGAAGAGCTAGAGGAGGTAGACGATGCGTCTGGTTCACTACCAGACGACGAGATGGATGCTGAAGGCGAGAGCGATGACCAAGATGTCCCGTCGCCTCCAAGAAAAGGCACAGAAGTTGGTGCCGGCTCGCCGCCTACTAGAAAGAAAAATCGCTACCGTGTCGAGGATGATGACGATGAAGAATAATGTTGTACATAAATAGCGCCGTCATGACTTTCGGGTCTCCTGCTTCCCACCAATTTCCGGCCAGGCCAGGTTCGATAATAATAATACACATCAAACGCATTAACAACTAGCATCTCATTGAATAGTCAAATGTGAACTGCGATCTCCATCCCAGTCAATATAAAACTAGAACTGCGACAGTATTTAGTCATAACATACGAATACATGTCGGTGAGAACTGTGTTTATCTATTTGCAGCCTTATGCAGCGATTTCAAAAGTATAATTACCATTTACAAAGGCTCCACGCCATCTGGATACTCCCAAGCTTGAAATTCAAATCCCTCAAGAACTTTCTTTCCAGCACCAACAATTCTTAGACATAGCATATCCCTCTCCTCGATATTCTCTTTTTCCTCGGTCATGTCGTTATCAGGTTCAGTTAGGGTAGTCGAGACGGAGCACGACACACTTGGCGATGTTGCATTTGACATCAAAGTTGAACAGGAAGTATCAAATTTAGCGGATTTATAATTCAGATTACGCGACCTCTTCTCGGCATGCCATCTATGTTGGCGGTCCTCCATTTCACGCACGAGTGAGAGAATGTCGGGCGTCATGTTGCACAAAACCCCAGGCTCGCACAAACCATCGTCCAAAGGGCCACCAATGACTGAGCGTCGAACTACCTGTCGAAGCCACTGTTTCCAAGTTGCATTTGCTCCTTGAGGGTCATCGGTGATGGATTTCAGGAAGTCTGAAGGAGCAATCTCCTTACCCAAAACTTCTGCATCGGCCTTGGACACCCTGAGCCAAGCATCTGCAATGACGCTCAGGAGAGTACCCAGCATCATGACATTTTGAATGCCCGTGGCAAAAGCCAGCGGGCATATTTCGCACCGAATGACTGATTGAGCTGTTCTCGCGGCGGTATGCAGCGATGTGATCGTTTCCCTAGTGACAGAAAAAGCATTCAGGCTCGAAAGGTTGCTTAAACAGAGGTAGAGGTAAGACAGGCAAGGACACTGGGGGATACTCTGGGATCCATTGGGTAGTATCGACTCCACTGTCATACTTGGAAATCCGGGATTCATAGATAGCATTGCAGATGCAGCCGAAGCAGTTGAAAAGTCAGGCCAAGGAGCAGTCGTTGCAGATATCGGCCGTAGTCTGTGGAACGGGTCTAGTGATGACGTTGGATCAGTATCGATTTGATCCTGCGGGCGATTAAGGTAGACTGGTGGACATAGGTGGAAAGTGTCCACTTCTATATTGGCCGATGTCCACTCTCTTTCTAAATTTGAATTGTTGTATGGACTATCCATGTCGGATAGAACGTTTCTATCATCCACTCGCGTCCTTTTCTTGGGGGGCCGGCCCATCTGTTTCTGTATTGAATAGTGGCAGGTGATGGCTTGTTTGACACATCGTCGACAGCCATCCTTTTCGCCTGAGCATTTCAGCTTGCGTTTTCCTATATTGAATATTAGCATGATAATCAAAACAACAAGACTAGAAACACCATACGGCATTCATCACATGCTGCATGTCTCTTTGGCTCAGCGTCCTCCGCTATAAAAGATCCGTTATGTGACATTATTCATATCAGGCAAAGCCTAGAGCTATAATCAAAGGAGGGCGGTGGTCGAATTTAATACTGGCTTCTGTATGTGTTTTGATCTCTCGCTATGAAACCCCTCACTGGTTGAATTGGTTTTGCTGAGATGCCCGCAGTCAGCGGGGAAATAATGCTGGGATATATATACAGCCGTTTCTGAAGCAGAGCCCCGGTTATCACTCATTCACAGGACCTATTCTCCGTTTTGTTTATATGGATGATATATATCTCCTGGGTGTGAATAATCTGGAAGAAGGTTATCGCTGTCGTGAATGTTAGTAATACTGGAGCGACGGCGCAGCTGGGCATCTTTGAATAAGGCAGGCTGCCCAATTACATGCGTTTTGCGGGCTTATGTAAACCAGTTTTGAGCACCCTGTTGGCTGCGAGTCGCATGCAACACCAAAAGCATACGAAACTTGCAAGCTTGCGCTCGAATTATAGCCCGTGAATAGCGATGGGTCCTGTTCTTACGCAGTCGCGTGCAATTCTAACTATAATTAGGCCCACGAGTTTTCTTGTTCCTAAAAGATCCTTTGCTCATGCGAATGGAAAAGACGAAGAGGAGCTGAAGAAGGCAAGAGAGTGGCTCGCAAATTTTTCCAGAAATACAATACCTCGCAGCATATGTACTGCATCTTTCAGTCGTTCTAGTGGACCTGGAGGCCAAAATGTAAACAAGTACGTTGGTAACACCTTCAAACAAGACTACAGTTTTAACACTGAAGGAATCCAGAGTCAATTCTAAAGCGACATTGAAGGTTCCTCTGATTTCATTATTACCATTGGTACCTCCAATAATTCACGAACGGCTACGATCGTCTCGCTATCTAGCCGACAGAAGCGACTCCTTGGTGATCCAATCAGACGAGGACAGGAAACAATCTAGCAATCTTGAATCTTGTTTTTCGAAGCTCTACAAGCTGATTGAAGCATCTGCAAGGGAAGTAATTCCCGGAGAAACATCCCAGGAGCAAAAGGACCGAGTGAAAACCCTGTAAGTGTGTACATTATGCATACCAGCAGCTTTAATCTAACATATTTACAGGAAAAGGGCAGAAGGAGAGGGCAGACTCAAAATGAAAAAACTACAAAGCCTTAAAAAGAGCAGTCGCAGAGGAAGCAAATATGACGATTGATATGCAAAGTTGGAAACCTTCCCATGCGAGCACCCTGAGAACGCCATGCGAGATAAGGTCATAAGGAGTCATTAGTCCTGTGAGCCATGCTTCGGTGCGAGGTCCCTTTGTACCCGGCCTATCGTCATCATAACCGCCTTTTGAAGTGATGGATCAAGCTCTTTGTTCTCCGACAACACCTTTAACCACCCCGTCAACTCTTGCGCGAGGTCAAATCCCATCTGATATTTCTTCATATGGCTGAGAGACGTGCCAAATGCTCGAGGAAATTCTGGTGATGTAACTCGGATTCCAGCAACAGGCGATTTGATATGGCATATAGCCGTGTGATATGTGTTGGGTGATGTCGATAATTGTTGGGCGACAACATGGTCAACGATCTTCCGTAGACATGGAAGATCTTCGAATTCAAAAATCATGTCAAAAAACTCATGGGCCAGAATAGGATTATTCGCTGATTGTTTCATTGCTGCATCAAATATTGCCATGGGGATAGCACCCGTGAGTGCAGGTGTTGCGTCGAGTGTCTTCAGTGCTCCTTCGTCCACGCCGTCTTCCTTCCCTAGTTCCGGATTGATATCCTCAGCGGTGATTTTTGGAAGGGCCATCATATCAGCATCCTCATCAACAGCCTCTGTGAGAGCAGACTTTTCTTGCGGGGGCTGATCTAATCCCAGGATCCGTCGACGGGCTGAAAGTTTGGCAATGTAGATACATTCTAGTTTTCCGTATTGGACCCACATATTCCTCTGGGTTTTGCAAAAGCGAAGACCCCGTTGAAAGTAACTTCGTGCTTGTGTCATATCGGCATGCTCTTCCAGTGTGTATTTGGCCGCATAAATCCACAATTCGGCCTTGGAAGGATGTAACCGCAGCGCATCAGCGAATACGTCGCTGAGTCTTCGGTACATTTTCTGCTGCCGACAGAATTCAATATATTGAACCCAGAGCCCCAAGTCCCCAGGACACTTCCGTGTAGCACGATCTAAGATAAATAAGGTGCGGCGCCCCGTATGCTGCGCCGCAGCTTTGACACCGAGTCTCTTCGTGCGCTTCTTTCGCAGGGTCTCAAGGTTCATTTCGTATTCGGCATATCGGGCGAAGTCAGACGGCGACACGCCTGAAGCATTGACTTTGTGCTCAAAATCGGACCGCTTTTTAGCAATAGAGCGAATCTCATCCTGTACCAGTTAGCAAAGGCCTGTTGATTGTGTGAACCGCGCATAGTTACTTTCGAGAAGATGCCCTTTTTCTCATATTCCTTCAGCTCAGGTACCGCCTTCTCCAAATAGAAACGGGCCTTGTCAGCTGCCATGGTGGAATATTCACGGTTTGCTTTCAATTTTGGAGCACTGCTCTCTCAACTTTTTTTTTTAGGACAACCTTCTGGCAAAAAAAGGCGGCGAGAGCAAGGACGATGGCCCGTGCACAGCAGAGTTCATACAACAAGCCTATTCTTCATCAGGCCTAGTGTATTCCGAGTCCCGATTGCCGAACACCCGCCAAGCTGGCCTGAGGTATCAAGCTGGCCTAAGGCTGAGAGAAATAATACGGGGCATAAACATCAACGCATGCTCCTAATTGTTCAACCTGCATCCACGGCCTTGTCCCAACATTCGACTCAGGGGCACGCCCTTCTCGTCCTTCTTTCCATTAATTATATCTCTTTCTTGACATTCATTTTCTACACAGACTCACATTTTTTAATTCCTTCGATTGATTTCTACAATCGTTCCCTTTTCGTTCCGCCGCCATGGCTCCCAAGTTTAGGGACGGGGACGCCGTCGTGACTGTAAGTTCGCCGGCTGCTGAAAGAAACGCACATTAACCTAGTCAAATAGATCAATGGCAAGTGGGTTTCCAATGCGCACACTTTGTTCGCCGCCCTTGCCTTCCTCGGTGCTCTCCTTGTTGGCCTTCAGCTACATTATCACAAAATCGTGCAGAATGAGTACTACGGCTATCCCGAAGAATGGTTTCCTTCCGTATCCGCAACCATTGGCGATCGATACCCAGAGCGCTCGGTTTTTCAAGTTTTCATTGCTATCACTTCTGGGCCGAGATTTGCCCTTGTTTTCCTCTGGTATATCATGACTGCGCGACCGAACTCCACCTTGCCAAAAATTGTTGCTGGCACTGGCGTCTTTCGCACCTTGACATGCGGCGGCTGGACTTATGTGACCTCTACCGATGACCATGATTGGCACGACATCTTTATGATTTCCTATCTCGTCGCCACCTTGCCGTGGACACTCGGGTGCCTAGCTCTGAGCCCTGCCAATCGCCGGGCTGTGAAATATCGGAAAATCTTCGCCGGTCTCTTTTTTGGCTCGTTGGTTCCATTGATTTATTATTTCATCCAACATAAAGTGCATAAGGTTGCTGGAGGTAAGACAGCCATTCTATTGCTACGATCTTTGTAAGTAGTCGTTAACATCTGATTGCTTTAGCTTATACCAAATATGCTTTCTTCGAGTGGGCTTTGATTTTTTTTGATGTCGGATTCGATGCCATTACTGCCCTAGACTTCGAAGCCTTTGAGCTTGTCGTGAGGGATGTGAAAGGAGTCAGTAGAGGGTATGTTAAATGGCTCCCAAAATAGAAGAAAATGTACAGTGCATTGTGGCTTCAGTTGCCAGCCTGGAAGGAATTTGTGTTCTGATAATATGTTGGCAGACAGTTGAAAACATCTGCAGACAAAGTAATTGAAAAAGAGTATGTTTTCTTTCGGCAACTCAACACGATCTTGAGAATAACCGAGCGATAGGAAGGATAAACCGATCGGATACACGTTTGGCTATGGATTCTCTTGGTCCGCTGCTTTTGATACCGCAGCTGATATCTACAATGGAGTGGGTGATTGGAAAACACCAATAATGCGTATAACATGCTAATTCTTCGCAGTTTGTTTTCTGGTCTAACTTAACTTCCCTTGGGGTTCTTGTGTGGTGTACGTGGAACTATAACAATTTCATTCCTTTCACTGGTTTCTGATTCTCAATCTAGATTTCCCTCTTTGGTATATGGGCATATCTGGTTACGAAGTCGCTATTCTCTGCACCACATCACCTCTCATCATGGCAATTCCATCTGTCCGCTCCTTGGCAGTGCGCAATGCTCATATCCTTCATTTCTTGACACTCGTTGGCCCTCTGGCATTCGTTGTCCAGAACCCTGCATATCGTCTTTTTGCTGTCGGCTTCAGCGTGTCCATGGGCTGTCTGGCGTGGTCAGCCGCCTTCTATAGTGCACGTGCTCAAGGTGTAAGAATAGAGTCTGAAATCGACCGCCACGCAGCCACCTTCTCTAGAGAAAGTTATCAAGCCATAAGACTAGACTCTCGAATTGCCTCATTTGCCATTGGTCTTATTGCTTCTAGCGTAGCCAAATTTGCCTTTCAAACGAACAATCCTATTTGGCCGATTATGAATGCAGAGAACGGTGGCTGGAACAAATTCGGCCTTTTCATCGCTGTACTGGCCGTGGTACGCTCCTCAAGAAGATCGGGTTGTGTTAGCGGAGGCGAATACTATTCTCCACCTGGCAAGAAAGGATCGGCCATTCTTAATGGCTTGGGTGTTGGGGGTGTCATTTTTGGTATGCATTCACTCCTATCAGATTCTAGTACAATGATCAGTTGGGTCTGGGAGGGTTTCCCTATACGTGGTCCCATACAAGTTCCACATGGTACATTGACGATTTTTGTCATGAGCACGGGCTTAATCTTTGGCTTCCAATACCCGCGTTTGGCTGGATCATGGACAGCTTTCAGTATTGGCTCACTTGGAGCTGCTGTCCTCACCTGTTACAGCCATTGGTTTGGCTTCTACGGTGGCCTGGCTCTCGCATTCTATCTCATGGCTGTTACTCCTGTCCTCTTCTCTTCTGCCGTTCATCATTCACCTGCGTCTACCTTTGGAGTAGCCTTTCTCGTATGGGTGTTCATGACTCTTTTCCATGTGTGGGTCGTTGCATACGCATTCGTTCCTGGTGGACCTTTGGTACGGGAAAGAACCGATTGGGTCATGACGGTGCTCATGCTGTGCGTGGGAGCCGGTGTCTTTTCTGCTGCAGTGACAAATTCCTCTTCTTTGAAGAAGCAAGTTGTTGGCCCGAGCAGGCATAGACAACGCGCATACTACCTTTATGCTCTTGGTCTTTTACAGCTTCTTACAGTAGCTGTTGCGTATCTTCGATTTCCAACGAATGACTATGTACCACACCACAAAGATGACAAGGTGGTGACAGCTGGTATCTGGACTGTTCACTTCGCCCTCGATAATGACATGTGGTCTTCTGAGCAGCGCATCATCAACCTTCTGCGTGAGGCCGAACTTGATGTCGTTGGTCTCTTGGAATCTGACACTCAGCGTATTATCATGGGTAACCGAGATTCGACCATGTTAATTGCCGAAGAGCTCGGAATGTATGTCGACTATGGGCCTGGTCCTAATAAACACACTTGGGGCGCTGCTTTACTCTCCAAGTTCCCAATTCTTAATTCTACACATCATCTCCTACCATCACCAGTCGGCGAACTGGCACCTGCTATTCATGCCACTCTTGACATGTACGGTGAGATGGTAGATGTGGTTGTCTTTCACTCCGGGCAAGAGGAAGATCCAGAGGACCGTCGATTACAAACCGAATATCTCTCGAAATTGATGGGCTCCTCGCCGCGGCCGTTGATTTTGCTTAGCTACCTTGTAACAAGGCCACTTGAGGGCAATTACAACACATATGTCAGCGACTTGAGTGGCATGAAAGACATCGACTTTACAGATTGGGATCGATGGTGTGAGTACATTCTGTATAAGAAACTCAAACGCACCGGTTATGCAAGAATATCGAGGAGTACTATCACAGATACTGAACTCCAGGTAAGTCATAGACGATAAGAGATTATCCGTTTCTTTAAATGAATTTTACGCTTGCTAATTTCGGTACAGGTGGGAAAGTTCGTCATCGGCCAGCCAGAAGGTGAGAATGAGATGCGTGTACCAGAGGAGATGGTACCTGAAGGTCTTCGTTTCCCTGCTTTATTCCGTGGAGAAGGGGTTCGCGGCCATCAGTACCATGTGTTTGAAGAGCCCAGATATTGGCAATAAATTTTTTAATTAGTTCATGTCGACGAAATGAAAAAAGGGGGGAATAATATTTACAGATTTGCAAGAATAATCCTAGCGCGGGTTCCGGCATGTTCACGCGAATTTTTGCTCTTCTATTTCAAGTCTCTGCTCTACCTGCGCCTCTCGGTGAAAAGAAACTCAGTGTTCTCAGAATCTAGCTAACATAGTTGGCGGATATTTTTAGCGCAAAACCGACGTCAGGTTCGTCATGTGGTATTGTGAATCAATAAGTTCATTCCATGGTTTAACTTGATTCGATATTCTAATATCCCTTGATCGAAGTTGGTCCTGTAAAATACGAACCACCCATCCGTCTGATTTAGTATATCTTACAATGTCCAATAGCTGTTAAGCAGGTCATTGGTGCCAGTCCCCTCATGGACGACCAAGAAAATTCATTGGAAGATGAGATTCTATGGTGTTACGTAGCTATTGATTAAATCCGTGGCACGGGTCATCACATTCCAAACTCGGGCTACTATACCTACCATTGGACACGATGGAATGGGCAAGTATCATCGATACTTGTAAATATGACTCAATTCTTTTTTTCTTTAACATTTTTCAAAAGCCACACATTCTATCTCGGATTTTCCTTCCGGAACTTTTTTTCAGGAATGCCAGCGAATGAACGCTCGATACCCACTGGACCAGTGCTTGGGTCCTGTGGGATCATGATGCTTTGCTTCCCCGGAGATCCACACCCAGAAGACGTCAATTTGAATCCGTATTTGAAATCTCGCAATTAGATGGAGAAGATGCGATTTTGAAGCACTCTTTGCATCTATATGGATCGCGATCTCTCGCAAATATTTACGGCGGCTAAAGCTCAAGTGCTAGATGTAAAGTATCCGCTTATGATCGGCACCAGCGGTACTTGGAAATGGATTTGATTCACCACTAGACTTTTATAATGTGTCTTCGAAACTTTAAAAGGGCTGCCTTTTAGGGTTTCTATATACGCAGTTCTCCCTTTATACACTTGGCTCCACTTCTGTTGGAGCGAATACTCATTCAGTAAGCAAATGTACGACTCCGACGAAGAACTGTAGCATTGAAAAGGAATGGGGCAGGGAGAACAAATACATGTATTGTGATACACTCACTAAACTCAACTAAATGAGGTAAGTGTATAACGGAACCTTATGTCTTTTCGGGCCTTTACCGCTGATCCATGCGCTATTCAAAGATATCCTCGTTAACTTTTTTCAACCTGAGCTTGAATCTGGGGGTTTGAGCTTGAGTCACCTATTAGTATCACATGCACTTGAATTTGATTCATTTATTGAGTCTTCTTTTATCATATGATACTCCTAGACTTTAAAAGTCTCTAAAACTCTCATGATCGACTCACAGTGACTGCATAGTGCAGGATTTCAATATTCAAAAACATAGCTGAAATCAAATAACTGTGTCTATGAAGGGAATATTTGCCCTTCTCATGCCTGAGTCATTAATTTTCAGGTTGAATATTTCCAACCACATATCACAACCCATTGCGTTCAGTTTTGATTCAAAAGTAGCTGGTAAGAAAGTTAGTCCAGACCGCTTTTGGCGGTCAAAACATATTGGTTCTGGTTATATAAAAGACTGAGGCTCTCTTGAGAACGTTTTAGCTAACTCCAACAGAGGAACGATCATGGAATCGCCGAGGAAGCGTCGAAAGAAAAATGGAGAGCTGTTTAATCCTTCAAGTGCATCTATACAGACCATTGAATCCAAGCAAAGAAGGGTTCCAACGAGTGCACTGACAAGACAAATCCCGCCACTTTCTGACCCTGGCCAGTATTGGCAGTGGGAGAACCAGCCCTCATCGGTGCAGGCAGTGCATCCATATACCGGGCAACTAAGAAATGTGAGCATGGATACTCGAAATGATTACAAATCCTCAGAGTATTCTCTGTCACAGACTCTGCCTCAATGGGTGAAACCATATTCAACTCAACAGGTACTCTCTTAACGCTGAATGAAAAGCATACAAAACTGAAATTAGAAACAGCAAATTTTTGGCACCAAGAGTTGGGTAACTGTAAATAAGAAATTGGATCCACGGTGGAATATACAAATGCTTCCAAGAGCTCATATTCGAAGCTGTTCAGCACTATCAGAAACAACCAGGCCATACCTTGTGCCACCGAATGTCCGCTTTGAAAAGGACCAGGCTCACAATTCACGATCGTCAATTTCAATGGCAAATGAAGAGGCTCATATCGACGGAATGTTACGAGGAGCAATTAATGAAGCTTGGAACCCTGCTCAAAGATCGAGTGAGGAGCTGTCTTCCGACACCTTCAGTGAGAGAGTTCCACTGCTGCGAAATGCTACACGAGAGATACGAGAAGAGAGATCTTGGCATCATAACGCAAAGCTGCGATCTATGGAACGAGACGTGGATGAAGATCATCAACCTTTCCATGTGCAGAAGTACAAACTCCTATGGCTTGTGGCGATATCCATATTTGTTGGCATATTTTTGTGCCTTTTTCTGTACGCCTTCCATATTATCTGATAATAATTACGTACATATTGAATATTGAAGACCACGATAGGCCGTGGCCTTCAAATTATGGATATCAATGTAAAGACGGAATGACTCGCTGGCCAATCTACGTAGCTGGATTAAAACATAGACAATTAACCAATATTTAAAGATATCGGAGACAAATCCTAGTTTGGCTAGTAATAGTATAATAAAATGGCCCCCTAGCCTTGCTTCATGTATAGATATCTGTATATGTAAAAGGCAGTATGTTGTTTGCAGCGCGAGGCAGCGGTGCAAACAGCGCAAACAGAAAGTACTTGCGGAACGCGACAATCAAAGAAACTGGAGCTGTTCAACGAAAAAGCTGTATTACTCTCTCACCATTGAAGCCACCACGGCGGATTTTCAAGTCTTAATCCCATATTAATGTCTCGATAAGTTTATTCTGCAATATCGGTTTGCAAAAAAGGGCTGCGGGCTATCGCGTGGACAACGACTTTGAAAGCGGCGCCATTAGGTGTCCGTTATCGACATGTTCACCTTCACGCCACTCCTTGGGGCACAGTCCTCGTCGTCGAAAGCGTCTCAGTCGATTCTCGAGCTTGAAGGTGGAATTAAGGTTCTTGTCGATGTTGGGTGGGATGAGGGTTTCGATACTTCGGATCTGGCGGAATTAGAAAAGTAAGCAAGAGATGAAGCTTTCGTGTAATACATGTTCAAGCTGACCCTAGATTGTCTTGTAGGCATATTCCCACACTCTCTCTGATTCTTCTAACCCATGCGACTGTTTCACATCTGGGGGCTTTTGCGCACTGCTGTAAAACGTTTCCTCTTTTCACGCAGATCCCAGTCTATGCTACAGGACCAGTTATTTCTCTTGGAAGGACGCTTCTCCAGGACTTGTACGCCTCTACGCCACTCGCGGCTACGTTCCTACCTAAATCCTCAGTATCTGAGCATGATAGATCGGTATCAGCCTCACCAGAAGCAGTGTTGGTGGATGGAAATGAACAAGGAGGCCAAATCCTTCTTCAGCCACCGACCTCGGAAGAGATCGCGCGATATTTTTCTCTCATCCACCCGCTCAAGTATTCGCAGCCTCACTCGCCACTCTGCTCGCCTTTTTCTCCGCCGCTTGATGGGTTAAAGTTAACTGCATACAGCGCCGGGCACACTGTGGGAGGCACAATATGGCATGTTCAGCACGGTATGGAGTCGATTGTCTACGCAGTAGATTGGAATCAAGCGAGGGAGAATGTGGTAGCTGGTGCGGCTTGGTTTGGAGGGTCTGGTACGAGCGGGACAGAGGTTATCGAGCAATTGCGCAAGCCCACCGCTCTTATTTGCAGTAGTAAGGGCGGTGACAAAATTTCACCACCCGGTGGTCGTCAAAAGAGAGATGCGCTACTTTTCGATATGATTCGTAGCAGTATTGCCAAGGGTGGCTCTGTATTGATCCCAACAGATACCAGCGCACGGGTTCTAGAGCTGTCATATGCCTTGGAACATGCCTGGCGCGATGCGGCTGAATCTGCCGACGGCGAAGACGTGTTAAAAGGGGCCGAACTTTACTTAGCTGGGAAGAAAGCGCATAGCACAATGCGACTTGCAAGAAGTATGTTGGAATGGATGGATGAGAGTATCGTCAGGGAGTTTGAAGCTGTCGAGGGGGGTGACGCAACAACTAGCAGAGGCCATGCCAGGACTGACAGCCAGATGCGGAATGTCTCTACTGCGCGTGAAAAGCAGACCACCAAATTGGCGCCATTTACTTTAAAGCACCTGAAAATTGTTGAGAAGAGGAAGAAACTGGAGAAGATCCTCACAGATAGCTCACCAAAGGTTATCATTGCGTCGGATACTTCGTTAGATTGGGGTTATTCAAAGGAGTCTCTTCGCCGCTTGGCGCAGGGATCGCACAACCTTATCATTCTCACCGAGTCACTTCCAAGTAAATATTCCAATGAGGACCCGAAATTATCCAAGAAGATGACGCTTGGTCGCGTTATATGGCAATGGTTTGAGGAGCGTACGGATGGTGTGGCAATGGAAACAGCAGCAAATGGAGAGTTATTGGAACAAATCCATTCAGGGGGGCGAGAACTTCTCGTGACAGACGTGGAACGAGCACCGTTGGACACAAATGAGGAGTTATTATACCAGCAATATCTCGCTACGCAAAGGCAAATCCAAAATACATCACAGGCACGGGGGGAGACAAACATTGACGGCGCTGGAGATGCTCTTGACGATGATGGAACAAGTTCGACTTCGTCCGAAGACTCGGATTCAGAACAACAAGGTCGAGTTCTCAATTTTTCCACCTCATTGGCACACGCAAATCGAAATAAGCTCGGTTTGAGAGATGAGGATCTAGGTGTTAACATTCTTCTGCGACGGAAAAACGTTTTCGATTTTGATGTTCGTGGAAAAAAGGGGCGTGAGCGAATGTTCCCGTATGTCGCTCCCAAAAAACGCGGGGATGAGTATGGTGAATTTATCCGCCCTGAGGAATACCTCAGAGCGGAAGAGCGTGAAGAGGCGAATATGCAGCAAAACGTATCAAGATCACAGAGTGAAGTGAAGCTAGGTCAAAAACGTCGTTGGGACGAAACAGGGCCTAACGGTCGTCGTTTATCAGGGGGTGTCAGCAAACGTCACGCAGTTCCTTTGAATGGAGAACTTAGCAGTAACACAGGTGATCTCAGCTTATCTGATGAGATAGCTGTAGATGTTGATGACGCTGAACTGTCTGAGGATGAGCCTGAAGATGCGCCGTTCGAAGGCCCAGCGAAGTCCCTTTATCGCTACTCTAATATAACCGTGAACGCTCGCATTGCGTTTGTTGACTACATGGGCCTACATGACAAGCGCAGCCTCGAGATGTTGATTCCGCTGATTCAACCACGCAAGCTCATTTTGGTCGGCGGCTTGAAAGAAGAAACGTCTAGTCTCGCAGATGAATGCCGTAATTTGCTTGCAGGCAAAAAGGGTGGTGATTACTCGACCGCCGTTGATATCTTTACACCTATTAACGGAGAAACCATTGATGCCAGCGTGGACACGAATGCTTGGGTGGTAAAGCTCAGCAGAAATCTAGTCCGGCGCCTCAAATGGCAACATGTGCGTAGTCTCGGTGTTGTGGCTATAACTGCGCAACTAAGACCTCCCGAAACAGTTTCCACCGAGAGCGAACCTGAAGAATCGGCCAGCAAGAAACAAAAACTTTCGGAAAATGAACCAGAGACCGTTTCAACGCTGGCAGAGAACACTACAGTCTTATCCACCGCCAAGCCTGATATATACCCTGTTCTTGACATTCTTCCTGCCAATATCGCGGCCGGCACACGTTCCATGGCTCGCCCACTGCACGTTGGCGATCTTCGCCTTGCCGATTTGCGGAAACTCATGCAATCAGCAGGCCATAAGGCGGAATTCCGGGGCGAGGGAATATTGCTCATCGACGGAGTCGTCGCTGTTCGGAAATCGAGCACGGGGGCTATTGAGGTTGAGGCTGCAGCGCAGTTCTCTGGATCCGACAGAAGGGGGACAGGGAGCTTCTTGGCTGTGAAGCGAAAGATTTATGAAGGCCTTGCAGTTGTGGCAGGAGGCTAGCCATGTATAACATGTACAATATTGCATTATCATCAATATCATCAATATAATGCCATGAAATGTCGCAGTGGCATGTTCTTCGATCACTTTAGATGAATTTCGGGTACTACCTTAGGGAGGGGTTTGATGACTCCTTTTGCGGTTGAAGCTTGAAATTGTCAACAATCCTCTGATGTGATGCCTCCTGTACTTCTCTGACTGACTCATCATCCCCCATGGCGCCTGCCCCGGAGCACTGTACCTCCTGCCGCATAGAACCTACCACCATCTCATTACTTGATCCAACAAGTGCATCATATTATCTCCCTTTCCAAGCCCTCGTCACTCAATCCGAAGGCACTCAATCGAAATTCGGTATAGATCACGCTAGAAATGCCTCCCGTTACGTATAGATACACGTACAAGTATTCTGGCCCTGTCTCTGCTAACGCTTTCACTTCGAGCCCACCGGTGTACTCTCCTGGACAACAATATCATCGAAAGCGACAACACAGGTCTGCTTCCACACCCATAGAAGGAAAACCATCGCGGCCAGTCCATCTCACTGTGAATAACCATCACTATGGGGTAAGCTTTATTAGATCAAGTAGCACTGCGGCATACTCATTTGTACTTGTGGATCAATAGCAATCGCAATCGCAGTGCAAGAATCATCACCTCTCACATATCACCCAACCGGAAAACGATAGCGGGATACACGGTGATGGGGATGATTATCTTCCGAAACATGTTGAAGGATATTATAGGCATGTAAACGAGACACTGAATGCTCAATTTTATCCCAGAGGCACATATACTGCCTATGATTCCTCCAGCATGTGCAACGTTTCATCATATCCTCTTCCTTCTTGCCCATCTATGCAGCCGCCTCCTATGCCTCCTGCATATGAGCATCTTATTGCCTCTCCCATGCCTACGACACCAATTGGATGCATTATACCGGGAATGAATATTGCTCTCAATATTCCACTCCACCATGCCAATACAGGCACACCATCCGATTCCAGAAAAAACGGGGCCGTTACTTATGGATATATCTTTCCAAAGCAACATGCCACCATTCATCTCATTGAACCCGAATATTTCCCTTTCAATGGGCTCAATGGCTTCCGGTTTCAAGTCTACAAGGTACCAACCTGCTTGACTGTGGGTGACTTTATGGATCAAGTCATACCAGCAGACACCGGTTCTAAGGATTTTTACTCCGCTCGGGGAATTATTGAGTGCAAGCAGCTAGACAATCGTTCTTGGGGAATGGGGCAGGAGTTCTGGGTTGGTGGCCCGCTTGGCGATGTCCAGTCGATGAGGGCAGCTGTCAGGAATTTTACTTTGGAAGATATTGGTTGGACTGAAGATAAGAGCCCTATTTGGGTGGCAAGGACGTTTGTTTAAAGGTCAATGTCTTTCAGGCGGTATTCGAATGGACGCAATACTGTGAGTATACAAATACACATTTATTGACAGTTTGTACGATATAATGACACTATTAAATATATTTTTGTTATGACAGCTTCTATGGGTTTGATAATTGCCGTAAGCAAATCAGGATTTTAAACATCCACATGGAAACACGAAAAGAGACAGCTGAAGACATTTGATTGAAATTGACTGAATGCGGCATTCTTTTGTATCCCAAATGTATATGCTAAATAGATCTTAAATAGAGATCTTCAATAAATCATCATGCACTTGCGTGTAATCATCAAAGTCATGGACTATTTTCATAGCCATGTATATAGCAACTCAAAAATAACCAAATCCAACACCCTATTTCGCGCCATGCTTATCAGTCTCCATCAATGGAATTCCTTCAATATCATCTTCATCCTCCAGGTCGTCCCCGATATCAAACACCTCACTGTCCGAATCCCTCAAAGCCACCGGCTGTCCCCGTTGCTCCTTCATTGTCCGACGCCGATGCTGTAACTGCACGTACGCATAGCTGACAAGTTCAGCACTCCAAATAACGAACCAGCCGAGCATTCCCATCGTCGACCATCCACGATAATACATTCCTAGGCCGACATTCAATGTCCCTAGAACAAAAATACTCCGTCCAAGCCATCTGTGGACGAGCGAAAAAAGTCCTCGTCGACGAATCTTTACAAAGTCAATGTGATGCTTGTAACCTGCGGCGGCTTGGACGACCAAGCTGGAAACCACAATGATACCAATAATTTTATGGGTACCGAAATGCGTGGATCGCAAGATCATGTAAGCGGCACTTCCGAGGGCTAGAAATGATGCGGACAGCTGAATGACCCAGTGGTACTTGAAGGCACGAAGTAAGGGCAGTCGAATGGCTAAGCTACCGGCAAAGAAGAGGCCCATGAAGGCGACAGTCATGATGAAACCGTGGACCCTGACACGGGAAAACACCGACTCGTCCTGGGAAGGTTTGGAGGGTTCATTGAATCCAATGATTTCATTGGGCTTTATTTCTGGAATGCGGTCGTCTTTGTGCAATTTCCAGGCACTGCTCAAATCCCCAATCACAACACCCGAGTATTCATGCACCGTTAGTTTTGAGTTCAGATCAGCGCCGTGGAAAGCTTGTTTGGAGGTTCCAGCGTAAATAAACGAAGTGTTTCCATTCGCATCGATCTTAGCAGGCGACCAAACATCACACGAATGACAAACAAATTGGGCGTAGTATTTGGACTCGGAAGCGTCGGCATGCAGGACTTCAATGTCGTGGGTATGGCCCTGGAAGAGCGTAGGCATAACGTGGCCATCGGCGGTGCGAATACTTGTTACCAGCGACTCTTGATCCTGGTCGGCGTAGATGATGAACATCAAGGCATCTTTCATTCCAGTGCCGAAGCCGATTGAAGTCCAGCCTCCAAGGTCTGAAGGTGTCGCAGTAATTGTCAAGTAGACATCGTGGCCGCTGGTCTCGTTTTGCTGCAGTGTGACCGAGAAGCAGAATACAGGATCATCGTGGCAGTATTGGATAATTTCGGCGAGGGCGGGAGAAAGCCAGTAAAGAACGAGGCAAAAAAGTGCCGACATGGACCGGAGAGGGGAATGCATGCTGTTAGGCGATGACCAGCCGGCGAGTCGTCGACCGATTGCGAGCTCCGACAGGGAGAGGAGAGAGTAAAATGTAATAGGTAGGACAAGCAGTTGAAAAGGTGGAAGTCAAGCGACAGATTGTTCGAAGTCCACACCGTAGGACAGAGCCACTACTACAGTGGGATGTAGCTAATTGCACGAAGGATTATAGCGCAACAAAAGTTGTCTGTCCTCATGTTTGTTCCGACTCGGCCAATCGAAGCTGTCTGCGATGAGAGCAACAAGGATACTCTATCACTGGGGCCGGTATTGTCACAATTCAAGTGCTGACAGGCCAATGGAACATTGGCGTTTTGTAAGCCCTTTTACAGACGACGATCATGATTGGGCTGTGGGTTTAGTTTGTGGAGAAATTCGTAATTTATATACCAGCCGGTACCGATGAGGTCCCAACACATGTAGGCTGGCTGTGTGAGTTGATATGAGGGATGAGCAGGTCGATATACAATGTGACATGAGCATCTTGATGCCACCGAAGCGACGATAGGAAGGCACGAGGGATACCAGGAAGTCGCTGACCGCCATACGCCCTGTGACAAAGGAAGGTTTGTCTCGGCCAATTAGCGTGCCGGGACAGCCGGGAAATAGCCGGTGAGTCAAAGGTATTATTATCATCTATATATTGCAGTTACAGAATGCAATTGAGCTCTGCCATGGTCCTCCTAGCAACCCTCATCAGTTGATTTCCCCATGGCTCATCCTCCAGCTCCCAATGCAAGAGGCATTGCTCCCGGCGACTCGGGTTTGATTGCATTGAAACCGCAAGCACCGCCGAATGTGGAAACAGCGACAACCTCTCAGCACGATGATACGACACCTTGGTTGGCTGAGGAAGATGGTCTGCAGATGTCAACCTGGAGACTGGCGAACATTATCCTCGCTGTCGCCGGCGTCAGCTTCCTGAGCAGCTTTGCTACTGGTGTTCTGACCATTGGTCTTCCACAGACAGCCATTGATATTAAGCTTTCAGAGGATTTGATTTTTTGGTAAGTACATCATTTGATTAGTATTCTGATTGACTACGCAACGGCTAATACTTATACCAACTAGGCCATCTTCTGTGTATTCGTAAGTGTCGTCCTCTCCACCACTTTCTAATGACGATCCACTGAGTGTCATGGAACTAGACTGGCAAGCGGTTCATGTCTTCTTCTAGCGGGCTCGGTGGCCGACGTAGTTGGAAATCGGCCGGTAAACCTCATCGGATGCTTTCTAGTTGGCTGCTTCATCCTAGCCTGTGGTCTTGCGCGAACGGGTATTGAACTGATAATGTTTCGCGCAATGCAAGGCGTAGCTGTATCGCTGTGTTTACCTACATCCGTGGCCATTGTGTCGAACTCTGTTCCGAATGGACGTACAAGAAATATTGCCTTTTCCTGCCTGGGATTTGTGCAGCCAGTAGGTTTTTCTGTAGGCCTGGTTCTCGGCGGACTAATGCTCGACACCGTTGGATGGCGATTGGGGTACTATATCTCTGGGGGACTCACCTTTCTCCTTTTCATGATCAGTGTTAAGGCTTTGCCTGCGGAAAAAAAGACAACTGGCAGGGATGTTATCACCAAACTTCGCACTGATATTGACTGGGTTGGAGGCTTTGTCTCCTGTGTGTCTCTTTGCCTGTTTTCCTACATTCTTGCGTGAGTTTCGTCTTATTCCGACATTTGAATGCATGCTAAATGAATCGAAGAGCCTTGACAAATGATATCTCAAACATCAAACGTCCTGTAAACATCACCTTGCTTATCATTGCTGTGGCTCTCGTGCCCGTGTTTATTCTTTGGGAGCAACGCCAAGAACGCCGTGGACAGCCAGCCCTAATGCCGAACTCCCTGTGGAAGAACCGCGTCTTCACTAACATTTGCTTGATGGTTATGTTTGCGTGGGGAGTATGCAATGTAATGGAACTATTCTGCAGTTTATTGTAAGTGTCTTGTCCTAACCAATGAACCTACAAGAATATTTTTCTGACAAGATGGCAGCTTTCAAAAAGTTCAAAATCTCAACGCGTTTGAAGCCTCAATCAGGATCTTGCCAAGTATGATCGTCGGATCAATCTGCCAGCTGAGCACTGGACTCTTGATCCATCGCATTTCTGCATTTTACTTGGTCGTCGGATCCATGATTCTGAGCGGAGGTGGCCCCCTCCTTATGGCAGTGATTGACGCGCGGTGGCCATACTGGTACGATGCCTTCTTCGCTCAGCTCCTGGCACCCCTCAGCGCCGATATTCTGTTCACAATTGGCCTGCTCGTTGTCTCGGACTTATTCCCCACGCGCACGCAGGCGCTTGCCGGAGCTGTGTTCAACACCGTTTCGCAGTTTGGCACGTCGATTGGCCTGACCGTAATGGCAGTCATTTCGTCAGCAACTACTAAGCACTATTCCAAGTCCGCGTCTAATTCTTCTTCCCCCGACGCGCTTTTGGTAGGCTACAGAGCGGGCTTTTGGGCTGCGTTTGCCTGGATGATGATTGCTTTTCTGATTGGAGCCTTTGGGTTGCGCAATATTGGAAAAGTTGGTTTGAAACGAGACTGAGTGCCAATCTGCAAGTCTCGGCGATGTTGAGCGAGTGGAGCTGTATGCAAGAGTCGAGGAGTCAGATGCTACTCGTAGCGGGCTCCGGCAAAACCAACAACGAATAACCCTCTCAAAGTCTTCACCGGAGTACCCCTAACACGGGGGTATCAACCAATACTCGGCGTACACCTCAGCCGAGTTCACCCAAAAATACCATGTACATACGACAGTCATACGTACCACTGTACATAGAACCGAATGAACACACGTGTAAGGCGCTAAACCTGTATCTCACGAAAACTACCTGACCGAGGCCAATCAAGCCAAGCCCTTTCCCCAAAAAGCGGACACGCCATAGTAACTTTTCCGGGGAAAGTGAAACTATGAAAGAAACCCCGCTTTTGCTTGGTGACTATGAATCATTTTGATGGATCAGAGCGATTGGCATGACCATTCGCAGGTCTGATTCGACGTCGACGGCGTTTCAAACTGGGGCCTACGCTGCACCGATTCGCTGAGGTCTCGGTATGGTGGGTATAGAGAGAACAGTATAGTGTCGTGTGCCACATTTCTTTCAAATCATACATGTAACAAAAAGTAAAAATACAATACATAAAATATGCACATGAAAATATAAATATAGTAAAGATATACACCATGACCGTGATCAGAAGTAGCCACGTATCAATGCATAAAAATGTACAAAAAATTTGTTGTCATATACAGTATATCCAGGCGGCCCCCTGTTGGGCTGCAGTCATGACAGAATGCATCAAGGTCCAGGTTTCAAGACACACACACAATGCCACTCGAAATGGTAAGATGTACAGAAGGTATATCAAACAAAGAGTTAGTCCCCTGCTGTACAATAACCGAGCAATCAACCAGGCCGATTTGATCGCCGAAAGTCAAGACAAGCTCGCCACCCATGACAGTCATATAACAATGCTGGATAAATAAACAAACTGGAAATGATGCCTGATGTCTTTCCAGAGTTGTTTTTTTTTTTTTCTATACTCCATCGAATCAAAACTTGCACTCAAAAGATGCAACCAAATCTCGAATCGATGGGGGAAAGAATAATGAAACAAAGAAAACCACACCCTATGCCATGCAATGCACCAGACGCTCAATCGTAGACCCGTATCCCATAGCCATTATCATAATGGCGAATTCAATTGTGTCGATTTCCTTTCAAGTGATCAGGAAATCCATCTCCATCTCGTTAATAATCTTCTCCCAGTCCCAGCTGTCCTCCATTTTTGTATCCATGACTTCCCATACGCGTTCGACAACCTTAAGGGCTGGCTCGATATTTCGTAGAAAGGAGTACTCTTTCATAGAATCAAAGCCTTTCTTAATCCTCTCGCGCTGGTGGAGTTCGAAGGCAGAACAGCCAACGAGGAATAATGGCATAAGCATGATACTGAATGCTCCGGCATCCGGGGGCAACAGGTCCAAGTATTTGAGGGCATCATCAACCACCTGCGAGATCTTCTCGCTAGGTCGAGAGGGGCGGATCGTTCGATAAAGGTAGACCCAAGTCGACTGACGATATAGCTGCGAGGCGTACCAGTTGGGGGTTTCCGGGGTATATGTCGGTTCCCACACACGCAGAGCCGAGTCAATCGCCACCGCTTCGCTTAGAGTCTGGTAGTCCACGGCCGGTTCATATCCTACACTGTGTCGTTGCCGGATCCGATCCCGTAACCGAGTAATTTCCGAGATGTGGTTGAATAAGCCATCGAAGATGCCTAAGAAGGTGCCGGCCTGTGCATGGGGAACAAAGTCGGGTAAGCGGATTTCGCCATCCAGTGGTAGAGGTCGTCTATCGAGAGAGGTGATTGAATTGGAAACGTCGTGATACTGGAAGAACTCAACGATGAATTGCCTGAATTTCTCGTTCTTGGGCTTCTGGGTGACTAGAAGATAGCGAGCTGCATCCATATGAGATCGGTACTCTCCACTAGTCTCCCCCTCACAAATGGTGTTGAGACACAAGGCTAGCGTGGAGGCGATGATGGGATCCTCTACTAACAATTGGGGGTCTTGGTTGGAATTATCGGCGACAGGGGCCGCGTTGATACTTTCCCTGAGGTCTGTGATGGCGCAATCGAAATGATAGTGCTTTCTCTCCTTGAAACGAGGCTCTGGATCTCGGGCGGACAAGTGGGAGCCAGACAGGCACATCAATGAATGCATCAAGCCTCGGTGTTGGGTGGCCATGGGAAGGAGAATCTCTTTGAAGGGATTGGAATCATCGTTGATGAGGGTGAGCACGCGGCTGAATTCGAAGACAAAATGGTCGAGGAAGCGGCGATCGATTTCAGTTTCAATCCCATCGATCAAGATGGGTAGACCTTTTGGCAGAAGCGACATTGAACCTCGCCGTACTGTTGGGCTTGCATTAGCCAAATTCACCAGCGAAAAAGAACTGGGCCTAGAGCTGGATATAAGAATCGTACCATCCTCTAGCTTCTGTTTGCCGCTCTTCCAGATCTCCTTGGGTGGATACCCCTCACAAACGACGGCGTTTTTCTGGCAGTTCAGACCTATTAGACCGATTCATCAGTACTCGTCACAACCCTCCGTCCCATCTTTGCGATATGCGCTTACAGGCTGGTTTCGTCTCGTCGCACTTCTTCTTCCGTCGTCGACAAGTGATACATCCGGTCTTGGAGCGGCCCTTGGCAATCTTGACCTGGCCCCCTGGTACAGGCAACGGATGTTTGCGCGGTCGGCCTCGTTTCCGTGGTAGACTCACGACGGTTGTGGATACCTCGTCGACGGTACGGTCCTCCCCCGCTTTCAGCAGCCCGTCGCCCTCTTCCTCCAGCTCCTCGATCTTGGGAATCATTTCGGGGGAGTCGGCGTCCATCACATCGGTCGCGTTGATGACAGTGAAGCCAAAAGTTGCCGACGTCGCTGACGTTGCCGACGAGGCAGAGGTTTGCTCGGATTCGCGACGCATTCTGAAGGCTCCTCGGGGGATAGAGCGTCCCGCGACCAACCGCTCACCAGGTTGTCGGCAGCATCGTCGGCGGAGTCGTCTCGCGAGGGGGAGTCATCTGAGGAAGAAGGGCTTTCGACGGCACTACCGCCCGGGTAGGGGTTGTTGTGGTGGTGGTGAAAAGGATTGCTGGTGGAGTTGTTCAAAGTGGAGAGCGAGGTGAAGCGGAACGGTCCGACGGCGCTATGGTCATTCACGACGGGCGAGGGTGGATTCTGCAACGAGGGCGACAGGTTCTGCATGGACAACATTGGGAAGCCAACATACAGGGCGGCGAGGGAGAAGCGACGAAAAGAAAACGGATGCAGGGTTGGGTGGGATATGGATTAATTAATAGGTAATAGGGGTCGAACCAGCGAGGAGTGGAGTGGAGGCGGCGGAGGAGGGGTGGGAGGGTACTTGTGGTAGCAGTAGCAGCTCGTGTAGGGAGGAGTGCCACTGCGTCGTTCAGTCACCAGTACAGTGCGTATTGGGATGGAATACTAGTAGTATGGCTCGCGCTCGGCAACTAGCTACACTACTGCGTGTCAGGCGGGGAAGTAAGACCGTAGCAGGAATGCGCTTTTATTTTTCCAGCCTGGGGTAAACCGATGGATTGTGGGAAGGAGAAGGTCGCGGGCGGCGTGTGCTGGGGAGAGGGCCTCATATAAGAATGCCTGCCTATTTTTATATGAGATGAGATGAGATGCACTCACCCCTCTTGCTCTCGCTCCTCGCTCTCGCTGGGGTGGCCACGGGGCCGGGGCAAGAAAAAAAAGGGAAAAAAAGGCACTGGCATCCCATTTCTCTCACGTACAGGAATGACTAGGCCGCGACTGTTCAGAGGTGAGGCGCACGAGCCCTGGCCCAAGCGTGTTAGCAATTATACTCGACGGGGTTTGGCCACAGAGCTAGCTAGTAGCAACTACTCAGTCAGGTCAGATGCGCTGCAACAGGCGGCGCCCACGGCGCATGCAGGTTGCAGGTTGCAGGCGCACTATTTTGGCATGCGGGGGGTGCAACCGCGCCAATAGTGTCTCAGGCTTGTTTCTTGGGAATCCTTCACGCCCACAGTTCATCCCATACCATCGCCTCATCCTGGGGAACTCCATTCCAGAGACCAGCGGGTGCAAGATCGTCCTCGCTGCCAAATTGATGGGGACGCGGGGAGGCCGAAGGGGGAGAGCGCGAGAGAGAGTAGGGAGAGAGGAGAGAGTCAGCGTGGCGCGTGCCTCGCGTGGGCCGCCCTTGCGTCAGTGCCTCGCAAAATGCACTCTCAGTCTCATAATAATATGGGGTACAGTCCCTACTACGTACCACAACTTAGTCCTTAGTAACTACTCATTAGGAGTACTCCTTAGTTGCAAGCATGTAAAGGATCTCCTTGCCAGCTTTGCTTTTGTACTGCGGGAGACCCACTGTAATTGGCCGGCCCCGCCTTGGCTTGGCGCTAGAGTTTCTTTTCGTATTTCCATTATCAAACATTTTCTCGAGACAATTGCTTTCTCCAATCCTCTCTAACAACTCTCTCACGCGACCATGACAACATACTGCATGGCAGGATACTATATGATATATGAAATAAATAGATACATATATATATTTAATATATTTATATATAAATATATATACACTATCTTACATAGATATAGTATGTGTATATATATATATATATATATGTACATACAATGTATTGTTGAGAGTGGGGGTCCCGGCAGCCTTCCGCCCCGTTCCGCACTGAACCATGGACCGTGTACAATTCAATGTTGCTACAATAGAGATATTATATGAACAGGACTATGGTCTATGGGCTGGTTGTATGTACAGCTATTTAATCCTAATATTGCTATGATCGATGGTAGGTATGAGCTTAATGGTATGGTCTAGATGGTTATTCTTGCGTAAGGCATTGCTATCGATGATTAGGCGGCGGCAGATCCTCCGCAATCCAGCTGCAGTCCCCACAGATTCTAATATTAAAATTATTTATTATTTATTATATATTAGGTATGACTGCGAATCCTGCCGATATTAAAGAATAACAATAGTGAAACACAATGCAATAATGACTGGCTATTCAGACGGCCGTGCTGACTGCGTCTGAGACGTGTCGACATTCCATGTCAGCCTGGAACCAACAGACCGCACAGCACAGACAGGCACCTGACATGGTTCCCAAAAGGTCTGATCATGTAATACAGCAGTGCTAGCGATTATTAAGACATTACTATCAAGTAATAATTGGAACGACCTAATGCCAATGAGCCTTTTTTGGCCAGTGGCCACGCGCGCTTTTCTTCTTTCTTTTTCCCTTCCATGACGGCCACAGCCACTCGAAGGCAGACAATGTCGCACCGAGTATGGGGAAGCGAACCGCAGTCGCGCGAGAATTGCTTTTTCTGCGCGAAAATTTTTCTGCGGCTGAGCAGCTGCACTCCGCATTTGACTTTGAAGCTTGGACTCCAATCTCTCGGTATCCTAAGTATCCAAGTGTCCTATGTCGTACGTCGTACTGTCCAGCTCAATGTCTAGGATGGATCATTTATAGTTGTGATTATTATTACTCCGGACTCCGCCTTATATCTCATAATATATTTACATATATACATATGCATTATACAGTATCATCACATTATATTTATTATTGAGGTGTTTCTTGTGTATTGTATTCTTTATTTTGCTGTAAAGTATTTGGTGGAGAGCGGATGTCTCGATCAGGCAAGCCGGGCCCTTCCCTAGCGCGGCCCACACGGGCCGTCTCGCCCCTTCCTGTTTGGCTCTTACCCTTGCTCATTCGATCGTTATTATTATGTACTATATTCTCCTCTGGAGTAGTGTGTCCAGGCACCGTGCGACGCAGTTCTCCTAAGTTACAAGTGTGTACCTCCTTCCCTCTTATTTGTTCGTTTATATCGACCCATCAATAATAATGCGATCACTCCACTGCACACCTAGGATGGTGGGCCCGGAGTCCTCCGCGAATTTCTCCACCGCGTCATGCCATCTCAGAAGCATCTGGAGATCTTGATAGTACCATGTACGTTGGTCGATACGATGATGACACTGAAGTTGACAGTCGAGACTCGGTGCCGACTTCCGTGGCAATCAGCATTACACAGTAGCCTGATACCCTGGCCCCGCCATATAGCCAGCGATGCGTGCCGATCCACCACGTAAATAGGCAGGTACAGCAGCCAATGCAACGATCTCGCTAAACCGCTCATTGTCGTTTGATCACCGATACTTTCCTTGATGACCATTAAATTCAAATGAGATGTCTGCCGCGAAGCACTCGGTATGCGCAGAATGACAATACAAAGGCAAGGGATTGAACAGCGGCGACGAAAAAAATTAGATATCTGATTGGGTTGTCTTTCGGGCAAAATTACCTACCTGTACGACGCAGTTCGGGCTTGGGCTTGGGCTGCTGTCAGCCTGGCGATCCAGGTCGCCTCATGTGACTCCCGGAAAATAACGATTCTCGTACAAGTCCGCGGTACCTCTTAATATTCTAGAAATCGTATTCATTAATAATAGTATGATGGTGCGACCCCGATACCCGGCGTCCACTGTCGAAATTCCAACTCCTTGCAGAATGCGCTCCGCAAATCGCTCGTGTTTTGAAACAATCTCGCGATGGCTTGCTATGTCTGTCAACCACGACGACATTCTTTGACATTCTTCGAAGAAGAATTCCCCATCACCGTTGAGGCTGGGATGGACCGTGTGATCAACCCCAGAATTATCGTCCTGGTCCTCGTCACGCAGCCAATTTCTAGGCTGCGGGGAAGCAGATTCGAGTCGCACAGCATCTGGAATATTATAACACACATATTTAGGTTCATGTACGACCCGACTCTAATTTCCAGATCAGTATATTCCATGTCATACGAAGCATAGCCTGTTTATAATAACTTTTCGTGGTTGTATGAAGTTTGTTCGCGCGGATATCTTAATGCCGGCTTCCTATTGGTCCGGCCTCTATACTTCTAATATCTCATGCCTCGTCATGCTTCCAAACATTTGCACGCCGAAAGTTTCTTAAGCCGACGCTTCCGAAGAATACTCCATCTTCTCATGATCTAGCATGAAAATGGATCAATCACAAGGTCATACAATATCATACGCGATACAATGTACGCCGTCTGGAGCAGAGGCGCTGGGATGCCTGCACCGGGAGACAATGCCACCGACGCGATTCTCAATGGCATTCACTTCAATACCGCCGTTCTCCGCCGCTTCAATTACACATATTACTCCAACGGGACGCTCTCCAACGCGAGCTTCTGCTGGCTAGTATTTGACGCCTACCGTCCTCGAATGGACATCAATGGCTCCGTGATCAACGGCACTTCGTGCTACTCCCCCATCGTTGACATCCAAGTCCACGCCAAGCTAGGTATAACCTTTGCCGTCCTTTTCGCCGCCTCTATCATCATCACCCTTCTCAATCTGCGGAAGCATGGCAAGATCCATCTACCACGCGAAAAGCGCTGGCCAACGTATAGCCGTCGCTTGGTGTGGTGTTGGCTGGTGATTGCAGGTATCTGCGGGGTTGTCAGCGGGTTTATGAGTATTGATGTGGATCGATACTATATACAGAGCCTGCCTCTTATCCTGCAGAGTTTGTTCTACTATCTCATGCTACCGCCGCTACTAGCTGCCGTATGGGAAGATGTACGGCATTGGTGAGCTTAGAACATAAATGCATGTTATCGCATATACAACGCTGATTAATGATAAAATAATACAGGGCATGCTGGGAAGAGAGACAGATTTACGACCGCAACCCAGGCGATCTGCCCGTCGAGACTAGTCGAGAGGACCAGGAATCCTGGCTGCCAGTGCTGTTCTATATCTTCGCATGGATGAACCTCTTGCTCGCTGTGCCGCGAAGCTGGACTGCAATTCAACTGCAGCGCAGCCCGGAGCAGCAGGAAACCGGGGCAAGACCAACGGCCACTGATGCGCGATTCAAAAGCGCAGCTTTTATGGCGCTTTGTGCGTTGTTGGTGATATGCTACAGTCTAGGCCATAGTATTTATCGGTACCGTCTAGGCGTGAGAAGATACGATATCATTGGCGGGATATTGCACGGGATCAGAGTGCTGCCAGTTAAATACAAGCTGATAATAACGACTCTGGCGGTAAAGGTCGTGTATACCATTGCATTTGCATACGACTGGACTATTTCACCATTCAAGTACAACGCGCACGCCGGTTGGGTTTTCGGGGTTGGCTATTTTCCTGTGCTATTGATAATGGTTATTTTCAATATCTTCGGCTTTGCAGAGCCGAATGAAGACCATGCGTTGGTGGCGTTGCGATACAGGAGACGACGCCGGCCATCAGGACCCCCATGTCACGGGCATAGACGGAAGTCTGGATGGTGGAAAACCGCGCGTGTCGAGTATCGAGATTACAGTTTAGATAATGAAAGGCTTGAGAATTCGGCGGCGATTGGAACAAGGCAGCTTGATGTTGATGTTGAGCTTCTTGCTACCGTCAAGGCGGGTAGAGATAGCAACACGCGCGCGGTTTCCGCCATCGAAGAGCATTCTTAGTTATGTTTGATCGTATTTGTTGTTAATTAATAGTTAGTAGAATATAACAGTCATTCGATTCCAAAATATCGCGTGGCCCCTTGTTACATAGAAATATTAGATATACAAAGCTCTAGACATAAGATCTGATGTAGTCAACCTGCGGGGTTGCAAATATTTTCATGAAGCACTAAAAAGGCGCGCCTTAACGCCAACGCCAATAAACAAGACTAAGCCGAAAACCGGACAATCTCTCGCTGCATTACTAGTACGTACATACCTTGGAAAGTGTATATAGTGGGGATGATCGCGAACCCAGCCAAGGCATGTTCAGGCGTCAACTCTGGCCGATCGACTTTGTAATCATTTGCGCATATCCATACATTGAAATAATCTCCCAGGAGTGGTGCGATGAATATCCTTATCAACCTCATTCATAAGTACCTTATATTTCATAAGAGGGTGTAAAATTATCAGATCAATAAGCCGATCTCGTTCCTCTTTAGTGATCTTGCGTGGTGCGCCTGAGTGAGACCCTGATTTATTATCGTCCACAGCTTCGTTGCTTTAAAACCTAAGGGGATCTCTGGATGCACACGATGAATTCGCACATAAGAGAGGCCACCTGCCTTCGGTTCCCATATTCGAGAGCGCTTTTAAGGGGTTAATTCGTGCCTTGGAGCACGCTGAGTAGGAGGCATTTTGACGTGTTTGAATAACTTCAAAAATTGAAGCAAAACAATGAGTTGATAAAGCGGCATATAGAAAGAACACGTGATTTTGGCTAGTTCTTAGCGCCTCATGAGAACATTTGCAGTAAGAATCGCGAGGAACATTGGACTAATTTCTGCGCTAGTTTACTAGTGGATTAGCCGCTGAGATAAGCAACCACGGCTGGCGAGGCCACGAGCCGCACGTGACTTTTACGCTCAAACTTTCACTAGTACCTACCGAATTTTCCTTTTTCACACAGATTGCAATATTGATCGGAAAAGTATTTTTCAACCACCACGCAAGAAACGCCCCGGCCTGGACCGTCATCACGTTACCGCAGCTTACTACAGTGCAAGTCTTGACGGCCATCAACATGTCTTATCAGAAGCCTGAGAAGGAGCTCAATGACCAGCCTGTTTGTGGAGGGACCCCGACACTTCCAACATGGTAACTAACCCATCATAGAAGGTCCACCGCATTAGAATTACCCTCACGGGCCGCAATGTTTCCTCTCTCGAAAAGGTCTGTCGCGAGCTCTCTGAACGCGCTCAATCCAAGAACATTGCAGTGAAGGGCCCAGTTCGTCTTCCGGTATGTATTGCCATGTCTATCAGCTTTATCTGGTTTATAATTGCTTCTGACACCCTGCAGACGAAAACCCTCAACATTGTCACGCGGAAAACACCCAATGGTGAGGGCAGCAAGACCTGGGATCGCTATGAGATGCGCATTCACAAGCGATTGATTGAGTACGAAATGATCTGTCCTGCTTCACAAATCGATGCTAATATATCCTAGCCTTAACGCTCCTACAGAGGCCGTCAAAGCCATTATCATCAACAGTAAGCACAGATCCATGTACCTGTGTTCTGTGTTTGTTTCTGACAGTGTACAGTCGAGGCCGGGGTCGAAGTTGAGGTGACTATTGCAGCTTAGTTGGTTCTTAGTTGATTCCTGCTAGCCAATAGTATTACCTGGCTGGACTTCACAGCACAGGTCATCATTGCTTTATCGCGGAAGGGACATAGGTTGGACATAGGACTAACTAGATTGTTGAGCCTGGGAGCATATTGTCATTCTCAATATCGCTATCTGACTCTTATTGTCAAGCCCAAGTGCTATGCAATAATCTCTGTTAGCCTAACTCAGTCTTTACAAATGAAAATAATTGACCAGGTCGGAAAGCTTTTATACAGTCCCACATTCTGCCCGCTGAGTAAATCCGCTATGCATTACACGACCTTTTTTTGGCGAGACCTAAATAGAGCATCTTGTAGCTTGCTGAAAGAATTGTTCAGGTTCTTGCTCCATAGAAGCTCAAAACATTCCATAGGCCTAAAATCATCCGATGACCCATGTTGATCATTTTACTTAGTTCCCACACCAGCATCCCCACGCTCCTTTCCAATCAACCAGAATGTCCCCATTTCATAACGGCAAGGTTATCTGAGTCATAGGCGCCAATCTCTCGAGCCATAGCTTGAAACCCGACTTCTCAGCTCAAATTATGGAAGATGATTCCACCGAAGAAGAAGATTGGGCTCCGATTGGGGTAGCTACTCTTCGTGGCTTGTTATCTCGAAGGTCCATCGCTCAAGTAAACTAATTTTAACCTAAAGCTAATGTCTTCACGAAGGCGGTGGTGAGTAATAGTAGCTGCTCGACGAATTTTTATAGTTCACGTAACGAAGCGGATATTGCTTGCGGTGTCAAATAACCAGTCCGAATTTCTTCTGAGGGAGATGGAGAGGATGATTCAGAATTTAATTCTAGACCAAGCAGCGACGGGGATGGTTATAAATTAATACCTGGCTTTAAGGACAAGCGGCCAGCCAAGAAGACTGAAAGCAGCAAGAGCTTAGTACGAAGGTGCTTTAAGAAAAAGTCGTATACATACAATCTGGGTATGTCTCTGAGTAGTGTAGTTATTAACAGATAATGATATAATAGAGAAGCGTGCGATTTCTTTGTATATACGGGGAAACATCATCTTCGATTGGGTAGTTGACTGGCAAGGGTCTGTACGTCAATTTAGGGAATCTCATCCTGGAATCTAGTTCAGCGGTCCCTATTTAGGCCCGGAATCTCGCTGCGTGATGCCTACCCGGAGTCCCTCTTGCTCTCGAAATTTACTTCCCGATCATCTTCTTGGATGATCCTCTGGTTCGGCATGAATCATCATTCTTGTCCAGATGTGCATATGCTCTACAACTTAACACAGAAATTCTGCTCACTGGTGGGGCCTGACGGTGAATGGGTTCTCGCAGATCTTCTCAGCCCTGCAGCGAGCGATGAGGAAATTCTTGACTTAGCGTACTCGTCGACGAGCGATGACAATAAAAATCAGAATATCCACAAGTAGCTTCTTTCTGAGGAACAAAAAAAATTCAAGAGGCAGCAGCGTCTCTTGAGCTCATACACAGTTCCACATATGTTAACTCAGATGCAAGGACAAAGGCCAGTGAACAATCAAGCTAGGGAGGATACAGTTCCACAACTTCAACTTAGCATTCAAGTAAATCTCTTGCTTCAAATTGTGAGACGCAAGACATCCGCAAAGTGCCCGGAAAGGAGAAAACGGAGGCCTATTCTAAACAACTAGGTATGTCTGACGCCCTGACAAATTCAGCGGGTCAAATCCAGCAACTCAAAGACGGCGTTTAGAATCAAGGCGTTTCTTCTCCGGTAAGTTTAATAGATTAATATCGGATAACTTTTTGCTGACAGTGATGATATTTAGAGCACCATAGTTTTCAGCTTCTTGTGGAGATTGAGGCCGAAGATGGTCTAGTAACGGCGGGTATTTGACCTGCTAATTATAGATCTACTGAGATAGCCTGGGAGAAGTCCTCGCTTCAAAAGCAACAAAGAAATAAAGTGTGTGCATAGCTCAATCGTAACAATTCCGGTCAAATAAGTCTGTCGGAATCAATTAGATGATACTACAGAATACAATGCATAGTAAGAAAGCTAGTGTAAACGAGTTGCTAGGGAGTTTACATCTATATTATCCCACAAATCTATTCAAGCTCTCTTATATATATAAAATTGATTCTAACTTAATTAAATTCACCCTCTTTATATCCCAGAATATGCCCAATTGCCTCAATTCCCTCCAGATCCAACTGGCTATGAATCTTACTAGTCGGCAGTCGGCGAACTTTTTCTAGGTCTGCGCGGATTACCGCCTCGGTATCTAACATACCTCCCCTGAATGCACTGCCGCATGAACTAGATCAGGATTACTACTTATAATTTCCCGTGTCATTATACAGGTATGCAGGATGGACCGGGGGATGCTATTCATAGCTACATCTATTTTGGACATGGTCTTGGCTGGCCCTACTTGATTCATGAGAGTATTCCTGCGATGGTATATCATACACATATACACATATCAATGCAGCGTGGATCCAAAATACATACAAAGTACAAAAGCTTGTGGTTCGTATGCATGGTTCGCCGATCCTAAATCTCAAACTTAGATAATTATATACTCACTGCATTGGGAACACCTGATTCGAGATGTTTTGGTTCTGGTCAGGGTTCAGGGGTAGCCCCCATGTGGACCCCGACAGGCGATTATTATTGCGTTCAAGAGGATTGGGCTGACCAACGCAAAAATAAATAACTACAGAATCAATATAATAGTAAATAATTAGTGCATAGATAATAATAATAAACAAGCTGAATTGTTAGAATGCTGACTCTGGACGTGCCAACCGATCTCGCCAGCTCCTCAGAGTGACATCGCTTGTCTAGGCCTGACTATTATTATCCCGCTAGTCATCAGCCCCTGACAGGAAGATGAATTGGGATGAATTGGAATTAAGAGTTGAAAGAGTAGAAGCTTTGAAGTCACACTTTTGATAAACCAATATACAACGGAAGGGATATCAATGCCAAACTATCTATCTACAGACAACCCAGTATATGTCCTGTAAATCCTTGTACACCAACCAACCTGCTATAAACACATTGGCCAGGTGATGCTGATCTCCATAGGCAACCTGGCCTGTCCCTAAAACTCTTCCCTCGTAGGGTCGGGAGTATCAAATAGAAGAGAAGGGAAGAAAAAAGGTAAATCACAAATAAATACACTCGCTAATCGCTGGTCTGATGCAGACGTCACTCATAGCTCGTAATGAAAATCAGGAAGTAAAAGAATCAGACGTCTAGCCTGACCCGAGTCCAACTTGATGCTCAAGCAGTCGAGGTGGAGTTGGAGGCAGGGCCGAGGTTGAGTGTCATCAGGTCGGCGCTGGCGCAGGCGTGGGTGGCCTGGTTGTCAGAGGGAACCAGGTAAGCATCGGCGCAAGCAGAGTCGCCAGGAGCGCAAGTGGCGGACGGGCAGGTAACGTCGTTGGAGCTGACGGCAAAGCCGACAGTGGTGAACTGGGAGTTGGAGCCCATGTCGATGCAGGAGAGGTCCCACCAGATGGTTGGGTCCTCAAGGGTGTACTCGAACTGCAGGACATCGGTCTGTTGCTCGCTGAAGGACATCTTGATGGAGTATCCTCCAACGGCACGGGTTTGCCAGATCTCGGAGTAGGTATCGCCAGTGTTGAGGGTTTGCATCTCACTGGAGGAGTCACCGACAGACCAGAGGTAGATGGTTTGCTCCATGTTGTTGGTGATCTCGACACCGTCGGAGGTGATGTTGTCACGACGGTGCATGAAGTTGTGGCTGTGGCCATGGCGGCTGTAGTGCGAAGCAGGCATGGCAGAGGCAGCAGCGCCGAGAACAGCAACGAGACCGAGAGCTTTGGCGAACATTTTGACAGGTTTTCTTGGTTTTGTTTGAACGAAAGGGTGTCGGATGGATAGTATCAAAGCGTGTGAGGCTGAAAAGACTGACTGATATCTCTATCAAAGAGATAATCGATGTATGTAAGGAATGACTGCTCTCAAGGAGTGATAGTTCTATAGTATCCAGAAGAAGAAGCGCTGACACGAGGGCCGGGGAGAGCTATACTATATATACGCGTACTACATGGTCGGTGGGTGGGGGACAGGTTCTTTCTTCGAGGGCTCAAAGGGCTGTGGAGTCTGACCGGGCCATCCAGTGGCATCCACTCCTTCGAACGATTTTGCTCACGACTGAAGACATGCCCCGTTGAGCGTCAAGGCCGAGGTGGCATTGCTGTCGTGGTAGAATGGCGTTGGGTCTGGACCACGCTTCCGTTTCAAGGGTGGAGCCAGTTCGGCGCCTTAAAGACGGCGGCATGGGATGGCAGAGGAGGGGGCCGTTCATTGCACAGGATTCGAAGAGGCCCCAGCCCGACTCTCCATCGGGACTGAATCTGACCTGTTAGCGCAGCAGGCCGGTCTTCCGGCTGGCGAGGCACAACGCAAGCTGACGCCCGCCGAGCCTGATTGGTGCGTGCCTGACAGCCGCCGCGACGTTGGCACCAGCCAGTCTGAAAAAATTGCATGTTGCATGATATGCGTCAGCACAGCGGCTGGCGAGTTTGAAGCCGGAAAATGGCATAAAGTCAGGCATGGCCTCAGTTGTGCTCCTCTGCCGAAGGTTCGGCTAATATCTCAGCAATCTAAATTCATTCATTGAAACCACGTTTCCGAGATTCTAGTGTAGAGGCTGCCAATCGGGGCTCTATTTGGGGAGGTGGTTTAGTGGTTCAGGCACTGAGCAACACTAACTCAGGAGTAGTTAGCACACGCACCAATTAACGCCGCCTGGGAAATGGAATAGAGTTGCCTGATAGATTGCAGACCAAGGGTTAGCCCTGGCCTGTCAGCCTATCACGATCGAGAAGCGATGCTCCACCGGGCTGCCTAGCACCGTGGACGCCGAGCGTGCCTGGCCCGCCTGCTGTGCGTGGTTGTACCAGTGTTGATGGGCACGACCACCGCAGTGTACTATCTCCGTGGCAATAGCGCTATGCCGCGATTTCATGTCAATGGGAGTGGTATAATGGTATCAGGCGTGCCGACACATGCTAAGCAGGGCGGCCTAGCATGCAGAGCCGTTTCTCTGCTAGTCGCGAAATGAAATCCTGGAAGAAAGAAAACTCTTCCAACTACCCATTCCAGCGTTCCGTGATCAAAGCAGCATCCCGAATGGCAAACGCCTACAAAGAAGATTACAAAAGAGGAGAAGGAAAAAAAAGCAAGTCGTTAGTCACCGACATGAATAATACTTCCCCTCTCGGGCACGAAAAGGAAAAGGTTCAAGGAAATGAGGTTGGAAAAAGGCATCCGCCGAGTAGGGCTTCGTGATTGGCATTCTCCTGTAGCAAACCCCTGCCAGGTCATCCCAGGTGGAAACCAGCATGGCCACTCAGCAGCCATGGAGAAATGACGCCCGCATCCAGAACAGCGGGTGCGGTGCGGTGCCTGAACGATAGTAAAATCATCGGCTATTTCTATTTGTTGCCAACTTTCCCGATCCATCATATCGACATCATTTGCTGCTGCTCACCGGCTCCTCGGTTGTATCCGCGGTGGCGAACGAGGCGAGGAGAATTTTTCGTCCTGTCGTTTTGTTTGCTTATGCTGGTCCACTTTGAGGGTATGACACATGTTAATATTACCATGATTATTATTGACTACCGGAAATGCGACTGCTCATTCCCCCGCGCAGTAACTAGGACAGCTCATATTACCATTATCTCACAATTTATAAATTCATACTTGTCTGCCAGGCCCCGTTAGGGCTGGTGATCCACGTGTTTCGATTGGTGATCGCCACGACGGCGTCGATTCGAATCGGCAATCCAGCACCATTTTGCCATGGCCGATAATTAGTCCAACGCTTAATTAATAACTCGAAAATTAATTCGAAAAATCGCTCGCTCTCGACCGACTTTGCTGGAGCCAGCGTATCGTGCAGCCACGAATGATGTCTGTGGCTTGCTTTGCCTTTGGCTTAAGCCTTCTGCAGAATTTTACACTGCTGTTCCTGCATTGACGCTGATCCATCTCACTGAGAGCCATGAGACCAGCCTTACGAACAGGTCGGTATTTTGAATAGTTCATAAGTGATATTATTATATTGGAGTGAACTTTTTATGAGAATGAGAGAGACATAAATCAAAAGGTATTAACATGGTACTCGTCCTATCTGCCATATCTACCAGCACAGAGGCAGGCCTACCAGTACGGCGCTCGGATCCCGGTAAGACTGGAGAGAGCACCCTCGCCCGAGCCCGTTCCCTCCTCTTTCTTCCGATGCCCTGCCAGTTCAAGATTGATCTGGCGGTGAATATGTACCAGCCAATCCACGTAGCTTTGTGCCTCGTTGTTGCGGTCCTCCACCAATGATCGCGCAAACTCGAATTCGGCCCCGTCCAGTCCTTGCCGTGCCAACTGGATCGTAACCGCCTTCGAACCTCTCACCGTGGACAGGTACTGCAAAAGGTTCCGAACCTGCGCATTGAGATGTGTCTCCAGCACGGGCAGCGATGACGTGTTAGCATCCAAAGATTGTAGTGATGAGAACCCCGGTCCAAAGAGGTCTTCCAACAGATTGGGCGACACTTGGGCATGCAACCAGAGTAGGACCACTTGCCCATTGTCAACCAAGTAGACCCCGCCTTCTTCGATACGAGAAAACGTAGCCCGTAGCGCGGGAGGCACCTGGAGTCGTCCTTGTTCATTGGCAAACCCATCCTCCGGCCTCATATTATGAATCGGGAGAATACGTGGATACAGGTATAATGACGTCTCGAGGCAGCCAATGGATCTCAGCATGCGCAAATCATGCACACGTCGGTCTGCAGTTTCGCTCCCTCCTAGATTGGTAGTTAGTAGGAGAACGTAATCGAACAGTCACAACGCTCACCTTTGAAGGCCCTCGACTTGATCATGCCAAGCATGTACATTGAGAACTCCTTAAGATTCTCGGGCAGCACAAGCTGGCCGGGGGGGTGTGAGCCTGAGAAGTTTTTGCGATACCCAGAAAAGATGTCGACGGTCTTTTCCGTGATACTGGCACGGATATCCTTTAATGGTTTGTCTCCTGCCTTTGACGCGGCTGGATAATTCGTTAGCTCAATGTTGTCAATAGCATGATATTACTTGTAACCCACCTTCTTTTGCAATGATAGAAACAACCGCATCCTGATCGATGCATTTCATCGTCTCAAGCCCACCCTCATTCACTGCAGCCACAATATTGATACATCTCACTCGTCGCTGGCCGCTTGCTGATGTGTACAGCAAGGCAGCCTGGAAATGAGCATCAAGCTTAGGATCGAGCTTCCCATCGTAGCTGAAAAGAACCCCCAAAGCCTTGTCAGCGTCAACTGTTCCAATTTCAAGATCAGCTCCAAATGTATGTTGTAGGAAGTTGCCGTGATATGACGAAACTTGAAGCCCATTTGAGCAGCGGACTTTCATCAAAGCCTGGTATCCTGTCTCTCGAGTGACCGTGTGAGCTATCTCTTGAGAAAGCTTTAACAAGTCTCGAGGGGCGTGGAAGTTCGGATAGAAGAAGGTTTCTCCGCCTGAGATGGCTGCAGCATAACCTGCGAACAGTGTTAGTCCAAGCAATCGAATCATGCTATCTCCTACCAATTGTTGTCAGATCCATGAACGCGCCGCCTGGTGACGCAGCAAAAAAGTCGATACCGACGCCGCTTTCAGCTAGTTTAGTAGCAATGCTCTTCCATTCCGCATTGTCAATTGCAAACAACCTAGTTTCTCCATCTGGGAATTGGTTCTTGTCGCGTACAGCCAGTTTTCCAGGGCCATAGGTAGGAAGTCTACTAAGAGAGCAGATAATCTTTCCTCCTGTTGCTTGTAGTGCCGCTAAGGCTGCTTTGATTGTAGGTAGTAGGGCAGGCTCGGGATATTTAATATGAGAAAACAATGTTGGCAATTGTTCGAGTAAGGAGGTGATGACGGCTCTGGAAGAGTCAAGTTAGTAAATACAATGCCGTGCAAAGCCCAGTCGATCAATCTAACAAACGTACTTTGACTCGTACGGGTCCACGAAAAGACCTTCACTCAATGGGACAAATGGCTCTTCCAAATCTGTCATTACCATCATCTGAGCCTTTTCGAGACGCGCCTGTTTTTTTTTAGTAGACACCCTGTGAATCACAACTTCTGATACTTACGCTAAGATTATAGAAGTGGATTTCTCTGTCGAAAGTAACGATACCAATCTTCGACCCTTCCGGAAGATTCCTAGGCTCGCCATCGTTGTCTTCTGTCGTATCAGCATCCTCGCCGTAAAGCGCATTAATGATGCCCTGACAAACCCCCTCGAGGAAACCCTTATTTACCGACTCCTGGCTCACATCTATCAAGAACAATTGTTGCAGTCCAACTGGTTCTTTAACCCAATACTCCTTTGGCACCGTGAATTCAACCGTTCCCATCATCAATTCTGGTCGCTGCGCACGGTCGACACGTATTCCTGACGGATCAACAGGTGCAAAGTACTCTAGTGTGACATCGTTTGGAAATGTGCACATGTTACAAATGAATTTGTTGCCTCCAGATCGGAAGGTCATGAACGGATTGATGTATGTCCTGCACCTTCGACATCTTGGTGGACCTAACTCACCAAAATCTATGAGCGGAACGGGTTGTTCTCCAGCGTCTAAGCGGGCTAATGGCTGCAATATCAGCCCCATTGGTAGACCAGTTGAATTAAAGAACTCTGATGTTGCTGGAATATTGTTCAGTGTAAGGCGAGCGAATTTGGGAGACGAGTTGCCTTGGTCATGGGTGATGAATGGAATCGAAGCAGGTGGCGGTACGTGTTGTTCCATAGTCGGATAGACATGACTATGATAGTATTGAGCCGACATATCTCGCGACCTCGGCACGCTTGGGATCTGCTCCGGATCTATCTTTCCTTGTGTAGGTACTGAACCTGCCTCAGTGGACTGGTACCCTGGCTGGGTTGGGATACCCATTGCAGGGTTAGCAGGTTGGCCCAGAGCAGGCTGTGCTCCTTGTTGTGTGACTGGTTGGTTTAGCCCAGTATTTAGAAACTGAGACGTCGCAGCCTCATTCTGTGGAGGAAAGGCACCGAGTCCTTGAGGCGATGGGACGCCCCCGGCTGGGCCTCCAATGTCGTGGTAAGCGTGCCGATGCTTTTTCTTGTGACCGCGAGCTCCCGCGTCTGAAGCTATTCCCAGTCCCCCCATTTGAGAAGCCAAACCCGCCATCGTATTTCCCTCCGGCGCCCCCGGTGCAGGTGGCACTGATCCTGCAAGATATCCGGTACCAGGTTGTCCAGCAAACTGCTGAGGCTGCAGTGGTCCATATGGCGCTGCGGGATGTTGATAAGCTGCGTATGGGTTGACGGATGTAGGGTGTCCTGGTTGCTGCTGCTGCCGATTTGGATCTTCTCCAGGAGCAACAGGATGTCCTATTGCGTTATCCGTGCTATAACCAGACATTGCGATTCATCTGCAGCGGCGAGGGGGGTCACGAAAAAGTATTGATGTGGATGCGGGGAGGGGTTTCAGGGGAATTCGACTCGGCGCGTTCAGGACCGTTCCATCACCTCTAGCCAAAGGAAAGGACGCACAGAAATAAATTTGCGATCTCGAGCTGGAGAACTTTCCCCGCTGGATTGGCTCTGGGTGCACGTGTATAGAATGTTGTTGTTTGGCAAAAGCGAAGCTGGCCGATGGAAATCCAATGTCGAATTGACCACCCAAAGTTCTCTGGTTGGCTGTCGCGGATTTACTTGTTGCCGATGCGGATGGGGTCCCCTCGGCACGTGCAGCTTCCCTCACAAAACATCCTCCCTGTCAACAATGGCGACAAAGGGCATTCACAGAGATAGACCTTGGACATGCGGAAAGCTTTATTTTCTAAACCAAAGCCGAAGCAATTCACCCTTTTTACGCATGATTTACCTTCGAGGCTGCCTATTTTGAGGACGACATTGACCTGCCTAGGCTATATAAAAGATCCGGCAAGCTCAAATTAATACGCTCTTTTATTTCGATTTGCCTACAGTCTACAAATGCAAGCACAGGCGCATCCGTCTGGTATACAGAAGCCGGGAGAATAGATTTATCTCCGATGTGGTTATGTCCTTGGTCTCGGCAACGGAGGGGCAGATGGCGCTGGAAGGACAGCAGGTAAGTTGTGTCGCAGGGATTTCAAGAAGTTGCAGGGAGCTGGTTCCACACAAAGACAAGTCGTGCAGCATGCAGTCGTGATGCACGGCCGAAGGGACACTATATATGGATAGATAGATGTTGAATATGACGCCATTCTGAAGGTGACACCCGAGACCAGACTGCCTTCACTGAATTGTATGAGGTTGAACCAGGTTGATGCACAGTGGGGCTCGCTAGAAAAGAAGCTGCTGCTGGAGCTACTGAGAAGTGATAGAACGCAGCTAGTAGGCGTGGCCCATTCCTCGTCGCGCTGCTCTGTACGGCACCTCTTTGGCTGCAGCAAGCCCGGCGGGTGATATTCAACGTGAGCCAACCAAATGCGCAAGTGGCAGACTAAGGGCACGAGAAGGCATGGCAGAGTTTCCCCAGCTGCAGCACAAGTATTAATACAATAAGATTATGAATAGCAGAGCAGCAGTAGTCGTAAGTATTTCCTCGATGGAGCTCGGCGTATATGGCGCATGCGGGCCGTGCCTTCCACCAGACCGCTAAGTTAATTCGTTATCTCTCGCCTATCACCTTAGGCCCTCCTAAGCCCTGGCCGATCCTCGGCCTCGACTCAACCTCCAACTTCAACTGCTGTCGATGTTTTCGCCAATCGTTGCGTTAACTGCTAGCTCGCTGGCATTAGCGGCCCCTGTCTGAAAGTGTTCTGAAAGTGGGGAGTCAGCCTGCGTCTCGACCAGACCGCTGGGTTTCGAATTGATACTGTCGAGCGAACGACAAGATGAAACCCACCAACTAAAGATAATAGCTCGCGCTCGCATGTCTACTTCCACGCTCGCCCACAAAGACTGCAGCTGCTTCCTGACTTTTCCGATAGCAGAGCTCTCTGCCCTTGTGTAACCCGGTTATCTGCGCCGGCTTGTTTAACCACCCCCGACGTCTGGCACAAGATTGGCCATCAAGGAGCTCCACTAGTGGTGTCAATCGAAGAACAGCTGTGAAGCAGAGCTAGTTTATGTTGTTTGTGCTCCTGCTAGAGAATATTTATTTAACTCCACGTATGTGAAAACTTCCCCTCGATGTACATCGTTGCCCCTCAGTTTCCATACATTGTCATCAGCACAACCTTGCCGTACGGCTGAATCAACAATGAATTTAAAATCTAGTGACCAGGCTACCTTAAATGATTTACCCAATAATAGTGACATCTCCAAGAAGCCTGCCGTTGAAAAAACCTCCGGCAATCAGTATTCACCCAACATGGCTACTATTCACGATGACGATGAGCGCTTGTTAGCTCGAATTGGCTATAAGCAGGTAAAAGAGCAATCAACCAAGTCATAGCACGAGCGCGATCTGCAGCTGACCATATCTACCGAGTAGGAGCTCAGACGTGAGTTTTCGAAATGGTCTACGGTGTCGTACGCCATCTCTATCCTTGGGGTTCTGGGCTCAGTCCCGGCCACATTTTCGTATCCCCTTGCATCTGGTGGCCCGGCCACTGCCGTGTGGTGTTGGTTCATCGGTTCATGTATGGCTATGTGTATCGGCAGTTCTGTGTCGGAGCTGGTATCTGCGTATCCAACAGCCGGGGGCATGTATTTTGTCACCAAACATGTTGTACCCAAAGAGCAGGTTGCCATTTTTGCATGGATTCAAGGATGGTGTAACCTCCTCGGCCAGACTGCGGGAGTCTCGAGTGTGGCATATACTGTCAGCCAGATGTTGCTTGCCTGTGTGAGCATGAACTCGACGTATCAAACTGGACAGTACTCATATTCACCGTCAGTTCTTCCTTTATACTTCAAGTGTATATTTGGCTGACTGCCTCCAGCACCGCAGCCCAGACAGTATTCGTATCTATTGGTCTACTTTGCATTATGGGAATTATCTGCTCGTTAACCACCAGGAACTTACATAGAATTGTTTTCTGGTTTGCTCCAATTAATAGTGAGTGCTAGTTTGACGACTCTGAAGAGTCTGCTAACCGGGTTGTAGTCCTGGCGACTATTGGTATATGTACTGCAATCCTGGTCCTCACACCAGAGAAGCAATCTGCGGAATGGGTATTTACCCATATTACTGACGGCTCGGGATGGGGATCTAAAACCTTTTCCTTCTTCCTCGGCTTTTTGTCCGTGGCTTGGACAATGACTGATTATGATGGAACAACCCAGTATGAGTCCATTCCTTGTGCATACTACAGTCTTGCTGACGAGATGAAGCATGTCAGAAGAAACCCATGATGCAGCCATTCGAGGTCCGATTGCTATTCGAGCTGCCGTCCTCGTTTCAGGGATCTTCGGCTGGATACTAACGGTTTCAATGTGCTTTTGCATTACTGACTTGGATGACGTACTACAGAGTCCAACCGGGATGCCTGCTGCGCAGATTTTTCTGAATGCCGGAGGCCGAACCGGAGGAACAATAATGTGGTTCTTTGTCATTCTTGTACAGTTTTTCACTGGGTGCTCTGCGATGCTGGCGGACACTCGCATGGCATATGCATTTGCTCGGGACGAAGCTCTACCATTTTCCAAGTAAGAATTCATGCTAAATAATTAGATGCGCGCCAACTGACAGGATCAAGTTTTCTCGCCAAGGTCAACGAGTATACTCATACTCCCGTGAATGCGGTTTGGTTTGTTGTCTTCTTCAGCGTTGCGCTGAATCTGATTGCCATTGGATCGACCGAGACGGCCACGGCGATTTTCAATGTCACTGCCCCAGCTCTAGACGTTTCCTACATTTCAGTGATTCTTGCGCATCTTATTTACAAGCATCGAGTAAAATTCATTGAAGGGCCGTTTACTCTTGGAAGATGGGGTACTCCAATCAATGTGGTATCTGTTGTTTGGGTTATCTTTATCAGCACAATTTTATTCTTCCCTCCTACTAGACCAGTAACAGCCGCTAATATGTGAGTGTCGTCCTTTACCATGCCTTACGTGGAACTAACTGCATAGGAACTATGCCATATGCGTAGCAGCCTTTATCGCGATATTTTCATTGTCATGGTGGTGGCTTTCAGCGAGAAAGTAAGACTCTCTCCTTATCCATAGGCTGACAGCAGTTGACTTTAGTATAGCAAATATACGGGACCTCGCACGAAGGATATTATTGAATCGCTTCCCGAGGACGATTACGATGACCTTATATTTTCGAACAATCGGCCAAGCTTGGGCGACTGCTAGGTTCTACTAAATGGTTGAGCACGTTTTTCTGGTATAGACATCTTCTTGGAGTTCCATATAGCGTATGGTTGATCAACAATAAAGTTCACAATAATTATAATTAGATAGATTTATTTACCTAATTCAACTTGGCTCATAATACATGTACGAATATAACAGTTGACATCAAATAGTACATGTACTACCCCTTACCGTACATATGTACGTACTATGTAATGTACCCCGTTAACACTATCCCGTCCGTTCGTAAGCATAAAAACTTAGATAAAGTCTAAACCGAGTCGATCATTCTTGGCACTACCCTTTGACTAAATCAGCATGCAGCACGGAGTAAGCCAGTAACTAAATATTGATGCGAGACAGGCCCCCCTACTTTCGGGTCTGATCGGGTGGAGCCTCTGGTTGCATATACGAAACCAACCAACCAACATGGAACTTGACATTGAGTCATTGACAAGTTGAACTGGGGCATTGTTATGTTATTATTAGAGTTGATATGACTACCAACTAACTATGTTGTATTTTATGTCAACTGGTGGTGGGCATATATATACGCGGCAAGCAGGCAGCCATAAGTGCAACATCCTTCCAACGCTGAACGGGGCTTCATTCATTCTTTTTATAGTTTTATTTTCTTCATTACGTGATATCCCATGGTATTTATTCCATAGTTTATAATGTTGCACTCCGTAAAAGTCCAATATTTCGGGTAATAAACTGTTGCAGATATGATACTGTCGGATGATTATTGGTGGCTTCCTTTTGATTATTCAATTTTTCATTCGGATTTTTCGGGCACCACCCGACGCAAATTTGGCCCCCAGATGATTACCTATAAACTTAGTGTCTTATTATTACTAAATTTGATAATCTTTTCGTAGTCTCTTGATTTTGACGAGCTCAAAGTTTAGTTTTACTTTCACCTGCAATTAGTCAACTCTTTATGGAGTTGAATTAGGGAGTAGAGGTTATATAAATTTAGAAATGGGGAAAATACCAAGTAATTAAATTACTAAAAGTTTTTGGAACAAATCTGCGTGCCCGGAGGAATTACCGGGTGCCTGAATGTATATCCATATTCCAATTTCTGGGTTTGATCCTATGGTCGCAATTGTTGTAGATCCCCTGGATAGTCGGCGTCCAAACTCGGAGTCGCGACATTTCTTATTCTGAATCAGGGTTCCGAACTTTATTAATAATATGAGAATGCTGGTTGACTAGACTATCATAATAAATATTATTACCGTGAATGTGATGCATACACTAATAATAATAATAATATACGCGTCAGAAATAAGCATTTTGACAGTTTGCGAGAATTCTCAGCATCTCATTCAATGCGGCACACCCACATGCATCGTACTCTGGTTATGTCCCCCGTGAATAACAACATTGTATAAAATCAGGTCGCTGATTGGCCCCGAGCCGAACAGGATCTGCTCTGGAGATTTCTGGAACATGCTTTCTTGTTGGCATCATGGAAAAGGAAACAGAATATAAACCGAATACCACACCATCATGCACATGTTCCTTCGTTCATTAATGAAGGATTAAGTAGGCGGTAAAAAAGCAGCAACTATGACGTAAGCTCGTATTGCACATGTCGTTCGCAATACCATTCGCACATGCCCTGACCTCGGAGGAACATACAATTCATTATTCTCCATATGTCAACAAGTATTGATGAGCACGACGACCCTGCATCTGAAGAATGGCGATAATTATAGAGTTTCAAAGTATTTGTATTTGTTTTTTAAATTTTGGCGCGAGGCTGATATAGATGTAGATGCGATGTGCCATTCCCGAAACAGGAATTGATTCGTATAAACTTTGGAGCATGACATTAACTAACCATGTTAATGATTAATAATTTTAATATTGTTCTTTCTGAAAATAAACTTATGAAAGCGGACTAATAACAACACAACTTTCGGACTCCGTAATGCAGACCTTGTAATATAAAGGGGTAAGCGGCGGGGGAGTGGCCGTATTATTACACCAATACAATACGTACAGTCACCACAGGGTAATACTCCCTCATTCCAGGGCTCCATACACAGCCTTGACGTTACGATCACCGAGTCAACAATTGAAAGGGGGTGAGTGACAGTGAAGATGAAAGATCAGACCTTTTTGTCAGCTGAAACTGCGGACTCGCAAACACATTAGTAACTAAATTATAATAATAACAAAAATAATAAATAGAACACCGGCCATGGAAGATCTGTCAGCATTTACGGCTAGCGGGCCTCTAGCGCCAACAGACACATAAAGCGCAATTAAGAATAGGCTATCCTATGCGGACGAGTATAAATAAAACAAGGTTAATTTTTAGGCTTGCGTTTGGCGATGGAACTAGCCGTGTTGTCGTCCCGCTGGGGAGGACGGGCCACGTAAGGTTCAATGTTGGGTTGCACAGTTCATATTTATTTACCTAATTACGGATAGATAATTTAAATACATATAGACTAAGGATATACTATTGATTAACGCCATGCAGCAGGCCGGCCGTCGCACGACGCTGCGTAAATATGAGTAGTCCCCCCCGTAGTACTGGGGGCAAAACAGACCCATCTTCGTGATTACGGTTACAATTGATGTTTTTTGTTAGTCTTTTTTTTTTTTTTTTGTTAGTATTTATTTCTTCGTTTATTCTAATTTCATTGTTTTGAATCTCCGAGTACCAACAAAGCATGCATGACTGCTCATGACAAAGGCTGAAACCGTGTCAGATCCATAGCTATTATTAATAATTCTTATTATATTATTACTTATGCGCCGTAAACTTAATAATGGAATAAAGAAATAAGACCCTGTCATTTTGGCACCAGGCTACGCGTCCTGTCGAGCCCCCTTGGCGGTAGGGAAGCGCAACTAGGGATGGACGCAATGCAGTAATGCATGTTTATCAGGAATAACATTCCCGACACTGTTGCACTGCTAATCGGCCTGGGCGCAACTCCTTGCTCCGGCAAGGCCGTCATCCAATATTCCGTACTCATACATACTACATACTACAGTGCTGATCAGGTGAACGTATCATCGAATTGCTCAATTAGTCCCATCACACGACAAAGGTGCGAAGCTCTACTCACTCGCTAACACTAATACAGAAATAGAAACAGAAACGGAAAGGGAATCTTCCAGCCTGCAAATGCAAAGATACACCAAGACCATCCGTACTACCGGTATGCCTGTATAACCACCCTGTAACAAACGCAAACATAAACCATGACCGTAACCATAACCTAACCATAACCATGCATATCCGTAACGCCGCCCGTATAACTCTGATAGAAGGGAAAAGGTTATAATAGCGATTAAACAGTAAACACTCGATTAAGCTGGTTTATTGCGCGCATATCTTCTCCGGCAAAAGGTATTTTCTCACTGGGAATGTCTTTCGGGCCCTCTGTGCGGACGCTGCTGGGGCTTCCATTGAGTTTCGAGTAAGGAGGAGGAGCCGGCCCGTTCATTAATGATCCAATGCTCGGCACTGTCGTTCCTGATGTAGGCGCCTCGCGTCCGTTAGGAGGGGGCAAATGAGACGTATTGGGTGTCAATGGCTGCAACGAAGACCGGTTGTCGCTGGGAGGTGCTTGGCTCTGCGACTGAGGAGACATGAGACGCGGGTCAATTTGAGTATATTGCCCTGGTTTTGCTGCATAGCCTGGGGAGTGCACCCTCGAGGCTTCCAAAGGAGCAGGGCCCGATCGGGGAGAGCGATTTGAGTATGGCGACATATTTGCTGGCTGCATAGAACCAGCGGCTATTGAAGGGACAGGAGGGGGTAGAGTCGTTTCTAAATGTGGCCGATCCGATGGAGTATGCAGTTGATGTACTGGGCCGGAAGGGTGTCCGTATGGCCCACCGCCTGCCAAGGGCGGCAGATATCCTTGTCCATTGTAAGGCATTGGAGCTGTTGGAGGAGTTCCCAGCGGTGTTGGCGGCCAACTGTAAATGGGCGTATATGACTGAGGATGTGTGGCTCCGTTGCGAGGGAAAGCGGCCATATGAGGAGACAATGTCACGGCGCCGGCCATAGGGCCTCGTGTGACGACGGGCAGGTTCTGCTGGTCATTGACGGTCGATTCTGGATAGAGGCCCTTTTGAGGACGAATGTGACGCAAGGCGGGATCGTTGGAGGGCTGGTTCAGATTAGGCGCGGTTGGGTGTGATCGAGCGTAGTAGCTGATGAGGTGTAGGTGTTGTCCAGTCGAGGTGGTGATACTGAAGGACTGTTTCATGAGCCCGTCCGGTTTGTAGCGATAGCCGTCTGGGCCCTCTTCGTTCCCGTCGCGGTCGTCATCGCTATTGCCTCGACTATCAGGAGTCTTCCCACCGCGCGACGAAGAGACACCACCACCCCGCTTGCCTTCCATTTCACGATACGTCAAGAAGCTGCCCGACACGCGGCTGGCACTCCACGACTTGCCGTCCGTCCAGCGTCGCATGCCGGCCTCGCGCTCATCCCAGACAAAGACAGACCCGGACTTGATGGCCTGGCGCTCTTTTTCGGACAGGCGGCGCTGGACACGAGGCAGGAGGCCCAGGCGACAGGCTTCGAAGAGGATAATGGCGTCCGCTGGGGTGCGGACGAGACCGTGGTACGTCTCCATCGGTCTGGTGTTTGTGTCAGTTGTATTTGTTGTGTCAGTTATAGTTGCTGTGTCTGGTGTAGTTGTTGTAGTCCGTTGCAGTTGAGTGATGTGCCTGTGTGTGGGAACAATGCAGGATGGAAATGAAAAGTGGGAGACGACGAGAAATAAAGTGCAGTAGGAAGGATATCAGATCGGCGCCATGCACCCATGTGGGCAGGCGGCGACCGGGGGATGCTAGGCTGTGATACGTCACCGCCGGGGCCAGCAGCGCTTTGAATTTTGAAACATGGGTCTGTAAGAATAAAATGATAAAATAGCTGTGGGAATAATGCGCCCAATACGAATAATGGTGCCAATCCAACGGGGGGAAAATACAGCATGAAAATACATTAATACGTTAATACATTATTACATTATTATACAAGGGGTCGATTATTCTTATCCAGTGGGGCGGCGCCGCAAGACGCCCAGCTGAGAAAGAGAGAGCATTTACCCGGTGGTGACCGTACCGGGATACCGTACAGCGTCCCGTATAAACCGATACGGCAGTTACTAGTTCACATTTAGAATTACGCACTGTGGGGCGGCTCCACCGGGCGGGCTGCTCGACACAGCAACTGGTCTTGCGCTTGACTCGACCGGCCACCTTCGCGAGTATGGAAGGCTATGCGAATGGCACGGCTCGGCGTGTATTTTCTGTCGTTGCGCTTTCGCGGTGTATGTGCAGCATGACATGTATAATATATTGTCATGTCCTCCGATAGCTTTGACTGGCCTGGCTGGCGTTGCCGGCGAGTAAAGACAGGTGGCCTGACCAACGGCGGCTGTGCATCAATAATAGTAATAATACTGGACACCGCACTAATAATATATATGGTATTATTATCAACATTCTGAAATAGGTTGCGAGACAGGCAGACTTGGAGATTCAGGCTAGCGCGCACTTACGAAGCTTAAGCTTAATCCAACACGAGGCTTGGGCGTAGATTCGGTGGCCAAAGCTCGCGCTTGCCTTGCTTGGCCGCCAAGCAGCCAAGCCCGATTACGCAGTCACCTACTAGGTTGATTTTAGCCTGCTCGTCTGTTATTACTCTGTCCTTCCTAGTGTCGACTCGGATTCAGCATCCTTCTTTTTATACTATAGGTGTAGTTTATCTGGCCGCTGTTCCCATCTATAGTGGTACACTACACTATTTAGTATATTATATATATACACATATATATATATCCTACCAGTTGGAGTATATGTACAGTCAACTATCGTGTTTGCGTGTACGTGCAATTATAATTTTTGCGGAGCTCGCATTACGACAAGTCGAACATTAAACTGATATCCGAGCTCTTCCGGACTCCGAATAGGCCTGCTGGCGCTAACCGAAGAATAGCGAATACTGATCGGTGGCGCGTTACACAGATTATTGAATTTCGGTTTTAGTTTTTCATTCGTGTTTTAGCTTTGCATGTGGGTGGGTGTCTCACACTCAGAATCTGTTTTGTGGCAACTTTAATTGACGGCCCTCGAATAGATTATTTTTGCCGGCGGTAAGACATCAGAATAAACTCGTGTCTGAGCCCGGCAGTCGCTCGGACTTTCCTTGTCGAGAGTGAATGTGGCGTATCCGTTCTTCAACCGTTGACCCAGGATAAAGATCCCGACACGCATTTGAATTTTCAGATCCGTTAAAAATCCAAAATGTGCTCTTTAAAAACGCGTGCAATAGTGACTGCAATGACGCAAGATTAAGCTCCTCGCATACGGCATGAGAATGCGTTAGTCTTAAGAATGTCCGTATTTAATTAACCTTTGGAGTATTTACGTACGACCAGGTTTACGTACATGCCTTACACCCTTCATTTTTTTTGTGTGGACAGAGTAATCTTTTCAACTTAGGAACTGGAAAAATAAGAACATGAACCTTGGTTGGCACCGGCCACGGCATTAGATAGCATTGGCGAGTGCGGAAATTGGCTTTGACGTATCCAAATTTTCAGAGGAGGACCAGACGCCGAAGCCACGTATCAAAAAGGATTCACCGACCGCTGAGACAAGGAATTCACAAGAATAACCCTCTATCTCTAGCCCTGCACTCAGGCTGTAAAACCAGAAAACGCCGGTAATATGCTCAGGAATGCGACTGTAACACATGTCGATCAAACGGAAGGGCGATCCAAGGATCGACACCAGGGTTGCAGCATCAATTTTGTGTACGCCCTCGGTCGGCTTGGATTGACTGGGATGATGGACATGCCTTTATTTTGGGGGTTTCAATACGGTGATTTCTTTACACTTTACATAATTAGTATTACACTTTGCACTCAATAGAATAATAACACTTGACATGCTCAATTCATACTGACTATATGGATGTGTACCGAGGCCAAGTCCGCTAGGAGGCTAGTGTTGAGCATCTGCACAATGACAGAGCACACAGCACAGTACACTGCTCGACACGGCAACGCTGGGCTGATCGCTCGGGCCACCTTGCATAAGCCTTAATCGAAAAGATTTAATATTACGTGAACGTCTTGGCAGCTATGCCGTTCTAAGTAAGTAATACGTCCGCCCAACCCAACGAGAAAAGCGGCGACTAATCATGGGTTTCCAAATGGGTCATTAGAGTAGACTCGTACGCCGAGACAAACTTATTAATCTAGTGAGTTTTTTCATTTCTTGGCCTGGGGTCATGAATAATGATAATGATAGCGATTGGCTGGAAATACCCGGTGCGGCCACTTTCCCAAAGAGGGTGCCACTCACGTTATACAATGGTTATACAATGGTTATACAATACTTATACACCATTAATAATATTCAAGTCTCAGCTGGTTGTAGCTAACAACCGTCTATTAAATAATAAATAATACGAGGTGTTATATGCAATCACGAGCTGAATAATACGAGGATGAAGCGAGACTACGAGTAATAGTGCAGGTGACCCTCGTATAGCGGCCAAATCACGGCGAGCACAAGATTGCTGAGCTCTCGCATATAACGAGGCTTAACTGTAGTAAGGTTTTTTAAGCATGATCAGCCACGCCGCCAACAGTCAGCAGGCTCTCCCAACACATTGGTTGCTGTTCACTGGCTAGTGCTGACTCTATCATGACTCGGCTAGTTGTGACCACTAAGGAATCGCTACGGCTAGGCAATAATACTCTATTATTATTAGCAATCACTTACTATTGTATAACCAATTCAGAGTTTGCTCCTACTCGCTTAGTTTCCCTAGACCACGTTTTGTGGCGGCCATGCGTGGGCATTGACCCGTGCTAGGCGTAATTTGGGCATACTACGGAGTTGCCGTGTTATGTTGGAGCTTAGAAGTAGCTTATCATCTAACGTTTTGAACATTGTCTCAGCTGAGGTCATATATAGTATCATGATAGAATGGCAGCCCCGTACTCTGTGTCAAGCAGCAGTCTAACCAAGACAAATAACAAAAGCTAAAAGTCGAGAGCAGAAAGTCAAAGACGAGATCAGACGAGATAGACGGCCCACGCTGACGCACTCACAGCCGTTGGTGCTTACACTCGGCATAGCGGAGGACCAATAAGGCTGCATGGCCCGCGTGTCACTCCTCTTGACTGGCGAGCGAGAACAAAGAAAATTTTAATTTTAAAATTTAATTTTTTTTAAAAAAATCTTTAAGCTTGTTGCCTCGCTCGGAGCTTTTCCCCGGGCGGGAAAGACTAAGGAATCGTTTCCACTTGTATTAACTTGTTTCGTTGGTTGTGGGAATTTATATTTACGCTGCTCGGTATTTACCCAACTTGGCAAGCTGTCGTGGGTTTATTGCATTTGATCTGGATAATCGACTTAAAGTTTGGTGGCAGCCAACCAGACGACGGCGACACCAATCGATATCGAGATGGGGCGATTAAGCGCTCCAATCACGGGGCCCGAGGATGTTGCACACGTACGCTGCAGCTGACTTTCCTTAGTGATCCATAGCCACAACAGCTTCACACACTGGCCTGTCGGCATATTAATCGCTGCGAGGCCCCGACCTGCCAAGCCAATAATGCTGCCTATCGGGCTGTTCGCCGCACCCAATATGTTATTAACTTACTAGCCCGTCCCATCATCCATCCATCGCAGCCGACGAGACAGACCGTGGGGGGGGCAAATGCGGCGCAGAGGGAAGATTAAACAATCTGACATGCGATTTGACAGGGTGGGCGGGGCTAGAAAAAGCAACGAACGAAAAAAAAAGAAAAGGAGCCTGCCAAGATCCAAGCGACAACCAACTGGCACGGCGCTTACGAGTCATCTGCCTCTTGCGAGCAAATAAGACGTTGAGTATTATGAAATAACAAATGGTCGGTCCGCCATGGGCCACCAAACTCGCCATTAGTATGGATTTAGAATAGAATTAAGAGGAAGAAGACATCCGATATCACGAGCTCTTCCGACCAATATAAAATTATTTTTGCCTTTCCCTATCCTTTACGCCACTGTACTATTTCATAGAAACTTTCTGCTGACGACTCGAGTGCACAAGCCAAGGAAATCACACCAACCAAGGATAGACTATAGACGATGACTACCCTTAGTAGGGTTATATGATACGAGGTTCACTAATCGATTACTCCATTCGGACATATAGTGCGCTCCTAGCCCGGATGCCGAAGCCTGTTTGGGAGGAAGGGAGGCTCTTATGCTCCGACTCGAGCTCGCTCATACAGTACTTACTGTGATGACAGTCTAAGCTTAAGCAAGGAGGGAAATAAAAATACGTAAGTTTAATCCATAGTTCGTCTATTTCCGGATAGCCTTTCGATTCGGAACCTAATTAATTCCTAAGCTAGTCTGATTAGTCCGAGCCCTGCCTTGCTCGATCTCGTACGATAAACATACATATGTCATAACTAGTTAAAACTCTAGGCGAATAATCAGAGGATCGACCTGAAGAGTAAGATTCCTTTTTTGGAATTCATAATCGAGCCGTATACGAGCATCCATAAGCACCGAATGAAACCAGCTCTTCCTCCCCCCCCCCCTTTCCCCCCCCTTCCCCCTTCGTACTCTGTTTACATACGCATATGTATGTATTGATGTATCGACGCGTTGTTGTATGGGCATTCTGTAACCCCGGTTCCCGTACGAGGCCAACCATAGGGTCGGGGTGTGCAGGGTTACCGAAATAGGCAGCCCTGTTACTGCGCCGCATTTTCTCGGATCCGTCGGCAGGCCTGGGGGGCGCCACAGCTGCAATTTAATCTATTCCTCCGACCAACAAACGGCCAGAGATAAGTCGGAGAGTCGCCATCCAGTGGCAAGCACATGCAAAGTATGTAGTACTATGCAGTCCTGTGTACGGACTAGAAATTAAAAATTGGATGGGCTGCATTAAACCTAATCTGCTTTTGTTTTTTTTGTTTTTGTTTATTTGTTTTTTTTTTCGGTATCATTCGGGGGAGTATAAGATCCGAATAATACGCCCCGCACGGAGTATTATTGTGTCTGGTAATTATCTTAAATAAGAGTACAGCTTATGCAAGGCCTCCCTGCTTGCGTGCGTAATAATCCGGTTGAACCCTAATCGCTCCAATGGTTGTATACATATGTAATTTAATCAGTTAATTGATGTTGCCGTTCAAAAACCCGTCTGCCTGATTTCATTCAGAAACATAGAAATTCATCACACCGACAGTTGCATACATATGTATCATGCATGCAGTGTGGTGATACTACATATGTACCAAGAGCGGCCACGGCAATTTGGCGTAGAGTAATTACCGCGTAAGATACACATGTATCACTGCCAATATATAATTCTACATATCAATCACTGATACATACGAAATTAAAGAGATGAATCCATCAGCTAGTCAACTAGTGTAGATATATGTAAACTAGATATGGAACTATGGTACATATAGTAGAGTGAATTTGTTCTACATACAGGGTTATTTAGCAATCAGCTCTGCCAAAATATCTGGGAAACGGCACAACGTCCCGGATGCTGCTGACCCCGGCAAGATAACCAATGAGCCTGTCAAACCCCAGCCCAAACCCTCCATGTGGTGCGCTTCCCCAGCGACGAAGATCAGCATACCACTGGAGATGGCCCAGGTCCTCATCCGGTAGGAGAGATGGGTAGGCGGCGTCACCGGGACTTGCTTCGCCAGAACCTTTCTTGACAAGATTGTGTTCACGCATATTCTGGATTAACTCTGGCAGTCTGTGCTCGCGAAGAGAGCCGCCCACGATTTCGCTAATCTCAGGCAAAAGAAGATCGAAACAAGCTACTGTTGCCCGATCAGCTGCAGAGCTGCCCGCAGAAGGCGCCATATAAAATGGCTTCACCTTCTTTGGGTAGTCCGTTACGAAAACAGGCATGCCGTTGAAAAGATGATCAACGATGTATTTCTCATGCTCAAGCTGAAGACCGTCGGCCCACGAAGGTTGGAAAGTAAACGAAGCACCGTGGTTTGCAACGGCGTCTTCAAGCATCTCCATAACCCGCGTATACGTGACCCGAGGCCAGGGAGAATCAGAAAGCAAAATGTCCCATCGCTTGCGCAGATTCTCATTGGAGCTGTCGGATTCGTAGCCGGACTCACCGGTTCTCTTTGCAAAGAGGATTTCTCGCCCAGCAGGTGTATCGGAGACTCTGCGCGTTAGATCACGGATCAGGTACTCGACCAGATTAGTGAGTGTATGCAAATCGCTTGCGAAATTGACCTCCGCTTCTAGCATATAAAACTCGCTGAGATGGCGTGGAGTGTCGCTCTTCTCAGCCCGGAATGTCGGTGAAAGGGCCCAAACATTGCCCAATTCGGCTGCGTAAGCCTCTAAATGAAGTTGCGAAGACACGGTCAGGTATTTAGGGCTGCGGAAAAAATGGATTGTCTCTGCCTTCGATGTTTCTGTAGAAAATGTAGATTGTGGAGTTACTGAAAATGTCTCGCCAGCTCCTTCGCAATCAGATGAAGTTATTAATGGCGGGTGAACCTGCACAAAATGGCCATGTGGATGTGAGCGAAAGACGTGCCCTAGTTGATAGATACATTCCGAACGAAATCGCGCTAGGAGTGAGTTGAAAGGCGTCCGTAGCCGGAGGTGAGGTATGTGCCTAAGGAAGTCTGGAGAATGGTATTTCTTCTGGATAGGATATGTCTGCGTGAACCTGGCGTCAGACTCAACATCAACTGAGGTGGTAGATAGATCTAACCTCCGGATCAGCTTCTCCCACTACGCGCACCTTTGTGACCTGCAATTCGTGCGTCTGCTCTTTTCCAGGTGGGCAAGCTTTCCAAACCCCGGATACATCAATCGCTGCTCCCGTTGATAAACTATTGTCGCATTGGCAAGTCAGCATGAGTCTTGATTACCATCATTATTGTTGACCAGGCTTACTTTGCTGCTTGGTCTGGTGTTAGGATAGCCTGTAATGATTGCACGGTTGATCCGTCTGATATCTCGGCGAATGCGAATCGCTTTTGTTTCCTCACAGACCGAATCAATCCGCTCACATTCACTTCTTGGTCCTCGAAGCTCGGGGCGTCCTTTTTCTCCGACGAGGCGAGGAGGTCTGCACATCGTAGTCTGGTCCGATTACTCAAAAAGCTGGATTGGCTAAGTCGCCATCCGTACGTAGAAAATGAGCGCCGCCATGTCTGCATTGCGATTTTACACGCGCTGACAAGTCTTGGGTTTGTTATCTGGGAAGAAAATACGGAGCTCCTTTGTCCCGCAAATGACGTGCCGCTTCATAGCGCTAACCGTATTGAGCGTTCTACAATAAACTACAATAAATGTAATAAGGCCAACTCTCTTTTGGTAGGTGTGTCTATCTATAACCCAGGGACACTGTCATCTATCGGCATATTGTATTTTTAGATTGTCTTAAAAGGAGATGTATCGTATTCAATCTTCCCGAAACTAACATAAGCTCGAACCACGATAATAAGAATGCCCACAGTACTCGAACAGAAGTGAAAGTGAATAAATAAACCCGACCTAGGACCTATATCGCTCATAGGCCTGTCTCTCTTCTTCAATCATGTCAATAGCTTCCGAAAGTTTACCTTCAGCTGCCTCGGCGTATATGTGGAGCCTGTATCTTCCCCCATCGAGTCCTGTCTCATATCCTAGCATCGCCAAATTGTCGACACAATTATCAATAACGCTTTGTCTCATAGCAGTCTGCATGTCTTGATCTGAGTTTTCATTATTTTCATGAGTAGCTCGTTCAGTGTCGTTATCTACTGGAAAGCTCCCTGGAAGTGTTCCCTGTAAGCTTGGACGTTGCGTTGCCTGCGTGCTTTCCCGAGTCCGACGAAGACGAAGTGGACGGATGTCCATGTCTGTACCTCTAGAAGCTTCGCGAATAGTGTCAGATGAAGACGCATCTTGAGATTCTTGTATGGGCTGCGCATCGGGGTGCACCGCAGATTCTATGTGGTCAGTTGTTGATAGCGATGGCATTGCAGGCAAGCTAGGTTGGAGTTGTTCATTATTGTTATGATTTTGAGAACGATACCGATTTGCTAACAAGTGCGCATCTAACTGAGACACAGGAGGAAACCGTGCCATCTCTGTGTTGGGGCTAAACGTCATAGATCGCTTAGGGACAGATGGTGGAAGCTCATCTATGTCTCGAGACGGAAGCAGAGAAGGATAACGAGCAGCAAACTCTGGGCTCTCTTCGGGGTGATTTGGTGACGTGTTTCTCTCAACAAGGGATCTTGGTCGATCAAGATCTCGTGTGCGGCTGCGGAGAGAGCCGCCCCGAGAGTTTCCACTGAATATTTTAGGGAGGTCATCTTGGCTTGAAGTCTTTACGGAACGTTGCTCCCTAGACCGACGAGTACTTGGATGCCATGATTGACGGTGGCGGAGTCGTTGGCTCGTAGTGAAATTTGAAGACGCGGATACTGCCGCTCTCTCAGTTGCAAAAGGTCGGGTTTGTAAAGTATCAATAGGTGAATTATCACAGTATTCCAGATTTATCGAATGACCGTCAATTATTATTCCTTGCAACTTTTCAAGGGCAGCCTTTGCAAACTGGGCCGATTGAAAACGAGCATATCCAAATCCGGCGTGTCTTCCGCTGAAGGAGTCTTTTGGTAATTGGACCTGGGCAGAAAACCCTCTCGAGGCAAACACTTCTTCTATTACCCTTTCGTTCACTTGATAGCCGACATTGCCAATGAATAGAGAGTCTGTGGTAGCACCTAAACGTCGCACATGTGACTGGATAGTAGCGGGCACCCCAACACCATTGGCAGGATTATTTGGAGAAGTGCTCGGATGCTGAGATTGCTGCCTGCTTGCGTGATCGGAAACAACCGGTGAAGGGATTGCACGGGGGGGTGATGGTACGAATGCTGAGCGATTCGGCCAATTTGCAAAATGAGCGACTTCAGGAATATGATAATGGCGCGGAGTAAATATGGGTGCGGTCGACTGGACTATGGGAATTGGGTTGCTCGGAATTTGTGAGGTAGTCGTTGCATAAGGATTGAGTGAACGTTGAGGGGTCCCCCCCGAGCCTGCAGAAGTTCCAGTTCCCAGAACTTGTTGCTGCAAATCCTCTGTTGCGTTAGCCTCAGAGCTCGACTTTGCTGTATTAGATGACTCCGGCATCTGCGATTCCACTGCCGTGGATTGTTCATGGTTCTCATATGAAGTAGTATTGGTACGAGCCTCCGTTTGGGTGCTAGTGTCTCTCTGTCCAAATTCAGCCTCGAAGGCGGCGAATAAGGTCTTTCCAAAATCTTCAAACCCCTGAGCTATGCCTCCCAAGCCGTCAATAATTTGCTCGGCAGAGCGAAGTTCGGCTTGGCGAACTCGTTCGGCAGCCTGCCCTGAGGCATCGGAAGCATTTTGTATTATTTGTGCCAGGTTCTTGATTTGAGATTCTACAGCCGTAAGAGCTGTCCGGGCCTTGGCGTTGATATCGTCCGGAATGTTCTTCTGAGCATCTGCGAGGCGGCGTTCGATTTCAGGTAGCTTTGCTCGGAGTTCAGTCCCCAGACTCTCCATGCCACCAACAACGCTTTGTAGCACATTGGCCACAAGATCACCGGGCCACATAGGCCGCGTAGAGTCAGATTGGAAGGTATTGGCTTCTGTAGAGGAAGAAGGGTGTGCTTGTTCCTCTACGGGCTTGGCAGCCTTCTCCTCCAGCATCTTGGCCATTTCAGCTTCAAACGCCGAAAGGAAGGGCTCTGGTTCAGCCTGAGAATGAAATGAAGGAGCGGTAAAGCCACTCTCATTGGCCAAGCCACGTTGCGGCTCCTGGTGGGAGCTTGTATTGGTAGGTGTTTCGTCATCTTGTGTATTTGAATGAGAAGCCTTGGGTGTACTATCTGTAGCATTCCATGGGTTCTCTGAATCAAAAGAGGAACGTGATTTGAGTATTTCAGGCTGTTCATTTCTATTGATATCCATTGTAATTGTGCTGCTTTCATCTGAGGACAGTGTACGCGGCGCAGATCGTCGTTCAAATGCCTTCCATAGCTCCGTCACGGATTTTGACCGACGAATATCGAATAAATGCATAGGATGCGAGTCATTTAGAATCGACTCTACGTAATCGACTGGTTCATCAAGACGCTGCCTGAGCTCGAAGGAAGAACCCACCTAGCTTCCTGTCAGAGATGATCCGACAACTAGTTTGGGGTAGGGTACTTACGGTGATAATATCACCCTCATCATCATCCAAGTAGGTTAGCATGGCATTTGGGTGATTAGAGGCGATTTCGTCGTACTCGGGAGCTGATAAAGTAATGATCCCATGACGCCTGGGCCGCGTATCATCGACACGCGGGCTAGAAATAATGCTGTCTGTGGAAGAGTCATAGAGGTTCTCCTCGGCGGGATATACATGCAGATCCCTGATTTGGAACGGCTGCAACATTTTGTTGAAGATTAAACAAGGTTGTATACAGGGTGAGGATACTTGTAAGATTAGAAAATGAGAAGGAGTGTGGTATGATGATGAGTAGAGTGGCAGCCTAGTTGCTGCAAGTGGCGATAACGGTACAACCGTAGTACGGCGGCATCACCAAGAGTAAGGCTGCGTGATAAAATGCCCCAACGATAGATAACTTCCGCCAGAAATGATAAAAACTAAAGAAAAATAAAGCCAACTTCCTCAGCGAGAATCTTCAGGCAGCCGTGTTTAGCTAGTACCAGTTGGAGTGGCAGGCATCATCATAATGAAGAGAAGAGCTATGCTGACAGGGCGGACTCGGTGGAACCTGGTTTCCCCGCCCGGCGCCTGCCGCCATTCCACATCGGGATAGATATGGGCCGCCGAACTCGCATCAAATAATAATGCAAGGTTGAGACAATAATCTTCCAGGCTTCGCCGACATCAAATAACGTATCGTGCTCCTAAAGGAATCGTGGATTTGGTATCTCTTGAATTGCGCCCTAACATTGAGGAAAACAACACTTCACTATTTCTGAACCCCCGCCTCGAAGGAGGACACGATGGCGAATTGTTAGGTGAGGCAATCGGTACTGTCCATCGACGCTCGCTCTTAGCGCCATAAATTCACGCGATACGCAATACATTACGCAAATTACGCTCCTGAACTTCTCGTTGACCATAATGCCTCGGCCAAACGCTCCAACACCGGCAAAGCGACATGCCGATCGGGGGGTGAAACGCGTCGTCTTAGGTGACCTATCTTTTCGGACTTGGTACCATTCGATTTACCCCGAGGAGCTTGTGAGTAAGCAGACAGACGTGCTGTATGTTTGCCGCTGGTGTTTTCGGTATACATGTGATGCTGTAGCCTACTCGAGACATACGCGGGCGTGTGAGTGCCAGGCCTTGCCTCCAGGGACCAAGGTCTATGAACATGGCGGATACGCTGTTTGGGAAATAGATGGGGAAGAACAGAAGTTGTTTGCACAAAATCTATCACTTTTTGCAAAACTCTTCCTTGATCACAAATCTGTTTTTTTCGACGTTACATCATTCTTATATTATGTCCTCACCTTCACGGATCCGAAAGAACCACAAACATATCACGTCCTTGGGTATTTCTCCAAGGAAAAGCTGTCATGGGACCCAAATAACTTGGCCTGTATCCTCATATTCCCGCCCTATCAGCACAAACAATTGGGGAAACTTCTTATGGGGGTCAGTTACAAGCTGAGTGCGTGGGAATGGGAAGGAGGGCTGATTGGCGGTCCTGAACGGCCACTCAGTGAGATGGGACGTCGAAGCTATACACGGTTTTGGGAAGAGCGCATAGCTCGGTATTTTCTATTCGGCCCCCTGGCGGTGACCCAGACGAATTTGTTCAGCAGAAACAGACAGCCGTGAAGGCAGCAAAGAAAAGGCTAGTTAGGGAACGAATGACGGCACGAGAGATTGGTCTAGCGACTGGCATGTTACCTGAAGACGTGACCATTGCATTAAAGGAAATGGGTGTTGTGGAGCCAGAGCCGGCAGCGAAAAAACACAAAACGGCTTCAAGCGCCAAAACTGGGAATAACGACGACCGGCAGGAAACACTTCTCATTCGCAAATCCAATGTATTGGAATGGGCCAAGGTCCACAATATCACGCTCCGAGATCCTGTGAGAGAAGACGGCTTTATTGGCGAGTGGGCTCCTGAATATATGCAACTGCAGGAAGAAGGGAGCGATTAGTCCGCGATCAAGTGGCGGCTTGTTCCAGTAGGCAGCAAAATTTTTCAATTACGAAGGGGGTTTGATTATGGCGCTACTAGGTGATGATGATGATGGACCAGAGATACCCTATGCTTGCATGTTTTGATTTGTTTTCTCCATTCCAGATCTTATTGTACCTTCCAAGATACCCAAGATCTTATTTCATACATCAAAGAAGTTAAAATTATTTGAGATTCAAGTTTTACGATGATTTGTTCCGTAGCCTCAGACATGTAGACGTACGTGAGTATGGTTACATCTTGTAACAGAGCTCTGATTATTTGTATATCGAGAGTAAAATTATACAGCCTCCTCACTATCTAATCCACACCGGGATATCCGTCGTGAAAATACATCAGTCTCTTTTCCATATTCTCTTTGAGTGGCCGGATGCCGGCTAATTAAGTTTTGATACTTTTTAGAGCTTTCTTCACTCTTCCATTCCTGCAGGTCCGCCTTGTCTGCCCATTTGTCTGGCTTTCAGTAACTCGTCACACAGTAGCAAATTGGAAGCGATTCCAGTGCTTGAGGCAATGCAGTTGCGGAGCACGCGATATGAGTCGAAGACTCCGTCCTGCACCGGGTCCATGGGATCGCCGGTGGAAAGGTCTAGACCAACTACATTGCCTTCCTTTATCTCATCTTGCATGCGAGCGAGTGAGTCCTGAATGTCGTGACCAGAATTGGCGGCAAGGGTTTTGGGAATAATGAGAAGAGCATTGGCAAAAGCCTCAACGCCAAATTTAGCCTTTCCTTTGACGGTTTTGCTGAATGCTTCTGATGCTAGGTGGTGAGCAGCGGCAACTTGGAAAGAGCCTGCACCGGGCACCACACAGTTGTCAACAATCGTGTTGTAAACGGAACGTAAACCATCTCGCACTGCATCTGTCACTTGAGCAATAGTATGTTGGTTGGGCCCTTTAATGAGAATCGTCACGGATTTCGGGTCCTTGACCTCCTCGACGAATGTGTATTTTTCTTCCCCGAGTTGATGTTCATAAACAAGACCCGCCCAGCCAAGAACGTCAGGAGTAAGGTCTTCAACGCTGTTTTGGGCAATGCCTCCACAAACAAGTTGAAGTCGTTCCATATTCCGTCGCTTGGCACGGCGAAGTGCAAGAATTCCATTCTTCACAAGCACGTCGAGACTCAATGGGTCAATACCTTTCTGATTAATGACAACAAATCCTTTCTTAGGATCATTCCCACAAACTTTCTTCTTCAGTTCCACAATCTTTTGGAGCTTGGAGTCGACAAAGCGGCGTTCACTTTCCACAAGCTTGTCTCTTTGCTCGGCACTTGAGTAGTAAAATCCGGAGTTAATCTCGGATTTCTCATACTCCAAGCTGACATTCAATGTCAGAATGAAAGCGTTCTCAACTCTCTTGGGCATGTCAGGGTGTCGTGCCCCATGATCCAAAGCCAATCCTCGAATCAATTGAGTTTCGGATGCAGTTCGATGTTGCATTTTCATGATTTCTATCATGTGAAGGTCTGGCTTTTCAGGAGGGTGATAAATGGCGAGTACAGCGTCGACAATTGATGGCACAAGTGTCTCAGCAAGGGCCCGATTCAGTTTCGTGGATAGAGAAGTTCGAGCGACAGATAACAGTAACTCGCGGTCAATTTCCTGGTTCAGCTTGAAACTGTCGAGAAACTAGATGGTTCCGTAAGCGTAAAAACCCGTAAACATAGAGAATAGACACATACCTTGATGGTTTCATTCTTGGCAATTTCATAGCCCTCCGTAAGAACCCTCGGATGGAGACCTTCAGAAATGTGTCTATCCGCCTGCTTGAGCAACTCTCCAACCATAAGAACCACCGATGTTGTCCCGTCGCCCGTAATGTCATCTTGTGCAGTTGCAGCTCGTGCAATCATAACCTTTGGTACGAATTAGCCCGGAAGGTGCTTATAGTCGTTAGAAATATCTTACGGCAGTAGGATTTTGAATTTGCTGGAGAAGTTAGCGAAGTGATCTACTAGTAAAGAAGGCATCACCTACCATCTCTCTCAACAGCACATTGCCATCCTTTGTGAGTTTGATCTAAGGTATCTCTCATGTTAATCATCATTGGACCTTTTCCAGGGGGGACCTGAACATACCGCTCCAGCACCGTCAACAAGCCTTGTGTTCTAGTTAGCTTGTCCCATCATGGGCATTTTTCCGAAGGGCCTTACATCTTGATTGTACCAGATGGGCCAAGGTTAGACTTGAGGACATCTTGAAGACCCTCTCCAGCGCTGATATTGACTCTGAGGGCTTCTCCTCTCCGCTACAAGTTGTCAGTGTGCGCTAGCGGAGGGGTATATCTGCGGATTTCTTACTCTGGACTCCGCCTTGGGGTTGAGTAACTGGGTTGCAGACATGGCTGCTGTGAATACTGGCGAGCTTGTCTGAAGTTGTCGTAAGAGAAATGCACATGCACGAAGAGAGCAAACTAATCTCTCGCGGTCATGCTGGTTCTGTCCGCTGGTGCTTCCGCCCAAACGCGGTGAGCTTAATTTTGCCAAAAAGTTCCCGCCCACATTGGCAGATTCGCACTAGCGCGGCCGGCCAAAGAAAAAAAATGAGCTCAGACATTCCAGGTCTCTGATATTCCTATGCGAACCACCTGCACCACCAATTCCACAGTTCCCTCGTTGCTTCTGCAGAGACACTGTACCTGACGGGCTAATCCGCTCGCCGACGGTACTTTTTTTCTTTTTTTTCCGAGTGCGGCTCATATTGTAGTAGCTATGGCCGACTATCTTCTCTTTGAGGCCCCCATGGGCTATTCGCTTTTCAAAGTCGCCCACCAGGCTGACACCGTTGGGAATCGCCTGAAAGAAGTCCAGGAAGGCGTCGCTGATCTCGCTAAATTCGGGAAGATGGTTGACCTCGTCAGCTTTCTGCCTTTTGAGTAAGTACTAATTGGCGCCGTCGTTTGCATTTCGTTTTTGCATCACCATTTCTAACAACTTTCAAGGAACAACAAGCAGGCTCTTAGCGAAATTAATGACATTTCAGAGGGTGTTGCATCCGATACGCTTATCTCTTTCCTCGAACTCAACCTACCAAAGGCGGGCAAGAAGAAGAAAGTGAGCTTGGGAGTGTACGACAAAGTTTTGGCATCAAGCATCAAGGCTGCTTTCCCATCTGTGGACTGCGAAACTGGAGACACCAGTGAGGTGGTGCAGGATATGCTACGAGGAATTCGGCTGCATTCGACGAAGCTTATGAAGTCGCTCCGCGAAGGTGACTTGGATACTGCCCAACTGGGTCTGGGCCATGCCTATTCTCGTGCTAAAGTCAAGTTCTCTGTTCAGCGAGATGACAACCATATTATCCAGGCCATTGCCATTCTAGATCAACTAGATAAGGCTATCAACACATTTTCCATGAGAGTGCGAGAATGGTACTCTTGGCACTTTCCTGAGCTTATCAAGATCGTCTCGGAAAATCACCGTTACGCTCAGGTTGCGCTTTTTGTTCAAGACAAAAAATCCTTGACTGATGACCGCTTGCACGATCTTGCTGCATTAGTGGAGGACGATGAGGGTGTCGCCCGTAGTGTCATCGAGGCTGCCAAACACAGTATGGGTCAAGACATTTCGGAGAGTGACATGGAAAATGTGATCTCTTTCGCCCAGCGCGTCGTCAGCTTGGCAAACTATCGCAAATCTCTACACTCATATTTGGTTTCTAAGATGAGCGTGGTCGCCCCGAATCTGGCTGCTCTGATCGGTGAGATCGTTGGTGCTCGTCTTATCTCTCACGCCGGAAGCTTAACCAACCTCTCCAAATACCCTGCGTCTACCGTCCAGATTCTAGGCGCAGAAAAGGCCCTGTTCAGAGCGCTCAAGACCAAGGGAAACACTCCTAAGTATGGCTTGCTGTATCACTCGTCTTTCATTGGTAGAGCCGGACCGAAGAACAAAGGCAGAATCTCCCGTTTCCTTGCCAACAAGTGTTCGATTGCCTCTAGAATTGATAACTTCTCTGAGGCCCCATCAACAAGGTTTGGAGAAGCCCTGAAGAAACAAGTTGAAGAGCGGTTGGAATTCTACGCATCGGGCGCACCGCCTACTAAGAACGAAATTGCTATGGTATGTTGATTTGATTTACCATGATCTGAATATTACTGACGTGTAGCACAGAAAAATGCAATGGATTCTATCCTGGCTGATATCGACGTCGATGCCCCAGAAGATAGTGATGTAGACATGGACGATGAAGAGCCAAAACCCGAGAAAAAAGAGAAGAAGGACAAGAAGGACAAAAAGGAAAAGAAGGAGAAGAAAGAAAAGAAAGAGAAGAAAGAGAAGAAAGACAAGGAAGACAAGGAAGACAAGAAGGATAAGAAAAAGCGGAAGCGTGATAGTGAGGTGGACTCATCTAAGAAGAAATCCAAGGCCTAGTCGATCCTCAGTGTGCGAAAGGATTCAGTCATTCGTGTGTGGCGTTGCTTGGGATTGTCGGCGCTTGTTGCTTTTCTTCTGTGCTCAAATTTGCTGAGATTTATTTGTGCTTGATGCTTTATGTGGGATTCTCTGCTTTGTAGAAATACAAATGTATATTTCAGTTTTTAATCGGCTAGGGCCGCCGCCTCTTACCGTGTTGGTGCGGCAAACAGCACGTAGAGCTTAGTCCGCATCCAGCGAACAGTAATGGTATCTCCTCCAACCCCCCATCGATTTTGCCAAATACTAGAGATCCAACCACTAAATTCTGTTGTAATCATGCGTCAAACCCGGCACATTATTCTATGCGGAATACACTAGCTACAGTGATTCGTTAGTGGCCTGAATTTGTCTTTGGTGATTGCTCGCCCTCATGCCGTGGGCTTGGGGCAATTGCTTCAATCCCCGCCCCAAATAGGATCATGGGAACGCCATTGCAACGTTCCCCAAAGCGCAAACGAGATGCTGCAGAAAAGGATCACTACAGTCCGCCATCCTCACCGACTTCTTCCATATCGGTAGCAAGCCTCCAAGAAGCCCGGCTGATTGAAGCGGAAGATATAGGACGACATAGTCCCCGCACTGTTGTCGCCAGTCGCATGAAGGAGCTCGCAATTCGAGAATCGAGCCTCAACCTAGATATGAATCGCAGCAACCTAACAGCACGAATTCAACAGTCTGCTCCTAATGAAGGGCAAGATACGTCGACTGAGACGGTCGAACAACCACTGTCCTCATCGATAGAAGAAGTGGACCGAGAATACGATGTCAGCTCAAAAGAAGTTGACGAACAGAAAGTTGAAGATCTGCCAACCCAGGCGACATGTCAGCTAGAAAGAGTACCTTCTCGCAAGAAGGTAAAGCCTGTTCCTGCTTCGTCAAGAACCAGGAAAAAGGCTTCATCTCCACCCGTCGAGAATGTCCCTCTCAACCCACTAACATGGAGTGACTGCGAGATCACGGGCCATAGCCCTACTGATCCAACTGATGACGGGTACGGGATAAATGGTATCGGCTTTAAGCCAACCCCTGCGATTGCGTGGGCACGATCTCAGCAAAGACAAAAGCAAGTCGCCGAGTGGAAGCACCGAGAAGACAGAGAAGCAAGGGAAAAACGCAGAGAGCGTCGTGAGGGCATGGTCCCAGACGCATCGAATGAAACAGCTGGAGCAGCGCAGAAAAAGGTTAAATTTAATCTTAGCTGATAGTGAGGAGCTTACAATGTCCACGACATTTGGGAGTGGCCCTTTACCTGTATTAGATATGGCTTTCCTATGTAAATGCTTCTTGGTACAGATTGGAGCATTCTTGGATATATCGCCGTACTATTTTACAAGATGATTCATCATCGTATGAGATAACATTACATGAAGAAATATGCCATGGAAACACCCAAACTCCTTATGATATCAAACATGCACTTATTTACCAAAACTTGTAATTCGAAAGATTGGTCCAACTCTTTTGCTTGCGTTCTGTCGCCGCCTCGGCCTCCCGGGCTGCTTTCAATTGCTCAGTTTCTTTCTCTTTCTTGACTTTGAGTTGTTGCATGAGCTCTACAGCCTCTTTCATCCCCTTCACTTCATTGACTCGGCGACGTTGGCAGAATTCGTAAGAAATAATCGAAGTAATCGCGAATGTCCCAACTGCCCAGTTACAAGCAGGCCATATAGCCGTGAATCCTGTGGTGAGAAAGCAGACAATAATCAGCCTCAGTACGTTTACAAGGAAATAGATGCACAAGGTATTACCTCCAACTATGCCCCGAATACCTCCGATACCAAAGCCAGCACCCATTCCCAACATCAGCGAATCCCGAGCGCATGGCTTCCTGTGAAAATTGCTGAAGTCTTTCATAGTAATCGAGCTGAGAGACTGTGACATGGTCAATTCTTTTGGTTTCTCGCGGCTTGGATCATATGTCGCTCCCGGGAGGACATTGATCGGTTCCTCAGGGTTCCCAAAAGCATCCCATAGCTTCCCAACTTGAGATTTGGGGAAATCATGTTTTGGTTTGTTTTTCGGAGTTGATGAGGGGGTCGAGTTTCCGTCTCGCGTATCCTCGGCCATGTTTTCTTTCTGTCGAGGATCGAAAGAACGATCGCTCAAACAAATTGGACTAGGCCAATGGACAGTCTTGGGTCAATGAATCAACCTGATGACAAGCGACGATGCTGCTCGGGCCTTGAATTTTCCGCTGCCGGTTGAAAGGAGCCGTACTTGTCCCCAAATAGACTAGCGCCAATGCCTCGTGCATCAGCCAATAACAAGACGGCTTGATTTCGCGTTTAGTGGAAAACGCGTCCAGCGCGTGGTTGCCGCATGTGGACGATGGCAGGTCGGGATATCAGCTTCAATCTTTTGTTATTTCCCTTCACCGATGAACAAACGATTCATTGTTTGACAATTGATTCTCCAGTGAAAACCATTTGTATCTTCGAGGTTGACCTAACTGCAGATTGCCCGCATGGTTCGAGTACAGCTATTTTCTGATCAAGCAACTTAAGTCTGTGAGGGCTGCAGCACCATGCCTTCACGCAAGCCCAGCAGATATGGAAACAAATTTCGGTCCGGGGCAGCATCATTCAATCCGAAACGATCAAAAACAATAGAATTCAATTCCCTTCGTTCTACAGAAGCGACGTCCCAAGATGAAAAGTTCGAGTTTATCCGAAGGGCGAACACCATCGATGAGTCGATGGGCTTTCCTCGCTACGAATCGGGCGAGAAAAGAGCAGGATGGCTGATAAATATGCATAGCACGTCTGTTGAAGATTCCAACATCACCAGTGGTCGTGCAGGAGTGGACTTCTACTTTCTCGAAGACGACGGCGGTAGCTTCAAAGCTACGGTTGAATACGACCCGTATTTTCTTATCGCTGCCAAGGGAGGACGAGAATCAGAGGTGGAGGAATGGTGTCGGAGAACATTGGACGGCGTTGTCAAAGGTGTGCAACGCGTCATAAAAGAAGATCTTCAAATGCCAAATCATTTGATGGGGAATCGCCGGGCGTTTCTTCAACTCAGCTTTGCGAACGTCAGCGATCTACTTGAAGCGAGAAGGCTGCTCATGCCCATTGCGGAAAAGAATAAGAAGAATGTTACTGCGATGGACACGTATGCTGAGATGGCCAGGTATGATTTACTCACCCTATTAACGGGGCTACGTCAACTGACAAACGTTTCCAGAGCTTCTGCTGGCTTTGATTTGTTTGATGATGAACTTAATAACGAAAGACGACCTAACACATTGAATGCAAGTGATTTTATCGTTGATATAAGAGAGTACGATGTGCCTTATCATGTCAGAGTTGCCATTGATAAAGGTGAGTCCTACAGCTAGGTCATAATCATGCCCCTTACTAATGTACGACTAGATATTCGAATTGGAAAGTGGTATAATGTGGAGGCTAAGCATGGTGTGACCAAATTGACATGCATTGAAGAGCGACTTCAACGTGCGGATCCCGTCGTGCTCGCATTCGACATTGAAACAACCAAGCTCCCTTTGAAATTTCCTGATGCCGTAATCGACCAGATCATGATGATTTCTTATATGATTGATGGGAACGGATTTCTCATTACGAATCGAGAGATAGTATCCGAAGATATTAACGATTTCGAATATACGCCAAAGCCAGAGTACAACGGCCCTTTCCTAATCTTCAACGAACCTGACGAACGCCACCTCTTAGAACGCTTCTTCAGCCACGTTAAGGAAGCGAAACCAACTGTCATTGCAACCTACAACGGTGACTTCTTCGACTGGCCCTTTGTTGAAGCGCGTGCTAGTGTCTTGGGCATTGATATGTATACCGAGATTGGCTTCAGAAAAAACAGCGAAGATATTTACCAGAGTGACCATTGTGTACACATGGATTGCTTTGCATGGGTCAACCGAGACAGTTATTTACCCCAAGGTAGCAGGGGCTTAAAAGCGGTCACTGTTGCGAAGCTGGGTTATGACCCAGACGAATTAGACCCGGAGCTCATGACTAGGTATGCTAGTGAGCGCCCACAAACGTTAGCAGAATACTCAGTATCCGACGCTGTCGCGACATACTACCTCTACATGAAATACATCCATCCTTTTATTTTCTCGCTGTGCACTATCATTCCGTTGAACCCGGACGATGTTCTCCGAAAAGGCACAGGAACATTATGTGAGATGCTTTTGATGGTTCAAGCATATAAGGGCCAGATCATTCTTCCAAATAAGCACAAAGACCCAATCGAAGCCTTCTACGACGGCCACTTACTGGATTCCGAAACGTATGTGGGTGGACACGTCGAGAGTATAGAAGCTGGAGTATTTCGCAGCGATATACCTGTCAACTTTGCCGTTGATAATACCGCGATTGACGAATTGCTTCATGACTTAGACGCCGCCTTGAAATTTAGCATTGTCGTTGAGGAGAAGAAGTCATTAGAGGATGTCTCTAATTATGAAGAGGTCAAAGCTCAGATCGTTGAGCGTCTGGAGAACCTGAAGAAGACACCAAATCGCATGGAACGACCGCTTATATACCATCTTGACGTTGCCTCAATGTATCCGAATATCATGACTACCAATCGACTCCAGCCTGATTCTATGAAACAAGAGTCGGACTGTGCGGCATGTGATTTCAACCGTCCCGGAAAAACGTGCGATCGTCGGCTTCCCTGGGCGTGGCGTGGCGAGTTTCTTCCTGCGAAACGCGATGAATATAACATGATTCGCCGGGCCGTGGAGAACGAAAGGTTCCCAGGTAAATATAAGAATGCCCCGATGCGACCTTTCACAGAACTTAGTTCGGAGGAGCAAGCTGCTATCATCAAAAAGCGACTCCAAGAATACAGCAAGAAAATTTATCACAAGATTCATGACAGCAAAACAATAGAGCGGGAAGCTATCATATGTCAACGAGAAAACCCCTTCTATGTGGATACTGTCCGTGACTTCCGTGATCGACGATATGACTTCAAGGGGAAGCAGAAAGTATGGAAAGGCAAGACGGAATCTCTCAAGTCTGCTGGAGCGCCAGCTGCAGAAGTTGAGGAGGCTAAGAAGATGATCGTCCTGTTTGATTCTCTTCAGCTTGCACATAAAGTCATCTTGAACAGTTTTTATGGCTACGTTATGCGAAAAGGGTCAAGATGGTACTCGATGGAAATGGCCGGAGTGACATGTTTAACAGGCGCTCATATCATTCAAATGGCTAGAGAACTGGTGGAACGCATCGGTAGACCTTTGGAACTTGATACTGATGGTATCTGGTGTATGCTTCCAGCTACTTTTCCTGAGAATTTCGCGTTTACTTTGAAAAACGGCAAAAAGCTGGCCCTGTCATATCCGTGTGTGATGCTTAATCACCTTGTTCATGGACGATTTACAAATCATCAGTATCAGACTCTTACTGATCCTCTGGCGTTCAAATACGAAACGACGAGCGACAATTCGATTTTCTTCGAGGTAGATGGCCCATACAAAGCCATGATCCTACCAGCATCGAAGGAAGAGGATAAGAATCTAAAGAAGCGTTACGCAGTATTTAACGATGATGGCTCACTTGCTGAGTTGAAGGGATTTGAGGTCAAGCGCCGCGGTGAGCTCAAACTTATCAAGATTTTTCAAACGCAGATTTTCAAATTCTTCCTAGATGGAAAAGACCTGGCGGAAACATATGGATCAGTTGCTCGTGTCGCAAATAGGTGGCTTGACGTCCTATATGAGCATGGAAATACTTTGGCTGATGAAGAACTGATTGACTTGATTTGTGAAAACAGAAGTATGTCAAAGACTGTGGAAGAATATGGAGCGCAAAAATCTACCTCTATAACGACCGCCAAGCGCTTAGCAGAGTTTCTTGGTGAGCAGATGATCAAAGACAGAGGCCTCAATTGTCGGTACATTATTTCATCTAAACCGAGAAATGCCCCGGTTACAGAACGAGCGATTCCTGTGACCATCTTTTCCGCGGAAGAAAATGTAAAGCGCTTCTTCTTGCGTAAATGGATGAAGGAAGACCCTGGGGACATGGATCCGCGGACTGTAATTGATTGGGATTACTATCTCGAACGACTAGGATCGGTCATTCAGAAATTGATAACCATTCCCGCTGTACTGCAGAGACTTGATAACCCAGTTCCTAGGGTTCAGCATCCTGACTGGCTCCAACGCCGCATTGCGACCAGAGATGATAAGTTCAAGCAGAAGAAGATGACTGACATGTTCGAGAAAAATCCACTTTCCGAGGTGTCAACCAACATTTTGGATCATCGTGTCCCTCACGCTACTGATATTGAAGATGCTGGCACGCAATCTACCGAGAAACGAAACACATCTCCATCTAGCAAGGCATCACAGAAAAGAAAGTTACCGGAAGGACCTTCCACAACGTCGCTGGATCCATACACCGCATTGCCAGCGAAAATGCCATCGTTGTCTGAAGATTATGAAGGCTTCATCAAGTATCAGAAACAAAAGTGGAAAATCCAAAAACAGGCAAGAATTAGGCGAAGACAACTTTTTGGGGAGAGGTCAAATTATGCATCTGACTCATTGAGTCATTATTTCCGAAACCAGGCGGAACTACTCTTTATTAGTAAATGGGAAGTTCTACAGCTACGCGAAACCGATATACCTGGGGAAGTACGGGCATTTGTGCTGATAGACCGCAAGGTCCACGCTCTCAACGTCAAAGTCCGACGTCAGATGTTTGTCAACTTGAAAGGGGATAATTTACCAGACGTTGACCTCCCCGACTGCGAAGTAGAAAAGGTCAACTATATCTTGCCAAACGGACACGCTTCGGTTCATTTGTTCAAGCTCACTATATCGGAAGATACTTATTTGAGGGAGTCAGAAAAAATACGCTCTTTACTCAACCACCCAAGTGTTGAGGGCGTGTATGAACGAAACATACCTCTCGATGTTTGTGCTATAATGAAACTGGGTAGTACCTGTACCTTTGACGAAAGCCAACGAGGAGTACTCGGAGACGGCCTAGATCATGGTTTCGAGTTATCTTCCTTACTTCATACATCCTCTGAAAAGCCTTATTTAGATGGGCAAAACTTGACGTACTACTACTTGTATCACGTTACCTCAGGCGACCGGCAAGTATTTGCGCTTTTTTCGACATCCAAAAATGAAGCCAACATTGTCATATTAAACCGGAGTCGTGATATGCAGGTTCTTCCAAACGTCGACAAAATTTATTCGGAACTTTTCAGTCGCAAGCCTGCAACTGAAAACGAAACGCCGGCATCTGCATTTGAATACCAAGAAAAGATACATTTCAAGACGACGCAAGTCACCACCCAACGAAAAGCTATGCTGGAAATCGGTGATCTGGTGAAGAAACTACGCAACGAAGAAAGCAAACCTGTTGTGTTTGTAATACAGTCCCAGCAAAAACGAAGATTGAGCTATGAAATTCCCATCTTGAAGGAGTACCCTATCTTAACTGTCAAGCCTGAAATATCAGATACGGAGATGCCGCCGCTCGGTTGGCAATCTTTTGTTGCAAAACGTTTAGTTACTCATTATCTCTATTTGGGCTCGTGGGTCCAACACCTTACAAGGCTAGCACGATATGGGGACGTCCCAATTTGTAACCTGGAGAGCGATGATCCCCGGTATCTGATCGATATCGCCTATGCGAGGCGACTGCAACAAAACAATGTGGTTTTATGGTGGTCAGCGGGACCACGACCAGATCATGCTGGGTATGAAAAAGACGACGTCTTAGGCTCCCTCGAAACTGTTGAGATGCCATCCATCAATATTCCGGGAACATACGCAACCGTGTCAATTGAGCTCGAAGTGCGAAATTTGGCAATAAACACCATCCTCACATCATCTATTATCAATGAACTCGAGGGCAGCGATACCCTACTCGCTTCTGCTCCTGACTCAGGCGATGGCAGTGGGGTTCTTTATTCTGAGAAAGCCTTCGCTTCAGCGGGTGTCTTCGTTTTACGCGAAATGGTTAAACAGTGGTGGACAGAAGCTTGCTCTGGGAATACTATGGCCGATATCATGGTTCAGCATTTGATACGCTGGGTTGAAAGCCCCAATTCTCGCCTTTATGACCGGTCATTGCACCACTACGTCCGTGTCATGTCCAAAAAATCTTTCCAACAATTGATGGGAGACTTCCGCCGTGTTGGTTCGAACGTCATATTCGCTAGTCCGACGCGACTTCTCCTTCAAACAACAAAAACCGAAGTTGGGAATGCGTACGCTTACAGTCAATATATACTGAAGTCTATCAGGGCGAACCCGGTGTTTCACTTCATTGACCTTGAGCTTAAAGAGTATTGGGATTTCCTGGTGTGGTATGATGAGTTCAACTACGGCGGCAAAGGGTGTCAAGAAGTGGTGGAGGCAGAAGCCCAACAGTTGGAAACTATCATGCATTGGCAGATGAGCCGTTTTCTGCCTACGACTATGCAAGGAGTCTTTCACGATTGGGTTATTGAATATATTGAGCTAATGCATGGTCTCAAGAGAGGTGATGAAGCAGAGACTGAGGACTTTGCTACCCAACGATTGACTCAGATCCCTAAGCCGCTGACAACGGCAGATGACGAGGCAACGACGATTCTCACCGACAAGTTTTCAAAGCCTCTGAAAAAACAAATAGCTGGACTAATTAGACGACAGCGAGATGAACTTCTTCACCCCGAACTTGCATCCGACTATATTTTTCCTGTTCTTCCAGGAGTCGTGACTGACCCGAATGAGGGGAATCGCAATCCGGTTCTAGAGCTAGTCAAATCACTTATGCAGATTCTCAGTCTGTCTAAGACCACGACATTAGAGACACGTCTTCTTCGCCGCGAACTCCTTGCATTATTCGAGGTTCGCGAGTTCAGCAAGGAGGGACGCTTCGAGAACCCCAGCGCCAGCTTGAAACTATCGGAGCTAACATGTAGTGGCTGTTGTCTGATCCGTGATCTCGACTTGTGTCGAGATGAAGACATTCTTCCGGATGCAAGCGTTGATGGTGGAAAAGGCACATTGAAAGCCTGGAAGTGCCCTTTCTGTCAAACCGAATACGACCGACTCGCCCAAGAAGAGAAACTTATTGGCGAGATTCATGGCATGATCGTTGCCTGGCAGGCTCAGGATCTCAAGTGCTCTAAATGCAGCAGCCTTAAGGTTAGTGCTCTCATGGAGCATTGTTCCTGCAGTGGGGAGTGGACTACAACAATGGACAAAGCTGGAATCGTCAAGAAACTACGTGTTATGGTCAGCGCCGCAAAATTTCATGATCTCAAGCTACTAGAAGGGGTGGCGGAAGACGTTCTGCAGCAAATATAATGCCAGTTTGCAGATATGTAAGCGGCCTTCTCATTTATATGCATCTTTTGGACGGAGCGGAATTGGCTTTTGAATAATTATGGATGGCGTTGTCAGATGAGCGAGTTTTTAGACATGATTTACGTATATACCTACTACATATGTACCTCTTAGTGTGCATGAACGTGTATTTCCTCTTATTTATTCTCCACTAAGCATTCACTGTACAAAGCCATTACTTAATGTAGCAAACTCTCTCTTCCTCTTTTTTTTAAATCAAATATTAATGCCCTTGAAGGTTATAATCGTATCTCGAGTCTAGACAAGGTGCGGCGGTCCCAACTCACCGGTGCAGCCTCGCCGTTGAACCCCACGCGAGATCTTCCCCTCTCTCCACTTCGACGAATTCCCGATCATCTCTCTCCACACAACACAACGCCGAGGCGCATCAACTCTGACTATTCGGAATAAAACACACAGACGCCAGGCCTTCCTCGCTCACAGATTACTTGACCGGATGGCGGCGCAAGCTCAACGCCCTCAAATCCAGCCTTGCCGGTACAAGACTGGAAAGACCCTAGGAGCAGGCTCCTACTCGGTCGTTAAAGAATGCGTCCACATCGATACTGGGCGGTACTTTGCTGCCAAAGTGATCAATAAGAGGCTGATGGCTGGTCGAGAGCATATGGTAACCGATCCTTTAACATTCTCAGCAACATCTTTTTGCATTTCGAACCCACCGTCGAAGGCATTGCTTATGGAAGAGGACGAACGAGCTAATATTATTTTTGATTTTATAATAGGTTCGAAATGAAATTGCCGTCCTCAAGCGTGTCTCAATGGGACATCAAAACATCCTCACCCTGGTCGATTATTTTGAGACCATGAACAACTGTGCGTATAGACAAAGCGAAAAGACCGGTGTGTCGTCGCTCGGATTTACTAATGTATGCAATTCTGAATTCAGTATATCTTGTCACTGAGCTGGCTCTGGGAGGAGAGCTATTCGACCGAATTTGTCGCAAAGGAAGCTACTACGAAGCCGATGCCGCAGACCTTATCCGTGCCACACTCTCGGCTGTCGCGTATCTACACGATCATGGAATCGTGCACCGTGACCTCAAACCCGAGAACTTGCTGTTCCGTACCCCTGAAGATAATGCCGATCTTTTGATTGCAGACTTTGGTCTATCTAGAATCATGGATGAGGAGCAATTCCATGTCCTTACAACAACATGTGGGACTCCTGGGTATATGGCGCCTGAAATTTTCAAGAAGACTGGGCATGGAAAGCCAGTGTGAGTCGCAGAGGTATTTCAAAAATTTGGCACGGTAGACTGATTTTGTGATAGAGATATATGGGCTATTGGCGTTATCACCTATTTCTTGCTTTGCGGCTACACGCCGTTTGACCGCGAATCCAACTTGGAAGAGATGCAGGCTATTCTCGTTGCTGACTATTCATTTACACCCCTGGAGCACTGGCGAAGTGTTTCCCAGGATGCCCGCCAGTTTATTAATCGTTGCCTCACAATCGACCCCAAGGCACGAATCACAGCTCACGAAGCGCTTCAACACCCATGGATCAATCACGACCCATCATTCAAACAAGGAGAAGATCTCTTGCCTACCGTCAAGAAGAACTTCAACGCCAGACGGACGCTTCACAAAGCCATCGACACTGTCCGTGCTATCAACAAACTTCGTGAAGGTGGCGGGCTGATGATGGACGGGGCGATTAGTGTAAACCCTCGACCAGAAAGGGTAGACGGCAATGAAGTCTATGAGGAAGGAAGAAATGCAAACCAGCCATTGGATGGCGATGCGATGAAAATTGACTCTCGCAGCAATGCTAGGGGTCAAACAGAAGAGCAAATGCGTGAGCAGGAACGTAAGGTAAAAGAGGTGGTGACTGGTCTATGGAGTAAGACAGCGGGTCAAAGGCGTTGAAATTTGTTTTCCTTCTAGTGAATGGATGATTAAGCAGGTACATAAAGGATATAGGTAGGGATGTTTATTTCAGTTGAAATTTGAATTTGGTTCAAATTTTCCCATTCGTTTCATTATTGGGTTCGAGCAATTTTTAATGCGCTTCTAAATTCGTTCCTGATCTTTATCCTCATTCCAAGTGTTCAGATGTTAGTGCGAATACGAAGGCAAAGAAATGAACTTTGCAAGTTCCACATGGGTATGTCTCTTGAAAGGCCATAAATTGAATGTAATGTTAAGCTTGAAGCAATACAGACGACTTAAGAATTTAAGCTACCAATTACATATATAAGATCATGATCGAAGCATCGCTAGTCTTGCTTCGTCAGCTTGAACCCATTTCCTCCATTCTTGCCATTCGGTATAGCTGGCAGATGCTTGGAGACCCTGATAGCGCGTGGCCCTGAAGTCAGATACTTGATCCCACGGTTTCCCACTGCTGCTGCTGCTGCCGCCAGAGACAGCGGCACTACTGCCTCTAAGTAGTCTTCTCGCTACGCCTCCACTGCTATTTCCATCCCACCCAGCTTTGCGCATTAAGCTCTCGACAGTCTCTTCCTTTGTCCAACCTTGTTCGACGGCGACATCTGGCAGGTATGTGGCGCCGTATCGCCGACTTCGGTGGATGAAGGAAATCCGCAGCCCATGCAAGCCCAATTCCCAATCCATTGCGTCTGTACATGGTTCAAAGTCACTGAGCAGGGTCAAGGAACACGATAATGACGGCATTTGCGAGGATGGGATGGGAGAGAACCGAGTATCGTCAAAAGCACTACTTGTATGTCAACATTTTACATCCCTTTTAACTTCTCTCATCCAATGGGCCCTAGAATGAAACGTACGAAGTGAGCGCATAGGTTTTCAAGCCGAAAGAGAGTTCCTGTTCTTCAAAAGTGCCAATACAACCACGAAGAGACTTGTGTCCATGTTTCGATATCAGGTTCCATGTGACGAACAGCGGGTAAGACTCCTTGCTTCGGTGGGAGCCTTGGTACTCTCCCGGCGTTGTCACCGTTGTACTTTTTGACAGTGCCGAGTGCGACGAATTAGCCGACAATGAGGAAGGTGTTGTCGAGATGCTCGATGAATCAGATGAACTGTTTTGTTGTTGAAGCCGCGATATGGAGGGCAGTTTGACGGCATGGGGACGCATGTCTTCGCTGGTTTTGGTTTCCTCGTCATTGGTCTCAGTATTATCATCATTGTCCTCAGCAACGGCACTGTGAATTTGATTCCTTGAATTAGGATATGTCCAAGGAATCAGGAATCAAGACACCCACGTTTTATCAATCACAGCAGCCAGTTGCTTGGCTTGGTTGTACTGCAACCACAAATCGTCTATCGCAGCGAGACTAGGCGGTTCTTCGTCCTTGAACGAAGAGGCTAGAGTCTCGAAACAGTAAAAACACTGTGCCTGGGATGCCATCCTCCAATCTTCACATCAAATTTGCATACAAGTCTGATGACTAAGTGGAACAAGTCTATTTCTTTTCCAAACAATATTCTCCTTTTTACCAAAGATGAGAATAATGTCGATAGTCTGGGCAGGGCTTCAAGAATACACGAATAAGCTAATTCACGGAATACCACCGAATAACAGTGAGATTTGAATCCAAAACAGCACACAAAAGCTGGATTAGCTTGCAAAGGACTCGCAATTCTCGAAACAACTAGCAAGGGATGAAGTAGGAATGAGCAATCCCAAAACAGGATAGCTGTATATCTTGGTATAAGATATTCGATTCAAAGGCAGAGAACAAGAGCGAAGTGGAGGCGGCATCCAAGGCGTGCACTGAGAGTCAAGTCTAGGTCGAAAATGGAAGGGACGATGCAAGCTACATTGACTACGTAGTGCGGGGATCTCGATAAGGCTAGAGACTCAGATAAAGCTCATTGCACTAGCCTTATCAAGTTAGATTTTTAACAGCTAGCCCCGATTAGGCGCGCGCTTGACCGGAACCAGTTTAGGTGGTTGGGCAATTGCGTAAGGCTACAAATAGAATGGGAATAAGAGATACCAGCAATTGGAAGTGACTGTACATCTTCACCATTTAGTAAAAATCTGGTACTTGTGTGAATGTTCCTCTGTATCAGCCTCCCTGAACTTCTCGATGCCACCCAAAACTCCCTCTTCGCCCACAACCCATTCTCCCAATCCCACCAGATTCGACCACAGCTCCAGTACATTTCCAAGCTGCGGTCCATGCCAAGGAATGAAATGACAATATCCTGGCTGGTACAGCTCGTTCTTTCGGCCACTAGGCCTTGCCATGGCATGATCTTCTTGATTCTCGCCCACCAACGAATCATCAGTAAGGCGAGCAAATCCATTCGCGCCAAGCTCGAATGGTAGATATAGACGACAGGCGTCTTCGAAAGTATGATGAGCGTCTCTGTTACAATACTCCATCCAAAGTCCATGGGTTAAATTAGAGGCTTCATGGAAAGGATAACCAAGGAGTGGTGTTGAGGACTTGATATCCGAGATAAAGAGAGGCACTGGAAGAACTGGATTGTCGTACTCCATTGAATCGGGTATTTGGAAGTTCTGGAATGGATAGGACGCGAAATCGCTCGGGGTGGGGAGACGTAGGCCGGGTGCTATGTAACGGATATTCTTTGGTCGACGAACTTGGAGAAGAAACCTGCGAAAGAATCCCTCTGGTATGGGAAGCCTGTCCAAAACCTCCTGGGAGACGAGACCAGACAGCTCTTGTGAGACAGGCTGGTTGAGTTTGGCTGTGCAAGCCTCAAGAAGCCTTAGTTGATCATCAAGGTTGTCTAGTGGCCGAAGAGATGGTTCTTCAAGCAGACATTCGATCCTCGTTATTAGGTTGTTGAAAGAGTTGATAGAATGCGTTAAGTCATGTTCGCTGTATGGCAGCAGTTCCCAGGGTGTGCACTCCCATGGCCCTCTGGTGCTTGTGCCTTCGGATCTCACAATCACCTTGCCTGTGTCAATCATATCCAGCCAGGCAGTTAAGACAACCTCGAGAGGATCCCATTCCATACGACCATTGGTTGTGGATAACGAGTCCAAGACATCGCTGCAAAAGATGGCTCGGGACGTTTTTTGGTTGAAGCTGGACGAAGGTCAGCCCTGGTCTGCAAGTAGTTCAGGAGGATTTCAAGTACTTCAAACCATCTCGATGGCCACTGAGATTCAAATTAGTCATCTGATACAGTCGCAAAATAAAGTCTTCTTCCTCGTGTACTCCAACCACGAAGTTGGCGTAGTAGAAGAAATGCTCATGAGGTGTATCGTAGGCTGTTTGGAGAAACAGCTTCAGGGATGGCGACAGCCGTCTTGACCACTCTTCTTCGAGCAAGTTATCCGTGACTTTTGCCTGCCACCACGTCGTAGTTGGCATATCTAGGTCTGAGTTGCCCATACCTGTCCAACCCAAGTGGACGATCAGATTATGTAAAGCTGCACAACGTTCCCAGTCCATGCCCGCCACCTCACGGACGGGATTTTCGGGCGTCACTCGCCATGTGAGCTGGTCATCTATCGAAAAGCTCATGGTATAAAAATTTGAAGGCTAATACACCAAGCTAAGCAAGGTAGGACCCAAGGCTACTCGTTTAGTGAGTGCATGGTTTGCACCTACATTCCACGGACCATAGTCAGAACTCCTATGTCTAATGGTAAGCCGTTGACTGGCCTTCTCACCTACTACGGCGGACTAAATCGAAATTAGGGACAACCGCAGAAAAGCGGGTCTTACTGCCACACGGAGCCATATACATACAGACGCATTGATTTTATTAGCTGATATAATATTACTAATAATAATAAATAAAACAAGTTTATACTAGGCTGTAATATCGTAATGTTAACATATATTTAACATACTTTTAATCTTCTTATAAATCTCTTTCTTTTAGGAATAAATTTGATTTTAAATAGTAATTAACTGCTATCATTCACTATTAAAAGAGTTAAAAAGTAATTTTATATATTTTTAATTTAAATAAATATACTTATTATAATAAGAATTAAGATACTGTAACACGGTCTGGCAGGGCCGCATCCGGGGGTGTCTGGAAAGACTGGATGTGGGTGAGTTGAAGTTTCACCGATTGATATTGATGCTATAGAGCAAGGCTACTAGGGAAGAGGTTGTCGGTTTTGGTTATATAGTTAGGGAAGGCTTCGAGCCGAAGGCTATTCGAAGCCGAGTAGGCTTATATTGAAAGTTATGTTAAAAATTACACAAAAGATATTGCTTGATTCTCTCTAAGGCTCCTTGACACTGCCAACCTCTAAATGCCGAAAAGTAATACTGAGGCAATTGGGCCATTGCCCAATTCCAGGGTTGGCACGCTTATAAGCCTCTGTGAGCCTGCAGCGCTCTTGCTGCTGCCAGGCCTCACATTATATGGATATAAAACTATAAAGAGTTAGAATTAATTCTAAATTTATTGATATTATTAAAGGAAATCTATTAGTATTTAAATATTCAGATAAAACTAAACTGAAAATCTAAATCAAATCAGATCTAAATGGGGCCCAAAAACTATATGGTTCTGGATTTAATGAATTGAACCACTTCGGTTCACTGTATATAGAACCAGAACCGAACCAAATGACAGCCTAGAGTGGTCTAAAGGTCTAAAACTAAATGCAACAAAACAATAGCAAATTTATACTTAAAACATGCATATTTTTCTTACTTAGATCATCAAGTTGATTCGTATGATCTGTTTGATTTGTCTGATTTGTATGGTTTATAGATGTTGAACCTATATGAAAATCGGATTCGGTTTAGTTGATTCTTGATTAGTCAGGATAATACGACAGAATGGGTGAGGTAGAAATTTCTATATATCTCTACTAGTGAGTATATGGGCACACACTATCGAGGTTACTCTTTCAATCTCAAGCTCTGGTTTCAAACCAACTGACCAAGTCAAGGACAGTGGGGCAAGCCCATGTCAGTGTCGGTGGCACGTTTACCCCCGTCGCTTTTCCCAGTAACCCTCGCAGAGTCACCGTTAAGACACTGTCTAGACCTAAATCACTCATCACTGCCTTTGAATCGACCTCCTCGGGCCCAGATAGATGCAGTACCTGCGATAAGCATCCTCGAATCGTATGATCAAGATACGACCGACGCTCCTCTTTGGAAGGGGGCAATAAATCTGCTGGGCTTCTTGTAGAGGACGACTCGTTAGAAGGAGTCGAAGCTAGGGCTTTGCGCTTGATGATCTCAGTGAGGATTGGGATTGGAATTGGTTCATCATGTTCGATAGGCAAGCTCCTCAGAACAGTGACTTGGGATGTATCATATTTCCAGGCGTGCATAAAGGCCTGCAACGCTTCATCGCGTGTAATATCTGTGATTCCCTTATTGGCTAATTCAGCGTCGATGAATCCAGTGCTTGTGGACATCCCCATTCCACGCCAACTACTCCACTGAAATGAGATGGTGTTATCACCTTGGTCGCGGCGATGAGTTGCAAGTGCGTCCAAAAATGCGTTACCGGCAGCATAAGAGCCCTGCCCGGGGAAGCCAAATAACTGTCCGCAAGAGGAGAAGAAGGCCATAAAATTCAGGGTCTTTGGTGGAAAGAGACGGTGAAGTAATATGGCACCGGACACCTTTGGTGAAAGAACATGAGCTAGACCTTTTGCTGTGATAGACAAAATGAGCTCATCTTCTAGCACACCTGCTGCGTGGATAACACCACAAATTGGAGGAAAATTCAAAGCATCAATCGCATCGGACAACAATTGTGGACCCGAACTTGAGCCAATATCAAACACCAATGTCTTGATTGTTGCACCATATGCCTCAAGGTGCTGAAGCTTCTGAAGTGTAGGCGTCATTGGTGACGACTCAGTAATCTTTGCGGGCCAGCTTTTGCGAGGTGGTACCCCGCGCCTTGAAACAAGAATAAGTCGACGAGCCCCCAGTTGTACAAGAAATTCTGCCGTTGCCAGGCCCAACACTCCCAAGCCACCTGTAATCAAGTATGTGCCATCAGGAGAAGACAATTGAGGAACCATGAATCGAGGCAGCAGTTGGCTTGGTGAAAGAGGTCGCAATCGAGCGACTCGAGGGATACCGTCAGAAATACGAATAACATCCTCTCCCTGAACGTACTTCATGACCTCGATGGGTATTTTAGTTGATTCCAGGTCAATAAGAGCCCCCCAAATATCAGGATGCTCCGAAGCAATAATTCGAGATAATCCAGTCAGCGTCGACTGAGCCAGAGCCGTCAACTGGCCTATAAATACCCCGTTTGTCAAGACATAGATTTTGATTGACAGATTTGAGTCTGCAGATAGCCTTGCAATATTAATCAAGTCCATAGACTGATCATAGGCTGCAGTCGCGATTGAATCAAGTCCTGGATCTAATGTGGGAAGATATACAACCGCCGTGTCGCCCTCTAGATCTTTCATCCGACTCAAGAGTTCCCCTATATTATCCAAAACAATGATTGTGAGAACAGTGGAAGACAGGCTCTCTCTGTAAAGGTGTGCTAAAGCTGAGTCTCTCGATATTAGCACAATATTGCTGAATGGTAAGGCCATTTCATTGTAGATTGCTGGCGGCCATGCAATCTGATGCACGAGGCTCTCCAGTCCGGCATTGGAGGAAATGTTACCCTCGAGCTCTGAAAATTGCATTGATTCAATACATACCAGCCGGTCTCCCTGCTCGTTGTACACATTTATGTGAGCAGCGAAAGGAAGATTCTCCACCGCTTTGACATGGAGGTGGCACACCTTTGGCGGGGCCTGTTTCGTCAGGACAGAAATCCTTTCGACGTGAGATGGCATTCGGAGTCTAGGCTTGCTGGCAAACAAAGTTGACCCCACAGATGTCGCTGAATCAAGAATCGGTGCCCATGAGTGGGGATCCCAAGGAAGGCTGGCAGTGCGATCGACTTCAGGAGCGACATCGACCAGCGCGATCATCTCGTCCTGATTTCCAAAATGTTCGAGTACGATCCAAGGAAATCCCATGCTTGAGACACCGATATTTGACAGATAATCAACTGAGAATGTGTTTGACAACCTTTGGCCGATTACGGCCTTCTTCAGTTTAATGTCAAGCTTGTATGGCACCCTCATTTCAGCAGCCTCTATGGTCGACCAGCAGCCTGTCGTATGGGTTTGCCACGAATTGTCATCGCACTGACTCTCTGAATTGTCACGAACAAGGCGAGAACATATCTTGGCATGACCCGGACTTACGACAAACTGGATATCTCGCGGCTTTTCAGTGGAAATTGGAATGCGAAGGTGAAATTTGGAGAGCTCGAGAGCCCCAGTACCGAGCAGGAAAGTATTGATCAACACGGCGGCCGGGATTATTTCAGACCCTTGAATAGGGTGATTTCCAGGGAAAGGTTTGGATTCCTTATCGAGATTGGTTGAGTAGGTAACAATATCTTCACCAGCCACAGAGAGACGTGACCCTAGGAGTGCGTGCCTCTCCACACTGTGGGTCATCGCAGTACCGAATGGCGTCGTCTCAACATCCTTCCAGATCATTTGGTGATACCAGCCAGTGAGAGGAACCTCAGGTGTCCAAGGTATCTTCATCACGGTATTCCACTTAATGTCACAGCCATGGCAATGTAATTGCGCTAAGCTGTAAAGAATCGTTTTTTCCGCTGGCTTGTGACGACGCATGGTATGATAAACACCAGGATCACTGATTTCCGAACTCATCAAAGTTTCCTGGACAAAATGAGATACAATAGGGTGCGGTGAAATTTCCAAAAACACTCGAAGGCCATCTTTGGCAGCAGCAGCTACTGCAGAGCGAAGCTTCACTGGTTGGACCATATTCTGGCACCAATAATCAATGTCACGAGGTTGCCGGCTGCATGGATCGTTCTGAGATGTGGAATAAATTGCAACTTTTGGTACGCGTGGTGCGATTAGATCGTCAAGAGAACAGGCCAGAGGCTTAACCAGTTCTGTGAGGTTAGGGTGGTGAAAGGAAATGTCTGACTTTACCCACATCGACTTGACGCCTTGCCCATTCAAGAAGTGGCAGAATGTTTCCAAGGACTGTCTGTCTCCGGAAAGAACGCACGATGATGGAGATGAGTCTATTGCGGCGACTATGTCGGTACGTGGGCCCAATTCTTTCTGTATTTCATCAAAGGGCTTGTATACGACAGCCATCGCCCCTGTTCCTATAAATCTTTGGTATAGCTTGGCTCGTTTTGTCACGACCAAGGCCCCTTCTTGGGGAGTTAGACAGCCAGCAGCAACCGCTGCAGCTACTTCTCCCACCGAATGTCCAATTACAGCGTCGGGTTGTAAGCCTCTCGACTTAAGAATGGCCATCAGTCCCACTTGCATGAGGTAGATGAGGACTTGTACCGTATCTGAGGCCTCAAAGTCCCCCTTCCGAAGAGCATCCAGGGCAGAAAAGCCGATTTCATCTTTCACAATTGGATCAAGAGAAACTATGATATCACGGAAGACAGGTTCCTTGAGCAACTCTTTCCCCATATCTGCCCACTGTGAGCCATGGCCAGAAAAGACAAAGGTAACACCTCTGCGAGTACCTTTGCTTAAAGCCCGATTCTGTGCAATCCATTCTGTGGATACACCTTTCGCGAGTGATTTGAGCTGTGCAACTGCATCATGATGGTCATCTGCCACCAATGCGGCCCGGTGTTTGTGATGAGCCCGACGGGTCGCCAGAGTTGTTGCGATGCTGGCTAGGGCATATTTTTCGCCGTCATCATGGACCCAAGAAGACAGCTTCTCTGCCGTAGCACTCATACGCTTCTCTTGCGGCACAGATAGCAGAAGAATCTGAGGACTGTCTAGCTGTGTCGTCGGGCAGTTCGATGCTGGTGGTATATACTGCTCAACGATCAAATGAGAAACCGTTCCCCCGTACCCGTAGCTGCAAACCCCGGCGCGGCGTGGTGATTTTGAATTTGGCCAGGTCTGAGCATTTTGGGGGACGTTTAACCCAGCGCCACTCCAATTGATATTTGAGTTGAGCTGTTTCAATCCGGCCTGGGGTGGAATAATGCCCGTAGAAATTGACATCACTGCCCTAATCAAGCCGACCGCACCGGCACCAGCTTCTAGATGACCGACATTGGCCTTCACAGAGCCGATGTAGCAAGGGCTTTCTGACCTCTGTGGTCCTCCGTAAACTCGTGAAATTGCTGATATTTCGGTTACATCACCAAGCGCAGTAGAGGTGGCATGGGCCTCAACATAGTTGATCGTCATGGAATCAACTCCAGCATCATCGAGCGCTTTTCTAGCGACTAATTCTTGTGCATTTGCATTGGGAGCCATAATCCCATTGGTACGTCCATCCTGAGCAACCGCACTCCCTTTGATAATGGCATCAATATTATCACCGTCATTGATAGCTTCGTCAAGGTGCTTGAGAATGATGATTGCAGCACCTTCACCCCGACCATAGCCGTGGGCAGCATCATCAAAGGATTGACATATGCCTTCCTTCGAGGTAGCCCCAGATTTTGCCAGAACAGCGGTCATTTCAGGGCTGCACAATGCGTTCACGCCTCCCACTATAGCAAGCTTGCACTCTCCCTGGAGGATAGCCTGTTTCCCGAGGTGAACCGCAGCTAAAGACGATGCGCAGGCTGCATCAACTGCCATGCTTGGTCCCATCAAGTTGAGTTGATAAGAAAGACGATTTGGGACACCGCAATAAGCTGTGCCGATTCCCATCCAGGGCTCCACATTGGGAAGGTCACCAAGCAGCAAGCGAGAGTAATCATCAGAGTTCACCCCGATATAAACACCGGTGTCGGATCCCGAGAGAATATTTGGGGAGACCCCTGCTCTTTCTAGGGCTTCCCAGGAAACTTCAAGCACAAGCCTTTGTTGAGGGTCCATTTGCTCCGCTTCTTTGGGCGATACGCCAAAGAATGCCGGATCAAAATCCCCCAAATTATCCAAGAAGTATCCTTTCTTTGTAATCTCCTCCAAAACATTCGGGTTTCGCGGATCTCTTCTGGCCCACGGCTCCCATCGGTTGCTCGATATTTCGCCTGAGCCATCACGCGTCTCAAGGATCATCTGCCATAACTCGTTGGGGCTGTTGACTCCACCAGGAAGCCGACACGCCATTCCGATGACAGCAATGCCGTTCATTGTATTGAAGTCTGATGTGGAAAGATTTAAAAATTGATCATGTAAGTTCACTGCTCGAATTTGAACGTGGTTGAAATGAAAATATGTCAGATTCGAATATGCACAACCAAGCCGAGGATTCTTATATGCTATGTATGTTTCCTTCAAACACACCGTATAGATGTTCTAAGTTCCTTTCTTGGGAGGTTACACAAAGGCTTGAATACAATCATGGCCATGACCATGGTAATTCTGAACATTTCATGATCACATGTAACTCAAGGCATCGCTAAATCAAGAATTTTTCTCCCCAATATGCCACCTTGCGTCATCACCAAGCATCTCCAGCAGATACTAATAGCGCTAGGCAAAAATACGGGTTTCAGAAGATAAGTTGGTGTGGGATTATTGCCTCTCATTAGCGGTGGGTAACGTTATCTCTGACGTGGTCTCTTGAGAAATGAGGTGCTGGGGATATTGTGGCTGATCACCTTCGTAGTCGGATGTGATTATCTTTTGTGGCGCCAGACACACCAAATTTCTTTGGCTTGACCTAAATTTCTCAAAGATTATTTTGTTTTCCTTAGCTCAGAGGTGTTAGTGACTCGGGATGTGGCAGCCAGGAGAATTGAGGCTACAGAAGACTTTCTATAAGAAGCACGGCAGACAGGGATTAGTATTGTATAGGAAGGAGAGGGAAACAAGCAAGTGCTAGAGAGTCCCGGAGTGGGCTCATATAACACCATACTCCGAAGACCTGTATCTATAGTACTGGGTCGTGACCCATAATACCCCATAAGAATACAAACCTCATACAGCACACATTCTACAACATAGTCAAACCTCATCAGAAGCTACCGCACCATTTTATCAAACCACAAGAAAGTGTAAAGTGCGACTACATCACAGTGTTCAAATTCAGAAATGATATGGCAATTTTGATAATGCACAGCTACAAATCTCTACCTACCAAAATCCTTCCCGCATGCCATATGTAACCACCTATTCAACCTAGAGGACCGTGCCCTGCATGTTCTTGCGACCTTGTGACGAAAAGTCGCGCGCCTATACATTTCTATGCTAATCAGAAACTAGTCTAGAAGCTTAAATTTCACCAATACATCCCTGTAATTGTACATCATGCATGATAGCATATCAACGTTGAATTTAATATCTCTATGTGGTTACAATCAAGATTTCGGCATGTTGATATCATTTTACGTCATTCATTGACTACATTGCGTACCTAGGTATCAGATATCGCTATCTCAAGGCATATACAGAGAGCACAGCCAACTTAGACTTGTAAGACTATCAATTATTTACAATAAGTCACATTCATCATTTTATCATGGCGCAGAGATTTGTATCTTTTCCTTCCTGGGATCATGAAATAGACATCTCCGGGCTGCTCGATGGAGATGGAGGCAAACTACTTCATGAGTATGCGAATATAGAGCTCGAGGATATGGAACACCATGTCAAAATCATAGTGAGTCACCAATGATCCCTATATTCTCCCTTGAGGAAGCTGATTGAAATTCTTAGGCTAGGAAAGGCTGGGATATCTTGAGATATCCGTGTTTCCAGAAATTTTTGTTCCTTCATTTAGATCTTTCCCGCTCGCCTGTCTACAACAGGATCCTCAAGGAAATCCAGGCTGGCAACTTGTTTTTAGACCTGGGATGCGGTCTCGGTCAAGATATACGGCGCTTAGTGCAAGACGGTGCACCAGCAGAGCATCTCATCGGACTGGACCTCGAGCGCGACTATATAAATCTTGGCTTTGAGCTGTTCAATGATCAACAGAAACTTCGATCGGTGTTTCTGGCCCAGGATTTTGCTGAGGATACCCCGGAAATCAGCCGTCTGGCCAAAAGAATCAAAATAATCAATTCTGGGTATTTTATGCACCTTTGGAATTGGGAAAAACAGTTGAACGCCGCAAAACGCATGATACAATTGGTGTTGCCTGGTAGTGGATCAATTATTTGCGGTGTTCATTTTGGGAGTCAGTCTGCTGGAATGTGGAAGAATGTACCCCCAGGCTTTGAGGAAATGTTTCTCCATAACCGGGAATCTTTATCTAAACTATGGAATCAAGCTGAAAAGGAAACCAAGACGAGTTGGAAGTTCGAATGTGTCGAAGAGGATGATGAATACTGCAGGGACCTTGACCCGGAGGGCTGTCGGTTGAGATGGATTGCGGAGCAGGAGTGATGCTGAATGACGAAGAATTGGGTGTAGAAGATGGAGCTTAATTTATGCGTTTATCGCCACGATATTGATAATGAACTTGAAGTTTTTCGAACTAAATAATAGCAAAGATGGGAGTCACCTAAAAATCCTGGTTTCATTGTACTAGACATGTGGTCAGCTGCGCAAGGGATAACAGCTAGGCCATGATCAGCGTAGAATAACTAACGAGGAGAGCAAGCGTTTGACCCCACGACTTGGGCTTTGCGCAAAAATGTCAGCATAACTCGACCTTGTGCGTCCTAGGGATAATGGCCATGGTACAATCACAGCAAAATGAACACCGTTTTAATATTTCCAACTGCGGTAAGGTGAGGATGCCAAGAAATGAATTTTACCTAACCTTCAAGACTATTTTGGGCAGCCGATTATGACTCCGAAGGCTGATCCTTTGTTGTAATACGTTAATACGACTAATATGAATGCAGAAGGTGGGTGCATCTCCGGTCATAGAACTGCATCAGACAGTACAGAAAACAGGGAAGGGTGGTCCGGAGCCATTGAAAGTGGTGTTCAAAGTAAATCAGGCCATTTTCTTTAGTCAAATATTTATATGTTGATCATCACGCGTAATCTGCTACACCCCCACATATTTGTGCGTTTGACACCGTAATTCGATCACACGAACTTCGTGGCCTGTCAATTGAGCCCCACTCCAATCGTACATACAGTGGCCCCAGTCAGCTCACACTAGGCTACAGTCCTTACCAAGCTGTTGGGACAGTGTATAGTACATTCTTGTAGTGTCCCATCTGGGTCATTATCGGTGCGTGAGGAGACCAATGTAGACCTCGCCACGGTCCACGGGCCTTGGAAAAAACAGATAGTATAGATTCATCCAATCAGAGCTTTATCCACCCTCATTGGGACAAGTATGCATAAACAGGCCCCATCTAGGTTTGACATTTGGTTATGGGAGAGCGGCCCGTTCCCTACAGCTTCACCTTAAAGTCGTGCGCGATGACATGGCCAGAATTTGCCAACCACTAATCATCGCCACAAAAATTATCTGAGCATTAAGTTTTCGTCTGTAATTCCCGCCCGCCCGGGCCACCCAAAAACACCATACTAAATGCAATATTTCATAACTTTATATTTCAACGCTCAAGGCTAATTATATGGTCCTGGGGTATCTTGATGTTAAATATATTGGGTGTTTTTAGGCGCTCGAGAAACATTTTGGACATAACAATATAGATATATGTATTCACGTCATATCCCCACAATTTTCTGTCTCCTCCCAAACTGCCTCGGTCTGGCAAGCTTTCAGCATTCCTGTCTGGCTCTCCTCACCACGTCATTCAAGCCACCTCCAAGCCGCATCAGCTGCTTATGCATACGTCCAATATTAAGGCGGTACGATCGACCTGGGATTCGCGCTCCTATTTTCGGGCATCATTTCTTTCGCCGTCACACTGCCCCTAGTGGATCCTGCTTGTTTATTCTCTTCTTCCCCAGCGTCCCTGCTTGTGGCAACAAAGTCTATATTTCGAAACTGTTCTAGGAGCCCTATTTGGATCATGAAGTACGCGACAACTGGAGCTACTGCAACCTGTCAGAACAGGTTATCACAGCCGACGGCTATGGAGATGTCTCTCTTGGCCAGGTCCTTGCGTATCACTTGTGCGCTACTTATCTAGGAGTGGAAATTTAAGTCAATATATGTTTGGTGCTCGCCAAAGTTCTCGGATACATGCCATACGGCTCTCCCATATTCCCGCGATAGAGTTGGTGGGGGGCGCGCTGCGAGGCATCTTTCCTTCATACAGGCTTACTAGAAGGAGGCGGGGACGGCCATTACCCAAAGAAGTATTCAGACAAGCCGTCGCTTCCAGAGATTCTGGATGAGGTGGTCGTGAGACATTGCGCCCTGGACACATCGAGCATAAGTAGCGACACCACCGGCTTCCTCTTGCCCAATGCTATTTCGATGCAGTGGATCATCATTTGGATAGCATGATCCGTGGAAATGCTCTTTGGGCAGAATGCTTCAGTTCAATTATCAACAGTAGCGGTACTTTTATCCATGTTTTGGTTTCCTATGATGCACAAATCATAATAGGCTCCCTGATAGCTTCAACCACTTAGACCATAGACAAAATCATATTGCAAGAATTAAAGTTAGCAGGCAAAAAAACTATACTCTTTACGTAATACAGTGACAGTAGTGCCAACCGAGCTTTGCAAGTAGTTGGTCGCTTTCGAGTTACTAGTTAGGCCTGGCAGTTAAAGTGCAAGAATGGTACGAAACGCGTATGAACACAGTTCTGGCAGGCTAAAGGAACGATATGTTTGCCCCCCTCCCTACCAGATAACAACAAACTGGAATGGGCTGAACTATGGCGGATGATAGTGAGGTGGCAACTTTTTCAGCCCGTACCGAACATTTCCAATGGCATCTTGACACCCCTAAAACCATTCTTCGATATGGCCCGCTGATGTTTCGAAATGCCCCTATCAAGGCAGGTTACTGTCCATTTTGCTTAGGTAATAAAGGCTTGATGCAGATTTGCGAATGCGTCAATTCACTAACAAGTCGAGGTGGTACGATCACATTGATGAACATCTCGAAATGTAGTTCACAGTAAAAAATTTGTTGCTTGGATTTATCAAATAGTCCTAGCACGAGTCTGGGCCCGAGTCCGAGCAAGAATCCAGGCATGGGTCTGGGCACTGTCCGGGTAGAATCCAAATGCAAATCCAAGGTAACGAAGTCGTTTTTCGTCCCAGATGCAGAGACCAAGGTGGTCCGGAGTATAACCTGCCTCTCTTCTCATAAGATTCGCTGGTGGTCACCCGCTATACAACCCAGTTCTTATTTGGATTCGTAGAATGGCCCGTCGGTTGCACATCATAAAGTCTAATCTGTAAAATAACCACTTCCTTGTATTTGCTTCTTAGTTATAACATTCAAAAATTGATCGATCAAGCTAAAAAGTAAGGAAAGATCAAATCCAAAAAAACATACAACAGCTGGGATTCGCTGGTGGTCACCCACCCAACTACTAACCAGCCGGCGTGTGGCTTAAGTACGGCTGAGCGGACGGGAAGCCCTGTTTTCCACACCCTATGGTCGTATGTGATAGGAATAATTGTGCATTGACTTATAATCAAAGGTTTGGATGTTTCATCACATTATCCTGTTCACAGGAAGTTGTAGGTCGCTGCTCGGCGGTGGGACGTGTAGAAATGAAATCGCCAGTCTCTTGAGGACATTATTAGCTTAAAGCCCCTTCAGAACCTCCAGGCCGATTTCATAACAAATAATATGTGGTAAATACCGTAAAATCGTGTTGCATAATGCGCAATCAGGCTGAAGTCTGCAAGTAGGCTGCAGATTCGGTCGCAGCTGAATCTCACAGCAAGTCTTGGGGACATCGAATTTGTTACGTGGGATTCCTTCGCTGGGTTTACACTGTTTATCATGCTCAATTTATTCATTTTCTATGTAATTAAACAAAACCGTCCTCTATATCTATCCAAGATGGTAAATGAGGGTCTTCACTTATTTATTTTGAACAGTTTGGCGATCTTTTGTACTTCTAGCATGGAGGATATCTCTTGTAAAAGAGCATTTTTCTGAAGACGTTTCAATATGTCTGAGAGGGATGAAGAGTCACAGCTAGATGATAATGCAGGCTAGGATGATTATAGGGAATAAGCTAATGCTGAGACATGAATGAAAGACATAATTGTCTAAATGCATGCAAGCAACGAAAAATTTATATGAAAAACATTAACAAATTTGTCCAAAATACATAGAAATATAATGGTAGATTAAAACCTGGTAAGACGGTAAGAAATAGGGTAATTCTACTACCGATTGGAACATTCAATCAAGCTTACTGGCAGCACAGACTGCTCAATAAGTTCGACAGTTCATCATATTGGAGACTATGGAATAGTTGATGGAATGAAGAGAAAACAAGAATTAGAATCAATGCTTCTATTTATATATCAATCCGAACCATGCTAGTTAATGCAGGAAGAGACTTAGCAACTCAATCACCCGAGATCACCCTAGGGTGAGAAAAGGCTGTGAACGTACCACTTTCTCGCTCACTTCAACTCACCCTCAAGGCGCGTCTCACTCTTAAGCGGCATTTTGACAGAAGGCTCTTGTGTGAGTCATCCATAGGTATAATACTGGCTTATCTGCGGTCAATACCTGCCGAGTGAGGATCGGCTGAATGAGAGAGTCAACCCAGTCGCGCGACTACCACACTGGGTCTACGATAGAACATCATTCGGTTGCCTGCAAGCGACTGAGAAACTCGGTCTCTTGGCATCTGCACGCAGCCTCTCTAAGAGACTGGAGATCCCGGATATGCTTCACCCAGAACATTCATTTGTTTTCAAGAGCTACTTTAGAAAGTATATGAATCTTTGCTACTCTATATATAGATATTTTTTTCTTTAATTTTTATGGCAAATTGGTAGTATTAAATTAGTATATAACGGATTCCTAGGGAAAGTGATGAGCTTGACTGATCGGAAAACATTAACTTACTAGAATGGCGTAGCTGATGTAATCAAATAGCACATCTCAGCCTCGTCTTTCCTAGGCGGGGTAGGTGGCTGAATAAATGAATAAAAAAGTCATATATAGAACCTGTATATACCTCTATGCTGATTCAATATTAAATGAGCCCTAGAGGGACGTGACAATGGATGTTGCCACAATTACTTCCGTCGCGGCTCTAGTGATTGCGATCCTCGCCATGTTTGTTGCCATGCTCCAGGCCTTGCAGCAATACTATGTTACTGGTCAGCTTATCCGTCTGTGCGATTCTGTCGTGTTTGGGAAAATGCCTGGCCAGGGACGACGGGTCTGGGAAATGCGTCAGCTCAGATTCCGCGTTGTATACTCAATTCCTCAAGTAAGCCTGCACAAGGACCTGTGGCCCACGACATTGCCGCATATTCCATCGTATGCCAAGGGTCCTAGGACCTTACCAGATCTAGGATTGATGGAGATAAGACGTAGGGGACTGGACCCTGACCATGCAACAGACTCAGACTCTAAAATCCAACGCACATCATGGGTTTCTTATTCAGCCGGAGAGGCGTCGTGGGTATCATTCTGCCGGGTGGTTCAACTGTCAAGCGGACAATCAATTGTGCTCGACCTGATCCAAGGAGACGCAGACCGTTGTCCACCAGATCTTGCGAACGTGCCGATGCAATTGTCCATGCGAGATGTTGTAACTATGGCTCTTATGACGGGGATGAAATGCACGCAGGCGTCGTTCGAGGAGAAATCGCTTTCCATGCAAGGATTGATCGGTACGATCACTTCCTCTCAGCACCCATTACTGGGGGCTCTGCTTCATTTCAGTCCTCGGAATCTGTCTGCCAAGGAAATCCAGGACATACCAGTCGGGAACGATACTGTCGACCCCTCCTGGATGGCACGCATGTGGGATGAGGTCGTAGTCGCTGGAACTCGCTACACACGAGACGAGAGAAAGCAAATCGAGAGAGACGAGGCCATGTGGGCGCGAAGGTCGCGAGAGCGCGCAATCGTCCCAGTGAATCGCAACCGATCACCACCACCATCTTCAATATATGGGCTTAGACGTCGACCAAGCGTAGGTTTTACCTTATCGAGATCATCCAGCCGGCAGACTCATCAAGAGGACCCTCAGCTGCAAAATATCCTCAGAGCCTCATCTGACGAGGACTATCAGACACTTTGGACTCGTTCTGATGGTGATTGGCATTTAGACACCCCTCCACTAGAGAGCAGCCCACCGAAAGTATTCCTCGATATGGAGAACATGCGACCGGCCCCAGCTCTACGGATCAAAGGCGCGAAAGCAACCCGGTTCGCGTGGATAAAGGCTTGGGCAGCTGTATTCCATAATGGTAAAACCGATGCCCAGGAAAATAAAATTGATCCTTTCGGTGCTGAGATAGAGCGGGGTGAGATGAAGCCAAGGCCAATGGATAAATTGAAGTCCCACAAAGTAGAAGCTCGATCGACAACGCGAAATCTTGTCGCAGGTTCAGTGCGTAGGCGATCATTTAGACGAGACAAGGGAACGGACCTCCAGCCGAGGTGGTTGATTAAAGATTATGTCGAGGAAAAGAGAGCGGAGATCCAGGAGAAAGGCAACCAAGAAAATCATCGACTGGATAGCCAACTTATGATAGAATGGTATGATGAAGAAGATCAGGAGATCCCCGAACTTAGTGGAAACCAGGAAAACATTGCTAGAATTGTTTTAGAAACATGGGTTCGCTCACGATACGGGTCGGATCAACAGAGAGCTGCGTTCTATGCCCATAAATGGCAAGATGTCGTTCGTAAAAGACAGCTGGACCGCGAGAGTCAGTCTAGATCGCGGAATTCATCATTAAGGAGGCCTGTCAGCACTCGCACCAAGTCAGAATCTCGAATTCGACGTGGAAGTTCTGATTATATGGCCTCTAGCAGAAGTTTAGATAGCCAAGTCCGACATCCACGAACAGCGAGTCGTTCTTCAAAGCAATCATTCTCCAGTCTTAGGGTGGGTTCTCGAAAATCAAATCGCCGCCACACTATAGACCTGAAGCAGAACAACGGGAATTCTGGCGCCTACCATTCTCCGCCGGGACAACAGCCAATGGATCGTGCACGGAGTCGTTCAAGCTCTTTCGTTAGAGCGCGTCAGGTCAAAAAGCACATCGAGTATGGTGATACTCCGGTAGTACAGGATAGTGGAACCGATGAACAAGCAACCATGGGTACAGGAAGCAAAAGTCCAGGGTCTGAAAGCCAGAGCGAAAAGCGGGAGCATTCTCGAGTAGGATTCGGCGTTGCAACACGCGTTATCGACCTCCCATCTAGCAGCGAAGAGATTGCTAGTGAAGAGACGCGTAATGAAGATGAGAGTCCTTTGCAGAGTCCTTTGCCGGCGGAAAAGGCTAGTTCTGCTTCGGTAAAGGACTCACTGAGTCCAGATCCACAGAGTTCCAATCCTCCGCCAAAGGGTATTCTTAAATTGCCAAGAGAACATTTCCCCGAAGAGCCGAATCCCATTCGGGAAGGAGTTGCCCCGTTAAAAGATGCAAACCTCAAAGGAATTCCGCCTGGAGCTCGATGGACCAAAATTGACCGCAGACTGGTCAGTCCAGAGGCTTTAGATATGGGACATGAACGGTATGAGGAGAGACCTGATTTCGTTGTCGTACTTCGAGTTCTCACGAAGGAAGAGATACAAGCATATGCTGCTAAAACAATGGAGATCCGCGGTGCGTGTGGTCCCATAATTTCCACTGCATTGTAACAACAGCTGATTCGCTTCACTTGTGACAGAATCTCGAGAAACGGAACGTAGCCGTAATTCAAGGACGCCCAGAAGAACGACCGATTCTGACGAGACACGAGGTCGTCGCCGTAGACGAGAAGATAGCCCCTCTCTAGGAAGGATTGATATCTCCCCAACGCAGAATGATCGAAGAAACTCTGTCAGAGAGAGAACACCATTGAAATTTGAATCATCTAGTAATCCCCATGCCGAATTTCACGACAAACAACCTTCTGTGGACTCATATAACACCTCATCGAATCAATATAATAACTGGAGGAAGGGTAACAACGTCACGTCTTCCTATGGGGATTCTGAAAATGGATCAATGAAATCCTCGAGAAGTAGCTATTCCTTCCGCTTTGACGAAGGAAGTTCCGACTCCTCATTCACTGAATCAGACGTAGAGGAAATCGAAAGGTCGTACAGCAGTAAACCGCATACTGAAGAAATTCTCAGCTTATCAGATCGTGAAGAGGCATGGGATGATCGAGAAGACGAGACACCGAAGGAAGAAGGCGAGATGAGTTGGTTTTGGGCATGTCAGATCGATGTGATCCCTGGATATTTTGCGACTCCCTGGACGACCAAATTCTCCACAAATGTCTGCCTTGGAGCTATTGCAGTAATCATTGACTCACTAGGTATACTAACAAATTTTTCGCAACCGGTCTATCTCGACTCTGAGTGCCATCCACGCGGCCTAGCATGGATGCACCTCGGTCGGTCGACCTTCCCACCGTATGGTATCAGCGCCAACCACCACCATGGCACAGTGATTTCCGGTGCATACAGCACTTGTTCCTTCCCGAGATTTCGTGCTCCTCTATTCAAGATAGAGCTCCTGCGCGACTACGGCTTCCAAGTTGACCGTCGCCTGTCTTCAGATGCGGCGGACCTCCGCTCTCGTCTCACGGAACTTATGGCCCTTGATGCATGGCTCTCGTACTGCGGCCGCCAGCCAGAGATCTGCGGTCATGCCCAAGGCTATGATTCTAATGTCAAGGTTGCTGGCGCCGGCGATTTGCTCTACACAATGCCGACACTGGTGGAGCGGACCATGAATAACTTCACCTTTGAGTTTACAAATCTGAAACAGACTGCAATGGACGGCGGACAGCAGCCCATACGACAGATAGCTGAAAACCTCCTAGACACGCTTGGGTGGAAAGTTGAAGGCCTGGCACCAGCAGAAAAGTTATTTGCGCTAGTAGCGATGTTGCGAGCATCGAAAATGGCCCTGTGTATCGCTCAGGGAACTGACACGTCCGCTCTGAGAGATATTTTGCTAAACGATGTGCAGGTACATCTTGTTTAAAGTACATCCACGGTGGTTCAAAGAACACTTTGACTCGTTTCAGTTCACAACCGGACAGTTGAAGCGTTAGTATAGAAGATCGACTATAATCAGAATATACAGCCAATATTGGAAACCCGGAGCCAGTTTATTTCAGAACCAAATTTCGATCTAGGAACCAAGGAACAACCTAAAAGAAAATATGATTATGAATGTATTCATACGCCATTTTCTATTCGCGGAGGACTAGTATTGAGCGCTATATATAGGACAAAAGCAACTTATCATAAAACTGGTATATATTCATTATCATCTACAAGGTCTATTACCTTTACAATGACATGTCAAGCTATAAAAGAACAAAAATTAAGAAAAGAGTATGTACGGCACCGAAACGACGACCTATCTTATTTGCAACAACATTGACATGACCATAGAGAACATGTAGAGTTATCTAGCCATGGTATTATCAAGTTTTATGTCGACAACTAGTTGTTGGAACGGAAGCCCAAAATACACTCAAAACCCCAAGAGAGATGTATCTTCCGCCATTTGTATTATTTTTATACAGCTTAAGCTTTTGGGCCCTTCAATCTGCAAGCTCTTACCCGAGTTTCTTAACATTTACAAATCGCTAATAAAAGCCAGGATTTCCTTGAACAGTTCCAATAGTTATGCCAATGACAAGCAATGTATTCTATCTTCCTCTAAACAAAAATACTGTTAAGCCGCATGATGACCTACAAAGCTGGAATTAGAACACATTTCCAAATAAAGTATCAGCCGCACAAACCTTTTCAATATATCTCACTCCAACCTGGATTCCATCTTCGTCTTGAAACTCGCTTTCGTCGCCGAAATCAACGTTTCCCGGGTCTAGACAGGTCAAGCAGGTCACCACCACCTCGGAGTATCGAGTTCCCATTATGGTTCTTAGTTCTCCACGAGCCAAAGAAAGCAGACGGTCCTGATACAATGAGGAAGAGCGGTCTGATCTAAGACTAGGCGCTGGAGTGGTTCTCGTTGTGAGAACCTGGCCATCGCTCAACCCCAAGTCCTTCTCGCTATACAACACAAACGACTCCCATAAACCCAATTCGAGTAAGCAGACACCGAGGCTATAAATATCATGCTGCATGATGTAATCCTCCCTCGCGGTTGGCCCTATCCGCCCCGGATGTTGGTAGAGACATCGCTCCCACGCCAAGTCGCCTTTGCGTAATGTCTTTCCCTCTGCCGACCGGAAACTGTCAAATCCAATAAGAAACATGGAGCCAATGGAGGCATCTTCGCTGCGCAATAGCAGTACTGTCTCTGGTCGAATATTTTTATGCACAAATCCAAACGTATGAACGTAGCTGATGGCTCTTGCAAGCTCGTTGGCGAGTCGGAACCGATCTGAAAGAGAGTCCGGTGGCTTCGTATTCTGGAGCAGGCTGCGAAGGCTTCGGGGTTGGGAGAGTCTAGGAGGCATGCGGAATACAAACGTAAATGCGGACGGTCCTGTAGGATATGCATCTTGTTCAAAGTGCTTGATCACACCTTTGCAGTTCAGAAGGCCAAACTCGAGGGGGCTAGAGTGGGCCAGCTTCCTTGCTAAATCCCGAACGTCTTTCTCAAGCTGCCGGATGTCAGTTTCGGGAAAGCGATGGATTCGCTCCACGACCAATGCCTTTGAAATGTCTTCATCTCGCCGTCCAAACTTGGCAGTGCATAGTGGTATACTGTCTAGCTGGATAGAGTCCAGACCCGTTTCAGGAAGAAAGATGGGCGGTTGATGAGTCGATGTAGGAGCCAGTGCTGATCTCAGCGATCTGGCCGATACTATTGGAGCTTGACCGTCTGCCGGAATAGTTTGTTTATATATCTTCAGTTCAGTATCAATCTGGGGGGTGGCTGCTTTTATGATCAAGTACCACGACGGATCAAACATTTGCTGCCAAAGCTCCAGGTCTTGTATTGCGCTCTCGATCTTTTGTTGAAAGAGCGCATACTTCCATCGCTTGACCCGGACTGTAACCGACTCGTCATCGGAATCTTTGCTTTTGGTCACCGACTCAATACTCTGCACCGCGATTTTGAGTTTGCTTGCAAGCAAATCCAGTGTTTCCTGCTGTATTTTTCGATGCTCATCATCCAGTGTGTGCGCTATGCTTTTCACTATTTTTAATTGGACCTGGGCTCGTATCCAATAATTCTTCAGGCGAAGTACCAGCTCGATGATTTTACTCGTCGCATTTTTAAAGGCAGAGCACAATTCGACTAGCATCGAGCCATATCTGGATTGTTTTTAATAATTGGCACTTGAATCAGCGGCAGACTCACGACTTGACTTACTTGAAGCAAATATCCAGTGTTGAGATGATGGAGAAGGGGTCAACCATTGTAATAGTTCTTGTCAGCGCGTTCAAAATGGCTTCCGTTCGTCATTAAATAGATGAGGCTGAGGCTGAGAGGGCGGGGTAGAGGGCTGATTCCGGGTGCCATTCAACTAACCAGTCATTGGCTGATCAAGACGAAAGAGCGAAGCTATACATAAACTAGTCCTGTACAGCCGCGCAAACTAATTTAGCAAGAGGATTCGAATTGTCTTCAAGTTGCTGCCCCGCCCTGGAACCAAAGCTTTTCTTAAGACCATCCTATCCTACTGACCTCACGTCTATCATACATGTATCATACATTCTTTTGGATCGCGAATGACACCGTTCGCATGGCTCGAAGGAAATATTGAAGCCAAGAACCGAGGCCGAAGTACCCGGGAATGCGCACAGGGACGACTCCCCCATGGCCCGGCTCTCAGATTTAATTCGAGATTCGAAGCTCGAGACGCACTTTGAACCTCACAGCAGCGTCGAGACGGTCCATACCTACAATACGCCCGACCCAACATCGCGTCGACGCCTCGTGCGCAGATCCGAGCATTGGAAGCGGCAGAACAAGATTGGAGGGGGTAGCTATGGCAGTGTCTGGCTGGAGAAATGCACCAAGGGCTATCGCGACGTGCAAGTTCGGGCGATAAAGCAGCTTGAAAAACATGAACAATTTGCTCACATAGATTATACCCGAGAACTAGAAGCCATTGCCAAGTTCTCGCATGCAAAGGTTTATGTTTTCGCCAATTTTTATGACGGATGATTGGACTAATATGTAGCAAATAGTATGAGCGGTGTTTTGTCAAGTCGTTTGGATGGTATGAAAGCCCAGAGCATCTGTTTATCGCGATGGAATACCTGGACCTGGGCGATCTCCACACCTATCTGTATCGCAACCCAGCATTGTTGGAACACGACGCGAGGGAAGTGACCTATCAGATTCTGGATGGCCTTAACCTGATGCATGAGAACGAGTTTTGCCATCGAGATTTGAAACCAAGTGTTGGTTCCTTTTTCCCTTCTTTTTTGGTACATTCTTTAGGGACACGTCATCTAATGCTTCAATTCCAGAATATTTTGTTAAAGTCGTGTCCACCAGATGAGTGGTGGGTCAAGATAGCGGACTTTGGCATCAGCAAACGCACAGAAGAAGGTCTTGGTCTGTCCACCACTGTCAAAGGCACACTCGGATACATAGCACCCGAAGTCTACGGATTCACTGAGCGTGGTAGTCCCTATGCGGTAGACATCTGGGCTGTCGGGGAAATCGCATTCCAAATGCTGACAAAGAAGTCTAGCTTTAAACATATCGGAATTCTGTCGAGATATGTGAGCAAGCCAGAGATATTTCCCTCTCAACTTCTTCTAGATGTCCCGGTTACTCAGCTTGGCGTGGACTTTATTCTCTCATTAATGAATCCAAACCCGGGTGAGCGAGTCACGGCCGCAGAGGCGCTGCAAAACGAGTGGATGGAGCAATCTTTACCGAACGATGGGCAGGATTCGTCGGCAGCAGAGCCCGCACACGAAGCAAACTCTGTGCCCACAAACGAGCCGGTCATTGAGGGTATGGGGACCTGGAATACTGCCCATGAAGTAACATGGGATACTTCGACTATCAAGCCAGCCACAAAAATATCCGAAGTGCCAGTTCCTGATACCTCTACTATCAGGCGGAAAAGCTTACCAAAGACGACCACGCCAGCGGGGCTCGAAAGGTCTACAACACCCCTTGTCCAGAACTTCAACGATGATCTGGGGAGACTGCAACTTCAAAGTACTCCAGATCCAGCTTCGTCCAGAAGGTGCGTAATAATTACTTGGTAAATAAGGGAGAAGCTCACTCTTGTAGTGTTGAAAGCAGCCACTCAGATACTGTGAGCAAGTCATTTACATCTACGGAAGTTAATGAATCCATCACACCGACTCTATCGCCCACCAGTTCTGAAATAACAAAAGCACAGCCTTACACAATTGAAAGGAGCCATTCAGAGGCTACAGGCCATTCATCCACATCTATTGAAGAAGTGACATTTGATGATATCATCACACCGAGTCAATCGCCCTCCGGTTCTGAAACGACAAAATCCACACCACCACCGAAAAGATCTCTGTGGTCGCGGCTAAAGAGAAATATGAGAAGAGGGAAAGATGAAGAAGCCATAATAGGTGCGTGTGAAGTTTCCAGGTGGTCAATTTCTTCATGTTAACTTGGGTTTGTTTTCGAATAGAAAATGGCGTTTTCGGCGTTCCCCTTAGTGCCAGCATACGGCATGCTAATGTGGCTATTTCTCTGACGAACGACGACGGTGAATCCTTCATCTACGGCTATGTGCCGATCGTAGTCGCCAAGTGTGGTGTATTCCTTAAGGAAAAAGGTACGATATATGCTTCTCTACTACTGAAAAAAGATCACACCTAATATTGTATTGAACAACCAGGGACATCAGTAAAGGGTCTTTTTGAAACCGAAGTATCTACAACACGAGTCCAAGAACTCCAATTCAAGTTCGATAATCCAGTTACAAAGTACGGTAAAGGCCTTAACTGGACAGGCTATACTGTACATGAGGCCGCCTGGGTGCTCTTGACCTATTTGAAAAGGCTGCCCGAGTCGGTGATCATTTTGGAATTCTACGAAAGATTCCGCGACCCAATTCGGTCTTATCAGATGTTTCAAAGCCAGGGTATTCCTGAAACCTATACGACGACGATCGTCACTTATCAAAATCTCATTGCGGAGCTTCCTCCTATAAACAAACATTTGTTGCTATATCTCCTCGACGTTCTAGCCGTTTTTGCCTCCAACTCTGACGAGAATGGTCTGAACCCTTTAAAAATCTCTACAATTTTCCAGATGGCAATACTCTATCATCCTCAGCATCTCTTCATCGCGGCGGAAAATGATCTGTGCCGAGATGTATTGACCTTTCTCATTGAGAATCAAGATCACTTCCTGTTTGGAATCGAGAATCAGTCTCAAGTCCAATCCCAAGAGGAACCCGAAGTTCAGAACAACAGGTCTCGCGCAGCTTCTATATAATATCAACTGGTATCAATCTGTGCATAGGCTGTGACGGTTTTATACGACTCCTATTCGAAGCCTACGCGGGAGCCGCACCAGCATGCCGAATGCGGTAACCCCACACCCTAGAGCGAGCCCTATCCTATTGGGGGTGAATTGGGAAGAGCTCACTTGAGGCACACAGCACTATAAACCGTAGCTAGATCTGTAGATTGCTTCTAGTTCTTTTTTATCTTTTTAAGCTTGGTTTTCTCGGAGCAAGGTGCAATATTAATCGATCAGTGTTTGACGACCTTAATAAAGACCGCCCTCCACTTTTGCTAGCTGTTCAATGTTGATATTAACATATTTTCCAACTCAGAACAACTATCAATTGTGAGGGACGTCTTTTGCAGCAAATGAAGCATTAGAGTTCTGTCTTAAAAAGTTAATAGTTCACTTAGTCCTCATGAGTATCGCGCCTTGCGTGACTGATTCCCTAGGTAAAGCTGCTAAGCTAAAACTCCCCGTTAAAGAGTGAGGATTAAGAAAATAGTTGGAATTGTTCTCTAGGAAGCCTTTTCAAGTCATACTAGCTGATGGGGGATATTGCTTGTAGTGGACGGACGAGCACACTGACGGTGTATGAGTAGATCTTCAGTGTTATCCCAAGATGCCAAACTCTCAAGAAAGCCTGATCATGAAGCTTTCTTGGCTCCAGTATGAATGGGGTGGGCTTTGCCGCTTCTGGAAGCCATTCTTATGGGTGAATTGTGCAAAAAACACCTGGTACCCTTTTGAAAACTATACTCTCCAAGACAGGTAGAGATACATCTTCTAAAGTGTAAGCCCTACATATGTACCTGAGGCTATCCTATATGATAGATGAAAAATTATTAATTTCCTCATAAGAAGGGTATGATTTGCAAGTGTTAGCAACATAGGCTAGGCATAGAAACTGGAGTCGACCTAAGAGTACTCTTCTACATATTAAATCCTGCGCAGGGGTTCACTAGCGTTATAGCGGACTATAGCAGGGTTATCGACACAATTCAGTATTTTACATTCTTACATAGTGGCACAGCGAGTTTTAATATTTCCACATATTGAAAATTATTATATTGTGATTTTATAAGGCAGGGTTAAATATTGAAGTCCAGAAATTTCGATAACATGTTCCAAGACTCCGGATGAGCGTCGAGAGGGTGGTCGCCCTGGTGGTGACCGCTCAAAATAGGGGTCGTGTGCTGGGCAGCGCTGCCTTGTCCACTCTCGAACTCTTGTGTAATACGCCGTGGGGGACTATGGGGGGAGATTGTCGAACCGCGAGGTATTGGGGTAGGAGTAGGCAGGATCTTCTGGAGGGTAACTGTTGCCATGACTGCATCATGCCTGTCTGGACTGTCGTCATAGAGCTGGATTATATAGTTGTCCCTGAAATAGTCGAGGATAAAACCATGTATCTAGGATGAGTGTGAGAGATGGGCCATAGGAGAGAGGGGGGGATGAAGGGGCAACTCATAGCTCTTCTATGATAGCAGGAGACTCGAGTGAATGACCAAGCTGTTTGTTGACTACCATCTCTACGACAGAATATTCGCGAGGCTTTCTGTCACTATCAAAAACTGAAAGATGGTACTCCATCCAATTCAAACCGCTTCTTCTCAGACTTGGATATTTTGGTGATATCGTACGATGTGCCACCGATTGTCTTCCTACCACCTTTAGTGTGATGCTTTGCGTAGGTCTTGAACTGCACCAGTCAAGCATGATTAGTCTCATTCGAATAGATTTCTGAGTTGACGTACTGATTCCTTCCATCCTCTCACTGAATAATCACCATTATCCTTAATGTCATCATCATCGGAATCGGCGTCCACAAAGGACACAAGTCCCCAGGTACCATTCGAAAAATGGATTTTCTTCTTCTTTTTCTTTGGCTGGCCATCAGAAGTTGAGTCCTTCTCAGGCTCCGGCTCAAGAATCTGTTGGTTGCGCTCATGAAACTTATAAGGTCCCTTGATATCGATGCTATTTTCCATCGCAAGTTTCCCAACCTTCGATACCCACTTCGTCTCCCCGTAATGATCACCACTCATGTCGGTCCATGAGCGAGCAAACTCAACGAACATGGCCAAAACAATTGAAATGTTTCTGAGCCCACCGTTCTCAGGCTGATAGGAATTAAGTAGCCGGTGGTCCTTTAACACCTGGAGACTAGTCAAGAGAGCCTTGCCAACGAGGGCAATCGTTTCAGCGACTCCGCGGCAGTCATCGCCATCTAAGAAGATATTTCAGTACAGCGATGGGCGGAACCATTAGCATGACTTACGAAACCATATATCAATGTAGTCCAGCTGTAAAAACATGGAAATACCTTCCAGCTGGGCCCATACAGCATATGGGGATACCGTTCTCCTTGAAATGGTCTTATTGAAGTCTTTGAGCTGTGACATATTAGCAAATATTCTACAAACGTTCTGACCTATCTCCCTGCATTCAGCATACCCAATTGTCAACCACCTCGTTGATGCCGTAGGCGGTGAAATCGTTGTAAATGTACAACCCTTGTGCATCCTGATCACGATTGAAAGCCTGTTTCTTCAACAATTCATACGTGTGCAAGCCTTCCTCTGATACAGCCCAAGTCCATTGGGGAAAATCATTAGCCGGGGCTTTACAAACGCAGTCAGTGCCACACGTATGTTGCTCATCATGCGCCTCACTCTCTTTATCACGGTTCTCTGCTTCAACGTCCCAGTAAGGTCGACAGATTAAAATGAATCTTGGCTCAGTCGCAGTATTCAGCAATGGACGTTCAGTACTGAGAGTGGGACGTGTAAGCACTGACGAAGGTCCTAGATTCGAATGGTTGATTTCATTAGAAATATCGTCTTTGTTTCTTCCACTGGATGCATTCGTAATTGTGGTCTCCCTTGAATCTCTAGTAGCCTCCGCTTTGTTTTTAGAAGATTTTCGGGATGTCGACAATTGAACATCCAGATCAGCTTCGGCTAAAGAGCGCTTTGCTCTCGGCATATTGCTAGATTAATGGATGCTGTGAGCTGTGAGGGTGAACCAGTGGGCAGTGTATGCAGAGGGGTGGACGCGTCAAGCCTGTAATTGCTTTTTGGTTTCATAACGCGTCGCACGCGTCGTCGTCGCCTACTCCATCTTTCTCCGCTACAGTGGCTTTGGCATCTATAGTATATATAATATAATTTCCCGACAGCCAGCGTTCCGACCACTTTGCTTTTTTCTTGCGTTTTCCTGTTTAATATCGAAAGGTCGATAGAAGCTCTACCGTCAACGCGGCAGCTTCGCTTTGCACAAGACTGCCTCATTGTATTCGGTCTATTGAGGATGACAGAGGATCATTAGAGCGCGCAGCCGATATCTGCCAGTGTAGAGAGCGAACGGTTCGGGGTGTGGGGAGGCGTACCGTCCCCCCGAAGCACCCGTGGCGCCTCCAATTCCTCCATGGGGCGCCATCCCCATAAATCGGCCCTGTCAACCTTGGCCTCAGATAGGCTCTTTTATCAGGAATATTAATTTAAGTGAATCTTAATATGTCTAATGATACTTCCAAGTTTGCAAAGCTCGATTAAAGAGGTCAAGTAAGAAACGTAAAAAAATTGATGTCTAGAATTTCAACGACATATTCAGATACTTCTGATGGTCTTTTACGCATAGAAATCCCAAGGTATAGACTACAATTCACTGGCTTACAAGACAACAAGCACCAATAATATTAACTGATACTAACTGTAGTATGCAGTCTGTGGAAGCAGCAGCCTTTGTCATTCAGACTGCTGGTTCTGCGTAAATGGGAATGTATGCTCCCTCCTCATTTGCAGCATGTAACCATTCATTACTCTGTTTCTGAGAGCACTACAGGCAGACAGCGCAGGTGAATTATGCATTTTCCATTGGCTTCGGATGGTCAGGGTTCCTGCAACCCAAAGTCTTTATATAAAGGGGCCCTCGACCTGAATTGCAACAAGTATGGAATGGGTCCAAATCTCGCGGTCTCAAATTTTTCTGAGTACAAGCGGCGGAGCATTCTGGTATACTGACGCCAAATCTTGCCATTTACACGACCCAATAGGACGCACAAGAGTGAGCTCGACTCAGTATTCAATAAGGTCGTACATCAGTTTGATGTGCTTTGCTTATCTCCGCCAAAACAGACCACCGATCAGTCGGAAGTTATATGGCATAGGGGGTTTGAACCCATGTAGGTGTGCAGTGCAGCATTAAATCATTTTCGATCATCCCGAGGCATTTTCATACCCATCATCCCAAGCAGATTGCTACCTGGACCTGGCATGCCGCCCTGGCTTTGCAAGCTCTCCAAGAGGTTATTAGCAAGATTAACATTGATAGAGCGGTCATCGTCCAAATCGTCACCGATTTCCTGCTGCTGTTGCTTTCCTTTTCCTTTCACGGACTTGGGTTGTTTAGCTGCCCCTCGGGGGTCAATGTCTAGAATTCCTGTTGGTCTGAGCTCTGCCTCCATCTGTCGCGATATTTCTTCAATTTTGCTGTGCTCATCATCTGAAGATTCTATCTCTTCAACCTTGCCACTGGTACGTGCTGGCCGAGGCCGTGCTTGAGGGCCGCTGCCCGAAGGCATAGCCATCATTTCTTTCATCATATTTGAAAATTCCTCCTCGTTAAAGGGCAAGTCTTGGTCCTCATCATCGCTGCTAAGATCGTCATCTTCTCCATCATCATCATCATCTGTATCCGAGCCCAAAAGATCTACTCCTTCAAAATTAGCTGAGTCATCGTTGAGGAATTCTTCAAATCGGGCGACAATGCGTTGAAGATTCTCCTGAGCACTTCGGTCGCCAAATGCCCCTGGTTTCGAGCCTCCGCCGGCCCTCCCTTTCAATTCACTGTCAAGATCTTCATAGCTGATATCCATCCACTGTTCGTCATCCTGTTGATGACTCCATTCTTTTTTAATTTCTTCGTCTGTAGGGAGGGTTTCGTCACCAGTGTCGATATCCTCTAGCAAGAGTTTTATTTCTCGTACTATAGGTTTGTCTTGATTTTGCGGATCACTCAAGAGCATTTCAAACCCACACGATATTTTCATCCCGGTTTCTGCTTGGAAATATGTCTCACTATCGTGACTAGAAGGAATCTTATGCTTCCATGTTGCAGGAGCAGGAAAATCTTGGCTCTTTAGTTGAGCATATCCCACCCTAGTAAATTGAACACTGACAGTGACAAGATCATTAGGTGGGAATAATAGACTGTCAGGCCCTTTTGTTTTTAAAGACCGCAAAGCAATAGGGTCGCGAATATAGAAAGCTTCCACCACAGGTGAGATGTAGGCAGGCTTCTGGTGTAAAAGGTATGCAACCTTCCGTGGAACCGTCACAAGTGCTCGATGTAAATTCTCCTCTATCTGTTTGGGATATTTTCGTAGGCGATAAAATGCTTCCTCTTCTATACGAGTCGAGTGCATGAGCCGATCAGGATCCTCGAGAATAATCTTCAATGATTCCTCCAGTGAAATCTTTTCTATCACTTTCTTCTTCTCGTTTTTGGGGTTGATGATGATTAAGCGGCCACAGTTTATCCAAACCTAAGCAACGTGAGCACATTAAACCTCATAGAAAATGTAAGAAACATTACCCTGTTATCCGCTACTGCGGGTTCTAACCACGCTGGCAGACTTGCGGCTGCTTCAATGAGCAGAAATTCACCATCGCTGTCAACCACTCGAACCCACAAGTCTTTGTGTTTCCTCGTTAATTCTCGCAATATATAGACTACAACCCATTCGTCTTCAATCGAGTCACCGAAGCTCGTCCGTCCTTGAAGAAAAGTCCTATCTGGTGTCGGTGATCGAGAATCAGCACCTTGGGAGTTTTCGCAGACATCGAGAATTGACCTACCATTTTGCTTGGTAATCTGAAGGCCAAATCCTTCGCGTTGCCAAATGTAATCTTTCAGCAAATTTTTCCCAATCTCCGAAGCGCTTCTCTGGACTTCCTGAAGGCGAGTGCGCAAGAGGGCCGCTGCATCTGCGGACGCGGGGGTGGGGCTCGATGAAATCAAGTATAACGAGTATTCAATGGCATCGTCCGGGAGCTGGGGTCGAGGAATTGGCCGGAAGGTCGACTTGAACCACGCCAGATCTTCCTCGGACATTGGAGCCATTTTGGTAGCTTGATGAGGAGCTTCGCCACCGTTTCTCTCCAGCAGTGAGTGATATCATCGAGAAAATCGAACGGATAATTAGATATGCCGGACCGTGGCCGCAGAGATCAGCGGCTGTGCTAGTCCACATCAGGCTAAACATCAACATGACGGTACAGCACAACACGCGCGTATCGATTGATGTTTAAACGCTCTTGTATCAACACGCAAAACAATCTCACCGTCAGCATTTGGGCTCTCCAAGACTGCATCCTAGCGATGACTATACTAAGTGTATAGATTATCGGCATTGTGTTTTTCCGTTCTCATCCATATCCCCCCGGGGGATCACTTTGATTTGCGAGATGCCGCTGCCATACATTGACACGCCACGAACCGAAGTCGATGGAAACGCTACATATCTGACAAACGGCTTACGAAGCGCCTATCGTGGAAACTTGTCTGCTTTAGACTCGGTCGAAAATTCTTTTCAGACACCGTCAAAAGATGAAGACATTATCAAGACTCTGGAAGGCGAACGGCGCGTTTCTGACAAACCCAACTTGAATACACCTCGCGCATCCAGCTCGGCAGCTAGAACGACGCGCAATGTACTGTATGACCGACAAAACTTACCAACGGCGGCGGTACCGAAGGGCGAGTTCACACCGATGATGCGAAGCGTGACGCGAAATAACTACCTTCGAAATTTGTCGGCTGTGAAAGCAAGTGCTGCTCCCAAAACCCCGGCATACCTCAGACAAGGAAATCGAAGTAACGGAAACACACCTGGGCTCCCTCAAATCGATACTACCGACCTCTTTGACGAAGGTGCGACTAGCTCTCTAGCTGTTCATGATGTGACACCCTTACCCCAGGTCGCCAGTAGCAGCCCGCAGAGCACCCCTTTGCCATATTTATCGCGAAGCGGGAATGGGCTTCTGTCAGAGAATGATCAAAATATGTTGTCTTTGAAGGAGCAGGAAAATGTAAGACGCTTTTAAGACAACTCCCTTTAAAGAAAAGTGGTTGGACAAACACTAACAACCGAGTTTTGTTTTACAGGCAATTGATAGACTGGACAAAGAGAATTTTGGATTGAAACTGAAAATTTTCTATTTACGAGAGCAACTAGAGAAGGCCGGTCCAGCCTATAACCAGGCAGCGTTAAAGGAAAACACAGAATTGAAAGTGCTCAAAGTTACTCTGCAGAGAGAAATAGCTCGATACAGAAAAAACCTTGTTCATGCAGAACGTGATCTAGAAGCTTACCGACGGCAACTACAGGAGTTGCGCGAAAAAGCCAAAAGAAGACAGGCAGAGGAAAGTGTTCAACGTGAGATGGATTGGATGCGCGAAGAAATTGCAACTAGAGAGACACAAGTCGCCAGTCTTCGAGAGGAGTTGCAAAATGCTAAAGAAAACGAATCAGATGAACTTGGGAGGCTACGGGATGAGATCGAAGATCTTGAAGCGACTCTGCGCGAGAAAGATCGTATCATTGACGAGAAAGATGACGCAATCGATCATCTTAAAGAATCCAACTCCAAAGATGATGATGCTGTAGGTGATTTGGAGGCTGAGCTAGAGCGCGTGAAGCAAAATTTGGAGGAGCTCCAAGGGGATTTAGATCAAGCAAAGGCGAATGCGCAAGAAGCTAGTCAAAGCCAGAGAGTGGCTTTGCAGGAAAAGGAAAAGGCGGAAGAAAACCTCAAGGAGCTTCAAGAAGAAATGGCAAACAAGTCATTTTCTACAAAAGGTCTCAGCCGCCAGCTTGAAGAAAGAACTTCTGAACTTGAAGAAGAAATCCGAAACCTCCGTCAGGAACACCATGAACTGAAAGAGGACTATGCTGCCAAAGAGCGTCGGGAAGAGGTGTTAGAAGGACAACTGCAAGAAGTTCAGGAGGAGCATGTTACTGAGCTGGAAGCTCTCCGCGAAGAAAGTGACAACGCAGAGCGACAGAGTCAGCAATGGCGAACCGAACGAGACGAAGCCTTGAGTCGATTGCAGGTGGTACTTGATGACCTTGACCGCAAGGCTGAGGAGAAAGAACTTCTCCAAACCCGCCATAACACTCTGACAGAAGAATCAGCTAGTTTGCAGAGAGAATTAGCTAATGCACAATCTCTGATTCGCCGCCTCGAACAAGACATAGATGATGAAAAACAGCGCGGCCTTGATAATAACCACGATCTCCGAGCACAGCAAAAAGAGGAAGTGGAACGCTTGCAGGAAGAAATTGAGTCGTTACAACAGGAAATTGAAGACAAAGAAGGTCAATTCGCACTTGAACAAGATCGATGGGAGAGTGAACGACGAACTCTCCAGTGGCAGAAGGAAAGATCCGAAAAAGAAGCTACGGGGTATAAACAGACGGTTGAGAAGCTCCAGGATATTGATGTGACTGCGTCTGGTCGTGAGGCAAAACTTCAGGAAGTTATCGATAGTGAAAAAGACCGACATTTGCAGGAAGAAGCTGTCCTTAGCCGCCAAGTCAAAGAGTTAAATGAAGATGCCGCATCAAAGAGGCAGACAATCAACGATCTGCGAAATGAGTTATTGAAGACTCGTGAAGACCTTCGAGTGAGCCGGCGTGAAGAAGAAGCCTTGAAGGAGAAAATCAAAGCCCTTGAGGACGAGGTCGCGATCGTACAAGCAAGCTTGCGAGAAGAGAAAGAGTATTCAAAAGGGCGAGCTCTTACAAATGCATCTGACCAAGGAGGCCAACTGCAGAAGGTTCTCTCCGAGCGGCAAACACTTAGGGATCAGCTTGCCAATGCGAACGTTGAATTACACAGCCTTCGTGTTTCAACGAAGGAGCTCGAGGCTGAGCGCGATATACTGCAGAAGGAAATCGATCGTATTGGTAGCAAGGCTAGCGGAAGCCTTCCATTTGATCAGGAGAAGATTGATCTTCGAAAAGCCAAGCTTCGACTCGAAAATGAGCTCCAACGACTAGGCTATGAGAAGACTACCCTGCAAGATGCACGGAACTCTCTTGAAACCGAATTAAATGCCGAGCTCGAACGTTCTACGGCAGAAGAAAGACGGCTTTCAAATGAAATACACCAGTTACAGGACAAATTGCATATGATATCTGGTTCCCGAGACCGAGAGTTGGCTCAAGCAAAGAGCAAGGTGCAGAGTTTAGAGAGAAGGATATTGGATCTGGAAAACATGCTGGAGAAACAGGAACCAATCCATGTGGATGTTTCAACAGTTGGTGTGGACATCTCCGTACTTCGCCAAAATCTTGAGGAGGCACGGAAAAAAGAGAAGACACTAACCGAACGTGAAACGCATCATCGAAAGACCACTCGAGAGCTAAAAAAGAGAATTTCGGAACTAGAACAAGAACTTCATGAGGCTCAATTGAAGAAATTGGATGTTCGATCTCCTGAGAAGTCACCATCTGGTAAACTTCAAGAGGAACTCCGATCATTGCGCAAGAAGCTGACAGACGCACACAAAAATGTCAACGAACTCCAGCTGAGGAATCGGGAATTAGAGCGCGGAGTGATTGGAGAGGAAGACCGAAAAGATCTTCATGAATTGCTGAAGTCATCAACACTCGAAGCAGAGTCGCTCGCATTGAAACTTTCTGAGCGAGATGCCCGAGTCAGCGAACTCAAAGCATCTCTTCGACGAATCCGCGAAGAACGCGCTTCTGCTTTCAAGGAGGTGGATAGAGCCAACCATGAGTGCCAAGCTCTCCAAGACCGCTACGATCAGCTTGTCGAGGACCAGGCTGGTAGGGCTGATAATAAGGGTCGGCATGAGAAGGAACTTCGCGGCCTCGGAAAAGAAATCATCTGGCTCAAAGCAAGATTGAAGCGAGAAGAGAAATTCCGTAAGGATCTCGCATGGAGTAAGGGCTTGATGGAGCTTGGAGAGCGGATTCGCGTTGCTTGGTATGTCATCTTTCCCTATCACAACTAACAAAATCTTATGCTGATCAACTACTAGCAACGAGGCTGATCTCCGTATGATCGCACAAATGGGGATTAAGGCGCCTGAGTCGAGTAAGCTACACGATGCTCGCCGTAAGCTTCGAACCGCAGGTCTTATGGTCGTGGCAACCATCAGAATGCAACGCATGACTCAGGAATGGCGTTGGGCACGGAAAGTCGGCGAAGGACTTCACCGCGCCAAGAACGAACTGATACGAAAAAGAGATAATCAAAAATCTGCTAAACGGAAGTGATAGTCTGAATTAGACAAGTTCTTATGCGTTGGTGTTTGGGTGCAGGTTTCTGTTGGTTCTTTTTTTGTGCTGTTGCGTCATGATTCCCAAGGCCCGTTTTTGCTCCTCTTCTCTTTACTTTTTTTCTTTGGCCAGGATGCATTTTTTGGTTGTGTTTTCACTGTCAATGATGATATCAATGAAGGGGCATGATGAATTGTATATAGCTTTCAAGTGGGCGTGAATGTTCATTTTTATCGGTATGGCGTTTAGAAACATGTTGCATTTCTACATGAATCGGAAACCTTTGAGAGTTTGGAAATAATGCCTTTGTAGTTTCACGTTAAAACATCGAGTTTGGGTGTATACAATTTCGGCTGTATCTATTAACTTCATTTTATTTGATAAAATTTCAAGGGTTTGACACTTGACCTTCTGTGGCAGAAACATTCCAATGTCAAGAGGTTATCAATGAGATATATGTATGTATTCATCAAGGATCATTTGTATTTGCAATGATTATAGGGACAATCGAAATCGTCTCAGAGAAGGCATAGATCATGGAAAACAGTAACAAGTGAAATCAGATATGGAACGCCTCGCCAAAAACACCTAACTAAATATAGCGTGAATCATTTTCTGACTTATTGCTAGACACGACAGGGATCAAAATTGAACTCATGGCTATCCGCATCTAATGATTTAGGTTCATTCAATCAATAAACAAAATCTGGCTGCTGCACCTCCATGTTTTTTCATCCAAAAAAAAATGAACTGTAGGTAGTATAACGATGATGATAGATAGAGAATTGTATGTGTATTAATGGTGGTTATGACCCCTCGCTACCAAACTGCTCTGTCCATTCAGCATTCTTCTCAAGGTCGTCTCTACTCACTGTCGGTCGAGAGTTCTGAATGGCTTTGATGAAATCCTTCAGGACCAGAGGTGGCTCGAGGAGCTTCTCAGACTCAATTTCCATCCATGACATTTCTATTGCGCCATTATCGCCCGGTGAGCAGGGGGTGAGCTTTTCAACATCATCAACCACAACCTAAAGCAGGTCAGTAATGCATAAAAGATAGTAGTAACAGCATGTTCATACCTTTTTATAATGTGTAGCTGTTTGGATTTTTCGAATTGGTTGCATCAAAGCATCCTGGACAGCTATGCTAATATCACTGCCCGAATACTCTGCGCTGATCTCTGCCAAGTGCTTGTAGTCGGCTTGTGTCAGGTTACAAGGCGTAGATCCCACTGCCAACATAAACATTTTTTTCCGTGCATTTATATCAGGTAAACTGATGTGAATCCTGCGTTGGAATCGTCTTCGGATGGCGGCATCTAATTGCCACGGGATGTTTGTTGCTCCTAGAATCAATACTCCTTTGGAGTCTTTGCCAACTCCGTCCATTTGAACCAAAAGCTCAGTCTTTATTCTCCGAGACGCTTCTGATTCGCCTTCTCCACGTGGTCCACATAAGGCATCGACTTCATCGATGAAGATAATTGCGGGCTTGTTTTCTCGGGCCATGTTGAATAATTGCTTGACAAGTCTGCAGCACCTTGCGTCAGCCTAGCCTTGGTCGAATACTCATCTTGTACTAACCTCTCACTTTCTCCCATCCATTTGGAAACCAAGTCGCTACTGCTAACGCTGAAGAATGTGCTATTTGCTTCCGTAGCAACTGCTTTGGCAAGGTACGACTTTCCTGTTCCTGGAGGACCATACAACAATATACCTTTCCACGGCTGTCGCTTACCGGTGAATAAATGAGGAAACTTGATTGGCAATATAACGGCTTCTTTCAGGGCATCTTTGGCGTTTTCTAAACCAGCGACATCCTCCCATTTAACATTAGGCTTCTCAGATAAGATCGCCCCTTGTAAAGCACCTCGTAGCTTCTTGGCCTCTGCGTCTTCACTTTCGTCGTCGTCCTTTCCACTAAATATGTCATATATCCTTGTCAGTATCCTGATCTCTTCGTCCGCGTCAAAACTGAGGAAACAAACCTTTTTCCGCTCCCATTTGCCACTTTCCCATTCGCGCCAACAGCGCTGGGTTTCTTTTTGTCGCTATTCGCTAAATGGTTCTTCAACTTCTCTGCGCGGTCCATGTATTCCGCTGCCTTCGACCTGATCATCTCCTTGGACTTGGGATTCTTCTCCCACTTGAGTGCGAGCATGAACAACTCCAGTGCGGAGTAGTACGTCTGATAAGCCTTCTCATATTCGCCGGCATTATCATGTTCGATGGCCTTTTTGACCGTGTCGATGGCTCGGCTTAGGAAATCCGTATTGCTCATCTTGAGCCTCTTTGCGGGAGAGGAGAGAGTGCCAGAAACGCTTTTGCAAAGGCAGCGCGAGTCGGGGAGAGGCACGTCGAGTGTGGGGTTGCCAACTCGGTATGATAACCGCCTGGTCGGTGGTGCAATTGGAAATTGGTTATATATCTGGCGGGGTTCGGAGGAGGTCTGCAATAGGGACGGTGATATCTTCAGAAGGTTCGTTTATTCCCAGCACGTATGGCCAAGAAAGGTGGTGGAGGAGGAGGAGCGTTGTTTATGTTTATCGATGCCTGCCAGCAGACTGCAGCAAGGCGGGAGGGAACTGCCCCGCTAGCGCCAAATGTACAAGACGTCAGCGAGCAAATCCCCCATCCCACCATTCACTCCCCCCCAGGCCAGCGCAGACCCAATGGAGGCGGCCCAGCAAAAGCTCCAGACTCTGTCGGAGGACTACCAGAAGCTTCAGACAGGTAGGTGCGACTCCGTGGTTGCTCGTTTTGCCGGTCATCTAAACCGCTTGTCCTGCAGAACTAGAAAGCATTGTTGAGGCGCGACAGAAGCTCGAATCACAGCACCAAGAAAACAAGAGCGTACAGCAGGTGCGTTTGGCAGAAACCCATTCATATACGCATTGTTTTCACACTTTATTAAATCCATCTAATTCTTGTCTCGCGGCTTAGGAATTTGCCTCCCTCGACGACGATGCGAACATTTACAAGCTTGTCGGTCCAGTTCTGCTGAAGCAGGAAAAATCAGAAGCTACCATGGCTGTCGATGGTCGCATAGAGTTTATTGAAAAGGAGATGTCAGTATTATAATACTACATATGGGCATACCGACGATATTACGGAGTTGACGATTGAAACAGTAAACGAATAGAAACGCAGATCCAAGATATCAACAATAAAAGCGACAAGAGAAGGACAGAGGTAAGCTTTATTCGTGGTTTTTCTTTGTGCTTTGCTAATAAATTATCTTCAGATCGTTCAATTACAATCACAAATGCAACAGCAAACGGCGGCTGCTTCAGCCAGCGCTTAGGCGTCGTACTCGATCGTGGGAAATGGTGTTATATTGCACAAAACATATATAACGAATGAAAAAATAACATTCTCTTGCTTGCGACTAACGCTCTATTCTCTGTATATGTAGAAGACATCAAAATATAGTGGTTATCTATGACTTGATAAGGAGACTGCGGCTGCTCATCTCTTCTGGCTGCTCAATACCCATGGCCTCCAGGATAGTCGGGGCAACATCTCCCAATACACCGTCCTCTTTCTTCAAGCTCCAACCCTCAGGAGCATTGGCCATGACAAACGGAACTTTGTTGGTAGTATGTGAAGTCTTGGGTTTGCCCTTCTCGTTGAGCATTTCTTCCGCGTTTCTAAATCTCCTAGTCAGTACATTCAATCATTTATGATTCTGCAACATCACACTTACCCATGGTCAGATGTGACAAAGAGGATGTATCCATCCTTCTTGCAAGCCTCAAAGATACGGCCAATAGCCTTGTCGGTTTCGGCAACACCTACGATGGCCGCCTCATAAACACCGGTGTGACCGACCATATCTGGGGGGGCAAAATTGTTCATGACGAAATCAAATTTGCCCTCGCCAATGCGCTCAGCAACCTTCTCTCCAACGGCAGCAGCGCTCATTTTAGGCTCGAGATCATAGGTGGCAACTCTGGGGGAAGGGATCATATCCCGCTCTTCTCCAGGGAATTGCTTTTCGACACCACCGTTAAAGAAGAAGGTAACGTGGGCGTACTTTTCAGTCTCTGCGATGTGGCTTTGCTTCACTCCCTGCTTTCCAAGCCATTCAGCCAAGACGTTGCCCATATGTTGTGGGGGGAAAGCAACGGGGAAGGTATAGTCAGTTTTGTACTGGGTCATGGTAGTGATGTGGATGTCCTTGGGATATGGAAAGTCTGGTTTTGGGGAGCGGTCGAAGTCACCTAGCAACTGGGTGATTTCACGGACACGGTCAGAACGGTAGTTGAAAAAAAAGAGAGTATCTCCGTCTGTGCTCCGGATGATTAGCTTTTGTTTTCACAGTATCGTCTGATATCTCACCTTGCACTCGGTTTTCTTTGCCGCCGAAAATGATGGGCTTCAAGAATTCGTCCGTCTCGCCCTTATCATACCGTTCGTTGATAGTCTTGACTGCGTCACTGCTTTCCTCGCCCTCGCCAACAACCACACCTTTCAAAGCCACCTCAACTCGATCCCAGCGCTTGTCGCGGTCCATGGCGTAGTAACGACCAACAACAGTGCCAAGCTCGCCCACTCCAAGTTCTTTGGTCTTATCCAATAGCTCCTGCATGTATGTTGCGCTGCTCTTGGGATCGGTATCTCGGCCATCGCCGAAGAAGTGAATGATCACCTTGGGTACTCCGATCTCCTTAGCGACCCGGAGGAGCCCATACAAGTGTTTGTTCTGCGAGTGGACACCGCCGTCGGAAATGAGACCGAGGAAATGCAAGCGCCCATTACCATCTTTAGCGCGCTGGAAGGACCTTTTAACGTTCTCGATCTGGTTCAACTTGCCAGTCTTGAGGGTTTGGTCGATGCGAACACTGTCTTGCCAGACAACGCGGCCAGCACCAATGTTTAAGTGGCCGACCTCGCTGTTTCCCATCAGACCTTCTGGCAGACCAACAGCGAGAGAAGAAGCGTCAAGCTCTGTGTATCCTTGCGCGACCTTGGCGCTGGGGTCGGCAAAGGACGACATCACCGGCGTCTCTGCGGCGGCGATCGCATCTCCCTCTGGAGGAGAACTGGGACCAGGGATACCCCAACCGTCAATGACGACTTGAGAAAGGAAATCAATTAGCTACATGTCGTAGATTTTGGATATGGGAAGAATATAAGCAAGCGTACTCAATGCGACTTTGTGGTCAACCTTGGCCATGGCGGATCTCTTCGGACAAGAAGTATATAATGTCAGAGGAATAGTGGTCTATCAATTGACCTTTAGCACTGTTTCTAATGTCGTTCCTCGAAACAGTCTAGAAGATATCGATTGAAGTAAGCAACAAAAGATAGCAGATATATTGAAGTCAAAGAAAAGAAAAAAAGCAGCGATTGGAGGGGCGATCGAGGGGCATTCAGACCGGAGCCCGTTTTGGCACGACCCGCGCTGCCAGGTGAAAAACGACCGACGTCAGAGCTGGCCGAGCTCTTTTCCGTTCTGTCCTCGCTCGCCCGGTCGTTTGTTGCGCAACGCATGTGCTGATCTTACCGAGCTGCCGATATCATCGATATCATTAGAGATCTATTAATACATATACTTGCCTTATATTTAGCCCCTCTTCCATCTATTTCACCAGGCGCCTGGGCCGTTACCAGCGCGTGTCAACTCCTGGACAAGCGCAGGTCGCTTCTCAGAGCATGCTTTGAAAAGCAGAAAACTTCTGTCAACACCCATCGCTCTGATCATTGACTACATTATCTAAATTTCATTCTGCGCTGTTTAGCTCTTTTGAACACACCCCTATCAACATCATCCCATGGCGTCCAAGTCTCCGGTTTCTGCCGCATCGCAGCAGAAAGCCTCCTCTAATACACCCGATGCAGCTCCGAGCACGAACCCGACATCTCCGCATTCACTCGCGTTCCCGAGCCCCCAAACCTTTGATTTCCTCCCTCCATTACACGCCTTGCTATTGCGACTGCTATCGTCTACCTCGACATCAACAGCCAACAACCAGCCGGCCACAGGCGGCGGCGATGCTTCGACTGGAACCGTAACCGTCGCAGGCGGCGGAGATCAGGGTCAAACTCAACAGCAACAGCAGAAGGTGGTCGAGCAGCAAGCAAATGGTGGCTCGTCTAGTCAGACTATAAGTCATCCAGCAGCGGGCGATTCAGGCTTGCTCGGCACCAGTACAGCAGTGCTTCCTCCTCTCGAGGCTAAGAACCTCCCGACAGCCGCCAGTGCGATAAAAATTCGTATCCAGAAAGCTCGCGCGGTCGTTGAGAATATGCCTGACGTGGAGCGATCGGTCGATGAGCAGGCGCAGGAGATAGATGAGCTACAGAAACGGATTGAGAAGTTGAAATCGGTCATCGCGGACTTTGGCCGTAGGGCGAGTAGTAAAGAGAATGATGAGATGGATACGAGGGTATAACGGGGTCAACTTTGGATGATGTTTAGACCAAATAGTACTGGAAATACGCAGTACTCCAGAACTAGTGACACGCAAAGGTCCTAGTTGACTCTCGCTTCTCGAAACAGATCATTACGAAGATACTCAGAGGACAATGCAGCCAAACGGCGCATGCACATTCGAGGTTAAAAACGAGCGAGATCTATTGGAAAATTTTGCATTAAGTGATACCATTGTGACTAGCACATGAATAAGGTAATCCACAACCCAGACCGTGAACACCATGAAGAACAAAACCGTTGCGCCGGATGCCTTAAACGTTGAAGTTTATCACCCTGTTGAAGCGGGCCATCCCGGGGCAAACACTTGTACATAAAACAAATGAAATAGAACAATGCATATAAGGTTGAAAATAAAACACATATCTGAATGCCAACCCAAGCTCCCTTCCAAGTCGACGTAAATACGATATGTAATGCCACCTTTCATCATATATAACATAGCAAAACAGAAATCATCAGGTTGAACTTTTTTCTTTCATGAGACACGTCAAAAAACTTGCAAAGGCACATACGCAGTCATCATAAATCGTTTAAACTGGGAGAGGGAAGGTGATGGCCCAAGCAGAAATCTCCTTGCGCAGGTTGAGGATCTCAGGTATGGTTTCAGAGGCAACCTTGGCCTTGAAGTCCTTGAGCTTGTTGGCCTCCTTGGGCAGTTGGCTCTGGATGCTCTTGGCAAGCTTGACAGCCTGGTCGATGTAACCCACTACACGCTTGAAGTCTTCCTCTCCAAGGCCTCGGGTGGTCATAGCAGGTGTTCCAACACGGATACCTCCAGGGCTCAGAGCCGACTTGTCGCCAGGAACGGCATTCTTATTGCAGGCAATGTTGATTTGCTCCAAGACGGCCTCGACACGAGCACCATCAAGAGCCTGAGGACGCAGATCGACCAAGACCATGTGGCTGTCAGTACCACCAGAAACCAGCTTGTAGTCGAGCTCCTTGAACGCAACTTCGGCAGCCTTGGCGTTCTTGATCACCTGTTCCTGGTATTGACGGAACTCGGGAGTGGCAGCTTGCTTAAGGGCGACTGCAAGGGCAGTGATGGTGTGGTTGTGAGGACCACCCTGGTGGCCAGGGAAGACAGAGAAGTTGATAGGACCCTCGAGATCATACAAGATGTCCTTTCCAGTCTTAGCGTCGGTGCTGCGCACACCCTTGCGGAAAAAGATCATAGCACCACGAGGACCACGTAGAGACTTGTGAGTAGTGGTAGTAACGACATCAGCGTACTCAAAAGGAGAAGGAATGACGCCAGCAGCGATCAAACCGGAAATGTGAGCCATATCGACAACCAAGTAGGCGCCAACAGAGTCAGCAATCTTGCGCATACGAGCATAGTCGATCAAGCGGCAGTACGCGGAGGTACCAGCGACAAGGATCTTAGGACGGTAGAGTTGAGCATTAGCCTCGAGGGTGTCGTAGTCAATGATGCCGGTCTCTGCGTTGACACGGTAGGGGAAAGTTTCAAAATAGGTAGAAACAGCGGATATTCTAAAATATCAAGTCAGATTAAACATTAAACATCATAAATTGACCTCAAACATACTTGCGCTGGGGAGTCTGATAACCGTGACTCAAGTGACCTCCGTGGGGCAGATCGAGACCCATGAGACGATCATGAGGCTTCATGAGAGCCTGGTAGACCTGCAAGTTGGCAGGGCTTCCGGAAAGCGATTGAACGTTAACGCCCCACTTAGCAGGGTCGAGGTTGAAGGCCTTCAATGCGCGAGCCTGGGTAGTCAACTCGATGGCATCGATATGCTGGTTACCACCGTAATAACGAGCACCGGGGTAGCCTTCTGAGTACTTGTTGGACATGGGGGTACCCAAGGCATCGTAAACAGCGCGGGAAGTGACATTCTCAGAAGCAATGAGAAGGATGGATTCTTTCTGTCGTTGAATTTCTTTTTCCTGTACAAGATGAAGTTATTAGAACAGCACACGACTTCATGGCTTTGCTCCGACTCGAGTATTGTGTTCTCCTGCACTTCTATTCCCCTTGAAAAAAACAGAAATAGTGGTATGCACTTACAATGATCTCAGCAACTTCAGGATCCAAATCCTTGAGGTGCTGTTCCATCAACTATTCAGAAAAAAAGTTAGTGGCGAATGATCCCCGCACACAGCATCGATGACGAAATTACCTCCTTGTGGGAGTTGGACAAAGCGTAGGTAGCCATTGGGAGGGATAGAGGGGTTATAGGAGTGGTAAATGATGGATAGAGTGAAAGGACCAATTCAGAACGCAGGAGTTGCTAGGTATAAATAGAGGAGGTGGGAGAGTCAAGAGAAATCTGGACAGAGACCGGAAGGCGCTTGGGAAAATCTATTTCGTCCCGCGGGCGCGGGCAAGCTCATCTCTGGTTGGTACAGTGTAAATTCAGTGTATGTACGGGATGGAAAATTATTATCTCTCGTATATACTATAACAATGAGACGTATTAATTTTGAAATACGTATTACGTGTATTAAATACCATCTGGCCTTACAGGGACCTTCGGAGTCCGAGCCAGCTTGCTCTGCGAAGTTATGACACTATTTTGCTTTCCTTCTACGCTCTCAAGGGTTAATGTAGATAATTAAAGACACCAGAGCTCTATACTGGAACACTGACGGTATTTAAGCATTGACCTGCACTATCTCACTCTCTATCACTCGTCTGCAGAGTTGGCCTGGCTGCTGCACTCAAAAATTTTAAAGAGTCACAGACCCGCTGGCCGATAAAACCCCGCAGGCCCAAGCCAAACTCGCATCGGGAATAGCGCGGGCAAGCTTTGCGTGATGGGCGGTCTCCAGCCGACGACATCGGAGCTATGCTTAATGCTATAACGAAATAATTTAAATCGAGGTAAGGAGTAGAATGTAATCGTGTATTTGCATCGCAGCGTAAATAAAATGGTATCTAGTCTGGGCCGTGTCCAAGTTCGTCAGGACTATTATAAGCAATACATAACATGAAAAGCGTCACAGGATCAATATATATGGCATTGCAACTTCATAACAGCATGGAACATGACAAGTCCAAGAAGTATTAGATAAGAGTATAAGCAATCGGGTGGCCTTCAGCCACCCCAGTTACAGCAACACAGGGCATAAATTATCGTAGCGTCGTTCGTTCTTCACATGAGTAGAGCAGCAAAAGCGAGCCAAAGCAAATTAGGCTGTCCGCGACTCGTTTTTCTGATACAGACCATGCTCTTTCTTTGGCGGGTCAAAATCGGTGTCGTCATCAACAAAAGTCCAGGCTTCGTCGATCTCTTCGAATTCTGTGTCCATCATTTGTTGCTCATCCGATCCGTTGGTCGGGTCTGCAGTGGACGACAGAGTGGCACGTTGGCGAGTGAGAGTGGTGGCGTATTCAAGATCGCGATATATTGCCTGAATGGCATTCGAAACGCCATCCTCCTGAAGAAATAAAAGAGTTAGTGATGAAAACCATCTAAAGAGAAGCACGAATTTACCTTTCGAATCTGCTCGCCAAGGCGCTTGGCCTTGACAATCATCCGTTCGCTGTGCGTTGCTTCCCAGAGAGCTCTAGAGAATACGCTGACATTGAGCTTTTTCATACAGATGCCTACACCAAGATCCTCGATGCGAGACCCGAAGAAGAATTGGTCTCCGAAAAAGGGCTTGACGATGGTTGGAACACCAGCACGAAGACTTGCCCCAGTAGTACCAGCACCCCCATGGTGAACGGCAGCATCAATTTGAGTAAACAGCCAGTCATGTGGAGCTGATTGTATCTGGTGAATTTCTGGAGGCAGAGGAACTTCGGCACGCGCACTCTTTGGATCACCAAGGCGGTCTGACCAGCCTTTGGATAAGATACATCGAACATCGGCTTTCTGAACAGATTCGACCACCGTTCGAGTTAGTGCCGCTGGATCAGAAACCACAATTGATCCGAAGCCGATATAGACAATCTTCTTATTATCTTCACGGGCTTTCTTGATAAATCGAGAAAGTTCTGCGGGAGGAGTCCAGCCTGCAGCCTCGTCCAGAAACCAATAACCAGTAACTCGAATCCAATCGGGGTAGTCAAGAGGTGGAGGAACTACCGAAGGCGAGTAATTATAGATGAAAGGGATTTTGTTCGGCTGCATCTTGTCGAGAGTGGTGCTGCGAAGTCCAAGTTCTTTTTTCCGCCAACGGTTCACTTGCCCTGAAATAGCTCTCCAGAAGACGTTGTCAAACATGACATAGGTTATATAGTTGTATGCACCGCCCATCTTATGCTCAGGAACCGCAAATGCATGTGGATAAGCTCTGGTGCGGGACCAAGGCATTGTAAAGCCGCGGAAATAAGGAATTCGAAGAGCTTCGGCGATATGAATTCCAGCCATGGCGCTTGGGGACTCAATGAGTACATCGCTCCCTTGACAAGCAGCCCATGCCGAGGATAGAAGTTCATCAATCCACCCGCGAAATTTAAGGGATGCCTCCCTAAGGAATGAATAGGTGAACATGCCATTCTCGACACATATTCTCATCAGCTCTGCCGGATCACCTTCGACTGGGGCAAAGTCAATGCCATGTTTACGAACCCATGGCTCAAATTCAGCATGGGTTGCGATCCTTGGTTGGTGTCCTTCTTCGAGCAGTCCTTTGCAGAGAGCAATGTACGGCTGAACGTCACCTCGAGAGCCTATGGTAAGACATGTGATTTTTAACGGTTCGGTAGGTTTGAAGTTGATGATTGACGCCCGTGGATCGTCAAAAATCGGGTGTGCTTCGAGAGAATCTTCAGCTAACGGGCTGTGTCTTGCTTCCTGCAGCAATTGCTGTTCCGTCTTTGCAGCATCCGCCTCGTCCAAATCTTTCTGCATCAAAATACTGGACTGTTCCAGGAAGCGCACTGATTCAAGTCTATGATGCAGAGTTACTGCACAATCATCGCGAGAATCTGCAGTATTAAACTCGAAAAAGAGCTCTTCGTGACCACGAATGATGAGGACAAGACCCTGATAGCCAAATCGAAACCCCTTTTCTTTCTCCACGTTCTCAATATCTCTTATAGGTAGTATCATTTTAGTCCGAGTACCAGGAAGAAGACTCCGAAAGCAGAATTTGCTGTTCCCTATGTAAATCTTCCCATAAAGAGGTAAGACCCGGTGAAGATAGCCATAATAAGTAGCTCGAAGCTTCTCACTCGGCGGGAGAGCAAAATGAGTACGAAACCGGTCCCCAAATGAGCCGCTCGTCTCTGCGTCGTCGTGGTCAGGAAGGCGGTCTGAGGAACAATCTTCTCCTTCTGTGTAATGTTTTCCTCCTCCAATCCACATGCCTGAAACTTTCTCTATGTACCCCATAGACTCGGTTGCCAAAAGGCTACTCATCTGCCGAGAACGGCTTTTGAGATATTCGGCAAACCCGGCCGCTCGCTGAAGAGGATAAGCGCCCGCCCGTACAATTTCTTGTATTGTGGGAGCCGAGGTGCTATAAATTTCGTTCCCATCGTCTTCAGTTATTAGACTAGCGGAAGTGCCTTCAAATGTATGCTGTGCAGGCAGTTGATCGCGCTCCTTCCTTGATGAAGTGCCAGTTACATCGCCTGCAGAAGAAGGTTGTGATCTATGAATTGTAGGAGACTGAAAGACATCACTCCTGGTCAGTATCTGACTAGCGGTAACGACAGTATTCGAATGTGACTGCAGGCTCATGGATGAGTCGGTTGCGTGGCTGAGGGACTGAACAAATGATTCGGAGTCATTCTGCTGTTCTTGACCGGGTAAACGTGCATTACCGGTCCTTTGACGTGAGCCACTTTCTCTTGATTGTTCAGAAACAGAAACCGATGAATCTGATCTCTGACGGCGACGGTCCTCCATATTATCATTCGACGCGAGTGTTGTTTCAGGCTCTTTTGAAGCTTCTTGGGCTGAGGTGCCATTTACTAAATCCTTCAAGACATCGAATGCATCTTGGCCGTAGTTGAAAAATGAAAAGAAATACTGCAAAATCGTTAGCTTTATTCCAGTCAATATCCAAGAAACAAGAATGTACTTCGTCTATCGCATAAGTTTCGTGAATATCCACCACTCTAATCTTGAATGTCTCCGCCAGATCCATCATAGGATTTTGCTCTATATCTATCACATTCCCCACCGGAATAGAGATCTTTACCCTTCCGCCTTCATTCTGTGAACGGAATATCACTTTCTGCAAGGCCTTCGTCCATTCCTTGGCGCTCGCAGTACTCTCTGCCCTAAAGCTATAGGAGCGATGATCCGTTGTCACTGTGAAGTCCCTCACTTCTTGACCTTTCTGGTTTTCTGAGAGTGCAGCACTAATGCCATAACGAAGATCAATATGCCCGCTAGGAAAGTAGAGCTTAGAGGGATCGGCAAAGTACGACAGCACGTCGCCTTTTAAAGAAAACCAATAGCGGTTATATTTTGGATTCTTACGTCCACGCTTGCCCAAATATCCAGATTTAATAGCTGTATTCGACTTTTGAGGGAGGTAGGCGTAGAAACAAATATGCCCTTCGGTGATGTACATATACCCTTGAAGCGCAATACTTTGGATCAGCCAGCAGGGGTACTCTCCAATAACACGTTCGGGGCGCTCAAGTCCAAAAATTTCTTTCAACCGGATTGACAAAAGATTTTTCGACTTTTCTTGATCATTATTGTCAATGTTTTCTTCTTTTTCTAGCTCTGCATGCGCTTCGTTTGACAAAGCCGCGGTATCAAAACGTGTCTGGGCTTCAATCATTCGACTCAGCACAGGCGCCAAACGAGGTGTTGTGATTTCTGGGCTTCCCATAGAAGGGGAAGCGTCATTTTCGGTTTTATCAGCCTCTGTAGCTCGAATGGGTTGTTTTCCCTTGCTGGATTTTCGAATATTCGGTATCGATCGTAGAAGAGCTTTGCCCGCACTTTTCCTGCGTTGCTTCTCACTACTCTCACTTGCACTCGGGCTGTCACTTGGAGACTGAGCTTGTTGTTCGGCTTCCTCCGGGATAGGCTGTGATAGTGAAGTACCTTGGTCGCCTCGGGCCGACCTATACTTGGAAGCGTGCTTTGGAAATGCAACGGTCTTGCTAAGTCTCTCTGAATCCCCCCCTTCGCTATCACTAGATTCATCAAATCGAGTGTGAAAATCTGACCTGGACCCGGCGGCGGCGATCATAGAAAAGATGGAGCGGTTCATGTAGGGCAAGTCCTGGCCACTAAGGTTTTTTGGAGGGGCCGTGAAGTCCTCTTCATCATCCTCGTTGTTCTTGAGTCGGTCAGGTATAATATATGAAGGTAAACGATGAATAGACTTGGATATTGAATGCTTGCGGTGGGCGGAGCGTCCCACTCCCTCGTCACCGGGGAAAGCCATTTTACAAGCTGCCGCCAGAGGGAGATTTGTCAAATTAGAATATATAACAGGAAATTCACGACAAAATATAAGGGCCCAGGAGACGTTTGGCGTCTGGATTCGGGGCTTGGAATCTCTATACTTCGAAGGAACGAGGGCGGCTCCGAAGAGAAAATGCGGTGATGATTCGGCGGTCAGATAGATAAACCTGATTGAAATTCGTAAGTACTGCAGCTCCAACGCAGCATCTGAAAGGATCACAGAGGGGGTCGAGAAAAGTCGGTCAAGGAGATATGTCAAGTATGAAGGCTAGCAGAAATGGAGAGGCTTACAGGCAGTCAGGAATCCTAAACAACGAGGGTCCGGAGCAGACTATTCGGAGTGCCAACGAACGATCAGCCACCAGCTGTTGTCACACGTTGGAGGGCCATGATCCACGACGACGATGTGACCGAAATGAGGGGGGTATAGTAATTACAGGGCGAAAAGGTCCTAGCAAAAAGCAGTTGTCGTGTTTGTCGGCGGCGTGTCGAGCAGAGAGAGGAAGGCTGGAACCCGCCTGGAAACACATGACAGCCGGCGTATCAGGCGCATCGCATCATAGGGCGGCAGCCAATGACGCGCGCTGCATGTGAGGGTACACTGCCGCCCTGCCAATCACATGCCTACGATAAACATGACTTATCATGACTTATCATGATAATTTTGAATACGTATATATAAAGCACAGGCTGATAGTATATGTATATGTTTGTGTGTAGATATATCTTATTATAAACATAGTTTCCTCATATCCTTCTACTATCTAATGTTATTCGATATGGCTGAGGCCGAGGATCAGATGTAGCACTAGCCGCTAACCAAAAACAGCCTAGGAAAGTCTCATAGCATATCAAATGGTGAGATGAGGCCTTCTTCGAGAGTCTGTATGAAATCATAGCCCCTCCTCGTTAAAGAGCTATAACTCGGTGTTGCGTTGTTCAAACCACCTGCTCCAGCTCACCCGCTTGCTTGGGCGGAGTATCTCTGGCCACTCGTTCGCCATCAGCCCAGCAACATTCATTCCCATAAGAGAGCTAGTTTCCATGGTCGAAATGAAGCTCTCGATGCCACCAGTATACCAAACATTGCGCTCGAGCTTGGACTCCTCAAATGTCTGGCGAGGGTACTCGTATGGGTAAGAATGCCAGGTCTTTTCGTGGAACCAGGAGACGTGGTGACTTGGAAGATCCCCAATCGTTGTATTCTCGGATTCCGCAGGTGAATCGACGCCGAGTATGGAAGCCACAAATTCTGCGGATAGTCTTTCGGGTGAAAAAACCTTGTAAACATAATGATTTTGGAGAGAGCCTTCTACCAGAGCATCGACTACTCGCAGCAAGCTAATACTCCAGAATCCAGTCGGGCCCACGCCATCTTCGCGAGAACCCAGGTCCACCCCTTTTGGCAGTGTGGTTAAGATCATTTCTGGCACTTCATTTTGGTTCGATAGATTGAAGTACGCTTGAGAAATCTGATGAGGTGATGCAAATAGCGTCACGTATAGTTTCACATATGGAATCTTGTCAGGAACGCGCTCAAATGCTGGAGATATTTCAATCCCACTCGACTGGTACGGTGCCGCAATCACGACATCGTCAAAGGTCGTTTCGGATGGAGGACTGTTGTTTGTTATGTGTGAGAGCGTTAGAGTATCGTCGTCATTACGTGTGATAGATGTGACTGTGGTGTTCAAAGCAAGTTTTGCGCCAGAGAAATCGAGCATCCCGGAGAAGATGCGCCAGTTCCCGCCCTCAATTGCGACAGCACCATCCGTTGCCATGCAAACTATGGTCTCCAAACCATGAATCAAGCCAAGATTTTGCCCGTAGTTGACTCTGGTACTTGCTTGGATAATCTCACTTGAGAAACTGTCAGAAATGCCGTTTGCTTCCAAAAACTGCGCACCAGTAACAGCCGTAGCCTTGTGGAGCTCAAGTTCAACCACAGCAGAAGACAGAGACTGAAAAGGAAAGTATGGCGGTTTATACAGATTCAAGAACTTCCCAACAACGTTCTTTGTAAGCCGCTGCGTGCGTATCGGGGCCAGTCCATATCGCCACAGGAGTTTCGCAGTGTCCCACCATGTCATAGAATGGCTCTGCACATAGACGAAACGTTCTCCATCCCATATTCCTAACATTGCCTGGCTCTCTTCTGGACGACTCTGAGGCGCGCCAGAGATTTTGAGATCAAACCTTTTCGCCGCCTCCATGAGGTTGTAGTTCACGGACACGAAGATTGAGGCTCCCAGCTCCACTGGATACCGAGGGTCGTTAAAGACATCAACAGTTATTGATCTTCCTCCGACATAATGACTGCGCTCAAACACCGTGATATTCAAGGGAATATCCGAGTAATCTGCAAACTGACGAAGATAGTACGCAGTCGATGCCCCGGCAGAGCCAGCACCTTTGGGGGTTTAGCACATGTCAGTTTCCATGGCCCTGATCACATACCTATAATAGCAACTTTGCGAGCGCCTATGTCAGTCTCTGACCGCAAAGGAATTTGACTATATGCATCCGTCCCCAAAACGGCTGCCCATATTAGGAACAATGTGCATAATAGCTCCTGGTAAAGCTGCATCGTTGGATGATGTATGGATGAAGATAAGGAAGGACAGGTGAAGGATGGGAATTGAGAGCGTAACTAATCCTGATGGAAGGAAGCAATCAGGTACAAATTAATGAGAAAGTGTCAAAAATCTAAGATGATTACAAAGGGGTATCAGAGATGGCGAGTATAGTCGATAGCAACAATATGCCCATCAATAGGGATATGCTATAGACGATCGTATGTTTGTGGAGTCGGCTGGTTGATGGCGTTACAGGTTACGTCGGTAATCAATCAACTGGCAGACAACTAAAACGGAAAGCCATCGCTGGTTGATGATTTGATATCAAAGATGGAGCAGGATGGGATTCTTCAGTGGGCTTGATCAGTCAGTCTGCTAGGAGCGGGACGGCCCACTAGTTACAATAGGCGGAGGGTCTGGTTAGGAGGAAGAGAGTGTGCAACATGAATGCCCACCTGGTGTGCTTTTGCTGAGAGGAGCGAAATGGAGAATCTTGGAAATATGATTTTCATAGAGCTCGACTAGAGATAACTCCTAAACAACTGCTGTTGATGAAACAGCAACGTTTCACACGTGCCAAAATCTTCACTGCCAACCAGCTGAGTCAGCAATATGACTAATCTAACTCGCAACTACAACTTTATGGCAATATTTTGGTAAATATTTTATATATTTTGTTAGGGTATTCAAATTTTGATATCTATAATATTAATTATTTGTATATTGCATTACGTATAGCTCAAATGATTAAAAGCATCAGGCATCTCTTCAAATCCATGATTTCGAGGCTCAACTGAAAATTATTTGGTAGTGTGCGGGGCTCCGTGCATCAATCTTTTTTTTTTGACTAAACATTAATACAACAAACCTGTGTTGCGCAATTGAAAAGAACTCGATATTCACAAATACAACCCTACTAAAAACGATTAGAAACAAGAATTGAAAGAAAAAGGGTTTAAATTCTATGGACCCTTATGACAGTGACTCCTCCGGGCTGGAGGATGCGGGGGACTACACTGAGACTACAGTATTACTGGGCTACGCATCTACAGAGCCTACAGATGACACGATCAGCCACCTAGGAGGATGGCCGGTACTTGTCCCTTTTATAACCTTTCTATTGAAGGATTTGTCTAATATTTTATTTATGGCAGACCTGGTTGGATGAGAACAATCCCCCTCCTGGCGACCTGGCCAACTGCAAAGTTTGCAACAACCCGATGCTGCTGCTCCTCCAACTAAACGGCGATTTACCCGAGCATTTCCCTGACGATGAAAGACGATTGTATGTCTTTGGATGTCCTAGGAAGGTTTGCAACCGAAAACCTGGTAGCATTAGGGCATTGCGAGGAATCAGGAAGTTCAAGAGCAGCCAATCCTCCAAACAAAAACCGTCGTCAGAAGAGACTACACCAAACCCTGAAATACAGCAGCAGCCTACACCCACAAAACCAAAACCAGACCTCGGCTCTGCTTTATTTGGGGCTCCTCCTTCATCCAGCGGTAGTAGTCTGACTGCGAACGCAAACCCGTTTTCGACCTCGTCTAGCCCGTCAAGTCAAAACAACCCATTCGCACCGCTCCCACCAGCATCAACACTCGCAGCAAAGCCACCACAAACACCAGTTAACAAGCTATCCGAATCCTTTGCATCAAAGGTACGTGTTTCTTCTCCACCTCCAGAGCCCGCTGTTTCCGGCCCCGTGCTCCCATGGCCGCCGCAATCTGCTTTCCCGCCTCCGTACGTCGAATACCATCTCGACGCCGAGTACGAAACGCTCTCACGACCTTCAACCCCCACGATACCAACCAATACAACCGTGGAGAATATAGAAGAGGAAGATGCATCCAAAGCAGGCGCAGCAGATACCAAAGACACATTTGAATCGTCCCTAGACAAGTCGTTTTTACGCTTCTCAACTCGACTCGGCTATAATCCTGAGCAGGTGCTCCGATACGAATTCCGCGGTACGCCGCTTCTCTATTCTAGCAATGACGCCGTTGCGGCAATTTTCCCAAATCATCAACAGTCTCAGGGGGGTCATGTTGCTGCAAGTGGTGGTGGCGCCTCAAGGAACCGTGTGCCTCGGTGTACCAAGTGTGGTAGTGAGCGTGTGTTTGAGTTGCAGCTCGTTCCGCATACAATCACAGTCCTTGAGGATGGTCGCGAGGGTATCGGGCTAGGGAAGAATGATGCGGGGATGGAATGGGGAACGATCATTCTCGGTGTATGTGCTGCTGATTGTGGGCCTGCGGAGGGACAGGCTGGGTGGAGGGAGGAATGGATAGGTGTGCAATGGGAAGAGATGAAATGAGATTATAGAATTTTGCTATTCTAGAAAAGAGTTTATCGCGAGTTCTCATTTCCAATGTGTATAGACTACGACGATTCCATGTATGCAAGTCTTCCTGTATTGAATAGTCTGTTGAGGAAGAACTAGTATCAAATACATCTCTACACATAATGAAAATTGTTGGTTCCAGGACGTTCCGTCTAGGTTCCACTCTCAATTGCACTTAAGGGCTGAAAACTTCACATGTAGCTGTGAATACCACCAATCAAGGGTGTTACAGTCGAGCTGCGCCGTCGAGAATAGCGTCAAGAGTCTATATATACATTCCTGGCTATCATCACTCAAGCTCACTGTCACTACCGAGATATGCCTTCTTCCGCAACCTCCAGATCCCATCTTCCTGGCCCCTCTCTCGCGACTGTCGTGCACCACCATCCTCGACAACATCCATCCAAGGCACTCTACTCGCGCGCCTAACCCGGCCGCGTAGTCGTTGCAATACCTCACGCTGCTCCTTCACCTCCGCCTCGCTACCCTCCTCCCCGCGCATTTTGGCAATAGAGATGGACGAAACGTGATTCTGCTCGGCGTTGCGGGCGGCGTGGTATTCTTCGCTAAATGCCCAGTCGGGGCTATCTAGCATACCGCGTACCAGCACCAGGACGTGGCCCTGTTCAAATGATTCTCGGATACGAGAACTCGGTATTGGAGTGATGAGTTCTAGCTGTTGGGTAGAGGGTTTGACGGCTCGGACGAGTGCTAGGCCAAGAGATCGAGCTGATTTGGGGTTGAGGGGAGTGCAGCTGCCTGCGCCGCAGAATAGGTAGGGGAGAGAAGTGTTGGGACTGCGGGTAACGTGGGCATCGAGCCGTGCTTTCAGTGATTGGGAATTTGGGGTGATATGGTCGCTAGCTTCGTCCCCTTCCTCTTCTCTGTTCGACATTTCTAGGGAGTTTTCTGCCATGTCCACGTCTTCTTCGGCAGTGTCTGTTGGATGTACTTGGTTTGTGGTGTCTTCAATAGCATTCGCATCTTCGACTGCGACAACGGATACAATTGACCCGTTAATTATATCTTTTAGTACTGCAGGGTCGTGTCGGTTTCCCAACACCATGATCCCGCTTATTCCTTGATCTTCACCGGAATAATTGACATGAATAGATTTGTGGTGAATAAGCGGAGCGCTGGACCATACTGGATTCTGCAGTCCGCCCAACTGTGACAGGTGAAAGTACGACTGCATCTGCATGGAGCGGAACTGGGCGCTTGATCGTGATACAAAATCAATGGGTTGGGAGGGTAACGTGGTCAAGGGAATACCAGCCTCTGTCGCAGCAAACCGCAGCGGCTCTTCTACCTCGATAGGACCCTTTTCGCTCATATATATGACGTTCGAGAGTCCCATCGAGCGGATCAGCCAGGTGACAACTTCCAGGCCAAGACCGAAAACCCAGCCAGGATAATTGACCACCAGGGGACACTGCGGGAATGTAGCTAGCAGCGCGCGGTACTGATCGAGGAGGTTCATAGCGGCTAGCGCGTAGTAATCTGAATCCTCTTTTGGAGAGGTTGCTCCAATGTGATGACATCGAATACTCCTGCCATGTCGTGAATTTTCCAGTGTCGGGTGAGAGAATGGAGGTCCAAGGCATGGTTTGCGAAGATGGGCGAGATATATATTCCCCATTGGAGCGAATTCTGGCTGTCCCGGGTCAAGGTCTAGATACGCAACACCATCTGGATTGCTGGGACCTTGTTCGTTTTGCGGTGCTGGGCTGAGGAGATGGTTAAGTAGATACCGTCCAAAGGTCGACTTTCCAGCCCCCTTTGGACCACAGACCAACACTTTCAAACCAGTGCCGCGTTGTGAAAGTGATTTAATCGTTGCACTCCATTTCTTATCTAAATGGAGGGGTCGGAGAGGCCGATTAAGAGGATCATCTGATGATGTATAGAGCTGGTTTGCGTTAGAAGATAATCAACTTGTAAAAGGAACAACTTACTATAGAGAACGATCTTTTATAAGCCCCCTTCAGCGTTGTCCTATCTCCGACAGTTTCACTGCTATTCCAGATGCGATGATACAAAGGCGATAATTCCTTCAGCCGGAAAATGCTCCTTGAGCATGACTGTATTTCAATCTCGGCAGAGCCTTCAACACCGCTGACGCATTTAATAACCGGAAGCGAATGCGTCGATGGCGCATATACTCGGTATGTATTAGGGGAAGGGTGTAGCTTAGCGCCCATTATGCTTATCACCCCTCTCTTGACCCATATATCGTAAATACCTATCAGGACAAGAGTCTATACTCTGTTAGCACCGAAAATCCTGATATCAGACTGCTGCGCGTACCGTCTTCTCCTTGATGCGCACACACAGGCTGTGCTCGTCACTGTAAACCACATCCTTCTCCGTCAACCGATGTCTTGAGAGCGTAAAGTTTTCGGCCCCTGTAGGTAGTCTCGATGGGGTTTCGAATCTATAAAACCATCAGATTTGACTTGACATGCGCTGTACTTCTAGCATACTCTTCCCTCTCTGGACCGCTCGTCTCGGCACCGATGGTTGAGCCAACGGTTATATCAAGCCCATCTTCTATGATTTCATCGTTGAGAACCTCGCTGGCTTCGACATTGCTCGAATTGGCCGCTGGATCCTCGACGCTCGAAGGGACTGATGTGAGTGACGTTTTCGATTCCGTTCGTTCCTGCCTCGGTGGATTTTCCCTGTTCACTTTCTGAGTATTCGAATTTCGTGATTTCTTAAGTAGCGGTTCTGTAGTAGTCTCGACATTACTCGGCGCATGCGTTTGCGTTTGCTGTTGTTGCTGCTGCTGTCGAGCTCGGCGGGCGGCAACAGCACTTACCGCTGAGCGAGGACCTGCACAGGTCATTTGTTAGCGGTGCACTGCACAATCTTTTGCGTTGGGACAAACCAGCATCTTGCTGCTTCTCTGCTTTTCGCTTCATTACTCGAGATCCAAGTTGCTGTCAAACTACTTTTTAATTGGAGATTCACTTTGCACTTTTTTTTATCGCATCTGCTATCTCCGCTGGTCCGTGCGTGCGGAACAAAAAAAGTTGCCCGCAACGTTGAATAACAATGCTGATGCTGTCGTTTGCAGATCCTCCATGGATCACATTACTACGAGATATTATATACTTGTCCATTATTGAAAGTGGAATTACTGCTTCAGCTACTTTCGTCTTGATAATATCAAAACCGCATTGAAGAGAGCTTCGCAATGGGGAAATTACTGAGCGAAGAGGTCGTTGTCAGCGACGACTCCGACGAGTCGATGGAAAGCGCACCTGAAGCAGAGACTACTGCAGCAGACCGCTCAAGTTCTGATTCAGAAAGTGATAGTGGAAGTTCATCTGGATCAGAGTCGGAGGAAGATACCAATGACAAGTATGAAAGCGCCCGGATTTGCACCCGGATTCAAAAGCTCAATTGTAGACTAACATTTTCAAGACCAAGCAATATCAAACGCACAGCCAGGTCTACAGCATTCGTGCCCCCAGCAGGCTTCAAAGCATCCAAGTCCAAAACCCGCCCAACGTCATCCGCGTCGTCTGCGCTTTCAAACCTCGAGGGGAAACAGATCTTCCACATCGCCGCACCATCATTCTTACCGCTTTCCAAAATCCGAGAGATCACCCTCGAAAAAGCATTACACGGCGAACCTGTCCTGACTCATCAGGGGGTAGACTACGGAATCCCGGCCGATGCGCAACAGAAGCAGGGTACACAAGCGCTGATGGTTTACGACGAGAAGACAGATGCATACGTCAGGAAAGATATCAAGAAGATACAAAGCTACACATTCCAAGAACTGGTGCGGCTGCCAGGTCAGGACGCGCTGCATGTACAAGCTCCACAGGACACGCAACGCCCAGCACGGCCACAACCGAAGCATCTGAAAATGCGGTTTCATCCTGTAGGAAGCGGAAATATACCCGCCGAGACGGTTGGCTCGAGTTCCGAGTCAGAAGCGGATGAGCCTGCGTTTCGGGTTCCGTCGGGGCAGCACAAGAGAAAAGCAGAGGGGGTGGAAGGATCGGAGAAGAAGAAGACAAAGAATATTATCACCTCGTCACAAGCTTCGTCTGGTGCCGGGGAAAGGGAACGTGGGGATGCGAAGAAGAAGTCTTCCAAACACCGGAATGAGACGAGTCAAGAACGGAGAGCAAGGAAAGAAGATAGAAAGAAACGCAAGACTGAGAAGAAATGAGGCGAAAAGTGATTTTACATTGCGGCGTTACTATTTACCATTTACCATGTTTTGTTTGTACAGCATTGATCAATCTGGGCTTGCATTTTTTTTTCTATTCGGGTATAAATGAGATTGATAGACAGTTCGCATTTAGTGTCGTCACCTGAGGGTTGCTCATAATCAGAGTTTGAGCTTACACAACTGTTATGGCATATCGATAGTAGCCGAAGATAAGCATTGGCCAAGTAAATATAATATTAGCTATTGTCTATGCACCTAGTACAAGTACCGTCCGTCTATCATAAACTAATATTATTATATCTGCAATGCCAGAAGCAGTGTGATACCAATATAACTCAGACAGTCGACTCCTCGCATAGACCTTAACCCTCCTCCATTTGCCCGATTGTGGTAGCATGTGAAGCGGCTCTTAGCCCTACACATCACAGACCAGACACGGACGGCGTGATGCACTTGCATATGCAGTCTGGATTGAAATCGGCCAGTCGACGCCGAGGCATTGCATTGAGCTGAACGAGGCCATGGTCATCTGGTGTGCATCCTTTACAGTCAAATACTACCATAATATTAACTCATCGTATTAACTACATGTACACGGCAAATCGCATAAATTGTAAAATAGTCTTGCGAAGCAGGGGGCAGGGATCAATGTGATTAATCACCATTAGTAAAAGTTAGTAAAGCAGACTCGCTGCCCAATCAGCATCGCCTTCAAACATTTGAAGGTTATTATGGCTATGGCCAAAGTATGTCTTCCAACGGTTCAATGTTTATGTAGTGTGGAATGCGCGTTCGGCAGATATCGTAGGTTATCTCTTCCTATTACATGGTTGATGTGAGACAGCAGACAGAGCCCCGCCATCCATTCCGGCGATGCCGCGTATGTCGAACACAAACGCCGAGCAGCAGACAGAAAAATTCGCAAGATCATAAATTGAGTTGTTTTGGGAGACCCACGGCTATAGACTACTATTATTAATAATAATGATGAACCCGACTTCTAGATGTGAAAGGAAAGAGAACTGTAGTGATTCGAGTACGTAATAGTTTTTTATACTGGCGGCAACGCTCGTGAAGTCGTGTGTCCGCCTGCTTGTTTTGGAGGATGGGGAGATCTGGAGATTAGGGATGAGATTGGCATCTACAGTCCATGTGTCTGCCGGGCATGGAACATGTAGTATGGTATTACAGTTACATGGCTCAACATTCGAGTGCTCGCTTAGAAGCGGTGTCGAGCACATGCAGAATCCCTGACCAACTGCAGGTTATAGAAAGAGAGCTCTTATTGGTAGAGCAATGTCAAGATCTTGTATATAGCCTATCCATAAAGTTGAAGCCTATTCTATTATTTTCACCACCCTGACCTATATCCTACAATTCGCCTGGTAGTGCTAATTGTATACTGTGTGAGTAGTATATTGGGGGCCTGACAAACAAGGTTAGCTGCGTAGATCCATGCCCGAAATAACTCCGTACTCCATACATAGTACTAACTTTGTAACCAAACGACTCCCTATTTAATGATAATTAATATATCTAGTTACAGGCTAGCAGCCTTGCAGGTCCTGATAATATATTAGGAGTTGTTGGTAGTATTGGACATCAAAAGGATTTGTTTTCTGTCTGGATACAGGCGCTCAAGTCTCAATTTAACGTTTGAACGGCCGAGCTACGTATGTGGCTAATAAAAGTGTTGAGGTCATCTATAAGACTGCACATATAATATTACACATCACAAGACTGTGCCCATTTCCGTCGGCGGCATGCAACGAATGACTGTGTATATGAATAAGCAAGAATGAATGGTAGCTCGTATAGTAGCGATAATAATATAGCACGGTATTCGTGTACCGTCTTTCTTTCGTTTTTTAATAATCAAATTAACATATTTCAGGGGAAGATTCGGCATGGTCGGGAGTCGGCCCGCGGCAGTCGAATAACCGAATAATACACGTAAACAAATGAGTACACGCTGCACAGGTGCATTCGTATTGATACGTAGCTGACCTGGAATAAAGCTATGTATAGTATCCAAACCCCTGGGTTCCCACGAGTCGACGTTGCATCGCCTGCAATTGATCCATAGCTGGCCAGTGCTGTATCCCGTCGATCTGGGATTACTCTTACTATTGAACTGAATATAGAACCATAATCGATAGAACACGCATTAATTATTACTATTATACTAAGAATGCAACGGTGGTACCACCAACTAAGAACAACTAGTTATAGGAACTAATCTATAGAAGAAGGACGGAATTCTTCTCGAACTCAACGGTGGGTTTGCAGTGGAGCCCGGCAGCGCATGGCAGCCCACTGCGACAGGGTTTGAAAAAGCAAACAAAGTAATAATATGGTCCTATTAGATTTGGGAGGCTCGGGATTTGTCCGTCGCTTCCTTGTATTTTCGTATTAATACTACGACCACCAGCATGTGATGCAGTCTCTGCTATATAGTTATACCTCTGCCACTGGCACGGGTGCAGTTGCTTTTTCCGGCCGTACCAGCCAGTACCAGAACCAGTATTAAAAATGCATCCATCTTCCGCAACCATAAATTGTCTGGTAGGCATGGACTGCGGCGACAAGGAAGATCCCGGCTGGGCGCTGATTCTGGTCACACTAGCAGTACGAGTCGTACGCGTATTTGGTAATTATAATTACCCTCATACTTCAACATTATAGATGTGCTGGCTATTCCCTGCATGCCTAGACACGACAAAGGGACGAGCCCCTACAACACTTGTTGTCACAATCATACTTGCTCAGAAATTAGGATTCCATATTCAATATAACAAGTCGTAATAAAGAGCGATAAGCTAGTCGGTAGTGAAACAAACCCCAGCTAGCACGATCCTTCATCGTTCTCGGCCCACCGGCCTCTTTCCGTGCTCGGCGACTGCTCCCTCCACTTGTTCGGAGGAGCACTAATCAGGAGCCAGGACTAGGCAATTAATAATGAAGAGCCTTGGAATAAGGCAGTTAGTTCGCGCCGTTGCGCTTTCTTTAATACCGATAATCGACCGCTTCTATTCTTCTCGAACGTGTCCACTGCCCTCGCCCCCCGTACAAAGAGGCCTGCCATTGTACATGTACATACATCCTACAGCTCCCTGTTGACTGCAATACTGCATGCTTTTCCAGTCGGTGTTCTATAATTCTCATTGTGTTATCTTATCTCCTCACCGCCTCCCTGCGTGTCAGTCGGCGTGCGTGTGGCTTGCATCCCTTCTTTAAACCAAAGCCGCCGTTTGCCTGGACGCCGACGCCCGCTGATCTCACCATCATTCAATCCCGCCACACCAACTCTTCCTCATCTCCTTCTCACTCTTTCGTACCCTCCTTCTCTTGGTCACTGTGATGTCTCTCAGGCTGGTCGTCGCCATGCCTTGAAGGTCGACTCGCGCTCAGGACTGATCTCGCGTCAATCGACCATGGATTTTATTGTATGTGCTCTCTCCCTGTCCTCCCTGCCCAGAGCCCGGCGCGTCGCATCGCCATCATGGCCATGCGCCGCCTTCGCTGTCTGCTGTCTGCACTGTCCCTGAGTCCGCCTGCATGCGCAGTCGCTTGCTACGTGGTATATCAGGATGGAAGGTGCCGATTGCTGGCAGCGCTCCGCACGTGCCTGCATGCAACCCCATCCCATACACGCCGATTTGTACGTTGAGAACACAGCTGACCTCGCATAGCTCTCTCTGACGCATTTCTGCGAAGTGCATGGCCCAACTTCAATTCTCTGTTCGCAAGTGCTACCATTTTCCTGCTCACAATGCCACCCGGACGAGTCCGATATCTCGCCATCCGAGACCCCCTCCACCTCTCATGACACAGCTTCGACCTCATCACGCCGAGGCACACGCCGATTCTCCTCGTCGCCCGCAAACTTGACCCTGTCAACCTCCTTGACGGGCAGCATCAAATCGAATGCAACCCATTCCCCACAGAATTTGGAGGACCTCCCCTATTTCCTCAAACCCCAGCAGCCACAAACCCAGACCGATCCTGCGGAGCGCCTCAATCGCCTCGGTGAAACCAATGGCGAGACTTGTGCCAGCTGTAGCATCTCTCTGCCGGAGGATGTGAGCAAGAAGCTGCCAGCCAGCCCGTCCAGCACCAAAGGCGACGGCAAGGCCAAAAACAACAATAGCCCCGTCCTGCGCTCGCGGGAGGTAGTTTACTCCTGCGGCGGCGCCCACTCAGAGTCCGAGGAAGAAGCGCACGATCCTCACCTCCATGCCTCATTGCCTGATTCATTGCATTCTTTATCGGTCTCGTCCGATGTCTCGTGTCACACCCATATCTTGACCTATCTATCGTTACACGACCCTCCGAAACCGGCTGACTACGCCCTGCTCCGCCAGTCCTCAATCCGAACCCTTAGTTGCGAGCTGCTTCCGCGCGGTCTCTCATCCGGCCGCCTCTGCTTTGGTGACTCCGTTGCTGGGTACACCATTGCATACGTCTTTCGACTCCCAGATCCAATGGCACGTGGAAAGCGACGCAGCTATGCGCTCGTGGCGCTTGCTGGGAAGGACGCCACTCGTGCTTTCCGCGCTTCTCCTATCATCTGGCGCATTTTCCAGCGCATTGCGACTGGCATTGTTACCGCCGCGGAGAAACATCAGGAAGAAGAGAAGAAGCGGGAGGAACAGGCCCTGCACTCATCAAACAGTATCGGCGGTCGTGATTTCACCCCGATCTCGTCCTTTCTCACCGGCCGCGCGTATGACCCGAATGGGAACCCTCGCCGCGCTGGCCAAATTCGCGCCCGTAATTTGGCCGAAATCGTTGGCAATGATTACATCTTTGCCGAACTACATGCCCAATTTGTAACGCTTCTCCAGCAGCTCGGCAACATGTTTGGAGGAGTCCCGATTTCTGATGAGCGATTCATCTGCAGCACTGTCGCGCCAGAAGAAACGGTTCCAAGCGAATCGCGACGTAGCAGTGTCGCTACAGCGTCGACCACCAGCAAGGCCGATTCGAAGCAGCCGCCTCGCCATAGACGAGAGCCGAGCGATCTAGGGTTGTCGTCTTTGAACATGTCCTCACGACCTCAACCTATACCCATTTCGTCGCGCCGTCCGATTGCCACCTAGAATTCTCATTCGGGCGACATTCGAGTTCTACTAATGATAGTATTGCACATAATGTCGTGGAGTTTAGTCTTAGACTGGGATGGGATTTTGTTTTAGCATTTCAGCATGGATAGGAGTCTGATTGTATATCCAGGGGTATCAGTCATTATTCATGACGGCGTTCGATTGTATTGCGTTAGTTTTGTAGAATAGAGCATCAGTTTACTTTTACATTATTAGCTACATCTTTGATTTTTAATCATTAAGAATTATAGTAAATGGAAGAATAAATAATACGATAATAAGATACCCCGGAGAAACATACCCAACAGGGACAGCCCGGCCCCACCACGGCACACCACACCAAAATGTGCAGTGAATATCGCCCTCATTGATTTGTGTGTCTCTGCCCGCATCACCATCTCCTTTTCTCGCCCAGTTAACGACAGACTCACCATGGTCCTCGCCTTCGACAAGTGCGATTCGCGGCCATCGCACATCGACGCCATCCTCAACGGCCTCGACCGGTACAATCCTGAGACGACGACGGTGTTCCAGGACTATGTTGTGCAGCAGTGCGAGGAGCGGACTTTTGACTGCTATGCGAATTTGGCGTTACTGAAACTGTGGGTTATCTCTCATATATCATACATTTTTATCATTTCTATGTGACGGGCGCGGTTGATGATGTTTCTTTCAACGTTTCCTATTACCTGACTCCCATCTAAATGGCAGCATGGAGTGAACATATCTACCTGATTAATGCACTGTCCATACTATACAGTCGTATTCGTCCAGAAATTATTTGATTTTGATCGTTGCTGACCAACTGAACACCCAGCTACCAATTCAACCCGCATCTCCTGCAACCCGAAACAACGACCAACATCCTCGCCAAAGCGCTCACCGTCTTCCCCTCTCCCGCCTTCTCGCTCTCTCTAGGCCTTCTCCCCGCCCACACACAACCCTTTGGCCCATCATCCAGCGACAACTCTCAAACCTCGGACTTTGTCGAATCGATCCAGAAACTGGCACGGCTCAACACACTCCTCGAGTCGGCGCAATACGCGCTGTTCTGGTCCTCGTTCAACTCGGATGATCTCTACGCCGATTTAGTCGCTGACGTCGCGGGCTTCGAGGAGCTCGTGCGCGTGCGTATCGCGGTCGAAGTCGGCAAGGCGTTCCGCGAGATCAGCGCGGATGTGCTCGCGCAATGGCTGGATTTGAAGAACCGCGAGGCGCTGCAGAAGTTTGTCGTGGATGTGTGCGGCTGGGAGGTGGACGGGTCGGTGATCCGTGTACCCAAGAATCGCGAGAATGAGGCCAGGTCGGAAATCAAGAGTGAGCGTGTGGGTATCGATATGTTTGGCCGTGTTATTCGCCGTGGTTTCGAGCAGCCTGCATAGCCGACCCAACCTGTTTCCTAGCTTCTTCCTAGCTTCTTATGTTATGTTATTATGAGTCTCCGTGCATAGATGTGAGATGATATCGATCATGGTGCCAAAAAGTGGGAGGCACGGGGGCGGGCGCAGGGCGTTTTGGTTTATTTGTGCATATTCAGACAGATAGACTACTTTCTCTATCAGATAGTCATATCTTCGACATCCGGTGTATAATGTATTGCCTTGAAAATAATAGTAGGGTCAAGGTTATACTTTTATTGTATGTATGATCTGATCATCCTTTTATTGTATGATTATATCAGTCGCCTCCCCCCTTATCCTCATCATCCCCCTTCCCCTCTGCCTTCTCTTTCCGTCTCTGCACTACATCCCAGTTATACACACGCGCAGTAGCAACTTCAAGCGTCTACAGCAGTACTCATTAGCCTTGAACAACAAAAAGAAAGAAAGAGGAGAGAAGAGAGAAAGGGGAAAGTACCGTAATCTGCTCCCTCAAAAACTCCAAATCCTCCTCACAGTTCTCCAAACTCAGCTCGGCGGCCCTCAATTTCTCGGCCAACATCCCCTCCGCCTCATCAATCGGATAGGCCAACATCACATTCGCGCCAAGCCACAAATACACCTCCTTCGTATCCTCCGCGTCCACTGTCGCACGCGCATACAAGGTATCATTAAGCTCAAAATTCGTTTCTAGCGGCGCTGGCGTGGCAGCAGATTGGCGCAGTTTTAAGAATTTGACCATTTCTAAGGTCTTCTTGATATCGGGGATTTTTTCTTTTAGCCCGACGCTTCTTCGTTGAGTGTTCATTTCCATGAATTGGTATTTTGAGATCATCTCCTGGAAGGAGCGCAGTGTGGCCTCGACCTCGCTGCGGCTGGAGACATAGTCGCTGACATTGTCGACGAAGGGGGCGAAGGGGATGCCGCGGGGGTTTGTGCTGGAAATATTAAATATTAGTAGATGTTGGTATTGATATTGGCATTTTGGTATTGTAGTGTTCTGATGTGAAGAAAAGAAGAGAAGAGAAGACATGTGATAGACTTACCCCTCCCCGGGTTTTTCGACGGCGGCCATGGTGTGCGACGACAGCGATTCGGCGTCGTTTAGCTAATAATCATGGGAAGTAGATATTTTTGTGAGGAGCGAGAAGGGGTGGTGCTGGGAGGGTGCACAAAGGTAGTGAGAGTTGCTGATTGATAGGGTTATATTCGATAGGATTATTCGATGTCGAAGTTATGCGCTCCGCTCGCGCAGAGTTTATTGGCCGGAGCTCCCTCGTCGTCTTTCTGCGGCGGATGACGTCGCCTGCAACTGCTATTTCTATTCTTTACACAACTTATCTTCAAATATACAGAACTTCGAATGGCCAGTTAACCGGTTAATACAGACGGAGAGTTACCATGGTCCTCCTCGTCACAACGCCCACCATCGTCGCGGCCCTGCAGGACCTCTCACCATCAGCCCGCGATGAGCTGCAGCTGCCTCAACCACCGCCAGAAATCGGGTCGCCGATTTCTCATGAGAACGTGCTCGCGCTTGCTCGAGCGCTCTCATCACATACAGAACCTACAACGTCGCCCTCATACACATTGAACACTCTCCTCCGCGGAACAGAAGTCTACATCCCCCCTGCTCCAGCGAAACCAGAACCTGTACGTCCCTTCCATTCCTCCTACCATATTATATCTAGCACTATCTAGTGCTATATCTAGATTGATATGGCTAACAACAACACAAGACCCCCGAATATCTCGCCCTCAAAGCACGCCTGCAAACCCTCGCTGACGAACAAGCCTACAACCGACTCCTCTCCCCTCCCCGCGCCAACACCTACGCGCCTTCGCCTGTCTTCGCTCCCTCCACAGAAGAGCTATTACATCAAGCTGAAGAAGCTGCCGACAATGACCCGCTCAGCCCATCGCTCGTCCTCAACATCTTCATGTCGGTCTTGCTCTGCGGCTTCGCGACGTTCTGGGCATTGAAGAACTTCCAAACGCCGTCCTTCTTCCGATTTGGCCACAACAACAAACCAGTTGCGGGGACGACGACGCAGGTTGGTCCGAATTCGAAGGAGCCCGTGTTTGTGCTTATCTCGTTGTTTGTTGGCCTGGTGGTTGGCGTCGCCGAGGTTGCAGTTTATGCGGCGTATTGGCGGAAAGTGAGGGAGGCGAAGGCCAAGGAGAAGGGGATTAAGGAGAGGAAGGAAATTATCCAGCCGACAGAAGATAGTCAGGATGGTCCTGTGGACCGGGGGGATGGGGAGAAAGAGGAGATTTGGGGGAAGGGGGTAAATGGTGGGGTACGCAGGAGAGTCAGAGAGCGGTGGGAAGAGGGGAGCACGCTTTGAATAGCTATTTCATTATATCGTTAATATATTATATACAGTAGCTAACGAGCAAGTTAAATATGGTATGTACAGCCCCTACAGTGGCATGCAAAACAAAAAAAGAATCGTAACTGCTAAGTTAGTGAGTCCTCCGCTCAAGAAGCAGCTTGCCCGTCACGCCCTTTGCATTGAACCCCTCAGCGCGCGAAAACACCATCGATCCGCGCACCCACGTCTCCTGCACCATCCCCTGGAGCGTTCGGCCCTGGTACGGCGAGCACTTGTTACGGAACAGCATGGTGCTGGGCTCAACGACCCATTCGGCGGCATCATCAAACACGCAGATATCAGCATCACAGCCGACAGCAATGTCACCCTTTTGCTTCTCCAGGCCAACCTGCACGGCCGTGTTGACGCAGCACCATTGCACGATATCCTGCAGATGCTGCTCCACCGTCTTACTCTTAATACCACTGTTCTTACGCCGACTGATCTCGGTCCATAGAATCGGCAGACCCAGGCCAACGGACGAAATGCCGCCCCAGGCAGAAAAGAAATTCCCGTCGTTAACTGCAGCTTCCTGGCCCTCGAAGAAATCTGTGACGCTGCTGCTGGCCGAGTTGGCGGAGGCCGGGGTCAGCACGGTCGACGAACTGGCAGAGCTGTTACTGCTGCTGCTCAAGCCCGATATGTGCGAGGGGAGAAGTTTGAGGTCTGGCGTGCACGGTGAGTGATCCGAGACGACCGTCTTGATGACGCCGTCGCCGGCATACCGCTCCAGTTCAGCCCACAGCGCGTCCTGGTTCAACTGCGAGCGGATTGGCGGGCAGCATTTGTGGCGAGTGTCGCCTTCGGCGATCTCCTCGGCGGCCAAGGAGAGATAGTGGAAGCAGGTTTCGGCGGTGATGGGGATACCATTGGCCCGGGCATCGCGCAGTAAAGGGATGGCCTCCATGGCGGATAGATGGACGATGTGCAAGGGTAGGTTTGGCGCGGTGGGGGCCAGTTGGATGATTTCTGCAATGGCGTATGTCTCGAAAGATGGCGGGCGAGAGGCCAGGAAAGTCGAGTATGCCTGCAGAGGACCGGCTGGGGCGAGCGGAGGCAGTGAGGTTTGCACATCGTCTCCCACCGAGTCTGTGATCGGGGGTAGCATCTCGGCGTGGAACATCAGCGTGGTGGGCTCATCTGCCAGCTCCTTCATGGACAACTCGATATCATGGGCAGATACAGCAGGGAATTCTTCAACTCCACTATCAATGAGAAAGCCCTTAAAGCCACGCACGCCCTCGGCCACAAGGCCCTTGAGCTCGTGGGAATTTCCGGGGATGATACCGCCATAGAAGCCGACGTCGACCCAGCACTTTCCCTGAGCAGCGCGGATTTTCTCATGGAAGCCAGCTACGGTGGTGGTAGGGGGGATGGCATTGAGCGGCATGTCGATGACGGTGGTCACGCCGCCAAAGGCCGCAGCCTGGGTGCCGGTGTAGAAGCCCTCCCATTCCGTGCGTCCTGGTTCGTTCAAATGGACGTGAGCATCGACCAGGCCCGGCAGGAGAACGGCCGGAGAGTAGTCCTTGTACGGGGTGCCAGCGGGGAAGGCCGAGACGGGCTTGACGGCGTCAAACACCTGCACGATCTTCCCAGTGGCCTGGGACACCACGATGGTGGCTGCAGTGAAGCGGCCCGAGACGACGGCGCGGGACGAAGCTAGGACGCTGATAGTGGGATCCATGGTGTGGAGTTGGTCGCACTGGCTAGTACGCAGCTACAGTTACGGGCTTGTATGCTAGACTTGGTGGCGATGAGCCCGACCTTTGCACAGTGGACGGCGGGTAGGCTTCTGTGTTCAAGACGGGAATAGAAGCCGACTGATAAAGAAGCGAGGCTCGATACGGCAAGAACATGCAGGGTTAAGAGGGGATTATAAAAAAGCAAGTTTGATTTCTAGGAAGAAGTGCCAGAAGTGCTTATCGTGGCGGAGGAAAAGGTCGAGATAAGGAGGCAAAGACTGTCCCAAAGAGGAAATAGTGCCACGATAATCTTATCAGAGAGACACAGACGCGGCAAAGGACGCTGCACAAGACACAAGCAATATAGGGGGAAAAATGGAGTGGGGGAAAGAATATTGGAGGAAGAAACTTAGGACAGAAAGAGAGAGACGACTTTTAAGACAACGGGAGGGCCTTCCTCCTTGCCCTGGGTGGGTAACATGTGTGGAATTGCTATGACTACGCATTAATGCTTTGTGGTACTGTTAACTTTTCGCTGTTGTTCCCGCAGGTGAGTTCTGCAGTCTGGTCCCACTCCGTCCCGACCACTCTGTGTGGCTTTGACTTCCCTATACAGCAAAGGCTAGACAGCAGTCAGGAGATTAGGCAGTCAGCACGGGTTGTTTGTTAGTACTACTGAGTAGAGAGAGCGGGTGTTGTGCCGATAAGACGCTGGCGGGGCGGTGGTGTTACTCGATAGAAATTCCCAAAGAGTCGTAGTGACCAAATTTTTTTACCGGGGGCTGCGCTGCTCGGCCGATTGGATCCGGGGATAGAGTCATATTTGCCCCTTTCGGCAGACGATCAGACCCATCCGAGACTGCCCGTCTGTCGTCTGGGGGCGGCTGCTGCTGGGGATTGTTAATGGTAGCATGTTGACAGTGTGGATGGGTGTGTAGGGTGTATATTGTGTGTATTCCGCTATGTGCATGGCTTAGATAGGTCTAACAAGATTAGAAGGAAGTGAGAGCAATCGGAACGTTGTTCGGAAAGGGTTTTGCTGGGGCTAAGATAAGCTAATCTGCTATCGTTGGTCCGCCGCTGTTCGTTCCCGTGATTGGCCCGATATTCCTAGCTGCCCCATAAAAAAGTTTTTCGTGCACGTACACTGTTTGCAGTGTTTTGCAGCCGTCGGCCGGCTCCGGAGCCGCTGCCTCAGGCAGTCAGGCTCGTCCCGTCCTTCTTTTATGGAAAGAGACATGTGAACAACGCTTGAGCTTTGGTGGAATCGTCTATTGGAGGATCTATCTAGGCAGACTATTAAGCGAAGCACTTCTGTTCTCCAATTTGTCAGGCATTAATAATGATAATTCCTTACTCCTCCAGCTCGATCGTATCCTCGCCCTGTATCCATTCCTCCCAGCCGTCGTCCTCCACTTGCTCTTGGATGATTAGCTCGACTTCCTCGTATGATGGGCTGGCATGGAGTTTGTCCAGCCACTGTAACATGTTCCGCCAGCACGAGACAATCGTGGCTTCCGAGTGCATTGGTTCACCAGACGAATAGGTATTGCAGCCATATTCAAGAGTACCTGGAACTGGCCACTCCACGGGCTGTGCCGAGAGCACGTACGCACGACAACGCGTAGAAATGAATCTGGCAAAGGATTCCTTTGCAGGTACAGCATGCGAGTCAGCTGCGTGCTCGGTCCCCCATTCATGTTTTCTGTAGTGTGGCTCTGCGAAACACATCGCGGAAATGTGTTGGTTCCATTTAACCCCTGTTGACAAGCATTAGATGTAATAGTAATAAGAAAGAGAGCAAGTGTGTCTCACAGTTCTTTGCCAAGTACTTGATCACACCGTCTGCACCTTCTGCTACCCCGACAACGTCAATCTTAGCATCTGCATCCACCATCTGTCCTCTCGCGGCTAGTATTCCCTCAAAAACGCATTGGACATGCTCGTAGCTGGTAGCATTATGGGGGATAATGTTTCGATGGCTCTGTTTCAATGGCGGATGAACGGCCGATTGCCGTGGAAGAGCATGCCAAGTGCGTTCTGATACCGCTGCTCCTGCACCGCAATGGAACACCAACTGCCCGGTATTTGCAATCACTAGTGCGGTGTCCAGACAAGACGAAGAGTCGGAATCACCCCCTTGTTTATCAACCTCCAAGACAGATTTGGCAAAATCTATCATCGACCCTACGTAAATACCCAAGGCCCCTACACATCGATAGGCCCAGATACCAAGATCCTGGCTGGAACCGCCAAAGACCACGACGATTCGCTTGGCATGGTTTAGATTGGAAGAGCATAATACTGGCACATGTCTGTCATGAGGTTGGGCTCCAGGAGGAAGACGAACAGTAGCCATAGACAGAGCGTGCAGACGATCAAGAACAATACGACGAACGCATTCTGCCTTTGATTAGCCATGGTAAATAAAGAAATACTTGGCAGAGCTTACCATTCATTGCATTGCGCTGTACCTCGTTCCATCTATCATTTTTGTTGATTTTGAACTTGAAATCCTCTTGCGGGTTCGCTAGCTGCCGGATTTGATCCTGGTCGTTGATGAAGTATCTGACTTTTTAGTACTTGAAATGAAACTGCTCTCATCCATACAACATAATTGACAGCCAAGAGTAAGCTCACCCAAGCTTATCGAGATCTGGGGGAAAGACAGCGTCTTTTGGGAGGTCTTCCTCGCCGTAGATTAGCATCTTGTCTAGATACCTAAATAAACCAGGAAAGTAGTGGATGAGAAGATGAAGTGAGAGATGATAGTAAGGTGAAAGGAAGCGGAAGCAAAAGCAAACAGACTGCTAGGTAAACCACCGGCAACGAAAGCAGCAAACGGAGACAAAGAGAAGAGCATTGGTCAGGTGATTTGATTCCACCGCCTTGCTTTTTTCACCTCAGTCATAAATGATATACACGGATAATAATGGAAAATCGAAACCGTGGAAAACGTCATGTTATTGGTGATGATGAATAAATATTGTACATTTGCTGATAAACGCCCGATTTAGCCAACCCAGTATGCATTATTTGACTCCAAACCAACAAGCATGATACAAGAAGCACGCATTTAAATAATGCAACTTGATCATGTTACCAGGAAGCCTTCCTAACACCCGGTAATAGACCTGCTAATGCTTGTTGGCGGAATTGGTACTGGAGCGAATCAACATCAGTACAGTTCTTTCACACTTTAATATAATTTCGACGTTCTTACTCTTGCAAGCTTAAAATCACGGAATACACTTCTCGCAATTCCTCCTGCCACGCACCGGTTCTTGATTTGAGTCGGCCGGGTATAGGCATGCATTTGCGACAGTTGGAGCTGCGCCTGTACGCGGACACGCTGGGGGAGCGATGTGTTGCGAATTGCATAACGGAGAGCTTGCCTGAAAAAAATAAATGTCGTTTAGCAATGATCATCAGTCACACCCCGGGCAAGTGGGCGAGGCGAGATTCTCCTTACCTCTCGGGCTCAAACTGCTCGTAGACTTTGCGCTTGGTGTGGTCGCGGATGACACGCGAATTGATGAAGCCGCCGAGGTCCAGCCGCTTAGCTCTGAAGTGAGACATATTGGCGTGGTGTTCCCTGTGTGAGCGGTGGTTCGGATGTGTTTTGGAGATGGACGATGTCGTCTCGTCAGGTTCGGGAAAAGGTTGATACCTGTCAGAATAGGATTAGCGCGGCTAGGCCTTTGCCAGACCAGCCCATATTAATGAGCATTTCTAATTTCGAATTCATTTCAAATTTCAAATTGGTAATTTTTATATTGTTCAATATAAGCTTTACAATACTGAGAATGATTATATTACTGTCGTAAATTGACTAATGAAAAGCTACACATTTTGTCTACCTTAACGACCTGGGCTACCCTTGAGACTCACAGAATGGGAGTAGAGTGCTCAATCTCATTTTTGTCATCATATAGGTAATTTTAGACACAAATATAAAACGAGTAGTAGGTAAAATGGCTTACTCGTTTAAATTGGTTACTATGTTTAACAATTGGCCGGGACGAACGATTGACTAACTTACATTTCCGAACAAATGCGATCAACCTTACATACTCATGCTGTTACAAAAACTACTCAAATCCAAGTAGTGACCTAGGACTTAGTAGCGTTATGTGTAGTATAGTGATACAGTATTCTTTCTGCGTCAATAGACGCCTGGCTAGGGTCTATATGCTTTGTACAAAGAAAATCGTGGCAGAGACTGGCATGTCGCCTTAACCCTTGTCTTGACAACCAAATCGCACTGCAGCGCAGTAATGCATGTTTGCCCTTCAACTGCAATCAATTCCCTAACATCTTGATTTCATTTAATGGTCTTTCTTGGCTGGCTTGGCGTGAGGGTTTCGGGGGTCGTTCTTGAACTCGGCGGCTATGACTAGGTTAGCACAATCTAGATCCAAGTTTGAGTCTTATCAAGGCGTATTGAAAAGAGTAGTTCGAATGGGCCTTGGTATTGGTCTTCTGTGATGAATCTGAGGGTACTCACAATTCATGGAGGCGTTGGCAGCAGCGTTGACACCGTAGAGGATAACGACACCTGAAAAGCCCAGTCAGCAATAACCCAAACAAACCAACTCCTCCAACATTGAATCTTCGGTACTCCAATATCTACTCCGCGACATCATTGACATAACATACCGGCAGCGTAAAAAGGCCAAACAGTCTTGCCTGCATTGCGAAAGGTTCGTTAGCGATCCGTATTTTCCCTCAATGTACCGGCGCGAAAGGGGGGCGTTGGGCCACTTACCGACAGGCACCGGCCACTTCTTTCCGAGGAGAGACATTGTTTCAAGCAATTGCGGTCGCGAGGTGTATGCAGATTCGCGAGTTTGTGGAGGTGATGGCTGATGTAGTCGGAAGCAACGACAGCGACGGAGCAGCGAGGTTCGCTCGGAAGTTCTCGCGGTGCCGCTAGACCGGAAACGCAGCGCCGCTTTTAGCCCCGCCCGCTCTGCTTGCAAGTAAACAACATCTCGTCTGCTTTCTATACTCAATTCAAATACCTTTAATCAGAATGGCCGACTCATTGGCGTCATCAGTGATGTCGCTCCGCTCATCGCTGCAATTGCTCGACAGCTCCATTGACATTCTTGATTCGGGCGTACATGATTTCCCGCGGCTCACCAGAGTGTTACAGACAACGCGAGTATGCTAACACTCCAAAGCCAAAAATCCAAATCCTGCTACTAATACACATCTTATCTAGCATTTCGAGCTTCTCCCAGAACCAACACTTCAGGAAGCCCAACAAGCCCTCTTAGATGAAATCACTCCAAGCATTGCGCACCTCCTATCCGTTGCATCGAATCACGTCGAACGCCTCGCCCGTCGCGAAGACTCACTAAAGGCCAAATGTGAATTGCAAGAGGGGCGCATGTCCGACAAACGGAGGGTATCTCCCGCGCCGAACCTTGGTCGCGTACGCACAGAGACTTCGGATGCCAGTGCTAAGGCTATTCAGCTGAGAAGACTTGTGCAGAAGAAGGAGAGATTGAAGTATGCCGTTGACAGGCTAGAGTTGCAGAGCCGCCAGAAGGAGAGGGAGCTGAGGAAGAGTATGGCTTTTCAGTGATGGGCTTAGTTGCTGGGGTATAAGATTTATTCAGTAATAGTACAATATGGCTTGATGGGGCCTGATAGTTGCTGGGCTTGGTCACTGCGACGACAGTCAGTCGCATGCTGGTATCGGTCGAAGATGCAGGTTTACGGCATCATCCCAGCGCCCGAGACAAGGAACCGTGGATCTGGCTAGCTTTTACTCACAGGCTTTAAGCCGACACGATGGCACTACAGGCAGAGCAACTGTGTTCGTTTACGCGGTTGGCCATAAGCCTTAAACGACCTAGTGTTGATATAATCAGCAATGCAGAAAGTTGATCAAGATTCTTCTCATGTACAGATAAGTCGAGTCGTGTATGATAGAATTGTTATACAATATAATACATGGATATAAAACACATTCCCAATCCCATATTGTAACCAGTACGCCATACAGAAGCATGCGAAACAGACCGGCTGTCATATATCATTGCAAATGGACATGTTATTAAGCTCAATCCTCCTCCTCCCTCTTCGAAGATACCTTTTTGAAAGCCTGGCGAATTCGCTTTTTATTGGCATTCTTTTTCCAGCTGGGAATATTTTGGCCTTTCTTTCTCGCCTGAAGAGAATGGGCCTGTTCTGTGAGCGCGTCTGTGAGAGCAGGGTCCAGCTGTCTTTCCTGTGGCTCTGGGTCGAGCGAATCTGGGTCTTCTGTCTCCCCTATTTCATCCAGCCTACTAGCAGCCCGTCTTTGCAACCTCTCCTTCTTGCTGTCTTCACTTGCTCCCGTGCCAAGCTTTAGATGACGCGGAATTCGTGTTTTCGCGCCAAGAGCCCATAGATCTCCCCACCGTGCTTTGCGTGCATCGTGATAGGCTTGTCGGCTGAAGGAACGAGGGACAGTCCAGCGTTCAATCTTGCCTTCTGGAGTGCAAAGATCGAGGATAACATGGCCTCGACGTTTGATCGGCGAAAGGACCATTCGGGGAAGAGATAATGTGTTGAACGAGGTTGGCGGCGCTGCCGTGTCATCTGAGGCTGCATCAACTGACAAATTGTCTTCGTAGCCTTCAAACGCCGCATTAGTTGCATCTTTGCCTTGAACAATATTCTGTGCATCTCGCATGTCCACCCCACGTTGGATAGCCACGTAGCTGAATTCGACATCCTCGTGGTTACGATCCCTAGCCCCGATGATGCGTTGCAAGTAGGCTGGACGGATAAATCGTTGCTCGAAATGACAGTAATCGCCTCGGCCTTTGGCTTGGCCGGCAATGTGATACATAGGGCACTTCCCATGATTCGTACAAGGGGCAATGATCATGCCGGGTTCCTTTTTCACACTTCCCATGTCTCCACTGTCGCCCAACCCGTCATATTCCGTGGATCCAGGGCTTGCAATATGCCTTTCTAGGAGCATTTCACGAGCACCCGCAACAGCTTCAAATCCTCTTTGACGACCCTTCTCGAGGAGAATAAGGACACCGCCGTTCGGATTGAGGAGTGCCCATAGATTCTTCACGTGCTGTTTGCGTAGATAGTCTTCCTCGATTTCGAGCAGTGTGTGGGGCGCGATTATGACATCAAATTGTTTTCGCTTGGGTGGCGCTCTTTCATCATCTAGAGTAGTGGTGTCACGAACATGAACGTAATCAGGGAGTCGAGGTAGGAATGTCGTATTGTCCAGCATGGCGCTGGCTCGTAGCTGAAGAGAGTTGGAGCCGGCGAGCACAGTCGACTTCCCAGTAGGGACTGGTGCGTCTGGAGGATGTCCAGGAACCATAGTCTCGTACTCGGCACGAAGTACATCTCTCCATGCCAGTATTCCTGCACCTCCGCCACCTGCATCCAGAACTCGTGGACCTGTCTCTTGAGTAATGAGATTTCGCAGCCATTTGCTTCCTAGCCGTTTCCGAACCTCGACAAGTACGCTGAGAGTCGCAGCATAGATTCCAGGATAGAGAGCAGCAATGTAAGCATTAGCTTCCATCTCGCTCATGTGATGTTGAGAGGCTGATAGAGGGATTGGGAGTTGCGGTATCTGCGTTCTCGGTGGTAGAGTCACGGTGGAGTGTGGTAACCTACGCCCACCAAACACTTTATGGGTAGCCTCAGCAATATGTTTGTTTGAGTAATTGGACAGAATGACGCCGACTGGCCCAGTGACCGTATCATGTGGAATGAACACCGTTTTTGGATCAGTAGCGAACTTTCCGGCTTCAGTCAGAGGATGAAGCCTGGGCGCAGATTGGGAATCCTCCTCATCCTGTAATTCGTGCTCCACCAAAACACCCCCAAGCTCATTCGCGACTTGTCTCACTCGTTCGATGGCAGATTCTTCGTCAAGTTCCGATTCTATGTTATGCGAGACTTCTACGTCCTCTTCAAAGGTGTGTTCGAACTCGACTTCTTCGAAACCGCCTTGGCCATCGTCCTTTAGAAGAATATCCGGTTGTTTGTCATCTGTTTCCTCCAAGACTTCATCCGGGTTAATAGCCTCACCATAAAGAGTGTTGTAAAGCTCCAGCTCTGCAGCATTCAGGTGGTCGTCTGGTAGAACCTCCCCAAACTCTTGCCGTGCTTGTCTGACCCTGGCTTCTAGCGCTTGATAGTTTCGATGGCCAATATGTCCACTAAAGGCATTATCAATATCCCAGCTCCTTATGCCTAATATATGATCGTAATCTTCGAGAAAGAGGTCATCCAGAATTTTAGCGAGTTCATCTTCGTGCCGATGAATGTTGTCAATCAGAGTGTAAATTTCAGCTTTCCGATTAGCTAATTGCACATCTGTTTCTGTAGTTGACGCCAGTGTCCGTTTTCCCTCGAGAAATTGTCGCTGATGCTTGAAGGCTGTCGTATTCTTTCTAGTTGAAGACGCATTAAACTGTGAGCTTACCGTCGAAGCAGATCTTCGCACTCCAAGTCGCTGGAGTTGTGTCGCATGCTGCCTAGTCAATTGAGAAGCCCCAAGCGAGTGTGGTTTAAAAGCTTTCACTCGGTATCTAGAAAGCATCCTGAAGCTTCCTTCAACCAGTGAAAGACAAACTCTGCTGAAAAAGAGTGCACAGGGTAAAATTATTTCGTCCGCCACAGGAGCAACTAATTGGTTCCTACGCCAAGCCAAAGCCGCATCTAATTCCTGCTGTGTGATTGGATAACAGCCATTTCATTCTTACATAATACACTTTTTAATACTCGCTTCTCATTGGCTGGGTTTGTATAAGTATTGATTTGAGATTTAGAAAATGGACTGGTATTCATGCGTCGCTTTCAGCGTCATCCTCATTCATGACGATTTTCAGAGAGTTTATGCATTTCATAACTTCGTGTTCCAATGCACTTAACTTAGCCATCACCGCGATCAGACTGGGGTCCTGGCTTTCAACGCGGATCTTCTCTTTGACTTTGACTTCTTCTCCCCGCCACCTAAAAATTTCGCCTGACTCATCGTGTGTCGGATGCTTAGGTCCGAAAATCCTGTCGCGTAGTGAAAATCCCGTTAGAGAGATATCTGAGGCAAAAGCTGTGGGCGTTTGCGCTGGTGCGGCGGGCTCGAGAGTTCGCAAATGTAAGACAAGAGCAGCCTCCGCTATTGCCAGATGAAATGATAAATACGGTGGTAGCCCCGGGTCAAACACCTTGCCTAATAGTCAGCTACTCGATATTCGCCTGGATAGATTTGATTCACCTACATCATTATCTGCACTGCTTTCCCACCATTGTAGTGTCTCCGGAGTCCCTTTCAGGAATGACCTTGCCTCGGAAATATGTTCATGGAGTAGACGCAATTGACCGGATATGAAACTTGAGTTCAGTGGATTGCCAGTCCATGTGCTGACATCCACCACATCCAGACTCTGATTCACAAGATTGCGGACATCAGCCAGCTGATCTAGCACCAACTCGGGTGCGCCTGGAATGCTAGAGAAGGTGAGACGAGTGGCATTGGCACCGCGAGGAGGCGGCAGAGAGCTCAACCTGAGTTGAATATCCTTTTTAAGAAATCAGTCTCTCGTTCCGTCGAATCCACTCTAGACAAGCGACATACCCCCTTGACAATCCGAGCTCCTACCCTGGTCACAAACCCTTTCACGCTCTCCGACCTCACAGATGACAGGACTAGAGTCGAACCTGGTTCTTTGGGAGCTAGAAGCTCCGCACATTCCTCCAGACCCTCTCGTAGTGAAACCAGCAGCTCTTGAAACGAGGCCAACAGCCATTCAAGCTCTCGTGACTATAGTAGAGAATCATCAGCCACAGTTACTATTCACACAGTTAGGCAGCCACGTAAGGACCCACCAATGAATTCTCTTCCTCCTCCTTCAACTTCTCCGCAGACAGCGGAGGATATGCCCAGGTTGCCATATATCGGATAGCCACGGGATCGCAGCCAATGAACTGATGACGACCAGGAGCGGCGATTGGTCCACGTTTACCTGCGTTGAGGACGATGTGGAGTCGTGGGCATCTCTAAGCAAAAGTCAGGTTGATGGAAAGGTGACGTTACCCGAGGCCACTTTAGCGTTCAATTATAGAATGGTCATGGATGACGTTTCAATGCTATGTGCCCCGATAGAGTTGGCCTGGTGTCTGCTCGTGCAGCGCTCGACTAATCCGCATGCGGAGCTCCACATAAGGTTGGGCACTAGGCCCCTAATAGGGGATAGCGCCGCCCTAGCTCCAGTGCGTCAGTGCCTACGTCATTGAAAGACTTAAAATTGTGGTGCCAGTTCCTCATGTGAACTCATATACTTAATGTGCTAGCCACAATTCCCAGCCTGTCGTTGCTGCCCATCCTCTACAGCCGTGCATTCGTCAATTGAGATCGACCATAGGTCAACTCCCTCCCTCCTTCCTCTTCTCTTAAACTCCCATCGCAGCCAAGACAGAAGACGCGACGGAATCTGCAGTACGAATTCACCATGGCAGCTGGAAGTACGTAAAAATCCCCAATTAACCTGAAAAATGTATCCTTCTTGACGACGACGAGTCATGACTAACTCCGCGTCTACCTGCTAGGACCAATACTCAGCTTTCTGGCTCTGTTTTTCACTGCTGGAGCTATGCTGCTCATGTTTTTGACGCTTCTGGGCGGTGTGACCAATCATACACCCTTGAATAATATCTACTTCCTGCAAGTCGACAGCTCGAGTATTCCTGGAGCTCCAACTACCTCACGATGGACCTTTTGGAATCTGTGTGCCGTTCGAAACGGGAGGAGCCAGTGCGGATCTTCACACCCATGCTTCCCTTTTGACCCCCGAACTCGCGCAATTTCGGCACCGATGTCAACGTTCCATCTCAATTCATTGGGTATATCTATCCTTTTTCTGGTCAATTTACTATTCTACTAGGACATAAAGTATGCTAACCAGCCTCATAGCACAAACCACTATTGGTTGATGTCACGGTTCATGTTCCCCTTTATCATCATCTCGCTGTTCTTTGCTACCTGCTCTCTGTTTCTGGGATTCGTGGCGATTTGCACACGCATTGGAAGCTATCTCTCGAGCCTTCTAACATGGCTTGCATGGCTGTTCCAGGTAATCACAACTTCGTTGATGACGTAAGTCCCCAACTCTTCATACAAAAGATGATCGACATACTAACTCACAAACTTCAGAGCCTGTTTCGTGCAAGGACGTAACCATTTCAACTCAGCTAGCGAGCCCGCAACTCTTGGAAGCAAAGCGTTTGGCTTCATGTGGGCTGCCGTCGCCTGTCTGACCATCTCGGCGGTCTTGTATTGCATGGGCGGTTCCCGAGGTAAGAGCGAAGATGGCTACAGCGGTCGCGAGACACGACGACGCGGATTCTTCGCTTCAAGACAGTCCAGCACCAAGTCTCGAGGAAGTTTCAGGAACGGGACCGAACGCAAGGATTTCGCCTAAGTGATCCTGAATCAGCAGTTCTCTTGCGGATCTTCTGGATCTATACAAAAAAAGACATCTCAGAAGTTGATTATCATGAAGCTTCGTCTTCCGATATTTACAAACACCCTTTTAGTCGCCTACATATTTCGATGCTTATACAACACCGAAAGCTACCGTCACTCTTTATGAAATTACGAGTAATTAATGTCTTGTCTTTAATATGTCGATTTTCAGTGAAACTACGACATCCTATGATACTCACTGCCTAATGAGAAGTGAGTTGGGGGAAGTATTTACAATTTTACTGTACTATGATTGTTAGATGTGTCAAGATTCATTATCTGTACACTAATCTGAGCCTTCAAATAATTGATGTTTTTCATTCAGTTCCATAGTTATAGCTCAATGTTAATTATCAAATAATATGATACATAATTTGACTGCAACTATTCAGTGAAGAGACATTGACTCGTTTGGTCTTTCGTCTTATACTGGCTGTGATATGCAATTGATGTATACTCACTATCATATCCTCTAGTCAATGCGTTTATTTAACAATACATACAATTGTATAAGGCATATCTATCGCTATATCACTCATGTGCAGCGCAAAGAAGGTGGCCTGTTCCTTTTAAATCGGACATGAAGGAGCAAACCATTGCAGACAAATCCAAGTTGAAGAAAGCCGTGAATGTGTGACTAAAGTTCCAACAAACGTTGACGGTCATCTCGTTCATAGACAGTTTAGAAAGAAGGCAGAAATCTATCAGCGAAAAAAAAAACTCAAACGGCCCCTTACTTTCATGAACATTACTCTTTTTTTTAAGCAGAACCATTGGCACTGGGTTGCGACTCCACGGCCAATCTAACACCTCCCTTTCCGCCGACTTCTCGGGCGGTGATTTGAGCTCCGAGATCTGAGTTGATGTTGATTGTAACCTCAATTTTACCACCGGCCTTGACACCCTTGATGGCGACCTCGGCAATGGGTTTTGTGGCTTTCCACACAACTTCCCTGATATCCTCTTCTTCTTCTTCGTCCGAGGTGAAGTCTTCGTCTGAGTCCTCCTCCTCCTGCTCCTTCTTGTCCTTGACAATAGGCTCGGGTTTGGTGACCTTGATATCACGCACGCCTTCGGTAATACGGACAAGAACATCGCCGCCTTCCTTGGGGGCGAGGTATTGTGCGACGCGTCGGGCAGGGAGGGCGGTTCGGTTAATGACTAGAGGACGGAAAACGGCGTCTTCGGCAGCAGACACTAGTTGCACGCCAATTGCACTACTCAGGTGCGGTGTGACGGTAACCATCGGGTGAATCGACTGCTCGATATCTTCTGCGTCAAACTCCTGGATCAAGGAAGCTTGGTATGCGGCTCCACGGGCAGCAAGCTCGGAGGGGTTGATGGCGGTTGGGGAAGTCGCAGGAGCAAGAATCGTGGTCTTTTCAGGGAAGACGCTTTCGAGCAGGCGGGCAATCTTTGGTGTATGGGAAGTACCACCAGCCAAAATAACCTATATACTTGTCAGTCCTTGAATCCGATAGTATAGATTTATGTGTTGGGCCTTACTTCGTCAATGTCCAGAATGTCAAGCTCGGCCTTCTTCACTGCTGACTGAATCAAGCTGGTGAATTGGGAGAAAACCTTGCCGGCGAGAAGTTCATATCTTGTACGGTTAATAGTAGAGCCGTAGTCAATGCCGTTGGTGAGACTTTCAATGCTCAAAGTAGCGTTGGTGCCGATGCTCAGAGCCTTCTTCGTTGCTTCTCCTTCAGCTTTTAATTTAGCCAGCCCGCGGGGGTCTTCGCGGGGGTCAACCTTGTGTTTCTTGATAAATTCCTTTGCAAAGTAATCGATGACAACTTGGTCGAGATTGGCACCTCCCAATTCGTAATCATGAACCGTGGCCAAAATGGTATACATGCCACCCCTGGAAGCCACCACTGCCACGTCTGAGCGGATGCCGCCGAGATCGGCGACAACGACCAGTTTGTCTTCCACAACAGCCTCAGGCCTGGCATCATATGCCAACAAGGCGGCAGCGGGTTCGTGGATCAATTGCAAAACCTCGATATCGGCGTTTTTGGCAGCCGCAATCAATGCCTCACGCTGTGAGTCGGAAAAGTTTGTGGGAACTGTGATCACTGCTGCATTGACGGTTTTTCCCAAGAAATCAGACGCAGACTGCTTCAAGCGACGAAAGTGGCGGGTTGTAACTTCGGAAACGGTGACAGTGCTGGGGGCTTCAGAATCTGTATCATGAACTGAGAATGCCACTGTGGAATCGATCTGCTGAGGGTGGGCCGACTGATGTGACGGTGTAGGGTCTATTGACTTGAAACTGTGCTACTGTCAGTACTCCTGTATATATAGTAGATCATCTCAACTACTCACTCCTTTCCGAGGTAGTCCCGGAAATAGGCGACGGTGTTCTTGGAGTTGCGAATAAGTTGCGCCTTTGCTTGCGTGCCATGGAACTCTTCCTTGTCGACATAAGAAAGGATTGAGGGGATTTGACGGTCTGGTACCATTAGCCAGGCTGCTATGAAATCGGTCAGCAGAGACTTCACTCACCTCCTTCTTCGTTGGCAATCACCTCTGCTTTTCCGTCCTGATTCAAGTTTTTAAATTAGAAAATTTTCTCATAACCATATATCCCAATATACAAGGACAAAACTTACAGATGTAGTGAAAGCGATGGAGCTGCTGGAATTGCCAAAGGCGATACCAATAGCAACCCGCTCACCGGCATCGGCAACTGCACCAGTCTCGTCACTCATTTTTTCAAAATATTTTCGTCGCAATGATATGAGGTAGAAGTCTGTCGAGAGTCTCTAGCGGTTTAGACGGCCTCTCAACTAGGAGCAAGATCGCGAGAACGAGGGAACAAAAGAGCGGGGTGGTTTCAAGGGCCGCAGGTTAGCCTCGCGGGAAAAACTTTTGAATATTTTTTTAGAAGCGGCAATGGAAGGTACCTGTGGCGGCCGTCTTATCGATAGTGCTGTGGCTGGTGCTGCATTGGCCTATGAAATGCTTCACACTACACACGTCGCTGGCAGATCAAGAAGGAAGTCCCAGTAGCTTTATGGATATCAAATTTGTAAAAATCCTTTCATGATCTTACAGAATGATTTACCTGGGTCGAGGAACAATAATTATCTTGGAGGCTGCGGGAATATGTAGAAAAAGCATCTAAATAGCGTGAATGCTAAACTATAATTAGCCAGGATGTTTCGATCCTTTCATAAGGACTATTGTTAACTCGAATAATCTTCACTCCAACAAGCTAGCACCTTTGCGAATCACCATCGAGGCTCATGCCAGGACATCGACACACAGAAAAGTAGAGGATCACGTGAGGCTTATCGATAAGCCTGGCCAATTTCTTCCAGCGATTTGCGACCTGCGATTTGCGATTTCTGTCAAGCGCAGAATAAAAGTCCCTCTAGCTCCTCTCAGAATTGTTGGTTTTCGATCCTACACGGTGCAGTAACACTTTAAAGTCTTATAGCGACACTGTCGCTAGGGGCCGTTTACACCTCAATCATGAGCCAACCATCCATCTTACTTCCTGGCGAACAAGTCCCCTCCGATGCACTCCCCTCCACAGGACCAGCTCCACTGAGACTCGGAGCAGGAGCGCGATTATTACACAAGTCACAGAGTCAGCACTCAAAAGGTACACCGAAAGATTATGAAATCGTTGCCACTCAGGCCGGTTTACTATCCACCGATCAAAAACGCAATACTATCACCATTCAATCCTTTCCCAACCATCGCTATATACCAACTGTTAATGACCTAATCATTGCTCAAGTGCACCGCTCTTCACAGGACTTTCATCATTGCATCATAACACCGCATGCACCGTTTGCGGTGCTAGGACAGTTGGCGTTTGAAGGCGCTTCGAAGAAAACTCGGCCCAATCTGAAGCAGGGCGACCTTGTATATGCACGTGTGCTCTCTGTGGGAGTTGGGGCTGGAACAGATATCGAGCTTACTTGCGTCAATCCTGCGACTGGCAAGGCAGAGCCTGGTGGTCTGGGACCGCTAACAGGGGGGATGCTGTTTGATGTTTCGACGGGGCTAGCTGCCCGATTGATGAAAACGGGATCCTCTGCGGCGGCAGAGTCAGTGGCAGTACTTGAAGAGCTAGGCAAGAAGCTTGAAAGTAAAGGAGGATTTGAAATAGCCGTTGGGCGGAATGGCAAGGTGTGGATAGATTGCTCGAGTAACAGCGATATCGCTGTTAAGATGACTATCGCTATTGGGCAGTGTTTAAAGGAGCTGGATCGGCAGAATTTAAGTCCAGCAGAACAGAGGAAGTTGGTATCGAGAGTCATACGAGAATTGAAGATTGATGCCTGAGTTGTCGCGTTCCAATATGTAAAGTATTTGTAAATCATTTCCAATATGGCCAATTGATGGCATGGGCCTAGCTAAAGCTGTGGGGAGACAGAAAGCATCCATTAAACTCATTATAATATAAGACTCATCTAAAATCTTTGATTTTGATGTGATTTAATCAGTCTTTTCCTGTTTAACGTGAGTCTATAATGTCTGCCGAATCTGGTAAGGTGCGACCCGAACACTGCGTTATCCTTCTGGCATGCCATCCGCGACACCCCAAATTATTTCTTCTAGGCGACTTTCGCATACAGAACCGCCGGGCTCGCGTTCAGACTACTATCCCGACTCTCACAAAATGAAGAGTATTTTCAGTAGTCTTTGGAGTAAAAAGAGTTCATCCCAAGTGAATGAGGGAAATAGTTCCCAGCCGATTGTGCCTAGTTCTCGTAAGCTCTGCACGATTCCCCCCTCCCCTTTCAATGCATTGACGCGCACACGTCAATACGATAGCATGATTTCTACAAGCAAACCGCTTCTAACACTGTTTTCCTAGCTCCTAGAATAGGTGAAAACGATATTGTGCAAGATACAGAAATTAATACCGCCACTACCATAACAACGCCTACTTCCAAACATAGGAGCAGCTCGAAGCGCAAACGAAGCGAGGCTAGAGATTCGATAGTAGACACGCCTATTATGGCCAAACCCCTCGAAAATTCTTCGTCACAAGGTACACCCCCCGGGGCAAAGAGGAAACGAGCGAGGAAATCGTCGAAAACCTCATTGGGAAAGGAGAATCGAGAACCAAGCGTAAATCCGAATGGTGCATACGGAACATCTCTCAGGCAATCGACTGAACCAGACTCGAGCACACCAAATACAAGGCGCACGCCATCGAAACCCGCACCAGACCACTTCCGACCCGGCCACGTCAGCACTCAGAATACGAAAAGAACAGGATGGTTTAGCCCCGAGGAGACAGCGCTGTTAGAAGCGCACAAAATAGATTTCTGCAGAAGTCATTCAGTCGATTTTGAAATCTTTAATCAATGTGTCCATGCATCGAATAAAGACAAAGAGAACCTATTCAAGTTGAGACCAGAATTTGGAACCCACAATGAATTCTGGAAAGGCGTCTGGGCGATAATTCCTGATCGAGACCGTCGGTCAGTTCTGCGTTTCATGCGCCGTCACTTTCAAGTAGGGGATGGAAATCGTCCCTGGACGAACTCTGAAGACAACAGGCTTGTTCGACTCCACGACAAGCATGGGCCAAAATGGTCTGTTATTTCGAAGGAAATGGAGAGAACGCAAGACGATGTTGTTCAGCGCTGGAAAAACAAAGTCGAACATCGCTCTACAATGATCACAGGTTTATGGAATTTTGCAGAAATGGAAGAACTAGTCAGAGCAGTTAGAAAGGTTCGAGACATTCTGGCCCAAGAGGGGTACACCGATATTGAAGATCTCTACGATATGGACGAGAAGCATATTTCCTGGGGTGCAGTGAGTGATGCGCTTAACAACAAAAGATCTCGGCAACAGTGCGCGGATAAGTGGCGGAAAATCAAGACCAAAGTGTTTAACTATCGACAGACAGGAAAAAGGCATGCAACTTTCTACGACGTTTATGAACCTGACGGCCATGTCTGGAGCAAACCTGACGAGACTGGCAAGTCTTCGAAACGCGCTCCAAAGTCTCAGGCAGTTATAAAAAGGCAGAGCTCGCAAAGCTCCGATTCAGATGACGCCAGTGATGATGAAGAGCAAGAATTGTCAGCTGTGGACAATCAGTCAACTCATGAAGGTCAAGATCAAGATGAAGATACCCAGGACAGCGACCATCCGAGCAGCTCTGATGAAAATGAAGAATCTCAATCTGAACGCCAAATTAAACGCGAAAATGAATCCGAAGAAGCTGAAAGTGATGAAAGTGATGAAAATTCTATGCCGAGTCGTTCCATGTCCGTACAGCCTAAGCAGAATGGCACCGTCGATTCCAATAATGAAACAACGTCCACTCCACAAAGCAAACATGAATCTAGCGACGAAGAAACCAATATCACCCGGAATCCATCCACCTACATGCGTGTAAACGAATGGGCCGCGGTAAATGCCAAACCCAATAACGACATCGAAGAAAAAACCTCTCGCACCCGAAAGCGCAGAAAGCACAAAAAACACAGAAAGGAACGAGAGTGAATAAAGCAGCGACTCCTAGTAGCATCGATGAGAGTGATGGGTATTTGAGAAAAGCTCATAAGCAAAGCCAAAAAATGGTAATCATCGAAGGTATAGATTGATGTACATATACATATTGATAAACTCGGTCTTTCCTTGTCTCCACTGCTTTTACATTACTGAAGGATATGTTTTAGAAATCTACCAATGAGTCAGTGTATGTAAGCCTCGTTGTAACCTGATTTTTAGGTAGACGAACCGAGTTGATTCTCTTTTCCTGTTCAGCTGGACTCAAACTTTGATATCCTCCTTAGCTTCCTAACTAGGAAGTTGGCCATGGCCAAATGTGGAATTCTACTCTGTAGAAACCAAGATATCAACAACTTTTGTCCTGTTCCGATGAAAGGGGTCTGCAGTCGGCCTCGCCAACCCACTGAATCCTAAATGAGTGGAAATGAAACTCTTACGCCGATTTCAGAAAGAATGAAAACTGATAAAAAAAAAGGCCCATTCATGTCTAAGGACTCCTACCATATATCCATATTCGTATTGAAGCTTCTGTTTCTAAGTCTCGAGAATGGACCCCTTGACTGCTATTGGCTTAGCTTCTAATACTATCTCTTTTATTGATTTCTCCTGGGAATTAATCACAGGTGCCCAGGGTGTGCATAAATCCGCAATGGCACGACGTTCGAAAATGCAGCGCTTGAAACGATCATTGCTGATTTAGAGGAAGTTTTGCAGCACCTGACTTTTGACGTCAAAGGAACATCGCAGAATGAAATCGCCGTCCTACAATTGGCTGAGGAGTTTTGGAGGGTTTCTCGACCACTATCCAGAATTCCAAGAGAGTTGAAAGCGAATATTAACAAGAAATCCAGTGGGAAAGTGTTAAAATCAAATGGGCTAGTATGCGCAAAGTAAAAGAGATAATATCCCTTGAATCCAGATTATCCAACCATCGATCACAGATTCTTCTCCGTCTCCAGTTTATTTTTGGGTATGACAAACTGCTGTATTGGAAGAGGCTGAAGACGAGGTAACTGATCAGCAGGAACAGACACCAACAATCGTCAATCAAAGCTCGTCTTGACTCAATTCAAAATGACGCAAAACGAGTTCATAATGAGCATGCCAAGCAACTGAAGTCTTTACGCAAAGAACTTCTGGACGCAGTGGATCGCTTACGATATTCTCACGATTAAGAGGGTCAGAAAGGGGGAAGCGAACAAGACAGCTATTGGTCATGTCTTTGAATGACGTCTCCACTGCTTTATATCATATAATGATACACTACAAGAACTACTGTTATGATGTGAAATAGAAGCAAAAAGTAGAGAAATACTTTTTTGATTAAGAATGCATGCTACATCATCACCTGTCTCTCTAGGTTGATCTCAATCCCGAGCTGACCGATCAAAAATCCAAGCTTAGCAACAGGTTCGGTCGAATAAGCTGACAGGTATTGGATTCATTATCACTTGACTAAAAATATGTACTTACTATCTAACGAAGGTAACCATGTGTAATCCAAAACAGGAAGGGTGCCGAAGGAAAAGAACTATTGGTAATAATATCAAAAATGGAATAAAGTCTCACGATTATCTAATCATCAACCTCAGGAGGGCGCCATTCTGACATCGAGTATGCTAGCTCTATGCATGTCAATGGCAGGCGAAAGGAAACGAATTTGTTAGATTGGAAAATCAACTTCCGAGCACTAATCGTACCATTCTGCCCCCCAGCTCCGTCCCTATTGAAGATTCCTAACCCCTCATACTAATACGCGGTAATTCTCAATTAGTCCAATATAATATTAATTCCCAATGAAATCCGTATAAATACCGAGTTAACTTTGACTTGAACAAGGAATTCATACAATCTGACATTAAGTGACAGGCTCGTCAGCTAATAGTATACATGCAGCAGATCAATCAACATAGTCACCATCAACAATTGCAACTCTAGTTCGAATTATTTCATTAGTGAATTAATATTCAGCGAGGCTGAAACCTGCTGCTGTTTGCAAAATGTAAGTAGTGGTGCTTAATGCTCATATTCACTGGTGCATTTGTGTTTTACACTAACCAGTGATCAACGCTTGAGCCTCGCCGGAGTCTGGAATCAATCAATCTTACTCCCGGAATTTCGACTAGGCTGTGCGGCTGACTACCTAGCCTTTTCTCTAGCTTGTTTTTGTTCAAGCACATGATGCTTGAACAGTTGAATGGGCTTCTGTATTTAGTTAGGCGGTTATGCATCAGCCCCGGACGAGGGGTTTCTTCTACGACGCAGCTTCAAAAGGTCCTATCCTCACTTGCCAGGCTGGGTAAATTCAATTTCGAATATATTTTCTCTAATGCGGCCAGTCCTTGCGGCTGTCTTATCTCACCATTGAAGAAGGAAATAGTGGCAGGATAGTGCCTGTAAAACAAATCTAACATGGCCACTTCAAGACCTACGCAGCTGGCACCACTGTCCACGGCAGAGGAGGAGCTGAAGAAAATGTGGGAAGAAGCCGAACGGGAATTCAATCAATTAACAAGAAAGAACTTGAGAACAGATCACGAGAAGGGACTCGACGATGTTCTGCAAGAATTCGAGAGAAAATACCAACCCCCTCAAGGAGGGAAACAGTCCGGCCTCGTATCCAAAGAGAAAATCAAGAAAACGATCGCAAATGTCCTCAACTGTATCCAACTCCTGGGTGGCATAGCCGCGCAAGGTGCATCAATTGTTTTCGGACCTGCTACTTTATGTTTTAACGCAATCTCGTTCCTAATCGACGTACCAGGCAAGATCGCTCACGTGTATGAAGGAATAGAGAGTTTATTTGACGAGATATCTCACTTTCTCTCTCTGTTCAAAGTGTATCGACAGTATGACCGGCTTGACTCAGAGTTGAAAGATGGTACGCACAAGCTCATGATGTCTATGGTCCGAATCTGTGGGCTTTCTATTAAAATGTAAGTCAGGTTTTTTGAAAAAGAAAAAAGAAATGGGAAAGGTTTCAGCCCTAGAATATTGGTCTAATACTCAAATCTTCGAATTCTAGAATCGATGGCGGAGTAATGCACCGTATCAAGATCGGAATGAAGGTTACTTTTTTGAACGACGACTCTGGCGTCAGCGCTGAACTTGTAAAATTCAAAGACCTCATCGAAAAACAGAGCCGAGTCACCGGCGCTATCACTCTACAGCATGTACTTGAAAGCGAAAACGGCATTGCCAAAATTCTTCAAGAAGCCTATGTTCATGCCGAGCAGCTCAGTAGCATTGATATCAAAATGGACAGCCTGGTTGCTGATATGACCGATCGCAAGACACAGAAAATCACAACTGGACGAGTCGATACTGTGGCAAGGATGCTATCAAAGACTACAGAGCCCATCCAAGAAGCAAAACAAGCACTGCAAACTCTTAGGGATGGCCTACTGACCCAGAGCGCCCAGTGGTTGTTGCAGGATCAGAGATTCACAGACTGGAAATCCCCAAATTCTGATCTATCTCCACTTCTTGTGCTTTCTGGAGGCCCAAAAACTGGAAAGTCTCATCTCCTAGCAGCCATCGAAAGAGACCTTCGAACAACCAATACAGGAGTGAGCATCGCATATTACGCTTTCAGTGAGCATGATACCAAGAGCACAAAGGACAAAAATAAGAATGAAATTATCGACGCGCTTAAGTCAATGGCTCTTCAGTTAGCTGCACAACACACGCCTTACGCAAAACAAATATCAGGAATCAAAGATTTCCAGCCACCGGAGGGAGGCAAGAATTTGGAGAAACAATGGTGGGAAAAATTGCTATTTTCAAATATCAAGTCTTCTCGACCTGATGAGGAGATAAGTATCGTACTGATTTTCGATGGCTTGGATGCGTTAAAAGAAAACGCTACAAAACTTGAAAAGCTTTTGAATGACGTGCAACAGCCAGGTCGCACAGTGCCCCAGACTAATGACTTCAAACTACGAATTATTGCAACTGGGGATTGGGACGACTCCCAAGTGTTCGTTGCTGGTGCCAAGCCCATTCAAATAGTTACCAATAACAAGCCTGCCATTGAAGCTTATATCAACCATGAGCTAGAAAAGGATGAGATCCTCCAGGGTCAACATTTTGAAATGGTCGAACTTCTCAAATCAATCCGCGAGAATCTTCCAGAAAAGGCCAACGGGTCATTTGCCGTTGTTCAACAAAAGTTAGAAAGGATCAGAGAAGCAGTAGAATCTAATGCATATCTGGACGATACCGAGCAGATTTTAGAGGAAGACCCTGCTAAAGACCACGGAAAGATTGCGCGGAAGGCTCTTAGTGACCTCAATACAGCTTTGCAAGCTCAGGAGATAGAGCAGCTGAACGAGCTTCTTAATTGGGTGATCTTTGGATATGAATACTTTGGGATTGACCACCTTAGGGCCGCACTATTCTTGAATACTGGGAGGTCGCCATTACAGCCATTTGAGAAAACGTTGAAAAATAAATATATGAAAATATTTTATCTGCGTGGAGACGTGGTAGACGTGGACTCAGACATTGAAGAATTATTTCGAAACGAAAGTGTGTCTGCAATTGAGAGACCATTTGCGCCCGACGCCGAAGGGGCGAAAATCTCAATGACAGTATCCATCAACCAGGCTGATCTTCGTAATGTTCAGCAATTTTTTTGGGATCTCACGGAGAGGGTTGGGATCTCAAGATTCGATTTTTTGGAAACCAAAGAAGCCAATGATGGCAAAGGAGTCATCCACTGCGAAGAGGTTCAGGCTCATTATCACATAAGTAGACAACTTCTAAAACTTTTGAACGATGAACCTCATGATAAGACAAAATGCCTTGTCAAATATGCTCTTGGGAATCTCCCAGAACATCTTCAAAGGGTAAAGGAAGCACTGGATAAGAATAAACTTGGCGCTGTTGAACGAAAGGCCATTGCTGGAAGTCTTGTAGACCTTCTTAGTGATGTCGAGGGAACTGGAAATCTTTGGAATACTTCCAGTGAGACATACTCCTGCTGGATTCGGGACTCGGGAGTTGAAACCATTCAAAACTGGTTAAACGATACTGAGACGCTCAAAACATTAGAACCGAGAGAAAAGCGTTGGGTAAGAAAACATACCGCAAAGTCAGAAGGGAAAGCAGGATTCTACAAGCCAATAACGCTTATGCTCGCCAGAAGATGGCTACAATCCCGTGGTTGGAATCCGTATGCCATTTATGAATGGATTGACAGATTCATTGAACTCGTAAGTTGTTATTGGAATCCACCAAACTGACGATCGTACTGATCGAGAGCAGCAAAAATCAGAAGACGATAAAAAAGAATCCGACACTGCTGATAACGACGAAACGGCTAGTAACGGAGATGCATCCAGTGAAAGTAGTGATAGTGACGACACGGCTAGTGATGGGTATCCATCCAGTGCGAGTAGCGATGGTGACGACGAGACGACCAGCAGTGAGGATACTGATAAGCATTCAAATTCCATTCCTTCCGCCGCCACGTGGGTGCAACAAATGCTGAACCTTAGAGACGATGACTTGAACTCTCTGTGGTACGAACGCATTGGTGAAGCGTACTATCATGCTAACAAGTATGAAGAAGCAAGAAACTACTTTGAAACCGCCAAGAAGTTTCCTGAGAGTAGTTGGTCAGTTGTTGTAAATTGGACCATGGCGGTATCAGAATTAAGTGAAAAACAGCCTACAGAAGCCGAAAAGAAGGAAATGAAAGAATCTGCTTGCAAAGAAATGGAGTCAGCTCTCACATACTTGAGAGCTCGATGGAAGGATAATCGTGATGATATGACTATCTACGAACGTGAATCCTTTATTCCAGCCCTCAAGCACCTTGCCTCCTGGCAAGAGGAACTCCAAATGATAGATCGTACTGTCGAGCTTTACAAGGAAGCCCTTGTGGTTGATCCTCAAGACATTCAAACGTATTTCGACCTTCTAAAAATTTTGTTTAAACACGAAAAGAGGGAGGACGCGAGGGAGGTACTTACTCGGATCTTAAAGCCATCAGATGAGCTCCGTGACCCCGACATATTCACCTTGCTGCTTCGAGAAATTACCACAGATGAATACAATGAGGATAATCTCAATGTGGCCAATTTCTTAGTAAACATTGCGCAAACAGATAATACACTAACCGAGAAGACTCTAGAAGGATTCAGCAATGCTATTCAAGATGCCAGAAACAATGATTGGACAATGAACGAAGGGCTTCTCCTCCTATACCAAGGCATCCTCCAGGCTCGAAGCACCACAGAAAGTGCTAGGCTCCAGCACGCGATCAACTCTTGGGAAGAATGTCAATCACTTTATCTCACTTCCAACTGGGACTTGATAAATACCCGACATTTTGCGGCACGCTTCGTCACTCAACACTATTTCAACCAAGCTGTTCGGCGGGATCACTCAGCTGAGGAGAGAGAACAACATTTGAACAAACTCTTGAAACTTTCTCGTCTATCACAGACCTGGAATCATGGCTTCAGGCCGACCTCCTTTTTAGCATCGTACTACGTAATGCAGGGTCGTCAAGATGAGGCACGCAAGCTGTTTCGAAATGAGATGATAGACGCGCTATGTATCCTCACAGACAGTGATCCGGACAATGATCCGTATGGCTACAAATACCTAGCCGACTTACTGATGCACACAGGCGATGACTTAAACTCTCTCATCGCTTGGTCCAAGCTATCGCCGTCTGTCTGTCGAGAGTTCTTCCGATTGAATTGTGATGGTCGCTGCGGGTTATCCTGGACCCATGCTAACGAGTTGTATATCTGCCGTTATTGTCCGGATACCCAATTCAGTCCCGCCTGTGTGGAAAAGCTGCGTGAAAACCAACTCGACCGTTTCATCTGCCATCGTGATCACGAGTGGCTGTATGTCCCGGCCTGGACTGAAGAAAACGTCCATGGAGCTGGTGAAGATGCGGTATGGGTTCCTAGCGATCTACCATCTGACGAAAATCAAGGGAGGGGTAATATTTTGTCCAAAGACGACTGGTTGAAAGGTATTCGTGAGACCTGGGGCATTTCAGAAGAGGAAATTCGGGGTGCCTCATAAGGATAAAGCCACGCCGTGCTGGACTTTCTTAACTACACTTCCAAAAACGTTCCTGATATACGGATTTAACTGAGAAGGAATCTCAAACTGCTATCTTTAAGTAATGGTGTATGATCAGATGTTCTTATCTAGAAGCTGATACCATGTCCTCAGAGCTGAGTGAATTCTCTCTTTCCTCACTGGATTGGCTTTCAGGGTCTCTATTATTATAATGCTGAGTGTGATGCAACGGCTATATTTAAACGGACCGGACTACTCCCAATTGGATAATTAGATATAGATTCCACCTGGCTAAATTTCCATCCTTCTCTTGAAGCTTCACTCCATTCAAAGAAAAATCATCTTTATTTGCAGATTTAAATGCTTCCTTTGGTATTTTACTCACACTGAGCTTTTTGAACTCCCTCTTGGTGTATGCCATCTGACATTTTTTTCCTGTTACCTTCATATTCTTCAATGGGACTACCACAGCACCATTCAATTGATGATAAGGTTGATATACACCTTGTCGGGTTGTGTAATCTTGGTGATCTTTATATGGTAATGAATACGGCATACGGGTAAAACTGCAACTGCACTGTAAGGCAGGGACGTGCAGTCAACAAAGCTTTAAACAATTATGCATTCCAAAGAAAAATTAAACTTTCCGAAGATGTGTGGATTAGTGTAAGTTTTTCTGATTATGCAAGATCAGCTCAACCAGCCAAAGAAAAGCGATTATCTCTTGAATCTCCCCGGTAAAGAGTTTGAAATATTCCGATCATATGACGGATTGCAAGTCATTTCGGTACAGACTTTGTGTACTTGAAGCTTGGCCTTCAGGAGCTTTGACCCGGTTTGTGACCCACAACATATCGACAAAACGTATATAGAAGCTTAGATCTATCATTGAACTCTTTCTTGACATGAGCCAGCATGACTTGAGTCTCAAGGTCTGACCATCCAAGCACACGGGTAAAGTATCCCAGTGTCACGGCCTCGAGAGCCTCATTCATTTGCACTTGAAGAAATGCCCCTAGCTCACGAAGCTTAGGATCCTTAGGCCATGTACCTATCGGTGTCTAACTTCTGCTTAGTTATGGCTTTTCGCTATGCATATGAATAAGGGTATACCTTAACAACTTCTGTTCGCACATCTTCAAATCCCGCATCTTCCAGATTTTTTGCGAACTGCGAGGCATAGTTGAGCGGCCTACCCAATTTTTTGCTTCCCTGGTCAATTAGTTTCTGCCATTTCATGATTGACGAATCCTCTGGAAGTCCCCCAGAAACCTGAGAGTAGAACCAAACGTCAAATTCTTGAATCTCGATCCATCCGTTAGGATTCAAATTCTGCAAGGCTTGTTGATAGAGCCGCGGCCAATTGCCAATACTGCCGGCCATGCTGCGTTGGTGAATGTAGTCAAAACGTTGACTTGGCGAGTAATCCCAATCTTCTTCTAGATCATCAATTATGAAGCGACAATTGGGGGCAGCCCTTCCTGATACGTCAGTGTTGAAATAAAATCTTTCGAAACGTTCAATAGTTTGCAGATTGACCCACCATTGAGGTTGAATAGGAGTAACATCGACACCCATTACTTCTGTTTCTGGATATTCACTATCAAAGCGTGAGTAACCGATTGATAATTCCCATTCATTGAGAGAACTGGGCTCACTCTGCAAAATCAAGTGCCCAAATTCCAGTTCCTGTACCCATGTCCAACGCTCGCTGCGGATTCGAGATGGGAGCAATGTGTAGTCGACCGCCTTGCGCTAAGCTGTAGATATGGTGCAGCATGTCCAGACGATCTTGTTCTTTCTCATCATTGGGCTAATCTACTGATAAGTCATAACCAAAAAGTATATACCGTAACAAAAACGTACGAAAATGTAGTTGCCTTCTCGAAGCTGGTGGTATCTTCGGCCATTCTAAACGACGAATTAAAATCATTGCAGCAATCAATCAAACGTTGCATGGTTGTACCTCGTATCTAAACCACAGTACTAATATATGAGATTACCAAAGAAAAATAAATAGATAAATGGAGATGTAGGTGAGAAGGAATGAGAGATACATAGTACTTACACATATGTTAACACCGATGACGATAACGAAGTTGTCATTGAATTGATATCGCTGCACGACTTAGCAAAAAAACATTTCAACGACTGAAAATAAGAAAAATAAAGGCTTACCCTTCTTCATAGGCCGAGTCACCATCGCTGCTCTCAGCATTCTACCATGGATTAGCTCCTGGAATTGAATTGGAATAGCAATGATATTCAAACCCACCCGAACGTCAAAAATAGGGTCGACAATACCGTCGTCCCTGCTCTCTCGACACATTACAAATCAGGCAACAGTTTCGAAGCACTCTAATATATATAGAACGTAAGATCTGTTTTGGCTATTTGCATATGGAACTGCGCTTGGTTACACGTTCGAGTTTTAAGTTACCTGGCGCTCGGACCGAGCCGAGACCGAAGCGGGGTACCTTAGACCCCCATAATTTGTTCATTTAGACTAGTGCATATAGCACCTAATTGGACAAACGTATTGCCAAGCACCAAGGATAAAAACCTCCGTGGCGCACACATGGTTTCTCGTGTAACATGTTCGCGGAGATATCAATCAATGAAACATGAGATATTTGCTTTTGGAGACAGGGGGTGCCTTGCTTGGCTTCCCCCCCTTAGTGTGGCTTTCACTGTATGCACTCGCATTAGCTTTCATTTATCTCATCTGCTTGGTTGTATGGAGGATGTTTTTGTGTCCGCAAGCAAACATACCCGGGGCGACGTTGGCGAAACTTACATTTTGGTAAACAAAAACCATTAATTGGGTTAAGCGACGACTAACAATCGTATTCAGGTACGAGTTCTACTATGATGTTGTCAAATCTGGTCAGTACATTTGGAAAATTCGCCAGCTGCACGATAAGTACGGCCCGATCATCCGCATCAATCCAGAGGAAGTCCACATTCAAGACGCCGATTTCTATGACGAAGTATACAGTGGGGCAACACGCAAACGCAATAAATGGTCTTTTTTCACGAATCAAAGTGGATTAACTTCATCGGCCTTCGCGACCGATGACCATGACCTTCACCGGATGCGTCGTGCGGCGCTGAATCCATATTTTTCGAAACAAAGAGTCCGACAGCTGCAACCGAGGATCGAGAAGAGTTTGAATAATTTGCTGGGGAGAATTAATGATTTTATGGTATCTGGAGGACCTATGACGGTGGGGTTGGCGTACGCTGCACTTGCCAACGGTCCGTTCTTTGTTTGCTTCCGAGAGATAACAATGGATTAATGCTATGTAGATATTGTCATGGATTATGCTTTCGGGCGCAGTGAAAATCGATTGTTAGCGCCGGATTTCGACCCCAGTTTCAAAGAAGCGGGTGAAGCTGGGGCAAAGCTCGGTCATTTGGTTAAGCAGATGCCATGGCTACTACAAATTATGAAATTATTGCCAGACGGCTTGCAGGTAGCACTGAATCCCGTGATGGCGAGCTATATCAAGCTAAATCAGGTTCGTTGCCTCAATGCAGATTAGAAACCTTGATTATTTTGAAGCCATGCTGAAAGAGAACGGTTATAGGATGTGATTCGTCATGTCACCCGAATATATTCTCACCGTCATGACCCACATAGTCAATACAACTCACAAACCACTGTCTTCCATGAAATTCTTCAAAGCGATTTGCCGGAACGTGAAAAAATTCCGAACCGTCTCTGGCAAGACGGACAGGTTACTGTCATTGCTGGTACATTGACCACTGCCGCTGCGCTGTCGGAAATCACGTTCCATCTCCTTGATCAGCCGATGCGTCTACGAAAATTAAAGACAGAGCTTGATTCCATAAGTTCTAACTCGGAGCAACTTCCAGACATCGCGAGGCTGGAGCAGCTCCCGTACCTCACAGCCGTGATCAAAGAGGGATTGCGCTTAAGTAGTGGCATTAGTACGCGGTTGCAGCGTATCGCTACCGAGGAAACGTTGACCTTCACTACAAGAAATCCCTACCAGGATAGTGATAACGCAATTAGAAAACAGTATATTCTCCGCCCTGGTATCCCTCTCTCAATGACCGGTCTCCTCATCCACCATTCACCAACTTACTTTGACGACCCCATGGCATTCTGGCCCGAACGCTGGCTAGAAAACAAATCACTCGACAAATACCTCGTCCCTTTTTCACGTGGCACGAGGTCATGTGTGGGGATCAACCTTGCTTATGCAGAGCTGTATTTGACAATCGCCACAGTATTTGGCCGATATGGAAGCAAAGATGTACACTCACCAAGTGACGTGGGATGGTTGGAATTGTACAAGACATCTAGACGAGATTTGGATATCATTGGAGATGGAGTAACGCCTTTATATAGAGTAGGTACAAAGGGGGTTGTGATTAAGGTACATCCGATGGATTGATATAATATTGACGGAAACAACCTAGCCTTAACTGCTGACGGTTCAATCTTGAAACACGAAAGCAATGTTTTTCAAAGATGTGTTCCGACTTGACCAATACTGATACATTTAAACATTTATTTCGTCATCGGGGCTTAGCTCGTTTTGCAGGCTATACATCGCCAATCTGACTAGATCAATCATATTTCGCGAAGGTTGGTCCCTCTTTGATGAACTTAAAACATCTTGCAATTAGCCACTGCCATGTCAGCTTGGCGATAAATTAGGTCTTTGAGTACAAGCAAATAATGTTAATATAATATATTTAGAATCTTGATTTTTTAAAAGCATTATGAGTTATATTATTGAGGCATTTTTAGTACGAATTTATCAGCATATATTCATTGAATAGACCGTATAAATAGATATTAATCAATACTATTTTTTATAGCTAGATGGTGATTTTATTCTTTATTGATCAAAATCATTATTATTAAAGGGAAGTAATTTTCTTGCTCGTAATCATCTTAGTTATGTAGGCTGGTAGAATATGAGGTTCATAGTGATATAATCCAACATCGTCGATCAACTAGCGTGCACATGCCTTAGCATCATGTATCATTTGAAGGGCAGACGCTGATCTTTCGGATTTTATTATTTTCAACTTTGTTTTACATTCGAACAGCCCATGTCAGACAACCCTAATTGTGTACTAGAGCTTTCCTGTGACGATAGCCCATTTTCAATCACCGGTAAACCCAGACGACTCTCTTATTCCACTTGACAAACTTGGTGTTGACAGGTATAACTCTCTCAATCTTCATTATTTGATCTTTTAGCCATGTATTGTATTGGGATTGCGGTATATAGTCTAAGTTATATGGGCTGTCTACCACATACGACCATAGGGTGTGGAAAACAGGGCTTCCCGTCCGCTCAGCCGTACTTAAGCCACACTGATAAACGTGGTCAGAAGTTAAATGAGCCCCGAGGGTGTCGCTGCTTTATGGGTGACAGGCGCTAAATCATGGGTGAGTATAGGTGAGATGGGTGAGAATTTGGTGAGAATCTCACCCACTAGGGTGAGTGGGGGTGAGAAGGGTGAGCTACAGAACGCTACGCAAAAAGGCTGCAGTCATTCCTCCACCTCTGACATAAATAGAAAGGGCTTCTCCCACTTCTATCCGTTCCTTTTTGTTGTCCTATATTCCTCGATTCCCCTTTTCATCACGTGATCATGACTGGGTCCATGGAAACTAAGTTGGAACGTCTGAAAAAGGCCGCAGAAGCCCGTGGATTCACAGAATAATACCAAAAGACTGTGGAGACAAAGGAAAATGTTATCAGCAGCAAGAAAAGGTCTCCAGCGACCAATGAGGTGTATAACCGCGCCATGAATACATGGAAACTGTAAAAAGAATCTGGTATGATCCTCTAAGAGATGATACTAAGCATTGTGAGGAAATAGGTAGCTTTTATCGAGGAATCAGTCTAGAGATAGAGTCTTCGACACCAGTGAATCTTGCCCCTCTATTCAAAGTCTTACGCTTTTTACAGAGAGTTATATTACGCTTCGCGAGGGGCCCCTACCAAGTCAGCAATCCGTCTTGCAGAATCTTACTCGTTTCACGAGTGAATAGAAAAGGATAAAATCAATTGCAATACCTAAACACCTCAAAAATGATGCTTACAGCGTTTATTCTCTATTTTCCCTTTCTTGTAAGGTATCTACTAACTGGATGGCAGTATATCAGGAATGAGCTTACTACAAAGTACGGACTGAGCGCCAAACATAGAGAAAAATACCCTGTGACACGGATAGACCTTAATATTCTAATTCAACATCTTTACACAAGTGATACGCATGATTATGTGCATGAACGCGGTCGTTTTCAACAAGCCTTTGGCCTGTCACTATTTTCCTCTTCCAGGGCCCGAGCAGGCGCTATTGTTGAATCCAACACCTACCAGGACATCAATAAGGCTCTTTATTATCAGGTAAATTACTTCCAATTCTTTTTATTAAACCAACTGCTTAATGCCTCTATAGCACCTCTCCTTGAACATGAGGTAGGATACTGAAGAGAACGTCAAATATTAGGTTACCATCAGACCAGAGTTTCTAAAGGGTCATCGTTATGACGATGAAACCATTCTGTACGGTTTTTGCAGCGATGTTTACTTTACATTTGATCACTACTAACAGAAAATAGGCCCAAGAATTGGATCGGAGAGCAAAAAATTCTTAAAAGAGCTGGTTCCACACCGGCTGCTACGCAGGGTGAAGCATCCAGGGTTGGAGTTAAAGCTTAAGATATCGGTTTATCAGCCTCTCCCCAAGACTTTGGTAGGTTTGGTATATTTCCTGGTTTTGGGGCTAGCCCTTTAAGCGTCTCAATCTTCTCTGGTTTTGGCGGCTTCAGTATGGGCGGAGATATGTTTAGTAATAGCGCTAATCCCAACGCAAATGCCGCTTTGCAAACCGGCTTTTCTGGCTTTGGTGGATTTCCTATAGGTGGATTCTCTGGATTCCCTGGGATAGCTGTCTTTGGAGGTGCGTCCGCCCAAGTAGCTGCGCCAATTCTACAGAGTGGTGGGATTGTGAATGGTGCTTATACAGCCGGGTCTACCGCGACCACCAGCAATACAAGTCCTGCTACCATCATAAGAGAGGTTAAGGGCCTAGATGAAGACTGAAAATCAGACAAGGCTGTATATTCTGCTGATATATTCACTAGAGCCCGGGCATCCCTTGCTAAGGAAGGGGCGGAGCAAGCTTAGTGCAGAGAGGTGGAATACTCGAGACGTGAGGATATTTAGAATATGTAAGCATAGCGCGTTATATTTCATTTGCGAAATTATCTGTGATTTTGATTCTATAAGGAGTGCCATAAGCAAAGGGCCTTTCGGTTATACATTAGATTTTCTTTGTTTTTTTTTTTTTTTTTGGTCATCTTCTTTAAACTCTCTCATTGAATGAATATATCTTTGATTCAATCTTGAGCAGCTATAAATGAGATCTATTATGCTGGATGAATGGTATGGGAGTACAGAGGTCACATTTATCAAGAAAGCCCATATCAGAGCCTCAAGTGATGCTTAAGTTAACAACCTGGGATTGTTGTTTGATTCGTTGCACACGAGCTATACAATTATATTCGGTTTATAAAGATTAACTTGAGGCCATCCAGCTATCAATCAAATTAACACAGACTCTCTCTAGACTCAGAGGTTCGCTGATCAATAGGTCAAATAAGAACATCTGTGTCTAGCTATCTACTGCCCGCAATTTATCACCAGCAGCCGGACTTGATTATATCTAAACGCGTTAAAGTTCATCTGCGTCGCCACTACCGACCCGGTTCTACGCGAGCAGCCTTGTTATTTCACTTTGTTACCGTTGTAAACCTAGGGTTCGATCAGCAGCTCAATCGTACTTTACTTCAACAGCTTTTGTATTTTGAGTAAACTTATTTGCGAGATTTGATGATATGGTTATAGTCATAGTCTCTTGATGTGATGAGTAGGCTTAGTATGGGATACAGCTTCTTGCTGTTCTATTGAGGGAACATACCAAGACAGACAGCTATGCAAAGCTATCCATATTCTAGACTACATGTTGCGTGAGTCTCTGCATCTGATTCACAGTGTCGTACTCGTAAGGTAGTGTCCTACTAGGGAACGATAGCCTTAGCTCTAGGTTGCTATATCTCACCTTTAACTACATGCACTGGTGTACGTGAGGTACCCCTTGCATTGGCTTTATGCCACAATGCATAGTAATAATATGAAGTTCCATGGCATTTCTAACCATCCCTTACTCGATGATAGTAATCTCAATATACAGTGTTCTTAAATTGCCTACATGCAGATGCTCTATACACAGATTACAACCCCCTTAGATCTGCGACAGTGTATTTTGTTGGTACATATTTACCGCAGATCCTACTCCACTGATATATCGACTTCTACTGGGTTAGTGGGTCACGCGGTCTTTGAGGGAAATGAGTGCTGGGGAATGTCTGTGTCACCTCCAGTTGCTATGCATTGATCCTATGGGGCTTCTTATGCGTTATGCATGAACTAACCAAAACCGGTGGGACCTCAAAGTCAAGTGAAGAGCGGTTGGCTGGATTGAGAGATGCAGGGAAATGCTCTATTGAAACCAATAGTGCTCGCTCTAGATATGTTGATCGCGTTTACTTTTTAGATATCCTCAGCTCTCTAGGCTCTCCTCGTGCAGATGGACTACATGCCAGCGAGGCCGCCATTGTGTAGCCACTGGGAATTCCTGCCAGCTGGGTGCATGTATCATCATTTGCAATATCTCCAATAACGAACGCGACACCCCTCCTCGGGAGTGGTGCTAGCCACAGAACTGGGATGCTATCTTTTGAGTGCTGACAGTCATACAATGTGTCGGTTGCAAGTACAAGATACTCACGGTATGAGTAGCGGGATACCGCGTATACCTATAACCCATATAACCCATACCTACGTTAAGTCGCACCATGGAAATATGATGCGAGTACGACCAGCCCCATACATGGATTCCCCTCAATCTATCTATATTGTCAACCTGAACAATGGACAGACCCTTGGTCCCTAGCAGGGTGCCGGATTGCTTGCAGACAGGAGCATTAAGCTGTGTGTGTTCTGGAGGCTAGACCAGTGTTTATGAGGGTTACACGAAAGAGTTGCCAGTTCTAAATTACCCCAGGCAAGGGATTGAATCCTCAGTGATGATCATATTATGCGTTATATATTCCACAATTCATTTCTTTCTACCGGCCATCACACTGCCAAAGGTGGATGAAACCATCACACACCTCAACTCCCCCACAATTACTCACCCGTCCAAAAAGGAAGCCCTACAATGGCCATTGACAATCCCTACGAGATCCTCAGCCAGTCCTTCAACTTTCCAACTAAGGACCAGCGACAATGGTGGCACTACACTGCACCCGGCTTCGTCAAGAGCATGACGGATGCAAAGTACACACCCGACGCGAAGTACAAACAGCTCGCGTTTTTCTACCACTGCGTCCTCCCGCACCTTGGCCAGTTCCCTGTCAGCACAGGCAGCGGCAAACTCAGCAAGCAGCCATACAAAAGCAACCTAAGCCCCTATGGCCTCCCCTTTGATTCAGCCTAAACCTGTCTGAGTTGACAGTTTAGTACTCCTATAAGCCCATCAGCCCTCAGGCCAGCACAATGGCGGATCTTTTCAACATCGAGAAAATGTGGCCAGTGGTCGACGAGATCGCACGCTTCGACCTAAGCATTGACACGACACTTTTCCACAAAATAGCGGACCTCCTCTTGTTAAAGGACGAAGCGAAGGCACTTAGCTCGCAGCCCGGGTTTAAGCTGGGGGGCCCCACACACAGGCAGTATCAGTTTGCTGTTAATATTAAGGATGAGCGGCTGATGCTAAAGGGGTACTTCTTTACGGCGATGAAGAGTCTGGCGATGGGGGTGTCGGCCGATAGGCTGATTAGCAATATGGTCTGAGCTGTTAATCGCAGGGAAAAGCTTGCTGCTCTACTGGTGAAGATGGAGAGTTATGTCCAGAGCTGTGCCGTATCGACATTTATCACAGTGTATCTGGGCTGTGATATGATTGATCCGGCACTGACCAGGCTCAAAGTCTACGGTCTCGACAGCGAAGTGACCTTTGAGTGGCTTGTTGACCTCTGGACTTTAGGTGGGAGGATCCCCAACGAGGTGATGCAAATAAAAGGGCTCCAGGCGCTCCGCGACTTATGGGACCTTTTGCAGATCCCAGCAGGGATTTGAGAGATCAAAGTCGACCATATGGAACTAGGTGATCTGTCTAAGTCGCTGCTACCGGTCATCGTCAACTACACTCTTCTCCCCAACAAGCCCCATCCCGAACCGCAGATGTATCTTGTGCCGTTTGGCTCGCCTGATGTGCAGATTGTGGATGCGCTTACGCAGTTTTTTGAGCGGATGGGATGGGGGGAGGCTGCGAGAACGTACAGGGAGAATCTGTTCTCTTACTAGTGAGTGCCCTGCCTTGATCTAAGCAGTTGGGTTGCGTTGTTTGGCTCTGCTGGTACTGATGATGATCTATATAGCCCAAACCAGGATTTCTCCAAGACTAGACATGTCCAGGAAGCGATTTCGCTTTCGTACAAGGAGGGAAAGCCATATCTTAGTGTGTATCTCTCGCACTTTTAGGCGTCTATATAAGTAGAAACTGCGGAATGATAATTTCATATCGTGAAAAAAAAGCATTGTCTAATTGATATAATCATTTGATCTACCTACACATCCCATCCTCATCCCACTCCTCGCTGCCAACCCCCATGGGCACAATAAACAGCCCACTGCGATCCCACCTCTGCTTCACCTCGAGCAGCTGCTCATACTTGTCCCCCAAAACCACTTGTGTCAGTCCTCGAGGTGCGGATCCGCTTCATTCAGATACACCGCCAATCGTGCACCTGCCGCAATTCCTTGCATACGCTGCACAAGGAAGGAGGGGCGGACCTAAGCGTGTGGCGATTAACGATAATTGAAAGGGGCCAGGTCTCCAAGGTCATACAGGGCTCAAGTATGCGTTAAGTGGCCATCGCTTCCGCGGCGAGTACTGACGCGCCGGCGCAACTTCCAAGTGCGTGTGCTGTTCAGGGTGAAACCCTCCCCGTCGCTAAGAAGGATCTGAGAACTTGTAGCGTCTTTCCTAGTCGGGAGTGGGGCCGATATATCCTAGTTGTCGATATCCTGGACGGGAACCTTATACCGCATGGAGTAGTGTTTGCTGGCGTGGACCGTCCGCTAAGGCTGGCTCGGTTAGATGGTAACTTGGTATGCTTGCCCATTTGCCAAATGAATATTTCCGAGGTGAGAACTGCAAGGGTCTTGTCTCGATCGCCGCCTCGGCATGTCAGCCGGCCAGTCAGTGGTGAGTGCCCTGTTATTTGTACTGGTGCAAGTTCGACCAATTCCTGCTTAATTGCTCTCGCATATCATCGCGTTACAGCGGCCATAGATCCGGCAGGGACATCATTCTAGTTCCTTTTCGTACGACGACAAGAACATGGCAGGACCGCGTAAGGGGGAATTCCAGCTAGTTATGATGAGACAGCCACCGTACATACCGAGCTCGTGCGAGGTCTTTAACATGACAGGTTAACAAGTAACAGATCTCGACAGATGGTATAAATGGGCCCCGTTTAGGTTTGCGCGAGACGGTCGAGTATCCTTGTTTACCAATTATTGGACAAACGCACATAGAACGTGACAGTCCCGGAAGACAAACATGATTTCCATCTCCGAGATGATAACTCCATTGAGCGGCTCCAAGTTCGAGGCCAGTCAGCCTCATCGACATCGTCCGGGCAATGCATTCAGAATCAAAGTTCCACCACGTCAGATCAGCTACCTTTCAGAAGGCTCGCCTGATGCTGCCTCGTCAGACTCAACACCAATACCCACACCATTCTCTGCACAGTCGCCCGCCGTTCTCACGCCACCCACCCCGGAAAGCGGAAACAGGGAAGACTTCTTCGTGCTAGAGCGCTTGAACAGTACGGTCCCATCGTTCTGGAACACATGCATTCACCATGTCATCACACAAAGATGTCAGTCGGCCCCCGAATCCCCCGCCATCGCCGCATGGGACGGTTCATTCACATACGGCGAGCTCAATACGCTGTCAACGCAGCTCGCGTCGATCCTGACGCTCCTTGGCGTGATGCCCGAAAGCTTGGTCCCGATATGCATGGACAAGTCGCGGTGGACGACTGTTGCGATTCTAGGCATTCTCAAGGCCGGCGGTGCGTTTGCGCTGCTTGACCCGGGGCACCCGGTTTCGAGGTTACGCACACTCTGCGAGGATTTGGGTGCAAGCATGGTTCTCACTTGTCCCACTCAGAGGGAGAGATGTATGGGGATCGCTAATGCTGTTGTCGTGGAACGGGTGTGTGAGGCGTGGTTTCCTACCGCCACCACTACTACTGCTCCGGCGGATGTGATATCCGCACCATCAAGATCAACAGCAGTCTCTCCAGCAAACGCACTATACGTAGCCTTCACCTCGGGCTCAACCGGAAGACCCAAAGGCACTGTAATCGAGCACCGGGCCTACGCCTCGGGAGCTCGAGACCATCTGCCCATCTTCGAAATCGACCACACATCCCGCGTCCTGCAGTTCTCCTCGTACGCCTTTGATGTGAGTATTATGGAGACGCTAAGCACATTAATGGCCGGCGGCTGCCTCTGTGTGCTCCGCGAAACGGCACGGACGGATCCGAGCTTGTTCGTCGAGGCCTTGAATGAATTCCAGGTAACGCATGCGATGCTCACCCCATCCTTTGCCCGGACCATGCCCTGGCGCGAGGTCAAGTTCATCCGCACGCTGATCGTCGGTGGCGAGGCGATGCAGCCGACTGAGGCGACATCGTATGCGGAGCGGGGAATCAAACTTGTAAATGCGTACGGTACCGCCGAGTGCTCAGTGAATGCGACGACAGAGCCGAGGATCAAACCTGGGACCGATGCAAACCGCGTCAGCTGCTCCACAGGGACGGTGATCTGGCTGATTGACCCTGATGAACCCGAGAGAGAACCGGTGGGACCTGGAGTGGAGGGTGAGGTGCTGTTGGAGGGTCCGATTGTTGGTCGAGGGTATTTGAACAATCCGTCAGTGACGGCCAAGGCGTTTATAGAGCCACCGGGGTGGTTGAGGAGGCGGCGCAAGGGGCAGTATCAGCATCGGCTGTATCGGACGGGGGATCTTGCGGTGCGGGATGGGAGCACGGGAGCTCTCACGCTGCTGGGCCGTAGAGAGGGCCAGGTCAAGATTCGGGGGCAGCGGGTCGAGTTGGCCGAGATTGAACAACATCTTCAAGAGACGCTACCCAGGGCTGCAGAGGTGGTTGTTGAAAAGGTCACAGCCGAGTGCGACAAGCGGGATAGCCTTGTCGCATTTGTTCATCTCGATAGACAACAGAGGACCATCTCACACTCGCCCTTGTGCGCCGACAGTGTCTCATCTTTATTCCTACCTCTAGACTCGGCATCAATACAGGCGTTTGCCAGCGTCCAGACCCAGCTTGAAGACCGTTTACCAAAATACATGATCCCTAGTCTCTTCATCCCCGTCATCTACATTCCCAGGACCTCATCAGGAAAGGTCAACCGCTCCATCTTGCGTGCAACCGCCGCGTGTCTCCCGAGAGCGGACCTGCAAGAATTCGCCGGAGCTCCATCTCATAGTCGGCCGCCTGCCACAGCAGCGGAATCCAAACTGCAGCAGGTCTACGCAGATGTGCTCAGCCTGCCGCGTGCGAAGATTGGAATGGATGACACTTTTCTGCAGCTCGGCGGGGACTCCATCTTGGCCGTGCGCCTCCTGGGCGCTGCTAGGAAGGATGGTCTCGCGCTTGATATTCGGGACGTGCTGGGTCCGACACGGTTAGAGGAGCAGGCGAAGAGAGCAGCAGCCACAACAACAGTTCCGGACATGTCAACAACCCTCTCCGAATACGTGTGTTTGGCCGCGCTGGGCACCGAGTCCCATGAGGAGGCGTTGCGCATCGCCCAAGAGCAATGTGGTGTTTCCCGCGCCAGCATCGAAGACGTGTACCCATGCACCCCGCTGCAGGAGGGTATGTTTGCTGTATCGATGAGCCAGCCCGGGATGTACAGCGATCGGATTGTCTTTCAGGTGCCGGAATCGGTCTGCAAGTCCCGAACTCGGGCTGCGTGGGAGGAGACAGTGCGTGCGACCCCAATCCTGCGGACTCGCATTATCCAGACGCCCAAGGGGCTCTTGCAGGTTGTTATCCAGGGCGTAGGGGCAATAACATGGGACGATGAGAGACAGGACGAATGCGACAGTCTGCCAATTCGCCCAGGGGCGCCCCTGATGCGCTGTTCACTCGCCGGCGGCAAACTGACTCTGACGATCCACCACGCAGTCTGGGACGCGTGGACGATGAACCTGGTCCATGACCGGCTCGAGCGCACGTTTCAGGGAGGGTTACGCCCAGAGCCCTTGACTCAGCCGTTCCACCCCTTTATCCGGTATCTGCAGGGGATCGACAATGATTCACTGGATGCCTTTTGGCGCGAGCAGCTGGCTGGCCACGAGTCGGCCATTTTTCCGAGCTTACCCTCCGCACAGTATCGACCAACACCGAAGGCCGTGCTGCAACACACTGTGAAGGATATCCACATGGCTGTTCGGACCCATACGCTGGCGACGTATCTTCACCTGGCCTGGGCACTCGTGGTGGCGCAATACACAGACTCGGATGAAGCCGTCTACGGGCTCACAGTGAGCGGCCGGAGGGTGCCGCTGAGTAGCATATCTGATGTAGCAGGCCCAACCATTGCGACGGTTCCCATGAGAGTGACTCTTGGCTCGGAGGATACCGTCCTCGCGGTGCTGGAGCAGATCCACTCTCGCACAATCGGCATGATCCCTTATGAACAGGCGGGTCTGCAGCGGATTGCAAAGGCCAGCGCCGACGCTGGACGGGCGTGTCGCTTTCAGAGCCACCTGAACATTCAAGTCGCACCGGAGCAGGCAGATCGACTGTTCCCCGTGATTCACGGAACCCCGGGTCGAGGAATGGACCTGACGCGGTTTTCCAACTACGCGCTCAACCTCCTGCTGCATCTGAGCGACGATGGACGCGTGGTCACCGCCCATGTTGCCTACGATCCACAGATACTCAGTGCTGGCGATCTGAGACGGATTCTCCACCAGTGGGAGCACCTCTTGCACCAGGTCAGCCGGCAGCCGAGCGCAAAGCTCAGCGAGATTGACCTCTTGAGCACACGCGACTGGGCTGAGCTGGAGCGGTGGAATTCTATCATCCCGACCGCAGACCATCGCTGTCTACAGGAACTCGTGCTGGCACAAGAAATCCTCCAGCCACAGCGGCTGGCTGTTTCTGCATGGGACGGTGAATTGACGTACAAGCAGCTCGTGGCGTTGAGTGCCAGCCTGGCAAGGCGACTCAAACCTCTTGCTGTCAGGCGCGGATCCTTTGTACCCATCTGCATGGAGAAGAGCCGGTGGACAATCGTTGCCATCCTCGCCGTCCTCCGGGCCGGCGCGACGTGCGTGCTGCTGGATCTTAAGCATCCGCGCCAGCGACTCGAGGAGATTGTACGCAGTGTCTCCGCCCACCTTCTCATACACGACCCCTCCACTGGCCCATTGACAGAGGGTCTAACCCCCAGCGCGCTCTGTATATCGGCCCAATTCACCAAACGCCTGAAGCGCGACTCGCGCAAGCGGCATCGGTCGCTGTTCAACCTCGACTCTAAACCCAACGACCTGGCCTTTGTCATGTTCACCTCTGGGAGTACCGGCCGCCCCAAGGGGATTGCAATGCCACACTACACGCTGAGCACGAGTATTCGCGACCATAGCCCCGGGATGAGGGTTGGCAGCCACACGCGTGCGCTGCATCTCTCCTCGTACGCGTTCGATGTGAGCATCTATGAGATGTTCACCACGCTCGCTGCGGGCGGGTGTATCTGTGTGCCCTCGGAGTTTGAGCGGATGAACCAGCTGGCCGAGGCGATTGAGAAATATGCCGCGAATTGGTCCTTTATGACGCCCTCAGTTGCACAGACGCTGAATCCGGCCGAGGTGCCGAGCCTCACGACGCTGGTGCTCGGTGGCGAGGCGGTTACGCTGCAACATGTTGATCCTTGGGCTTCTTTTTCCTCTTCGTCCTCTCCAAGTCCTCGTCGGTCCTTGATCAACGGCTACGGCCCTGCAGAGGCAACAATCTGCGCCGTGGGGCCCGTGCAACCTCAACACTGGCGTTCCGGCACAATCGGCCACGTTGTCGGGGGAGTGGGCTGGGTGACCAAGCCATCCGACCCCTCACAGCTGGTCGCAATCGGTGCCATTGGCGAGCTACTGCTCGAAGGGCCCTTCCTTGCTGACGGCTACCTGAACCTGCCAGAGGTCACCGCCGCCTCGTTCATCGACCCTCCGCCCTGGCGCCTGCGCCTGCCGTTCGCTTGTCAAGGTGGCCATGGAGGGACCAAGATCCGACTATACCGCACGGGTGATCTCGTGCAGTACCTGGAAGACGGGTCGATACGCTATCTCGGTCGGCGAGACACTCAGGTTAAGATTCGGGGGCAGCGCGTTGATCTGGGCGAGGTCGAGGAGCAGGTCCGACATGGGTTCGCTGCGGCCAGTACCAGTACCAGTACCAGTTCTAGTACTAGTAGTCGGGTCCAGGTCGTCGCCGAGACCGTCTCGCTGCCTATGGCCAATGGCACAGCTTCCACTCTACTCGTGGCCTTCATCGAGCGGCCACAGCCCAAGAAGAGCCTCCTGCTTCTATCCCCGCCGGATGCTGGGTTCCAACACTCCATTTCGCGCGTGCAGTCGCACCTCGAATCCAAACTCCCGCCGTACATGGTCCCCTCGATGTACATACCGGTGCACCAAGTTCCCATGACGGTAACAGGCAAGATCGACCGGCGGCTACTGCGCGATGCCGCCGGGAGTCTCACGCCGCAAGCTCTCCAACAATACCGCGTCAGCGACCAACGCCGCTCAACGCGTACTCCAGTGTGCAGCGCAGCCGCACATCGTCTTCGCGTGATCTGGGCGGAGCTCCTCGGCGTCCCTTGTGAGACGATCGGTGCGGAGGATACCTTTATCTCGCACGGGGGTGATTCGGTAATGGCCATGCGGATGATTGCTATCGCGCGGCGAGAGGGGTTCAGATTTACGGTAGCAGACGTGCTCAATAATGGGACATTGTTGGGCTTATCGATTCAACAGGCCTCGCCGTCTCCGGAACTCTCTCGGTCATGGATTTCAGGTGTCCAGAATGGAGTAGTCCACCGCCATCCGGCCACAGATATGCAAGCCTTCCTGGTCCACAGGTACCCCTGGACGCACTGGCGCTTTAGCATCGAGGGAGAGGTGGATACAGAACGACTGCGCACAGCATGCACGCGTCTTGTTGCAGCTCATAGCATCCTGCGGACCAGGTTTGAGCGTGATCCGTCAGGAAGCGCGAATCCAGTTCAGATTGTGATGAAGGAACTGAACCCTTCCTTGCACACGGCAACCATCGACGACGACGAGGATCTCGAGCGACACAGCGAGTTGCTCTCGGAGAGCGAGCAGTCCGTGGACGTGATGACCGTCAGCGCACAGCAGCCTCCCACCCGGTTCACTCTCGTCTCCAACCCCCGCCGCACAGGTCACGTCTTGGTTGTCCGTCTCTCCCACGCGCAATACGACGGGATCTGCGTGCCCAAGATCTTTGCTGATCTCGAAACGCTCTACAATCAACCCGATAGCCAGGTCATAGCCCCGACGGATTTTGAGCGCTACCTTCACGAGCGCACCGCCTACGGAGCCCAGAACCAGCGCGCTCTCGATTTCTGGTGCGAGTACCTCACCGACTGTCCGCCTCCTACAGCCTTGCATGCCAACTTGCTACCATCGTCGCCATCATTCACGGTTTCTTCTCCCCAACCTTCGTCTCCTATAACATCCGCTTCCCAAACACTCCCCTACTCCTCCCTGCCCACAGGAACAACACTGGCAATGATAATCAAAGCCTCCGCATGCCTCGCCCTCGCGCACCGAACACGCCAACACGACATACTGGTGGGCCAAATCGTCAACGGGCGCAGCATCCCCATCTCCCAGATCGACGAGGTCGTCGGGCCCTGCGTCAACTGTATCCCCTTCCGCGCGGTCGTCGCGCCAACCCTAACGGTGAGGGAGTATCTACGCCATATCCGGACCCAGCACAATCGGAGTATTGAACAAGAGGGGGTAGAATTTAAGACGATAGCTCACAAGTGCGCGACGAATATGAATCGTTCACCAACAACAAAATCATCAGCATCAGCAAGAAAAGGACTGGCACTCGAAACACTCAGCATAATACTCCAACACCAAAACATCGACATGGACCTGCACATGAACCTCGCCGGCGCGACGTACAAATCATTTAGCTCATCTGGCTCGCTGCGTCCCGCCTCCGAAGTGTGGATTTGCTCGACACCGCGTCGGTCTCCGTCTGGTCGCCCTGCTGTCGAGGTGCAGGTTATTGGCTCGAGTAGTGTTTTGAGTAAGGACACGGCCGAAGGGGTTGTACGTGATGTTGTGGGTGTTCTGGGGCTCTTGGTTGATGATAGGATGCAGAGTACCACGTTACGAACATTGGAAATAGGATTGGCCTGATGAGAACGGGGGGTGGGGATGGTCTGTTTCCTTCTTGTTTTCCGCTCACATAAAAGCAAATCGGTACACTCAAGATAATATCGTTTTTAATGAAGTTGTTTCGGATCGAGTTCTTGTTGATGTTTTGTTTTCTACCTACGGCAATGACTGTGGGTCAGGACGACTATGGCACCGCTAACAATCGCATGGTCTACTCCAATCTTCCAGAGCCGGAGCGTGAGTATTATTCTTGCTATTCCTTTCACAGCAATAAACCGAGGGAGACAGCTAGGTGTGAAAAGTCCAGCGGCTCGTGGGAGTTCGTCACGAGGATCGGCCAGTCTCTCAGCCTAGGCTAACTTGATGAAGATTGTATATTGTGGGGGATGCCCACAAGCTAGACCGGCATAGGCAGATAAGATGCGCAAATGGCTAATATCTGGGCTATATGCACGAGTAAAAATTCAAGAGTGATTTGATTTTAACCTTCAACTACTATTCACTGTATCCGCAGCTGCTGTTTGCACTAGTTAGCTTATTTTACCTTCCCGTGACGTACCCCTCTGGGCCGCGCCACTGCGTGGCTGCGCCATGCTTGCTCTCCCTACAGGTTAGGGCACAACCCTGCATAGCGGCGATAGTATGGAAGCCAGCTACATCAGGTCAATGAAATCTACTACTACTACTACTACTACTATCCGCAGCTGCTGATAGGGTGGAGGGTTGGATGGAAAGTTTCAAATATCTTACTCACTCCCTCCCCTCCTTGAACTTTGAGCATGCCTAGTTCGTATGAAGAGGTGTTATATCCAGAAGCACAGGCCGTATACAGTTGCAGCAGAGAAGCGGTGACATATCCTTTTGGGGGCAAAGTGACTCAACCTCGACTTGGACGTTTTTTGTTTCGTAAATATATATATCAAAGAAAGAATATTTACAAGAGCGTAAAATGGTATCATATAGAATTACTACAAAAAAAAAAATCAAAGACAGACTATGCAAAACCTGGAGGGACATCGCATTTGCTTTCCTTACAGAGAATCTCAAAAGCAAGAAAATATGCTCGGTCAACTGCTCCTCAATACCGCGGGAATACTATCCGCTTTTTTTTTTACAGTGAGCTTGTTATATATTGAATCTATGGTACCTCATTCCTCCATAGTTGCCAATTCACCGCTAGGGGGAGGCAGAGGGAGGCACTGCCGAGTATGATGAATGGTATGTTGGAGTAGCAGCATAGAGATGGTCCACGCGAGGCCTGTCGTGCGTCTATGAAAGTCAGTATCAGTCAAGTGATGGATGAATGGCTGGCTAAGTAGTATTGACACCGGAGCAGCCTTCCCGCTGACTGCGGTAACTCAGCCGTGCTGTAAGAATTATCACTGCTTACCCTGCATCCACATCGGCTGGCTAGATCAAATCAGATTGTGTAGTTTGGAGCGAAACGAACCTTGGCGACGATCAACCAAGCATGGACCAAGGACCGTACAAAAGGTGATTACATTCAAGGACAGGCATTTATGTGATCTGACTCTTGAGGACTTATAAGTTTCTCTAGTCACAGCTCTGGGCCTCTCCCGATTGGGCCTAAGGCTTTCAACTTGATCCCGGGCCCCTCTGATATGTCCAGACATAAAGTTCCAAGACATACAAAGTCTATTCACCTAAGGCATCTTGACATACATCCATGATTTTAAATAACCGCTTCTCATGTACATCTAGCTACGATACTAAGGTCAAGAAGCCCGTTCACTCAATGAGTTGTCTTCCAATCCCTCAGAACCAACCTGACAACCATGCTCTCAATCCCCATGGAGAAATGATCTTTTGCATTATCGAGCGGATCAACCTGAGCGTCTTTATCCTGACTCTCTGGTAAGGAAATGTCAAACGTCATGATCAGGCGGGCTATTGTCGTCCGAATATTCATTAAGGCGAGCGGTTTGCCGATGCAGCTGTAGGCTCCTGTTTGTGGGGTGTCATAATTCAATCATGAAAGTGAATGCGGTTGGGAGACAGGTCAGGGTATTGAGTTTCTATGTATAGGGATAGATAGGTGTAGAATGAAGTACCAATGATGGGGCTGAGTCAAGGTGAACTAGTGCTTTGATAGAGATAGACGTACCGCTTGAGAAAGGTGAGTATGCCTCGCGAGCCTTGATGTACTCCGGTCGATCATACCAGCGTTCGGGAATGAAGGAGAGGGGCTCTACATATGAATCCGCCGCTAGATTATCGAAAACAAAGGCATCTCGTTAGCGTCGACAATCTTTGGAAAAACCGCAAATACATATTGGGGAGAAGAGTCCATACATCGCCCAATAGCCCACTGCGGACAGAAAACAGTCATTGCACCGGGGATATGCGTCTTCATCCCATCAACATTAATCGTGAGCCCCTCCGGCGGGGTATCGCGGGGGATAACACTTGGGATTGGCGGGTGTAGTCGTAGCGTCTCGTTGATGAAGCCGTTAAGATGTGGAAGATTCGCAATCTGGCTGTGCAGGTATTCCCCGGAAGAGAGGTCGTCTGGTGTGATCAGCTGGAGCTCCGCGCGGAGCTTGTCGACTTCCTGGGGGTGGCGGGCGAGTTCGTAGACAATGCTTGTGAGGGATGTGGCGGTTGTGTCGCTGCAGAGTTGTTTCGTTAATTCGTTGTTCTAATTGATTGATTCAAGAGGTGCCGGAAAGTGGAAGTAGACGCACGCACCTTCCAGCTGTAATGACTAGCATAGCGTCGCCCATGAGCAGGCTGAACTGGTCGGGTGTTGGGCTCTCGCCCTTGAGAGAGGCTAGAAATGACGCGCAAATGTCGGGGATTTCCACCTTGGTCTATACACATAAAAAGTCAGTAAGGCTGTGAATCTCAGAACTCACGCCCAGGATGCTCATAAGGAAACACACATTCATCCTCTCAACAAGCGTCTGCGTCGCAAACCCCACAAAATGATGAAAATCCTTGGAAAGCGAGGGGACAGTGACCAAACACCGAAATACCCACGACGGGAGATAATATCCAAAGGGAACGATTCCAGCGAGAAGAACATCAATTGCCCAGTGATTATTCCGCGTATCGAGCATGCCAAAGCTGCGCGCGAAGGCTAGATCGCCCATAACATCGTAGCTGTAGAAATTGAACCAGGTGCTGATATCGGTGGTACTGGTCTGCCCAAGGGAAATCAGCCGGTCAAATAGCTTCTGGCGATAGACGCGGATCCGAGACTCGTACCCTCTCAGCCTCGCATCACTGAACCCCGTGCTCCACACGCGCCGGCGTTGGTCGTGCTCTGCGCGGCTTCGATACGCGTGGAGGGAGCGCATCGGATGGCCATTATCATAAAACGAGCTCTTCGTGCATTTGGAGCTGGGCCCGTAGATCTGGGTGACGGCCTGGGGGTGAATGATAGAGACGTTAGACGGGCCAACACGGACGATGGGTCCGTATCTTGCGTGGAGGCCGTGGAGGACTTTATAGGCTGGAATGCCGTGTAATCTGACTGAAAACCACAGGCCTGAGAATCGTGCGCCGTATGGGCCAGGGATGTGCTTTAGAGGATGGAAATGCGCCCGGTATAGGATGAGGGAGATGTAGAGGCCTGCAAGGTAGGCGACCACCAGTCCTGCTGTAGCCCTGATGAAGTCATACAGCGATATCGCTTTGCTGACGCTTAGGGCCAGGGCGGTCGCGATGATTATGGCCGTGTAGCGAAGCAGAGAGCGTAGTGGGTAGAGATGGTGTTCGCCGGCTTTGAAATAGAACTGGTGAGAGAGGACGCCAACGGCTCCTGCCAGCAGATGCAAATGATCCATGACGTACACGGGCACAGCTTTTCGCCCTGATATCGATTTTCTGATGTGGTGTCTTTTCAATGAAGTAGAAGTCTACCAACAACTCTGAGCATCCTACTCTTTGTGACTTGGCAAGCTGCAATGCCCAGCCCATAATTCCCTTGCGTGGGTTACTCCATCAATGGACAGGATGTACTATGTAGTGGGGTTGTAGCACAGGCATGACCCTTACATCTTTTGTCCTACCATAGTCTACCTCATCTCGCGCTTTTACGAGGTTTCATTCCACCACAGCTCCCTCGCAGCACTGGAGTCGCTCATGTTCAATGCACGTTGGGCGGAACGCAAGGGGCCGGGGTTCAGCGCTACTTAGTCCTTACATAGCTTGTACCACTTTACTACGCAAGCCAGGGATTGAACTGATTGGCCCGAACATGTCCGATCAATACACCTCAGTTACCGGTGAGCCAGTCATACGTGAGGATAGCACAAGGGAACTAACGCTCTCAAGGTACGTCTTTACTCCCAAATGAGATTCCATACACACATATGGTTGTGCGAACTCCTCTCGCACCTACTTCGCTTCCTTCTCAGCCCACGGGTAATCAGATGAGGAGTGGTAGTATACACTGAGGTATGCTCCGGTAGCCTCGGTATACGCGAATGAGAGCCACGAGGTCAAACAGGCTGTCTTGCTCAAATCCCGCGCAGGACTATATTCAACGCGTTAGTCACGTCGACAAAATGCGAAAGCACGAAACAAAAAAGACCTCGATAGACTTACTAGTACTCCCGTACCGTCCGCTCATAGCTCCTCCCCTGCTTCACCAGCCCAATCTCTTGAAGGAACTGACCGACCCCGCGTACAATCGTAAGGTCATTCTCGCCATGGATCGGGAAATACACCTTGGTGAGCGGCTCCGGGCTCCCCGGCCTAATCTCGTAGTTCCAGATGATAGGCGTCGGCGTCGAGTCAGTGTCATTATCAAAGCCGCCCGTAAACGCACGGTATCCATCCTTGATCTGCGTGAGCTCCCACAGACGCCGAAGTTGCTTTAACCCCTGCATGCTCGACTCCCCGACGACACGGCCGCCCAGCGTCCAAATCTCCTCCATCTTCGACCATGTCACAATGTTCGTCGAGCTGTACAGCTTAAGTCGCGCCTTGGCAGGGGCAACGCAGTCCCACGAGAAGAAGGAAAAGTCGCTCCACCCGTTGGTCTCCTTCATATACTCGTCAATGGTGTCGAAGCTGGCCCGGGTGCGGTATCCGCCCATGCGCTCAAAGAGCGGATCAATCGAGTCACGGAAGAGGGTACCAAACTGCCTCCCAGTAACCTTACACTTCAACGCTGGGAACGTATACCCTTTGACGGCGATTTCACCGCCCTTGAGATCGAACCCAAAGGCGACCTGAGATGGGCTGAGGTCACTTCCATCAAGCTGCTGCCCGCCAAGCGACTCGCGCTCGGCACGATTGACCGTGTGCGTCGCGACAAAGTGCTCAGAGAGCATCGTGTCGTAACCGCGGAGATTCAAGCTATCCAGCTGGCTCAACAGCGCGCCCGTGGCGATCTGATTATAGGGATCGCCCGCTGAACCCGAGGCCCTGCTAACAGGTTCAAACCCGATTCTCCAGACGGGATCCCCGGGGCTGTGCTGCGTGTAGTTTGCGCTGAATTCGATAGGTAGGCCGCTGCGGGTTACAGCGCTGCGAAACTTTTGCGGGTAGGGACCCATCAGGGGGATGAGGGTTTGGGTGTAGAAGGCCATGTAGAACTCGCGGTCCGGCGGTGGGTAGTTTGCGGAGGCGAGCATCTTTGCGAAGAGGGGCTTGGTCTTTTCGAGCCAGATTTCGCGGTAAGCGGTGTTGCCTGCCGTGGCTTCGGGCTCGTCTATGGCGTTAACGGAAACCGCGGCCATATCGCCCTTGTTGGAGGGTTGAACATCGGACACGGGGTGTTGGGAGGTGCGGGATGCCATGTTTGCAAGGATGAATTCAGTTGTTGCTTGGAGAAGATAAGCCAGGAATCACACTGCTTAATGCTTAGAATAGGATACCTCTAAGCGGTTGAAAGCAGTGGCAGAGAAGTACGATTAATAGACTAGATTCTTCTGATTCACAAAGCCAAAATGCGGTGTGAAAAGAGATAGTCTAGACTACAGCAGCTTTGGCCCTTACTGCGCTGCAAACTACATACCAAGGTGGAGCAGTAATAAGTGTAAAGTTAAGCATGCTAGCTACGGGGTGGAGAAGATGCAAGGTTCTACAAGGAATGTCATGGTTATTTCACTCTCTCTTTAACAATGAGAGGCTGGCAGAGCTATGCGGACAGGTAACTATGTGCTGGCAAATACTGCCACTTAGGAGCTCATCAAGGAACACCTGAGAGATGCATCTAATGCATCCAATGCTATATGTTGCGTCATTACTACTAGTGTTGCCTAGACTCTGGAAACGAGAATAATAGACACAAAATTTAACGTAACGTTGTCGGATCCTGTATTGTCTAGCAGGACTCCCGAATTACCCCAGGCCACTCAGGGGCCTTGGGACCGTGTAAAGAAGAAGGCAAGAAGGAAAAACATTTTTAATATCATTGGCCAAATTGACTAAACGAATTACCTATGTGAACGCTTCTACTTGGTAAAATCCAGAACTTCAACTTCGGCCAGCAGCTTCTGCTCATCCTTCTCGGCCGTCAGCCACTCCTGCTCAACCAGCCTCTCGGACTGGGCATCTCTTATAGTCAAAGAGGCCCTAAAATCCGGAACCTGGTTGAAGAACGAAATCTCATTGCGCGGGTCCATCATAGCCTCAAAGTCCAAGTCCACCTTCTTCCCACCCTCATACGCGTAGCCGACATTGTACGCCCAGAACAATCGAGCCATATTGATGAACATGTAGTCCTTGCCGACGTGCTGGCCCGGGCATCCCCGATGGCCGTATCCATACCGCACGTGGGGGAGGTCTGGGTTATCCAGCCACCGCTGGGGACGGAAGGCCTCGGGGTCCCCGAAGATTGCCGGGTCCCGGTCCAGCGCCCACTGGTTTATGATCACTGTTGCGTCCTTGGGGATACGGTACCCCTTGTAGGTGATCTCCTCGGTTGTTGCGCGGGGGGTTGCGAGCGGCGTCCAGGGACGCCACCGGAGCGCCTCGCGGTAGAAGGCGCTCACGAGGGGGAGCTTGTCGGCGTCTTCCCATGTTGGCAGACGATTGCGGCCGACGACCTCGTCGATCTGCCGTTGCATCTTGGCCGTCTCTTCCGGGTGAAACACGGCGCACAGAAATACGAGACGGACGAGTTCGTAGGGCGTCAGAGCGGCCTCGTAGACGGACCCGATGCAGTAGGCAAGCTCAATCTCCGCCATGCCCTTGGCATTCTTTGTGGTATCATACTGCTTGGCCCAGTTCCACGACGGGAGCTTGAGGGCCTCGCGGAAGCGCTTGAGGTATAGCTCAGTGTACCAGGACGATATGCGGTCGGCTTTTTTCTTCCATGCCCCGTTGCCGGGGAGGAGCTTGAGGATCGGGAAGAACTCAGCGAGGATCTCCGTACCCCGGAAGCAGGCCTCACTGACGGCGCCGATGTGCGCGACGGTGTCCTCCATCTCGAGCACCTCGGGCGTCTCGACGGGGAGGCGCTTGCCGTAGGCAATTACGAGGAAGAGACTGACTGCGCTGCGGCGAAGACACTGTGAGAAGTCGGCGCTACTCCGCAGCTCATTCAGAAGCTGCAGGCTCTCGAGGCTCTGCACCCCACGATACTTCTTCGCCATGGCGGGCGAGAGAACGGCGCGGCGCAGGCTACGGTGATGCCGCCATTTATCGCCGTCTGGAAGGAACGAGGTTGTCATGCCCAATCCGATGCGCTCGATGACGATGGGCTGGGGCCGGGAGCTAAAAACGTGATTGTTCTTCGCGAGGAGGTCGAACACGATGTCGTATGAGGTGACGACAATGGTGATGGCGTTGCCGTTCTTGAGCGTCATGAGGGGGCCGTATTTCTTGCTCCATTCTGCGTACTTTTCCCAGGGGTTTCGCTTGGGCGCCTGAAAGAGGTTCCCCACAAGAGGGGCGCCGGGGGGTCCTGGGGGAAGTGGGAGTTGTTTTGGACGCCTTATGAAGAGGAATCGAGACAAGAAGAGGGCGGCGCCACTGATCACGCAGACTAGTGAGAGCAAGGGCATTGATGCCACCTGGAGAGACGCCAAATTGTCCATTTTGAGGCGACAAACAACAGACAGTTGTGGAGGAGCACTGACTTCACCAAGGCGTGAACTCAGCACAGATCTTTATACTACTATTCTGCCCTATTGTCTCTGCTCCCCATTGCTCTGCGGGAAATCATTGCCCATTACGGCGGTACAAATATGTCAGACTGTTCACCATCATGTCTAAAGGAATGGTACACCGCCAACTATCTTGTGTGACATGTTACAGATCCTTGCGTTCCTGAGGAGTAGGACTAGCTCCACTATCTATTCTACATGCAAGAGATGGCCTGCATTCCTCTCTCACAGCTCGAGGAGCTAGTGCATGCGTCCTACAGCGAGTCTATTGGCCGTCGCGTACAGCTACACAGGTGCAGCATCCCTGCACCGGAAGTCTGATATGAATGAGCGGTCAATTGAGCTGATCAGTCTTCTTGCAATTGCTAAAAGGTCTCTCAGTTTTCCCCTTGTCTCTAACCGCAGATCGTGGACCCTTTCCTCAAGAACTGACACCTCCGTCAATCCCCTTTGTGCATCCACCATGGGCTCCATCACCCCCAGTGCCAACACAGTCATCGAAACAATCGACCTCACCTCCTACCTAACCAGCGATGACCCGAGTGTGCGGAAGGCAACAGCCGACTGTCTCGTCAAGGCGCTCCACAAACAAGGCGGGTGCGGCCTGGTTGGCCATGGCTTGAGGGTTGAAGCCATCCGCGAGGCTCTCGCTCGGTCGAGGCAGTTCTTTGATCTGCCTCTGGATCAGAAACAAACAATCAACCACCCCGATGGGATTGTGCCGCACCGTGGGTACTCGGGCGTGTCTAGAGAGAAGATACGCATCTACACGGAGGAAGAGCTGCAGACAATGTCTGGCGAGTTGGGGACAATGGCGAAGAAGGCGATGGATTGGAAAGTGGGCAAAAAAACCGTCCTCCTTGGTCTCGAATGCTGTACTAACAACCTGCGGATTAAGGAACACTACGACATTGGAAGCGACTGCGAGCCCGTCCACCAGAACCGTTGGATAGACGAGTCCCTCCTGCCCGGCTTCCAACCCTTCATGTCGGACTTCATCACGCAGCTCGAGCAGTTACACACTAACGTGCTCAACGCAATCCTGCTTGGCCTCGAAGTCGACCCTGTCTCCGGCGACTACTTCCGCGCGCTACACACAGCACACGCATCTGGAATCCGCCTCCTGCACTACCCATCCATGCGCGAGTCCGAGATCGACCGCACAAGCACAACCTGGTGTCCCGTGCACACGGACTTTACGACATTCACCTTCCTCATCCAGGACCAGAATCAGGGCCTGGAAATCGAGGACCGCACGAGCAAGTTTCCCAACGCGTTTGTCGCTGCGGATCCTAGCATTGAGGACCGCCTGTGGCTGACAATGGGCGATCTCGGCGAGATCTGGACGAATGGGTACTTACCAGCTTCGAGACATAGGGTTATCATCCCGGCGCCTGTGCCCGGATCCCGGTCGGATATGACCTCCAATAGGTATTCGATTCCGTACTTTGTAAACCCAAAGCATGATGGGGTGTTAGCGCCGCAGGTGACTGGCAAGCTGGCCACGATGCCACGGGGTCGGTACAAGAAGGTCAGGGTAAAGGACCATATTGAGTTTAGGATGAAGTATCAGTACACGGATCCGACTAAACCTTGATACATGGAAGGGTTACTGTGTGGACCTGGATGTTCACGTGGGTTGAGTAGGGCTAGGTCTCCAATGAAATGTTACAGAATCCAGTCCAAAGCTCGAACCCACTCATTTTTAATCCAGCACTTGGCCACCTGCTATCAAGTACCTGGCGTCTGTTTGGTTGCTAATTCATGGTTGCACATTCCTTGCAGCCGCTGCCCCCCCCCCCCCCCCCCCCCCCTACATCGACTTGTCCAGCACATGAATTCCCTTGCGAAGCACAACATCCCAGGGCAACGGCTCACCACCCTTGCAGTGCCAGCATTCCATACTTCGGTACCTCCCAGCATCTTCTGTTACTTGATTTCACTATTCATTTACTCTCCTTCACTTAAGCAAGATCCTATCCCAGAGCCTGCCGCGCTGTTCTAGAACCACGTTACGTGTCAACTTCGTCCCTCTCGTTCTGGTATCCTTACTTTTGAGGTCGCACAGAAATGGAAGAACACAAGTCACATCAGGTATCGGCGCCAACCTCACCACGGACGCCTTTCGCCGCCTCTAGGAAGCCCATTTTGACCAAGGAGAGCGAGACGAGACTAGTGCCGCTGGAAATCGACGACGCGAGCGCTAGTGGCGAGCACAACGACCAACAGCAGCCAGTGGGCCTAGCAGAGGGGTATCCCTCGGCATGGAGGGTTGCTGCTATCATGGTTGGGATGTCGCTGGCTTGCACCCTCGTCGCACTGGTAGGCTGTCTCCTAATGCCCAACCCAATCCAAACCGTGGTCAAATCATATATCTCCTATCTCCTAGATACTCATGCAAACGTTCTTAGGACAACACAATTCTCGCAACCGCCATTCCCCGAATCACCACACAATTCGACTCCCTCGAGGACGTCGGCTGGTACGGCAGCGCCTTCCTGCTCACAAACTGCAGCGTCAGTCTGCTCTATGGCAAACTGTACACCTTCTTCCCCGTGAAATGGGTGTACATGTGCGCACTCGCCGTCTTCGAAGCAGGTTCTCTTCTCTGCGGCGCAACACCATCTTCTGTTGGCCTGATCATCGGCCGAGCTATTGCGGGCGCCGGTGGGGGTGGCCTCTTCTCCGGAGCCATGCTCATCATCGCAGAGTCCGCACCCTTGCACCAGCGACCTGTGTACAATGGGATTATCATGGCCATCTTCACGGTTGCGGGTGTTGCAGGGCCGTTGCTTGGTGGTGCATTGACAGATAATACGACGTGGCGGTGGTGTTTTTATATTAACCTCCCGCTTGGTGGGGTTACTGGTTTTGTGATTTTGTTCTTTCTAAAATCAAAGAAACCCGTCAAGACGACTGAGGGGGCAAAGGAGTATCTTTGGCAGCTGGATCCCGTTGGATTGCTGTTTTTCCTCCCCTCTATGATCTGCCTGCTTCTGGCGCTGCAGTGGGGCGGGTCTAAGTATCCCTGGCAAGATGCCAGGATAATAGCCCTCTTCGCTGTCTTTAGCGCGCTGTTTTTGACCTTCGTGGTAGTCCAGATTTACGAGCAGGACAGAGCCACGATTCCACCGCGTCTCTTTAAGAACAGGAATATATGGGGAGCGTCACTGTACACTTTTTGCCTTAGCGCCTCATTCATGGTGTTCACATACTACGTACGTATTCCTGCAAGCTTTTATTTCTCCCTCTGTTCCTGCCATTCACAATCTAACCAAGAACCTTCTAAATCCAGCTCCCAATCTGGTTCCAATCCGTCAAGAGCGCCTCCGCAACCATGTCAGGCGTCCTCAACCTTCCCATGCTCGGTACCCTGGGCACATTCACAATCCTCTCAGGGATCCTCGTCACATACACCGGCCACTACATGCCTTTCATACTAACAGCCCCGGTCCTTACCTCCATCGCCGCAGGCCTCCTCACGACACTCACCCCGTCGTCATCACAGAAGTCCTACGTCGGCTACCAAGCGCTCTACGGAGTTGGCTGTGGGTTGGGTATGACGCAGCCGATGCTCGCTGTTCAGGCGTGTGTGGAGAGTCCAGCCGATGCGCCGAGCGCGACGGTTATTGTTATTTTTATGCAAACGCTTGGTGGGGCGTTGTTTGTCTCTGCTGCGCAGAATATGTTTCATAATAAACTGCTACACTTGTTACGTAGTGTGGAGGGAGTTGATGTCAAAAAGGTCGTTGAGGCCGGGGCTGCGGGGCTGAAGGATGTTGCAGATGGCGACGTCTTGGACGTTGTGGTGCAGAGCTATAGTAGCGCTATTACGTATTCGTTTTTTGCTGCCACTGCCTTGGCGGCGGCGGCGATGCTGGGGGCGTTGCCGATGCAGTGGATCTCGTTGAAGAGGAAGGGGGTGGATAAGAAGGATGAGGGGGTCTCACAGGTAGCTTCCTAGGTCTGGAATCCTCTGGATATGGTCTTCTCCGATATCCTGTGATACAGTCAGTGATCATCTGACGCCTGGTCCCACCTGCCACCTGATTTCTTCTTACTAACTATTTTTTTACTAAACTTTAACTGCTACTCCTTCCTCGTACACCCCTTTGTCTGCCATGCGACACTCATTGAAGTCGCAATCTCTTTAAGCGACGCAGCAGAGGCTCTGTACCTTTGGGTTTATGGAACTCCGACAAGCGCGGGTCGATGTTCGCCGTCTTAGGACCCACGGAAGAAGCGGGAGTATCAGTGCCCGACCGACCACCAGATTCTATAGATTCCACTGTGCGATCCACGGATGAAGTATCGCTGCAAGTAAGGCACGGTTTTGTTGGGAGATGATGCAGCTTGAGGTTGATGTCATACGAATGCACAGTCACCGCATGCGCTAAAAATTCAGTGACTTTAGTGAACTCAGAGATTCCATGGCATGCTGGCCACGTGCAACTAATTCCGTTCATGTGCAAGGGTGAGATGAGATTCAATGAGATGACGACGGAGTGAGTCTTTCCGCTGGGCGGGAAATTTGCGTGGAGGAGGATTAGACGATGAAAGTTGAGATTGGCCGCAACAGATAATGCAAATATCCGTAGGACATTTCAATGATTCCTCTTTAGCAGGCAAGGGTTCTCCAGACTTCACAGTTTCATCGTCCTCCACATCCCAGTTGATTCGGTTGCCTCGCCGGTTTGGCTCGCAGAGCTGCGAGAGGGCAACCATGTCCTTGGTAACCTGAATACGTCTTGCAAGTAGCTTATCCTCGTCACCGAAAGATATGCGGGTTACATGCAGCATCTGTAAAAAGGACTTGGAAAGCAAGGCATCATTGATGAACCATGCTGAGAGAGTGCATGGGACTGTCTCACGTCGCCCGTTGTCCGCCCTCGGCCCAATTTAGATTTTCTATACACCTTCAGCCGAAGATATTTATGGGCATAAGCTCTCTTTTGCCTTTGTCAACGCTGTGTATTTAGGGCTGGTCCCTCAACAATTCCCTTCATCACGCGTTTATTTAAAAGTACCTTGAGTTTTAAATCATCTGCGAAGCGTGCGCCGATCATTCATTCTATTTTGGCCTGAGCCAAAGTCAATTAACAGCATCATTAAGCTGTAAATGAGAAAACAATGAAAAGGCCTCGATATATCCTACGTCGTTTTAGAGTTATTATCGATAGCCTTAAATGATTGGTTACGTAGCCGCCAGGCGAAGAAGGGATGAACCTTATAAGCTTGCCTTGATGGGACACAGTTGACTAGTCTGCGCTAATGATCAGCAGGCTACCCACCATGATCGCGATCTCCACAACGTCATAGTAACAGCGGGTGACCACCAGCGAATCCCATTGTATGTTATCTTTTTGGATTTTATTTATATTTATTTTGACTTGGTCGATTAATATTTTTGATCCTTATCGTTGAGAAGCAAATATGAGGGACGTGGTTGATTCTTTGCAGACTGGACTTTACTATGTGCTGTCAGGATTCTTACTTTTGCCTATGCAATTTTTATCGCGGTTGTCTACTGGGTCAAGATAGAATGGAATCGAGTTTCATTAGCATTCCATTTAGCAAACGAAGCTCAGGTAGTAGCATTTAGGACCTAGCTACTCAAGAATCGACTGTTGGATATTCTAGAGGAGTTTCACAACCATCTATCCCTACAGCTGGACAACCAACAATCATTTGTAGAGAACGCACCGCGTCTCCCGGTTCCGATTTCCTTCGCATATCCTTGCTCTCTCTTTAAGTGGGTCTGGAAGTAAACTTTACTTGTAATTCATCTACCAATTTCAATTAGCTATGCACCCTCATTGATATGTTAAACCTCACGGCCACTACCAAGTAAGCAATTACAAATAACAGCAATCAAAAACTGACTAGTTATTATTTATTTAGTTAGTTGACGTATGTTACATAAATCGTGATTGGTAATTAGCCTCTTCAAATCCATCTTCTCTATTCTGGCGCTAGCCGTTTCATCAGAAAAGCGATTGACTCGCCATCCAATGACGGTGTGTACGCGTTAGCCAGGAGATTCATCTTGCATGAATCCCATTTCAACCGCTCTCTTTGACGAAAGCAAACTGCCCATATATAGCATCTTATCTCTTCCTATATAGGGGCATAAGCTACTTCGACGGCAGCTCCACTACTCCCTTGGGACCATGAGCGTCCATCTCAACTGGTTCTTGCCTTATACTATATATTTCTGGGACGTACAACTCAGCACGTCCCGTATTTGGGACTTGCGCCCCATCAACTTCAGAAATGATCGAGGTTTGGAATGACTGTGGGACCGTGGAATACCGCGGGTTCAACTGGCCCTCGGTACTTTCCATTTTCGACTTCTGCTTCTTCTTCGATAACCAAAATATGAAGGACGCGGCACAAAGAGCTCCAATACCGACGACTCCACCCACCACTCCACCGACAATGGCGCCGACTGGTGTGGAGGAACCAGCCGAGGAGGGAACAGCAGAGAAAGTAGGTTTTGATATACTGACTGGCGTCGATGGTGATGGTGATGGTGGTGGTGGTGATGATAATGATGATGATGATGATGTCCTGTGATCATAATTGGCAAGTTCCTGCAGCAGGCTATCAGGTACAGAACTCATCGATGCCATTGTAATGTATGCTGAGCTGCTTGACGCCGTGGGCGTAATTGTGAGATCCGTGTATATTGTCAATGTAGTGAATACTGTTCCACATCCGTAGTCTGTATATCCTAGCTGAGGGAAGACTATTGGGATGCATGATGGTGCGATTGTATCGGGGCAGTAGACACCAAACGGATCAGTAGTGGAAAGCAACGATGGAGTAGCAGAGAGACGGGAGCTATCATAGCAGGTGGTTTCGAATTCACAGCCGCCATCATAGCCGAGTGGACAACATCCCCTCATAGCTGGCCAGGCCGAGTCCGACGCATGGAAAAGGCATTGGGCGCCATAGCTGCAGTACAATGCGCCGCCTACAACAGAGTCATTAGACATTTCGTTTTCCAAATGAGACTGCTTCAACCCTTTGCTGTTAAACGGAAAAGAATTTAAAAGGGCAGTGCTTACTAGTCGCATCGCCGTCAGACCAGCCACATACTGAAGGTGGTGCGTAAGACGTGACTAGGGATACTTGCGTGGTAGAAGCACTATTGGTGGCATCACGCCGCAAAGCAGCATGAGACTCGTCGTCGAATACTGACGTCGGCTGAGGAAGCAATTTCCCATGTATAGAGATTGTCACAGAAGCAGTGGGTGCACATAGTGCTGTAGCCAGCGGAGGAAGAAGTATAATGAAGCTATACCACATTATCACTTGAGCTCGTCATGGGTCTTCAGTATTGTTTTGTTTTCTTGTCTCTTTTTTGCATTTTTCCCCTAAGATTTTATGGAGCTAATGCGAGATCGGAGCACTCATTATGGCATAATGGAGGAAATCCCTGACAGCACACACATCATTGGTTGCAAAGGAAAAGCGCCCTTCCCTGTAGGAACTAAAGTGGCTAATGTTACATCTGCTTCTCATTTCATCCAATTGTCGTGGCCGCGGAACCGCTATCAGCAGTTCCGCGGCCCACAGAAACTCATCATCAGCGTATCATGATTCCTCAATTAGACAGGGATGTCAAGCGTTCATCGTCTTCTTGAGGAGTAATTTCAGCTCAATTATTATGTGCAATAAATGAGTCCATACTGATGAAAACTGTAATGAAGAACAACACTATTATTGAGAAACTTAGTAAGCGAGAAAATCTCTTCTATTACAAAAAATAACCAACATCTGTCATGAAACAAATACATATAATGATTACTAGATGATATACAAATCTTGTGCAGTAAAACCGATGCAGTCCGTGTGCATGGGCTACTTAGCGAACCGACCAATCCCTCGATGAGGAGGTCTCGCCATCTTCTTTCCCCATTCGGATTTTCTTGTTATGACCTAATCATGATATTTAAGCAGGTCCACGCTATCCTGATTAATCGCGTACTGAGCAAGCTTAATAGGTGAAAAGCCTTCTGGCAGGTTCATCCTCAAGAACTCCAGCCGTGTGGTTTTCAATGTTTCATATATGGATTGTCCCTTTTATATACGAAGAAAACCAAGCAACGGAGTGATTTATCTCTTCCTAGACAACGGGAGGTAATAGCGCATATCACCGTGGCATGGGTTCTTTCAACTTGTTTGTTTCCACCTCTTGCGATATGCAGGCTAGTATTACAGACTAGATAGTTTATGCAAACTAACAACCTAGAGAGCGAGGGTATGCTCCTTTTATAAGGCAATACAATGAGTCGATAAAAAAAAGTAATTTAATAGAAATGTGATGCAGTGCCAATAGAAATATAAGAATATTCCTTCTGTGCTGGTGCTTCTAAGTTCGGTTTATGACCGTATAGAGAGGAAGATATGACCTCATGCTACATGGAGAAAGGTTCTGGCTAGAGCTTGAAATAAATTCTCAGGGTATTCCGTATCACTCATTCTGCTCGTGGTAGAAAACAACTCGAAGTCGCCTTACTCTAGAATAGCCCCGAAAATGTCATGTGAGGAAACTGTTGTTGAGTTCGACGGCGGTGCGAAATCGTCGAGATGGAGATGTTTCTTGCGCATCTTCCTGCAAACACCCCAGTTTACTGTTATCATAACCAGCAAAACTAGAAACCCTTCCTGGCCCAAGTTCAGATACCATCGGCGATCACTTTATACTCGTGAAGAACGCCCCTCCATCAGTTATAAACAAATCAGACGAAGCATTGCCAGGGCAGATTGACTTATTCACCATCGCTTCAACTTTTGATCCTGAAAATACCCAGCCTACCTCAAAAAGAAGCAACTACGCAAATTCAAAATCGAATTTATGAATCTTGCTATTCAGATGAAAGTCCGGCGAAGAATTTACTATATCAAGCTACTCGCGTCAATATCCCTAATCGAAGCAAACAAGTTGATGTATTCTTTAAGCTAATCTATCAAGGAAGAAAATGGCCTACTATAGCAGTAGAAGTTAGATATACTGAATCAAGGACAAAACTTACAAAAGATATTACTTGATAGATCAATGAATCTAGGGAAAAGTCAAACATAAATTCATAATCAGCATTAAACGATCAGGCAATATTAAAATATTGTCATGGATTCCAGGATTTCTAGAAGAACCTCCACAGTAAATTATAATAATATCAAGAGGGCGACATATTTTGACAAGATCAATTGATCATCTCTCACCACCTCAAATAAAGCAGAAAATTACAATCAAAAGAGGAAAAGCCAATATCGGCCATTTCGTTGAAGGGGAAGATTTGATCATACCGTTTGCTTCCCTGCTTTTGGATGTGCCTAAAGCTGGTGAGGGGGATTTTGGTATTATTGTTGATGCACTTCTGCATGATATTGCTGAGCTTGTGTGGGATGCCATGGATGATGAGGAAGCTATTAAAAGAGAGCATTGAATTATCATTCTCGGGTCAATCAGTATTGTATTATAATCTTTATTAGCAGCGGACTTTCATTGGCAATCACTACGCAGATTCTTACTTTCCCGAACCGAGGTGAGAGCAAATTAGTATCTAATGAATTGAAGCAAGTTTTAATGTTGACTTAGTCATAAAATGCCTCTTCAATAAGAAGCATATGGAAACATACGATTTGACGATCTTGTTGTTGATGAATAACGATTGTTCGTAAAGGATATGTGCTAATCCCGATACGAGGGTTGCCCAGATATCCTGTTCCTTTGTGTTGAGTTGTCAGGTCGCCGCGCAGATCATGGAAGTTACACAGGGGCCGTTTAGATGTTGCCAGTGAGAATATCTGATACACTACCCAATCGGAAGAGCGGAATACTACCGAATCAGTTAATATTTGCACTCCAATAACACACAAGTTTCAGGATATAAACTGACGTCTCTTTCTTTGCAGATACAGTAACCTATTGCCAAAAGAGGTTAGTCGGTGCGTCTATATTGGAAAATGTGACTCTTACCCATTGTCCACCCTCATACGTCCGGTTTGACCACCAGTACGTCCATTTTGAGTCGGGTGCCGAAGAAGGTAGTTTGGGTAGGTAGACTGTCGCATTTGTCGCCTGGTATGTGGTGACAGGAGCAACCAAGAGACGAGGGCCAAACATATATTGTTCTTTCAATATCTCCGTAGCAGTAAGGGTGTAAGGATCTGTAACGGAAAAATCCATAAAAAGAGGTCGCATGATAGCTCTACCACTGAGAGATAGCTGCCGAAATAGCGCCTTGATATATGGCTGTAACGCATAACGGAGTTTGATGTAAGAAACGATGATCTGCTCGTTCTCGGGTCCGTAGCTTCAGGGTTCTTTTGTTCATCCTTAGTCCATTGCATCCGAAAACAAGACAGAAGCTAGTTGATACATACCGTTAGGACAGGTCAAGAAGTTGCCCTGTGCTGATGGAAGACAGGTTCGATCGCCGTGATTGCGCATGATCTAGGGAAATCTCAGTTAGTTCAAGTCTGATAACGACGAATATTCCATTAATGAATACTGGTAAGAAAGTTCCCCTGTTGGAAAAAATTAGGCCATCTATGTGTTGAGATACCAGAAGGAAGGGACTTACCATTGCAGCCACCTGACGTATAGTTCTTGATATTCTGGATTGCTAATATTGCCCGAGCTTGGCTGGCCATTCGTTTTGAAACCACCGATATCCAAAGTCCACCAGCCCTGTGCAGATAAAGCCATACTCTGGCCGGCGACGATCATCTGCCTCATCGACTCCCAAGTTTCACTATAAAATAAGTTCCTACATCAGACCATCTGCCAATCCCAATATAGAAGGTCACGACCTACAAGATATCACCACTCCACACCACACTAGAAAATCGCTGCGAGCCGGCCCAGGAAGATCGCGTCAGGCTCAAAGCAGTTGGTTCAGTCGAGCCAGAGGCATTGAGCTGTCCCTCATGAACACCCATCTGGTGAAAGTACGGGTACAGCATGGCGTACTGATCACCTGCCCCCAAGGAATAATCTGTCCAAGGATACACATCATTGGCCACCTGACCACCCTCGTCTTCGTCTAGCCAAAAATTCCGAATTCCATTCTGGTAGTAATTCTCCTTTAAATTACTCCACAGGAACTGGCGGGCAGCCGGATTCATAGAATCAAGAAGGTGGACGTATTTGTTTTGCCAGAGTCCAGCGATGTCTGTAGGGGCAAATGTTTGCGCGGTAAGACCGAGACTACTCACATTAGCCCAGTTAGGACTCGCATTTTCGATGCTAGGCCAAACAGAGGCCATCATTTCGGATCCGGTGAGCTTTTTAACTAGACATCACAGTCAGTACTTTGAAAAAAAAATATGTTTCGTCGGCAGGGATAAGACTCCACCTTCTCGTGCCATCTTCGGAACATCTGGGAAGGCTGAGCTGTTCAGTTTCCAGTCACCCTCATGTAGCCAGCTCAGATAATCAATGACAAGTAACGACATCGGAATTTTGCGCTGCATATATGGTCAGCCAATTCTTATGGCCGCAGGGCTATTTTTGATGGAGCGTACCTGGGCAAAACCTGTGGTAACATTCATGATTTCTTCCTGGCTCGCATAACGCAGCTTACACTGCCAGAATCCCATTCCAAAATCCGGGATCATGGGTGAGCGGCCCGTGACAGCAGTATATCTCTCTAGCAAACCATCGAAGTCTGCCGGTGGCCGTATTGCGATATAGTAATCAACGATTCTGGTATGGTCGCTTGAGAAGCGAGTCCTATGCGGGTCAATAAAGATCGCACATTCAATGTTGATGTTTGAAATCTTCTTTTACCTGGTAGGGGACAGTTCTATCTTTCCTAATGACGGCACATTCCAAAAAAATAAATATCCACGGTCTGACATAATGGTGGGTATCGGATTCAGCGAATTAAACTTCACAAGATCAATAGTCTGGTTTTTCTTATTCAAGTAACCGGTAAGATCTGAGCCAGTCCCAAACAGATGCTCCGACTCACTGTCAGGAGCTTGGAATGTGTACTGGCTACGAAAACCATCCTGAAAACTTTTTTTGTTGTACCATCGTGGAGGGAAACCAGGTGTCCCAAGCTTGAGTTCCTGGAGCACAAGAGTCCGGTTACCGCCTTCGTCTATTCGGTAGAAGCTGAGCTGATTCTCTGTTATAGATACAGATGCGTAGCCATTGACCAAAGAGGCATTCTGGGTCGCAGTGATGGTGGTGTTATAGTTCGTTCCGATGAGCAATGATTTGTCAAGTGGTGGGTCGAGGATCACGCTATGAGAATCATCTACACACCTGTCAGAATTAAATGAGTACTTAGAAGGGTGTGAGAGTGCTTGCCATCTGGAATTTTGTCTAAAGTCGCCCTGATACGAAAGCCATCTTTTCCCCATGGCTGAATTAGAACGTTCTCATGGCCATTTATTAGTCGGATCCCATCCGCATTGGCGAGTGACCAAACAGTGATGAAGGAAGCCAATAATGCAGGAGAGTATGCCTTCATGATTCGCATTCATTTAGCATTGGATGAATGTTTGTTGATAAAGGAAATCGTGGAATCTCAGTACGGGTCTGCATCTGCTATTTATACAATCCCGTTCCTCAAATTTTGGGAAAGTCTAATATCTATTCAGCCTATTGTGTATAGCAAGAAGTGATCTTAATATGATATCACATTGAAGAAATGGCGAAGCAAGCATCTCGGTTAAAAGAAAATAGGTGAAATTAGTAAGAGTTTGTCGAAATAACAGCTGGTACTGTAGATCCTAGTAGAAGAGGCGACCTTCTAGTCAAGAGGGGGGAAATATAATGCGGAGTAATCAGCAAGGGCTTTTGCGGGTTGGTAGGTCAAATAGGCTAAATATGAAGGCAAGGACATATATTTTTTTGGAATAATTCTCATAGCCATTGATAGCCCGGTTGAATAACATGCTTGCGAAAGCCAATGCTACTTCAAATGCGGAGATCTCTGTGGGGAAACGCGGTGAGTATAAGACATAGTTCGGGCCAAGGGCCAACCCCCGGAAAGATCGCCGGTAATTGCTGGCATTGGCCTACTTTCTGACTAAATTTCTGTTAATCAGTTCAGCCTTCCACTCGGAAAAGAGCGGGGCTATTAGTTTACGAGCAGAAGCAAGAAAACGGCGCAGTTAAGAAAGTGGAGAGTCGCCTAGTATTACACCAAGAGGCCTATCGGAGGCAAGGAAGCGAATAGGTAAGAATGAAAGACGCGATCGCGTCACGACTTTCTCGATCAGTCGACTCTGTGTGATGGCGCTCGTGGTACACCAGATAATTGGTTGGAAATAATGTGAGTTACTACCTCTTAATCATGGACATTCGTTTATCCATGCAACACCTAACATTGAAATCCGCACCAAAAGTGTCCGCACACACTAAAAAAGCTAGTGACATTAGCTTGCAATTTCGACAACTTTATTGTATTTGCTTGTATAACAAACAATAAAATAGTTACAATAAGAGTAAAATTATATAAGTCTGATTTATTGTCAAGAATAATCTGTATTTGCGATCCCAGTTTCTCAAGGTTTTAGGCCTCTTCAAGCGAGGTTCGGAGGCCTTGTTTTCAGCAAATCATTTAATTGGGTAATCGGCTCCCACCGCCTATGGTTTTGCATTCCGAGGCTGAGTTGACACCTGCAAACCCACTGTGCAAGCCCGATACTATGCTCCGCAAAAAGGTATTAAAATAATATGGTCCAATATATCAAGACTCTCATACGTGCAGCAGATCCTTCGGCAGCGGAACCCGTGAAAATCTCATATTTCTCGGAGGCGTCAAAAAACAAAGGGCTGCTCTCCATTTTCTCGCCCCATACCAACACCTAAAAGCTTCTGTAAATGGTCTCTCCAAACCCTATTACCAGATGCCATTCCTGTCGTCGCAGCCGACTGCGCTGCGACGGGGTGCAGCCAACCTGCCTAAAGTGTACATCTCGCGGTGTGGAATGCCTTGGATACGGAACCCAAGCACTTCTTTGGGTGCAGAGCAATGCTTCAATACCTTTAAAGAGAGGTCGTCCGAAACTAGTACTCTCATCAAGCTGTATTCAAGGTCCAGCGCAAGCAAAGGAAGACCAAAGAAACCATAGTCAATTATGGAATGCGCAAGTGGATCTACAACAGGGTAATTCTTGATATTTTATTTTGATATGGCTCAGCTTCGAGCTGACGGACTTTATGCAGACAGAACAACCGAGGCTGTAAGATCACCGCCGCAAGTTCCATTGTTTCCTATGCCAGCTGGCTATTCCGATGCCTATCGAGTTTTTGATGTTTTGATGTACTGTAAGTTCGTTTTTCCTTCAGCACCATAACCATGAAATATTCAGCAATAACAAGCTTACACAAGAATGGGGTGTGTGCGAGTAGTCAATTCTAGTATTTCTTCTGACATGATAGTCTTTGATTCTACCCCAAATCCTTATCACATCAACCTTGAGATATGGCAGTATCTTCCTTCCATCGTGATGGATTTTTTATCTGCCGTCGTAGCTACTCACCGGGTTATCCGTTCACAAACCTGCGATGTTCTCTCAGCCCATGCGTCAGCTGTTCAAGGCCATACTGTGGATAGAAGAAGTCGTGGCTTGGACGCTTTTGCGCATCCTCTTAAAAAGTCTGTCTATGGGCATCATCGACAAGTAATACAGGGTCTTAGAGCTCTCATTGATGATGGTGCCCTTCAATCCTCTACTGATGATATCTTCGGACTCATTTCTAGCCTCATGACTCTCGAAGTAAGTACATACATATGCATGAGCCTCGATCTAGCACACGCTAAATGATGTATTTGTCGATTACTGTTCAGATTCAACAATCTGCGTATGGTCCTTGGATTGTTCATCTTGAGGCAATGAGGACCATCATTTCGCAACGAGGTGGTTTTAGGAATGTGGCTAGAGAGCAGTACCTGCCCAGCCACGCGTTACATTTGTTTATGCTGTTAGTTGCCTATTTCAGTTATCGGGTTTCAACGACTATTTATCTTTGCAACTAACAACCTCGATAGTGTAGATATAATGAGCTGTGTCACAAAAACGAGCTCGGCTCTTAGCTCTCTAGTGGCACCTCAAATGGTTTTCCTCGAATATATCTCTCATATACATCGTGATGGCGTAGATGTCGGGTTTCCATGTCCCAATGAACTACTTGAGGCGGTAGTAAGAATCAATTATCTACGGTCTTCGATTGCCAACATTTTCGACAACCAACATAGTGCGACTGATTCCCAGATTCTGGAACTGTTTGAACGGATAATTTCCTTTTCGCCCACTAATTGGGTGCGGGATCGGAAGGGGAAGATGGTATCTCCAGGCTTTGATTTGGTCAATTCTCCAGCAACAAATTATAATAATTTCACAGCAGCGGAATCTCCGTGGAGTGACTCGCTTGCTCTTGTCTCCACTTTCAAGATGGCCGTATTGCTTTACTTCATGAGAACGCTAATCATCGACCGCGATAGACCGACTAGTTTGTCTCTGGGCAACGGTCTATCAGTCGACATCAACTCAATACGATCTACGGCAAGCGATTCATTGTTGACATACTTGCATCAGTTACTCCGCCCAGATTCACCCCGGGGTGGGCGATGGCTTGGAAAATTCCTATTTTGGCCGCTTTTTATAGCCGGGATGGAGTGTCACTATTCAAGCTCCATGTCAATGGCTGTCGCACGAAAGTTCATTGCGGACTCACTTTGTCAACTGTCCCAATATCAGGGTGATCTGAGCATGCTTGACGCCGCGTCATTCTTACAACACATCTGGAGAATACAGTCCGGTCCTGATAATCACCTGTGTGTTGATGGTATGATTTACGAGGCTTACAAAACTGATGCTACACTCGAAAATCCGAGTTGCGGAACTCTGCCAAGCGGACTGATCTCATGGGATGAGAGAGTAGTACGGCTTGGAGCCCATTCACTCTTTATGCTTTAAAAGTAGTTTTACATGATTCATCAAATTTCAACCGATCTATCGGACATGTATATCTTATGAAACGATACCAATTAGCGAACCAGCCTTGTTGCCACCAATCGCAACGTGGGTTCTTATATGGATTGGGATATATAGTATACAACCTACTCGCATTGAACACAAGTGTCGATCGCTCGCCCTCTTGATAATGAGGAAGATACATATGACCAAAAGACTCGACTTGCGGGCGACCAGAGAGCATAAAGTTCATGATCATGGTTCGCATATCGAAAGCGACCTGCACTGCTTGGAGGCTAATCCCATCCCACTACTAAAAGGTGGGAGTGTGTTGCCAGAAACTAGTACTATAAGAGTGACGTGTTTACCCCCTACGTTAAATGGCACATACATTCGCATTCACAGCGGCATAGAGATGTCAAAGTCACTCTTGCTCTGGATAATCAGAAGGTAACGCTTTTCCAGATAAAAGCTAAACTTGAGTACGTTTTCAATGCCTTCATTTACCTATTTCTAAGCGACAGCAGGCCCTGACGATTTTGAAAGGTTTCATATCTGGTTAATACCACCGGGCTCGCTCTCTCAATCGATCCATCGAATATTCCATGAGATTTGGTAAGGAACGTAGTGCTTCATATGTCTGATCGCATTTCAATCATGCCATAGACTTCAAGGATCTGGCAAGGCTTTGATTTAGCGTTCTACTTCATGTATCAATGTCGTGTTATCACAGGGGTTGTGTGCGGCGTGGCTTCAATGAAGGCCTCAAGGCTTGCTTCCACAGATGAGTGGTCCTCATTATATGAGAATTGGTGAATATTGAACACGCTGCACAAATATGTTGAGAAAATTCTCCGAGTCATGTAGCTCTCTAGTTGCGGATGGTTCTAGCGCGTTAAAGAAGATGGCAATCTCATCCGGGATTTGTCGATGGCTAGTTGAAGAAGGCAAACCTGTTCTATCATGCATTTCCCAGAGGAAGACTGCTTAAATAACCAACTTACGGACTATGAAAGTCTAAAGGGCCACCATAAGTTGTTATTAAAGTTCTATCAAGTCATAAAAATTAAAGATTATATTAGAATCTTCCTAATCTACAGGTTCTCTTGTATCACTTAGTAAACTATGACCGGTAAACCGGGACGCGCAAAGCGGCACCATCCTCCTTCACAATCACGTCCATGATAGTAGAGTTAACCTTTTCTTTTGCTGTCTGGCAGGATTTAATAGATGCATCAATGGGGCTGTTAGTGGCAAGCATTCGAAAAATCTTCACGGTTCTCTGTTGCCCTTGGCGCCAACACCGGGCATAGGATTGGAGCTCAAGGTTACGATTCCACCACACTTCTGCCTGCAGTACGATGGATCCTTCTTGGAGGTTGAGACCAACACCCCCGGATCCGCTTGTGATGAGCATATATTTATGGCTTGGGTTGTTAGTGAAAGCGTTTTGAACGCATTGCTTGGCATTTACATCCAGTGTCCCGTTGAACTCCAGACAGATGTCGCCAAATGTCCTTCTGATTACACGGGAAATGACGTCGAGGAAGCGTAGGAACGTTGAAAAAATTACAACCTTTTCATCTGGCCAGGTTTTTCTTATGTGTTCGAGGACTAGAATTATAGCGCGCACTCGAGATGAATTCCTTAGGTTTGATATATTAGTATCATCCAAGAATTTTAGCCATTCTTTTCTGTTTCGCGACCCAAGGTCCTGTGAATTCATCTGGGTTAAGCGGACGAGAAACTGGTCCGGATCGCCTTCTAGTTCTACCGTCGCTATAGGTATATCAGCTACTGAGTCTTCGGTCAAGAAGTTATGGGCAGCAAGAAGCTGCGCGACTACGGCAAACTCCAAAGCCTTCTTGTTTTCTGTGCTATCGCCGCCTTCTTTAAGGACGGATGCTCTCGCTCTTTCATATCTGATTGTGGCCTCTGTCACTTTGACAAGTTCCTCAGCGGTCAATTCGAACGTCGCATCATTCATTACTGCACCAGGCATCAGCAAGCAACTTGACGGCCTCGCGAAAGTGAAAGCCAACATAAGCCGTTGGATGGAGACAATGTCGGGCTCTCCATAGGCATTGACTCTGGTATTCTTAGTTGTCACTGCAAGGGCATTCATGAACTTGCTTCTGGTATCAAATGGATGTCCTGACAGCATCGCGATTGGGTTCGCCACATCGAACCAGCGATTGCTGAGTATGGTACCTGACAAGAGAATAGTGCCCCTGCGGTAGACTGAACGAACGGCTTGAAAGAACCGTCCTTCTTCCCTTTTGATAGTTTGACATTCATCTAGTACCATTCGTTTTACGGGAAGGTCTAGCAACTTCCAGAATTTGCCCAGCAAGCCACCGACGGGGCGAGGGGGTAGAGGACCGGCACCACGCTTATACAAAGCCAACCTTTCATCGAACTCAGTTAGACGCCGGTGGGCGTTACTAAGAAAGTGATAGGAGCAAATTATGATGTCGTATTTAGCTTCAGCCAGCACGCTTGCAGTCGTCTTTGCATCGTCGAGGATCAGAATTTTTGGCGCGGAATCCTTTCATTAAATGTCATTAGTATACTTGTCTTATTGTATAATGGGCATGATATGTGGAAGTGTTGTATGGTACCTTTTATACGCCGCCATTATCTCATCCCTCCATTGGATGCGGCAAGAAGCAGGGCAAACCACTAATGAAAAGGACTCCCTCTCGTCTCTAGCCAATTCCATCGCTGTGATCGCAAGAAGTGTTTTCCCTAGGCCCATTGAGTCACCGCAGATCCCTCCTCGGAAGGATGACTGGCACAGGTAGTGAAGCTTAGCAGCTCCGTGCAGCTGCCAAGGATGAGGTTCAATAGCAAAACAGTCTGGTTTCGCAGCCGAGGGGATATTGTGTAAAGTTATCTGGGCATCCGGCATCAGCTGACTAGTGTCAAAATTGTGATAACTTCATACAACTCACCATAAACTTTTCCACCCACTCTTCGCCAAGGTAGTCTTGCACCTTGTATTGTCTGTTGCCTACATAGACAAAACCAGGCTTGAGATCAAGTTTCATATCATCATGGTCTGCGTTATCTTCATCTACATAGTCGAGGTCCATATCATCCTATATCACACCAAGGCTCCAGTCAGTCATAAATTAGGGAACAGCAGAGTATTGCAATAGTATACCTCGAAGTACAGGGGCTTGTGCGTTGCTTTCAACTCCACAGAGTTACTTGTCAAAGAATTGTAACTTTCTCGCACATTTCCTAACTTCTCCAGTAAAGACGCAAGGCACTGCGCCTCGTAATCTTTGTTAGCGTCCATAATGTGTCCAACTTCTAGTAAAAAGTTTAGCGATGAGTCCACTGATATGGAGCTATTATCAATATTTGCTAAGAAGTATGATTGCGGGAAGACTGAATTATGGGTACAGTAAATGACGCACTGGTTTTCTCGCGTGTGCAATCACAGAGGCTCAGTCTCAGTTTCGTGTGATGTGATCCGTGTTGTTGCTCGTCAGCAAACATCTAAAGGATCTTCGTGAACACGAAAGGCCAAAATGCAAAGCCTGCAACTATTTGATAGGAAGGTTACAGATACTGAGCTTCTCGTATCTTGAAAATAGTGGCCTGAAGCCCACTGTATCAGCCAACTAAGATACACAAGGGTGCAGGAGGTGGCAGGAGGTGATAATATGAGCGAGGGTATGAAGATTTCAAGCATGCAAACGGAAGAAGATTTTGAGGAAAGGCGGTGCGGCTGAAAAGAGGTGAGCGTGCCCGGTGAGCTTTAGCGTCTGTCAACGCGTTTGTTATTCTTTCTGTTTGGTTCTGCTTGTGACCCATCTTCCTCCTTTGCCTACTGCTTCTTCAATCCTATCTCTATTCTCGAACTCAACATCTACAGCTGTCCAGCATTGAGCCTAATCGCCCTCAGACAAGCGGATGATCTACAGAGACCCTTGAAAATACCTGGTGAGTCTACGATTATGTTTGCCGTACTACTAGTTGTATACTTGGCCTGCTCGACAATTGCATAACCCGCTGAGGCTTTCTAACTATTATGAGAAATACCAGATTCTCGGAATTTCAATTCGCCTCTCATCAGCCACGACGACCGCCTGGGTATGCGTAAATATGACAGATAATCGTGAAGATCTATCCGGTTACGCCTTTACTGTGAAAGGCCACGCATTCAAAATTGACGATGCGTTTAAGCAGCGTGCTGTCCCACAGTTCCTAACGGCCAAGAAGGCGACTTCTATTTCATGGAAAGACAGAGCTCGTAGCCATGGTGGAGCATCAACCTCCCAAGATATTAATGTAGAGGCTGAGCAGAAGACCCCGGACATTGACGAAGCCCGTTTTTTATTTGTTGGGCTGTTTCCGCGATCAATTGACGAGAATGCCTTATCAAAAGGTGTAGCGAGGGGGGGCACTGTCGGAGAAACTTTACCACAAAATGTGCTGCAACCAGTCCCAGATCAGCCTTCCTTCCGTGTGGTGACACCTCAAACATATACTCCTACCGTGGGGGGACTCAAGTACTTTGTTCTCATGGGGGTTGATCACAATACGGGTTTATGGTATCCATATCCTATTGCCCAGGACCTCATCTTCTATCTCCCTGAGTATAGATTTCAATCAAGGACATTGGTTGACAGACGCAAAGACTGGTCCCACAAAGTCGCTACAGCTTCCGTCGTCGATCCCTCCAAACCTGATATCACCATCCAACATCGCACTTATTTTGGTTCCCAGGCAGATAACGAGATTGCTCGGCTTCATCTGGAGCTGGCCAAAATCGGCTTAGATAATGACCGAACCTCGATAGATGCTATTGAGGACCTCATGGCTAGGAAGGATGGTGCAAAGTTAGAGCTTAAGTGGCTACTTCAGTTGTTTCTGACTATTGGTGGCAAATTCGACAACGGACACGCGGAGAGCCTTGATATAGAAACGAAGCGGCAGTGGCCTCAGCTTGCTTGGGTCATTTCAGCTGAAAGGTTGCTTCTACTGAATAAAGAGATCACCGACGGTAAGCTTAAAGTTGATTTCAGACACGCTTACGTTTTCCTCGCATATGGCTGCACGAAGCTGGCCCATGGCACGACAGATTCAAAGCAGATCGCAGTTGACGCGCTACTGTTTGCGGAAACCCTCGTCCCCGATCGTCAAGATTTCAATTTCGCCATCCCTGAACAGTGTAAAGCATTGTCAACAGTTATCTTTGTCGCTTTCCTGACCAAGATTAAGCCAATATACGCGGCAATGATTGAGGGAACAAAGGCCTTGGAGACCCAGCATGGGAAATACACCTTAAGATTGACCCCGCAAGCTATCTACGATCAGCTTATGCAATCACGCGAGCAAGACGCAGTTCGACTATTAGTTGATCAGTTAGTGGCACTTCGGGCAACGGAGTATTCAAATCAACTCGAACAGTACTGCACCTCGTTGAAATCAATAATTGAGTACACCGAAGAAGTTGTAGCTGCACTCGAGGCGAAAAGAAATTGAGACAATTGGTCATTTGTGAAACGCTATCTGTGAAACTGGCTGGCTAGGATTACATACCGACATTAGGTAGTTTGAAGCATCAAGATGCTGTTTCTTTCTCTATTCTAAGAGGGAACGCCTTGTAAAATAACAAAATTGATTCTCATTGAGGTGTGCCAAAATTTAAGGAATGTCAAGTTCGTGGCGTCCGCGTGTAATGTTCCATAGCATATTAAAAAATCTTCAATGTCCAGTTTGCATCTAGCCAGGTCGCTATCCACAAGATCTGTGGACTAATATGACTGTCATGATGGTCACAAATTATCCATATCAATCGCTCCTAACAATCCCAACTCGTTTCCGCTCTTCTGAGGACTCTAAGCGTTGGTATTTGTGATGCAGGCCGGCAGGCTTGAAATCCACAGTGCGTTATCAGTGAATCTTTTCTTCCAAATGTGTCAGCCACATCTCATCAGACGCGAGGATATTTAGACCTACTTGGGTCAGGTTCAAAAATTGCGGGCTCTTGCAGTGGTTGAAACCAAATTTCACACATCTCGTCACAAACTTTCTTAGCTTTGACGAGGCTAGCGTCCTTCTCTTCGCGGGTAGCATTCGGATCTCGCAGAATATCGAGTGGAGGCTTCATATCATCCATTTTCTGCCAGATTTTCCGCTGGATCTCCATATTGACCAATTTTCCTGGCAAATATTCGCCTGGTTTCCTCGTAAATGCATTCATGGCGTATATCTCCTCCAGAACGCGATGGAGTTTGACTTTGGTTTCGTGGAGCTCACTGGCCAGTTTGAATTCGTTTGGCGTTCCTCTGTTTTTATGCATATGCCGTTGGATATAGCGAATGTCTTCAAAGCAAGAATGTAGATCTTTACAGATCTCGTGATCGAAAGCACTCTCCATGATCTATATAATCGCGTATCTTTCGATATATTCAGGGAGGATGCATGTGTATCTATAAGATGCGAGGAAACCGACCGACTAAATAGATACCACACAGCATAGTGGGAGGATTCGAGTCCCCTTTCGTGTTTGCGCACCAACAAAGGGGTGGTGACGGTCGAATTCTTTGGCCAAACTGGTGTGCTTCGAGGACTTCTGTTTGTTATTCTACCGAGAATTTCAGGTCTGACAAGTGCTCTCTCTCCTACTAGCACAGGATACGAATGTCAACACATAATATAAGCCTAGTGATACGAATATAGTTATATACCAAATAAAATCTTTCATATTAGTTTAGTGTGCTTTACGTAGAATTGCAGTAAGGCCAGCTCAAAGTCGAAGGTGAACGCAGGCTGGAAATAATAATAACGACGATATTCCGCGGGCATATATCGCTTCCTGGGTGATATTGTACCAAATTGGAAAGAATTCGGCCTTGGTGGCTCTGGATGTCGACGTTATCTGTTTGGTTCGACGCTCGGACGTCACTTGATGGTGGATGCTAGACGCTCAATAACCCGCTAAGATAGATAGCCTCAACCCACTCTTTCTTATCATACCAATGATATAACTCCGATAAGAAAGAGTGGGTCAATCGACATATGGGGTAAGCGCCCATGCGACTGACTAAGTTGTCGCTGCCTCCTCTCATTGAAAATGGTCTACATTTTATCATTCTGATGACTACTAAAATTGGTGGCCGCACCACAGTGACGACAGATAATATTGTTCTCTACAACACAAGGATGGCTAATTATGCATGGAAACTTATCATTGGGGTGATGTAGCGTCAAGGAAAATGATATCTAACTTGCTCTTACTACTGCGCCGGTTTCTGGGGGCGCTCAGCGCTAGATGCCAGCCACTTTTGCCTATCTGTTGCAAATTTAAGAAACCTCATCGGAAGCGCTTAGCGTACCAGCCAGTCGTATTAGACACCCTACAATGCTGCCATTCATTCCCTTACATTTCATTGCAATTACATGAGTTTCTGATAAACTGCTCCGACATATGACTACCAACCAAGACATTCGATTCAGTGTTAAATTTCTACCGCAGTCAGCCTTAAAAAAAGGATTGTTGGAGAGGGTAATTGCCTGCACACATATGTGATAAGAGGTACCAAGCCATTGTTGTGCTAGAGATCAAATTCCCAGTATCGCGTCAGGCATCTGCAGGCCATTCTGTCCCTGAACTAGATAAAATGATCGTGGTATCAGTCGTCTAGTATATATAGGAAAATAAGCGGTGCGAGATAGGTAGGACATTTAACAGAAGGGGCTCTAGTAATCTTCCGATCTTCAAAACATATAAGATATTTTCCATAAATGATGGGGTCGACAGTGTTTATATCTGTTAAATTACTGAATACATTTAATAAGTAATGCAAACAGATCCATACATCGAGGAATTAGTACCTCGTAAATCGCTAGGGGAGTGCTGGAGGTTGAAGAGCCCTGCTTATGATTCATTGATGTCACCAAGTCATAATCGTCCGTCAACAGGCTGCAGCTTCAAACGGCGCACTTTCTCTCAAAAACAAACACCCCCCAGCCTCGCACCTTCCCTCTCTGAACTCCCACATCTGATATCTGCCCCTTCATCCCTCACGTCCTCTATGTCACATCTCATTTCTGTTATCTATCCCATCTCTGGTTGCTCCTATATTGCTGTCTCTGAGTATAAATACTCTGAAAATGTCCGGGACACACCCCAAGATGACGTCCCCCAGAGTGACATCCCCCAAGGCGACGCCCCCCAAAGCGACTCCATCGTTGGCCAGTCCGTTTGAGTCTAATGAGACAACTCCAACGCGAATCGAGCAACAAGACACGCCTGCCTCGACCCCAAGAAAGAGAAAATTCGTCGCAGAGCAACATCGTGACAATGTTGCTGCTACCGCTAAAGCTTTCCTGTACGTTGCCACTTCACGCGTCAATACCTTTGACAGCAAGTCACAACTGTTGGAAGATATTGAAGGGTTGAGAGAGTGCATCAAAAGCCTCGTCGAAGCCATTGACGGCGCTAACGACCCAAAATCTTCCAAGCTCTCGATCACGAGCATGCAGGCGTCGGAAATTGAAAGTATGAGGACTGTTTCTGATATCTTTGGGTTTGGTTGGGATCGCAACGGCGGCCCCCAAAACTGGGATGTCGGCCAAAGAGCCATATCAGTCGACAAACTCATTGGTAAGATCTAAAATTTCAACGATTATCCGGAGTCTATATTAAGATCTTTTTAGATGATTTGATCACGAGGGTACTCAAGGCTCCATTCTGGAATTCGGAACGCTGCGAGGCTCTTTGTCGAACCCCTATTGACCTAGTCCTGTTCGAGAGAATCGAAGCTCACCATAATGAGATGGTCGCGCGGCGTATTGCCGTACATGGAGAGTACGACGTTATCGCCACCTCAGAGACCCACCTTATCTCTGGCCGAGTTGACTACGCGATAGGATATGATCCATATCCTTTCAGAGTCAAGAGGGAATTCGAAAGCTATCTCGTAGTAGTGGAAGCCAAAACCAAGGCCAAATTTCATTCTGGAATGCCCCAAGCCATCGTATATATGATGGCTGCCTCCCAGGATCGAGCCAGACTGAGACCAGAGCGAATAGTTAACGTCATCTATGGTATAGTTTCTGACGGTTATCAATGGCAATTCCTGCGCCTGGAGAATGGTTCGATTATTACTTCTAATACATATTCGATGGAGAGAGAATCAGATAGAAAGAAGATCTTCTCGTTTGTGGATGTAATCATCACGGCCTGCATAGAAGCTTCACCTCACACAAGCCCCCGCCGAACTTTCCCATTGACACAGATGCAGTGGCCTGACGCAATTGAACGCCCCATTTTCGAAATTCTGGATGAACTCCAAGAACCTAGCTCTGAAACCGACCAAATTTGGAGTGAGATTCGGCGATCTGGTCCCAATGTTGAGGTTTGTAGCAATCATACCCTACGCATTCAATAACCGATTCTAATGATCCCCTCTAGCTTGTTCCCATCCGTCCAAAAGGACTTGATGACGTGCCGTCCTAAGCGAACAACTATGTGCAGAATATCGGCAGTTCACCATGAACTTTTCTTTTCTTATTTGTGACAATCTCTTACTCGGAACGAATGTTCATGATCATTCAAGGTTCCCTTGATATGATACGGACCAAAATTGCTCCCATTACAAAGTATTGGTAACATCAATTTAAATTGCTCTTATTCAAAAATTATTTTCTTCTTCAACTTCCTAAAATATTGATATGATTGCAACCTTGCACTCAAATTTCAGTTCTACTTAAGCAGCACAAGTGATTCGGGTCTTGCGAATGTGGCGAAGCGCATTAACCGTGACTAGGAATTTCGAGTGTCTTAGCGTGTCATTCTAAAACTATCGAGCACCATTTGTAGATAACTGATCATGGTATAAAGTAACTGCTTCGTATGCAAAAATCCCAGTAAGTTTACAAGTTGGCGCTATCTTAGTATCTGACTCTGTTAGATATATAATGTGCCCTGGATAATTCTAAATACGGTTGGTGGATGCAACTGATAAGGCTGAGACATCAGCCCACACTTGCTCAGCAGCATGCTAGCTAAATATTATGCATGCCCAACGAGAGTTAGTACTTAATGGCATGAGGTCAGTTACCCGACAAAAAACAGAAAATCTCGTATTAGGAGTGATAGTCAAATGCATACTTGCAAGGAAATGCCTCTTTTGAGGCTAGTTTCGGCTTACCCGCACAAAGGCAAAACTTAAAAGCTACCTCGGGGGCCCGCCGGCTAACCGAATTAGGGCATTTCTGATCACTTTTAGTAGATCGCCCAATCGAGTTTATCCACCGCGTATTTCACCGGCAACAAATCCTATGAAGAAAGTAATCTGGTATAAATGCGTCCTCTCGCGCACCTGGACTCGCAGGTTCGATCATGAAATCTAAATTCATAAAGCCGAATATCTCGCTCCTGGCAAAGTTCTCAGGGCAATTCACACAAACCCTATGGCGTCCTATGCACAATCCATGTCCCCAAATGGCCAAACAAATATAGTCCATATCTATTACCAGTCTGGGCACGAGCGTCTGGTTGCTACTGCTGCTGATAAACAGACGGTGCTGTACACGGTGCACCGGCACAATTTCAAGCCTCACATGAGTTTCTACCGCTCATACCCAAGCCCTAACGGCGAGCTGTCGGTGCTCATCGGCACTGCATCCTTCCATCATTTCTCTTCAGGCATTGACGTTGAGATGGCCAATGTTGATATTGGCATGAAGAAGGAAGGACTTGTATCGAATACATATTCTTTCTCTGCGGGACATCAAGGCCGGTGGCAATGGCAGCGCGACGGTGCGCTGACGAGCAATTTAAAGCTCGTTGATTCTCGTGGATATATTATTGCGCGCTTCAATAATGCATCGTGGTCCGTCAAGAAACAAGGAACCTTTGACATCCTGGGTATGATGGACCAGCTGGATCTGATTATGGTCTCCGGCCTGGCTCGAGTCGAATATCAGCGTCGGAGTGCAAGTACCCGCAATGGTGCGGTCCTTGCGAGTGCACCTCACTGAAGGGAATGAGATTTTCTGAATTACTCATGTTGAGAACAATATGTCAAGATATATGCTTTTTTTTTTATACACCACCTGTAGGGATTATTAACTTTTGCTGAGATCAATATCAAGGGATATGGCTGAAATCACCTGTGCTAGTTGAATCACAAGGGACAAGACATATTTATGACCCAATACATGTATCTTCAGGGCTCTTAAGAACGGATCCACGTCAACTTTCATGATCAACAATGAACGGTAGTGATGAAATAAGATCTAATTTTATATGCTAGACAATACACCATCTCCCTTTAAAACGTATAAAACATATTGTGATACAATATAACAGGACTAGAGCTCATCCTTCCTTTCCTGGCGTTGCTCAGACTCCTCAATCTCTTCATCGACCTCAGCATCATCCACCCCATTCTTCTCAGCAGCCACGCGTTTCGCAAGTTCCGCAATCTCATTATCATACACCGTCCACTCGGGGACCTGCCGTCTAGCACGGTCGAGTTTTGGCTCCTTAGTCATTGGATTATTACACAAGTCGATAGTACGAGCCGTCGCCAGGGCGTCGTCCGAGCACCACGTCTCGCACCAAAGCCAGTCCTGCGGCAGACTCTTGATCGGGATCATCGTCTGCAGATGATTCGGCAGATCCTGGTCTAGATTGGCCAGCGACTCCGGATCCGCCGAGAGCGTGTGGTACTGACCACGCAACCTATCGCCCGCCGCCACCTCCCTAAACCGGTTCAGGTCGACGACATACAGCGCCGAGATGTGGTATGGTAATTCCTTGAGGTATGTTTTCCAATACCCCTGCTTCCAGAATCGGAAACCCTCCATTTCCTTGCGCGAGTCGCACATCGGAGTGAACCCGTACGGCGCGCCTTCAAGATCTAGCGAGACGAGATCGTACATGTCCGTGCGAACGATCTGGTCCGCGTCCACGAAGATGACTTTGTCGAGGGATAAGGGGAATAGCACGTCCAGAAACAGAATTTTATACCCCCAAATCTCACGCTGCTTCTCGCGCTGGCCGCGCAGCCAGTGCGGCCATTTATACGTGACCATTTCATATGAGAAACCGTATTCCTGGGCGAGATGCGGGAGGAAGCTTTTAAACGAGGGCGAGAGGAATTGTTCAATGAACCAGAATTTTACTGTGTGCTGCGTGTTTTTCATGACGGAGACCATCATGATATTTAGCATGCGTTCGTATAAATGGCCGCTGGCGACGGAGAAGATATTGATTTCGGCGTGTTTCTCGGCCGTCTCGCTTTTGCCCTTGACTCCAACGCTGGATAGAACGCCTTGGGCGAAGTTGAAGCCCTTGGAAACATAGTCCATGGCCGATCCTGGCTGCGGTCCGGTTTCTAGGACATCCTCGTTTTCCTTTCCTGGATTGCGTGAAAGACGAGGGAGGAGTGTTTTGCCCTGGAAGGATAGCAGGGCGACTTCGTTACTATCACTGCCTGGCTCTGTGCCGCCAAGACTGTCAAGTTTGAAAATGCTCTGACTTCGGCCTTCTTTGAGTTCGATTTTCCAGAATCCAGGTTGCGCTTTGAATTGAAAATATCCCAGATTATCCATGACGATTGTGTCGGCAAAGAAAGATCCCTTTTCGGTTTCTAACAGCAACTGAACACCTCGTGGTGGCGTCTTAAGGGTTGTATCTGTAGAATGGCCTTCAATTAGAATATGTTCGAGTTCGTAAATCGCTACTACATCGGAGTTTTCCTTCAGAGCACTGAGTTTGATGTTGTCGAGATCGTGAATGGATTCCTTCGGCGCCACAAGCCAGGATGAAGCGACATCCATGCCAAGAGTTAAGAGTGCTTCTTGCGGGAGTCCTTTGAAGACAGCTTCCGGACGAACCAAAGCGCCGTTCTCATCAAACAGCGGTTCTGATGCCAAAACATGGCGGTAGAATCGCTTGATTGGAAGTTCTTTCAGATGGAAACTGGGAGTGACAAAGATCTTCACGTTTACTCCAGCCAATTCAGACAGCGTCTTGAGAATTGGGACCCATCTCTGCGACATTTCGGATGTAGGATCGATAGCAGCGACGATGTTGATCGACGCATCTTCTTCAGAGTCAAGAGTGATTGTGGAATGAGTGCCGTTCCACCTATTCCAAACCTCTAGGCGGTACTTGGACTTGCTTTCGAAAATGCCATCAGAGGCATCGGGTAGTGACGATAAAGCGACTAGAGAGGTCAACTTGGCATAGTTAAGCGCGCCTGTCACTTTTGATTCGATTCCAAGGCCCTTCAGTGCCTCTGAAACAGGACCAAGTCGTTGTGACACCTCATAAGCTAGCAGCTGCTCAAAGTCCTCATCGCTAAAGTCCACGGACGACGGTAGAGGACCAATTGCCCTTCCATTCAACAGAATACCGGACGCACCAGATTTAAAGCCAAAATCTTGGACTAATTGTTGTGCTTGTGTCCAATACTCTTGCTGTTCTGTGGACGCCTTCAAGGTAGAATCAACAGCTTGAAGTTGAAGAAGCACATCGGCAAGTTGAGGTTGGTTGGTCTGACGCAGAAGCTCGTAAAGTTTAGATGAAACACCCGATGGTCGGGTTTCTTCAGTACTGGGGCTGTGAAGTGGAATAATCTCAGCCTCCAAATGCGCCTGACGGAACCTGAGAGCAGACAGTAGCAGAGCGAGTCCATGATCAGTATCAAAATCGCCAATCACAACCAACTGTACATTACTCGCGGTATGGTCCTTATCTGACGGAATGCGGAGAACGTCATTGAAATCGTTGTGTTTGCTCACGACATCAAGTATATTAACTATACGAACCTCGTCATTCTCAGGTATAATCCATTCGTTACGGGTTTGCGACGCCCCAGAAAGGAAGAAACTTGGAATCCAACTGTCTTCTCCAATTTCACCTTGAATAAGACCCTGCTGAATTAATTGAAGATCTCTCCCGAGCTGCATAGGCAGCTGTTGCATGTAATGATCACTGCGAGACATGGGGATGCCATTGATCAATGTAGGAGGCGAAGCGCCTTGGAGATCTAGACGTTTCAAGTATTTGGCGGTCTTTACAATGGTCTCATCTAGTTCTTGGGACTGGACGACTTGGTCAAATGATAGCTCTTGCTGGTTTGCGCGGGGAGCATGGCCCGCAATCGCAGTTTCGAAAATGCTCTTCTCGGCCTTAACAGTTTTCTTATGCGACAAAGTCTTGGATTTCAATTAGCGCAAGGGCTATAAATATCTAGCATCAATACTCACCTCCAAGTATTTCACCAACGAAGCAAGTCCGTGCGTCTGGTGAAGGTAGTGTGCAACCTTTGCTTGGGTTTTCGAGTCCTCCGTATGTAGTATAGGTACGAGCCCAAAACGTACAGGTATCATTCGCTTAACAAAAACGTAAAGATACTGTAAAATAAAGGAGACGTCGTCTTCATTAGCAAGGTCCACAGGAACCACCACATTGTGAATATCGCGGCGAACAGGTGGAAGTTGGCCAGGATATGTTGGCTGGAGAAGCTGCAGAATGTCAGACTATGCATATCAGAATACTTTAGATAGCAACCTACGGATTGAAGAGCAGTTGGGAAGCTGCTGTATCTTTTATCCTTCTCGATATTGTTCATCCAGATTAGCACACCTCCCTCCTCCACTTCGTCACGCCAGTCGTAGCGTTGCGATTCGCTGGTTGTTTGGACTTCGGTCAATGCCGGGTAAGACAGTAGATTTACTGCTTCCGTTCCAGACAGCCCAAGCCCCTTGAACTCTCCTATCGCCTTCCTCTCTCGTCGTAGATGAGCTAACAAAGAATACGCATCAACCTGACGCGAATCCACTTGTAGACCATTAATCCACATGAGGTTGCGTGCGGATGGGAGGCCAGCCTGACGATTCTGCGTATATTCTGTCAAAAACTGATCCGAGGCATTGTATGCCGCCACAGCAGCCGAGTATTTCGGAAAATCTTGCGAGAGTTTGAGCAGCGTGGTGAATGGTTCTTGACTGTCGAGGATGAAACCTGCTGCACTGATCCCCAGTCTTGACACTTCGGAAGAGGACAGCGGTTTCAAGTCCGGAGGAGATTCTTCTTCTAGGCTATCTGTGCTTGGCTGTTTCCCTTTCGTCTGACCGGAAGTCTTGTCCTCCCTTTCCTCTGCTTGACGGTCATCGATCACGATATAATCTGTTCTTTTCAGAGTTAATTCAACCCCGTAACCATTCACAAAAAGCGGGCGAGGAAGAGTGTTTTGAAGAGGGCGGTATCGAACACGATACGCAATTTGACCCTCATTCGCAAGAGTTTGTAATGTGCGATGATAGTCGGCAAAGACTGGCGAGGAAACGTCTGCATAAAGGACTGCCCCAGGGGCTTCAGAGTCACCGAAAGTCCGATCAAAGGGTAATTCTCGAGGGTCACTAGAATACAAGGTTAGCGCAACTGCTTCTTTCTCAGGAAATAGCGATTCTAACCTATCACCAGACACGCCTTGTTGGGCCCGTTCTAGTGTCGGTGAGCAGTATTGCTTGCCATCCATGTGAACCCATACTGGGCAGGCAGCATCCTGGGCTGTTCCCAATGTGGGTTCGACAGATGTGTTGTAGTACTGGTAATGTGCCTGTATTCGGGGAGCAGCGGAGCGAATCGAGAGCGCAAATTTGAAGGATGCCAGGCTATCCTCATCTGCGAGATGTCCGTCGTCGCGAAGGACTTTCAGAAACCGGTTGTACAAGTCTTGCTCGGTGACGGCATCCTCAAAGTTGCCTTCTGCGATTCGATCGAGTAGGGGGAAATAAGCGGTGGAGTTTTCTTCGGCAGCGGTCTCTCTGTAACAACCAGTTAGAATATAGTATACCAACGAGGGCTTTTTGGCTTACAGCAGCTCTACTAGGTACGGGCCCGCATCGAACGAGGCTTGTAGGGCAACGTTGACAGAGGGGCTAGCGACAACACCATGCGGACGCAGTAGTAGTCCTGCGACTAGATTGGCTATTGCGAGGAACTTCATGCTGATCGATTCGGGCACTAATTATTTGTTGTGCTCCATCCAAGCTTTCGTTTTCAAGTCCAAAGGTACTCCGCGAAATTCACGGGGACAGCTGCGTCAAGCAGGCAGGTGGCACATAGTGTTAACCAGCCACAAGGAAAGAAGTATATCAAGCTCGACGGTGTTCTCAAAGAAAATAGACTCAAAGAAAATATTAAAGTCTCGGTAGGAATCCTTCTTTGACTCGACCAGGACTCGAGGCAATAATAATGTCGAAGGTCGGCGTGCACAGTGGACACCTATCGATAAACATCCAGCGGCAAGAAGATGGGCGACTCCGATTGGCCGAAGCTCAACAGAGCAGAGTAAAGCGTATAGAGTGTACAAGACTACAGGCTTCAAAACCAGGAATATGGATGCAATAATTTTCGATTATGCTGTAGGCGATGCTACCAGATATTATATAGTACATCCAGTAGCTCCTTTCAAATGACACTCATCTTAAAGACTTTTCTAGCAAACTCCTGGCCTAACTCCACTATTTTCATACCATTATGTTCACAGCAACACTGCTGCCGTGTAAAACAGAACTCGTAACTCCATTCCACCAAATTCCCAATGCAATTTGGCCATTCAGCCAGCGTGATGGGTACCGTAGCCCATACGTTGAACTCGTAAGTCGATATTTTCATTCCTTCATTCATTCATTACTAACATACGAGGCATTCCTCACTTGTCGAAGGCCTTTGGAGCGGTTTCTTCCTTCTTTCTTTCGTTTGCTTCCCAGATCATCCGCTTGCGCTTAAATTCGTCGACATCAAAGGCCGATTCGCCGCTGGAACTGCTAGCAGACCGGCCACTGACAAGCGCAGTAAAAGATTTCTTCTTGGAAAGAGACTTTGGTTTACCGGGCTCTTTGTTGTCTGAGCGCGAACGCATCTTGCGAAGCTGGTTGTTGATCTTTTCCAGAGTTGATTTCGGGTGTCTGGAGTCCGGGGTAGAGGAGCGAGATTTGTCGCTAGGGGTCGTAGCCCGGCTGTCGGTAGTGAGGGACTCGTTGACAGAGCCAAAACTCACACCTGAGTCTGCATTGCGCTTGTGAGTCTTGCCCCGCACTTCGGCTTCCAGATCATCACGCCCTTCGATCGCACCGCAGTCGTAGATCATTTCATGAGCTAGGTCAAGGTATTTCTCCAGAAACTCATGCACCAGGGGCCATGCCGTTTCCTCGCCAGGTCGGGCACCCGACTTGAGAACATTTTCGATCGCTATCTTGCCACTGCGTTCCACGGTTTTAATGTAATTGAAGAAGCCAGAGCGCTGAACACTCAACTCTTCTGTTTTCAGCTCCCCATTCGGTACGGTGGATGCAGCCGTGAGGGGAGTGACTGGAGGAAAGAGCGTGTTCAACATAGCTAGACAGTTAGCCTTGTTGAAGGGCTCCAACCATATTTCATTGATAAGGATCTGGCAGATAGTCAGTAAGACGAACAAACATCCTCATCATAGAAATCCTACCCAGCGACGCAGACTCAAGCAAACGTTTTTGTAGTAGTGATGAGCCTTGCGGTCTCTCTCCTCAATGGACTCAATCCAGCGAACGACGCCCGGATACTTCTGCTGTAACTGTTGCTTCTGCTCGAGATTACTACGCAGAAACGGTGAAGTATGGCTGCTGAGGTCAATGGCCAGGCTCTTGAAAGCAGCCAGCACATCCTTCTGACGACGTCTTTCGACGTTCTTCAGATAATCCAAGGCAGTGAGCGCTTGCGGAAAGTCGACGTTTTCCAGAGTCGAGGCAAAAACACGACGCACAAATGACACCATGAAGCCCACAGGGAGCGACAGCTGATGTGGCGACTTGGAGATGTGCGAAATTAGCTGGGCCCTGAACTGCGAGGCGGCATCGGCGACGGGCTCGGTAGCGTTCTGCATAGCGGGGGATGCGAAAGCAGATTCTTTGAAGCCGGAATTGGGCGCCAATGGACGAGTTTGGCAATTGAGCGTGTACATGCTGCGGAGAGGAATTTCGTACGAGGCAGGGTGTAGCATGTAATGCTCGAGGATGAGGGGAAAAGCAGAGCCATCGGACGCCTCGATGCCCTTACTCGGTGGGTTTGCAGCAACCTGCTCTGCCATGGTGGTTGGATATGCACAATATGCACAGATATGCACAGATGAGAGTGCAGTTGATCGATAACAAGAGTAGAAAAGCACAAGAACACAGGTGTGTAGGTTCTTAGTTGGGATTGTGCTGGGAGTGCAGGTTCATTGAGTGTTATTGTTGACTGTTGATTGTTGATTGTTGATTGTTTTGTTGGTGAGATGGTTGGTTGGTGCGTGAGAGAGTGTGGTTGTCGAGAGCGATGAGAGAGAGCAGAGAGAAGAGAGAAAAGATACAAGAAGCAGGTGCAGCTCTTCCAAATATGGCACGCGGGGGGCAGAGGGAAAGCAGCCTCTCCACTTAAAAGTTAAAGGCTACTCTGTTTGCTTGCAAACAGGGAAAAAGAAACGAGAGGGAGACTCAGCAAGCAAACGAAGAATCCGCCAGGGAGACAAACAGAGACGGAGAGGGAGAGACAGACAGAGAGAGGGAGGAAGCAGCACAGGATGAGGGCGAGCGGAGAATGTCAAAGAATAATCGTAAATAATACAGATTCTTATGTTTTCCAGGCGGCCGGAGCTAAGAGAAAGCTAAGGCGGGTCTAGGCCCTGCAAGGTTAATTGCGCTGGGCTAGCGGTTCCGGCTGGCTGTGTCGCTCTGATCTAGCGTGGGCCGGCCGGTTATTATTTGCCGTTTAGTAGTCTTCAATATGGTAGAGATCTCTTTATTATTCTTATCTATCTCTTTCTTATCCTTGTCCTGCGTGGTGTGCTGTCTATTATTTAGCAGCCGTGCCTACTAGAAATCAGGAATACTTAACATTTAATATTTACTATTTACTATTACTGTTTAGTCTTACTGCTTACTGTTGGTTCCGTCCCGGCGGCGTGGGCGATCCGATTGGTGTCCTCTCTTTCATATTCATATGATTGTTGGTATTTGCCCCTGTTCTATCTCAGACCAACCGCGTCGCAAACTGACCGCATTACATATACCTTCGCACTCCTGCGAATGACCATTACTTGATTAACTCGATAATCCTGATATTAAACTCTAAGCATTTGACAAGCCGTGGCTAACGCTAGGCCCAACGGGGCATTACCACCACCACCATCACAACAAAAGACGCGTCTTTGTTTCAACAAGTCATTCATCTGTCGTATCACCCCTAACCTTACGCCTCCCAAGAAGCCATTATTGATCGGTCCAGAATTGTAAGTGTTATTTTTGGAGTGGCACCGGTGGCCATGGCGCGGCCTTCTCCACGATGCAGTGGCGCAGCCCAATCTATCGGGATCTTAGACTCTTGACTCTTTGACTCTCGAGTCTCCCTTGCGTCTGCGCTCAGGCGTCCTTTGATTCTCAGTTTTGAATCGTGCATCCGGTGACTCGCCAGTCCTGTCGGAGGCAAATCTGGATCTGCCTAATCCCGTCCTTTCGTTTCCAGTCCCGAATTATTACGCCGCCCGTGTTGGCGTGTTCAGCTGCAGCAGATCTTTGCTTCCTCCCCCCCACTATCTTACTATTTAGTGTGCACTGCGATCCGATTCCGCGGCAGTAGCTTGCGTTAGGGCTAACACCTCCACGACTCCTGGTTATTACGAATAAAATTCGCTCGGCCGAGGACGTTCCTTCGGTCCCATCCCAATGATACTTATCCGTACCTGTGATACTGAGCTGGAAGCAGCGCTGCAGTGACAGCAGGGCCACACTCCGTGGCCAGTATTTAAGTACCGCCTGTAGTGTACAGAGATGTCCACGCTAAAGCCGTCTGCAGGAACCTGCATGCGGCCCACGCCTGGTCATTCCGAGCGATCTCTCCGATTGTTGCAGCTACAGAACGCGACGAGGAGGAAGAGCACGTTGTCAGTACCCTGGAGCGTGCTGGTCAGCGTATTTTGAGCTTCCAAATCGCGTGGCCATGAGCATTTCTTGCAGACGACAAACATATCTTCATGCAATTGACACATCCAGAAATCGTAAACTATAATGTGATATGGATTTTCTTGGCGTAGGGCGTGCCAGCCGCTTTGACTCTGAGTCGGCATGTGGCTGCAACAGGTCCCAAAAATGAAAACGATCGAGTCGTAAGCTGACTTTAAATATTGGTCAAGTGTGACAGCTGTGCGCTATATAATTATCTAGTAAAAGTGTATATATAATTGGTGATTGTAAGCCTAGCAAGCACATGTATTTATTGTGACTATATCAATACATAGCGAAAAGATCAGTCATTCTTTCAGCAAGTTGTCAACTGATATCTTTCAATAAAATACGCATAAGCCATCCATACATATACAGCAGCCTGAATAATATCATATGACCAAGACAAATACCATAAATACGGAACATCATTCAATAATAGGCAAGTTTCAAATACCTTTTCTCTTAAAAATTATACCTATAGCCAACTTTAGATAAACCGAAACTTCTCCTCTTCTTATTACACTTCAAAATACCAAATTAGATAAGGAACAGAATTATTCAAGTTAGATTTACTGATTAAATATAGGATTTATTAAGATATTATGATTTCAGTTCAGTCTCTGCAAGCAATATATTGTAAATGGTATAAACAGTAGCAACAAAATACCAAGCTTCTCAAGAATTCTTCTGATTGTTATCAATAATAACAGATTTATCTTTCAACTTTAATGCTCTATGGAGACAAAATACATATATATTTACTTCAGGTTCTGCATCTGGAACCTCCTTTTATCTCTGTTAGTAGGCGTCTTATGACTAATAATATTCATGGTATTACATTAAAAAATTTCATTAAATGAAACAATTAGTTAATACCTCACCCATTTAACTTGATAATTATAAATAAATCTAAGATAGACTTGTATAAACAATCCTCTTTATGTTAACCCCATTCTCTTTCTATCATCAACAAGGGAGCCCTCAACAAGGGCCAATCTGCAATCTGATAGTGATACTGATGATGGCTCCAACGTGAAAGGGATTTGACTGAGTAGTGGATGAAGAAGATGATAAATGGGTTTTTAAGTATTAGCAACGTATCATCCAGCGCGCTCCAACAATATTGTTAGACGAGAAAGAGGGTGAGATGTAAGTGACTTTCTAACTGAGATGATTATAGTTGACATGACAGATATTACTAGCAATGATGGCAAGTCTGAAGACAGAGATGGCGAGTATGAAGATGAAGATACTATAAGAGAAACAGTCGACTTTTAGACAACAAGGAAACAAGGATGCTGCTATCAATTTACTTATTGTCCATGGGGTCAGTGTGTGCCACTTTACAATAGCCTGTTCGATTGATGGTCCCACTACAGTCTCTATCTTACTGCTAATACTTACTCTAGATTCATATAAACGAATTGCTTAGTCCATAGGGAGTTCTTTATGCATGATATTTTCATAACGTGCCTTGGAGAGTCTATCTAGGAAACGCTGCCACAGAGAAGAAGGCTTCTATGTATGAACGGGGTATGGCCATCCCTCAGGATTAGGTTTTAATGTCTTCGTGGCTATCTTCCTTCGTGTATCTTCCATGTGGTGTTTTTCTTTTAAAATGCTGTTACTATTGACAATGTCAAGTAAACAAAAACAGAATCTGGAGGCATGTAATACGACCAGGTAGATATTTGAGAGTCAATGAATCGATACCCGTACCGCATGATGAATGTACTCATACCCTGTCGGATAATTAGCATGACTTCTAGTAGTTAATATTTTATTTCCAGTCGTAGCCTTCAACGATAGCTTCCGGTTTATTCCACAAAAGTTTATATCTGGCTATGGTATAGATGAGCATGGCAGTCTCCCGCGCTATGATTTAAAAACTATGACAGCAGACAGCTCCGCTCCGCTCCGCTCACGTGAAATTTCCCTTCAACGAACATACAACCTACACCAACGATGCACCTTCCAGCGCACCAGCAATGCTACCATTAAATTAAAGAACACAAACTTATCCGTCTCGTCTACAATCCAATCTCCTACGACCCCCCCCTCCCCCTCCACCATCGCAGCCAAAATGGCACCTCCAACCCCCTCCCTCAACGCCGCGAACCTATCATTCGAAAAGAAAAACACCAATCTAATCAGCATCCCGCACAACTACCGGGTCCAAAAACGTCCTATCCCACATGCCCCCGTCGCATCGCCCTACGCTGGCACCGATGTGCCCAAGATCGTCTACGTGGGCAGTAAAACACCCTTTATGAGCGCCATCAAACGCGTACAGAAATTACTGCGACATGCGGAACGACGCGTGATGACGCCGTTGATTGATGAGAAGGAGAGGAAGAGGAGACACGCACAGCAGCGGAAAAGGGAGAGTAAAGCTGCTAGTAGTGGTAGCGGTGCGGAGGAGCAGGAGAGGAAGGTTTTGGAGGAGTGTTTAAAGAAACTGAGGTTAGAGAAGGTTTTGGTCAAGGCCACGGGGAAGGCGATGGAGAAGGCGGTGAGGGTGGGGAGATGGTTTGAGGAGAAGACGGAGGAGTATGAGGTGGCTGTGAGGACGGGGAGTGTGTGCGTGGTGGATGATATTGTGAGAGAAGAGGTGGAAGAGGAGGAGGAGGAGGATGATACAGCAGATGACCGGGAAGAGGACGATAATACTGTGACTGTCGATGGCAAGAACGAACAGAGCGATAAAACTAAACCCACCGAGTCGAAGAATCAGCTTCGTCGACGAAGGAAGCGCGAACGAGTACGACAACAGAAAGTGGAGGCATCTCTTGACGAAGATGGTGAACCGCCAGAGTCGAGAACCCGATGGGTCAATATGGTTGAAATCTCGGTCAACTTGAAGTCATGATGAGTGATATATTGAACAGAGTGTTATGTTATAGCGATTACGATACCCAATGCCATGATATGCAGTGAACAAATATAACGTATCAGAATCACATTGCTTATGTCATGCGCCGCTTTTCCCACAGTCATATACATACAAAGGGAATGATATCTTGATCCAATGTAACCGGTCAAGTGAAATACAACGACGGTCATCGTCCTCCGCTTCCACCGCGTATTTGCCATGCTGAGACGCCTCAAAAGATAATAGATATAGGCCTGCCACAGATTGCGTAGACTGGGTGCATTCCGAGCCTAGGCCATCCAGGTCGAGAAAGAATGGTTGGTCCCCAGAGAGTCATAACTGGGTAGGGTCCAAATAAGAAAAAGAAAAGCACAAAAGAACAACACAAGATGCGATAGAAAACAGAAAAAGAAAGAAAAAAAAATTAACACCCAACCCCGAGACTGAATCCTTGAGTAGGAAATCCCAATGCCAAACCCTTGAGAGACGTAGATTCTGGAAAGAATGACATGTAAATGTAGGGAACACAATTTATCCCGATAATCACGCCCGTTAGTCGTTACCAACGCATTGACAATATCCGCCAACACAGAATTCATCTGTCAACCTTCTGCCATCCATTGAGGTAGGCCATTAGTCCAACTCCGAGAAGAACAACCCCGAGCATTGACGCGTATGGCGTCGAATTTTCAAGCAGATGCTGTCTTCGTTTTTGCGTCATTGCTGTCACAGCGTTTTCAAACTCCTTCAGATTCTGTGGATCGATGCCATGATGAGCGTCTGAATCCAATATAGATATTTTATCACCAGCTTTTGTAATGATGTGTGACTCGGAGAAAGAAGCGTCCCTCGAAAGCGTTTCATTCGCCTGCATCTCTCGTTCACGCTTGATAGAGTCGATCATCTCAGCAAGAGATTTCCGGGCTTCGACAGTGTCGTCTTCTGCCTTCTCTGCCCGCTGCTTGAACGTTTCAACTTGTTGCTTCATCTCTGCTATCTCCGTCACCATATTGTTCAGCTTCTGCTGCAGCTTTTCAGTTTGAACATCCTGGACCAGGTGCTCAACATTCTCCGTTTCCGTGGTGTCAAGCAAACCATTTACTTGCGGATTTTCGTGAGACTTGGTGATTTCCTCCACTTCATGCACATCCTCGCCAGAATCATCATCGAGAGTCTCAGAAGCCGTTTCGACTTCTGACTCTGGAAGAGCGCGCGATTGTCGTGCCTTTTCCTCTGCACTTTCGCGAGCAGAACGTTCTTGCCGCAGAAGATCTTCAAGTTCCTTGACACGAGTATTTTGCGCCTCCAACTCTTTCTTGGTAATGGACAACGCTTCAATTAATGATATAATTTGACTGGATTCCCGTGAGACAGGAGAGTTTGATGCAGAACCTGTCTTGTGTGGCTTTTCGGTGTCTGATCTCTTCAAACTGCCTACATGTGGTTCTTGGGAAGGGCGACGGGCGGCATCAGGCTTTTCAGGTAGAGGTTGTTGAGGTGGTGGAGCTGGAGGGTCTGAGAATCTAGAGATCGGATCTAAACGAGAAACCTTAGGCCGGCCATTGGCATGGCGGCTGATGTTGTCTTGCTTATTTAGGAGCTTTTCTTTCTCGGAATTATCTGAAGTAATCAGTGTATGCAAGAACTCGTCTGTCTGGCGAAGATCTTGAGAATGCTGTTTGGCTAGTTTCATTTCCGTCTGATAGTGGTCAGTATGCTTCGTTAATCTTGGTGGCCTCCCACTTACGGTAAGCTTTTTAACCACCTGTTCGATAGTCATTGGAGACATATAATAATTCATCTGCCGTTGTTGATGAAGAGCATTTATCTGGCTGCTTGCTGCGCTTTGAACGCTGCGGTTGCTGGCCGAGCTGCTTGATCGGCCACGGAGGTGCCAAAGAGGTTGGGCGAGTGGTGAGGGCATCAAGCCGCCGCCTGAAGCTGGATCGATATCCCCAAAATTGAGGTCTAGAATATTCGGACCTGTGCCGTATACTCCCGCATGTTCGATCTTGGCCGATACCTTGTGATGCACAATGGACTTCTGGTCTTCGCTCACAATATCAATACCCAACTCGAGCGAATCATTCTCTCGTAGTTCGTGCGGTTCTGATTCTCGACTCTCAGGTGATAGCCTTTGCCCGTTCACAAAGGTTCCGTTTGAGGATTTCACATCTCGAATCCATATTTTTCCTCTGCGGTCCGCCCATATTTCTGCATGCTGTCGTGATAGTACTTTGGAATCGAAATACCCATTAATGGGTGTAGGAACCGTTTTGGCGTTTGTTTGACGGCCAATGCGTAGCACTTCAGGGAAATAGGGAACGTTGATTTGTTTTTTCTCGAAAGTACCATTGACAGGAATCAGCGTTAGGATGGCAGGAGGGTCAGAAGATCCCTGCATTACAGCACCCGCGTTCACTCCATTCTGTTGAGGACTCTGGATCATATGTTGAGAAGGCACAACAGGTGAGGGTTGATGAATGGCAGACATAGCCGAGGAGGCTGTAGGTCCACCGTTTACCGAGGTCGACGACGAGACAGGTTGTGAGCGCGCATTCGTTACGCCAGAGACAGGCTCGGACTTGGATGCCGGCCACAAGCCGCGGCTGTTTTTCTTTTTCGACGACCACGTAGCTGCAGGTGTGCCGTTGGATGTTGCACCATTACCAACGTGTGTGACAGTGGAGGTGGAAGTTGTTGAGCTATTGGACGATAGCGAGGAGGACGAATTCGTTCTTTGCACACCCTTGCGCGGCATAAACATGCGAGACACGTCTTCGGTGTTCATCGAACCAAGAGCCGCCTGTCCTGCGTTACCAGTAGAATACCATCCTAGACGAGGCCCCGATTGCACGCTAGGCGGAGAAGCCACTGCAGTCATGAGGAGAGAAAATTCAAGGGGATATCAAGCGTCGGGATGTAAATATATATGCTGCCCGCGCTGCAGCTGCGAAACGAAATGTCGAGATTGTATGCGTCGGTAAATATATAGGAACCAAGCGGTATCAACTTCGCGTGGTTTGATGAAATAAAGGCTTTTGTGTAGAATGGCGGTGTTGAAATGGGTGGTCGGCGTTGCGAGTCGTTGGAATCAAGCGTAGTCTGGTCAGAGAACTATCGGTTAGCTTCATTTCACCTCAGTCGCAACATCATGTCCACTTTTGTGCGTAGATAAGATGCAACACATGGCGAATTGGTTACCTGGGCCTTATTTTCTCGGTGAGCTATGACCCGCGCATAGAAGGATTCTGGTTTGGTCGTGTGTTAATCCTGCTCGTCGGCGATAAGCCGCCCAAAATAGACAATGACCACGGGCTCAGGAGACACCACGGGCCAGACGGTCGGCCACGGAGGGACGCCGACACGCCTTCAGCCAGCTTTCAAAGGCGAGGAGCGACAGGTGAGGAATAAAACGAGGGCGAGTGCTCGACGGCAGACAGATCAAGGACCCATGGAGCGGTGGTGGTGCTTTTGCTGCAGCAGAGCGGGATATGTCACGCTCTCCTCCCTCTTGCGCTTTGCCTCTCGCTGCACCTTGACTTCCCGTTGCAAATCACCTGCCGGTGCCCTCACGTGACCACATTCTAGAGGCCGGCAAATCACAGCACGTGCCGCGGCCAAAGCGGGCTAGCGTCTGCTTCGGCCCGTACGGGGAGCCATTGCGGCCACCAATGCTTGCGGCTTCACTGTTTCTGCGAGCCAAACAGGAGTATACAGCGCCTGCTTTCCACTGACCCATCGTTGCAGGGGGAATCTTGTTCAGAACCCGGATCTACAGTCATAGACCAAACTGACTCAATGCCTGTCGTTGCTGGTCCCCCCCAGGGCCATGGCCCTTCAACTGTTGACAAAAGTGAGAATCAAGCTAGTTTATTGCTCTGCATCTGAACTGCAACTGAATGCTGACTTGGATGGTTTCAGTGAAAATGGGAGCGATGATGGGAACATGTATGGATTCTCTCCCGTGCACGCACTGCGCAATCGTTGGAATGAGGATGGGATAAACTAACTACTCTTTCGCCATTAGCTGTCGGCATGATCATGGGCTTCATCGGCGGTATGTGGTAATCCAGTCCTAGTTTCGAGGAGCTCCTACTCACATTGATTCTTTGTAGGAGCCGTGACTATCTTTCAATACGGTGCTGGTCCCAATGGTGTCATGCGGACGTTGGGCAAGTATATGCTTGGCTCCGGAGCCACGTTCGGGTATGGTCGATATCCTCCTTCCTTTGTGCTGGGATACTAACAGAGACTGTTCACAGACTGTTCATGTCCATCGGCAGTGTCATTCGGACTGAAGGCCCATACCATGAAGCATGGCGCCGCGTGAACGCAAAGCCTATCATCCTTCCTCGAGAATTCCCGGAGCGACGATAGAAACGTATAATGAAATCATGGTGGGAGAATGAGATACATTTTTATACTTTGTATATTATAGGCAAAATCTAGGCGTGAAGCGCTGCACTTATTACGGTTGTTGGCAATATACCATTTTTAATATCGACCTAATCAAGTTGGTAGACGGAAGAATGGAGAATTCGGCGTGTTTACTGTATATAGTTGGAAGAATGGGCATGACCTGACATTAGCCATATCAGAAGATACCAAGGGGAGACTTTGGCTGGCCAAATCATCAATTGATGCCGTCGATTCTCCATTATTTTGGGTTGATGCTCTACATTTAAAAAGACATGATCAATTTAATATTAACAATATCAAGCCAGACGCTCTTTTACGACATCAATTGATGTATCTACATGTACTACATATTGATGTAGACAAGGCCATCAATATATCAATTGATCAGCTGATAACTTCACTTGCATATATATCCACCGGTATTCCCATGATTTTAGTCATCACTGAATGCTTCATTTCTTTAAATGTTTACTATATATTCATTTTCCTTCAGACATCAATTGTATTTCATATGCCCACTATCAAACCTACACTTAATGGATATACATTAATGTTCCGACGCCTGCCTTTCTCTGTAAATCTATGAAACCCTACGCAAATTTGACTGACCATGCAACACTAGACGTTATCGAACGTTATCTTATCCGAATGGGTCTGTACAAGGAAGATGATGATATGCATGACGAAACGCCACAATCATTAAATCTTAACGTTATCGTTGATACGAGGCGATTACGATAATGACTTGAAACGAGACTCTTCGATGTTACCGAATTATTTAATAATCTTCAGAGAATAGGGTTTGTGTTGCCTCAGGCCAGTTGCTGGTTTACAGCGCCTTGCCGATGATGTCTAATTTCTGCATATTTGATGTGTCACGTCGACAATCTCCACGTAACTCGTGTGATACGTCGTACATGACGCATCATGAATTGCGCGCTTATGGTGATATACGTGATTTGTCTTCGTTGCACGGCTTGAATAACGCTCTGGATGTTTCTGATCGAGACATAGTCATCAGTCATGGAGTTATAAACGCGAGCAATCAATGATTTGGAAATTATTTGTGTATTGTTGCACTAGTCAATCCTTGTTATGTTGGTTATTACTATCACCTCGAGTCAGCGGGCAGCGACCAATTGATGGATTGAATCATGGCCGCGAGACCAGTTCTTGATGATCGGCAATTATACGTGGGCTTTGTCCCTGCGATCGCCAGGAGTCTAGAATGTCCCAGGAGACGCTATCAAGCAAAGCAAGAAATGGCTCAGGCCAGATAGCTATGAGATATCACAGAATGCATCAATCATCAACAATACTAATGATTGATGCTCGACCTAAAGGATCAGGCTCAGCAGATGAACCGCCGGGGTATACAGGAGTAATACACGTACGACCTAATGGCACCTCGGCTAATAACGCCATTATAGACTAGAACCAATACTGACAATGCTACGACTACTCGAGCTAGTCAGTAATTAATACTCTAGGTCACTTGACCAGCCAATACTCGAAGGGAAATGAGCGACTCCACTAGCGAACAGCGCACAGCGAAAGCGAACACGAACACTCGGAACTTTCCGTGTGCCTGCCCAGTCACCCAGTGCCTGAGGAAACACAGCAGTCCTGCCAACGGGCAGTGGGGTACACGAAAAAGAGAAATAGAAATGCGGCAAAAAAGAGAATGGCGACAGTGAAAATTTTTCATTCTGTTGCCACCAGAGTTGCCTGGCAGAGTGGGCAGAGGCAGAGGGCAGAGCCGGGGAGCGAGCGCTAGGCGACTAGTGGGCGGGCGTTAACGACAAGATGCAGGAACGCGCTGCGCTATGAAGGCAAATTTCCTTGGTGCAGCCAACAAGATCGCTCTGAGCCTAATTCGAGATACTTATGCGATTTCTGCCCTGCGATGTCGCCAAAAAGGGACTCGCCGCAGGTTTTTGTCCCCTTGTTCGGGACAACTGTGCCTTGCGCGGTACCATGGTTGGAAGAGAACTGCCTACCCCTGGCGCTCCCCGCGAATCAAACATCAGACGCCTGCTGTCGCATGAATACCCTCCTTGTTTGACAATAACGTCAGGCCGGCGTATCCCCGTCACATCATCGGGGCAGCTCGCGCGCCGATTGGGGCAAGTCGAGTATGGGGTCCCATTCACACCAGTAAGAACTGGGAGGAACCAGCAAGAACCAGTAAGAACCTGCAGAAGGCGAGAACCTGGCCGCTGTCGGATAGCATGGCGCTATGCGAAAAGTCAGAAGCCAATCTCCGTAATAACAACAACAATAATAATGGGGACTGGCGAGGCGAATTGCATGGGTGATGGAAGAGGCACCTAGTGCCCTATCCCCACTCACCCTATGCTGGCCATGGGTCTAGGAATCACCAGAAAGCCAATCCGAGTGGACACGCGGGGGAGCAGGGCCAGAGCCTGGTAATTCTGTAATAGTAGGACTAGCAACAGTGGTGCATTTAATAAAAGACCGGGCCCCTGTCAATGGGCGCCCTCTTTCACCCACCGCTCCTTTCAACGTCCCTGAGGCTTCGCCATTGGCACTGTCACTCCTTTCAACCAAACCAACTGAGCAGAGCTCGCCCACACTCGTTTCACCAACACAACATTCACTTGCGCAAGCAATCGCATTCTCTTCGGCCCTATCCGATCCCGTCTGCCGCATTTCTCATCCGCAGGAGTATCGTTTGAAGAGAAACCCGTTGGGAAAAACCAGACACAAGTACAAGATACAAACCAGTCCTCTGACAGGAACATTTCCTTTATAACACCTTCACGCCTTAACAAGCAAAGCCGCAAACCCTCAAAATGAAGTTCGGAGCCGTTGTTGCCGCTCTATCCATGGCTGTCGCGCCTCTGGTAGCAGCCGACACAAGCACCATCACGAGGACCACCACCATTACCCAAACTGTTGTGCACGCATCCACCGTCTTGGCCTCTTCCAGACCTGCCTCTTCAACTCCATCCATCAGGCCGTCCAGCACTGCCGTGGTGTCGGCAACAACTTCCGCCACCCCAAGCACTGTGGCCACTCCCTCGGCTACCCACACCGGTGCTGCTGTCGCATTAGGACCAGGAGGTGTCTCTGCCGCCGTCGTTGCTGGATCGTTCGCTGCATTGTTGGCCGCTTTCTAATCGCCTGTCCTAGAAGGAGCCTGGTGTGGCGTTTGTCTGATTAAATCGACTTTTCAGACCTAATCAACACTCTGTTAGCAGCAGATCATATTCACGAGTGCCGTTTATCGGACGTTACGTTGTTATTATAATACCCTTTTCCCTTCGTCTGGTCACGCAGCATATAGCATGACCATCACTTTTTGTTTTTGGGGACTTTTTAGTCAAGATATCACGATTCCATGCTGGTTTTGGCATTCAGCTTGTAGCTGCGACTCTTTCCGCGCTTTCAGTCAACTGAGTCGAATTGGAACGCACAAACCGGAGAGGCCTGGGAGTTCTGGTGATGGGGTTGGCATTTTATCTTTATACCTTTAATTTTGAGCCACTCCATGATGGGATTGATTCAGAATAATCAATTTTTTTCTTCCACTATTATATTCCGGAAAGTAGATTTGACAGATATCAACATATAATCATATATTGTCGTCGAAATTGAATGTCGACAGCATGTCCCACCGCGGGTGAAGAATGTCGATCTGGTTGATCACCACCATTTCCATGCCAGCCTTGGCTGTGCAAGCTTGGTATAATGCGGTAGATGTGCACGAAGAATGTTAGCTGCGGAGCTGGACTAGTGAGGTCATGCATCAGACGTCTGTGCTGGCCCATTAACATATTGCATTATTGATCAATGCTGTCCATGATTATTAACTAATTAGGTGTGCGTTGGCGTGATAGGAGACGTGCCTTATCAGAGAGGCCGCCGATTGGCTGCCGCTCAACGCGTCGTGCCTTCTACTCCTGGTAAACAGTCGAGCGACCATCTTCCCCTCCTGCTATCTACTCTTATATTGTCTGTGTTCATTCTGGGGGGCTTGTCTGGCAAGTCGCTGGTATAGGCTCCCCACTTAGGCAGCATTACAAGGCGTGCGATTTCGTCTTGTGTGTTTTGCGACAAGGCAGGACCCCACGAAGCGCGCGCGCGTCTCCCACTTCCACAACGACGGCTTTGCATTGAGTGCAGAGCTGCGAAAGAATAACACCGAGCATCATGGACCAAGAAATCCCGCTTCCGCCACCGCGACGCGTTCGTCATCGATCTCCGAGCAAGCCATTAGACCAGTCTCTCCGAGCACCGAAGCGACCTTCGCGATTGAGCATCTCGAGCTTCCCTTCCAGCGACCCTGCTTTTTTCTCAAGTGATGATATCCCCTCTTCATCGTTGGAGAATTACCATGGACAGCATCCCGAGAATTCTAAGAAGCGACGGTATCGTGGTACATGGTGGGGTGAGAAGGCTATGGAGGCGAAAAGAAAACGAGCCGATTTTCGCGAGAAACGCCATCTAGACAGTGGTGTGTGGATGGGGAGTGATGAGTCGTCGTCGGAGTGTCTCTTGTCATCTGAATCATCCTCTTGCGATGACTTTTTCGGGCAAGCCCAACAGACGACATTGCCCGTGGTGAAGAGTACAACAAAAAGCAATGGAAGCGAGCATGGCTCTGGTCCTGCATTTGTACCGCGCAATACTCGCAAACAAGATGAGCCGAAAGCGCACCAAGCTGCTAGAGCTCTAGTTAATGACTGTCTCGAACAAGGTCAGGACAGTATTGACTTGAGGTGGGTGTCCCCCTCCCTTAATCAACCCTATCTACCCTTGCTTACTCAGATACAGCGGCCTTGTCCTAAGAATTCTTCCATCAGATTTACTTCGGCCCTTGTTACACTTGACGAAACAGCCACCGGTCACTGCCGGCCCAGTCACCGATGAAGTCTTTACTTCGCTGACTCCTTTTCTTCGCGTTTTCTTATCAGCAAACTCATTGACACAATTAACGTCCGAGCTCTTCGAGCTGGGCAATCTGAAGGTCTTGAGTTTGCGAAATAATAAACTACGCGAAATACCAAGCGCTATTCGAAGACTGACTGAGTTACAAGAGGTCAACCTATCAGTCAACCGTCTTAACACTCTGCCTTGGGAGATGCTATGGCTAATCCGGAAAGGCGATTTGAAACACATGATTGTTCAACCAAATCCGCTATTCTCTTTACACGAGGCCACTGATATTGAGCAATGGCATTATGGAAATCGATCAGACAGCATAACAGCGCCCCGACTGTGCGAATATGAGGGGCCCGTCCCTGAAGAGGCATGGGCTCCCATCCACATAGCTACTAGTCGCGTTCAATATATGGACAGTGAAGGCAACCGACTCAGTGATATAAAGAGTCGCCAACTCCGCGAAAATACAAGCCGCGTTCCGTCTCTCCGCGAACTGGCTCTTCTTGAATGCAACCGGGCTCCATATTTAGATCAATTCCTTGAAGAAGATCTGACAGGGTATCCCGAACTAGCCATTCGGTTATTACGACAGGCCACGGCAGTCCGGGACGCTGGCGGAATGACCTGCTCTATTTGCCATCGCAGCTGCGTGATTCCTCGTACGGAGTGGATGGAATGGTGGGACTGCACTACATATGAGAATGGTCTGAAAGGCCCACGGGCATCAGGTGCAGAGTTGCGTCCTCTGCCATTTCTCCGTCGAGGCTGCAGCTGGGGATGCGTCCCCACAGATCAGAATTAACTTGCAGCATCGGATTTGATGTTTATTTAAATATTCGTTGAAGTTTGTTGGGTGTTATTTGCAGATTTAGTTTCATGTACATGACGACGGCATTTTTGTATTAGCCGAGTAGCTGTTAAATATTTATCAATTGGATTGTAAATACACAATTCTAACACTGTTAACAAGCCTAGCAATGATTTCATCTCATTAATTGTTACTCCATTAGCTATTATCCACCCGTATCATATACACAGAGCCATAACCCGAGCTACTTTTCAACCACTGACTATTCCACCTTCTTACCCTCCTCTCTTAAACCCGAAGTCGTCGAGGCCTTTGCTTCAATATCCGCCGCCCACAGCGCTGCACCGACGGTATTAGTATACGAAAAGAAAATCGATACGACCGGAACCATTTCGAGCGCAAAACCCAGCACGCCAAAACTAAAACCACCCGTTAGCTCGCTCCCCTCGAAAGAACATTCTTAACCGAAAAAGAGACCAAACAAACCTCGTATACGCCGGCGTATGCCTCTGTACCCACTCCTCCCTCTCGCTCCCCTTCCACCCCTTCAACTGAAAATACCGCTCATGCACCCCCAGCCCGAATTTCCTACCCTGCAGCACAACAAAAAGCAGCGTTCCAACCACCGGCACAAAATTGAGCGGGAGATACATTATTGTCTGCATCAAAGATGTCGGCGAGAACCCGCGAAAGGGGGTTTTTATTAGTCTTCCCAATCGCGCGATGGGATCGGCAGCACTTGCTTTGAGCTGTCGTCCATTGGTGACTAGCGCCTCGTGGCCTGCGGAGATGAGCGTCCCGTCGAAGGTATCCACGAGGGCGGCTGCTTCGTGCGTCAGAAAGGAGCGGGATAGGGTGTTTGTGATCGTTGAGCTTTCGCTGAGGACGAGTAGTAAGGTGGATATAGGCGCCACGAGGGGGCCGGAAGTGATGGCTAGGAGGGCAAGTTGCGGGACGTATGTGAAGAAGAACATGGCGGATGTGACGCTTAGGCCTAGAGAGAGCGTTGGGCCGATGCGGGAGAGGAGTGGTTTCCAGAGACTGCGATGGGCGAGAAAGTAGAATATGCCCTGCAATAGACAAATGGTTAGTGATGAGGAGGAAGGTTGGTGGGTGGTTGGACCTTGATGGGATAGATGTAGGCGCCTGATTTGGCGGCGCTGCTGGCCAGGGATCCGACGCGTAGGGCCTCGGATTTGACGGCTTGCTTGACTCTTTCTGCCATTGTGTCTGATGTGGTTATGGATTGTGTAGAAGAGGGTTGGGTGTGTATGTTGAAACTTGAGGGCAGTTGCGAGCAGATCAATGACGACATATACCTCATTCACCCGGCCAATCGGAACACTCCCACATACTTAGAAAAGTGGTGAATACCATTCAAGACAATCCATTCTACGCAACGTTGGATCTACCTGACTCATTTACAGAAACATAAACACTGAATTCATATACCGCCTCAAGCCAACTGTCCTGTCCTGACTATAAAGGGAATATCCAAGTTCCAACACTCCTTATATTCATGATCACCAAACGCCACACCATTCATGAGTAGATATAAAAAACAAAACAATCGCTAATGTGATGAAGAACCCAATAAAATATTGCTGCGCGCTCGATTATATCCGCGGAAGGAAGTTTATCTGCTGCGGTCCGCCCGTGCTGAGTGCCAGATAGTATCCCCGCTGAGAGCAGAGAAACTCATAGACGCAAAGTTGCGCCAGCTAGAATGGGGAGCGGAGGAGGCAAGATTGTTGCCGGATAGTAGAGGGGCGTCGGGACCCTCGCCGTCTTCTAAAGTTGAATCGTCGACTGTATTTGCTAGAATAGGTACAGCAGAAGTGCGCGTTTCGACGGATGGTTCTCCATTTTGCACACGGGATTCGGAACCAGAGTCTCGCTGAGCCATAGAGCGGACAACGTCGCCTTTACATATTGGACAGGTGCGTCGACGGGTAGTTAACCATGGTGTGCTAGTGTCCGGGTTAGTAAGTGAACAAAAAATTGAAATTGAAATGTCAGGAAGTAAGCTTACATGCACTCCGCATGGAATTCGTGTCCGCATGGAAGACTCATCACTTGGCTTTGTCCGTCGACATACTCCTCTAAGCAGACTACGCATTCAACTTGTCGTCCGATATACTTTCGCCTCCACAGACTGGAGCTTGCATTGCTTTTTTCGGTGCTAGGTGATAGAGTATCGGTTTTTATAATTGTGCCAGACACCGTCTGGGATCGCGGTCGCGAGCGGCTGAGTGTATCCAAGGGCCCCGAGCTAAGTAGAGGAGATGTTGATGTAAATGAAGCTACAGACCCTGGGCTAGGTGACCGAGGGCTGCTTGAGGTGGTGGTGGATTGTGAAGTTATAGTGTGGTAGGTCCTAATTGGAAGTCTTTCAACTACTGACTTTGGCGCCCGCCATCTTCGTCGACGGATCCGAGATCGTAGGAGAAGCAAAGCGTAGACAACAGTCAGTGTTATTAGTGGACTCACAACTAGAACCAAAAGTGTGTCGAAGAAAGGGTTGGTTGACATAGTTGTTGGGGTTAGAGTGACCCAAAGACCATCGTGGTCATTCAAAATCAACCTCTCTTCCCCGAGAGTAGAACCCTTAACATTATTAAGGGAATGGAGGTGACTTTTCATTGATCGATCGGCCGCATGATTCCATCCAAAAAGTCTAGCAAACCACCAACGCTCTTCGACAGAATTTAATTGAGACTTGGAGCTTTTGCCACCGTTTTTGGAAGCCTTTTTGCTGTTAATCTCAGCTTCGGTGGGTTTCCTCGCGTATGTGTATTCGCCACTTCCTGGCGTGATGCTACCACCTTTAAGGTTCGAATTTTTGCTGTTATCGACCTTGTCATCGATCTTTTCTGGTTTTCTTTTTTCATCGGCGGAATTAGATCCCGCCTTCGAGGTGGTTTTGGGCAATACAAGATCTGGATCCCGCCAGTCATGTACTCCGATTTCAAATCCATCTCCATCAACTAGATGGGTCGCAGAATCTTCCACCGCTTTTTCAGTCTTCTTTGCTCGATTTTTAGCGGAACCGGACCCCTTGGACTCATTAGAATATTCTTCCTCGTCCCAGTCCTCAATCACAACCCAATCAATGCCTCCACTGCTAGGTGGTCGGCGACTGTCCTCTGAAATCACCCCCTGGTCAGACCGCAGCCATATCTTGGACAAGAAGGATGAGAAGAAACCACCTCCTGACGGGCCGGTTTTGAGAGATCCTTTCGCTTGATTAGTAGACGTAGGAGCACTGGTCGATTTTGAGGTCGTTGTAGCGACGGTGTCTTGCTGTTGTTTTTTCGGTGGAATCTTGGCTACAAAATCACTTTGTCTCTCGAGAACTGTCCTCTCTGTGACAAGAGAGGAAAGCAGATGGGCAGTGGTGTATGAGGTAAATATAGCAGGAATTGTAACATTCGAGGTGTCCCCACGCGCGTACATTGTGACCAGGCTTCCACCTTTTGTATCGTCCCCAACGATTAATGCGGTACCACCTCGTCGTTGTACCCACATGACTTTCTCCAAGAAACCACAGCCTCCTCGACTAAGGAGAACGATTTTACCGGCGATCTCTGCGCTTTCTTGGAGAGACTGTATGTCGGCGTGAGCGGGAGTTGGTTTGTCGCCTTCTTTCTCCAAGTGGCTCGGAACCAGAGGACGATGTAAGTGATCATCCGTGCCGTCGTTTGAGACCAACCCAGCGCTTTTCTCCGGTGTATCATGACTCGCATCACTGGCCCGGCGGTCTTTGACGGAAGTCTGGTCTGACGGAGAGCCGGTGCCTGAGAGAAGCGCGGATTCTTTCAAGCCTTTGTCTTGCTTGGACTGCCCATCTTGATCCCATCCGGGAACATCTGAGCAGCCGAGCTCGCCTTCAGTTTCGGCAGTACCAGCACCCCTTCTCAGGGTGTCTTCACTAAATCCTCTGCCGATCCAAAGTGGACCACTCAGACCCTTGGTCGGCAGTAGCGGACCAAACGCTGCAGGTCTGGCCAGGAAGAAGGTCGAGTTATCATCAGTGAGGCTGATGATGGCTGACGGAGGGAATAAAGAGGTCGGGGCATTGAATGAAAACAGAGCACGTAATCGGTTCGATCGGCCAGCGATAGGGGCGTCGGCGTCAACGCTGCGACGAGGCTCGGCAGTTACCAGAGAGAGGAAGGTCAGGAGAATAGGGAGAAAGATGAAGCAAAATATAAGGAGTAAGAGCCGTGGCGGGCGCATCCTGGCTGTGTGGCAGCTCAGCTGGGCGTTTGGGATATCAGTCGGATGGAGGGCGGCGTGCAGAACCAGGCAATGGGATTACGAGTCCCGGACCAAGCACAGAGGCCTCAGCAGGTGAGACGAAGCGTCGATCATCGAGAAACACGCAAATTGAACTCTTGTGGGGGATCCGACAAGAAGAAAAGCTATAACACAAAAGAAAGGGGCGATCGAAGCGTGTGGTAGATGTGGTGGATGAGGCGATGGGGGGGTTTGTTCGTAAGTCAAGCGGCGGTCGGAAACGGGAGGCGTGACGCTGTCACTCGAGTGGGCAGCGGGCAGCAGCAGCAGCGGTGGACTGGGCATGCGCCAAGCCTTGCCAGCCGATGAATCATGAGCCTGGGCTGTGCTGTGTTTGCGGCTGCACCGCTACGCTGTACAGGGACTAGTGCACGACTGCACATGTACGCTGCACGTAACCAGTCAGAAAAAGGCCTCGCCAGCACACACTAAACACTATTAGCTAATTACTAACCTGCAAGGCTCTGCCTGCTGCAAGAAGACAATGCGACGTATTCGTGTAGCTAGTCGAAGTCTCAAGATATCGCAGGAGCCCTCACACAGAGTTCTCAATGTCACCAGAGAGCATCAGGCGTCGGCTACGTCATGTCACGTGCAGATAAGATTCATTCATATACAATGACAACTGAGAGCGCTCCGTTGTCATCAATCAGACAGGCATTCTGTACTCTTTTCTTGACATCCAAGTCTGCTACTCTGCCTATTACAATGGACGGCATATCAATTTCAAGTTGGCAAAACACCATATATATGTACAATGGCCTGGACTGTACTGTTGGCTTTTGGTATCGAATTGCTTGAAATGAGCCCTTTTTCTCTGCTCAAAGAGTATCAGATACATGTCAGCTAGTATAGATGATATTTTAAGGTCTACGTTGTATCAGGCAAGAACACATGTGGGACTGCCATCAGATAGCTCGATAGTAATGAGTTATTTCTGCAATAGATTATGTGCATACTAGATTGTTAACGATTAAATAGTATAACTTTTCAAAAACTTCATTACACTCTTTATTACTCTTTTAATTTATCCCCATTCTTCATGCAGTCAGTAGGTGCTTATGTCTTTGCATGCCAGCATTCACTACTCATTGATCTACTACATTCCCTTAACAAATTTCGTTCATGAGAACTCTACCAACTGAGATGTTCTTATCAAAATCACAGAGCAACATACCAGGTGAAAACGCCTTGAAAAGCAAGAGAAGGGACAGTTGAAAGAACAGGGGGTATTGCACATTGTAAGTGTGAATCCATCTCTAACTTCACAACACTAATGTCAAAAATCAAAGAATAGTTCATGCATCATGGGGCTTAGGGTACAGATTGGATACCGCCTGGCAGAAAGCCAACAGCAGCACTACAGAATGAGATGAAGCACAGCGCGACTGCCTCATTGGGCCTAGGTACACACCCTCTGCGCTGCGCCTTCCTTCCTGTTCCTGAGAAACACCTGAACTGTTTGCTGATCTTTCATCCTTCAAGCCCCCTCCCACCCCTCCCAAGACCAAGGCAGAGGCAGAGGAAGAGAAGAGGGACAAAGGTGGCAGTAGCGACAACTCCACCAGGAACTGCCTCGTCTCTGAATCAATTTGCTACCACAACTCCAGAATCCCTTCGTCTTCATGGTACAGCAGTCTCGCGTTGGGCCTTCTATTTTTTTCCCACTGCTGTTCTCTATTATTCCATCATCCTTTTTAAATCCACACGATATAGTTATCTAGTTTTTCTCCTCCTCTTCCAGCGTGGTAAGATCCAGAACTGATTGGAGCCTACTGGCCTCCTACAGTAAGTCCCATACCCCTGTTCAGCAATTCTATCTGGCATAACTAGCCTTGGAGCAGCTACCACCAATTTTTCAATTCTCGTCCATCAACATGGCTCCACCCAAGCCTTCTCTGACATCTCAGGCAAGGGCAGCAGAGCTGAATGCAGCTACAGCAGCTCGCGCTCGAAGTATGGGAGGCGAATTGGGCGATTTCAGTGAATTACCATCATCTCAACCGATTTCTCTTGGAGATATTACAATGCGCAACCACTCTCGCAACAAAGGTTCCAAATCCTGGAAGCCCTTTCCGCAGGAGAATATGCCAAACCATCTCAATGGGCCTGCTGAAGCACTCAGACGTCCACAGCGTCCAGTTGATCGCTACTACCCGCCAATGGTTCCTCCAGCTACATATCCTCATATGCCGCCTCCTCTCCACATGAACCCACAAATGCCCTACTACGGTCAGCCTGCGTATCCAGCCCCAGATTTCCAGTATCCCATGTACCAAGGAATGTACTACTACCAGCAGATGTACCCTGGTCAGATAGGCTATTACCAGCCTGGCCCTGCTCAAACTCCGATTCCAGCACCTGCTCTAGCAAATCTTCCAGTGCCTGCTCCAGTACCTGCTTTAGCACCTGCCCCAGCACCTGTCCCAACCCCTACTACGACACCAGTCATTCTCACGAACAAGCCAGCAGTATCTAATCCTGAATTTGCCGTGGACCCTATGAAGCGGCAAGAGACTCCTGTTAATTGCTTTGTACCGCAAGACATGAGCCCTACTAAGCAGGAGGAGGACATGATACGCTCAAAATTCGCCGCTTACGAACGCGGTAATGACAAGCCACAGGAAAAGGCCCGCGGCCAGACACACGCCAGCCCGGACGATACACCGGCTGCAAACCCCTCTGTATGTGAGAAGTCAACCCAAAGAGAACCTTACTGTACCTCTCATCTTGAGACACAGGACCATTTTCAACTTTCTCATAATGACTCAAGCCCCACCCCTGATTCAGTAATATATCCTTTCAGACAAGAGAACACCTCTAAAGACAAAGACCCGATCTCTCAATCTAAAGCTGCAGACTCATGCCAGGTTTCATCGACACAGGCGGGCCTTTTGGAACACTCAAGTCAACAAGAGGATGCGACTGGGGAAACAGCTGGGCTAGGTATATTCTTTAATGAGGGCTGTGAGCCTCGTTCCGTGATAGAATTGGTCAGAGATAATCATGACGACTTTGTTTATGTCGAGGAATATTCTCAAGACGTCCAGACCACCGAGAAGTTACTATTTCCAGGGCATATGGACATATCAGGTACACAATTTGAGACAGATAGGACTTTGAGTAATTCGAAGAGGAGTTCGTTCGTTGTTGAAAAATCTAATTGTGATCTCGAGAATCCCTTCATTGCAGAGCACCAACCTAGTGGTCTGCAGTTGCCATTCCAGCCACACAGTCACTCACCTGTGCTGTTTTACGAGCCTCTTGTCAACGAATATGAGAAAAATATCTTCGCCTCAGAGAGGGGTCGCCGGGAAGCATTAGCAAAGTTAACGCCTGATGAAGCTTGGAAAGAGTTTCAGGAGGGCCCGAGGAGGGTCAAAATACAAGATGGTTTCCAGAGTTCCTCCAAATCCTCTCAGATATTTGGGAGCCATTCTTCTGTAGAGAAAACTGGTACTAAACGATTCTTATATGGTTCCCGCCCTCCACCAGGTCTTACTGTTACTGGCACATGGGCTCCTACTGCTTCTCGTGAAAACCATACTAGTTCCTATTATGATAGAGCAATACTTTCCGATGACTGGTTTCGGCAAGGTAATAGATTGAAGGATAGATTATTGCCTGACCGTCGAAAGCTTGATCTAGAGCTAGAGAGAATGTTGAAAGACGGAGATAAACCGATTTCGAAAACAGAAGCTGCACGACAGACTAGCAATGCCTTTCAAATGGTCATAGCAAATTTCTATTCATACAAAACTGGAAACGCCGTGAATAAATTCCTCGCATTTTCTCATTTTGGCCCTGTGAGTGATGAGTATTGTGAACCGAGATATGGTGGCCGACGCAGCTATTTCGAGAATGATCCATCCCTTCGCCAATGGCGAATGCAAATGGCCCGTATGTCAAGCCAGTTACCATGGTGAGTCGACAGTTCCGCACAATGTTAGGATCGTGATTTGCGTTTGTTATTTCGGCCCAGCTCTTTGGTACAGCATTTGAATGGGTGATTTCAATTTCCTCGATTGGCTGAAATACTAAAGTTTTCCTATATCTCCAGCAAGTTATTATGGGTGAATCGGTAAGGCGGTGAGTATTATTCCAATCAACATACAAAGACCAGATTATATTAATATCTTTGTTACTCCAGCTCCAATGTCATACTGCCGCGAAGGGTGTCAGGTCTAAATTCTTGCCAGCCAAAAAAAAAGGAATACCAGGTGATAAAGAAAAGTTTTATTTGATGTCAATAACGAAAATTTCTTTAGCAATGTGTTATACTTCGATGACCGATCGACAGGTGATGGCTTAGTTGCTTCGGTGTGGCTGCTGTATTATTATCAGATTTTTTACTTTCAAAGTTTTCCCTTGTACATTAGAAAAGTTCAATCAATGACATTGTTAATTCTTATTCTCTGCAAGGACTTCCTTCTCTCCATAGTATATCTCCGTAGATGAATGGCAATCGGTACGAGCATATTGTTTGCAACTGTACAAATATCAATATTGATTTATAGATGCTTCAATGTTACAGTCCATTATGACCTACGACCACGTGCCTCTCAGCTGTTAGGCAATCAAACTAGATAGAAACCGAATATATGCTCAATAACCTCATTATATCAATATAATTTGTAATTAGAACTCTATGTATACATTAGTACTCGACCATGTCGAAATAAAACACCACCACTCTGTCAGCGGAAAAGAAAAAAAAAGCAATAACAAGCGACAATCACCGCCGTTCGAGCAAACATGATAAGTGCAAATTAAAAATATAAACCTCAGAAAGTAAACAAAACCAGACGTAAAGTAGAGCCAGTTGCAACCTGCATGCCCTGCCCAGAAAAAGAAGAAAAAGAGCTAAAGGACAAAACGCCGCTGTTGTGATCGACCCAGTACGTTAAATCATAATATACTAAATTGTGAGGTTAATTACACACCAGTGTGCCGGATACAGGGTTTAACAGGATACCAAATTGACGTGGTTGTCATGCAAGGCAGAGCATGCGAGAAGAGTGCGGTGAGGATGGAAAGCCGTGGAGGATATAGGTGAGGAGCGGTTGTTGTGGAGGAAGCTGGAGTATGGCTCATAGTTCGATAGGAACGCGCCGTCGACATTGAAAGTTTTTACCTCATGCCTGTTTGTGCCACTTGGAAGAAGTCAATACCTTGTACAGAATAAAAAAAGGAGTAAGGGGAAGGAGACTTACACTGTGAAGACAGGGGCATGTTCATGGACGCTCAATGTTCGAAGGGTGTCTTTCGTAACGTTTATAGTGTTGATAGGATCATTCATTCGAAGATCCCACAGCCTGATTTCTCCATTCCGACTGCCAGATATCAACTCTCTGACACCACCTCGTTGCATGTGGACATTTGTGATCCACTGTTTATGCTCCCGCCAAACTTTGACCATGGCAGCCGTAGGTTTGAGTCGTTGATCAAACACGCGAACTGCCCCATCGCCAAACCCAGCGATAAATATGTTACCAGCAACTTGATCGGATGTCAAGGAAGTGATACAAGACCCAGAACGTGCGGAAATATCCTACAAAAGGGCATGTTAGTGGAAAAGAATGTTGAAGGAAGCAAAATCGAGGCTTACATTTGTGCAGACTTCTGTCGCAGCGTTCCACACCCTGATTACTTTGACGTCTCCTGCAACAAGGGCTTTTCCTTGTCCTTGTTGCCAGTCAAAGACTAAGCCCGCATTTCTATTGCTTGGAATGAGATCGGGCAAAGCCCGGAATGCAGTTACAACCTCAATGTCTGATCGAGACTCATAATTTCTATAAACCTTCAAGACGCCATCCGATGAGCCAGTCATTAACAGTGCCTGGTCATCCTCGTTGATGTATCGAATTTCGTTTATCTTTGAACCCGGAGGATTACCATTCGAAAAGCGGTTGAGGCGTTCATTTCGCTGCCAATCCCAAATCCTAAGAAAAAATTAGCACAATCTTATTAACCGTCATAAAATTGTTTATAGTTCTTACGTGACTGTATCCCGATCGTCTCCAATAGCAAGATGATCCTCAAATTGATGGAAAGACATCTTAATAGGCTGGCTATCATTTGTCAACAATGCCACAGAATGCTGCCAGCGAGTGCTGCCAGCTTTCTCTTTCAATGGTTGCGTTTCCGCGATAATCTTCTCATTCCTACTTCGTCGCCAAAGGCGCTCGTTGTAGTCAGCGCTACCAGGCTCGTCTGGCTCATTGGGCTTCATCTGAGGCTCTCGGAAATACTTTCGTAGATTAGATTCATGTTGTGTGAGCAAATTTGTGGAGTTGAACTTACCTCGGTGGACCAATCCAGGAACTTGCTCTTCAAAGGTATGGAAGGAGCAAGATGTGCACTCTTGGGCTGGAACCCTCGGGATGGGGGCTGTGGAGCTTGGTGGTATGCAGTAGCGGGAGCCATCTGATCATTTACTTCGGGAGGACGAGTCCATTCCGGAGGGGCACGCTCCCGAGGAGTGATAGGAGCCCTGTTCTTTGCAGTCGATGCCTTTCCTTGAGAGCTTGTTGGTGATAGTGGTCCTTGGTCAGCGGAGGGATTGCCGAATGCAAGGTTTTTAAGGGACGCCGCGACGCTGGCAGTCCTTCGCATACTGAGTGAGAAGTAACCCTCCTGCTTCTGAGTAGCTTGAATAGGAGGTGTCCCCGGACGTATGGTGTTGGACTCGTTCGTCTCTGCGACTTGTGGCTTGATCGAGTTTAGGCGACTCAATATTTCCATAATTTCGTCGCGAGCTTTGATAGCCATTGCGCTAATTGGAGACTGCAATATTGCAATATGGAGATAATCAACGATTGTAGCACCATCCTGAGCGACCTCAGGATGTGGGTCGACCGACATGATAAGAAGTTGCTTCCATATTGTCCCAAAGGTCGTGTTTTGAGATAGTAGTTGTGATTTCCCACCGAATGCTCCATCCACACCCGCAATTTCGCCATGCGTTGACAGCTGGTAGGAAACATCGTTCTGCATTCGATTAAGCAACACTTGCTTCTCCTCCAACAGTTCTTCATAAGCAGCAACAAGGAACTTATTTTCGTATCGCTTTACGAAAGCGGAGAAGAAAACAAGTAATTCTTTCCTCACGATAACACTACCATCTGCAGCCATTGATAAAATTGCCATAGCAATGGATTCTTCGATCTGTGCGACTTGATCTGTCAAATCCGGAATGCCTATGAAATTGGTGAGTGCGTGCAGCATTGCCGCGCGTACTTCAGGGACAGGATCGAATATGAGGTCACAAAGTCTCTGGGGCGCAGCACAACGAATACCCATCCACTTAGCATCTGGAAAGTCCAGCCACAGCATACTCAGACATAGACAAGACCACTGTCGAAGTAATGGGTTCTCCACATCCATCAAATGCCTCAAACAAGAATCAAAAAGTTCAGCGGAGAGGCAGACGTTCTGGCCCTGAGGGTAATTTTTACAGAAAATGGAGACAATAAAGGCGCACATAGCCCGATGTTCACTGGCATTCCCTACGGGGATTGGTGATGAAGGGTTCAGAATAGTGATAAAATAATGAATGCCGTTGTCTTTGAGGAGGTCATTCTGGACAGAAAAGTCCACGGCCATGATTCTGGCCCAGATGAAGACCATAACCGGCTTCAACTCCTGAGCGGCAGATTGTAGCAGCTTAACAACGTAAGGGAAGATACCGATACTGAGAGCCAAGTGCACAGCCCATGGACCCAAATCAAGAAACTTGCTAAGGAGAATCAGAGCTCGCAGCCGATGTGCTTGACTTAGCAGTACTTGCAAGACAATCGGCAGCTGATCAGGAGGGTTCTTCTCGGTTGGGCCTGATGACAAGTACACCTCGAATGCGGTGAGCTGTTCAGCAAAGAAGGTTGAATGCTGATACTCATACTGTCTCCGGCCTTCCTCATTATCGATCAATGCTGGAAGTTGACTAAGAACCATTTCAATAGCCAGGTCCCAGCTCTGCCAGAGAGGATGGTTATGGGTTTCAGGCAATGGTGGGGTAGACATGGGATGGCATTGGTATGTTCGCATGATACGTTCAGACAGAAGAAAATTCCTAAACAGCGCTGCAACCATCAAGTCTTGCCTGAAAAGCTTCTTGAAAAGAGGGCGCGGAAGAGTGTTCCAAGCAATTGTATCTGTGATAGCAGTAAATATCCAATTCAACTCTCCTAGGGGACTCCTCCGATCTTGTAAACGCCCAGGCACCTTGAACTCGTCGGGTGAGAGATTAGTATTGAGTGGGTTCTGTAGAACAAAGTATCGAAGTGCAATTTCAATTGGTGTCGTGAGACAACAAGTGAATAAATCTGCAGGAAGGTCGGGGTTTGTTGGAAGAGTTTCGGACTTCTGGCAGGCTGCAAGTAGGATACAATCTGCATAGTTCTGAATCAATGCATTGGGATCCCTTTTCCTTGCATCCGCATTCTCTTTCTCATGTTTCTCAACAAAGCTTTGGAAATTACTCACGATGTTTCCCGCATGGGCGACATCAAAAACAAACAAGCTAGGGCCAGCAAGCCACGATTGAAGATCGTATAATGAGACCGGGATGTATTGGGTGTAATTCTTGTTGAAGACCCATATTTCCCCAGATTGTGTTGGCAAAGGAACACCGTGGCCGTTATAGTGAAAAAGAACACGTTCATCTTTGGCATTTCGGCGGAGAGAGATACAGAACTTCTTGGTTTCATCGACGGATGGGTCTAGATACTGTTTGTATCTTGTCCTCAAGCTAAGCGTTTCGTATTGCTCCTGCAATTTTTTCCCAATCTGTTCCATGATCTTGTTCTGACCACCTGTAGTCGCAGTTGGGTCTACCCAGCATTCGAGCTTTGCTGATGGATTCGTCTTGACAACGTCTGGAGGATCTACACCAATGTTCAAACAGATAGCTAGTGCAGCGGACACGGTCTTCAAACGATCCCTCATTCGCCATTCTTGGATGGCCCAGCTATCTGCCGAATCCCTGGGGAGGCCACTTGTTTCATGTCGTTTTTCTGTAAAATACATATAAAAGTTCTTGCTCAAATCAGCTATCACCGACAAACGTGAAGCGATTTACGTTACGTACCGAATGTAATATCTTCAAATACTCACTGGATGTGTACTCCTCCTGCCACCCATGTCTCATCGCAAAATCCTCATCATCCCCATTAGCGGCTTTGTCGAAGCCAGACCTGGGTCCGTAGTCGCTCTTGGCTCGTTGCAGGGAAGGACGGCCGTTCCTGGATGGTCGAGTGGGCAAAACATCTCCTGCTTGTGGTGCAGCGAAGGTCCCATTTGATGAGCTGTTAGACCGGCTCGACGGCGGCGATAGCTGCGGGTTCTGAGAATCAACGGTTGTAAGAGCTCGATGGTGAGCTGACAACGGAGCGGGCGAATCGTCTCGATCGCGTGTAGTAATCACTGAATTGGGGTCTGGACCAAATGTCACCCGAACGGACCTGTTTTGGTTTCTGCGGGATCCATTGATTGCTGGCGCCAGGGCTGGCTGCGAATCCCCGGTCTGGTTCTGTTCCATGTTGAAGCTCGGGTCTCTCATTGTGAATAGCTCATCGTTTTAGACAAATGTATGCGAAAGTGAAACAGGTGACGAACCCGCACCTATCCGATGCACTTTACGGAAAGCAGCAGGCGAACTGATCAGGCCGAAACTCGAGCACTATAACTCCTACCAAGGATGGTCATTCTTGCTCCGCGCATGCACTGGTGCGGTTTAGGCTGCGGGGAGGATGTTGCTGACGGCGACAGGTTTTGGTTGTCCACAAGTGCGATGCCCAGTGAAACTTTCTTCCAGGATGTTGATGGATCAAACCAGTATGACCTCCCTCTGGTTACGGCACGTGACGTTGTCTGTCGAGCGTCGTGCTCTCGAGGCTGATTGATATGTGCCGACGGGGCAAGCCAGCTGAAGCTTAGCTGAGGACCTGGCCGACCGCAAAAGCCAGCAGCGACGGAGGATGGTTGATCCGGCAGCGGCTAAGCTGCTCCCGGGTAAAAGCGGCAAAGACTAATTACATCTTGTTGATTATGGTTAACCTCCTTCACATTGTCAAATATTGTGATGTCTTTTGCCCCGTGTTGGCTCGCCTGCATGAATTTATGCACGGCTATGCTCCATGGCACCTTTTCCAATACAACGCTGATATATGCTTGCCTGGCGCGTTTCTAGAAACCATCGTCTTTAACTGGAACTATATAAGATGCTTTCCCCAATCTGAGGCACACCGCGTAGTCTGGGATCCCCCCCCGAAGAAGGCGAAACTTGTTTTTTGCTGGAATATCTTAGTTCAGCCTTTCAAGCTCACACAGGTGACAAGTCTGACTACCAGATTCGCCCAGAACGGGTGGTCAGACTTGAGATATTAACATAAATGACTCATGGTCAACTTATTGGTGTAAGTGCTAGAATTTTCATTCAATGATCGATCCAAGTTATTCAGATCTCTACAGAGCTATGAAATGCACTCGCGCCTTCATTAGTATATAAGTATTGTCTGCTTGCCAATTCATCAGTCTGGTGTTTATCTTTGTATTAATCTCTAATAAACAGTTTTCATTCATGTCACCTACATTCTACCACTTTTTTTTAAAAAAAGAGAGAGAGAAGGAATCGGGGTGATATAAGCTGGGATAAACCTCGAGATGATATATAATCATGTACCCTCCTGGATCAATGATTGCTGACTTTTTTATACCTCTAAACGCATGTACAGTGATCAATAGTCTTAATTGGGGTTTATATACCGTCTGTACGCATTGACCTACTCTTTGCTGTGAATTTATACTTAGATTCTGACTTCAAGGTAAACAAAGCTTTTAAGAGTGCTGTAAATGTAATTATAATGATAACAAGAGTGATAGACAATAACAGTACGGAATTTGAAGGTTAGAATCAACGCAGTCTTCAGCTGAAGCATATTCCAGTTTACCCACACTATAATCAGCTGGGTTTAATACTCTATTTAATGATAACTCCAAAGTTCAGTGAATATTCAGTCCTCATGGAAAGATTCTAAAAGCCCTAACTACGGAGTAAGTAGATGGGAGGACAATGGCCTTTGTAGGGGAGGCAGTGCTTTGCTGTTTGTTTAGTACCTAGGTGCTAAAAAAACCTCTGTTTCTTCTTCCAGATTTCTTGATTTATTTTTTTTGGATATTGCCTAGAAGAGGGTAGTGTGTGTTTGGCACGGCGATGCTGCCTATCGGCCTGAAGACCGTCATACTGACGGTGACGTTCTGTACAAACATATTCTACCATTTTGCAGGATGCTATTGCCAGTATTCCGTTTGTTGTCAACTAAAAACACTGAAGTCAAACGAATAAGCGACAGCAATATTTTCGATTAGATGAACAGATATCTGTGGTCTATTTAAACCGATTTATTTCTCCTTCGTTCGTAATCATGCCATAACTCAGTCCGCTACAATACCTGAATCTCAGTGTTGATCTTCTGCTCTCGAGAAACCATAAATACCAGTCAACATGGACAGCGAATATTTGAACTACGGAACTTGGTTAAGATCGGTTTCGGCCGACATTTTCTCAGACGAGACGAAGGACGAGACAAAAGTAAGCTCTGCAGCCCTATTTCTGATGCTTAAATACACAGACTATTACCAATATGTATCTAACGCTAGATATATACAGGCAAAAGTTGCAGTATTCATATCAAAGCTAGAAAAGCTTCACGAACACGCGTACGACCAGAGAGAGATGTACATGCAAGTCATATACGAGCATATAATCGACATATCAGAAGTCATTCGCATGGGACATTCATTTCTCAATGTAATGCCCGAAGAGCACATTATGGACTCTTTAATGCAGCATGGCACTATGGCAGAATACGTTGCTTTCATAGGCCCGGAGGGAAAGGCGCTTCTACCTGATCAGATTGTTAAGCCCACTTCCCAAAAAGTCCTTGCAGATTTGACTACTACAACGGACTTGAAAACTCGAAACCGATATGTTGTGAACATGAGAATTCACCTCCTTATGAAGTACACAAGAGCGCATTTGAATATCACTCTGTATATGCTCGCAGGACTGGATGACGACAGCGATTATAAAAATACCTTTGTTCCGTTTTTGAGGTATTGTCTTGACAAGTTACAAGAATATCCTTAGACGACATGTAGTAGAATTAAAGTCTATTGTATCAGCTTATGAGTAACCCTACAATGGACAATCATGTATTGATATGGGTAAGGGGGAGGAACTCAATGGAATGGTATGTTTTGTATTAATTGCTAGAATAATATGTATTCTAGACCATATGCATTCATGTGCATCAATTCACATTTCGAATACATATTTAGTTATTGATAGGCTAATTCCATAAATTGTCCACAGCCTACTTTTGAATACATTAGAAAATCGACCATAGACTCAAACGAAATATAAATATCAATAATAATAAAAATAAATATAAGACTTAGTTGAAGTTAATGGTGATACGTATAGTATATCCCAGGTCACATGACTAGTAGGGTTTCGGGCACGAAGAGTGGTTACTCCGGAGTTCGGAGTCTGTGAAACATGAAATAGAAAATACGGAGGTCTTCGGTGATGATCATGATCTATCACACTGTGTCGGTACGTATTTGATGTGCCGTTAAATTAGTAAAGAGTCGTACCAAATATTTCTGAAAAAGGGGTGAGGGGATATTCATCTGAGCCTATCAGATTAATTGGGTGGCTGCTAGCACCAAAGCGATGAATCAAATTAAACCAATTTGTGCAAACGCTAAGACTTAAAATAGCGTAGTGAGACGAGGCTGTCGCGCTTCTTTGCACTCCACAGTATTTTCTAATATTGTCAACTGGTGTTTGTGAATAATTCTGGGTGCATGGGTAGGGACTAGGTATGTGTAGCGCAGCGATTCGACGGTATATCGAAGACTGTCACACCACTTCCTCCTTAGTGTATGCTTGCAACAAGGTTATTGCGACTTAATATTTACACATGCGGGCTTGACGCACCCTACTACCCTTATCAAGCCAAAGCATCGGGCAGCATTTGAGTATCTTCGAATTGCTTGATCATATCCATATTTAAGCTCTCATGCAGGCGATTGATGAGACCAGTTTGTAATGCTGGCTAGTTTCCGCTTAGGCAACCAAACCACTGTAAAGTCAAAACGGTCGTGTCACAATCACAACACGTGATTTTCAAGAGGCTGGGATGGTCAATGTCGATGGCTAGCCAATTGAACGTGCTTTACTAGAGTGGCTGGAATGCAGCCCGGTTCTTGATAATCATCGTCATCTTATTATAATAATCATAGTTAACATTTCAACCATTCAACCATACATGCGCAAGAGTGAATTAGAATATACGACCCAGCCATCGTCCATTGCGAAGTCTCGTACCGAGTATCCGTCGTTTGGACTCTAGTTGGTAGTGCGTCGTCGGTACCTTGCACCACGCACGCATCAGATGCATGCACCCAGTACTGCAGGTGCAGTGAAGGAACTCTGGTGCAATCATGCAGGAAGATGCAATGATGAAATACCAGTTTGCCAGTTTGCCAGTGAAGCAAGTAATAAGTAATAATAAGTAGGAGGAGGAACAAGAAGTAAAGCCTGGGATGCTCGTGGTCGGGCCCCGCTAGTTCCATTCTGGCTAGGGCGTCTGCCGGGAGACCCACGAGCCGGGAAAGGGCGGGCTCTGAGTGGCTGGCAGCTGACCCATCCGGCAGGAGTCTGTGGGAGTGAGTGGAGTCCTGGCGAGACAGCGAGAAAGTGGGAAGGGCCGCCCCTGGCTGTGCACCTGCCACCTGCCGCCTGCCGCGCCTGCCCCTAGAGTTCCTGCCAGGAAAGCTGATCTGATCGCTATTAGGATTGGGACTCGTTTCTTTGCTCGCTGTCTGTCACTCCTTCAGTCCTTCCTCGCAACCCACTCGACGACCGTCTGCACCGTGGTCGTTACGAAGCATCGTTCTGCCTCGCTGTGTCTCATGGTCCTTGCCCTCGACGGTCAAGCTTCGTGAGCCGGCCCTGGGCAAACGAGCTGCCACTCCGCATACCGCAATTTTTTTCCCTTGAATGCGCTCGCAACACCTTGTCCCTGACCAACCGGCGACCAATCACTCCTCGACGCAAACCAGTGAAAACCCGGCAATCTCAGTTCCTATTCGATGCCTCTTCGAGCCGACTCGGGAGTTCGAACACGATTCAGCATCAGGTAGTCAGTCACTAGTCTTCTGCCAGGGAACGAACGGGCGATCAAGCGGCGGCACTACACTGGCTGTGGCGCTCACAACAGATCAACTTCTTAGTCTTCCTACTGACTGGTATAACGTCACCGTCTGGAGAAATTGCAGGCAATTAGAGAGGATCCAGCATGGCGTTTCTCTTCAAATCGAAAAAAAATCAGCCGGGGACAGGTTTACCCCCAGCGAACCGAAACATACACACTTCAGAAGGCGCTATCTCGGAGAAATCGATTGGGATTAATGGAGAAAAACAACCGAGAATCCAGTCTCCGACACCCAGCGGCAGCGTGAGCAACTCGCTGAACTCGGTTGCTGGTACGAACAGTCCCGATCCGATTCGAATGCGACAGCGAGCAGAATCGGAATCACAGGTATGTGTTGACTCTACAAAAGAGCGGAAGTTATGGAACTTGATTTGGCTAACGGTCCTGAATGTCCAGCGATCCCAATCGTTGACTAACCCCGGTTCGCCCACGACGAATATCAATCCAAACCAATACCCCTGGTCTAGACGACGCTTGAATTTTGCCTCACCGCAAGCCAACCCGTTCCCTCGATATGGCTCTGCAATCAACGCCGTGGCTTCGAAGGAAGGCGACATCTATATGATGGGTGGCCTGGTCGAGGGTTCTACAGTAAAGGGAGACTTGTGGATGGTTGAAAGCAGCGGTGGTAATCTTTCATGCTTTCCAATCACGACTGTCTCGGATGGCCCTGGCCCTCGAGTCGGCCACGCAAGTCTTCTGGTGGGAAATGCCTTTATTGTGTTTGGAGGTGATACAAAAGTTAATGAAATGGATATTTTGGACGATACCCTCTATTTACTTAATACCTGTGAGTCTCCGCTGATGTCTGGCTGCCATTGAACGCTCTTTAACCTGTTCCGATCTACTTAGCTTCTCGACAATGGTCTCGTGCCATCCCTCCTGGACCAAGGCCCACTGGACGATATGGACATACTTTGAATATCCTTGGATCCAAGCTTTATGTGTTTGGCGGACAGGTTGAGGGATTCTTCTTCAACGACCTAGTCGCATTTGACCTCAACGCCCTTCAAAGCCCCACAAATAAATGGGAATTCTTAATTAGGAACTCACACGAAGGTGGTCCACCTGCCGGTCAGATCCCGCCTGCACGTACCAACCATACTACTGTCACCTACAATGACTGTCTTTATTTGTAAGAACCATCAGTTGCGCTCTACCTGTGCTCCATCGAACATGACGACTGACGTGCAATATAGATTTGGAGGCACGAACGGAGTGGATTGGTTCAATGACGTTTGGTGTTACGATCCCCGAACCAACGAATGGACCGAATTGGATTGCAACGGATTCATTCCTTCCCGACGAGAGGGACACGCTGCAGCGCTGATCAGTGACACAATGTATGTATTTGGTGGCCGTAATGACGAAGGCGTGGACATGGGTGATCTCTCTGCGTTCCGTATTGGTACCAGGCGGTGGTTTTACTTCCAAAATATGGGTCAAGCTCCGTCACCCAGATCAGGGCACAGTATGACAGCATTTGGAAAGCAAATTATAGTCATGGCTGGTGAGCCAAGCTCGGGGCAGAGGGATGCAGCAGAACTCAGCATGGCATATATCCTCGACACGGCCAAGATTCGTTACCCGAACGAGACAAACCAAAACAGCGAAAGAGCTGGTGAAGCACGAAAAATGAGTGGTGACAAGTCTAGCTCCCCGTTGGAGCGAATAGCGCGAGACGGACAAGGTACACCTGTTGATCAATCGCGTCGTGCTGCTGCTCCTTCTCGAGAAAGCGTTGCTCAAGCTGGTACAAGACCACAGTCAGAATATCCCCCAGGAGCCACAGCAGCGGGATCAAGACTTCCCCGGGCGTCGATAGCTCAAGCACCGTCGGGTCCTCCTCCACCAGGTCAAGCACCAACTCCCACTCCGCGAACCAATGGCCAGACTCCACAGCCTGGCAGAAGTAAGACTCCCACAAAACAAGACCGCTCCGTGAACCCACAGGTGGACACTGTACGTGTTCCGATGGATAGGGACATGCAATCTTCAAATTCAACGACCTCGCCGCAAGACGCCACCCGACCTTCAGGAGAGATGAGTCCCGTATCGGGAGGTCGTCGTACTCCAAATTCCCAGCCGCCGTCTAAGATGGCTGCGAAGGTAATGGAGGTTGGTGAAGCTGCCCCTCTAATGAGCGCACCAACAAGGCAGCGTTCACTTCAACGGCAGCGTCAGCGAGCCTCGATGGATAGTACAGACGAGTCGATTTTAGGCAGACATACTAGTGTCGATGGTTCCACTGAATCTCGAAATTACAGGAATTCTCGTAATTTCGCCGACGAGCCTCGATCGCCCAGACTCACACCTCACCAGGAAGCGCTCATCAAAGAACTCGAAGCGGCCCGAAATCGCAACGCGTGGTATGCATCAGAACTGGCATTGGCTCGCAAAGCTGGCTACATCCCTAATTCATCTAGCACCTCAGTGCTCGATGAGCGTGCCACCGAGGTATTTACGGATGAGGATCGACCTTTGATCGAAGCTTTTCTTTCTATGAGAGCAGAGCTCGCCAAAATGCAGGCAACAGTGGATCGTCAAGCTGCTATTGCCTCTAAGAGAGTGGCCGAAGTTGAGCATCAACGCGATGCAGCCATTAGTGAAGCGGCATATGCACGAGCTAAACTGGCCGCTCATGGAGGTAGCCAACGAAGCACTCCTCAACCAGAGAGCACCCCCAATGGCACCGATGATGCAACCACCGCAAGAATGACTGATCTTAGCAGAAGGCTAGCTCTTGCCTTGGCATCTCATGCAGAACTCAAGACCAAATTGGAGGGAATGTCTATTGATCTCGATCAGGAGAAACAGGCTCGAGAGCTTGCGGAGGAGACGAACGAAGCAACTCGAAAGAGATTGGCTGAACTGGAATTACAAAATCATTCTTTGGAATTAGAAAGTCTTCGGGCTGAGCTCCACCAGCTGCAATCTCACGTGAGGGAAGAATCCGCCCTCCGATCGGAAGCAGAGATCAATTATAAACAAGCTAGCTTTGATAAAGAGGAATTACTTCAGAAACTCGAGGAAGCTTCTGTACGCCTCAAGGATCACGGCGGCAATATGGGGTCACTTCGTGAAGCTGTTGCAGCGTCGTCCGAAAAGGCTACTTTAATGGAGAGGCATCTTGAAGAGGAGCGTGAGCGCAGAGAGGGACTGGAGCGTAAGCTGTTGCAGTTGAGAGCCGACCACGAAGAACGAACAGCAGAACTGGAAACTGCTAGCCGCAGATTGAAGGAGGCCGAGGAATTGGCAGAAACCCACGCCCGGGAGGCTGAAAGTCATAAGCTTGCCTTCCTTTCAGGACTTGACCGCGCGTCTTCCTTCGATTCAGATAGCTCGATCAGATCAATCACTGACCAGCGCGTGGTTGCTTTACAATCGCAAGTTGATAAGGCTCATGAGCTTGCCAAGGCCAACCAAGCTGCTGCCGATGAAGCGGCCGAGAAACTGAGGAGAGCGGAGGAACGAATTGCCGGTCTCGAGGCGTATCAGGAACAAGTGAGTCGCGAAGGCCTTCAGCTGCGCAGACAACTTCAGGCAGCCCTTAAGGAAAGCCAAACACATGCTACGAATAACAAGGATCTCAAGTCTCAACTCGAAAGCCACCAGCGCGATACTAGTGCTTTGGCTATTCAACACGGGGCATTGAAAGACCTTCTTGGCGAACGAGGAGTTCATGCATCAGACAATCGGCGATCGCCGCTCCTTGATTCACCTGGGTCGCGTTTCGGAACTCCTGAACAGAGTCGTCTCCGTGAACTGGAACAGCAACTCCAGGCAAGCTTGAAGGCACATGATGAGACGAAGATTGCGTTTGAGTCTCGTGAACAAGAAGCTGATCGTGCTTATCGAGAGAAGTTGGAGCAGCTTGAAAATGATTACCAGTCTGCCGTTCACTACGTAAAGGGCACAGAGAAGATGTTGAAGCGGATGAAGGACGAAGTCGACAAGTACAGGGTGTACACTACGAAGCTACAAGCTGAATTGGAAACTGCACAGAAGAGTGCCGAGCAGTCTGCTACCGCGCCCTCTGTCGACTGGGAACACGAGCGGGCTGAATTGCAGAACACACTTTCTGAGCTTCAGAATGATATGAGTTCTTCTATCGCCAGCCTTGAAAGCCAGATTGCTCAGCTCAAAGAGGATGTGAATGCAGCGCAGATACAGCGTGACAATTCCGTCTCTGCACATGAAAATACCAGGCGAGAACTTCTTGCAGCAACAGAAAATACTCGTTCGGAACTTGAGCAACTGAAGCAAGAGAACACTCTGCTCGAGTCGCGTGCTCTACATGCAGAGCAGAAGGTTTCAATGCTGCTTGATCAAATGGTTACATCAGTCGATAACCATCGTCGTCAATCACAACATGGACAAGGCGCCAACAACATTTCACGAAGTCACAGTACAGCGTCTACGGCTACGATTAGTGGACGACCGCGGGCTGATAGCAATATCTCCCGTGACGATTCTTTTCTGAACAATCGAAGCTCGATGGCATTGGACTCTCTTGCCACTGAACTAGATGCTCTTCGTAGTCATTGGGAGAGTAACAATCGCAATAACAATCGCCTAAGCTCTACTTTCGATCTTGATCAAACCCCAACCAAGGAGACTCACGAAGGGACTAGTCTGAGTGAAAGTGTTACCAATTGGCGGCGTCGACTGGAGGAAGAAGAGGCGCGTGCCAACACCCCGAATGCCCTGAGTTCCGACGCAGCGAAGTCCTCACATGGGGGATTGGCAGACGAAGCCAGCGGCAACATGATATAAGATACCCTTCTACCCATTGCATAGGAGACGACGCAGCGATTTCTGCTTTTGAAAGTTCTAAAATGATTCGGGGTGGTCTCCCTCACCTTGCTGTTCGCCATTCTGACTTGGCTTGTACTTGTATACCCCCATTGATGAAGGTTGTTTCTGGACATGTGCAATTCATCGAGCGTAATGATAGGTACCATGTTCGATGATATCTATTTCTATTCATTTTCTTAATATCACGTCGTTGCATCGTGTTATTGTCACTTTTTTTTGTTCCTGTTTTTCTCTCTCATTTGGCTAAATGCTTTCGCTTCGTTTGGTTTGTTAAGTGACCAGTGTCATGCTGGGTCCGTCTTCGAGCGTCTGATGAATATTATGTGAAACGGTGTCTGCGTCGAAGTCTTTTGAAAGCTTAGTTGTTTGCGACGTCTATCTGTATGAAAATGCTTCGTCTTGTTGTAACATTCTCTTAGCTTTTCGTTCGACATATTATTCATTATTGAATTGTAAGTGGGGACTATTCCAAGTTTTAGGATTGCTTCTCAAGTTAATCAAGGGCCATGCTCTATATCTCTGTTGGGTCTAAACCTTTTCCATGAAGATTGTAGTTGGAAGGGGCTAGCACGAGGCTTAGTGTGCAGCACCGGAAGAGGAGCATCCGAGTCGCGACACCATGAGCCTTGGGCTTGAGGTTCATTTCACTAATGCCTGAGAACTGCTCTCATGTAGTTTTTTCTTGCTTCCAAGCGTGTGGACGCTTGATCACTAGAATACCTGGATACCAAATTCATTGCTCCAAAACAATGGCGAACACCTCAGATCACCCTCTTTACCCCCCTGATATCAACATCCCTCTTGGCTACGTCTCCAATACGATAAGCCTCACTGTGCTTCTCAGCAGCTTCGCTCTTGCCACCCTCGCCATTATTACCTTCACCTTAGCTATTCTAAAAGGGCTCAAGCCGACGATATCTCGTCCGGACAAGATACTTGTAGGATGGTTCATATTCAGTAAGCATGCTACATTTTCGCTGGACTGTTTACTAAAAGCCGAGACTGATGAAATGATTACTTAGCTGGGAGTATACACTTCTTTCTAGAAGGGTATTTTGTATACCATCACCGGACAATGCCTCGCATGCAAGACCTCTTTGGCCAGCTGTGGAAGGAATACGCCAAAGCGGATTCGCGGTACATGACTATAGAGCCCTTTGTGCTTATTATGGAGTCGATAACAGCTGTATGAACATCTACCCAATCACGTACCTACATCAATTGATGAATCTCGTTCTTGTCCATGGATGTGGCTAAGATGTATATTGTCTAGTTCGCGTGGGGCCCACTCTCCTACCTCATTGCATGGATGATCGTCGTCAAGTCCCCCTACCGCCATCCAACACAGATGCTCGTTTCAATGGGCCAGTTTTACGGCGATGTGCTGTATTACGGAACGAGCATGTTGGAGGAATATTATCATGCGCGGTCGTACTCTCGTCCTGAGAGGTATTACTATTGGGGATACTTTATTTTCCTGAATGCTTTCTGGATATTTATTCCCGCCTGTAAGAGATTTATTACTGGAGATTTTGGTATATGTCTGCTGACTGCCGCATCAATTGATAGGGTGTATGTATCAAAGCTACTCGGCTATGGTTGCAGTGTCTCGACTCTATGCGGGTTATGCTGGTAAAAAGACCGCATGAAGGAGTCTGAGATCTTGCGAGTTTTCACGACATTGTCGCGTCACGGGTTACCAGGGTACACGAGTCAACCAAGTTTAAGCGGCAATTGATTGATTGATTCTTCATGCATTATGCCCTAATATCTCTCTCTAATCAAGGCTCTTCTAACTAACTATAAGCTATTATACGTAGAAAAGAGAAATTAAATGGGAGAGATTCGCTAACCCAACTGGGACTAGTGTAACTGCCTATCTTGCTTCGTAGACATTTTCGCCTCACATACATGTATACTCTCGTAAATCCCTGCCAATATTGATATATGCAACTACGGGTGTATATGTAATTAATACACATATATGTGTATATTGTATGGACCCGTGGTTATGATCCATCACACTTGATAACCACATCAAGCCGATCTTGCCTCTTCGGTGCCGACCATGTGGTGAGATTCGCCTTGATATTATTGTCGTCGATCCAGATGCGTCATTATCGTGTCCCGTGAACACCGATTTCCAATACTACGGTGTCGATCAAAGAGCGCGATCCAGGCTCGGCTGGCATCGTCCTCCGGCCGTCGTCTGTTTGATCATATATGTAATACATACATGTATGTAGTAATCATGTTGGGTACTATATTTATTAATAGATTTGAAATCGGCCTGGGCGATTCGTGGACATGACAGCACCGATACACGTGTATCGCATTCATCTATCTGCTTTTCTTCATATTCATAAGATCTACCATTAATATAAATATTTAAATACTTAAATATTTATTGTATTATATATATAATATGTAAGTGATATGGAACAAAGCAGTTGCAGCCCAATTGCGATGTCAAATGTTCGGGCATTTTCACGCCCAGCGCCACAGGCCTGACTCTCCCGGGGAACAGACCGTGAGGGATTTTTTGCTTCTTTTGTCCCTCATGCATGCAACAGTGAAGGCCTCATTGCAAGCAGATCGGAGCTGCCAAGCGTCGATAGACGGTCATGATCGTGATTTGTCGAGACACTAAATACTACTTCTAGAATATACAATCCCATCGAGTGCTGCTCTTTATTTTCTTTCTATTTCTATTCTATTTCTTTATTATTTAAAATTTATTAATATTTACTTGTTATTCTCTATGAATCGTGAATGATACCATATCACAGGAAAATGCAAAGCAAAGAGCATGAGCATGCAGAGGCTGAGACTTGCCCTCTCACCGACTCTGACCAGCCGCAGCCAACTACTGGGCCAGCCTTAGCGCCCGCGCCCACTCTCGCCCTCTCACTCTCCTCTCCTCTCGCTCTTCTCTCTCTCCCTCCCTCCCTCTCTCCCTCTCTCTCTTTTCCCCTTCCTTCGCCTCTGCCATCCTCGTCCACGATCAAACCCTCTGGATATCAAGGCCCCTGCCCTTGACTTCCTTTGGTTCCACCGTCTACACTCGCCCTCCAGCATAACACCACCGCCCTTTGTGAGGCCCAGAGCCGACCGACCGCCCGACCGCCCGAGACCCGACAGCGGCCTCCCTGTTTCGCCCCTCTGCCCGCCACACAGGTACAGACAGGTACGTTGGACCTCGTCGAAAACCCAGTCTTGCCCATCTATGTCCTTCCCCATCCATCCGCCGCCTGCTGCCAGTCAATCAAGACGGGCTTTTCCCGCCTGGTGCTGCTTCCCAGCCCAGCCGCGTGACGCGCGCCTTTGCATTGACATGGCGGCCCAGGCAGGCAAGGCAGGCAAGGCAGGCCCAAACAAGAAGGCTGATACCCTCTTCTCCCCCTTCTTCCCTCTTTTCTCTTCCCTCCTCTCTCTTCAAACATTCACCCATCCCTCACTCAAAATCTGTCCATCGATTCATCCGTTCCTCGGCATTTTCCCCTAGTCCACTGACTGATTTCCACCGTGCAGACATTTTATTCTGCAGCCAAGCTGCCCTGCCAGCCAAGATGACGACCATGGATTTACGAGTCGGTAACAAGTACCGTATTGGCCGCAAGATTGGAAGCGGCAGTTTCGGTGATATTTACCTAGGTAATTCTGCTTCGATGTGACGCCAGCTACAACCTAACACATCTTAGGCACCAACATCATCTCTGGAGAGGAAATTGCCATCAAACTCGAGAGTGTCAAGGCCAAGCACCCCCAACTTGAATACGAAGCCCGCGTGTACAAGTCTCTGGCTGGTGGTGTGGGCATCCCTTTCGTGCGTTGGTTCGGCACCGAGTGTGACTACAATGCCATGGTGATCGACCTTCTCGGCCCCAGTTTGGAAGACTTGTTCAACTTCTGCAACCGAAAATTCTCCCTCAAGACCGTCCTGCTCCTGGCGGACCAGCTCATCTCGCGTATCGAATACATCCATGCCAAGTCTTTCATCCACCGTGACATCAAGCCAGACAACTTCCTGATGGGAATCGGCAAGCGTGGAAACCAGGTCAACGTCATTGATTTCGGTCTGGCCAAGAAGTACCGTGACCCCAAGACTCACTTCCACATCCCCTACCGTGAGAACAAGAACTTGACTGGTACTGCTCGTTATGCCAGTATCAATACCCACTTGGGCGTGGAGCAATCTCGCCGTGACGACATGGAGTCTCTTGGCTACGTGATGCTCTACTTCTGCCGTGGATCCCTCCCCTGGCAAGGCCTCAAGGCGGCCACTAAGAAGCAAAAGTACGACCGTATCATGGAGAAAAAGATGACTACCCCTACTGAAGTTCTGTGCCGTGGATTCCCTAACGAGTTCGCCATTTACTTGAACTACACTCGCTCTCTCCGCTTCGACGACAAGCCCGATTACTCCTACCTGCGCAAGATCTTCCGGGACCTGTTCGTTCGCGAATCTTTCCAGTACGACTACGTCTTCGATTGGACCGTCTACAAATACCAGAAGAACGCTGCCATGATCGTAGATGCCGCCAACCCCAAAAAGGAGAAAGACGCCGAGGACCAGCAGCGCCGCGCCGCGCCAAACCAGGCCACTCTGCCCGCTCAAACCCCTGCGGCTAAACCTGGTGCTATTTCTAGCCAGCGCCGCAAGGTCATTGAACGTGGCACGATCGCCGACACCCCGGACACCAACCGCGCTGTTGGAGGGAGTGACAGGATGTGAGTACTTGCTATCTAGGTTCCGTGTAGGGGCCCCCTTTTCTCCTCTGTGCGTTTGCTGGTTTGAGTGACGCTGGCAGTGGAGGAAATTACTGAATTCAAGACTCTGACTAATCTCATAGTCTTCGGCGTTAGGCTTCGTTCTGCTTCAAAGGGTGTTGCTGCAGGTGCTTATGGATCTGCCGGCCACCGTTCGAAGCGGGACGATGGTACTGGAGGTCAATGGTATTAATTTTCACGTAGCATGGCATGTTCACTCCTGTGGGGTTGCTGCTTGCTAGCTGTTTTGACTCCTAGAATCGCGCGGAACGACCACAAGCGACAGACCTATGGATCTTCTCCTCATTCTTATCCTTTTGGACATCCTTCAGTCTCTCAAGTCTCTTATGCAATCTGCGCTTAGATCATTCTCTGGTTTCGTGTTTCGATATATTGACGCGGCCCTTACTTTATTTCAAAGATGTCTACCTGCTTCTGCGGTTCAATTGGCACCTGCATCGAAACATCTCTTCATTCGATGCTTGACATCCACTTTTTAATTTCCGTGATCTTTTCGAAACATGACAACTACGCTCCTATAACGCTTTCCTCGGCTAGTTTTTGCTCTTCCGAAGCATGTGGGACCTTTCTTTCCATGAACGGTCGAGGAGGCTGGATATTGAGACTGACTGGATTCTTCGTCTTGAGTGGTGACGCTTGGACGCTCTCGACACTGTGTCGGGGTTCCGGTTTTCCTATATTTTATCGATATGCTGCGTTGTCATTTCTCGGTTCTCTTTTCAGCCCTCCCCTCCCGTCTAATCCTATCTATCATACTTTCCCAGCCTTGAAATGTTCGATCGATGCTGTTTGTTCTGGTTTGGTCATTTTTTATTATCTCGACGTGAAATGCATTGGTGAGGGGACGAAAGAAGTGGAGTGAGAGGCGATTCGGCGTGAAGGGTTCGCACTAGCAACGGATCAGCAGGTGCAGTATCTTTAGCATGTTTACTTGCGAGGGACATCCGTCAGGATTCAGCTGTCCGGGTGTCGTTCTCTCGTCTCGTCTTTGTGGTGCTTGGCGACGGAATATGGCTAGGGTCGCTCCCGGGGTGGTTAGGATCACGTCGAGTATGTTTTATTGTTGAAGCATGATTTTCAGCCCTTATTTTATCATCTGCAATTCACTGTGCCTTGTTTTACATCATCAGGCTATGCCTCGCCAGGGCGGCTCAGCGCGTCCGGTCCGCTCTCCGGTCCGTTCTGCGGTCCGCTCTTCGTCACGACTCCCCTCCCCTAGGTAGTATGTTATCGAATACAGACTTTCCATGACTTGTTTTCAAGATCGTAGTATATACTATATATGACCTGGGATTGATTACGCGTGGATGACGAGATCTATTAATAACCGATGTCTGGAACATTGGTACATGCATTCAGCCATGGCGTAGTGCCAAGCCTATGTCTTTTGTCGTATGGTAGTGTGCACTAAACTACATATATGTATAACTTGTACTTACGTGACGCTTAACCTCGTCGCTTAGGTTATACATATGTGGTTAATTGAATTCCAACGCATCGTTACTAATATCAAGCTACTTAGATCTAAATGTGAACTTCCATTAGAATTCACATGTAATAAGGTAGAGGATCCACTGATTTTTTTCCCTACGGGTTGGCCGTTTGAGCCGCTGGGTCTGGCGTGTCATATAATGTCGCGAGTCAGGATGTCCGTGCCATGCATCCACGGTTGAGACATCTGGAGGCTGGAGCAGTCAATCCCTATCTCCGCGAGAGCGCCATCAAGATGACTAACCAATTACTTAATTCATCGAGAACACAATTGAGAACATAGCTTAATAAGAACAAAATAATATTAGTTAGTTAACTAAGTTAAGATGAATTATGTATGACTACGCACGTGGCCGGAAGCCAGATCAGAACCCACTCCGAGTTCGACAAATCAAGTGTAATTTAGCCGGTTAGGCCGCACACTAGCCCGGGCGTCAAGCATCAGTTAAGAAGTGCATTTTCCCAATTTGCTTCTGGCAAGGATTAGAATTTATAACTAGCAGCAGCCTCTAACATTGTGCACGGGCCGAGGATAGAATTGATAGTCAAGCCGTAACTATCCTGTCAACTGGTGCTGACGCTGGACTGGCAAGTCGGTGAACACTTCGGTGAACGCTCCCAAATCATCACCATTGCCTGCGTCTGAGGTTATCAGTAGGCAGCTAGTTGTCACGTGTTATTAGTTCTATTTGCTGTCTTCTCTTTGTTATCTATACGCTTTTCAATTCCGGCGTGTTTCACTGTTCAGGATATGCAATTGGGAACGCAATAGGTTAGTCGGCGGCAAGTCCGTGGTTGTATCCCGATGTCTTACATGGCAGCCTAACTAACTTCACTAGGTAGCAATCTACTAAGTAGTGTCCACTAGTAGGCCGTAGTAGTAGTCGTCGACTGAAGAAAAGAAGTCAATGACAACGGCGGATATACTTTTCCGATGGCTGGCACATCTCGAATCCCCGGGTTTCCCCTGAGGTGGATCTCAGTTTCAAATATCAGCTTCGCTTCAATTTTCTCTCGCCCGGTGCGCCGCGAATCATCAACGCTGCTGACTACACGGACTCATAGTGCAAATGCTAACTCAGAAGCTGATATCTAGACGACTAGCCCAGACCCTGACGCCACGAATTTTCCAGTCTAGTCAAATAGCCTTATTACTAACCAAGCAGTTGATTATTTGCATCGCGTGCTGATAAGTTGTAACTAAATTATAACTAACTGCTGGGATTGGAAGATGCCTGCCTGCTTCTCTGCACCTGCTTACGCTCCAGCTGTTTCACCGCTGCTTCGTCCTCGCCGCCGAGGTTTGGTGGTCGTCGTCAACAATAAGCTTTGATTAGACTTTGGTTATGTGGCGTTGGCCTAGAGCACCGCTATTTCGTCCTTCTATCTCATTTATTTACCCCTCTCTCTTCTACTTCGCCTGATACCTGAGCGGTATTATCGTTCTCATTATTACTGTCCATTCAGTTCTTCTTGCCTCTGATCACCTTGTCGCTATGGATTACTCGTACTTCAACGCGGCGCCGCAACAGCCGCCATATCACATTTACGGGCTGCATGCTGGCACCCCTCATCCCGACGAGTTCAACGGCGTGTCGCAGCCGTCGGTACGTTTGCCCCTCTTACTGCTTGAATAATACATAAATTACATACATACATGCATATATATATATATATATGAGGGTGAAAACACTAATTTGGTTGTTTGCAGGTCCCATTCGACTACAACTATGGCTCCTTCCCACCCTCCTTTTCACCAGTGGGAATCGCACCGCAACATTCCCCGCCAGAGTCATTTACACGCAATACCTCGATAGAGATATCCCGAGACGCCGTCGACGGTACCGATGATATGAATGGAGACCGGAATTCCGGTCGAGGCAGTAGCGAAGAAAAGGAGCCCCTCACGCCAGCGCAGAGTCGCCGCAAGGCGCAGAACAGAGCTGCGTATGACGCCTCCCACCCCTTCTTTTTGAAGAATTATAATACGAATTATAATACTGATTTGTTACTTATGTATATATATATAGTCAACGAGCCTTCCGCGAGCGCAAAGAGCGCCGCGTCCGTGAACTTGAGCAGAAACTAAACGATCTAGAGCAAACCTCCACCACTCTGCACGCTGACAACGAGCGGCTGAAGCAAGAGCTGGCGAGGATTGCGACCGAGAACGAGATTCTGCGCGCCACATCCTCAACAACATCCCCTGGGTCAGGAGCAAAGGGGGATGGTGCAACATACCATGACGACACCGAGAATACGACCACAGGACCCATGGAGTTCTGTCCACGGGACGTCGAGAAGAGTATCGCAGATAGCCAGAAGGACGGCAATTTAGCGCATCGCATCGTGATCAGTTCGAAAACGGGCGAGAAATTGCTGAATGCTCGGGCTACGTGGGATATGATTCAGAACCATAGAATGTATAAAGAAGGGTTGGTGGATATTGGGGATGTGTGTGACCGGTTAAAAGGGTTTGCGCTGTGTGATGGCCAGGGCCCGGTGTTTGAGGAAGGAAGAGTTAGGAGGGCGATTGAGGAGAGTGTGGCTTCTGGGAGTGACGAGCTCATTTGATTCATTCTTATTTAGTTAAGGGTTCCTGTTTGTGCATGTTATATTAGGCGTTTTGGTGAGTGATCCAGGGTTATGCTCTATGTAGGAAAGAGCTGGATTAGGGGGCCAGTGGTTTGGCCTCCTCTGAGGGATTTGCGTTACAGCGATGGCGTACATTGGCAATTGATGTGTATACAGTGACGTATAACGAATACGAGGGAAATGATCCCGCTTTTGATTCCAGATATCAAGTTGGCAGTTGGATGATCTATACAACCCGGTCTTCGTCTAGGCTTGCTTGCATTGTGTCTGATCAACGACGTGGTATACGTCTTGCAGCTGCAGATGGCTGGTTATGATCTTAACTTAAGCGTCGTACATGTACGCATGAGGTAATGGGTTAATGCGTAGTGGCGGGTTCTGTAATGAGTCGACCCTAAGCCTCGAATATGCTATGCTATGCTATTGTATCCATCTCCCTCAATCCCAGTCATCGTCGTCGTCGTCATCTTCTGCCTCGTTTGTTTCTCGATCACCGCGGTCGTCTTCATCCTGTTTTCGGAGACGAAGGTCGCCTTCTTTGATCGCGCCGAGATCCACAAGGACCTTCTCCACATCTGCAAAATTAACGTAAGCTAGATTGTCGAGGGGATTGGTGGGTGAAAGGAAAGCTAACCTTCGATTTTTGTTCGTACTCCATTGAGTTCCCGTAATGTCACAAACTGTCGACGGATCTCGCCATCTTTATATGCTAGTATCGTCGGCGTATTGCGCTCAGGATATCCCTCAATGCACATATCCGCTCTGATCTCGCAGAATTTGACCTCGCCGTACTTGGGAGCCAATTGTCGCCATATTTCACTCAAGACACGGGACTCGACGTTTCCGCCCATCGATGTGAGGTTGACCAACACAAAGGCGTGTGAGGATACCTCGGTCACTTCTCTGGCATAGTCTGTCTTTTGGAGGGGGTAGACTTGGTTGAACACGCTTGCTTTCTGCAACGTTGATAATTCCACAAGTCGTTTTTTTCTGTTTGTGTAATGTGTAAGCTTGTAGCTCTAAACCGTAACTGCCCTGCTGATGCTATGCACACCTGTATTGTTCGAGGAATTCTTCGTCTTCCTCATCTTCTAGAGCGTCGAGTTCGTCGAGGTCTTTATCTTCTAGCCGGTTTTCGTGAGCTCGGCGCTGGGCTTCGAGGATTGCTTCTTCGATTATGGGTGTGGGCGACGGTGGCTTCTCGGGGATAACGCCATGTTTGCGCAGAATATCGTTCCTGCCTGGAGGTTAGAATTGCGCGGAGTATGGTGGCGCGGGCGCATACCATTCAGTGTCCGCATTGGGGTTGTCCACGGGAACATTCACTGGCATGTCCATGGTGAAATAAAATCTTTAATATAAGCCAAGAAGAAGAAAAATAGCTGTTTAAAGCACGCTGATTAGAAAGTGTCGAGCGTAAAACAGACCGTACAGAGTCTCCGGTGGTGGCTACGCCGCATGTTTGCACTGTTTGCGCACACAAGGAGAGACTCTCGGAAGGCCACCTGGAGATCTATTGACTATTGACATTGACACTGTAGGTGTGCTTAGCAACAACAATCCACGCTTTCCTCTAGGGCAATCTGTTCAAGCATTCGATTTTGACGGCCGGCGGAGTCATTGCCCGTATCGCCAGGTCGACCAACCCAGACAACTCCTGCTTTTTGTTTTCCTGGAGAATGAAGGCGCGGTAGTTCTGTACACCGCCCCTCTCCACGTCGCTTTTTCGATTATTCTGTCGCTCGGAAATAACGCCCCTACTTCTTACCACCTATAACAAATTGCTTGCTGCTTGCCGCTGAAAAGCAGGCGCTTCTGTCACCATGAGCTACATGAAGAAGGATGAGGATGCGGATCAGACTATGATCAAGCTTGATCGCACCTCTGTCTTTCAAGATGGTGGGACCCTCCTACTTGGCGTAATTACTGCTTTATTCTAATAAACCATTAATACAGCGAGATTGTTCAATTCGTCACCCATATCCCCCGAAGATGTCGCACGCTGCTTACGAAAATCGCCGTTTTGCTATTCACAGGGGAGAAGTTCCCGACCAACGAAGCTACCACACTCTTCTTTGGCATCTCCAAGCTTTTCCAAAACAAAGACCCTTCGTTGCGGCAGATGGTATACTTGATCCTGAAGGAACTCGCCAACACTGCCGAAGATGTGATTATGTCCACCAGCATTATCATGAAGGACACTGCTGTCGGCAGTGACGTCTTGTACCGAGCCAATGCTATTCGGGCACTGTGCCGCATCATTGATGTATGTGGCCACCGCAAACCTCCTTCAATTGGAATGCTTCTGACTTGTACTGCAGGCTACTACTGTTCAGGGTATTGAAAGATTAATAAAGACCGCCATTGTTGATAAGACCCCCTCCGTCTCGTCTGCCGCGTTGGTTTCTTCGTACCACCTTCTTCCCATCGCTCGTGATGTTGTTCGCAGGTGGCAGAGCGAGACACAAGAGGCTGCTTCCTCAGCCAAGACATCGACGGGATTCCTCGGATTTTCGTCCGGCCAAAGCCACGCTATATCGCAGGCCAATTACATGACCCAATACCATGCTATTGGTCTATTGTATCAAATGCGTTCGCATGACAGGATGGCTTTGGTGAAGATGGTTCAGCAATACGGCGCTGCAGGTGCAGTCAAGAGCCCGGCCGCTGTCGTGTTGCTCGTACGATTGGCAGCTAAACTAGCAGAGGAGGATGCAAGCTTGAGGAAACCAATGATGCAGATGCTTGATGGCTGGCTCCGACACAAGCATGAAATGGTCAATTTCGAGGCTGCCAAGGCTATCTGTGACATGAAGGACGTGACTGACGCAGAAGCCTCTCAAGCCGTGCACGTTCTGCAACTGTTCCTTTCCTCGCCGCGTGCAATCACCAAGTTTGCGGCTATTAGGATTCTGCACTCCTTTGCTTCGTTCAAGCCTCATGTTGTTAACCAATGCAACCCGGACATCGAATCTCTTATTTCCAACAGCAACCGATCAATTGCCACCTTCGCTATCACCACATTACTCAAGACCGGCAACGAGGCTAGTGTTGACCGCCTCATGAAGCAGATCTCCGGTTTCATGGCCGACATCACTGATGAGTTCAAGATCACTGTTGTCGAAGCTATCAGGACTCTATGCCTGAAATTCCCAAGCAAGCAGGCTAGTATGCTCACTTTCTTGAGCGGTATCCTGCGAGATGAGGGTGGCTATGAATTTAAGCGCAGTGTTGTCGAAAGCATGTTCGATCTCATCAAGTTTGTGCCGGGTAGTAAAGAAGATGGTAAGTTATGTCTGTTTTTAATTTTGTTTTAAACATTAATAATACTAACACTACTTAGCACTCTCGCATCTGTGCGAGTTCATCGAGGATTGCGAATTCACTAAGCTCTCAGTGCGCATCTTGCATCTTCTAGGCGTCGAGGGTCCAAAGACCCCTCAACCTACAAAATATATTCGTTATATCTACAACCGAGTAGTACTTGAAAATGCCGTTGTTCGTGCTGCTGCCGTCACTGCCTTGGCTAAATTTGGTGTTGGCCAAAAGGACCCTGAAGTCAAGCGCAGCGTGTCTGTTCTTCTTACGAGATGTTTGGATGACACAGATGACGAGGTGCGCGATCGTGCAGCGCTCAACCTCCGGTTAATGGCCGAAGAAGACGAGATCGCCGATCGTTTTGTCAAGAATGGTGAGTGTTAATATTCAATTTGTTGGAATGTTTGCTAACATGTGGTAGAATCTATGTACTCGCTGTCAACGTTCGAACACCAACTCGTTATGTATGTTACTTCTACAGATAAGGAAACGTTTGCCGCCGCTTTCGACGTTTCTACTATCCCAGTTGTTTCTCATGAACAAGCACTTGCGGAGGAAAGAACTAAGAAACTCACATCTGCGACACCCACGCTTAAGGCTCCTTCAACAGGTCCATCCAAGACCCAAGTCAACGGAGCTGCTGACAGTGCCGCCTCTGCCGCGGCTGCAACGCAGAAATACGTCGAAGAACTTGCTCGTATCCCCGAGCTCAAGGAATACGGCACTCTCCTCAAATCATCTGGTATCGTGGAGCTTACTGAAAGCGAAACCGAATACGTTGTATCCGCCGTAAAGCACATCTTCAAGGAGCATATTGTTTTACAATACAATATCAAGAATACCCTGCCTGATACAGTCCTTGAGGATGTGTCAGTAGCAGCAACACCCGCAGATGATGAGGAGCTACTGGAAGAAGAATTCACCGTTCCTTGCACGAAACTGCCCACCAATGAACCGGGCATTGTTTATGTCGCATTCAAGAAAATCGGCGAAGAGCAAGCTTTCCCCACTACCTCGTTCACCAACAATCTCAAATTCACCAGCAAAGAAATCGATCCTTCTAGCGGTGAGCCTGAAGATACGGGCTACGAAGATGAATACCAAGTCGAGGATCTTGAACTCACAGGCAGCGACTATGTCATTCCCAACTTCGCCGGCAGCTTCGACCATGTATGGGAACAGACCGGTGCCAATGGTGAAGAAGCAAGCGAAACATTCCAGCTCAGCAATGTCAAGAGCATTTCAGGTAGGCCGTTTTTCTTCGCACCTTTTTCCTCAAAACAGACGCTAATATAATCATAGATGCCACCGAACAACTCATCAATGCTCTCTCTCTCCAGCCCCTGGAAGGAACAGACGTGGCCCTCAGCAACACAACGCATACCCTCAAGCTGTACGGCAAGACTGTCTCTGGCAGTCGCGTAGCAGCTCTCGTCAAGATGGCCTTCTCCGCCCGTACCGGTGTAACAACCAAGGTCTCTGTGCGAGCAGAAGAAGCCGGCTTTGCCGCTGCTATCGTGGCGTCTGTCAGTTAAAAATATTTGTTATCTTTGATCTTCTTAACATTACTGGTATTACTGGTGTGGTGACGACTGGGCGAATATATCCCTAAGACATGTAGATAATTATGCGTACGCTTTTATTCATTTTCATGGTTATCATTATTCTCTCCAATTGTAGTCCGTGAATGAAGAATGAAATGGGAAGGATTTCCTTTGTTCTTTGTTTGATTGGAATGAAAATTATTAGGTTTTAAAGCTATTCGCAGTCGTGGAGAAAATATATGGCTGTTCGATAGCAATATCAGCTGATGGGAGTAATGTTATGTATCGATGCCTGGGAAGTCTGCACTTTGCTATTGATTTTACAATATATCTGTATCAATGGATTAATTGATCTGGACAACAGTTCAAAAATCAGAATTAAATTCATTCTATCGTAGATTTATAAACAGCTCATGAGAAGAAGTAAGATATGTAATAGTTTAAAAACCCGAATACCCGTGTGAAAGCATATGTACAGTTAAAAGGGTCTTATGTCGTTTAGTCGAAGTAATATGTGCCAGCATCAAATTCGACCGTTTCATCCGAGATTTGCAGGTCCTCGCCCCTATCCTCAGCATGCTCGAGAAGTGCGTCGTCGAGGTCAATATACTCGCCGTACATAGTGTGAAAGCCGACAGCGCGGAGATTTGGTAGCCCTGAATCCAGTGTGTCGATGATGGATTGGATGGAGAAATCGAGCTTCTCGCTCGTATGCGTATGCCCGAATTCAACCACCTCAAGCGCCAATTCGCACTTTTGCACCTGGATGAGCGTGAAAAAGATATCCTGGACGAGATCGCCCGGGATGCTGAGAAAGAGGAGATTTGTGAGATATGCAGGGATCAGATGAATGCATTCGGGCTGCAGGCCGCGGTTGTAGGTGGAAATAGTCAGCCGCTTCAGGTTCTGCCCTAATAAGCGGTTGCTTAGGATGCCCGTCATGGTGTTGAGCGAAAGATTCATGCAGTGTTTCAAGCACAGCGAGGAGATGTTTTCGGGCCATGGGAATGTGTGCATTTTTGCGTCCATGGAGCCGCCGAGCTGCAGTGTGCGTAGGTTGGATGGCCACTTGCGGTCCTCCTCTTTCATGCCTTTGCGGCTGATGCGCATGAAGCGCGGGGTGCGGAAGTTGAGCAGTTGTTCCATAAATCTGAGTGTTTTGAGGATACTCTCGAATGCGATCGGTTCGTTGACTAGTGATAGATCCAAATATCGCAATTTCGTGCATTTGGAAAGCGGCGAAAGGCAGTTGACGCTGGAAAGCTGGTTAGAACGGAAGCCCATCATCATCATGTGAAATATTGTTTGGTCAAACTCACGAAAACCCTGCTGCCGGAGCGATAAATACTTCCAAATTCTCCTTGACCCGGCCTATGAGTCTGGCCGTCATACTATTGGAGCTGTGGTGGACTAATCGACTCAGGTCGAGCCGGCGTACCAGTCCTCCTAGGCCTTTGCTTTTCTTGGAGCTACCTGCTGGGGGACACATGGAAGCCGTGAATCTCTGATACGTGTTTCCAGCATCAAGCTTTGGTCGTGCGTAAAGAAATGACAGTGCCGCCGAATACCATTGATGCGAGACCAGACACAGGTTGTACAGCGTGTCTTGCCGTTTTTTGCCCTTCAGGCTTCGATCGAGCACGGCGACGACCTGGAGGAGAATTTCCGTGGGCACAAATATCTCGACTGCGGACGGCATGTTTTGTGGATTCTCCATAGGGCCTCCATTATATACTGAGTGAGTCGTGTTGTCGCTTTTCGAACTGGACTGGGCTGGGCGAATGATGTCAGTACGATACGTTTTTCTAAGCTGCAAATAATTAAGCTTTCTCCCCGTGTGGTGGGGCTAGCAACCAGCCAGATAACGGCCGTCTCTTGCGACGTACCTGACTCACACAACAGCTCTTGAGGTCAGCGATCGACGGATAATGAGGTCTGCCAGACTCTCACGGCTGCCATGCTCATGGCAGCCTCGATATAACCCTAGCTTTCGAGCCGCGTCTGCACCATGGAGGCCGTCTAATAGCCGGAGAGGGCTCCAGACATCAACAGCACAGGCGTCGGATATCGCATTTGCATTCGAGTAAGTCTTGCATCCTATTCGACTGTAATTGATTTAACTCCTATATTATAGCATCGACGGCGTTCTCCTCCGTTCGTCCAAGCCGATCCCCGGCGCCGCCGACGCTCTTCGTACACTGCAGGACCGCGGGATACCTTTCATCCTTCTTACGAACGGCGGCGGAAAGCATGAGACAGAGAGAGTCGCTGAAATCGGCCAAAAATTGCAAATAGATTTGGATCCGAGTGTGATAATCCAGAGCCATTCTCCCTTTGCAGGGCTGGTCCATGGTGCCTTTGGGCAGGAGGCGTTGGAAAACAAGTGTATTCTGGTGGCCGGCGGTGACGGCGATGGCTGTCGTCAGGTAGCAGAGAAGTTGGTATAGAAGCTTCACACATAACAGCCAGGGTGGCTAACTTTTATTTTATTTAGATATGGATTTAAGTCTGTTGTGACTCCCGGCGACTTGTTCAATGCATACCCTGGTATTTGGCCCTTTTCCAAAGTATTCAAGGATTATTATAAAACATTTGCGCGGCCTCTTCCAAAACCCATTGACCCAAGCGATCCAAGCAATAGTCTCAAGATTGACGCAATGTTTGTTTTTAATGACCCTCGCGACTGGGGGCTTGATGCTCAGGTTATAGTAGACATTCTACTATCCTCACAGGGCATCATCGGGACGATATCTGATAAGAACGGCAAATCCGACCTGCCGAACCGAGGCTACCAACAAGACGGCCAACCCCCCTTATATTTTTCGAACCCAGATCTATGGTGGGCTGCATCATATCACCTTCCAAGACTTGGCCAAGGGGGATTCCGCGAGGCATTGGAAGGAATATGGGCCGCTGTAACTGGAGGACCGGCCCAAGATGTTGAGCTTATCAAAACCGTGGTTGGAAAACCGTACACACTGACTTACAGGTTCGCAGAAAACCAATTACTGCGAAATAGGGCTAGAATCTTGAACTCCAGCAGCCTGCCTCCGGTTAGAAAAGTCTTCATGGTTGGCGATAATCCAGAATCAGATATTCGCGGAGCGAACTCTTATAAGAGTGAGCATGGGAGCGATTGGCACTCTATTCTTGTGCGGACTGGTGTCTACAATGGGGGACAACCCTCCTGTCCTCCTAAGACTATTGTGGATGACGTAAAGCATGCCGTAGACTGGGCTTTGAAGACGACCGGATATTGAATAAGAGAGTTCTAGATGCAGTATACATAATGTATTTAAGGTTGTGTCAAGTAGACTACATCGGCGTGGATTGGACATAGATTGGTTTGTATTCTATAATTACTTTCTAATAGACCCTGGCTTATATTCACCTGAAGACATAGCAATGGAGCATTACTGGTGCATATATGCACCCATTCTACATGTGTATTTTAATTAGATCGGTTAATTCCAAATATTGTATTCATATCATAGTGATTCGTAATAGCTTCTATCCCAACCAGCAAAGGAAATCTTCTGGCCACCACATTCTGAGATAGAACATAAAATTAGTATAAGAATTGCCTAGCAGTCGTTAGTAATTAGTTATACAAGTAATGAAAGAAGACCAATGTCTATTTCTTGAAAGTATACATAACTTCACGTGACGTCCCGGAGAGGAACTTCTTAGGGCTCAGGGCTGGGTTATGAGGGGCTGTAACGGCGGGGCTTACTGCATTGCGGGAATAAGTTTTGGACGTCGCGACTGTGAGTCAAAACTGGCACGGTGAGTCAACGCAGGCCATTCTTTCCGTCTCAATTCGACGCAGGTGGTATTTAAACACCGAGCATTTAAATTTTATTCTCCGCCTCCTTGCCTATTTCCGTGCATCTCGAGAAACCAGCTACCCAGTCAACATGGCCGACTCAACCCTCCCTCACCGTCCAAAGCCTGAGGAGACCCCCGAAGCCGCCCCTGCAGTTGAAGGCGGTGCAGCTCCCCCTAGCAAAAACGCGCTGAAAAAGGCCGCCAAAGACAAGGCCAAGGCCGAGAAGGCTGCGGCGCGGGCTGCTCAGGAACAAGCCCAGAAAGCCGTCCAGGCCGTAGATACTGCTGTTGGGCTGTACGGGAAGTTGCCTGAAACCGAAGATATTGTTTCGGTTCTCGACTTTTCGAAATTGGGCGAGGAATACTATGAGAAGGATGTCACCGTTGTGGCGCGTGTCGACACTACCAGAGCACAGAGCGCAAAACTCGGGTTTCTTACGCTCAGACAGAAGGGAAAGAAGCTGCAGACAGTGGTTGCGGCTCCACAAGAAGGTCCAGTTTCAAGACAGATGGTCAAGTGGATTGCTTCTCTGAATGTCAATTCGATCGTACAAGTCACTGGGGTTGCGAAAAAACCCGCCGTGCCAATCGCATCTGCGACATTAACTGAGTTGGAATTACACATTAAGAAAATATATCTGATTGCTGAAGCCGCGCAAGTGTTGCCTATGCAGGTCAAGGATGCCGAAAGGCCTCCACCTCTCAGCGATATCGTTGAGGGCGAATCCCAAGTCGACGCTGAAGGTGCTCCTATTGTCACACTAAAGACCCGCTTGGACAACCGTGTTCTCGATCTTCAAACCGAGACTAGTCAAGCCATCACATGGATATCTAGCGGAGTTGCAGAGTTATTCACAGAGTATATGCTTAAGAGTGGTGCACGCTGGATCTTCTCATCGAAGTTGAATGGGTCATCGACAGAAGGCGGCAGTGAAGTTTTCGAAGTGAAATATTTCAAGAGGATGGCTTACCTAGCCCAGAGCCCACAACTTCACAAGCAAATTTGCATTGCAGGCGACATGGAAAGTGTCTTCGAAGTTGGCCCTGTTTTTCGTGCCGAAGAGAGTAATACCCACCGTCACTTGACAGAAGTATGTAGTTCCATTATTCCCCCTTTTTGAATCAGTTACTCACCAGCTTGCTAGTTTACCGGCCTGGATTTTGAAAAGACCTTCCAAAACCATTACCATGAAGTTCTTGAATTTGCTGAGGATCTGCTTGTGTTCATTCTCACACAGCTCCAGGAGCGCTACAAGGAGCAGATCGCCGTGATTCAAAAGTCATACCCCAAAGCAGGCGACTTCAAGCTTCCTAAAGATGGAAAGGCCCTCCGATTGAACTATATGGATGGCGTGGCGTTGCTGAAGGAAGCTGGTGTCGACACCTCTGAGCAGGAGCGATTTGAGAATGATTTCAGCACTGCTATGGAGAAGCAGTTAGGTCAAATTATTCGTGAGAAGTATGACACCGACTTCTACGTTCTTGACAAATTTCCCATGGCAGTTCGACCATTCTATACAAAGGCAGATCCCAAGGATCCCACGTTCTCAAACTCGTACGACTTCTTTATGCGTGGTGAGGAAATCATGTCTGGAGCTCAGCGCATTCACGAGGTCAAGGAGCTAGAAGAGAGCATGGCTGCTAAAGGTCTTGACCCCACTGCAGAGGGCTTTGAAGACTATCTCAGTGCTTTCCGACAAGGATGTCCTCCGCACGCTGGCGGTGGTCTAGGTCTGAACCGTATCGTCATGTTCTTCCTGGGTCTGCCGAATATTCGGTTGGCAACTCTGTTCCCTCGTGACCCTCAGCGTTTGAGGCCATAAACAAGCGAGCGCGTGTTTGACTTCTATAGATGATCTTGATATCAAAGAAGGAAAAATGATATGTAAAATGCTGTTGAACAAAATCCAGTTATTTAGCCTGTTGCAATAAATGAGACTAAGCTAAGCTTCATTAAGCTATTCCATATTGGGACTGCAGCCTAGAAGGTGTAAAATACTTTTAAAGGAGCAACGATTCATTTATAATGAGCCTTTTACAAATAAGGATTTATTATAGACTTTGTAATAATCTTGAATAAGTAATATATTATTCCATTGCCTCTGCTGCCGGAGACATGCCTCGGAGACATCAGAGAACCATTTCTTTTAAGTAAAGCTTCTTCCGCGCCGAAGCTTTGAACGGTGACACTTTTCTCCAACACCAACTCCGACTTGCGCGAAAGGCAGAAATGCCCGAAAAACGCAAGACAGAGCAGGAGCATGAAGCAGATTCCTCTTACGCAAAGCGCGTTCGACAACAACTATCGTACGCCGACCTAGACGGTCACTATCATGAGGTAGGGGTGATGGGCGATAATGGCATGGCTCCACAGGTGGCCAGAGAATACGAGAGCGATGGACAAGAATCCACCGAGACGACCGAAAGAACAAAACAAGAAGATAAAAAGAATAAACGCCAGCAGCGAAACAATACACGACCGCGTGTCGACCCCGTCTTCGGGCAGAGAAGCGCCTTTCCCGGCCTCGATGACATAGGTTCCGAAGAGCTTTTCTATGGACCAGCAGAGGATGGGCTGGAATATCTGCGCATGGTTCGGTAAGTTTCACTTGCTCGTTTATCAAATTCAGGAATTAAGCTGAGACTGTTTTTGTCGCTTTCCTCCCCTCAGTTACGCGCCGAGTTGGTCAGTGCTAATGTGTGGCTTGTCCGCCCAGGTCTGAAGCGAATTCGTTACCAACTCTTTTTGTTGCGGCAAAGGCCACCACGACACAGAAAAATGATGACAGAATAATCAACGAAGAAGATGGGAAAAGCGAGATGCCCAGTGCATCATCGCAGGTAGCCTCGAAGGAAGGGAAAAATGACGATGGCTTCCTTCTCGTTGACGGCGTCTTCATCGCAACATCCGCACCTTCGCGTGAATCCGCCGAAGAAGCTACCCTCAACGTGCAATCAGCGTACTACAATATGTTACGACACCGATTCATATATCTCCGAAGCACTCTGAAGTGCTCACCTCCCGCTGCCGCAATCGCAAGCCTCGATGAGACGCACCCCATCACCTTCCCTTACCACGTCAAAGGGGCTCGACTTGCATGGAGACGGATGATACTAAGTTCGGACCCACAGATGGTACAGCTGGCATGCATGGATATGCTGACCGTTTTGAACGTGCTCCGACTATTAGGCGAAATGATATCAGAATGTATAAAAGGCGGAGATATTGTACAGCTACGTCGCATCGGTGCATGGGCGTGGGGCCTGTTGGGTAAATGTCGAGATGTAGGTGAACTCGGCAGTGAAGAGGTTGGGGATATAAGAGTGCTTGGAAGAAGGGCAGTTGGTGCTTTGGCAAAGTTGAACAAAGTTGGATCTGCGGCCTCACTCAATGATACGGCAGAATCTGGTCCTGAAGATAACGAGGATAGTGACGGTGAAGATGAAGAGGAAATATCCGCTCAGACGACTGATGACCTTGGAAATGGCAGCAGATTGGAAGAAGAAGCGCTGGAAATACAGGAGGCTGCAGCAGTGGCTGATGATCCTATGGAGGGAATAGATGATTCCCAAGCGATACCAACTGTTGAGCCCATGCAAACAGATGAAGTTGAAACAACGGAAAATCTTGAAGCAGCCAAAGCCCGACTTCAATCGCGACTTCTTGCGAGTGCAGAGCCTGAAGAGCAAGAATCCAAATCTGAAATAGCAGAGCGAGGAAGGAGAAACACCTCATCTCCGCTTGATGAAGGTGAAGTAGTCGAAAAGCACGACGATCTAGAACCTGAACAGCATATTGAAAATACACCACAAAGCCGAGACAAACAAACACGGGCGTTGCTTGACATGATCATTACTATTGTGGGAGAATTCTACGGTCAAAGAGATCTTTTGCAACAAAGGGATATCTGGCAATAAATGGAGGTATCAACTCTTCAATGTAGTCTAGATGTCAGTCTAGAACGTTCCGATGACTATGTCAAGCGAAATCTGATATACTCAGGAGGTTTCTAACAATGTTATCTTTGTTGTCGTTATCAACATCATGAAGTTGTAAACGCAACCCATGAATACAGGTAAGTAGATCAAATAGCACCAGCATCTTCCGCGTCCAAATGCTCCCAAATTAATCGTCGAGTACTATCATCTTGTACCCACTGTTCAATTCTAGTTACTGTATCACCAACCAACCATTCGTAGTACAAACCATTAGGTAGGAAGATGGACTGATGAGCGAGTACTTCATCAACATCCGGTACGAAAAGACGAATCCAGAGAGGATCTGGTACACCACCATTTTTTGGCAGTACACAAAATTTGCGATCTTTATACGGCTTCCCAGATATGTTCGTTTGAGAAGAATATATAGATCTATCATCATCATTCAGCAGTGTTCCTGATGAGGCAGACCTCTTTTCAAATAGGCTATTTTGTGATATATCGCCAAGCGAACCGTTATCAGTGATACAATAAATCGTATTCTCGGCAACTTTAGGCTCAGGAGCGCCTAATCGGGATGGTGAGGAAGAATCCCGTTTCTTCTTCTTTTCAAGATGTTCAAACAGTTTTTTTCTCTCTTTGATAGTTTTGTCACATTCTTTCTTTGCTTGCTCGTGTAGATTGAAGAGCCGCTTGTACTCTTTTTGGGCCTGCTTCAGTATCTCTTTGTCTTTATAGAAGGATGGATCAATTGCTGTTGGCGCGCGGGGGATGGTTGGTAAAGGTGGAAGTAATTCAAGTATCTGTGTAGGCCCTTCATCGACGTTGATTTCGCTTTGTGCTTCAGAGGTTTCAAGCGCTTTGTTAAGCTGAGTGGCGTCATCCATATCCTCATATTCTTCTATTGGCATCGGCTGCAGATTATTCATGCTGTTGTCAACTATTTCTGGAGGTTCAATTGTAGATACGGGACTAGAAGGCTCGGTGAGCTCTTGCAGGGATTCTGTATCAGGCTGACGATCTTCCTTTGCCTCATCCAAGGCTTCAGGCTGCTTGGGACTGGATGCTTCTTCTGAGGGTGATTCCTTGGGAAATCCTGGACTTGCTGTATAGTAGTTAACGAACCTAATCCTTCGCAGCAATCGGCCTTGGCTGTCACGCCTTTGATCCATGTTGTCAAAGGCCTCCAACTCTTTCAGTCTTGAATATCGCCGGCGAAGACCTGGATAGTCGGTCAAACAGCCCCCGAATTCGAAAAAAGAGGTTGCATAGTTCTTCATTGCGCTAGCCATTTGGCCTGAGTTCTTCTTCAAGAAATGAAACATTCCGTCCAACTGGCTTCGTTTCACGCGACGAATGTCATTTGGAAATGAGGGGTCGTAATTAAAATCCGGATTTTGTTCAAACCAGGAAGGGCGAGGCTGGTGTATATTGGAATTTTTTGCCCCAGAATCCATGTCGTTTGGTGTTTCTATTGCCGAAGTGCCATCTTTAATCTCGCTGTTAGGCGATTGGGGATTACGTTTGGGTTGGAATAAGCTGGCGAGTCCTGTACCAACTATACCCGGATGCAGACCCAAGAATGGAACATCAAAATTGATTAAACCAAGAATACGATGTTTGAATAGGTCGAGATTGTTCGTCGACTCGGCCGGAAATAGCGCCACTTCTGCGCTTAATATTCCACCAAGACTATGGCCCAGTAAAATCACATCGGTCAGATCCGATTCATGCGGTTGCAGCCTAGCAATAAGTTATTAAAGATATATACGTATCGTTTGAATATTGGCCCACCATTCACTAAAGTCATCCCGAGCTATGTTCATGGACCGACGTGACTTATATTGAGGGTAGACCTTGGAGTAGACCACATGCGACTCTGCGAGCGCCTTGGTAAGAAGATTGTGTACATGCGCAGGAAACTTCTGAAAGCTGGTCTCGGCGCCCATGAAACCGTGAATGTAAATCAATAGCAGCTTTCGCCTTCCATCCACGGGGCTTTCCGAAGGGCCTAGGGAGGCGGTCGAGGACTCATTCCTGCTGGCCCCCTCCCATGAGGGATATATTCCATGAGACTGGCTGGCATGTCCATTTCCCAATTTGAGACTTTCCAAGGATACATGGGACGGGGTCAGATGCACCGACTCTGCTCGATCTGCTGAACGAATTGCACTGGGGGGTTCCTTCGAGGGGTCATCACGCCTGGGGTCATGTGATGATTGCGAGTCCGACCGAAGCTCTTCTTCCCACATGTCCAAATTGACTCTTCGGTTTACGCCGGTGAATAGAAAGTAGGATGACAGTGGGATACGAAATCGTCAACATTCTGAGCAAGTTCGTCGAAAGAGCGTGGAAGCTAGTCTAGGCTACTGCGTCATAGCACCATCCCATTAAGCTCGGCCGGCGCCCCGATAAGCTACCCCGACATCTGCCTCTGTCAATCAACATCCTCTCCTTCCAAGGCAGGACATGAATTCAGCATCCTCAGTTTAAAATAAATATCGCCAACTATGCCTTCTACCGTTGAAATCACCATACCGAATTCGACCCTGGTGGAAGGCTACACAAAGTACAATATTACCATCCGCCTCCCCCTCCGATCGTACGTCGTTCAGAAGCGATATTCCGAATTCGCATCCTTCCACGACTCCCTTTCCCACCAGGTAGGCGCTCAGCCTCCTGTTCCGCTCCCCAAGAAGTCATGGTTTTCCAATACAAATTCAAATGAGAGACTTCGAGAGGAACGACGACAAGGGCTGGAGAAATACCTGCAAGCGATCAACAACACAGAAGATCAGCGCTGGCGGAACACCAGTATTTGGAGGTCGTTCTTGAATCTTCCAAGCCAATCAATTTCGGTAGATAATAGTTCATCCACGAGATTACACAAGGCTATTACAGTTCCAGGCAGCGTCGGATCGGCACCTATTATAGACCCAGTGCTATGGCTAGACTGTCATCGCGAACTGAAAACCCACTTACATGATGCACGGTTGCATTTGACGAGACGGGATCAAGCAACCTCACCTCAGAAACAGCATGAAAGCTCTGCACATGCCAAGAGCAGTTTGACTAAGGCCGGGACAATGATATTGGCTCTGGAAGGAGGATTGAAAGACCCTGGCAACGACGCCTGGGTTGGTAGCGGTCTTGGAGAGGGTGAAATAAGACGGAGAAAAGATCTTCTAGCTAGCGCTAAGAAGGAGAAGGATGGTTTGGAGAACCTACATAGCGCCATGATGCAGAAAAGCAAGTTGGATGCTGCTGTAGCGTCAATTCAAGATAAGGACAAACTTATAGGAAGCGCAAAGCCTCGTGTGGGCCGAGTCCTAGGAAAAGAAACCGACAAGACCCGTGAGCTAGATAACCAAGGAGTGCTTCAACTCCAGAAGCAGACTATGGAAAATCAAGACAAGAGCGTGGACGAGCTGATGAAGATCATCACGCGGCAACGAGAACTGGGAGTTGCTATAAATAATGAACTTGAGATTCAAAATGAGCTTCTGAAATTGACTGATGAGGATACCGAAAGGTCAGTATTTATCACGATTCCATTTCTGTTACGGGAGCTCTTGCTGACTGTCCGTGTAGACTAGAACGCAAGATCGAGATTGGAAAGAAACGAGTTGGGAAGATTTCTTAAGGTCTATGCTGAGGTGGAAGCGAAATAAACATGCATATCATATACGATTCTTTACAAATTACGATATACCCCTGCGCTCATCATGGATATAGCTTCAATCTTTCAGCATGGGCAGCACTTTGAGCGATTTATTAATACTGACTGATTCTATTGTCACTACATCATGATATCTAGACTGAGACATAGGCAGCCACTAATTATTTGAGAGATAAGAACTATAGAACGTCAGTTTGATTTGATAACATGTCGTCCAGTAATAAGCTTACCTCTTTGGCCTCTTGCTCAGTGACTTGCACTTGGTCAGATACTGTTTTATCTATCAAGCCAATTTTTGACCTTCGAATAAGCCACCAAAGTTCTTGTCGATCACCGCCCAATTCTTCTTTGAGTATATGATCCTTGAGTCGTTGTAAGAGTTCATTGTATAGTGAGGGTTCCTCATAATCGATAAGCTCTCCACGTAACACACCAAGCTCTTCAACAACCCGGTCATAATTCGCATCTCCGAAACTGTTGCTGATATGGTTCTCGATGATTTTCTCCATCTGACCAACGGCATCCTTGATCGCTTCAATAGTCTCGGCATTCGAAAGTGTTTGCTTGAATTCGGGAATCGCGTTGTTCGGTGAGATCTTAACCCTCTTTTCGCGATTCAGCAACTCGTCCACATCAAGGCCGGAAAGAGGCTTGTCAATGTCGCGGTTGCGTTTGCGGCCTTTGGCTTTAGGAGGAACTGTTTATGAACTGCGTCAGCAAGACTTTGACCGAAAGTGTTGTATGAGTTTGTTACCTTTCTTTACGTCGGCGACGTTGATAATTCGATCCAAATATTTCTTCGCACGCTCCTGGACTTCTTGAGGCGGCTTCGATAACCGCGTTAGCTTTTCAGATGGTGGTGGTAGAGGTTCGTTGGGATGAATAGCTCGCCACCGTATCGCTTGTTCAATCCGGTGTAGTAGAGGCGAGTACGAATCTTCCAATGGTATAGTATCGATTTCCTCTCTATTTAAATATCAGCATCTATCAAGCAAGTACAAGAAATGGATGCCCAAACCCATCTTCGTCCTCCTCAACGAGCTCCATGCTGTCGACATATTTGCTCATCGCGTTCATTAAATCCTCGCTAGGAAGATTTCGGTGGTCCTTGATCTCCTTACCAGATATTGTGACTACCTGGTCCAATGGTGGGAACTTGTATGCTCGAACATCTTCGGCGAAAGGAAGTTGGACCTCGAGCAGACATTCATAATCAGGCTCGATAGATGGTGCTAGGAGAACTATGAGTGGACTCTTGTTGTCTTTTATGACCAGTCTAGCGACAGCGTAACAATCTAGCTCAAACAATGCATGAATGAAAGATGAGAGAGCCAAAGTTGCTTTTTCGTTTGTTTTTTGAGCGATTATGACGTTGCTGTTGGACATATTCATGTAACGATCGTACTGGAATGAGAGATTAGCATATTGAGATATTAAGCCAGTTTCGAAGTATCGTACTTGGTCGTTTTGAATGAATCCTATCAAATCCAAGGCCGCAAAGGTCTCCAACTTCGTAATATTCTCATCCGACTCACTGATGTGGACTGCAGTCCTTCCATACTCGTAACCTTTGGCTAGATCATCTCGCTCTAGTTCTCGCTTTCCTCCAGCAACTGAAGGGTCACTGACATGGTATGTTCGAGCATTGCGAACACTGACCAAGTTTTCGTCTATAGACTTGCTGTCTGCTAGGGCTATTGTTGCTGATGACTGGGCACTTTCATCCCCACCAGGTTTGACCACGAATGAGCTGGCTGAGGGTGGTTTGGCCACATATGTTCGATAGTATCGTTCAACCTGAATCCGAAGAGCAGTGTCATATTGAGTGGGGTCACCCAGCTTAAGCTCTCCTCGAAATGAGGGAATGCCACGGACAGCTTTGACACGCGGTGTATCAAGCTCTGCAATTGCTTGTGCGATTGTTCCATAGACCCCCTCGCAGTCCTCAACCAAACTTCGTAACAAAGCTTCGTTTTCCGACTGTCACAAACATCAGCTTATTTAGATATCAAATTTCTGTTCAATTTAAATGTCATACCTTTAGTTCGTTTTTGTCTTCCTCTTTGAAAGGGTATTCTGGATCATCAAAATCAACTCCCCTAGCAAGAATTAGTACTGGCGAGCTCGAATGTTGCTATTACGAAACGTACAGAACAACAAGTTCTATATCGTCGGACTTGAGCTTATTCACGATTTGATCAACTCCATCTGTGCTCATTGCCCCTTCACCGTTCGTGACTAAGATGATTTTTCGTTTGTATTTTAACTTCTTAGTGTATGTGTTGATCATCTGAATGGCCACGACCAGAGATGAGATAGCTGGTGACAGTCAGGCCAAGAAATTGTAAGTCATAGAGTGTTATTGCTACATACCGTCTCCTTTATCAGTCTTGCTAGGTCTGATTTCTTCCCGAAGCCTTCGTAAGTCGGGCATGAGTATCCTGACACCTTTTCAGTAAAAGCGTATTCACTCAAGATTCCAGATAGACCATACTGTCCAATGCCTTGTAGTACAGATATGTTTTCGTAGCTATCATCTTCGCTCAAGTCGTTATTAGTTGCTGTGCGATTAGTTAGCTATTACCCCGTCGTAGACAAAACTGGCCGTTCGCACTGTCTGTTCTCAGACCAACTACACCAATGGTTGCCGTTTTTCGGCCAGTCGATACCTAGAAAGCCACAGGTTAATTGTACAATAAGCCGCCGCTAAGATGCTGTATACGTACTGTAGTAGTAATCTTATCCCATACATACTTCATCGCCCAATCAAGATCCGAAATCGATCGCCCATTTTTCTGCTCCCCCATCGATTTCCCCACGTCAACCACGTAGACAGTCGCTTCCTTGTCTGCCATTGTAATGTATGAGCACCAGAAAGGCCGCTCGCTGATGTACGTGGAAGCAGAGGGCTTATATTAATATGCTTTGTCGAGGTCCAAAGATCCAAAGAAAGGCAGCTCCAGGCAGACGCGTGATATTACCATTTTTAGGCTAGCGGAGCAATCGCGAAATCATGTGATTTAAAATGACTGTCAACCTTTTAATAGAGTTACTATACCAAAAAGGGCGCAACCCTTACTTAGTAAGGATTTCTAGTGGTATTATAGTCGCATATTATTTCTTTTGTAAATACTCGGCAACAAATTGATGCAAATCTGAGTTACAAAGAACTCATTCATCTAGACATATTTATATGCAAAATTATCCACTAATTTGTTAATAAGGGTAAGGGGTAATTGGTAAGTAATTGATTCTTGTCACTTTTTGGTCTGGAATTTTTTGCACTGTTGATCGTAATTTTGGACATTTCGCACCGATCACTCAAACTATTCTCAGCGCCCATTTTGGAATCGCATGGAATGAGAGCAACTATCATTGTCTTTACCAATATATCCCTAGCCTAGTGCTCTGCAATGGGTACATTATTGATAGTCTTGGATTTCCCCTGCTCGTCTTGTACATGAGCTTTTTGGAAGCTAGGAATGGTGGGCATGACAGAGTTTGATCGCATTGTTGCATGTTACTTTGCTGGTCATGAGATAGACGCACAAAAAAGAAACGAGTTAATACTTAGTCACAGCTAAATGTTCTATAACAGTGGCCAATTAATTTCATTTTATATAATTTCTCGAAGCGATCTACGGTAGAGACTAATATAGGAAATACGACCCCCAGGAGTCCGGCTTACGTACACCGATTGAGGTCAGCCTCGGATTCCATGAAATTGAGGTATAGAGCCCTAAGTAGGCCAAAAATGACAAACGAAATCATGCACCATAACATATTTTATGGCAGGGGTACAGCTTGTACTTGGACATAACCAATCTTATAGAGTAGAGAATTCTGATCCCAAAAAAAAAGGAATCTTCAAAAGAACGAAGCCCGAAAAATACCGCTAGGTATTTGGTATTTCAGTTTTCAGTATTAAAGGCCTTTTCAGAATCTGTATGGGTATTATCGTTCGGCTTTTCCAATCCATACTCGGTGTCAAGCTCCTTTCTCAGCGGAACCTCACGTTCCAAGAGGACCATGGCACACGCCAAACCAGCAAAGATTGCACCAACCCAGAAAGAGCGGTCCAGAGCCGATGCGTATAACTCGCGAACTTCAAGTTGCACCTCTGGGGAGAATTGCGTCACGAAGGCAGCTGAAGCCTGCTGATAGGCGCCGCCACCGCCGAGCAACTCGCGAGCCCTTGCATCTGATATAGTATCTAGTTTCTCCTCAATGCGATTGTTGAAAATTGCAGCTGGAATAGAGACACCCCAAATAGAACCAAATGCACGAAAGAAGCCCCATGTTGAAGTTGCCATGGCCTGGTCCTGCTCGGAGGCTGGCGCTTGGAAGGCAGGTAGAAGAGTGTCGATCACAATACCAATGCCAAGGGCAGTAATGATTTGAAAAACAGCCCAATCAGCGACTGAAGTGTGTAGTCCCACCATTGAAAACAAACCCATTCCTAAGGTAGTGAACGCAAATCCAACAAAGTGGATTGACTTGAATTTACCCCAACGACTCAGTGAGATAGCCGCAATAATAGCGCCTGGGAGGCCGGCCAGAGCCTGTGGAATTAGAGAGTAACCTGCGCGGCTAGAAGAGTATAGAGCCACAGCCTGAAAATAAACAGGAAGGTAATATAAATACCATAAATAAACCATAGAGTTGAGGAAAGTATTGATAAGAACGATAATGGATGTTCGATGCTTCAAAAGTCGGATCGGCATGACAGGTTCTGGAGCAAAACCACTGGTCTCAAAAATTGCGAATAGTGCAAAACCAAGGAATCCCAAAATCAAGGGAACTAAGGTATGCCAAGATGACCACGAATAGATTGACCCAGCATAGGTAAGTGAGTAAAGAATGGCCACAGTACCTGCCATGAGAATAGCGTTTCCCACAACGTCAATACGCTTAATCTTTTCCATGAGAGATCTATCGTCCTTATAGCTCAGTCGCAGGAGAAAAAACATAATAACAAATGAAACACCACCAATCGGAAGGTTAATCCAGAAAACCCAACGCCACGTTGTAGAGTCTGCAATCACACCTCTGATAAATGGGCCGAGAGCTACTCCAATACCGAATATAGCCAAGATGATGGCCATATATTGACCGCGTTTTCGGAGAGGACACAAATCAGAGACGATTATATCTAGATTAAAGAAGAAACATGTTAATCTCCCCTCTCAGACGTTGCAATATGGGATCTAATCACACGTACTAACTGTAAGAACTATTCCACCAGAACCGGCACCCTGAATCGCACGGCCTGCGATGAGCATGCTAACACTAGTCGCTCCACCACAAATTCCACTGCCTAGTGTGAAGAGAGCGACTATTGATAAAAACACCCATCTCCGTCCGAAGATGTCGCACAACTGCCCAAATAGAGGGGTTAATGCCGTCCTAAGAGGTATTCCTGTTAGCTAGCTACAGACGTTAAATCTTCCTGAGATTGTACCAGGAATGTAAAGACATACGCGCAAATGAAGAACGAATTTGTAATCCAGATAAAGTTCTCTTTCATGTCAAGGTCTTGCAAAATATGCGGTGCCGCAGTAGTTACAACTGTTTGCTCCAGCGAAGCTAGGAGAGTTGAAGTGGCGAGACCGCAGATAATCGCCCAAAAACGAAATCCGCGTTCGAAATCTTCTGGTTCTTTAGAAGCTGCGATGACTTCTGTTGATGGCGAAGGGGTTTGGAGTTGGCTGTTCATGCCTTGGTCCTTCTCGGAATGAGACACATGAAGTGCAGCAGTTGCCCCTTCTTCAGTAGCTGAACTTGCCATTCCTGGGAATCAATATAATGAAATATTCCAATCAAAGAGGAGTATTGAGAGGACGGGGTATTAGCAGGAAAAACTAGTGCTTTGTAGGGAAGGGTGTCTCTAAGTAACATAAATTGTATCTTTTCTGCGGTGCAAAAACCAAATTAGAAAAATACAATATGAGATGCGAGTCAAACATGTTGAATATACGAAGCTCCATGAAGCTGCAGAAGGTGTGCTTAAAAGGAGACTCGATAACACAAGTCGATCCCAACTTGGTAAACCGGCGCCGACCAGGTCGGAGTTCCTTTGCCTAAACAGGTTAGAACTTTGTACCTAAACCCTAGAGAAAAGTCTGTGATGGTGATGATGATCATGACGATGACGATGACGACGAGTCAGACATGGAGCTCGAGAACGGGATCATGAAGGACGCTTTAGGGGAAAGGGTTCCTTAGGCGCGGTGCCGCCTATCAAGCCCCTGAGAACACTGCCAGAGAGACCTATAGGTATACGTGTGTATATAAAATATATGCGTGTGTATGGATATATCAATATGTACCTCCGCACTGGGCATACACATTGACACTGTTCCAGGCGTCTGGCCCCTGTAAGCCCCTACAAGGACCGCCTATGAGGAACTATTTAGGCACCTTTTAGGCGCCTGTAACTCCCCGCCTCCCCGGGTCGATCCCCTCAAAAACCTGCAGCTCGACGTTAATGTGATGTATTTTTAGGACCCACTTCTAAAATAACCCGAATTTCTGTCAGGTTTGACAAATTATCAGCAGTGGTGCCTCGAGGGGGGTTCACATTTTTTTAGGGGTGCTTATACGAATGCCTAAGACCCCTATAACTTGGGGCTCTTAGGGGGACGAGTAGGTGTTAAGGCCACGTGACTTTGGACGTGGCCAACTGGCTTGCGGGGACGGAAATAGGTAGGGCCCCACACGGGAGGTTCCGGATTAATTCCGTCATCTAACCACAGCTGCCATCATGATCCTCTTCACATAACATCAATCAAAGTGCACAAGTGATTTAGCTATGGCATCGCTTCTTGGACCCTTTCATATCATCAGGTCAGTCAATAAATCTCTGCAGCACGATCAAAACTTAATCAGTTCTCGGCTAGCTACGGCACTCTTCTCGGCGCCGAAATCTTCCAGGTCAGTTGCGGTCCAGTCTACATAAGCAACAGCACTTAACGTTTATAACCCGTATAAGTCTTTTGTCGGAGGAGTTGTAGCTTTCAGAACACTTCCTCGTCCTCAGTTCTCTGCGCTGCAGAACAAACTTTTCCCCATTTACTTCACCTTGCAGAGCGCCTTGCCATTGGCCCTGGCTCTAACCTATCCAGGAAGCTTCGGGTCTCTGTCTAGCATTTCTGGGGTTATATCTGAGGATAACCAGGTGACTGTTCTCTTGCCACTGTCAATCATCGCTGTATCTGGCTTGACCAACCTTCTTTACTTCACTCCGCTGGTGAACGAGACTATGAAACAGAGATGGCACCAAGGTACGTAGTCGACTGCCTCTTTTTTCCCACTTTTATGTCCCTGCTAACATATATTCAGAGTCTATTGATGGAAAGAAGTCTTATGATGCTCCTCCACACTCCCAGAAGATGACCGAGCTGAACAAAAGGTTTGGCAAGTTGCACGGCCTGTCGACTTTGGTCAATCTCGGTGCTGTTATCGCTACGCTGGCATATGGAGCTGTGCTAGGCGGTCGTCTTCAATAAGTTTTTGATTCGCTACTGATATAGCCTCAAGGTTGGTTCGGTAGTGGATGTCAATCATGCAGCTTGCTGTGATCCATAAGAATGTGTAGCGCAAATGCACCATCTTATGCCAGAATTCAATAGGAGAATGTTACGATATCCCACGAAGAAATCAAGAGAGGCTGGATATATTTAGTGATGGAGATTAGCAGCAAATGGTATTGTACATGAATTCATTTTGTGTTAACAATCTATGTGGAATTGAGCATAATTAACTTAAAAGGGTTTAATTATTCAATCAACGAAATCAACGAAGGCGGAATAGCTAAACATGGGTATGAGAAAACATTTTAAAGTGCACAGAGCAGAAAATCAAACTTAAACCAAAGACAACAAGATAGAATGTGGGCTATATTATTCAAAATCCAATCTTATAAAAACCCTGACCAGATGGTCAAAAGCAGCCACGAGGGGTAGACTCAAGACTCCATGAGCTTCTCAACGCCTTCGTAAAAGTTAGGCAATGGCTTAAGCTTCTGCCGCAAAATCCAAACACGGAAGTGCCAGGTCGCATTCTTGATCTGGTACGAGGCATGTTTCCATGTTGGCACGGAAAAGACCTGGTCCAATTCCTCCAGAGTAAGAGCTAAAAGTGGCGAGGACATCAGTATATGTGCAATTATCTAAATACGATGGGAGAAAGTGGAACGAACCTTTAGTTTCAGGTAGAAAAAGCAAAACCAGGAACCATCCTATTATACACCAGCCAGCATACCAGCCAAATGCACCTTGTGGTTTGAAGGTAGATAGTAGCGATGGCCAAGTAAATGACAGGATGAAATTAAAGCACCAACAAGTCGCCGTTGCCCACGACATGCCAACATCTCGTACATGCAATGGGAATGCCTCCGCAGAGTAGGTAAATGGTACAGGTCCTTCTCCAGGGGAGTAGAATACCTCGAAGAGATACATACCGGTGGTGACCATAGCCACACGTTTCTTACTAACCTTCTTATCTGCTTCTATCCAGAACGAAAAACCAGTCCAGAAGAGACATATAGATAGAAACGGGAAGGTTGTTAGCAATAGGTTCCGCCGGCCGAACGTGTCGATAGTCAGGCAAGCTGGCAAAGCGAAGACCCAGTTCAGAATACCTGTTCCCATGGACGCCAGAAGCGCAGATTGGATGCTGTAGCTGGACTCAGTGAAGATGGTTGTCGAGTAGTAGGCAATAACGTTGACGCCGCAGAATTGCTGCATGAACATGACAATCCAACTACCTAGAGTTGCCCGTCTGTTACGTGGAACAGTGAAGAGTTCCATCACCATGGTGAAAAAGCTCTTGCCTTTGTTTACTTCACGCTCAAGCTGGACCAGAACGTAGGCATAGTAAAGATCACGGGCTGCTTGGAGGTCAGTGGGCCGCAGTTTGCGGAACGACCGGAAAGCCTTGTCGATTTTGTTGTGTTGGATTAGCCAACGAGGGGATTCCGGGCAGAAATATACCTGGGCACAGACGATAAGCGGTAGGACAACAGTTGAGCCAAGCATTAGTCGCCACGAAAGGTCATCGGAGAGGCCCATGAAGGCAACACCCATGATATTGCCAAGCATGATACCAAAAGCAGTCCACATCTGCCACATCATAACCAAAGCCCCTCTTATGGGGGCGGGTGAGCATTCTGCGGCGTAGACTGGGACGGTAGATGACTTGGGCCCTATACCAAGGCCGAGGACAAAGCGAGCAATGAACAGATTCACCCATGAATTGGCAACTCCTTCCCAGATAGAAGCTATTGCAGCAATAGCACAGCTGATAAATATTGTGCCACGCCGGGCGAAGACGCGGTTCAGTGGCTCAGTGAGCCAGCTCCCAACGATGGCACAGCAGAGATAAGGGGCGCCAACAATGAGCCCAGTAATGTTATTCTTCTCCTGGCCGGTGAAGCGGGAATTGATCCCCAATTGCTGTGTTCCAATCAGCCACTTGGTTCCTCAGACAAGTTGAGATATTTCATACATCCAAATAAATGGCTTGTGCGCCATTGTTGACTGTCTCATCCATTCCTTGAACAGCAGCGGCGAGTGAACACATAACTGTTAAGAGCCGTCGTTAGGGACGGATTCTATGTTTATAATCTTTATTTAAAGATCATAAGTACTTACTGACAAGCCAGTATAGCATCCATGGTTGTTCCCATTTATGAGTATGCTCCTTACGGAGAACCTCCTTATCCTCATCCGTTAGCTCGGTCAGATCCTGAGCCGCTGCTGGATTCTGGGAAATCAATGCCCCCTTGCGAAAGGAGTCAATGTGGTCCATCAAGTTGTACTCGCGGCAGAAATGTTCGACATCGTCCAAAAGCTTTTCATGCGGAATATCCGCCAGGGGATTCTGGAAGACTACATTGAGTCGGTCCGCTGGTCTACTGTGGATAGCGTCGGCATCTAATATAGGCCCATTTTCCAGTTTGACGTTCTCCGACTGCTCAGAATGTGCTGGGCTGTGCTCCTGCAATTGCTTCTTATTATCTATAGCAATCTTCTCCTGGTCTGCCATGTTGACGGATGGGAAGATTTATTGCAACTGAGTCGAGTATTCTACACCCCAACTGCATGCGAGTTGGGATATGCATGTGGAGAGAATATCAATCGATAGAGTGAGATAGTGGAGAGGAATCGAAACAGTGGCGCTGGCAGTCATCGGACCTTATATACAACGCGCCTAGCCTTTTGCTTCTTTCATCTCATCGGTTAGACGGCCCTTGTCGCATGGCCCAAGACCCATCCGGAAGAAGACATGGGTGCCCTATTCGTCACTAGGACAGATGTCCCCAAATACAGCCAGAATCGCATAAAAGGCTGACAGCAAACGCTAGCGAGAGCTGTCAAGGTGGGTACATCATAGACAAAGGTTGATTTTCTTTGGTTGCAGACTGCCATCAAGAACGCGGGGAGAGTTTTGGTAGGCTGACATCTCGATGATTCGAGAATAATACGCAAGTGGCTCCCTCGAGGACCCGCGGCGCTGATTGATTGAACCGTCAAAACACATGGAGAGACCCCCGCGGCTAGTCCGGGGCTGGCTAGCGGGCTTGCCGGGGCCCGGCTTAGGGCTTTGGGGCGCCACGAAGCCTCAATGGCCAGTAACAGCCTAGCCCGGCGCTTCCCAGCGATCATCAGCGCCACCCGCGTCACAGCGGAGTGTTGCCTTTGGCCGGGCGTAAGACATCGCGATATATCACCACAGTGCCTCCAGACTTGTATGATATTGAATGTTTCAACGTGTTGAAAGGATGGTGGCGCAGACCACCTTCATTTGGTTGTGATCCTCCCCCACGTGGAGACATATGGACACTGACAAGGCGTTCAGACGTTCGCATGTTCTACTTCATCATTCTCCAGACGCGGATCTGTCGGAGATTTACCCCGCAAGGATTATATTCAATCACAGCGCTCGAACGACCTCTATTCCCTGTTTCTTGATCTCGGCGTCGACGCTGAGCGAAGATGGCTACATATGCAGCACTGACTAGTCCACAACTCGGGCAACTATTGGATTTTGTCTGTTATAATAACATCCAATGATTGATAAACAGTTGTTGGGGCCAAGCCTTATCGACTTCCACCCTCCAACGAGATTACTGATGCGCATCCAGCTGATTGATTAATGCTTGTACTGTTACGCGTCGTAGTACTCTTTTCAGTAGAGTCCGTGTCAATCATTATATTTGAAGAAGAATAATACTGTTTCCATTGCCCCATATAAGCTAGCTCAGGAATGTAAATTATCCGTCGATACAGCTTAGATGAGCACTAATAGTTGTTTTTTACTCCTTAGTCACAGGGATTCTCTCCGTGGAGTTTCATACTCCGTAGTGTGACTGGCCATTGACTCACTATGCCAGTAAATCGGCGATCCAGTGGCCCATTATTCCTGATTCAGCTGCTTGCGTCCGAGCCCATCTCTTGTGTATATTCTTGCCATCGCCCTTATGAAAATTTCCGAGACTTGGTTATACCTATAGGGAGGCACGCGTCTAAGTGCATATTTTAACCCCAATTAGCCCCCCCTTGAAGTGACTATTATTTATCAATTATAGGATTTAAAATTATAATATATTTTATTTTTATTTTTGTAAGCTACCATTGAAGGCTATGTCAGTGCCGTTTAGCGTATTTCCTGACTACATATAAAGTAAGTGAGCATAAATTTCAAATTATTAGAGTGGGTTTTTTCACTAAATGTAACTCGATAATGCCTAGTTAATTTTCTGGTCACCAGTGTCGCTCTTTCTGCTAAGCAACTCTATTCGGTGATTGGGATGCTAATGTGCTACTCCATGATAGGGTTATTTCGGGTCGTCTGTTGGGGGCCCGGGGGATTTCACAGAGAGTTTTAATTTCTCTTCGAGCCTGCTAATTCCTTTAAGGAGCTCATCGTAGAAAGCCGTTTGTTCTTGTATCTGGTGAATAATACTTTGGTTCCCATTCTCAATAGCCTGGAGTTTTTCATCCAATATATTTTGGTCCTCATAATTTCCCGTGTCGGTTTTTTCACGAATGCTTCTGCGGATTGTTTCCAGTTTTCCGGACAGGGCACTCAAAGGCCTTAGACTTTGCATCGTTTCGTCGAGATAGTTTCTGACTTCTCTGGAAAGCCTGTCTATTCTTTCTCTAATATGATGCATATCGAGACCTTGTATCTGTCGTGTCAGCGAGCGGTGCACATCACGCATTTGAGAGGTGGTATGGTGGTTGATATCGTTTAGGATCAGCTCGCTCATCTGGTTAGACAGCTTGATCACATTCTTCTAATTTCCAAGTTAGCTTCCTATGTTTTATAAGCCTTCAAAACACAATTCCCTACCAGAACAACAATTATTACCGGGAAGGTTAAAGCGCAGATAGTTGCCCAGACGTATAATGCGATTTCTTCCAAAGTTCTAGACCGTGGAACCTCATAGCGAGATGCAATGACTGACGAATTAAGTGTTGCGGTCGAGTTTTCCAGAAATTCATCCATATTTCTGGAACTATACGAGCCTGAAGTGAAAGGATCTTCAGACACCGAAGGTACCTCGCCTGATACTGTGATATTGTCGTTGGTGATATTATCATGTTGTTTTTCCTGTTGTTCCTGAAAGCTGTCAGAGAACTCGTAGTCTGATGATAATAAATACGTTGCAGCGGCCTGAGCTTCTCTGATCTGACCGACGATCTCGTTTAGTCCAGAGATCATGGTAGCGCCTGAGATTGCACGACTAGTGTGGTCGATGAGTTCCGGGATTGTCAAAATATTGGCAACCCCAATACCCCCAAATAAATTTATATTGAATTCGAAGAAGAATAGAATAAGAAAAGAAGATATAATAACAGTTGGGTCCATTTTGTTTTCAAAAGTAATAGTCCTGTTGACTGTTACAAAGATTGGTAACTGTGTTAAGGAACTTGAACGTGGATACTTCAGGAGAAGAAAGTGGATTAGTGGAAAATGGAGGAATGCTCATTTTTATAATAGTTAGATAACAACTATCTGCAATGCCAATTTCCTATTGCGAAGTTGCTTTATGCTTAGTTCAGTGGGTGAATTAGTCACAGGTTCCCCATTCAGTCGGCTTCATACATGCATCCATTTACGGTATCAAAAACCATAATGTCTATTAAGTACCCCAGATGGGCTGTTACTGTATTAAGAGTAGTTTCTAAAATGTAAGAGGTGAGATAAACTCAATATCTATTACATTCTCTTTCAGCCTCTTTGCTATCAACTTCGTTAGGGCTTGAACACCATATCCACTTTCATTCTTAAATTGAAACAATGCATTTCTCTTGAAAGCTCTCTGAGTGATTGTATATAACATCCAATGTTGCCTTCCCTACGTGAATTCATATTCGGGTGCCTATTACTATATCGATCTTTTATGAGTGAAAATCTACGCTTTATTGTACATGCATACATTATATAGAAGATAGAAGAAGAACATTCCCTGTGTATTCGCATCCCATACGCAGAAGGTCGCAGAGGAAAGAAAACCGTGGCATCTCATGAGGTTACAGCCGCTGGCGGGTGGCGGCTTTATACCGATGGCCGCACAATTTTTAACATAAGGAGTATATACAGCCAATTATAAAGCATCTTGAATCACCAGGCGCTTCCAGGACTCTGTCAAAGCGCTGAAACTGAGTAGATGAGTTCTATACACTTACTGGACATGCGGATTCAACTACGCCAAACTAATGCGGAAGTCGGGCTATTCCCCCTCTTGCGTTAGGGTTAACTAACAACTAATAGTCTGAATGACTAAGAATTGACGGTCGAGATCTCCAACAATGAACAGTGGATATGGGTATGATGGTATGATGAGAACCCGTCCAACAGAAATGGTTCTGTCGGCGGCTAGTTAACCCCTAGTTATTACCCGAATATTGCAGCACTAGGTGGAATTGTGAATAAGTGACTTGCTGCAAGCCCTCAAGGCCCGAGACTCTCCACTCGAGTCTCAATCCTGGCCTATGCAGACATCTAGACAGCATAATTGGCCTCTGGACTGGGGGAGGGTAGTAAATTGTAACGAGTGTAATGAGGCTGCATATCTAGTGTCGGCGGCAACCCGAGAAGGAAGCACCTGTACCAGACTGAGGGCACAACGATTAAAAGTATTCTAGAAAACGAAGGCGCCTCTGATTGTCAGTCATCTTCTGAAACACCTCGACTTCTTTCTCTTTCACGGGAATGTAGGAATTTAATAATTCTTTCGGTATCCATGTCTTCACGGCTGCATCAGCCTTCAGTAATTGCAATGCTTCCTGCAAACTACTCGGCATTCTCTTGTCCAGTTGGTACTCGGCACGTTCTCGCTCGTCTAGTGAATGAGGGAAAACGCGACAATCTTCCCAATCTAGATCCATTTTTTCGCTAAGCCCGCCCAAGCCAGTCAGTAAAACAGCCGCGGCAAACAAGTACGTATTTGAAGTGCTATCCATCATACGGAATTCCCAATGCTGCTCGCTTATTTTGCGCACTGGCAAGTCGCGGTTTTCAGTCCCAAATCCGACCCACGTACCAGCTGCGTCCTTGCCAGTGCGAACATACCCATCAAAGTTGGCCATTCCAAAGGCACAAAGAGACCCCATGTGGTTCAGAATACCTGCGAGGAAGTTGTGAGTGTGCGGTGGGGCTAGCTTGTCAACGGACATATGCAGGTGGATGCCATTAGTTGGCCCGTCAAGCAGTGGCTTAGGGGTCATGGTTGCCTTAATATTGTGTTTGATAAAGACTGTGCGGATTGTTTCCTGTGCTAGTATAAGCGAGTCGATAGCGTCGAGTAACGGTTCAGGACTGAGGGCAAATTCTATCTGATCATGAGTTTCGGTATGGAAGTGATGGATATTGATGGATGATTTCTTGAGATAGTCAAGAATCTCTTCAACTATGTCCAGTGTCTGGCCGCGCAGACCAGCAGTTGTTTGATAGCTGTTCAACCGATCTAACTGATTGAGCGGCTGGGAACTATGGTCCAGGAGCATGAATTCGATCTCGAAGCCTGCCAGTACTTTCGTGCTCCATTCTCTCTCAAGCCGCTCGAGCGCACGAGATAATAGCATACGCGGACATTTGCTATACGTGTCTCCAGCCACTTTGTGTTCCAAGAAACACATGACAGAAGCGTGACTAGGTCTGAACCCGCAGGGGCGTAGCGAGGACCAGTCGGGACGCAGCACCCAGATTTCGAGATCATTGCCAGTTGGAAAGCATCTCGGAGCCGTGGAGACTGGGATTATCATGCTCACTTGAGGGAGAAGGTAGTTTTCATTTCCTTGAGCTATCTGGAAGCATCGGTCAACAGGAACGAAGCGGACGCGCAGAATGCCAGAGAAGTCGATCCATTGAAGACGGATATACTTAACCGACTCGTTCTTTTGAAGGAACTTTTGAAGCTTCTCTTCATCTGAGATCATTTTGGCTCTACATAAAATCAATCCAGCTTTGAAGGAGATGACTTTTCGTACTCTGTTGTAGAACGAGGCTGTGACTGACCGGCGAGCGGTCTGGCTTACCTATCTCAGGCTCCACTCGCGCCGAGCCGAGCCGCAAGACAGTTGACTAGTGCCATTTGCTTGGGTTACAGTTGGAACGAGTGTCTTAAAGGGCTCCACAGATGTAAACTAAAGTAGTAGGTGAATATCGGAACTATTTTTTATTACTGTTTAATTTTTTTATATTTTTTTTAATATTAATTTAAACGTGAACGGGAAGTACACAAAGGCGACGAGGGCGAGCTTCGTAACCAACTTCGCCTGCTGGATGGCGCGTTGTGACTCTGCAAGCATGCTGTTATTACTGATAACGGTCATTCCTTGAGTGCAGTTCTCATGAAGTGATTGTGCCTGCGAGTGCAAGTCTTGAAATAGACTCTATACTTCAGCCAAGGAGTGATCGGCTGGGCTTCTTTGATCGATCAACGTGGTGATGGTAGCTCAACGACCATTTTGGAGGATTTTATTTTGCTCGTTTGTCAATTCAAGCATATACGAGGCGTTGCTTAGCTGATCTTGTAGGATATTCCGAAAGTATAGCAGATTGGCCAATGTTGGATTCTCATTGCTGAGCGGTAGGCGATTCGTTTCGGCCATTATTTTCTCTTTCATGACATTCAGGAGCTGCTTCTGGGAGAATGCAGTTAATCTGAACACGTCCGACAAAACATGAGATCGGTCGGATTTTGCAAGCGACCAATCTAGACCACTCCCGTAGCCTTCCGGAAAGATGGCGAGACTTTGCGTATTACTTCCTTTCTGCGGCCCAGCAGTACTCTCGTTTATACTGCGGGAGTTCAACGCACACCTTAGTCTATATTGGACGATTGAGGGAAGTGTGGTTGGTAATGATTCCGCGTCATCCCCAAGCCATGGAATTCGCGGCCCCTTGGTGAGGTCGTTTCCTGCATCTGTACAGGCGTTGGCTAAATTCATCAGCAGATCTATATATCATGATTGTTACAAGAGATCCTACCCATCTATGTTTTCCAACATCGAATATGGAGATGACGATCTCCTGCTCAATCACAGTGTCGCTCATCTAGCACGTGGAAATTTCGTACAATCGAGTCCCCTAGCTTCCGATCCCAGTTTCTTTTCAATTCAGTCTGGTACCTTTGGAACTCGTTGGCTGCCTTCCCGCGTAAGTCATATATCTCCTCTTGAGATGTTCGATGTCGATTGTTCTTATGTCCGATGGTAAAGAACTTGAAGCGATATATGTTACTCATTACGGAAGGGGCAGAGTAGAAATAATAATCGCTCCCTGGTCCTGCACGGTATCTGAGGAACCAGCGAAATAGCTCGGGATCAACATAGCAAAAAGCGCCGATACTTGAAATCCAACTCGGTGACGGATGGCCTCGTAGAAATACTACTTGTGGGTGTGATTATTTGATGCTACTTCTCAATCCCTCCATGCACGACTTCGGATCATCAAATCCTTCAAAACGTCCCCTATTTTTATTGCTATCCGACAATGAATGCCTGTCTGACAGAGATTGTATGTCCGAGGAAGCTTGCTGGCCCAGCTGGCTCGGACTGATGAGCCAAGCGAAAGCGCTGGACGCATCGTTTGCAGTGTTTGATTTCTGCTCAAGAAATCGGTTTAGTGTATGATAGAATGTCTAGGTCATAAATCAACGCTCCTATATCTACATCCGAGTAGCATGTACATTTATTTGGCTTAGATAAGTCATCTCAAGAAGATCTAGAATATCGTAGTTCTTAGATATGGTGTTTTGCCCTAATTTATGCACTCCAGGGTCGAGGAGACTTCCTGTGTACCCGCATATAGTCCCTCACACATTCCTGAAACGGCTTACCCACCGTCGTCCAGCGTATTAAAGGTAATTCGCTCGCTTGGTTGATCTGTTCGCTTGTGGAATACGTTATACGCTATTTAATATATTATACCATGCCTTGCCACTCCTTAAACCCTTAAACGACTAAGCCGGATCCGGGTGAAAACAGGGTCGGCGTTCCGGGATGATGGTCAACCGACATTGGAAATCGCTTACAAATACACAACCAATAACTACACAATTATCTCTAAATACGAGGAAACTTAGTCAGAAGGGTCGTTGTTATCATGAAGAAGCAAGGATGTTCAGTCGGCGACTCGGGGGCTACAGCTCCGATGAGTTTGTGAAATACAGGATTTAAAAGCAGGGAACGTGCAAAGCCATTTCTGCTCAGATGAACTCACCCAAGCAAATAATCCCAAAAATGGACTCCAGAAGTGTAATCGTCTTTGGCCCTACTGGCGCAGTTGGCTCTGCAGTTGCTCGTACAGCGGCCGCCCTCGGCGCAAAAGTAACTCTTGCCATGCGAAACACCTCCAAGCAAATCGCAGGCCTGACAAGCGCAGAAGAACTGAGTAGTGGGTACAAAAGAGTTTATGCGGACCTTGCCGATCCAGATTCTCTCCGTGTCGCGGTGACTGAGGCGGGTGCTTCCCATGCCTACATCTATGCAATGTTTCAAGACTCCTCCGACCATATGCGGCCGAGTGCTGAAGCCCTCAAAGCTGCAGGAATTAAATTTGTATGCCTCTTGAGCAGTTTCAGCGTCCAGGGTGATATTCGTGCTATCCAGCCCAGCGACCCGATTGCATTCGGACATGCTCAGGTGGAAGTCTCCCTCCAAGAGGTGTTTGGACCTCAAGGATATGTGGCAATTCGCCCAGCATTCTTTGCTAGTAATACTCTCTGGTGGAGAAGTCAGCTCTTGGAAGGAAACGAGGTCAAGTTTCCTTTTCCAGAACTGAAACTTGATTACATTTCACCAGAGGATATTGGTGCAGTCTGTGGAACTATTTTGGCCGTGGACAGCGGAAAGGAAACCGCCGTTGCGTTGGTTGGGCCGGAAGAGCTGTCCGTCTCTGATGCAATAGAGATAATTGGGCGAGCCATTGAAAAGGAGGTTAAGGTAACTAAAGTTAGTCAGGAAGAGGGTATACGGATCCTAGTCACAAAGAGTGGATTGCCGGAAGCACTAGCAAATATTTTGTCGAATCAATTCGCATATTTGAACGACAATCAAGGCTACCTGCAAACACCACAGTTTGAGGAAGCGAGAAGAAATATTGAAAAGTATCTTAAGCGGCCACCAATGAGATTCTCAGAGTGGGTGGACCGGAACAAAGAGAAATTCACCGCTCCTTAACACTATCCGACCTTCATTACATCAAGCTTATCGCCAATGCACAGTTTTTACATCAATTTGACAGGACGACGCCGCAGACGGCATGTGGTTTCATGAAGCCGCTCTCAGTTTCATATCATCAGAAGGGCAATACTGTCGACAGAAGGCAAGATATCTCCCTTGGCTTTGTTTCAATATGAGTACCTGTACATTTCCTTATGTATCTTTGTTTCTTGTTGATACTGATTACCTGTAATGAAGAGAATCATAATAGTTAGGTAATATATTCTTGTCTGTTTTCGAAAGTTAAGGTGCATGATAATTCTCAAGGTAAATGACAGATGGAATTACGGAGCAGCAACAGTAACTGGCTAGCTCTCATTCTTGAAAGGTTTCTGGCCATAGACACTGTGACTGTCCACAAGTCCACCGCGATCAGCTTATTCTTCCTCGATTTCAAAAAAAAAAAAAAAGCCATACCATTTTGAGTACATATGATAATCCAGGTTTCTCAAGTCTTTTCGTACGCCAGCCAGCAGTGCATGTACCCGAATAGCATCCCAACCAAGGACTCGGCTCAGAAGTGCGAGAGCATAAGCTTCAACAGCGTCCAACATCTGAACTTGCATATAGCGACCAAGCTCTTTCAATTTAGGATCCTTGGCCCACGGCGATAATGGAACCTAGAATCCGTGACCAAGTCATATTATTAGTGTCAATTATGAGGAGAAAAGATAAAGAGACACCGCTCTTGTGGAAAAGAAAATGGAAATTCGTCACATGGCATGAAGAGGGTGTTTACCTTTTTGACATCCGCAACCACATTCTCAAACCCTGCGTCGATTATCGCTTTCTTATGGTGAGGGGCAATATTCATTTTTCTTCCGAATTTAGTAGAAGCTTCGTCTAACAGTCGCTGAAATTCTGCGTAGTTACTGTCGTCCGGCAAGCTATTGTCATCCGTCGAAGCCCATGCTTCGAAGTCCTGAACTTCGATCCAAGCACCTGGGGCCATATGGTCGTACGCTTGCTGCAAAAGAACTTCCCAATTCGCGATGCTACCAGCCATGGAGCGAATCTTGATAAAGTCAAATGGCTGGCTGTGAGGGAATGTCCATTCCGCTTCGATATCGTCTATTTGAAAGTGGAGATTGGGAGGTACCCTTCAAAATGTAATGACAGTCAACTCTGTTGAGACGAACGCGATGATATATCCTACCAGTGAGGCTGAATGCCACTTAAATCAATTCCTATCACTTCAGCCGATGGGTAGGTGCTTCGAAGTGCAAGCCGAGTCAGCGGAGTACTACCTCATATGACGGAGTAAACACCCACTCTGCAAAATTAATTGCCCAGATGCCTTGCGATATAAATCGAAAGTTAGAAAAATGTTTAATATAAAAATCCTGCTACAGGTAAAGAGCTCTCACCAGTTCCAGTGCCGACATCTAATACCCGTTGTGGATTGTCTCCAATGGGCGCAAGAAACAGTCTGCCCCCGAACGTCATATTGTGGATGTGATGCAGCTAGACAATAAGTAATCCATACTCCTTGACCTTCGACCTATGCGATACTTACGAAGTCTAATCGTTCTTGCTCTTGCTCGTCATTTGGCTAGTTTGGCGGAGTTACCCTTGAGAAGCTGCTTTTTGATATATTGGATTCATCGTCACTTACAATAACATACTGACCTCTGCGAAAGGCATGGTAGCGCCGGCCATTTTCATATCTGGGATAGAAATGGTAAGCATGTGGCGTACCATACGCGCGCTAATGCCCAAACAAGAGCCTACTCGTAATTCCAGATACTTGAGGTCACAGATGTTGTGTAAGATTCCCTGAAACGCTGTCAGCTACACTGGACGAACTGGTATACCCCACTATCTAGACAGAAAAGCGTACCAGTCGTTTCCCAAGGCTGAATCTGTGTCCGAAGGGGAAGGGGACTATATTGGCCTGTGTTAGAACTACCGTGCGACTACACTGAGGTTGTAAATATGGCCGAAGAATGAAAAACAATACATTCGCTTCAATTGGTTCCTCGAGGTCAGGAGCTAGTCCCGGAGTCGATTCCGAAGAAGTACCATCTGCTTCAGGGCGTCTGTCACTCGAGAGATTGTCCGTGTTGGATGTCGACATAGCCTCAATACATGTAAAAGGTGGCCAATGTTAGGAGCTAGAAAAGAAACCTTCACAGTCACCACGTTCAAACCTTGTTGGTTTATTTGTATCTGGGAGAGCAGGGCGGATGACAGCTTTGGCAGGATGAAGCGGGGACGCAACTGGGAACGTTCCGTTGTGCTACAACAGGATCATTATTGGCTCGCAACAGTTTCATGGGTGCTCTCATATTGGCCGACTAGTGCTGTTTTCAGAACCATAGATTGACAGACAGCCTTATTTTTATGTATTGATTTAATCAAATTTTGCGACTATACCTAGCATAAAGCTATAATAATCATCTAATTTAATTTGCTCCAATGCAAAGTTCGACGGAACATTTGTGTTCTGCGTCCTCCTTATTGGTTCTGCAATCGTTGCTAATCCAGCCGATGCGTGCAATAGCGAGCACAAGGCCTGAACACTCGCATCCATTGATATCTATAAGCCTCGGACAGTGCCTGCCATTCCATAGTTGTCGTCAAGAGCGACCACGCGGCATTTTAGAAGCTCCATGTCGTCCATCATCGTCGCTATAATAATAGTATCATCGACTAGCTTGTGAAGCTCTGGTTATATGTCTATATTTGTTGACGTAGTCGATCTCTGTCTCGTCATGATACTTTCCGGTTCATCTTGTTTTCAAATCATAAGTAGTATGATAGACTTCATTAACAAATCCTTCTTTCCAGACCACCGATAAGAGTTTTGTGATTTGAGAGGAAGAAGTTATGAAAGAGTTGTTAAGTATATGGTCTTTTGCTTCGGTGGCAAAGAAATACATATCCCACGAATCCTCCTTAGGGGCTGTCAGCGCAAAATTCGGGTTTCGACGTAACAAGCGAACGCATACACATCTAACACCAGAATGAGGCATTTATTGATGAAGCTTGAAGAACAAAACCCAGATGCCTTCATGATGGTTTCAAAAGCTCGGTGTCGTAGAATACTACTTTTAACACCCCCAAGCTTCGCGAGAATTCACCCTAAACCTGACTTGATCATTAATTGTCCTGCATGTCAGAATGCTCCATTTTCTGACTTTTCTATCACACAAACGACATTAAAATTCTTGTAATGTGCTTTAGCTAGTTAAGTTGAGGTTGTAAAATTGCTCAACGCTTGTATGGATGTAGGTATCTGTCAGTTGACCATATTGAGACCTAGACGATTTGCCAATACTCTTGAGGATCCTGAATCTTTTTAAAGACCGAAAGTGGTATCTTCTGCACTTCTGAGTGAGATCCTAGTTGTAATAGAAGATGGCAGCAAGGACGTCGGTGCACGGTTAGGGTTCCAGAAATCACTTGACCACAAATACAACACCATCTGCAATGATGAATAGCTGTGTGAGGTTACACAACCTTGTCCTTTGTTCCAGCGGCTTGCTTCAAGGAACATCCCTGCATTTTTTTCCGGGGACTGGCTTAAAGAAGGTATCTAGAATCCATGTTGAGCTGGTTTCCTAATCAGATCGTAGGCAAGGCCACAGAAGTGGGAGCAATAGGAGGCTGCAAGAAGGAAGAAAATATTGATCCTTGAATTATAAAACCCAATATTTCCATTGTTATCAAATGCAGAGGAATTGCAGAATACACAACTATATTCTTGACTCCGCTGCACATGGTTATATAGCGAGCCGCCGTGACACCATAGCCACGGTGGTAGCATATTGCTGGCATGAAGCAATTTTGACGGACGGACCTACGCATGGTGGTTGTATACGCATAGCATCGTCTCAAAAATTCGGCCGAAACTGTGGCCGGACGGAGATGATGAGAAAGATACTGAAAAACAATAAATGCTCTATGGGTATCAAGCTAAATTATCATAGATAATGACAGAAATTGTCATCGCCCATTTATCACCGTTCCTTGTTGAAGGACATATTTCCGACACGCCTCTTTGAGCATATTAATCCTTCGCTGGGTGTGAATGAAGACACCGCGGTACATGTCTAGGTTTTGGTCCACTACTTCTCTTCGTGTTGTGATGCCGTTGCAGATATCCCTCATTCGCAGTTCCATTTCTTTTCGTAGAAATGGTTTGCTCAGGGAAGGGCAGTCAGCGAGACCGGCGACGACGTTGTCGTAGCCCTCGACAAGAGCAATTCCGAGTCGAGTGGGAATGAGCTCTTGAACCCCTGTATTGTTTCCCCCTCGTCCACGACCTCGACCTCCTCCTCCTCCTCCTCCTCCTCCTCCTCCTCCTCCACCGCCACCACTGGCGCCACCTGAACGGGGGCGGGAAGCGACGTATTCTCGCTCCTTGATCTTATTAATGTGCTCAGCCATCGTAGCATCAGTACCAATTCCGTTAGCATCCATTAGGGCAATGAGTTCTGGCTCTGTCAAATATGTAGGCGCAGTTGTTTTTCCATCCGTAATCTTTGCCTCCGTAGGTTCAAATATTTCCCCAACCTGAAAGTCTGGAAGTTGCGTGCTGCTCTCCCATTTATCGTAGACATAAACATCCAAGTAGTTTCGTTCCAGGACTAGGAGACCGTTGGCATGGAACATCTCCTCACCGTACTCAATCTCAACCTCGGATTTTTGACCCTTGGCATCGTCCGAGCAACATGCGAGGAACCGGCGAGTCACAAATTCAAACACTCGCTTTTCATCATCTTTCAATGCTTGCTGCCCTACAGCACAGATTGGGTGAATTGGGGGATGAGCTTGGTCATTGTGCGTGCCGGTTCGAGGTTGCCTGAACTTGCCCTCCAATAGACTGTCCGATTCTTAGTATAACAGTCCAGTCATTGATATGAAATATAGGATGTTTACCTATTTGCGTATTGCCCCCATGTTCGATCTGTGACTTGTTTTTCGATCAATTTCTTCAAATCAATACCTTTATCAAATTGGTCCGTTTCCGTACGTGGATAACTAATAAACCCTCGGGTATACAATGTTTCTGCTACCTGCATGACTTGATGAGAAGTCATCCGCAGATACTTACTACCCATCATCTGCAGATCGACGGTGGTTAAAGGGAGAGGTCTCCATTTGCTCGTCGGCTTTTTTGTCACCTTGGTAACCTTGGCTTTTTTTGCTGCGAGGCAACGCTCCAACATGACTATCACTGCTGCCCGGTCAAAAAGATGGACTCGACGCCAGTTGAAGTTAACGTCGATGCCATCACGCTTCTGCATGACCTTAATAGCCCAGAAACTCTCCGGTTTGAAGTTTTGGACACGGAGGTATCTATCGACGACGAAGCCTAGGGTCGGAAACTGACAGGATCCTGGAAATTATCAGTCTGTATACAGAGATACGTCTGGGCCAGACGTACCATAGCTGATTGTCCGCTCATCTAAAGGGCTACCAAGTATCTTTAATTGAAGTGTCTGTAAGCGTGTAAAAGCGGCACCGATTCGCAGATCAAGCTCAATTCTTGCAGCAACTGCATTTGCTTGCTTCTCATCGAGATCCACAGGCTCACGAGCTGCTCTCAGAACATGACTACAACGATATTAGCCGCGTTCAAAGCCACGGCCTGGGTTAGGCCAAAACGTACGCTTTCTCGGTATTGCTGAATTTTGCTCGTTTGACTTGGATCGCCGCATTGCCTATCAAGGCTTGGTTTCTAACCTCAGTCCCAATATGCTCTCCTTCACGGTCACAATCGGTCCAGATGAAGAGTGCTTTGCAGAACCTGGCTTGTTGCTGGATGTTTTCGGCGATGGATCGTTTGTCCTGTCTCTCATTAACTTTTACAAGATGAATAGAAGCTGAAGAACACAGTGCACCTACAGGATCAACATTCACATAGATCGGCACTTCAAACAACACACTAGGGGGACAAGATTGCCAGCCTTTGTACTGACTTCCGAATTCGGCGGCCGTCAAATGGCCAATAACGCTGGTCATCGTCACTTCGCAGGTGCCCCATGCTCCGCCGAAGTTGAAATTAAAACTATAGTTCTTCACATATTGATTGCCCTGAATATGGAACTACACTCATTCTCAGCGACTTTACTCGGCCTACTCAATCCTCAGAAAACCCACCGTTTGCATAGAGCCTCCAGAGAGATGCTGGGCGACTGCCTTGGCAATAGCAGGCTTCTCAGCAACGCAGAGGATCCTGTTGCTTGGCATTCTTACGCATGTAGAAGCGATGAATTGCTACTGTCTGGCGTCACCCATGCTGGCAGGCAGGCAGGATCGGGGCGAATCCACCTGCAGGCGTATAGTCGAACAGAGAAAAACAGACTGTCGATTGGATGGGACTTCTAGACTCCCAGAAACCGAACGTCACTGCAGATCGTGGTGCGAGCCAGACCAAGCTATCAATTAGCGAGGGGAAATTGGGAACGCGTGGGGGACGCGGAAGAAAACATCGTCATTCCTGCCTCAGGCCTCAACCAGGCTGTTCCACCACCGCCGATGCTCGATCGCACCAGCCAACCTTATCGTGCATGTTAGCTTAACATTTAACTGGAGAATAGTAACTGACCGTGGGACTTATTGGAGCGAATATCCCAGTGGCGACAACGCGACATTGCAACAGTGACGAATAGCAACTAGTGGTTAGAGCTAGCCCCCATAGTTTGGCGGTGCTATAACTACAGCTGCTCTGCCCACCTGCCGGATCGAGTGTGTAAACAACCACTGCTGCGATCCCGCACCAGGCCACCACGCCCAGGAAAAAGAAAACAACAAAATAGTTCTTTCTCGCAGACATGGCGCTGCCACTCCCCCCTGTCTTATCGGCAGAAGAGGTCGCCCAGTTCGGTCGAACATTCGCTCCCTATGTGTTCTCGTCGCAGCTGCTCGAGCTGCCCACGCGCATCGTCGAGGCCGGCACCGACGTGGAAGCCTTGCAGAGCCTGTACCTGGCGACAAACCCCATGCTAACGGCCATCTTCATCGCATTAGCCATCTCTCCTCTTTTCGTGCTCGCCGCTGAGCTTCGCGGCAACTTCTCGCAGGTTGACTGTTGGTGGAGCATCCTGCCTACCATCTACAATGCGCATTTCTACGCGTGGGCGCATCTGAACGAGCTGCCTACTGAGCGGTTGAAAACAGTTGCCATATTCAGCGCCATCTGGAGCGTGAGTTTTCGCGACAGCATTTCGAAATTCGCAACCTGAAGCTGATAGCAACGACTGACTTGTCTCAATATAGATCCGGTTGACTTATAACTACTGGCGAAAAGGCGGCTACCAATGGGGCGCGGAGGACTACCGATGGCCGATATTGCGCGAGAGAATCAACAACCGATTCTTGTTCTTCCTCCTTGACGTTACTTTCATCGCATTTACGCAGTCTCTTCTTCTATGCGTTGTCACTGCGCCGACATACCTGTTCACCGTCCTCGCCCAACTCCCCGAAGGCGCAGCCTACGGAATCCCAGACCTTGTATTCTCCCGCCTTCTGATCTTCTATATCCTCGTCGAGACCGTAGCCGACGAGCAGCAGTGGCGTTTCCAGCAAGCCAAGGTCAAATACAGAGAAACAGGCGCTGTGGCAGAGGGCTATGATAAGGAGGATCTCGAGCGCGGCTTTGTGGTTTCTGGTCTGTGGTCATACAGCCGTCATCCCAACTTCGCTGCTGAACAGGCCATCTGGTTCACTCTGTACGCGTGGTCTGCATACCTCACCAAGACATATGTTAGCTGGGCTGGCGTCGGCGCGCTTGGCTACCTCTCGCTTTTCCAGGGCAGCACGTGGCTTACCGAAAAACTGAGTGCTGGCAAATACCCCGAGTACCGCGAATACCAGGCTCGCGTAGGCAGGTTCATCCCGCGATGGTCGGTGAAGGCCAGGGGTACGGAGTCTGCCGCAAAGAAAGACTCCTAGATTGTCTAACTATGACAACTCGCTGGTCTTCAGAAGATATATCTCGAAAGCAAACGATGTCCTCGACGTATCTCCGTCTATGTGCTATTCGACTTGGGAATAGGAATTGGTATTGTTTTTAGTAGTTTGGCGTAATGGATGAATTACATGAGTTTTGAATACCAGGTGTTCAACACAAACATAACGGTGTTGAGTACTCTACATGTAACTATTGTGCGATAAATTTTGACGTAACTTGACATTTGTTTTGATCGATCCACTCCAACAATTTGCATTTACAACACTTAATGCTATATAAATTCGCCTATGCTCATCTCCAACCTGACTTGATGACGGCACATGGGGGAGTGGAGATGAAATACATCAGATGTTTCAATGCCAAATGGAGCTGTGAGCTGACAAGTCTTTTCGTGTTGTTTTCCTATTATACAATGTACATAACTCGGCAGGAGGAGAGGTGGGAGTCACTCCCATCTAGGAGGTATAGTGACGGATGAATAAAAACCGTGATAAAAGGGGGAAATATGAGAGACATGGGAGATTTGACACAAAAAGAAACGCCGTAAGCATATGGAAAATAATGTGTCCAACGTAACAAAACAAGGGTGAGGAGAGGAGTTGTATCTAAACAGTAGGATTTGGCGTCTGGTCACGACCGTCTTTTCCAATAGTGCCTTCTTCCGACAGAGGAGGTTCGGGGGGAGCGATGGTGCTGCCACCGCCAAAGTATTTCACGAATTCTTTGTTTTCAACGAACGGACGAGGTCCCAGAAGACGCACCATGTCGTCACGAGAAAGCATCTCTTTGGCCAGAAGCTCCTCGGCGACGAGACCAATTTCCTTCTTCTTTTCAGTCAACAGTTTCTGGCAATTTTTGTATGCTTCGTCAACGATGCGGCGGACCTCCATGTCGATGCTGCGCGCCGTTTCCTCGGAGAATGGCTTGTGGAACTGTTGTTGGTCTTCCTCGTAATGCAGAGGGCCGACTGCTTTGGACATGCCGAATTTGGTCACCATCGCTGTAGCCATTCGGGTAACTTTGTTGAAGTCATCCGAGGCACCGCTGGTGACTGTGTCAAAGTGAAGCTCTTCACTGACACGTCCGCCTAGTGTCATGGCCATGCGGTCCATGAGTTGGCTGACAGTCATTAGGTAACGTTCGCCCGATGGAAGGTATTGCGCATAACCCAAGGCCGCGGAGCCACGCGGGATGATAGAAACCTTCAAGAGAGGGTCGGCCCATTGCAGATACCAACCACAAATGGCATGGCCTGCCTCGTGATAAGCCACCACTTTCTTTTCCTCTGGGGACAGGACGAGAGATTTCTTCTCCAAGCCACCAATCACTCGCTCAATTGCTTGTTCAAAGTGCTTCATTGTGACGCTATCCGCGACCTCACGAGCAGCTGCACAGGGAGCCATTAGTTTATCCAACATGTAAAATTTAGTAAAAAGCAATTGCACTTACCAACTAGCGCAGCTTCATTTACACAATTCGCAATATCTGCTCCAGAAAATCCAGGGGTCAAAGCTGCGAGTCGTCCACATAGATGATCCATATCCTCCTTTGTGACAATCTTCTTCAAGTGTACAGCAAAAATCTGTCTTCGTCCTTTCATTGTCGGTCGGTCAATGGTAATATGTCTGTCGAATCGTCCCGGGCGCATCAAAGCCTTGTCAAGAACATCCGGTCTATTCGTACCAGCAAGCACAACAACCTGCTCCGATGTGTTGAAACCGTCCATTTCCGTCAAAATCTGATTCAGGGTGCTCTCACGTTCATCATTTCCCCCACCGAAATGTTGTTTCGATCGAGATTTACCGATAGCATCAATTTCATCAATGAAAATGATACAGGGTGTATTTTTGCGCGCGTTGGCGAAGAGATCACGGACACGAGATGGACCAACACCAACAAACATTTCAACAAATTCAGAACCACTGACACTGAAGAAGGGTACTCCGGATTCACCAGCGGTAGCTTTAGCTAACAATGTCTTGCCAGTACCGGGAGGACCAGAGAGGATAGCGCCTCGAGGAATCTTAGCTCCTAACTTTTGGAACCGGTCTGGTTCTTTCAAGAAGCTGACAAATTCCATGATTTCAAGCTTGGCCTCGTCCATACCAGCAACATCAGCAAATCGGATCTTAACATCAGTCTCCTGATTGAATCGCCTGGCACGGCTCTTTCCAATTCCAAAAAGACCACTCTGCCCACCACCACCGCTGCCTGCACGTCTCGAAAAGTAGAATACTGATGCGATCAGGAGAATAGTGGGTCCAAAAGACAAAGCTGTGGCAAACCAAGGCACCTCATCGACGTAGGCAACGGGAACACGCTGCGAGCTAGGGATACCGAGTTCATTGTGGGCCTCGTCAAGCTTACGCTCGAAAGAATCAACAGAGCCAATTGTGAAATAGTAGTGGAAATTGCGCTGCGCAGCAGGCGTATCTGGGTATTCGCTAGCGACAGCGTCGCGGATCAAATCGACACGAACCCGATTACGGTTGAGCACAGTTAATTTTTCGACAAGACCTCGGTCGAAGAAGTTGGCGCGGAATTCCTGCCAGGTAATATCTCTGCTTGTTTCTCCCGGGAAAAATGTTGTGTACAGCATATACGAGATAATCGACGTCACAATGAAACTGCTCGGGTCAAATTTGAACTCGTACATCTTCGGCCCGCCTTTTGAAGGCTCCTCTTTGCCTTCTGATTTTTGTTTACCGTCCTGAGACTTTCGAGACTCTCGCATAAACTCCCTTTCGATACCGGCCTTCAATTCACTCTTTCCGGAGGCATCCATGTGCTTCCTAAGCTGCAAATAGAATTTCTCCCAGTCCGCCAGAGATACCGGCTGTCCCTGATCAACATGTTTCTTAATGAATTCCTCGACATCCTTTGGAACCTTTCCTTCTGCCTTGAACGATTCCCGGACTTCCTCTAAGAACTTCTGCTCCCGCGGTGATAACGACCTGGCTTCTGTCAATTTGTCGAGGTAACCGAAGAACCGATTCAACAACCCATCGTCAGACTGTTGGGGCGGCTTGCCGCTATCTTTGTTCTCAGACGGCTTCGACTTTTTGTTCTTTTCATCTTTTCCACTGTCCTGCTCGTTTGGACGCTTCGGGTCGGACGAATATGAGCGTGTTTGGCGGGTTTTTATCAGTGACCATAGCTGCGGCCTTGTATGGTTCGGATAGAAGGATCTTGATGCGCTGAGAATGTCCGCTGCATTCCGCGAGAATCGAGCGAGATTCGCTGGCCGTCGAAGGAGGGTGGCCATAGTCGGCGTGCGGTGACCCCAAGAGGCCGAGGCTGATCGTATCACACTCAGCACAGAATTGACGGCAGAAAAACACAGTCGACTTCGAATTGGAAATAGCTGAAATCTAACTGTCGGAACGCCCACAGAGCTTTCCCTGGGCGTAGATGTGAGATTGCGGAGCTCTGGTGAGCGGACACTGGGAGAGAGGTCCGACGCATCGGCTGTGATTTTTCGCCTGGTTTCCATCCCGAGCGCTTAGTCATCCGTCCTCGGCGGGCCCGGGCCATTTCCTGCGGAATATTTGATTACAATACAGCTACAGAATAACAGCGCAAGCACTCTTCTCTTCGATTCAGAAGATAATGGAATATGTCCAATCTATTCGTCTTACATAAGTACTATATCCACAATGCATAATATCAAACACATCGCATACATGCATCACCAGAACCGGCCGTAGTGAAATTTCCACATGTTGCTTTATCTTGCAGAGGGGAGCGAATTAATAACACCACGATCAAATGAATATACACCACGATCAAATGAATATACACCAAGATCAAATGAATATACACCACGATAAAATGAATATACACCATTAAAAAATGAATAGCTGGCAATGAGTAGAGTATCGAGAGAAAAGAAGTCTAAGGAGAGAGAAGAAAGTCATCTCCTTAAAACGCCGGCCTTGTATGTATGTACCCAGAGAAGAGATCATAGTTTTTCGTCACGAGGAAGACATCTCGCGATCCACTACGCATAACTCCACCAAATCCATCAGGCTAATCGAATGTTGGTACATTGGAGGCAGAGAGATCTGCCCAGTCCCATTCCAGAGTCATCGGCATTTGCCATAGATCCTGTGGGACAAAGGGCTGTTGATAGGTGAAAGCAGGTGTCTCAGAAGTTGTAGCGGTTTGTTCGGGGAAAGAAGCTTGGCTGAAAGCTCCAGGGTTGAGCATGTTCTGGAAGTCATGGGAGAAACCAGGAATATCACCCATAGTACCTGTTCCAAAGTTGCTGGGAGCAGGAGATACAACTCCATTCATGGCTTGATTGAAGGCACGAGTGGCGTTTTGCAATGCTGGCGACAAGGGGGTGGTATCCGACGGTTTCTCTGGGTTATTATTGGAAGTAGCGGGACCCATTGAAACTCCTGTCTTGTGAACGGTTGGCTCTGTATTTGGTGGTAGAACTTTACGCTTTCGATTTGCGTGTGCCTCTTTTTCGGCTTTCTCGAGAGCCACTTTGGCGATTCTCTCGAATTCAGCGCAAACACTCAGCATCCGCTTGACGCTGCCGTTAGATTCATCGCTGACCAACATGGAGAGGAAGTTGACCACCAAGTCCATCAGTTTAATGTCTGAACGCGCACGTGGATCTTGTGGGTTTTGTAAAATATTGGCAAAGAGGGTAACCAGTGCAGAAACAGGATAATACAAAATTAACCTAGATAAATTCTGTTAGATACAATCATTTTCTTAACTTAAAAAAAAGGGAGCTTACCAGACACAAGCAAAGTCACCATGGGGTATATATTTTATTAGGTTTATCGACGTTCTCGCAGCGGCGACACAGATATTAGCGGAGGAGAAAACTCGGGGGTTCAAAGGTCGAGCATTTAAGCCCTGAATGGCATAATTGGACAGGCGACTCGTCCAATACCCATGATGTACCGACATTCTATGGATTGTTGTAAGGCAGTTATAGTATGCAAAGTGTAGGATAACAACATGGAGGATTAAAGGGGTGTGGGTGGTTTTGATCTCGTATTCCGGGCGATAATCAATAGGTATACTGTCCTTCCACTCTTCCAACTCTTTATCTAGCTCACCGATAGTGTTCAGAAGCTCACCATCGGACTGCTTCGCGGCGCGAGTAGAGTAAAGTCTCTTGTACACTCTGCTCTGGATGATAGAGAACCGACACATGACTCTAAAGAGGTTCACTTTACCCTGGCCATCAGATAGCGGTATATTGCCAACATTATCAGGTGGGTCGCCACTGGGAAGTTCAACGTTCATATCGTCGTCGTCTTGAACAGGTGGTCTCCCGGATCGAAGGCAAAGACTGGAGATAGATCAGCAATATACTCAAAATATTCCCGATAACTACATACTCTCTGTCAAGTGTATAAGCAATCCAAAATACTCGCTTACGCTGCTCAATCTCCACCTGATTCAACCCGAAGCTAGAACCTCGTTTGTGCAAGCCAATGCTATGTGAAAGTCGAACAGCCGCTGCAACCAAAAAGTAGCTCGGCTGGGGGTTAGGGGTCCCTTGAAGGAAGAGAGACTATCGAGAGCTCAGCATTTCGACTATTATATGTTCAGATATATTACTTACCATTCCCAATAATGCTTGGACACTCAATAAATCTGTGTTTCGCATAGTAAGTTCTGTCAGAACTCCCATGGCGTTTTTCAAATATAGCCAAGCCTTCTTATCCTCCTCCTGTGGAACTAGATGGCTCATCACGCGGAGCCGATGTGAAATTGCTAATACAACATTAATACTAGCCCACCATCCAGAGCCTTCAAAAGGATCTCGCGAATACTGCCGTTCCACAAGGTGCATAAATGTGGGTTCATGGTAGAGCGGTAATAAGCAATTGAAGTTATCAAAGAAGTCTCGAAAGAGTGAAAGAGCTTCATCTTTAGGGGGTAGCGGCTTGAAGACACGGCGGGCAAATATGTCACTAAAAATCTCTGGTTTCCAGTACATCCATTTATTGTCGTCGATATAGGCGGATGATATCATATCTTCAAAAGAGGAGTCGCCGGTTTTCTCGTTGACCCACTGGATACCTCTGGGAGAGAAAATTGAGAATCCAGACGAGGACCCTAAGATACACGATTAATATAATCATAATTGAAAGACCCAAATAGAGGACTCACCAATATATCTCGTTTCCCCGCAGTTGTTCGTAACAAGCGAACACATCATATCGGACAATGCTTCTACTTCATATTCCTTCCCTTCCTGAGAGTCGGGTGAATCGGTAATCCTAGGGCTCGAAAGGGAGTCCATCTGAGGAGTCGAGTGCAACGATCCTGGGCGAGTATTTCCTGCTACAGACATAGAGGACAGCATACCTGATGGCGCGTTCGCTCCATTCGGCTGAGTCTGCTGTACACTCTGTGATCGTTGTTGTAAGCGGCGTTCAATAGACGGAAGATCGGTTTCGCTATCTGCCAGGCCGGCCATCTTGAGTAACCCCTCCAGTCTCTTCATCCGGTTTTCCAATCCTTCGATATATTTGGCACTACAAGAATCATTAGTCATGGCATCAATAAATAGAAAATGCAGCAGTGTCGATTACCCTTTGGGCGGATTTCTCTTCTTTTCAACTTGCGTGAAAATGCATTCTGTCTTATAATTGATGCAGTGCGAGCACTTTGGCATCTTACCATCACACTTGATCTTCTTCTTACGGCACATATCGCAAGCCTGCGCACCACGACAATATGAGCAAAGGCCGCCAGCTACTGAAGCACCAAGTGGATTAACTCACCCTTGCAATTCTTCTCCTTTTGGGGTCGCCATCCATTCTTTCGTCGTCTTGAGCCATTGAGCCCAGCTGGTTATGGCTCACGGGGCTGCCATCGCCAGCGTAAACGGAGAACATCTGCGAGGACATGTCAAGGCCGAAGCCCTCACTAGAATCGCCGCTAATACCATCCATTGTCAGTTGTGCATATATCGTCCCATCCACGCAGAGAAAGCCAGATTATGACGTCTTCCAAACGGTTCTTCACGAAATCACCCCCACTCGACTGTAGGCGAAATTTTTGAGCGACGTTAGGCGTGTGAACACTCGCGGCAGATGCTAATTAGCTAATGGCTTTCTTTTGCGGTTCGTAGGGAGACAGATAGACGAGTCGAAGATGTATTGCTGAGGTCAGCAAGCGGGCAATGCGAAGTTTGAAGCGTAGCAACTCAGCCGGCCATCGAAGAGCCAGTGATTGCGGGGAAGCTGCGGCCGCTTTGTAAAACGTGAAACGACCAGAAGCGAGTAATGCGAGATAGACTAAGGCAATAATGGATTTAGCCACCATGCGAGAGAAACAAGAGCGACATGAGGCCTCCACCAACACGTTTCGTTTTGCCTCCTACGACGTCCACGGTCGAGCAGCGCAGTTGTCAGACTTGTGGCGCACGCAAGCGGATTAGTTCGTCCGAATGGTGCGAAGATTTACGACTACCAGAGCCCGCCTTGCTGCCTTGGGGTTAGCCCGACCGATAAAGCCATGCCGTTGTGGTCCCGGGCAGCATCGCATATCGGAGATCGGAATCCGGAATACGTAAAATCCGACTTCCAAGCCGACCGCGTAGACGAGGTTTACGTTTACGAGCAATGCATGTGAAGGATGGTTGATAGCATATGTCTTGTGGCCGGGCTTGGACTATGGAGTATCTATATATTATGTATTTTACATATGTTATATCGCGTCTCTAGTTGCTGGGTGCTAGCATAGGTGGTATGTTAACGGTGTCGAGCAAGCGACAGTAAAGAAGACAATTTGAGTAAATTCATGAGAGGCGATATCAGTAATGAATAAGCAAAGGCATGCTTCAATCACAAATACCACAGAAACGCCGTGCTATGCCAACAATACGTATACACAATCAATCACACAACCCCCCATTATATAATACACCACATCCATTGCACCTTCTGTGCAGCATCATACATGTTTGTCGAGCAGCTCCTTCGCTTCGTTGATTTTCGTGGCCAAGTACGGACTGCCGCCTCGGTCAGGATGGTTGAGCAGCATCAGCTGTCGATGGTTTTTCCGGACTTTGTCCTTGGTCAGAGTTCGCTCTCTGTCAGAGAAGTCAGTTTGTATTGCTTTCAGAATCTGGGCGAATTGGACATACGAGAGTTCCAGAATCAGGGAGGCCTCGCGGCGGGTCATCTTAGGTTCAAAGCCTCTGCTCAAACGTTAGACATTCAGCCATCTTCAGAAGATACTGACACCACATACCCCTTGTAGAATGCGCGTCCCACCTTATTAACACCGCCTCGGTAACGCTGCAGCGCAACGTATCCAGCGCGACCCTGTAATGGAGGCGTTGTGTTAGCCATGATGTTTCGGAACTGGAACTTTCACACTCAAAATGCAATGCGCCCACGCACCAGAAAAGCCGCGGTGGCAACACCCAGGCCCATAGCAACTGCAGAAGCCATCTTTGTGTCTAATAAATCGCACCTATTCGAACAGGGCTGTGATGCTGGATAATCGGAAGTTGACAGGAACGCAGCGGTAGAAATGGCTCTCTTCTGGTGGTTGCGATAAAAGTCGAAAGTTGACGGCGAGGTTATCCCCTATTAAGCCTAGTGCCGCTACCCATCGTGCCCCACATAATTTTTTGACCGCAAAAGCGATTTTCGTATCAGAGAGAGAATCTCCCAGTCGCACTCTTTCTTCGAGCAATCGCACCCCTTCAGTTAATCAAGGTCGTCAGGGTAGAAAATTCGTCAAAATGAGGTAGGAATATTATTGCACAGTGGCTCGAAGCTATACTAATGCGCAGAAATAGGGTGGAGACGTGCAGTTTTTGCTCTCGACCGTATGTTCACTATCGTTATCTTTTTGTGGTCGATTTCTTTTACTCATTCTCGCGCAGCGTATACCCCTCAAAGGGTATCACATTCGTTCGAAACGATGCCCGAAGCTTTCGCTTTTGCCGAAGCAAGTGTGAGAAGGTCAGTCGCTACTTTTATTTTCATATCTGTAAAAATTACTCTAATTCTAATTGATGGTTATCCATAGAACTTCAAAATGAAGCGTCAACCCAGACGTGTGAAATGGACCAAGACGTACCGTGCTCTCCGCGGCAAAGAAATGATAGTCGACTCGTCACTCTTACTCTCGCAATTCGCAAAGAAGAGAAACGTCCCTGTCAAATACGACCGCAACCTTGTTGCAGCCACCCTCAAAGCCATGGAGAGAGTGGAGGATATTCGCCAGAGGAGAGAGAGGGTTTTTACAAAACGACGCCTGGCTGGCAAACTTGCGCGCGAGCGTCAACGCGAGGAGGACCGCAGAGTGGTTGCAGAGGGCGAGCACCTTATCCGCAAGGAGTTGCGGGAAATGGAGGCGCAAGATGTGCCTATCACTACAGAGACGCTCAAGGTTCCATCAGGAAAGGTCCTGGGCGAGGAGAGAGTTCGCCAGAAGAGAAAGGCCAAGGTGTTGGTCAATGGAGGAGTGGAAGAGGAGATGGATGTCGATTGAATCTAGAACTTGCAAGAGCACTTGGCGGTATTTACTTTGCTTCCTTCGCAGTGATGTCACGGCCTGGCGTTAGGGATTTCTGTCTTCTTTTAAAACCTGTCTTTTATCTTGGACATGATCTCATAACAGTTTTCGTATGTCCACCTATCTTTTACTGATTTTACCGATTTTACCACCGGCAGTTCAGCAGTTTCTTGGCCCTTGAAAAGCATTCTTCACACGGTACTCAATTCATTTTGTTTTGTCCATAAAGAAAAGTCACTGTTTTAGTACTACAGCTACAATCAACACCGCAGCGCCACAATCCAGAGAAAGCCAGCCCTCAACGGAATTGTCTATGCTATTCGTGTACATATTATTGACCGATCGAAATGCCGTGACACAAACATTACTTCACCTTGGTCAATGTGAAGAAGTGATACAAACACCGAAATCCGATAGTTAAATTACTACTTAAGACGAAACAAGCTGACAGCGACCAAAAGAATATTTAGCAACTCCTTATTCGTCGTCAACGATTCTATCAAAATAAGCTGTGGGAATAGTATGGCCCAGTCTTACACCATACTTCATCATGGGTTCCAGCGGTGTCTAGAAGAGTTGCCCTATCTTCATTGTTCCCACCTTTCAGATCCTTTCCGGTTTCCTGGTTTTCTTTCATATCTTGCGGTGAGCCCATTTGATCTACGCAAGATCCCGAAGAGGCACTTGACTCGTAAGAAGCAAACAAGAAAAAGAGTGAGGAATACGATTTGAAATTATTTTGCCCTAGAACTAATCGAGATCCGCCAGCGAGGTCTCTCCAATGATCCCCTCCTCTTTTCCATAGATAAGTAAACGCTGCTTCGCCCTCCCTCCTCCGTCTCAAATGAATTCTTTTTCACTCTCCTCAAACTTTCCAATTATGATTGCCTCTTCTGAAGTCTTTCTTTTTCAATTTCGATTCTACCAAAATTATATAGCACCATGATAAAGTTTGTTGCCTAACAAAAATCTTGGATTTTGTCACAGATGCCAGAAATCTAGAATAGCTCCGGCTGTATATCGGAGAGGCCATTAAACCTCGGCACTGAATCATCCATCAGCGTATACAAGGGATTCATGGAGGATCTATCCCCACCATGCACTAATACATCATTTGGCTGGGCAACGAAAAGAGATCCAGAGCTTCATCGGGCTATAGAACATGCCGACAGCCGATCATGAGTCCGATGCAACTATTCAAGTGATTGAGAGGGACGAGAACCGGGAACCAGTGAGGTTGAATAAGTGGTATCTACCGCCTTGATACCGAATTTGAAGAGAAACCCAACAGCCAAATTGCAGCCTCCCTCCACATATAGCTCAAGAGAAAGTAAAGAAGAAAAAGGACAGAAAGCAACCGCCACAGCAAAAGTGAAAGTGAAAGTGGCAATACCGAGGGCAGACAAAGAGACGTATGAACAAGACTTCAAACTTAAAATCTATCGACGGATGCCAGAAATACTTCTCTTCTAAGAAAATCAGGGAACATAAGGAGAACTGTCCATTTTGATCTTTTGGTCGTTACGGCAAATCAGGAATACACGAAGACGATGATAACAAGCATCGATCACAGTGCTTTTATTGCACTTTCTACAAAAACCCTAATGTATAGCAATGTCGTGGTTATCAATGTCGCATGCCACGGGGTCGATTTCAACTGCAATTTCCTACCCGATCGCAAGCCAAATCATATTCACACCCTTTGGGTGAATCTCGAGCGGATTTCCAAACCGAATGGTAGTAGCCTTCGTCAGGTACCCATTTTACGGCAATCATGGATTAGGAGGAGCCTTTTCCCATGCTACTCTAGTTCCGAAGAAATGAGGTAAGGTTTCGTGCTTATCTTCTGGATAAAACTCCACATGCTAGCCCTTGTCAACATTAAATTTGATTTCAACGATAATGTTTTGATCTATATAAATGCAATTACTTAATCCTCCTACCTATTAACTTAGAGGATCAAACTCGTAAGCCTAGTCTAGATGTATTCCGAACAGATAAGAATATATTGAACGAGACAACAAGGATATATATACATATTTGCTACATATAATATCAATTGATATAGTCTCAACGAATATAACTTCAAGAGAAATTTCAAGTACATATGTACATTTAGGATAGAATCTGTACATAGCTACATACTAAGAATGGAAGGTATCTAACCCAACCAACCAATAAACCATGCCCTTGATGCTTTGCATCGCGTGGCAAGTAGGTATATTCGACTTCTCATAATCCCAAAGTCAAAGGATTTGTAGAAATGCGTATAAATAATGCGGATACTATCAACGCCAAAAAAACAAGCAACAATCAAATCAAAAGCGGTCACGCAAGCAAGCACAGCTTGTACGTTACGGGTTGATATATGTATAAACATGGGCCGGGGGGCTTATGACACCACAGGCGTCACAAAACCCGAACTCGGTGGCGGGAAGGGAGATGTACAGGAAGGTACAGCAAAGCCGGACAGTAAATAATAAGCGGAAATTGTTTGATAAGGTAAATATATAACCAACTCCGGCGCCGTTATAATCGCCATAAAAAAACCGCTAAATGGATATAGAATATAAACAGCCAAACTGGAGTGTACACTGGGTTTACTAGGGTGGAGATTATAAGGTAGCTTCGAAGAGGCGTCGCTTAGGAAGGTGGGGGAGTCATTCCGTCATTCTGGTGGTTCCATTCTTGTGCTCAAGGTGATGAATTATTGGAGGCTACTGGTCGTTGTCTTTGCCGATGACTGATGGTCGTAAACGAAGTCCAAGGCGGCGGGTGCCGAGGCTCTCGGTGCGCAGGCTCTCGGTGCGCACTCGTGGCTGGATGGCAGTGTAACTCGAGGCCATCTTAATGGAAGAGCTTGTTATACGTGTCTGTGGTACTGTCTGGGGAGAATCGTTTATCTGCGATGGACTGTCGGAGGTGTTGCGATCTGGGGCAACTGTGGGTGACGCGCCATATCTGCGAAATCCGGGCTGGATATTTGCTCCGGATGCTGTTGGAATTGCAGAGGTAGGGGGTGTGGCGTAGCTACGACGCTGCGGAATAGTGCTTTGTACAGAAGGCGATGATTTGAGTTGAGATGGTCCCTGTTGGTAGGAGGTGGAGAGTCGCGTGGAGGGTGATTCGTTGGTATATTCGCGAGAGACACGCTCCCGCGCATTCGAGAGACGACTAGATGAAGGGCCTCCAACTTCTGTCATTGCACGCGAAGACAATGTACGACTGAACACAGAGCTTCGGTCGTCAGAGTCATCTTCCCGCTTCAACCGTTGTGAACCAGACAGACGGTGAAGGCGAGCAAGAGGTGCTGTCAGAGATGGAGTCTGTGGCAAGGCTTGTTCGTCCTGAGAGAATCGACCCCTGCGCCCGGATACTCCGAAGTTTATCGTATTTGCGCGGCGAGTCTCCGTTCGACCTGACGCTCGCGAAGCGGAGTCTTGCTGATCGAAGGCTTCCGGTTCATGGCTCATACTTCGGCGATATCGGGTGCTGGCGGTAGATACAGCGTCACCATTATCGATTGCATTCGGCCGATTCAGCCTTCCCTGACTGCCTGGTCGTGTCTGATCCTGCGATTGATATTGGCTTTTCTGTTGGGAAATCGTTTGCTCCTCTGATAATGCGAGACAAAGTTCAGTCAAGCTGCGACATAAACTGTCTGCTTTACGCCTAGCCTGGCGTTCGGTCATCCCATTCATTATTCCACTTCCATTCACACTTGATACCGCGCCAGATGGAGTCGATGTCGTCGTTGACGTTAGCATGTTGGCCAAAGTCAAAGCATCTGTGGCGGTTGTCTCCAACATACCATACACTTCATTTCCGACAGAAGTCTTCGCCTTTGCCAAAGCCGAATGCAAAAGTGTTTGTATAGGATTTGGGGTTGCAGGAGTACCCGTGTCTAGCGATACACTGGTTCTGCGAACATGTTTTTGCTTCGGCGATGAAGATAGGGTTGTGGCAGTCGTGGCGGCCGTTCGAGGCCGTTCGGCAGAAACGTTGGACATAGCAGCAGCCGATGAAGACGGAAATTTGCCGGTCAATTCTAGCTTTCTTATCCTTGATTTGAGATCATCCAATTCATCCCACACCGTCGATGGGGCGGTCGTAGACAGGCTTGATTCCGTAGTGCCATCTGTTCGGACTTTTTCTGTCTCCGTGGACACTCTTTCTGCACTATCTGAAGTGGATGGTTGCCGCAGAGTTCGTGAAGATAGGTTAGTAAGGTTAGAGTGTCTATAACGTGCATCGGTAATGGTGGATCTAACGTCGGAATATGGTTGAGGCAGTTCAGGGGAGGTTTCGCGATTATACCGGCTCCGCGGTACGCCAACCACGGATCTGGAAGCAGAACCTGCCTGCGAATAGCGGGAGCGGGAACCTTCATCGAGTTGAGGCGTAGACAAGGTGGATGAAAAGTACGGAGATCCGTCTGGCAAGAACAGCGGGCTGCTCTGGTATTTCAATTGCTCGGGAGAAGGGGTTTGCTCTGCTGCAAGAGAGGTTCGAGTTGAGAGGCCCAATTTCTGCGACATGTCAGCACTATACGGAAGAAGCTGCCCCAACCGACTTACTCGTCTCCGATCCAACTTTCCGAGCGAATCTCGTCGGCTCGAAACGCTTGATTTAGCGATATTAAAAAATACGTCGTCACTTCGGGAGCGGCTGTCGTCGGTGCTCGAGTCTTTGACGTCGTCCCCGGGTTGCTCGTCGACTGCCTTGACCGTGCGGTAAGGATCGTTTAGAGTGGAAAGGGCCATTCTTGTCTTCGCAGTATTGCTGCGGGGAGACAGCGGTGTTGACCCTCGGCGTCGCACAGGCGACACAGGGTCGGCCGGCGATTCAGCCTTTCTCGAGAGGGAATCGCGTCTCAGGACGGCATCGATGCTGGGCGAGTTGTACTTGTGTTCTGGACTCGTCGGCGGCGGCTTGGAATATGGTCGAACAAGCCGGTCCTGGGCTTGAACGTTGCCGGCTGTTTGGGGTCTCGGTGAGCTGTCAGTGCTAAGACTGGGGCGCGATGTGGGAGCTCTCCTTGACGAGGGCGGCGGGACTTCTGAATTGGATCGACTGCGGTCCGAGTAGAAAGAATTCAGTTGGGGCGAGGGCGATACAGGCGAGGTCCTCGTGGCAGATGCATGGTTGGCAGCCCCTCGCGGGGTGACGATGCTGTCGGCAAGGGGTGGCATGTCACGCGGCGGAGCGCATTGCACGTTTCCAGCATGAGTGTTAATGTTAATGTTATTGTTATTGTTGTTGCTGTCCACAGCCGGAGACGTCCCCTCGGCAGACCCCGTCGACAGTCGCAAGGCGTTGTATTTCCGCGAGGGGATTTCGGCCAGGGCAGGGTTCGACAGAGCGCTCACGCTGAGCGACGACCGATGTGAGGGCACAGAGTTGCGCTTGATAGGGGTGACGGTGGAGCTGGAGGCCGCCGACGAGGCATGGCCGCTAGTCCGGGGTCTTTCGACTGCTGGCGACTGCGGGCTGGTACTGGCACTGGCACTGACACTGGCACTGCTGCTGCTGTTATTGCCTGAGACATCAGCGCTGCGTCGTGTCGCCTGGCGAAGCAACACGGATGGCCGACGGACGACGTCTGGGTTTGTCTGGCGTCGTGGCCGTGCCGCCCAGTCTGTATACTCGCCGTCGGTCGCGGAGTGTATGGTCGCCACTCTCGATGGCGACGGCAGAGTCATGCTGTCAGGAAGCAGCTCTCATCTGAGCAGAAACAGCAGTGTCAAGTTGTCGGCCGTGGGGGAGGCATGGGCGATAGCGATGGTGCGAGTCAGGGCGAGAGCCGGTGCAAATTTGTCGGCGTCTGCACTGAGGATGAAACACCAGGTGGTGTGGTCAACTGCCAGACTAGAATAGGGGTTGGCTATATAGTATCGAATAGAGCATAGCAAGAGTACTAAGCAAAGTCTAGTTATCAGACAGGAAGGAACATTATAAGGATTTTATTAAGGTAATCTAAGATGGCCATGAATCTGTTAATTAATATTGGAACCGCCTGCCGCGTCCCGTGCTCCTTCCCTTCGTTCTGCCGACCGCCGCCAACTTCCTGACTCGCCTTGAACCTGCATCTTTATTCATCTAACATACTCTAACCTGACAATGAAGTGAATATCAATGAACTGGCAGCCGTCCCGTCTGCGCGGCCTCGTCATTGTGTGTGTGTTGTTGTTTGTTGGTTTGTTATTTGTTGTCGTTGCGAAACTGTGGATTCGGCCAGCCAGAAGAGGAATGGTCGGCTGCCTGACACATCACTCCTACTAATTGCACTACTACCAGTACATAATTACTGGCAGACAGTTTGTGTGGAGATATTATTTGCATCTATGGAGTAGTTATGAGATGCATGCTGTGGCTTACGCAGATGATTTCGGTGTTTCTCTTACTCCTTAGTGGTGAGGACTGACGCTTATCTTGAGTGTATATTGAAATGTCTTGAATATTTCGCTTTTTATTTAAACAATATGAACTTCATGCTTATATATTATATTTAGGACACTGCATCCTTTATCAAATGTTCGGGAATCCACCGGCATATGGGGTGCCTAAGGCGTTAAGTCACGTGCAGGGCAAAATGGTCTTTGTTTACATCATTGACGTATATCCTCCCCACTCAACTCAAACATCAACCTATCAATTATCTAATTTATCCCCAAATAAACTTGATTATTCACACTCATCTCTCAACGGTAGTTAGGAACTGTATCAATAACGGAATATTTACCACATACCTAGAATTTGGACTTTAGGAAGTACCAGATATGCCCATTCATTATGTACAGCTCTGCCTTCAACTATGATAACGCCCAAGGCTTTCCAGGCCTACTAGGTGGCTGCCAAATTGTATCAGTTGACATGCATATGGAGGTCTACATACATTTTTTGTCAGTCTGCTCCTCAGAGCAAACAGACATGTATTGTTTACTTGGAGAGTACTGCGAAGTACTTACTCACCGAGCCTAGCATCCGTTTGTATAGACGCTGTATCAAACGCAACAGATCCCATCAGGGCACCGCCTGTGCTACCTTTATCACACGATCACACTTATAAAAACCCTCAAAAAATATGTATCTTCCCTTCTCCCACCCCCTCTCACCCACACACCGAACCATTACTTATCCTGAAAATGCCCATCGATAGAGACATCCGATGCTGTCGCTCCTGCGGCAGATGCGGCGTTCTGCGACAAGACTGCCCGGAATGCCCGTGCAGCTACTGCCACCAAGCCGGCCACTCTTTGGTCCAGTGCCCCAGCATAAAACCGTGCGCGACATGCAACGAAAAGGGGCACCAGGCTCAACACTGCAGCAATGCAAACCGGTTTGTTGAAACGCCAGAGGAAGTTCAGGCTAGATTGGAGCGGCTTGAGGGGATGAAAAAGGCGCGGAATGAGCGGCGTAGAACGAGGTATGCGCTAGCGATGGGGAGGGTGCCGGGGGAAGAGAAAAAGGGGTCTAGGGGAAAGGCGAAACGGTCGAGAAAGCGGAAGGGGGTTGAGGGAAGCGCTGGTTCTGGGCCTACGGGGAAGAAGAGTAAAATAGAAGGTTCTGGGTCTGGTTGAAGGATTGTCCATTGAAAGAAGAGTGAAGTAAGTACGTCATCCTGTGAAACATCCTATGAAAGCTAAAACATAAATGCTAACTGTATTCCAGGCGTATTTTCGACTTTGAAACAATCATGCTTACTCTCCGCATATTGTCACTGACAAAATTTTAGTTTGTGTAGGTATGCCTCTGCAGAGAATACAAGCCCATTGCGCTGACTTGATTTCAGAAGATGAGGATCGTTTCATTTCTACGCAGGATATGATCTGTGGTCTAGATGATCGTGTACAGTGGTAACCTCAGTATCTGTGGGATTGGATTCCAGTTTTGTGTACTCACAAATTGATAGTCAATATTCGGGCTGGTTATTCACAAGGATTCAACAACTCTAACCATAGACATTAGTCTATAACAAGATATATCCCGTCATCATCTGCATAATCTAGCTTAAAACTTCTATCATCCACCTGTACATGTATATTTCCACCTTTATTTTTTCTGCATCTCATCATAAGTGATGTGATATCACCCTCGATCGAATATGTAGAGAGTTGGTATTCTAATTGATAGGATAACCCTAACAAGAGATACAAAATCAATTCTTGTTGTATTACTCTCTGTGTAACATACATATGTAATCCACTATTAATCCATTCCCCTGGGCATATTAACCTCTTACCGTGGTATTTATTTATACAATTGTATCAAATTAAATACAGCTGATATATCAAGTCTGCATTATATCAATAAATTCCAAGTGTTACTGATCTACGGTCTTGATATACCAAGTATCGCTGGTCGCACTCATGAATATTGGAACAATGGAATATTGTAATCTAAACATTAGCTTGTGCTATTCTACATATACCATATTAAACCGAGCCAGACTACCAATAACTCATTTGTTCGAGTCGACACTATCCAATCTAGAACATTCACATCCCCAAGCAGATAACAGCTTTATCGATTGATTGATTGATCATGAAACCCGAAATGTCGCAGTAAGCGGGAGTGACATATTCTATCGCTGCACCAAAAGACCAGAAAATTTTTTTTTTTAAAAAAACAAAAGATATTGCACTGTTCTCGAAGGACCTGTCATGGATAACATATTATCTATAAATAGCAGGGCAGCATTAACCACTCTTATTGAAATTAGTTCCTGTTCACTTGATTTGGGGGTGTATTGCTAAACTGGCATGGTGAATAACAGTTCTCTTACGATCGCCTTAACTCTTGAGATGAATCTCTAGCCGAATCTAGATCCTGCTTTGTCCACCCCTCCTCGCCTACCCAGTACATGTCCTCTCATACGCACTTTCTCCCCGGAGAAATTACCCAATCCTTTACTAACAACTAGCAGCATGATAGTTGGCAAATGCGGGGTGGCCAATCGCATCCGTACTCCATTTATCCGTAATTAATATTTATGGTTCGGTATTTTACTAGCTAGAAACAATTCCTCGTACTACAGCTACTGCCGGATCAATCACTACATCAATATATGTATGGATGTGTATGGATGTGGTGGTATAGGTAGTATAAGCGACACACACCTCCCCTACATCAATATGTATAACATTTCAACATAAAAATATGAATTAAATGATGAATTTGAGGGAATTGATACATCACATCTACCCCTAATACAAGTCTCGTACAAGACTAAATTTGTCGTATCGCACCCCGCTCGTCCCCCCCCCGCAATAAGACCGATTGATGTCCACATTTAATATTTTATTAATAATTAATTATTAGCTGAAGAAGAATGACCTCGGTTATCTCTGAACAGGACTCGCGAAAAACGGAGATGGTAATTAATGGGTCTCATCTGACCTCTCTAACGAGATCACCAATGATAATGGAGGCAGTGGGTGTCATGTCGGGTCGAAACATTACTCAATAGCAATGTAAGATAAGTATTGAGGCTATGTACATAGAAAATTGTACAGTACGGTAAGTTACATAATAGTTAACTCATTGTCTATAACTCTTTGCGGATGGCATCACCTGACACGATCATTAATAATGTGGCCAGTGGCAAGGCACCTGACCAGTGCCCATGAACCAACCAGACAACTGTGGGGCGCTGCTTTCGCCATGGCCGGTCGCAATGACACGATTCCAGGAACTGCTGGCACAGTGGAACTCTATTCCGGCCAAGTTTTAATAATTTCAAAAAATTATTTGGGAAGGAAAAAAAAGTGGAATAAATGACATCGCATTGAGCTATGGATGCGGAATACAATCAACTCAATGGTACAAAGTGCGTGCTCATAACGCACTCGCAACAAATGCCCAACCGGGCACGTATAGTTAGTTGTAGTATAGTATACTCATAATACACGCTGAATGCTATCCAAAGCACCATTCCTGGATACTGGCCTCGGGATAATAAGGGTAAGCCATCTCCAGCCAGGACGGGAGACGGAATCAAGGAAATAAGGTGAAATTCGTACAATGTCGTAGGAAACGTGACCGATCGAGGAATGTAGAATATAGAATATATACATCCCGAGCGAGCGCCAGAAAGAATCATTCTTCCATCCGGCCAAAGACTCCGTCGTCATCGTCGTCGTGCGTCTGGCGGCTGCCAAAGTCGACGTCGTTGTTGCGCCGGTGTCGAGACTCGCGATCTGCGTCACCCATCTTCACGTCTCGTTCATCCGAGACTTTGTAGGATTGCGATGGGTCCAAGGTAAAAGAGCCAAATACGGCCGGCTGCGATCCGGCAACGCTTAGACTGTTGTTTTTCCCGCTGCTGGAACTGACTCCGTTCTGGCTTAGATATCGTGCTGGTAAAGGTGGAACAGGCGGCACGTCCGCAGACATCGCGGTGGCTTTGGAGCGAGGCGTGCCAAAGTTGCACAGCCGAATCGCTGCCGCCAGATCGGCCGCATCGCTGTCGTCGTCCTGGCCACCGCTTGTTTCCGCCGTCGATGGACGGGTGTCGATGCTCGAGTGCCGGAAATGCGAGAAGGCCGGGGAATGGAGGGGCCCGCTGTCAGCATACGAGCTAGACGCAACGGACTGGTAGGAGCGGGAGAAGGCCGAGGAGGTGTAGCGCTTGTTCAAGTCTGCCACGTCGTCATCATCATCGTCGTCGTCCATCGGTGGCGGGGTGGTTTCTGTCGAGCTGATTCCGTCGTGGGGTTCGGATGAGGCATCCGCAGAGGCAGAGGAGTTGTCCGACTCGTTCTCAGCGTTCATAGCCACGAGAACGGTGGCAGCTTCGAGCAGCTGCACCTGCTGATGCTTGGATATCAGGAGCTTGGATGTCAGCGCCCATGCCGGATCATGCTCCCACCTGCGGAGAGGTCAGCCATCAGTAGCGGAATGAGCGCCTGTGAGTACACACATATGCTTGGTCAAGCAGCTGCTGTGCTTATATCCCTTGCCGCATTGATCACAACGCAGTTCAGTTGAGACGCGCTTGCCCTCGCCGCGCATCAAGTGCGAACCCTCGCTGGCTCGCCGATTCCGGTTCTTCGTGGACACAGGCTTGCCGGCAGGAACCGGTCCATCGACGGCAGTGTTCTCGTCGATCGAACTTGGCGAGTGTTTCCGATCGGCGGCACTGTCAGGGCTGGCGGCATGCAGGCCACGAGACAGGTAGGAACTGAAGCCGGAGGAGGCTCCGATGGAACTGGCCTCGGACGGCTTGCGGCTGACACTTTTGCGGCGAGTGACGCGGTGGTTGGCGTTGATGGCGCCCAGGGATATCGAGTGGGAGTGGTTTCTCGACTGGGGCTGTCGGACGGGCATGCCCACGGGGGCGACAGGGCGGACGGAGGTTTCCTGCGAAGGTCAGTACGCCTCCAAGGCCAGGGGGTGGGTGGGTAGTCAGGGTAGGGAGAGACCTTGAACGAAGCCATGGTGGACAGCGACCAGATCTCAGGTGGCAGTCACCACGGCGGGTATATATAGGCAGGATAGTATATAGGCCACGAGCAATTGGATGGAAGAAGACGGATTATTGAGGCGGGGGACAGTGAAGTGAAGCAAAAGTACGGAGGAGGTAGAAAAAAAGCGAGTGGAAAGTGGGAGCTGCAGCTCAGGTGGGCGTGGCTTGCCAAATAATCAAATAATCGCTGGAGACGGCGAGTGGCAGCGGCGGCGCAGCGAATTCGCGGGGATTCCAGGACCCAGGGGCTAGCGCGCAAGCGGCTAGCCTGTCCAGAATTCCTGATGGTCTCATTACGTATTTACTTACATTTGTTTCTTCTTTGCATTTATTTACACATTTGCATTTATCCCGTATATATAGAGTATATACACTTATATTGTTGGCTCAACTGGTGATGCATATCGACTGGTGTATTAACGAAGAGAAGCGCACCGAAGCACGCAGAGCTGAGCCTGGACTAGTGTAGACGCTTTAGTACTTAGTCACGGTGGTGGCCCACAGCCTGCCTTATCTCTCTGCCAGGCACCTCATTGTGGATAAAGAGAGATAACAGTACAGAGTATATTTCGCATCTTATACAAGTAATAATATCTCCAATATGAATATAACTTATGATACAATGCCGTATATATTCTATACAAAATGTCCACTGTGTACATACGGCATGACTATGGCTATGTCCCTAGGAGGGTCGGCTGACTGAGCCCTGGCCAGGCCCTATCGGCCCCACTGGCGTTGCTGGCACTTATCTATTGTATTATGCACGTATTCGTATTATATTACGTAGATTATTGTGTAAGTACCGATTACATTATTTGATGGTATAGGTGTATGTATGTATATATATATTATATATTATATTTACATATTTAATAGTACAATGATGTTGTCGTATCTCCAAGGCAAGATTTGAATGTCGGTGACTGCGTGAATAAGCGAGCACATCCGTGTGACCCGTCAATACCTCCAAGTCTCTCGCAGACTAATAATACGTGTGTAATGCTTATTGCTAGTCGCCCCCAGGCTAAGAATAACCCGAACAGCCAGCTTGAAGCGCCATGATAGGACTGCCCAGCGCTTAAGCTAACTGCTTGTCATCAGCCTGCTTCTAAATTAATCCCGACGCGATTCTATTCTATTCCTATTCCTACTGCTCCAAGAACATGTACGTATTAGTAAGTTCGAGGTGAACGATCACGATCGTCAGGCACCGCACTTTAACTGCGATACACTATCTACTACTACCTAGTGCCCCTACGATCCATTATTTAATATTATGACTATTCTCCCTGATCGGCTGTGTTGTGCCCTGATAATACAACCCCAATTGGCCCACCCGCCGGCAGGGGTGTATAATGTGACCGTGCAGTACGAAATGTGTAGTGTGGACGCTGGAGTATGTACCGCCGATGGTAAGGATCAACAATTGATTGACCGTGCCAGCCCGCGTTGCATGCGACGATTGCGTGGTCTAGATTCACTGTGGTCAGATTGCGCAAGACAAGCGACGTCATGGTCGAGTCGATCTGCCTGAGACGGGAATAGTAGTCTTTACTTACACTCTACTCGAAGTAGATAGTACATGTAGCCTAGTCTCGCGCAGGCCATGTCCGACTGCGCGCAATAATACTGGTACGTACTAATTAGTCGATTCCGCGATCCTATCGGGTTATCACGCCCTGACAGGCTGACCCTGATCCTGCTGACAGTGAAATAAGAAAAAAATATAGGCGCACATTTTGCTGCGTGCGAGAATAGTCAACAGAAGAATATTGATGTAGTAAGAATATATTGTCACAATACAGCCGCACCACGTAATCGGAAACTGGGTTTCCGGAACACATGGCGTGATACGGTACCAGGAATAGAGCAGGATCCATTATATTGTTATGATAGGATTTAATATTCATTCGCATCTTACAGTGCAGAGTGGAGGAGCGGTGGGCCGTGACGTCATTTCTCTTTGTTCCTTGGTTGCTCCGACATTTTTTTAAAAAAAAAATAATTGTTAACTAATTTTTGGCCCTTGAGTACTACTTACTCCTTCGATTCTCCACAATTGCTCTCTTTCGGATTTAAAAAATTATTTGGAGATTCTAGTTTCCAGATTATGGTATGCCGGAGTTACCACCAAGGCCTTTCGGGCAAACAATTGACGATCTGTAGAGCGCCGATGATAGGTGATAGTATACATCAGGATATTAGAGTAGGTGATATTTGGATATTTGTGTAGTGTCGAGTATACGTGTACAATCTATACACTATCTATGGTGCTACTATACGAAGTATTATCGTCATCATCATACATAGGTATAGTAATTTATGACCGTCCCAGCTCCGCTATCACGCACCATCGTTTGCGATTCTCCGGGCCCTCATCCGCCCTCACCGCCGCCCACTCCCGCCGAACCTCCCGGCCTTCCTCGCCTGCATCTGCATTCAGGTCTCGCTCATATATACGCTCAATTGCCAGTCCTAGCGCCACCGCCGTCTCGAAGAAGTTCGCAACAACAGCCCGACCAGTATGGAACCCAGCAACAACCCACACCCGACCCCCGTCGCTGAGAAACCACAGCAACGTTTTGGCCAGATTGGCGTGCTGCGCCAGCATCCAGAGACAATCGGCAGCAATGATCCGTGAGAATCTGCCCTTGTTTGCCAGCGCGAATTCGTCGTCTAATACGCCCCATTCGTGCGGTTGCGACTTGATCTTCGGCCGGAGCGACGCTGGCACGTTTTCCATTATATTATACTCCATCGCCCCGAGGAACGCCGGTGATGAGGGGTGGTCGGTCATTGTGACATGCGAGGCTGAAGAGAGCACCGATATAACAGACGGTAGGCCGGCGCCTACCCAAGTTAGAAGCATTCTTCAGGCCTAAAGATGAGATGAGATGAGATGACAAACCAGCACCAAGCTCCAAAACCCTATGTCCGTCAACACTCCACATCAACTTATCTTCTCCCGTAGAATTTTTCTTTGCAGCCGCCGCATCTTCCACGCCCGCGGCCACCACCATCGCCGCGCTCCAGAGGAAATGCGCAAAAAGCTTCCTCCCTTCTTCGACCTGATTCGCTCTATTCTCCGTGTGCAGACCAGCTGCAATCTCATCATTCCGGTTCTCGCTTTGCCCGGGGTAGTGGGGGACCATGATGGTCAGATCGCCGTACATTGGCGACGAGTATCGGAGACGCTGGCCAGGGTCGCCGTGGAATTGGGGGGCGTCGTCGGGGAGTAGGTGGGGCAGAAATGCCGAAAATATATCTTCTACATCGTCGTCCTCCTCTTCATCTTGTAGGTTGTGCTCGTTGAGCTGCGAAACTTCGGCTTGGATGGTTTGTAGGTTCTGTGTGGGTGTTTTTTGCGACGTCTGATCTTTGCGGGGGAGGGGTCGGAGACGCGACTGCAGCATGGTCCTGCTGGGTTCGTAGTTTGGTCTTCATAAAACGGAGCAATTGAGTAGTTGTATTATATATAACCTCATTTATACTGCGACCTAGAATGCAATTCTGGCGAATGCGAGTGTTGGAGAACGGTAAACATCAGATTGATGTTTGATACGACAATTTTCCATGTCTTGTTTGCACTGTTTGCTGCCTTATCGGATTCTACAGTGACATTGCCCCTGCCAGCAAAGAGACAGCAGGAGTCTCTATACAGTCCACTCACAGGATACATGACAGCATGACAAGCATCATCTAGTTGAATAAATATAGATTTTTGAATATTTAATAGTATCGGCGACAACCTCATTGTTTAGGCTGGCCCAGCCACGTGACACAACAAGTCACATGCCTATCTAATCAGTCGGCCTATCGTGAGGGGACCGCCAAACCCGCCGACAACACCAATCAGTCCACGACTCCACGCTGAGCTGAGGCTTTGTTCTGCTGCCTCCCGATCCTGGGCTTCTTCACTATTTAACCTCTGCATATTCTGAAAGTCAGCGAGAGAGTTGTTAGAGAGAGTTGTCCCGCCCGAGCCCAAGCGTCCGCCTTGTCCCGCATCTGCGTCCTTATCACATCATCCGTCATCGATAAGCCGGCGGTCGAGCATATATTTACAACTACAACAGAGCTGATACTTCGATTTGCGTTCTAAATATACAACTCTAGAACAGTTCCCCCTGAGTTGAGGGAGCGTCCCTCGTCAACCGATATTCAAGACCAAAACCCCCGATCTGACCTAACATACTTATCCGATTAACTGAGTACCACGACGGCAGCATGGGTCTGGCGTACAACGTGTACTTGAATGCCAATAAAATCTTTGGCTGCAAGCAATGCAAGACTCATCTTGCAGATTACAACGACATTATCAGCCGGGTAGCCTCGCCTTCTTTCCTTCCTTCCTTTGTTTCCTTCTTTTGGTGTTGGCAAACTAACATTGCTCAGAACTTCCGAGGCCAACATGGAAAAGCATACCTCTTCAACACCGTCGTCAACGTCACACTCTCCGATGCCGTTGAACGCAGCATGACTACGGGCCGACACGTCGTGCGCGACATTTCATGTCGACAGTGCCAGGTGGTGGTGGGCTGGAAGTACGACAAGGCATACGAGACGCCAGAGAAATACAAAGAGGGGAAATTCATTCTCGAGGAGGAGCTGCTATGCGTCGTTGGATAGCTCCACCTATTCTATTTTTTTTTTTTTGGTTATTGGTTTGTCTGGTTATGATGCATTTGGTGTCTGTCACAGAACAGTCAGACAGTGGCGTTTGCTTGGAATGGATGGGCTAGCGGCGCGCACCGGAATTGGGCGATTATTTATTAACTCTATTTTATATCATTATATCATCGACCTATGGCGTCGTTTCATATGTATGTAGTCCAGTCGTTGACATGCATACCAACAACCCTGACCTTTAACTCTTCCTCTCAAAACACACCGTATACACCCCCTGCCCTTGATACCCCCCAAACCCAAACTGTGGATAGTCCACACGACCCCAAACCCTCAAATCGCCCGTTGCCAGAAACCATCGAACCAGCTCCTCCTCCGTCCAGTTACAGCTTGTCACCACTAAGAAACCGCCCGGCCGAACGAGTTTAGCCGCCATGAGTGGATATTTATGGCAGATGCGTTGTTGGACAATCTTGCCGTTCCTATCACTCTTCTCACTATCATCCTTATTGCTTGTGCTTGTTTCCTCAGCAATAGTTTCATCTGACAATGAAACAGCATCAAACGTGCCCTTGTCAAGAACAATATCGAATCCGTTTCTGTCATACGGAAACCAGGATATCCTCTTCCCACCACGCTGCGCAAGGGCATCTTCATTAACCGGGTCGAGCACATCCCATTCCTCAAAGCGAATATCCCGCTGCTCAGCCTCTCCACCGTCACCCTCCCCCTCTTCGTCCTGGTCCCCTTCGCTATCATCACTATCATACTCCTTATCAGTAGCATACCCGGTCGACACTTTCAACCGCTGCAATTCCCTGGCCAACTGCACACTCTGCGCCGAATAATCTACCCCGACCATATCCCCGCTAAACCCGCCTTTCCTCCGCAACAAAGCTAGCATGCCGCCATTCCCCGTCCCCAGATCTAGAATCGTTGTCTGCGCGGAAGAAGTGTTTCGTGGGGAGAGCGGGAAGGAGCGGGAGGTTAGGAACTTGAGGACTTTGCGCGCCGCCTGGTGTTCGGAGAACCACGATGTTCCGATGTCGTCGTCGTCGTCTCCTCGTACTTCATCATCGTTATCATTATCCGAGGGATTTTCCGTGGCTGTCGTGAGAAGAATAGCATCGGTCTTTTTTGAGCTAAGGTATTCCAGCGATCGTTTGTAGTATGTTTCCCAACTACATGCAACCAATGCGAATATACATGCAATCAGCTATTATTTCGAAACCCCCCAAAAAGAGATTCAAGACTATACGTACTATTCCTTCGTCCCAAGCTCGCTGGGATCTAAATACTGCGGATGATCATCCTTGGGATCGGGACCTTCTTGGGCCATATTATAGCTGTGATGATATCAATCAATTAATTTTGTTAGTAGTTATTGATCTATAAATTTCTATCATCGACGTTTTATTTGGTCTGAGGCTGCGGCCTGCCCCACTATGTGCACGTGACTAGCCTTCCCTATTATGGCTCATTAGGGCAAATTCAGTCAGATAGCATTTCCACGTATGATAGGGTAAGGGTACAAGGGAATGATTCGACCTAGAAGTCTAGTCTCTCATTTTATCATTGGCCTTACCTTAATCCGTCTGTATAGTGAGGTGTCTGTATTGCGGTGCTGTCCGATGAATCATAAGCCTCAAGTGAAATAATTGGTTATTGGCAGCATGGCAGGGACTGTAGCTCAAATAAGACAGTACATTACAATGTCTGGATCAATATTATTCCTAGTTCAAGCCATATCTACATTATCATTTCTTGGCAAGTGTTCAGAACCAAGGCTTAATATTTTGCGTGTCGAGCTGATTGTGCAATCTAGCGTAAATCAAAACAGGACTGCACGGCAGAACACAAATCAGCTCTAGTAACCGCCAGCTCAGAATTCCTCAAAATCAGCTGCTCCTTCAATACCACCTATAGTGCGAGCGATCTAGCGGATACCCACAGCGCAAGCATGTAACGCCGAACCTCAACCTCAACCCCAACCCCAACTAGCAACAAGCAGAAATGCAAAATTTGGGAATGCTGGCACAAAAACTGTCACCGAAAGGCGACCTGCCTGGGACAATATAATCTAAATTTAGAATTGCAACCCCCACAACACCTCCCTCCCTCCGACTCGGCCATCGATGGCTTCTACTGCTACCCATCCACCATCGCCTTTCGCCAAAGAGAAATTGGCTGCTATGACCCCCTGGCAAGGTGCTCAAGTATAAGCTCAATTGAAACAACGGCAGTCTCATACCGCATTGACAAAAGCTGCTGCAGAAGAAAATTGGAATAAAAACCTGCCAAATTATCTTAAACGCAATTACGCCCAAATAGCGATTGGCGAATGTCGGGGGACTAAATCAGGTCAAACGAGTATATCAGCAATATCAGCAGAAAATATAGCTGTGATGGTGCAACAGTTACGAGAGTGCTCCGATAGGATTGCGAGAATGGATACACTTGTTTTATGGTTGGCTAGGAATCGCAACGAGAACAAGAATATCAAGGTAACATTCTCAATGGTAAATTCCGGTCAATTCATCTATATTTTGGAAGATTCCAACCAATTTTGGTGTCATAGCGCAACGAAATTTTGAAGCAATTTAAGGGTACGGACTTGACACTGAAGGATGAGCTTACCATTACTCCAGATCATCTGAAAAGATCTATCGCCGTTATCAAAGGAATGTTCACAACTATGATCCACAAGGTCCAGAGTCAAAGTTCCGAATCTCAGAATGCTCTCGCACCTGGTGGGCAACCACCATCTAAACGCCGCAAGCGAAGCCATTCTACCACACCTGCGATGTCTACAATCAACTCGGGTCTCAAGCAAAACCCAAAGCGCCTACAATTTCAACGGCCACTGCACCTGGGAACTTTTCACATGAAACGTCGACTAGTTTAGGGTTAGGTTATTTTTTATAGCAAAATTTAGGGTCATCATTGCGTCGTCTATTTAGATTATATAGATTGACCCTGCTTAAACTTGGATTATTTATTAGCACGCCATTTATACATACATATACTTATTTCTTTGGATCTATTTTAATTATATTGTTAATCTATTATTACTTAAGGCATTAAGTTAGTGTATAATTATTATTTAATCTTAGAAGCCTTTATATGGTTCAACCCAACCATATCATATCCTGTTACAGCCAGTGACAACTATAGTGGATCCAGGTCTATGACACTTATATACTATTGAGCATAATTTGGGTATTTTGAAGCTAAGCCCAAAAATAATTAGAGGCAAATTAATCTGACATAGGGCATTATTTCCAGTGAACCTATCAAACTTCTTTTTCAGGTGTCTCGAGATCTATTCCGGCACATAACTTGCTATCACAAAAGTTGCAACAAAGCCACACCAGAATACCGGTGCATTTGCAGAGATCAGATATCGTCTCTAGTAGTCATTGAGAATGTGAGTGACTCCTTCAGGAGTGCCTAGGGTCGTTTCATATTGTAATCTCCACCCCTCGACAACCTCGCGATTTCCCACGAACGTTGCAAACTGAGAGAGACTAGCAATGGAATCCTCCCAGACTGAACTGGCAGACATATCTGCACCTTTATGAATGAAGTACTGTCACGTTAACACTAGACTTCGCTGGAACTCGTAGCTAAGAAGTCATCTAATGAACAACTTGGCGCTCTCTGGTTGCCAAGTACTGGCAAAAATTGCCCGCTCTGAGATCATAACAAAAGCTCATCCACGACTTTGCTAGCAAGATTTGTAGCACCGTGAGATTTGTTGTGAACTATAAAATGCGAGAATTGTTGGAGGCCGATATAATATCCGCTGGATGCACATTGCCTCCAACCCATTGCCTCCAACCCATTGCCTCCAACCCATTGACCAAGTTATCAAATCCCAGGATTTGTTAAATCATTAAGTTAGTCATATTAATGCTACTCCCTAGTGATATTCACCAAAGAGGAATAAATAAGCAATCTTAATTTAAGTTATGCGGCGGCTTACAAACGACGTAATCCGCGTTCATTATTGGTACTTTAAAATGACACAAGCAGGACCGGCATGGACTCATCATCTAGTCCTATTTTGGTCAGTTCCACTCCGTTAAGGATCAGGGGCTAGATGTCAAAATTATTTACGGATAACTTAAACCTTTTTCGAATTAAAAGCACGTCGATCTCCCTTCCCCTAGGCCCTAGGTTGGATTGACATTGTACAACTTTTCTTCTTTTTTCCAAAATACAAGTAGAAATACAGATTACTGTCGTATCTGACAAGTAATCAACCATATTAAGCCATTTATTGTGTACGAAACTCTCATTTTAACTAACGAAAGAGGCGAATAGATTGGTCTCTTACCTCGCTTATTAGACAACGTGGGTTTATTTGGGGCTTTTATTGAACTCCGTTGAGAGTCGGTATTAATCATTTGGAATTAATTGTGTGGTGATTAAAATAACGACGGAGTTCCACGGGCTACTATTCCAAAAGAGTTGCTTCATTCGTCGTCCGTGTTATTTTTGTTATTGTGATACTAAAATTAGACCACTCGCGGCTGAAGCAGCTCGGATCAACTTTATTTCCGAAATAGGAAGTCGAATCGCAAGCTCGACATATTGTCCATCAGCTACTATGGAGACCTCTTAAAAAACATGAGCTGGAAAAAAAATGACTGGCTGGTTTCGATGAATTGTAGAATGGTCAATTAATGCGCCCGCCTCACCTTTTGCTTCAGATATAGCCCCATACTTTTGTCGCAGGATTTAAAAGGCTCAGACCTACGCTCTTCTAGATTCAAGTTCTCAGGTTTTTCTTGCTATTCATTCATTGCTGTACTCACTGTTTTAGTTATTAGCAACAGCTTTAAACAAAAAAAGATTCAAGTTGGGAAAAGTAAAGCTGCCGATATTTTCAAAATGCGCAGTTCGTGCTTTTCGCTGCTCCTGATATCAGTTGCCTCGGGAACGAATGCCCTGTCTCTTCATAGGCGAGACGTTCCTGCTGTTGTTGAACTACCGGTCCAACGTCGCCACACTTCAGCCCAGTCTTTGCGAAAAAGAGATTCCACGGTTGACCTGGCACTGACGAATGTATTTTTATCATATCCTACACGCATATACGCCGGCAAGCTTACAGTTTTGGACAGGCAGAGATTCTTTACGTTGTCAACGTAACACTCGGAACTCCCCCGCAGCCATTTTCACTCCAACTAGACACTGGTAGCAGTGACTTATGGGTGAATGCTGTCAATCAAACCGTCCCAGGGCCCGCATTTGACGCCAAATCTTCGTCGACATATACAGCGTTAGAAATTACCCTCAATGACACATATGTTGATAAATCGACTGCTTTTGGCCCCTATGGAACTGATACCCTTGGGCTGGGAGGTGTAACCATCGACGACTTTGAATTCGGTATTAATGAAACACCCTTTGCGCGTAAGTAAAATACAAATGCTTAGTGTTTCTCCGAGAACAGTAATGCTAATTATTTGCTCTAGAGAGCATTCCTGGTGTTGCTGGACTTGCCGGAGTGGGATACAAAACTATCACGTCCGCATCTGCGTTTGATAAAAAACCCTACGACAATCTCCCATATGCTCTCGCCGACAAGGGAATAATCAAGTCACCCGCATACAGTCTCTGGTTGAATGATCTTAGGGCAAACTCTGGCACCATCCTATTCGGCGGCGTAAACAAGGCCAAGTACATCGGCGAGCTCCAAACCCTACCTATCATTCCGATAGGCAGTACTTATGTAAACTTAGCCATTGCCTTGACTGAAGTGTCCGTCCAAGGCAGCACTGGGTCTAACAGTTACACAACCAGCTTGCCACTACCAGTGACACTCGATAGCGGCACCTCTCTTACACTCCTGCCAGAATCCTTGGCCAATAATATCCTCAATGAGGTGAACGCAAGCTTCAACGCCACACTTCAACAATCTGTTGTTGATTGTGAGGTTGCGAATAAAGATTACAATGTGACTTACAGTTTCTCTGGTGCGACAATCACTGTTGGTATTAAGGAACTAGTCGCGCCCGACCCTCAGAATCGATTACCAGAGAACACTTGTATCTTTGGAATTATGCCAGGTTCTGAATCAGATGGCTCATCGGCCCTTTTAGGAGATACTTTTCTCCGCAGTGCGTATGTCGTCTATGATCTTGGTAATAATGAGATCTCCATTGCCAACACGAATTTTAACCCGGGTGACGATGATATTCTGGAGATCGGCACTGGCGTCACTGCAGTACCAGGTGCAACTCCGGTTACTTCTGCTATTTCCATTCTTGCATCGCAAACACCGTCTAGCAGGGTAGTTCCGTCGAGTGCAACTGCTATTCCAACTGCGACACAGTCGAGCACTGCTACACCAAAGCCTTCCACTGGCGCGGCGGCGATCCCATCAATCAATGCCAAATATCTTCTCTCTGGTCTCGCGGGTGTTGGTCTTCTTATGGTATAAAGACACTACCACATCTAAAATAGGACTCGATCGTGATAGATTAGGCAATAAGTCAAATTAATTGGTATAAATTAACCAGTGTACAAAGCATAGAGAAGAAATCTAAATTATATTATGAGGCGCGAGAGACAAAACTCACTAAGTCAAGTGATCCAGATAGGCCCAAATTGCTGGTTGTATGTAGCATAACAGTGGTAACCAGGGGCGACGTTTAAATAGTCTCTAACCCTAAATTCATTGGCTCCTTGACCGACGTTATGACCACACACAGGGACTGCAATGGATAAGAAAGCAGACCAATTAAAAATATAAGAAAAGAAACTGCGATAACTATGATTGTGCTCATCGTGGTTGACATATCGATTGCCGCTTTTGCTTCAGGGCAGTTTAGGGAATACCTGAACGGCGCATCACAAATAATAGAAAGTTTTATTGAGTCTAGGCGGTTGAAAAAATCGACCTGATAGACTCGCATATTGGATAACGTTTCCTTCCGAACAATCTGAGATATGGAGCGATCCTTTAAGCCCTGGCCTTCAAAGTACAGTCTGTTACGATATCAAGGCACAGCTTCAGGAAACAAGGCTAATTCATTAAAAGACGGCATATGGAGGAGGACGAACCTAACATGAGCAAAACGCGGCCTTACAGGCCGAGCAAAAGCCAATGCAGAGAGACATATCATAGCATTGAAAATTCGCAAAGAAGCGACATAAACAAAACTTCAAAGAACAAAGCCTGGCTAGCAACCGAGCCTCTAACTGTGGAAATTGTCCATGGCCAAAGCAACATGTTATTTGCGTCCTCCATAGCGGGTGTCGGGACATGTATTTGGCCCCCATAACTATGTAATGCAATCCAACACCCAGCCCACTTGTTTTTGGTTATATGTTATTGGGAATATTCCTTCAAAAACTAGTATCTATATAGCGATCTATAAAAATGAGCGGTGATGGTGCGCCAAGGCAGAACAAGTAGTTATTATCTCAACTCTTATTGGAACCCTGTCCCGGATAAAAGCAACTGCGGCGCTCAATTAGAGGGGATACTCACTCTGAGTATTATTGACTTTTCTGCACCTGGTGTCTACGTAGTAGACCGTACTCTAGATCGGTTATCAACACCGAACTTCCCCTGATAGTTTCACCCTATTAGGCTTATTACCACAAACCATGACTCGCGTTGGTGGAAGAAGCAGAGCCTGCATAACGTGTCGGCAACGTAAGATAAAGGTCCGTGTCCTAATCAGTTCAAAATTTCAGAATTAAGTGATTCTAATGCGGGAATTGGCTATAGTGCGACCTCGCACTACCTGCATGTTCACAATGTCGTCGTTCGCGACGACATTGTCCAGGTCCTAGAACAGATGCGTTCTTTGTCCATTCGATCGTCTCGCATGACCAAACTCATCAGCCACTACATCCAACTCATGCTTTCGGACTGGCCTCTACAAATCGCCTCTTATTAATGTCTGCATTCGACCAGTTCTTTGTGTCAAATTACATACAGTCCTATGGGCCTAGACAAAGCAGTGCGACTCCCCCATTTTGGCTAATAGAACTCCCATATCTGGTGTCATGCCAGACCGCGATGCCGACTGTCCATTGCATCCGTGCGGTGGCATTATTGTTTTACGGCAATCTAATAGATAACATCGCGATTCAAACAGAAGCATACCGAATGTATGGAACAGCGTTAAGGAGCCTTAGTACGCTCATGCAGAAGTACGGAACGATGAGCAACAACCAATCCAACCCTACGTTATCTGATAATCTGATCTGCGCACCAATCATGTTATTCCGCTTTCAAGCAATGATTGGCTCCCCTCTTCATACTTGGATGTCACATCTAACTGCTGCGACCTTCTTACTTCAGACGCAAGGTCCTGAAAAATGTCGTAGTGGCTTAGGGCGCAAATTTTTCCTAACTGTGAGATTATACATTGTGAGATTTTTCATTTCTTGAAGTGAAGATGGAAAACTGATTACTGCTATTCAGTCAGTCATGCGACTAATTGAGCCAAGCTATAATCGGCCATCTTTTACTTTACATGAGTACTTGACAATTCCTTTTCGAGATGCTCGAAGAACTCGGCTTGATTGTTTGGTGGACTTACTACTCTGCTTTCCAACAGAGTATGATCTCAAGAGCGAATCAATATCAGCTGGATCTAGGTTAGCAGGAATCGCACCAAATGATATTTGTAGAATGGAGAGTTACATCTCGAAATTGGAAGATTGGTGGCGGCAGAACATGTCCCTTCCTCAGGGTGATGATAATAATGACAAGCAGCTATCTCCATACTCATCCAGTTACCTCAAAAGGAACCAGGTCACGACTGATGTGTACGTTTTGCGGTCTATTGCATTGTATAACGTGGCCTTGATAGTCTCTCTATCACATTTGTCTCGCCTTCGATTGTCTCCACTATTGCACAAGCATCAAATTGAGTTACACTGTAGTCAAGTCATTGCAGCATGTGAGTGTATGCAAAAGGCCCACGGCTGGACTCCAGGCAGTGGAGCAACATTTCCAATGATTTTGTGTCTTTATATTGTAGGCCTGCGGAGCCCATCCCAGTATCAGAGGCAATATGCAAACAAGAAACGTCTAGATTGGGCCAATACGTTGTTTCACACGAGAAAATGATGTATAGATGGAAATTGAACACAATTTGTAACAATTCAGAATCCTTCGAACCTGAAGATATCTCACAAAATAAAAATTTCCCACTAAGCTGATGTTGTAAGATGTGCTATTATCATATAGACAAAATATTGTCTCAAGACTAACATTCGACCGCAAGTGCATGGCTGTGGAACATGTTGCAATTTGTCATCGTCGTGCCGAGAAGTATGAGGCCTGGTACATTTGGATATATATCAGTGTGTAGAAGATCGAAATCAACCACCTTACTTCAGTTAAGTATCTAAAGTTCATAGCCAAGTCGTTTTTATCTTGAAGAGATTATTTTTGAGTGTCTTATTTGCATTGTGCACGTGTGACCTCGCAGCCGAACAGCGAAGTGATATTGTTCTAGCTGAGGAGCTGATAATGCATGCTTAAGGAGCAACCCTAGAGACATCTGGGATACGGAGTTTTGGCTGGCACCTCAATATCTTGAGGCTGCTCAGTGTAACACTTGGGGAGGCCAAAAACTAGAGCAGTAGTGAGAACAAGTGGGCCTCACGAAACTGCTTATATCAGTTACAAGACCCTCGTTAAGGCTCAGCCACAGGCAATCTTGGCTGTGTAGTCACGTCTCTTGGCCGAGCTTACTGATACAGCCACAAACTGGCTGCTCAGAGCACGAGAGGAAATCACCCTCGACCATTGTCTGTGTACTAGTCCACAACTGACATGGATTGTTTCCCAATAATCAAGCTTTCTCCTATTGGAAAGTATTACAAAGACCCAGATAATATCACGTCATAAGACGGGGTTTTTTTATTTTATTCCGAAAGACAGCCAAACTGAAACACAGAAAAGTACAATAATAACAAAAATCAATATCAATAACACCATTTTTAAAAAGGAAAAACATCACGAAGAAAATTTGTTGACTTTTACCAAGATTAGACTCCAGCCTTGAAGGATAACCAATGGCATTGGTCTTGTTTCCAATCCAGGAATGTAAAATTGGATTCTCAAAGTAGTGAAATCGTCCCATTCATGAACGGACTCTCAGGATTTTCAACTCCACCATCCTCACCATACCAGGCTGCAGCGACGTAATAAGGGCTATTGCTGGTCCAATCTTGGGTCATATTGATGCCAACCTGGATCCAGGCAAACAGGCCATCAGTAATATCATCTCCAAGGTATAAAAACTCTGGGAATGGATCATAGTCATTGTCTGCCTGCCCAGGGGTAAACCTATCTTCTTCATTGGTCACAACCGGTTGTGTATTGGTGTTATACGGATAAGTCTTTTCAACAGCATTTCGTAGGACTGTGTTATAGAAGAGCTGTCCAACATGTGAGATGGCGCCTGTTCCCACTTCGAGAGTGCCATTTGGGTTAACCGTCACATTGCTGTGCACTAAAAGATGTGTATGCGTTGCCCTTCCGTGATAATGACCAGGGAAGATACTGTCGAAATTAACCACTCCATCTTTATCTGTCGGCTGGACACCTCGCAGATATGTACTATTCCAGCCATCAGCTGCTTCATTAGCGGCTATATCGATACCGCTGCTTCTTCGTTAGTCGCCTCTCTTTCATCATTTCTTGATAATAATAAAATAACAGGATTTCAGACTTGCCTGTAGATACCGCTTGCATTAGCACTCCAATGATCCACCCATAAACCTGGAACAGGTTTGCAGGTGTTAAAATCAATGTACTGTACTTCTAAATGCAAGTCGATGCCATCACACCATTTGTCCTCGACGACATTCTTGCGTATATGTTCACCCCACACATAATACGGCCCCGATACAATGCTTGGAGTCAAAATGCAGCTGGTGTTGGCCGAGAAGATAGTATGCTCTGGTGTGTTCGGTGTGTAGTGCTTAACTCCGGTCATATTATGGTTAATGGCTTCGTACGTATCGAGAGACTGTAGATCGCGGCGGAATTTTTGTGCTTCTGCGAGAAAGAACAAGGTTAATGATATATAATATATATACGTATATACATACTTACTTCCTGTGATATCGCGCTTTTGACGAAGCTCATGGACAGTATTCGCACGACGGACAATGCTTCGTGCTTGAAGAGCACGTGCTTCAAGAGAGTTGGAACAAGCATCCAATAAGTGCTTCCCGGTAGCTGCCACGAGATTCCGAGCGTGAATCTCATTCTTGACAGCTGTAGCATCATGTATTTCCCCAGGATGGCATATCACGGGAATCACAAGTAAGGCAATTCTAGCTAGAAAGCCGGCGAGCTTTGATACGTATACCATTTTGTTGTAATATTCTCAAATATCAGTTGTAGAAGAAATATAATGTTTTTAAATAAAAGCTTGATAAACTTGTGTTGACAGGCAACTGCTTGCTTTATATAGCCTTTACTTCGGAAATATATCGACACTGCTTATTTGGATATTCTTAAGTGCCGAAGGTCAAGATCTAATACTATGAAACCAATCTTACAAAATTCAGTATCCAAGTTTAGGGTTACTTGCTAAGACATATCCAATAAAGTGAGTAAAATTCTCTGCCAAGTGTTTCTGTGGAGAATTTCTACAACGCAAAACCTATTTTTAGGACAGGTTGTCTAAGCTGTTTAATTGAATATGTGCATTTTATTGCGATCAGCGACTTTCTGGACCTGTCGGTACCTTCTAGGTAGTAATGTGATAAGCAAAATTGATGTCTATATCTACTACGGTTGACCCCGGTGATTTTCTTAGTACGGTGGGCCACGCAACTTTGCCGTAATAGTCAATATGTGGCTTTCACTAGACCTGCAAGGTAAAGTCTCCCCACTATAAAGCAAACCAGTCATTAAAGATTGGCTGAACATCAAGACGTAAATTTACATAATTCCCACATACCATAGGAATAAAAAACGTACTAACAAAATCAACGGGGTCAACCATAGTAGATGTCGACGTGGATTGTGGCTTATAGTCACGCAAGATCGTTGTTAGGCACGAACTTGACATGGAATATGACCATCAACAAGGATATGTCTGCCTGTCTGCTTGGTGATTGGGTTCTTCCCATGGTGTGTTTAGGGGTTCCCCACAAGGGTACGGAAGTTAAAGGGGACCTTGCCGGAACGGGTTAGTTTTCCGAGTTAGGTACTAGATAACGTTTAACTGTGATACTATCTGAACTGATGCCCCACATGTGAGGGTTGCCAAACTGGTCCGAGTTTTCATAGTTAACTCCAATCTCCTCTCATGGAATAGCAGACCGAGCTTTCCTCTTTCGTTTTGCTACGCAGCAGAGCAGATGTGGCGTTGGATATGAGGGTGCACACGAATAAGTATTTTGCTTATTCGTATTCGACTAGGTGTCTCGGGGTCAATTTTCTAAGGATTCTTCATTACGTAGTATTGTTTTCGATGCTAAGCGTTTCTTGCTGCGCCACTACCAGACAATATCCGCTTGGCCCCTTCATATCTAGAGCTCTGCGATTATTTTTAGTCTTGAATTGAGTCTTGCCAGGGCAGAGCATAACATCAAGAAGGCTTCTGAGTGGCTGAAACGAATCCCACATGTGGAATGGATATGGGAGTCTCTCATGCAGACGCTGCAAGGCTATTCAGGCTGGGTTAATGCTGTCGCCTTTTTCATCCGACGGCAAGCAGGTCGCTTCAGCATCTGATGATAAAACTATCAAGTTGTGGAATGTTGGTGCTTCCCTCTGCTCAGTCAGAATGTGGGGGAGCTCCATAGGTTCTCTCTCTAAGTTTCATAAAGGTTCCCGGCAAATCCAACCTCAGCCTCAGTTGAGAGTTTAAAATTCTCATCTAATGGTCATTTTCTCCAGACAGACCTAGGTATTACTAAGGTTGATAGTGACTCCAAAGGTGGCCTCTATCTCGAAAATGGCTGGATATGCTATGGATCAACACCGGTATTTCGGATCCTACCAGGCTGCTTACAGCCTTTTTGTGACCATGTCCGAAGTGATTATATTATAGTCGGTTGTATGAATGATTGGATTCTGTGGCTTGAGTTTGATGTAGAATGTTGGACCAATCATTCAATCTCCATTACATATGAAAATTTATACATTATCGAATTGGTATAAACCTAGTGAGAGATTGACTGTACCAATTTCTTACTAATAAACGACGGGATCAGCTTGCGGTGGATGGCAGTTGAAACCAAAGAATATTACAGGCGATTAATAATTTGATGAACTAAGACAGAGTCTCTTTAAGTGAAAATCAGAGAAAACTAGAACTTTTTCTCGGAAAGCTAGCCACTTTGGGCCCTGATATCTTTTTGTTTCACATTAGGGCTCCACACGCGAAGTCTGTTCAGCAGTTGTAGACCAAAGAATATTGGAGGCGATTGATATTTAGATGAACTAAAACAGAATCTTTTTAAGTCAAGACTAGGGAAAAGTAGAACTCTTTCTCAGAAAGCTAGCCGCTTTGGGCCCTTGATATCTTTTTGTTTCACATTAGAGCTCTACACTGTTCGGCAATGCTCTGCGGCATTTAAGCCAGAACCTCCCTTGCTGTTCATCAATCGTGCTCATTCACTGTTGTCTGTGTTTGAGAGCATTCGTTAAACAGTAGCCATTTTTAACCAATCTCCTTTGTAATCATCTTTTCTCACTACCAAACCTGCCTATTCACTTTATTGTTTTCTGCTATATGCCACAAAGGAAACGAGAACTTGTGAAAAATGTCCAACATTATATCTCTTCCTACAGCTATTACTTCCGCATTACTTCTGCTGCATCGGTAACAAAGTGCTCCTATGACATCCCGACAACCGATCCCGCTTGTGCCGCCATCTCATCGAAATCCACGGCCGAAACTATCATGAGCAAATGCTGTGGCGCCGCTTCCATTGTCGCTATTAACAATTGCGCCTATTACTGTCTCACGCAGGGGCAGACCGTCGCTGAATTGGCTGAATGCTTAAACAGCAACGGTCTGTATGATAGTTATTGCAACGCCGCGGCCAATGCTACTGACTCTGCCACTGCTACTGTTTCTGCCACCAGTACAGGCACCGTGACTGACTTGAGTGCGTCCAGTACCACAACGACTGGAGGTGCCAAGTCCACTTTCAAGGGGTTAACAAGTAATGTTGGTGTACTGGCCTTGTTGTTCTACTCTACTTTGTTTTGATTTATGACTTAGGGTTGGGTATGCCCCTTGTTCAGTGCTATGCTGATTGGGCATTAATGAATATCATTCAAGATGCAGAAACTTTACGGATCACGTATGATTTCAGCGAAATTACGCAGCCTTTGAGAGTTGCTGAGCAAGATCGTATCATGCGCTCTCTCTATCGTTTGAGTTATGTTGCGATCTCTTTGGCCTCGGTTCTACAGATATTGTTATATTAGTTAAAGATTGATTCGAGTGAAGGCGAGAGGGGAGTCGATCTAGAGTCGACGTCAATCCGCCCGCACGAAAAATTTAGTGATCAAGGGGAGTCACTTCGTCTATGGGATAAAGAGAGCGTGGATTGGAGCGCTCCATTTTAACTTGTGAAACTTATGAATAGTAAAGATATTTTATCTACCAGGAACTGTGAGGGATACATGTATTTATATTAACGAAACCTAAGGCAATGACATATTGAAATCCTCCTCAGTCCATGACTCGTCGATTAATACGCAAATAACATTTCTAAGCTGCCTGATCCGAAACTGTAAGCGATATCCAAGTAATTCGATTGCACAATCGATTTTGTGTGTCTAATTGGGACTCCATAGTAGCCATCGATTCTTCCAGTTGGCGACATTTGGTGTGTACTTCCCGAAAAGGTTTTCCAGTCTCCATCTCTCGGCTTCCTCTTGGGACAGTTGATGACGTTGACTCGCAAGATCTCCTTTGGCCTTACTTGCACATGATAGTAAATGCGTAATATCGCTGTAGGGCTGAACGGTTTCTTCTGAGGAGTTCACGTCGTCTTTGTGCTTCTAAAGATGTAAGCCTTAGAATGTGGCATATTAGAGTATACTTGTGGTCATATCCTCGATGTTGCAGGTAACTGCCATGCTTTCGATTGGACATGTGCAAGGCCCAAGTTGCAAGCTTGATTAGTTGCTCAGATACGACTGTATTCTAAATACAATGTGATTGAACCGTTCTTAAACGAGTATGCGGAAACTGCTCTAAGTCAAACTCAACCTACAGAAAACTTGTTCTTCTTGTAATCCTTTTTGTTGCCCTATTTCATTTCCTGATCCAGATCAAACATCCATCTTTACGTGACGACGAACGGGAACGCACAGTGACCCCTAATGGCCTAAAACCCCACTGTTAGTTCCCACGGCGTGATTGAGTGCAAGTCATTGGTCGGCCTAGGTTTCTCTACGATCCAATTACAGGAGTTATGATTTACATTAAAGCCTGTGTAGTAGGGAATAAAATAATCATTATATGTTTATTGGCGAAGCGATTTCGAGAATCGCTATATCACGCTGACACTCTATCAAACTATGGTGGACGATAAACAGTTTAACGATATAATTCGTATTTTACTAGTAATTTACGGAGATGGGCACAAAAAGTGGTGAGAATGTGGCGCGCGCTAATGATATTAGTTTCCCTAGCGTGTTATATTGATACATGCCATTACACTATAAAATATGAGGAAGCTTATGTAGCTGTAAAACAGGCATACAAATCGTCAACTCCATGTTGGATTTTGAAGCTTATAAACTACTGCAAATAGATATCTTCAACTTGGGATTAGGCGGTCTAGTCGGTCAGGCCTGTATATGGCCGCGTCGCGTACTGTCGCAGTAATATGATGATCGCGTAATTCAGTCAAGCTCATCCGAATCTCCGTAGATAATGAGAGAAGTTGAGATCTGATTTCCGTGTGCGTACGCTCGGCAGGCCAATATTTGCCTATAAAATCCCCTTTTATTTTGGCAATATTGGCCTCCGGGGCCTTTGAAGATGTGTATTGCTTCGTCTCAGCTAAAATAGGTGTAATAAAGAGATTGGACGATATAATTGATCTTCGCGCAAGTAGGGAATCTGAAGCTATTCCCGGTCCGATTTCCAGTCGTCGTCATCGTCTAGATATGCCCGATTTGAGAGATATCTTTTCTTTCTGATGCGATTCCTAATACGCTTATCTCGTCCGGGTTGGCCCTCTTTATATTCGTTGCCACCTTCCAAGCGAATGATTTCTTGGATATGAAATGGGATTCGCTCAATCCACTCTTGAATTCGACGCTGAGGGAGCCTATCCCAGGCCTCGTACCAATGAATTTTTGCTGTCTTCTTGTCTGCCGGAGCCCCGCGGAGTGTCGTACGCCTTTTTAACCAAAACTATGTAGGTTCGATTGCATTCAAATCTGGCGAATTCCCCGGCCAAAGAAGCCGCATAACCTTATGGAATTCATAAATCTCACGCTGGTGAAAATGGGCGTGCGGAGGCGCGTTATCTTCCATAACAATGGTATCGGAATTCTCCTTGAGGCACTCCTGAGCAAAGGGGGTTAGTAGAGGCAAAAGGATCTCCTAAATCAGGGTTAGCATTGATATCAAATTTATATAGATAATACACTTACTTTCTGATACCGATACCAATCAATTCCACCTTTACCATTCCCTTCAAGCTTCCCTAGTTTTGCGGTAAATTTGAACCGAGGTTTTCTCCCTCTTAGAGAAGAGAGACGAAGGCGTTGAAGTCTATTATTCAACTCCCATTCCTCTCTCGCTTCTTCTTCACGTTTACGATTAGGAATTTCAAGCTCTTTTACAGCAGCTTTCTTAGCAGCAGCGCTCTCCGGTTCGTATATATAACAGGGTCCCTTGTGATAATATGAAAAGGAGCCCCAAAACATAAATTCACAGGCATTTTTGAATCGTCGCTTGCGAACAACGGTTGGATGATACACTTCATAACATCTTCGCCAAACTTTTTGCGCTCCTCGCCGTTGGCCCAGAATAACAGATGTCTCATCGGTCCATATTATTTTCTTGCAATATTCCAATGTCCAATGTTGATGATCTAAACAAAATTGAAGTCGTTTACGCTTCATTTCTTCGGTCAGACCAGGTTTCCAAGTAGGCTTGCATTTGCTAAAACCATGACGCTTCAAAATAGATAAAACAGAAGATTGAGAAATACCGGCTTCATAACCAAGATATTCCGAAGATTTTTCACGACCACAGCGATCCTTGGTTATAGAATCAATAATAGCCTTTTCAACGTCCTCAGTGATAGCTTTTGGACGGCCTGGACGAGGCAAATCTGCAATATAGCATTGGTCAATACGTGCGTTAACAGTGGGATCATATCCACGATCTTTTGCACGCTTCACAATCTTATAGACTGTTTGAAATGGTATATTAAGCAGCTTTGCAACGTCCAAAGGCTCATATTTGATATAAGAACCAAGGATACCACCTGCGCGCGGACTTCTATCGGATAAGATTCCTTTTTGGCCATTTTTGCACGCGTTGAGCGGATAACCTTCGGACTCGCGATCGCTCTATTAAATAGCAGAATATTAGTAATATTACCCCGTTTATTTGGAATAGGGGCTCACAGGCGAGAAAAACACAGAGTAGCGGTGTGATATAATGCTTGGAGTGGGTAGGAATAGCTTCAATTTGCAAAAGCAATATTGAGATTATTGAAACACCAGAAGCCGTGATGTCAGCTTCTGGCGTTTTCGTAAGTACTTGATTTGTTTACTAGATTACTAAGTAATTTTAGTACCAAGCTAAACGACGTGGCGTTGGCACTAATTGTCTTAGTAAAATTAGCTCTTCTCACCACTTTTTGTGCCCACCTCCGTAGTTTATTTTAATAATTAATTATTTATTATTTCTTAGTGGATTTCAAGCCTACTTTAGCTTTGTTATGTGGGGGTAGTGTGGCCAGTCAGAGATCATGCTATCATTTTGTCTTAGCGTAAGTGATAGATTTATTAACTTATTTTATAGTTTTGAATGCTAAAATGCAACTAACAGCTGGATGGCATTATGTAAAAGATTTTGGTCGTAATTAAGGCGTAAATACATTCTCTATATCCCATCTGAAGAACAGACATACCACTAACGCCGACGATCTAGTTTCGATATTGTCCATTCCTAATAAAAGCTCCCATTCTGTAGCAGAAGTCCACCAGTGGTCAAGAGGTATAAATATGGGGGCGAGGACCACTGTGGTGCACTGGTAATAAGGATACGTGGGCGAAGGTGGATACATTACCATCTTATCATCTAGCAACGTCTATTCAACAAAGGCATAGTCCAATCTACGTTTCATGCATTCTGTAAAATACATCTGAGCCTCTCTTCCTTCAGTAATCCCCTTCAAGCTTCTCTTAGCCAAGTCTCTTGTAACTTTATTGAAATTAATATGCTGGCAGCTGTGTAGAATAGGCAATCATAATATTAATTTCAAAGTAAGATTCTTTTTCTTAATCGAATATCAACCTTTAAATCTGTGTCAGAGTTGTTTTATAACACAATTTGCTCACTATAAAACTATTATTTAATAATTTTACTAAAAGTTATTTAAAAATACATAATAATAATACAGTTTTAAACTCGACATTCGAATGTACATGTAGTATGTACGGATCGACATCAAGCACTAGATAGAAATTAGGGGCAAAATGTAGATCAGTGGATATAGCGCGGATCAGAGTTGGTGTCTAGAGGGACTCGCAGGAACTCACTGGAAATTCAATCTCATCCTACCAATCAAACAGCAGGATAAGTGTTGGTATAAATGGCCCCAATACCAACGGTCCGGAAGTCGCTTGGCTGTTACGTTGCATGAACGATTGATCATCAAATGGTAGTCAGTTTGGTGGAGATGTGACCGCGGAGAAATGTGGATAAATCTCCAACAACTGCGGTGCTCAAATGTTTTCTTCATACTTCATTGGTTGTTTCATGGCTGGGCGTTATTTTAGGTGGGGATATTTTATCTCATTTTTATGGTACGGGGTTATCTATATTTACGCGGCTGCCAAGCTGTGGTATGTAGTCAGCTTCTGTTGGCACTTTCAGAAAGGATGGAGAGGATGAACAGACGTAAACAAATGGTTGCTTTAGTTTAATGTAACCATTAGACTGCCTACCAGAAATTATTTAAATAACAAAATTGTTCGTCTTCAATGAACTATTTCTAATGCTTAAGATAATCTTCTATCCTTTTTGACTGTCTTACTTGAATTTAGACATTTATAAAACAAACTATATCAAATACGATTTCCACAAATCAAAATGAAGATTTTCACCGGCTTTATTCTTCTGTTCGGCTTGGCAGCTGCTGCAAGTGCGTTTGATTGCAGTAAAGGGGTAGGTGACAATCAATTTGAATATATATAGATATTATGAGGATATAGCTGACAAGGATCGAGTAGTGCAGCGGAAAAGACGTTTGTGCTGTAAGTGATAATTAATTAGAATAATTCTACATGGCTACTATGATGATAGAGCTGACATGGATTGGGTAGTGCTGTGACGAATGTCGTCTTCAATGCCAAGATTTCGGAGTAAGTGATGATTATTTGAATATATCTGGTTACTATGAGGGTTAGCTGACAGAGATGGATTGGATAGTGCAAATAAATGATATGACTATATCTAATGGATATACTTCATACAAAAGGAGGTTTGTTTTTTCTTATTTCAATAAGACTTAAAATACGCTGCTTATACATGTAGTGCTAATCAACTTCCAGTTACCAAATCAGAGTTAGAAAACAATCGTATTCATTAGTTGGTGGCGGTTTAGGAGGGGAAATATGGGAGATTCAAGTACATATTCCTCGATATGGGTTTTCCCTGAACCTTTCAGGTTTCCCTATATTTCAATGCAAATGCAGGGGATTTTCTTTGTTATATATGAGATATGTATTTATTGGAGAGCTCCTCGGGTGCGCCTCGCAAATTGCAAATATAACCACCAATAAGTGTAGAGAGAAATTTGATGAAATAAGTAATCGCACTACAAGTCTCGCACTGGAGACCACAGGTTGCATTCGTATCGGCCAAGTCAACGGGGCGAAACATTCTTTTTACAAATAGTTCAATGGTTGGTTTTATCAGTAGCCGCCTGAGCAATCAATCGCGCCTATTTGCACACAAATAAGACACTAAAAATTGCATATATTATAACTTCGTCCTCTATGCTTGGTTTTCGAGATAGTTGATACCAGTCATATATAAAAATATTTAGATAGAAACGCTCTTATAATTTAGATTTGTATCTCAATCTAATCGAATTTGTCACTAAACTCATTTTGTTTTAATGCATAGAAAGTCAGACAGAGTGCTTTCCAAGGAGGTGTAGAATCTCGCGACATGTGCAGCGATTTACAAAGGAATCCTACGGAGCTCGAAGTCTCTAGAGCAAGTTAGAGAGTTACTTCTAAGATTGCCCCCAATCTGGATACTATAATCCAGCATGGACGGGCGTTAGACATCAGTCCAGGCGATCACTAGATAATGTGGTAGAACCAGCAACATGCATGAAATTGACACTGCTGAACCTCACAGAGTAACTGAAAGGTAGTGTCAAGCTATGCTGGTTAGGCTTGATGAATTTAAGCCACCAATTCTTCAAGCAAAGAGTCCCTAACGCACTTCACAAAGCCATCCATAGCTGCCTTTTCGTAAAAGGCCTCGTTGTACACCAAATTTAGGCACAGCTGGTCGCGAAACGTCCACACATGGCACACACACTGCCTATTCACTATCTCCAAGCCTATTGACACCCTTTCGATGTGGATTCCTCTCTCGGAAGTGCCTTTTTCCCTGTCTATAAGACGCTCTGCCACCCCAAGACTGCTGATGTCGACGTCGGTTGGTGACGGGGCTCCTGCAGGCAGGCTACGAAGGAGCTTGCACAGTCCTATAGCGTACTCACGATGCGCTGAGATGTATTCTTTGCTTAGGCCTTTACGGTACTCGGTGTGGTAGATTTTAGCTCTCTCCTCCCATGATGAGGCCGCCGGCACAGGAACCATCCATCCGGTAGTGAAAATTGTCGCTGCGTATTCCCGGCCCGAATATGGTTTTGGTAAGAATGGACGGAAACTATACCGGATCGTGCTAGTGTAATGCCTATCTTGATCTCCAGATGCGGCGAGCGTGTAGTTAGCAGTGGCAATCGAGGCATGAACAGCAGCCGTCACGGAGATGTTACGTGCTTTACAAGCCTGGATTACTTTCTTAGTCTCTTGCTCCGTCAGGTGAAGACGGGCAAATTTTGTACCACCAGGGAGAGTTTCTGGCGGGGCGGGCGAGGATATACCGATGGCACCAGCCGCATGGCCGAAGCTTCCAACGCACTTTGCGCCTATTTCTTTGTCGACTTCCGAGGGGTTAGCCGAAAGACCCGCAGCCTCTTCGATCGATGGTGCAAGCCGAGCTACTTCCTCACCCCACGGCAAATTGGAGGCCTCTGGAGGCGGGGACGAAGTTGCCAGCGTAAGGAAGTCATCTGTAAGAAGGAAGGCGCCGACGCCATCTGTTCGCCAATGCTGCCAGTGTCCCAGTAACTCGTTTGTCTTGGGAAGATAATACATAGTAGCGTAGGGACTAACGGCAATAGAAGCGATTAGTTCATCAGCGGTCTTTTCCTCGACCACCTTGAACGTTTCCGAAGCCCACTTCTCAAGAGCTGCACCGTCAGGGACGTCGTAGACATAGGTCGTTTCATCAACGATGTACGCGGCTATAGTCGGATGCTTAAAACGAAGTAGCTTCCAGGCTTCACAAAAGAGAGATGAAAGGTTTTCTTGGGCGAGAGAGCCGATAGGCCTGATAGCAGCGAGGATATTTATTGCCCAGTGCTCGCGATTGAGTGGAAGAGCGGCGTCTCCAATGATCTTGATGAACTTCTCGTTCTCACCAATGGCACGCTCATATCTTCCTTCGCGGACTTTGGACCAAGGCATGCTGACCAGAGTTTCGGATTACTGTTGAATTAAAAAGAAGTGTAAAAATTAGTAAATAAGACTGCCTGACGATGTTGTCTATCACGTCCAAAAAAATGAGATTGATTTTATACCAAACTGGGGGAGGGAGGCACGCACATTGCCAGACCTATTATCGTTTTTTATAATAATACACTGAATAGTTAAGATGTTACTTTCGCACTAGGGAAGAGATAGTTATTGTATTAATGAAGGAAGACGGACTAGACTACGACGATCAGGTTGTCAATTCCAGCTGGGTTTGCAATAAGGAAAACGGAGCCTATGGTTGTCAAGGATAACAACATTGACATGTTGTTATTCGAAATGTAATCTTGATAGGATCTCTAGTACGTAGCTGATAGACCTAAGTGGGGTGGTGGCGTTGAATTAACATGCAGTTAGCACTTTAGCGAGGAGCAGCGAGGCTGTGCCGCCGCGAGATCCACTCCTCACAAAGCCGGTAGTAAGTAGCATATACGCCGACTGGAGGATACTCGCTCAAGTGACAAATACAATTTAACAGTTACATTATTACAGCCATCATGCAAAACAGATACTCTGTACCCTGTACAAAACACGTCACCCTGTTAGCGCTGTTGTATTAACAACTTTTTGTGCCCACCTCCGTAGTCCATGCTCCATGCTCTAATCCATGGAGTCTACACTCCTGGGACAGCTATTGTTGCTCATGTCTCGTTCTATGTTTCTATGTTCCCACGTTATAGTCGCCTTCATGAATGGTTTTTCATATCCCGTACTCTGTACATCCCTCTTTCTGCAGTGACACTTCGGTCGAGAATTCCAACCAGATCGTTGGAACCCCTACAACTGGCCGATGTGGAAGCGAGTCTATCATCCTGTTCTTCCAGCGGTATTTAGTCTTGTTGTGTATGCTCACAATGCTATACTAAATTTCTGTCATGGCGACTATCTGACTAGAAAATCTGCAGCACAATCGGCTCATCAATATACACATCTGCCGTACCTGAGGTAATTAACCGATTTGATGTCTCAGATTCCGCTTCCATAGTGCCTTCCTCGCTGTTTCCCCGTCAGCGTGGGCTTTGGTCCGATGCTCGCAGCGCCCTTGAGCGAGAACTTTGGCAGGGCCTCGAGCTACATGATTTTCCTCCCGATACATGCACTATTCACACTCGGGGCAGGCTTCGCACAAAACTTCGCTACCCTTGTGATCTGTCGTTTTTAGCTGGAATTTTCGCCAGCCCACCACTCGTTGTCAGTGCGGGCACCAATGCAGATATCTGGAAACCAGAGCATCGCGCACTCGCAACAACTCTATTTGCTCTCTACCCTTTTTTTGGACCAGCATTAAGGTCAGGTGTCTTTAATTATGTTCACTATTTGCGAAATTTTTGGTGCTAACAGATTAGACCCTCCATGGGCGGCTTCGCTATTGCTACAAAAGGCTAGCGCTAGACACCATGGATCATCCTATTCTTTGCCATGTTCGCCTATATTCTTGTCCTGGGCATTCAGGAAACGTACAAAAAGATCATCATCTTGTGATCTGCTAAAAAAAAAAAAATGATAGCCCGTCGGGCTGGCAGGCGATGAGGTTCCGCTTTAAGGTCACTTTTCTGCGGCCGGTGAAGATGCTCTACTCAAAACCGATTGTCATTGCTTGGTCGCTTTACATTGGATTCACCTTTGCCGTACTGTATTCCTTCTTCACCGCATTCCAGTACATTGACGTCACGGTTTATGAATTTAATATTCAACAGATCGGTTTAACGTTCATTCCCACCATCGTCGGAAGCTTTCTTGGCTCCGTGAATGTTGTCCTAGTTAACAGGGTAATTTACTAGAAGCGCCACGCAGTATGGAAAGCTCTAGGCAGTACTGAGCGACTTCCTCCAGAGTAGCGCTTGCATGTCTATATGATTGGCGGTTGTGGACTGCCAATCGGATTGTTCTAGTTTGCCTGGACTGCACGGCCAGAAATACACTGGATCAGTTCTCTGATTGCGGCAGTGGTAATTGCGCAGGGGAGACATGTGCATATGTGTAAGTGTCCATCCATTCTCCATGCGAGTAACCTTGACAAGACATGCAGTAGATAAGTGGATTACTTTATCTCCTCGACGTTTATGGGGTGTTAGAGCACACTTGTACACCCAATTTTTAATGATGTGAGGGATAGGCTAGGGGATCCATAGTTGCAAAATAATGGGTTGACAGTTGATTGGAAATAATCTGAATAGGTAGGAGACGGAAAGTTTCTTCAGAAATTGGGCGGCTGCCAATTGATACTCGGATGATAGCTAGATTGCTCTTCCCAGTTTGCATACTTTCAGTCTCAGCTAAGACTTGGTACGTTCCTGAGGTGTCGGCATCGTATCCGGCCTCGACTATCCATTTTTGTTACTCTATTTCTCAAGCATCGGTAAATTAGTTATTATGATTTGTGTTTCTCTTCATAAATTATATGACTATCAACTCTAAGCCAGTGGCCATAGGAGTAAGCGTGGCACAGCCATTGGCTAGGCCCAATGTCACCACTGGCTTTCCCGAATTGTGAATATTGCACTATCTGGTGTTCTAATATAAGAGTTTTTATTGTTTATCCTAAATTACTACCCCCTATATTTATTCTAGTCTCGTTCTTTTCCCTCTCCACTTTAAGACGAAACGGGTTCTCCGATTGCTGTATGGCGTCTTCCCTTCAGTGAAATCTGGCCTTTAAACCTAGTTCCCGTTGCTATTCCCGATTACTTAAACTAAGCCAGCTTCTCCAGCAACAACAGTGCCATTCTCAATGGCAGCCAAGTGGTGCCTAGCAAGGTAGCCATAGGCAGGCAGGTACTTGTCCAGCCATGGGAGAAGCTGCAATGAGCCAGGAGTGTTTCTCCAGTCACGCATCAGATCGCAGACAATAGAAAAGAGGGACACCATATTGACACCTGCGGCTTGCATGCGAAGGTTGGAAGCATCCCGAACCAATGGGGACGTGGTACCAGAAGCTTCAATATTCGCCCAGACTGAGTATCCATCCGCACGCAGGGACAGGGCAAGGAAGGTGGTACCTGTTTGACAGGTTAATGAATATGAAAATGGCTACGAGCAAGAGGAAGCACTCACAAACATCTGTTGTAATACCAGCCAAGATAATCTGCTTCTTATGGGTAGCCTGGACGGCTGCGCGGAACTCAGAATTATCCCAGGCATCGACTTCACCGTTACGCTGAATGAGAGTAGCATTAGGGTACATCTCCAGGATCTCCTTGGGCAGCTGATATTCGTTAGCCATCTAATTTTCATGAGAAGACGCCAGGGCTCTTACCGGTCCATTAGGTCCAGATTGAGCTGAAGTTGTCATGATGACAGGCATGTCAAAGACTTTTCCAAGTGCTGCATGTGCAAGCATGTTGTCCCGATACAACGTAGGGTCCCAGTCACGAGCAATTTGGTAAAGACCAACCTGCATATCCACAACCAAGAGGAGAGAGTCGTTGAGGTTCAAGCGCTCCCATGCCACCCCTAACTTAAGTTAATAATACTGTGCTCTCACGTGGTAAATGATTATAAAGATTATATGAAAGTCTAACCTTTATCAGCAGCAGCCAGGCTACTCAAAGCACCAACTAATGCTACCACAGACAAAAAGCACTTCATCTTGATGGATTTTATGCTGAGCTACCTGCCTCTTGGTTTAGTGACAATTATGTGTTGTTTGCTGATATGATTGAAATTTCTCCATGAGGATGACCACCTTTTTATAAGCATCTCTCTTACAGGCAAACCAAATATCCATTCCAATTCCAGCTGGAAGTATACAAATTTATCAGCAGCGCATAGACAATGTCAGATCTGACTAATATGCTTATATATTCTGATATATATCTTATATTATATGTTATACATATTATATATATAATCCATGGTTATAGACTGCACTAAGTGTCTGAGCAGCTTATGCCTGAGCACACGGCGACACCGACCAATGAGAGCACACTCAATGCTGAACTATGAAATAAGAAATATGTTCAGGTCCCACAAAATCATCAAACCCTCACCATTCCTGTGACTGTGAGTGATTTATGAGAATTAATATCTTTTGAACAGATATTCTAGGTAGTCAATAGACTACACTGCCAATACATCTTAACAGAGACCTCAAGACCGACCCACTCGGAAATTTTTTCAATCCCGAAATGCAGTGGATACATGCAGTGCCAAGCTCAAAATGGGCCATAATCTCAGGTTCATATATCCATATTGCATATCGTGTTTGCTTACTCATGTTATTATTAAATAAAAAGCAAGTAAGAAGTGGATCCACAGACCTCGTGTAGCTGCCATTTATCGAAGGAGTCACAACAGAAGAGATATCTTAGAGGTTTATGGAACCTAAATCAAAAACTAGAAATATATCAATTAAAATTTAATTCTTTAAAATGGACCCTGATACGGGCATCAGCTAGGTTCTTTGGGTTAAGCGTCGTCATCAATTTTCTAAGTAAACTCTTAGAGTTTTTGATCGTTCAGACTAGAAATCCAAATCGCTTGGTTGCCGCTGTCACTGTCAAGTCCCGGGGCTGCTCGGCCCAACCCGCTTCACCTTACAAGCGTCTTAGGCATAGCCCCACCATGTCTAGGGGAGGGGGGCAACTCGGCGTATAGAATCACGTATGCAAAGCCCTAATATAGGGTTATATTAGACTAGAAACGAACGCGGATTTCTCCCAAAGTCTGAGAGAAATCAGTCTAGCTAAATACATATCTGCACTAGCTATCTAGTCCAAGTGTAAATGTCGTCTCGTATTAATCTATTAGGCAATCTATGTGTCTGTAGCCTGATTTAGGATTCGTGGCTGGTATTCTTGTTCAGAACCGTGGTTCGACGGTGTTAACAAACACCGCCTTGCTTGTCTGCATGTGCTGCCTGCGGCCCTAGCTAGGACTTAGGGCTTGAGCGGACGGGAAGCCCTCTTTTCCACACCATATAATCGTACGTGCTGATTCAATAAACAAATTCTATTTATATATTGATACAATAAGAATCTCATGGAGAGCTGTCTTCGCGTGTAGATATCCTAAATGTTTAACCTTGTAAAGTAGTCTCCGAGAAAGAGTACGTATCAAGAGAATTGATGTATTAAAGGATATTGATATAATATGCCGATTTCCCCATCTTCATTCCAGGACATCAGCCTACAAGCATTTTTCGACTGGTGGAAATTGTTTTAATAGGTAATAATAATCGTCTGGTTTAGTAGATGTGGGTCAAACGCTACATGTACATAGTGATGAAGTCACAGCTTCAGGTAATTAAATTCTACTTTTTGTCAACCGCGCTCAAGCACGATCGTCGATCTCTCCTGAGTTCGCTGTCCTGATTCTGACTCTTTCTAATCTATCCTTGCTGCGGCGAAACATTCAAAGGTTGTAGACTCGCGATCGACAAGCTCTATTTCTCACCTCACTGTTAGAGTTCGGTTTTGTCATTCTTCGGTTTGATATAGTGTATATGATCAGCTAGATTATCGAAGATGCTAGAGTCAGAGAAAGAGAAGCGACAATGATACTCCAGCCGCGATTAGAGAACGGACGGTTGTCAGAGCGAAATAGCTTATCCTCTACAATTCCCGCACTTGAAAAACATCGTTTGTTGAGATCTAATCATTATTCAGTTATAACACAGAAGAATAACTTGCCATTCGAATTGATAGATCTTCCGATGATATTGCGTTTACAGACATCCATGAGTCGTAACAGAATGTGGAAACAGTGAATCAGGGTTTGATCCCCAAAGATCAGTTCCAGAGGTTTGACTAACGCCACTAGCTGCATGTTGTCCATTCCAGCGTTAGCATAGCAAACTCTCGCCCGGTGTCCGAGTGATTTGGAAGAAGCTGAAAGGCTAGTGAAACGGCCAATTGGCAAAAGATGCCAAAGACACTACTGAACCCCGCCGACCAGTTTTGCCCCTATAAAAACCGTAAATAACAAGTTTCACACAATAGGACTAACAGACAAATCTTACGTAACAAACTGGCCACTATAATCAGGCTTAGTGATATCCGCTTCCAGATAGACACCATCGCGTTGGTTCAAGTCTGTTGTATCCAAAGGAGGGCGCGATTGTGGGTGCGTAAGACCACAAGACTGTAGTTAGGGCTATACCGGCGATAGCTATGATGACGTACGGCCAGATCTGAAGATCCATGAACTAAAAGAAGAAGGCTAGTGAAACGCCTTTGCTTTAGCCATGTAGAGCAACGGCTTGGTCTAAGGAACAATGTACTATTAACGTACTGTTTGTAATAAATATCGCCCGCAGATATGATGGCCACGGGAAGCGTTCGTTGAATCATCACGAATTAGCCAGGCCTTTATAATTTTTTTCTTCTCATTGCCGTTTAAGAGTGTCCGATGAGCGTGGTAGGGGTTTCCAGTAGCCCTGGGAACAAAAGGAGAGCGATTGCGTCTGCAGAGACTGTAAAAAGTCCTTCGGGCTGAGATGAAAATAGTAAAACACGATCTGTATGCTTGGTAAATGTTAAGGGTGAGACTGACGACGAAGAGCCACCCCCACCCAGCCAACCCACTAATACCTCGCATATGTAAACTGAATGATATAATCAGCACCTAGCACTATGTTGGTTCAGCGGGGATTATTTGGTTCAGATTCCATAGGCAATCTGGCCCTCGCAAACTTGTGCGATGCAATTCCCAAGGAAAATATGCCAAAGAGTCGGCTCAATACAGAGTTTTTATACCACATCGATAAAGCATAGGGACCTCCTGGGATGACGTCACATTCCAACAATCTAACTCGTAGGTCAAGCGTTTCGACTAGAGATTTTTATCTTCCACCCAGCCGAGTAGCAATATTATAAAGAGATATGTTACTAGGCTTTTTACCATGTCTAAAAGTAGCCACGAGACCCCTAAATTGAGATGTTAGCGATAAACAAGAGCATGGTTAAATCGGCCTAACACAACAAGCTTTTACTAACCATGCCACAGTCTGATTACCAACCCAGGATTTTAGTCCAATGTGATACAGCACCATATCAGTAAGGATCTCTTCGAGCATGAGACATTGCAACGAAAAGTAGACTGCGCCTGGTGTGTCCAAATTACTGACTTCGAGAAGAATTATAGCTGCGTTAAGAAGTTGTTTCCGATGTTGAAGTAGTTTTGCGTGATCCCAACGTCATTGAGAAAGTTATCGTTGAAGGTATTTCCACTAGCGCAAGTGAAAAGGCTGGGTCCCTTGGAGTTAGAAGTTAGGGACGAAGACACAGTGAAGAACAGGAGAAGGAACAGAAATAAGAACACAGATGTTGGCACGGTCGAGCTCGATTTCCTAACTAGAATTAGCTCACCAACAGGACGGAGATATTGCTAAGTCTGATAAGCAGTTACATGGAATTTTTCCACTTTTTGGCAAGAACGCCATATCATTGGAGATAAAATGGCTACATACTGCATTAAAATTATATTGATTTTGATTTCGCCCAAGCTATTCTTAATTCAGCGGGGCTAAATAATGCAACAATTGCTGTCTTAAAGCAATAGCGTACTCTATTAAGCCGGTAAATACATACGTCCTCCGTATGGACAAGCGGTGAAAGTTAGAGATCCACAAGTTTGTTTTGCAAAACGAGTTTGTGGGTCTCTAACACTTGGGGTTTATCAAATTTTCATAAAACTCCCGATTTTGTAGGGTTTTTATAGTTTCATAAAACTCCCGATTTTGTAGGGTTTTTATAGTTTCATATCCCGATTTCTGCAGGCTTACCGACTTAATAGCCTTTTTATGATTATTTCGCCCACTTAACATCGCCCAATTCTCCCCACATCTTCCATCTAGTCCACCTGGCTCTAATCTGATCCAATGAGTAAACCAAATAATATCTAACCCTAAACTTGGTGGAAATGACGCTAGGAGATACGCTCATGAATTTTTTTTTTAAACGTGCAAGCCTTGCGAAACCTCTTTATTGTTGTCGCCTGCCACTGGTGCTGCTCGGACAAGGTTATTAATCCCTCAGAGAAAAGGAAACTTAATGGAAGAGAGAAAATATGTAGAATTATGAAACTATAAATTAATATCAGTCTTTTGTCGCCCTTTGATATCTGCACGAGGCTATGATACGAGTAGGTTATATCCTAGCCCTGCATTCTCGCCCTCTCGCCTCTTGTGCGCGCTTCGATGCGTTGCGAGGCAGGTTTTCCTGGACAAAAAACTATTTAAACGGGCTTGAAATGCCAGATCCAGTTTTCTGTGCACGCTTTCTTCTTGTATAACTAGATTCGTCTAGATTGTACGATTTCTCGATAATACTCATTCTTGTCTTATTTTTCTGCATGCAATGGCAACCACGCAAGGCACCTCGCATCACCCAGGCGACAACTGTGCAGCAACAACTTCACTGACCTGCCCTGACTGCGGTCACAAATACCGTCGTTTATATGAATTCAACCGTCACCTGACACCCAAAATCTCATGCCCTGATCCAAATTGCCAGCGGTATTTTCGGTACGATAAAAAGAAAGCTTTCACGCAGCATATACGTACCTGCCATACCGAAATACAGCTCCAGACATGTGACGAATATTTCGAAGGTAATATTCATTTAAAGAAGTATTATTATTTCTTACGTATAGGTATTGACGTTGAGTTTCTATCTCATAGACACTAAAGTCTCCTTAAGACCAATTCCAGGTATCTGCAATCCACCAACGAACGAAACCATGGCCGTGTCAACAGCACAGGAAGGAGGACATGAAACGCTAAGAATTGAAATGGCAATAAATACTGCATCGATAATTGAGGATATCCGTCTAATCCAACCGGATCCATCTAATGGGCTGCTGGAGCCTCATGATTCAAGAACGCGTTACTTCATAGAGCACGATGCACCGCAGTACCAGCAATTGTTTCCGACGTTTCCAATGTTGAACTACTTTAACATGGAGTCAGATCTTGGGGTATAGAGGTTGACCCCTCTATGATGGATATCACCAATGGAGATAGAAACTCATATTGGACAGCCTAACGGCTGGCAGAGATATACGAGAAGTTGGTATCATTCTTTTCTTATTTTTTTATTGCCAATATGTTTTCTCTCCTGTAGTAAGGTTCCTTACAAGGTTCTACTCTTATCACTCTGAGGTTTCACTTTTGATAAACTCTAGGGCAAAATTACCACATATAATTTCGGGTTTACATTCTCTTCTCAACCAAAATAAAATAGAATCATTATTTCGATCTTTTTATCCATTAAATTCACGTTTGCTTTTTCGTCCTCAACTTACATAGGTAATTACTCAACGTTTTTTGTAATTGGTGCCTAAAACTATATTCTGATGACTATGTTCGGCCGATATTATCCGGTCAGTGCGATGTTGTTATTTTACCCCTGATATAGATCCCTAGAACACATATAAGCTTTAATAAGAATTCAACTAACAATAAAATTGGAGATAGTATTCAGAAATACTCAATAATTCGCTAAAGGAATGGTACCACTAGTATTTTCACTACTGCAACGTTCCTCATCACCACCGCTCTTGCCCGGAATCTTTGCAATGTTCCTTCTCCATTTGTCTTAACTTCCGCCTCACGTATTTCCACCCTCGTCAAGATAGGGGGAAAATGCATATCAGCCTTGCATAATCCAACTGCTTTGTAGCCTGGTAAAGGTCAACGGTGTGTATAGATGTCAGAATACAGCCTAGTTTAGTAGACCATATGAACTCTTACCATCTGACCATCTGTATAGAAGAAGCTATAATCAATTCACTTACGTCGCTAGTAGTCTTGGATAAAATGTCCCCGCCTATGAGGGAAATAAAAGAAATATATGAATATCATCTCCCAGTCTTCACAGCTCCTATAGACTCATATTCCCCACATTTGTCCCCTCACCTTGCTCTCCTTGATCATGGAGGACTAGAGTAAAGCAGCAATGTCCATATCACACTTGCATCCCAGAACGGAAATAAAATTGAACCAATTACTGGAATTCAATATATCATCGCGTATCTCAAAGGAGAGCAGTACAGCCGAACTTCACGACCAAATTTAAACTAAAGTTAACTAGGTAGAAGGCTGACTGAATAAAAAATGAGGGAACGGATGCTCCTATTTGTACATCCATTTGACGCATACTACATATGTAATTATAAAGGCTTAATAACTCAATCACCCGAGATCACCCCAGAGGGAGAAGGGCTATTCACCCTCATCACACGACTCATCCTTCGCTGTCATAGAAGGGTCTTCTGGAATTGACCATAGATATAATAATGGCTTAAGTACCCCGTGCGGACGGGAAAGCCTTTCCACATCCTGCAGTCGTATGTGCTTGTTCATAGAAGTAGTATTAATATATCACTTTGTACAAAGGAGGTATGTAGACTAATCGTAATACTTAGCTACTACTCCACCGATGATAGGCTGCTCTCCAATTTCACTCCGTACCGAACCTTTGTCCACTCCCCTGGCCACTCTAGCCTTCACCCACTCGCCAGCAGTAATTCCGACCGCACTATTATCGGTCGTTTGATCATATCCCAAGCGATTCAGTACTTCACTCACCACTGGCCGTAGCTCGAGATCATCCTCTGGTCGGACAAAGTACAAAACACCAAGGCGGTCGACGTCCCTCTGATCGGGTGGGGGTGCGACGACACGGTGTATACTGCTCTTGAGGAAGCCATTGGTGAGGAATTGGAGAGAGTCGGCGAGATTCACCGTGATGCTCCCCGGATACGGCTTAACCCACTTCCACTCGCCCTCAGGGGTGCGGACCTGCAGCGCGGCCACTGGTTGGCGGAACAGCAATGTTAAGCTGCCAAAGTCGGTATGACCCTTGGCCCAAATGCCGGAAATCTTCTCGTTCTCCTCATCAGTACGTCGGTGGTACTTCATGTACCGCAGATGGCAGTCGCTCTTCTTGTCGTATCGATGCACGTTGAGGAAATAGTCCTCGGGTAACTCGAGGATGATGGCGAAGAGCGTGAGGAGTTTGCGCACAACTTCGTCATTGATATGGCGTGCGAAATTCTCGATTATAGGGCGATTATTATTCACAATGTCCGGTTGGGGACGTTCAAGGGCGGGAATGAATTTTGGAATGTTGTAGATTTCGGTATTGTCAAAAACACCCGGACTGATTTCCTGAGCAAAGGGGTCAGTAAGGACTGTTTGTACAACACATATGACCGAGTTTCGACTTACGCGGAGACCCGCTGGCTTGTAGCCATTGTAGCCACCTTTCTCAAGCTCGGCACGATATTTGAGTTTCTCCTCGAGTGGGAGCTTGAAGAGCTGCTGGCCAATAGAGAATTGGCGGTCAACATCTTCCTGCGAGAGGCCAAAGTTGATGATATAAAAAAAGCCTAAATCAAAGTAAGTATTAGAGTACACAGAAGGCGAGATGGAATCATATACTACTGACCTATCTTCTGGATAGCTTCAAAAAGTTGTTTGGCTAACTGCTCCTTACCACCAGGACGATCAAACTGAGACAGATCCAAGGTGGCGAGGTCCGCCCAGTCCACTACATGCAATCACACATTAGCCACTGTCTCAAGTCTCAAGTCCATGACTGGACGCAGAAGACGAACAATCAAAAGAGGTCTCTGGGACCTGATGGTAGGTCGGGATATCACTGCCCGTAGGAACCGGGTCTGGGGCTTGCACCAAAGTTGCCATGGTGATATATCAGGATAACGTATACTAAATCAATATAATCACGGTGAGTTGGAGCAAGACGGTCTTCAGTGTTATTGCGGAGACAAACGCTGTTGGAGAGATGGGGTGTTTATCAAACCATCGATGCTCTTGACTTCACAGAACTTCGCAATTAACAAATGATCTTACTATAGACTCTATTCCAATCGGACCTTTTTTTTATTTTTTGACTCTATTCCAGACACCATGCAAGGCCATTAACGGCGTTAAGATCGTTGGAGCAAGCTCAGGTGGATCTCCGCTTTGCGCCACATGGAATTGCGGATCTCATCATAATATCCTCCGTTTGCGTGATCAACAATAATACCTGTGTAATTTCGACCAATGAGAGCTTTGCCGGCCGCTTCCTGCAAAAAAAACAAAACTATTGAGAGGTCGATATGATGTCGAAAAGAACTCTCTTCAAGGAATATACTCAACCTGCTAACTACATGACGACTTAACTGATTTCCCACTGGAAATAAATTACAGACCAGAAAGGAAAATAACATTGGGGCATGGAATTTTCCCAGAAATATCCAAATAGACTGTCTCTCTAGGTAAAATCCAAGCGACGATTGAAACAACGAAAGTCTATGTATATCAATTGATATCGGATAGCTAGACCGTAGTATTCGCAATACTTGTGGACTATGATACAACATTGAAAGTCTGTTATGCTAGGGTTGTATATCTTGGTGGAAGCTTCTATTATTTATTTCAGAGAGTTTCTGGACTGTTCAAACTAGAGGCGAGACTTGCAATCTAGTAATAGTCGCTTGCATTCAACGGTGCTTTCTTTACATCGTACTGTCGACAGCAACACCGCGACTATGGCAGACATAGAAAACAAGCATGCTGCATCCAAGATCTTGGGCAGGGCCACGGCTACTGATACTGTCTCCACCAGTGAGAGCGATACCAACCATGAGTTTCATTTTGCCAGACGTGGCCAGGCTCTCACAGAGGCCTCATCGAGCCAGGAAACCATTGATGGCTACGATCCGGGACTGATGAGTGGCAGGACACTGCTGACGGCGGAAGAAGAGAAGAAGCTGCTACGCAAGATTGACTGGCGGTTGATGACGCTTTGTTCACTCATCTTCATGTTCAAAAATCTGGACAGCACCAACGTGCGTATGCTACTCATCCAGTGGTACAATATAACTTACAGCTTCGCAGACATCCAATGCTCGAATCATGAACAAGGGAACGAATCAGAACATCATGACGCAGCTCGGGATGACATCCGACGAGTACAATCTCGTGACTGTCCTGTACTATGTAAGACAAGACGTTGATTTCACTCAGCTATCACGGCGTATCGCTGATCATGCACGTGCTAGGTCCCATACATTGTGTTAGAAGCTCCCTCGAATCTGCTGCTCAAGAGATTCTCTCCTTCAAAATGGCAGTCAAGAATTATGATCACCTGGGGTATCGTTCTGATGTGCAATACTGCCGTGAAGAATAAAGGCGGCTTATATGCAACACGGTTCCTACTGGGTCTGGTACGTTTCTATACCGATAGGTCTCTGGATTTCAAGAAAATATCTACATGTGAACTCAACATTAGCCATGAAACACACTAATACCACGACAGGCCGAGGCTGGACAGTTCCCCGGCGTCATTCTCCAGATGACTTACTGGTATCGCCCCGACGAAATGTCCTTACGACTTCTCTACTTTTGTAAGCCGCACACGATCTAGTCTTAGTTATTTACGCTGTTGACTCATTATATAGATTTTTGCGGAAACATCTCGGGTATATTCGGTGGGTTACTTGCCTATGCGTTCGACACTGTATCTGGCGCAGGAGGGCTTTCCGGATGGCAATGGTAACACACTCAAAGCCACTCCTCTTAAGTCCATACTGAAATTATTACAGGTTGTTCCTCACCGAAGGTATTGCGACCGTCATTTTCGGTGTTGCTATTTGGTTCCTGCTTCCAGATTGTAAATCTCCCTTTCTTACGCTCACAATGCACAGCCCTTTACATATGTATTACTTGCTAATATGAGAATGCGATGTAGTTCCCGAGACAGCAAAGTGGCTGACCGAGAAGGAGAAGAAGTTTATACAAGCTCGACTACCATCTAACTCTCCTCGTGCCAACGAGCAAAGCTTTAACTTCCGTGAAATTATTGCGTCGCTAAAAGATCTAAGACTATGGCTATTTACGTTGATTTGGGCTACCTTTACTGTTGGAACCAGCGGTGTCACTTTCTATCAATCAACCGTCATTGCTGACCTCGGTTACACGTTCGTTCTATACTTTCTGCACCTCTGTTGAAGAGACAAGCTGACAGTCTCTTAGAACCATTGCACAAGCCCAACTACTCAATCTCCCTATTACGGCCTGCGGTCTCTTGTTCATTGCCGTTACAGGGGTCTTAGCTGACCGCAGCCGGATACCACGACCGCTGTACCCGCTTTTTTGCCATCTCGTTATCATAGTCTGTTACGGCGTCTTTGTTGCCTATCCGAGCACCGGTGCGGTATATGCCGTAACGTTGATCGGAAATGCCGTGACGACAGGGTGGTACCCCGTCATGTGGTGCGTTTTTATACCTTCCTAGTCCAGATTCCTATCAAGTATATATAGCTAATGATGTGAAATAGGCCATGGCGAGTACAAACCACCGCCCGTGCGACAGGCTCCGCCTTCTCGATCGGCTTCGTGAACAGCTACGGCCAAATTGGGGGTGCCATCGGCCCGCAGATATTCAAGAGCATGTACGCACCACACTACAAAGTGCCTTTCTCCGTGGCCATGGGTCTTGTCGGTCTTTGTGCGATCTTAACGATTGTGACATGGTGGGTGACTTTTGACACGGAGCGCGACACGAGGCGGCTGAAGCTGGCCAAAATCGCGGCAGAAGAGAGGGGTGAGACAATTTTGGAAGATGTGGTGGACAATGACTTGAAAAATCATTAGAATACAGGTCTGGATTAGAGTGGGAAGTAGCGATATATTAACCGTAACCGAAACTACAGCAGTTCTAATTAAGAAGAGGTCTATGTAAAGCAATTTAAAGTTAATTAATATATGCTTCGTGTTTGGAGGCTCAGCTAGCTCGTCTTCAACTGTGTAAGGAGGGCTTATTGAACGCTGTAGTAGAATCCGTCGTATCCAAATACACATCAGCGCGTCTTGATTGAAAACGTAAACCGCGTAGGGCTAGTCTGAGACCGTATGGTTTGCTTCACTTCCCAAAGTAATTGGGCCGTTGATCAACCCCCAGGATTGAGAAACGGATGATCCATCAGTTCGCGAGCTGTCTTCCTCTCCTCCGGGAGTCAGATGAGCATTTGCTGAACAAAAGATAAGAATAGATCTGCCAGTTAGATTAGGTCTTTATATTTCAGAATAGGCACAGGAGAATAGCGACAAGCACTCACCCGCGTAGGCAACTTTCACTCTGAATGAAGATAATCAAGGCCAACATGGAGGATGTAGATATAAGCCTTGACGATGGGCAAAGGGAGCTAAGGAAGCTTGCGGTCAACGAAAAGCCTCTGTAAATTCCAGAGAGGCTCTCTAATCAGTTCGTAGACAAGACACAAGTGCTTTCCTTCCGGACCAGTTACTTCGAAGTCATCTAGGGAAAGGCTGATAGCCGGTTCTGGTTTCTATCCATTGTGAGTGTCTGTTATTGTTTTGCTATAAGGTAGCATTATCTACTGTGTAGCTCTTGAATAACACCTAATGGGGTGTACGCCTTTTCGGCAGAATCGTGGTCATTGCACACGCCTGCTCATACTCCGTGCACACCACGGTTTCTCGCAAGATTGTGGTCATTGCATATGCCCAGTCACTGCACACGCTTAGTGGATACGCACACCGTCCCATATCTTGCTTAGTTTAAAATTATCGATTTTAAGGGAGAAATAAAATTAAGTGGAAAAAAGAGTATTCTAAAGATCCCGTCTAATTGAATACGCACCATATTTACATATGTCCATCTTTAGCCTTTGGAAAAAGTTTGACAGATTCTAGAATTTACTAAATAATTAATAATTTAAAAAGAAAATACATTTATATATTGAATATATAATAGATATTCACATCTAAAAGATCTTTTATTCAATTACTTATGGATCACACTAAAATAGATTTAAGGTTTTCCATACAAAAAAGGTCCGAGAAAACCTCCGACTCCATACATACCCCTCACAATTTGTGGGACTGCTCATGTGACTTCGACCTCGAAATTATTCCTCTGTATCTCAAGATTGGTAACAAAGGTTTCCAGCATAGATAGCCCTGGTACTCCGGCTTATATAGCTTGGACAATGAACTCTTGTGAAGCAAGAGCTTCGAGCGACCCCTACTTCGATCTAGGGACACTGAGTCGCAAAGTCAGCACCAATTCGCAGGAAGCCCAGACATGGTTTGACCGGGCGCTTGTCTGGACATATTGCTTCAACCACGATGAAGCAATTACCTGCTACAAGCAGGCGATCGCGCACGACGAGAACTGCGCAATGGCGTATTGGGGGATATCCTTCTGCTCCGGTTCCAATTACAACAAAACGTGGGCACTGTTCGACGAACGGGATCGGATCAATGCAATCAAACAGTGTTATCTATACTCTCAAGAAGCTCTGGCGCGGGCAGTGAACGCGGCAGAGTGGGAGCAGGCTCTCATCAACGCGCTTGCGAAGCGGTACCCAAATGATAATCCAACCAGGGATCTTGCGGCGTGTAGTAGATCATACGCCGACGCTATGCGGGAAGTGTATGTGAATTTCGGCAAGGAGGATTTTGACATCATTACACTCTTCGCAGATGCATTGATGAATTGTGCGCCACGGAAGTTGTACGACGCTTCTACGGGTCTGCCCATCGCATCTTCCCCGGTCTTTGAAGTCAAAGACCTGCTTGATCGAGCGTTGAAGATGCCGGGGGTCGACCAGCACCCAGGCCCCGCACATATGTATATCCATCTGATGGAAATGTCGGCAACACCCGAAGCTGCGCTGCCGGCAGCAGAGATGATTCGCGAGATGTTTCCTGATACGGGGCATACGTACCACATGCCGGCGCATATCGATGTCCTTGTGGGCGACTATCGGCGGGCGGTGGAATACAACTTCAAGGCGACGGTGGCAGACGACAAATACTTTGAACAGAATGGCGGTCTAACGTTCTACAGCTACTATCGGCTACACGACTACCACTCGCTCATCTACGCGGCGATGCTGGGCGGGAAATCAAAGGCAGCATTGTCAGCGACGGATCGAATGGAGGCGACCATTACAGAAGAAATCCTCCGGGTCGAAACGCCTGCGCTCGCGAACTGGATGGAGTTTTTCAAGGCGGTGAGAGTACATGTGCTGATTCGTTTTGGAATGTGGGAAGAACTCAAGAAACTCGACCCACTGGAAGATAAGGAGCTGTATTGTGTCACCAATGTGATGAGACATTATGGCAAGAGCATCGCGTATGCAGCCACAGCGCAGCTCGAGGAAGCCGACGCCGAACGAGAGCTCTTCCACGCGGCTTCTACGCTTGTGCCGCCCACACGCCTCGACTTCCCGAACAAAATTACCGATATTCTCAAAGTCGCGTCAGCAATGCTGGATGGCGAGATTGAGTATCGGCGCGGCGATTACGAGACTGCCTTTCGCAGATTACGCGATGCAGTTAGGCTAGAAGACGAGCTACCTTTCGCAGAGCCGTGGGGATGGATGCTTCCGGCACGGCATGCATATGCAGCGCTCTCGTTGGAACAAGGCGAGGTTGAGCAGGCAGCGCAAGCTTATGCTGAGGATTTGGGGCTTGATCCAACACCCAAGCGTGCGCATCAACACCCGAATAACGTCTGGGCTTTGCACGGCTATCACGAGTGTCTTCAGCTTTTGGGTCGTCATGCGGAGGCAAATATTATCAGGAAACAGCTTTCGCTTGCGCTGGTGGAGGCGGATGTTGAAATTACGTCTTCATGCTTTTGTAGGCTTGGGAACTTGCCTTCGTGTGGAAAGCGTGGAAAGCCGAAGGTGAATGGTTGTCATTAACCATTTTATAAATCTTTACCTTTCGGCAATCAAGACGTTCCCAAATATTTCTATCCATACATTCCATATAGAGAGTCGATCTGTAGCAATCTGCATGTTAGATGCTCATAATACGTAGAGACACAAAGAAGTAGGCAGTAGGCATATCTCAGGCTTCAAGCTCTTCGGCACACTTCAAAACAACAAGTCATACACACTCAAAACGGTTATAAACGGGTATCACACAACAGCATCAGCAACCTCCTTAATCATCCCCCTCACCTCATCAACGATCCGAAAACAAGGAATCATCTTCCTCGCCACGGGGTTCTGCGGACAAAAGTCCAGTGGGTCATGATCACCGCCATACTCCTTCTTCCGACACCGGCCTTCAGGATCCGGACAGGCTTCATGGCCAACCAAATGACGATTACGTTGCCTCTGCGCAAACTTCTTGCCTAGGACCAAAAGCCGTTCAGCATCAGATTGGAGGCCGTGCATAACTAGCTCTTTGAACTTCTCGCCTGTAATCTGCAAATGCAGGTCCGACGAGATTCCGAGCCGGGAGTCTTGAAGATAAACGGTTTCTCTCTCGTTCCGGACATCCAGCTCAGTGCAGTGTTTATTCAGCCAGTGCAGGTACTTTAGGTACCCGGACGTTATTTCGAACATCAGGTGGCCGATCAGCAGCACGTTTTGCACGGTCACTCGCGGCGGCTTGGACACGTCGTAGCAGATCGGACAGGTCAGCAGCCTGTCTGCCAGCGACACGCCGGTGCGAAACATCTGGATGATGTCGTGCGACATATCCGCTCGGCTCAAGTTCCGGACCAGCCCGGAAACCTCCTCGTCGCATTTACAAGACTGTGAGAACGAGATGGGCGAGACATACGCATCCTCGACAGCTACAGGGGCGGTGTCGAGATCATGCTGCAGGCCGTTCTGCTGCCATAATTCGATGGGAAAGGAACGAATATCCCCATTGCCGAGGGAGTCCCAGTCGAAAGCATCGAATCCGCAGGATCCGGACAGCTCACATGGTAATGGTCCCTCCATTAGCGTAGCCGTCGTGGTATTGATGGCTGCCTCCTGCGAGTCAAGAGCCGCTTGAGGGACGACCGACGAGAAATCCCAGGAGTTTGGAGATGGCAGGTCTTGGTCTGGTTGCTCTTGTCGTGGCCGCTTTCTCGGCCGCCCAGGGGCTCCTTTGTCTTTGAATCTACACGGCAATGACAAGCCCCTGCACCGGGAGCAACCACTCTTTTCGCCTGAGCATCTGAGCTTCCGAGCGCCTGTGGTCGTCAGTCGTTCATTTCAGGAGGATGAGAGGACGGCGGCTTACGGCATGCTTCGCAAGACTTTCGTTCCTGTCGAGTGGGATTCATACTATACTATATATATATATGTATATATATTGCGAGTATCATCTAGCAAGAGGCAGGGCGGAGCTGATGTGGAATTGAATTACATTGCGGTATTGGTCATTCTGCGCTGCGATGGCGTCAACTCAGCTTAGCGGGGTCGTCGTCAACCGTTTCCACTATTCCCAAGCTCTATACTCTAGACTCTAGTTAGTTACGTAGCAAGACTTGAAGCCTTAGAAATGATTCCAAGGATTTTTCCAAGGCATCGCTAGAATCTTGCTGCAATGTAGAAAGATAGCTTGTGCACACTATCAAAATTAATGAAATTAATGTCATATGGTATGCTACCAGACCAATACCACCAAACACATTGATAGATACAAGCTTCACCCTGTGTACATTGTGTACAGAGCTAAAATTGCAATTGAATTCACTGCTCATATTAGCAGATGACCAGCTCATCTTGATATAACATTTGAACAAATGGCCTAGACTGAGTCTCAATGCGCGGATGTTTTGCAGCGCATTTCCGTCGCTTCCCCACTCGAGGCAAAAATATCCGAACTCCATCAATATAATATATTCATAGACATATGAACTAATAATACTCAGCCTTAGTATTAAGGGCAAACCCCTGGTGCAGAGTAACAACCTCTGCAGTGTGCAGCTCTTGCTTATTCCAGCGGTTCTCAAAACATCGTTTAGAAGGGGAGACGTCCAATTCAGGGTGTAGAGAAAATGGCAAAATCCATAAACGCGCACAATCTCCGGCAACACTGGATCAACAAACATGAAATCGCGCTCCTCGACATCCGCGAAGAAGGCCCGTACGCGCAATCCCACCCCCTCTTCGCCATAAGCGTGCCCGTCTCGGAAATCGAAAAGAAACTACCTGCACTAATCCCACGCTTATCAGTGCCTATCGTCGTCTACGACTCCGGCGAGAACTACACTGAGCGAGCCGCAGCCCGGATCTTAGCGCTGGGATACCGCGATGTTTCTGTCCTGGAAGGCGGGCTGGCTGGGTACGCGCGCGTTGGCGAGGTGTATCGCGATGTGAATGTCCCGTCCAAGGCGTTTGGCGAGCTGGTGGAAGCGATCAACCACACTCCCTCGCTACCCGCGCAGCAAGTAAGAGAGCTTCTAGACCGGCAAGGGAATGGTGATGATGTGGTTGTGCTGGACGCCAGGCGCTTCGAGGAGTATACCACTATGAGCATCCCGCATGGCCGTAGCTGTCCCGGCGGAGAATTGCTCTATCGGTTTTTCGAAGCCGTGCCAGACCCCAAAACGACTGTCGTCGTGAATTGTGCTGGCCGAACACGGAGTATCGTCGGTACGCAGTCTCTCATCAATTCGGGCGTTCCGAATAAAGTCGTTGCGCTGCGCAATGGGACCATTGGATGGACATTGGAAAGCTTAGAACTAGACACGAACAGGACAGAGCGGGTAGCACAGCCTTCAAGCGAGGCATACCAAAAGGCGCGGCGGTATGCTGAGGCCTGGGCTGGGCGTGTTGGCGTTGAGGTGATTGATGGTGAGCAGCTAGGTCGGTTTGTCGCAGACAAAAATAGGACGTTGTATTTGCTGGATGTGCGAGACCCGGAGGAGTATGCTGCTAATCACCCGCGGGGCTTTGACAATGCGCCCGGCGGGCAATTGGTGCAGGCCACGGACGAATGGGTGGGTGTTCGAGGGGGTCGGATTGTGTTGTACGATACAGACGGTGTGCGAGCAAGGATGACGGCCAGCTGGCTGGTACAGCTCGGATGGGAGGTATATGTGCTGGACGAGCGGAGTCCAGTACCAACGAGCCTTCCGACGAAACGCACGTTATGGCATTCTTCAAACTCTGCAGGTGCTGCGATTACGATCGACGAGCTTCAAAGCCGAGCTGGTGCCACGGTCGTCGATCTCGCCCGCAGCACGGCCTACGTCAAGGGCCATATCCCCGGTGCATGGTTTGCTTCTGGACCCGAACTCGCGCGAGACCTGAGAACTGTCGTCGGGGATGGGCCCATCGTCCTGACCTCGCCAGATGGCGACGTTGCCGCTATGAATCTTGACGATGCCCGCAACGCAGTCTCGCGAGAAGTGTTGTATTTGTCCGGAGGCACAGCGGCCTGGGTAGCAGCTGGCTATCCGCTCGAGACCGAGTCGCGGTGGCTTTCGCAGCCAATCGATGTATACAAGCGGCCGTATGAGGGGACGAGTAATGCTAGGAAGGATATGCAGGGGTATCTGGACTGGGAGTATGGGCTTATTGCGCAGTTGGCGAATGATGGGGTTGCTGGATTCCATGTTATGAGGGATACAGTATAAGAGACTTAATCTATTTGACGTCTGGCATGACGGCCTGTGGACTGCTTGGGATATTAATAACGCATCGTGTGTACAGTATAGAGAAATGTCCAACAGTACTTGTAGACTGCGAATAACTGTATTCAGGGTATCTAGTCATTGCCGCCAATCTAACTCATGAATGCGTCATAAATAGGCTATCAAGGAAAAAGCGAAAGACTAGTCGATAACTAGACAATAGGCACTAAAATTACATCTGGGTCCTTTGTACCCGTTTTAAACACCAAAACACCGTTGGTCAGTCCCAGGTCATGCTAAGCCATGAAATGCTAGCTAGAGGCAGCTGATGCCACAAAAAGTAAAGACCAGACCAGGTCTCGTTGAACCAAAAGAAATCCACCTCAGGATTAAGGTGGGAAAGCTCAGACAGCAAAGCCCGCTTTGGTCAAAAGCTGAACTTAATGGCGTCTGTCGGTGACAGACTGTATTAAAATGACGTGTCAAAAATATTCTCAAATATTACCGGTCCTGATGCAAACAATGCGAACATTAAAGGACTTCGTCAATATTCCTCGTGATAAGAAGTTCACGCCGTTGAGATGGCGATCGGGGGTCGAATGGCGGCTGTTCAAAGCCAAAGTGAGACGGCGCGTCTCCCGCCAAGTCTCCAGCCAGGGTTCGCGAAAGCGAAGAGCACATATATGGAGCTGCCCTCGGTGACAAGATCGATGGCGATGCCGGAACGTCCTGCATCACTAGGTCCATCTGTACCGATGGATATCGGGAATGGGAAGGTTTGCGTGATTCGGCTTTCTTAGTAAAATGGCCTGTTTGGAAATCTTGATACTTCTCTCGCAATGGGAGCGGCCGTGGCGATATTCCTCGCACTCGAAGCCCAGATTTGGATTTTCGGAGCTGAGGCGTAGCTTTTGTGACGCGGTCCGTCGATTTGGACGGCTCAGTATAGCTCACTGGTTTCAAAAACACACGCTCAGGCTCCGTCTTGCGAGGCTCAGTCGTATCCATTGGCTCAGGCATAGAAAATGGCGGAGTTTGAGAAGGCTGAGATAGAGGGCGTGTTTTGAACCATTCATCGTTAGGGGCTTTTGATGGTTCCCCACGCTGTAATCGAGCCCGAAAGTCAGTCAGCTGGTAGATCAGACTCATGTTTGGCCCGACCCAGCAACTTTTGTTCTTGACAATGCTATACATGTCGTTGAAGTCCAAATCCCGATTTTTATATAAACCATATGCGATGACCAGAGAAGCCGATCGGCTGGCTCCAAGCTGACAGTGGATTAAAACGTTCTTGCCTTGCGATATACGATCATCAATGAGCTGACACAATGACCCTAAATCATCCAAGATTTCAGAGTTATGGTCCCACGGTACATGGATGTATTCTGGTACTGTGCCGTTCTCAGCCTTTGGTGTAGTTGGACTTTCAGAATCTGGCATGACCTCGAATGCGGAGTGGAAGGACGCCTCAGAAATGGCAGTCATTGGTTCTGCAATCGAAAACCTCTGGGCGACAGAGTAAGGTCGTCTAAGGGTTGAGACGACAGTATTTGTTTTTTCAATGTCGTCCGCAAAAGGGTTCACAACCTCCTTGGCAACATTCACAACGACGTCAAACTTGCAAGCCTCGGCTCGTGTCGGTTCCAAAAACAAATAAACTCCAGAATCATATATTTTGATAGGGCCATCAGGATAGCTCTGCTCGGTGCGTTTTGTCGACTCACGGGAGTCTGGATGATAATCTTCTTCGACCACTTGCTGTAGAGCAGGACCAGACTGGGAGGCAGGAGAATCTTCTTGCCAGCTTCCTGGCATACGCGGCATGCCATCACGCGTGGAAGGGCGGGGAAGTTGCATGCCACCGGGCGGGGCTGTGGTGGGCGAGAAAATCGACGCCAGAGACGGCGAAGACTCAAAGTGTCGTAGAGAACGCTGCGGAATACTCGGAATACTAATACTCGGTGTTGGAGGGACTATTTCAGTAATACTTCGAGAAAATGATTGATCCAAAGAAGGTGTACGAATAGTCAAGTTGGTGGGTTTTCGACGACCAGTTTTGATCGGTCGATGAGACGGTGACGGAGGTGCTGAAAAGTTTTGAGATGTCGTTTCCATAATGGATGCAGTTGATACTGCCGGGCGAAAATTTGAGCATGGCATTCTCAAGGACAAATTCTTCAGGTTCCGAGCCCGTCTGCTGGGCGACGGGGCTCGAGCCAAGCTCCCAATCGGCTGGGCTAGCTGGACTGATATCGACGGTGCATTTGACACAGGATGCATGGCAATCCGTTCTGAAATCTCCGGAAGGATCATTGGTTTCGGGTAGGATATAGGGAGCGCAGAGGGAGACTCGGGCGAGGAGCTCGGCGACGTGTCTGTCACAGAGGGAGTATCAAAGGTTGAAATGGTGGTGGTGGGTGAAGACCCAGTAGATTCAGATACCGCAGAGGAGACGCTTTCCCGGTGCTCAAAGGAGATCGGGGTCTCCCCAGTCGGAGGAAAAGTGGTTTGGTTTGGCTGTTGTAGCGTGTGTGTATTTGTATTATATAAATGGGGATTGTCTTCCCGCTGTGAGTGTGAGTGCAAGGCGCAGTTAGGCGCATCGCCGAAATCGCGAGCAAATGGTGATAGCGAGGTGGAAACCAGCGATGGACCTGTTTGGACGGGCATCTTGAACGTTGAGAAAGCCGCCAGCCTGCGTTTGGGGGGAGCCCGTCCGCGGTCGTAGGATCTCAGCAAGCGTGCCTTGGAGCTATAGCATTCGGAAGGGTCGAGAGTGATATATGTCGAAGTTGCTACCTGCGCAAACGACCTTTTCAGGTGCATATAGTCAGCGTCGACGGCGTTCATGGCAGACAACAACAACTACTACTAGAGTAGAACGACGAGTGGCGTTCATGACAGCCGGTCACTCGATCTCTTAAGAAAGCGAACAGGCAGACTGTGCAGGCTGACAGAGGTGGTCAACATACCAAAATAGACACAGGGGCCTAACAAAGGTAACAGTTCTCCGTCGCTAGGCAGGGTGACGGGACGTCGACAGTTTTAACAGCCCAAGTCGAAGGACGAAACAGCGATACCCACCGCGGTGGGGGAATCGGTCGGTTGGCAGAACAACCAGGCCAGCAGGAGCAATGGTATAAGAAGGATGGGCCCTGAAACAGTCGATCCTCCAGGGAGCGCTGTTGACGGGTGAAACAGTGAAACAGGAGTGGAGGGGGCGGTGTTGAGAGGGCAAGAAGAGAAGATGAGGATAGCCGCCGGGAGGGCAAGTACTTTGGGTGAGGAGGATATGGCGGGCGGCAGGCGGAGTAAAAGAAGGCAGGCGAGCGGACGGGAAGGTCCGACCGAAATCCCAGATCTTGGCAGGCGTGACCAGGAAGCAGGGGGAGGGAAGAAGGGAAGGAACGAAGGGGGGGGGAGAACAACTTGCCGGTACACAAAGGCACCAACAGGCAGGAAGGAAGGTTGCAGAGGGAAGGTGCGACGCACGACGGACTCGAAGGCAAGAGCAGCGCAGTGCAAGTTGGTGCAGCAGCAACTGGATTATTCTTAGTTACTGAGGACAGGCCTTCTTGAGACACGAAGAAAGGCGGGCAGGCGCAGGGCCAATGGCAGGCCCGGCGCAGTGGGGCGCTCTCCAGATTTCGATTAGCGCGGCGGCGTCGCGGGCCACTCACAGCCAATAGGGGGCCGCAGGCTGTTAGCGGCATCGCCTTGCAGGGGTTGCAGCTCTAAATTTAGCTCGCGTGCCAAAATATTATTAGCTGCAAGGAAAGTCTGCTAAGTGGGATGGGCGGCAAATGAGGCCTACCCAGAGGCTGCTGCAGCCATCTGCAGCCATACTGCGTGTCGTCACGGCTTTACTGCCTGATTATGCCAATTAGCATATCAGTACTACCTATTACTCAGCATTAACCATTAATCCAGTACGTACATGGACGTGGTGGCATCCCTGCTACTTATTGTTATATCATGGAGGCATGAAAAGGCCCTGACCGTGCCCCACTTGGCTGTTAGCGCCAGAAAATCGCCGAGTTCACTAAGCAAGAGGGCCTGCTTGGAATATTATTCACATTTTACAGTAACAGCCGGATTCATCTCTACTGTAGTAAGTATATGCGTACCTAGTACATATGTAGTATGTATATACTATGCTTGTATCAATCCTTCCAGAATACTGCTAACGTCGAGCGATCCTCACAGATCAACTTATGCTGATTTCATGCTTTCCCCTGAATCCGGTAAAGCGTCGATCGTGCACGCACCAATGCTGGTCCCAGCCGCGTTCGAGCTGGAATTTTACTACCTTATTACTACCCATATTATTGCTGTTCTTGCTGCTACGAACCATGCAACGTCGCAACGCTTATTTAAATAAGAATCTACATATAAATGAAGACATTTGCTGAATACCCACTGTAGTGACTATACAGTGTGTATGGACATGATTGAGTACCAGCGGTCCGTGATCCAGTCCAGTGCTCGTCTCGAACTATTGTTTCAGTGTTTCCAAACTACGAGCCTCGGTGGGGCAGGCAAGAGTACTTGGTACTCGGGTGTAAGCGCGGGTGAGCCATGGTCCCTCGATTCTGTTGAATACGGCATAACTATAGTACAGTTATAGCGGTGAAGCAGAAATAATAATAGATACTAAACATGCCACAATTTAATTGTAACAGCCCTAATAAGCATAGCAAGCCTAACAATGACATTTGAACGCGCCGTCATTGGCGCGTGGCGTGTTGGGGCAGGCTGAAACACGCCAGGGCGTTAGTCTGTCGCAGGCGCAGTCACGTGACGATCATCGTGTATCAGAGTCGGCCGATCGCAAGCCACATTGTACATTCTTAAGTCTCCTGCTTGGCGTCAATTTTTTGAGTGCTGGATCAATGCTTTGTTTCAATAATAATAAAATCAATCGGCAGGCTCGTGACATCATTCAATTATTCAATCCCTTGACATGTCGAGCCTTCAAACAAGCCTGATTCAAACAACGCACCATAGATATTAATACGGCTAGACTGATATCGAGGTACATCTCAATTCAACCATAATATTCAATATTCCTCGAGCTTCTAGTGCTTGCCACTACTACTGTTTACTGCTTAGACAGCAGGGCATTGCCACAGTGCTGTGGTCTTGCGTACTGTGCCTTTTCCTAGCCCTGGCCCTAAGTTGGCTAAGATTCCGACTACCCAGAACAGGAATGCTCGCGTGTCAATCCCAATATACAAGTCCAGCTAACACCAGGCTAACGCGCAAGATATTATTCGCAGAATCACAGAGCATTAATAATTTAATATTATGCCCTATTAGAAGATAACTTGGTAGAAAATTCGCGAATCGTTCTACGGTCAATAATCTACGTGGCGAGGCTCACCTCAGACCAGATTGACGACTCTACTTATTATAAATTCAGTTTCCGATGGTTACTAAAAGTACGTAATTATATGGTGGCCAGGAAGAGGCTAAACTAGTACCCAGTAATAGTTAGTAAATAATGCAGAAATTACAGGAGGAAGGACAACTAGAGCATAATCCGCCAACAGCGTCTCATCTGAACCTCTTACGCTATCTTATTGCCCGGCAACCGTGACAGCTTATAATATTACTGGTTGGAATTATTTATTCTTGGGGTGGCGTTGATCTTAGAGTCAGGCTTTAGCCCACTATTCTCTATCAAAGCTGTAACCTAGAATTCAACACGAATAATGATCGCCTGAGGAGGTGTTGGTAGTAGGATTGATGTCAAAAATAGCATTATTCCTCATCATTGATTAATATCATCAGAGCATAAATTTCGTATATTTCATGTACGTGTCCGAAAAGAAAGAGCTAAACAAGTCAACGTCGTCAGAGATCGAATCCTTCACGTCGGATCATTTGATGAATACACCAGGACCTATCTAACAGCAAAATAACAATAATAATAGACGAGAGGTCACTTCACTAGTTATTATTTGCAGCAGTGTGTAGGTTAGAGGCGATTAGCGTAAGAAGGTCGTCAAGTTGCATCGCTACATTACTTGATGTTACTTGTTACTTGATACTTTATTTGGAAGTAGATGTTGGGGGCCGCATCATCAAACTGTATTCACTCTAGTCTTTAGTCTTGAATTAACAGTCTAACCTGTTCCTGAATACCAGTCTACTGCTAAGTAGCTCCATACCGTTGTTCTTAAAATCAACACTTATCAACCTCCGATCATTTCCACCCCTTGAATTGCAGTAATCGCAGAAATGTGCAGCTCACTCCTAGTTGGGTATCCGTCATCGCGGATCGGAATACTATTAGTATCAATCAGCATTAGCATAAAGATATCATTCTACGGCCCCGATTGCCTAGGAGCTACAAGGAAGTGCAATGTCATCATTTTACTTCTAGTAGGATAAACAACACGGAGTCGACGATCTAGTCTCTGCTATTCCTGACTGCACGATGTATGCTTTGGTATGACGCTACTGGGTGATATAGGGTCTATATTAGTAGATTCTGCTTCAATAGTATCCGGAACCAACCAACGTGTCTAGGATTATTCTTGTTGGTGGTGTTAACTAGGAGTTCTGTTTATATCCCCATGATGTCGATAAGAAAACGAAACGAGGGATACGTTATAATAGGACTATTAAAGCCCCGAAACCTCAAGTTTAAATTAGACATTGCTACCGCCGACGAACTAGCCTGATGTTAATTATATCCAGAATGCAGGATTTGTTCATCCAAAGTAAACATTTGAAACTAACTAACTACATGTACATATTTTTAGCCTGCCCAGCAAATTAGATTCTACAATGTTTTGCCACATTCATGCTTGAATATTGGCCCTTTTCATGCTTATTAGTCTAGCTATCGACAGATAGTCGGATTCGTTTAACGTCAGCCACAGCTTTGGCGTGTTTTGATGTTGTTTAACTAGAGGATGGGATTCGAAATCATGGGTAAAGCTGACTTTAGTGCATTGATATCCCTGGCTGAGGGTAGAGAATGATGGTGGATAGGACAGGTCTGACTGATACATGTAGGGTTGGGGTTACTGTAGATGTACGGATAGAAATAATATTCAATCTTGTCGACTAGGGCTTATTTATGTGGAGATTATGTAATTACGATTTGTGAATGCTTAGAGCTCTCTAGACCATGCTACATGTATCTTGTACATATGTAGTCGACTGGCATAGGTTTATGTTTTATAGTGACACTACATATTCCAAACAAGGCTCGAGAGCTGTCTGGCTCAGGACATGAGATGGAAAGTTTGGATATTATCTTACCAGGTATGACTGAACTTCTCTCTTAAGAAATATTGAATTATCAGGTTGAATATATGTACAGTATCGCTGTTAGTAGTCAATATCCAACATCAACAGAACAACCCTCCTTAGTACACACGTAGGCAGCCTTCATCCGTAAACGAGTCTAAAAGAACAACATTCTTCACCCTGCATGCTCATCCACAATCCAGACGATCCAGCTCCCCTTCAAAACGAGGACATCCATTCCAAGCAATACCCAGAACGCATGTAAAAGTCATTTCGAAAGAGGGCGGGCTTGTATTCCATTTCAAGCCTACTCATACTGTTCATACCGTCACCAGCCAGGGCTCAATATTATTGCACATTGAGTCGATGTAGTTGGCTGAAAGGCTGTCGTTGATACCTCATACCGTGGGCGTATGCATAGCGGTAATGGAGGTGTTCTGCCTGAGATCGATCGTGTTTTGTGTAATATGGTGGAGAGTGCATGTAGGAACCGTGTCCGTCGCGGGTTTAGATCTTAACAGACTGCATAGACAGGCATCAATGATGTGGACAAAGTCTTAACTGGCTGGATGATGGCTTCAAATTTTCAAATGTTTTACTGTCCAGGCATTGTTTTCTTTAATCTCTTCCCATCTCGCCCGACACTGATCTGAGTACACATTAAAGTAGTCTAGTAGTTGGTAACAGAACCGCGCATATCTTCTAGATTTTCATACAGAAGGTGCACATGTAACAACATTTGAAGTAATGTTTGTTCTTGTCTAGATACTACATCTTCAGACCGGACGAACGACATGGAAATAGATTCTTTCGTTCCTTCATTTCATTCCCTTTTCCCAACTTATCCCCCTATCAAGACATATTACATGACAATGAAGCGATGGAGGTGAAATAAAAAGGGAAATAAAAGGGATGGGTCCAAGAGACAAGAGTTTGTCAGAGCCAGATCGATGAGAGATGAGAGATGAGAATAAGAGATAATAAGGATGCGGATGAAAATGAGAGTAAGAGTAAGGATAGTGAGGTTAGGTTTTACGACTAACACGGAAGAGAGAGAGAGGGAGGTCAAGGAGAGACAGGGGGAGCATGTGACAGATGGTTTGTTTTTTAGGTATCGTAAACTCGTCGTCAGAGAAACACCGTCCTAGGAAATCAACACGCCACTAAGTCGAAGAAGAAGAAGAAGAAAAAAGTAAAATGAAGAAATAGAAAAAAAGGTAAAGAGGTTTTTTGAAAGAAGAATAGAAGTTGAAGTAGCCATTACCAAATTTTAGGCAAAATATTCTTTTCTTCAGACCATGTCAACACGGTTATTATTCTTGAGGCTGTTGGCTACGGCGCATTTTCTCGGCTTCGAGGTTCTCGTAGAGAAGATACAAGGCCTTTTCATTCGCCTGCGCGCTTCCCATGATCGTGAACATGCGTTCGCCAGTCTCGTCATGTGGAGCTTTCGCAATGGAGATTCTTGCACCGGAGCTGCGGCGAATCTCGCTAATCTTGCTTCCGCCCCGACCAATGATGCAACCAACCATGTCAGAAGGGATGCTGATGTTCTGCGTCTGAATTTCTTCGCCGTCATCAGTGACCAGTGGAATATTTCGGCCAGCACCATCCCCACTGCCGCGACGATTGTAGCCACCAGTGGGTTCACTGAAATCAGCACCATTGCCCGTGCGATTGTATGAGCGGCCACCACTTCCGTAGCTGCCAGCTCCTCCACCATTATTGATTGAGCCAGATCCTCCGGCTGAGACTCGCACGGCCGGGTTGTACAAAACAGTCCCCGTGCCCCGCTGCCAGTCATCAAGGAGACATTTTCCAATCTCCCAAATAGCCTTTTCGATACCTTCCGGTGTGCCTTGCACTTCAACAATTCGTTCAGTCGACTGAGGCAGCATCTCCTTCTGCGCAACCATACGAACACCAGAAGCATCTTGGATGTGCTTAATCTTCAGACCTTGGCGTCCGATGATAGTGCCCATCTGATTATGCGAAATCAAAAGACGGACGGCTGGCGGTTTAACGTCAGCAGAAAGAACAGAACCCGGTTGAAAGAGCGACTTACGGTGAGTTCCATTGTTTTGAACGACCCCGCCCATTCCCACCTGAGGGGCACCCTCAAGTAGACCTTTTGCAACTATAGCATAAGCCCGTGAGCACCCTTGCAAGCCACCAGTGACAGTGAGCACGCGGTCATGAACACCCTGAACTACCTTGCTGACACCAGCTTTGACGCCAGTTTCCTCGCGCAGGTCAGCAACATTTTTTCCCGCCTTTCCAATGATCACGCCTGCTTCCTTGGAAGAGACGATAGCGCGAAGCGTAAGAATAGCTTGCGCATACTCTTCATCAGTCTTTGGCTGAACGTCGAGTTCGCCTTGCTCGCTCAAGTTGGCACGGCCGTAAGATTCAGAAAGACCATCGTCGCCTTGTAGGTTGGTCTCGCGTGTTTCAGTAGCAGCAGCCATTTTAAAACACGAGTACGTGAACGGATGAATATCGAAACGGCGCGTAGAAGAAAATAAAAGATTATTTTCGGAAAGAGAGGTGGTGGATGTAATCGCCTATTTTTCTATACAGTTGGAGTGAGCAATTTTGACGCAACAAAGTTTCACGGTTTGACACACTGTGACGACAAGACAGAGGGAGAGTTATGGAAGTCAACAAAAAGCTCGCTACTTACCTCGACTTATGGAAACCAGTCTTGAAGATGACGATCTCGCAATAGGTTGGGGGAGGATATTGCGATGGGAGAGGATCACTGTCAACGGAGGGGCACAGCGAGAGGTGGGAGGATGGGAGGGGAAAAGGTGTGATGGCCGGGATGGAGAAAGAAGAGAGGGAGGTGGAGAGGGGGAGGTAGATAGGAGAGTGAATTGAAGGTGAAGAGGGAGGAGTGGTCGAGACGAGAGGAGGAGGATGGGAGAGGAGAGGAGGAAGATGCGTCGTGGAGTAGACGAGGTTTATGGCGGCGGTGGTGAGCGGGAGGAGATAGTGGCAGTAGCCAAACCACGCGGTGAGAAAGCCAGCGCGGTATCAGCAATACGTAATTTACTATTTTGTTGTCTCTGCTAGTATTTTATCTGCGGCTCGCAACAATATGGCTGATGCGTGACATTTGGCAGAGACGGCCTCCTGCATTGGATATCCGTATTTACAGAAAAACAACTCCAAAAAATCACGCGATAGCCATGCCAACACAGAATCATCACACACTGAGGGGAGTGATTGTAACAGTAATTTACCACTTTTGCAAAAACAACGGTTACAGCGCCGGAATAGCACTAGTCCCTTTCTGGACTAGGACTGGGGAAGGCCGTGCTTGTCTCCAGACTCTACACTAATTTCTAAACTAGACTAGAAGAAGTTAGTCCAGTATTAGTCATTCGTTTAGTATTAGTTAGTTATCATTGGTCTCTTAGCTTGGGTGGGACTAGCTCTCGCCTGCAGTCTCCAAATCTGAGTCTCGGACAGTTCTGTTGATATGTCTGCAGACTTGTTGGCCGAGTTTGGGACTAGCGGGCCCAGAACTGCAGAAGATGCCTCTCAGATCGGACCAGACAATACCATGTTCTACGATGACGATGGGGACAACGATGAATTCGACTCTTTTGTCGACCCTGAACCTGCGCATCCAAACGAACCACAATTCAATCTGACCATCCCAAGCGATGCAAACATTGAATCCCTGTATACTTCTAGGAAAGACTTATGGCTGCCAAGTGAGCCTGGCGGAGAAGTATTGTTTGACGTGTCTCTGGAAGCAACGGCCGATGGAGAAGATGACTGGGGGGAGTTTGAAGACGCTTCAAATGCTCCCAGTCAACCCTCTAGTCGACAGCTTATTGACTTTGGGAATGAGAGCCAACCTGCGGTCTCACCCAAATTCAATGCACAGGCAACCCAAAGCCTGTCGAATACACCAGCACTTCTTGATCTTCTTTCATTAGACGATAGCCCTACTGTAAACTATGATAAGGCTTCCAAAGACACGTCACGTCAACAGCCTTCACAGACTACTCCCAAGATAAAATTCGGTCAGAGAGTCGCAGCTAAACAACCGACTCCAAAAAACACTGCGTCTGAGGATGACTTTTTCGGAGAATGGGATGACTTCAAGGATGGCCACGCGGAGGTACCTCGGCTGAGCAATAATCATATGCACTCAAAAACACTACAGACGACTTCAGCTACTCCAAACAAACTAAAGCAGGGAAATACAAGAGTATTGAACGAACCGCAAAAGAAGTCTGTGCCAGAGGTTGACATTCGTCCCACCAACATCCCCCCTCCTTCTATTATTTTACAAATTTTTCCTTCCATCCTCGACGACTTTCGGAAGCAAGTGAACCAGGGTAAACAGGAACCACTAAAACCTAACCCGGGACTTGTCATATACCTTACATCGACCCTGAAGGCAATTTCACACGTCATTGCAGGTCGCACCCTGCGATGGAAGAGGGACACAATATTAAGCCAAAGCATGAAAATCGGACCCGCCCGTGCTGGAAAAACGAGTGGGATGAAGCTAAACTCGGTGAGTAAAGGTGAATCAATCAAGGAGGAGCAAGAGGTCGTAGCCGTCATCGACTCGTGGCGCAATCATACTGCTGTGTTCAACGCCCTTATCCAATCCTCCGGCGGACGGCCTATACCCGTAATCACTGACAAAAGTCGTATAAATACTGCCAGCCCAGAGGATGGGGCACTCAAAGCTTCCCATGCGTGTGCCTTGTGTGGGCTGAAGCGAGACGAGCGGTTACCCAAGGTCGACGAAGATGTACAGGATAGTTTTGGAGAATGGTGGGCTGAGCATTGGGGGCATGCAGACTGCAAGCAGTTCTGGGAAGCTAATTCTAAGCGTCTCTATCAACGATAGAATTCCGATTTCAATAAATCAATAATTATAGACAGAATACTACGATTTCATTTCTTGAGCGTAGATTCACGCTTGCCTGAACGATATTAATTGATTAGATTTGTCTACCAACAAACCCATTCCGAACAACCGGCTGCTCCTAGGTAAATAACATTGCCCGAGGTTATTTACTGGTCCATCGAGTTATATCAACCCCACTTCCCTCTACCCCTCGCAACATTACTCAGTTGATTTATGTCTTTCCCAGTTGTAGTATTATATAATGCTATTTACCTTGAATTGAACCTTTATATCCAAAATCGATATCCGCTGCAGACGATCGATAGCCTTGCCACTGAAGCCCGCTTGTATTGATTAAATAATCCGAACCAAGCATACAGCCGAATCAAGAAGCCGCGAGAATGGCGCTTCCAGAGAAAATGAAAGCAGTCGTGTTTCATGGACCGCACAAGGTCGCTGTGGAAGAGAGACCGGTACCTCAGATCCAAGAGCCAACGGATGTGATTGTCAAAGTGAAATACACAGCTCTTTGTGGCAGGTAAGGCTCGTCTAATTAGAAGAATAAGATCTGGACTAATAGTATACAGCGAACTACATGTATTCCGTGGCCATCAGCCGTCCAAAACTGGATTTATTATGGGCCATGAATTCACCGGCACGGTGGTTGCGACTGGCAGCGCTGTTAAGAGTGTGAGAGTCGGGGATGTTGTTGTTAGTCCTTTTACAACGTCATGGTATGTATTTCAGATTAGAAACATAGACAAAGCTAATTCTATCCTGTCAAGTGGAGAATGTTACTACTGCAAGCATGGCTATTCTTCTCGTTGTGAAAAATCCCTCTTGTTCGGCTGCCCTCTTCTCGATGGAAGCCAGGCTGATTATGTATGTGGGTAATTACTCATTTAAACTGCTGCTAATATTCGTAACACAGGTACGAGTGCCATGGGCAGATGGGACAGTATACAAAGCCCCCGAAGGAGTAGACGAGAAGCTACTTGTCCTAATGGCCGATATCTTCCCTACGGGCTACTTCGCGGCCAGCAATGGATTCAAGGAGTACACGAAAGAACAAGTTTCTGACCTGACCGTGGTCGTCATTGGCTGCGGTCCAGTTGGCCTGCTTGCTCTGATCAATGCTCTCGAGTTCAAGCCCAAGCACCTCTTGGCAGTAGACTCAGTCCCAGCTCGACTCGAGCAGGCAAAGAACATTGGCGCAGAGCCCTGGAATTTCCAGACAGACCGCGCGGGACTCGACAAGCGTGTCAAGGAGTTGACTGACGGCCGGGGCGCGGATGTGGTCATCGAGGTGGTCGGGTTAAGCCCGGCGCTGCGAACGGCATTTGAGCTTCTTCGGCCATGGGGGACGATTAGCAGTGTTGGCGTGCACAACGCCGAGGTATGATGCTTTCTGCGTGTTCGTTTTTAAGGCTGTGTTTACTGAGGTTGTTTATTCCCAGATTCCTTGGACCGGCAATGAGGCGTACGGCAAAAATCTCAAGCTCCAGATGGGACGATGTCCGGTGCGATCGATCTTTCCACAGGCTTTGGAAGTGCTGAAGAAGAACCAACACGTCCTTGGGTAGGTCACTACACTGATACTATGCGGCCATATACATGTGTATATATATGACTGACATGGACTCGCAGGTTCATGGCAGACAAGATCATGCCGCTCAGCGAGGCCGTCGAGGGCTATGATATCTTCGATAAGATGAAGGCCCAAAAGGTCATCTTTGAAGCGAGCTAAGTTGTATAACTCTTGAAAAATTATTAATCGGTGGGAGAATGGGGAGAAATGATGGGATAAGCGGGGCTCAGTTTGATGGCGGCGCAGTCAAACATGTTTGTGTTCAGCGGTCACCTATTTGGGAAGCGCTCAAGTTCTTGTTGTGTTTTCAAACAGAATTTCTCCTTTTCCATGGGTCATCTTGTTGGGTGGATGTCATCATAATGATACTCTCTTTTGACCACAAATCGTAAAAATTTACACATCGGTATCAGGCTACTCGCTCTCTTTTGACCACAAATTGTAACAATTTACACATCGGTGTCAGGCTACTCTCTCCCTCGCTAATTTTGCAACATGTCTTTCCCACAGCTGCCCCTTGAGCGACCAGGCTGTCCAGATTGTGGTGACGTGCATGTTTGGATTTCACAATGTCGAGGATTGGACGACATTTATTGTACAAATTGTGGATGGAACAGCCATCCTAAACGACTCTGCCCTGACCTCCCGTGTGTTTATTGTAAACGACCGGATCACATAGTTTCTCGTTGCTCACGCTGTCCGACCTGCGAAGAATGCAACACAAAAGGACACAGGAATGGCTGCTCTCGTCTACGGAGATTCAGATATGGTGATCCTCCCGCCACTCCTGCTCCTCAAACGCCGCGAAAAAGACGACGGAGAACGTCAGGAGCAACGCCAAGATCAGGAGCAATGTCAAGATCAGGAGCAATGCTAGGAACCTCAGACTCATTCCAACCACACAAAGAACTGGCTCTTGAGCAAAGCAAGGTAGGAATCTGCACGATTTTATATTCCATTTCAACCAAATTTCTGACCGCTTATAGATAGGGGATCCTGTGTCTCACGTAGTAGCATTTCCAAATCTTCTCTACGAAACTCAGCAGCTTTTAGAATTTCTCAATCGGGATAAGGATCGCAGACTTTCTTCCTTGAATTATCGCCATTTGATAAAGGCCCATGAAGGCATTGATAAGGCTGCAGCATTCATTGTGGACCTAGTTGACCAGGACGTGAAAGCGCTTGAGGGTGAAACTATCACAGTCGATCGGTAAGTACCTTTGAACTCTTTATAATAAAGTTAGCTGAATTAAGCTATAGGCTCAATAGACTCCGATATAATCGCTGTAAATTCCCAAATCGATGGGACGGCGACGGCGGGTATCTAGATTATATCACAGACAGTCGGAGTGTTGACTATTGGCGTGGATATATTGGGCAATCCAAAAACTTGAAAGCTCGGATCACACAGCATAAGAACGCAATTTTGTCAGGAGATGACAATACTTTACACTATTACATTTTAGTAAAAGGTACTGGGTATCGTTCAGCAAATTTCCTTCGGCTTTGGACTTTAGATTTGGACTCCTCCATGGACCAGACTCTTGCAACTTTGGCCACAAATGTGTTGGAAATGGTTTTTTGTAAGGCCTTTCAGACACTTCCAGCGGCTACACTGGAAAGATACTTTGGCTCTCCTGTGTCTGAATCATATTCGACGATAGGACTAAATGTTCTACCGCCTCTTTATCAAAATCTTCCACTTGGGGGCTCGTTTCTCCAAAGGTTTACATTGTACTGTGAAACTTCCCTTGATACCGAAATTCAAGAATGGCCACAATTTCGAATGGAGCAGAAAAAATACGAAGAATCCTCTGATCGGGCTTCCAAACGTTCTTTAACAAAGGAACACTGTCAACAAACTCTGAATACAGCCTTGAAGGCAATTGGAGTTTTCACTAGACCTGAATTTCTCTATGACAGATCGGTTATCAGGTAGCTACGTGGATCCTGAAAAATGGCTTACAGATATGAATAAAGCCATGAATGACACTTTCCGGCGGAATGTTCCTTTCGGAACGACAAAGGCTAAAATCGGCTTCGTTTTTGATCAGTGCTACTTAAATGATTCTAATGATTACGATGATTCCACGACAACTGGACTGCCATGGGGAATAAAAGAGTCTGGATTTAACTCTTTAAATATACTAGCGTGGTCATGGAGCTTAAGGCAGTATTCTTTTATGGATGCATGCCAACCCATCACATCACTTCCCCCGGGGAAGTCACGGCATTGAAAAGATTCACACGCGACCTCATTCTAGGCAGTGACCTGAGGATAATCCTGCTATGCGGCCTAAACGCCAAAAATATCCTTATTTCGCAGGAGCTTGCGTGTAACGCCATACAACTTGAATTGCCTTCTAAAACTTTCAAAGGGTATGTTGAGTTAAGCAATAACACTATTAAGCGAATCTATCTGGAGGTACCGGTCTCTTTAATCTGTCAATTAACAAGAACCCATCGTCAGTCACGACAGATTTCAGAGTTATTATACTTTGTTGTAAAAATGACTGAAACCCCAAATATCTCTCCTTACTTTGCGTGCTCAGCAAATGCCTTGACCAGACTGGTTCGACTTTACGACGACGAGAGAAATGGAGAACCCAAGATGACATCTGCGGACATTGTGCCAGAAATAGAAGAGTGGTTAGCCAGACAAGGCTTCACTAAGGACGAGGATATCCTTGAACTCGAAGAAGCGGGAACCTCCCTAGTACATGCTTGCTTGATGCTGGCACAAGAACTGCCAAGATGTCCAGCGCAGTACAAAGCTTCCAGAGGGTCGAAAGTAATACCACCGTTAGTCCGCAAGCCTGGAGTAACTTATGATCCAGACCAAAGAGGACTTGTGAGAAAGCTTTACCAGCGTGTCAACTGTTCTAAAGAAATACAGGATGAGCCTGCCAAGGTATTTGAGGCCTCGAGTATAGAGGCTCAAAATACTACTCCCCAGATCCTTGATAATGAGGTGGAGTTGGATGATATAATTCAACATTTGGAAATATCGGAACAAGACCAGATAGAGGCCTCAGAGATTGTCAAGACCGATGAAGGGTTCTGTCTGGCTGTAGCTTCAAACGACCTTGGCCGGTCTCACAGGCGATACTTGTGGTCAGATAATTCCCAGAGTATGAGGGTGGACCGTCTTCGAGAAAGCCTTTTGGCAGGCCGAGAATTCAAGGCCGGGTGGAGAGACGGGTGTATCCATGTACACGTACACACAACAATGCGCTTGTCTGTGGTAGCACCGAGAAAAGAATTCTCAAGAGTACTTGTCCAAGTCGAATTAACCGAAAACGAAAGACATCCTCAGGTTTGGGCAGTCCAAGCTCGAAATGATGAGCCTGCCTCCCGTCTTGCCTTCAAAATAACTATTATTTATCCTGGAGGGCAAGAGGGAGATGAAGTTGTTCTGTACCCTCAAGACAGGTACGCTGCCGCACCTTATAAAGCAAATGGGTTCGTAGACTGGATAAATGGGGACAATCCCGAAGCTATAGCTTCTAGACCTCGTAGACATCTCCATATCCCAAATATTGCTGAAGGTGTACCTGAACACCTCAAACAATTCATTGGTGGCGGATACACGGATGATAAGGCGCAGGGTTTTAAATTGTTTCATGATATAACTCGAAATGGAAGTGTTCAGCTCACCTGTGCGCGGATTTGAGTGCAAAGAAATTGTAGTGCGCGTTTAGTACCGCCCTAGATTTAGTGAGCGGCGTTCTTGAATCAACATTATGTGCAAACCTTAGAAGACCATTCTTCGGGGGTTCCGAGATATCTCGGGATTCAATTGTGATGCAATAACTGTCTCCGTCTAGTTAGATTAAGTATTAGTTATTCCGGCCAGCACTTAGGCTTATAAGCTTGGTTTCTCAACCTGGAGGAGAGAAACTAAGTGATAACTATGTTTTGTATTACAGTATCTTCAAAATACATCTCTCCAGCTTCGACTTGACTTCAATTCGAAGACTTCTATCCTTATATTATCTATATATATTCCTGTCTCCTTTTTATATCTACTTTTGTAGCCTAAACATCGAACGGACTAAATTTCAACACCCACACCAAGTCTATCCAGACCCCCGGATCTGGTGGTGCCTAGACGATGTCACAATTGCTTGTAGAAGCGACGGAATAATTTCAATTACGATATCAATATATAGTAGGCGAAATACCCTAATCGGTGAGATGACCGAGTGGTTAAGGTAAGGCCCCACTGTAACCATAAATGTCATGGCCAAGCATGTTAATGCGGATACAAAGGTGCTGGATTTAAGAACTATGTTTAATCCCCAGTGGCGCAAGCTTCGCGAGTTCGAATCTCGTTCTCACCATCAATTGCATCATTCTTTTTAGTGCCCAGGGTGGCGTGGTCGTCAGCCCATTTAGGGCGCAAGCTCTGCCGAAAGGGTAATTAATGCCCTGTAGCTTTCAAGGCCTTCTACTGTACCACACCTTTTTTAACCCCTCCAGCGTAAAAAATGAGCACAGATTCAACAAAATAATTCAATAAAAATAAATAATAGGAGACGAGACTCACTAATTTCCTTCGGGGAAATCAGATTTCCTAATTATTATCAGACTAACTCCCTGTGGCTAACCCACTGTGGCAGCCAACCAGCTGCCGTGTCAGGACCCACCCCGCGTCATTTGGTCTTGTTATCGGGGTTGCAGGTATGCTCAACTGTTGTGCCCACTACTCACATCTCTCTGCTTTTCGCTTCTACGTCAAGAGTTTTGCTGGTTAGGGGATAATGCCATGAAAACTGTTGAAGAGGCTAGGTTGGCTCCTCCCGCCATCGTCAATGCTCAGGTCCACTGACATCCACGCGCATACAGACGGAGATGGGAGATCCTCTCTAGCCATGGCAAAAGCACAAACGACCTCAGACAAGCGGTCAAGGCGGAGGAAAAAGGCAGTCCCTGCGACGACGGCCTTAGATCAGTATATTGGAAGGTGTGTCTTTCTGTAGGGTCTGGCATTTTTTCAGCTTCTGACCAATCTAGGCATTCCTGCTCTATGACAACCTTGAACAGCCAGAATGGACACAGCGACTATCTGATACGCGCAGTGCATACGACTCCCTGAAAGACCATTTCCTAAAGTACATAAAACACCCAGATGATCTGGAATCTACCGTGGACCCTTTAGCCGAGGACGACGAGGTAATTACTATGCGCAGTGAAGATTAGACATGTCTGACTTGTCCATTCGCTACAGTCTCCTTGGCAGGCCCTTCGCCGCGATGAAGGTATTAGAGCTGAAATATACCAAGACATAGAAAGATGTTTGCAGGAAAATTACTTTTTTCGCGAACCATCTACGAAATCTATAATGTTAGATATTTTGTTTATCTACTCGAAGCTGAATCCCGATCTAGGTTATCGACAAGGGATGCATGAATTGCTGGCCCCAGTTTTATGGGTTGTCGAGCGTGATGCCGTCAAACTGGAACTGCCAGTCACAACTCATATCGATGGAGACGATGATTCGATGTTACATATGCTTGATGCCAAGTACATTGAGCATGACTCTTTCAGTATATTCTGCAGTATTATGCAGACTGCGAGGTCTTTCTACGAACACACGGAGGAAAAGATGGTGAACGGCCATGCGGAAATTACACCTATAGTCCGATTATGCGAGCACATTCACAATGAACTACTCATGATTGCAGACAATGAGCTGGGTTCACATTTAAACAGTATCGAGATTTTGCCACAAATATTTCTGACGTATGTATACACATATCAATTGACAATCATATTGTTATGGTTGAGCTAAATTTATCAAGTCGGTGGATTCGCTTATTATTTGGCCGAGAATTCTCTTTCGAAGACACTCTTGTTATGTGGGATGTCATTTTTGCCGATGGGTTAAGAGTGACCCTGATAGACCAGATTTGTGTAGCGATGCTTCTTCGAATAAGATGGCAATGTAAGTGATATCCTCATCTAGCCAAGTGTTGGCAAATTGCTTATCTGTTTAGTGCTGGAATCCGACTACTCATCTGCCCTGACACTCTTATTGCGCTACCCGCCTCTTCAAGACCATGGTGCTGAAAGTCTAGTACACGATGCATTGTTCCTGGAGCAGAACTCGAATCCTGCGCGTGGAGCATATCTTATCTCAAAGTATTCGGGCCGTCCACCAGAGGCTGCCAAGCAGCCGTTACATCACCGCTTGAAGGGATCCTCTGCTAACAAAAGAGACCGCCTTCAAAGTGATTCCCGTAATGGTAGTGAAGAAAGCTCCCCAGGAAGGTCACCCGGAAGAAATAATCAGCGAAGCCTCGAAACTTTATTCCAGGATGTCTCGGATGGACTGCAACGCCGAACGGAGAACTGGGGCGTCGCGAAAGCTGTTCGTGGTGCTGTGACTGAGGCCAGGCGTAACATGGTCAATATAGAGCCCGGAAACGTGCCGTCTTTACGACCTTGGTATAGCAGTCCGCGGTTTGGGACACCGTCACTCGGGCCTCTTAGGGAAACAGACTCGGCGAACCCGATTACAAGGACAATATTGCCAGAGAAAGAAGATGTCGACCTCGCACAACTTCTGAAAGATTCACTAGATGAGTTGTCTATTGTGAAAGAAGCAGTAACGACTCTCGAACCTCGTGTTGCCGACGCACTACGAAATGCGTACGAAAAAATACGAACGGCTCAACTCAAGGCGCGCGCTTTGCAGACACATGCGATAGCAGCACCCACGAAGGAGGCGGATATTGTTTCCGAAAAGACAGACGCCGCCCAGGATGATCATGAGCAGAAGAAAGAAAACAAGAGCTCCTTACCAAAGCCATATCCCAAAGAAGCCCAAAGCCGTACCCCTACTGTGGAAGTGCCAGGCCTAACCAAAGATTCTGGGATCGTTGCCACCTCCTCGCCTCCTCGAAAAGTAGCTCCCCGTCCACTACGGCCAGCAGCATCTGCCTCAGCAGCTCGCCCACCATTGGCAGATTCCGAATTTTCGTGGATGCTAGGTGACAACACACACCGTTCTCATTTTGTCAGTTCAGCCTCCCTACCCCCTGATCAAAGGCGGCACAGCGAGTCGCAGTCAAGGCAGAGCCCTCTCTTTGGAGAAAAGCGAGATCAGAGTCAGGCAGGGACTGCTGGTGAGGAAGATGGCTTGCCCTTGAGCAGTTTCACATAGTTGGCGTGACCCGCCCTGATTTAGTGCAGCCACATGACGCCTCACATGGTAAATACTAAGTCTACAGCAGCACAGTCGGAGCAGATTGGATAAATATAAATCAATTCACGAGTAATTCAATGATATGTATCAATTGCTGTAATCCGAGATGATATTAATTGATATCCACCAATCATAATCGGGTCTAGCCTAGCGACAATCAGCCACCGCAGATCCCCGGGTATGAAGTCATTCTAGAATAATGCGTCAACAACACTCGGAGTTATTAAGATGTACTGATAAGTTGTAACATTGACCTCGACTGATATACGTCAGATGATCAGAAAAGAAGAAGCAAAGAAGGTGAGGCTGAGGTGTCACCGGAGCGTCGCGGCGGCCTCAGCACAGTCAAGTAAGTTCAGTTATGACCGTGAACGGGGCAGCTCCACCCAGAGGAGCATGTGCTGAGCGGAAAGCCACAAGTTGGCTCTCTATTATTTCTTCTCGTCACGACTACTTCCACTACCACGCCAGCTCTTCCTCTTAACCAGCTGCCCCTCCTCTAGCCCCCCTTTTGATGCATGCGTCTCCACGCCTGAAAGGCCTGCGCATTCATTTGACATCGTTCTTTACGGCGACTCTGAGACTTGCCGCCACAGCCCGTCTCTCACTATAGGCCTAATATACGGCCATCTGTGCTGCGTCCCAACAACGCTGACCGACCGCGAAAGAGCTGGAGGCATATTCGTCCTTTTCTGATCGGTCGATCGCCTTCTTATTGATTTTCGCCGTCCTGGTGCCAGACTGGCTTCAGCCACGGCTGCAAGTCTGCAACGCTTGGCGCGGTAAGGTGCGCCCACTCCCCCGCGCGATTCAGTACTCCAAGAATCTACCTCTGCCGGCTTCCTACTTTTCACCCGTGAAAGAGGGGCCATACACAATGCTCATTCATGTTTCCAGGATTATAATTACAGAGCGCGAAGTTTTTCTAAACCCTCCCGATTCGCCTGTCCGTCAATTCGCAGTACAATAGGCTGCAACCTGCAGCAGCATCTCCGGGCGGGGCGAGAAGCATAAGCGTCTTCTTTTTCAGGTCCTTATTCGAAGCCCGCCGAAAAGACAGAGAAAAAAAAAAGAAGGCCACACCTTGGCTCGGTTTGACGACGAGAATTAACACACAAGACGAATTTATAGCATTCCCCATGCAGACCACAATTCCTATACACAAAGCGTGGTAGTCTTTCTCAGTGGAGCTTGTCTCCAGGCTTTTGTCTCTCCAGTTCTAAGGGGCTTCTTGATCCGACAAGAATGACCGGACGCGAGAGACATCACGATGGTCAGTATGCCTGATTCCTGGTTCAATTCGTTGTGCTATTGCGTGTATGCTGCAATTTCTGTGCGATACACCACCAGTTCTTGCCACTTTGCTTGTCGTCCCGATAAGATAGCGGCCAAAGTGACTGATTGGCTTGGTGGCGTATCGCACATTCCTCAAAGTTTTGACATCAGTCGTACAAGCATTCGTGCTGACGTGCAAGGGTATCAATAGGAGATCTCAGTCCCCTTTCGTCGCCCTCCCTCGGTACGCTATCAACCTCACCTGAGCAGGCAACATGGCTGCCGAAGGACCGAGCCGACGGAAACCTGTCTATTCCATCTTCTGGAGAACCGCTGAGACTGTCGATGGATGCCTCTGTCTCGTCTGACTATGACCACCTGCCAAGGTATGGGCTTTGCTTGGCTGAATCGTATCCTAAGGACTGATTTTGATCTCTTTTCTCTCAGATCCCCTTTACTCGATCATGACGCTGGCCTCGGTCTCTCCGGACTCGATCGTATACGACAACAACCCTTATCTCGAGTCTTCACCCTCCCAAACCCTTCCACATCATCCGTCGGACAACAAAACTCACCCCCGACGCGTTCGGGTGCGTCGTCACGAGCGGCATCTGTGTATGTTCCTTCAGGCGCATCGATACCTCCATTCGAAGACCTGCACCGTTTCCCCTCCGAATCTCTCCATTCATTCTCTTTCGCCCAACAATCAGAGGAACTACTCCACTCAAGGCAGAATATCTTGAAGCGGTCGATTGATTTCATGAAAGACCGATTTGGTTGGTCAGCTACTAGTCCTGGGATCGTCAACGCACAGGCTCGAATAAGCGGGGATAGCGAGTTTCAGAATATGGTTGAATTATTGTCCAAAGCAAACGTGCTTGATAAGGAATCGCAGGGCCGCCAAGGATCTGCCTTGCATGGGCCATTGACTAGCCCGCCGGAAATCGAAGAAGACAATGTGTTCGACAAATCGTTTGATGGAGGAAGCCCCGACAGCCACAGCCACGGGCAGTTTCCCGAGTTCGTAGACCCTGGTATAGAGGACAACCAGCTACTCAGCCCTATCCCTGATGATAACATTCTCTCCCGCAAACGCGACTTAAGATCGGCACCAACTTCTAGACGAGTTAGCTTGAAACGCACGTACACGGATCTTAGCACTGTATCCCTACAAGCGAAGCTTATGGAAACCCTAGCCCAGCCTTATGGTATGGGTGATTCTTTATCTTCCTCGGGATTCGGCGCTCTAGGATTAGGCGGCCCCATGCTACATACCCATAGCAGCAAATGGACGCCAGTCTCCCAAGCGGTTTTCAGAACAGAAGCCAAGGCGCCATGGACGATCAACTCAGCGAACGATCTGGCCTGTTTGGTGTTTGGGGTAACCCAGTCTGAAGTGAAGAAGTTGAGCATACTAGAGGTTGTCCAAGAGGAGCGCCGAGGGTGGCTAGAATCGAAGCTTCAAGATCCTACTACTGATGCCACGGCGAAGCTACCAAATACTTTGGGAAAGTCTCGATTTAACATGCCAAAGTCCACGGGAATGGGCAATGGGTTCACGGCACAACTGTTGAGTAAACCATCTTCGCGGCAAAAGGCTGCTCGCCGCGCCCAGACGGACGATGGATACGGGTCTAGCACTCGGAATGCTAGAAAATCAAATCACGCAGCAACTAAATCTCGTGGAGTTTTGCTTTGCGGTGATGTGGTACCGATTCAAAAACGCAATGGATCGACCGGATCGGCGAGTTTATGGGTGATGGAGAAGCGTGGTGGGCTCATTTGGGTTTTAGAAGAAATTACCGAGAACGTGGCATATGTGACTTATGACCGCACAGGACATATCACATGCCTAGAGGGTGATACTGACCAGGTCTGGGGTAAAGGCTTTGCCAAACTTGGTTTGGTGATAACTGAGCTTCTTCCCAATATGCCAAAGGATTGCGTGGAGGATGAATCTGGGAACGGCTTTCAAAGGCTTGCTGATCTGAAGTACTTTGGCGCTCGCGGTACTGGGACGAACAGTGTTCCTACCACTATAATAAAAAATCCCAACGGAAACATGCGATCGTTACGCATTTCCAGCTTCCCTCATGTTGCCGGTATGATGGTGTTGTCGTCGTCTACCCTTAACATTATCAGCTCGAATTCTGTGTTCTCGTCAGCTCTCTTTGGCCAGGAACGTCCCGAGGGCCACCATATCTCTGAGCTGATTCCTGACTTTGAGGGTTTCCTGAAGACGTTGACGGAGGAAGACCGAGTGTCGTTAGTGGACGGCATGGTTATCCCAGAGCACAGCTTTCGGCGTGCAAGAGGACTGTTGGTGCTTCGAGATAACAAAGCTAATGCAGCCTCGATTTTCCTCGAACCAGACGGTCTTCCAGCTAGACATCGAGATGGGTCTCGTCTGTCTGTGGACGTTCAGCTGCGCGTTGTTCGAAGCGAAACTGTATTCCCAGACAGTCAAAGGCAAGAGGGCCATTCTGTTGCGGAGAAGGGAGACGATGACGACGAAGCATCCGACACCATCGCCGTGACTGAAATAGTCTATGCACTTTGGATTACTTACTCAAGGCAGATCCATAGCGGACAACACGGCGCTGTCTCCGCGGACACTTCAGCTGTTGAAGAGACAAGTCCGGCAGCTCAACCTCGAACTGGTCAACGAACGCCTTCGCCTCCTCCATCATTACCATCGCATTCCAACACACCATCTCTGGACAACAAGACGCCTCTCTCTTTGCTCAGCGAAAAATTAAACGAAGCCGCGTCGACACCATTGGCTGATCGAAATTCCCAAAAGCTGGGTGAAGTAAGCCGGGCGCCTGTCACCAAAGAGCCATCCAAGAAGAGGTCGATATCAGACTATGTCATTCTCGAGGAAATGGGACAGGGCGCATACGGCCAGGTCAAACTTGCTCGACTCAAAAAGACCCCATCTAAGAAAGTCGTCTTGAAATACGTAACGAAAAAGCGAATTCTTGTCGATACCTGGACGCGGGATCGTCGACTGGGCACAGTACCTTTGGAGATCCACGTGTTGGATTACCTCCGCAGAGACGGACTCAAACACCCGAACATCGTGGAAATGGAGGGGTTCTTTGAGGACGAAATCAACTATTATATCGAGATGGTGCCTCATGGACTTCCCGGCATGGATTTATTCGATTACATCGAATTAAGAGCCAACATGGACGAAGGCGAATGCCGGAATATTTTCAAGCAGGTCGTAGATGCCATCCACCATCTCCACACCAAAGCACTAGTCGTGCACCGGGATATCAAGGACGAGAACGTCATTCTAGACGGAGACGGTCGAATCAAGTTGATTGACTTTGGGAGTGCGGCGTACATTAAGAACGGGCCCTTTGATGTGTTTGTAGGGACTATTGGTAAGCCACCACTCTTCTTCTTTGTAGACGAAATCCTGACACTATCCAGATTACGCTGCCCCCGAAGTCCTTCAGGGCAAGTCTTACCGCGGCAAGGAGCAAGACGTCTGGGCTCTTGGGATATTATTATACACGATCGTCTACAAGGAGAACCCCTTCTACAATATCGACGAGATTCTCGACCACCCTCTGCGCGTGCCCTTCCTCCCCTTTTCCGAAGACTGCATTGACCTGATTCGCAAAATGCTCGATCGCGACGTGGACAACCGACTCACGATTTCCGAGGTGGTCGAACACCCATGGATGACGGCCTTTTAACTAACCTTAACTTATATCTACATCTTACATATATGTACCTTTCCCCACCTACACCACGCCATCTATTTCATTTGTCTGACCCGAACGGATGAAAGAATATCCATGTCGAAGAACGAAAACGATGCCAGCTGACAAACGAAGCAAAAAAAATAATGTGCTTTCCATTGGATAGAAGCATACGCAAGATACCCATTAGCCTCTCACTATACGGAACTATTTACTTTATTTCTACTACTGTTTCTTTACTGTCTCTACGTTTGTGTTGCATGCTCGCAGGCTTATCGCTCGCCTCCTAACCCTCTTTGCTTTTCAATGTTGTAGGGACAGAATAGCGAGATCGCCGATGGACGGGACGAATGATGGCTTGAGTTCGGTCTAGTATTTTGTTAGAATATACCATTACATTCTCAATCTATTCTCATCTCATTCTTCATCTCATTCTTGTTGTAGTAGTAATAGAATTCAACATTTATTGTCCGGTCTTAGCAGTGTTCTTTAACCTGTCGATATGTCAAGAGACATATATATGATATATGTGCACAGCTTAAATACAGAAATGTGCCATCTTCACATTATATTTCTATTTACATTATTTAATCTTATTTCCTGCACAGAATTTTACCAATATTAGATAAACAATTATTAAAGAAAAAAGCTTATAAATTTTCAATATACTAATATAAGGTTGTTGCGCACTGCCAATCCAAGGCCCAATTACCTTATTCCAGGGTTGGAACGCTTATAAGCCTCTGTGAGTCTGCGGCACGTGCCTGTGTGCCTGTGTGGACTGTGCGCCGCTGCCGCCAGGCCTCACAACTAAATAGTGCTAAGCATGGAGTAAAATAAAGAGTATATTGATATATTAAGTACCCTGGTTTATACCATCTCATCCCTTATTATATACATCAATTGATAGTAGTTAACCGATTGAATCCTGATCTTATATTTCTTCTTGTGGTTGATTTTATTTTGTGCTAAGCACGGTGAGGCATGCAGGATTCACCAGCAGACAGTTCTTCCAGTGGCTTGCCATTCGGCCACCAGGCCTCTTTCTTTTTAAATAAAGAGTTGACTGGATGTTACCTGATAGCGTGAATACCTACCATTAAAAAAAATAAATTAACCAAAAAGAATAATGCGTTGAACGCGATTCGAACGCGCGCGGCTTTCGCCACTGGGATACTCAATGAGTATTTCATCGAAGTTTGAACTTGAATCCAGCGCCTTAACCAACTCGGCCATCAACGCCTATGACACAGTTACTTTTAAATTGCTTTATTTAATGGCAGAGGCCCCATCATATCGATCTCCCTGACGAAGAGTGAAAGAGGCACTACTAACTGCACCATCCTTCACATCAACACTCTCATTTTTGGTGCACACCAGCTAGCTCAATCCAAATTTCAGCTTAACAAAAAATTTGATCTTAATATGGGTTTCCTATGCAAATCAAAAAATTCAATATTTTTAAATATCAATTCTACTATGTAAAAATTCACAAATTTTATTGTTTTTATATCAATAAATAGATTATACAACTCTATAAACCACCAAAAGCAGCTGTGTTAGGTGCGCAGAATGACGCAGTAAAATGTTAGTGAACTAACTATGTCATCACCTGTCACGCTCAAACACAGATGTTATGATATTTATTAGGTGCACATTTAAGTGCTACTAGACGACGATCATCCTGTTCATGCAGTGGTGTACATGTAGCTACAAGATAAGAAGAATATCCAGTTGCGACATTATCTGCTTGGTTGATCTAATCGTCAACTACATCGGTAGAAAATAATGATTGGATGCTAGCCGGTTGGTTGTGCAGCTGACCGACTCAGGCGACAGTGCGAGTCGCATGGAGGTATGTAGTAGTGTACACAACAATAGTAATTAGGTGATAATATAGTCCTTGGTGTTGTTGATAACCTAAACATGTCAAGTTCAACTACTTGCCAGTTTACCGAAAACAGGGAAGAAATACGTAACACACTTGGGATACGACGCATCACGCCATGTGGGTAGTATAGTCGTCTATCGATAAGTAGTGTGCTCTATCCGATAAGCCATAGCGGGGGCCAAAGGTGGGGAAGTCGACAATGCACAGCGACTGTGGCGACGATGACGAATCATATGGGTTTTGTTGGGCGAGAATAGATTACTGGAACCATTGGCAAGAGTACTTACTTCCTTGTACTATAAGTGTGTAGTGTGCGTTCCTTGTAATGGCAACATTGGGTGTGTACTATGTAGTATGCGTGCTGCCTTGTACTATCGCCTGTGTGCCTTCCTTATCAACAGCAATGTCTGGTGACCGCCCTCCCACCGCCTATCTCCATCGCCTGCTCTGATCATCCTGCTCTCATCATTTTGCGTATCCAGACACGCGACCGTATTCTGCAAATAGTCGCATCAATGCCAGCGTGAGCCACCCGACTTTACCCCAGCCAACCAACACCGCGCTGGACGCTTTGTTCTCACGCCGAACCACGGTCCGCCGCCCAGCGAATCGTCGTGCAGCCCACCCGTCTGTCTCAGCCTCTCAGCAATCGCCCATATTCCACGAAGTGATCACTGCGTTGGTGGACTTTGTACTATCTCAGCCTTTGAATTCCTTCGCATTCCCAGCCCAACCTGTCCATACCACCGCATCCTCCCCCCGCTGATTGCGTGAGAACGCTCTCGTGCGCTTTATATATGCTGCGCTGGTCTGTATACTTCTCACCCTCTCGATCATGACTTTCTAGGCGGCTCGTCCGGAATTGCCGTATTGCTTCCGATCCATCAGTGACGGGCCTTCCATCCCGGTACTGCACTGCGCCGATCGATCCTACGAGATATTGTGATAAATATTGGTGCTTTATCTTACAGCCTCGCTTGTCGTGGTCGTTGAGTGATCTACCATGGCCAGCGTCGTGCCAGACGAGATCCTCCCCAGCCCTGGGGCTGCGTCTCCCGTCACGCCGACATCGACCTCAGGGCAGGTGCCATTGGAACAAGCGCCCCGACTGAAAGGGCGTCAGAGGTTGTTGCAAAGCCTGCAGCGGATGTCGTCTACCCCGTCTCTGGTAAGACGGACGCGATCCCACTCTACAGGTTACCAAAGAGACGGCAAGGCTTCCCTGTCGTGTGTCTCCCTGTCGCCACAATGCTGGGCAGACCCCAGCATGTCGTCCCCGTCTCAGATCTACGGCGGATTGGGTACGAGCTCACCACCCGCAACTACGGCTCCTTCTCCAGGCAGTGCTCGGATTCGTACCATTGGGAGTTCTCAGAATGTGTCGCAGGCGACAGTTCCTCTACCTGCAGACGTGCGCCCTGCGTCTAGGAGTATGCTGCGGGAAACCTACGATCCTGAAACAGAATTGATCAATGAGATGAATGGAATGGATGTTCAGGTTGCTAGTCCTGAAGCTAAGAGCACATTTGACTTTTGGCAGGATATGCCCGATGAGATCAAGATGGGTATTTTCAATTATCTGACCCCAAAGGAAATAGTACGATGCTCGCTGGTGTCGAGAGCCTGGTATAAATTTTGCTTTGACGGTCAGTTGTGGTCTCGGATCGATACCTCAGACTTTTACAGTCAGATCTCAAGTGATGCACTTCTCAAGATCATCAAGACTGCCGGACCATTTATTAGAGACCTCAATCTTCGAGGTTGCGTGCAACTCCGCGACAAGTGGCTGTCAGATGCGGAAAATATCTCTGATACTTGTCGCAATGTGGTCAACTTTTCCTTGGAAGGCTGTCGAATTGACAAAACCGCCATTCACTATTTCCTTCTTCGAAATCCGCGCCTGCGGTATATTAACCTTTCAGGACTATCGAGCGTAACCAACTCTGCTATGAAGATTATTGCTCAATCCTGCCCGCAATTGGATACTCTAAACGTCTCTTGGTGTTCCAACGTGGATACCAAAGGATTAAAGCGTGTAGTCGAAGCCTGCACGAAGCTCAGAGACTTGCGTGCTGGTGAAATTTCAGGCTTCGACGATGAAGATATGTTGCAGCTGTTATTCGAGAGAAATGCTCTCGAAAGACTTGTCATTCATCGAACGGATGTGGACGATGGGAGTTTGAAAGTGCTGATGCATGGGAAAGACCCAGAGATTGATATATTGACGGACAGACCTATTGTTCCTCCGCGTGTGCTGAAGCATCTAGATCTCCACCAGTGCGCAAACTTGACGGATCAAGGCCTTCAGAGCCTCACTCATAACGTTCCGTTTTTGGAAGGTCTTCAAGTTTCTCAGTGCCCAGAACTCACTGATGACGCCATCACCGATGTTCTCCGTACGACACCGAAGTTGACCCATCTTGAGCTGGAAGATCTGGACAAGATCACGAATAGCCTCTTGATTGAACTGGCCAAAACGCCATGCGCCGAACGTCTCGAGCATCTCAACGTGAGTTACTGCGAGAGTCTGGGCGATTTCGGTATGCTCGCGATATTGAAGAGTTGCCCGCAACTTAAATCTGTGGAGATGGATAATACTCGGATATCTGACCTATCACTCATCGAGGCTAGCTACCTGGTTCGTAAGCGTGGCTACAGCACCGATCTTCCTTGCGTGGGCTTGCGGTTGGTGGCATTTGATTGCGTCAATGTGACCTGGGCTGGTGTGCGGGAAGTGTTATCCAGCAACTCCTACCTTCCTCAGGCATTGAAAGCTGCGTCAGCTGTTGTGACAGTCAAAGAATCGAACGGAGAGAGCGATGTTTCCGATTCTTTGTCGGCATGTCCTCCGACACCCTCTTTCCCACCGCAGCAATACCCAAAACAGATCATCCAACTCAAATGCTTTTATGGATGGCAAATGACCGTTGACGAGCACACCAAGCGCGTCCTTCGAGGCTCTCTCAAACCAGCAAATAATCTCGCTCGTAAGTGGGCTGACTACATGATGGCGACAGAAGAAGCCGGCACTGGAGGAGCAGGCGCCAGACGGCGACGACGTCGCGCTCGTGATGCCGAGCGGCTGTACAATTTCGACGAAGACGACGATGACAGTTACGGACCCTTTATTGGAAGAAGACGCCGAGCTCGCAGTGGTGGCTGCACAGTGATGTAGTTCATCCACATCAATCGTTACATACACCAAATAAACAGGGAAAGAGTTGTCTGGTTAGGAACACACTCTACCCCTTTCCTTTGTTTCGCTCGTATAATACGAAGCACACATGTCAATACCTCGACATGAACATTCTCTTCTCTTCTCCTTTCCTTCTGGAAATCTACATGCTGGTTTTGTATCTTCTATCTTCCGAAACATACACGCTGGTTCTGTATTTTCTATCTTCCTGTAACGAAACGCTGATCGACAATGGAGTCTGCCAGGCGTACGATTATACTTGTTTCTACAATGTTTGCCGGTTTATTTAGTGCTGCTTGAGCGGGTGATTTCTTTGCATTCTGATAGAGGATTGGCGTTATCGGGCTTGTGCCCGGCATATTAAGACAAATTGAATTACGCCTTATAACAACATTAGACGTGAATATTTAAATCTTCTGTAAGGCTATGAATATCAAACCGTAAATCATACGGGTATCCTAGAAACTCCATAATATGTACCGTGGCATGCTATAAGTATGAAAGCAATGAAATGCATGGTAAGAACAAGATCAAACTTCAAAAAACCCTCCATCGCTGTCATCCCCTTCATCTTCTTCACCCTCATTTTGATGCGCAGCACCGGCTTCTGACCCATGGCGTCTTGAGCTCCCATGGGCCGTTTTTCTTGTCGTTGATTCTTTGTGTTTCGTAGTAGAAGATGATTTATCCTTCTCTGTAGTCTTGGCTGTTTTCGTTGTTGCGGCTGGGTGCTGCTGTTTCGGTTTCCCGTCTAGTCCAATGCCCAACCTTCCATTCCGCAGCTTATCCAGCGTTCCATCCGCAGTACATTTCTCGACGACGTACCACAGCGGAGGTTTTTCTGCACCATCAGCATCCACACCTCCCTCACCCACACCATCGTCACTATCGTCCTCGGCGGGATTTTTTCTTTTCTTCTTATCCTGCGGATACAGCGAGATATATTTCTCGTCAAGTGGGTAGTAAATCGTGTAATTGAGGTTTATCTGCGCCTCGTGCATTTTTCGTGTTATCCCCGCTGCATCTGCGCCGTTGGACTTGGACTTGTGTTGCATATCCGCGTGCAGCTGCGTAACCCGTCGAAGCTCTTTCGTCGCTGCCTTTCGATCTAAACATCCAACCATGAGCTCACCTACAAAAAAGCATAGGAAGTATGGGAAGGGGGAGGTACCGAGAAACCGAACAAAGTGATATTTCTTAATCATCTCCGACCGTCCTCGCCGCGCCGTTTCGTCCGCAAGGTCCTTTTCGTAGCCCGCCAATGCGCGTTCCTGGACGATCCGCGCTTCAGGAAGAAGCTCGGCGTGGTTGAGGAGCCGCTTGATGTCGCGGATTCGTCGTTTGAGGTCGTTGATGGATAGGCCGCTGCCGGATGCATGGCTGGTTGGGGCGCGGGGTTTGAAAGAGGGGGTTTTGTGGTGGCCTTTGTAGGGGTGGAAGCGGGGTGCGGGTGAGCTGGGAGGCATTTCTGTGGTTTGGTCGTGGTTTGTATAGTTTTGTCTATGAAGTGAAGCAGAAGGAAAATAATTCTTTAAATGTACAGTTTATCGGGAAATTCACGGCAAGTTTAGCCGAGCGTATCCGGATCATTCGCCGGCCCGATGCCAGCCATCCAGTACTGGGCTAGGTTTACCAGAGTACATCGATACTACTCTACTAATAGAGACCGGCATCGTATAGCATGGATTACGATGTATACAAAGCGATTGTGAGTGTATTCATGCCCAGTTTACTAACATAATTGGATCTTACCATGGCAGATCCTTGCCGTCATACTGATGCAAGCCTGGATTCTTCTCCCAACCCGGCACATGAATATTCAAGAATCGCCCATTGCCCTCCTGCCCAACCTTCTTGGCATTCTCTAATACTTTCTCCACGCCGGTCCCGACGGGAAGATCGGCATGGGAGTTGGCCTCATCTGTCTTCAACCACTGTGACCTTCAGCACGAAACATTTCTAGAATATCATAAAACAGGCGCTTCTTACCCCTGGATTCTGACATAGGACGGTAAATCCCTCCTCACTTAGTTCCTGCGCCCATACCACAGTCAACATATTCAAGGCGGCCTTGGTGACCTTGTAAGAGGCAGAAGGGAGGCTCTTGTAAATTGGCTGTCGCGCGATCGAGCCGACAGAACTAGAACTAGAAACCCAAATTTTTAATATACATCAGAGAAGTGAAATTCAAGACTTACATATTAATGACCTTTTTCTGATCACCCTTGCGTAGGAGCGGTAGGAAGGCCTGGATCATCATATGCACTCCGGTAACATTGATATGGAAAACGTCACTCAAGTCAGCCCTATACAAATCAGCAATTCATATTTATTCACGACATGGACAGTAGAGAGCCGGACATTGACATTTCCGTCGCATGAGTCCAGCCGACGATACCCGCGTTATTGATGAGGACATCCAGCCCATTCACCCCTTTGTCGGCAAGGGCGGTCTCGATACTAGGCACGGCATTCCGTATGCTGATCTCGTCCCCAACGGTGATAGGAACAAAGATGACCCGACCAGGATACTGTTGTGTCAGCTCTTTGAGACGTGTATTCTCTGTCCGTGAGGTTGCAAATATAGTTTTAACCTCATTGTCCGGTTTGGCTGCTAATTGCCGGACAATTTCGAACCCGATTCCTCGGGCGCTGCCTGTGACGAGATAGGATGCCATAATAGAGGATTGAGAAACGATTAATTAAAACCTGATAATGTAGGCATACGAAGGTTGAGATATGGGTGTGATATATATACCTGCGCAGCTGCCGCAAACTGGACCCTGGATAAAAGTAGCTGGGGAAAGTTCGGAGATAACGAATTGCACCAGGGAGCGGCTTACACCACTTGAACGGCGCACCTCAATTCCCATACCATAGTGGAGAAGCACTAAGGATCCAAAAATGCCAGTGTTTTATGGAAATTGCGGTACAACGTTCAAGGTGTGTGCGCCGGTGAAATACGTCAGTCCGGAGATAACCCAGAAACTACCCCGAAGTCTTACGGTTAGTATTAGGACTAGGCAGGGGTTTTATAATATATTACCAATCTTAAAAGAGTCATTTTTAAACATATATATACCAGTTGACGTGTAGACTTTAGCTGGCATAGTTTGGTAGAGAGAATAAAGTGTATCAGTAATGTCATTTTACATTCAGGGACGACCTTGACTATGTAGTAGTGTATAAGTACTTATTCTGGTAGATGAGGAAGGAATAATATCAATTGATCCGTGAATGTTACTATTATATTAATGTAAATAGCCCGGGATCTCAGTTCCAAACTTTATTTCCAAATTTTATTTAAGTGCTAACAATACTTGAAAACTATTAGCATACTCTGAATAGCAGAGGTTAAATTGATACTATTGTCTGATATAGACTCTTTAACTGTCTAACAGAGTTGTATTATACCATGCAATGACAAGATCTATTCACTAGATTATCTTCTATAAATCTCCAGCCATCCATGATATTATGGCACAATAGCAAGTCTTTTCTCCCTCAGAGATTATCTTTTATTGTCTAAGCAAGACATCAATACAAAGAATGTCCGAATATAACCCATTGAAAGTGTTGCTGAATAACCCCAATAATACAATAGCAACAGTTGAAGAAAATATTCTATTAGAACTTTTTAATTATCTTTAACTATAAATACCACAGAAATCTCCTTAAAAACTCATCATATGAAGTGTCATCTCCATAACCTCCAAAACAGCCAAAACAGATACTCAAGCCGGCGGCTCCTGCGATTAAGGTATATATATGGCCTTTTACCTAGTTATTACCATGCTAATAATCACCAGTATCTTGGCATCGGGGCAATTAAAAGTGAAATAGATGGTTTGAATATAAATACCTCCGAGAGCCATGTCTATGGAATATAGGATGCCATATCAAATTGGATGTTTCCAGTAACACCAGGTTACATTACTCGCCCTCAAGACATGCATGGAATTTTTGGAGGGCAAAAGGGCTTTTCGGACTTTCACACCTTTCAGTGTAACGCTGCTGGCCAGCGTAAATTCTTTTTAATCACGCAATGTAAGCCCATTGCGGCCGAATCCTAGCATGCAGAACGGCAAAAGGCAGCGGATCAGATAACCTTGGCACCATCCATGGAACACGGACTACGAATCAAAGATCTCTGGTTTACGTTATTGACGCAGTGGGAAGGTGCGTCAGGTTTTTCAAGTATCATGATCCGACTCAAAACGTCGTTTCATGGCGGCCGTGTCCAGAGTTTACCGCGTCGAAGGAGAAGGATTTCTACGATATGCGGAAGGAAGCTAAGGAGGTCCAAAATGTCCTCAACTACATTATAACTCACCATTGAATTGAGAACAACTTTCAAAACCTCCTGTCAACCTTTTTACGTGCTATTTTGGGTGTTTTAAGTTTATCGCCAAACCTGTTAGTGCCAAACATTGTGACACCTTCTTGGGAGGGAAAGGACCGGGGGCAAAGAAGAAGGATAATGTAATTTTTCACAGGCTTCATAGCAATACCATTGACTGGTTTCTGTTTTTATCAAAGAAAATCTTCCCGAAGAGGATATCTTCGAAGCGGAGTTTCATTCTGAGATCCAGGTTCTTTTTTCTCCAGTTCAAGCAGCTTCAGGAAGACGCTTTTGATCTCTCCGAGCAATTGAAAAGTCCGATGGCGAGTTCTAAGTCCACTTCTGTTATACCAGTCAGGGTCGTAAAGTAGTTCCTCAGTCGCAAGGCCAAGAAATTGCCAGTCCACTGGATCATTACTCTCCCTGAGATCATCATATTCAAAGATTAGATCCATGTTACAACAACTCTGCCAGTAACTGTCGGGCAACCTCCACCCAAAGACAGCCAGCATATTCTGTGTATCTGCAATACTAGCCAGCTTCGTAGCATTAGCAATTTGTATGGCAATCTCAAGAGGTACCTTAGAGACCATTGACGACCTCGACCGTGAACAGCTGTATGTCTGGAGGAGTCTAGTGGCCTGTTCGATAATTTTTCTAATCTCCGGTACAGTTTTTGGGTTTTGCCACGGCGCCCGGGGTTCGTTAGAATTTGTCCTCTTCGCTTGCTGACCTTGCTAAAATGACTACACTTGGTGGAGTCCACTCAATCTCAACGTGATCGCACGGTGGCAACATCCAAAGCTCAATGTTTGTCATCCAGAATTGTTCCACTGCTTTCACGAATAATTTGAGATTGGTTTCCACCAATCTGATTCCAATAACACGATATACTAGTGCCCAACAGTGGGCTTGAACAGAATAGCCTATCTGTTCAGCTGTCTTATACTTCTCGGGCTTCAACATATCGACTGGCCGGAAACGAGTATGAGAGGAGCGGTCGAAATTTGAACGGACACTTCCGATCCGAGCTTTTCGAGGATCACGAGGGACTTGAGGTATTGGGTCCTCGAATGATTCCTCGAAAGACTGGGTGATCCCTGATACACCCAGATAATCGATATGGGGTCTGTGAATAACTGTTTATCCAGATATGTCAGCCTCCTCGACACGCTTTAGAAGTGTTCATATCACGAACTTGCTCGGTAGAAAGTTGCCCACATCCAAGGTCTCTTGTAGAAATACATGCTTTCGATATCTTCTGCCTTCAACATCATCGAGGGTGCTGGCTTCCACCTCTTGAAGCTTGCCGAACTCTTGAATTGTTTCCACTCCTCGCGCTCGTCAAATATGCTATCTGACTTCCATGTACACAGTGCAAACGTTCCACACGCTACGCAGCATGCACGTGGCTGGTCTAAATAACCAGGATACATCTTTCGTAACTTCATTTTTGAAACGAATTGTTCAGTGTAAGCCAAGCAAAGGGTTGAGCATTAGCAACGGAGGATAAAATTTCACATTTATCATTACTTATGGAATGAAGAAATATGATGTCATATCTAGCCCCTTATCCCTATATGCGAGTCATTGGGTTAGGTCTGACTTTACCAGCTAATCGATATCCAGGAAACTGTAAAGCGTCTTTTTGTTCCACATAATAACGTCATTCTCTTTGCCTGTTCCTCTCAAATTGTTACAAAATAGAGTTTTCCTCAAAGGTCCTGCATCATCTCAATGTTCTTGGCTCATTCATCCAACAAAGCAACAAAGACAGCATCATCTTTCATAATGCGCACCTCCGATCCGGCGCGCCTGATCAATTTTACACACCCCCAACCTCAGCGTCAATTCCAGTGACATTTTCCAACGTAACTTTGATCGTCAATACAATATGCGTTTTGTTGATCTATAATAACTCTCTTTATGGAAGGTGTAGAAATATTAAGCTGTTGAGCAAATCCTATAGCCTGGCCGGTGTCGTCTATGTTGGTTAGCTCGTGCTGTTTAGCAATAAGGTTTGCGGACAGAAACGACAGTCTGAATGTTGGTCACAATTGATGCGATTCGACGACATATTGGATTAATTCAATATTAGAGTTGTCCTGGAGTAAGTCATCAAATAATGCTGGATCCATGGCTTGATCGCTGAAGAGAGGACTTGTTTCTAGTTATCGATTAGGGCATGGGGGATGAAAATGGAGTCGTTATAAATTCCCATTGTGCCCATTGTCCCACTGATCAACCGACTGAACAGTCTTTTATTTCGGTAGTGTTAAAGGAAGATGAGTATGTTGAGGCGTTTAACTGGAGAGTATTATGATTGCACGTGATACTGGGATAAACATTTTACCGAGTCCCCGCTTCCTCTCTACAGCTTTGTTGGCCTATCAATTATTTGCATAAGAAATGTGGACTCTTATGGAGGCGCGCTTAGCGCCTAATCTGGGTTAGTGCGGCACTAACGGTCTATCTGAGGTGTGAGATAAATTGGGCAGTTGATCATGCACAGGTCCAACAACAAGCAACAATGAGAATCCAGCGCAGAACAGAATAGATACACACTTTAAGAAAAGGCACACGAGCATGACGGCGGAAGAATGCATCAACACATCCAACCTGATTTCCACTAACCTTATCTCATTATTTCATACATAACCAGTCATCATGGAAACGGCCATTCGGTGGTCGCCCTCGTCGACCACCCGCGACCAGCGCTTTCTATACGTCGACGTAACGGGCAAATCATTCAAACTCTGCCAAGTCACGTCCTTCGATGGCAAAGGGCTAGAATACGACGTGCTGTCCACGCATGTCCGGGTCCCAGGCTTTCGCGCATTTGATTGGTCGACCGCAGACGAGTCGCTCATCGCCGTAGGCCAGTCTTCCGGCGAAGTCAATATTCTGCGCATGGAAGGCGACTCCAACGAGTCTTGGTCATTCCCCATTCGCAATCAGCGGTATTGTAATGCTGTTGCGTTTAGTTCGCATGGTCTGCTGGCTGGGGGCTTGGATAAGGTGCGGAATGATGTCTGTTTAAACGTTTGGGATGTTAATCATCGAATCATGACGGGGAATTCGCGTGGCGGGCTGGCGCAGGATAGGCAGGGTGCAGAACCGCTTAGGAAGCTTAGCTCGGATCCGATTACGAGTATCAAGTTTTTTAGAAATCAGCCGGATACCTTGGTGGCAGGTGTTAAGGGGCAGTTTCTGAAGCTGTTTGATTTGAGAGGTATGTATAAATTTCTTTTTCTGTATAAGGTTATTTTTGTCTGGTTTATGGGTTCGTGTCTGGTTACTAACTTCATTAGACAATTCTTCGCAAGCATTTCTTTCATTTTCTACCAGATGTGTGCATAATACGGCTATAGACTGGCTGGATGAAAACTATTTTGCATCCTGCTCATCTACCAGTGATCCTATAGTGTGCATCTGGGACAGACGCATGGGTCAACGGCTAACACCTGGCCCGTCATCAGCAGAAGCCGGGCAGATTGGATCAAGCCTAGAGCTGAAAAACACCATCAACGGCGGCTCAATCTGGAGTCTGCGTTTCTCCAAAACCAAGAGAGGTTCCCTCGGGTTACTTTCAAGCAATGGCCAGTTCAAAATGTTCGACATTGCCAAAGAATATTCCTCCGAGGAGGGCCGGCATGCTGCAGATGAAACTCTTGGCGAGGGCTCATCAGCAAATTATCCGGAACATATCTATACGAAGAATGTGCGTGATATTCGGCACCCATTCGACCATCGAACTAGAGGGTACAACAAATCGGACAGGGTGGTGTCCTTTGACTTTTTAAACATGAGTCGATCCAACGAACCAAGCGCGCTTACGCTTCTGGGGAATGGGAATGTGGAGATTGTGACTGTACAATCAACTGCACCTCCGATTCGGTTATCGTCACAGAATGTCCTTGTACGAGGATCGTCTCAAGGAGATCACGACTTTCAGGCCCTAAGCCCGCGACCTCAGCATGCAGAAATATCGAATACAATTGCATCTTTAAGGTCTGAGTCACAGGATACTCTCAAACAGGAGGAGCAGGGAGAAGAGGAGTCCGAGACAAAATGTCTTTCTAGTCGTGAGAACAGAGAACATACCCTGTTCCTCGGGAGCAACGGCACCCGCCTCCGAGTTGAGGATGCGTTGACTTGTCTAACCGTAAACCAAGCTCGATGCAAGGAGGGCTACCTATTTAATTATGAGAAGAATCAGAAGATAGTCGCTGATGATCCGGATTTACAAGAGTTTTGGACTTGGGTTCGACGTGAGTTGATTTCTCAATTCTAATGCTGTGCATAAGCTAATTTTTCAGACTCCCGAGATGCCTCAGCGAATAAGTTAATGGTCGTTAATCGGTTTGATATGAGTTATCTTGGAGTGTGTGATGTGTGGTTTGGAGAAATAGGTATGTTTGATACATCTCATTTTCTGAATATGACTTCTAACATCCGAAGGGATGGTAAATACCAAAAATAGGAAACTCAGCAAGGCAGGTCTAGATCCAGATCAGATGATCAAAGATTTGGTACAGCAGTTAGAACTCCCAGAAGGGAAGCGATGCGAAACCGAATTCTGGGAACATCGTCAACTAGGTCTTCATATCTGTGGTGCCATCGAGACACAAGAAGATCTGGTTGCAATTGTTGATAAACTCGTCGATGAAAGACAACACACAAAGGCGGCAGCTTTAGCCCTCTTTCAAAATGAAGCACAAATAGCGTTCCATGCTCTGCGACGAAATGAACCCACTCAGGGGCACAAGCTTCTGGCAATGGCTATTGTTGGTGGAGCAAAGGGCCATCACACCGATCCTGATTGGGAAGAAACGTGCAGGGAAATAGCGACAGAGCTAACAGATCCATATGGCAGAGCAATTCTTGCGCTGGTTAGCAAAGCAAGCTGGGAATCTGTACTAGCGGAGACGACGCTTCCTTTGAAATACCGTGTGGAAGTCGCACTGCGTTGGCTAGGGGATGAGGACCTCACAGATTATTTGCGAGAAACCAAAACGGAGGCGATCCAACAGGGAGATATCGAGGGCATCGTCCTCACTGGGCTTCGCCATTCTGCAATCGACCTTTTCCAGTCATATATCCGCAAATTCAACGACGTCCAAACCGCCGTGCTAGCCATGAGCCACACCGTACCGCGTTTCATCGACGACGAGCCCAACAAAGCAAAATTCCGCGCATGGCGCGAGACATATCGTCGCCAGATCAACTCCTGGAAACTGCAGCTGGAACGAGCACGGTTTGATGTTGGCTCACGAAAGTTCGCGGTGACGTGGGATGGACGCCGATTAATCGCCCCGGCGCCACAGCAAGTCAGTCTGACCTGCAACTACTGCACGCGGCCTCTCAGCCAGGTCGACCCCGTCTCATCATCCACATCAGCAGCCCATTCAACCACACCGTCTGTCGCGAGTGACTTGCCGCCAAGCACCGGCTCCACCACCACCAGCTTTTCCTACCAAGGCGCCCAAGGCCCAATCCTAATGTCCGGCACCGTCTGTCCCCGATGTTTCCGGCACATGCCACGATGCGGTGTCTGTTCATTGTGGCTGGGTTCTCCAGACCCGATGTCGCGCGCCGCCATCGCTGCAGACGCCAAGGAAGAAGAGAAGAATAACACCACGTTTAACGGCGGCGATGGCAGCAATAAAAAACCTAAGAAACCCTCCGAGGATGATATTGTGCGCCGTTTCGTGGTTTTCTGTATTAATTGTAACCATGGGTTTCATGCGAACCATGCAAAAGCCTGGTTTACGAGGCATCGTGTGTGTCCGATTGTGGATTGTGCTTGCATATGTGATCGGTGATGGATGTGCCTGGGAGGGATTGGGATTGGTTTTTGGTGTGTAGGGAGTATTATACTATACCCGGTGGATTGTAGTTTTTGACTTATATCCGTCCATATCTAATGACATGTGAACCTACCATATGAATACGCTGTTACCTTGCATTTCTCGAAGACTAGTGTCTAGACCTACGACACAAAAGATGGAACTACTATTAGTCTGGGAAATCGAATCCATTCAATAAGGATCTAAAAATCCTAAACCATAAAGATTCACGCCGCGTCCTCAACCTGACAAATCAAGGGTAGAATAACAAAACATGATATTCATGATAATCCTCTTTATCCCACATGTTTATCCCCCCTAAATCATCAATCTCTCGACCTTCTCCTTCACCGCGCGAATCTGTCCGGTCAAGTCGCTTGCTTCGTTGGTGGTGATGCTAGCAGCGATCACAGGGCGGGAGACGCCAGTGGCTCTGCCAAGGGCGAGCTAAAGAAAAGTATCATCAGCCATGACGTTCTAGTTTTTAGGAACTAGTGACTATCGACATACCTTGCTAGGAACGCTAAAAAGGGAGAAAAAGGATCGTTAATCGGTATTCAAAATTTCACAAAAGTGAGTACAGGAACTTACTATACTACAAGATCGTTAGCCGCGTATTCAACTATTCAAATATTCACATATTTTTAACTTACTGTATGCCACGTTCTTATCTTCGCAAAGAAGAGGAAGATGCAACAAGATGGCGAGAGGAGTGGTGTCCGCAGCGAGGATAATGAGCTCTGAGGTACCGCGGTTGAGCGTCTTGGTTGCTTCATTAGCGCCCTTCTTGAGCTGCCGATAATGCGATGCTTGCTGGACGAGATCGAGGATTTGCTGGGTTAGAGCCTCATCGGCGATGGGCCAGGCTGGAGGCACCAGTTAGCACACACAGCAAAAATGCGGTATTCGGGGATTTTATGGTGTGAAGGGTGGTGCTGTGTGGTGACGTGGGGCAGGTTTGAGGAGCAGGACTTACCGGCGGAAGTTTCTCCAGACATAATGGCTCACGACAAGGGATCACTGCCGGTTTGCAAGATTCAAGTCAATGGTGGGTTGGTTTATGGAAGATTGATATCGAAAATATCGAAGAGAAGATTTCTGGAGTGAACTTTTTTGGCGGCAGGGCTAGGCTGTTTTGGGACAGTGGGGTTGTTGCCATTACGGGTTAGCGCGTTAGTCACATTTTATCATGTGGAAGAGAGATGAAGTTAGTGAATGGCAGTTATTCAATTATTCAATTATTAAATAGAAATACCCTTCTCGTCTCGTTATTTAACATTTACTAGATCGATATTTGCTCAGTGTGCACAGCCACATCAAAGTTTACAGTGAGTCATCATGAGTGATGCATTAAAATCAATATTAATACACTCGATAGCTTACGACCACATCATATCAAGCATTACATCAAAGCTCATTTGATTTGAAACATCTCTTTCAGCCTTTATTTGTACAATCATGTCTCGCAGAGGCGGTGGGGGTAGGACCATGCCCCGCGAGGTCGTCCTCTCTAAAGCCCTCTCGCATCTCCTGCGGCACTCGGCAGACAGAGAGAATCTGAAAGTCAGCGAAGAGGGATACGTTAACGTAGCGGAACTCGTTCGTATTCCACTTTCATTCTCTCTTTTTTATAAGAAATGTTTATGAAAGCTAATTCTATGCTAGCTGGAAACCCGAAAAGTAAAACCTCTGAAAGCAACGTTGGCCGAGATATTAGAGGCTGTATCTAGCTCAGACAAGCAGCGCTTCTCGCTGCTCTACGTCCCTTCTGTGAATACAGGAGAAGACGGGACGAAAGACGAGGCTGCCACTGCAGCTTCAGAAGAGAAACAGAAATCCGCGACGGCGCATGCATTATCTGTCAAGGATGAGGATGCCTCGCATTTCCTGATCCGCGCAACGCAGGGACATAGTATGAAATGCGTGAATACAACACTATTCCTTGAAAAGCTCAGTCTCGACGACGACAACAGTAGCAACAGCATAGAAAAGGACGCTGCGTCGCTTCCTGAGACGGTCGTGCATGGTACATACCACGGCGCATGGCCATTGATACTTGCTTCTGGCGGCCTGCGGGCTATGACCAGAGCTCAGGTGCATTTCGCGATTGGGCCGACGATCGACGAAGTTCTGCCCAACGGCCGCGATGCGCCGCCTGCGAAATTGTCGATTGATAAATCGAAGAGAACCGTGATTTCCGGAATGCGGTCTGATGCTGAGATTCTGATTTATATTAATCTGCGAAAGGCGTTGCAGGCCGGTTGCCCGTTTTATAGGAGTGAGAATGGTGTTATTTTGAGTGAAGGCATGGTTCCTGCTGATGCGTCGGCGGGGAAGACCGTACCGGTGGAGTTCTTTGATTTGGTGGTTGAGAGGAAAGCTGGTCTGGGTGTCTTGTGGGAAGATGGGAAGGTTGTGCAGGAATTACCGGAGCATTTGGCTGGGAAAGCAAATCCGAAAGCCCATAGCGGCGGAGGGAGAGGGAGGGGAAGGGGCAGGGAAAGGGGACGAGGAAGGGAGGAGTCGCATTAATTAGAAGCAAAGATGATCAAAATTAGCGCATATAAATCATAACATCAAAGTGTTAGAAGATTGTTCATATCTATCACAAAGATATTCAGTAGAGACCAATATATGTACTTGGTTTTAGCGATTATCTCACAGAGCAGTTGGTGAAAACCCTTCAAACAACCGACCGCAGACCAACTACATCTTCCAAATCCCTATCCAGGACTCATAATTGAAGACATCTGCTTGTCTAGGCTGTGTTGCCTTCTGTCTCTACTGGTAGAATGAGAATAAGGTAAGAAGATTGGCTATCATGGCGATTGGCTGTCGTAGCGAGTGAATTCTAACAGACTCGACTTGAATTTCGGGAGTGATTTGGAAGTTTAACATTTTCCCCCGCATCTGCTATTTTCTACAGTGCTGTACCTTGTATAAGATTGATCTATAAACAAATATTGCTCGAAGTCAGGTACATAATATAATCCTAACCAATCAATCAGAACCTATATTCTTTTACATACGCAAAGGACTCGGTGGCTGGGCGCTTATCAGCCGGTGCGGGGAAATCGGGTATGTACCCCAGTGCCGGCACTGCGAAGCGGGGTAACTTAGGTGCACTACCCGAGCCAGCTGTTCCTGTTACTCTTTCTGTTACTATTACATACTAACCTCGAGTGTCTAAGACAGCTTGGACGTGCAATACACAATGACAGCTGATATGATATTCTGGCTCGGAACCGCTGGAAAGCGAGCTAAATCCGTCCGTACGGTCCGTCATGTGGTAGTACAAGTCTCCAAAAATTACAGTTATCAGGCTTTATAAGTACCCGTTTCGCCTTGTTTGATATTCAAGTCACGGTTCTGCTGCTTTGCTCTGATATTTCTCTCCAACTGCATGATCCTTGTATATCGAGTTTAATTTTCTATCGACAATCTCAAATATGGCAGCCGACCATCCCTACGACCCGACCTTTACTGACCGCGTGGTCAACGCCATGGGTCCCAAGACATCGCCTCGACTGCGCCAGCTCATGTCCGGGCTGATCCGACACATCCACGACTTTGCGCGCGAAAACGAACTGACTGTGGATGAGTGGATGGCTGGCGTGCAGATGATCAACTGGGCCGGCAGGATGAGCGACGAGAAACGGAATGAGGGACAACTGCTGTGCGATGTGATTGGATTAGAATCGTTCGTGACACACATTCAACACATTCATTTTTTTATTTTTATAGGGACAGTAGCTAAGTATGCAGGCTAGTGGATGAAATCACCTACAAGGTTGCTGCCGACGCAGACGCGCCAACGGCAACAGCCATCCTAGGCCCATTCTTCCGCGCAGACACAATAGCTCGACAGAATGGCGATTGTCTTGTTACTGGCGTCGACGATTGTGAAATGACGTTTATGCATGGCCAAGTCGTGGATTTTACCACCAAGAAGCCTATCCCCGGCGCCTTTGTGGAGGTGTGGCAGGCGTCGACGAATGGGCTATATGAGCAACAAGACCCGGATCAGGTAGAGCACAATCTACGCGGGAAATTCAGGACGGATGAGAATGGGCGATATTGGTTTTATTGTATTAGGCCAACGCCATATCCAGTTCCGGACGACGGTTAGTTCGAGTTTTTGATTCTCGGATGCCGGTATAGTTACTAACCGTGTGAAATAGGCCCGGCTGGAAAGTTGCTAGAACTTATGGACCGACACCCATTCCGTCCTGCCCATATCCACATTCTGGTAAGATGAAATTTTCAATCTATAACAAGTAGAGCAAAAAACTTACTCTAGAAATGTACTAGGCAACGCATGATAAATACAAGCCTCTAGTCACGCAGATATTCGACCGAAAGGACCAATACTTGACCAACGATTCTGTCTTTGCAGTAAAGGATTCTCTGATCGTGGACTTTGTACCTCGAAAAGACGACCCCAAAGCAAGCTTAGAGCTGGAATATAATGTTAAGCTGGTTCCTGCAGAAGCCAACACGAATGGGGCGTAATTTAGCAGAAAAATGTGTTTCGTGAAGTATTTAGCCATGATTGTATTGTATTCAATGTTTATTTATTCATTTATTTCATGACTTGCAATTAATTTAACTGGCGTATTCTAAAATTGATTTTTTAACCTCTATATGCTTGAGCGAAACCAGCTACCAGCTTCCCAACCTCGTCACTTGCCTCGATGCAATGCCAATGGCCTACCCCTGGCAAAACCTCCAAAGTCTTCGTCGAGCTAGACACATGAGCCAAGATATGTTTGCACCCATCCAGCGGCGCAGACTTGTCTTCATCACCGGCAATAACAAGAACAGGCAGGCTGATAGCCGCATAGTCTGGCGCAGTGGCTGCTGAAACTACATGACAGAGCGAAATATAGCCAGCCGGGTCTTGCCCTAGGAGAAGCTCTCGAATAAAGGCCTTTTGCAGCGGGGTGCTGCGAGATCCAGTCGCTGCTTCAGGAATTGTGTTGGCCATTGGCTCCATTCCATCTAGAACCATCAATCAATCAACCATACTATTCATACTCAGGATCTTGTTTTTGAACCTACCCTCCAAGACAACCTGAATCCGCTTCTCGAAAATCTGCCCCGTGCTTGGCGTTGGATGTACCGGCCCAATGGCTACCACCGCTACGACTCGCTCTAAATACTGCGCAGCCAGGTGCAGTGCCGTCGTCCCCCCCATCGAATGGCCAACAATAACCGCCTTCTGTATCTTCAATCCATCCATCACTTTGACAACGTCATCGGCAATGCTCCCGATATCCTGCAGTAGCCCCGTAAAGCGCGACCGGCCGCAGCCGTACGTATCAATGGTTATGCAGCGGTGGGTAGAGGTGAGGTGAGGGAGGATTGGGAAGTAGTAGTTCTGCGATGATCCCAGCCCGTGGATGAACACGCATGTCAAGCCTCCTGGCGGCGCGCCGGCAGGGTGCGAGTCGGCGTAGTTCAGCCGTTTTTGGTTTACGTCGATATAGGGCATGGCGTGGAAATCGAGGTGGTGTGTTTTGTAAAGATCTGGTTACGGCGCTGGTAGGCACTTGACTACTTTATAAGAGGAGACTTGTGTCATGCAGACGACATCGCGGTTGACATTACCCGATGGCTGCCGTTAATTGGTATATCACTAATTGGGTCCAGACATGGTTCTGGCTGAGTTGACAGTTGATCAATATATTTTAATGGGAAAGGACACCAAAATGAAAATAAAGAAAGAATAAGTAGTATTACAGGAAGAATATATAGTAGATGAAACAAGAATCACGCGCCCTTCCCCACTCGGAATGCGGAGAAAATCGCACTGTCCCCTCGTCGCCAGTCTGCCTCCTTCTCCCCACAGTTGACATCCATTCCATACATATGTCTCCCGTTAAACATGCACTGATCGATCGCATCAACGCGACATTCCAGTGAGACGGACACCCGACCCCCGCAGAGACTCTGTTTCCACACCCACCAGACCGGGTATGGCCCGTCGGAAAGTAGCTCCAGAAAATCGGATCCGGGCCGCGCAGGCATGCGAAAACTGCAAGAGGAGGAAGCAAAAGGTGCGACAAACTTCTCTGATCTCCCTTCTCCTTCCAGCTAGCTAACGTGTCTAGTGCAACGGTACTATCCCCTGTTCCAACTGCAGCAAGCGTCAGGTACAATGTTTGTTCTGGCACCCAGTCCCCGCGACCGGAACGACCGCAGTGACGAGCAATGCGCCGCCAGAGCAGCGGGATTCCAAGAAGCGAACCCTGAATAAGGCGCAAAGTAGTTCGGCCACCTCAAGGCGATTAGCGCAGTCCACGCCGGACACTGCTTATCGGGATCAAAACATCTCCTTCTCTGCCTTGGACAGCACAACGCTACCGAACCATGTCGCGCCCTCGGGGAATCCTGCGCATCGTTCACCTGCGCAGCGATCACAGCCTCCTCGCGACCCCTTTCCAGTTATGAGCACGGCCAATGGCAGTCTGCCGCAGGTCGACCAAAGCGGCAGCTCCGAGGAGGCGGATGAGGCTGAATTGCAGGGCATGTCGCGCATGCTGAACGATGGAAAAGGGAGAATGCGTATGTGCTTGTTTCGCTTGGCACGAGTTATTGATTCTGATGGTGGCTCTGTTTATTTAGTTTATATCGGCGATTCTGCCCCATTATCTTACCTGCAGACTATTCGACAGCTTGTGAGCAGCGTGATGGGAACTTCGGCATTGACTGTCGACCCGCATCGGCACACCATCCTTGAAGCTTCCGTTCAGACACCTCCTACTTATCAACATACATATACGCTTCCGGATCGAGAAGCCGGACTTTTCCTTGTAGAATCTTTCTTTGTAAATGTAGGCAGCCTCCCAGAGTACATACATATGAATCCTTGGCTTAATATTCATACATGTTACAGACGAAAGGGATGCTGCATCTGTTTGATGAGCGATCTTTCAAACAACGAGTGGAACGAACATATCAAAATCCGCTAGCTGCAGAGCAGTCTTGGATGTGTATTTTATACCTCGTTTTTGCTGTGGGTCTTCAACTCAGATCCGCCTCTCCACGACCATCCGAGAAAGAGGCCGCTATCCTCAAACGCTTATTATCCGACAAATTGGATCGCGGCGAGGTGTTTTATCTAGGTGCCAGACATCTCAAGGATTCCGCGTCGGGCATTGAAGATGGCGATTTTGCGTCTATTCAAGCCTTGCTGCTCATGACCCTGTATATGTTGTCTGTTGGAAAGCGAAATACAGCCTGGGCATATATCGGTATTCAACCCTTCGTATATGTGTTTAGGCGTCACTAACTTCTTAGGCATGGCGGTCCGTTTATCTTATGCGTTAGGGCTGCATAGAGTTGAGACACAGCGTGTCTATGATGAGTCGGAAAGGACGTCTCTGTCTGTTCCTAGGTCAGTGACCCGCGTACTTTCAGAAGCTCATCTTTAACACTTTTGCAGAATTCTTTTATGGCGCAGTCTTTATGTGATGGACCGGTTTTTGGCTGCATGTCTAGGTCGACCAACAGCGATCCAAGATGAAGAGATCTCCGAGGAGCTGTTTCCTTCGAATGAGGATATACGAACGGCTCCTAGCCTATTCGATAATTTTGAATTCGAGGCTCTCTCTGCGTCTATGCGAGCAGCCAAGATATTAGGCACTATTCTGCATCAAATTTACCGATCTCGCAAAGTCTCGCTTCAGATTGCGCGAAACATTGCCGTAAGTATTCATGAGTGGACCCAATCTCTCCCAGAGATCTTGCAGTGGCGGCCAACACCAATTCCACATGATGACCCTGGAAAAGCCATGGGCCAGCTGCATCTGTGGATGACGTATTTTAGCACTATAATTCTTCTAACGCGCCCGTTTTTACTCCTTCATGTCAAGAAAGTGATTGCCTATCAGCAACGATCGAAATCACAAGCCTCGCCTGAAGCGGTTGCGAACTCGCCCGCCGAGAGTCGAGTAGCGGGCAATCCAGAACTACACAAGTACTCTGCTGCATGTGTTCGTTCAGCGACACATTTAATTCGTGCGGTGCAGACGATTCGCGTAAAGGGTTGTTTACCAAGGAGGGACCCATTCATCATGTAAGCTTTTCCACCATAGTCAAAACACCGCTGACTTGTTAACTGGATAGAAACTGGATGTTCATTGCAGCCCTCATAGTATTGACAAATTCTCTTTTCAACGTATATGAAAACCCTGAGAACGACTCGATAGCACAAATTGCTGTTCTGCTACACCAACACTTTGGCGAGTGCGATCCGTTAGCCGCACGTTACCAACAGATTCTGAATTCTTTTCTCAAGACGATATCCGATTACCGATATTCAGCATCAACACCCACGAAAGGATATGGCCAAGACCCAATCGAGAACCTCTTTTCGGGTAAATCCAGCATGATGCTAGAGATGGCCCAAGACCAAGTCACTACGGACTATGCAAATCAGCCGCAACCACCGATGTGGAACTGGGCAACTAAGCTGCCCTCGACAGATATGTTACCTGATATCACAGCGGCAGGCTTGACCGTCAACGATCTAGGCGACAGCGTTGAAGGTCTTGTCTATCCGGGTTCAGAAGAGCTGCTCGGCCCGGATCTCGGGCCGATTATGGAAGAAGTCATTCACTTCGATACCCTTTGGCCTTTCAACCAAGACACTGGACTCTATCAAGGAGATATACCGATGTACGGAACCAGTAATTACTTGTAATTAATAACTATCACATTCTACCAACATTTACCTCGCGCTAGCAGCCGCAGCCTGTTGCGCTGCAGTATCCTATTTTTACATCAGCACATACGAAACGATACCCACATCTATTCTAGAAGGAAAGACGTACCAGATAAACTTGATAATACTTCATCTTCGGCCTCCCGGCTTCGTCAAAGACGAACTGCGCTCGAGCAGACCAGTCGATCTGCACTTCCTTCGCGCTGGCTCCTTTCATCACGTAATTCACTATGCCGAAGAGCATCAGGTCGTCGTCACCACCAAAGAAGATTTTGACGGCCATGTGCCGCCGTGATGAAACGCTTGTCCAGAGACTTTTGCGGAAGGCGAGGATTTCTATCTACATTAGTCTGTAACAATCAAGAAAGAAAACGAGCTCAAAACGAGTTCAAAGGGAAGAGAAAAAATTTCAGTGTCATGTCAAATATCCTGCCCGGACAGGCACGACATATAGATACCAAACCGAACATTGAATAAATGAAATAATGAAATAAAATGAATAAAACAAACCTTCAAACCCCTTCGCCCCCTTCCCGCCCATAATCAACGTCGCATCGTCCGTGAAGTACTCTGTTGCATACTTCTCATGAGCCGCCGGGTCGTCGCTCGTAGCATAGAAGGATTCCATGAAATTTGTCATGGCGGATGCCTTGGGGTCAAGAGAGTGGTGGATGGAGGGGGTGGTGGATATTTTGTAGGACATTTTGGGTCTTGGATTTTTCAAATGTTGTGTGTGGTATGGATGATATAATGGGAGTGGTGATGGAGGGCTGGAATACATATACGCAATGAAAGTACACGTACGTATGTAATGCATTAATAATGATACATGTAAGTGGAGTTGCAGTGGTGGGGTTAAATACCATTGATATTCTGTACCGATGAAGCCGACGTCGGGTAGAGTACTCGGAATCTTTGTGTCTAGACATCAATTGATATGTATCATTATAGTTTACTTGTTATAGATATGTTTGCTTCATAAAAATGCCTACTATATATGCATCTAGAATGTGTACCACCACTTGAATATTGTTACATCCCTTAGGGTTAGGCATCAACAACCCTCCGATCACCCTCGTCACCCTTAAAATCCTCCCAAGACGCCCTATCACTCCCATTCGGCCTACTCGCACGCACAAAACCATTATCAACTCCATCAACCCTCGCAACCGGCCTAACAACTTCAATAACTTCCCCATTATACTTCTTCGCCACCCACTTCTCCGTATACATCTCGGCCCCATTCTCCCCAAACAACGCCGGATACTTGGTTCGCAACATCCTCAGCGTTGTCGCCGAAATCCTATCTACACTGTCGTGGTGCCGCAGCGCAAGAAACTCCGGTACCACCTCTGCACGCATCTGTTCCTGCACTGCGGCTGGATACCGTCCGACTGCGAAGAGCAGGAGGTCGTAGTGCATAAGCGACGCCGTGCCGTGGTATGACCCGCCGGTTTTTGCCCGGTAGTATAGTCCTGTCAATGCCGCGATTGCGCCCATGCAGCCTGTGCCGTAGTCAGATATCGGGAAGGGGGGCACGACCGGTGTCGAGAGGCCCATGAACTGCCCTTGTGCCCAGGCTACTCCGGTTACCTGGGATAGTTAGTACAGCACATGCATAAAGGAGGAGGAAGTCGTAGAACGTACGCAGTCTGCTATCTGCTGCCATCCCGGCCTCCCAGCCCATTCCCCCTCATACCCGAAACAGTTCTCATTCACATAAACAACCCCCTTGCCCCTTTTCTCCGCTATCTCGGCCAGCCTGTCAGGTCCATAACCGAGTTTTTTGAGCGCTCCAGGACGATACCCGTCCACCAAGACGTCGGCTTCAGCCAGCAATTTCTCGAACTCACTTCGTCCCTCGGCGGATTTTAAATCTAGATCTGCGGCATGTTTGCCCATATTCCCGTCAACCTGGAAAAATGGAACGTCGCTTAGATTCGGGCTGGTGATTTTCAGCACATCAGCGCCGTATTCGGCAAGTATGCGGGTGACGGTGGGACCGGCGATGATGCGGCATAACTCGAGGACTTTTATCCCCTCCAGGATTCGACAAGGACCGTTGGGTTTGGTGGCTGGGAAGGGTGTTGGGGGGATGTCGCCTGGGAGTTTGGAGACTTTCCATGGAGGTTGTTGGATGTTGAGGTTGCCCTAGACAAAGTTAATCATTGTTGAGTGATAGATGTTATAGATATATACGTACGTGCGGCGTCTTAATGAAATCCTCGTATTTATACGCCGTCACACCAGCCTGTCTTCTCTCCGCGTTCATTTTCTCCAATTCTTCTACCGAGTATTGTTCAACGTGACTCTCGATTGTCTTGATGATTTCTTGGTAGTCAGTCAAATCCGGCCGCTTCCCTTCCAGTCCAATCATATTCAATGTTGTCGTCGCCTCTAATGAGCCATGGATGTGAAAGAATTGCCCATCTTTCGTTCGATACAGATTCGCTGACATTCGTCGGTATCCATTTGACTGCGCCGCCAGAAGATCGGTATCTACATTTCATCAACCCATATACCTGACATCATAGAAGACATTTTTGATAAATACCTTTCAGCTTCGCCCGCACACCTGCGTCTAATTTCCCCATCCCCCCAACTTTGGCCATGTATGCCTGACACCCAAAATACGTCGCCGCTTCCAGACTAACACTGACATTGCGCGTCTGCTTGCTCGCGCCAAAGCGAAGGTCGGCGATTTGTCCTGCTACCAGGCCCTCGATTGCCTTCAGTGCGGCGAGAGTCTCGGTCTCTTTGAATGGGATTGGGAAATATATTTTGTCCGTCGTAGAGTGGAATTTTACGGCATTTTGGTTGTTGGGGACTCCCGGGGGCAGGTTTAGTGCTTGGGATTGCTTGCATAAATAGTCTAGGATATGGTATGCTTCGCGAGTTGGGGAGTATACTTCTGTTGTGGCGTTGGTGGTAGCCATGATTGGTGCTTAAGCCTGAAGCAGGGTGGAATATATCGGTTTTATGGTTGAATTCTTTGTCAAGTGAAGTCGAGTAGCGGTTAGCTCTAGATCTTCTCGACGAAAGACGGAATTCTTTTGGAACTCACAAAATTATAAGTACATTACTTATATCCTCCCACAAAAATCACTGAATTCTGAACCCAAGCAGCGAATTAATGACCTATCATTCCTCAATCTTGACCAATCATCAGCCAAGCGACATCAATTTCAAAACTCAAGACACAAAATGAAAGCCTGAGCAATTCTTTAAATTATAAATATCAAATCTACGCTTTGCACCATTTCCTGTTCCTGTTCCGACTGCCCTATGTGTGGTTAGTCGGATTGAGTGTTTTAAAAGAGGGGAAGAAATAGGGCTTGTCGGATACTTGTTGCGGGCGGGGGTTGCCACATTCGCGGGCCGTGACAGAGACAGCGGTCCGAGCACTATGGATACATGTCAGAAAGATGAGGCTGAGAATTTCGTTATTTTAGGTACTAAATACTGACTCATAAATCCGGCCATATATACATCTCCGTTATTTGACATGGACATCAACGTAGAGAACAGGATGTCTATTTTTACGTAGTACTCCATGACATCAATTGATCAATACATATGTACCACATATTTAAAAGATATACTATATATTTACTAATCTAGATTAAGTATTTACATATACCAAGCGTGATAAATATACCTGCTACTTCATCAAGTGCGGTTTGTTTCGAACGCAACATTTGGTTATGGTATAAGAACTTGAAACCATTTATATGCCTTGCGATTATTCAACCATAGAGTAATTACAATAAGTACATGTATTTATGGTGTTATCTAATAGAAATATTATATGTTTGTCGTACAACCAAAGAATAATGATTAATCCGGTGCCGAAGATCATAGCCACAAAAGACACGGTCCTTGCGCAGCTCTCAGTCGTTCAATATGTGTCTGGAGGATTGATGATCTGAGTGCCTGTTACTTCATCTTCTACAGTGCCATCAGGTCTTGCGCGTGTGCCATTGAAGGTGACCTTCTCAGCAAAGCCATTCTGGTCGTAGCTCTGTGAGAAGACGATGTCGTACTTGTAGTCCTGCAGATTGAAGAGCACATGACCCTCGAATCGGTCGTATTACCCGTATAAATATCATCAATGTATAATCTGTAATACTAAAATAGCTACAGACGGGGAGATAGGGAATGCCTTGCAGGTTCAACAAGATCCGCCCAGCGGAGCGTTTCCGGGGCTGTTTACTCCTTGGAGAGCCGTTATCTTGGACCAATACAATACCAACTTGTCTATGGCGAAGGCTGCCCAAGCCTGGTTCGAGTTTCTCGGCAATAAAAGAAAGTTCCAACACTAAGGAAGGCATAGTTCATGTACATATGACTTTTCGGAGATGACTGGACCCCGTCCCGGTAGGAAGAAAATTATACAAATTCTTCAAACTTGATATTAAATCTTCTAAAATTTTATCTAAGGTTCTCAAATACTTGACCTGCTTTCAAATAGAAAGGAGCGCCTTATGTCCCGTTACATGTTCTGAGGTATTAAGATGATATTTCTCAGATACAGAACAATGCTGGAAGTACGGAGAAACTGCTCAGGAGGGATTGTAATGATAAATACCTCGACGTAAATATAAAAAGAGGCATGATAATTGATATAATTTAGGTCAATTGGTGGAAATCTACCGATTAGCTATTGTAAAGTATATACCTCAGCTCCATTTTGACTCAATGTAAAATACAATCAACTTGCAGAAAAATTCTAATTATCAATTAAAATATGAGGTAGATAGTTGAATTCCATCCACTCATGTCGAGTTTGATCTGAGCTCTGTCATCGACTCTCGTATTTGAGCTCGAAGCGTGTTCGGATACCAAATGTAAAAACTGGTCATAACAAATAGCATCAAAGCAGCGTCAAACACATAGAGAGGCCATTCATTGGTAAGAAGATATCCCTCTTGATCTATAGCTTGCATGACGAATTCCACCACCCGGTAAATATTGCGTATCAGTGTGGCAGCAGAGGTCATGTAGAGCATAGTGAACCAAGACTGCCAGGGAAGATTAAAGACTGTCCCCGTTTTTGCCATATGCACTCTCATTCTTTTGTTGAAGATCACGCAGCAGGTTATGAAGAAAACAAAAACGATGATCTGCAAAATCAGGCCGGCGATAATAATGTAGTCGCCAGTGAGGGCAAGATCTGGATTGCCGAGCAGTCCGGCCGCGTTGCCCTGTACTGAGAAGCAGGTGAGATCACCAACAACGAATATCCAGGTAGCCCATCTGATAGGTACTGGTGAGAAGGCCTCACCATGAATGGCCCTCACAATGCGAGAATATGTAGCGTAGAGCGTTGCGGCGAACCCGAGTGGAGGAATGACGAGGAATATGTCTTGAATAAGGTAAGTTGCCAAGTTTCCAGTGTTGTAGGTCGAGGCTGCTCGACTAACGTATCCAATTATTTCGCCTGCATTATGAAACAAGGTCAGAATCACTTCAAGAATATACGACTCAAATATAAGGTGGAGGAAGCAAAGAATAAGCTGAAACGCACTGAAACCACCCATCAAGAATGGAATTGTAAACCAATGTCTAGTTTTGTAGAGCTTAACACAGTGAAGTGCAGTGGCGAGGGTAAATATCCCAGCAAACGTTGCAGCAAGGGGAAGGCTTGGAACGTAGTTCCATAGATAGGCACCCTCATAGGTTTCGAGGGTAGGCATGTTGGCAATGGGAGCGACGGAAAGCGACGGACACCAACGAAGGAGCCAAGGTAAACGTGATACCCTGCAGCAAATACAGCACAATCTATGAGAGTCATGTAGCATGAAAAATAGGGAAATTGGCGTTATAAACCGAGCATAACGCTCAAAGATGGATTGATCAAAAGATTATAGCTCGAAGGAGAGGTTAAGCTGGGACGCGCCATCTTTTAAAGCACCCTACCGGTATATTAATTACGGTGTAAATATATCCTATAAGGATCAAATCATCAGCGCAAAAGTAACCTTGTTTTTTCAATCTGCTCCTTTGGAGGTGATCGATCATCCAATCACACTAATCTCTTCACTAGCGTTAAGCTTGGCTTGGAATACGCGTGTTAGATAATCAAGAACTATTTAGTCAATACCCAATCAGCAGCCCTACATTCATTAACTAATACGCGTGTTCGGTTTCATCCGAACATAGCCGCGCCTGATACTGTCAGCTTCACAGCCCATTTCATTAATTCCCCTGCCTGAACCAGTATGCTAAATGCATAATATACATATTCATCCTGTGTTTAGGTCAGACAAGACAATTTAAGCCGACATGTTGCGTCGCCGACACAAGAAATCCCGAAGAGGTTGTCTTACATGGTGAGTCTAAGCAAATCTCGGCCCAATTATTGTATCCACAGTCCCTACTAACCCTAAGTAGCAGACAACGACACGTCAAAGTAAGATGCTCCTCCTTTGATCTGTCATTCTCCCATCCGTCTCTATGACCCAGCTTAAGCCACCCCATCTCGTCGCTAGTGTGATGAACGCCGCCCAGTATGTCTTCTCTGCACTATGTCCCATCGGGAATGCATCTATGCACCATTGGATCCCGACACGATAACGAGTCCTGCTTCTCAAGCCTCTCCTTCTGAGTTTGACCACCCGCAACTTCAAGTACAAGAGCACATCAAAAGCCCGAATAATGGATTATTCCACACTCCGAGCGTACAAAATGACTCAGCGTGTGGTACCCGACCGTCCCCCGATATTAGTTCCTTTGTACATTCAACTTCTAGCCTCAATCCGTCCCAACAACTAAGCCCAATTCACCACACCCAGCCGAACCAGCCAGGATTTACGGAGATAGACGCCGAGTTGAATTTCAATCATATGGAACTTATCATTCATCTACTCACTGACCACGACGTCTTTAGCCTTAGCCTTGGCGATCCGGCCTTTAGTACAGACCCTGGGCTTTCCATTGGGCTCAAAAAAGGCCTGGAGTTTCCATATCTTCTTTATCAATGTCTTGCTTTCTCTTCTCTCCATCTAGCCTTTGTGCCGTCTGATAAGTCAAACATCTACAGACACCAAGCCGCGTCTTTACAAACTCGAGCCCTCTCCCTCTTCAATTCGATGGGAACAGAGGTCGATGAGTCCAACTGCGTTGGCGTTCTCTTATTTTCCAGCATCCTGGGTCTCCACCTTCTCACCGACACGCTCGCTGAGCGGACATCAGGTAGTCTCGACGCTTTCGTGGAAAAGTACGTGCAGTGCATTGAGATACATCGTGGCGTTTATTCCATCGCTATTGCTGCGTGGCCGTACCTTATGAAATCAGACCTTGAGCCCGTGATATCATCGAGCTCAAGCTTTACATCACGGACGCCGACTGGGGATGACTGTCAACTTCTCAGCAAATTGATCGAGTCTGCCGCTTGCCTGGGAGAGGAAGACAAGGAGGCTTGTCGGCGAATGATTCGGTACCTGCAGATTGGCTTTGACGCTGTATCTACAGAGTTAGAGCAGGGATATAGACACTACATGATATATACGTGGCTGATGCTGGCGCCTCCGAAGTTCACGGATCTCTTGACAGCAAAAACACCCGAAGCTTTTGTCTTATTAGCATACTACGCTATTTTGCTGCACTACGGCAGGCATTTGTGGCAGGTTGGAGATGCAGGATTGTATATCATACGGATTATTATCGAATATCTTGGCCCCGAGTGGCAAACCTGGCTCGACTTTCCGCGAAAGAGAATAATGCAAGAGTCTTTGGACGGGTTAGTACGAGATTCACATGCTTTTTTGGAAACAGTACAACATTAGATTGACCATTGTTATCAATAGAAAGATGAGATATTGACGAGTCACATAGAATATCAATAGCTTTCATACGGAGTAAACCTAGTTTAATAAGGACTATTCAATTTAGATGTGTGACCTATAATATTCAAACAATAGATACACATAACATATGACATATGTAATGAATAAGTATATAGAGCTTTACAATTGTTCAATATTATTTACCTTTACATTTGTGAAGAGGTGGTGGATCACGTCACTTAACGGCTAATCCTAGTAATTCAAATTACTGACACCTCAGGCAACTACGCCCAGCCATTAGAGCGCATATTAATTCGATCTCGTTGATATGATTCAAATTTGCGGGCTGACAGATGCGAGTTTTTATCATGCTATTTAAAGGAAACGAATGCGCAGAGGCCGAAGCACCCGGGGTGCATGGGTTCCTGCCAAGCCATTCAACCCACGACAGAATGCTCAGCAAGGCTGAAGTCACCCCTCTAACTCTTGAAGTTCATTTCATCTACCAAATTCTATTGCTTTGAGTACGAGGTATAGGTTCCCTCCATATTAAATAACTGTCAATTAGACTCCGTTCTTCTATTGCCATATTTCATCCGTCATTCATTAAGAATGAGCTTTGGTTTCAGCATCAGTGACTTTATTACAGTCTTTGAGCTTGCAAACAAGATTCGAAAGGATTTCGTCGAAGCTCCGGCTCAATTTAAGGCTATTTGCGAAGAGTATATCCTAATTTCTAATTCCTCTTTCTTAGATGAGAGCTTATTTTCTGATTTCGGTTTAATAGGATTAGAAACCTCTCATTTACAGTACAAGATATTGAAATCGATTTATATGGTAAGAATATCACCAGCCAACAGAATACAGAGTTGCTACAAATAGCAGCAAGCTGCCGCAAAATTCTGGAAGAGATTGAAAAGACTCTCGACAACTATAGAGAGTTGGAACCGAACAACTCTAAAAGGAGTAATAGGATGAAAAGAGGATGGAAACGACTGAGGTGGGAACCAGATGATATTAATGATCTTCGAAATCGTTTAAATAGAAATATTTCCCTCCTTAATGCATTTAATGGGCGCATTACTCGAAATAATATCACAAAATTAATGCAGAGCCACAATGATCATGAAAATCGGATGATACTTGACTGGCTCTCTCCAATGAACTATGCTACTCAACAAAGCAACTTTGCCAGTCGATGTCAAGCAGAAACCGGGAAGTGGTTTTTGAAGTCTTCTGAATTCCAAACCTGGATTGAGAAACCGAAACAGACTTTATTCTGCCCTGGAATTCCTGGAGCTGGGAAAACCATCCTCGTGTCAATGATGATTGACGAGCTCTATGTGCGATATGGGAATGAAAATGATATTGGTATCGCATATATCTATTTCAACTTCCGTCATCGTTACGAAAATGGTCTAAAAGACCTGCTTGCGAGTTTGTTGAAACAGTTGGCTCAAGCACAACTATCCTTGCCGGATAATGTGCGGGATTTATACGGTCAGCATTATAAACGAGGGACACTACCGTCATTAGATCAAATTTCAAGGAATTTGCATGCTGTCATCAGCAAGTTCACGAAAGTATTTATCGTTGTGGACGCCTTAGACGAATGTGAGAATGTAAACAAACTATGTTATATCTTCCTATCTAAGATATTCCATCTCCAAAACAAACATGAGTTGAACTTTCTGGCAACCTCAAGGTTCATTCCAGAAATTGAAGCCATGTTCGAAGGGACCCCATGCCTGGAGATACAAGCGAACAGTGAAGATGTCAAGAGATACCTGAGGGAATCCTTAGGGTGCCTTCCTAGGTTTGTTTCACGGAGCACAGAACTTCAGGAAGAAATTACTGCAGAAATCACTAAAAACATCGGCGGCATGTACGTGGCCTCTCTCAAATATTTATATCGAATTAGCTAATTGATTCTTAGGTTTCTTCTCGCTCAACTTCATCTTGAGTCATTAATTGGCAAGAAATCCCCTAAGGCGCTCCGAGTGGCTCTAGCAAGCTTTTCTTCTGGATGCAGTTCGTATGATTCTGCGTATCATGATATCATGGAGCGGGTTCAGAGGCAAATGAAAGACCAGAAAGAGATGGCCATTCAAGTACTGTCTTGGATAACTTATGCAAAGAGACAGTTGACAACTCTGGAGCTGCAACATGCACTTGCTGTAGAGATCGACAGCCCTTGCCTTGACAAGCACAATCTCCCTGAACTAGATGATATGGTCTCTGTTTGTGCAGGACTGGTCACGGTTGATGAAGAGAGTAAAGTTATCCGCTTGATCCACTATACAGCACAGGTCTATCTGTTACGAACTGCAAATGTTTGGTTTCCTAATGCCCAAGCTTATATCTCAAGGACATGCATCACTTACTTGTCATTCGAAGTTTTTGGCGCTGGCCCTAGCTTGAGTGAAGAAAGTTTAAAAGACAGATTAAGTTCTAATACTCTTTATGACTACACTACGCGGAATTGGGGACATCACACTCGTATGTCGTCCATAGAGAGTGAAAAATGGATATTAGACTTCGTTGAAAGCAAACAAAAGGTGGCTGCATGTAGCCAAACGATGGTATACAATGAGTATCATGATTTTACTGAATCACAGATGACAAATTTGCATCTTGCAGCATACTTTGGGCTTCAGAAGCTCGTGCTGGCTTTGTTAGAAAGACAACATGACCCGAACCTCAAGGATGGATATGGCCGGACACCACTATCCTGGGCTGCGGATTGTGGCCATGAGGAAGCAGTATGGCTTTTACTTGAAAAAGGCGCTGACCTCAATGCAGCGGATAAGGATGGTTGGACACCACTTGAATGGGCTGCTATGATGGGTCATACAGCTCTGGTAAACCTATTTCTGGACAGATATGCCAGCCATTCTTCTAGAGACAATGGTGGAACCATAATACTTTCCTTGGCTGCAGAGAACGGTTATGAATCGTTAGTCAAATTACTACTCGACAGGGGCATTTACCCGGATTTCAAAAACAGTTTTGGCGAGTCACCTTTGTTACTTGCTGCGGATAATGGACATGAGATGGTAGTCGAGTTATTGCTTAGCAGAGGAGCTGGTATTGACTCTAAAAACAAGTATGGTCTAACGCCACTATTGTCTGCTGCGAACAATGGCCATGAGATAGTAGTCAGGCTGTTGCTTGACAAGGGCGCAAGCATTGAGGCTAAAGACAGATATGGTCGAACATCACTACTCTCTGCCGCAGAAAACGGCCATGAGGCGGTGGTCAAGCTATTGCTTGACAAAGGGGCTGATCTTAAGTCTAAGGACTGTCATGGTTGGTCATCTTTATCGTGGGCTTACAATTACGGCTATCGGCATGTCATGAGTTTGCTCTTAGAAAAAGGTGCTGTCTTTGAGTCTGAAATGACCCCAATGAACTCAACAGACAGAGTTATGGCAGGTGCGCAAATATACAGATTTAAGCCGATCACATTCTCAAGAAAGTGATATTCCTACTGATGATGATATACTACCCCCATTCGCTTTCAAAGGAGAGAGTATAGTTTCATTTCAAAAAAATTCTAGGCACAAAATTAGAATGATATATCAATCCAATATAATCACTTATTTATAGTGATCGTTTTTTTGGGGGGGGGGTTGGAACACCTTGCAAATCCCTTATAACTATTCTAAGATATCGAGGGATAAAAATCTAATGTATACACATAGTAAGGGTATATGTAGGCTCTTCGAGTCCGTTGCTTTGAATAATGGAGTTGTACAAGGTCAATGAGATTGAGTGAGCGACGCCAACGAGCTCTGTCGAAGCTACAAAAGAAGCGAGACACGCAAATTAGATTCGTAATAACAGCGACGCATTGTCACTACCAGGTGGAGTCAAATGGTCCATGTCTAATCAGTGCCGCCAGTTCTAGTCCCCTGGGGCACAGTTCCTAGTAGTTCAAACACCTAAAGGTACATTATGTGTGTAGTATTTCACAATATTTTGTAATATATACCTCAGATTTGTATGTTTCGGTGATAAAAAAGTGATACTCTAGGCCCATTGAGATTAGAGTGAAAACACACCAAATAAGGAAGTATGTGAATATATGATAATGATTAATAATTGAATCGTGGCTGAGGCTTTCGAGCGAAATACAGCTCAATCGAGCGAAAATTTTGGGATTATTTTACTAGAAAATCATATCCTAGAGGAGGCATGGCACTATCGAAAACTATCACGAAGCTATAGTTGCAACGCGAGGCTATCCATCAGGCCCCACGATTTGTGTAAGGATCTTTTAGATCTATCTAGAAATACCACCTACCTAATTCATTCAGCTTGGCAATAAACGCCTTCCTCGAAGCTCGCCCAATACGGTTGTCACGTGATATACCAAGACCTAATTCCAACCTACAGTTGGCGTACCACGTCGCGATCCACGATGATATTTGGACCCAATCGCTCTATCTTGCATTCGTATTCAAAGTGGAGTTTCGTATTTGCAGTCTTCTACGCCCCTTTTCTAGTTCCCAGCTGAAACCCCGTATTTGCGGGACAAGCCACCGCAGATCACCCATCCAGCCATGTCAGCCACGTAGTGTTAGCTATTCGTATTGCCAGCTTTTATTTGAGAATGTCCAATGATGATAGTTGAGAGAGGATCTATGGTTAAGGTTAATAACGCTCTGCGCTATTTCTCCACAGATTTTCAAGCCCCCTTGTCGTTTTTTTGCCCCATGTTCGAGGTGTAGTAAAATCTATTATATATCTAAATTACAAGGCGGATACGTCACCCATGGGTGACGGCTTAACTAGAAAGGTTTCTATTTTCAACTGGCAGGACGAAGACTCAGGAAGAATACAGTCCATTCAGCATTGATGAACTTGATAAGTAAACAGTATGACGTCCGACTAATTAGTTTGAAGATTGTCTTACGTAAAACTAATAAAATCCAACAATCTATCAGCAATATATCATTTGCGGCCAAGAACTATTTCACAACTGGGTCCACATAAAACTCTATATCGAATATCTCCAGCTGCAGAGAAACCTGACCGAAATCATGAGACCAGAGAAATAAAGGCTAGAAATGAGAATAACACGATTCACGAACGGATCTCGCTCCGCCTGGGCAAGTTTCAAAACCTGGGGGCAATGCAGAGATAACCTGATCAAGAGATAATCATGAAGTCAAAGGCTTGACCGAACGGCACAGACGGGGCAAAAACCTCGTCTTTATGGAGCAATCTCGTATTCCTCAGCTCAAAAGCGTCAACATCTCGACTATTCTTGGACAATGTATGTTTCTGGGCGAAGAAAATCACGAGAAGTTACATTCCTCGACACGAGACCTTCGACTCAACCTCAATTTTGATCGAAGGAGACCCCGATTCTCAACTATTTAAACCCTCAACTCGACCGTCCATAGCTCTCCCTCTTTCATTCAGACAACAATCAGCCTTCTCAAACAATCTCAACAAAGCCTCATCTCTACCACTTCAAAAACAAAACTTTCAAAGTTTTCAACCAATCCAGCCAAAATGCAGTTCCTCATTGCTCTTTCTTCCATCGTGGCTCTTGCCGCCGCTGCCCCTGCTGCCAGCAACGCCAACGCCAAAGACGCTATCAACGTCTACCACTCTACCGCTGCGGCCAACGGATGCAACTGGCTCGGTTAGTACTGCCACATCGACAGATAGTATTTGATTCGTCCATTAACACTTTTGTACAGGCTGTGTCTCCTCTCTTGCTGGTGAGACTGCTGCTTGCGCTGCTGCCGCCGCTGAGGCTGGCGTTAGTAAGTTTCCCTTGTACTGTCAATGATCCAGGCTATGGTCTCCTAATAGTTTATATAGACCCTATCGCCGATGTTGCTTGCCTTGCCTCTGTTGGCTCCGCTGGCTCTGCCTGCAATGGCTGCTAAGCATTGAGGTTTCGAGTCTTTTTCTTCTCTTTCTTTTGTTTTACTTTTCGTGGTGGAATAGTGGGAGGATGATGGTATATGAGGAGGAATGTATATTGTATAGCAGAAAGATGTATTCAAAAGAGTTTACTGTGCATTTCAAATTGAACTCTTAGTTGACAGTGAATATATTTTGTTGGTAAGAGGTATAGGCTGTAATTCTTGCTCTTCAAGGTATATTATCATCTCGTGGCGTCTGGTCAGTAGGTCCAGGTAGGAACTTAGGATAGATGGAGGCGAAAATAAATGTAAAGGGACAGAGTGAGTGCTTATCCTTGCAAACTCACACGGCAGTTTGTTCCCTAATCTACATCTGGAATTGACATATCCTATCTACTCTGAATTGTAGGTTTCATTTATTGGTATTTTTACTCTTAATATTGACATAGATATTGAAATATACAGATCAATTGATGTTAGGTAGTGTATAAGGGCCTAAGCCCAACGCCTTTTAGTGTATCCTGATGAGTGATGTATTAATTGCTTGCGTAATAAGTGTTCTCTGTGTCCATATAGCATATCATTGCTTACTTACCGGTTAAGTATAGCTTTTTATTAACGTTTAATGAATCAAAATGCCTGTACAGGGTGGTCTCGCAAGATTGGAGTTAGGGTTATCACATGACATATCAAGATCTCGTTCCACAAACACTTGTCAACTCATTTAATATTGACAGTTTAACAACTAAATACGATCATTGAAACTATAAGCAAAGTTTAATAATAGTTACATCTCTAAGCATGTTACTGTTTAACCATTGTCAAGCCAAAAGCCATTGCATACATTCCTTGCACCAAGATGTTCCGCATATTCAGGCAGGCATTTCTCTCTTCTTGTTAGCGAGAACAAGATTGAAGAGGGTTAATAGAATCAGAGACTGTGACTTCTATTGGAAATAGTAGTGCTATGGAAATAGGAATAAGAGGGGTTAAGAGGGGTTGTATGGCGAGTTGTCGGACACTTGGCCGAGCAGTGTGTAGAACGGCGCCAGAACCGTCAATAACGTCATAATCGAGATCGTACAGGTACTAGCAGTTGTTAGTAACGCCTACGTAGTAACAAGTATAGATACGGTGGAGCGAGTGGGGACATCTTCAAGTCCAGACCAGAGGCTCGATATCCCGTGCTCAAGATGTGCAGTGTGTACGGGTACCGAGAACTGTAGTAGCACGGTAACTATACGCATATACTCCGCAGAAGGACAGCATCAATACTATTACAATTACTGATTGAAAAGACCGATACGACGCCCGGCGAGTGGAGCACGGTCCTTAAACATGGAATTTCTTATGACAAAGCGACAGATCATTGATCCACGTGCCGCGAGTAAAGGCCGATAAAGCTCGTGCAGTCTGCTCTGAATGGATGAGCCGGTCGCGGGGAGGGCTGCTGCTGGCCTATGGAGCGGGCTCATGCTCGGGCTGCGAGTGCAGAGACTCTGCCCCGGTTTCTCGTCCTCGCCGCGCGGAGCGCCAGATGACGCTTACGCTTCTGCGGGATGGGCATCGGTTGTGAAACTTGGCGATGCGTGAATGCGTACTCACGAGACTCTGCAGATCTCAATCGATAACTGGAATACTGCATGGATAGTTATCAAAACATATGATAATATGAAAATTCGATTATCATATATCACATTCCTGATTGGTGTGGAATGCACAGTATCAATTGATGGATTCGACGGAGGAATGGGATGGAGAGTACTGGGCGGGACAGCAGATGCGCATGACCAGAGCAGGCCCGGTGGTTGGCGGCCTCAGGGCTCAGGCAGCTCCGAAAGCTCCCGGCGACGTGCGTGGCATCGCCAATCAAGCAGGCCACGCGCTATCTCTGTCCATACCGTAAAGTCGTGTATAGTGAATTATGCCCGTATTGATAACCGTATATATGACTGGGCCTGCCAAGTATTGCCCGCCGCATCCGGCCATCCTGTCCAGCGCGTGCGTCGTCCGGAGCCAGGAAAGGGGCTGTCATGCTGTATTGGACCGGTAACGCACGGTAATATTACGGGCGAATGTGTCACGCCGTAACTTCTTGTTGCCCCCACAGACTCTCGCCCATGCTTGCTGTTGCTGGCTGTTGCTGGCTGGACACTGCCCTGTATACGCCAGCCAGGGCAGGTGCTGACTACTACTGCGACTGCTATTATTATAGATGCCTCACTCTCTCGCGCAATCTTTCATCCTTCCTCCATACCACCACCATCGATATAACCTCGTTTCGACCCCGTTCGAACTGTTGTTCCCTTGAGTCAGACAGCTGCCTGTCGCCTGTCTGTCTTTAATCCCAGCTGAGCTCCCTGCCTAGCGCGTCGCATCGCATCGCATCGCACCGACGAGATAACGCCCGTTCCCATCCACGCTCGGTCTCTCAGCTCTACGTCGACGATCCATCGACAGAAGTCGCGTATACGTGACGTGAGTATCTGCTCGCCTCCTTTTTGCGATTTGCCTCGCGTTTCCTGCCTCTTTCGCCTCCTATCTCGTCTTTCGCCCCTTATCTCTGCGAACCCTCGTGGTCTGACTCATCCCAGTTCTCACCATCCAGCCAACCTCAATCATGGCTTCCCAGATCGCCGTTTCCAGCATCGGCATGGCCCTGGCTGGCAAAACGGCTTCCGTTGATATTCCGATGTCTCGCGACGCTGCGAAGGACAGCAGAGGCGGCTTCACTGTCGCAGCTACTCGTCCGGGACAGTCTGCTATGCTTCCCACCCCTCCCAACTCCATCTCTCCTACCCTGCCTCCGCATGGCTTCAAGCACAAGCACGCCGGAGACCTTCCTCATTCCCCTACCTCCGCTCCGATGCATGTTGATTCCGACATCGACCTCCAGGATGCTGTCGAGCATGCCAAAAGTCAGGACCATCTCCATGCAGCCAACACCCTCAACCTCGACAGCGTGGGCGCCATCACTCCCACCATGCTGGCCAAGTACCATCTCCCCGATATCCTGCTAGCCCACGGTCCACTGGCTATTCGCCATGTCATGGGTTATCTCACGACTTCCGTCCCCGGCTTTGCAGGCATCCCTCCTGCCAAGGCGCGCAGGCTCGTCGTGGGCGCGTTAGAAGGAAGAGGCAACGGTGGTGAAGGTGGTGGCGTCAGTGGAGACGTCATCTTCGAGAAGATAGGCTGGGGTCGCTGGGATGCGCGTCGTCGCGGTCAACCACCTCGTGATCGCCAGGCCTTCGCATCGACGTCGCCACCGTCTAGTATCACCAACTCCTACGGCGGCGTGCAAATCCCGCAACACTCTACGTGGAGAAATGCGGCTAGACCGACCTATGGCACCAGTATGGCTGACTCGGCTGTCTTCTCTCACTCCGACCTAGACTACGGCGACCACGAAGCCGACAAGATGTCTTTGGATGGCGACTCTCGCGACTACTGTTCTTCGTCCGATATGCCTGAGGATGTAATTCCTGACGACGAATGGGACGAAGGCGATGTCACGGATGAAGAAGACTGGGCTGGTATTGGCGCAGACGCGCTTCGAGCCAGATCCCTAAACGGAGGAGGAATTGTAAATACACATTATTCTGTACATGCACGCGCGCAGCGTCACCCTGGCGGTCCTGCGCCTGCTACCCTGGCGAAATCTACCCCGGGCGGCGTTCCATTTCAACAATTGGGCTTTTCTATCCCGGACGGTGTTGGTGGCGACCAAGAACGCGCTGCTATTGAAGCGCTCCTACGACTGGGCTCGATGTAAAGTCCAGTTATACTCCTCTACGAGGACATATTTGCATTTCTGCTTTTCGATCGAGGCTGGCCCGACCGGATTGACCATCCTTGTGATCATGTTACGATACCTGCGCTTGGTCGCACCGTCACTCCTTTACTGCTTATCTTCCTTTGTCGGTTCAGGTTATTTGGGTTTTATGAATATGGGATGGGTTTATTGGGATACCTACGTATGTGGCATCGCGGCGTTATACTTTTTTTTAATTTTATGACCTTGAGCCTGCGCGAAGCAAGCGCTGAATGCTCGGTCTAAATAATCTTGGTCGCGTTTCCATCTATCAAACGCGCCTTGCTGCCGATACGAGCAGCATTGTTTGCTTTCATTATTTGCCTCTTACGATCGGCGTTGGACACATCCGCGCGTCGAAGTTTCAGAACTTATGTTTTTAATTTGGTACGGAAGAAAAGATCATTCTCGTTTCAGTCGGATATGGTCAAACTTGATTTCCTTTGTGATCAGGAGGAACCGCAGCCGGCAACATGTCTGGTCATCTTGAATGATTGCACTGGTCGTGTTTGTCTCAGCGGGACTCTTCTGGGCGCTTTATCTGGTCATCTTAGCTGATTGTACTGGGGCGTCGTTTATGTATATAGTATGATTATGCAATCAAGTAGCCTCCTCTACTCTAATCTCTACATCTCTCTACATATAGGTCATGTGTCAATATATATATTCAAACCAGTTGACAATTTGCATAATCAATCCTTACTATATATATATATATTATAACCGCCCAACAATAACCACTACCCAACAATCCACCCCCCTAACCGTAACGATAAATTCCACCCAAACTCCTTTCCAATCCCGATCAATGCTCTGCATGATTGATGTATTATACGTAAATGCATGTCTACGACTTCGAATTAACAATCTTCCACACCTCCGCCTCCGCCTCAGCCAACTTGGTCCCCGCGCTGGCCATCCACGATTTCGCTGTACCGAGGATATTCGCCCCGGACTCTCCGAATATAGACTCTTCGCCGTTGCTCTCGTTGTAGGTAAGCCCCCTACCCGCCGCTCCTGTCGTGGGGTTTGATATGTTGGTGCCGGGTGGTTGATACGTTGAGAAGTACGGCGTTGAGGTGGAGTTTGGTGTAGCAGGAGTCATCCCCATCCCTGTCCTCGTCGCTGTCGGCTGCGTTGTCGGTTGTCGTGCGTAGTATGATGCTGGTTGAAGCTTTTCGCCTGATTTGGGCGGCGGAGGAACGGCGAATGGTTTGTTGGGTGTGACAGGCGCAGAGCCGGGGGGAAGGGGGCGAGAGACTGGTTGCGGTGCAGCTGGATAGGTGCGGGTAGGTGTAAATCCTCCAGCAGGAGGAGCAGTAGTAGCCGATGATGATGTTGATGGTGGCGCGGTTGGTGCAGGGGCTGCGGCGCCGGGTTTGGCTGGGGGATAAAGCGAGGGTGCTGCAGTTGTAGTTGTAGAGGCGGTTAGGGTTGGAGCTGGTGTGGAGTTGTCCTGCTGAGCCTGGGATGCGTCGGTGTCGCTGCTGGTACTGCCATCAGCGGCCGAGTTAGGGTTTATAGGCGCTGAGTTGAAGGTGCGTATAGGCGGCATTTTGTAGCGGTAGCGAGTGGGTGAAGTGGAAGAGTAAGAGTTGCTTGGGAATGCTATGGTGAGAAGGTGACCTGAATGTTGGAGCCTACGTCATATCACGTGGGTGGATACTGAACACGGTTGCCCCTTAGCGGGAGCATAATCTACTTTCTACAGAATTGAGCGTTCACGTAGAGTTCGAATAAATAAGACGAAAGTATAGAATAAAGCTTGCAGGCAGTAGTAAAGTACAACAGGTACAAAGAGAAAATCCCAGTACTCTATGCTTCCGTTCTCCAGATGCATATTATCTATAGACCACCCCATTAGTGTCTCGGTCAATGTCCAATAAAATTAACCTGCAACACGTTTTCAACCCCTCTTCCCCCGTTCTCCATCATACAAGTTCACAATCTCTCAGGTGAATTGTTTAGCCAGAGCCACCCTTGAACTGCTTACCGAAGAGGATAAGCTGAACCTGGTCATAGATGGACAGCACACCAGCACCAGCAACACCACGGAGGATGTTAGCACCGGCACCCTTGAAGAAGGACTTGACACCCTCCTTGGCGGCGATCTGTCGGGCAGCGTCGAAAGAGGACTTGTACTTGACGGCCTCACCAGAGGTCATCATCATACGACGACGGATGGTGTCAAGAGGGTAAGAAGCAATACCAGCACCAGTGGTAACAGTCCAGCCAAGCAAGAAAGAGGCCAAGAAGTTACCCTCAAGAGGACCGACAAGGACGACAGGCTTGAGCGAGTCGTACATACCGAAGTACAGACCACGGTAGACGATGATACCAGCGACGGAGACAGAGAAACCACGGTAGAGACCGGCAATACCGTCAGAGGCGAGGGTCTTCTTATAGACGTCAACCAGACCGTTGAACTGACGTTCACCACTACCCTTGGCAGACTTGGCATCGTTGGCAAGACGGGTACGGGCGTAGTCCAGGGAGTAGACGAAGAGAAGAGAGGTGGCACCAGCAGCCTATTCACGGTTAGTTTATCCCCATACTTTATCTACGAGTAAAAAACATACACCACCGGAGGCCAAGTTACCGGCCATCCACCACCAGTATCCATCACGGTCCTTCTTGAAGGCGAACATCGACTTGTAGGTGTCACGGAAGGCGAAGTTCAAGGCCTGGGTAGGGAAGTAACGGATAACGTTGGCGGTGTTACCACGCCAGAGAGAGACGACACCCTCAGCAGCAGCGGTACGGCGGAAGCAGTCCATAATACCGGCATACTTAGTCTCGAGACGGCCAGCGCGGATCATCTCATCCTATGAATTGAACTGGTTAGTTTTCTGGTAATAATCGAATGAAGCATCCTCAAGCTCGATCAAGGGAGAAGAATTTTTTTCCTCCTGATACGTGGTGCGCAGGGACAGATTGGTAGGCCATCCAACGCAACTACAATGCAAAGCGCTGATGCCATTGTCAAGACAAAGAAAATTTTCTTACCTGGTTCTGGATGAGAAGCTTGACACGCTCAATGGGGGCGGCAGCAGTCTTGGAGACAGCGGCGGAAACACCACCCACTATGGTCGTTGTCAGTTCATATCCAATGCGATAACAGCAATTGATTTGGTGTCTATTCCCAGCGACTGGGTTGTGGACACTTACTCAAAAAGTCGACAACGAAGCCCTATGTTGATATGACATGTTAGTGACACGGAGGCGACAACAAAACAGCGCCGGGTAGGTCGGCATCGATTCTGGCGTCGACATCCATCGCTGCATCTCGCAATGGTGTTGTAAAATGTTTTCCAAGCCATTGCGATGCTCGTTCGATGTTGTTTCGATGCATATCGATGGCGGCAGACGTGGTAGAGCTCCGGTGAAAAAAACTTACAGGCATGCCGAAGACCGTCTTATCGGCCTGGTTAACTTCACCCTTGGCCATCTTGAAGGTTGCGTGAGACGCGAACTGCTAAAGACGGGAAATGAGAGGAGAGTAGAAGAGAAACAAACAAGTGTCGGGCGACGAAGCAGACACTGCAAAGATGGAGATGGAGAAGGAGAAGAGAGAGGAGAGGAATTTTCTTGGGCAGGGGAAGGGAAGGAGTTTTCTGGCGCTACGCTAAACAGGAAGCGCGCACGCACCAGTCAGCGGCGCCCGGCAACGGGAGCAGCAGATTTTGCTGCCGACATCTCCCGACCAGAGCCAAATTCTGTGATCTTCCTCCTTAACTTAACATACTTAGTACTGCTAGTAGTGCCTATGCTGTAGATACTGGTTAACCTACTTTCAAGCGGCAGCAGCCTCAATGCATAATATATCGGCATGCTACCCTATGCTGTCCTTATTCGCGAACGAACCTGTTGTTATTCTACACCTCTCTGGTATTATGTAGTTACAAAGGACCCCTTTCTGCCCCCACACTATGATTAGCCGCCTTTGTATGCAGTTTTAGTCCATCTTATGAACCTTTTATGCTAGTTACATGTGGAAGAGAGACATCAATTGATATGTATAAGTGATATACTCAATTGTACCCGTTCCTCCCCTTCACACATCCAAACAATCTCCCATCCCTCCCAAACATCTTTCTCAAGTCTCCAACCACAGCATCCGGACACTCCCATGCCGCAAAGTGCCCGCCGCTGTGAGCCTCACTCTCCAACACCACAGGTCCCAACGTCCCATTCCACGCCCGCGGCAGAAGAATCAAATCCTTCTCAAACCGCGCCACACCGAGCGGAACATCGATCCACTCTTTCGCCTTCTCAAAGGCACTTGGGACCCGATGCTCATTCTCATAATATAGATTCAAGCACGCTGCCGGGCCGGCAGCAGAGAAATAATACAGACTGACCCACGTCAAGACCTGTTCGTCACTCCAGGGGTACCCATCACTCCACTCGACGAGTTTCTCGTATATCCATGCTAAAAGCCCGACGGGGCTGTCGCTGAGACTGTATGCTAGGGTTTGCGGTCTGCTGGATTGTAGGAGATAGTATGCGTTTCCGTGCGTTGAGAATTCCCGGGTGCGTGCGAGGCCAGCGAGGTCCCTGTCGCTGAGAGGAGTGGTTTGCATTTTGGTGTGAAGCTCCGGATGTGTTGTTGCCGTTGGCTCCGCGGGTGCTGCGTTGCTGAGGTGGTATGCTCTGCAGTGCTTCGGTCCGTACTGACTGGCCATGAAACGGGTGATGAGATATCCGATATCGCCAGCTTGGACGACTTGAAGCAGTTAGAGATTGAATAGAATCGAGAGAGAGGCCTACCGTATTCATTGTATCCCAGAGCCAGCATCAGTTTATGGTATGCTTCTGCGTGTTGCTCGACATTGAATGCTTTCTTACTGTGTCAACATAATCGGTTTGCATTATCCGAGACATGGAAGATGTACTTTCTTGTTTGCAGACGAGAACCCAAAATCGATCAAGCTAGGGGCTACTACATGAAATGCAGGGCCATCTGTTCCTCCGTCAACTAAAAGGGGTAGCATCGCTTTTACTTCCAGGAAACTTGAAGGCCAGCCATGAAGGAAGAGAAGGGGGATAGCATCAGTGACTGGGCTTTGCTGGTGGACGAAATGGATATCATATTTGTCGAAGCCTTCAACCTCGATATTCGCTGTGTATTGTGGGAGCTCGTTGAGCTTTGCTTCAACTGCTCGCCAGTTGAAATGATGCTGCCAGTAGAAAGCTAGTCGCTTGATTTCTGAAAGAGGGACGCCGCGAGACCAGGGGTTGGTGGGGTCGAGGACTTCGGAGGGTAAGTCTGTTAATGCTAGTTTTTGCTGCAAGCGCTGAAGCTTGTCCTCTGAGATAGAAATCTTGAACGGTATGATAGAAGCCATTTTACAGCATACCAATTGGGCGATAACAATGACCGAGTCTTTCAAATGGTCGGAGGTGAGGACACTTATATATTCTATCAAATGGGAAAAGTATTTTTAAGTATAATAATCCAAATGACTTCTGAAGTTATTATTGGATGGAGCGTATCTTGTACGCCAAGGATTAATGCAATAAACCACTTCAAATAAGAATTTAGAAACGGACTGCCTCGAAATACGCACTAGCCAATAATATCCTTTACCATGCATGTATACATTAATACCTATAATAGAAATATCTCGACTTTCAAATTTCAAGTTACTGTGCCTTCTCCACTGCTATAGAAGATCCCAAATGACGATACTTGTTCGTCAAGTCGCAACAAAGCACTAACAAGATATTCCAAATCGGTAGTAAACCCAAGACCCATACTTCTATAACCCTTTCTCTCTGCCACGAGACTAGAAAAGTCACAATTCTGATCCTTTCTCCCATCAACGCCAATCCCAGGCAAACTTCGTAACATAGCAAAAGCGGCATCAAGATGCATAGTCGCTCTCGTATCGACTCCCCAAAGAACCTCAAAAGCAATAAACACAATACTGCTTAGAATAGCTAGCTCCCAGCCCCTCGCCGACTCATCGAGAGCAGCATGAAGCGTCTGAAGACCAAGATTATATTGCTTCATTGAATATTCAAGTGCCAGCCCTGGATATCCAGAAATATGATACTTATTCCTGCTCATAGCGCCAATTGCGAGGACAGTATGACGTATGCAGGGCTCTGTGAAGGCAGCTTGCAGGACTATACTATCCCACACTGGAGACTCGAAATAGAGGGAGAATTCTTTGCTGCATATATTGATGAAGTAATCGAAATGAGCGGAATCGCTGGCGTTGAGCGGGACGGTGCTGAGTTGGTTGGTTTTCAGGTCTATGGAGTGCAGGGGTTGGTGCTTTATTGTTTGTTCTGAAGTGTGAGAGATACGGGATTGGAAGTCACATTTTCGTCCAGTAGATAGGCAGGGTGAACATGATGGTAGTCTTTCGTCGCACTTTTTATGCCTGATTCTGTAGATTGTAAGCAATAGGATAGGTAGGGTTCATAATCCGATGGGTCTGTTGAGCTAAGGAACAACGCCCATAGCCATTCTACACTCTCAACTAAGGTTGTAGAGGGTTTAGAATAAGGAGTACATAGACACATACTTGCATGTCAGGCAGCCCGTCTTGACTTTTCGAACTCCCCTAGCTCCCTTGCGGGATTTCTTGGTGTTTGTGTCATCACTATGCATTGTGGTCTACTGATTCCTACTTGGCACTGTCGTGGCAGATAGATAACTCAATCTCTACTCTCAAAAACCATTTAAGACTAATTCAGAGGAGAAACTGTTATACGTAGCAGAGGTTTAGAGTTGGAGTGGGGTTGCAGTTTGAGCCTGGATTGGTTGCGGCGTAACTTTATTCGAGCTAAACCATAAACAGCCACCAACCAGGTGCTAGCTTGCAATTAATGTCCTGTCGTGGAAGTAAGACAAGAGAAGATGAGGAACTTTGGTAAATAGCTAGCTATTCACCTTGGTTTCGCGGAATTTGATCCTTTAGTCGCCGCCTCGCCGTCATTGTTCCCACGCGGCTAAATTCTGGGAAAACCTCGGCACTAGTATTGAACATCTGAATACATGGTCCATTTACTTTGATCTTCCGGAAATCGTTATCCCGATATGCCGCCGTGCCGGTTGTCCGATACCGAAACATTCAATCACATGTTATGTATCTATGCTAGGATTTTAGGGGAAGAACTTGAATTGAAGTGTTCACATAGAAGGATGTAGTTTCAAAATAATACGATGTAATTTTGAATATGTAATCCCACAGTGGAATGGTAAAATACATTTGGTTCATCAATGCTATTAGCTGAGGCCTACCAAGCAGGGTATAAGCATGTCGATGCAGTTAAAAGAACAAAACAATCAAGTACTCGTGGCTTTAATGCTTCCTTGACCTCTTACGCTTTTTCCCAGAGCTTCCTTCTCGGATATCAACTTCCATCTCGTCGCCCTTGTCACCACCGTGGACATGCTTCTGTCCATCAGGGGTTCCGGAATCCTGCACAAGCTCGAATTTAGGCCCCTCCTCATCCCCAAAGGTATCTTTGCGCCATTGACGAAGTCGTGACTTCTTGCCCATCTTTTTCTGATCGCGGCGTTTTCTCTCTGGATCTCTAAATGCAGCGAGCTTCTTCAACCCGACGAATTGGTTCAGTTGGGTGTCGTCTGCCATGAGGATATCTCGAGCAGTCAAGCCAAAGCTTTGAGGAGATGTTTCTCGGTACCGGAAGTGTGAAGAATTCTTCTTGGTGGCGCCAGGGAGCAGATTCGGTGCAAGTTCCAAATTCCGTTCGACTGCTTCTTCGATACGACGACGTTCTTTCCGCGCCGAGCGCCTCTTCTCGTGCTTTTCTTGCGTATGACTCTTCTTTTTCTTCTTCGTAGCTCCATCTTCCTCGTCTTCTTCCCCGTCAACATCATCGGCCGCGTCTTCGTCAGTTAGATCAACGCCTGGCTCGGCCTCGTCATCGAAATCAGGAACGAGGTCCTTGATGTCAATGTCATCATCCCAAGTAGGCTTTTTGGGACGTCGATTCTTCTTGCTTCCAGGCTCGCCGCCATCGTTAATTCCATCCTCTTCGGCAGCGTAGTATTCCTCGCCGAAACGCTTCGCCATCTCTTTTTCCCAGTCTCCATCGTCCCAGTTTCCATCAAGAAACTGGGCCCATTCTTCCTCCGTAAAATCAGCGGCTGTGAGTCCCGCGGCTTTTTTGATTTTTTCTACTTTCTCTTCGAGTTCTTCCATTTTCAGTCTGCGAAGCCGGCTCTTCTCGGTTTCTCTCTCGCGCTTCTCCCCTTCCTTCTTCTGCCGCTCTGCTTCTCTCTTCTTCTTTCGTCCGCTTTCGCCTTCTCTACGAACAGAAAGCTGGTTCGCAGTGTCACGAGCGTGCGTCTGAATGTGTTCGTTCATTTTATTGGGATCCTCGAACCGGAAATTGTATGCTTCTTCCCAATCATCGGCTTTATTTTCTTGATCCTCATCGTCAGATTCAAACGGCAGGAATTTAGTCGACTTGGTAGGTATCCACGCTCTCGAGGTCATAAAGTCTGAAAGAAACCTCTCTGGATCTTGATCTGCTTTGTCAACATCCAGCTGACCTTTGGTCTTCGTCTCGGGCTCGGGCTTTGATTTTGCGACAAGGAAATCATCCTCTTCATCGTCACCCACATCAGCAGCGGCGTGCATTTCCCGAATAACGCTATTCTTGAGTTCCGCTTGTTCCTGTGCAAAGGTCTTTGGGGTCTCTTCATCCTCAGCGTTTGCCTCGCCGTTCAACAAATTCTGTCGATGATAATCGCGGAGGTACATAGGCTTTTCCTTTTTCGATTGATTCCCAGCTGTTTCGTCCTGCGTGAATTCCGAATAAAAATTGACATTTTTGTCATAGAGCCTTGGGTCCTTGGACTTGATCGCGCTCAGAGTCGCTTGAATTTCAGAATCGAGAGCCTCCGTAGCGAGTTCGCCGTCTTCATCTTCATCCTCTTCTTCAGAATCGTCCTCTTCGTTAGTCGCAAATTTCCGTTGCACTTTCATCTGGTTAGTATAAAGAGACATGCGAGTCAATAATTACGTGACATACACTCCGCCCGTTCCTTTCTTTTCTGGTTGTGTTCATATTTCCGAGCGAATTCCTTGTTGATTTTGAATCCGGAGACCCCATTGTTATCTCCATCACTCTCAGACTCGTTGTCCTCGAAAAATTTCCGGGTCCTTTTTGATGGTGGCTCCATTTTCGATATTAAGCAAATAAAAAAGTCAATGACTTGCAATTAGCTCAACGAACAAAAATGTTTGTCTTGGACAACGACAAGGAAAAGAAAAAATAATTTCCTCTCGTACTAGCAGCAACGGGCGGCAGAAAATCTCTACACCGCCCAGTTATCGTTCTGCCCCACAGCTAGCCTAGAATTTCTCTTAATAGTTAAATGATTATCGAAAATGATATTTCCTTTTTGAATAATATTAAAACACTTGTTCGAGTTGATGCACATGTCAATCGATTTTTCCAGCCATACGGTGAATGCTAGAACCCCCCCTGCACTGACAATATCACCATTGATTTAAGTAACTATCTTGAAATAGTCTTGAAACATTTTTAAAAATATAATTAATCTTTAGGGATCCCCTCATCTCATTCAACATATTAGTTGATTTCTACTCTTACATCTGCTTGATGGGATTAACTGTCCCTACCTTTAGCGTGAAAGCCTTGCAGCGCCTTGACTTGCACTGCCTTTTTAGTTTCGTCGAGGCGTTGTCAACCAGGACCAAGACTAACTAAGCTAGTTAACTTTAGTAACTGGTCACTAAGTAAGCGAAAGGGCTGACTGAATTTGGCTCCATAAACCTCAATTAATGTTATTAATCTCAACCGTGACATACTTCTTTCAGTTCATAATCCACGCCATATATAGTCCAGTCAGCTTGACTGCAACTTCGAAGTTTCTATACTCCTGAGGTTAAGGGTAGAGCATAGAGACGACATTGTTGAAGTTTTAACACATGAATATTAGCGATTTTCTCGCTTCTATTTGATGAATCTAATAGTAAATACATTCAAAACACACTATTTTAACGAATTACCCTGTAGAGCATTAATTGATACAGAGTGTTAGCCGCCCGTTGCAGCCTTAAGGCTAAGGCTGTTACCCCGGAAGATCCACCAGTTTATTATTAGCGTCATGACTTCGCGGTTCGACAACCCAGCCTCTGCATCGTTGGTCATAATCACGATATCTCACCATTTCCCTTCTTATTCCTCTGTACATTATTTTTGATCCTTTCTGCGATATATAATATCTACGGCAGCAATACTTGGACTCTACTCCGGACGTTTATGGCGGTGCATCTTCTCTAAATGGCATCTCCTCAGCCGCCCTCCGTTCCCTCAGTCGGCAAGCTCGTCAGCGTGGTGTACAGAACCCCATTGACTACCAGAATCCTCTCGTGATCGCTAACAACATAACCAGGCCGGTCGGACTAAAAGAGGCTGCCCTCGACTCCCCAACATTCCGTTCGACGACCGCGCATTTCGCCGATCAGCTCGAATTCATAGAGAGATGGCTCGATGGCTATGCTAGGGCGGCAACCAAGCTCGCGTCCGAGCTAACAGCCTTCGAGCAGGCACTAGGCTTCTTCTTTTCTTATACAACCAGCCCAATTAACGTCTCCGAAGCGATTCTCGATCATGACTATACCGTGCTGGGGCTAAAGCGACATGGGGATTGTATGAAGGATATGTGGGGAGCGTTGGCGGGAACGCTGAAAAAGCTAGACCGTCTGGTTGCAGACCCAATACGAGCCTTTATCCAAGGAGATTTACGTGCTTTCAAAGAGACGAGACGCGTATTGGAAAATACTCAGAAACATTATGACCATCTTCTGGCGAGGTACGCAGGGCAAGGTAAATCCAAGGAGCCGTCGTCTCTAAGAGAAGATGCTTTTCAATTACATGAAGCACGGAAAGCCTACCTGAAAGCCTCTATGGACTTTTGTACCCAAGCTCCTCAGATTCGAAATACTCTCGACAAACTACTGATAACGACGTCCTTTGACCAATGGCGAGAGATCAAGGTTACTTACGATAAGAATGCCTCATCATTTTTGAAATGCGGCCAGGAGATGGATCGAATTAAAGGATGGGTACATGAGATGGAGAACAGCGAGAGGTATTCTCTCAAAGAGCTACTGCTTGCTCGCAAGCAGATTGAGGAGGCTGCCGAGATGGCTGCCAGGCCATCTCGTGAGCTGGATGATTATTCCATCTCCACTGTTCCCTACCTTGGCCAGGCTATTTCAGTGAAGACGAAGAATGATAAGCCTTTCAAACCCGAGAAGCAAGGATGGGTCTATCTCAGAACAACCACTGGAAAGCCGTCAAGAACCGTGTGGCTTCGCCGGTGGGCTTTTCTGAAAAACGGAATATTTGGTTGTCTAGTACAGAGCTCGAGAACTGGCGGCGTTGAAGAGACCGAACGAATTGGAGTTTTGCTTTGTAATATTCGACCTGCATTCCAAGAAGAGCGTCGGTTCTGTTTTGAGGTCAAGACCAAGAAGAACACTATTATGATGCAAGCTGATGATCAACAAGATCTTCTTGACTGGATTGGCGCTTTTGAAGCGGCAAAACAGAAAGCGTTGGAAAATCCTGCCAGCTCAGTGTCTGGAAAACTAGGTGTTCAAGATCCTGCCTTCTCCATCTCTGCACCCCCAGCTCCCGAATTTGCCTCTGAAAGCACTGAATTTTTGACATCAAATGCTGGCGATGATCCGTCATTAGACCGTACAAATACATTGCCTATTCCCGAGAGGGACACGTTGGTATTCAGACCTAGCGGCGATTTTGGCAGCAGGCGGTTGCCTGGAGCGGAAGGAGATTCTGGCAATGGAAGGGATCATACATCACGAATCATCCAAAAACTAGATATTCACCGAAAGTCAACCGCTCCTGGCCAACAATCTCCTGCACTGGTGCCCAGTAACAGTGGAATTGCAGGGCTTATCTCAGCCAGTCACAACGTACTCCCTGTTAGCCCAGCTATGATACCGAAGAGCTCGGAAGACGCCGATCCTAGTAAAGCTCTCGATGACCCAGCAGCTACTCTCGCACCTACCACCTTAGCAACCCCTCCAGCTCCGACTAGCATGAGCAAAGTGGCCGTTCTTGTCAGTAATGAGCGAGGAATCGGTGTTGGGCTGGCGGACTCCACAGGCGGGATGCCCAGTGGTATGATGGCAAACCTTTGGGGTAGTGCTAATTGGGGATTCGTAAATACTTTCAAACGCGAAGGTATTCGACTCCGAGACAAGAAGTCTTCAGATGATGACAGTGTGTCCCCCATCTCGAAACCCCCAAACACTGACACGAAAGGCACCGGATCGATGTCGCCTGGCGGAACATTGACTACACAAGCCTCAAGGCATAGACAAACAGTCAGTCTTGATGGCGATGCAATTAAGCTACAAAGATCGGTCCTTGGCGTTACCCATGAATATCCGAGCTACTACCCACCTCGCTTGCGCATCCAAGATGCTCAGTTCCGCCTTCTATTCCCTAATGTGAAGAAAGAGGAAAGTCTTGTTATGGTTTTTAGGGCGACATGGAATCCAAATGATCACCAAGAATTTCCAGGGCGTGCCTTTGTGACTACGCAGAACATCTATTTTTACAGTCACCATTTTGGTCTCGTGTTAACCACAAGCACGCCGTTCAGTATCATTTCAGAAGTTACGGCTGCTACTGGACGAGACTGTGACTTTCTATTCCTTCATATCGTACCATATCCTGGGGATGAATCGCCTAGTCGTGTTGCTGTAAAAACATTTTTGGAACCATTGCGACTGTTGCAAAGACGACTGAATTACATGATCAAGGTAGCCACGTCTGACGAGCCTATTGATTTAGAAGCTGTATACAAAGCTTTGCTCAAGATGGAATCGGATTCTATAACGAGATCAGCTAGCGTGGACAGCTGGGAGGATATCTCTTTGGATATTTCACAGGATGGCAAATCCAATGGTGGAGCAAGTGGGACTGGGAAGAAACCCAAAGATTTTAGAGTCCCAATTTACGTGGAGAAAGATTTGAGCATGGAAATTAACAGAAATGGCCAAGGAAGGGATATCCAGAAATTCAAGCTACCGAACCAACCGGTACAATATGTTCCACGAGGAAATCTTCATGTGGGTGCCGAAAAGGTTTATGATGTCAGCCCCAAGGCACTGTTCCATGTTCTCTTCGGCGATAAGAGCGTTCTGTGGCCGCTACTTTTACATGAGAGATTGGCTCAAGGTTTGCTCCCCTGGTTAGAAACTATGATTAGATCAAAATTTACTAACCGGACAATTAGGCATCAAGCAGGGACCGTGGAAGACATTGGACTCGGGTCATATGAGACGAGACTTCGAATATTCGATTGAACGGACTGATGTGCTTGGTAAGATATTTCCTCGCTAAGTATTTCTAGGATTTTGCGGGCTAATTGTTGTTTCAGGACAAGTGCACAACACCAAAGTCTCAGATTACCAAATCATAGACGTTCTCAACGACCATCTCTGCTATGTTGTCACAGATAAACGTACACCATGGCATCTTCCCTTCCGACGGAATTTTAGGCTCGTGAGCAAAATTGTGATTACTTACGTATCCAAGTCGAAGAGCAAATTGGCTGTCTACAATCAAGTTGAGTGGCTTTGGTCGCCTTTCCTTTTGAAAAGTGAGTCATGTGGTTTGATTTGCCTGCATATAGTAGAATTCTAATAAACGAATTAGGAGTGATCGATCGACAGGCAATGAATGATCTCGAACAGGACTCATTAGATCTGCTCGATCTCATCAGCGATCAAGTCCGAAAACTCGGTTCTCGAAGCAGAACAAAAAGAGCCATTACAATCTTCGGCCTGATTGGGAATGAGACGAATATATTCCAGTTTTCTTCTGCTGAGAAAGCAGCGCTTCTACAAGAACGCCGCTCGAGGAAGCAACGGTCTTTGATGTGGTTATTGCTAGACTCTACAGGCTCTCTGCTAGAAAGCGCCGTCTCTTCCCTAATGATCTGGTCCTTCGCGCTGATTCGCTGGTTTTGGAAAACTTGCAGTGCCAATCGCTTGATCCTCGCATTGCTCTTTTCAAGTGTGCTGCTTAACGGCTTCTACTCTTCCCGCGACACCTATGACTGGTGGCACGAGCGCAATGCTGCAAAATTCCTCTCGCGTCTCGGAATTAATACCAACAATATCATGAGCAAGGCGATATTTGTCAACGATCTCGACCAAGCAGTGCTAGACAGTGGGTCTGTGTGGCAGCCCGACAATTCTAGCCACTGTTTCTCAACTTTCCACGAGCAGATACTACTAGATAGCAATTCAGCTCTCATGCTAGGTGCTACCTCTGACGATATCCTCGAGCGAAGCTCTAGTCGGCGCGTTCAACGTACTCGCCAACGTCTGGGTGTATATCGTCATGACCTCCTCGTGGCCATGCGGGTGCTTAACAGCATCGAGAAGGAAGTATTAAAGAGCGAATGGGAGCGATGGCTCGACGAAGAGACAGAACGCTGTGAACAAGTGGCAACATTGCTGCATAACGACGCAGGTGATTTCAATTTGAACGAGAGTGCCTTTGCCGGTCGAGAGGAGGACGTGAAGCAGTGGTATGAAGAGTATTGTACCAGCTGCCAGGAGGAGCGTCATAAACGGAGTTCACGACAGGCTTGAAGAATCGGAAGAACCGACGTTTGAGCGGTTCTATCCATTATTTCTTAGCATGTTTTGATTCTTCTTATACCCATTTGCTGTAATCTTTGAGATAATGTAGCAATAAATAGTCGATTTCAAGAAGTCTAGTAGCATGGAAAATTTTCCAGCCACGTACTCCTTCACTGACCTTTAATGCTGTGATTATCATTGCGAGTCGCTGTTCGGATTTCGAAGAATGCCCCTCAGTTCTGTCGAGGTTTCACATGACCCTCCTGGAAGATATAGTAGACGACCGTCCCATCTCCACCGACGAGCCTATCCACCATTGCGAACAACAATCTTTTCCCGCCCCATTCCTTCGATTTACCCGCCTGTTCCTTTCTCTCAAAATACTTCGCAAGTTTCGCCGCTTTCTTCTCTTCTTCTTCCGTTCGCTCCTTGTCGTCACTGCTTTTATTCAAGGGAGAACTATTATTCGGGCTTGGCTCTACGGCGGGCAGGGAATCAAAAACTGCTGCCAGTTTCCGCAATGTCCATGACTGTCCCTGTGTCGAAGAAAGAACAAACATCCGTTCTGCCGGGATGTCCTCCTCTCGAAGACCGAGCTCGAGTAGATATAACTGTTCGTCGGGATGTGTGTAGACGCGGTGCGGGGGAATGCCGGAAATCAAGGTCGAAGTAGGAAGCGTCGCAAGTTCATGGTCGTCGTGAACACCACTAATCCCACTAGTCCTCTCTGTCGCAGGATTGTGGATCTGGTTGGTTTGTAGCGAGGTCCAGAGATGCTGGTGCTGAAGATTGTGAAGCACCTGCGTGGTGAGGGCGGAGACAGGATCGGAGCTTGTTTGTGAGATGAGCGTAGTCAGAGCAGAGAGGGGGGGCGGCGTCGTCATTTTTGTGGTTGATGTTGCAGTCATTTGACACGATTTCCCTGTCCGAAGAAAAAATTACACCTGACTCGGTTGCAGACGCTGTTTCGCAAAGGCCAAACTATTATTGTAGACACGAAAATTGGCGGAGTTAAGATTTTATATTTAGCTGTGGGGGCATGATCGCCCTAGCACCAACTCAGGTAGTGCTACTGTAGTAGGGCATGCGGCGACATGGCTTATTTGCCTGTACTGAACACATGGCATTTGCTCCCTCTTCTTTATTTTTCTTGTGCGCACCGTGTCCTTTGGGTTCTTTCATACACGGGATAATTTTGTCCTTTTTTAACTTTTGTTCAATGTTTTTTTCTGTCTTGTGTTATTTCGCATCACTCTACCCACGGAACTAGCTCGTGTACCTTTGCGCGCGCTTCACTTCTCGATTGTCGATCTCGAATACAGACCACTACTCGCAAGATGGCGCGCACTAAGCAAAGAACGCCTTTACAACGAGCACCCTCGTCCGATATCATGCAAGCGCCTCCGGATCTACCTGAGCCTATAATCAAGGACCAGAATGGCCACGCAACACCAGCCAAGGCTGTTGCGAATGGTAGTGCGCACGCAAAGACCAGCGGTGGTGCGCCTGCCACGGAGAGTGAGCCGGGGTTGATGCAGCTAGCCGTCTGTGTTGGCGGAATATATGCTTCATTGTATGCCAATATTGAGCATATCTCACAGTTCGCCGCTAACATTAACTCACAGTCTCTTATGGGGCCTTCTCCAAGAAGCCATCACAACAACACCCTATCCCTCCCGCGAAATTACTGTCATTGACCCCAACCCTCCCACCGAGCGATTCACCTTCTCCATTGTCCTCAACACAATTCAGTCGTGCTTTGCAGCATTCAGTGGCTTTCTGTACCTCTACTTTTCCACCCCTAAAAACCAAAAGGTGCCGTCCGTTTTCCCGAATCGCCAAATCCTCTTTCCCTTGATCCTCGTGGCTATATCGTCCTCTTTGGCCTCGCCTTTTGGCTATGCGGGCCTCAACCACATTGACTATTTGACATTCATCTTGGCCAAGTCGTGCAAATTGGTTCCCGTGATGCTTCTCCACTTGACTATCTTCCGCAAGCGATACCCATTGTACAAGTACGTGGTCGTTATGCTGGTCACGCTCGGGGTTGCAACATTCACCCTATACCACCCGGGAACGAGCAAAAAGATGGCTTTGTCGACACATAGCGGCCAGACGACATACGGGCTATTCCTTCTCTTCATCAACCTGCTTCTTGACGGCCTCACCAACGCTACCCAAGATCACATCTTTGCATCGCCGAATCTTTATACGCGATACACTGGACCCCAAATGATGGTTGCGCAGAATGTCCTTGCCACTGTTCTCACTACCTCATACCTGCTTCTTGCCCCGTACCTTTCAGCAGACAATGCTATTGCATCCGCACTTCCCCTGCAAATCCCTCCTTCAGCGGGCCTGGAATTGTCTTCTGCGATTTCATTCCTGCAGCGTCACCCGCAGACTCTCAAACATGTGCTCGGGTTCTCTGTATGCGGTGCGGTTGGTCAGGTCTTCATCTACTACACGCTCTCCAAGTTTTCGTCCCTTCTTCTTGTCACCGTGACGGTCACGAGGAAGATGCTAAGCATGATTATTAGCGTGTTTTGGTTTGGGCATTCGTTGTCAAGTGGGCAATGGTTAGGAGTTGGCCTTGTTTTTGGCGGCGTTGGTGCTGAGGGTTATGTGCAACGACAGGAAAAGAAAACCAGGGAGCGAGCAAAGGCCGAAGCGGCTGCTAACGGCAAGAAGAAACTGTAATGTGCTATCTTGTATGTATAGACTATATATTCATAGATTTAGATCAATTGTATTTTATTGTATTTCAAGATCTTCTGTTATATTCGACAGCTAGCAAATCTAGTCTGATAATAGCAATGGTGGTGGGTTTGGCAGAGTAAGTCTTATACCGGATTCTGACTTCCGTTCCACCTGGATACTTCGTTTCCTCTTCATAGCTGCGGGCTCTTTAGGAAGAGTTTGTAGTTGGTTGGGGACATGATGCGGCTCTCCAGTTGACAAGCCAGGCATTGGATTGTAAGGATTTGACGAATGCGATGCTCTCTTCTTATGTCTCAAAGTGCTATCATTTTCTGGCGCCTCTTCCTTGATATTCAGAACATGTCCACCGTTCTGCCGAATATGAGAGTTGGATATAGACAGAGGAACCCTGAAGTCATTCATTACCAAACCATCTCCATCTCCCTGCCTCGCCCTCTCCCCCTCCCCTCCCCCATCATCAAACCTACTCGGAGAAACCACTTTCTCCAACTCCATAACCCTATCATCTAACGCCATCGAGAAATCGTCCACACTAACAATCTTTTCCCGCACCCGCTGATGATGATCCACCAAACTCTCAATCCTGTCTTCTACATCTGCGAACTGGCGCGGAATATCTTTCTCAATGACCCGGAAAAACGCATGCATTGCTTCACGTAGCGTCCTGATATCTTCTTGTCGTGAATGCCGCTCTCGACGCAGCTCTTTCTCCCATTGTTTCCTGTCATTTGCGTGTTCGGATTCTAGATGCTGGATTCTATGCACGAGAGTTGCGTGGGAGGGAGAGGTGCATAATGGGTCTATAGAAGTAGGGATAGTATTCGCCGCTACTGGCGGTGGAGGCATATGTCCATCATCATCTTGATGCGAATGGTAAGATGCTTGGTGGCCGCAAGAGCAGTATGCACCAGGTAGCGCGGCATTTCTTGCGAAGCCCGGACAGTTACATCGTTGATCAGCAGCGCTTTTGTGTGAGATTATGAACATGCAGAGTCCGGACGGTATTATCTCTTGCACGGGTGATCGTGGGGTTATTTCGCTTGCATGTTCCTGGTTGTTGAGGCTGTTCGGAAGCAACTCCGAAGCAATAGGGTCTGGGGTCATGAGAAGAAGCTCGGTCTTCAAATGTTGAAATGTCGAGGTGAGGATTATTAGATATTATCCGAGGATCATCATGTAGATGAAGACAGTCGAGAGTGTTAGCGAGTAATTGTTCGAGTCAACGCCGTAACTAGTGTTCTCCAGTATAGAAGCCGCCGGTACTGTGCTCCAATTTATGAAAACATATTAACCCTGCCAACAGCAGCAAATGGATGCTGAGTTTGGAGCCGATCTGCCGAATATATACTGTTTAACCATTTATCAAATATGGGGAAGAATCCATGACCAATAAATACTTGGGCAGGACTGATCCACGCCGAGTGTGGGATGTAATCAGCATCGCGTGGGGTGACATCAAAAATTGAAGGGCTTCTGCCAAACTTTAAACCACATATACCCTAAATGGCGCGGCGCAACTCTTATTTAGTAAGAATTATGTGGTTCTTTAGTTGCATATTTTTCCGATAGCTTCTCACTCAAATGCGGATCCTGTTGAAATGGGGGTATCTGTAATAACGAGTTAGGGTTTTGTGAATGTGTCGAATATCTACCCCCATTCTATAATTGTCGATAAGGCCGCATGGGGGTTGCACGTGGGGTACAACACCTAAAATCTAATACCAATAAATTATATATTTTATTTTATTTTGAATATATATATGTAAATATTGAGATGTTTGTTCCACGGTGGTCTGGCTTGGTAGAAATGCCGCACTGTGTAGTAGGATGATCAAAATTGGTAGCACCACAAAAGTATAGAAGCTCTCCCTATATCAATTCTAATAATATTTTAAGCTTTCGCATTATTTCAAGACAACATCCAGTTGACAGGTTGACAGGTTGATGTACTGGTAAAGCTGACTGTTATACTTTTCGATTGCATAACAGGCTTAAGTACACTAATTCCTAGATTTATTTCTACCAAATTATTAAGTTTAATGAAATTAATTAAAACAACCAAAAGGTTTGTGAATTAAAATCTACCTTTTTAAATTCTGTCTACTATTGTCACATGTATAACATCTGAATTATCCTATAAACTTTGTCCCTTGAATAGTTACGTCGAGTGATTGACATATCCGTTGATATGTAATTCATCATTGATTATCAATTGAGCTACGTCCATGTAATAACGAACGGAATGAACCTATGAGAGAAACACTATCTTCACAAAGACATGCGGAATAAGAGATAGATAAAATAAAATAAAATATTCAATGTTATTTGCCAAAATTCATGCCGAGTAGCTTCATTCCGCTCTCCAATACTCTTCGCGTGGCTTCATACAGCGTAGCGTGGGCCGGACTGGCAACAGACCCATCCTCTTCATTATCGGGAATGATCATTGATAGCTGCGCAGTGACGTTGCTGAGATACGTCAAAACTGTTGCTGGCTCCAGTGTTTCATAAACGGAATATGTGATATCAGGGTATTGAACCAATAGACGAAGGAGGTCGACCTCGTCCTCTTGTTCAAGAGACTCCCATTCCTCCTCCGAAAGACTTGTGCTACTTTCTAGATAGCTTGTCTCAACTATGGAACACAGCCTGGCATACCAGTATTGTAGGTCCAGACCTGTACCAGGCTCAAAGGATTGTATTCTGCTAATGTCGAACGATGCGTGGTTGTTGGCTCTTCGAGAAGAGAGCTCTTCAGCTATGAGAGCATTAGTCACAATCATGGGGATTGTTTCCACATCGTTCTTTCCGACTAGGGGAGTCGCTTTTTCAGGGTTCTTCTCAAGAGAGTTCTGAATTGCTCTCTCACATTCGGCGAGGATTTCATCTGGCATTGTGTTCATCAGGTCCAGTTTGTCCTGGACTTGCTGCGAAACATTCATACTATCGCAGAATTGAACATGCTGCAACCTAGAAGCAAGATCAGGCATGTCCATCAGTTCCAATATCTTGAAAAGTCGCGCAAAGTGGGTGGTGTGTTGGTCTGCTGCGACTACATAGATCATCTTATCAAACGAATACTTTCTAAAGCGCTCCAAGACAGCAGCGAGGTCTCTTAGCAGGTAAGTACTACTTCCGGTTCGGTCACGAATAATCGCTGTGCCAAGCTTTTTACCAGCATGTTTGGTTAAGTCAATCATCCAAGATCCAGATTTTTCCTCAGTGAGCCCTTTACTCTTGAGGATCTCTTCGACTTCAGTCATCGCCTCTAGACTCACTTGTGATTCGCCCGAATACTCATCAAACGTGATGCCCAGTCGCGAGTAGAGTTTGGTGTAATTCTCGATATTAACATCACGAACACGCTTCCACAATGCAATAGCTTGCTCTTCGCCATCCTCCATCCTCTTAAAGTACGCGTTTCGTTCAGCGAATAAGCCCTGGCTTTCTACCTCAGCCGGATCTCCTCCCTCATCCCGTATCTTCTTACTAGCCGCTAGCTGAGGAATAAACAGCTCCTGAATTTTATGATAAATCTCCAACAGATGTCGGGCCGAGTTAACCTGGAACTCGTCTTCTGAGCCGAACTTCTCCCACCCAACACCTAATAGCCCAATCGGCTTGCCCCAATCACCTAGGTAGTTTAGTCTGACGACGTCCCAGTTCATGCTTTCGTACAGGCAGGCAACGTGGGCCCCGAAGATGGTGCTTTTGAAATGTTTGGCCTGGAATTCGCTGGCAATGTTAGGAGATGAGAACTCCACCACTAGTTTCTTCCTTTCCAATTCTGGGGATGAATGATCCCGAATTCCAAGAGCAAGGTGTCTTCCATAGATGTTGAGGCGATCGTATATGTATGGAAGTAAAAAACGCGGAAGCATCTGTGAGCTGAATGTGATCCGAAGATGAACTCCATCTTGAAAAGGAAGGATAAAAAGCGGACATTTGAACTGGAAGAAATTAAGGATTAGGTTAGATAAATAAATAATATAGAGATGGCAAAAGATAATGCCAAACCTTTTGAGTTAGACGCAAGGCAACAGTTTTGAAGTCTGCATCACGGCTGAGCTTCGGTAATATAACGACCAGATCTCCATTGAAAATATTATTGGGCCAATATATGGACTTGTACGCCACATCTGGGTCACATTCAGCAAGGTTGCTGAGGATATCTGTTAAGTAGGCTCGAGCAATATCCAAAGGTCTGTTAAGAACTTCTACCGCTTGGAATTTGGGGATGGGAATGTTCATTCCAAGTCCACCAAGATGTGCCTCAAGTTCTGGAAGAGTCAGAGTCGTCATCCTGCTTATGTTTCAGTTGTGATGTTAACAATGGCGGCATCCAACATCGTATCGTTCCGTAACTGCGCGATCGTTCTTGAGTATTTGAAACTATGAGGCTACAAGAGATACGGATTTTGGTATCAGGCCATAAGGCACAGACCGCATAGAGGTGCGACACACCCTCTAGTAGTAAACCACTATATCGATCACACGTGTAGCCAAATGTCTGTATCGGAGACGTGGCATCCAAGGTAGTTTGGGTGCCAAAGATCCGTGGTTAGAGCTGATTGGCAAGGCTGAGTGGTACAAATTGACTCGACAGGGATTTAATCACATCAAATGTATGCACCTGATAAGCGACGAACTCATCAAGCCATATAAGGTCCGAAACTTCAGAATCCACTGGCGTCATTAGTGGAGAACAATTCTCTTGCTTTTCCTTTAAGCTTATTGTAGCCTCCAGTTTTCTTCTAACTGTTATTTTGCTATTTAGTTGGCGGGCTTTTATCCTATGATGGTGAAATGATATAAGCCAGAATGAAGATTACCCAGCATTAGAGCCCAATATAACGTGTTTTATTTTAAGATAAATTTCACTCATTTTGGGGCAAAATTACGCGTTAAGGCAGTCGAATGCATATACTTCCGGTGTAAAGCCATTGGGCAGAACCCATCTCGTTCAGGAATATTTGTGAACCAATCCGAGATAGACAGGGCTCAGTGATGGACAAAGACGAGGGCTGACGTGGTAATCTACGAAGCCACGGCGAAATGATTCGGCAATACCCCTCTTTTCCCGGATATAGAAAGAACACATCCTGGTTGTTTTAGAAATAGTCAGCCGCATGCCCGGTCCTCCACACCACATTATTCCGAGGAAACAGACGACTAGTCATGTGCATACATGCACTTCAAGAATGATGCATATGATATACTGATTTGAGAAATTCGGGGTGGAACACTGCTAAAGGAGCCTCATACTCTGCCCAATTAGGCTCCCATGCGTTGATATTTGAGCAAGTAGCTATTATGACAGTTGAAACAATGCAGCTTATAGGTAGCTTACTCTTCCTCGCCATCCTCTATCCCTGCCGAGATTTCGTAATTATTGCAAGACAGGAATATGCCTCCTGTTATTTAAATATAGACATATTGGCGCTTTCTGAATTTCATCTCCATTCAGAAATTCTTCTTTTTAATCGCCTTCCATAAATGTTATTCTATAGCATATACCTGGGCCAAGTTGTTAATTCCGATTTTGCCTCTTGAAAACAAGAAATTTACCACCATGACCAATCGGGCGCACGAAGAGCTTATGAACTCTTTGAAAGTGTACACCTTCTCTTCCCAAGTGGATAAAACCATGCTAATAAACCCATGATGAACTTAAATAAGAAAAGGCTCTACGCCAAAGGTGATTATTCAGACCTGACGATAACTTGCCATGGCACGCATTATCGTGTACACAAAGCAGTGGTTTGCCCGCGGTCCGAATTCTTTGCGTCCGCTTGCCGCGAGAACTCCTCTGAGGTGAGTGCAGAATCCAGAACGAAAGCTTTTAGGGTAAGATTGACGAAAGATTTCCTAATATTCTAGGTTGCGTACAATGAAAAGAAACTTGACCTTCCAGACGATGATCCCACGGCAGTTCAAAATGTCCTTCATTACCTCTACCACCTGGATTATTCGTCGACCTCACTGGACATCCCAGACAAGTGTAACGGGTATGTCAATGGGGTTAAAAACCAAAATGAGAACGAAATAAATTGGAAAATCAACGGACACGATAAAGGTCTGATAACCGACAGCCCCGGGCCTGAAATGGCACATGTGGAATCCCCGGAGGAACTAGAGACTAATCTCAAGAAGAAAAAAAATAAGAAGAAGGGTAAGAAAAAGGCCACGTCCACAGAACTAGCTGTGCAAGATGATTCGAATGCAGAATCAAAGGATTCTCTACCTGGGGACCCCGAGCTATATGAAGGAGAAACTGTTGTACCAACTGATGAATCCCTGGGATCCATCACCAATCTCATCACCCACGCCAAGGTTTACGCACTATCGAAGAAGTATAGTATTGAAGGCTTGAGATTGCTTGCCCTTGGTAAGTTTCAGGACGAGATCCGCGAAACCTGGACCAGCAACGAGTTTCTGCTTGCTGCAAAGGAGGTCTACACTTCAACCTCATCCGAGGACCGAGAGATAAGGGATACGGTAACGACGTCTCTCTACAAGCACCCTGAACTTCTAGATATGGAGGAGACAGAGCAAATGATGAAGGGTCTGGACTTGGGATATGATCTTTTGATGCATGTACGCACCAAGGGCGGGTTTTCTTGATAATGATAAAGATGGTTGAGTAGGTTGCACCAAATGCACGCTGCGCAGGGAACGATACAGCATTTCAAGATTCTTACTGGAGGGAGAAAAAACTTTTGAGCTTTTCCCTTTTATTTTTGGCTACTCTAGTATTTGAGTGATTTCTAGCATGTAAGAATACTTGGTACTAACTAACATCATGACGATCATGACCAAAGAGCTGCTTTACACATACTTCTCTCTTCACATTTTTTGTATCGAACTTCATACACATAAACAATGCATTCAATATGCATAAAATGGCCTGAGATATTCATTGATATGAGGTTATAATCAGGGGGTTTTTGTTGCGAAGAGTACAGCAAATTTTTACTCAATAGGTCATGAACATAGCCGACACAGTAACATTCCCCCTATGGGATTATTGCCAGAGATCTCTTATTTTGACTTCATAAAGCGCGGCCTTCAACGAGACAGACGAAGCCGGTCCAACTATTTATTCTGGCGATTCTTTTGGCCCCAGTCAGTTGGTTATCTTCTCGCAATTCGCATGTTGAATTCCACACGCTAAAGTTTGAGCAAACAGGAGACGAAGTTCGAACCCTGCGTAATCAATATCCGGTATATAGAAAATTCTCAGCCAGATTATCGGTCATGCCCACTACTTAATTGTATTCTTTCTACTTTATGTTGCATAAGCTCAAAATATCACGAGATGGAGTCAGGATAGAATGAATCGCCGATGCTCCAGCCACAGAAAGGGAAAATGACCCCAAGAAGAATCTTCAAAGTTTCTAAAGTCAAATGGTATATTTGCTGAACTCAAACCCACGGATTGTCACTATTCGGACATGAGTCTGTACCAAACCTTTCCATTTGGTATTCGGTATTATGGCACTCCTCCCTGCCGGTTCGTCGACTTCTGCACCACGAGGCCAATGTATATGACCAATGGCTATAGTAGGTCCCTTTCTGTTGCATCACTTGCATTCGCCAAGGGCCCCATACCAAAATTAAGAACAGAGCCGTCGAAATGGCAAAATGCCACCATTTCAGTTGAATGGGGATAACGCCGGAATTCATGCTGAAAATCTGTGCGGAAACTATTATTGGGAGGAATAGCTGAAATTACATTAGGCACCACGAACACTTAAAGATAGAGGGAGTACAATCAACTACTCACGGCTGAAATCACGGTAGGAAATCGTACATCAAATGCAGCATATTGTTGAATGATGACGGCATTTAGAGATTCAGCAGACAAGTCGCGATTCAGCTACAATCGTCATAGGTCAGCAAAAGAATTTCGGATATCATGATGAACGTTTATGTTTGGAACAAACCTGGAGTCCATAATTTTCACAGGTATTTTTCAATTGATTCAGGTTTTCCTGCAATCTACGTAGCTCATCAAATCTTGTTTTAATGTTATGCAAAAGTTGTTGCTGGATCATCTTATCTGCCGCGTTGCTGTTATGATCAAAAAAGAAGCCGAGATCTTCCTGGTAAAGCGTATCCCAGGCATTGATTGTTTTGTTTAGATGGCTAATCAGTTCTGTTAAGAGGTTGCTATTCTCGTTCATCCAGCGACATCGTTTTTTTACTTCCTTGGATCGCTCTTTTGCCGCAGTGAGGGATGAGTGGTCCCCAGAGGGGAGGTCACTGATCTCTTGCTATTTGACTAGCTTAGTGATCTGAATTTTTTGATTCGGTGGAGAAAAACATAAAGAAAGGAAAATGAAACTTTGCTAAAGGGTGGAAAGCCTACATATTCAGCTACACGTTGCTCAGCATAGTAAGCGATAGTAACCCATTCTGCTACCAGTGGTTCCATCCAAGAGTGAAGTACTCTTATAAAGTACTCTCTAGGTTTCCAAAATGGTTCATTTGCGCCATGCTTGCCAGCTGTGAGTGGATCAGTGCAAAATTCAGCACCTCTTTCCTCCTCTTCATCAATATCATCTTCTTGGGCTAAATCCTTAAAAAAGGTGTCTGTGAATAAATAAGCGGTCCATCGAAAATCGTCTCTTCCAGTCACCAAACAAGATAACTGAATTTCATATAAGTAATCATTGCTGGTTTCAGATGCGGCTGGTGCCATATTAGAAGGTAAGAAGAAGTTGAGTTTCTTAGAACGTCGTAAGACTTTGCCATTTCGGCGTCTGCGGCAGTCCTCCTTTAGAACCTGTGATCTCTTCCAAGCAAAAAAGGGAAGATGAAACTCCATTTGAAATGTTAAGCCGTCCGGCTTTTTGCAACCCTCTGTCTTAGCGCTTAAAGCTTTCTAGAAAAGTTTTAGAGAGAGAGTATAGGGACTCACAGGCACATTAATAGAAATAGTCGTTTGACATGACAAGTGTTTCCAGAGGAAGCGACTCAAAACGCGTGCCTGGAAACCTGGTGCTGTCAGAACAAGAGCAGCAATAGACAATGAATCTATATTCTCGATATACCTATGAAGCAGGTTAAAACTGTACGCACGAGATATTCTCAGTCAGCCTTACACTAGCCGCCGCTCAGAATCAGGCTCACCAACTACTCCGAAACGCTAATATAGATGTCAATTAAACATTGTCAAATTTATTCTGATGTATTATTTACTAACGTTTCTCTTGAGATGTTGATAAAGCTCCCTAGGGCTAGTAATTTGCAAACACGACCTAGATAGCCATTTGCTCTCGCTGCTATTCCTGTCATCCACCCACGCCATAATTTTGTCTGGCAACTCGACGCTATCGTCCTTCAGGAGATGCAGGAGTTTTCTGGGACAATAATGCTGCATTTCTTGAGTTTGGTAGAAACAAGGGTCATCATCATCAATCCCCATGAAATACACAACAGGATCACTTAAGGAGTAACCATTTTTCTCAAACGTTTCGATATATGGCGTATTCTCAAACTCGTCGCATATCTTCCGGCGATATCCAAATTCCGGTTTCCACAAGGATAGGAGGGGGGAGAAGAATTCTGCTCCTCCTCGTCGAGTACGTCGATCCCTCGTATGCGCCGAGCGTCGTCGCCTACGGCGCCGGATATGGACGGCTGACAGCAACATTTGAGACATGTGTGTATCTGTGAAGGTAAAGTATAATAAACTTCTATGTCGATTCAATGATTGAGGATGTAAAATTGCATTAGTAGATTCCCAGGTAAGGGTTTTTTTTGCCTAATTTACACGCAAAACTTCCAGTATTAATCATAAAGAGGCCCAACTTTTGTTCAGTAACATGCAACAACACATTGGCAAGAACGTACGAATAGATTGAACTATCCATAGCCCCCTACCTTTCTATTCCCCGCTTCGTTCCTCAAATTCCAAATGGAGGGCACTGTGTTTTCGGTTATCGTATCAGTGACAAACGGCAGATTTGGACGAACTTGTACACGTTGGACGGGGCAATTGGGGCAACGAGATTCACCACAATTCCGGCAAGAATTCATAGTCACCGCATTCATTCCCCCTTGTCCACATGAACAGCATGTCCAGAGCCAGACATATCTTTTTTTAGGCGGCTGTTATGAGTTGGGTTTTGACCCCAGAGTCAGATTTGCATGCAGAAGAATCCAATTGACACCATTAGGGCTGACCATAGGTATTTAGAATAATAGCGCAAATCCCAAGCCTCTGTGCCCAAGAATGCCCAATATGAGCCTGACTTTCTCCCGAATTACAGGTCAGGCGGTCCGATAGAAGGGGTAAATCGACGTCACTAAGCAAGTTATTGGTTAGCCATCTACCAACAACGATCAGATTAGTCGAGTGTTAATTACCTCGGCAGAATAAAGCTCCGCCTTCATCTGAGGGTATGTCTTTCAATTTCCATGCTGTCAAATAGAGTCGCGACGTGTCACTGCTGTGGCACACTAAGAAGCTCCTAAGGGTGAAACCTCTTTCGGTGTAGCTGCTGACTAACACAGTAATTGTACTTAGCGCGTGTCGGGAACCCCCTTGCACACACATATTTTCTTGTCTGTGACACCATTTCGATGGCCCAAAGAAGAATATTTCATCGCTGAGCATGAAGAATCTATCTAGTATGCCAAAGCATCAATCATGGTTGCGTCGACGGCATAGGAACGGCCCGACCCTAATGTAAACAGGTGTGGACCGATTAGTACCCGTTCCCAGGACCATGGCGAATCCTAGGGGTTATATTAAGTCGCGCTAAATAATCCTTGCACTTCTTTAGTTCAGCTGTCATCAGGACATCAAAAGCGCTGCCCAAGTATGAAGAGTTCTCCCGAACCCTCTTCGTCGCTACTAGAATTTACAGCCCGCAGCAGTCAGCTCGGAGGAACAATCGCTGAAGTCGAGGTCTAGGCATGTAGTGAGATGAGAACATACCTTCTAGAATAGCAAATAATCCCCAAATCTAAATGGGTCCATATGTCGAATAGTTGGTTCAATATACATATATGTCTCTCATGGCTGACAACCACTATCGGATCAGATTTGTAGAGCGAGATATTCTCTTCACTGAATAGGATGGACGGCACATACTCTTCCGTGCTGTACACAGCCAGACAAAAGACCGGGCAGAGATATTTCCACTGCTGGCGCAAGGTTTCGGGGAATTGTTAACAACATTCTAGTTGACGATTCGATGGAGAACTGGTGGTAGGCTGTGTCCGGCAAGTGGAAAGGAACGGGAGGTCGGGGTTTGGCTTCCCAACCTACACAGTTCAGACTGGAGTGGGGCAATCTTTCCTGAATGATGGGAGGCTGATCAGATTTGCGGGGCCATTTCTCTGTAATCAATCAATCATGTGAAGATGTTGGGCAGAGAGCGGTTCACCAAGAAAATCATGTATTCCACTGTTCTGACCAATTAGAATCTAGTTCTCTATACATGTTGTTTTAGGGCCGTAACATCGTCGCGTGCCTGACCGAAGATCTGACATAGAACAATTGATCTCCAGGTCCAGAGAGCCCGGCACGTTTTTAGGCCAATAACACTACAGTATGAATTAGTATCCTCGATATGATATTTTAGGCTGCTGAACCTTTCCACCGGCGTTGAAGTGTAAAGAGACACACGCTGCCTATACTGTTGTTGCTTTTGATGTAAAGCACTTTAGTATTCCCAATCCAGCACTAGAGTTGTATTTAGGCAGGCGGTCTGTGTCGATGGGTTGCAACTCACGACTCCATGACTCACTCAAAAATTTAAACTCAAGGCAAAATAAATACACATGAATTTTAAACGACCTAAGTCCATAAAATATTACGGAGTTGGTTAAGTCGTATCCCCCTCAAAGTAAGTCGACGTCTTCATGTATCGAATCTATTATGTAGTATATTTCTATCATAACCGCGTAAGCGGGAGTAATCGCTCAATGGGCCGTTGCGCCAAGAGACCAGATTATTGAGGGTGGTGAATCATCTACTACTCACTCATATAGTAAGGGTTGCCAGGATTGTCACGATTTGCTGATATGGTTGATGGGACCAATAGATGGCTTTCTTGGTAGCGGATATGCATTTTGGGAGGATGAGAGAATCGACGAGCGGCAGCCAATATACAATATTTTGCTTCATATACTTCTATAAAATGTTATATACACATGAGTGTCCAAGTGAGTTATGTATTTCCAGTATAGAATTAGATTCTCATGACCACTGCATGCATTCAATGCTAGTACATACATCAGAAGTAACTGTGCAAATCGATTGACATAGCACGCATATTTCTCAATATTTCCCCAATTATTAATTGTAAAGTCTTCTCTGCTGCTAGATATATTTCCAAAGTCAAAATAATTTAGTTTTAAAACCTTCTATTTCACTGCTCTTGTCGCTATTAAGCAGAACTTACTTTTAATGTTGATTGAGACATTTTTATGTTCGAGAAAAGCGTAGTTAGATAATATACGAGAACAGATCAATGCAGATACTGCATCCCATTGAAGTACTATATTGTAATAATTCAATATAAATCTATTGTAGAAACATTCTAACGAATTACGTAAATTGAATAGCAATTCATTCTAGATGACCATCACAGGATCTGCTCTGGTCGAAACCCCTAATTCACATGCATATTCCGCCGCACATACCCCCCCAAGACTTAATATAGTTGTATATCTGTACCTCAAGTGGACCCAACTCATCCTTGTTATATGGTACCTTATCTTTCCTCGACCTCGCCCATTGAAAACAAGCTACCATGTTATTCTCCGTCAGCGGCGCCAGGATAGAAGCAACACGATCCGTCCCCACGATACCCGTGCCTCGATGCATTAGCCTGGCGACCGCCATATCCTCTAGAAGAGCACTCCTGCCCACACAAAATGCTTGGAAAATGCATCAAGAAGCAGATTCTCGATGGTCCGTACCGCCTCGAAAGTTGTGGCCGGATTCGTGCCCTGATGTGTAGCGGTGAGGAAGTTACATTCTTCCCACTGTAGGGCTCTGCCGGGTTTGAGTAGACAGGTTAGGTTAGATACAACAGGTCGCCAGTCGGACTGTAGAAGGCCCATGGCGAGGAGGCGGACGTGGACGAGGTCATATGTCCCCTCGAGTTCCGGGATAATGGGCTGGCGGGCATCGAGAAAAAAGATTTCCAAATTTGAAGAGTTTCGGCCTTGGAAGGGAAGAAGGCAAGCGATATATCGTATCCATGGAGTATGGCTTCCGGATATAGCGGGGCGATACGAAACAGGAAATTACCTGTGCCCGTTCCAATATCGGCGGTGCGCGCATTTGGAAGGAGACGGGCAGCAATGTCAGGATGGATATGATATCCCATGTTTCTGCACGAAGTGAGTAAAGTCCTCTGAGATATAAGGGTTGGTTTTACTCAGTAATGACATTAGATTGCTGGTCAACTCTATATGGGAAAAAATCAGCCAAGCTGTACATTCTGAAATAAGACCCAACAAACCGTCGCAATTCGGTGTCATTGCGCAGCTTGTGTCGTTCGTATAATTCTCTTATTGTCAAGTTGTCGGCCTAAGGGTAAGATCAAAGTGTGGTAGTGGCGGTGTTTGGGAAGACTATTTGAGTATACGAGGTTCATATGAAACTAGCACTGACTAATATGAATATTAGCGAAGCAATTAAATAAAATGTAAGGTAGGTTGTGGGAAATGTATAAAGGAACAGAGCCATTAACGTTTCCGTGCTTGACATACTTTCGTAGATCTTATATATACGCGATATTACCATACGGAAATGTCTCTGACCATCGTTACATGTTCAGAATATGAGACTGGCCTATAGTAAATGTGTCTAATGAGATGTAACATCGAAAAAATCGAGTGTAAAACATTACAGACACGAAATTGTTACCGTAATCTTACAAAAATGTTGTCACTATTTGAAGATATTGTATTGATATTACTGTGTGTCAACGCACTAGGCGTTTTTTCAAATAAAAAAAGAACTCAATTATACCAATTTGCATTGCCTGTCTGGCTTGTCTGTTTATTTGCTTGCACATATTTCTAAACCAACATCCAATATGAAACTAAAATGGGTTGGTTGGCTGAAGAATCTGCTTATTCATTCTTGCAAAAGTATCCTCCCGAGGATTAGACTACCTTCGTAATCATTTTACTGTGTATCTTGAAGCTTACACATCTTGCTCGATCAATTGATCAATACGAGGCAAGAAAAATTTGCCTGGTGAACGCGCCAAAAGTACCAATTGATCAAAGGATGAGCATTGGTATATTCAGTACTTGTGACGGCGTTATTATACCATGTAGAACGTCGGCCAAGCTACTTCCTGGAATCGATTACTTGGATAGGAATATTGGGTTCAATTAATTTAGACCAGTGAGTTACGGAACCTCCACCTTGGATTTGTTGACCGATTACCTGTTGTACAGTGTTGCATATATAAGGTACAAGTCGAAGACCCAGGTAGAAATGGAAAATTGGCATAAGAAATGAGAGAATTTCCTATACATGGGCTCATTAGAAAAGAGGCCAAGCTTAGATAATATGAGATTAAGTCAAATTTTATACAGGTGGCTATAGTCTGACTTGGAGACTTCAAGTGAGTTGAATATAAATGAAAATTCAGTCTTATTGAATAGTAATTCTAAATACATGTACACAATACTTTCACTATATAAGAATCAATTACCTTCACTGTGTTGAAGAAGCAAGTTAATGATAGTGGTGTGATGATTGATGCTATATTCGGAAGTGCAGTCCTGCTCCCTCTTATAGCAACATATACGTACACCTATCGCTTTGGAAGGACTTAAAGAGCAGCTTCATAATTTTTCAGTGTCATTCCTTGAAGTAGAATAGTACGCTACCCACTCGTAGTGTTGACATTTGCGCCATAGTTGAAGAGGAGTCTCCAGATAACTTCGTGGTTACATGATGCTGCCTGCTGAAGTGGAGTCCCATTCCAATTACCTCTATTGACATCTGCACCATGATCCAGAAGCAGTTTCACGATATCTTCGCAGCCCTTTGATACAGCTTTGATAAGTGGAGCCCCACCAAAGCATTCTTTGTTGACATCTGCACCATGATCCAGAAGCAGTTTCACGATATCTTCGCAGCCCTCTGATACAGCTTCGATAAGTGGAGTCCCACCAAAGCATTCTTTGTTGACATCTGCACCATGATCCAGAAGTAGTTTCACGATGGCATTGTTTCTATTTTGTACCGCTTTCATCAGCATATCATTAACAAGGTAATCTTCTGTGTCCAGAACTGCTATACTTTCTTGGAGCAACTCGATTATGATATTGTCTCCCGTAGCCATAGGATATTTCATTGTAGTTTTATCGGATCCACTGGGCATATACTCATCCAACAATCTCACAATAACCTCATTGCCTTCTACCGCTGCCAACCAGAGAGCCATCCCGCCTTGTGTTTTGATATCTGCTCCATGGTCTAGAAATAGTTTCACAATAGCCTCATGACCACCAGAGGCTGCGTCATGAAGAGGGGTTTTGCTACGTATGTTCTGTGCATTGATATCTGCTCCATTTTCCAGCAGCAGTTTTGCAATAGCCTCATGACCACCAGAGGCTGCTTTGTGAAGAGGGGTTTGGCTACGCATATTCTGTGCATTGATATCTGCTCCATTTTCCAGCAGCAGTTTTGCAATAGCCTCATGACCACCAGAGGCTGCTTTGTGAAGAGGGGTTTGGCTACGCATATTCTGTGCATTGATATCTGCTCCATGGTCTAGAAGCAGTTTCACAATATGCTCAAGACCCCCAGAGACTGCTTCATGAAGTGGAGTGTCATTAAAATTACCATTTGCATTGATACCTGCTCCATGGTCTAGAAATAGTTTCACAATAGCCTCATGACCACCAGAGACTGCTTCATGAAGTGGAGGGTTATTAAAATTACCAATTGCATTGATATCTGCTCCATGGTCTAGAAGCAGTTTCACAATATTCTCAAGACCCCCAGAGACTGCTTCGTGAAGTGGAGTGTTATTAAAACGACCAATTGCATTGATATCTGCTCCATTTTCCAGCAGAATTTGCACTTGAGCGTAATTTCCGTCAAATATCGCAGGGCGTAGCGCAAAATCAACATTCAATCCATATTTCAGAAGTAGTGGCAGCATGGATGCTTGGCTATTTCTTGCAGCCAATCTCAGCGACTCTTGGTCAACAGTACCATCAGAACTAAGCTCTGCTGTTGCAGGAAGTAGCAATCGTATAGCCATCTCATTTCCAGTCTTGGCTGCGTAATATAACGGTGTTCGTACTCGGTTCCTCATCAACGCGCCGGCATCCGCACCTTCCTTCAACAGCATGTCGACGACTTCTCCCTGCTCCGCTGAGGCAGCAAGATGCAGCGCGGTCTTGCCACTTGGTGATTTCTCATTAATATCTGAACCTATCTGTAACAATATTTGTGCTACCCTCACTTGCCCATGTATGGCTGAAAGATGCAAGGCGGTGTAGCCGTCTTCGTTTCTGGTTGAAGTGGATTGACGGTACGATGCAAACAGTTCTACAACTGACCCAGCACCCGAAGATGCTGCGTCATGAAGTGCCAAATTCCCTTGGCTGTCTGTGGCGTTGATGTCAGCTCCTGCGCCAAGCAGAAGCTGCACCAAGTCTTCTCTTCCTTTCATAGCAGCAAAGTGAAGGGCTGTCTTTCCATTATCGGCCCGCTTCGTAATATCATCGCCGTTCTCAATCAGCCTTTCCATGACTGGTGCATTCCCATTCTGTGCCGCAATAAGTAAATTCGAATCCGCCATTGAATATTTTTGCTCCCCTATGGAGCTCTTGACGAGTAAATTCACTTGGTTGTTTAATTCTTCCAAGGTGATATCTCCCCATCTATGGCTCTTGATGTGCTTGCGCAGATTGTCTTGTCTTGTGATGACTTGCGTGCACCCGGAGAAATGACAGCGAAATCTTGCAATGGTGCCTTTGTGCTTCTTCCCGTTTCTATGTCGGTTGAGATCGGCTACCTGAGCAAATCTTTTGCTGCATTTATCACACTCGTGTGGCCTGGTGTGCGTTTTCAAATGGCGGCTATGATCAACAATTAGTATCTAAGGTACTTCATAACATATATTCCACTGGTAATGTTGAAAACTTACTTGAGTTCTGAGAGCTTAGGGAAAGCCCTAGGACAATGACTACATTTTAGATGACCAATGGTTTGGAGATCATTGAGCGTTTGGTGAATGTTTTGAGCGTCCATCTTGACTGTACATGCAGTCAGTTGTCAAAGATCGATGTATGATTTGGCCTTGGAGGTGTTTGAAGGCCAATTTCTTCTATCGAAGAAGAGGCAAATGATTAGAATCAATGACTTTAGAAGGTAGGTAAATCCAATAACACATAAGTAAAAAAGCCAAATACATATTAATGGGCGCGCCTTATACCGCTTGGGGGAAAAAAGGAGGGCAAGCCATTTTTAGGCACCGATCTATCTAATGCCGCCGCAGTATTCTTCTATCTAAGATAATATAGTGTTTACGGCTTTACCAGTTGACATGTATGGACGTGGTACTGGGTGAATGGGGGGGGGAAGAAGGGGTTAGTGCGAGGCTGGAATCTTATAAAGGCTTTGTGTCCCCCCTCAACTATCATCCCCTGCCAGCCATTCTCAACAACCTCGCTCGCACACCGAAACTTTTATTCTTCTTCAGCCTTGTTCCCATTACGTTATGTCCAGCTACCAAAACGGGCTAATCTCCGATTTTTCGGATATGGAAAAAGGCCAGTGCCCAACGAATAGTGGTGCAGATACCAAGTAATTTTTTTTTTCCGCTAATGCATGTATGCCTTTTTGGTAGAAACGAATACCAAGCCAGCTCTGAATCAACATTGGACACCGGATTTCATGTGCCTTTTGGCAGCGCCTTTGACAATCGTGGAGTTTTCGGCACTGAGTTTGATTCCCAACTCAACGCTTTCGGAGTCGAGACTACGGACGTTGATTCCAGCACCCTTGAATTGGCTGAAACTTTGGGCACTGGGCTTACCTGGAATCTCGATGCTTCTAGGGCTTGCGGTGCTGAACCGTATACACCAGTCAGTGCCATCAACGCTTCTGGATATCTAAACCCTGGGTCTTACTCTCTCTTTGATACACTTGGAGATTATGGCATTAATTACGATGCTACTATTCCCAACGTCTGTAACACTCCTGGATATCTGAACAGTGGGTATAATTCATACTTCGTTGGCCCCTACAACACCGAGGCCCCTTCAACGCTTAGTACCATTCACAAGCCTTCGGTCTTGGGCAATGGGATTTACCTAGATGTTACTCATTCTTCCGAGCCTCCGTTGATGGCTCCCAGTGCCTCTGGGGCCTCTTATGAAGCTGGTTTAACCTATGACCTCCCTGACCCTGCTAAAGCGACATTGACAGCTCCTGCCAATCTTTTTAGCTGCAATTACTCTGGTTGTTCAAGAACATTTAAACGAGAGACCTGGCTCACACGCCATAAAGAGAAACATGCCTCTAATACTGTCTTTTCCTGCCACTATCCGGGTTGCTCAAAAACATTTGGTCGACAGGCAGAGCTCAACCGTCATGAGAAACGTCATGGACCCTGTGATGAGTTCCGCTGTGAGGACTGTGATTACCAAACTGACCGGAGAGACCATTTGTCTTCCCACCGGAAATACAAACACCAGCGCACCCACAAGAAACATCTGTGAGCAGGCCAGGCTTTCATGGATACATCAATATGACCAGAGAGCGGTGTATTCGTTGGTAACTATATACAGCAATCGGCATAATTTAGGATCGCGCTCATTGATAGCTTGGATTACAGGATAGTTATTTTGGACAAATACGAGATTTTATAATTTACTGAGTATTTAGTTTACTGATTTGCAAGTAATCCACGTAGTTTTTGATTAGTACCAACCTGTTCAGTTTCAATCTGTAATCAGGCTGTCAGTGAGAGCCTTGCCGTGAGCCTTGTTTTAGGGATTCTCTAGTTGCATGCAAACCTAGAGCCCATCAACTCACCATCAATGAATTGATTTCAGCCTCATAACCCATCAGCTAGCCATATTTTTGGTTCCTATATCGCACAGACTATTTACTGTTAATAAACACAGACATATTCCATTCGGCTCGCGATTCATCAATAGCGCGATTAAACCACGGTGCCCAAATGTCTTCCTATATCGCAGCCGGGGGCTTACCGCCAAGTGTTTCACCATGAACAGCCTCGTGAATGCAAACGAGGCGGTGAGCAGGCTACTAACTAAACAAGTCAATTCATGCATTTCAAAATGGCCTAGGTTGATGACGAACCCAAACATGGGCGTAACATGCTGATGTCGGTGAACCTCGCCGCCCAAAAAAGAGAGTACATTGGCCATTCCTTGGGTAGGTTTACCCGTTACGGCAGTCCAACTCCCAAGATAAATCAGCCTAGAAAAGTAAAGAGATTTTTTTAAAAAAATTACGATAAGGCCAGGTCGACCCTGCCCCCGAAGGGACTAGATCGAATAGGGAATTCGACTACTCTTATTAGTAAGGAGATACGAACATCTAACATGTTAGACCACACCACCACCTTGTTTAAGCTATTTTGTATTTTATAAAAAACGCATCAAGCGGTGATTAATTCCTATGCAGTGCAGTCAGCTACCTATAGAGTAGGCAACTTGAAATTGATGTAAATTCTAGCAAATTGTCAGAGGTCAGTCATCAACGACATGTATTGAGCGGGTGATAATTATATATGTATAATGCCCAACTGTCAGGGAGTAGGAATAGAATTTGAAGTCGAGGGGTGAATATCCGTCCGCAATTAAGTAATTAGATGGTTTCTGGATTGACCCTGTAGCATAACACTCAATCTCTCCAATTTTTTACATAATAACACTATAAGACGACTACCTTGCTGCTTTGCATCTCTGCATGTACACTACAATCTAGAATAATAAATGAACGAGTATAAAAATCAATACAATAATTTAATTCGAGCGGAAAGTATCCAATTCATCTATCAATCCTTGATACTCGTGCAATAAAATGCTATTAAACAAACATAAGACCGAGAGACGTCATTTTTAATTCCATTGACCTTAATATTCGTGTTCAAACTATGTTGCGTAGTCTTTTCCATCTTAGATATAGCTGTACCCACTGTCAAGTGTTTATTCATTAACAGCCTTAGGGATACATAAACGGGGAGGCGAGTCCTCTTCCATATCAAATTCGGGGACCAACCAGGAAGGATTGTGGGGAGAGACGGGTGTCATCTAAATCATTGATAGTAATGAAGGCACATAATGAGAAGATAGTATTCTATTTCACTTCCTACCCTCAACCATGATAATATGATATCCGTGGCTAGTCTTCACTTCAGCATACTTCGGATTCCCCGTCGTGCTTGGCTCAAGCTCATACGCGACTTTTTCAAAGTCGCCGTGTAGACTTCCTCTGGTTTTCCAACCTAGTGACCCTCCTGCAGATGATTGTCAGTGGAGACCAGTCAAGCATAGTGACGGTTAAGGAGATGGACAAAATTTTTATAGGGATAGAAATGTGTAGGATTTGATAGACGAACCCTGTCTAGCCTTGTCTTCAGAGTATTCTTTTGCTACTTCATCGAATTTGGAGCCATTGCGAAGCTTTTCTAAGGCTTCTTCTTTTTTGGAGTGTTTTTCACACTGATTGTAACGTTAGTTGGATACCAAACACTTATGAACCAAAAAGACACTTCTTTGAGCACTGTTCATGGAATCTAAGCTCACCAGGATATGTCGGGCATTAATCGATGTCGCGGCCTTCAAGCCTTTCCCCCCCTTCCCCTTGTCATCCCCCTCAGTATTATCCTTTCCCTTGCCCTTCCCTCCTTTAGTCTTGTCTCCCTTGGCCTTGTCTCCTTTGGGGTCCTTTTTAGCACCCATTTTAGAGCCGAACAGCACAACTTCGTCGACGTGCCAGGCCTATCAATGATGCAGATGATAAAGCCAAGCGGGGATGATGCTGTGGGGTTGATGTTGATGCCTGAGGAAGAAATAGCCCGCCACTGGCCAATGAGCCGTGAACACCCCGCACAAGCTTCGTTTGTTCATAGAGTTCTTTTAGTCAACATCCAAGGAGCTGTGGCAAATATTGATAAATCCGAGAAGATGTAGGGTCACAGTGCTCGTTCTGTGTAGTATCACCATGTCGGCACTCGAAGCAGCTCGAATCGCTAGGTTGTCTGATAGTGCATACTACATTCCCGACTTTATTACTGAGGACGAAGAATCTAAGTTACTGCAGAAAGTCTGTTTTCTCTTATACAAACTGAATAGATGAAATCTCAATCCTAACTACTTTTCTGATACTACAGATAAACTCCGTCCCCCCTCCACGCTGGACCCAACTCTCCCATCGACGATTACAAACATGGCCCTCGACACTCAGCAAATCGAACACACTGCTATCCGCACCGCTCCCAGCGTGGCTGCAAGATCCTATCATCCATCCACGACTCGAAGCCCTAGGCTGCTTCGCTGATTCGCCTCATCAAGGACCGAACCACGTGCTGATCAATGAGTATCAGCCAGGTCAAGGGATTATGCCGCATGAGGACGGGCCCGCGTATTACCCGCTTGTAGTGACGGTTAGTATAGGAGCGCCGATTGTACTGGATATTTACGAGAAGAGTGGTGGTGGAGAGGAAAGTGGTTGTTTGGATCGGACGCCGAGGTTTCGGGTTCTACAGGAACCGCGGAGTTTGTTGATTACGACTGCGGGGTTGTACACGCAGTATCTACATGGGATTGAAGAGCGTCTGCGGGATGAAGAGTTGGGTCGGGAGGGTATTTGTAATTGGGAATTACTTGGGAATGCGAAGGTCTACAGTGCTGGGTTTTATGACAGAAAGACGAGGATAAGTCTGACCTACCGCGACGTACTCAAGGTGGCCAAGGTGGGAAACTCAATGAGATTCTTGACTGCGGGACGGTGATAGAAACACAAATGAGATGATGAAAGGATTGACATTGTTAATATATACCCGGTATCATAATCCATTTTCCGCGAATACTCTCCTCGCCGAATTTCTCCTTATACCATTTCTGGCTGTTCCGCGCCGTCCCACCGAGATTGACCACGACGAAAAACAGGCCACAGAGGATGGTCTTGTTCAAGAATTCCCCTTCTGGGGCTGCGAGGAATGTGAGCGAGAGATATATCACGCATTCTGCCGTGTAGTGTGGAGAGACCACCCAGGTGAAGAGCGGATGTGTTGGGACGGTGTATTTCTTCAGCGATGAGAGGTAATGGTGACAATCGTGTTGTAGGCCAGACGCCATCAAGAACACCGGTAGGAATAGGAGTGTTTTTAAGGTCGGGACGACGGTGACTCGGAAGTCGTCCAGGGTTAACGTGTTTGAAAGCACCGCGCCTGCGTGATAGATAGATCGTTAGTAAAAACCGTGATTTGATAGGAAGTATTGACATACCCAATCCTTCAATCCATATTGCTATTGTAACCCCCAAGTAAAAGGACAACCCCAGCAGCCAATGCACCACGCCCATGCGCGACGAGGACGGTTTCGCGAATGCAAAACTCTCATACAGCCTCCGCACACCCTGAATAACCACTAGCCCAATACACAGCAAGACCTGACGCAGGGTCATCGATTTCTGCAAATGCTCAGAACTCGTATTCGCCACGACAAACCGAAACGCAGGGCCATGAGTAAGGAGCTGATTGATCCAGAACGCCGAAGAAAGCAGCAACGTAATGTAGTAATGCGTAAAGTATCTGTGCGGCACCTGCCAGGTTGCCAGGCGGTCCAGGACACTCGTTACGACAGTTGCATCGGATGAGGGCTGTTTGGGGGTTGAATCGCCATCTTGTGTCTTGGCCGTGGACGATGACCGGGCACCGTAATTGACGAAGCGACTGTTCAGAGCAGGGAGGGAGGTGAAGAGCAGCGTCTGTCGTAATGGAGTTAATATGTAATTATATGGTCAATGCCGAGGGAGAGGTGGGCGCGCACTGTACACGCGGCGAAAATAAAGCACGCGCGGACGGCGTCGATAATGTCGATGCCTAGAAGTGATTCGAAAATGGTATCATCATTGTTTGCTGCCATATCTCGTCATTTCTTCTCAGTCGTGGTTGGCAGATCGATTGTGTTGCTAGCTGGGTTTGGTGAAAGAAATATTAAGCTTCGGTGGACGGACCGGCAGGGCCGAGTGACTATCGTGAGATGACTGAGTGACATGACAATTAATATGATTCAGTGTTTAATAATTATTATTTTCTCCCGATTATTGCTAGAACTTTGTATTGAGCTGTTTCACATGAATTTCAATTGTGTACAACTGATATGTTGAATGGTACACCATGGAGCTGCTAATAACAACGTGAGTAACGTTGCCAGGCTCGGTTAGTGACTACGAAAGCTGCGATAACGATCAGCGAGAATAAGATAACAATAATATTGGCCAAATGGTAAGGTGGACCTGATATCTGTCATTTGTTGATCACGCAAGACAGTTACTGATAGTGATTCTGTCCAAGCGCAGTCCGCGTGCGTTATCAGCACCTCCTCCATGCAAGCAGCTGATTGGCAAACCAGCTTATGGGAAGGATCATGGATGGATCGATGGCGATCGTTCTCGAAATTCGGATAGTCAGAAACACCAGTTATTCTCATTTGAGTATCCTGTCACATTATCTCTTCTGCCTGTTAGCTGGTGCAGGTGTGGCGCCTAGTTAATGGGTGAGCTGGCGAGACAGCTGCAGTCTCTGCAGGCTGCAAGTTGAACACAGCATGGCGTCTCAGCTGTCGCATAGCTGGACGAAGTCGTCCAATCCAGTGTTAAAGTTTGGCGGCCAATAGTAGACGAAAGCGGCAGCGTGGATGATGGATCGTCGGGCAGGAAAGTGAGCCAGCCACTGGCAGCAGACGAGGTGGAGAGCGACCTAAGCGGAAGCGGTGTGGTGAGAAAAATGGAGGCTGGTTGCGTGTGCTGCAGATTGCAGTCCCAAGAATCGGCAGATTCAGCAGATTCAATCCTCGATGCTAGTATTATTCCCTGTTAAATCGATGGCACATAGTCAGTAAGTAGTAGTCGTCTGGTGGTGGGCTGGTTAAGAGAAAAGCGAAGTTGCAGCGATGGCTGGAGATGCCACCCAGTAGCATGGTGGCGGGACTGCAAGAAGAGGAGGAATGGCACGCTTCACATGCAGCAGCAGGCTGGCCAGAAGCCAGAAACCAGAGAGCCCCAGACTAATAATACTCATCACTATGCTTGACCAAGAAGTAGGCTGTGTGAATCTCATGATGGCTGTCTGCCGAACCTTGATGATTGGCTTGGCTGGCGACGCGACAATGCCATACTATGCAATAAAATAAAAAGTATGTTGGCGATAAGAGATAAAGCTAAACCAAGGAACAGTCATAACGATGGAAAATAATTAAAATACAGTCACCATAATAAATAAGATAATCAATGGGAAGAAGGAAAAAATCCGAGCAAAGGTAGCATTGCCACCGGGCCAGCGAGCGGCAACGGCAGTAATTATTGTTATTATTATTAGCGGGCAGCCAGGTAGGCAGCGCGCAGGCAGGGAAGGGAAGGAGCCAGCCCAGGACGATCTCCACCCTCCATCCTCGTCCTCCACCGCGCTCAGCTTTCCTTTTCTCTTCCTTCCTTCCTGCTCTTCTCTTGCGCTCCCCTCAAAACATCCGCTTCCACGCACACCCCCGTCTCCATTATTTCCCACCACAACTACCTCAACTACGTCGCCTGTGTTTAATAGCGTCTCGACGCGCCACTCGCATCGGTATCTTCGATCGATCGATCTTATTGCAGCCAATTGCGCAGCCATCTGTAATCTGCAATCTTTAATCCTAACACCCACGTCGTCGACCGACTGATTGCGGGTCTCGCTCAGGGTCGATTTCGACTCCCATTGCCATCGCCGCCACGGCAGGCCATCATGACGAGCAAATCTCTGTACAGTCTGACCTTATCGCTATGAGTGATGCCGATGCCGCTCCATCGCCGTCGCTAGATGCCCCCGGTGCTGAAGGCTCTCCTCGTCCGTCTCAAGAGGAAACCGTGCCCAGCAAATTAACATCTCCTCCTGCCCTACCCCCGCCCTCAAATCAATCGCGTTCCAAGCCGGATGCCGACCGTGACGCCGATCAAGATGAGGTTCTCAGCACCAAGGCTGACTCGGAAGCCGAAACCATCATCCAGTCGGGTCGCGAATCGCTGTCGCCTGAGAAACTGAAGAAGCACATTCAACACCGATCTCGTGATGATGTGAATCAGCCCGGTCAGGAAGACCCGTCCATCAATCGAGACACATCTCCATCGGCGAAGAAACGTAAGCGCTCCCAAGACGACTCTCAGGATGGTAGCCAGCACGCTACATCCAAGTCCAGCCCGCGATCTAGACGATCCTCCCTGTCCTCGGTGGTGAAGAAGGAAGGCACAGATGTGCCGCCAACCCTGACTCGTCGAGATTCAGTTCATTCTACTGCTACTGCCGATCGGCCGATCAATGGAATCCCACATGATCGGAAACGTAGTTCAAGTGAAAGCGTCCTCGAGGGCGACTTGACTGACAACGAAACATCTTCCCATGAACGACAACGCTTAGACTCGACGCGCCATCGCGAAAGACGGGAGAAGACACAACCTACGCCGAGTTATCGATCCAAAGACCGCTCTTTATCACCGCCTTATCGGTCGCATAAAAGGGCCGCCTCGGGCCCGCAACAAGGTGTTGAAAATTTGCAGCGCAAGCGAAAGCTACCTGCTACACTTTCAACAGGTGGTCATCGCCAAAGTTCTGAAGATCGACAGTCAGTGTCGTCATCTGCTAGTGCCTCGCCGATGCCCTCAAGTCGTTCTCGCAGACTTACATCCTCCGACGGCAATGCTCTCGCACCTGCCAAAACAGCAACCCACAAGAAGCAGAGAGATCAGAACGGACGCACGCGACTTGCACGAGCATGTGCAGCTCATGAATACGAGGTGGCGGTCGCTAGGCATGCTGAGCGTCCGGAGGACTTGAATGTGGCTGATAATGCGGGAAACACTCCCCTGCAGATTGCCTCTTTGGAAGGATGCGCTCCTATCGTAAAGTTTCTTTTGAGCGCCGGCTGCGAAATTGACACAAAAAACATTGATAAAGACACTCCCCTCATTGATGCAGTTGAAAACGGTCACCTCGAAGTTGTGAAATTGTTACTCGATGCAGGCGCTAATCCTCGGACCGTAAATGCCGAGGGTGATGAGCCGTACGATTTGGTTCCATCGGATATAGAGGAGTATGAAGAAATCCGGAAAATCATTTCCCGGGCCAAGATAAACCCTCCCCGAAAAAGAGCTTCAGAAGACAATGGTGTTCGTTCCGGCTCCACCAAGAGTTCTGTTCCTCGAGCAACATCAGCAACAAGCCCACGAGATTCACCCCCCGCACATTCTATGATGAGCCCGCCGCCTGGAGTGAGTACGGCCACTAGGCGCAAAACTGTACGAAGCGAAGCAACCCGCAACGACCTTTTATGGACCAAACCGACACAAGAAAACTTATGCAATTTTGCGGCCAAAGGTGATATGGCAGGAGTCGCTAACGTGTTGAACGTCATTCAAAAAGCTGATACCGAATCGTTAATCGCTGCGGCTAAAGGAGGACACGAGGACGTGATGTCTTTGTTACTTGGCATGGGTGATGCAGATCCTGATCCGGAGCCAGTTCAAAATCCCAGCTGCCGGCCTGGATACAACACTCCAATGCTTGCGGCTATTGGACGAGGTAGTCTCGCCACAATACGTCTTTTGTTGGACCAGCCTGGGTTTAACCCGACTCGACGGTTATACCGTGGCTCTACTTATTACGAACTTGCAGAAGATCGCAAGGGTGAGAATTGGGAAGAAGAAGCAGCGCTTTTGAAGAACGCGTACGAGCAATCCAAGAGCGTAAAAAAGATACGGAAAGCAGAAACAAAGTCACCAAAAAGAGCCCGGGATCAAGAGAAAGAGTCAGCAAGAAAATCTCGACGAGAATCGTCTTCTCCTATCGCTGCTCCCCGAAGGCCAGTTCGCAGTCCAAACTCCTCTCGCACGGTGGATGGTCCGGCTAAAGAGAATATCAAGACACGAGATACCTCTTTGCACGGTAAAGACAAGCCTAGCAGTACTGGGCGAGTGAAATCTTCAAGTCGAGATGATGCTCACAGCGAACACTCGGCGGATCCAGACCATCCTAAAATTAAGAAAATCACCTCCGAAAGGCGGCAAAGCGATGCTGCAAGCAGCCGTGGGGAAGAAGCTCCAAAGCGTCGTCGACTCATTGCTGGCCGCCCCCCACAAGACCGTGACAAGAGACGACCTAGCCTCATGTCTACCGATTCTTTGTCCGGACGAGACGAATTCTTAAAGGCCTACTCTAAAGAAGCGAATGAGCTGAAGGATATTCATAAGATCAAGTTAAAAAGAGCACGTCACAGCCTTTCTCCTGAACGGTCCCGCTCTCGAGGTTCAGAAAAGGGAAAAGACACCGAAGAATATCAGAAAAAGAAGCGACGCCTTCAGCAAGAGGACGGCCCCCATAAGTTGACCAATGGTGTTCCAAGTGTCCAAAGAAAATCCTCTGAGACCTCATCCGGCAAGAAAGAGCCACGCCCACCACCTTCAGATTCAAATAAAACCCAAAAGGATACATCTTCGGAGAAAGTTATTACTCAACCAGTTGACACACCAGTTCCAGTTAAAGAGGAGCATAAGAAGCAAGACCCGCAAGACCTCGATCAAATACCGATGGAAGATCCCGCTAAAGAGCTAGGCCCTACTGCGAAGGAGAAAGATGATGCCAGGGAAAACCAAGATGTTCAGATGGTGCAGGAAGAAGAGGAGAAGCGTACAGCCGAAGAAATCGAGGCCGATCGCGTCGCTCAGGAAGAGGAAGAGTCTCGTAAAGCAGCCGAACAAGCTCGGGTCGCTCGTGAAAAGGCTGACGAGGAAGAACGCAAAAGAAAAGAAGCTGAACAGCGAAGGATCAGGCAGGCTGAGGAGGAACGCCAGCGAAGAGCTGAACAGGAGCGGGCACGTATCGCTAAACTCCGCAAGGAGCAAGAGGAACAAGAACAACGGCGCCGCGATGCGCTTCCCAGTCGACTTCGTGTCGCTGCAAACCTTGTTGGGGCAAACGATCCCATCGCTAAAAGTCACGTGTGGCTAAAACAATTTATGCCGGTAGTAACTGCCAAGACGCAACAGCTTGATCCTTCGTGTGGGCCAGAAGTTGCAGACGAAGTTTGGGTACCTAATTTCCTTGTGGCACCTCTCCTTGCAACTAATGATCTACAACTTTCGCAATACTCTAGCTGGGAGAAACGGTATGCTACATATACGCAGCGTCTGAACCTATGGCGAGTGACCCGCAGAATCTTGGTGCAAACTGATGATATGGAGGGTGGAGGTTCTTCATTCGGACAAGCTATTCAGCGGGACGGCGAAACACGCCCGAAGTATTTTGACATGGAGCATGTCTTCTGGGTGAAACTGTCTGATTTTATGGATTTGGTCCCTCATATACCTCACCTCAACGGGTTGGAGCTGGAATTCCTTAAGATGCACATCGACCAAGAGCCATCGCTTCTAGCGAATCATTTTTCCGGGCCACAGGTGAACGGGACCGCGTTTTTCTCTACCGAGCGTCATGAATCGGCAGGCCCAGTCAATGGCTTGACGAATGGTTATGGGCATGCGCATCATAGTACATATGTTTGATTCTCCTCGGGTGCATTGAATTGTATTGGGGTAATTCTATTACGATACGAGATCATTACGTTCGGCGGTGTTTTCCTATGTTTATACATGTATGATATGATACCTCTTACTGTAACTTGTGCATGGATGGCAGCAATGATAGCTGATCATCCTCGTTCGTCTGTATGTAGGGATTCCGATAATGGACAATTGGACATATTGAATCTCCCTTATTAAAGCAAAGTAGATAGACAACGTATTCAACGTATTCAACTCTGATTGGCCATCCGTATTACATAATCCTAAAACACCATTCCGGATTCGGGTAGGGCACTCGGCACACTGAGTGCGCCCACATCGAAAATAGGCGGGAAATTTACAACCATCGCAAATCTTTAATACGCTACATCCATTAACATCTTCCTGCACTCTTTGAGGATAATCCGACAAGACTAACACAACTTGCAAAAATGGTATTCCTCCTTTCACCATAATCACAAATTTCTATCCTTCAGCCATTTATACTAACGAAATTCTAATCACCAGTCGGACGGAGAAGAGACCATTTCCAACCCCCCCGTCGCCGAGGCCGATGAGGTCGAGGTTTCCGCGGACGCCGGTGCCGGCGGCCAGATGTCGGTTCTCGATGCGCTCAAGGGCGTGCTGAAGATCGCTTTGATCCACGACGGTCTTGCTCGTGGTCTACGCGAGGCCTCCAAGGCTCTGGACCGTCGCCAGGCCCATATGTGCGTCCTCAACGAGAGCTGTGAGGAGGAGGCCTACAAGAAGCTCGTTGTTGCTTTGTGCTCCGAGCACAAGATCCCCTTGATCAAGGTCCCTGATGGAAAGCTCCTTGGCGAGTGGGTTGGTCTTTGTGCGTCTCCCATCCTCCCCATTTTTCGTCCCTTTTTTTGTAGGGTTCAGGCTAATAGATTGTTTTTTGACAGGCCAGCTTGACCGTGAGGGTAACGCTCGCAAGGTCGTCAACTGCTCTTGCGTCGTCGTCCGTGACTGGGGTGAGGAGTCCCAGGAGCGCTCCATCCTTCTCAACTACTTCCAGACCGAGCAGTAAACTCTCCCACTCTCGCGTACGTCCATGGATAGCCGGGAATATCGTTTTTATTCCTGGTGCGTGTTGATCTTCGACCATCTTTTTCTATATTTCCGGGATTTAGCACATTTGAGGGATGATGTGACGAGTGTGATAAAGGATTGGGAGGAATGGTTCGTCGATCAATCAATGTCCATAGATGGGAAGTGAAGGGAAGGGAATTATATGCCCGATGAGAATAGAAATGAGAAAATGATAGTTCATGCTTCATATCTTGGATGAATCCAGTAGTATCAATTAATATCTGGTATAAATATCTGGTATAGTAGGATTGAAGAAACGTGAATACATGTATTCTGATTCTGCAGTAGGAAGACTTCAAATGTTATTCCTATTCACTGAGGTCGTATGTATGCATAATCATAAAATAAATACACTAAATACCCGCTAATATAATCGCTGAATCAAATGAAACAAGGGAGGGGAATATGCGAATGCGCTAGACTAGAAAAAGTGGAAAAAGTGGTAAAAGGTATACAACGACTATATCAAGTATTGTTGATGGCCCCGAAATGTTTCTTGAACAGAAAAACTCCATGCATGACAAATCTCAACGTCTTTATATAAAGTATTAACGGAAACTATAAGCTGAGAATGTCATATTCTGTCTCTCCGGTTTCAGAGATAATTGCTGGTATGGTGAACTGCCTGGATCGTAATACAGACCTTCGATTTCTCCGGTCTCGCGGTGTAAAGAGATGTAATAGAAGCCAGAAATTGTGAGGCCCTGGCGAGCGTCGGTAGGTGTAATGAAGCAACGTTCTAGAAAAAATATTTAGTCAATGCTTTCAAGACAGGAGAACCGGGGCTTACCCTTCCAGCGCATGAGAATCCAGTTTTTCCTCCACTTCTCCGTCATCCATTCCCTACTCAACAGCCCTCTCATAACTGCTTCATCTGAGAGCTCCTTGAAAGGCTGTAGTTCTCGCCAGTACGTACTGTCGATATCGGCATCGGCCTTGAAACTTGTTGTCTCCAGGGTATGGATGTTTAAATCAATAATCTCTCCTTCGAGAAAAGTGACTATATGAGCATCACGGGTCGGTGATGTTTTGTCAGGAATATTATAAGCCTCCATAGTTCCCGTCAAAGACATGGAGGAATAGTCCACGCTATGAATAGTCACCTTCACAGGCCAATGTTCTCCTTTAGGTTCTCTACCGGCGGGGCCTTCACGAACGTTGTTCGCCCAATAGCGTCGGCCACTTGTTGTCGACACACTGATTCGGTCGAACTCTGGGTTAATCATGAATATCGTTTCGGCTGGCGGTCGACGTTCGGATGTCACTCTGTGATCAAGCATCATGGTTTGATTTGGTATATTGCTGTTCATTGCCTTCTGTGATCCTGCAAATACTGCCCCTGGTTGCAGCCAAGAACAATACGGGGGAGGCATTATTGTTGACGGATCTAGAAGAAAATCACCTTCGTTGTGATTGTCTATGAAATACTCTTCACGAACGAATCCTCGCTGAATAGCCGACGACATCCTCTCCGCCAAGGAGCTGCAGTTGCGAATAGATTCTAAATATTTTATCGTCTCCCTCAATCTCGCGCTTGAAGGATTGTCTCTCAAAGATGGCCGGTGTGTATTCAGTCTTTCCCGAAGATCCCCTGATGCGTTTCTCAGACTCATCCGCAGAGCACGTGGTGCTGATGGAGGCCTGTTTCTCTCACGTTCTCGTTCTCGTTCCCGCTCTCGGTCCCTTTCTTCTGCTTCTTGACCACCATTCCGTTCTCGTTCTCGCTCTCGCTCGCGTTCCCTTTCCAAAATATAGTTTTGAAGCGTGCGAGTACGAGAGGCAAACCTAGTTCCACGACGCATAGACTGCAGCAACGCTTCGGTGATTGTACCGGGAACTGCTCGGTCTTGAGAACTTGATTCGCTCCTCTCTGATATGTCTCCAGAATATGGAGACAACGTCCTCCCTATAACATCTCGTCTTGATATTCGAGGAAGAGACATATCACCAGCTGAGCTTCGATCCGAGCCTCGTCCATACCAAACACCATCTGCATGTGGATTTTGATTTACTGCAACTTCCCAGCGTCCATCGTTGTCGTTCGCTTCCTCATCCGGCCCTGGTGCCCATCCATATAGAGCGCGTGTACTTGGAACTAGCCCATCATAACTTGGAACTCCACTCGAGTCATCACGATGTCGCCGAATAACCGGAAGCCGCCGGTTGACGTCCACGGAGGGTCGTGGGCGCCTCCCCTCCTCGATATCCATGCTTTCGAGGTCAACTTCTGGCAACAAGGCCAAGCGCCTTCTTCTCGCGCGACTAGCGGATGATGATTCGGGCGGGGAATGAGGGCGAGCGCGCAAAAAGCTCACGTTCTCATCATTCGCATCGTCGATGTTGATTAATGTCGCCGCTAGGTTAGGTGTTGGACTCGTAATCGAATCTAGCTGTTGTAGGTAGGGGGTTGTCGTAGATGATAGTGAGGGTGTCTCCTGAAGATATAGCGAGGCTGTCAGACACTTGAGGCACACAGCGACCATTCTTGATGGAAAACAAAGGCTATTGAGAAAAACGCACGATCCCGACTTACCGAGGGAGAGTTTGCGGGTGGCATCGTTGCGCACTACCAAGATTTCTCTTCCATGTGTAGGACGAGGCTGGTGGAAGATCGAGCAGATGAAGATACTGGCAAATGTCGCGCCTGCGGATAGCATAACACCAACGAGGTATAGAGTGCCAAAGTTGAGATATGAGGCAGATCGTTGATAAGAGAGTCTCTCGGTGGAGGGTGTGCTAAGCCTGCTCGTGGCGGCCGAATCACCGGCCAACCATGTGTAAGCATCCGGCGATCCCCCCACCTGGTGGGCCGAGTTCATACTTGCATATATATGTCATATATAGTATCTCATTTTATGCCCGAAACAAACAACCTGTAGGTATCTATGAGACGATAAGGAAGAGTGGTTCAAATCTATATATGTACTCTAGTCTATATTTACTTATAATCCACATACAAAATCAAGATCGATCTCCTGAAATTGCCATATTCAATCCTGATGGTCAGCAACGAGGAATGAATCCTCTGGCCAAATCCAAAATATCAGATTTCCAAATCTGTAGATTGGTTACTGTACCATAGGAGAATGTTTCTCTGCCTTCTCCAAACATGAAATGAGTAGATTCCAGAACGAGTCTGTGTCCACTCCCCTTGGAATTGCGACACCTGGGCCCTTGACCGGCGTCACAATTGTGCGTCCAAGTTGCCCCGTGGCAGAAACAGTTCCGCCATGCTCACCATCAGTCACAACATTTACCACAAACCGTTCCCCGCCATCATCATTGAATTTGAGAGCTGTGCTCGGATTGGCTTGGGCATATTCGGGATTGAGGTTCGACAGAACCACCGCCATGGCTAATGGATCGTGGAGTGGAGGTCCATCATCGATGCCGAAGACTGCAGAGTATGTTCCAGCAAAGAACAAGAGCAAGTCGTGTAGCATCTGGCGTAGGTTATTCACCGAGGGTCCATCGGATTTTGCAGCCTTCAATACTCTTTCCTGCACAGGGAGGGTTGCGAGTACTTGATGTGTCAGATCCAGGGCTATTAATGTCGTTTTTGGGGCGAGTATTGAGTTTGATAGAATGGACCGAGAAGCCTCTGGATCACACTGCTCTTGTGTCAGAAAATTGCACAGAGAAAACGAATATAAGCAATGAATGGTACTGATAAAAAGGAAGCGCACATAAATATTGAATTCAGCCCACGGTGTGGTATTGCCTATACGTGCTTTTTCACCAGGCAAACGGCTCATAGGAACATCAGTGAACCCTTCTCCAACCGCCCCTCCCATTATGCTCAGTCCTTTTATATGGGCAGCAACTTCTGGGAAGGTCGCAAACAGAAGCCCAACATTTGTCAGAGCTCCAGTAGCAACAACCCATGCTGTATTTGGAGGCTGAGCGAGAAGAGCATCGCGCATTGCCAAGATGGGATTTTTGTCTGTGATAGCCGGTCGGCTAGCTTTGGGGAGAAGGTCGGTGCCATCTAGGCCAGATTCGCCTAGAATATGACAACCTGTTTCAGACGAATTCTTTTGGGAAGTCAAAGTGTCACTCACCATGGATATCTGGCGCATGTACGGCAGGCCGGCAAAAGGGTTTACTGACGCCGGGATAGACAGGTATATCTGGTCGCCCAATAGCCTCCAAGACACTTCCAGCATTTGCCGTGGTATTGGCAAGAGACGCATTCCCATGAATGGTGGTGATGCCGAGGAGATTCAGGGACGGGTGGTGGGCAGCAATAAGGATCGCAAAGACATCCTAAGTATATTAGTTATGTAGCCTTTCGAGGAACTATTTCACTGGACATTGGATCTCTCACGTCGTGTCCTACATATCAATTAAATTACAAACTCAGCATTCAATGGAGTTGACTCTTGACTCTTGCGATAGAAATCAGAACTAACCAGGATCACAATCGAGCCAGACAGGAATTGCGGTCTCAGACATGTTGGGTACGGAAGATATAGACAAAAAGAATACGAATATGTAGAGCAGATGCTAGACTCTAGGCCATCGCGAATAAATTAAAATGATGTGCGGATCAAAATCATAGAATGGCAGACGGAGCATATCAGTGTTCCCCGCCTTTATCTGACAGGGCGACGCATCGTAAGCTTTGGCGGAACCACATTCCCGCCCGCATCTTTTCTTGGGGCATTTGGAACCGCCCAGGAACCTCCGATGCACACGCCAGCTCGACGCTTATTTGAACGTCGAGCCATTACTGGCATGAATCTCTCGTGAACGCTGCAAGCTCTTATATAGCGATGCAATGACTACCAATATACCTCGGAGAGGTCTTTCTCCGTCCAATCCCGCGCCAACGAATGTGAACCTCAGGACATCCAGCTCATCTCAAAGCTCCTACCAACCGATGCGAGCCGCACCACGGGCAGTCTATCGAAAGAATGCGCCTGACAATGAGTCAAGTGATGCGTCCAACGACAAAAATGCGGTTGCGTTGATCCGCCGCGTGCTTTGCTCGGACTCTTCCTATGGGTCCAACACGCCACGCCCTTTGCAGGACCTCCTCCCCCCTTTGACGAGCTCCAACGATGTCGATTTGCAACTTTATGCTCTAATAGCGATTATCGTCAAGGAATTCGTTTATTCCTGGTACGCAAAAATTACGCCAGATCATGTATTTATCGACGAGGTACTGCAGCTTATTGCGCATTGTACACGGGCGCTAGAACAGAGACTTCGTCAGGTAGACGTCAAACAACTCGTTCTCGATGAAATTCCTGGTCTGGTTGAAGCACATATAATTGGTTAGTTTCGGTTTCCTTCTATATAGATGATGCTAATGACTGCTCTCACTTGTAGCATATAGAACTGCGAGTCAAGGATCTAGCTTGGTCTCCATTCCGTCGTCAACTCGTGATATATACCACCAGCTAAACCCTCACCCCGGTCTCTCGCCATCTCCAGATCCTTTGAGTGCTTCAGCTCATCCGGAAAAGGAAGAAAACGAGCGTTTATATCGCCATCTACTCGCGCAGGGCGTCCTGGCTGTGCTTCTGCCGACTGAAGACCTAGAAAATGTCTGCTTGCGGACCTTGGTTGAAGATATATTATCGGACTTGTTGCTTGGGAATGAAGTCAGTGGAAAGATATGTGAAGGCTGGTTTATCTGGACGGCAGTGAGCAAAATCATCGAAACTGTGAGACGGCGAAATATAGAGACAAGTAAGACTACTCGGCCCTCCAACAAGGGAGGGCTCGGACGGTTGGAAAAATTTGGCTTGCTCTCGAATGATCAGCATGACGACGGCTTGCGGGCAAAAAGCCAATCAGCCATGTCCCTATGGATGTGGAAGATGCTCTACGCGGCCTATCTTTTCTACCTTGTCGTTCGTTTTGTTGTAGGGGGCCTATTCCATACAGCATTGTCACCAGCAGAACCTCCAACACGAGAGACGGCATCTACGGAACAGCTCAACCCAGTCAAGCCAATACAAGCACCCCCGTCTCGCCCAGTGCTTGATTATCAAGCTTTTAGTCTGCTGTCGCAATGGTCTGGTCTCCCACTGCGTATGCCATGGCTGAGTGGCTCATTCTCGTTAATCCAAACTTTGGTCTTGACGGGCCCGGGGAAGTTGGGTGAGGCGAATAGCGTTATCGATCGGTAAGTGCATGATTTCATTGCTGCGTTCTTTGTTACTATTCATTTCATTCCTACACGTTACACTCAACGGAATCCCCCCATTCGTACATTTCCCAAGGACACATTCTCGTATCAAAACGGCAGTGCGCTTTATCTTTCTTCCAGCGACGCCGAATCATCATCAGCAATATACGACTTCAGGATTAGGGGAGCACTCTGGTTGTCATGTGTCATGCGCATGGTGAAGCGATACGCCTTTGGGGCAAGGGCCAAAGCAGTATGACCCTGTCAAAAGTCACTTCAGCCATCTCATTGGAGATTGTCAGTGCAGACGGCGTGGTTGCAGTTTCGGCTACTCGCATAGCGTTGCGATCATCTGATCTGGAGGGGACTGCTAGCGGGCCAATAGGGTGCTCTAAGACTCGATACTGGTTCTCGTTCACTCTTCGGCTCTCGCGAAGCATATATTTTCAGGCAATCTTTCGGTCAGCGTCATTACGCGTGCGGTACCAGCCCATTACAGAACGGACGAAATCGACATGGGTATTTAACAATATTAATAATACCGCTGACCCCGATAAAATACGTTACATCCCGCCCCCGTTAGTCAGTCCAGTGGGTCGTTCATTCGCCTTAGCTGGTGAATTTGGCTTTTCTGTGGCTGCTCCGTCTTGACGCGGTCAAGACTCAACTTTCCAGAGAAAGATTACCCGGCCGTTATCGGGTTTGCCATTTCTCATGCGCAATGAACGGTCCGTCAACCGCCCGCCTACGGTAGCCTTATCTAGTAAAGCCTCGGTGCTGCTCCCTCGACAGCGAGTGGTTGTATGGTTGATCATCTGGTGGACCAAGGTGCCTGGATCGGCCCTTGCCTCCCGTCTGATGCTGAGGCATCTAACCAATCGACGATTATTCATCCACACCACCCCGCAAAGGCATTAAGGCCGCTCTATTCGTGACCTGATTCCTTGTCTTCCCGACGTCACCGAATGGGAGAATCCGGATTCAGTGCTGGAGGCCTATATAGCCATCTACCAACACCGGGAGGACGCAAAGCCAAAGACGAAATTAGCTATGACGCCCATGTAGGTCCCCAATATGCGACCCTACGGACTAGAGAGCTGGATTTGAATCTGGACCAAGAGGGGGAGTTATTGCTGATACTACTGCTACCTCAAGCGGAGACCATCGAATTGCAACTACCTGCGAATCGCTTAATTCGCAAGTTGGCGATAGAGACATGATAATTCGTCGATAATTTGTCAATGATCCTAGTCATTCCAGTCAGCCCCAGGTCCTAGCGGCAGCGAAACATCAATCGCAGCGCGCGTTCTCTCTCCGAGGCTTCACAAGTACGCTTCGCTTGCGCCAGCTTTTGAATCCAACCATCTAGACCCTGGCCCTCGTTCAGATAATATTAATGGCTGCACATGTTCCTTTCCTTATGTGTATTCCATTTCGTTACGTCTAGTCCGATGTGGAATTCTCGGGGGAAAAAAAAAGACATATGGAAAGGAAAGGAAAGGAAAACTGACGTATGTTACCTAATTAGGTTCCTCCGGGAGTTGATCGACACATACATGCTCACCCCGGCGACTGTACCAACCCTGCTCGTTGCCATTCGTACGACGCTATTCTCGTCCACCAACATACGCCCAAACGCAGCATTATCAGGCACAAACATACCCTTTCAAACAACAACACCACCACCACAGCAACAACAGCCTCCCCTCGGAACCAGCGACGTAGCCATGCTAACCGCAGCGCTCGCAAACCCCCAAGCAACCCGCCGACCGCCACCCGCGGCCGAAGAAGTGTGCGCCATCAAACGCCAATGCGCCGCGGACATTTTATCGCTATTCCCAGCACCCGCCATCGCCCAGGCGTTTTTCTGTGGCACCATACCGCGAGCAACCAATCATACTAACCATCATCCTACTAACCATTCTATTTCTAATAATAACGATGATAATGACGATAATGATGACGATAATGATAATACCGCACTCCTACAGGCCATCGAAATGGACCTTCTCGACCCCTTCTCCGACGCGTATTGTAACAAGCACCTGATCTTCTCTGTCATCGAGACTGTGCTTGTGAAACTCCTGCCGGAGTTGGCCGAGAAGGGGGTCATGGATTTGATGGAGGAGAGAGGGGTGGCCGTTTCGTGATGTACACTATACTTGCGTACATATGTAGTAGTCTGATGTTTGGCATAATGATATGAATTCTTGACATAGAACTGTATCTCGAGTAGTTGACATATGTAATCCAGATTGGTATATCAAATGACTAATCAAGCACTGAATAAATAAAGATGGCTTGTCTGCGTCAAGTCAAGGAACAAGTAAAATAGTATCGACAAGACATATGCAATGCTGTATACACGATATGAAACAAAAGCTATAGAACAGACTTGCCAATAGCAAAAGATTGACACGTAAAGAGCGAAAGAAAAAAAAAAACAAAGACGAGATTCGAGAGTACGGCTTGCACAATCTCGACATAGTCCAAGAATAAAAATAAGAATAGTATCCTCATATACAAGCTTGCGCGGCTGTTCTCTTTTCAGTCGGTTGCCCAACCCTGTAATAAATCCGTCTAGCCCTGCTATCCTGGGCCCCATTCCTAACCATAACCATAATGTAAAAAATCCATCAAACTCCAGCAAGGTGAAGGTCGCCCTTCAATGGTTCCTGCTTATCGGTAATTTAAAATATAGAGGGAATAAAACCCGATTCCAACATGTGCTCAAAAACGTTCAAATGATAAAAGAAGTGAGGAGAATATATGGAACGAGCAAGAGTATCAAATGCAAGTAAACAAACAAAACAGATAACCAACCAGATGTGCGTGTGCGTGTGCGTGTGCGTATCCTTGACTCATGTTAAAGAGTGGATGCTTCTTTTCTTGTTCACTCGAGGACTGTCGGTATGTTCATCGATGCGGTGCAGTCGTCCCGAGATGGAGCTCGCTTGGCTCTGTGCAAGCTCAAGCTTTTCAAGTAGCTTGCCCATTGTATAATAGTCCTGCGCTTGCAATCCCAGTCCTGATGGCGAGTTCTGGAAATAATTCATCACTAATTCCATAGCACGCCGGGCCTCGTCTTGCGTCGGAGAGCTCGGACTGCTGACCGGGCTCACTGTGCTGGATTTTGGTAATGGAGGAGGCTGCATCAATGTGGTTTTGATGTCTGGGGTGCTTCGGTTGTGCCGGATCACGTTTTCATCCCCTACCAATGGCAAGCCGTGCTGTGGCTCTTCTTCTAGTGGTGAGTCAAAGACGGAGACGGATTGTGAGGAAGTCAGGGAGTTCTTGGACTGCATCTGCTCGGGGTTGCCGTTGGCACCAAGATCGGCGTCTACAGCGAGAGGGAAGGTTTGGCTTCGTCGTCGACTTGTAGCAGAGCTGATTGAGGGTAGCCGAGAACGTACTGATGGTGTGTATGGGCTTTCCGAGAGCAAAGGTGATATCGGGCTCGCCACGCTCGTTGACAGTGATGGAGCCGTCTCGAGAGAAGTCGTGCTTTGAGAGTGACTGTGTTTGTAATCTTTAGCTAGATCGACTGCGCTGTCAGGAAGCTCCTTCTTCACCGTCTCCTGAGACTGTGTAGGCGACAAAGGAGACGGTGTAAATCCCGTCGGAGATACTGGGGAAACATGCGCGCTCGAACCAGTGTGAAGGTGAATATTTTCGTCGTCATCACTCGCAACAGTATCGACCGAGTTCTTCCGAGACTTCAATCCAGACAGATTGTTCTTCTGCTTGAACTTTTCGAGCCAACTAGCTGTCAGGACCCTCTGTTTGCCGTCGGAACCACCACAAGTAGTGGCGAAAAAATGAGCCTTTTCTTTGATCATCGCATCAGTCAAGGGAAACCCCTGACGCTGATAGTTTCTCGCCCAGTTTGCCAGGGCTTTCTCAATATCAGGGACTTTGCCTTTGCTTCGCTTAATCGGGGAACGACTCCCATCGTCCATGCTCAGGTATTTCTCCTTTTGACGCAGGACTTTGGAGACAGTGCTTTTGAGCGTTAGCAACTCTGATCTGAACAGGAAAAGGGTATATCTTACCTTCGTTCGACACCAAAAAGAGCTGCATATAAAAACAAAACAATCAGGAACTTCGTCGTTATACACAAATAAATAGGGCGGGATTCTCACCTCCTATATCGGTCTGTTTTGCCGACTTGTTGTCTTCATGATACTGACACATTCGACGGCGGTCCTCATCTGTCAATGTCCGCCGCGGCGTGGGCGCACTTGGCGCAGGAGTCGTCTGGACAGGACGAATAGGCACTGGCTGAGGGATAGACAGAGTCGGTGGTGGCGCAGGCGACAGAGTGTTCTCCGGAAAGCTCGCCTGGGTCGTGAGCATGCTGGGCCACGGATGAGAAGGCATGGGAAGATGAAGCGTGGAGTACGGCGGCGGCACCGTCATATTGTACGCCGGTTCCATGGGCATGATAGGCGGAGATCCATAGCTGAAGCCATGAAAATCCGGCAGGGGTGGGCTGTGATGAGGAGCAGGAGGCTCAAAGCTTCCTATATCGACCCATGGCGAGCTGGCATACTCGTTGTCCTGAGAGTGGGCCTCTGTGTCCATCGTCCCTGCTGCGATCAGGCACAAAAGGCGCGTTGATTCCTGAGGCAGCCCAAGTCGTGTTTGGCTAGTTTAATTGCGCGCAGGTAAAGGCGCAGGAAAAAAAGGAAAAAGAAAGAACCAAGCTTTCAAATTTCAATCGCACTGATAAGATTCCGAGTCCGTGGAGATGTCGCAACTCATGGTCAGGCCGGCGTGGATCATCAGCGGGATCAGGAACAGGACGTAATCCGTGCGATTGATGGGAAGAAGAAGGGGGGAAGGAAATGCTAGCGACTTGTTGTATATAGGGATCGATGAGGGCCAGACAATCCCAGGGAGGCGATGGAGCCGATGTATGCAGGCCAAAAGCTAACAGCGAAACTTTGCCGCAAGCTGCAGATTAGGGAGACTGACAGGGTGGTTATTGAGGGGTAATAGTCTGCTGCAAGGCTGGCGGGTATAATGATAAACAATAGCAAGGCAAGCAGAGCCACAGCCGGAACGGTTTATTTCCTTGTTGTGGGCACCAATGTCAACATATACTGCGTGTCTATGTTCGCCCGGCTGCAGAACAGACAGACAAGCGGATCATGGAATGTCAAATGGAAGGGCCGTTTTCTACTCCAGTTTGTGCCTAACCAATTGACCGTGCTGGTTAGATTACAGAATGAGGAAGACGGATAACGAGAGGCCCAGCACCGCTACGGTGACAGACTGATCAGGTGGGATTATTCAAGGAACGGGTCAACTGGTACCTTCATTCGACCGATTCGGCAGGTTAGGGCAGGTAGTGACAATGTAAACCACCATTCAAATGGGTTCCAGTCCGTATGAAAATCGCGCCAACCGTCCTAGGCGGGTAGCGGTAAATAAAAAACGGGGGGAAGGGGAAAAAACTTAAGAACATGTGAGGGAAAAAAAAAGGGAAATAATGCGCACCTGGGAAATAAAATGGCAGACCGGTGCGGTGATTGGCTTCACAGCAGAGAAAATGGTGGGGGAGCCCTGGACTGGTTGGCTGCTTTGCCAGTTATTTCGGCATGGGGGTTGCAAGACGCTAAGTTAGGCCATTTTACCACGCTGTAAAAACAACTCGGTACCAGGTCGATACCGTACCGAACCGAAGGTGAATCAAGAAAAGCGTCCGGCCATCGGAGTTGGCGTCATTGGCACAGTCGAATCAGAGGCGCGCTCTGCTTAGTTTCGGCTGAGTCTGGAGTCTGGAGAGTCGCAAATCGCTACGATGATCATCGTTTAGGGCTGCTGTCTAGCTTTGTGATGCTCGAGGTCACCGTAAGGAATATCCGTGTCCTCGTTCATGAGGGATGTGAAAGATTGCCAAGCCAGTTCATTCCACTTCAACGTGCGAGGAGCATGGTCAAAGCTATGGAGTAATAATAATACAAGCCATGCAATGAAGGCGGCAGGCCACGATAGAGTTTGGTCCCAGGCCGAAAGGGGTAGCGATAACCCTAGACGTCGAGACTGAAGCGACGGCACAGGTAAAGAGAATGATGGCAAGCAGAGCTATCCAGTATCAACATAGAACATTGAATAGGGTCATTGGATGGACCAAGACGGGCGGCTCATGTGTCGGCGCTAGATTTGGGTCACGATGAAGTGTGCTCGCCGCATAACGTGTTGACAGGGACAGGCCAGTCTGAAAGTGAGCCCGGGAGGACTGGAAAAGTCAACACCGCGGTTGATTGGGCAATCGGATTTGACAGAGCCCGACGACACGAGGTTAATACGTATGTACGTACTTGATAGAAGGCCACAGAAAACGGCACCAGCCATCGGAAGGTGGATTCCAGATGTCAGACGAGCATGGTCTCAAAGCTACGTGTAACTCCGGACGCGCGAGGTCTGTCCGGAGTCTGCTCTGGCATGGTTTCTTTTTCCACATCGGTTCACTGCGTATCCCATTTAGGGGCAATCTCGGTTGCTGCGGGTTGCGCAAAGGCAAGATCGGCGCAGGTTGATGCAGTGTGCCCCATACGGGGAGATGAACTGCAACTGCGGTAGGTGATTTGGATCATTTGGATCATTTTCGATGGCCAGGCACGATGCCAGAATTAGGCAAGTTAGTAGCTTCATTGTTCCTGTCATCCTGTCATAGCTAGTCAGATACGATGATGATCAGCGATTGCATGATGGCCACAAACAAGCAACTAGTATTAACTACTTAGCAGTTAGCAGTTAGCAAGCCGGGCAGTGCAACGCGAGGTGGGCTAGGAAGAGGCTAACCTGGTAGCCGCTGCAAGCCATGCCCAGCGCAACCGGCGACGTCAGAGGATGGGCGCTTTCTTGACGAGTAATTGCGGTTTCAGCGTGCCGAAGCACCGAGTCATTTGGACCTGCAGGCGGCAGGGATATACCATGGTTGATGATGGGAAGGATATAACTATCCTTTCCAATGTACTACAGTGTATGGTGCTATAGAGTGGGAGTCCAAGGGTGCCCAGGAGGAAGTTGGCTGGGCTGGCTGGACTTCGGCTTGGGCGATAAGCATTTAGGCAAGATTGGCAGGAGCGACTGAGCAACAGGGCCGGGCCGCACGCATTCCCCGCTCCTTCCTTAGTACTTGCTCTTCCTACTTCGTCGTCTTCGGAATCATAATTAGCAAGTGCTGAAGTCTGCTTTTCTCTGTCTTTGTTTCCTGGTTGCTCCTTCCTCATGCTAACATATTGTTCCGTGCTGATTCGCAGGCAAAACGAGGCTGTCGGAAGCAGCGTCCCACATGGCGTAGCAGTAGCCGCCTAGGCCCTTAGGGCATCCGTGGATGCCCTGTGCTTAGCGGGCTCATGTACCGCAAATCCTTGGGGAAGCCGCGAGGGCCGCCAAGACCCTTGGGGCAAGGCGGTTCCTCAGGGCGCAGGACGATCGAGGAGGCGTGCTGCTGATTGGCTACTGGGCCATAGCGGCCCACCGGCAGTGTCAGGCCCTCCTAGACGGGGAAGCCCGGACCGCGGGCTGGTTGGCTGCACGCCGGCCGCGCTAGCCGCCTTAGTATGCTAGACAAAGCTCTGAACAGTGCTTAGCGTGGCCTAGCGCTGATTAGCGTTGCCTGTGGTCAGAAAGGCAATCGATTATGCCCACAGCGGCCCGAGAGTGGGCAGAGATACACTCGCGCCATTCTTAGGACTTTAGTACTAGCTTGGGCTATTTTATGGAGTACCATAAAAATGTACCGTCATTGTTGGTATAGCCCGAAAGCCGACGCTAAATCTGTGTTAGCCATGTACCGCACCTCGCAGAGCTAATTGGAGATTCGATTCTAGAGGTAACCATATACCATGACCAACGCGAAGTAAAATAAAGAGGAATATCCAACCAATCACAGGCCTGTCTTGTCGAGGAGGGCGGCGACGGCGTGCCATTGGCAGTAGCCTGCGGTGTAAATTTGGCAGGCCCCACCTGCTGGGCCAATAAGCGAGGATCACAATGTAGCACATGGCGGCGGCGAGAAGCCTTCACCCCGATTATCTGTCAGGAACGGCGCATATGGCATCATATAACAACCTCCGTTATCGCCTCGCCCATCTGGCATCACGATTGATCAGCCGGTGGCTAATCAGGTTCCTTGGGTCCATCGTCAATGTTGTTGGATTAGGGCCAGCAGGAACGGAAGGGCCGACCCTACGCTATTACAACGACTAAACAATTCATTGTTCATTCTTCACGTCCTCTCTGCTCGCCCTTCTCCGTCTCTGCGTTCCAGCCAATGGACGGCCAACTGTTCATAATTACTCAACTAGTCCCAAGTTGACTGTAGCCGCTGGCTTGCCGAGGCTATAACCGATCAGCAGCAGCCTGTCTAAGCTACGACAGGGGTGTTCGGCAAGATGATGAGTGAGCATGAACATGGTGATTACTCTTGTATCAAGTACCAACTACGTCCGTATAAGCTAACGCTCACTACGAATAAATAGTAAATAGGTCATCGCGGTGGAGCCATCATGACAGAAACCAATATCGGTCAAACAGGACAATAATTATACGGATTGGCACTAAGTAAGACTGTAGACGCTGACCTGCACTCATCCTCGTCATTGTGCTGACCAATGTTGGTTTCACCTCGTAACAAGCGCCAGCGAGGAGTCTAAGATCGGGGAGAATTCGCGCTGGCCAGTCGAATGTTACAGTACGGCGATACTGCCGATTACTTAGTACGCACCGTCGTGATCGGCTGTATCGAAGTGGGTGTATTGTTACGGGGCCTGTTGCACACCACGACTGGATCGATCAACTTCGTACATATCCCCTAATGCGATTAGTATCGCTGCTAGCCTAGTACTTAGTACTCCTCACAAGTTGGTCGTCATTATGATAATATTATATTATTATATTATCTTATTATTATCGTTTTTATCGCTACTGTTATTTTTATCTAGCACTAGCTGTGATTATTCGGCTCGCGAATATTTAACTCCGACACCCTGAGTTTCCCAGCAACATTTGAACTAGATCGTCTGCACAGTATATCCAGATATCGAAAATAGGAACATGTATATACTACATAGTGTACATATGTAATATCTATATACTATATACAATGGTAGATGTAGTTGTGTATGCGAGTAGTGTCATGGCATATATAGCGGTGTGTCCTGCCATCCGCATGACCAGCGGGCGCTGCGGCCCAACGTCATGACACTGCACAACATGCTTGTATTCTAGTCTGGTTGAGAATATTAATATGAGTGGCCTACGGAGTAATATTGGCGAGATGGGGCGATTCAGGATGCCCCTCCGTGGGCCAGCAGTGGAGACTGTTCATCATTAACATCTACATTACTTCGTATTAGTATTTACTATTTCTTATTCAGCATTCACTGTTCAGAAAACTAGGTATCATCTAACGAATGTGTCGTCTTCTTTGTTTGAAAATTGAATGTGGTGTTTAGTAGTACTACATAGTTTTTCTGTCTATTGGACATGACAAGCCTATTACTATTCTTACATAGTTGAGACTAAGATCGTCTTAGGTACGGCCCCCTTAGCTCTAACTTCTCGCCAATTGGCCCAGTCCCAAAAATACCAGTCTTTTTTCCAACGAATTTCGGCTCCTCCTTTTCGATTTAATTTAATTAAATTAAATTTTATTGCTTTTTTTAATTTCTTTTCAAACCCTGATCATCGTGATATGCAGCGGCAAATAGTCTAAAATAATCATTAACCGGTTGCATTAATCGGTCTAACTACTAATACCTAGTATTACCTACTAAGGCAACTAGAGAAAGGATGTCAATCCGGGAATGCCGGCTCGAGTCCTAAACTCTCGATCGAGACCGGCCTTTCGTCCGTAAATGGAAAGAGATTGTTGGTAGCGACAAAGAAGGTTCAAAAAATAAGATTATTTTGACAAACAAAAAAAAGCAATAAAGACGGGAAGAGCCTTATTAAATAGCTATTGTTATTGAGTATTGACAGCTCTAGTTTTGTCATTATGTTGAATGATAATGTTATGGTGCTGACCGTGCCCTAGTCTATAATATACCGAACTTGGTATGATTGATCATAGTTATAGTATCATCGTATTATTAATACTATAAAAACTATTTACGGAATACTTTAGACGATGGTTAATATGTGGTGTTATTAATTATTAAAATTTAGACTGATCTAATTTTGTGGCTTTTTCGAGCCAGGATATTGGTGGTGTTTTGCGTCTGAGGGGCATATCTCGTGGTCATACATGTAATCTTATTATCTTACTTGTAGTCATTGCAACGTGCAGTTTGCACTCACAACGAGGGGTCGGATAATTATCATGTTGTGTAATATGCGTTATATGTAACATGGATGAAACTGTACAATCGACAAAGAGCGGCTTGTTCAAGTTCTCTTATGTAAATCCTAAACACCAGTCGCAAAGTCATATTTCAGAACATGTCACACACTACATCGCTCTTGTGTCACGTCGGCTTTGTCCCCGACTTTCGTCGAAATTAGCCCTTTCCTGCTTCAAGTGGGCCGACTTTCCCGCCCGTTTTGACTGGTGTCACGCCTTGAAGTAGCGTCGTGGTGTTGTTATGAGAGACATCAATCGAACTGCAGTTGTGCTCACGACTCAGTGTCAGCCCCGCACCAGCCACATAGTATATCCAACTATACGCTCTATGCATTGCAGTGTGGGGTGCAATCGCCCGGTTCAAAATGCGCCCAAGCTCTCGCTTGATTGTCTTATCGCTTAAGAATTGTGACTATCAAGTTGTTAAGTTTATGTTAGTCAATGTTTCGTATTTTTCCGACAGCGGTACTCACGAATATCTTCATCGGCAAGCTCATGAGAAAGCCCAACTCGCTGCGGCTGGTGCTTGACGGATCGCCCGTACACAATAGCCACCTTGAACTGTTCGACAATGGACTTGTGGATGGAATTGCACTAGAGTTGAGTTAGCAATCAACAAACTAGCTAGGAAAACAGTTCGCTTACAAAGTCCTCTACAGTACACGCCGTACTTCGTAACACCACAGGTGCTGTGTAGTCAGGCTGCCTGCCCTTGGGTTTGGTATACACTCGTCGAAGATTTAATTTGTCCCACATTTGCTCCAGAAGCTCATCAATATTCCATCCATGCTCGGAGCTGATCGGGCAAGCGTTGGGGATTCGGTATAGCAGATCTAGCTCCTCGATCGAAATAGAATCAATCTTGTTCAGAGCATAGATGACAGGAATGTAGCGTCGACTCTTAGCCTCGAGCACGTCGATAAGGTCGTCGATAGTAGCGTCGCAACGGATTGCAATTTCTGCGGAGATAATTCTGTACTCGCTCATCACGGCTCGGATTTCCTGGAGTCCATCGTCAGTCGTGAACATCGCAGTACGTTAGTTTGCCAGCTTACATCGTGGCTGATGTTTGTCAACGGAACTGTGCTGGAGATGGAAATTCCTCCCTTCTCCTTCTTCTTGAAGACGATGTTTGGTGGTTGTTTGTTGATCCTGATTCCAAACCCTTCCAACTCGTTTTCGATAACTTTTTTATCTGTCAACGGCTTGTTGACATCCAGCACAATGAAGATCAAATGGCATGTCTTTGCTACAGCAATGACCTGACGACCACGACCCTTGCCATCTTTGGCACCCGCAATAATACCAGGCAAATCCAGAATCTGAATCTTTGCTCCATTATAGATGACTTGTCCGGGGACCGTAGTCAAAGTGGTGAATTCGTAAGCAGCAGCTGGTATCCTCTCAGTAACCTTTCTTCACATACATTACTCGAAACACCAACCTTCAGAGTGCTGGCCAGTCAGTCTGCTCATCAATGTACTCTTGCCGACCGATGGGAAACCTATGAATCCCCTTCACAATGTAAGCTTCTACCATAAAACACAAAACATAATGAATTTGTATACATACACACTTGCAACACCTGTACGGGCGACGTCGAAACCAACTAGTATATTGAATCAGTATATCGCATACTTTCAACACCATCCCACCAACTTACCGCCTCCTCCTCCACCCCCACCAGACGGAGTCAAAAGCTCTCTTTTAAGCTTGGCAAGTTTGGCCTTCAATTGTCCTAAAGCATCCTATCAGATCGATTGCCAAATCATTGAATATTTCGTGGTTGGTGGTCACAATCGAGGGGCGCGTACCCAGATGGTATGACGTAGCCTTATTTTTTTGAGTCTTGGCCATCTATACACAGTATTAGTTGAGTCTGTCGCAGGCACATACATGAAAAGGCCCGGCGAACCTCATTCTCAATTTCTTTGATCTATCCATTTTGTTAGTTTTTTATGGTTTTAGCCACAACAGGGGCAATGCAGTCCAACCTTATCCACGGTGGTCGCCATGATGAATGTGCGGGGCTGCGAAAGCCTTCAAACAAGTATAATATAAAATTCGATAGAAAAGAATGAGTTTTGGGAATATATTCTGAGTGGCAGTCTGTATGCGTGTAATCGCAATGCGTCTCCGAGTTGGACCGATCCAGTAGCTCTGTCTGAAAAGTTTTCGATGCTTGGTTGTCGCTGTTTGAATAGACAAGAGACAAGGCGGTGGCAGATTTTTTGTGGATCGCGTCTGATTTGATAGCGAGGCGGGGTTCCATAGAATCCATCCTGTGGTAATAAGCGGTTAAAAATATGAGAACAAATTATGAATTTATACTTAATTGTGAAAATCTTAGGTCTTTTATTATTAAATATATTATGTATTTCTATCCAATCGATTAAAGTTTTGGTGAATTAAAACATTTTAAGGTCACAGTTAGTGGAAGGACCCGAGCAAAGAATACATTGTTTCATCGACCTGTTTTTGATTTTATAGAAAACAATGGGATCAGATCTTCGTGCTAAACTTGACAAAGTCAAGTCCTCTTGCTAGCCAGCATCCAATCTTAAACCCGATGATACAGTCGCTTTCATCGCGGTGGAAGACCACAGTCCAGTCTCCTGGTGCCGGAGCATCAAGTCCTCGGGGGCAGGTCAAGATCCAAACATCATCACCAAGATACTTCATGCTAGTTGCTGTTCCTTGACCAAGATATCCATCAAATTCTCCATACAACATTCCTGCATCGCCCCAGCAGTGAAAAACTGACTCGATCTCGGTACATTTGTAGTCACCCTGGAGCGAGTTATCCTTGAAGCTGGAATCGCGTGGAACAAGGCGTCGAGCCTCAAGCTTTCTGTTGTCCCGAATGCGATGTATGTGCAGTACATCTCCATCAACGCTTGCGGACATGCCTGGAGCATCACCATGGCTGGGGTCAGTGAGCTTGATGGTTTCAGGGCCACCAGCATAGGCAATGACAAGCTCTCCTTTTGCAGGTCCTTTGCTGACTGTAATGGACAGCTGTGTTTCCTGGTCAAGGAAACTACCAACCCAAGCGGAACTTGGCTCCACAGGGAGATATTCCAGCTTAGGCTTATGCAAAAGAGTCCGCATGACATCTTCAGTGGCAGACATGACATCTGGTTCGTGATTGAACAAAATCACAACAGATAGGCCATCTTGCAAAGCATGGCGCCGATGAGACCGGTAGCCACGGAGCGCACCGGCATGACCTAGCGTATCCACACCATTGAGGTAGATATGACTTAGACCATAGCGATAAGGGGCATGCGTGCCGTCGGCATAAGTGATGGGCTGACAGACCTGGTGGTACCAACTTTGTGGATCAGCATATAGGCTGTGCAGATGCTTCTCCCAAGCAATCATGTCGGTAAGGGACGCAGCCAATCCAGCATCGCCCGACCATTCCATTCGATTCACAGCGGGGAAATAGCCCGTCTGTTCTGTCCCCTCGTAGCCGAGACATGGTGGCGGGAGTTTGGCGTTGTCTGGGCAGAGGAATGCAGTCTCCATGCCAGCCGGCCTGAGGATGCGTTCGGCCAGCAGCTTTCCAAGTGACTCCCCAGTGACACGCTCAATGAGGCGGGCAAGGATATGGAAATTGACGTTGCAGTAAGAGAACTCCGTGCCCGGCTTGAAATGGAATGACTTTGTGCGTTCCAACATCGGCGGACAGTCTCGTTCAACGAGGAACTCATCTTCTGGCTTGGTGCCCCAGAGTGCCGTCATGGCCCAGTAATCACGGAGACCAGACTGCATATCGCACAGGTGATCAATAGTCAACCCGCTATCGTTGGTCAACTCGGGACGAAGCAGTTCCCGAAACTTCTCCTCAAACTGGGCATCGATGTCTCCCTTGGCAGCCATTTTGGGAGTCGGGTTGCGCTTCAGGTCAAGCAACAGCGCGCAGACAAACTGCTTTGTAATTGAGCAGATGGGCATCTGCATTTCAGGAGTAAGGTGGACACGTTGATCAACATCGGCGTATCCCCAGACACGCTGTCCAATAAGCTCTCCATCCTTGATGATGGCGATAGCACCACCTGGCCCACGGTACCGGAGAGGAATATCATCGAGGACTTTCTGGACAGTCTCTTGGCTAGCCATCTTTTTTACTGAGTGGTATTTCGGAGGAGATTCTGTGTTGCGGAGAAGTCAGCGTTAGTCTCCGGTTATCGCGATCCGTACGTTACTTTCTCAGCAAGATAGAGAAGTTCCCCGCTCCGAGACCCATCTTGACCGTTGGCTCTAACTATCCTGCTAAGATAAGGAAATTGAGTAATATCTTCATTTTTGCATCAAGAAAAAGCTTAATCACGGCACATAGTGCAACATGGAACGCTATAATAGTTAGAAAATAATATATTATAAATAAGTTCCATGTATGTTCTGTGCTATATATGTAAGGTGAATTATATAACAATTTTATGTCCAGGGACAACATTTGAAGACAAACGGCCCTCTGCAGGCATATTCTTAGCTTTTAAAAGAAATAAGTACTATCTACTTATAACTTAATAAATATACATGATCAGCGGAACAAGCGGAACTCCCATTTTCCCACAGTACCTCAAAGACCATAAAAATCCCAAATACACCGTTCAGCAAATTAATCTTTACCCTACAGGAACGTATGAAATTCAGGTATTCTCTGCACTAGTCTTCGCATGGGTGTCGGACGCATTCTTGAATGGACAGCGATGGGGAGTTCTTCTCTTTGGAGTGGTATTTGCCCCCCCTTTTATTTTTCTCTGGGAGTAACTAGTTATACTAACATTGTATACTTTAGATTTCTAACATCATCAATATGGGTTCCTTGGCTGGCTGGCATATTGCCGAGGGCTGGCGCTGGGCCTGTTACTATCTCGTTGGTATGTCGGGTATAGTCTTTACGTGAGTTTTATTTTCCCTTCTAACAACATACATGTGATATAATGGTGTCTGCCCTAACAACTGAACACCTGGGCGAACGAAATCTGTACCGACGATACCGAAGAGCGAGCCCTTGTTCTAGCCACAATGAATTTAATGGTCAGTGTCGTTGGGGCCTGGCTTCCACTCCTGGTCTGGCAGCAAGTCGACGCTCCCGTATATAATAAAGGATTTATTACAGCTTCAGTGTTCGGCGCTATTGCTATAATTACTATTCCTATCGTGAAAATACCTCAGGACAGGGAGACTAAGGAGTAAGTTTCTATCTTGCATTCAATATGTAGTGAACTAAACAATTTTCTTCTCTGGGGGACGTCAACATAGAGCGTTAGATGCAGACGGGAGTGTTGTTCATGAAGATGTCACAATGGGAAAGGGCTCAGAGTAGTAGGGATCTGTAAATTTCTGCTCGCTCTGTAGACCTTGAAGAACAGGAGATAGTATTCAAAGGTATGCATTCGAGAAATGGTCGGGTTATTCATTTCTGGGATTTACAGGTTCCATTGCAGTATAATGATAATCGAACAATACAACCAACTATGTTTAACTTCTACGGTGTTTCCTGCCAGTAAAAATAGCTCACACTGACACGTTGGCCCGAAGCCATAACGAGCCGCGATGCTTACAACATCGAGCTTCTCATGAAGCAATACACCTCTGAATGTTTCATAGTTCCATGGATTGTTGACTTCAAAGTGGACTGGTATCGTTTTGGAATATGTCAGTTGATAATAGCAGAGAATTTTCAATACGCTACATATGATTTTGCTCTATTTAAAATTCAGGGATACATAAAGTCACAACGTTGAAAAAATAAGATTGCAATTTATCGACACGCATAATAATCTGTGCTGGAACGGATACACTAGATGCACAGTATGCAAAATGAAATATTCATACATGAAATGAAAAACAAAGGAAAGGTGTTTTGTCGATGTAAGAGTTGAAAATGTACCGTATATTGACAAAAGGTGGGAAGAGTTATTGTTCAGTCTCGTCGGACAACTCTGACAGTCTCTGTGACAGCACTGCTGGCGTCGCGAGCAGCTCCGACTGCCGTCGTTGTAGCTCGTCTATCTGAGCTAGCGGGTTCTGTAAATTTCCAGAATGAGTATGTGGCTCGTAGGATGTGTGAAAACGCATCAGTCGTGATACCCACCCAGTCCTCCTGGTTAGGAACGCCCTCTGCAGCTGGGAACTCGCTAGCGACTCCGGATCCCCCATCCCAAAAAGACTTTCGCATGGGAGCTGGTGTGACGGGAAGGCTTGGCCGGTCTTCCTCCGTCGGGAAATCGGTTATTCTAAAACTTTTGGGCTTGTGAGATTTGCCGCGTGAGCTGCTCTGCCCACTTCCCTTGTTGGACCACTGGATAGCTTCCACGTATTTTTCAATCCCGGGGACGTCATCCCATGCATTGCTTCTAGTGTAAGACTCCCAAGACTCCTGGGACCGGAATATGGCCGAATCGGAGGATATTTCGGGTGGGGGTTGGGCAAATTGAATGTGATCGTCTGTATCATGACCCGTTGAGGTACTTGTTTGTTCGGAATCGTCAGCAAATATCCGAGAGGGTTTGGGAGCACGAGATTCCCAAGGGAATATTTGAGCTAGCTTTTGCGGTTCAGGTTTACTGGTTGGTACTTGATAATACATATTCTTCGGTGCTTCGGGATACGATGGAGGCGGCTGAAACAGATCAGTATCTTCCGACATTGTATAAGTTTGTGTCCTCAGGTCGATCGCCTCTGGCTTTGAATGAAGGGGAGGGGGTTCTCTAAAGAAGTGTGAGCCAAGTCAATGCATAACATAATGCAACCATACCGTCGTGCGTCCCATTCTGAATGAGGTGGAGAGAATGGTCGCTCTGCAGAGGACTCTGGCGGTGCGGGCCTTTCAGGCTGAGTTGTTTGCTGCTCTACGGTCTCCGGCTTTGAGTGATGAGGTACTTCTTGCCGTCCTACCTGAAGAGACTCAAACTCAGGGACTGCAGGAATTTCGTTTCCACCACTTGGTACTGGTATGAAGACGGAGGATTGCTCTTCGCCATGAACGTAAAGTGGAACCACGCTTCGGACTTCCACCTTTGGTGCTTCTAATGGTTGATTAAAGACCTGTGCACTGTGAGAAATGATGGGTGGGTGTATCGGTTCAGGATTCACAAGTTCAGGTGGTGAAAATGATTGGGATTCGTCAAACCCTTCAGAGACGGGTGAGCGACGTAGAACATGAAGATCTCCAGCGATTTGCTGGTGTGTTTTGTCACTGGAGTATGCAGGCACGGAAGAGAGCGTACTCGAAACGCCTGGAATATGTTCTAACTGTGTTGAAGTAGTAGGATGTGTAGGTCCAGGAAATGGAGATGAGACGTGCGACGTTTTGGGAGGCCCATAAAGGGTGCTGGTCTGGAAGGGGGCCGGCTAAATTGGTTTAGAAACACTGCTCTAAATTGGTGATGATTTAATAATTCTCACCTGAGGCGTATAATGACGATCATATGTAGCCCACCACCTTCCCAACAACTGGTAGTAAGGCGTGCCAGCCGTAAAGACGTGTCGCGATTGAGTCCAAGGCTTCTGAGACCCAATGAAGTGAATTATGCTAATGGTGCTTTCAAAATGCCTATATGCCGGTAAATATTGATAGTTTCCGCTCGGCGTACAATTATACGTAAAGCTCAGGCGGTGCCATTTTCTAAAGTGAGTGTTCAGCAGGCCTTGATCCGCGCCATCAAAGCTAGTACCCCTTTCTGCGAGGGCCCGAAGGGAATAATAATCTTGCAGATTAGGCCGCAGCACCATAACACCACTGTTAAATATATCGGGCCAGCCAATGTCGGGAACTGCAGCGAAATCTTCCTCCAAAGATAACAGCTCATCAGGCGCCCTCAATGCAACTACATCGGCATCTAGATAGATTATCTTGGAAAATTGGGTTTGTCGCCAAAGTTCAATTTTGGTGAAAGATGATATAAGGTCAGGACGATCCATTAAAAACAGATTCGCCGGCGTGTCGTTTGTTAGGAGTGGGACGGGTATGATCTCGTCATACACGGACTATTTCGCAAATTTAGCCAAGATCAGCACTAAGGTTGGCGTTCAGAATACCTTTAGCTCTTTAATGGTTGACTCTTTTAATGTTTGCGGTGTGTACAGAGCGACCAGCCTGGCTCTTGTCCCATTGTCACGTAATGAATGAGCAAGTACAACAGCACCTCATGAACATCAGCTACGAAAGCTCTTCGCGATCCAGAACGAGGGCCATGCAGCTTACCAGGAAGATAATTATCGGTTATAAGGAGCTGCAATTTTCCATCAGTTATTTGACGCATCCTCAATATTACAGTCAATCCCACTCACTGTGCAGTAGACCGCCTCCCCACGCGTAGCCATGTTGACGGTGTTGGCAGAGCGATTCGGTGAGCGCAGCAACAAAGGAGAAAACTGTACAATTCAAGGAGCGGCTCAAAGGATAAAGCACTGCGCATGGACCTGCGTGTAACGATTCATCGTCAGTGTGATGGCTTATCAGGGGTAGCAGCTCTCACCGGACGGTCTGCCAAGTTCAATCACGACGAAATAAGCATCTCGCCGGGGGAAATGTCACACAGATGAAAAGGGTATTAGAGATGGCAACTGGAGAGATACAAATGAATATAGAAAAGAAAACCCGAATAAAATCAACAATTCGACACGACTCGTGCCGACGTTTCACCCGGGGACGCGAAGCTTTGAAGGTTTGGAGGAAGCTCCACGGACCTTGAAATGACGCAAACGGTCGTTCCACGCGGGCTGCGAATTGACTTTTTCAGAGCACCATCGATATGTCCTGGTAGAACTTCGCTTCGGCGGGACCTCGCAGTTCAATTGATGTGTGTACTGGTCTTCAATAATAAATCTTGCAATGGTAACTGACCTTCCCCGCATTAATTCATGGCAAGGAGGCCCCACCCTGGTGGCGACTATTATTGGCTGCTTCACATGGACAATTTCAACATCAGCTGATCTCTGCCTGCATATTCATCGACGCAGTCGACTCAATTCGGCCAAGATCGACTTGGAGAACGATTATCACCACGGTGGCCCCCTCCCGGAAGAATTACTTGCCGAAGACAATGAAATGTTTGTATATTGAATATGCAACGTGATAAAAATAAGCATTAAGTTACACGCTCGATATACTCCCTATCTACTTCGTGACGCGTTCTAAGTCCTCAGAGTCACTGATGCTCCGGGATAGACCGCCTGAACAACACTGTTGACATCCTCTTTCTCACCTGCTACGGCCCACTCGACGATCTTCTGTAGAGCAACGCCACTTTCTCTTTCAATTGGCGTGAAATGCCCACTCCTGGGCAATGAGATAACTTGGCTGTTATGGACAAGATAGTCCCCAATACCGTCGAGGTTGAGTCGCTGGTCGAGAGCATGGTCATTCAGTGCCCATACAACGGTAGCTTTCGCTCTCAATGCTCCTTTAGGCCCATCATCGAAAACCCCCGCACGACTACTCCTCCGCCCTAGATCATCTCCACCCCCGAGACTATGAAGTGCGGTAATCGTCTCAATTGACTTATTCCAGCGCCCGACACTAGTACCATGCCTATAGTAACTGACCATGTTAATAAACTTTTCTGAAAATTGCTGTTTGATGATGCCTTTGGGATATGTCTCATGGTCAAAAGTCTCAGTTGCGCACTCTGCTGCGGATGGCCCCAGACTTGTCGCCATACTCTCCGTAGCATCCTTTACCGTGTAGTCATCGACTGTGCCATTGGCTAGCAAATGGACCATTCTTAACCATGCGAAATCTCCGCTAGTTCCTTGAATACGTATGAATGGTAAAGGTAATTGCAAGGCAAAGATATAGCCGGAAAGTAGGACTTGTCGAAGTACTGGCCTGAGAGTGTACAAAGCTTTTCCCAACATCGAGCGAGATCGTAACGGAGAATGTAAGAAGATCTTCAGCATCTTCACAGCCGAAGAGTCATGGCTTTTGATGTTGGATGTAACTAAGCCGATCTAGATAGGTGGTGCATTAGCATAATTAAATAGCTTTTCGAAGATATATCCATCGTACCAGAGGACCATTAGTCAAGATAAACCTGTCCGCCAACTGTGGTGCCTCTGCCGCAAGGCGGTTTGAGATTACGGCACCCCAGTCGTGGGCCACGATGATAACCTTCTCTCTGGGCTTTTCATTATTCGGGTCATCGAACCCATACCGTTCTCGCAACGCGACAATGAATTCGGTGAACTTGTCAAGAACCTCTGTGGCTGAGTATTTTTTGAGTATGTCAGAACCCCCATATCCCGGCATGTCCACCGCAACCAAGGAGCAAGACTCTCGCAGTGCAGTCGAGTCAAGAACTTTGCGCCAAATGCCCCAACTGTCGGGGAACCCATGTATCAGGATAACTAGGGGTTTCGAGGCTGTTGCTCCCCGAGAGTCGTCGGGGGCGACGTTGGTGACATAGTGGAACTTGAAGCCATCATGGAGTGTTAAAAATCGATGGTAAAGACTATTTGATTGTTTTGACAGATTCCAGAACCGGTCACGAGCTGCAAGAAGAACATTGGTGAGAAATTAGCAGCTCCTTATTGCACAGGGAGTCCAGCGAAGGGGGGGGCGGGGCGCACACCTGTAGCCAGCTCTGAGCGGAATGCAGCTGTCGATTTCCGGAAATAGATCCCTGATCTAACGGTCAAGCTCCAATAGTAGAACATAACGAGAATGCCGTAGGAGAAAGCCACAGCAGAGCTTAGAGCTGCCAGCACTGGATTCGCCATGATGGCTGCTGGCAAGACAATGGAAGAAATCAGTAGATGTAACCATTCAAAAGTTCCCAGGCGAGCTGTTGCTGTTTTCAGTTGGAACGTTAACGCCTCGGTTGTCATTGGGCGCCCGATGAGGACATGAGTGCAAAAAGGACAAACAGACGTCATTGCGGGTCTGTCTGCATAAATATGCATGTACTCTACTATTACTACTATTACCACTAACTGGTTATGTAGTGAATAGTTATACTATGTTATAAAGATTCTTGTAGACCCAATTCAATGTCGATAAATACAGTAGATACCTAAACTATCGCTAAATGCTTTGGACTTTCATGTTTCAAGAAGTCACATTTGGTATATAAAGCCAAATTATCCATGCCAACGCCACAATTGCGACCCCCGAACCCACGCGTATGTACAAGTAATCAAAAGCTGCTGAGTCCGGTAAGACGGTGCTAAATAGAGGTTCCCAATTCGAAACCAAACAAGGCACGCTATCATCATAGGTAAGGATGTGATATCACCCACTTTATAGGCTGAACCCGAGATTTTCCCGGTTATCATCGATCAGTCGTCCATACCTAGACATCTGGGTCAGAACCTATAGGTTAAAATATCAGGGGCAGAGGAGACATACTCTAATAGCAATCGGAAAAACCAGGCTTCAAGATCCTCATTACGAAGAACCTTCTCTGCCCATTCCTTGCCCTGCTTCGCGAGCCGCGGCGCTTGGATCTTCCCCTCTTCTTCAGCAGCGAAATATCGTACACTTTCCACGTATTCAGCACCTTTCATACTCAAAGGAATATAGTGCACCCATGCATCAAGCCATTCATCGTGCCATTCACGGAACATTGCGAGCTTGTAAACCAAACTGTTGCTCCGCAAGAAAGCGTGATACCGTCCACTGAAGGCATTCCCATCAATGTCTACGAGATACTTGTAAGCCCAGGCGTCTTGCTGAGAAGCAGATTCGACGATGTCAAAGTACTCTTCTTGCGCATGGCAGTCTTCTGGGTCGCATTGACCGACGTAAGTGAACTTGACATCAAAGAGATCACCATATTCTGCCCGGGTCAAGCTCTTGGTGATCCATCGGGTATCGTCAAGCTGGGTGAAGACGGACGCACCTTCGGGAGAGTTGATGTTCTTGACAAACAGCTGTCGGTGCTGTCGTCGCCACCCCCCGGCTCTAGAGAATCCGCCAGTTGTCGATCCTCTCCAGTACATCTTTTCTTGCTTATCTTCCCAGTTGAAATCGCGAGTTGCGTCGTATGGAACCTTGCCTATCCAGTACCAAGGACTAGGATACAATATATCCTGAAAGCTGGATATTTTGCTTTGAGAGAATACGGGGAATAAGTCGTGAACAATGTCAAAAGCATTTGGGCGATCAAAGAAACCGAAAGAGCTTTTCAAAGAAGGCGACAAACAAATATCTGAGAAAGCTGTCGTGTTATATACGAACCCAAGGTCACTGGTAGCGAACGGCGCTGTATCGTCGGAGACAACTTCTTCAAGTGACCTGGCAGGACTGTCGACTGGGCATGAAATCCGAGAATGAGTCCACGTGGGCTGGTGAGCGAAGCGATTAAAGCGAGTTGTTCTGACCTCCTCGAAACGATCACCCTTATTCAAGTCAACTGGTCTTGGTGACCATTTGTTTTTCAAGGCATGATTATTGATTGTCGCTGGGATTGCAACATCCTTTGCGTAGGATACCATCCTCTGTAAGTCATCATTTGGGATGACCACGCGAGGCTCGTCGTGAGTGTTGAAGACCAAATCCATGTCAGGCAAATATTTAAGAAAACCTTCCATCATTCCGACCGTAGCCTCTCGCTGCCATTTATATCCATCCCCTCCACCTTCTACCTTGGTAACTTTACCATCGCGAATAAGCAACCCAATGACCGCATTATCAAATCCCAAAGTCTCCCTAGCCCTGTCGCGAATGACGCGAGGGGGTAACGCCCAGAAGGGAAGCAAAGAGTTGTAAATGGTATCGTACTCATCAATCAACTGAACACCTTTTTCTTGCGCAAACTGAAACCATTTATCGAAATGCGGCGGTGGCGGCATTCCATAACGGCGGCGGTATTCCTGTACAGCCTCCTTCAAAGTTTTCGACTGTCCAGCACGCCTTTTCTCAAATTGCGAGTTCGCATCGTTGATAAGCCTAGCAATTGGGTGGGAGTCTTCGGTTGTTGGGCTCAGAAGGGTTTCGTAGTCTGCGGGTAGACTTTGTTCGAATGGTGCTTTGGGAGCTTCTCGAAATGGTGATGAGTCTCTGAGAAGGAGGATGGTGAGTCCGGCGACCGTAAGTATCGTCAAAAGAGAGATGAGCCGAGTCGACCGCCTCTTCATCTCTGCTACTTGTTTAGAGAGCGACAGATTCCTAGCCGGCGTGGTAGCTTTCGCCCATCGCATGGAGTGCCGAACGCGGCTTATAATTCAAACAATTCCCAACACTAATAGAAGGCGAGAGAGCACTCAACAAAACTTTTTCACGTGCTCTTTTTCTTCTTTGTGGTGTAGACTGCCGTATGCAAAAGTGTGAACGACTTGTTATGTAGGTGGAATTGGGGTGATGACAGCGGCGGCAGGCCACGTGAAAATAGTAAAGTACGTCCAACACAGGCTTGGCTGCTACATAGGGGCCGGCGGCCAGGCCCTGGTGGAACATTTAAGCTTCTTTGTCACTACAATTTTTAATTGCGCATCATACGCTTATGCATCTTGTCAATGGACTTGGTAGCTGAAATCATAATATATTTTCTAATCCTAGGCATATCTACGTCCGCTCACATGAGCAACATTCGAACATCACTACAAATGGCTACAAACGACAGTTTCAACACATCAGCATGCAAATCGCCGTTTTCATGTCAGGCCAAGAGCCTGCAACACATAAGGTTGGCCAAGGACACCCCGATGGCCTCGAGAACGAATGGTCGCGCGTAGACAACATGGGAATAGGCCAATACAAAAAAGACGCTGACCAGAGCCAAATGAACAATGTAGAAGAGCTGACTCCTTCCGGAGCTTCTTGAGCTCACTCGTGTTGTTCGCAACTTCCAAATTCTCGAGCGGCTAAAAACTAGGACAAGAATCGCAAATAGCGTGGCGGCCAGACCAAATTGAACGTCTGGGTCTCGGACACGTTTAGCAAAGAGAGTTCCGAATTCAGGGTGGGGAACCTGCACGTAGAAAAGGAGAAATAAGGTGGCATGGCTGCAGATGAGAGGTACGATGACGAGGCGGCCAAGTAGACGATGGTATGCTGTTAAGGTTGTTTGAGGGATCAATGTTAGAGAAGAAACAATTGCAGAGAGAGCCAACTTTGAAGAAAAGAGGAATGAAGTAGGCGCTAGTAGAACGAGGAAAGGCAATTGAGACAAGCCAACATGCCCTAGGGCTTTCGTCAAATGGATATAATCTTCCCAAATCAGTCAAGTTCCAGATGGGTTTGAGAGTGAAAAGGCCTACCATCGCCAGATCTCCACACGGCAATACTAATCAACCATGCCAGCCAGGAGAGAGTTACAGCATATTGTTTCCTCGTCTCACTCGATCCCTTGATTGCTGGAGCATCCCACCAGGTCTTCCTGATAGTTTTGCTGTTGCTACGAAACCTCGACAGGTATAGGACACCGAGCAGTACTAACGCGGAAATTTGAGCATACTGCCCCTTCAGATCAAGGACATAGCGTCGGTGCTGAAGCTCCTGGTCGGAGAGTGACATGATGAAACGGTACGGCCGAGCTGACATTTTGCCGGTTTATTATTGGGTTGGAATTAAAATAGGTGCTGGGGAGTTTTGGTCCCACAGTATTGTAATAATATCAATTGATTTAGCCACCTAAAGATGGAAATATTGTTCGTGATATTTAAGTCTCAAACATAATGAGTACTGAGGAACAAGGGTGTTGTTAGAGATAGAGACTTAAGACCAACGTGGCATCATTGATTTATCAATAATCAACCAACCTTACAAGTTACAATAGTGGCCAAGCGCGGAATTAAGGAAGGCTTCAAATAATGCTGACAAATTGATTTTCAAAACCGCTGACTTATTATATGATTATCGAAGGTTGCTGGAAGCTGTGCCACGTTTGACGATATGACCAGTTAGTACAAGTCTGTGCACTGTGGATAGCATTGAGAGTTAGGCCAACATAGCTCCGCCTTCTGTCGTTGAACTTGTCAAACGTGAGAACCATTGTCTCTTACTTGACTACGGTCCAATTATATTTTTGCTACGGCTTCTAAGCTTGGTACAGGAGTTAGATATTATTTAACGCAATTAATGGAATAGGGTCTACTGATCATCAGACCGCGTTTTCATATTCTGACAAAAATGCTGATTATGTTTCTAACACAGAGAGTATTAATCACCTCCAAACCTCCATACGAGATATCTGTCGCTGTAAGAATACCACGTGCCTCTCAACTGTCCAGCAACCTTTTTGAATTTATATGCAAAACAGCAGTAGGCTGCATCTATGGTGAAGTCTGCATGGCCTCATCATGCCCGCCCGCAGCCGTCGTAGCAAAATACCGAACATCAACATCGTCATCTTCCTGCAATTTTTCAAGCTGGGGCAGTATCCGTTGTTGGATGACTTCTTGGCCATGTGGCGAGGCGCCCTCATTCTCGCCAGATTTCTCGACATCTTGGAGAGTACCGTCGACAGGGAGCCGGCGTAGTGTGTCAATCAATACTGCGTAAGATTTTGCGACATTAAATCGAATATTTGGAATTTCATCGTTGACCAGTCGCTCCAAGATTGGGAGAATAGAGTTCTCAATAATATTAAGATTAACCACAGGGGCAAGAGTCTTGTAAAGTTAGAACACACCCAGACTGAAGGACAAGGAGGAACCACTTACCGAGATTGCAAAGCATGTTGTCATTCTGTAAAGATAGTTGGGGTGTTGTCCCATGGCCATGACCTTGGGAATGATGGACTCATTGGCCCATTCAACACCGAACACCTCAGTAAGCTTCTTGAGGTTCTGTGTTGCAGCTTCACGGATGGAGAAGACAGTGTCTCCCAGCCAGCCCATGCAGAGATTGCTTAATTGTTCATCAAAAAACTTCACTCCAAGTTGACTTGCGAGGAGAGGAATATATTCAATGATGGCGAGACGTACACGCCATTGCTTATCTTCGGCTAGCTGAACAATGGCCGGAAGCAGGGATTGTGAAAGCAGATCAATACCGATTACTGACAGAGGTTAGAACACATCGTCAAAGAAGACAGGAATAGAAAATACCTTTGTTCACAACGTCGAGCTTTGAGATAATGTGAAGGCGAACCTCTGGATGCTCATCTTTGAGCATCTGAAGAAACATAGGCAAAAGATGGGCGATAGTCCTGCAATAATATTAGCCAAGGTACTTGAAAAACGCATGAAGCGTTGGTAATAAAAACATACTCTTCCTTTCCAAGTATCGGAGCAAGTCCACTAACTTGGGTTGCTAGAGCACCACGAACGTGTTGAGACTGGTCAGAGACTAGGTCTTCGATGCTGGTCATGATTTCGTTAAGTAGGGTATCACGGTCAATTAGGGTACAGAAGCCTGATAGGAGTTAGTGGTGGAAAGTAGGAAAGTTCAATACGGAAACATTGCGCACCTGGAATCTGCCCAGAAATTGCAGTACGCACTTCGGCTTCGGTGTCTTTCAACAGTTTGACAAATGCTGGTACGAGATCTCGGACGACAACTTCCTCGTCGACAGCTTTTGCAATCTATAAACAGTGTTAGATTTCTCGTCGTTGGGCAGAATGCGAAAACTCTTGCCTTCTCAAATTTGTCTGCCACCATGTACCGAACTCTCCAGCTCTTATCCTCGAAGAGACTCCGTAAAGACGTTAGAAGAACCCCATGACTTGATTGTTGTTCCTTAGGAATTTCCTCTGCTATGGAAATCAGAATCTCGACAGTCAGCAAACGGACGCTATCCTGGTCGTCGCTTGTAAGGTATTGAAATAGTGGAATGATCTCTTCGATAATGACAGTGGGAGTCAATTCCTTAATGAATTTGGCTAGATTGTTTGCAGCCTGTCTCCGTACCATTGGCGTTTCATCATGAACAAGGTTGCCAAACTGTTGACGAAGGCCTTGCTGCACGCCCGAGGCAGCTTTACGATAAGGAGCACAATAGAGGCCAGTAGCCGAAATCTTTGAAGTGAACCAGTCCGCTTTGGAAAGACGAAGAACCATCGGTATAAAGTCCTCCTCGACTTGCTTAGGGGATAGTTGATCGCATATTTTGTTGAGAGATTCAACGGCCTAGGAAAGAATTATCAGCAACGATAATTGCCAACTCATCGAACTTCAAATATTACCTTCTCTCGGACTAGAGGCTCTTCGATTGCAGCCAAGTTCTCCAGAGGAGAAAGGAGCACGTGCCCGTATTCTGGACCTCCGACATACTCGACAAAGTTTCCCAATTCCTCACTCAGGGCTGTCAACACTTCATCTTCGTCCTCAACAGAATCTGTTATTCATTAAGGTCAGAAAGAGTCTTGGTATTCGGGAGACGGGTATGTTTGTCCAAGACTAACCATCCAAGAAGGGAATCAGCTCGTCCCGCGTCCTTTCTGGGCCCAGGGCTAAGGCAATTGTCGAAAGTCGGTGGATCGCGTTCAGACGGAGAAGCACATCATCATGCTAATCATGCGATTGTTAATTTTTATTCACAACAGTTGCACATGACGCCTTGAAAATATATATACCTTGAGCTCATCGATGAGGACCGCGATAGGGTAAAGCTCATCGCTTTCAGTCTGAGGGTCCATGACGAATGAGATTTATAAGATTGGCGTGCGATTGGGAACTGAGGATACGAATTGGATGAGCCAACTCCTCGTGTGTCGACTCTGGGAGGCTGGTGTTGTGATTCAACCCAGGAGTCGAACAATCGAGCTAACACAACGAATTCAAAAGCGCGAGTCTTTCATGGACGCTGCGAAGATAACACTGGTGGGGAGACGGATTAGATGCACGTTACACAGTCGGTGATCAGTGATGGGCTGGCACGCCAGGCAAGGCTTGGGGAAAGAGTCGAGTGCCGTGGGGTCGAGGGAGGCAAGGCACACGGACGGCTTCAGATGGTGACGGTGCTGGTGGGTCGGGGGCGCGGGAGAAGACACACCTCAAATATTTATCAGGGCACTGAGATGGCGTCTCAGTGAAGAAAACACGATATCGAGGCCAGGTGGGAATAGGGGCAGGGTTGGAAGGGCGAACGAGCGGTCTGCTATAATGCTGTAGAGGGAGAGTCGAGCTCTGGAGGCGACCAACTTGCAGGCGCTCGCTCACTGACTGTATTGCGGCGGCTGTGGCTGGTGAGGGGCTAACGCGCTGCCACCGAGGGGTGCCGTGGCTGGTGCCGACCGTCCTCCGACAATTAATTCTAGTTACGTTAGTGACTCACGTACTGTGCGGCTTTCCAAGACACTCAATCAGCCTCAGCATAGCGGCGTCGCGCTGAATAGAGCAGCCAGCTTCTTCTGTCTACCAGGGAGCAGCGGTCCCATCAACCCGGCTCTTCTGGCCTGAACTGTTGCCGGTGCACTGAATCTTCATCCAAGTCTATCCCACTTCCCGCTTCGCCAGCGTGAATCATGCCTACCATTTCTGTGGATAAGGCGGCCCTCTTTCAGGAGCTTGGCCGAGAGTAGGTATACTCATGAAAATCTACATTTCATACGCTTATGTCTTTCTTTGTGCTTGCACAGGTACACTACGGAAGAGTTTGACGAATTGTGTTTCGAATTTGGTAAGCTCTGGTTATTCTGGAAATACTGGGATTGTAATTAACGGTGCGAACGCAGGAATTGAACTCGACGAAGACGTAAGGAGCCCTCGTCTCGATTGGTATGGTAATGGCATATGCTGAAATCACGAAGACTACCAACCAGGAACGGCCCAACAATGAACCTCCGCAGCTCAAGATCGAGATCCCCGCAAACAGGTCCGTCATATGCCTTGTCGAGTGAAAAGTGGTGTATTGACTTGGTGCAGATATGACTTGTTGTGTTTCGAGGGTATTTCTTTAATGTTGAATGTCTTTTTGGGCCGCAAGCCGTTTCCAAACTATCGGCTGGTGCCTCCGCCGAATGGCGAGCTCCAGAAAGTAATTGTGAAAGAAGATGTGAGTTAGAATCCCTGTTCTAATATCTAGGAACTCATATTAAAACCCGTGCCTGTGACAGACGACGAAAATAAGGCCTTATGTTTCCGGGGCTATCCTGCGAAATATCACCTTCGATGAAGCTCGATATGAATCTTTCATTGCCTTGCAAGACAAGCTTCACCAAAATCTTGCTCGCCAACGTACGCTTGTGTCTATTGGTACCCATGATTTAGACACAATTCAAGGCCCTTTCACATACGAAGCCCTTCCACCAAAAGACATTCGTTTCGTGCCGTTGAATCAGACGCGGGAACTCGATGGAGAGGAATTGATGACTTTCTACAATGTGAGATGAGCCTTGGAACTTTATATATTTGATATCTAATCGTGCTTCACAACATCTAGAAAGACAAGCACCTAGGCAAATTCCTTCACATCATTAGGGATTCTCCCGTATACCCGGTAATTTATGATTCGAACCGTGTCGTGTGCTCCCTGCCTCCCATTATCAATGGAGATCACTCGAAGATTAAGTTAGACACAAAGAATGTCTTTATTGAAATTACCGCACTTGACAGGACCAAGCTGGAAATTGTCAACAGAATCATGGTCACCATGTTCTCGTTGTACGCGGCCGAGCCTTTTACGTAAGTTTTCCTCAGGTACTAGGTGGTTTCATTTGCTTATCAAGTTTCACGTAGAATTGAGCCAGTTCAAATTGTCTCGGAACACAACGGCGAAACAAGAGTAACGCCTGATATCTCACCTCGAACTACTGAGGCAGAGATTTCTTACATCAACCAATGCTGTGATTTGAGTTTGTCCGCGGAAGAGATTTCTCGGCTTTTGACAAAAATGGCGTACAGTGCTAAGCCCTCAAAATCATCTGATGATCTCATTGAAGTCCAAATACCACCGACTCGGGCAGACGTACTTCATCAAGCAGACATTATGGAGGATGTTGCCATCGCCTACGGTTTCAATGAACTGCCAAGAAGTTTCCCTAGCAAGTCTGGCACTATCGCGCAGCCATTACCGATCAACAAACTCACGGATATTATTCGAATGGAGGCCGCAATGGCGGGCTGGTCCGAAGTAATGCCGCTCATCCTTTGCTCTCATGATGAAAACTTCGCCTGGCTTAACCGCAAAGATGACGGTAAAACGGCAGTCAAGCTTGCTAACCCGAAGACGCTTGAATTCCAGGTGGTCCGTACAACATTGCTTCCTGGTCTCTTGAAAACTATCCGAGAAAACAGAAACCACGCTGTGCCTATGAAAGTCTTTGAAGTCAGTGATGTGGCCTTCAAAGACCTATCCCTGGAGCGAAAGAGCCGTAACGAGAGACATTTCGCAGCGGCCTGGTACGGTAAGACAAGTGGTTTCGAGATTGTTCACGGTTTACTAGACCGGGTTATGGCAATGTTAAAGAGTGCCTTAATCATCGGCGAGGAAGGATTAGAAAACCCTGCGATGAATGATTCCAGCTATTGGATCGAGGAGCTCAATGGTAAGAAATCATCTCCAGTTAAGACCTCAGGGAAGTCTTTCTGATCATTCTCACAGACCCAACTTATTTCCCTGGCCACGCTGCTTCGGTTTACGTCAAAATAGGTGGTAAGGAGCAAGTCATTGGTTCTTTCGGCATTCTTCACCCTACCGTCCTAGAGAAGTTCGACCTTAAATACCCTGTCAGCACACTTGAACTCAATATTGAAGCATTCCTGTAGGCGGACATTGAAGATTATTCTTGTACATGGTCGAAATCTGTAGCGCAACGCATAGATATATAAAAATGAGTGACGAAAATGGAATTTAGGTGAACTTTCATAAAAAAGTTGACATAATGTGTTTGAATCCTTATCAATTGATGTCAATACGGTACACATGTATGTATTCTGTATTGCTATAGGCAAGAGTCCTACAATTCAACACCTGGAGGCTTCAAATGTTGCATGTAGTCTTACGTCCGTGGTAGAGTGCAAGTATACTTATGCAATAGATAGAGATTTACTTGTACATCAACTGGATATCAAGAGTTTCTATTTTGATTCCTTGTCTATCTCAAGTCACGATATTCTACATTGAAAGCAAAATATACAAGTTCATTGCTTAATCCACTTGGAAATGACATTTTATACGTCATTCAGGGCATGTTCAATTCTTTATTGTCATTGGTCATAGATGATATGGAGGTAGGGTAGGTCGGAAGTGAGAGAATAGACATGGTATGACATGCAGTAATTTTATGAGAAACATGAGTGAACCATCGGAAAAAAATTTGAACAGGATTGGCGGCAAAAAGAAAAGATTACTCCTGAGTATACTCCGCGGCACCACCTTCTTGACCCTCTCCCTCCTGCTGCTCTGCCAGTCGTTGCTGCTCGGCGAGTTGTTGAGCAGCGAGAGCCTTGGCGCCGTAGTCCTGGCTGACGGGCTGGAGAACGGGTTGCTCTTCCTTGGGCTCGATGATGGTGACAGAGTCGGGGAGAGACTTCTGGGGACCGGACTTTCCTTCGGGATCAGAGCCACGCATGATCTTGACCTTGATACCGAGGACACCTTGGCGGAGGAGAACGTGACGGGTAGCGCTGTCGATGAAGTCTTTGGCGGGTTGACCGGAGTGGATCATGAAACCGTCCTATAGATTGAGTTGTTAGCTCGATGTACTTATTCTTTCATGCCACAAAATCGATCAATCGATCCGAGCCTGAATTGTATATTCCTTCGACAAGAATTCCACAAAAGGTACAACGTACAGTGAACTTCATGGATTTGGCACGGGCAGCACGGAGCTTGCCAGAGACGACAACCTCGCAGCCCTTGGCACCGCTCTCCATGATGAAGCGGAGGACACCATAGCAAGCCCTTCGGACGGCCAGACCGTTTAACAACTTGTAGCGGAGAGACTCGCACTGAGCAACAGCGGACAGACCGCGGTTCTGGACTTTGGCGGCATAGAGAGAAACCGAGTTCTCCGGAAACTTGAAGCGCTTCTGGATGAGGGATGTGAGTTCACGGATACGACGACCCTGTTCACCAAGAACCTCCTGGGTGTGTGTGGCACGGATGACTAGATTAAGATTGAGCATCAGCATTCAATTCGCTATCCCAACTTTAGCCCAATTTTGGTCTTCTTCTTCTAGCCACCTCGAGAAGTCCTCCTCTTTTAAACCCCAAATTTTCACAAACGAAAAGAGTGCGTAGAACATACTGATGTCGGTAACGGTGGGAGTGACACGGACTTCAACACCGGAGTAACCCTCCTCAGCCAACTCACGCTGGAAGAACTCGTTCAACTCAGCGTAGAAAACACCGTCAGCGACGAACTTGCGACGCTTGGAGATAACTCCCTGGGTAGCAGCCATGATTGCTAGACTCGATTGATCGTTGTCGAAAGAATCGGCGGGGAGGGCGTGGTGTGTCGAGGGATGACGGGCTGGCGGGTGTAGCGAGAGCTCCGAAGAATTAATTGTTCAAGGTCACGGGCTAATTGGCATATTGAGGGTTAGTGGGGGAATTTTGAGATAGAAACTAGGGCTTGGGGCTTGCTCGCTTGTGCTGCCGCCGCTGATTGGGTGGCTGTGCGGGTACGGGCCCATACCGGCGGCCAACCAGATTCCCATATATCTCATCCTGTATAATTAATACGTACTTGCAGTGAAGTATACTTATACTGTATAGTTAATAGATTCGTTATTTAGGATCTATATCTAGTAGCCAGATAGATGCTATGTCTAGCACTATAGTAATTCACGGCAATTACCACACCCGATCACAGTGCATATCATGTTCGTCACTTCATCTCCAGCTCCATCTCCATCTTCTTTTGACTGGATTCTGCTGCAGTGTCTTTGAATTTTGGTAATGCCAGGTTAGACAGATCTGCTGCAAGGCTAGCAAGACCAGACGATGGGGGTTTGCTTGGGGTCGTTTCACCTATAGCGGTGTTGGCTGTTTCAACCCCGGTAAGAACTGGAGTTGTTCGTCCAGTATTTGAGCCGGAACGAGTAGGGAGAGGAGAGCTCGACACCCATGACGTTCGTGCGCCATTCATCTCAGCGTCTGTCCGTCCAAAAACTTCACTCCACCAACGAACTTCATCAATGCGAGGGAAGATGAGGCGTTCGTGGCCACGTTGCTTATCGTCAACAAGGGGGTCGTAATTTAGGTTGATGAATTGCTCTTTGCGAGCTAAGAAATAGTCCCACACACTTCTCGTTCGCCCCTTCACATTTGCATCGACACGCTCCTTTTCACTATTATAAAGGAAAGTACCGTACTGACAAGAGTAGAGATGGTAGAGAAGCCTCCGCAAAAATCGCTCGTTGAATTCGAAACGATTTGGATGCTGGTAAAGAAGCTGATACGTTGCGTCAAGAAATTGATGAAAGACAGGACTTGTTTCTTTGACCTTGGTGGTCTCCTTCTCACTAGCTACTAAACGAGCCGTCGAGGTCGCCTTTCGAAGTGGACTATCACTCTCCTGGGCTTGTGCTTCACCATCAGAGTCGACGAGAGAATCGCGGCTGGTGTTATCCCTATTGAAAAAGTTTTTGGCACTGAGAAAGGCATTTTCTAGCGCCTTTCGAGGCTCGCTAGACTCTGAAAAAGACCGATTTGAGTCTCCCCCTATTCGTTCATTCTCAATTTGAAACCACTTTTCGCTGTTCAGTAAACCGGCTCTGTGACGAAACATATGGCCAAAAGAAAGCCAATCCTTCTCAACCAGAACCATGAAGCCTTCCATCGTACGATAATACGGATCCAAGCACAATTGACTAAGAGCGCTAAGCTGACTGGTGCGATCCCACCCATCTGAGCAATGGATCAGTACGTGAGAATGATGCAGTCCAACCTGGCGAGTTATCAGACTAGCGCCTTCAAGGATCACTGAGATATACTTCAGCCAATTGCTTCTTGAGAGTAATTCTCTGCTTGGCCCCAATGGAGTCATATCAGAATCTTTCAACGCATCTATAACCTTGTTCAGGGAATCTCTCATCACATGGATATTATCAATTCCTAAATAAGCTTTCGTAGCGAACTTGTAATTGTCCATATTTTCAGATCCAAGTCCCACGGCTTGCATCGCGAATGCGTTGACTGTTGGGCGGGCATCAACTATCAGGTTGCGTTGCTGAGCGCCGTAGACCTGTGGCTTTTCTTCTCGATCCCCTTGGGCAGCGGACACCACCTCGTCTTCTAATTCTTCAGCGTTAGTTAGCTCCAAGTCTTGGTTGATAACGGCAGGAGGCTCCTCTGTGCTCGAGTTGGTAGATTCACGATCGAGAGTAGGCGTGAAACCGGCCAGTGGTCTGTCTGGTTGAGATGTAGAAAAGATGGCTGCTAACAGCTTTTCGTCCTGAATGCTTCGGTTTTGACGCACGCCTACCAATGGCTGAGAGCTTCTAGTAATCGAACAATTGTTTACAGGATGCAAATATGTAAGAACTGGAATTCGCGCTCTCGAGCGGTATCGCGAAGCGTAATTAAGAGTATTGTCGGATATGGCAGATGGGACAGGGAGTACAGCGGGATATGTTGGGGAGAACTGTCAATGTCAGCATTTCTCTTCGCCAAAATATTGCATTTGATCGCAGTTGAGATAGCAGTACATTATAGTCCGCATTAATGCCGGATATTCGCCATCCAGTATTAATATTCTCCCCAACCCTTTGACGAGCCCACTCCTTGCGGGGATCATATAACTCCCACCCATTTATCGCAAGCTCCGGAGGGGGCGGCTGGTACGTAAAGGCATATAGCTTTTCAACTCGACCAACTCTGCAAGTCCACTGCTTTAATGTATCAAATACATCGCGTGCTCTAGTCTCATTGGCGAAGTAAAAACAGACAAATGTGAAGTCTCGGCAGCGCAGCCGGATGGACGAGGGTTGTCTCGAAGCAGACGGTACTGAGCGAAGTGTGCAGAATGCTATTATTGGGTAGGTAATCCATAGTTCTTTCGGTTTGATCGGGGTCCCAGATTCAAGCGCTTCTTCCGACACATGAGGGATATGAGAAAAGATAAGGTGATGTGGTGTTAGGTGAAGAGTGCCGGTAACTTGGTCACCCCTTCGCGCAAGGGTGACATTTTCTACCTGAACCACAATAAACAACTCGATCAGTTGACGTCGTGGTTTTCTCAGGAAAAGAAAGAGTAACCAACTTTTGCAACCCGTGTCCTATCCATACTCGCCGGCCGTTACTCAACCCACATGTTGCTCGGGCGCAAACAAGTTATGCTATACAGTAAAAGGAAAAGAACAGTAACCTGAGATAGCCAAATACTCGCAGAAATATACCGAGAAAGCCGAAGCCGCCAGAGAAAAATGATGAATGGTGTGTGACTGCATGAATCCAAGGGCCTGCGGCGCCCCTCTCGCTACGTCAGATAGTGGACGGCAGCGCACAGACCAGTAACGCATCTACCATATAAAGTCAACGATAAGACCCTGGTAGCTGGTCTATGTCTAAATATTTGCTCAGTATCCTTCAAACGCGACGCGTAGTAGCCTTATCGATCTTTTGACTTGCTGCTTCCTGTAAATCTGCTGCAGATACTTGATGGCCTTAGTTAACCAAGGCTAGAACTAACTGTTTTTGACTCCCCGACACTTCACGTGCTTCTCCAGCACCCTATGGTCCCTTCCTCGTGCTCATTCGAGTCTCCAGACTTGACACTGTTGAACCAACATCACTCGACAGCTTCTTTAATTCTAGCCATACCTAATTCACGTGGCTATGGACCCTAAAACCAAAGATCCCCCTCCGCCAACGGTGGAAGACATCTTCCGCTACCGCTATCAACATGGCACGAATCTTGGATCCATTTATGTTCTTGAGAAATGGCTGCATCGGAGCATGTTCGAGAAGGACGCCCCAGGCTCAAGCGAGCTAGCAGCCGTAAAACAGTATGCTTGTTATTCCCAAATGCTAAATTGTAATGATTTTGGTATTGAATATCATCGTAACAACGTATCAACAGGTCTTTGAGACACAATGGACTAGAAGCGACGCGCCTCAAATGGGAGAAACACTGGAAGTCAGCATTGAAAGATTCGGATTTTCATTGGCTAAATAATGTCGCCAGATGTAATTCAATACGTCTACCAATTGGATATTACACTCTTGGTCCTCAGTTTTGTGCAGGAACCCCTTTCGAAGGAGAGCCAGCACAGGTATACCTCAATGCTTGGGACTCAGTGAAGGCATTGATAGATGCTTGCTATCAAGAGGGTATAGGAGTTTTGATTGACCTTCATGCCCTCCCTGGGGGTGCAAATAAAGACTCCCACAGTGGAACAGATAGCGGGAACGCGGAGCTGTGGAAAGTTGGCCATTATCTCTCGGTTGCTACAGACTGTGTCACTCATATTCTGTGTGAGGTGACTGCTCATAAAATGTCGAATGTGATTGGAATCGAACTCTGCAATGAACCTTCCTGGGATGCTGGTCCGAGTTTATGGAAATGGTACGACGATGTCCTAGCCCTGGCCAGTGGCATTGATTCATCCTTGCCTATATACATTGGAGATTGCTGGAATCTTCCTGTCGCCTTGGATTATGCTTCGAAAAAAAATGCTTTCGATGCAACTACCGCAACCCTGCTGAATCCTGTGATAGTTGATACGCACAAGTATTACACTTTTACGGCAAACGATCACAGTCAGTCCCCACAACAAATTATAACTCGTGCCAAAGAATCATTAGCAGTGGCCTCAGGCAAACAAGGCAATGTGTTCGGGCGCAAAACAGCCGTGTCAGTATACGTCGGCGAGTACAGCTGTACGTTGGACATCAAGACATGGAATAGAGTTAATGCTTCAGAGCGTCCAACTTTGACACAAGAATTTGGTCAGGCTCAATCAGACAGATATCAAAACAAGGCTTGTGGATCAGCTTTCTGGACATTGAAGATGGACTGGATGGATGGTGGGGATTGGGGCTTCAAAAAACAAGTCAACACTGGCGCTATACCACCTCCACGTGGGTTGACGCTATCCAAGGACGACGTGGGCAGCAAAATCAGAAGAGCGGAGATACAGAGACCGACGCTCCTAGATGCCACTTTGTCTCAACATGTGGCATATTGGAAAAAGACCGTCCCTAACAAGACGTTTGAGCACTGGCGCTACGAGAGTGGGTGGAATCTCGGTTTTAAAGATGCCGGTGTCTTCTTCTGTGCTCGAATAAATGGCCTTGTACCAGATGGACAACAATCCGCAGGAGGAGACAAGATTGGCGCACTCGAAATGTGGATAAGGAAACGTCTATTCGATGCAGGCCAACTGACCAGCCCTTTCGGATGGCAGTGGGAACAAGGATACCGAAAAGGCGTGAAGCATTTTTATGAAGCCGTCGCTATATAAACATGACAATGCTTTTTAATTACAGTCCGTCACTGTCTTCAGTGGTCCAAAAAACTAAAGATGAAGACTTCCAGACGGGGAGTCGAACCCCGGTCGAGTGCGTGACAAGCACCCATCATAACCGTTAGACCATCTAGAATGTGGAAACAGTGCTTCAATAACTGATGTATAGAGCCATCTTGGATGGCGTAGTGGCAACGCGTGGTGGTAGCTTCCTACAGTTCCGCATTATTGATGTGGAATGAATGGAAATTAAGGAATGTTTATGGCTGTTTATTGTTGTCTATTCTATATAGATAAGTGATATATATATTCTATACTGTCAATAATCTTTGAAGTATTTGCTGGATAACATTAAGGCAGAGTGCATCCTATGCGAGTGGCATGAGGCTAGTGGTACGTACATACATAGTGCATATGTACTGTTAAACGGCGGTTGGCTTTGCCAGAGTGACTTCTGCATACAACATCAATTTATTTGACATCAAGTTGAACTCTCCTTGTAAAAAACTAAAAACAACATTCGAACTTCCCCCATAATAATTGATATATAACCAATTCTTGGCTTTATAATACAGTGATGAATATCTATAAAATATAATACATGAACAGTTCCTACCCAATGCTATGCGTTGTCCCTAATCTCGTCCTTTTTCTCATATGTACTTAATGAAAACGCCAAGTTACATGCAGTTCGGTAAAACGAAGTAAACTCCTGGTTTATTGTAGATTCCGCGTTTACATTGTTCCCCTGCCGAATACGGCCCCCCAGGGAATGCAATGGGGACTGCGCGACATGCATCTCAAGATTGAGATCTCGAACTCTTTTGGATCCCAACTGGCCAAACCAGGTATTATTCAAGGTTAATTTCTCTCCCATGAAATCGTACGAGCGAATCAGGGATCCAGAGAGTTTATTCATAGATGGAAGCCAGTAATCAAATAGCTTGACACCCCCGCCATCGTTGGCGGAACTGGAGCCTTTTTGACCTCCATTGGAATTCAAGTTTTGCAGTAATGATGCTGGCAATGGTAGCTGACAGGATGGTGGCAATGGGTCGTCCAGCTTACTTGTAATAGGCTCTAAAGCCGATACAATAGCATCGCGCATAGACTCATTAGATTCCTTTTTGAGCAAGCCGAAGACATCGCGGGTTAGAGTCCGTGTGAAACGAATATCAAAACGAGCCTCGGGGAAAAGATAGTCGATGCGATCTTGTTTCACAATAGCTTCGATTTTTTTAATAGTGACATCAGGCGCTGATGGTAAGGGTTTCGAGGAGTAAATCAATGGGACTCCGAGCTCGACCTCCAATATAGGCGCGTTATCGGCGTTTGGGCTGCATGGGGTCAACCTGAATCGGTACAACTTTTCACCTCTCAGCTCTGGGAGGTCTGATACGAAGGGTTGGGCCCCCGATGCCCATGCATGCCAAAGTCGAGGTATCGAAAGCTCTCCCAGCCGAGAGGCAGTTGTAGATGTGGTCATCCCGTAACGTTCCTGCTCGTTGTGAAACAGACACTGACCAATTGTTGCTGTTAATTTTTCCTGTATGTCAGGTCCAACTGGTTGGCCATTCGTTCCCCTCAGAACCTGTAGAATCTCGGTAGAGCAGGTTGCGTGGTGTTCCTTAAATAATGGCAGTAATGTTACGTCTGACATTTGGCTAAGCTTAGTTAGTATTTGCCACCGTGCCCATGGCTTCGTCCGGTTATCTAGCGACATGCGCTTTGCCTGCATTTGTCGGATAGGATTCAAATAGCCAGTTGTAGACGACGGGACATAAGAACAAAATGGAACAGATAGGGATGCCTTAGAATGACTAGCGAGATCTAAGTCACGTATAACGGATTTCAATGCACCCTCATTCCCTGCGAAGTATGATGCCAAGGCAGTTGACTTCCGACTCTGATGTTCAATAGAGACACCATACTTCTTTGCTATCCAACGAAAAAGATCTTCATTGGAAGATTCACCAACACTGATTCGTAGATTATTCAAAAGAGGCACACCGATAGGCTCCGTTCGTATATTTGAGGTGTATGTATTGACAATTTCTCGCACAGATTCGCAAGCCCTCTTGCTACCGAAAACTCGAATCATATTTGCTGAGCTGAATAATTCGATTTTTGCATTATGTGAATGCGCCAGCTCTTCTAGTGAATATTGATCCGATTCGACGAGCAGAGAGATAATATGCGACGGTAGGCTGATGTCCAGTCCACCTGCCTCATCTTGAACAGTGAGTTGCCAGCACTCTCGGAGTATGCGCTCAGCCACGTGTTCCTTTCTATGATTTATATTAATACCCTTGATCTTGTATGCATCTTTCTGCGTGTCGTCTAGAGTTTCACTCGTCGGCACCGAGTTATCCTCTGCAAGCCATGTCGTCTCACTATCCTTCGGCTGGGTTGTAGTATCTTTCGAAGGAGGTCTTTCGAAATCCTCAAGATAAGCCAAAAGCTGGTTCATTGTAAAGGACACCTCAAGTTTCGCCTGTAGGTTTATCCATTCTTCTCTTGAGAGCTCATCGCCGGGTGATTGTAAATCTCGCAACTCGTCTAGGAACGTGTTATAGTCATCGTCGATTAACTTGACATTTTGGCCTCCTGCATTTGTTCCTGGTTTTGCAGATAAATTGAACAAACCATTTCCGCCAAGCTTTTCTTTGCCAATTTTCTTCCCATCTAACACCCTAGGCTTCCTGCGTTTCTTCTGCGGAAGAACGATAATTTCTCCAGATTTTCCCAACACATCGATGCCGACTTCTTTTCGGTTATCCCCCTTATGACCAATTTTAAGCGTGTGGCTATCTTTCGATCCATTGTCCAAAGTGTTTACCCTCGTTTCTTCAGTGTTTAAGCTTGTGGGTGGATCGTTTTCAGATGAGGTAGAGAATTTGGAGTGACGACATAACGGGCGTAGAAGTCGTTCTCGCTGTGAAGATGCTAGGTAGGGTCGAAGGGAAGTCGCTGCATATTTAGGCGATCTGCTAAACATGAACATTAGAAAAGAAGAATATTTTGCGCGTGGTGAAAATAAGCATGTGGCAGGTTAAGTTATTTTTTTTGGGGGGACAGCGGAATAGCTTCGCACCTCCGCATTCCACTATTCCAAAACAGGAAATGCCTATCATGTCTCTAGTAGGATGCTTATTTTCTGTCAAAAGACCCGAAACTCTGTAAACTAGATATCTCAAAGGCATGAAAGTAAAAGAAAATTAAATTTTAGTTCATTTAATTTTTCTATTCTTGTTCTTTGTCAAAGCTAGAACTTCTGCTCTACTCCAATCTTCATCGCCCCTATTAGGAATCCATGGACTGAGAGTATGTTTTGCGTCTTCCATAGCTGCGAATCTGGCTTTCAACCAAGAAAATTTCGAACTTCTGGAAGAAAGACACTTCCTCTTGAAAGCTTCATAACTTTGTGATTCAAGTACATCTCGCAATTCAGCCTCCTCCTCACCCAACTGCGGCAAAACCTCGCGAACCAGATCCCACATGTTTGCTCTCGAAAGAACCGAAGCACCTCGCGAAGTCAAGAGAGGAATTTTATTCCCCTGCTTTACTCCACCAATGATACACTCAACAACCGCAGTCGACGATGGATTGAGCCGTGGTACCTTGTCGGTGTCGAAAACGGCACCTCGGACACAATAAGGTTTATGGAACGATGAACTTGCAATCCATATAGCAGAAGTATTACCGGGTTTCGCAGTCATTGATTTCGAATACTGGGATGTCTTAACCTGGCTCGATCTGTACTTACCATGCGGCCACCTGGGCATCACTATATCCATTGGGACAGCAAGTACCTCGAATGGCCGAAAGCGGTATTTCGGAAAATCGTTCGGCTCGCTACTTGTAGGCCAACTATGCCCAACAAGTCCTTTCATCCGACCCGTTGGGCCGACTCCAAATGCTCTGTCGTAGCCAGCTCGAGAGATCTCTTCTTCCGGAAGAATCAGCGCTGTGATATACGCACTACTTGTTGGTGCAACGAGGAGGCTGGCTGGGTAGGATAGAAGAGATTTAATCTGCCGAAGAGCGAGCTTGTCTGAGCAAGACTTGCTTAAAGTGGCTTCAGAATCGGCTCGAGCGGGTTTACGACGGACAACTCCAAGAATAGAGAAGTGGGCTCTGCCGTCTAGAAGGGTCTTTTGCGATTCTTCGTCATTATTTCGCGATGGGACAGACCAAGGAGTTGGATCATCTTGCTCAGCCATGCAGAGCTCCATACTTGCATCGCCACATGGGGCACACGTGCAATACATGTATAAACTGATATCTGGGCATATTTCGAAAGACGGTGATGCATTTCGTTCTCGCCGTCTAACGAAAGCATGCGTTGTTTCTAGCTGGCTTGGTGAATGCTGTTCTTGTTGGATCACCGACAAACATTCGTTGATGACCCAATAATTGAAAGCACGAATAGCTAGTATTTCGGCGTGGCAGTCGTGAAGTGCTAGTCCATGACAGCGGGGGATTTGAGAGGCTGCGAGACACCTCGCCCCAGTACTAGACGGCATTAGTATATACTGCTTTTTGAACGAAGATCCCGTCACGTACGTAACAGCAATACAAGTCAAGGTCTCTGACCGTGTACCCTGTGCTTCAGTTCGGACCAATCGGTTAGTAAATGCTCAACAAGTATCCACGAGCGTGGTAGATACCTCGTACAGCAACAATCCCACTCATGGGAATCCACTCTCTAGTGTCATCATCACGAGTGCGAGGTTTGCAGTGAGTTGGCAAGGCATCGAAGTGCGCATGTACTAGAGTAGCAACGCGAGCTGGAAGGGGATCGCCATTCTCTCCTTCCATTCGAACTCTCCTTTTCTGAATTCAGTTCAATGTTGAGATGTGCGTGATCATATTCCCATTTTGCAAGAGACCTTGCATGGTTGATTCTTATTGGACGGAGGCGGCTCTAGGATGCACGTGACTCTCCGTCTTTCTTTGCGCGTCTTCTTCGAAGCTACCGAAACTCTCGCAATACAGAGAAACATCCACATCCATACAAAAGGGAAAATGGCCGACAAACTCCGCACTCTCCAGAACCTCGAGGCCCTCCAGGCTCGGTACCTTGGCACCGGTCACGCCGACACTACGAAATACGAGTGGACCTCAAACATCATCCGCGACAGCTACTCATCCTACGTCGGCCATCCGCCGCTCCTCAGCTACATGTCCATCGGCATGGGCGAGTCCAAGGAGAAGGTTCGTATAGCGATGATCGAGAAAATGGTTAGAGGGGCAGGGAATCCGCCAGAGGTATGGTTTGAGCACAGCCAAATGAAAGTGTTTTGACTAACGAGCTGGGCGAATATAGGTACAAGAATAATGACTATTGATTATGATCTATGATATTTATTTACGTCATTGCCTCTACCGGGATTTGAGCTGCTCTCTGTGCTGGTATGCCGACTGAAATACCCGAAATCTACCGCACGGTGGACTGCTTCGCCAGTTTGCGACTTCATCCAGCAGCGTCTGCGGAGGAATGGATGCCTTTACCAATAAAGATCTGGGCAAGTCTCAAGGGAAGGACACTAATGGTAGATGTGTCAAGCAGTTGATTGCATTCATCCAAGAGAAAGCTCTTAGGTTTGGATCTAGATCATCGTATGTAATTTGAGGCTAGGGTCGTGTATCTTGCAGAAAGGCTAGACAGTGTGATAATGCAATATGATATATGTGTTTTAAACAATCAACCCTATGCAAAATGCATGAACAAGTGCAACCTCAAGCAAACGCCTGTAACCAATATGCATGTGTTAATCATCATTCCTGTTGGCCGTCAGCTCCTTCTGCAGGCTATTCAATATATCAAGCCATTTCTGCCGCTCGCCTCGCAACTCTCGCACCTCTGTTTTCAGAGCTGAGACTTCTTTCCGGAGGCTCTCCACCTCCGACCGCGAACGTGCCTTCTCCTCTCGTTCCGCAGTTTTGTGTTGACGAGCCTCCATCTTTTTCACGAGTTTAAGCTGCTGCTCATCGATTTTGCGTAACTGCGAATTCAGTTTGGCTTCTGTTCGGGATAGTCGCGCAATTCTTTTCTGGTCCGGAACGACGGCTTTTGCGTCGTTGTCCTGGTTTTTAGTATTCAAACCAGCGCTGCTCGTGCTTGTGTGGTCACTTTCGTTATCACTAGCACCGGAGGTGGCATCTTTAACCACTGTTCCCCCGAGTGCTTCGATTTCGGATTGGATTGTTGTTAGTTTTGTTTCAATTTCTCTCTTTCGAGACTGCAGCTTGGCTAGATCCTTTTCTTTTGATGATGGCTTTGTCTTGGTATCTTTTTGTGCTGTGATTATAGCTTCGGCCCCATCTGTGTCATGAGATGACCCCGATACAGCACTTGACTTGAACGAGTCTTTTATAGAATCAGGGCGAAGGTGATTTGTGGATACGGAAGGAGGGAAGTTGGATTCAGCACTGGTGAAACTGTCGTTACTGGCTAGAGAACTAGTATCGTCGTCATTTTCCTTATCAGCCTCGCTCTTTTTCGACACTGCCCTGTCACGATCTTCGTTATCGGAAAACTGCGGCAATTGGCCAGGAATGTAGTTGGAAACTGCCTCAGGGACGTAGCTCTCTATTCCTGCGTTGATCATATTAGTCACACTAGACCACAATCCAGTACTTGTTCCGTCGGTGTCTTGGAAACTAGCTATGGATTGATTTATCTGTTCTGCACCCTTATTCTCAGTTCCGATAGCATCGGGCTGTTGATATACCACTGCTGTTCCATCAATGTCTGGCACGCTTCCATTACCGGCGGTTATTCGTTGTTGGCCTTCCACGTCCTGCGTGACTTCAAGGATATCAGCTGTGTCTCCTTTATCAGAGACATCTGGCTGCGATGCCCAATTCAGAAACTTGACTGCATCCCCGGTTATACTTTTGGGTGTTCCACGCTCGACCATCCACTTTGGAACGCTTCCGCCTGGGTCGCTTCTCGTAATCATAATCCATTCCACTGGGTTAGGGTTATTCTGATCATCTGCGGAACTGGCAGACTCATCCGTAGCTTTTCCAGTTTGACCTGTAGACTCTGACTCTTGGGATGACAGTTCCCGTATCAACTCAACAGACTCGTACTGGCCACGGATATAGCCATCCCGCGGCGGTGCCTCAGGATGACTACATGGTTTCGAAACAACCATAAACATATTTCCCCCTTCCGCTTCCTGACCCTCTAATATCGAATCCGTAGTCATAACCAAGGTGACAAAATCCCTCGCCGTAGTCGGCCCCGGAAACTGCGCCGATAATTTATAAACCTCCAACAGCGCCACATCCTCACCGCTCGTTGAGTCTCTAACACGAAGATTATCCTCCAACTTCTCATCACACCCGATTCCACGCACACTCATCGTGGGAGTTTGTTGTCCGCGTTTCAACTCCTCCTGTCTGCCCTTCAACGTCTCCTCTAATTCCACCTTCATCTTAGCCTTCCACCGCGCAAATGGCAGGCCCTTGTGCACACTGCGTCGCGCAAACCAGGCTCCCTTGCCATCCTTTCCCTGCATTTTGTACATTGGGATATTCAGCGGGTTTTCTTTGGCGTTGTTCATCTTAAGTGGTTTGCCCCATTCTTTGCGTAAATTCGAAAACTCGGGCTCGGAGAGCTGTTGTATGGATGTTCTGCTGCTGCTGCCGCTGTTGCTGTCAGCATCGGTAGAGGGGGTTTGTTCTGGTACGGATTCAATGGCAAGGCTAGCTTGACTGAACACTCCCTGAGTGTATTTGAGCAGCTCGTCTGGGGACGAAATGGGGATGGTGTCCCAGGACACAGGGCCAAGGTATGACAGTGCATTGTGAAGCTCGGCCATTAGGTTCTCGCACGCAATTCTTTAAAATAAGCGACAATGATAGAGGAAATTGACAAGCCAAGAAAAGAAATGGTATAATAACAAGAAAATACACAAGCTAGTATGCAGGATACAGCTGACGTCGGTTGTGTTTCAAGTTTATATTTCGTGGAGGCAGCAGCACAGTTTGACGTCATCGGAGCTGGCGGGGATCCGAATGCCTTTGCACTAGGGCAGCCAACTCTAATTAAGCCGCCCGGAGCCGATGCGCCGATTGTGCCGACGCCGATGTATACAGCTATATATTATGCTTAAAATCGATAATCATTATATTTATAATTACAGCTAATTGCAGAAACGGTGCACGCTTTAAAATGTTCGGTTGTCTCTCAACACTAAACTATGTTTGTAAAGTTATTCCGAAGCCTCTGTTTCTGGTTTCTGTAATATATATAAATGCACGGTATTTTCTATGATTTAAGCGTGTTTTCTTGCCTCGCTCGATAGGGCGTCCTTTGAATGTAAGTAAGAGATCAATGGTAGGCCATCTCTTCATTCATTGTGGCCTGTAGGACAAGTTGATTTCGAATAATCCGGCTTGACGAAAACAGGGGCTATTGCTGGATCACTGTGTATGGCCTCCTGGGTATGCAATCTTGTGATAGTGACAAGTTTCCCTAAAACAGCAAATTCAAGCTTCAGCTTGATACTGTAGACCAGCGATTTCAGGGATACTTGTAGGTAGTAAAAGCCCAGGTATTCCCAGACCAGGATGCCGATGTCCATGAGGATGATGATCAAGTTGATCGCCACAAGCTGATACATGATATTTTTCTGACGGCTGCCCTTCTCGGGGTTTAACCGCAGCAATTTGACGGCTTCCCGGATGTACAAGCAGGAAATTAGGAATTCTTGAATGCAGAATCCAGTCACCTGGAGACGCTCCACCACCTGATATGCCTTATTCCACTGCAGATTTTGGACGTATGCTGATCCATACATAGTGGTCGTGGTTGCAGGAAGGAAGAGGAGTGCGTCAATGATGATCAGATAAAGGATATACCGGAGGCGTTTTTCATCATGGAAAACCAGGTGCAGTCGAGAATAGAGGACCAGAGATTGGACGGGGACCATGGCGTAGAAGCCAACATGAGAGATTGTCAACGCCAGCCAAAGTGGCCCAATCAAGAAAAAATGCAGCACAGCACCAATAGTAGTGGGGATGACCCCACAGACATTAGATATCAGTAAGGACCAGAAATAGAGCCCATGATAGCGGTGGAAGGTGCAAAAAATCAGCAGGACAAGTTCAATTGCATTGTACAAGGCGATGGACAGGGCGACCGCCACGACGATTTTCACTGTGAGGGAACTTCCTTCTATGCCGGAGACAAGTCCAGCTGAAATAGTATCTACACTTGGCATATGCGTGGAGCTTGATTGAACGACAGCTTCTGAAGCCGTGGATAGAAATTAGAGAACAGAATAAGTGTTTGTAAGCTGGCCTCTGATCGTCGCCTAGATTTCAACGCGGATTGATGACTTTTCAGTCCAAGAGCCTCGCTGGCTAGCTCTTGGAGGAACATTTGACATAGTTGAGAGAAGGTATTGATAATAGGGTAAAGAGAAATAATGGGGGAAACATCGGAGTGTCAAATCTGTTTCTTGTAATGGGGTTTGCCATCGAAGGGGTCATAGACCCCAGACTTTGGTCCCATCAGCCCGGTATTGGTGGCTCGATACGCCCACCACCCCACATACCCCGACATATACTTATATCAATTGATATAGTCGGTCGGTGGTGTGTCTGAGTGGGTTGGTATTGTACAAGTCAGGTGAAGTATCTAACAAGCTAAGAAGAATGATCAGCAGAGTATTGCTTTACCCAGTTGCTTCTTTCAAAACTCCGAGCTAGGCCCCTATTGTAAATACAGAATGGAAGACATGAATATAAAGGCACTCGATGTGAGCATAAGCTTTTAGTGAACCATGAATTGCTTACACATGCGAGATGGACACCACGTTATTTAATGATGAATTACGGTTAAGAGAAACTCTGGAACATAGTTATTCCGAAGCGTTACCTGATAAAGGTTAGGGTTGCCATTATGAGAAACAATTGAAAAAGTTAAATGTGTGCACCATGTTTGCAATCAACTGTATAACTAACTAGCTAATGAATGTAATGGAGATATTAATTAATCATCTACGCAAGCACTCAATGTCCACACTTTTTTTTGCTATTCACTATATAATTATGAACTGAATCAGGTAGATACAGCATTGCAGAGCAGAGATAAAAAGATAGTAGAGTGCAAACGAAATCCCCTTCAAAGAGCCAGCCTAAGTGGGGAGGTCACGAATCGAATCAGACCTGTAGAGAGTGTTGTGTATTTCAATTGAATTCAATTGATAATATTGTCCAGCATCTTTTTCCCGGCTTGACGCATTCCTATCCACACAGTGGACTGGATGTCAATGCTCGGGCGTCTCCAGGAATAAATGTTATGCTAAATAATAAAAATATATTTCCAGCCTGGAGAATAGGGGATGAGCCTATTAGATCGAGATAACCGTGTGTAGTGGACAAAGTGAGGAGGTGTGTGGGATGGGTATTAACGAGAAGAGCAGTCACGGACTGTTAATCTCAGTAATTCCTTCCTGCTTTGTCCATGACACTCTGGCAAAATTCTCGATAATGCGAATTAGTGGCATACCAGATACCACCAGAAATCGCGCTGTCGCAGTTATATCCAATTTCACCAGCTTTGAAATTAACAAAGCTGCCAGTTCAATACCCAGTATTGAAATGAAACGTACGACGAGGTGGTTTGGAACAGCTTTCAAGTCTCTGGGATGGTAATCATGGAACTAGCCGATGAATCTCGACCCAGTTTCTTTTTGTGTTCACCCCCACCGTCGTCTCAAACATGCGACAGCAGAATAAAAATGATACATGCAGTCATATGCAGCCGCGAGGCTTATAAGTCTTTGATAACATGAAATGTTCTCGTCAGTTCTCCTGCAAGGAGTCTGGGGAAAGAAAGTCCAGATAGCCGACCCGCCGGTTCTTATGCAAAAAAAACAACGCTTGCTGAAATCAGAGGAAACTGGAAAAAAAAAAGAGAAAAATCAGAGCTAAGATCGACGAGTCAAAATCAGATGCAACGATATTGTTGTGGTTCAAACAAGAGGAGTATCACGATATCTCGGAATCGGATCAACGCTTAACGCCGGCATTATATGCTTTCAGATGCTGATGCCCGCATGCAAAATTCTGTATATCATTGGCGAGGGTCGGTGGTGTCATGGAGGTGGCTGGCTTCTTGGTGGTACACGGTTCGTTTCTTGACGCATCTGCAACAACCTACATGGTAGTGCCGTAGGACATGGCAGCAAAGTCTTGGTAGCGATCGTTGAAACCGAACCCAGCCATCGACGCCGCCGTGCTGCACGGCTGAACAAGCATGCTTGGAAGTGGCAGTGACGCCAGGGCAGCAGCCATGGTGTTGGGGGTGCTGTAGAACTGTGTCGTGTCGAACGGCGCGGTTGTGTATGGCATGCTGAACGAAGGTGCTGGCGATGGCAACTGAGCCTCTTGCATCGGCATGCTCGTCCACATGTTGGGAGTCGTGTCGCACGTCGACACTGGGCTAGGGCTGGATGGAACCACCTTCCATGCTTCCACAGGCATCACTTGATGCTGCTGTACGGGGCTTGTCCACCATTCTTCGGCAAGCGTAGAACTAGGCAGGAGAGGTGCCGGACGGACGATATCAACCACACGGGGAGGGGGAGGAAGCAGAGGGACGAAGAGCCCCAGGATGGAAGCCTTCGCATCATCACTTCGGCCGCTCAGCAGCTCGCCGGCGCCATCCTCTTCCAGTCCCTCCAGAGCCTGAACGTTGGTGCGATAGATGAACTTGTTGGCCGACTGGACGAACTCTTCCTGCAGCTTTTTGAGCTGGGTATCCTTGTCAGCCCAATCCCAGGTGGCAGCCGCCGTGTCTACGGAGAAGATGTCTTTGTGAAAGTCGACCAGCGATTCAATGGTCTCGGGAGTTAGTTTAAAAGCAACTTCGTTCTGCGAAACCATGTCGACATGCACAACATACGCCTCGATGTGGATCATCTGGTAGTTGAATAAGCCCTCGATTAGAGGATTGTCATCTCTGCGAAGCTCGGTGTCGGGCGCATTGGGGAACATGAGAGAGCACAAGGTCCAGATAGCGTTTGGCGAGGATAGAGTCTCTGTCAGGCATCGGGTGTGTTGGGTGACGTTGTTGAGGGGTCGCTTCACGCGGTTGACTCGCTTCAGAGTCATGGTGAGCCAGGACTCGACCTTGGAGCCGAGCACCACGTTGGGGTTGCCACGAGGAGCAAATGCTGCCGCGGAGGCGGGCAGCAGGGCCGTCGGCATTATGATTAGAGGGTTGACGTGCAAGCGTTTGACGAGGAAAGTTTCCGAGATATGTGTATCAATTATAAGAAGAAAAGGCTTATGAAAAGAAGATTATAAGCGCAACATTCGCCCACGAAGGTTCACTGTCGGGTTCACTGTTTGGGTAGATAGTCTTCGATTAGGGTAACCAGTTATCGGGAAGGCCGAAAGAGGAAGTATAGTTTATTTGGTCTGGTAGTCGAGTGTGGGCGAAAGCGTGCTGTATAATATTAAGAATGAAAGATAATAAAAAAAGTGGTTATAAAAGAAAGGACGTTAGCAACATGAATAACGAGATAGCCAGAAGAGGCAAGAGAGATGGGAGCGAGGGTTAGTTATAGTAATACATAATACTGAGGCAGCGTGACCGCGAAAGGATTTTTCTTTGGGGGGAGCCAACCTGGAAGCGCATTTCCCTTCTGCAGGTCCGTGGGGATCGGTTTAGTCCGAATTTTGCATTGTGCATATTTAGTTGGGATTGTGGAGTGTCGCGATCGCCTGCAGTTGCATTCAATGATGCTGCAGGCGCATAGCGTGGGCTCAGTTACGGTGGCACGGCTGTCTTGCTTTTAGTTTTCAGTTTTCACTACTGCGAGTCTGTATTGTCAGTAACTATGTATAAGCCTGTAACTAAGTAGCCTAGGGTTATGATACTGTGCTACGGCTTGTAATTTTGCTCAGTAACCAAGCATTTCCCATGCTTGACCAGCAATTACCGGATCTTATTTAGGTGACTTGAGAAGATTATTTTGAACTTACGACGTCACAAGCATAATGGTTTACGAGGATCGTATTTGAGTCGGCGGCTGGCGACACACATTGACAGAGTCCGATGTATGCGGCGCCTATCCGCGCTCCGGGACTCGCTCGGGGCCCCGTTGAAACAGTATTTATGGGGCTCGCTGTCACATTTTTGGGCTGAAGAATTCGAGAGTATATTATTAGCATGCAAGCCAACGTCTCGCATCGAAGACTCTGTAGAACGACCGGAATAGGCATGTCGCGAATACATACATATGTATCTTCGAATATTGAACTGTGCGACAGGTTTCAAAACTTCAGGTGGTAAAATACGGAGCACCCCGTCAACAGCTTGTATGAATGGATGAACGGTTTATGCAGATGGTCTGTTCGAGAGCCAGTCCCGATGTATAGCTGATGATAATCCGATCTACGCGAGTTTGAGCTGAGCCTGGGGTCTGCACGGCTCGGTCAGCGTCGGCGAGAAGTATATCCAAATAGTTTATACTCCGTACAGCACGGCGCAGAACCACGGAACGTGCCGCCACAAAACAGGCTTCAAATATAGTCAAATACAGGTACATATGTAGAATGCACTATATTTTTCTATACATAGGATTCGATACCATACTACATTTCACTGACCTGATCAGCATTGCTAACCCACCGTTCTGAATCCGAGTACTGTATCTGTACATCTGTAATCGATTGTAATCACGAATTACAGCTAGGCTGGGCTGGAGGGAGAGAACCGACAGCCATTGGCAGGGCTAAATTGGCGCTTGGGCACACTCGAGCTGACAGACCCCCGCTACGATCGGCCATTGGGCTGAGCTCGGAGCGTCCGTGTTGACCAGCGGGCGCCACAGCGCGAACAAGCTGTGTTTATGCTGCTGATTGGTGTTTGTTCTGATGAGGACATCTGTATTTGTGTGTTCGGTACTGTCCTGCTTGGTTTGAGTCAGACTGGTCGAGACTGTTATGGCCAAGTCTCACTCAGAATAGTACTTTTATTATGTGTCGGGACACAACAAGAACGATGGTTCAGTCTAGGCAAGACAGCAGGTACTATAATATTAATTAGCATATATGTGAAGTACCAGTAGCACATGCAAGCTTTGCTGGCAGTGCTGCGCCTCACACAGCGCCACTGAGCCTGGTGGCGGTGCCCACGTTTTTCCCGTCTCGAAACGGCGTTTCCGATCTCTTTCCTCCTTCTTTCCCTTAGTATTCCGTGGCCTTGTTCTTGATACGGTATTTGAAAACGAGTAGAAAATTCTTGGAAGTATCGTCATAGTACTTGCTACTATGCATCGACAACACCAATGGCCGCTGCTCGCCACCGCGTCCATGAAACTGTCCAACGCGTGAGTCACTATCCTCGGCTGGTACCGGCTTATCTCTGCGCTCCGTCGAGTGATATCGTACACCGCCTACGATAGTTCGTGTTCTGAAGTCTGGTGACTCATTCAACACGCCATCGCGCATGTATCAGGTGCGACGAGTCGCGTGCGGACCACGAGGTCATGTGGTTCGCTGTCACCTGTTTCTTGTAGCTTTGCTGATCGTGCTTTGCTGATCGTGTTTCAACTTGGGCCATCCGCCGTGATCCATCGCCTGTGTAAGGCTTATCGATAGCTGCTACTTATCGACTAGTCCACCATACAGATCACAATTGCGCGTCCCGTTCTGTACGAAAAAGGAGAGAGCAAAAAAGAAGAAGAAAGTCTAAAGCCTTTGGTTTCTTCTTTGTGGAGTGTGCTCGGAGAGGCATCTGATTGGTGTTGCGTAATGTCTATATGCATCAACTGATGCACGACAGTCTCGTCTAGATAAGATACTTCAGCATAATATCATTACTATCATGAATCCATGTTTTGTATTTTTGATGCGCGATGGAAACACTGGACAATATTGAAAGAATTGTTTCAATCCATGCCATGAAGATGTAGGACAGGACAGACGGCTCCGGTTTCGGCCGAGCCCGCACAATGTCACCACCTGGACTGACTCACATTTCCTCTCCCAACATGTACAATTGGTATTTGCAGCAAAACCATCTAGATAAAACGCAACATGGGCGTGTTTTACGAGGCCATCCCAGCCAGTCTCTTTGACTGGATCCGTGATCAAAAAGTATTCTGGGTAGCCACCGCTCCGCTGTCTGGCTCGGGCCATGTCAACATTTCTCCCAAAGGCGGCCCCAACTTCGGCATCATTGACGAGCGCACCTTTTGGTATCTCGACCTGAGCGGCTCCGGCAGCGAGACCATCAGTCATCTGTACGAACAAGGAAATGGCCGCATCACCATCATGTTCAACGCCTTCCAAGGCCCGCCCCGGATCTTGAGATTGTGGGGAAAAGGCAGGGTGTTGGAGCACGGTACTCGCGACTTTTCGGTCTTTGTCGACAAACACGCCGTCCAGCTTCTGCCTGGTACACGATCAATCATCGTCGTAGATATCCATCAAGTCGGCTCGTCGTGTGGCTTCTCGGTGCCGTTCTTTGATTTCAAAGAATTCCGGAATACGTTGAATGACCACCACGTGAAGAAAGCAAAGAAATATGAAGCTGGAAATGAAAAGGAGAGTTTCGAAAGGTTCTGCCGTGCCCATATACATCCTTTTCTTTCTCTCGGAATTCGTCGTTATACTGACTTTTGACCTATTTATTTACAGATACTGGGCACTCAAAAATGCGTTCAGCATGGACGGTCTGCCAGCAATGCACACTGGACTGACCGTCGCACAACAAGAGAAGATCGCCCCGATCAAGAAGATGGTCGGCCCATTAGCCCCAGAGAATGGAGTTCGTAACCAGTCATCCACGAGTCATCTAGCCATGCCTTTGCTTGGGCGAGTGCTGAGTTGGATTTTCGCATTGGTTATTGGTTTGTTCATTGGCAGCAATTTCTTCCCCTCGACCAGCAGAGCTTCATCAAACTGTGATATGCCGTCCTGAATATTGCCGAAAAGTTGTTTATTATGTCGTCATGAGCCAGCAAATATCCACTGACTGGGCCTTTTCATTTCTTTTTCTCTAGCGTTCAGGTAAGTCAACGAAGAGATCAGTTACCGTTTGGGGTATGTTCAAACCACTCTAATTTTCTAATCCATGAACCAAGGGTCAATGGAGAGTTTATAGTATGATGTAGGTTATTTGTTCCTACAGATTGTTTCGTGTATTCCTATTGGTATGTCCACGTCAAGTCCTATGCGAAGAATCGGTTCTTATGATAGCCTGAGGCTTGACAGCGGAGATAGAGATGTAGTAGTTGCTCAGAATTGCCATCTTAATAGTCTACAGTTTATCAAATATTCTGGCTATCCAGTCTCCCGACTTCAAATTATGATGCTCGTGCCGAGCCGGAATATTCACAGCTCAGCGAGTCCGATTTATCTAGTATCTACGACCTAGATATCAACACTCAACCTCGTCTTCTGACTCGTTTACATGATTAAATTATCAGACACGCGATGTCTCCGCTTTGCAATCCTACGCTCCATGGCGTGGGGAGAACTCCGGCTACGGCTCGGCGTTTGTCCGAGATGGAGTGGACTTTCATTCTGAATAATCTTGATCCACAATTCACTCAAGCAATATTTTCATGGATAAAAAAGCTTGTGGTTGAGCCGTTTTCTTGGCAGGCCTTGTCCCACATGTACTTAAATAAGTCTCTGTGTAAGAAGAAAAGCTTGGTAATACTGCTGATCCCATCCATATCCCATTCCCGTATGAGTAGCAAATAAATGGCGAGACTATCATAGCAAGTTTGCGCGAGACATAGCAACACTAATGTACCCCCACAATCCCCAGTTGTACCCCCATGCCTCCATGTGGAGATCCCCACCATTCGACCAGAATTATTGCTTCGAAATGATCTGAGAAACGACAGTTAATGAAGATTTTCACGGGGATATGCCCGAGCTGGAATGGTGCACGAGTCATATACATAAAATAAATAGCCAGACATGGCTCACTTGCAAAGACAGCTTAACAGTGTACGTGAATCTTTTTAGCCGGTAGAGATTATATCCAATAGTTGACGGGTTATAAAATGTCTCCTTATTTCGGTCTTCGGGGTATGCCCCTTGTGATGGGTATTACAGCGGCCTGTTCTACTGGGTTTTTATTATTTGGTTTGTATTTCCTAATACATGTATGTTTGTACATGTAAATTGAATTATGTTTACTAACGAGTGTGCAGGCTACGACAATGGCGTTTTCTCTGGCCTCACAACCGATACCCTATTCCTCGAAACCATGGGCAACCCTGGCGCAACTCTACTCGGATTTATAGTGGCCGTGTATGAACTGGGCTGCCTGGTTGGAGCACTTGCATCGGCGGTATGGGGAGAAAGCATGGGCCGACGGCAATTAATTGCCTGGGGTGCATTTTTCCTGATCATCGGCACCGTGATCCAGGCTTCGTCTTACGGCCGCGCACAGATGATTGTAGGCAGAATAGTCACTGGGTTTGGAATGGGTGGTATTACATCTGCCGTGCCAGTGTGGCAGTGTGAAAGCACCCCGGCACATTTGCGCGGACGCACTATTGCCATGGAGTTGTCGGCGCTTATTGTTGGCATTGTCATTGCATATTGGATTGATTATGGGTGTAGTCTATATTCAAGCAGTTTCCAGTGGCGGTTCCCCATTGCGTTTCAGATTATTTTTGCGATCTTGTTGATCGTGATGTGTTTCTGTCTTCCGGGTACGTCTCTCACACTTGTTGTACTAGCATCTGTCCATTTAGATATTTTATACTAATTCTGTGTACAGAAAGCCCTCGATGGCTCGCCAGCCACGGCCGAGACCAAGAAGCACTTGAGGTCGTGTGTCTTTTGCGCGACGGCACTCCCTCCGACGAGAATATCCAGGTCGAATTCACCGAGATCAAAGACGCGATTGCTTTGGAGCAGGAGGAAACTGGCAGCTGGAAAGACTGCTTCAAAGATGGCGGCGTCATGGGGTGGCAGCGTGTTGCTATTGCGTGTTCCGCTCAAGCTCTTCAAGAGTTCACTGGTACCAATATCATCACTTACTATGCGCCTTATGTGATGGTTCATAGTGTCGGGCTGAGCTCGCATCAGTCGCTTTTGTTGTCTGGCGGGCTGCAGCTTTGGTTCCTTGTTGCTTCTATTGTTCCCTGGTAAGTGGACCGGTTTCGTTCGGTTTGATGTTTGACTATCTCGGCTGATAAGGACTTTAGGTTTCTTATTGACAAGATCGGACGTCGGAAGTTGTTCATTATTGGAAGTCTTGGTATGGGCTCATGCATGTTGATGTCCGGCTTGACTATCATGGCTGGGGGCAAGAAGAACGGAATCGCTGCAGTAGTGATGTTGTACATGTTCCAGGTATGTGGTTCTCATTTAATCCTTACAATCACAAATCAATACACTTTTTAATAACTCTACTAACAATTACAGGCATTCTTCACCTGGGGCTGGATGTCCAATATGTGGGCGTACCCCAGTGAAATCCTACCCATTCGAACCCGACAATCCGGCTCCGCACTATCCGTGGTATGGCAATGGCTGATTACATTCCTGGTCGTCGAGATTACTCCTGTGGGCATCCAGAACATAGGCTGGAAGCTCTATATAGTGTTTTGCGTCCTCAACTGGGCAACTATCATTATCGTCTGGTTCTGGTACCCCGAAACTGCTGGCAGGACACTTGAGCAGATTGATTTCTTGTTCGCGAGTCAGTCGAGTTTGAGACAGGTGGTCAAGTTGAGTATGCGCAAGGATCTGGATGAGATGGGTGTTATACGCGAAACACAGGCGCAGGCTCATCAGCAAAAGAGTGGTGCGAAACAGGTCGAGGATATTGATACGACGGCTGGAACAGTGGAGTAGTGAATGTATCTGCGAGATCGCTAGAATGTGATGTTTACAGTTTAGATAAATTTAAATACATGTATATTTACAACTTATCTGCCGCAGGGATATTTGATCAATTGATACTTCAAAGTACTAGTTCATATTGCTTGGCTAACACCTGCAGTCGGATAGATATCTGTATGTACCTATCCAGTCGGCGGAAGAAGATGGTACTGGCGGAAAGCCTGATGTAAGACGACCTGACGTGACGATAGGTTGTCACTGAATCATATCTGCCTCTTCAGTGTGGCGGGAGAAAGGACATGTCAGAGCAGAAGGTACATCTTCCCATCTACAGGTTTCAGGGTACCGGATGTGCCCTTTTGAGGGCATCCTACGCTCTGAACAGCCACCTCCTGATCATACATTTCACCCAAAATACGCAAGACCAGAAGCTTGGGGCAGTCTATGGCGGCCGAATAATGCTCAGTACGGGCCGAGAGCAGGATTTCAGCCAGGACAGTTAAAGCCCGCCTTCGACTGGATCAGCGTCGATCTCGATGAGACGCCAGGATGTTCCTCCGTTGCAGCAGTCTTCTTAGACCGAGCGGAATATGCAGAACCCCGAATCCCCACACAGCCAATTGTCTTCAATGAGGGACAACCCTCCTTGACTATCGCCGGGAAAATCACGTTGTGCATCTTATATCTTGACTATCATGAAAATATAACTTGGTGATCCCTTCTGCTAGTTTCAATCATTATGTTAGACTGGTGAATATTCCGAATTCAACATTGGTCCTGCAAGCTTAGGCTTGAAATGGCAAGAACGAGAAAGATATCTAGTGTTCTTCAGCTGCAGTCGGTCAGTTTCCAACTAGTGCCAGCAAAGTGGTTAAACATCAATGGACTGAAAATGTAAAATTAACTAATCTAGCTTGAAGATCTACGTCTACGTGTATCGCTAAATGGTGGCTATGTCAACTGGTACCTGTACCTCCTGGCCTGAATATGCATTAGTGGCACTACTTATGTATCCAGGAACACGAGCCTTCCGGAGAATCGACATGGTCCTACATCATATCTTTATTGTAGAAATTGAAATAATCCCCGAATTCTCGAGAACTCTGTGTCCAATACGAGTTTTAGCCCCCGGCCCCCTTATTGGGGGGCCAATTCAGGGACGTTCGAATACCCCATATGCGAATGAGAGATGAAATCTACTATGCGGAGCTGAATGCGATTAAACATACGTCGTATCAGCAATTTCTTTCCAGCATGGCGCCGGTCAACATCTGATACAACATCCCGTTGAGCAGAGATGCCGTGGCTTGGACGTGAGGATGAGTTTTGGGGTTGTCAATACGATCTCGCAATATTGGGAAACATTCCCGATAAGCCTTGTAAATGAAGCATAAAAGGAGCTACATTTCCCTCTAATATCTCAATATCAGCAATTATCAAATACGAAACTGAATTTTACAAGGAAAACAGTCATCAATTCCTCTCGCAAAGTTCAAACGAGCTGCTTGCCTTGAAGATGTTTGCTGCTTCGCTCATTGCACTATCCCTCGTTACATTCCTTCCTCTCTCGAACGCCTATCTCATTAACACTGATGGTCTTAATTGCCGCTCAGGGCCTGGAACAGGCTATTCGGTTGTGAAGACCTACAACACGGGTGATGATGTCTCAATCACCTGCCAGGCTCCTGGAGATGACGTTAATGGAGACTCCCTCTGGGATGAAACTTCCGATGGCTGCTATGTCACTGACTACTATGTTAGCACTGGTACTAGCGGCTACGTCACTGGTGAGTGCGGTGGTGGTGGTGGTGGTGGAAATCTCCCGGGTCTTGACGATACACAATCATCCCATGCCCAAGCCATTATCGCAGAGGCTGAGAAGGAGAACCTTGGGCATCAAGGCTGTCTTGCTGGTATTGCAACTGCTCTCACCGAGGTATGCTTCGATCCTAACCATCTCTGAATATATAATTTTTGCCAACGGTTAGTAACTGGGCTACAGTCGAGCATTTTGGTTTACGCAAACGAGGCCGTCCCAGAGTCATTGAATTACCCGTACGATGCAGTTGGCAGCGACCACGATAGCATTGGGATTTTCCAACAGCGCGCCATGTACTATCCCGATATCAGCGCGGATATGGACCCTGCCGGGTCCGCGGCACAGTTCTTCGCCAAGATGCAGGCTGTCAGTGGATGGCAAACTATGGATGTTGGTGAGCTATGCCAGACGGTTCAAGGATCTGCTTATCCAGACCGATATAACGAGAATTTGTCTGCTGCTGAAGCGATCTGCTCTGCTGCTAGTGATTAAAGGGGCTTCAATGGCCGATGCCACCGTCTTCTCTTGTATTTTATATATTTTCCTACTTGTGACCAATAACTCCATAGGAATGAAGAAATCTGTAAATACCAGCAAAAGCACATATACTATTCCTTATTGAAATAAATCTAAAGTCCGAAAATATAAGCTTGAGAATTACTTACGGTGAGCCCCCCTCAGGCTCACAGAGGTTCTGCTTAATGGACTCCAGCCTCGTCAGGACGAATGACTAATCAGTATGCGTAGAATAACACCTCTACGTGCATCTGGTGAGACCTAGTTACCCTGGTGAAGTAGCATTTTTTGATTCGTTTTAGGGCTGTTATTAGGTGGGAGGCCTGGCTTAATTGAAGCAGTGATCGTTCGACAACCACCGACCAATTGTGGCACAACAATCAGAAACATGATCTACCATCTTCTCATATGGCACATCTGATCAACACTGAAAACTGAATCTTATTATAAAATGTGTATAATCTGAATTGTATATAAAGTATATATTTCCATTTGTCTTAATTAGTCCTAGACTGGAAATAGCAACGCAAAAGGTTTGGGTTGATGAAAAGTAGACCACTGCTAAGGAAGACGTTATTCCCGTAGAGAGATGAAATTGAACCAGTTGAACCAAGTTATTAATGAGGAATTCAAAAGTTTGATGGTATATTTCGGGCCATGTCATCGTCTCAAATCGCCCTGTAACTCATGCATTTTCTCTATATGATGGATTCTTGAAATTAACGCCCGAACTGCAATTTTAGGCGGTGACCTAGAAATGAGTCGATACTTATGACTATCATGACAGATAGGATTCATAATATCGAGTATCATGTCTCTGTTTATGGCCGGGAGTCTGTTCGTGGAGCACGGAATGGCAGTTGATTTCCGATATGTTACCACACCTCATCTGTTGGGATGGATGCGCCTTGACAGATTGTAGGCTGTGAGATGCATCACGTCTCATAGAGATCGTAGCATATATGGCATAAATAGTGTGATCTTGACGGAATCCAGGATTTTATCGATATTGCGATATCATGATTGTAACCAGCATCATGATAAGAGCGCGGATGTTCACGGCGGCACTATTTCGGTGGTTTGTTGGCTTGATATTTCGAAAGCACCTTGTATTCCATGTCCCACTCCTTCTTCTTTTTATTTTTCTCCTTCGTCACCTGTCGTATCTTATCATCGATTTCCTGCAATTTTCGCCTCACTTGCCGCGCAGCTTCTTCTTGCGCCTTGATATTTGCTTTTGTCGTAGGATATTCTTTTCGTAGTTGCTGTATCTGCGGACGATATGCCTGGATATCTATGGGTTTGCATGATCTTGGGTCATAGTTGCTAGAAGGCAGCGGACCCTCTGGCACACGGATTTCTGGTATTTTCTTATGGATCGCCGCGGTGCGAATGGGGTCTTGCATGTGGACGAACTCGCCGGAAATGAATGCGGGACGATCCTCCTCGGACGGTGGCGATAGTAGCCTGCTCATTTTGGGCTGATGAATGATGAATGATAGGTTTCGCTTCTGAATTCAAAGTCGCAAAGTTAAGTCGCAGCTTCAAGGATACACAAATGGATGTCGGATGTTGAATCGCAAAGTCGCAAAGGGAGCCGGTGTTTTTCTGCCGGGAGATTAGTTCACCGCCTTTGGCTGCTCTAACCAATCCGATGACGCAAATGCATGCGACGCTGTATGTCTTCTTCCACCAAATGCAAAAGAAGCAAATATTCGTTTCTGATTGTATCCGCTTAGAATAATTTGCGCCATCGTTCCGTTGTGATGCTTGCATGATGCAAGCGTTTGGTAGGTCGCCTTTCAGTGTTGAATGCTCGTTAATGCTGACCGATACCTTGAACAGTACCCAAAAACAGAAGAGTAAGTGGATAAACCAGTTCCATAACTTATTGTTAGATTGGCATTAACGAGGATTTTATAGCCGAGATTTGATCTCAAGCTAAGCGTAAGTCAACCTTCCGTTGGATGAAACAGCTGCCTTCTCACAGGGTCTAGATTATCGATCTCAACAATGTTCCCTTGGTCTGTGGAACATCATATGTAAAATGGCACCTGCCATCGTCAACATCCGCAGAACATCGCGGCCATACTGACCGCGCTGTCATTCAAGACCATCAGGCATCATGGGAATATGAAAAGACTCTGCCTGTCAAACTCACGATAGACCGCAACCATATGCTTCAGGAATGCGAAATATCATTCGAAATATTTCAAGAGTTCTCGTCAGGCAGTCGTGGTGATCGCATGACCTTGGGGAATATCAAGCTCAATCTTGCCGAATATGTTGATAAAAGCGACGACGAGCAGGGCATTGTGAGGCGTTATTTGATGCAGGATAGCAAAATTAATAGTACACTCAGAGTGGGAATACTGATGAAGCAAATCGATGGGGATAAGAACTTTATTGCGTTTGAGTCACACTATCTAATGCTCATTTAACATCTACGCTGACTGAAAACTGTAGCCCGAGTTTGAAAACGGCCATGGTGTTCGAAGGGATTGCTGGGATTTTACCACCAGAAAATATTGAAAATGAAGGGCCCGGTAGTCTGCCGTCGATCAACATCAGTAGGGAGACTGGCGACCTGCAGGATATGTATCGCCGGACATTGGCAGCCTCATGGACTTGCCATAGGGATGAGCTCTTGCCAGATCAGCTAATCGAGGACCTCTTCGGCGGTGGGCTCGGATATCCTTCTACTAGATCGAGTGCCCGCTCAGAACGTATATTAGACGATTTTGATGACAGTATCAGCGACACGGGGTCTCGTATGACTATTCAAGATCTTGGAACATCGCCGAATCCGGAGAAACGACCAAAGAGTTCCTTGAGTAACCATTCACGGCAGGATCTTAAAGATACAGATAGCACTTTAAGTGGCAGCACTATTAGCGGTGGTGGCCGCGGCAGCTTGGAGAGTTCTTTCCAAGAAACCAAAGAGAGACGATGGCGAAACCCGCGACGAACCCATGAGATATCTGAATTTGATGTTCGAGATGATTTAAGAACATGGGAGATCACCGTAAACGATTGAAGGGATGTATTTTGGTGAAGGATTTGACGAATATAAGATTGTTTAATAAAACAGAGGCTCCTCTGACTGGGGTATATTGGACCATGATTGATTACAGCCAAACCTCGCGGTTTGGTCATTATTGGCTGTTAAAATACATTTTATTGATTATTACCTGACTACTAATACATGCATGCTAGTCTATATTTTTTTTTCAAGCCTTAATCAGCATCAAAATTCCACACCACGGAATTTAACTCTCGCTCTTGGTGTATTAGTAAGATCGTGAATCAGCTGCAGCTCCCCTCATACACAACGTCCTAATAAATGCCTGGAATAATTTTGTATCGTACTAGGGATTTATATTTTTCCCAGTCCTTGCCATACTTTTTGTGGCACTTCTCCTCATCTCTCCCCTCACGGTGAATCAACAGAATTCCAAAATATAGCACGTAAAAATACGTGAATATTGAGCCCCAACCCTGAGCCTCAGGAGTTTGAACGGCCCGTTTCTCCAATTGCCCAGTGGATGGGTTGATTGTTTCAAGCATAACATAGCCTGCAATGCCAGTTGGCAGGCAGTAGCCCCAAGACATAAGCCAGTCACCGAAATAATTGATATGACGCGCCGTTCCCCACCATCCGGATGTGATAAGCTTGGAGCCGGTCTTGGTAGTGATATATTTGAGATGCTGCACCCGAGGATCATTCGGATCTGTCCTAAATCGGTTCTTTTCGTTGTTGGCTGAACGGAAAATGTAATATCCAAGCCCGGAGACTGAAGCGATAAGGGCAAGACCATTCAAACCCATCTTGTAAGGGAAGATAGCGAGATATCTTGTTTGTGTCGAGTAGATAAATGGCACCCACACTAAATCTCCAAAGCAGAGCATATATCCGAAACCATCCATAATGATATCCATGGTTGTTAAAATAGCAGGCTCCATATAAAGGCAATCCATGACATAGAAACCCTGGACTGCCGTGATAAGAAGGATCGAATCTGTGACATACCCATGCGTGCGGTACTGGTGGGCAATATTTGCAAGATTCATAATAATCCATCCGGTCAAACCAGGTCTCACTTCACAAAAGGTACCAATGTCGATTATTTTGGATGCCTTCTCGCTTACAAAGGGAATTGGTAGAGTAATTCGAGAATTGAGTTCCCGGCCGATAAAAAAATCGTACAGGACGTTGCCAGAATGGCCTCCAGGGGCCAATTCACGATACTCGGGGTTTGGTTGACCAGGAGCAGGAATAGAAAAACTCCTCGCGTAAACATAGATGGAAAGAACAATAACAATGAGAAGGTTAGCGGACACCACTTGCAAGTAATTATCCCAAATGAATGTCCAGACAGCAAAGTCGGCACCGTATACGTAGGTCCCGGCGCCCAAGCCGGCGAAGATTAATATGGAGGAGCGAAATGCTATATAGTACCATTTAGTCTTTGCTCAAAATCCTTCATCAAACAAAACTTTCCACTCACCATTGAATTTGTAGATGTGTCGTCCACCACATGCCAGCGGGACCCCTTCCACGACCTGACCCGGCAGGACGATCTGAAGCACAATATGAAGCGCATAGTACGACAGAACCCACAACGTGACACGAGTGTTATAAATACCCATGAGTCCTTCATCGGGCCAACCGATTTCCTCCTTCAACCGATCCCATGTCAGAGTCGATGGGTGAAGAAGCGACGGTGCAGGACATCCCGAGATGTCATTGCAAAAAAATGCGAAGCAATACACGAGAATGGGTAGGATGAAAACAATGCCAAAAGCACCTAATCTGCTCGTTGTCAGCAGGAGTCTAAGATGCGAGTACGGGCAACATACGGTCCGCCAAATTCATAACCTCTTTTCTCTGGCACAGGCTGAATTGGCACAGCAGACTTTGAGTCTTTTTTGGGCCCCATCTTTGAGAATAGGAGTGAGAGGATGGAAGGAGAACTGAATGTTCAGAGCCAGTTGTCGTCGAGATAAAATAGAGCAAATTCAAAAAGAGGGTGGGCCGCTTGCTTTATGTGCTTGGCTCCCCACAGTACAGAGACGGGGTAGCTCAAGCTGCAGACAGTGGGTGCCCTGATGATCGGCACCCTTTATAAGACCGGATGCTGCCCTTCCGCGTGAGACGATGATCGTGGATTTATGAACGGTTCTTGGATGCGACGAGCCATACTAACCTGACTAAGGGCCTGAAGCTCTTGGCAAAAAACCCAACATGATGGCGGCCCCTTACTGGATGCAGTTTAGGGCCACCGCAGCTCTCCGCACGAGGGGTCCAGACAGGAGACTGGCCAGTGAAACAGTAGCGTCCTGTCCTGTGTCATGTCAGACTATGTCGGCAGGACTGTCCTTTTCGAACGGCTTCACCTGCTCTTTTTTTCTATCGCCAATATAAGCTCCAGGGTCAAACATTGCTTTCAGCTCGAAGTACTGCTCGTCCATTCTTTCTTTTCTCATATCCTTCAGATCCGGTGCGCAGAGACCAGGCAGCGATGCAGGTGCTGACGCGGCCGGTCTGGGTCGTTGCTTTAAGCATCCTCTCACTTCCTCTGTCGCAAGTAACCCAGGCTGCATCTAATCCGCAGGCCCCGAAGGCTCCGGCGAAACCATGCACTGTTCAGTCGACGACGACAGGCTCGTATTTTGATCTCAACCCCATCGCCCTTGCGCCGCCGGAATTGAAGGATGGGAGGAAAGTACACAAGACCGATCGAGACACAAGTTGGCAAGCACAAGGCCATGATTATGGCACGAATTTCACAGTCAATATATGTGCGCCGGTGATTGAAACCGTAAAAGACGTGGTTGGGGTCGACAAGAGCCGGTGGCAGAATGTGAGCGCGTACTATCAGCAAGACGGCAAGATATATTCTATCGGGTAGGTTCACCAAGCTACTACATGCTCTGCACTTGACTGACTTTCACCTAGGGAACAGGCTTCAGAACCTATCTTCCGTGGCCGGCGATTGGTACTGAATTATACCAACGGCTCGCCTTGTCCCAGCTCGAAAGCAACATTTTTCGAATCACGTTCCATTGATGACGATGAGTCGACAGCATACGGACATAATTATTATAACAAAGGCATCTCTTCAACAAAAGATACAGAGTCAGTCCGGAAGAAGTCGACCATCTTGTCTTTTCTCTGCGACCGCGATGCACATAATGCGCAAGCGACTGTATCATTTGTCGGCACGATGGATTCTTGCACGTACTTTTTCGAGGTCAGAAGTTCTGCAGCCTGTGGAGGTGTTGCCGCCGCACCACAGGGTGGTCTAGGACCAGCTGGTGTCTTTGGGGTCATGTAAGTGTATATCCGGGCAGTCGTTTATATCATGCTCAACTATGTTCCATTTAGTGCCCTCATCGCTGTTATTGTGTATCTCGTCGGAGGCTGTGCATATCAACGCACAGTAATGCATCAACGTGGTTGGAGACAGTGTCCGAATTTCAGCATGTGGTCTGATGTACTCGGATTCATAAGTGTACGTCCAAACTAATCTTTTGATCCCAGTGTTGAATCACCTCATTTGAACCTAACTAACTACCTCTCCTCTAATAGGATTTTTTCATCATTTTATTCTCCTCATTGACTCGTTGCTTCACCAAAAAGGACGGCTCGGCGAGTTATTCACATCTCAATGGATCTGGCGCACAGCGCCGCGGCCTAATAGGGGCAATTGGTGGCCGCGGGGGAAGTAATCGAGCAAATAGGGGGGATGTGGATGCTGAGAATCGCTTGATTGATCAGTTAGACGAGGAATGGAATGATTGATCGTGTATATTTATGTTCTTAGCTAACCAGTCATCTTTATGCCACAGTATTTGTTATGCAATCAATGTGAAATTAATGGACAATGACACAAGACCTCACTAGCAACAGAACAAAGAGTAGAGACAGGCCAAAAATTATTAGGTGGCATAAGAATCAGGTGCAAAAATTAAAGACTGCATGCATCATCCGTGAATCGAACACGGGCCTCGTCGATGGCAACGACGAATTCTACCACTAGACCAATGATGCGATAAGATTGGATGGCTCCCATTTTGCGTTATGATCCAATCACAATGTGGAACCTCGATATGCCAAGGTAACTGCGAACATGTACTATTTTCACATCTTAAACTGACCACTTGAGTACGAAATGAAGAGAAAGCTTTTTCATCCGACATAAATTATATATATGATATACAAGAGGGTCATCAACTTGGGCCATGCCGGTTCCCCATGGCTAGGTTATATGGATTCATCACGTTAACATCAGTCGTCGCAGCACCGCCAGCACCTCCATTCATGTCATTGACACCTGGGCTTTGAATCTGCCCTGTTGTCATATCACCACCAACACCCAGTCCTGCACCAAGCGGCTCGAGATTGAATGGCAGAAACCATGAGCTCGGCTGTAGGAATTCCCCCGTGCCGGCCGGGGTGAATGCATCTGTCCAAACAGATTCGTTGCTGACATCCTGTGGCTGTGGTTGCTGCTGCGGGTTCTCGGTATTATGTATACTCAAGTCCCCAGATGCCAGAGTGGACGGGTTGATTCCAGAATACTCGCCGTATACAAAGTGTCGGTCGAGTTGTGGGATGTGGTCAGACGGGAGTCCATAATCAAAGGTGGGCGGTTCGAAGCCCTGTGGTGGACTTCGATACAACCCGGGGTCATTGAAGCCGGCATAATTAGCCCCAGTAGAATCCATCACAGCGGGCGCGTTGGACATGGTCAAGTCAACTAGCGTTTGGGGTTGTAGACTCAAGTCCGTGGTTAGCTGGGGTAAGGAATGGACAGATGACTGCTGGTTGTCCGATCTCTTTGGCAGTTTTCGCGGCCCCATTATCGTATTACTAGGTGATAAACTGGCAAAGAAGTCCTCTACACTTTGAAGGTCGGGGCGCTGTCCCATGACTGCATCGTCACCGGTCTCACTCATAGTAGTTGTGTCCGGGTCTTCCCAGTGTATCCTGGATACTCCGTGAGGGTATTTATCGAACCAATCACCATATTGAAACATTGTCGGGGCTTGTTCCCTACTATATGAAGGAACATTGGCTAGGGGTCCCCTAAGAGCCGCATCGGCAAATTGTCGATATCGATCTTTCGCACTTTCCACCATATAGTGAAACATTCCCCAGTAACGCTTCATCTGATTCAGATAGCGGTAAGTGTGCCGCAAATTTTCCTTTGACCGAGCTTCTAGCTGGGCGTTTTTGGAGAATATTCCCCAAATATGGACAGTGCTCGCTGAGTACGCACAATAACCTGCAAAGGGAACAGTTAGGGAGTGGCCGCTTGCCTTGTCAATCAAAGTGGAAATATGGTGCGCTGCCTCAACTGCAGCTCGGCCAGCGTCACTCAAAAATGCTTTGGGCATTCCTTTCGGCGGACGCCCACCTGGTGCCAAGGGTATAGCGAACTGGTTCAGAAATAGAATATTTTGGTGAATAATGATGTGTAGAAAAATGAATTGGTTAGCAACCTTTTCAGCAGCATGATCTTGAAGGTTTTCCGTGTTGAATACAAGATATTTTGGTAAAGAGGATGAAAAGACTTCGATCTCTTTCTTCAGCCTATTATAGCCAGAATTAGGATCCCACAACGGGTATGGATCCTTCCTCTTCCCGCCTAGATTGAGGTAATCGACGATGTGCCCCCATATAATGATCGCGCGAATTATATACCCCGAGACGCCCATATTCGCTTTCGGGTCTGATATCTGACCTTGCCCCTCAGGGACAGGATTTGGTACGTCACCGCTTAAGTCTTCTGTCGGGCCTGGGATTTCCATCAAGAAATGAGACTCTTTCACTGGGAGCTGTATTTGGATGAACTTTTCATTTCCAATTGGAGGGCGTTGACTCCCTGATGAATTGTACCGATCCATTAAAAAAGATGCCCACATGGTGCGTCTTCTTATCTCTCTATCCGTGCAGCTCAATTCAGATAATTTCCCATTTTGACCGAAAGGATCGCTATCAACTTCTCGATGTAGTTGCAAAGCGTAAGCCATCCTCAAGGCTTGGCCACCGAAAGACCAACTTCGACCGCCATGGCAAGTGCCAAATTCGTGGAGTCCTAAGAGGAGAAAAACCGTAAGGATTGTAATATTGGGTTCATCATGGCGACTCAATGCTATTGTTGCCGCAGGATTAGCCCAATTTTCACCTCTGAGAAAGGCTGGTTCTGAATTGATTTGCGGGTGGGTTGAAAATCGAGCCGATACGGCGCAAACAGCTAGTATCAAAACTGGAGGGATCGTCCCAGCCTTTAATTTCCGCATAAAACTTGGCTTATGTAGCAAAAGATATGATTGCCCATAGACACAGTCGAAAAATACTTCTGATAGATGCTCTTGTATCTCTACTGATGGAAGAAATTCGGCGCCTTCAGTAAGCAACCCTGTGCCTTCCAAAGACTTTCCTTCTCGACTTAAGGGAAATGCATCAGCGGTTGTAACATTCCCTGCTTGACCCATCCATGCATTCAATTCGGAGGTAAAAGCCTCATCGGCAGATCGTTTCTTTTGCACTGCTTTCGGCTGCTTTCCCTGACCCGGAGGAGGTGGTTTGACCTGGCTTCTTCCGATGGCTGTCATGTCCCTTGTCTCTCCGGCTGGAATAGCCTTGATCACTCGTTCTTCCATTCGCCTAAGCCGTTTATCTAGCATAGCCATGTAGTCTGTTCGAGGCGCGGCCTTGCGCGTAGTGACTTTGTACACGCAAGGTATGCGCGATTTCGAGCAATGTTTGCATGCTGGCTTTTCTCCTGAACATCGAATCTTCTTCCTTCGACAAGCAATGCATGCCAGCGGTAGACGTTTTCTCTCCTTGCCTGCCTTAGTTTTCAGCTCGCTCCACGCCGGCTTTTCCTTCCCATGGTCCTGCTGTCCCGGCTCATTCCCGTCATTGTGAGATTTCTCCGTGGGCGCTTGCTCGCTAGAACCATATATATTGTCACTTGTCGGGCTTAAATTGTCATCGTCAAAACTTCCTGAAGGTTGGTCGTGCGCATGAGGCCGCCCGGTAGCCTGCGATTCGGTCGCCATTAGGCTGGTCGTGGCAGATGGTTGAGTCGCATGCGCAAGAAGGCGACAGCTAAACGTCGACGCATGGTCTGCGTCGACCGTTATGAGAAGGGACTCTCTGCTCGCGGGGCAGAAGAGTGTGGCTTGCGGGTGTGGATGATGTCAATGAACGAGTCACGAACACCGAAAATGAAATCGACGGAGTAGCTGGCGTGGAGTAATTAATTATGGAGAACCCGGGCCCAACGCCAAGGAAAATATTGCGGAGTGCCATCACAATTCTTAGATCATAGTAATTAATATTTAATCATAGAACTACTTTTTGGTCTGGAACTGGTCTTGTATTCGGTATTATGTACATTCATTTGATTTACAAAATGTTTTCTATACAGCCAGGCTGCGTGATGGATCCAAGTGCATTTTCTGAGGGATTGACTCGATTGGAGTTAATAGTACAACCAAAGCCTCTAGATGCGAATAACAACCATTGATTTGATATGAAAACAGCGTCAGGAACCCTCGTTAATCAATTTTTTACTCAGTGAGGTGTTGTGCGGGAAGAGGACGACGAACAGTGGAGAGCCGGGCGAACTCTACAGCATCATTAGAATTGCTGCCCTCTTAGATACTCTGAGGAAATAAAAAGTAGTCTGGTATATTTTTGTTTCCAAAGATGAAAATGGGTTTTCTCTGTACAATTATGATATTAGTGATAAGAATCATATACATAAAAATTAGAAAGGGTTGTAATCTTGAATTCGTCTACCGAAAATATTGATGTCTGCTTTCATTATTCAAATCACTTGATATCAATTGATGATTGATATAGCCAGTCTCTCGAGATGAGAACTATCAGCATTTCCTGTTACTTAGCTGTTGCCATCAACATTGCATGCGTTAGACGAGATTTGATAAACCGCTTCAAATATGGATATGGACCAGGGTCTGACGCAGTAGATTATAGCAATACACAATTCAAGGACTGGGGAAACTTCGGAAACGTGAGGCTCCAGCTATCGTCATATCCGGTTCTTATATATTACCACAATCGAATGGACAACGTTTGAGTGGATTAATTTAACCCGTTGTCCGAGATCTTACAATACTTCTCGCAGCCATGCATCCACCTCCGGAGTCAACCAGAGAGGATTGCGTCCCTGGCAATGAATGTCAGCGCCTGATTGCGCACCCAGAGTCACGAAGCTCTTCTTGCTGGAGGGAATTACTTCATGCTACCGCTTTGCCTGATCCTTCCACAACGACCCTTCTTGTTCCCCGAGTATTGATAGAAACGGCATCTTGACTTTTCCCCGGATGCACGCTCACACCGTCCAACCGCCGGATTAACTCTGACAGGTCAGCCACGCCCGCTTTCCAAACGATTACCGAGTGGTTCTTCTGAGCTGCATCGACGCTGTAGCTCCCGCATCCTGCTCGGCTACTTTTTCAAATAGCTCAAGCGGACGTGGAAGCGGTGAGGTGGCGATAACCTCCGCGAGCTGCGATTCATGAGCTGCTGCGCGACAAGCAAGATAACCACCAATACTCATACCGAGGAGAGCCAGCTTAGACGATTCTACTACAAAGCGGGCGATTGATTCATCAATCACCGCCGCAATCGGATTCTCAACCGCAGCCTCCCAGTGGAGCCCCTGCTCTTGCACGAGTCCCTGTCCTGTAGATTAACTAAGGCAACTGAGTAGCCTCGCTCGAAAAGGTAGCGCCTTTGCGACAAAAACCGATCTTCGTGACAGGTATCTGCTCCTCCAGTGGCCAATACTGTTGGCGCTGCAGGGTCAATTGCGTGGTAAAAATGCCCAGGCAGCTTCCCACCTCCAAAACTCCCGGTGAAACGAGTCACCGGGAAACTGAGCTCTTTCATGGCTTGGTCGAAAAGCTTTTTATGGGTGCGATACAATGCTACAAAGCAAGAAGAAAAAGAGACGAGGCAAAATTTGAAAATGGCTGATACAGAGATAGAGTTAACGATTTCACCATGCCAATGTCGAGGTACAATAATAACCACAGCCTGCTGCACGGGATAGAAGGACCAGATGAATACATGGTAACGAGCTCAGAGCCATATCTCAACATATTTGGACAGTCTTCATTAGACATTGATTATTTGAGCCAGTTTGATTGGGCTAGCTGGACTTGGGCAATAAGGGCCCACTAAGTTTACGAGCCTTCGACAGCCCTACGAACTAAGTTTCTGTAGCGGTTGTGGCTTAAAACGTCTTGCTGCTTAAAAAAAGCACAGTCGAATTAGTTATTACACGAAAACTACCTCTGAGAAGAAGGTACAAGAGCGGTGTCGACCGTAAAACCACTATGCCAAAAGGGGTCCCCTCTTAGTAAGGGTAATTAACTTGGTACTAATTAGCTAACAAGCGGTCACTACTCGAGGTCCTATTGCCAATCAGAGACAATCTCAAAAATGAAGAATATTATCACACCAAGAATGGACTGGCTGGGTACTTTGGCTACATCAGGTTCAGACTGTCAGCATAAACAACATGCTCTTTCTATCATCAAGAATCGTCTGTCTTGGAAAGAGTCCAGTACTTAATCTCAACGGATTAAATCCGTGCACTCTCCTTTACTCCTTTATTTGCAAATAAAAGATTTTATGCATCAACCACGTGCTTGAAATCTTGGATCTCTGGGCCAGAAAATACAGTTGAGCGTCCGGGAAGATTCCACTGCGGGGTTGATAAGCTCATGGCGCTTAAAATGGCGTTATCGATCTATTCAAAAACGCGTAAAAAGCGTAACATTGTGGTGGGGAGCAGAACCCAGCACGATTGCCGTTCTTGATATCACTCAAGCCCTATTTCCGCTCTCGGCGACATCCATTGGGCGCTCTCATGCATCGACCCCGCTTCCTCTGAAAAACAGACTGTAAATCACACCGTCTGCTATGGGATAAAAATGTAACCCAACAAAGATTCGGCTTGAAATAGCAAGAAAAATTAATAACAAAAAAACGGGGTTCTGCTGTGCTGCCTTTGCCACTCGTTCCATAGGTGGTGCTATTGAAAGAGCCAGGCCCCTTAGAGATCACCTACGCTGTGTGGAGATTATTTTTTTTGTAGCTGGCTGTCTTTATCAATATCAGTCGATACACACGAGATAGATCCCTCCAACTATTTACATTGAGCTTTTTTCTCGAATCTGTCTGTGGCGTCTCGTTCCGCTGCCGACTGTCTTAGAGATGGCTGGGCAAGACGCCATCACGACAGACCCAAAAGTCGTAGAAATCGCTCAAACTGATAGAGAGAATTTGGTAGACGAGACGTTCAAACCCCTCAACGATAAAAAGACGGCGGCAGATCCTTTGCCGCGAGAAGTCCCAGACGGTGAAGAATCGGTGGGATCACCGGGTAGCGATGAAGCGAAATATGTGAATGGACATCCCGTCATTCAAAATGGTGAATTGTTTCCTGAAAATGTCTTTTGTTTCATTTCTAATTCGGCTGAATAGGTGCCGATATATCCAATTTTATCATCTCTGTTCGAGATGATGGCGATCCGGCCTTGACTTTCCGCTCCATCGTCCTAGGTTCCGCTTTTACGGCATTTTCGAGTGTGATAACAATGCTTTATGTTTTTAAGCCGTTTCAGATGCAGGTTTCGTTTGTCTTTTTGCAACGTAAGTTTTCAATTCTCTAAATGCGTGTGGAATTCTGTCAACTCATACATTGTGTGTTCCCGTATAGTGCTTGTCTATGTCTTTGGCGAGGCTTGGGCGCTCATCACTCCTCGCCCGGAAATATTCAAATGGGGATGGCTGCGGAGTACCCTTCGTTTTCTCAACTTTGGACAGCCCTTTGGCATTAAAGAGCACGTGGTGGCATCCTTAATTGCCTCGTCGGGCAACAATGGTCTTTCTGGAGTTGAGGTCTACGCCGTCGAGCGACTTTTCTACAATACCAGTGTGACTGCGACGACCGCAGTGCTAGGAACCTTTTCGATTTCACTCTGTGGTTTTATTCTAGCTGGTCTGTTACGACCGCTGATCGTGTACCCCGGAGAAATGGTGTATTGGTCATCATTACCACAAGTCGTTCTCTTCCAAAACCTTCATTTTGACCGAAAGGCAAATAAGGACCGTTTGAACAAATTCTCCTGGGCTCTTGGCCTTGCTTTCCTGTGGGAGATATTTCCTGCATACATCATACCTTGGCTTGGCGGCTTCTCGATTTTCTGTTTGGCGTCGATGAATGCACCAACACACACTCGAACTGTTTTTTCAACCATCTTTGGTGGAGCTTCGTCCAATGAAGGCCTAGGTTTACTGAACTTTGGGTTCGACTGGCAATACATCCAAAGCCAATATCTCTCATTTCCCCTCAAGCAGCAGCTGAACACGTGGATTGGCTATCTGATTTGGTATCCGTTGATGCTTGGGTTATACTACGGCAATGTCTGGGATGCAAAGAATTTCCCGTTCATGTCTACTGCTTTATTCACTGGAAACGGGTCGAGTTATTCCACCTCAGCAATCATGAACAACCATGGTACAATCGACTTCAACAAGGTCGAGGAGGTCGGTCTGCCATCTTTGACGTCGAGCACTGTCTGGGGTTTTCTCTCGCAAAACTTGGCTATCGGTGCATTGATCTCGCACATCATCATTTTTTACGGAAAAGACATGATTACTGCATGGAAGCAGGCCCGAAGTAGAAAGCAACCGGATCCGCACTACCAGGCAATGCTCAAATACAAGGAAGTTCCGATGTGGTGGTACCTTGCACTTTTTGCGCTGTGCTTCTTTGCTGGCTTGATTGTCAACCTCAAGGGCCAAACCACTCTTCCGGTTTGGGGATATATTGTTTCTCTTATTGTTGGTGCTTTTATTGGTCCATTTTCTTGTATTCTGTACGGCTTGTATGGAACTGGTGTTTCAACGAACCAACTGTCCAAAATGATCGCTGGCGCCCTTCATCCCGGCCGACCCTTAGCTAACCTCTACTTCGCAAGTTGGTCTCACCAGGTGATCCTTCTATCAGTCAATCTAGCCAACTGGCTCAAAGTCGGGCAATATACCAAGATCCCGCACCGGATCATGTTCGCTACCCAAATATACGGAACACTCCTTGGCGCAGCGTTGAACTACGTGGTAATGACAGTTATTGTGACCAACCAGCGAGAAATCCTCCTCGATCCAGAAGGTAACAGCGTCTGGAGTGGCTCCATAGTGCAGAGCTACAACTCGCAAGCCATCACATGGGCCCTGGCCAAGGAAACATACGGTGTGGGATCACGCTATCTCATTGTACCCCTCGGCATCGTCATCGGGTTGGGAATACCTGTCTTGCACTGGGGTATAACCAAGGTATTCCCAAGTGTGAGAAAATGGCAACTCAATACGGCCATCATCTTGTCCTATGCAGGTACGTCGTATTATGGAAATACCTCGTGGATCTCGTCGTCTATTGCGGTCGGTGTATTTTCTCAGGTATGGCTTCGGCGTCGCCTGCCTAGTATATACAACAAGTACAACTATCTCATCGGGGCCGCGCTGGATGGTGGCTCCCAGATTATGATCTTTATACTGTCCTTTGCTGTCTTCGGCGCCAGTGGGAAGGAAAACCCGTTCCCAACGTGGTGGGGGAACCCTTCTGGAAATCCAGATCACTGTGCTTAGTGTGCCATATATTAAACTCACGTGCACGTCGTATATAGTAGGTTCTATAATCTACGTATATCACAATATATGCTAAGTCCGATAACAACAGCTTTATTTGTGAGGATGCTTTGCAACTATCTCCGTCTCGCCTGTATATATTCATAATTTAGGGCGTACTGTAAAAAGCTTATGCCACAATTTTAAAGTATTAATTACTACTTTAGCTCTTGCTTATGCGTGGCGAATGCTAGACTAGTGTATTATTGAAAAATTGTACGAGGAAGAGGACCACTTTTTGTTGCATGAAGGCACCAACAAGATATTGTGGGGATTAAGTCCTCTAAACCCCGCGATTTATCTCCGATATAGACGATTGTTTCTGAGAGACAATTGATGAAGAAGTTGTTATAAAGATACATATCATGAAGAAAATTTATACTCTAATAATACTTCAATATTCGATTCTTTTTAAAAACTCATACAAAATCCCATAAACAATCATGGCAGCCAAGCAAATCGTTACCCTTATCACCGGTAAGCCCCCGTAACAGCGACGTGAGGTTAATCAAGTCTAACCCTAATAACTTCAACCCTCCAGGTGCCAATCAAGGCATTGGCTTCGAAACAGCCAAGAACCTCGTCCTCAGTTCAAACGCCTATCATGTAATCATTGGGAGCCGCGACGCCAACAGAGGCACCAAAGCAGTCTCCGAGCTCCAATCCCTCGCCGACATCAAAGGAACACTCGATACAGTACAAATCGACGTCACCGACGACAACTCCGTCGACAGAGCGGCCGAACACATTCAATCCAAATACGGTCGTCTGGATATCCTGGTCAACAACGCCGGGGTCAACAATCTCAATCCGGCGGTGAGAGAAAGCATGCGCAGCATCTACGCCGTCAACGTGATTGGCGTGGCCAGCGTGACAGAGGCCTTTCTGCCCTTGCTCAGGAAATCGGATGCGCCGAGGGTGGTGTTTGTTAGTTCGAGTATGGGGTCAATCGCATATGCGTCAGATAAGAATTCACCGTATTATCGGCCGCAGGGAATCCCGTATAGGAGCAGCAAAGCGGCGCTAAATATGATGATAGCAATGTATTCACATTCGCTGAGTCTAGAAGAGAAGGATTTCAAGGTGTTTGGTGCTGATCCAGGACTGAATGCGACGAATTTGGTGGGTGATGCGGCTTCTCTTAGGGCTAGAGGTGCGGTGGAACCTTATGTTGGCGGAGGGATTATCGCAGCGGTGGCTAAGGGGGAAAGAGATGCAGATGTGGGACGAGTTTGTAGTATTGATGGTGTTGTGGAATGGTAAGATATTGATTGCTCGATTGATTTTATTAAGAGGTTGTAAGTATAATATTACGCTATTGAAGTGTACAAATATATCAAATAGAAATATTTCTGCATGATGCAGATCATAAGACTTTTAATAATTATTCACATATCACATTGAAATGTTGAGATCCATTCTTCATATCCGTCTTTGGTCACTGTCTATAATAATCATCGCCTATACGTGAGAGTGATCTCCAGGCGATCCAAGTGAGGACCCTGGCGCGCAAGGCCAGAATCATAAGCAGATGTTATTTAAGAGCTTTTGACGCGTCCTCCTTTCGCCGGTCGTGGGGCTGCAGCTTCGAGCGCATACAAAATCTCACCTCCGAGTACATAGATCATGTAAGTTGGGAAGATGAGCCAGAGGCCACTGTGAGCAATATTAGCAATATCATCTAATCGAGTAGATATTAAGTTCTTACTTGGGAATAATCCATAAAAAGACCAAGTTGGAGAGGTTGTTGTGCCCGATATTGTCAAAGCCGGAGAACAATTCATTGAGCCCTAGGATTTGGTTAATATTGAGCATAAGATATTTCAGAGGACAGGGGAATTGAAGTACTGACAGTACAAAACTGTTTTGCTCAAAGTCGCGATACTAGCGCTGAAAGCGATGATCAGAGCAAGACCGCCAATGCGACCAGGCACCACTTTCTCGTCGAGAAGGAACCACGACAGGCCCTTCTTGACCTTCTTTGTCGATGCGCGACCCGTGTTGGTCGCGGAGGTCCCATGGAGATAGACCACGGCCAGGTAAAAAATGTAAGCCGCAGTCTCAACAATATTCAGAGCGCCCTGCGCCGCAGTAAACCCGTTACGCGCATTGAACGCAGGCCAGCCATAGACATAATCGACAGTACCATAAAGCGCGTACGGGGACCAGATGGGCGAGTGGAATTTCCCACCGGGCATACTGTGTGGGCGCAGGAAGATGTAGCCCGAATCCCAAATTACCAGAGGGACTGAAATCAACAGCCAAACGAGGACTACCGCGGAAGGTGTGTGGACGCCTTTGCGCACATTGCTGTTCGGCGCTGGCGACGATCGTGCGACCGACTTGGAGACATCATTTGGAGGTGATGATGGAATGCTCCCAGGCGTTGTAGGAGCTGGGAAGTCCCTTGGGTGGTGTCTGGTGCTCACCATAGTGCAGGGGTTTTCTTTTGAAGTCGGGCTGAGTCGCTTAAGCAAAATGTGTGCAAAAAAAGGTTGGAGGCGCGCGTATTGAAGGTGGTAGGAGACAGGGAATGGCTTGCGCGCTGGTTGAAGAGGCGCAAACAACGCATTGGCGGGTTATAAGCACGGCGGGGGGCAAGCTAAACGCTGGCTGCTTCACCGTGTGACGTCGCGCCCTATTCCGGGGGAACTGCAGCTCCTGATCGGGCTAGCCGCCTGCTGCGCTGCTTCCCGATTCGGCGTTGCACAACATGATTGGCTGGAGCCCAAAATTCAGCATCTGAAGGAGGTTAGGCGGAAATGCTTTCGGAAAGCACCAATCAAGGAAACAGATCACTAGAACGCTAACGCTTTGAACACTAGTTTTCTGTGTCATCCAATAAAATCAAAGAAATGAGCTCGTGGAGCTGACTTTGCCGGTGGCGGCACTAGCCTTCCCAAAATAGGAAGGCCCGTTTGATAAGCATTGTGCCGGGAAATTACGTCCAGGCCCAGACGTCCAGGCAGAGAGTAAGGAAGGCTGTAGTGTCTAGAAATGCTGTGGTTTGATTGCTACACCTTTTTAGCATGATGATCTGGAATCCCTGCCACCATGAGCAGTCTACATAATGATGAGGTGACCGATCTCCTTCCTTTGTAAGCGGCGAATATAGACTGATGGACGGAATCTGCAGAAATCGAATCGCCTGGCGCGCGTACGGGAAAATCAGCGCAGAAGCCGTGCTCGAAAGCAACAATACATCGAGGAATTGGAGCAAAAAGTAGCGGCCTGCAATGCGAAAGCACAGCAGGCAGACATCGACCACCGAATTTCTCTCCAGAAGCTGGAGCTTGAAAATACAAATTTGCGAGCCTTGCTGAACCGGGCGGGGTTCGACAGCGCCTATGTCGAGACGTATCTTGGTCAATGCTCCAATCCAGCAACATCGGCGAAGGTCGCTATTCCAGCGCTCAAGAAATCTTCCTCATGCCAGCAGTCACCTAGCCCAAGTGCTACTCTTCCGTCCGCAATAAACACTCCTGAACAGTGTTTACCGAGCCCGTCGAGCACAGGAGGATCAGACAACAGTTGTACATCAAAGTCTAAGTGCGGGTCTGGATGCGCTCCAAGGTCGAATTCGAATATAATGCCTATTATTCCGACTGTGCCATCTGAACCATCCATACCTTCGGCCGTGACAGTAGAGGCCCCAGAGATGACTGCAGCAGTAAATACCCAGGCTGTGAGGCTGCCGCCAATTGCATCTATATGTGACTGTGGACCACGGTCAGCCGAATACTGGCCCGATGATGAAAACTCACTCAACACGACTGTCTGCCACATTGCCGAAGACATGATCAGTCGATACAATATCCAAGGAGTTGATATCAACTTGATAAAACAAAGACTGTGGTCTGGGTTTCGCAATAGCCGGGATGGGTGTCGAGTACAGAATAATGTACTATTTGAAGTTTTAGACGAGCTCAGTGGGAATATTCCCTAGAGAAGGAAAATTAACACATTTCCCTCAAGGTAAATAGTGTTAAAGACTTGTCGACTCGTCATTACATCGCCTTGCCAGCTTTGTTCTATCTCAGCAACCCTCACATTGCTTCGCGTTTCTACGCGTATTCCTATAGAGAGGCTGGTCTTGCTGGGGTATTCTATACCTGCTAGTTGTCTAGCAAGCTCGTTTCACAACGCATTGCATTGTCATGAGCTTGCCCCTACAGAAGGATCTAGCCATGACGTATGCCTCACTTATTCAGTCTTTACTGTGAGCATTCTTACAATTGCGTGCCAGGCTGCTGTTTTGGTCTTCAACCGAACATCAGGCGATATCACCCGAATATGACCGGAAAGACACCAATATGTACACTCGGGGAATTCCTCCGCAATTTCGCCCCCTGCTCTAGTGTTCGGCTTATGCTTAGCATCCGTTACCGGCACCTCCTCAGATGTAACAAGACTTTTATATACTCATAATTATCATGACAATGAACGAATTCCATTGTCCTCATATATATACAACCCCCCTCTTCATAGGCTGTACTTCTCTGCTCATAAAAGTCACATGCATTTTCTCCGATTCACAACCATACACAACAGCCCCATACATAAGGTCCTTCTCATCTGCCCCTTCGTCACCCTTTGGCAGGTGACACACGGTCCTCAAGGCAAGACTGCAATTCGCCAGAACAGGCACTCTCACTTCGAAAGCAAATATCTTAGGGCTAGCATCATTAGAGTCAACAGCAAAACAAGACCTATCAAACCTGCAGCAAGTATCCCAACAGAACTTTAACCCGCTACAGTGGTAATGTCGTAGTTGGTAGATCCAGATCCATCCGTGAGGTTCTGTTGCCAGAACGAGATGCTGTACACTCCTTGCGTGGAGTCCCACGAGACGAGTTAATCGAAGCCAAGTGCCTAGACTAGATCGCTATTTCCCTGGCCGTATTGTTAAAATTAGGTGCCAAAGAAATCGTGGAAGCAAGGCTAACTAGAAGGTAGTATTGAATGAAGCCTTTGAGATGTTGAGATTGAATCATCTTGATTACGGACAGATATATACAAGCTCTCGCTATTCCCCAGACTTAGAGCGGAGTAAACTATAGATCAGCAGTCAATAAATTTAAACAATAGTAATGGTGAACAGTGTGAATTCCATGCTAGGGGCTGAATCACGTCAGATTTACACCCCGACTCGTTAGCTAATGAGCGCAAGGCGTACATACGTAGTATTGCTGATAGCAGCAATTTTAATTAGTGTTTCAGTTGTCTCTATACTTATTCTAAAACCGCATCTTTGCTTTTTCCCGCCAAAATGATGCCGTCAGACATTATGATTTTAGTTTTCAAGCTGCATAGCCGGGAGGTTCTGTATACTAGCCTTAACCCTAACCCTATATTAGTGAAAGCTCTCCCTAACCACCACAATACCCCTGAATGGCATATAATTACATGCTGGCAGATTTACTCCATCAACCAATTGACTGCGAGACACCATTTTTATCTGGTGACATAACAACTAGTCTTCCGAAGCAGCAGATGTGTTGGCCTGACGCAGAGCCTCGTCGTACTCTACTCATACGGCTGAAACTGTTTGCATAGCACCGACCTAAATCCTTTTCGTGCTGGCCATGGTGTGTTCTACAAATAGCTGCTATAAGAGTTTACACCTAGACTGAAAAACGACGCAGCAATTTTTCTAGCTTAATATTGAGGTAAATTCTCGACTCATTTACAACCTAACAACTGCGACCCACCACGCTCCAGAAATTCTTTGTCACTTTCTCGGTATATTATTTTCCCTTTAAATTTGAGTAAATGTTGTCAATCGACATGAAATTATGAAGTATGATATTTGCGTTCCATTCGTAACTAGTGTTTTTGATTCTTAAAAATCAAAAATCTATAATGGAATGTTTGAATGGGAATCGAAAAACCTAGGAAAATTGAGCAGAAGTCTTCTTTGAATAGGCAACTTATTGCCCTTCACTAGGCACGATATGATATTCTAGGATGTCGTGTAACTACCCTGGGTTTCACGATCTGGTCTAAAGTGCCCCACGAATCAAGAGACCTTGTGGGATCGAAGACCTAGGACTTTCAAAACATAGAAGAGTTGAGAGCGACAAAATCTGCATAGTCGGATGACTGGCGTAAAATTTGGCCACAGTGTCGTGGATTTGGCTCACGCTCCAACCATCATATGAGTTATCTCAACACAGACCCTTCTTGGAAGGGCCCAGCCAGAGGAGAATCGGCGAATTAGCAGCTAAACGGCTAGCTGTAATATATTGATAGACTTGGTAGGTCTAAACGACGAAAGGCTTAATTTAGACATCTGTGCGCAGGACTTACTGGGCCAAGCGATATTTGACCGGGTATGGCTCCCTAGACTTGTGATATTGCGCACCCAGTGAGTTTGAGTTCGAAACTATAAATGCATCATAAGATCATGAGACGCTGACATGCTATTGGTTCTTATGGGAGTAGCTACATGTAGTTAACGTGCACTAAGTAGTGGAGCCGACTTTCCTGATATACCCTAGGCTTGAGAGGCCAAGCCAATTAAGAGGGGCATATGTGATTGAACTATATAAATGGGTCCAGGGATTAGTCGCGATCGGCGATTACATGATCGTCATGCTGGTGCTTCAGGTCTGAACCGCTAAATATTCTGACACGATGATATCCCTTGCAGCAATCTGTGCGACAATATTTTCGCCTCGGTAGAATCTAACTGACAACTAATTCTCTAGCTAAGAAATTCTAAGAGCTAGGCATATCTGCCTAAGCATCGGCCAAGCATCGAGAACGGCGAATCATCGGTCATTTATGAGGATTCTAAGCTCCGGTTCCTGCACAATGGTGCGGAGTATTACAAGAGAGTGGGAATCAGCCGGATACTATGTGGGAATCTGTCCTCACAGTGAAATTCACTTGCACTGTATAAGCACGACCGGCTTGACTGTTTGAATTCTGACCAGGGATCTTCGTGGTCAAGATGCGCTTCACTTTTTTAACGAGTGTTGCTAGCGTCTTTGCGGCTGAACAGTTGATAATTGCGAACCCGCCCGCTCTGGAACGTTACATATTGAATGAGGGCCGGCGATCTATTCTGGGGATTTTAGAAAACCTAGGCGTTAAAGGCAACAAGGCACCGGGTGCGGCGGCTGGTTTATTTATTGCCAGTCCTAACACAGTGAACCCAGACTGTAAGTCATAGATTTGAGCTCGCAGGCACTGCTCTGATCTCATTTGCCAGACTTTTATTCATGGACTCGTGATTCGGCCCTTACCATTAAATGCTTAATTGACCTGTTCGTCAACGGTGGTGGGCACTATGGAACCAATCAGAACGGATTGGAAATCGATATTCGGAATTATGTCTCTGCACAGGCAGTGTTGCAGAATGTATCCAATCCATCGGGGACTCTAGAAGACGGCACCGGACTTGGTGAACCGAAGTTTGAGATTAACTTGAACCCATTCTCCGGTTCCTGGGGCCGGCCTCAGCGTGATGGGCCCGCCCTTCGGGCGACCGCTATGGTCACATACGCAGACTGGTTGGTTTCCCAAGGTCAGGTAGCTGAAGCCGCGGAAATCATGTGGCCCATAATTGCGAATGATTTAGCATATGTGAGTCAGTACTGGAACGACACAGGTTTCGACCTCTGGGAAGAGATAGATGGATCATCCTTTTTCACCTTGGCTGTCCAGCATCGTGCACTCGTCCAGGGATCAAGTCTTGCACAGAAACTTGGAAAATCCTGCTCTGCTTGTCTATCCCAGGCACCTCAGATTCTTTGCTTTCTACAGAGCTTCTGGAATGGAAAATACATCACCGCCAACATCAACCTCGGCACTAGTCGCTCTGGTATCGATATAAACACGGTTTTGGGAAGCATCCATACCTTTGATCCGGAAGCCTCGTGCGATGATTCGACTTTTCAACCTTGCTCAGCCAGGGCTCTGGCAAACCATAAAGAGTATGTCGATGCGTTTCGTTCGATCTATAAAATCAATGCCGGCATTCCCGAGGGCTCAGCCGCCAATGTCGGCCGTTACCCAGAAGATGTCTACCAAGGGGGTAATCCATGGTAGGTCTATATCTACGCTGATTGTCTAGATTTTATTGCTCCAGTAAGCTAACAAATGTTGACTTTACGTAGGTATCTCGCCCCTCTGGCAACGGCTGAAATGCTCTACGATGCCTTATACCAATGGAAAAAAATTGGTACTCTCGATGTCACCGAGACCTCGCTGGCATTCTTTAGAGATTTTGATCTTTCTGTGAAAACAGGTTCATACTCGGCTCACAGTCAATCCTACAAGACTCTCACCTCAGCCATTCGAACTTATGCAGACGATTTCTTACGTCTCGTCCAACACTACACTCCTCCAAACGGATCATTGGCTGAGCAATATAATCGGGATACCGGCATCCCACTGTCGGCCAATGATCTGACTTGGTCTTATGCTTCCTTCTTAACAGCTGTCCAGCGTCGTGCTTCCATTGTGCCTCGCTCGTGGGGCGAAAGATCTGCAAATATCGTTCCCACCACCTGCTCAGCATCTCCTGTGTTGGGGAATTATCAGGCCGTCGCTTCTACATTCCCGACTTCCACTAGGTGTGTTCCCGCGACTAGTGTTGTACCGATCACATTTTACTTGACTGAGAACACGTTTTATGGAGAAAATGTCTACGTGGCTGGCAATATTAGTGCACTCGGCAACTGGAATACGAGTGAAGGGTTTCCGCTCACAGCATCCTTATACACCGAGGCAGACCACTTGTGGTTTGGTAGCGTCGAGTTGGTTTCGGCTGGTACCGTATTCAAATATAAATACTACAAAATTGAACCAAACGGCGCGGCTATTTTTGAGAAAGGTGAGGACAGAATATACACTGTTCCTACTGGCTGTCCGATCCAGCCTAGTCTACACGATGTGTGGCAGTCTTGATTGCTGCTTTCCGCATGAGCATCGTCCATGTTAATTTATAATCGGACACGAAAAGGACAAAACTTGATTATGTACACCATTTAATAGAGATAGGGTACGCAAAATCTCTTATTGTTAAGGTACTTCTGACCTGTCCCACATTCGATAATTCCTGATCAGGAATCCTAAATCATGTGATGAAACTAGCATGCAACTTGAGTCCTAGTTAATGGCCGCCAGCTCCGGTCCTAAATACATATGACAGTATAATATAAGCAGATAAATAGAAGCTGGTGTGTCCTGGACACCCTGCATTGCTGCTAGGGCTTCTGTTCTGGGTCTTGGAAACCATTGAGGGATCGCCAGCTAACTTCACCTATACTGTTTTACTAATAAATTACATGAAGCACCATATTTCTTTGGGTAGATCTGGCTAATTCTATGCATGGATCTGCTGTTGGTGGCCTAGTGGCCGCCACCAACAAAAGTTTCTCGGTTTCATTGGTTTATCGATACAATTAATCAACTACAACGCTTATATCGACCTCTTGGAATTACGCAAATTATCAGATTTAACATAACAAAGCTATACAAATGATATACGTCACATAAACTTCAATCTATAGGTCGCTGGTTTCTTGCTATATGTAACCTTCTAATTTATCTTGGTTTGTGCCGATATCTTTACTTTCGTTTCGATAACTTTTTGGGTGATCACTCCTCAAAATAGAGTTTCAATCGCCTTAGTGTCCATGGCGATGCTATTGTCGCTCATTAAACTATTATTATCTGAGGTCACCATATCTACATCTAGTGATGCTTTGCCTTCTCAATCTATTAATATCTTAGGTTGATTGAGATTAAGCCATCCCCAGTAAATGCCTGCAAAATGAAATTGGGTGATTTTCTCTTCGAGTTGAGTTTTCCAACGTCGACTTTGTTCGGTGTCGATGACAGTGCCCATTGCTGTATTTTCAGCCTGCTTGATGACTTTTGCCAAAGAATGGCCGTGGGAAATCGACGAGAGGAGAATTCCAGCTATTAGAGTCTCTGCTTCAGTTTGTTCTGCATGCTCAGGTAGTATTTGGTCCCACGATAGTGATCTAGAGGGTACTGACAATATATCTCTAACAGCGCCCACCACGTCGTGCAATCCTCGTGAGAGTTTGAACAATTTCAAATAGACTTCTATGTTGTCTAAAGGACTTGTTGGTCAACTCACCAGTTTCAACGCTGGTAGAACTCCGTTTGCAGGCTTTAAAAAGCAGATATAACGATCAGACATTGCAGACTTTTTGTGGAGGAACTTTCCAGTTTCCTCCTTTCTCAAGAACGTACAGGTTGCCGCTAGCATATTGATTAATATTATTTGGCATGTTTCTGAATACTCCAGCAGAGACTGGTTGGGAACTATACGCTCCTTTTTCTTCCGACCCTTCTATGAGCTCCGCATAGACATTACTGAACCCTCTGTTAGGTCTACATCTGTAGGAAATCCTGCGACCTATTCTCAGTCTAGATTTCAATGTTCTTTGTTGTTATCGTATATCATGTCCACACCAGAGGACTGTCAGCCATGGGGTTTACATGTAAATATGACATTGAAAAGTTGGGAATCAATATTGTTATCTTCACATAAGTAAACAATTATACAATGGTTCATGATTATATGTGTATTTCGTCTATTCTGATACTATAAGCTCGATATTAGTTTATCAATTGAGGAAAACGAATAGCATTGAATATACAGAATATAGGTTTTAACTATCAACTGATACACACTATACAACCACACATCTGCATGATTTAGATAACAAAGCTAGTCATCATCAATGTCCACAAAACCGATGCACTACAATCATATCCAATGCGCCACAGCTTCCAGTTTGGATTTAGGGCCGAATCGGCTTCCTAAACAGGACACGGGCTATGCATATAGGGTTTTAGTGGGCACCAGAGCTTATTCGGCATTTAAATTCCAATACATCTGCCAGTTATTGAAGCATGGACGTCTTACATTTTAGATATTGATTTATTATATACGACTGCATATGTACCGCTCATAACAATTCCAAATGCCCAACGTCGGTCGACCAAGTCGTGACTGTCATGCATGTCGGCAACGACGCATCAAGGTCAGCGTCTAATTACCCAGAGTTTAAATGGTTCAGCCTTACTGAATCCGATACGTATGTATCTGTATATAGTGCGACCTCTTACGCCCTGGATGTAGTCAGTGCAAAAGGAAAAAAGTACATTGTCCAGGCTATAGAGATGAAACCAGCACATCATTTCGCATCGAAACACCCTTGACCATAGCAACGCATGTGAAGAAATCGAACCGTCGCAAACCAGAAAATAAAGAATCCCCGACATCTCCTCACGAAAGCGAGATTATGCAAGAGCTTTCGCTGCTGCAGGTTGATCCGGCCCGGTTATTTGTCTCACAGGAGTTTTTTCAACGGATCCGCAAGTGTGAGCAATGGGCAGATGCCAAATATTTTGGGAAAAGTTTGGCTTGGTTTTTGGATCGTTCGAGGTTTGGCTGATACTGGTTGTACTAGTTCTATGCAATCATGTCAATACGGATTTTCGGCACCACCCCTTTTTGCAAACCGCCGTCGCAGTATCGGTCGTTCATGCACCCTTGATGAGCAGCAAAATCCTGAATGCCTCGCTGTGGGATGATGTGAATGGTCCATCGGGACAGATTACTCGCATAACACAATGCCAGCGCCAGATCACGATGAGTCTACTCGCAGAGTCCTTATCAAACGGGAATGAAAGCTTGAGTGATTCCACTATTGCTACCCTGGAGGGACTAATTATATACGAGGTTTGTTATGGACTGAGCCATATCTGAAGGAAAGTCGGACTTTTCTTGCTGATGATACACAAGCTTATTGATGGTAATCTCGACTTCCTTCAAAAATATATGGAACAGCTGGAAGAAATGATCTACCAAAGAGGCGGCCTCGATGCTTTGGGTTTCGATGGGCATATGAAGAATACTGTGTTGGTGTGAGTTGTGAAAAGTGCAATGCGTATTATATGGAGAGCTAATAGATGGAACATGAAGTATCTGGGAACTACAAAGAGTCATCCAAGCCTTGGCAGGGTTTGGGTCTGTAATCGAGCCAACACCGGCTATCGCAGAAGTGGTTTGTCAACCATTAAACCTCAGACTCTTCACTTTCCAAAACGAGATGAATATGGCACCGGAAATGAGTCTTCTTTTGGGGAATTTCTTCGGGATCATTACCCTTCCCATTCACTATGAAGTCAACCCTCAGGCTCGACAGCACTTTGACCATCAATGGGGTTTACTACATGCATACTTTTTGACCTTGAAAAATAACAACAATTTGAACAACTATCCCGACCCGCGGGCCCCAGTGATCATCGAAGCAGCACTACTATTCGCCACATACACAGATCGAAAATTTGTATTAGATGAAAAATCATACCCGGCGTTCCAAGAACTCCTCCGTAAAACAGATATTAGCAAGCTCTGGTGCGGACTTCCCGGCGCCTTGGTCTGGTGTCTGGTTATCGGCGTCCGGTGCTCTGCTTCTAACACCTGGCTCAGGAGATGGCTGTTGGTGCAACTGACTCAGGTTGCATGGCCGCTTGCTATCGATACGCCGGATGACGTATTAACCAGTTTTCGGCTGGTTCTGAAGGGATTAGATGCGCGGGGGCCATCTTCATCTTATATGGGCGAGAGTAGATTTATTGAGATTTAGAATCTCAAGGAACTCGTCAGGCATTGAAGTAGGTCAGTGTAAAATAGTGACGTATTATGCATACATACAATCTATACTAACAAGGACCAATCAATAGTCCCTAGATCAGACTTATTCTGCGGAGATCGAGTCTAGATCACCATCTCATCACGGGACACGATCACGACTGTCATGAATTATACATAGTCACACAATTTGCGAATTTCATGCATGAAAGTGCGGGGAAGTAGACTGCCATTCGACGAATTCACGGTATCACTGGTCCCAGCTTTCATATTCGCACGGTAGATATGCTGGCTGACGCATCTCCGGCATTACTCCGGCGGCGGCCCAGCTGATGCTACCTAGAGCCGTGGCCGACGACCACGTTGCCACGAGGCTTTGCGCTATACTCTATCGTTCTATTATGATATCCATACTACTACGTGCTAGAGGCTTGAGCGTCGACCGTGGTTCTCCCCGACGGCAAGCTGGGGTTGATCCTATTGGCTGGCCTCGTACCCCCTCTTTAGATGGATCAGCCGAAGTTCAGCCGGATCTCTTTTTTTTTTCATTTCAAATAATCACAAATTTCCGAAGGATAAGTCTGCATTTATAGGCCGTTCTGCACTCGTCTAGCCATGCAGCCCCATCTTCCAGAAGCTGTCAGACGTGAGCGGGTGAAACGAAACACGGTTAAGTAGAAGTGCTACTGGAGAGCTGACCAAGACTGTTTTAGTCTGATCGGCAGGGGATCTTTCTTTTCTTTTCTCGAAGCACACGTACTGCAGGATTTAGTATTGACAGAAAACGAGCGAGACGATGTGACAATAGACGGAGACAGCATTTAATTGACCCTAATTAGTCAAGTAACTTTATGTTAACTAGTTAATTATGAGAACAAGAGCACAGCCAAGCGGATTTCCGGCATTGGGCCTAGCGCGCCCCGCAGTGCGCCCGGAGCAGAAACTGGAGCGTCGATCCCCCGGTTCTGTTTACTACGTATTGCTTATGACGTGTTACGCACCCGATGATTCTGATATTCTGTCCATGTGTATCCATGTGATATGTATTACCACCGACTGGTATATAATAATATGGACACCATCTAGTCGTTTAAATTATCATAGAATATCGATATCCTGCTATGTGTACATCTCCCTGCATGCCTACGCGTGGCGTGGCAAAGGGCGTGCCTCTGTACTCCCACTTGCTTCCCACGATGATCGGAATGTCATTCATCGGAGGCTATATTCACGTTACAGTACAAGGGCGACTGCGTATGCAAGATCTCGAATCGAGATTGATAGTAGTGGATAATAATATTTTATAAAAATAATAACATCAAATTTTTTGGCGAATGTTTTCATGGTTACATCGCGGTATTTAATGGGATTCAATACGGCTCCCCTGTATCTGGTATTAGGATTAAACTTGCCCTGGCGCGGGGAACCTACCACGGCCCAGCAAACTCAAATGGCGCGACAAGATACAAATACAAATGAATTACGATTGCGGCGTAATCAAGGTATAGTTGACCACTACTATTACTCTATCACTATGTAGTATGAGTATGAGTATGCAGAGGTCCACCGCAAGGGTTTGTCAGGGTGTGTCAGTGCTCACGCCGATTGTGCGGGTCGCTGCTTCCCCCTCACGCCCCCCTGCCCCGGCCTCCAGTATTTATATCCGCGCCTCCTCCTCCTCGACGTGTTCTCCCCTGACCCAGCTAGACCAGCATCAGCTGCCGACACTGAACTGAACCAGCACCATGAGGAACAGCTGGCTTGTAGCTCTGGCCACCGTCGCCATTGCGAATGCCGATGTGAGAATAGCTACCTACCCAACCAGCATTGAATGCATTGGCTGAAGCTGACCCTGACTTCTCTTGTCACAGAACTTGGCTTATTCCCCTCCGGCTTACCCAGCTCCCTGGGCTAATGGTCAGGGCGACTGGGCCGATGCCTACCAAAAAGCCGTCGACTTTGTGTCGCAATTGACCTTGGCTGAAAAGGTCAACCTGACCAGCGGTGTTGGGTATGTCGATCTGATCCGACGCCAAAGAAGAAAATACTGACGCGCGCAGCTGGGAAGGAGGACAATGTGTTGGTAACACCGGCGACATACCCAGCCAAAACTTCCGCGGCTTTTGTATGCAGGATTCACCGCTGGGTGTCCGCTTTGGTATGTTGGTGCGCAGGAGATGGAATTCAAGTTCATTGCTAACGGTTTTTTGCTAGCTGACTACGTTTCGGCTTTTCCCGCCGGTGTCAATGTCGCCGCCACCTGGAGCCGCGATCTGGCCTATGCTCGTGGCCAGGCAATGGGAGAGGAGCACCGTGGTAAAGGTGTAGATATTCAGCTCGGCCCTGTTGCCGGCCCATTGGGCAGAATTCCAGAAGGTGGCCGCAATTGGGAAGGGTTCGCCCCGGATCCTGTCTTGACAGGAAACATGATGGCCAGCACCATTGAAGGTATTCAGGATGCCGGCGTCATTGCTTGTGCTAAGCACTATATCGGTAACGAACAGGAGCACTTTCGTCAGGGCTCGCAACAAAACTATACCGTATCCGATTCCATCAGCTCCAACATCGATGATGTGACCTTGCACGAGCTGTATCTGTGGCCATTCGCCGACGCCGTGCGTGCTGGTGTCGGTTCCTTTATGTGCTCGTACAACCAAGTAAACAACAGCTACTCTTGCGGTAACAGCTATCTACTCAACCACGTGCTGAAAGGCGAGCTCGATTTCCAAGGCTTTGTCATGACTGATTGGGGTGCGCAACACAGCGGTGTCGGAGATGCCTTGGCCGGCGCTGATATGGACATGCCTGGTGATGTCGCTTTCGACAGCGGCACTGCCTTCTGGGGCTCCAACTTGACCATCGCTGTGTTGAACGGCACTGTCCCTGAGTGGCGTGTCGATGATATGGCCGTCCGTATCATGTCTGCCTACTTCAAGGTTGGCCGCGACCGTTCTCGCGTCCCGGTCAACTTTGATTCTTGGACCCAGGACACTTACGGCAACGAGTACTACTACGCCGGTGAAGGCTGGACCAAAATCAATGACCATGTCGATGTCCGTGGCGATCACGCTCAGCTCATCCGCCAAATTGGCTCCTCCAGTGCCGTTCTTCTCAAGAATACCAACGGTGCTCTCCCTCTGACCGGAAAAGAGAGGAATGTCGGTGTCTTCGGAGCGGATGCTGGATCTAACGTCAACGGTGTCGATGGCTGCGCTGACCGCGGTTGCGATGACGGCACTTTGGCTATGGGCTGGGGAAGCGGTACAGATAACTTCCCTTACCTCGTCACTCCGGAACAGGCCATCGAGGCTGCAGTCATCCAGAACGGGGGACTCTTCACCGCAGTTACCAACCAGAGTGGGATTGATTTTGCTCAAAAAGCGGCTGCTCAAGCAGAGTAAGTAGATGATTTGCTAAATGAAACAAAACTCGACTAACGCACTTAAATAGCACTTGCTTGGTTTTCGGCAACGCTGATTCTGGAGAAGGATACATTAATGTCGATGGCAACGTTGGTGATCGCAACAACTTGACCTTGTGGCAGAATGCCGAGGCTATGATCGGCGCTGTTGCCGGCGAGTGTAACAATACCATTGTTGTATTGCACACTGTTGGGCCTGTGCTTGTTGAAAGCTGGTTGCACCATCCCAACATTACTGCCGTCCTCTGGGCTGGCTTGCCTGGGCAAGAGAGTGGAAATGCCTTAGTTGATGTTCTCTATGGCAAGGTCAATCCTGGTGGTAAAACACCTTTCACCTGGGGCAAGCAACGCTCTGACTGGGGTGTTGATATTATCTATACCCCTAACAATGGCGAGGGTCCTCCCCAACAAGACTTCACTGAGGGTATCTTCATCGACTACCGCCACTTTGACAAGGCCAACGTTACCCCTACCTGGGAATTTGGCTACGGTCTGAGCTACACCACCTTCTCTTTCTCTGGTCTCAATGTCCAGCCCGAACCAGCTGCTCCTTATACCCCTGCCACTGGCAAAACTGGTGCTGCTCCCAAGTTTGGCAAAGTCCAGGGCGCTTCCGCCTACGTGTACCCCGACGACATCAACCGCATTGAAGCCTTCATCTACCCGTGGATCAACTCTACAGACCTCCACGCTTCTTCCGGCGACCCCAACTACGGCTGGCCCACGGACAAGTACGTGCCAAAGGGTGCTCAAGACCACTCTCCTCAACGGGTCCACCCAGCTGGTGGTGCTCCTGGTGGTAACCCTGGCTTGTACGACGTTGTCGCCACTGTTTCCGTGGACATTACCAACACTGGCAGCGTTGCCGGTGACGAAGTTCCTCAAGTCTACGTGTCTCTCGGTGGCCCCAACGACGCACCCAAGGTTCTCCGTGCCTTTGACCGTCTGACCATCCAACCAGGTCAATCAAAGACCTGGACCACTACATTGACCCGACGAGACGTCTCCAACTGGGACACCGTTCGTCAGAACTGGGTGGTCACCAACTACACAAAGACCGTCTACGTTGGTAACTCGTCACGGAAATTGCCGCTCAAGGCAACCTTGATCTTGAAATAATTGGATTATACTGATATTCATCTTTTTCCTTCGAAATTTCCTGTATAAATGTTGACAATTTGAAAAGTCTTTGTTTAGCGAGATTCCGCAGTCGCTAACACTCTTTATTTCTTATTTTGTCGTGTGAAAATACTCCAATTACTTAATAGCCTAATATAATTAGATGCTGCAAGTATTCTTCCAATAGTAGTATTTATTTACTTATTATGATAGACATTTTGGGGAATAGGTATGTCGTCTTAGCCAGCTATCACATGACTACCGCGGCCAGGCACAACCGACGTCATCCTAACCAGTCCGGAGCCTGCTTCAACTTCATACAGGCTTGATTTTCCACCCAACCCTTTACAACCATCCTCTCACATACCGCTCACTGTTCGCTGAGCGCTCCTCTGAGAGCCACCATGGCGACAGCGACGACCCCCCTGCGCAGCACCTCACCACCACAATTCAAGGGAAGCCGCCGACCACGCCTGCCTCCAGCACTCGCTCTAATCATATACCCCATCACCCTCGTTGTCGGCTCAATCTACTCCGTCGTCTCTCCCACCGCGCGACACCCTCGAACCTTCGAAACCGCCAGCCCTCTGACCCCATCCCTCGCCTCCGACCTCAACCTCTCCACCGAACCGCATCCCAGCCCCGTCAACTATTTCGCGCGAAAAAACAACATATTCAACCTCTACTTCGTCAAGATCGGCTGGGTGTGGATAACCGTTACCTTTCTGGCTTTACTCCTCACGCAACCGACATATACAAAAGCGCCGTCGGGACTGCGCAGCAAGAGGACGGCGCACGCGCTGGTCCGGTATTCAATTGTCACCGCAGCGTGGTTTTTGACGACACAATGGTTCTTTGGCCCCGCCGTTATCGACCGCACATTCGTGCTGACGGGCGGGAAATGTGATAATCTGCCACCAGTTCGCGCGAGTCCGGATACATGGGAAGAATTAAAGGTTATTCTTACGGCCGCGGCGTGTAAAGCCGCCGGTGGAGCGTGGAAGGGTGGGCATGATGTGAGCGGGCATGTCTTTATGCTTGTTCTAGGGAGTGCCTTTCTGGTTTTCGAGGCAGTGGGTGCGTCGCGGTGTTATCTTGGTGCAGCAGCAGGCGCGGATGGGAAGGCGAAGGACGATGAGGGTGAGGAACAGACTACGATAGACGATACCACCATCAACCCGCTTCCGGCGCTGGCGTTGAGGTTTGCGTGGGTTGTTGCCGGGTTGAGTTGGTGGATGCTCTTCATGACTGCGATTTTTTTTCATACGTGGTTAGAAAAGGTAAGAATTCAGACTTCTCCTATCTTAATTATAGAGGCTAATTGAGCAGCTGTCGGGATTGGTGATTTCTCTCGCAGTTATTTACGTCACATATCTACTTCCTCAGAGCTTATTGCCGTGGCGAAATATAGTCGGAATTCCGGGGTTGTGAATTTGTGATTCTGGTGTTTATAGCATACATTGCATTAGAGCAGAGACTACGTTGAGGCATCGATTAATGGCTTAGTATAATTCTTTTTTAATGTGAACATTAGAGCGTCTTGTTTATGTACATACAACATTATAGTTTGATTCGGCATCGCACGAGATATGCTGATATTACTGCTTTATTTTGCTTATCATCGGATAATATACACGAAATACACGTCTTACTAAACAACTCGATATAAGAGATGTATTTCATACATGCAGAGTTTAAATGTTGATCAGCAGGAGAGACAGCCTGGATACCTGGAATATCAACCTACAGACCCCATATCAGCCTCTTAAGGAATTGTCTTAGGCTCCGGACCAAGGTATCCAGCCCGGAACGCTTATCATTGTCAGCAATTCAACTGCCCGAAAAATCTGAATGTCACTGGTTCATCTCACCTCCTGGAATCAAAGCAGACGAATACATCACCCTCGTAATTGGCCGCAGATCTTCGGGGGTTAGCTCGGCCTTTTCAGGCGACAACGATACCTCCATATACGGCTCCCACGACGCCAGAATTGCATCTGCATACGACTTCAAATCCACCGCTCGCTCTTTATCCGGCGATCTTTCCGAGTGGCAGCGAACGCCTAAACTAGTCCCGAACTCGCGAAACGCAAGACGGTATTTGATATTGCGGGAGAGATAGCGGTCGATTTCAAAAAGCTCGTCTAGTTGGCGTTAGCATACTACCTATACCTATCTTTGTGTGTGTATTAATGTGAGCCGCATACATATCTGCTGGAAACACCGCCCGGCCAGTTTCGAAGCCCAGCTCTCACGATCTGAAAACCAGTGCGTGGTCCACAGCGTCATTCCCAAGTCAAGCGGATCGGTAGAAACAAAATGCTCTCCTTTTCGTTCCATAACACGCTTGTAATCCGCTATCTCCCCGTCCAAGCCCAAGCCTACGCTCTTCTCGCCGGCTGCCAACGCCGACGCCTGCAGGAGCCGGTAAATGACGTATCCATCAATCGGATCGAGATTGCCTTCTGATGGGACCAATGCAATTGACAAATCCATGCTCATTTTCCACACCATCCGCGGCCGAGTTGATTCGCGGTTGACGAAGAATCGTGGGTGGATGGCTTTGGCGAGTGCGATGGCTTGTCGGTTGTACGCCGGGTCGCCGGTGGCAAGCGAGAGGCGGTTGAGAGCGAACATCCAGACGGTCAGGTAGTGATGGTACTGGCCGTCGCCGTCGACGCCGGTTTCGTCGAGTTTGCCGATGCGTAGGCCGCCGCCGAGAGGGTTCTCGTCTGTTGCGCCGGGGAGACGGGCTTTTCCATCTCGCGTGTGGCCGAGGACGTCGTGCACTGTGTCGACGAGACGGCGGGCGAGGGTTATATATTTGTCGGTATTACTTGAACCTGTCGCCGAGGATGTCGTCCATTCTTGATGTAAAGTGATGAAATTGATCACCCCGAAAGCATCCGTCCAGAGATATCGGCCGCGATGACCCCCGGATTTCGCAGGCGGCGTCCACTTCTCTGGATCCGTGATGTCGGCAAAACTGCCGTAGATGGACTCCATCGACCGTTCGAATCGACCTAGACGCGACATTGAGAGGATGTCGTCGCCTGAATTTGTGCTCATCGTAGCCATCGCGGCATAATTCTTGACGAAAGGTTCCTTATTTACTGAAATAAGCAATGCTGTCTTGATTGTTGGTACGAGATGCGGATTCGCTGTAGACAAGCGTAATAGCATGTGTGTAAGAGGTATGCTGCTTCAAAATATTTACCTATTTCTGTTGTTTCGAATTATCCCGATGCTAGGCTATGTTTTTGTGAAGTCATAATGACTGCGCCACTTGACGGACGGATGATCTCATGCTAAACCTTGAATGGATGAGTGTAAACAAGAGGCAAACTATTATGTATAAGAGGTCAAAACCGATCATTCTGCCTTCATGTAGCTGTCGTGGGGTATGCCAAGATTGACCCGTTCACGAGCTTGAATATTGATATCAAAATATAAGAGACATGGCAGCAACCCTAGCTCAAGCCGTCCAATCGGCAGCCAAACCGCTACCAGAAATTACTGATCCTTTATTTGGTCAAATGTTCGACACTTTCCGCAACTACAAGGTAGTTCTTCTCGGTGATGGCAGTCATGGAACCTCGGAGTTCTATAAAGCAAGAGCAGAGATCACCAAGCATTTGATTGAATATCATGGCTTCAACATGGTCACTCTGGAGGCAGACTGGCCTGACACTGAGGCCATCGACCGCTACGTGCGACTGCGTCCCGGATCAAAAGGACGAATAGGTGGGAAGCTTCTAAGCAAGAAGCAAGAAGAACCATTCAAACGGTTTCCAACCTGGATGTGGCGAAATCGCGAGATGCAGGATCTAGTAGAATGGATGAGAGACCGAAACGCCAAAAAGGCACCCGAAGATAGAGTAGGCTTTTATGGCCTTGATCTCTACAGTATGGGGAGTTCAATCCAGTCCATTATCACTTACCTCGATCGTGTTGATCCGCAGGCAGGGAAGGAAGCTCGTAAACGATACGGCTGTCTTCAGCCGTGGGTCGATGACCCAGCATCGTACGGGCTTGCATCTCTGCGAGGATTGGCGAATTGCGAGAGCAAGGTTGTCCAGATGCTCAAGGATATTCTTCAGCGCCGTCTGGACTATGCTGCATCCGAGCATGATGGAGAAGAGTTCCACAGCACGGAACAGAACGCCCATGTGGTTCGCGATGCAGAAAGGTACTACAAATCAATGTACTACAGCTCAACAAGCTCCTGGACGTTGCGGGACACGCATATGTTTGACACGCTAAACCGGCTTTTCAACTACAAGCCCGCCAATAGTAAGGCAATAGTCTGGGCGCACAATTCCCATGTTGGAGATGCCCGATACACGAGCATGGGCGAGCGGCGCAAGGAAACCAACATCGGCCAACTCTGCCGCGAGAATTACGGCCGTGACAATGTCGCTATCATCGGATGTGGCACACATACGGGCACTGTGGCAGCCGCACACGAGTGGGATGAGGATATGGAGGTGATGGATGTAAACCCATCGCGAGTGGACAGTTGGGAATACGTTGCACACAGCACCGGAATACCTAGCTTTGTGCTCGATCTGCGTCCTGGGTATGCCAGTCCAGATCTTCGAAAGGCATTCGACTTAGAGCAGCCGAGATTAGAGCGCTTCATCGGGGTTATTTATCGGCCGGATACCGAGCGCATCTCACACTATTCCCAAGCTTATCTGCATGACCAGTTGGATGCATACGTTTGGTTCGACAGAAGCTCGGCAGTGAATCCGCTCGAAAAGGTCCAGCCCTTCACGCCTGTCGGCAGAGAGGAGACTTATCCATTCGGATTGTAGCCGAATCCATCTGGAGGCTGTGGTCTTCAAGGTGTGTAAGTTTGTATGTGGTTGAAAATTGATGTATAGATAACATAATTGAATGGAGATATTTCAGGCTGGAGGAGCATGCCACGTGTGCGTCCCCAAAAATGTAGTTATCGCTTCTATCGATATGATCATACGATATGCTCTGCACCTCGGCATGGAATGACGCACCACTCGGTTGAGTTCATAGAAAGCGGTAAACTGTATCGCATAGCCGCCAGGACATATCTCTTCACTCATTAATTAGCTAGTTTGACTTGAAGCAAATAAGAAGCTGTGTAGATCAAAAAAGAACGAGGAGTTGATGTCGGTCGCCATTTTTGTCCTAGCACGATGTCAAGATAAGCCCAAGAAGCTGTTACGTCAGCGCGCGCTGCCCGGATGCCTTATTTGTTTTGGGTCAAACAAAAACAACGCCCGCAGCAACGTGACTGCCGCCACAACGGACGACTCGCCCAACGATACTCTCAATCTACCACAACAGGACTAGAATTACTAGATTTGCTAGTTGACAAATTCTCAACCCAACTGCTTTTGATTTTCGCGCCAGATACGTGGGGAATATGGCACCTCGTAGATCAGCCCGCCTGAGAAGCAGCCAAACCCCCGTCACCGAGGTGAGTTTTCCCCTTCGCGCCTAGATAATTGTCATTCGCTCTGACAGACATGTAGGACCAGTTCCCTGCGCCCCCAAGCACGACTCCCTCAAACCTCGAAGTTGTTGTCGAAAATGACGAGAGCAAGCCCTCGCCTTCGCCTTCGCGCTCCAAAAATAATGCGATTACCACCACGCCTCAAAGTCAACCCCACAGCAAGAACTTGACTCCGTCTTCCAAAATGAAGTCAGCAATGAAGACTCCCTCAACTGCTAGTAGCATGCGTCCTACATTGAATGAAATGCACCCCAGCAAGGCACAGCAGAGCACGACCAAGCAGCCAGACTCGGGCCTTGTGCTTGGGTTTAACCCCGTGAAACGAGACTCGAATGGCAAGATTATTAAGGAGACCGTTGTTAGCAACACCCCATCTAAAGTCAAATCATCGCCACCCTGCAAGCTGACTACGCCCTCCAAATTTGACTTTCGATTTTCAACAGACGATTCTCAGTTAAGCGACGAAGCAAGGAAACTCATGGAGAGTGTTCGTGAGGATGTCGCAAGAATTAAAGCACAGATGGTTCTCGATCACGGCGAGCAAAATCGTAAACAGCAGGAAGCTGATGGAATCGTGAATGGCAGAAAGATCGCTCAACCTAAGAGCAAGGCAGGACGTTTCAGCGATGCTCACATGGCCGAATTCAAGAAGATGGACTCTATCGCCGGACATGCATCTTCCTTTAGAACCCAGCATGGTCGCTTCACACCGGTCAAGTCCTTGAAGCGTAAGAGTTCAAAGGCTTGCTTGGATGAGCCAGAGCAACGGCCTTCGCCCTCAAAGCCCCCTCTAGAAGGCACCAAACGCGTGAAGCGGGCTGAAGGTCAAGACGCTTCTACAAGCCGGCCACATCGGGAAGTGTCTACTCCGAAGAAAACGATTTTCACTCAGTCGTCCAGACCACCCATTCGCAGTAGTTCACTGATGACTCCAACTAAGGCCTCCGCTTCCCGTTTCTCTTCTGCAAGAGCCTCTAAAACTTCAATGATCCCTTCTCTGAATCGCTCACCTGCGTCACGTCTTGCTGCACCCCGCACTCCGAAAACAGACTTCAACCCTAGATTGAAGAAGTCTCTTCCGAGCTTGGGAAATTTGAAGTCGATTTTGAAACGCCACCAGCCACTTTTCTCAAACGACCCAACAAAGGTTGCCGCGGGCACACACTTGGCAACTCCAAGATTCAACCCGGATATTAACCTCACAAGTCTCCCGACTACCTCATTTGGTGCTGGTAGCCAGACTCCTTCTCCTAAGAAAAGAGTTGAGTTCACATCAAGCACCCAGTCTCGTTACGACATCGCGCAGGCTTCGCCATCGCCATCTAAGATCCCTGGGCCACGAGACGATCCTGCATCATCTGATATCGTTTACCCAACACTGCCATCTTTGACTCCAGAAAATGCAAAGGTTGATACCCCCACTATTCGTCGCGTTAGAGACTCTATCAGCGCTTCCCAGCCTGCTACTTCGCTTGCTAAAATGCCCACAATTTCTCACGGGATTCCGAATAAGAAACGTCAGCATGAGAGTGAAAAGGTTGAATCTAAGACCTCGGAGACTGCCCCTAGCTTTGCCGCTACTCTTATGGATACCCCTGGTCCTTACCCAAAACTGTTAGCGGTACCTCATGGTATTTCAAACAAGAAGCGTCAGCGCGAGGACGATGGCGACTTGGAAACCAACTCGAAAGAAGTTCCCAAACCCAGTCTTTCCGCATCTAACAATAGCCCATCCGTTCCCCTCCTTGCAGTGCCTCATGGTATTAACCACAAGAAACGTCAGCGTGTCGATTTTGGTGATGATGGCGATACGGAAAATGTCCCACCGGCAGTAACTCCAACGGACGAGCAGCGGAGCGCCAAGCGGTTGAAACCCAGTCCCGTGAAAATGGACCCCGTCAGCCCTAGCCCTCTCAAGTCGCGTGGAATTACGCCTAAGCGTATGACTGGTAGCCGCACGAGTACTCCTGGTACGGCCTCGAAGAAAGGCATTCTCAGCTTGAGCCGCTTGAATATGCTCGCCAAGCCTAAAGCGCGCAGTTGAGTCCTTGCATTGCAAGAATACATCGATGAACACTTTCCTTAAGGCCTTTGGCCTCAGCACATCCACTTTTATCATATGGGAGGCGTTCAGGAACAATCGTAAATGATGGCGTTACAATACTTCGAATTCAGATCAGGCGTTTTGTCAATGGTAGAGCAATTCTTTTCTCTGTCTTTCTTTATCTTCTCAGAGGACATTGTCCATTTTCTTGTACAATATAACCTACAATGTGGTCACTTTGCTTCGTCTCGTTATTTTTCAGTGACTAGTTATACATTGCTGCATGCCCGTGTATCGTCGATGTTCATTCTGACGCGTCTTCTACGGGGGCAGTTCTTTTAACAATACCTTGGCTCGGGACTTCTTGGAACAAAGCCCTGTTACCCTCCCCTCCTCATGTTCATGGTTTGCGTATACTTTCCCACCTCATGGAAATTTCTCGTGTCTTGTCTGTGTACAGTAGTTGACCATCCTCATGAATCGATGCTGCTCTACCTTTTAACGATAACGCTAGGCCTCTTTTGAACGTCATTCGACGTAGATGTACTTAAATACCCATCCCTATTCTTATCCCTATCAATATTCCCAGAATGACCAGAGAGAAGATTTCAACTTGCCCATGGATTATCATTGCTAGTCATACAATATTAACATGCCATTTGATAATGGGGTGAAGGGGAAATATCGTGGAAAAGTCTTGTCTATAAATACAAAGCGGGCGAAACGTAGAAAAATATAAGAAAAAAGAAAATCGGAAATCAAGAAAGAGAAATATAAAGACTTTTCCCGAGCCTGTAAGGCTCCAGCTTCGGCTTCAGGTAACCGATGTCCAGGCATAAAGTATAAGAAGTATGGTACAAGTTGTTATAATAGCCTGGTTAACTTGAAGACCGGTGAAAGTCGGGGGGAAAAAAAATAAATAAAAACTCCGCCCATGCTCATGACACACCCACCGTCTCATGACGGACCAACCAATAACCAGCTTATTAGAATTAGGGTAAAAAAGCACCGCTAGCCAAATCCGTTTCGAATTAGAAGAGAATGGAAGATAATAAAGGAAGTTGATTTTCATCTGATCTTATCACCCCTTCATCGTGGCCAGGAATGAATCGAGATTGTATTCTTCCTGGTATTGCCGGTCGTCCCACAGCTCACCGAGATCGTCGAGCCAGCCTTTCTTGCCCTTCTCTTTGACTTCGCCGTCAATGTCGACCATGTCAACCTCGTTACCGAGGGCGGTGTCTTGGCCTGGTTTTTCGGCGCCTTCGGCGGTTTCACCTAGATTGAAAAGGTCGAGGAGTTGATCCGTGTCCATGGTGTTGAGGCCCGCGTTTTGTTGGTTGACGACTGTTGATGCTACGTCGATCTTGAAGCGTTGAAGGCTGCAAAAAAACTGTGTTAGTTGACGGATTGATTGGAAGGATAAATGTGTAGACTTACTTCAGAATCTTCTCCTCTAGAGTGCCTCTCGTGATCAACCGATACACGTTCACCACCTTCTTTTGACCAATACGGTGAGCGCGGTCCATGGCTTGAATGTCCTTTTGAGGATTCCAATCGTGCTCCACGAAGATTACGGTGTCTGCGCCGGTAAGGTTAAGGCCCAGACCACCAACGCTGGTAGTAAGTAGGAGGACATCGTAACTGGGGTCTGTGTTGAACTGATTGACAATATTCTGACGCTTGGTCGCCTCAACGCTTCCGTCTAATCTCAGGTACTGGACAGAAGGCAGCAACTGCTTCAACACGTCTTCCTGCACGATATCTAACATCTCCTTCATTTGACAGAAGATGAGAGCTCTATGCGGGCTGACGTAGCTTGCTCCTGTATCTAATTCACCTTCGGTGTTTGGGTCCACGCCTATACCACAGTCGACCAAAAGATCGCGTAGTGCTGAAAGTTTGGGTGCGTGGGCAATGTCCCGAATATTGGTTTGCTTTGTTCCCAGCCATTTCTGAACATCCTCGTATTGCTTGTGTCCTTCTTTGATAACCAAAGCTGGCGAATTGCAGAGACGACGCATATATTGGAGGGCTTGGAAGATATGTTCCTTGGCGGTTTTTTCCGCAGAGCCCATTTTGTTTGCCAGATCTTTCTGTTCTTTCTTGGTGAAATCTTCAAAGAGCTTTCTCTGCAAGTCACTTGGATCACAGTAGTAGTTTTGCAAGATCTTCGGCGGCAAGTCATTCAAGACTTCTTCTTTCAGACGACGAAGCAGGAATGGAAGGACTTGTTTGTGTAAAGCCTCGATGGCTAATGCACCGGCTTCTTGTTCCTTTGACGACGACTTGCTAAAACGGCTTGCAGCAATGGGCTTGGCGAATCTGTCCAAGAATACCTTTTCTGTACCCAAGAAGCCAGGCATCAAGAAATCGAAGAGGGACCAAAGCTCCAGGACGTTGTTCTGAATAGGTGTTCCTGATAGAATCAGGCGGTGGTTGCTGATGAGTCGCTTCACTGCTAGAGTGATCTTGGCTTTGGGGTTTTTGATAAGATGGCCCTCGTCGAGAACGCAGTAGTTCCAGCTGATAGGGTTGAATATATCATTGTCGTTTCTACAGATGTCGTAGGAAGTGATGATAATATCGGCCTTTTCAAGCTCATTTCGCAGTTTTCCACGTTCAGCTGGAGGTCCCACGTAAGCGACACAGCTGAGAAATGGTGCATACTGCTTGATTTCTTGCTGCCAGTGGCCGGATAGTGTAGGAGGGCAGATGATTAGAGAAGGCAGCTTGCGGACATCTGGTGCTTGGGTGCGAGCGAATTCCTCTGCGCGCATGTGATGGTCACTAGCCACAATGCAAAGTGTTTGAAGTGTTTTGCCAAGACCCATGTCGTCGCAAAGGATGCCATGTAAATGATAGCGATTGAGGAAGGCTAACCAGTTGACACCCTCTTGCTGGTACGATCGCAATTCTGCTTTGATTGCGACAGGGATTTCAAATGGCTCCACCTTGCGAACATCCAGCATCTGCGACATGAATTTTCTTTCACGGTCTCTGCCCTTGAGAAGCTCTTCTGACAAGCCTGGCGGGTCTGGAATACCGGCTTCGAGCGGAACAAGCTTAACGAGAGTCGCGAATGAAGTCGTCGCAAGGAGTCGTACATCATTGTCAGAATCGCTCATGCGTCCAAGCACGGGAACGATGAGGAAAATGACATACGGCAGAATTCCATCTTCCATGACATGGATTAAGTGGTAAATACACTCAATAGCACCTTGACGATGATGGGTATCTAAAGCGTTGTTGACAGTCGGGAGGACATTTTCCACCAACATCGTCATACCCTCAACTTTGATAACACTGCATATGGTCGCGAAACATTTGGCAGCTGCGTACCTGATGACAGAAAGTTCGCATTGCAACGATCTCGCTATGATGGGCATGATATTGACAACCCATGGGTAGAGGCCAGCATCGAATTTTGGTAGAAGAGCTCGAAGAGTCGAAAGACCATCGACAACCTCTTGGCCTAGCTCATTGTCCGGTTCTCGAATGTCGGCAGGCAGGTCACCGGCAAGAGCTTCTTGTAGCGGTCTTTCGATCAACGCTGCGAGGTTGGGGACCTTTTCAAATAGTTCACTACCAAACCTGGCAGTCAACTGCTCCAGCGCCTCTTTAGCTCCTCGTCTCATGATCCTGGCTTCTTTCGCTTCGCGCTCAAATTTCGCTGCATCCATGTGGTCTCTGCGGTCTTCCTCTTTCTGTAATGAGAGAATAGACTTTTCGAGATGGGCGTTGTGATGGAACTCGGGGGTCTCAGATGTATCCACACAGCAGTACTTGACTAAATTGCCAATGACCTTGTCGACCGGGCCTCTTTTTGTGGCTGCTGTGTAGAAATCGATGAGGTTAACGATTGCCGTCGCAGACCGTTGTTGCAGTTCAGCGTTATCTTCTTTCTTGATACTGTCCATCATTCCCTTGATTATATGGCTTGGTTTCTTTGGGATGTCTTGTAGCGTCACCAGAGCACCTGCTGTAGCGGCACGTATGCGCATGTCTCTTTGCTCCTTGATGTTTTTGGCCTCTTCTATGGCAGCCTCGGCGCTAGATCTAGTGTCATTCAGAACTTGAAGGGCAGTGACACGTTGTGCAGGGGTAAGGTTCTTCTTGAGCCGCTCAAAGTCGGGCCCAACAACCTTTTCGGCATCGTTAATAGAGAATGCATTAGGGCCAGCCTCACTGTCACCCTGAACAATCACGGCCAAAGAGGGCAGTCTTGCAGCATTAACATGAGCGTGATCTCTAAACGCATTTAGCAAAGAGTGACATTGCGCCCGGGTAATGTGCAAATAGCAAGCGATATCACTATACCATGCCGGACGTTCTGCCTCGATGATCGGACGCAACCATTCGCATAACGAAGCTGTGTACTTTCCTCCCGGTCCGGCTCTTTTGGCGTATTCTTCAACTATCATTGCAGCAGAGAGCTGCGATGAAGATGCAGGCCAGTTGAGTCCAGATAGGATAGACTGCCAGAGACTGGGAAGATCTTTCGAGTCCCATAGGGATAGCAGTTGGCCCAAAGCTTGCGCGGCGTATATTTTTGACCGCACCATAGTGTCTAGACCGACCAAGTCGATGTCACCTTGAAGCATGTGACCATCCACATTATGTGCTGTTGGTGGTGGAGCTTCCTTCTTTTCGGACTTCCTGCGACGACCTTTCCCAGAATCTGAAGTGGCAGTAGGTGATGATTTTCGACCAGGTGTCACAGCCAAGGTATATGCAACACCAGATGGTTTGATGAATAAGGAGGCATTCATCGGGATGGGGTAGCGGGGCACACCAAAGGGGCCCATGGTTAATGTGATGAGAGGATGGATCTGGGAAGTTAGGTCCTCCGAAGCAAAAATATTGCGAGCGTCCATGGCTTTTAACAAATCGAACCACACTTGGAGGGAAAGTTTCAAAACGCCTTCGTTACGTTCAACTAATAAGTTTTGGAAGATCAAACGCATTGCTTTGCCATCAACCCAGGCGTTAGATCCTTCACCCTCCAATTGCAAGAATGTAGTCAGGGCTCGAAGCACAGCCAGCCGGACACTAGTAATTGTATGTCTGAGGAATGGATAGAGACGTGGCACGAGATTACTAAACGACGCTTCAGGGTCATCAGCAGCGTTGGTTTTCATGGCTTCTAGAACTTCTGGGAATGTGCAGAGTTTCGCTAGCAAGTCCATGACCGAACCAGTACTTGCACTCAAGTCGTCCTGTAGATTCGACAGACACTCCCAGACAATGTTGATGAGAGCACTGAGAGTGCCTTGACGAGAAGTGACAATCTCCTCTGCAATCGGGACTAGTGTTGCAGCACTGACAGCTCGAACATCGTCGTCGAAATCCCCTAGGCCTTTCATGACCGCTTCCAGTACCCCATCCATCATTTTGGGGTCTTTCACCAAGACATCTTTTCGAACAGCCACCAAATATCTGAGGCCAATCATTCCTCCATGACAGACTTCCCAGATAGGTCGTTCGAGGCCAAAATCTCTGAGCATGATAATACGATGGAGGATTTGGTAGACCAAAATGACGGATTTTGAGGGCAAGTGAGAGAGGACGGCACCGAGTGTTTGACCAACTGCCTCGCGAATAGGAGCAACCACATTATCTGAAATGTAATCACCAAAGCGGTCAAGCATGAAGACACAAAGCAAGCGGCAAGCGAGATCGTTAAGCCATTTGCGGTTCAATGAATTGTTTTCCGTCCTTGATTTCCCAAGAACACGACCGGCACCAGCGCCCTGAAGCCGTATGACTTCACGAAGTCCCATCGCAGATCCATGTCGAATCTCCCAATTGGAGTCGAACAAATCTACCTTGAGAAATTCGCACATGCGTTCATACGGCCACTCCATACCATGCTCCTCGGCTTCTGTTTGAATAACTGGCTTTTCTGGAATAATAGGGCCTTTGAATTCGGAAACTATCTTGCTGTCATCGTCGTTTCCATCGCGATCAAGAGAGAAGTAATCGTTTTTCGTCTCGCCCTCTTCTTCACCGCCTTCTGCTTTGATCGGATGCGGAGTTGCAGCCGCGGACGGTGTGGTCACGCTGTCTGATGGTTTCCGTGACGATAGGTCAACAACGCGAACTTTGTTGGCACCAAGTTTGGCATTCTGCTTATTCTTGCGCTTCAGTTGGTTCAACTGCCGCTTACTCAGACCAGATTCCTCACCGTGGGCTGGGTCATTTGAGCCATTCTGAATACTGTTTTTTCGCGACATGGTAGGGAGAGACTTTTCAGTCTTGGATACTGGGGCGGGACGCGGCGCAAAGTCATGTTCATCAATCAGATCACTTTCGATATACTCGCCTGCTAGTCCCAGACGGGCGGTTAATGTCTTCTTCTGGTGTTGAAGCCTTGTGGCGGGATCCATGCTAGCAATGGCGTATTCATATTCCCTACCGGCGCTTCCCAGCAATTTCTTGCCTAACTTCAATATGGACCCGATGTCAAGATTATCTAAACTGAGGCGGTCTTCCGAAAGCGGCAAGGATTCTTCTGTTTTGATTTCAGCTTTGATTTCCACATCCTCATCTCCATCTTCATCTTCCTCCTCGGGCTTCTTGAGCTCTAGGCCATCGTCCTGATTTGGATCAAAGGGCTCAGCGTTGGCAGCAACCAGGCCAATTGCCCTGGCAGCGGCTGTGCGCGTATCCCATGATTTGGATCTCAGGTACGGCAGAATGCGCCCTAGCAGATTGAAGAGCTCGTCCGGGTGTGCCTTCTGCACATCGGCCAGCTGCTGGGCGGCTGTATTTCGGATGACGGGAGTGCTGCCAGTCTCGAGTAAACTAGAACATGATTGGTCAGCGGGCGCCACACAGGACGACGAAATATCACTCACGTGACGAGCCGGTCGAGTCTAGTCCCAACATAGTTAGCATGATCGCCCGTTGCCCCATTGGGCCTGGCGGGAGGTGTGTTATACTCACCTGGAAGTCATGGCGCGCTCGATCACTCGGGACAAGCTTCCCTCGCGCACAAGTGATTCTTAAGTGAGCAGAATCGGAGGGCCACGGTCGAGAAGATAAGCGCGGGTGCAGTGCATGCGATCACTCATCGGATACAGAAGCGGCAGAGAGACTGGAGACGGCCATGTGGGTGACTAATAATAATATTGACAGGAATAATGCATGGATCACTGCCGTTGCTGTTGCTGCTGCTTTCTCCTGTTGGGCGGGCTCACAACCCCGGCAAGAGGCAGGTTACGGTTAGTGCGCAGAGTCGGATGCGACGCAGCGGTGCGCAATAGACAGAACGCACGGGTTGGGTGGAAAAGTGCAGAATGCACAAAAGGCCAGCAAAAAAGCAGCTGTTAGTGGATAATTGCAAGGGCGGCGGGAGCAGGTTGCGCCGCTTGGCCGGAAGGGAAGAGTCAGGTCTGTCAGGTCTGGAGCGAGCACAGCCCGGCTATATATCATTGCTCGTCGTTGGCCCGGCGCGTCCTGGGTGAAGGCGCGGCTGGCGCTAGGCTGGTCTGGGCCTAGCGTTTCCGCGCGGATCAGACTGCTTCTCCAGTCACGTGATGATACTCACCAAGTGCATGCAATGGTTACTGCTGCCGCTATGTTGCGCGCCGGCTTGAAGGCTGATTATATCTATATTTGGTTATTTAGAAGGCTGCTTTGATAATGTCTATCCTCTTCCGTGAGATCCATGTGGGCAGCACTTGCAGGCATCCGTAATCCGAGTTAGCTCAACCGTGGCATCATCCTTATCCCATATTCCGTGTTTACACTAGTATACTGGATTTCAATCATGTAAATTACATGTACATATTGACTGTATTCCAGCGCAGCAGTACGCAAGTCTCCAATATTCTATCGAGACTTTTGGTATAGCATTTTTTCAAAGACTTGCCGGGGTAAAGGAATACGCGCATCCAAGCCGTCAAGAACAATCTGCTCAGGATTTTACACCGTAGTGTAGATTGTGGAAGCCAAGAAAAGTCTTATTGTGAAATCATCTGTACAGTATAGGCCAAGCTGCCGAACAATGAAAAATGCAACGCCAACAACACAGCTCTCTGCCGTATATTTTATAACGAACCCAGAACCTTTTTCGACTCCTCTTCCTTGCCCAGTAGTCCCAGATTCCGGATTTCCTCTGCCTTGGGTGCGTTCTCTCGGGGGAAGGATGCTTCCGCTTTGCGGTACGCCGCTTGGAGTCTCTTTGCGCGGACAATCTGTAACACAGTAAGCGCGGCTCCTCAATTCACGTTTTCATGGCTCATCCATGAAAACAAGCCATGATGGATACATGAGAATAGAAGTCAAACAGATATCGAAATAGACATCCATCGATAACACATGTACGCACCTCCTTGGTATGATGCAGGCACTCGGTGTAATCCTCTAGTGCAGGGAGGCACTTCTTCTTTCCTTCATCTCCCTCGCCTCCATTGATAACATAGCAGCCTAGGAGGTCCTGCCAGAAAGGGAAGCAGCGGGAGGGGCCTATATCACCGATGAGATTAGTTGACTTGTTGTCGAGAGTGCCCGGAATTGCCCAATCAATTAAGCCCCGCGCGCTGGAAGAGAGGGTTATTCCAAGAGCTTACCGCCATTAAGACCGTATCCAGACGCCATTTCGGATCGCAGATGGGAGCACGAATTGCAGTCAGAGCGTGGAGACGAGGGACAGCGGAGGTGAAAGTTGCAGTTGAGGTTCCGCGCTCCGGGATGGGTTGGTGGGCCTGGCGGTGATTGGCTGAGCGGATGCCACTGCTAACGCATGGTTATTGTTGATGGAGGACTGCTGTTATTGTACATTGCACAGGTGGCCCCTCTGTTTATGAACGTCAGCACAGCATGGCAGACCTCACCAGTCTGTCAGATGCCCAGGCTATCCTTTTGGCTTGCGAGCTCTGCGCCGCTGGCAATGTGAATGCATTGCCTCGCCTACACCAGCAATTTCCTACGTCACTCACCACCGAGCGCCTGTTCCGCATTATTCTGTCCTTTCTGCCAGAGACTACACCTCCGGCTCAATACACGCCGGTTCTCGATGAATTAAACCGAAGCGAACCTGCGATAGCGAACAACGAGAATATAGATCTATCGTCGATCAAAGATGTCGAGGAGCCAGTGGCCCGAAAACGCGTTCGGCGGCTGCGCTTGCTGCCACTTCAATACAGCCCTGACGAGAATACGACTGAGTCGGCAAGCCCCTTGACAGAGTTCTTGATCCATCGCGCTCACAGAATAGATGCGGAAACCGGTCTGCAGACGTTGATTCTGGAGCTACTAATGCCATTTTACGACCGTTCCGAGACTCTTCGACAATTCCTTGTATCTTTAGTTCTACCACTCTTACGCTCGAATTACGAATACTACCCAGAAAATGAAGAGAAGCTGTCCCTACATGTATTTGACTCTCTAGACGCCGCAACCGGCATCAATATCCTACTTTCAATGACTGGCACAGACCCGGCAGCAACCGATCTGGCGCAGAACCTGAGAGGACTCGTAGGACCGTGGATCTCTGGAGGAGTTTCATCGAAGAGACGCAAACTCAGTCATGCCGATGAAACTGCGTCTACTGCGGTAGAAACCGTGGACCAGGCCTGGCAGACTGTCAATGAATGGCTTTTGTCCCGAAGCTTGGTGGACTTTGAGAATGTCGCCAGCGGTATTCTTGCTTGGGACGGGCCTGAGGATGTGGATTTGGGCGGCTATTTACAGAGAGAACAGTCTCTGGAGGAATCAGATCGATTGAGAATATATTATGGGCAGACAGGGCTTGCCATCATTTATACGACAGATCCAGACAGAGGCTCGCTTGATACCTCATTCCAAATCATATCAAAGGTGGCAAGCTTGCTCCAGCTTGATACTGGTGCCCAAATCAAATTCGATGATGATTCCTTGCCTCGTTTTACCATAGATATCAGCGAAATTTCAACCGCATCCAAAGCATTGCTATTACAGAACGCTCTCCTGAAACCCAACAATTTGCTGACTACGCCCACGGCGCAAGCTGTGGGTTTCTTGCAAACGATACTCGTCTCGTTACGTCTTTTGCGTTCTTTTGGATACCATAGTTCCTGCAGATCGGCTGCAACGGTTTGTCTCCAGAATAGCGAAGAAGCGCAAGCTTTGGAGATCCATGGTGTTATAGATATGATTGTCAAACAGACAAAGCCAGGACAAGATTGGAGACGAATTCGAGGCCAGATATTATGGCTCCGAGACTGGCGGGGAGTACCACAAGATGCTGTAGACCAGACACAAGAACAATACCATGGTCTTTTCTGGAGAGTTTCTCGGACTAGCGTCGAAACAGAGCTTCTACGAGCAATGATCACTGCGGGTGGTAAGTTGAACATACTCTCCAACTTAGCAAGAGGCTGACAAGTCACAGATTATCAAGCTGCCGCAGAGATCTATACCGGAGTAGACTCTCCTCTTGACTCAACGCAAGTTGAAGCAGCTGTTGTCGAAACCATCATAACTTTCTATGACACGGCTAGCAATGGCAACAAAACTCGTGGGAAAGTGAAAAGAGCTGTTGATGCGTAAGTCATTTAATCGTCCATTCATCGAATAACAATTAACATGCCAGCAGAATCCGGGCATTTCAACCCCATTTCCCAAATTCCAACTCACTTAAAGAAATCTCGGCCCTCATCTCCGCCACACATGCCATATCATTCTATTCTTTGACATTACAACACGGCATTCCCTTCCAGCCCGTCAGCATTCGCGTGCACAACGACCCCCTCTCTCTAATCGAGAAAGTGCTAGACCAAAACCCCAAGAGCTACACCCAACTCGACGACCTTTTATCCATTGGTCGAGGCTTTATCGCCGCCGGTCTGCCTCTACCCCTACCTGGAGACGACCTACGCTGGAAGACCGCCAAAGTAACACCCGAACAAAAATCCACCATCGCCGAGAAGCGCATCGTCTCCATGGCCGTCTCCTCAGCCTTGTCATCAGACGACTTCGGCACTGCATACTCCTACATCCTCACCCGTCTCACCCCTCCCTCCCTAATGCCCACCACGACACCTTCCTCCCTCACCTCTATCCACGACGACATATCCTGGCGCGCCGCCTACAACGCCGGCCGCCACCGCTCCTCCACCACTACCCCTCTGACCACCCAAATCTCCACCCTCTCCCAACGCCTCGAACTCCTCTCCCTCTCCCTCATCCTCGCTCCAAGTCCCGACCCCCTCCCCGAAATCCTCGGCGCCTGGCGCCGCTGCGACGAGGAACTCAGCACACTCCGCGACCGCGAGGCCCAAGAAGCCGAAGCATGGGACCGCAAGGGCGATATCACCACCTCACTCTCCAGCCCCTCCACCATCCCCGGCGGCTTCGGGCCCTCTGACCGCGAACTAGACGCGTACGAAAACGAAAAACAAGCCGCCGCGCGCGTCCGGAACACTAAAAACAGCAGTAGTGGCTACGACGACTCCGCGCCGATGGGATTATTCGACGTTGCGCGCGGTGCTGCGCGTGCGTTTAGCAAGAACATCCCCCTCCATCACCATCAACACGCAAACACAAATGTATCACGCACATCTATCACCCACGAATCTTCAAGTTCTCGTACGAGCGAGGAAATGAGTCGGTCGATTGGCGAGGTCGGCGGGGGCGAGAGGGTGCGGAAGAGGGATGTGGTAAGTAATATGGTGACGGGCGGGTTGGCGAGTGGGATCGGGTGGGTGTTGGGGGCGCAGCCGGTGAGTGAGAGTGAAGGGAAGGAGAGGGAGTAAATGCATCAAAACTTCGGTTGAGATGTGCGTCTGGTATTGGAATGATGAGTGAATGGGTAGGCTAGTGTACATGAGATATGAGTATATGGTGTATCAATTTATTTCTCTTCAGGTATACTATGGACGGCACTGGTGGCTGATCGAGATTATAACTAATTTATTCCAAGTAAGAGCACGTTTGGAGTTGAACTCAATACACCTTCCATTTCCGATATATGACTATAAATAAAATAAGCTCATAAAATAACACAACACAGGAGGTCTGAGAACAGAGCCAAGGAATGATGGTTCATTTATGCAATAAAATGCGAATGTAAATGATACGCCGAAAAACCGATACCAATATCATGATCAACGTGTCACAAAATTCAAGACGCTGGGGGATGAGCTTGTTCCATAGACTAGACTGAAAAGGAAGGAATGAGGTGAATATTCAAGGTCGTCAGACTCATCAAATCAATGGGTAAATCAATGAATGGACTTTATGGCACTGTCACGTCGCTATTCAATGACCACGGGCATAGCCCGGTGCAGGAGTGGGTATGTTGAAGGTGGTGAATGGAGAGGAATTGTAATTTGTCATGGCTAAATGAATGAGTTCGATTGGAACTCTATAAATTGGCGGGATGCACTGTAGGTCGTGTTTCTAATCGGTCCATCCCCATACTCTTTGGATGAAGGTGGCCATGTTGACCTTTTTTGTTCTGATGTCCTGCATCCACGGATGTTCCAGCATCCGCCAGGGGGTGGCTCGTCGAGGGGGGTCTTTTTCGAGACTGCAGCGGGTTAGTAGGAGATATGGTTGGGTTTGAGATTCACTCACGAGCATTCAATAAAGTATTTAAAGTTGTCAGACCATTGGATATTGTTTTCGGGTTCGTCCTTTAATCGTGGTATAGGTTGACGGACAATGTATGTGAGCAGATCAATTAATCCAGCCCGAGGTTGCATTTCAGTCCCATCGGCTGGAAACGGGAAACGATGCTGAGCGACTTCGAGAAGTGTGACACCAAGAGACCACACATCTGAGGTGATGGTATAAGACTGGCCGGTGATTCGTTCCGGAGCCATGTAATAGGACGTTCCAATGAATGTATTGGCGTCTCCTTTGGTCCCAAATTCTCCACTAACACCGAAATCGCAAAGCTTGACCTGTCCATTTCGGCATAGTAGAATGTTGGATGGTTTGATATCTAGAAAAAGACCTGTGAGCATTGGTTTTAGATGAATATGGCATAACCCACCTCGATGGATAATCTTCCGGCTATGGAGATAGGTCAGTCCATTAAGAACCCCTTCGGCCACTTTCCCTAACACTTTCTCGCCTGTTCTTCCGCCAAGCTTCCTCACTTCGCGATAAATACTGTCGAGGCTGCCGCCTTCACAAAATTCCATGGCAATCGAAATCGTGCCTGTCGACTTGTCCATGAAAGCTCCATAGTAACGACAGATGTGCTCGGACGCACAGTCCTTGTTGAAATTAAGCTCTCGAATAATCTGTTTCTTCACGTCGGGATTTGGGTCCGTAGTGATAATCTGTGCCGGTATTAGTTTGAGGTGATTTGTTTCAGTCGGAAGCGGAACTCGCCTTTAATGCAAAAACTGTGTTTCCGTCTTTCAACTTGCATCGTGTGACAGCACCGCCGGCTCCCTCTCCAAGACCACCCAGTTCCTCGATTTTCTTTTGTTCGCTGGCAGCTAGCCACCCTTCGTCATCTAAATCCTCGACATCGAGAGGCCGACCCTTGTCCAAACTCAGTTTCTCGAGATCAGGTAGCAGGCCGTTGAGGCTGTTTTCTCTTTCCATGGCAACGCCACCTTCTCGGTCTGAATATACCGAGCTGATAGCCGATGAAGGATCTGGAGTTCCGCCATGGGGTTGACGCAGCCCCATAGCGAAAGACAAGGCGGAGTAAGAAGACGACGAAGCACTGGTAGGACCGCTCGCTTTGCCATCCAGATGGCCATTATTGTCGGTCGTATTTCCCACCAGAGGCGGAGGAGGCTTTGATGGTTCACTTGACGCAGTGATGCTGCCCATCGGGGTGGCTAATTGGAGCTTTGGCGGGGTGGGACGACCCGATTGTCGAGGCAATGGGATGTCAGATATATTCGAGTCTCCATTGGAAGGGTTCACGGGCTTCGTGCTAGGCGACGGCGGAATGCCGAGGGTCAGGCGTGGTGTTCGTGAACCACTGTTGTTCCGGGCACCAGGCACTGGCGGCCTGAGAAGTGGTGCTGGAGACGACATGTTGGTCGTGTTGAGCCCTGCCTGGGGGTGGCTCGACTGCGGAGTGTCCGCCAGAATGGCTATTTGTTGAGAAGGATTATTATTCCCTTGGGCCTTCTTCTTCTCCTTCTTCCCCTCCTTCTCTTCTTGTTTTCTTTCAAATGCTGGACGAAGGTAACGGTTTGTTCCCCACTCGCGCTTTCTTTGACGGATGCTGTTGGCGGGGGAAGAGAGGATGTGCTGGCTGTGATGTAGAAAGGGTCAGGAGAAGCGAGACGGCCGGACTAGATGATAACGAACGTGCGTCAGTCGACCGCGAGTGATGGCGACGAGGAAATTTGGGCGAGGAGGCAGAGCTTGAAGGTGAGCCGTTGAGGAGCAGCAGGGTCGTCGGGCTGGAGCAAAAGAGGGGGCGAAACACCAGCAGCCTCAGGCAGTAGCCTTGACGCTGATAAGGTGGGCGGGACCCGCAGCTCCACAGCACACGATACATAATTATACATTCTATTCTGTTGGATTCTCTCCTATATTAATTTTATATTTTCTATTTCATATCTGACTACTGTATATTTTATAGAATTTGGCCATTTGTATAGGATCTTGTTATGGATGTGAGTTAAGCTAGCCAGGTGTGCGGGCAAGTACCAGTTCTATACCAAGGCGCTTCGCCAGCCAACTTCATTTAACATAATATCCATTTATGCTGAGAGCACAGCGTGGTTGCATGCGTAAAGGCAGCCAGTATCAGTCTGGGTCATGCAACTGCAGGTGAGTAGTCGACTCAGCTGCGTCGTAATACTTTCACAAAGACTCAGCTGGAAAAGTAGTGGACACATCGCCTGTTACATTTAAGCGCCGTCCGCCTGTTGCCATTCGCCGATCTGTTATTCCCCGTACCCCTCATTAATATTATTTCCGTCCGGATGCAGAGTAGCATACACGTAGCAGCAGTCCAGCCCGGTCGGTCCGGCAAGGCTGAACATTTGACTCGTAGAGACGTGCAGGAGGGAAATATAAGAAATGTACTAGGGAGAAATATGAACCGATCGGCGGCAAATAGTCATATTTCATTCGATATGTGTTTGGTGCAATTCCTGGGCATCGAAGGTCGATTGCGAGGTAGCACATCGTAAGAGAACTCGAGCGATATTATCGTGCGAGATCGATGCAATCAACCAGATCGACATAGTTTCCAGCAAATCGAGCCACCGCCGTATGATGTTGTTTTATTTCTGATACTGTCCGTAATCGAGGATTCGACGAGGGATAGAAACGGCGGGCCTATCGACGTGATTCATCATGACGCAACCAAGACACTCGGCCTACCATCTAGATTATGTCTGATCAGCATTGTGACATAGAAACAACAGTACCTAGGTAGTAGGTGTTTCAGAGACAAATTGCTCTTGGTGAGTAATGTGTTGCGAGATTCACGATGCGAGGCGATCGATCTAAACAGGGAAGGAGCGGTCCAACGGGAGGAACATCCGGTGCCCTGCAGCACTACTACAGTCCCATACACTAAGTTACTACGTAGGGGACAGACATTCATCATTATCAATGGCTATGGAATACGTCGACACATCAGTGTGTCGGTAAGTCTATCCTTACAGGTCCACCACTATACAACAGTCAGTGGTAATATGGTTATAGTTTATAGTCGATTCAAGCATCGCCAAGTCGTCTCTAGTCCAGCCATTCGCTCTCACCGTGACTGCAATTAGGCTCAGTCCGACGGTTTGACATACTCCTTCTGACTCGATGCTCGAGGTCGAGCACAAGTCACAAGCAGCCATCAAAAACAAAGCAGAGAACAGTCTCGGCCTGCCGATCGCTGGGGAGTCAGGGTCAATAATCAATAATTGGATAATCGCTACTAATCCACGCTGTACAGATACAATGTACACTGTACTATGTAATGCTGTTGGCAGGAAGTACTACCAGGAACTCAGGGGCAATCCACGTACCACGCTCCCCTGGACCTCCTAACTACGTACTACCTAAGAACTGGAATAGCTAGGGACTAGAGAGGGTCTGGGGCAGTGCAACTTAGTCCAAGCATTCAATAGTAGTAGTCACAGACTGGTTGGCTGTTAGCACTGTTAGCACTGTTATTAGCACTGTAGGTTGAGATCATCGAGGCCCACCAATAGTCTGGCCGAACGCTGTTTTCTGGGAACTCCTCCTCATGGCTCCGCTCGAGGCCAATCGATTCCTCTTAAGATAACGTGCAAGTAGCGAGGAAATGAGTCTGTACAGAGGTACCGGCTACACTCTAGCATCCTGCATGGATAAATCGGTGAATTGATTAAATATAATTACCCTGTATAGATTAATCCTTTGTTCTGGAAAGCCACAGTCAGCGCGGCCAGTGACGGCGCCAGGAACTGTGGTATCGGATGGAGCGGACTGCTGACCTGGCCCCACCGGACTGCCTACCCCTGACTAACGTGCAGGCAAAGGCCAATGGCGATGGAGCCACCCCACTTGGGGCCTGAAACACGGTAAACACTGCCAAATGAGAGGCCGGCACAATATCCAGTACCTTGCTACTCCGGCTTAGTGCTGCCTCTAGGCTTAATTACCAGGTGCTCATCTGCTTGGGGGATGTCCTGCTTCCTGACCGCAATCCTTAGTCTTGCCACTTTGTCGACTCATTCTACTCGTTTTACTCATTCTACTCATTTTACTATCTAGTGACTGCTGTATGCAGTCCCTGCCTGTATCACGACCACACTGGTAGTCAGACCGGGCTCAATAAACAGTCAGTAAAGATCAGACACTTCATAGTAACCACCACCAACTGCTCAGTAGTACTATGTAGTACTAAGTAGTAAGTACTAAGTAATAAGATTGCCGGCGAATCAGCACCCCCCCCTGCACTGTTCCCCGCCGCGCGCGGGCTAGCGCTGCGTGCGGGCGGAGGTCTGGGCTGCGGTTGGCCCGCCCGCACGCAGGTTCAATGGAAGCGATCTGCCATAGCTCATTTCCCATAATTTCCCAGTCAATACAAAGGCACCGCGCTCGCCCTCGCCCTCGTTTCCTTTGTTTCTCTCCTCCTCCAACCCAACCAGCTCCCATACAAATTCTCCCAGGCTCTCGCAGTCACAGCTTCGACTTCGGTCACCCACACTCTTTTAACCAACTACCACACTCTTTACAACACAAGCAACCCGCTTTCCACTCCAGCTTCACGCTTTTCTTCTCAACACAGCCAAAATGCAGTTCTCTCTCGCTACCATTGCCCTCCTCGCTGGCGCTGCCGCCGCTCAGGTCACCACCGTCTACACCACTGATGTCGAGACCATCACCTCGTGCGGTCCCACTGTGACCAACTGCCCGGCTCGCAGCCACACCTCTGCCCCGGCTCCTGCCTGGACTCCCTCCAGCCAGATCGTGCCTCCTGCTGTCACCTCAGTTGCTCCTGCTCCCGGCACCACTGTTGCGCCTGCTCCTGCTCCCGGCACCTCGGTTGCGCCTGCTCCTAAGGGCAACACCTCGCCCGTGGCTCCTTATCCTTCTCCCTCGGTCTCCGTGGTCACCTACTCGACCTGCATTCCTACCACGATCGTCTCGACCATCACCCTCACTCCTTCTCCCACCTCCGTTGCTCCCGTTGGCACTGCTCCCCCGGCTCCTGCTGGCACTGCTCCTGGTGCTCCTGGCACTGGCGCTACCACCACTGCGTAAGTTCACTTGTCCGATCTATCTATTTGACACCAAACTAACCTGGTACAGCCCTGGCACTCCTGCCTTCACCAACGGTGCCAACGCCTTCTCCGGCTCTTTCGCCATGGCCGGTGCCGCTGCTGTCGCTGCCGTCTTCCTGGCCTAAATTCTCTTGTAACGATTGATACCCTCTAGGGCGGTGATCCGGTGGTGAGCCGATGCCACCTAGAAACAGTTAAACAACTTGTCAATGCCTGGGAAAATCTTTGGGGAATTCTATATTCAGGAAAAGCGAGACGCGGGGAGTTTGGAGGTCTTGAGGCGCTCTCGATCTGGTTTACGAGATCTACGTTGTACATCCATTTGGTAACTGCCGTGTACATTTTCGAGTTGCACAAGCACTTTGGACTATCCAGTCTGTTTCTTCATATTTTCGTTCGGAGCTGTACACAGACTTCTGTTATATTTGTAAATTTAATTTTAGAATAATGCTAGTGCGATGACTGATTCATGTAACTTGTCATGTCTGCTAGTTTATCCTACCTACCACATCCATTCATCCGTTGATGTATTCTATTTATCATGGTTCTATGTGGCTGACCCTTAGGTGTATTCTCAAACTTAGCGTGGACGTCATTGTGGGTCTGCAATTTCGCTCTCCATCATATACGGTATGCGATGCGTATATCACATGAGCATGAATGAATATCTAGCTATATACTACTGTCTACTATTCTAGTATATAGTATAGTATAGCACGTAGTAAGAATAAGTTTACGGTTACCCTGCCGAAGAATGTTTCCACGTGCGCCATGATTGGCACAGTTCCCACATTCCGAGATGCATCTGGGATTCGCAAATTGCAATGTCAATTCTCATGCAGTGTTCATGTCCTAATAATAAATACGCACCGAATGCACTTCCAGTCTGGGATCTGCCAGGAATAAGAAATGAGGAATAAGAAGCACACTCGGAGAATAACTGTCGGGGCCTAAGGCACGAATGGTATACTATTCTTGTCTACATCAATTCATATGAGCGACAAGTACAGATCTAGTATCATCGTGCGCCGCAGATTCGGCCCGCACGGCACGACACTTGTAGTATGTCATGTAAGAGAATTCCGCCCATGTCAGGATGGCTTATATAAATATCCTCACAATGAATAGACTTTTCTCCCAGTTGTGGCTGTCCTACGTCAGGTAAGCAGGTAGTATTTTATGTCGTAGTAAGAGACTGAGTAAGGACAGGGGGTTCTTTTTTTAGAAATCGGGCCGTGGAGGCTAGCACCATTGCGGGCTAGTCAGCACCAACACACAGTTACACAGAACTTACGGAAAGGTTGAATATATCCATTTATTATATTATTATATTATATATCATTATTATAATCATTATAATCATTACCAGCAATATCCTCATCGAAAGGGATAATAATATTCATGATATGTTACCAGTAGTGTAGAGCAGAGTAGGTACTAGGAGCGAGAGAACAAGAGGCGGCTCGCAGCCACTCCAATCATGGACTCGCCCTCGTCAAAAACTCAACCAACCAACGCAATTTGAATTGATCGATTATCGAAGATTGAGTTTTCCTCGCTAGTTTTATTTTCTGCCAATAATACTACTAACGTTTAATTTCCATAGCTAGAAAATGAAGTGAATAGTCGTCGCGGCAGCCAATCGCAGCGATCGACGCTGGAGTAGCAGCGACAGGAGCGGTCGCCCCTTCCTGCAGCGGACTTGCCCTGCAGGATTGCTGGCACGAGAGACCTACTTAGCAGTCACTCTAGTTGGATCCAGGCCGCCTGCCAACTTGCCTCCTGCCTCTTGCCTGTCATGCGCACTCTGCTGTGATATATCTTGTATCCAATCCCCGGGGGCTCCATTTACGCTCCGTTAGAATACACTCTCGTTGGTACTCTCGTTGACCACATCTACTAATACTACTCTGGCATACATCGCCCTCAATATGTGCATGCCCTCCAACAAGACGGCGCTCCTGCTGCTGTAACCTGTCTATACTAAGCTTAACGGGGGCCAACCTCGCGCTCTGTCCCTGTCATCGGCCGCCCGACCAGATGGGCGGAACGAGAATAGTTCCAAGTATTGATAAGTTCTCTGGTCTCGTCGAGTCGACGACAGACTCTTGACTGGCTTCACACTCGGTGGAAAGCTCAGAAGGTTAAGAGATCCAGTTCTCCTGCCTTGTCACTTCAATAATTGCACTCAGAATGGATCTGTCCTCCCTCGAGGGCCCCCCTCTGCAAGATGAACGCTTCACTCTGTCCGTCTCTACACCCTCACCCGTCTCGCCCGTACACACCTGGGAGAGGTCGAGAGGATTGCCTCCTGTGCCGCGCATCGTCACCCAAATGCCCATCTCTCCCTTGACAGACTCGTCGGGCCATTCTGTTGCGAGTCGGCGGTATCCAGACACCTATGGCTGGGACAATCCCCGCGGTTTCTCAAGGCCCATCGCTAGTCCAACCCCCGCAGACTGCGCAGCTCGCAGTCCATCTCTATCTCACCTGAATCTCCCACACCTTTGCGCGGCTCTCGCAGCTATTCTAACTTGCAAGCGCCAGCGAGCGTCCCGCCCCGACCAGCCAGTGCCGACAACCAATCGCGCCCTGCCCAGATGATAACTAATGGCCGTTTAATATGGCTCGAAGAACAGGAAATATGGGTCCTGGTCGATTCCCTACCAGCACCAGCAGAACTGCCCCGAGCAGGAAACAACAATACATATCACGTGGCTCAGAATTCCAACAACCCTCTAATCCAATACTACGACCCGGTAGCTCGCGAATACGAGAGTGAAGACGAGCTGCCGCCATCTTATGAAAGCCACCAATTCATGTCGAGACGACATCTAACCATTCCCCCGCCGACCAACCAACCGCATCGGCGTCCACACAGAGGCCGTGACAGTGGCCGAGGCCGGACGCAATGGGCGTCCATTGCGGAACGACTAGGCAGGTCGCCATTCGCATGACCTTGCATTACTCATTCTAACTAGAAGCAAGAGCTTCATCCTAGGTTGTTTCAAAGAGATTTCCACGACGCGAGACATGTGCGACGTCTACCGCCGAATATGATTCCCTACTATTGGTATTACAGATAACTGTTCGATCGCAGTCAGCCGGCTGCTGCTAGTTATAACGGATATGGCATTGGTTGGATTGTGATAGGCTGGAGTTATGGTTTATTTATTATCTAAGTTATGGCTCGGGTCATGTTGATTAATTGAAGAATGTTTTCAGCGAATACCCTTTCCGTTATCACTGACATGTGAGGTGTATGATATTGATAGTGATCGACGATCCAAAATTATTAGCTTTCGTCTGGTTGTCCGCTAGATCCTCTCATGAAAGATCTAGAGGTCCAGAATAGTAGCACACAATACCATAATACTATACAAACCGCACTATGTTATCTACACGATAATCTTCAAGAAAAGAAAAAAGGATTGAACTGCTTCTATCATCTGGCCGTTTGGCCTGTCATATAACGCATGTATTGGAATAATACTCGTTTCACGGCCGCTAGAACCTAGATTTAATAATTAGTTTATTGCTTTAACAACTTTAGTGTATTAAGAATATATATATATGCGTACCATTTTTATGTACTTTTTTCTTTCTTGGCCTTCTTCTCTTCCTTCTCTTCCTTCTTCTTCTCCTTCTCCTCTAGGGCTTGTTGGCGGGGGTTTGACTCTGCTGCACTAACGACGTTTTCATCTATTTCTAATGTTAGTATTCGTATTATCGTTGTTAAACCATTAATACGTGAAATAGGCGTTGGATATTGGACAGTGAACAGTGGATATACCACTTACTCATTGTGTTTGTGGCAGTAGGTGGTGGTGGTAGTGAAGATGGAGGACTGCGAGAGTCACAGTCAAACAGCATGGGCTATTATGAGTAGGCATAAGCTGCTGTTTGTCTCCCAGGGAAGGAAGGAGCGCCCGGCGGGAGGCGACTGTTTACATGACCCTCCATACTTCTCAGTCCTCGTAATGCTACACAGCTTCGTAGAAGAGAGATGGGCTTGACGAGTTAATAGTTAATATGCAGATATCATTAGTATTAGGTCTTTTCTTGAAGATGAGATATATATAAACGGCAACAAGCTAGTCATGCCGGGCCCCGGTTACCCGCATCCAGGCCCCCAACTAACCTCGACCACTCAGCCCTTTCAAACTTCAATACAGAAAGATCCAATATAATTGTTTATATATAGAATATTCCCAGTTTGCCATTCCTCTTCCCTTCTGATCAGAAGTATATATGTGGAGGATTTGACGGTGTATCGGTTTCAAGGCCTCCCGTCATTCGCGCGACGATTCGTCTCGGATACGGCTTGGCGGTTTGATGCTGGTTTGGGGTTGACGGATGAAACGTGCCCCTTGGCGCTTGCCAGTACTCTCCAGCACTCTGTTTGCGCTTTGCCAGTGCTTGTAGATGTCTTTTTCTCTGGATGGGTTATGGCATGTGAGTATTGAGAGTGATGGGATTGCAGGTGTTGGATGTTATGGACTCTGCAGTTGTATCTACTACCCAGCACACCATTTCCATAGCCATTAACTATCAATTGATATAGACACAACTACACTGCTACTGCAGTATGCGGCGCTGCTACTAGTGTCTGGTCTCGGCCGCCAGTTCCTGACTAAGACATAGACTACCACGTCCTTCCCCTTCAGCTCCTCGACAGAACGCGTGCTTCATCTTCTGCAGCCTAGCAGAATTGCATGTATATGACACACAAGCCCCTCATCCTGCTCCATTCCTTTTCTTCCTATCCTGCGATTCTGGGACAACTTGGTGAGGCGAGGTTGTACCGAGATCTAAATTTGGACAGCAGGGTTCAGAGACTGCACACACGCTCACACATAGTCTGGCAGACGGGGGGAACGAACTGGTGGCGCTCGTTCGATCATAGCAGTCGGTTCGCACGCGGAACTGACAACTAGAGACGAAGACAAGACAAGACTAGGCTAGGCTGGCACGGGGTACATATGTACGGGATTGTGATGGGCATTTCTGTAACTGTCTGGCGACGAACGAACCGGACTATCGAGACCACGAACTTGGATCATCCATTCGGAGCCTATCATAACATGATATGATGTGCTGGTGGATGACTTGATCTGATCTTGGGTGGGTTCGATCTGGATTTTGGCTTGGCTTGATTTGGTGAGTGTGGGTGTTATTATTATTGTTGTTAAATTACTCGCGTCCCCACGTTGACTGACCTTGGTGGGTTTCGTGCATGAATTACTTACTTGCTTTGCTTTGATTTTTACCTATGCTTATTCTTATTTATGTTTTTGTGAAAGCTTCGATTTTGTTAATCTTATCCTCGATTTTGATTCTTATATATCATCTGATCGACTCGTTATTATACGCACCACACAGCATCAGAGCAGATGAACGGCAACACTGGGCAGCGGTAAGTCTTCTACAAACAATATTACTCTATGAGGGTGATGTGTTGATATCGACAGTGTTTACTGGCAAATGCCCTCGCAACAATCCCCGGCCCCTAGAGATCCTCCCCGAAACCCCCCTCCGAAGAGGACAATGTCGTCGACGATGGAAACCCTTGGTATTCGCTTGCGTCCACCAGGTTTCCACCAGTCTGCTTCGTCCTCGTATTATCACACACGGCAATCGCCACCACAGCAGCCGCCACCACAGCAGCAACAGGCGAGAGTGATGCATGAGAATATGTATGCGTCAAGTCAGCTCACTAGTCAACCGCACCAGCAACCGTGGAATGGATTTGGGCAGAGCCATGATTATGCCACTGGAAATGGGTATTTGTATACTCCTTCACTAAATGACCGTAAGTCAGACTCTGCCATTACTTTAGATAGAAAGTAAGTTGACTGTGTTAGCCATCGGTCCTGTGGACATAGGAAAGCCAAATATGTATTCCGATTTAAATACGGATCTGTATACTTGGCAGTACGGCCTTCTTTACCCGGACGCGTACCAGCAGATGGGCAGTACAGAGCCACAGTCAAAGTTATTCTCACCTGACTATAACTTGTCCGCAACCTATCCAAACACCTCACCTCTATACACGGGTCAGTTAGTAGCACCAGCGACGGAGCCGGGTTTTCTAGTATACCCAGACACAATTTCCTGTCCCTCTTCGGAATACACCTCGACAAGTTCACTGACGGCTCTATCGCCCGCGCCTTCTCCTCGGTGTTCACAGTCAGAATCACAGTCAGAGCTGGCTCGAGGCATAAAACGGCCCCGAGGAACGCCATCTCCCCGTCCTAACCAGTTCGCTGCTCCTTATAATCTTGAGGATACCCGCCGTTGCTGGTCCCCTGTGTCATGCCCATCAGCCACGCCAGCGAGGCGACCGTCACCTCTGGCACGGCAGGCTCGGACGCCGGAGCATATCACGCCCAATACCTACCAATTCTCAGCACCTCCATCATTCATACCGAACAACTCCCTACTCATGACCAGTTCAAGCCAACCACCAACACTCGGCTCAAGTCCTGAACGACACAAGCAGAAAGGTTCAAACCATCATCCCCGCAAAATGCTCAAATCACTGCACAGCAATGGCGACGGCGACAGCCAGCATCTCAACGACTACACCCGTCTATCAGAAGGACCACCCGACCTCTTCGGCCCATTGTCCGAAGAACCCAAGCCGCCGGTGGCCAAGGACATGCACCCAGACGACCCAAGCCTGATGCCGCACGAGCAAGACCTACGCTTCGACAACGACCTGTACACGCCGCGCTGGGTGCGCGGCCACGGCAACAAGCGCGAAGGATGGTGCGGCATCTGCAAACCGGGACGGTGGCTGGTGCTCAAGAACTCGGCGTTCTGGTACGACAAGAGTTTCTCGCATGGCGTCAGCGCTGCAACGGGGCAGGCTTTTGAGGCGCCACGAGAGATCCGCCGCGCGGAGGGGGAGCACCACAGTACTAATAGTAGCAGCAACAAGGAAGATATGTGGGAAGGGCTCTGTGGTAGCTGTGGCGAATGGATTCCGCTGATCAGTTCTAAAAAGAAAGGCACGACGTGGTTTAGACACGCATACAAGGTTCGTCGATAATATATATCTATACATATACAAGATTTGTTTGTCTTATTGTTGACATTATTCAGTGCCAGTCCCGGAGCAGAGACAAGGACAAGCACCGTATCGAAAGCACCGTTTCGCTGCAGCTCGACCAGTCCTCTGCCTCTCCTCTCGCGACGCCTGCACCATTCGTTGAGCTGCTCGACCCAGTCCACAATCCGCTGTACTTGTCGGTGCCGGACGGTGGTAGTGGTAGCGGTAGGAACGATGGGAACGCGGTGATGCGAACCATGGCAAATTTCCAGACGCTGCTCTGATGTGAGTTAAATACTAATACTAGACGGCGGCGGTATTACACATGTACTGCTGACTGGACTGTTGGTTATTGATTGATGGATTGATTGATTGATTGGTTAGCGAGTCATGATTGTTTGTACTTCAGACATGGGTATATAGACTTGTAATGATTTCAAGCTGTTCATATGAATACACATGCTGGTTGGTTGGTTGATTGTTTGGTTTGCTTGCAGGTTAGTTACGTGGCATCCACTAGTACAGTAAACACTAAAGAGCGAGTACAATAGACCCTACATATGTATAATCCATCAGTCATGCACGATCCATTGTAAGATTGACTACATATCCTACCTGTATAGTGTAGACATTGACACGTCGATATCAGCACGAGAGCAAACATTTTGAAGGCTTAGGGGCTATGGAAGCGTATGGAAGACAGGCAGTCAGATTGCTCACAAACTGTGGGGAATTAAATAAAAACAAGCATGATCAATTAATTAATCATAAAGGCGGTGGAGAGATGACGCTTATTAGTAGTGGTATTATTGCTATGATTATTTATTAGTTTTATTTATTCAGGAGGCGCCAGACAACACGCAAGTCATAAGTCACCCATCAATCAGGACCAGCAGCTTGCATTGATCTTGCCAGCCATCGACATTATTGTTGCTACTATCAAAGCGTCCGGCTGCCCATTCGATCCATTTCATTTGATTTCCATTCCACTCGCTGGCTTGACTATTAATTTAGTCGCAGGACGCTCGCGCTAGCCAGGCCCATCTACGATCATCCCAACGCCGTCCCTGTGCCGATTCTGCTTCTGAATTTTATATTTATTCATTCACTCCGTTTCTTACGCATCTCACATCCCAACGACACCGGGAGCCCTCTCACGCACAGGATATTGCGGTGGGCTGTTGAAAGACTGTCGGTCGACTGCGTGGGATTGTGGATCCGTTTGGTTGGCCTTTTCTTTTCTTTTTCTGCCGGTTGACGAACGACGAACGCTGCTTGCTGGCCTGCTGGATTGTAGGTTATTATTATTTATGGTGGCTGGCGACTCCACTGCAGCAAGAGCCAACGTTAGTGTCAGGATTATTATTCACTCGGTCACTTATTAGTATTTTTTTCGATGCTGTGCCCCGCGTGCTCGTGATCCGTCTTTACTGCTGTCACTCTTGTCTTGCTTGTCACTGCCAGAGACCATCCGACCGACAGAAGACACTGTTGAGCGACAGACCGTGATTGCTGTTGGGAGCGAGCGACGTGAGAGAGAGGAAGAAGAGAAGAGAAAAACGGAGCTAGAAAGAGGCAGTCAGTCTTCTACCGCTTTCGTTTTAGTTCGATTGCTCCCGCCCGCCGCCGTCGAATAATTAATACTATTACTGTCTCTTCAATGGTGCTCCAATTCTTTTCCAAATCGACGTCGCCCGACAAGACCAAAGACAAATCCAAAGGCAAAGAGAAAGAAAGAGAAAGAGAAAAAGAAAAGGACCGCAAGACCAGGTCTAGAGAGAAAAAAAGGCCCCGGGACGCCCCGACCATCGACATTCCGCCGCCGTCCCCTGCGTCGACCACTTCCTCGCCTCAAAAATCTGCATCTACATCCACCTCAGTGTCGCCTCGCAAGTCGCCCACCAAATCGACCCTCTCCTACCGCGACTCGCACAGCCGCTCCTCGTCGACGGCCTCCAAGCACAGCTTCTTCTCCTCGTCCACCCGCAACTCGCAGCACACCCGGGACTCGCATCCTCTGAACCTCCCGCCCGACGAGCTTCGTCGACATCTTTTTGCCATGGCCGCTGCCAGAGAGGACAGCATGCGCAGTTCGATGGACATCGATCGCGAGGCCACCGCGTCGCCGCAACCCGATGCCACACCCATGAGCACAAATGGCATGTCCAACGGCGAGGGCGAGGGCGAGAGTGATCGCAGCCCGACCCCACCACCACATCGTGCGAGCCCTCCTAGCAGTGACGGGGGAGAATCGTTCAAATTGGCCGGCAACAAATTCTTCAAGCAGGGAGATTATGACCGCGCTATCCAAGAATATAACAAAGGTCAGTCAATTCTTTCTCTTACGAAGGAACAAACAAAAATAAAAATTTGGTAAGAAAACGAGCACGTGCTAAGACGCCGATCATCATGCAGCCCTCGAAGTCAATCCGAACTCATCCATTTTCCTCTCCAACCGAGCCGCTGCGTTCCTCTCCGCAAACCGATACCTGGAAGCCCTAGAAGACGCACAGCGTGCGTTGGCCTTGGACCCCGGCAATGCGAAGATCATGCACCGTATGGCCCGCATCTTAACCAACCTCGGACGCCCAGCAGAAGCGCTCGATATCCTATCAAAAGTCCAACCTCCTGCTACTGCCAAAGATCGTTCTACTGCCGAATCCATGCTGAGGTATATCACACAGGCTGAAGAGTCGCTGGCGCAAGGCAAAGGTGGCTCCATGGTTGTGTATGCCATTGAGCAAGCCCGGCTTCTGTTAGGCGCTGGTGCGAAGACGCCTCGAAAATGGACGCTGATGATCGGAGAAGCCCAGTTGCTGATTGGAAATGACAATGGCTACGGCAAAGCACACGATGTGGCAATTTCGTTGCTACGAGAAAACAACCAGGATCCAGATGCGCTTTTGCTCAGAGCAAAGGCCTACTACGGACAAGGCGACAATGACCAGGCTGTTAAATACCTCAAGATGTGCCTGGGACTAGACCCGGACAGCAAAGAAGGCATTAAATTGCTCCGTCGAGTGCAGAAGTTAGTGCGGACCAAAGACGAGGGTAATGCGGCTTTCAAAGCCAAGGACTACCAGCGTGCAGTTGAACTGTACACGCAGGGTCTCGAAATTGACCCAACTAATAAGGAAACCAACTCCAAGCTGCTCCAAAATCGGGCACAGGCGCGCCTGGCTCTGAAGGACTACGAAAAAGCCATTGAAGACTGCACCGAAGCTCTGCGACTCGATCCAGGCTACGTCAAAGCGCAGAAGATCCGTGCCAAGGCTTACGGTGCTGCAGGAAACTGGGACGAGGCTGTCAAGGATTATAAGAATGTTGCCGAAGTTAACCCGGGAGAGAAGGGCATTCAGGAGGACATTCGTCACGCCGAGTTTGAACTCAAGAAGAGCAAGCGAAAGGACTATTACAAGCTCCTTGGAGTATCAAAGGACGCGTCTGACCAAGATATCAAGAAGGCGTACCGGAAAATGGCTATTCAGTACCACCCTGACAAAAACCCGGATTCCACGGATGAAATGTTCAAGGAGATTGGCGAGGCTTACGAGACTTTGATTGATCCTCAGTATGTGTTCTGAGACCATTTAACAGAATTTTTACTGACCTTTCTAGGAAACGTGCCGCTTATGATAACGGCGATGACCTGATTGACCCTGCAGACATGTTCGGCCGTGGCGGTTCACCATTCGGCGGCATGGGCGGCATGGGAGGAATGGGGGGCATGCACGGCGGTATGCATGGGGTTAATATTGACCCCAACATTCTCTTTAACATGATGAACGGCGGCGGCGGCGGCGGCGGCGGTGGATTTGCTCAAGCTGGCGGCAATCCATTTGCCGGCGCACAAGGACGTGGTGGAGGCTTCCACAACTTCCAATTCTAATGAAAGAATTTCATAGCATTTTTTTGCTCGTCATCAGACGGATAAACATGTCTAGTTTGATACCGAGGAAGAGATGACATCTTCACGAAGAGAAATAACCTACAATACTGGATCTTGGCAATGATTCCAACACCATTACACCAGCCCAGCTTCCGGTTGCACGGCCGATTCACTTTGAGCTTGTTGAACTTGAGTCGGTAATTTTACATTTCATCGCATTTCCCATATACTGATAGACCATGTCTATTCTATCACTATGTGTCTCGGTTATTCCTCCGGTTCGGCAAAAAAACCGCATTTCCGTTGCATTTGGGAAATAGATCGGCGTTTCTTTGTCTCCGCGCTTTTGCCCATCATCTATTTTCTGGCCTTTTATTTTGGGTCATTTCCTTTTCATGATCAGCGTGACTTACGACGTGCCTGGTTTGACCAATATTTGTAGAAAATTGCTGGTTAATGACGAGTGGGAATAGATGATTGGATATCATAACATATGTTTTGGATTGTTTTTAAGTGTATATTCTTGGTATATTTAAGATATCTTTACATATTGATTCCCTTGCCTTCACTACATCATTTGTATTCAATTCTGGATTGTTTGGTATTGGTTCTATCTATGACGTGAATGTCTAGCCTCAAAGGGCTATAAATAAAGAATTCCTAAAACCTTTCCTAATGCACTGGAACAGCAGCTTCAACACATTCATCGCCGAACAGCTTTTTTTCACTGTTATCTACCTGACGAGCAATGTCCTCATCCATACGAGCGTATTCCTCCGGTCTTTCAAGTTGCGTCGCCGCTAATCATTCATTAGCAAGATATCACAGAAAGAAAATAAAATAGGACTCACTCTTATTCCAAGCAACAATGATCCCTGGCTCCGACTCAAAGAATCGATCAATGTCCTCCAACGTCCGATTCGCCGTCTCAGGGTAGAAGAGATACGTGATAGGGATGAAACTGAAGCAGATACAAGCCCATATAACCCAGAATTTCCAGCCCAAGTTCGCAATCCCCGGCGGCGTCACTTGCACCACCATGTAGTTCATAATCCAGTTCGTCGCCATGGCCAGAGAAGACCCCTTGGTACGCATTTCGAGGGCATTAATTTCGGTTGGATATAGCCTTGTATCAAGTTAGTCAGGTAGTCGGTATGGTAGAGTGAGTGAAATGGAGTGGAATATACCATGGCACGCCCAACACCCCCATACCGAAACTCGCGAAAAATACAAAAAAGAATGACACCGCCACAATCCCGAGTTTGTACTGGTCTCCACGCCCGGTGTCAGAGATTGAAAGCGCAATGGCGATCACGACCCAGCAGATACAGCACGCTGCAGCTGAGCTCATCATTACTTTGCGGCGTCCATATCGCTCGATTATGAAGTATGCCATGCACGAGAAGAAGAGGTAGTCGACGCTCCCGGCGGCGGCGAGGATGCGGGAGAGTAATTCGCCGATGTTGAGCGCGTTGATGAATACGTATGACATATAGTAGCTCGTGATGTTGATGCCGGAGATTTGGTTCATGGCTTGCATCCAGGCGCCGAGGATCATGCGGCGGAGGACGCCGGAGGGGCCTGCCTCTAGTCAATAACCGGTCAAAGCAGAAACAGAGTTTTTTTGGGGGGAAAGTCTGACCTCGTCCGGTTAGTAGCTGACCCCAGGTATATGTCGTCATGTGTTCTCGATCAAGAATGTCTTTGATAATATTGAACTGTGACTTGACCTCTGGCGAATCAGGTGTTGCGCCGTCTCCCTGAAGCGCAGCAATGACTTCACGCGCTTCGTCGTATTTTCCTTTGCGGATGAGAAGACGCGGTGAGTCGGGGAGGAATGGGCAGAGGATGTAGATGAGCAGGGTGAAGAAGATCTGAAAGGCGAGGGGGAATCTCCACGCCACGCTTCCAGGCGCGAAGGAGAACCCGAGGGTTAACCAGTTGGAGATAGAGAAGCCAGTGATACAGTTTGCCTATTAAAAAAAAAAGTATAAGCTAGATGTTGGCTTTTTTCTTCTTCTATAGAGTGTGGCACAGACCATTTGGATGATTACTAGTTTTCCGCGACTTCGCATTTTGCTCGTCTCGGCCTGCCAGACTCCTGCTGTTGCGGTATTCATACCTGAATGATTAATCAGTAAAGTTGTATGGTAGGTCTGTCTTGATGATACATGTACTTGCCTGTTCCCAGTCCAGCAATGACCCTACCGCACATCATCTGTGCAACACTGTACGATGCAGTCTGTATAATCGCGCCGACAGCAATGACCGAGCTGCCGATGATAATCTGGCGCGGCCGACCAAACACATCGCCCGTCCAGATGGTCGACATGGCGCCGACAAAACACCCCAGGTTGTAAACAGACGTCATGGTAGCCTGCATATTGGATGAAGGGTTGCCCATTGTGTCGAGAAAGTTCTTGCCAATCAAGACATTGCCGAAGACGCCCTGTTTTCGGGTTAGGTATGACCGTAAACGAAATGTGGATGACGGACCTGGTCATAACCGTAGAATATCAGAACCGTTGATGCAGCAATCGAAATCCACACAGTCAGGGCATTCCCAGAACCGCCCCAGTATTTGCGGCCCATTGTGATAAGAATGTTTAGTCCCAGCAAGGCGTGGCTAGCTAACCCGTATTAATTGACGAGTTCCAAGCAACCGCACGGTATAATGCTGAATGCATGTGTAGGACTGTAAGGCAGGAGCTTGTAGCGGCCCAGAGACCTTTATATACACACCCTCAAAATCAAGTCAGGATAATTATCAAAACTGACTCAGCCAGTAAACTCTACTGAAGGCTTGCCCCCCCTCATTCGTCCCCACATTCCCCCAGAAAGAACAACCTCGAGTATCCCTTTTGCCGGGAACTTGCATTCAATTGGCTGGATACCGTTTCTCGACGCCGCTCAAACGGAGCATCTCCGGTGTTTCGTATCACTGTGGGCCCAGATTCTCCAGAATTGAGCAGTACATCTAATGTTATTGTCAGGCGGTTGCTATCGCGGAGTCTGGAGAAGGTGCGGAGGATGCGGAGAATCTCCAGAATTCGCGGTACATAGGGTAAATAGGTAAAAGCCAAACTTGGGGAGGGACGCCCGTGGCGATCCTTGACTGTTGGGGCAGGTTAGCCGGCTCTGCTATGTTATTTAAATTTTGAAAACGCCTCACGCCTTACGCTCTGACGTTTCTCTGTTTTGGTATTATGCCGTATCAGTTGTTTGTCGCTTGGTCGTGCCTCGGAGAATAGCCGTTGCAAACCGTGCGCAGGTGCTGGCGGGGGCAGGTTAGGCGAGGGTGACGCCCGATATGGCAGGTAGTCCGAGCCTATACTTTAGGGCTTGAAATGTTATTAGGGTGACAAAGTTGGAATATAGCACCACAACGTGAATTCGGTATAGCAACCCTCACCATATTAATACTAATAAAAATTGAACATTTTCCATCATGTACTGGTGACCCCAGGGAAGCCTAATACTAATATAACGGACATTGGTGTAAATCTAGATTATATAAGTGTATGAGTGTTTGACTTTATTTGTGAATATTTACATACAACATTTTGCATTTCATAAAGCAGAAATCTAGTGAACTTTTCGAACCGACTTAAATGCAAGCTTTCAAGTGCTATTGTGATACTATGTACACCAAGACTTATATGTTCCTATGCAAGTATGTAGCTGATTACAACTGATATTCTTGCGTAATCAACCCGACATTGTCTAGAGAATAAAGCGCCAAAAAGTGCGACGAGTCAATGACATACATCCCAGGCCAATGTGAGCCTAGATTTCCCGTAATTGTCGGCATACTCCACGTCTGTCCTTCACCAGTGCTCGTAATAACCTTCATCTCCCCACTGTCAACGGTAGTAGATTGCCCCCCGTCTTCATTCGTCATGAAATCTGCGACAATTGTGCCCCCGACATTGATAATCTGTGGAGCACCGGCGTCAGCGCCGTTGGCCGCTGTGTAGAGACGTGTGCGTGTGTTCCAGGTAAACCCATCGTCTTGAGAGAGAACGTAGTTCACGGAGAAGGGGCCGTCTTCGGTGGTCTCGTAGATACCGCTTTACGCAGTCAGTATATCCTGATCTTCATAACTGCTACGATGGGAAATTACATCAAGTTCCCATTATCATCAATATTCGTTCCCCCAGTCATACCATCCCTCGCAGTAATCCCCTGACCTGAGACAGGCATCTCGCCAGACCAAGTATTTCCGTCATCAATGGAAATCTTCATCAGATTGTCTTGATCAGCTGCGCTATTCTCCGAGGAGTAGAAAACCTGAAGGGTCCCATTCGACGACAGTCGGAGGTAAGGTTCCCAGAAACCATTGAGATTGTTCGGATCAGCAGCTCGCTCATCGATCTGGGTGAGGTAATTCCAGGTATTCCCACCATTGTCCGAGTAACAAAGAGTAATACGGTAGTATGTGAAGACATCCTTGCTTATGCGGTCATGGTTCCGGAACGCGAAGAGCAGTCGGCCGCTTGGTAATTGAAAGGGGAATGCGTTGTCGAGTTCCCTGGTAGCCGACGGTCCGCTGTCGACGATACCAAGCTGTGTCCAGGTCACCCCGCCGTCCGTAGATTGAGCTGTCCGCAGAACATGATTATCGCCTTCTTGAACTGCGTAGCCTCCTAGAATACTGCCATCTGTTATGGTCGTAGTGCGCATGTACTCGCCGTTGGGGTTGACCAAGTTCTGGTTTCCAACAGTGGATAGGGCTGTCACGATAGTAAACACTGTGGTGAGCTAGACAAGGGGGGTTGTGAAAGAAATCATCTTTATTCGTAGGGAAAGCCGATGAGTATATCACTGCGTGGTCCACACCTGATATCTAGAACCTGCCCATTTTATATGTAGATTCATTGCCTACGATGAGGTTAATGTAGATAAAGCATCATGCCATAGTCAGCTTCATATTATTGGTCACTTCGCACAGAATCCGAATGCCAAGTCGTGTTTACACTGTCAGCTACTATCAGGGTCAAATAACAGCTCATGTTTGTATCAGGCATCCATACTTAAGGTAACCCTGTATGGCGCTGGGGCTTGGTAGTCAGCTATACGAACCAATAAAATTACCAATATCGACCGACTAATTACTATTACTGGCAATAATTTTACCGACAATGAAATGATCAAAAACCACAGAGCACGCAGAGTACATATGTGCTCGTGACTTTCGAGACCTGAAACGGGAAATATAGATCTTCTTCCATCTGAGTAATCAAAGGCTTCTATAGTTTAATTGGATGAGTCGGGGCGACAATTACTATGTTTATATTAATAGGCTGGATAACCAGGCGCTTTTTTGGGTATAGTAATAGTGAATTAGATACATGTTAGCTCAATTTAGAGTAACCTAAATTTAGACCAAGGCTCATAAGAAGGATGCAAAATGGTAACATGGATATGACTTAAAAGTGACAGTGAAAACAACATTGATGAAAGTAATAGACTCTTGTTATGTTGGTTTTTGATGCTGACATACTTATACGCGAAACAGAGTACTAGTTGACTTTATCTTTGTTTACGCTATGGAAACCAGTTAACAGTCATTGGTAAGGCTAGTTCCGAGCTACAACCTAGTAGTCCATCTAATCAGCGTCAAAAATTAGGCTTCGTATAGCCCTCTCTCTTGAGGTTACATATGTACACATTAACATGTAAGGTACATAGATCATGAGTTTCCCATAAAACATATACATACCGCAAGTATTCATAAAATTTTTTGCCTAATTGATTCATCAGGCGTCCAGAGAGCAATCCATCAAATCTGCCATGCATTGTAAAATATAATCACCACCCAACGGATCAGGCGTCCCGAGAACGGCTACACACTGTCGCATGACCAAGTACTATGTGGCCCTGATAGGCGGAGACAGGTCTCACAGCGAGGGCCTCACTGACACAGTTTGTAGGAAACCAGTGCCTCGAAAACTGAGTTTCTGTTGCAAGCACCTTCATATTACTTGTAAAATTTTAGGTAAAACAACAATAAAACAGACACCAATGAAAACTTCACCCCCACCTGACTAGTATTATAATCTTCTCTTCCCCACACTGTACATAAAAAGCATGCTATCAAATAAAGCCCTCTACGAAACTATTCATAAAGGAGGATTTCCGAAACAATAGGTTCTTTGTCACAAAACTCAATCTATGACTGCATATTTGGTTATGATAGCGCATGAAACTTATATAACAGAATGAGTAGCTCTTATTATATCTTACTTTCTTCTATTCATATGCGAGAGAATCTCTATTACATTCTTTGTAAAGACAAAGAATATATTTTGTACAGATAATTGTACAGGAAACATCAAAGTATTAGGAAATAATACAAAAAGCGAATCTAATCATTTGGAAAGTGACCGAAAGGAACCGACTTTTATGACTCTACCTTGTGCATATATATCTATCTTCTCAACTAGAAAATCTTAATTTCTGAGACGTTGTTAAAATGTGCTCAAAGCCTTTGGCTAAGTATTCTACCCTCAAGGTCCCTGAAGATAAACCGGCCTGCCGAGAGGAGCCGAGATGATGATTAGCATTAACCAAGCTTTCAGGATTCCGCTCCAGTAAAGCTGTCAGGCGGTGATCGACGTCAGGATTATGACCGACGGTTGTAGCTAGTTAGTGTTTGTGTGAACAGAGTAATGAATACATTTTGTGTTTTAATGGATTGAAGAATATTGATATAATACTTCCAGACTAGCCGGAGTCCTCGCAGAATACAGTATATAGAAATGCAATTAACAACTCCTATAAAAATAGATACGATATATACAAAATTGACCAAAATAGAATCACGCATATCTCAATGATATCGACTAGAAAATGTCAGCACGAACCAACCACGTCACCGCGGCGATCCAGCCACCGCAAAAAATGAGAGTTAATATCGCTGCGCCTGCTCGATCTCCACCAGTAATGGCCTTCAGTGGAGAGATCTGGGTCTCGCCAGACGAGCCGCCACCGGTAGGGTTTGCAGTACTGTTACCGCCGTTATCTGCGCTCACGGGTCCAGCGGTGCCGTTGTATGGGAACGCCGCAAGCGCATTGGCGAATACGCTGAGAGCCGACATATCCTGCTCGATTCCGGAGGTGCCATCCCATTGTTGGGCATACCATTGTTGGCCGCACTGGGTATCTGTACAGCCTTGGCCAGCACCAACAGCCGAGGCCATCAGTTTTTCGAAGATATCCGGTTGCGTGTAGGGCGCAATCAGCGCGATTGTTGAGAGCCAGCTGGCTAACAAGCCTTTGAAACAGAGTTGATCGCGATCACACTGTTTCCAAGGATCACAGCCGATCTCAGCCATAGTGTTGCTGCCGTATTGCGCGGGGAAGAATGTTGAATATGTCATACCAAGGATCCCATCGAGACCAGTCTTCCATTTGGCATTTGCTTTTGTCTTTTTTAATCAAAGTCAATAAAGTTCGTGTTAAGAGTACGGGATGATCATACTTTGTTATACATGTATGCGGCACCTGCAGCATAAGAGCCATAATTGTAGCTCCATTGTTTGCCACTAGGATCCTGGCAATTCTCCGAGATGAGCGTCATGTCCCAGATATACCATGTTTGGTTGTTGAATAGTTTTGACTGCACACTCCAATCCCAGACTGTCTCTGCCATGTTGGCATATGTTTCATTGCCCGTATACCAATACAGACGAGCTGCGAGCTGGAAAAATGCGCCGTTGGAAATTGCGTTTTTGGCTCCATAGCCGCTCAGTGTTGGGACCAACTGCCAGCGTAAACCTCCACCACACGATGAATTGTCGACCGCCCAACGAGCAGCAAAGTCATTGTAAGCACCTTGCGCCAAACCTAACCAACCTATAGACCCAGGTTTAGGGTTATCCGGGAATTTTTGTTCAGCTGCAGTCATGGCAGCCAAGGCCCAAAATTCTTGGTCGTCGTTTCCCTAATCAACCAAAAAAGAGGAATTAGCTACCGCTTGCTGTAGTCCGCCTACAAGTATAGACACCGAATGAAGGGTAGACTCGATAGACTCACAATGTAACCCTGGACACTTTGTGGATAAAAATCATTGTTGCTGCCTCCTTGATAAGACATACCCTCCGTGATTATATCGTTGTATTGACTATCACCGGTCCAGTGCCAGTAGTTGATGAGAAAGTTGAAAAAGGCGCCTCCTTCCCACCACGTACCGTCGAATTTACCGGGAGTATCTTTACTTTGTCGGGCATTGTAAGAGGCTACTGCGTTGGCTGCAGCCGTCGTGGCTGCAGCCTTGAACGAGTCGGGATTGGTTGAAGTGATTGTGAGGGCGGCGGTGGAGGAGACGAGGGAAAGGACTGGAAGCAGTTGGCAGATGAGTATCCGCATCATGTCGGGCGATTAACGGCGCGGATAGCACAACGGGACGGAGAGGGCTGTGGAAGAGGCCGGTAGCATGATATAGAGAGCGGTCACTCTAGGAAGAATAATTAGGGGTCCGGGGTTGAAGTCGGTTCCTAGTAGAATTAGTTTAGGCCCTTTTGAGTTTAGGGAGTCAGCAGCAGATTCATCGAGGCGATCTTTACTAGGCTAGACAATCACTCACTGGATGTGGCTCAGCCCACAAATCGTAATAATTTAGCGGGTGATTCGCAATTGTCTGAGAATATTTCTGGTCCTGAAACAAGCAGGCTGTCCAGCGAACTGCTGTTTGCTGTCATGACTAAGGGATCGAGGCCAATAGGGGAGGTTCGGATGCCACTTGAAATTGAAATTTGACACACACACTGCCTCACTTGGCGCTGGCCAGTGGAGGTGGAGGCTTGAGGATCCGTTCGGTGATGGCCAATGAGACGGCGCAAACCCCTTGCAAACCCCTTTCAGCCGGTGGACGGCTTTCCATCTGACGAAAGTTATATTAATAGGAATAATCAAGGGGCGATCTGTGCATCGCCTTGTGGCGAGTCGATCCACACAGGGAGTCGTGACCTGGGCAAGTGACAACTGACAAGTGACCAGTGACCAGTGACAAGTGACAACGCTCGACGCTTTTCCCTTTTTGGACAGACCGCCGAGCGTATCCTATTATGGACTAGGGTAGCTTGGCACCCGCACTTTCCTCTTTCGGCAGATGGTGATCGAGTGCTCTAGACCAGCCGGAACAATAAAATGAAACAGGTCTACACTTGTATATTTACATTGTGGTGCTATATTCGGATTTTTGTCACCCTGCTGTATATCTATACCAGTTATATGGTTATATAGTGATTTTTTCATGGTGTTTTCACAACACACCTCACTCAGACTTATTAGACATTCAAACTCTCTATATCAGCAACAACCGAATGGGAAGAAGGTCTCCTAGGCTGACACATGACATCGAAGACCTGTTTGCCAAACTTTCGAAATGCTTCTGTCATACCGCCGACGCTGATAAGCCTTTTCTCCATCTCGCTCAGCTGAAAGGCCCAATTGCGCCCACCACATGCTACAGTGTTTGTAGCCAGATCGATTGATATCTGCTCTCCTTGACTGGCGGTTTCGAAGAATGATTTATCCTTGATGACGATTCCCAGGAGCCCAATGTTCGGCTGATTTCTGGAATAGATAAATGAGAATGATTCCGCAATTACACACTTGACTCCCGCCCCGAGTAAAGCATTGACTGCTACATCGCGCGACGACCCGCAGCCAAAAGCCCGGCCTGCGACGACCACGTCGTGTCCATCACGGACTAATTGTCGAAATCCAGACATGAAAAATTCCATGCAGTGAGAACCAAGCTCTTCATCTGTTCTGGACGACGCAAGGAATTTGGAAGGAATTATCTGTATACAGTTAGCCAGCGTGTCCCTTTTCATAATGACCGAAACACAGGGAATAATCATACTGCATCGGTGTCAACAAAGTCGCCAAGCTTAAGAACTTTGCCTTGAATTGCTGTCGATAAACCCTCGTCTGCAAATACGACGTCATCACTCGTGTCGGGTTTGATATTAGGAATAGCTCTGTCTGTAGTATTTGAAGTATGCTCATCTGTGCCGTATGGTTCTGAAAACAGCAGTTTACTTGTGTCCGTTTCGGAATTCCCAGAAACCGGAGATATCTGCTCCGATGGCTCATATCCAAGATACTCCTTAAGCTTATTTCTGTCAATCATGTCAAGTAGCTCGCGCGGATTGCTCATCTGCATGGAGAAGGAAGAAGCAGCCACTGTTGCCGCAGAGGCCAAATTCGCAATGGAACCTTTATCCTGGTATTAGTCTCGAACACTAATTTGTGACATCGACTGCCGTGACAAGAAAGACAGAAAGACAGAAAGAAAAAAAAATACTTACCAGGTCCCATTCTATTCTTAAAATTCCGATTCTGTGAGGACAGCCACTTCTCGCCCGCCGCTGCCTGGTCCACGCCCTGGCCAACACACATACTACAACCAGGCACACCGACCTTAAAGCCACATTGCTTGTATATTTCAATCAACCCCAATCTTTCTAATTTGTGTCTGATTGGTTTTGAGCCTGGCACAACAATCCGCCGGCCATGCTCGACCGGCTTCAAGCCCTTCTTTAACCCAGCTTCGAGGACCATACCAGCCATAATCAGATCCTCTTCTGCGGTTGTGCAAGCACCAATGAAACAGCCATCGAGGGCTGTCCCTGCGACCTGGCCCACCGGGACTACATTGTCAGGGGATGGGTAGATGGCAACGCCTGACTCGACTTGGGAGAGGTCAATTTCGAAACTTTGTGCATATGTCGCGTCCTTGTCCGGTTGGAAGTATATGGCATTATTCTTGTGCTTTTTGATGCGTCTTCGATTTACGAAATCAAGCGTGCGATCGTCCGCAGCGAAAATCCCACTGACAGCACCGAATTCCTACTTGCAGAAGTTAACAATTTATTCTCAAGAAAAAAAAAAAAACAATGCTTAGATAGCCGCAAATTGCGAGGGTACACCCCCGCTGATTAAGAACTAACCGTGCACATGTTAGCAATCGCAAACCGAGCGTCACACGATAATGCTGCCAACCCTGGCCCCGAGAACTCGACGACTCGATCAGCAGCAATAGTGTTTCGCTTGAAGACCTTCAGGATATATAGTATAGTATCCTTACCGCCCACGCCGAATGGCGGCTCATTAATCAACCGAAGATGAACCGTTTCTGGCACGGTGAACCATGTCTGTCCTGTCACCAATGGCATTATAACATCTGTTGCTCCCATTCCTACTGCGAGACAACTGACTGAGCCACCAGAGCAAGTATGAGAATCAGCACCAATAACTAACATGCCTGGTTGGGCTCTTTCGCGGACGAATTCGGTGTGTAGGATTGTGTACTGAGGAAAAATTAGTATTTTTTTTCAATACAAAATGTCTCAGACCGTGGAGTGAAGGCACTATACGTTGAAGCCCTGGAAATCAGTCATTTTAAACTGTTTCTTTGCCCGCTCACTTGCATCCATCAGAGCCTTGACTTGAGGAACATGATACAATTCCGGTTCAACTCGATGATCCCCTGCTAGCCAGAAGCGATCATTACGGAATATGCCAGGTTTCCCAACGGCATCGTAGACTCCCTCCATTCCCTAGTGACTCAATTTTAGTCAATTTCGTCATTAAAACCTGAAAATATCAAGTTCATGAGGTGAGTATGGGGACAAACCTTCCAGGCTAATTCCGACGCAATTACCCAATCAACATCGACCTGTATGATATCTCCAGGGCGCACGAATCCCTTACGCGAGACATCATGCATGGCCAGTATCTTCTCCGTCATGGTCATTCCTCGTCTTGCTTTTGGGCGGAAGCTTTGCACAGCAGGGCCGGAACGGGCTCGGGCTGCAGATTTGACAGCTTCAAGGTACGCTGAGCATAGAAAGATGATTTCGTCTTCTTGTTCGGCTGATAACTTGGTAGAATGCTGGTCGACACCGTAGCCTCCAAAATCCGGATGTGAGGTACACCGGTGCACGACTTCGGCATAAGCGTCTGCGAGGCTGTCAGGTTGTCCTGCCCCTTGGGTACGTAGGTTCGCGGCTACGTAGCTCACAAAGCCGACTAAGTTGGCATGCTTGGATTCAGTCTTCAATATACTAGGGAAGAGGAATTTCAATTGCCCAGTATCTTCAAGTAGCGAGAGGCATTTCCGTTCCGATGGTGACAGAGCCTCGCGGGATACGTCGAGGCTAAGCGTGTGCATCTTGTCGTTTCCCATGACTTCGTCTTCTTGAGTTATTGATCTGGTGATATCGATCGTGATTTAAGTCTGAACGTCCCCGTACTCATATTTAAACATGATATTCACCATCTCCGGGTTGTATCGCTGACCATCATTGCTGTTCTGGTTGGCTGCTGTTGTTTGCTCCCGGTTGCGGCCCAGCAACGGCCCGGTACGGCATCGACTTGCCGGTCTTCATCCGCACTCCAGCCTCATTGGAGATCGTCACTTGAAGCCTACGAGTCGGGCCATTCAATGAGAGAAATGGTAGCTAGGGTGGAGAGAGTCTTCGGAATCGGCAAAGTAGCCAGCCGAAGCAAAACGAGCACTCGAGGGCAACTGTTTTTAAAAGGCATATCTTTCCACCAACCCCTGCAATTCTGAAAGTAATACAAAGATATCAAACAAGTATTGTAAACTTGACCATGTCGCCAAGCACTCAAAAGCTCCGCCAGTTTCTTGCCGACCCGGACAAGATCATCGTCGGGCCAGGTGTCTACGATGGCTTGACAGCGCGCATGGCCCTTGCCGCCAAATTCGACACCTTATACATGACTGGTGCCGGAACAAGCATGTCACGACTAGGCATGGCAGACCTGGGTCTCGCAACTCAGTCCGAAATGAAAGAAAACGCCGAAATGATTGCCAATCTCGACCCATCCGTGCCCGTGATTGCCGACGCCGACACAGGTTACGGTGCTTCAGTCAATGTTGGACGAACAGTGGCTAGATATATTTCGGCTGGTGTCGCAGGGTTTCATTTGGAGGATCAGGTAGTGAATAAACGATGCGGACATCTTGCAGGAAAACAGATCGTATCGAGAGACGAATATTATTCGCGGATCAGAGCTGCGGTGAATATGCGTCGGCAACTAGGGTCAGATATTGTGATCATTGCGCGAACTGATGCACTACAGTCGCTCGGCTTTGATGAGGCTCTAGTCCGACTCAAGGAGGCTGTGGCTATAGGTGCGGATGTTGCTTTTATGGAAGCTATACAGACTCGAGAGCAAGCTATACAGGTGTGCAACGCATTCAAAGAGGCGGGAACGCCGGTTATGTATGGTATGGTGCAGGGTTCGAAGTCGCCGCATTTCACTGTTCAGGAGGCAAAGGATATTGGCATCAAGATCATGATATATGCTGGCGTTTGCTTGATTCCTGCTTATATTGGCGTCTCTAGAGCGTTGAAGAAGCTAAAGGAAGATGGAGATACTGAGAGCTATGGGTCTGAAATAACTCCCCACGAGCTGTTTAATGTTTGTGGGATGAAGGAGCTGATGGAATTTGATCGTCAGGCAGCGATCAGCCATGCCTCATGAAAAATCAATGAGGCCCGGCCCTAGTGTCAGGAGCTCTCCAGATGTCAATATGATGAATGTATATTTTAAAAGGAGTAGTAATATCGTATGAATGTTTAAAGTTCCCAGTCCTGCGTATTTTGATGAAATTCGTCCAGGAAATTCCAATCTGGGTTTAGCATTTCTTCCCATCCACCACTCATAACACCATCAAATAGGTCTATGGGTAGGCTTGAGTCATTCACCCATTCCGACCCTACCGACCCCTGCTGCAACGTCGCAAATGACTGAGGCTGATAGCTGGAAGTCTGGCCGAGCGAATTTTGCTGCTGCTGCGGTCCGTTTCGAGTATTACTGTTTCCACGACTGCACTCTCGAGAGGGATCTTTAGAGGGGTTTCCATACCCACGCCAAATTTGTAAACAGTCGAATACTATACCCGCACCCAAGCGGCTCTGCACTTTGACAGTTGGTTCTTGGCTACAGAGCTCGGCGTCATTCTCACCCCCACGCCATAAAGCCTTTAGTAGATCCGCCATGCGCATTGAAAAATCTCTGCCATTGCTTTGAACTGAGCAACGGCGGATAGCAAAACAGGCGGAGTTATATAATATTTGACCTGCGTTGCGATCTGGTTGTTGACCTGATATCGTGGTGGCAGTAGCATAGATAGAATGAAGAACACGAAAAATGACCAGAGCAGCGACGAAAATCAAACGCCCAACAATTACTGGAGAGTACAACAACTCTTCGTGTGCCGAGTCATGCGAAATAGCTGTCGTGATCAACTTGGTCGCCGTCTCGTAAGCACGGAGAATGCCTTCTTTTCTCTGCTTCCTCCGCTGCGACTTGTCTTGCACGAAGTACAGACATTGGAACAGTAATATTGCTCCTGAGAGACGAACGGAGTTAATGAAAGATAGTTCCTTCTCAAGACTTTGATGTAATAAATAGAAGTCGTTTTCTATCGACTCTAGTTCCGCGTAGGTGTCCGTAGGCGTATATGTTGAAGACGACTCTCTTAGGCTAAATAGTACTTGAGTTGCCCTAAAGCTGGAATTCTGAATCAGGAAGTTGTGTTTTAAATGTAGAGGAATATTCAAGGTCATGTCCTCTTCATGTGCCTGAGAGAAGTTGTACCCGAGAGGCGCGAGCGGTGGAAGACCTAAATTTATCGTGACACTTTGACAGTTAGCTAGACCCCGGAAATTGGACGAAAAGTAGAAAACTGAAGTTACCTCTGAGCCACTATTCTACAGGCTATCCAGGCATTAGATCGCTCCACTATATGAATATTTGTTGAAGGAACCTTTTTTTGGGAATATTCTTGCTCATGTCCTGGCATATGCAATCCCAAATGGGTGGCATAGATTAGAGCAAGATTGGCGTAGACGGGAGATTTATCACTCCAGAAGCGAAAATTTGGCAGCGGCCAACAGGAGTTGAGGATCAACGCCTGGACTTGAGCGAGAGAGATGGGGTTCGAAGTGATTGTCTTCCATAAGAGCTCGCTTAGTGCGGGAGTAAGTTTCATCAACAGAGAAGGATCTGTCGAGAAATTTCTTGCGGACACCGCAATTATAGACCAAAATAGAAGTCTTGATGCTCTGTAGTACTCCGCAGGCGTTCGAGACTCCTCCAGAAAGGGTAGCATTGGATGGTACTTTTCAAAAAAACTGATTATATGATATCGCACTCAGCTGTTGCCAGGCCTCTATAATAATAACTTGCGTGTCAAGAAGGATGCGACTTACATATGTACCAACTGTTCAACCTGCATTACACTAAGTCTGACAGAACCAAGCGTGTAATCCGTGCTCTCAGGCTTCTGATGCTCCTCGCTTGGAATCTCCTGTTCAGCTGGTGGTTCAGCGCGGCTAACGATGATCGACTCATCCATAGCATTAAGATCCGTAGAGCGCACATCAGAATGATGGAAACTCGCGGTGTCCACTGAGTGCGTCGAATTAGCTGCGGTTTCTGGTTTCTCTCGATTCAAGATATCCTTCAGCTCTTGGACTTGGGCTTCTAGCTGCTGCACGCGATCTCTTCGGTTGACACGTCGGTAGCATGGCTCTACTGTACATGGTATATTCAACCTCAGACATCGAGCACAGGGTGGTGACTGCATTCCACAGCGATTCTTGTTTTGTCTGCATGGCTTGCATGCTACCCGGGTTCTCCGTCGCGGGCTGTCAGGCGATGATTGCAATGAGAAAGGCTGTCGATCGTCAACACAATTGACTGTGTATATGGATTGTAAAATGCAAATACTTACCATAACCAACCGTATTTTATAGGGAGCTACTATCTAGTCAGAATTCAGAAGTAAGAGGAAGGGGAAGTTTTGTCATCCTTCAAAGTTCAGCGCTTTCTTCATCAAAGTCACGTGGTTCAACATTACTTCAACCAATCAACTACAATATCAGCCATGAGCAAGTGAAAGATGTCAAGAAGGGTTTTATCATTTTCTTTCACTGCTCATGGAGTGTTTACAATTAGCTATATTAGAAAATGGCAAGATCGAGAGTCAATCCAAGTTGTCGAGTCCTATGGTGTGGTTTTATGTACTGATGCCTTACATATCAACAATACTTTATTTTAACTTTTTGAATTACTTACGGATGGCCCCCCAAGAAGCCTAAACATCACCTGACATAAATTGGTGTAAATGCTGCAGAAAGTCTTAATGCTATATTCAAACTTTGTCGTATTTGTTGTATACGTTTAAGGATCGATAAGATAAGCACGAAACAGGATGTATTGATCTCGAGAATTGTTTAAAGCCACTCAACACCTTGTTTCTCTATCTCAGCACTGAAATAACAGCATATGATCGCTCAGGACAACGTCTTATTACCAACAGTCTCATTCGCAATGAGCGTCCATGTAACGTTGATTGCAGAAGTATCTACAGAACCGCCAAACTGCTCAATCAAACCAAAACAGACCGTCCAATATCCATAATCCCCCGGGCTTTTATCAGCATCCCTTTTATCAATGAACGCATCCCCCGCATTCGCGATAGCAATCTTCACTGTCTGCCCATTCGGCGCGGTCATGTGCATTACTGCTCCACAAAGCGGATTGTCCCTCCCTATGGGGCCGAATTCCTGGGCCCATGCTGCCGGCACCGAAGCCGCCCATATGCCTGGCAGACCGCCGTAGTCGGAGTCGCCTGCGAACAGACCGCAGTTGCCGTTCACATAGTAGTCATCGTCGGGGCAGCCGCAGTCGTCGCATAAGTTGTAAGGGGCGACTGCCCCTTTGATTTTGTCGTGATAGTAGCTGGAGGGGAGCGGTTTGGTGTGGTTGTGGGCGGATGACGCTGAGGCGCTCTGTAGGAGGGCCGAGAGGAAGAGGGCTGAGATATTGAGACTGAGCTTCATCTTTCTAGTCTCACTTGTGCTATAAAGGTGGTAGGGGTGAACGAACAATTGACGCGAGACTTTTTAACGGCGGGTGAACATCGAGTTCCATGTCCCTTTAAGATATCAGTAGCCTCAGGGCACAAATTGATCGGTGTTACATCAATGACCGAAAGAACTGCAACGCTGCATGTGTTGTCATTATCTTGCGGCTACAATTCCTGACCAACGGTGTTCGATATTGATTCTCCAATAGGGAGTCCCGGGAGGACGGTCAATGTGGGTTGGTAGTGTTGGTTCCTGCAGATCACCAGCTGTTAGTGTTGCATTCGTCACATTTGGCAGAGATTGTTAACATTTACTACTTCAATTTTATTTATATAATATACGCGAGAGCTGACTCCTTTATCTGATCCACATTTGACATATTTAGTCATGTTTTATGACCTTACCTAGCTTTAAGCTATGAAGGCCTCGTTTTAATGGACACTAGGTCGTCTTTAGGGGCCTAAAGCCCTAATTCCCACTCTGCCTGCCCCGAGCAGGTGCCAAAAGGGTCAAATGCACCAACGCGTTCCTCGCCCCAAACATATTCTGATAGTTGATCTTTACTTAAAGGGAGGATTGAGTGGATCTTGAAAGCCGGTAATTCAATCGCGATAGAATATAAAAGCTATGTGCTACTAGCTACTAGACATAGAATATTTCATGACATCCACTTCAACAACACCTCAACCCAGTCTCTTTTATTTGTATTTCATTGTAACTGTATGCTCTTTAATTTCTCATTTTATTGCACGGATGCGGTCTAGCACTGGTTCGATCGACTAGTCATATCGCATCTCCAACAATGATGCTGGGAAGCCTCACTGATAACCGAAAATACTACAACTCATAACATGCCGCATTATCTACTCTGACTAAAAGCTCCTGACATTTTTAGACTGAACTGCTTTCCGGTCACGATAAGCTTTAATTCAGACTAAGTAGGTTGGATGAGCATTTGTATAAGTGAATATGATTGCTGTTGGGTGGATAGGTCAGCATGCACCGTGAGTCCCGACTATAGGGCGTTGGGATAACACGGGGACCTGCCGCAGAGGTGTATAATCATGGCATTAGGCATTGCAATACTGAGCTAAATATACCCCCGACTATCTCACGTTACTCAGATCTCCAAACGGCTATATCTACTTGGTGGATTCTTCGTGTATTCATCAACTAAGCATGTCCGTCAGCTATCACAATGTTGAGCTAGACCACGCTAACCCTATGGCCTAGATCTACACTTTTATGCCTCGGTTTCATTTTCAGTTTTCTCTTCCTCATCACGTATTTTCGAATGAACATCAAATCGACATATCCCACTACGCGTGATACTTGAGATGCCAGCGAGCCACCTGCTACCCTCCAGTCGAATCGCTTCCAGACTTCGACTAGGAGGGCGAGGCACCCGTCAAGATTCGGCCTTTCAAACCCAAATTTTATTTGATGATGAGTATAATATGTAAAGGCTTCAAGATAAAAAGGCCTTACTGACTTGGGTTCTCTCTCAGGTATCCAAAATGCGACTCTCAGAGGTTCATTGAAATCCATGAGAACAATCTGGACCATATCACGCTCCACAAGAAGATCATGGCAGAGTATCCTGAGACAGTTCTCGCTGCCGAGGACAGTGTCAAGCCGGCAGTGGATGAGTTTTACATCTGGCTTGTGGGAGCTTATCTACCTACACGGTGTCCTCGGATGTTCCAGCCGCGCCGGCCCGCTGAAGGAAAGCCTACATTTTTGCACAGTCTGGTGACAGATGACCAATATCCCCTTGTTCCGAAAGGATGACCCATTGATATGCTTCAAGACATAGGCGGTCTAGTTGAGGATGATTTGCTTTTCTTAATGCCATCGGAGGATGGTGACGGCCATGCTCCCAAAGGCTTTGTTACTTGCTTTCTGAATGGTTTCAACACGTCGAAAAAGTTGAACCTCAAGCTCCGAGATATTCACAAGCCTGTTCCGCAATATAAGGAGAGGTTGGAGAAGAACATGGATGGATTCTTCGATAAGCTCAAGGTTGGCAACGTCGTCAAGCGCGCCAATGTAAGCCTGTGTGTCTCACAGCATTTTCGTCACTCGGTGTCAAGATTAGGTGTGGTTAGCCAACCTCCAGTGGACTATTCAAAATACAGATCGACCTTTTATATCATTTGAAAACCACCTGTATGAAGGGGAGGACACACCCTAATAGGAAGTAGATATTGCCAATGGCATTTAAGATAAGGTATTATTTTCAGCTTCTGGAAAATGTTCATGTCTTATTAGGTTATTAATCTTTACGAATAGATAGGACTGGGTTGGTGTATTGTTGTTTTTGTATGTAATGTCACTTTTTATTTTTATTCTTATTTTTTTCGTATTAAAACACCGGATGTCTATCTTATTTGGGCGCAGTATCATTCACCTTAGAGACTGATATGTTCTAAGGCCAAATATGGAGAATATCTTCATTTGATAATTTTCTCGAAATCTAACGTGAGGAAAGATGTTAGTATTGAAACGATACTTATTTATTATGTTTATTAATAATAGTCTGGCTGTGTTAATATAATACTTGTTTTTTTGCTTTTGTTTTTTGGCAGATTAGGGGTATTATACCACTAAAGCAGACAAATTAGATCCGCATCTTGAATATAGCACTACAAAAGTAGATTAGATATAGGAGCCCTCCCCATATCGATCCTAATAATATTTGAATCTTTTTGCATAATCTTTATGCGAATCCCCGAGAATCCTAAATTAATCTGACACAAATTGGTGTAGATGCAAATGAAAAGCAGTCATTTAGTATAGTTAGTCTTTTAAGTATAGTTAAAATTGCAGATACAGGTTGACACGTATTATTGATAAATTTCTGAAGACAACTAGAAACATAGCCTTTCGATATTGCGCTTCGTTTCAGAATTAAAAAAACAAACGATTGTACGATGCTCGAACATATCCTTAGGTGCGTCCTCAAGTATGTGGATATGAGGACAATCATCCATCATTGTGAGCTCTCACGCAGAATGCGTATGGCTCACGAAGAAATTGATGGACCCGGACCCTCTCGCCTCCAGCGAAACATCCATATCGCCACGACTCCCCCACCACTCAGGCTTCTCGTCGTCTTCATCGGGATACCTGACACCTGAAGCATGCCCCTGTCCATCCTTACTCACCTCCAGCCCCTCGCCATCTAAACAAATCGTACCCCCATGCGCTTCAGCCTCGACTGTTCCCGCCCAGGATCCTGGGTATTTAACATAAATCGACCCCGAATCACTACTATGCGACGACGAAGCATGGCCCGAGGCTGTTATCATACTGTACCCATCTCCCTCCTCCGATGTTCCAACGACGTACGCGTTACCCAGCACAAGACTCTGCGACCCACTGCCTGTGCGCGTCACAAGAGTCGGATCACTGACACCCTCAGACGAAACAATCGGTAGGAGAGTGGCCGAAATCGTCCCACTTTCACTCTCGATAACCGCGGATGAGGAGAAAATCAACTGAGCCGACACCGTGCCCGTCTTTGTATGGATCTCAATCTCATATGGCCTGTATTGGGCTGCTTCAACGGCGGGGTTTTCGTGCTCGTAATAACCGCCATTTCGCCGCTTCTGTGCTTCTGCACAGTTTCGTGCCTGGTCAAGGTAGTCGCCGATAGTCAAACCCGCGTCTTCAGCATCACGAGCGAGGAATCGATCGAGATGCGGATGTGAGAACCGTACGGCGACGGTCCCCGACTCCGTCTCAAGGACAAGACGGGCTGGTTTGTTGGGGTTCTCTGGGTCAGCCGGTTGCGGGTCAACGTTGATGGCGATGCTGCCGCTAGTCGTGCGAAGTTCGAGCAGATCGTACAACGGATATCTACCCCAGATTGACCTTGAGCCTGTTTCGCGGATGATTTCGCGGTTGGTGGACTCGGGGGTATAGTGTTCATTATGTTCATTAATGGGGCATTCAAACATTACAGAAGGATGGTTTTGTGCCTATACATTTAGTCAGTTAGTCACGGAACCTAATCGACATTTGATGCGTGGTGTGGGGTTGGTAACTCACCCATTTCGAATGCATACATTTCCTCGCGACAAAAAACGAGATGAGACCGAGCAGAAAAGTGATTTTCAAGAATATAAACACCCGTCGTCGTATCCGCTGCTTCCGGGTTTGAGGCTCTGCAGCGTGACAGCGTCGCGAGCGACCGAAGCAGCGACGTCTACTACACTTGTCGGATTCATGGCTTCTGTCGATATCGAAAACATAGACATTCGGGGAGTCCTTTGGTAAATAGTCTTTTTTGATGGGGTCGGTGGCAGAAGGTGGTTGGTGTGGATCATCGTTGTACTCTGGCAGAGCCTCCAGGTCATCGGATATAGAAGGGGTGTAGATGAGTGTTGCCGAATCCGAGTCGATGGATGCGTGGTCATCCGTGTTGCTTAGGAGAGGCACGGATTGCTCTTTGTTTGCCATGATGGAGGACTTGTTATTTACAGTTCAAATGTTGTTGGTGATGGAGGGAATGATGGGATGGGAACGATGAAGGTGAGACAGGCAGGCGGGAGTACGCGGAGTTTAAAATTGACTACGTCATGTAGTAAGCAAGTTCATTGTCTGATTAGGCAGCGATTTTGTGGACGTTTTAACAGTATATATTATTGATATCGTATTATTTGTTAGTTATAGTTAGCTTGATGGCGCGATGTAAGCCGGGGCTAGGCAGCACCTTTTTTTGGTTGGCGCAATCGTCGTCCTTATCGAAAAATGGATGGATAATTATTGTATATAGGTATATGGGTATATGGTGTACTGCGTGGGTATTGGTAAATAGCTGTATCTACAATCGAGCTGCTATGATCGACGAATTGTGGGAATCATCAACAAGGCCATGACATAGTTTATACAGGAAAACGCCCTCGGTATGCAAGCGTAAAGAAACTCCGCTGTCAATGATGAATGGAGAGACGCAGGGAAATGAACAACAGGCTGTACATGTAGATGATAAGCCGTGGCTAAGCAACATGTGGCATGAAAGAAGGAGATAAAAAAATCATATATAACCAAGATTGCCGAGCAGGGACCTGCCTTCGCTGACTGGCAAGCTCACCGTATTCAAGGATCGTACTTGAGATCCTCGTTTTAAGCGCTGGAGGCCGTGCGTCACCTTCCATGCCTCGGTTTTATCGAGTACGAAGACGTATTTTTTGCCCTCCTGGTCACGCAGGCTGGCACGGACGACGTGGAGACTTTGTATTTCCACGCTCTGTATAGCACCTGGTTAGTACATTAGAGTGTTTGAAAGGGGATAGTGACCGTACCTCAATGAGCTTGATGGTCCATGCTTTCACGTCCCATTCTCTCTGGGCCACACCTCGCACATCGTCGTCAATGAACCATCCTTCAGTGGTGATCCGCAAGACCAGGCCATCGGTAACAGGAACTTGACCGGATATCAGTTGGGCGAGAGGCGTCTTCATAAAAGCATTGTTGAAAGCATACACGCCGCGAATGATAACCTTGTCGGGATCTTTAGTTGTATATGGGCCTCGCTGTGACGGAGGAGGCGTAGTACGAGCAGTCGAATGAGACGGAGCATACGAAGACTCCGAGTAGACTGAGGGAGCCGATGTCCCATACGGCCGCCGGGGCCTGTCATATGGACGAAAGGAGTAGGCATCGTCGTCTGTGGCCGTCTTGGCCGTGGGTTTTGGTGGTTTCTGCGGTGATGGCGTGCGCGGTGGTGCAGCTGAAGGCGCTGATGCCGGGCCCTGCGCACCCTTGGCCTTTGTAGCAGCAGCCTCCTTGGCCGCTGCGAACCTTTTGGCTGCGGCATCTTTAGCGGCAGCAAACCGTGCAGCAGCTTCTTTCTTTGCAGCTTCCTTGGCCGCTGCCTCTTTCTCCGCCGCCTCCTTCTTGGCCTTTTCTTCTCGCTCCGCCGCCTCTCGCTCGGCTCTTTCGCGCACTTCCTTTTCTGCGGCGGCTTTGGCAGCGGCAGCCTCCTTTTCCAGCTGTTCCCTACGTTCTCGGAGCTCCTTCTCCAAGGCTTCTCGCTCTTTTTGGAGTTTCTTTTTGGCTTCCTCCTCCTCCCGCTTCCTCTTGTACTCTTCCATCTTGCGTCGTATCTCCTCCTTACGTTTCGTCTCCTCCCGGGCCCTCTCCCACTCTGCATTGGCCTTGTTACTATCCTCCTTTGGGCCAGTATTGGTATGAGCGTTGTGTTGATTATGTGGTGGAGACTGCGGTGATGGGCCGCCGGTGTTGAAATGGCCGCCAGCACTATACTGAGAACCCGGCGCCGGCCCTCCACCTGGGAAGGTCCCATTTTGATTCTGATGTGCGTTGTATTGATATCCAGATCCAAATCCACTGCCTGGCCGCCGAGGTCTGCCTCCTGTGCTGCCATTCGGCCCTCCGTCACCTTGCATTGTCCCAAAGTACCAGCCGCCGAAGCCCACCGCCAGAATGATTATGACGACCCCCATACCGCCGGTCGCGGTGGTCGTTACCATCCAGGTTTTTACCGTGGGCTGGATGGTAATCCACACCGCAACCACGAACAGAGTCGAGAGCGACCCGGCAATGAAGCTGTTGCGATGACATTGTAGCGATGGCAGGTAAATAAAACCAGCGCCAGCAGAATGTGGGGGAACTACAAAGATGTCGTAGGGTCCGTCGGGCAGATCAGTTGATCTGCGATATTTCGGGGTCCCCTCCGTTGTGTTTGGGTTGGCGCCATGTGGTGGTGGAGGGGGAGGCGGAGACCCGTCCATTGTGATGTTTGGGAATTTATATCGAGGGGCTTCTTCTCCAATCCACCTAACGACCGTTCTCCTCTCTCTGTCGCCGAGCTTAACGGGTCTGACAGACGTGCAGTTTCTGAGCGCAAAGGATGAATGGTGTTGGCGTCATGTTCACAGCGGCATGAGCGGCACTGGGGCTTGGCCCGTCAGTGCTTGTTATAGCTTATCGGTGTGTTGGGAAGGCGTATAGGGAGCGTGAGCAGTAGATCATGCACTATTCGCTGAACGGACGTGGATGCGAGTAGGAGATAAGGTCGTGTGGTGGTTGCGGGACCAGAATGTGGTCTTGTCAACCCACTGATCAGGCCCGCTGGGAGCAGTGTAAGCGGACTGGCTAGATTGTATTTGTGGAATGTGCTTTCGATGGGGATAGCAAATCAACGAGGTAATAACGGAGAATGTTGGGCCAGAGCAGCGGGATTGAGAAGAATGCAGGAGAGCCTGAAGAGGATGGAGAGACACGTTTGTATTAGGACTTTAAAATTTGCGTATGCCTGCTAGGACTCAGTACTAACTACTAACTTACTAAGTCGTAGTGGAGAGCTGCCTCGTGACTGCACCCGCCTCAGGCTCTAATAATAATTCCCACGCCCAATAACGGCCTGATTGGCTGTTATTTTATTTCCAGTATCACTACGGCCTTCCAACTCGCATTGCTCAAACCGAATTACAATTGATCCCTCCAATTTTCCATATTCCAGGTTTAATGATTCATTATTGATATAAAAATAGAAAACAAAAACGAAATAGACAGGGAACACGACCAAACGGCTGCCGCGGGTGGCCGCCGCCGTTCGCCGTTTTCTTGTTTGTTTTGATTTTCCTCTTTTGCGACGGACCAATCACATGTCTCCGCTCTGCTCCACTCACCACTGCTTAGTGCTACTAGAAGCTAATAGTAATTAGTACTAGACCAGTAGAAGACACTGACGCGTAGCTGTGATAAATTAAGGATTAATCAGCCTGTGATACGGGCAGCGGCTGTGTGATACGTGGCCGTTGACCAACCTCGTTAGGTGTTGTTCGGTGTTGCTATTGGTGTGCTGGATGGAATGTGATATGTGATGCATGCTGCCAGTTCATCATGCATATCCGCTTTGCAAGTCTGTAGCACGACACAGTGGCCGGGCATGGTACTTGAGTAAAAAATCACCCCTACAGAATCACCGGTACACCACTGTGAACTTAAGTCTGTAAGAGACCAACAGGCCTGGTCCCCTTGACAACCACGGCGTCGGCGCTCACGAACTAGTGGATGCCGTGCGGGCCGCGCCGAGAGTGCCGCCCAATTAGCGGCGTATAACCCTTGTAAAGAAAAAGAGGTAGCTTTAGACAAGATGATAATGTATAACTTTATATGACAATGTATTCAATCAAGATTGTAGATCGGATAGCATTCTCGCCATACCTCGCCACCTCGTTGGCGGCACAGTAATCCAACTCTACCACGTGCTTCATTGGCGAGAAACACCTGAACGTCATGCACTCGATGCTGCTCCACCTCACCACCTTGCCCATCCTCTTCAACTCGCATCACCTCGCGCGCGACACCCGCCGCCATCCTCGCGTCCCAAAACCCTTCTTGATGTGGGGCCGACTCGAGCAGTTCGATAGCATGCAATCGGATCCTCCGAGTACGGCACTTGATAGCGGTATAGTATAAGGCAGGGACCCATCCAATGTCGATGATGGCTGCCTGCATTTCGGTAAAGGGGTCGGGGAAATCAGGTATGACGGAGGAGTCGATCATGAGCGCTTTTGAGTTGATTGCATAAGACAGAATGGAAAAGAACTTGTCGGATTGTTGATCAAAGAGCGTTTGTTGGTGCTGGGAAATGCCCGTCGCGGTTATTATTACCGCCATGGTGTGATACATGCGTAAGATCATGCAGCTAGTTTTGGTGCGAGGGCTTGTTGCTTGTTGCTCGAGGTTGGATGTGTTGAATGCTTCGAGCCAGGAGGTGAGGTTTGCTTGTAGGGCTGCCTGGTGAGGTGATAAGGTATTATGGGTATATGGTAGGGGCTGTTGATTGCGGCAAAGATGATTGAATTCAAGAACCTGGGCGAGAAGGATATCAAGATGTTTTCTGGCTTCTTCAATGGAGATGAATCTGTTGGGAGGTTTGTCAGGAACGAGTCTATTCATGATTGAAAAGGGGAGATGACTGCTTCCAAGCATATTGACTTGTAATGCGAGCCTTAGGAACATTCGACAAATAAGGTCATCAGATCCGACATCGAGATATCCGTGGCCGTCAATCCGACCTCGAGACTGCTCGTATTGTTCAAGAAGCCTGAGACCATTGGACAAATGAGATATGGCAGTGACGTGGTGTTGCTGAACTATCTCTAGGCACACGAAAAGAAGACATGTGATCAGCGTCACTCTCAAAGAAGCAAGATTCTGAAGGCTGAAATGCGGACTGAGAAAATGGATTGCTTGGCTGTAGGACTGCAAAGTGAATTGCTCTTCGATCGAAACTCGCCCGAGTAGAATAGGTTCAGGTTGCTGATACTTGTGAGCCGACGTCAACGCGACGACGGCATGCAAAACAGCAGGTTCGCTGTAGCTTGCTTGAGGAAGTAGTGAACTCCAAAATGAAGAAGGAAACAACCCCGGAAGTTTGTGGACCGTGTATTTTTGGAACCAGTATAACAAACGACGCTCCCTTGCAGGCGCTGGAAATTCCGCGAGAGACGTTGGTACCGATCTCAACATGCCTCGCCGCTTGGGTGAGCTGATGGGCTGAGATTGAAGGGGCTGAAAAACTAGGGACTGGGTCGGCTTTAGTGCTACCTGAGCAGAACTATCTCCCGCGATATGATGGGACGAGGATAAATCGGTGCTTCGTGGTTGCATTGGGCTATGACGGCTATGACGGCTATCTTCCCTCCTGCTCCGAGGTTTGATCCGAGAAATCGGAACTTTGACACTGGAACCGGTAGTACCATCGGGCGAATTGAACATCGACGAACCCGAAGGATATGGACTATGTCCTCCTCCCCAGATTCCATATCCATCGCAAACCCGACCGCTTGACACGCATTGATGGCAAGCAGGTCTGTCCTCATTACACTTGACCTTCCGGATTCTGGCAAGAATTCGTGTTAGCTACTCCATAATATCACATTAATTGACGTAAATGGGTTTCTTACTTGCACGTGCGACATCCAGTCCTTGCTTTGGGACCGCTTCTGCCGGAAACATTACGCTTGATGGGGTTGGAAGACGCCGTGTGGTTTTGTTGGGATGGTGGCATGACGTGTAACTGAGACAGGAAGCGGAGAAAGAGAAAATTTGTTGCCCAACATCTCGACGAAATAATCGTAGATGCTGCAACTCTTCACAGATCCATCCGGATTGACCGTTGAAGCTGAAGGGGATATCTGCCGTTGGCGGTCACGTTGAATGCTGATTGGTTGTGTCGGACTCAGCGGCCTCTGATTGGTTGGCTTGACTCCCGCTGAGCTCCGCGAGGGCTTTGAGCCCTAACCCTAAGTACCATCTGCCTCTCGCATATAAATTCGGTATATCATCTTCAAAGAATGGGTTTGTTTTATACGTTAAGAATTTTTTTTGCATCCTTCTATTCAGCCATATTGTGGACTCCATCATCTGACCATTCATCACAAGAAATATGACATCTACTACAGTTGCAGACTTTGGTCCTAAAACAGAGGCCTCTACTGTTGCAAGGACCTTTTCTTCCTCTATTAAAGACCGTACGATCCTCATTACAGGCATCAACAAGCTCGGTGTTGGGTATGCCACAGCTCTAGCCCTAGCCTCACAGTCTCCACGCTCCGTCATCCTGGCTGGTCGCTCCCCGGCCAAACTCGAGGAATGTCTAGACGATATCCGCGCAAAGTATCCGGATGTCACGTTCCGCTCATTAGTCCTCGATCTAAGTTCCCAAAACTCAGTGCGAAAAGCAGCCACTGAAGTCCTCGGTTGGAAGGATATCCCAGCGATTGACATTGTGATCAACAACGCCGGTATAATGAACATCCCAGAACGCACACTCAATGAAGACGGGATCGAGCTACATTTCGCCACAAATCATGTTGGACATTTTCTATTCACCAACTTGATCATGCCAAACATCATTGCTTCTGCAAGAAATGGACAGACAGGTGCCACACGTATCATCAATGTCAGCAGCATGGCTACAACAGTCTCCCCTATTCGCACGAGTGACATCAACTGGGACAAACCAACATCTCAACTCCCCGAAAAGGAAAAACCTGCACTTGGGCTAATGAAAATGGCAGGGTTGGATGTAGACGAGGAGATGTCCTATATTCCTATGGGTGCGTACGGCCAGAGTAAAACCGCGAATGTTCTCTACTCTGTCGAGTTAAACAAGAGATTGTATGAGAAACACGGAATACTGAGCCTAGCGCTACATCCAGGCGAAGTACAGACTGAATTGCATAGGACCACTGATCCTGCGTTTCTGGAGCGGACGGCGGAGTTTAGGAAGAAGATAAGTGCGGAGTGGAAGACTTTGGAGGAAGGTGCCAGTACAACATTAGTCGCTGCGTTGGATCCAAATTTAGGGAACCCTAGCAGTGATGGATATGGGCAATTCTTGAGTGACTGTCAAATTGCAAATATGGCGCCACCTTATGCGCTTGACAGGGCTGAGGCGGATAAATTATGGGAGATAAGTGAGGGCATGGTGAGGGAGAAATTCTGCTGGTAGAGAAGTTTATAACCTTGAGGCTTGGTGAACAGATTGTGTTTGCAATTACATGTATTCTCGTAGTTAAAAACATGCCATTTCACAAAAATTGAAATCTTGAGACTGCTCATATTGTTAAAGAAGCTTAAAGTCTATTTGGAGAAATGATATTCTTTTTGCGGTCTAATTTTCTTTCTAAAACAAAGATGCCAAAGAAAGTAAGAGAAAACTCAACAGGAAGATTCTATCCGAGCGAGGATTGACAATTTTCAATTTCATATCTAGCTAGCTGTTAGTTGTGACCAATCGGAAAACTCCATATTGTTTGATGGCCTTGACGGTAGCTTGCTTTGACAGTCGTTCCGTAAAGCATTTTAAGGTAACAAATCCAGAAAGCAGTGAATAAGAACATATAGCAATCAAAAACATTAAACAAGACATCAACTATCCCCATCTGTAAATTACCTCACTTGCCATTGATACCGAAAACATATTCATCCCTTGATCGTAAGCATTACTCCTCTCGGGAGGATACTCATAACACCCCCTTCGACGAATGCAGCATCCACAGAATTTAGCCGAGCAGTGAGTTGACAGTATTGCTTTTGAGCAAACCCTCAGAGTCTGACAACAGCCACAGTCGAAGTTACAACAACCTCCACGAGCTTTGCACATGTAGTCAAACGCTCGTTGACGGTTTAATGTAAAGAACCTTGCATACACGCCTTGAGGCGGAGGACGCCATTTCTCTATGGTGAGGAGCTAACCATGCTTCGAATTTCCGTAATTTGCCCAGCGCACCGTACCGGGGATTATCTGTTATAACTTTTTAAAGAAAAATTGGTGGTCCTAAACAACATTTTAAAGGGGCTAGGCAACAGAATGCCCCATTGAAGTCAACCTTAGGTCTTCTGGGAGCTACCGGCTAGCACAATTTTCCCTTTCGTAGTTATGATCAAATAAACAATGACGAAAACATTTGAAGCACTAAGAGAGAGCCTGCTGAGCTTGCACATGCCAACCTCCCAACAAGAATACGAACAAACAGGCCCAATATCATAGCATCAACCAAATGGCGGCGAGTCACAACGGCTCTCGTTAGGGTTTACAGCGGCAGTTAGGTCTTCTACTGGGTTGGGATGAGGCGCATCAGGGGTCTTCCTTCCTATACCAGACAATTGATACGGATTGTAATCAGCGCTTTGGCTTTTTCTCTTGGAAGCCACGGTATGTGGTACCGGATGAGGAGAGCTCCCCAGACGCCAATTAAATTCCTGGTTATACTACCATATGTTCAGTTGTGGTCCATCGCAATGTACGCAATGGGGTTTCTGGTGATGGTATCGCTTGCGAGCAAATCCTGCCATATTTCAGCCATACCCTCGCTCCAATACTACACAACGAGGATAAACAGCAGAATATCGCAGACCGGCGAATGATCAATTATTTGTGTAACAGAAAATGTATGTCTGAGGAGTACGATCATGCTGCATACAATGTCCCTTCGAGGCCCTCAGACAATGCGCCTTAGATTAGCAATGTGAGATCCAAGAAATGCGATATCCTCATCAGAGGGCACTCGGACTGCTCAACCGACTTTATAAACCGGCTGCAAGTTCTGTTATTGAATCGCATTATTCGATATCGGAGTCTGTAAAGTTTAGATACGCTATTGGTGAGCTCATGGTAGGCTCCTATTGGTTTTGATAATTCTTGATTTGGTCACGACTACAAATAAAAATAGTCTTTTCACGAAATCATTGGTTTCTTTGTCACTTTTTGATGTATACGAAAACATACGCAAAAGATTGTCGGCATAGGGCTCGCCGAAAGACCCACACATACAACACAGCAGGCAGCGGCAGTCTCCAGGTACGCCTTTGTTCGCTCATCTCATCTTCCTTTGTTTGCTGGATTTATCCCTTGATCCCTCAAGGCATGGCCGAGCCGACATTCTCGGTGTGAACCTGCATCGATCCATTCCATTGTTACACAGTGTGTTTTATGAGACCAGAGTGCCTTTCTCGGAGAGCTTTCTTTTCGCCATTTACTATTCTAGGTCTTTAGCTTCAAATATTTTCACTCCCAGCATTCAAGGATTCTTCGTTTTTCAGATATCGAGATGATCTCAGCAGATGTTCTCGTTGTCGGATCTGGCCCGGTTGGCCTCTGGGTTGCGTTTGAATTACGTCGTGCAGGCGTAGATGTTCTGGTGGTCGATTCCATCAGCGCAAGAGATTCGAGAAACAAAGCATCCAAAGCACTCGTTACATCTGCATCAACCTTAGAGATTTTCCACTTACGCAACGTGGTCGACCAGTTCCTAAATCAGGGTATAGTGCAGTCTGCTACGCATTTTGCAGGACTTGACACCTTGCTCAAATTGAACGAGAATGTGCTTGGGACGAAATACAGCCATGGCCTCATTATCCCGCAGAGTCGCATCGAGAACATTCTTTTGGATCTTTGTGAGACCGCTGGAGTGAGGTTTGAGTGGGGATTGGAATTTTGCGGTATCGAACAAACCCCCGATGAAGTTGTTGCTACGGCGGACAGGAAAGCAGTGGTTACGGATGATCAGTCTAGCACAGTCAGAATTCGTGCCTCTTGGCTGGTGGGCTGCGACGGAACTCACAGCAAGGTGCGTCAAGCATCGGGAATAGCCTTCGAAGGAACCCCTAGCCTTTTTACTGGCATGCTGGCGGATGTTCGTATCACCCAGCCAGTACCGTTGGGATACAAAATGTCGGCTAGTCATTCTGGGGGTGCGATGGTCGTCCCTCTAGGTGATGGGATACATCACAGGGTGATTGGTATCTTGAAGGGCTCACGAGAGAAGCCGCCTTCCGAGCCCTTATCTATGAACGAGATTCTCGAGTGTCTGAGAGATACATTTGGATCAGATATCGGCGCTCATAGTCCAATATGGCTCTCACGCTTTGGTAGTGCTTGCCGTACCGCGCAATCATTTCGAGACCGGAGAGTCTTTTTAGCAGGTGATGCTGCCCACCAGTTGTTTCCTGCTGGCGGCCAAGGATTAAACATTGGCTTCCAAGACGCAACTAATCTAGCATGGAAACTTTCTTGGGCTTTGAAAGGCGATCTCAAGTCTCTTGCCTCGTATGAGCGAGTGCTTACTTCATACTCTGATGAGCGACGAACAGTTGTTCTCGACACCTTGAGCAACATCCAAGCACAGGCGCTTCTTGTCTCCGCTGACTCCGAGCCAGTGTATGCCATGCGCAAGGTTTTTGCGGAGGCGATCAGGGAAAGTGAACAGTTGAACACACTCTGGGCTCGCAGAATATCAGGCTTCGGTGAACCTAGTGAGCCATTCACTAAAACCGGGAACACCTCTTCGAATGAGCTCATCGGCACACGGCTCTCACATCTCATCCTTAAGGATAACCCGGAAATAAAAGCCCAGGCGTTCCATCAATTACTATCCGCAATACTACAGCACAGATTTGTACTCATCCTGCGCAGTGAGAATGAGTCCCAGGGTACTCCCGATACAGCAACAAAGGCAAAACAAGCTCTTCGAAAAATGGTTGATAGTAAATGGGAAAAATACACCACCGTAGTTGAGTGTGCTACCCAAGCATCGCATGCTAAATGGGTTGGGATCCTGGCTGTGCTGATCCGCCCTGACTCCTATATCGCATGGGTAGGCTCTACCAGTCAGGCTGAGGATGAGCTTCTGGGATCCCTGGAGATGGAGTTAAAGTGGTGGTGTGGTTCTCATTCTTAACTTCTACAGTATCGCTTTCTGTAACTAACTGTATAACGCAATTTCCCGGCATAGACGAGGTAACCACAGCAGGGTGTTTGATGGCGTAGTCTTATTATGCTTAGAACAAAGCCTGAGAGGATAGATCATGAGGCTTTATTAGGCGCTTGGTAAAGAGGGAAAGGAGGTTTTATGGTAGGCAGAATAGGGTTATTAATTTGTAATTCAATAATCAGAGGTGTCCATACCTACAATCACTCACCTAGGTTCGTACTTGCGGCACTTTACATCTCCACTATCAGAAACAAGTCTGTGAAAGGTCTATCTGTTAATTTAAAACTTGTTGTGCAGTGTCTTTGATATAACTGCTAACCCGAGCCCAGAACTCATCTGTGAAAGTGACATCGTTGATTTTTTCTAGTCCATAAGTTAAACCTCTCGCTGAGACTAGGGAGGAACGGGCATAATTAAATGGAGAAGTGATAGAGCCTCCTGAGAGACTCAGTGCATTCTGCGTCAGGCTAGCAGCGGAAACGAAATGTGCTTGCATGTCGTCTTCTTCAAACCAACACATAAAAAGGTTTTTATATGACGATTATGTACATGGCAGGAGGACCCCTGATGCGGCTCACCCTAACACGGTAGCAGTAGATAATGTAGGAAGGGGTGCTCCGGACACCGATCTCACTTGCACAGAAGAAATCAATGTGAGGATAATTTGATGGGAAGGAGGCCTTCAGGTGCAGATTCTACTTCTGTTGTCCTCATCCTCCTCCCCTCTTCTTCTTCTTCCTCTTCTCTCCTCTCAAGAAACGCTGCCCCGATAATTATTTTCGTTCAGTTTCTTTTTCTGTCCGCTTTTTTCCCTTCTTTTTTGTAAAAAAAGATTTCAAATTGACTTTCGATACCGTGTACGTCACGGCCATTACCACCATCACCACCATCACCACCATCACCACCTTCATCACCGTGGTCCAACCTACCACCACCATCGTAACCAACAATCCCAATAGAAATATCACTCAGCCCGCCGTCCCCCAGCCCGGCATTCCCCGGCCCACAGAACGTATCAACTTCTTGTGATTTAAGATCGGTGGCCAGGCTCATGATTTGCTTCTTGGGTTGGTAATTGCACTACCATTGTTGGTTGCGGTCTCCGCTGTTTACATGCTGATTCGAAAGCACCTTGTTTCCGACCCGTGAGTGCATCTCATTCAAAGATAGGTTACACCTGCTAACAGAGGTGTTTTTTGCAGAGAACATCGTTCCGCCATAGAATTGGCTCATCTGAATCTACAAGGCAGCATGCAAGCACCGCAGCATGGGACAAAAGTAACCATCAAAAAAACACCTTAGTATGTGATTGCTTATAGAATGGTCGATCCACTTGCATCGATTTACTTGCTGACTAGTGCTTTTAGTCAATGGGCATCGCGGCCAAGCCTTTGGAATAGGTTCTTGGATCATTTCAGGAGGTATGTAGCCCTTTAGAGTGCGTTTGAATATTTGTAGAATAGCAATTAGTTCTCCAGTACCGCCGCGATAACCGAGCCAAATCCCGTGGAATATACGATAGAGACCTCTACGGCGCCGGCCGAAGACAACAACAACCCGTCGGCCGAAGTCAACATCACCCTCGCTGCCCGAGCCAATCCGACGACCTAACAAGAAAATAGGGCCCCCGAGTGGGTACACGAGAATGTGTTGCAGTAGAGAGGCAATACTCGTTAATTGCCTTCGAAGGCCAGGGGGCCATTGTGAACCCTGGTGAGGACGCCTTTGTGACTCCTCCCGACTTGGCTGACGCTATGACATCGAGTTGCTCTTCGAGTCGCTCGTAACGACACGTATAAGGAAAAGAGTCAGGGTGCCATTTTGATCTCTGGCGAGGACGCCTTTGTGACTCCTCCCGACTTGACTGACGCTATGGCGTCGAGTTGGTTCTTTTATGTTCTTTTGATGGAAAGTCCCAGGACTATAGGAGGTAAGTCCGTTAGAGGACCAGGCTGCCGCTGTGAACTTGGTGAGGATGCCTCTGTGATTCTTCCCGATTTGACTGACGCTATGACGTTGGATCGGCTTCTTCGGACATTGGTGGACATTGGTGGACGTTCTTGAGAGTGCCGTTTGATCTCTCAAAAGAAGGCTAGGCCGCCGCTGTGAACTTGGTGAGGATGCCTCTGTGATTCTTCCCGATTTGACTGACGCTATGACGTTGAATCGGCTTCTTTGAACGTTGGTGATGATGGATTTGAGAAGGAGAGTGCCGTTGTGATCTCTCGTCTCAGTGACGATGCCGTGCCGCTGTTGGACATGTATCAGGTGAGTTCAACGAGCCCAAGCCCAAGCCCAAGTCCAAGTCGCCGGCGGCCTCCCATAGAATATGCGAAGGCCAACATAAAATATTCGAAGGCTAACAAGATGATGAGATAGGGTGATGCGGTCAGCCGCCAAGAGTGACAATATGATTGGGCGGTGAGCGGCAGTCCGCCGGAGCCAACGCCTGCGACGCCGACATCACGCAGGAGCCGCGATCACAGGCTGAGCGAGCTGCATCTCTTGTGCGTGCCTCGACTTGGGGCCGTCTCTTTCTTTTGCTGCTTCCTCCTGCCCAGGCAGCACTCACGTCTATATACATCTCCTGTTACACAAATAAGTCCTTATTCGCCGGCCCTCTATCTTCTGCCATTTGCTCTCGTCGTCCTCCCGATCCCCCTCTATGCTGCTACGATAACCCCCAAACTTGCGACTCCAGGCCCCCGGTTGAGGGTATCAACCACCACAGCATGGCCTCGTACCATACCCAAGCCCAATCTCGCTCCTCTCAACCAGCCCATCCTCCTCGCCAAGGGGCGTCTTTCAATCCATCCATCTCAATGGGTTCCTCCGCGCCAGCTGGCACCTTCGTGCCAGGCACCAAGGTGCAGGTAGGCAGCCACCGTGTCGTTATCGAAAAGTACTTATCTGAGGGTGGATTCGCACATGTATATGTTGTTCGACTTCCACAGCCCATCGATGGCGCAGAAACTGCCGTGCTCAAGAGAGTGGCGGTTCCGGACAAGACAGCGCTGGCTGGTATGCGGACTGAGGTCGAAACGATGAAAAAGCTGAAGGGTCACAAACGCATCGTCAAGTACATGGACTCCCATGCTTCCCAGCTTAAAGGGGGAGGCTATGAGGTCTTTCTGCTTATGGAGAATTGCCAGGGCGGTGGTCTGATCGATTTCATGAACACCCGATTGCAGCATCGGCTGACCGAGCCGGAAATCATCAAGATTTTCTCAGATGTCGCAGAAGGGGTTGCCTGCATGCATTATTTGAAGCCACCACTTCTACACAGAGACTTGAAAGTTGAGAACGTCCTGATATCGTTGTCTGGGAAAACCCCAGTCTACAAGCTGTGTGACTTTGGCTCCACTGCACCTCCACGACCTGCAGCCACGTCGGCTGCAGAGGGCCGTCTCATTGAGGACGATATTCAAAGACATACTACAATGCAATACCGAAGTCCTGAAATGATCGATGTCTATCGAAAGCAGCCCATTGACGAGAAAAGCGATATATGGGCATTGGGTGTTTTACTTTACAAGCTCTGTTACTACACAACACCATTCGAAGAAGTCGGTCAAATGGCTATTCTCAATGCCAGTTATAAATTTCCTCCATATCCTGCATTTTCTGATCGACTAAAGAGGCTTATAGGTAAGTTCATTTCGCATTTCTCACCGGGTTTGACTAACATGTATCTCAACTAGCTTCGATGCTTCAAGAAAATCCCAAAAGACGACCCACGATTTATGAGGCTCTTAAAGAATCTTGTAGCATGCAAGGGAAAGAGACCCCAATCCGTGATGTATGTCGGATTTCCCTGTCTTAGTGCGTGGTGTCGGTTTAACATATTCCGCAGATATACGCGCAGCGAACGCAATCGGAAACTCGTCGCAACCAGGAGCTTCCTCCTTCCTCATCTGAGACCCCAAGAGTGGGCGCCGTCTTTTCGCCTCCCATGCAAGAGACTCCTATTATACCTGATATCGCACCTATGCGCCGAGGCCGTCCATCAAAGGCTACATCTCAACAAAACTCGGCACGACCCAGTCCTTCACCATATCGCCCATCCTCCAATGACCCATTTGCTGCGTTAGATAGTGGGAAAAAGAAGAGCGAAAGTGCTGACGAAATATCCTCTCGGTTTCCAACTCTCGATCAATTTTCGTTGTTGCATGAGAAAGCCGGGAAATTTGACTTCGAACCTACAGTTAGCGAATCCAAGCCCGAATCGGATGATTTATCTCAACGAATCACAAATGCACTTGCAGATGATGCATTTGTAAAACCAGTCTCTCCTGCATTGTTGCCGAAGAACGAAGGTACTGGAGATCATCGTGCGCGCTCTGTATCTGCAGACAAGAAACAGAAGGAGTCACCAAGTCTAAGGGGTGATCCGGAACGGAGCCAAACTCAATTGCAAGATTCTGCATCTGGACGACCTCAAATGGTATCTCAAGGTACTATGACTGAACAATCACCGTCCCCAGACGTAGAAAGTCGGTCTTCTTCCAACCGCCTAATCTATCGATTTCCACCACAATCGCATGAACGGCGGCCGTCCGGCCAGCGGTGGTCTGCTGAGAGGAATATCTCGTCGTCGGGACCGGGTAGCATTCCTTCCCAAACAACCACTATTGACAGGCTAGAACCTAAGCCCAAGCCATCTTCTGAAAAGACTTCTCAACTATCAACCTCTACTCGACCCTCGATGGAAATTTCCCGGCCTTCGTTACGCGATCTCGATGATGCGTATATCCGTCCCAGATCGGCCAATTCCCGTTCTCGGCCTTCTAGTGTTCACATGGGTGGTAAATTTGATCCTACCAGAGATCAAATCCCTCCAAATTCTGTACAGGATCAGTATGAAGATGGAGAGCCTCTCAGGCACTCTCGAACTGACGGGGATTGGAATACTGACCGTGCAAATATCACCTCTGATGTTGACTATCTCCGCGTGCGTGAGGAGGAAGAGCTTGCCCGTAAAAAGGAGAAGCGGCTTAGTAGCGGCTCGAGGCATTCTAAACGCTCCAGCCTGACTTCTTTGGCTGTTTCCGGAAGAGGCCTACTCTCTGGCCGCTTTGGGGAGGCTTTTCGTCGGTTTGAACAGAATACTTCTGATAACAAGAGCAGAACCCCGTCTCCAAAAGAGGTAGACACGCGTCTAACTCCTATCGCCGGCTCTGAAGCGACAGACCGAAGTGACGACGGTATTCTGGATGCCGATCCTACAGATATCTCCCCTGAAATGAGACGCGAACTAGAAAGACGTAGGCTTTCGCAAGAAGAAAAACGTGTAGCGAATGCTGCAGCTGAATATCGACTTCGTGTAGCTGGCCGAGGTGCTGGTGGTAGAGATGGCGCTAAAGCTCCAGCTATCCAAAATAAAATGCAGTCACTCCTCCAGGACAACAGCAAATCAGCACCAAAGACCGCGTCCGGTTATGGGAAATATACCGAACCGGAATCTGGCGAGACTACACAGTCGTCAGAACTAGTGGACAGAGAATATGCGCCAAGCTTGCCTACGCGACCTAAACCTCCTCCTAAAGATAACATCAAAGTGGTCACCGGTACACAGGGTGGATATGTACAACCTCAAACCACCAACGAAGGAACCCCGACTTCTCAGCGTGGCACCCAACACCGGCCAATGGCACCTCCAAAGCCCAAGAAACTCCGGACAGGCGCAACCGGCAATACGCCAATTTCTGAACGAGCACCTGGGATACCTGGAGATCCGACAACTCCCGCAGGCGAGGACTGGGAAGCTAACTTCAGTCGACGGTACCCAAGTCTCTCGGGTCTAGAACTCGTTGAAACGGAAATTGACGTGCCGAAACTGTCATCCATTCGGACCCGAGAAGTATAGTTTCTGTTTTCTGTATCTAATATTCTGCGACCGTGGATGTCGCTCAATTGACGGTGTCGCCATATCTTGAACTCATGCATGTATATACTACTATTCAAGTGGCTTGGTTCTTTCTCTTCGATGCATATATTTTGTGTTTGAACGGCTACTGGCTGGCTGTGGTGTTCGTGGGGCAACCACCCAGTGTCTTATTTAAGTAAAATAGCGTCGGTTATAGAGATTATAGATTTGTGCCTGGTCCGAGACATGACAATAAATGGAGTTGCTACTGGATGCTTCTGTTCTGTGCAACAACACAAGAAACAGAGAAACGATCAAGACGAAGTATAGTGAGTAACTAACCATACCTGGTTAGACTATCTCCATGGCCAGCCTGACAGCCTCAGGCAACGACGCCGAGCACGTGAGCGCAGCTTCACTGATCAAACAACGTGCAACGACACCATCGGGGGCACGTCGACTACACATTGGCCTAGCTGCAAGAGAGCAGGCGTGGTTTATTTTTCTCTGGAAATTCTACAAATGGCTCCCGTCACTCTGAGCACTGTCGATAGTAGGTTACTCCGCTGGCTGATCACCGCGCTTGGTTATTCACCTCTTGTCTGCGTTTAGACGAATTGAAAGATGTGATCCAGCACTTGTTCGAGATACAATCCGCCGTGCATGGCTATCTCGGCCCAGAGACTCAGACTGAGCTCGTCCGCAAGATGTGCGCTTTACCCTATTAATTTTACTGCTGCATTTCTAATCGCGTGACAGCAAAAACCTTACTCTCGCCTTATCCACGCTCTCCAAAGATACGAAGCCCGATCCCAACTCCTCACCCTCAACAACAGCGGCAGCAGCAAACTCAGACAGCGGCGATCCCCTTGTTACAAACATCAAACTACCTCCCGAAATCATCGACTACGTGGACGGCGCCAGGAACCCGGATATCTACACACGCGAGTTTGTCGAGTTGGTGCAACGCGGGAACCAAGATCTGAAAGGGAAACAGGAAGCATTTGCCAGCTTCCGTGACGTCCTTGCCCGCGAGATGAGGAGTGCAATGCCGGAGTGTCGGAGGGAGGTTGATCGCGCGGTGGCTGCGACAAGGAGGGATGCCGCTGCCAGTCATGTTGGTAACTAGGATACACTAAGGCAGTTCTTAGGTTGGGATAACACGTGCGATGACGATATTCGCATGGGGGTTGTTTGTACTTTTTTGTTTCTGTCGTTCTCTGTTTTTATGCTACCACCAGACTTAGGATGCATTCGGCGGCGTTGGTCTTTGATATAGTCTATACCAGAGGCACTGGCACCAGCACTAGCACTTACCGTTAGCAACAATACAATCATACAAAGTGCCAAGACCTCAAAGTTTGTTCAGTCGCACATTGTATTTCGCTGCGGGATCGGATTATTATTATTATTCCTGGGCGACGAAGAGGAAGAGGACCCAAAGGAAGGGCTTCGCTCTTATTGCCCATTTAGGACGGCTCGGAGCGAAAAAGTGTTGGTTGCCCGGGTACGACGATGCGATCATTGGCCCTGCCCAGATCGCAGATCGCAGATCGTTACTAATTCCATAGTAGTAGCCAGCAAGTGAAGCTGGTCCGCATGGGCGCCATGCGGACAGGCCCTAAATGATGTCACGGCACGCTGCGGGCTGCGGGCTGCCAAATCATACCGTCGCTTTGCCCTCCGGAGTCCGGCTCGTCCAGCCTTTCTGGCGGTCACTTCTCCCACTCATGACTTGCGAAGTAAGATGGGGCAATGTTTTCCTTGGTACGCCCTGTGCGACGGTACCATGTCATTAATAGTTACCGTTGTCTGGGGTCGCCCAGAAACATGAGAAAAAACACGGCATGCGGCTCTAGGCTTTTTGCCCTCTTTCTTCCTTTCTCCTCTCTACCAACTTGACTCTTACTGAGCCTGACAGCAAATTCGGCCGGTGCCTGCTGGTGCGCTAACAGGAAATGTCTTTATCAAGAAGAATACTGTGTGTACGTGCCGAACCTCATTAGGATGGCCTCGTCTGCCGATAGCTCCCCCAGCGATGGCATCACCGGGGGCTACACAGGCACTGACCTGGGCCTGGAAATCGCCATGGCGACTTTCACGGGCATAGCCTGGTACAATGCCATCGAGCTGCTGGTGCTTATCTTTGTGACGTTCCAGCGATATCACGGCCTCTACTTTTGGAGTTTGCTGGTATCTTCAGCCGTTGGTGTAATCCCCTATTCAATGGGGTTCTTGATGAAGTTTTTCCAGCTTACTTCTGCCACCTGGCTGTCAGTCACGTTTCTGACTATTGGTTGGTATGCGATGGTCACGGGTCAGTCCATGGTGTTGTATTCCAGACTGCATTTATTGAATCAGAATACAAAGATTCTCAGACCAGTGCTATCGATGATCATCGTCAATGCTATACTGCTGCACATCCCGACGACTGTCTTGACGTACGGATCCAACTTTGACAGCTACAATCAGCACTTCATAGCTGGGTATAACGTCATGGAGAAAATCCAGATGACTGGCTTCTGTTTGCAAGAATTCATTCTCTCGGGTATCTACATCTACGAGGCTGTCGGTCTACTCAAAGCGAATCCGGAACATGGCAGCCGCAAAATTATGTATCAACTTCTCTGCATCAATCTTCTCATCATCACGATGGACATCGGGCTGCTCGTGGTTGAATACCTAAACCTATACACTGTCGAAACAACACTCAAAGGCGCAGTCTATAGCATCAAACTCAAACTCGAGTTTGCAGTGCTCGGAAAACTAGTGCATATTGTCCGAACACACAGCTGGAAACCAGAAACAATAATTCAGGGCCACGCAACAGACGTCTTCCCGGACTTTGTCGATGCCACCCGCGTCACATCCGATGTCACACATGCCACGTCACATCCGCAGAGCTCCCATAACAACGCCCCTTTTTATAACCATGACGACGTCTCCATTGCCATGTTTGAGCATTCTGCCCCATCTCCAGAAGTCGGCAGACCGCGGCCTTCCATAACGTCAGAGTCGTGGAGTGGAGAGACACGGACGAATCGTGTTGATGCAACAGCTGGGTTGGGGGTAGTCGATTTCGGGGATATGTCGCTTCATCCCGATGGCCATAATTATCATCCGGGATGAAACTTAAATATGTCATTTTTTTTCCTTTGACAAAATCAGATAGAAAAGCGTCTTGATGCTACCTACTAAACTAGCCGTGACCGGCACCAGTCACTCGGTCCAGAGCAATGGCCTTGCTACTGGATATGCCAGTATTGGCCCTTTCCTCAGGGTCACAGGATCACCCTTATAAATTCACCGGACGCTTTTACTCTACAACATCTCTGTACTACAGGAAGCTGTATGTCTATGCTGTCCAAGGCATGAGATGTCGCGTTCGCCTGGAAAACCGACAATCAACGGCACCTACGTCACGGAAAGTTCCTTATACCGCTAGTTCACGAGTCATGCAGCTATTTGCGTGGCCAAGGGATGATTTTGGTATGGTTAATGGTGGCGGCGCGGGGAACAGGCCCATGCAAAAGTGGCTGGCCTATTTTGTGGGGACCCAATGTGTATTCTCCGCATACAGTTGTTAAATAGAGAAATTGATCGTCGTCGCTACTTCACCAACCAAGCCCCCCTTAGCGAATTTCGATAGACCTTCGCCGTAGTACTAGAGCCTGGCCCAATCATCTACTAATTCAATCGGAGAATCGGCGAAACAGGGATTTTTTCCGAGCATATATGTATTTTTGTATCGTCTCCGGAGAAATTGTTGCTGCCATTGGCTTCACTTTTACCTGTAAAGGGAAAGAAAAAGAGATAAATCCCCGCCGTCCCCATGAAAGTAAATCTCACTCGAGTTTCAGCTAATCGGAAACAGAGGGATCGTTCATTTCCAGCACTTATTTTATTCCCTTGGTCTCTGAGGAATGTACTAAAACGGACCTCGAAAAGAAGTCGCCGAAGGTCCCCCGAACACCCAGACTATAAACACACCTTCCCTGCTCTTTGATCCAATATGATTGTTTCGCGTCATATCTGCCATACAAAATAATTACTTCGGCCATGATGCGTTGGCAATTACTCGTCACGACCTTGAGCTCGCTCTCGGTTCTAGGAGGAGCCACCCCGTCTACATGCTCCTCTTCTCCAGCAACGCTCCACCTTCCTGATGCCCCTTATGATAACTTTTTTTACTCCGACTGCAACACTGCTGCTCAGGTCGTCATTACGAGCCCTCAACCCGACAGCAATCTAACCCTGATCTCCCCTCGATTCATCGCCGCTTGGCCCGCAGGAAACAGCGGTGTCTGCGCGTACTTTGCGCCTGAAAACGGAGTTAACGGAAGTTTGAGTATCGAGGTTGTCAATTCCACTGTGGGAAATCCATTGGCTGCAATTGAAAGTGGAAGCGCTTCGTCTTCAAATAGCACTACATCTTACTATGGCGTCACCGGCACAATTCGCTTCAATACTTCTGCCTCCTTGACAGTCCCCATCCTCGGCAGTATCCGGACTATTCGTGACTTTGTCGAGGGACCTAGTCTCTTGCAGCCTCAGATCCAGGATACGATCAATGTAACTAGCCTGCCAAATGGCGGTGCTTCTCTGCAGCGATTGTGGCTTGATAACGTCACGACGACTCACCTCAACTTCACGCCCGCTACAAACGGATCTGTTACTATCAATAACAAGACACTGAAATTCGAGGCCGGAGACTACGTCTTCGCCGCTGAATTCAACTACCCGCAGTTGACCCAGCTCAGCCCAGCACAGGTGCTGAGCAACAGCTCCACCGCATTAATTCAGCAGGATCCCGAGAGGACGACGGCATTGTCGTTTTTGTCGTACTCAACTAAGCTTTTGGCTGGCGCATGGAGGTTCTTGACTTATTTTGGTCGTGATTCCATGATCTCTGCGCTTTTGTTGGAGCCTGTTTTGAGTAAAGGTGAAAATAGTGCTATGGAGGCGGTTATTGCTGCGGTTTTGGAACGATTGAACAGAACTGATGGCAGCGTCTGCCATGAGGAGACCATCGGGTGGGTTAATAATCAATAATCATATTAGGTGTCGTGACCTATGCTAATTGGAGTAGTGACTATGCTACGTGGTTGAACCAGCAGGATGGTATAGTCAGCACTGATCCGCAGTACGATTACAAGATGGTATGTGCAAAAATTTTTCCAGTCAGGTGGCCCTCGTTAACAACTTTATAGGTTGACTCGGATTACTATCTCCCTATCTTGATGAACAAATATTTTGTTGAAAACTCTGTTGGTAAGAGCAGGGCCAAGACATTCGTCAGGTAGGTAATAATTTGTCATATTATACGGACGTAGCTTAATTCAAAATAGTATCGCCGCTGGAGCTACCAACCCTAACAACAAAAACCTCACCTATGGTCAACTAGCTGCCATCAACGCAGAGCGCATCCTCAGACTTGCTGCTCCTTTTGCCGGCAAAAACAACCAAACCCAAGCCAATCTTGTCCGTTTAAAAGACAACCAGATCGTTGGTGAATGGCGAGACAGCACATATGGTAACTGTCACCCATTCCAATATCACCACCCCCGAATACTAATATATCCCATCAAGGCATTGGCGGTGGACGAATCCCCTACGATGTTAACACAGCCCTAATGCCCGCTGCTCTCCGCGCCATCGCATCCCTATCCCGCCGCAAATTTTTCTCCACCAAGTCCTCCTCCTGGGCCATTCTTGCCGACAAATACGCACAAGTCTGGGAAGACGAAACCCTCCAATTCTTCCGTGTCACCGTGCCCAAATCCCAAGCCAAACAACTCGTCTCCTCCTACGCCCAAACCATTGGCTTCACAGGTCCCAACCAGACCGACTCTATCGACGACGACGTGACCTTTCATGCCCTCTCCCTCGACGGCAACGACAACCTAAACCAAGTCGCCGTCATGAACACCGATGACTGCTTCCGCCATTTCCTACTCAACACCACCGGCAGCCAGTCCCAACTCACTGCTTTCATGAACCAAACCGCCAACAACATCCGCCGCACATTCCCCGCGGGCCTGCTAACCGGCGCCGGCATGATCGTCGCGAACCCAGCATATGGCGAGAACCCAGTGTATGCGGCGAACTGGACGAGCGGTGCGTATCACGGCACGGTGATCTGGTCCTGGCCCCTCGCCATGATGGCCAAGGGGCTGGAGCAGCAGCTTGGTCGATGCAGCAATACTACCTCTAGCCATGGAAAGACCACGCAGCCGGATTTCTGTAAGGATGATGCTGTGTATGGCAACGTCAAGAACGCGTATAATATTCTCTGGGACTCGATTGACGCCAACACCCCGCAGTTGTCGCAGGAGGTTTGGTCGTGGGTTTATAATGATAAGAATGAGACTTTTGTCCCTACGCCGTTAGGTGTAATGCCCCCGCCACCGGGGTCGTCGAGTCAAACTGGTATGTTTTATTCTTCTTATTAATGATAATATGATGAATAAGGTTTATGCTGATGAGCTTGATAGAATCCGATATTAGACAGTTGTGGTCATTGACTTTCCTTGCTGTGACGAGGAATACGTCTTTCGAGTAGTGGGAGGTATACCCCTGCTATCAATCCATTCGTTTATTCAAGAAAGAAGAAAAAAAGAACCGGTCTATATTCCGAATAGTCCTATTCGTTTAGAATTAATCATCTTTGAGCGAAGCAGACCTACAGGTATATGGACATACCAACGTAATCGATGATTATGAATAGGAAAATTGCAAATCCTTGAATATACACGTATTTGATGTTTGATATCAATTGAAATCCTGCAGTGTTCACATTAAAGTGGATGATGTAATTGACATACACCACAACACAATATCCAACATTAACATGTATTTATACTAGCTCAGTATTAAATTCCCTCTCAGGCATGTACAAGACATGACCCAATATTACATGCAAGCAATCATCACGCAGTATAATTATGGCATGTCAAAATGCATAAACCAATAATACAAACCAGATGGAACAAATATGCATAGCGCCTTTAAATTGTAAATTTCCGACTGCCCTTGACTAAACCAGACTCTAACTTTGTGACAGCTACCCAGTCTGGGCTATACTGTATAATCTCGTCTAGAGCTGGAATCAAGCCAGGGGTGTTGGCGTCGCTCCAGGTACAGGTTGCTGTGCCTGTAAGTTTTTCGTCGTCTGCATCTGTTTCGGGTTTCCATTCAACATCCACCACGAAGTTATTTTCCCATTTACGACTCCAGAGACGGATTTCACTGGTGCCTTCTGGCGGAATGTTGATTGGGTAACGGACTTCATCAATTGCTGATCCAGCCACATGGAACGCCTTAATGGGGGTATCAAAATTCAGAACACATCCACGGCTGTCTAGTCCAGAGATTTGAACCTGACCACGGCGGTTGTTGCTGTTTGGTACTGATTCCAAGCGTTTGGTTTTGTACTGCACCCATTCTTGCAGTGGTGGCTCTTCAGATCTGGAATTGAGAAGGACATGAGGTGCTAATCCTTCCCATGAACACCGCAGTCGGTCTGTCTTCCAGGCGCAGGTTGCATTCTGGCCGTTGGCACTTGGTATCAATGCAACAGCGTCGCTGACGAATGGTGGGATGCCAGTCAAAGATACCTGATTGACACCTGTGTCGAGATCAACTTCTTGTACGAAAAAGAGCTTTACTCGGTTTTCAGCAGAAAATGGAAAGGCAACCAGGTTGTAAATAAGAGTGGCGACGAACAGCAGGAATAAAAAGGTTGGGATGTGATATGTGAACCGGTGAAGGAAAGGAAGAGTAGGAATAAACAACAATGTCGTTGACACAGCAATCAGAAGATATACTGTCAAGGAAGAACTGCCATCCTGTCCAGTTTGATGTGTCGCACTTGTGATGAGTAGACCTAACTGACCAACAAGGATAATTACAATCGGAGCAGTTAGAAGAAATTGTATCACCCAGGTCCACGTCGGCAGTTTTGCGCTCCAGGCCTGTTCATAGCCGTAGACATTTGTATTTTGGACCTCAGGTTCTTCTCTCCCAGTCTCACTGTGAATAGCGTCCCCGTCGTCGTTGTTCTCAGCACGAGTATAATTTGCAAATGTCGTTCGTCGCCCCCTAAGAAGAGATGTTGACTCCGATGGCTCTTCTTCCTCTTCGTGTTGGCCCATAGAATCGGCACTAGGCGTCATAAGACGACTGCCACCCGAACTAGCTCGTCGTGAAGTTTGTCCACCAAACTGGTTAGCAAATTCAGCTTTCTTAGGTAGCGCAAAAAGCTCTAGATATGATATCCACGTAGCTAAAAAGGTGCCGAACGTATAAAAGAGAACGAAGTAGCCACCTGCAATACCGTCCCGGTTTTCGTACACAGTAGCGACCACAAGAAGCACCCATGTAACGAGAGACAACCATGTCAACATATAGATGCGATGTAATGCTGAAGGTCGGGCAAAATTCGCAATCCGGGAGAGGAACCATGCTATGAAGACCCAAGCAGATACCACCGTACTCCAAACTGCGTATTCACTGCTATGGACAATTAAAGGGTTGACTTTGGCGAACAGATAAGCCAATGCTACAGCCCCTGCAGTTGCTGTGACAGAAATAAACGGGAATCGGAAAACCCCTCTCCACCCACGTAGCGGTACACTTTCAAAACCGTCATCGACTGGAATTGAAATAGCAAACAAATACATCCGATCCTGATTCGCCAGAACAATACTTGTAATCAACAATGTCAAAGGCCCTACAATCAATAGGGTGACCGAAAGCGCGAAGAGCGTGTGCAGTTCAAATACCACAAACGTAGTACCGAATAAGTCAAACCAGACAGATTCAGAACCCGAGCCGCTAGCTACCTTTCCAGGTCCTTGAGGTTTCCCCTCGAAGTCATCGCTTGAATCGGAGACTAAATCTTCTGTCGTAGCTACCGCTGCAGACAGCATATGCCAGAGAGATTGTAAGCTGGTATGTTTAGCATCATCTTGGTTGGTGTGATATCTAGCCCGAGGCTCCATGAAGGCGACATCTAGGCCGCGTAGCCCCAAGTCGCCTTCGAATACGATGTAGTCAGTCTGACTCCGAATCAAGTTCGTTTTGAAGCCAGTGTCTGATAATACGGATCCAAAAGGATATGGAGATTTCTTGTACGCACGAGCAACCTGAGTGTCGCTGGCGCGGAAGAGCGTGGCACGACCACCAGCTCCGGCCCCTTCCAAATTCAAAAATGTGTGAGCAAATTTGGATATGGGATGCTGGCTGTAGACACGTGCTCCATTCAGGAAATCCTCTTCGCCGTTATTAAAAAGCACCACCAATCCTCGAGAGGGCTCGTGTCCCGGCGTTGTGAAGTACTTGACTAGTTGCAGGCCCGATATAACCCCAATACCATCATCGGTAGCTCCATAACCAGTAGATACACTATCATAATGCGCGTTCACAAGCACACCACCTTTCCCTGATGGCGAAAGCCCCGGGGTTTCCCACCAGTTGCGTTTGTCGTCATCGCGGCCACGAATGTAAACCATAACGTTGGTTCCTTCGAAATACACACCCATATACGACTGATATACAGTCAAATTCGAAACATTATCATCAAATACAAACACATCGGGTTTGTACTGATCTAGCCCCGCCTCCTTATCAGCAGCTGAGAGACCTCTGTTTTCCTGCAGGATCTCGTCAATACGGGTTAACAGCCAGCTTCTCACCTCATCATTTTGATGGGCATTATATGGATGAAATCCGCTCGTGAGATGCTGTAGATCAAGCCATGCTTCATGAATATCGAGGCCATCGAGGGTAGAAGTCGGGGCTGAAGGAAGAACATGCTCGATCACGAGGATGGGGATGAGGATGGCAAGGTAGACGACAGTCACAATGACAGTCACCGGCCAGCGATTAAACGCCAGGGGGTTCCATTGCTTTGCGGCCATTGGGATATAGGCTTTGTGAACCACGGCAGCAGACCGACGTGGTACGCGGTTTGGGAACGAGGGGCGCAGTTAATCCTTCGAGCATGATGATGTTCGGAAGCGGGATATGCTGGCAGAACTGAAGCAGCTCTCCATCGCGCTGACTACCGGCGAATCAGAGAAGCTGGTGTGGAGACTAGCGTGCGGGGTTTGTAATCGCTTTCCAATCACGGCATTCATACATAGTCCACTATGAAGCAAAGATACTTAAATTCATAGAGCTCTCTCAGAGTTAGCTGTCTCAAGAGATGCAAGATACTTCTGCATGTTAATTACCTGTCGGGATTGTTAATTACCTATCAGGACTCGTACACAAGTGTTGACGGAAATGCTGAATTACTAAAAATGTCATATCATATTCAAATCATGATGAGAAGGTATATAGACAACGCAGTAAAAGAAACAAGTTGAATACAAAGACAAGTCGTTAAGAGCGTGCCAATACTCTATATCTGTACAATGCAATTCCAGACCCAGTCGTGTGCGTAGGGAAACCCCAGAAATAGCTTCTAGGCTCAAAAGAAGAATGTCAAAGACGCTATATGAATTCGTTATGGGTATCAATCAAAAACCAGGCGATTGCTGGAGTGGTCGTACGGCGATCAATACTCGTCAAAGTAATTGCTGTAAGGAGCACGACATAAGAATGAGTAGGGCACCTGTAGCTTCGCACCAAGCCAGACAGAGGATACGAGCAACACACTGGACAAGTGCGAGACCTGTGGTCGTTGGATTGGGTGAATTCCTTCACCCATCAGTAGAATATGTCGATGTCACAAGGCGCTTGTGTAAACTAACAAGGCAATTAAAATAGGATCTTCAACCTTGTGGAGGTCCAACTTCTATAAAACCATCCCCCATGTCATCGTCATCATCACGGATGGACGCAGCGCTCATTAACCCAGTCACGTGGTTCTCGTCCTCATCAAGCTCCTCATCGTCATCATACATCGTGGCTTCCGGACCTTCCGGATATGGGACAGCGTTTCGGTTCAGGAACTCGCGTAGCCGAGAAACACCTTCTCCGCTGAAGACACAAAAAAGGTCACGTTGTTGTTGAGTGAACTCAGGGGGGGCTTCACGGCAGAATGCAGTGAGTTCTTCACGTAAAAACGCATGTACTCCTGTGAGACTGAGGTGGGTTAGACGAGGACAATGATTGAGTAAGGCATGAATTCCCTATTAATATGCGATCAGTAACGTCCTTAGAATGTCTTCTCGAATACCACATACCTCCATGGTTAAATTTGCACAATAACTAAGATGCACTCTCTCTAGACAGCTAGAGCCTAGGGGGTGTGGAGACGCTCTAGAGCGAGCAAGGGCGAGAATACTAGAGTCTGTAATCGCGCCGCATTTGACCAGACCAATCCGTTTCAGCTTCGGCAAAGTCGCCAGTTGTTGAACGCTCCTGTCAGTAAGATTATTGCAGCAGGCCAAATCGATATATCGAATGCGGTTGCAGGACTTCACTAATTGGGTGACGGCCTCATCAGTGATATTTGCACAGTGACCTAAGTGTACATAGTGCAAATTCTTTCCCAGCTTACAGATAGCTAGGACGGCACGGTCGGTTATGTATTTACACTTGGCAAGAACGAGGTTGCGCAGCCGATGTGCAGAATCGATGATACGTTCAACGGCATCATCCCCGACATTCTCGCAGGCTGTTAGGTCCAAGATGCGGAGGCTTTCGAATAATGGCTGTCTGGGAAGTTTGAGAAAAGCCGAACTGTCGATCTCAGTACAATAGGGTAGACGTAATTCTCGAAGATTCCGTAGGGTAGACAGTAGTGCTGTAACTGACGGACTTCTAACCTGTCTGCAAGCATGTAAATCGATCTCGAGGATCGAGGGGCAATTTTCTGCAAATGATAATATGGATCTATCCGTGACTTGGGTGACGCCATTCAATTTGAGCTAATAGGTTAAGTCAATCATTTATTCAGTACCAGAGACGCAATCATACATACCCGCTTCAGATGTTTGCAGCTTTCGGATACAACCACCAAAGACTCATCAGAAATTTTAGAACAGCTTGTGATATTCAACCCTTGTAACCGTGGACAATTCTTTGCCACAGTGAACAGCGTATGATCTGTGAGAGATCGGAGCTCAGAGACATCTAGAGCTTGTAGATGTCGGTTACCCTCTACCAAGTCCGAGACACCTTTGTCTGTCAATTTAGAGCAGTTTGTCAAAGTCAAGCGTTCGATGCGCTTGCAGTGTGTGAAGGGGAGAACTGTGCCGTCGCTGACTTTGTCGGTTAAAGCAGAGAGGTTGAGACGCTTGATAAGGTCCGAATAAGGGAAATAACTATCCTGCTTACCCACTGATGTCACGACACTGCGGAGGTTTTCGAATCGATTGCACGAGGGTCGATGCCAAAGAATTCCAACACAATTAGCTGCCCATTTCTGACACACTAAAATGCAGTTCAACATGTCCACGGGGGAGCTCAATTTCGAAAATATAGAGATCAAAATCTCGGGGGGAAGTCGCCCTATTGGAGGGGTGATGACGTCCATATCATTGCTCACTACATGTTCGCGAAATGTTGCTACTCCGATAGAAGACTGGGAATCGTTTGCCTGAGCGAAAAAGTCGGTATCATCATCTGCCGCACGTTCAGGCGAAGTTGATGTCGAAGACTCAGAAGGTGACTTGCTCGAAATTCGAGCAGCGGGCCGCGAGCGAAGCATTTTGAAGAAGTTGACTTGAAAATGACTACCCAAACGTTACTGGTAAACTTGTTCGTTCTTCACTTCTTCTCTTTCTTCCTCTCATTCATCAGGAACGCGTCCCCATTAAAAAAGGTCCCAGGCGTGCCAGATCAACGCAAAATCTTTCAAGAAAAGTCCGACAAGCTTTGTCTTCAGTATCATATGCTCCCAGATATTCTCATTCCAACGACGGGTTTGCCTTTTTGATTTTTGCGGTTCGGTTTAACGTTCACGTGTTCGAGGACGATGATCAGAAGCGTATCTGGGACAGGCTTTAAGGGAGTCACTGCTACTGCCTTCGTCAAAGATTTGATAGGCCAAAGGTAGAGCGAAATCTCGGTCGACAGCTGAAGGAAGGGATAGGCAAGGCTGCTAGAGTTGCGGACGAATGAAAATCATGAACGAGGATTGTGCAGATCTGTCCCGCGGATCCACAGAAAATTATGATGAATGATTGCAAATAAGGCGCAAACAGGCCAGCAGAATAAACCGACAGGTGTTTAGGGTAGGTGGAGTGAATCGAGAGGTCGTTGTTGGCAAGGCATTGAAGCGGAAGATGGACGCCAGAGGAGCAAAGTGGGATGGATGCTCGCCCAAGCGCTTCACCACCGCAGGCGGGAGCCAACCAGAAGCGGAGTCTGCCAGCTGAACAGCCTGGCTGCTTCCAATGTCATCTGGTCGTACTACGAATACTGAAAGCGCATATTTGTTATTTAATATTGTCGAAATACATATCCATTGACATATTTGCTATCTATCATAATGAACTTGCCTAGAAGTCTAGCTAATCACTCGCGTTGTCTTCTGTCAACAATGACGCAAGTCGAGAATCGTCACATATGTTGGTGTGATATGTAAGCCAACATTATTATTAATACAATACTGAAAGGGCTTTCCTACCCGTCCAACCGGGACGAACAGGAGATCATTATTAATATGATACAAGTACACGCAGACAAGGGAATGACCAGTTTCAGCCTGTCTCGTGCCAGTTCGATATCTGTCACGAGTCACAGACTGGCGCCTATCCTGATTGGGCTAGGCAATGTCCATTTACAGCTTCAACTGATCAATTGATGTTAAGGCTTTGGTCTTGCATGATGTTGACTCGGGTTGCCCTTGTTATGCAATTCTTCGATAAATATCGGTATATTCCTTACTATGTACACAAAATGATCACAACTCCTAACCCCGCTCAGTGTTTATATTCTTCGTCTAACTTGAACGTGAGAAAGACCGCCTTGAAGAGCCAAGTCAACAGCACATTCATTGCACCGTTTTTCGATCAGCTCCCTTGGCCCACTCTCGCAGGACATTCTTCTTGACTTTGCCGGTGCTAGTCTTAGGAAGCTCAGGAACAACCTCAACCTCACGAGGGACCATGAATTTGCTGATTCCACTGACATTCTTAGCCCATTCGATGATAGCCTTGCCCTCAACTTGTTTCCCGGCTTGCACCGTGATAAACGCTTTCGGTCGCTCGCCCCAGTGAGTGTCGGGCACGGAGACGACGCCAGCTTCAAGAACATCGGGGTGTGTGACCAGCATCGACTCCAGGGCTACTGAAGATATATTCTCACCACCTAAAGAATGATGTCAGAGTGGTGCCTCAAGTTTTACAGGCAGGGAAGTTATCATACCGCTGATGATGATATCCTTGGCTCGATCCAATATTTGAATAGCTCCATCTGGATGCCAAACCGCTAGATCTCCCGAGTGTAGAACCCCTCCCGCAAACAACTTTTGCGTAGCTGCAGGATCCTTGTAGTAGCCTTTGGCGCAGATGTTACCCGCAAAAACGATCTCGCCAAGCTCAAGCCCATTACGCTGCACGTCGACAATGGTTCCCTCAGGGACTTCTGTCTGGATCACTCGCGCGGGAAGACTTGTTACGAATCCATGACCTTGCCGGGCCATCTTTTGGTATTTTTCCTTGATTGGAAGAGTGTCCCACACTGGCATGTGGTAGCCTTTAGTTATAGGGCCGTACGTCTCGGTCATTCCATAGACGTGTACCGGATGAAGATTGAGATTTGTCATCTGTTCAAACAAATGTGCTGATGGGGGGCTAGCAGCGACGGTAACCCGCACTGGGTTCGGAAGTTTCTCAGCCTCTCGAGCGGCACACAAAAGAGTATTTACCGTGGGAGCAGCATTAAAGTGTGTCACATTCTCGTTCTTGAGAAGATGCCAAATGTATGGGTAGTCGATTTTCCTAAGGCAATAATGCGTTCCTCTGACTGCTGTGATAGCCCACGGGAAAGTCCATCCTGATAAAACTAGCTTAGAATATGAAGAAAAGAGATTGTGATTGTTAAACTTACCCATGGCATGGAACATCGGCAATGTCCATAGATACCCACAGCGACCTTTGTGGTAATTAAGCCCGGATTCTATTACATTACCGAGCGCAGCCAGATATGCTCCTCGATGCGTGTACTCTACTCCCTTGGGCCGGGCAGTAGTACCACTTGTATATGCGAGAGCCATTGTCGAGTTCTCATCAGGAGCTTGGGCTTCCAACCCACTCCAACCTTGATTTCCCGAAGCGACATCATACTGCAATCCTTCCATAACGGCGTCGTCAAATGGACCGCTCAATTCACCTTCTGTTGCATCCGTATCCGTGTCAATCAATAACGGGATATTCGGGTGATTTTGTTTGAATGAATCAAGCAGGGAGACGAATTCCTCGTCAACGATAACGAGTTCGACTTCCGAGTGTTCAAATATATAGCCAACATCTTCGTGTTTCAATCGATAATTTACCGCTACAACAAGGAACATATTAGCCGAAAAACTATTCAAGTATCCCCAAGACTGGCGAACTGACCAACATTCGTGGCTCCAGCAGCCGCAATGCCAAATATAGATTCTAGGAACGCAGGTGTGTTTGGCGCCAAAATGCCGACGCGCTTGTATCCATGTTTCTTGAGATAGTACGCAAGACCTCGTGCGCGATCTGCTGCTTCGATGTAACTTCTTCGCAGGACTTTGTTGTTGGCAGTTACATGGTATATAGCTTCAGCCTGCCACAGTAATTGGTATCTCAATATAGCAGAGATTAAGGAATGGGTTCCCTACATCTGGCTCGATTGCAGCTGCCCGCGGAAGGAAGAACGTTGGTGACAATGTGTGGTGGTTCACGGTGCCTACATCATTACTGGCATGTGAAGGCAGAAAGTGACCAAGAAGGCCAGAGAGGCGGTTTTTCGGTGTGGACATGGCATGAACTAGGAGCCGCGCTTTGAAATTATTCTTAATGACAACAAATAGGACGAAACCTGGAGCAGAATGAGCTTAGAACATTTCCCCCAGGGCGGGATTTTATACGTGGGGAAGATTGGCCGGCCCGAGGATCGATTCGGGGATTTTCGCTCTGTCAATTGGTTAGAGTCGGAGGACCCTGGCTGGGTGGACACTGTCCCCGGGTACACTCAGCGCTTAGCCTTCGAAGTGTCAATTAGATATGCTAGTCGTGGGCATTGGGCACATAGCAATAGTTCTTATTAACATGCAGAATAGATCATGAAGGACTTCGTACATATCAAATGTCATTGCACTCTACATAGAACCAGTGAAAACAACGGATATTGGAACTTGAAAAAAATTCTTTGAATTATTCATTGCGCCATGGCGAAATATGAAAGCCGGCACTATGCCATGTTGAAATCATCATGTGTTTTATGTCCCAAGTGATTCAGTGAAGAATCCATTTCTCCTGGGCCCTCCCCATGTCCATTCCAGCATGCCATTTGTTTGAGAGCGTTTATTTTTTTTCATGACCAAATTTAAGAGGCTTTCCAGGCTCGCTGTACGGTCCCGCTGATAACCATACTGCTACCTAGTCCCTCCACATCATTCCAGACACAGCCAACAACCACCGCAGATGCTTAGTAGCCCAATTCGGCCAGTTGGCTCTTGACCTTGTCATCAACCTTAGCCGTCTTCTGGGCCTGAGCGAGCTGTCGTCGAACGGCCTTCTTGCGCTCGTAGTATGCAGCACTCTTGACCTTCCTCCGCTCCTCGAGTCTAGTTATATGTAAGCAGAAGTCCTCGCAATTTTATGGTAAGTCTAAGAAAAACGTACCTAGAAACAACATCCTGGTATTTCCAGCCGACTTCGTGGCTCAGACGACCAACGGTGCAGTACTTGCGACCAGGCTTAAGACGGAGCACGCGAAGGGCTTGAGGAACAACGACACGCTTCTTCTTGTCGTATGGAGGAGGGACACCCTCGAAAACCTTGAGTCTCTCCAAAGCAGCAGCACCGCGGGCGGTCTTGTGGGGAATCATGCCACGGACGGTCTTGTAGAAGATGCGAGAAGGAGCACGGAAGTGGAAAGGACCTGCACAATTTCATGAGCAAATTTTGATTGTAGTAATGTCCATGGGATCTCTTACCACCGCGGGTGGGGTTGAAACGAGTAGCCTTGCGGAGATAGGCATGGTATTTCACTATCAAATTCCGGGTCAGTCTACCGTATTTTCTGCAATTCACAATTCTGCCATTGGCCCATAGTTGATTATAACCCAAAAGTTTTTGCCGTGGCCGTTCCTTGAAATAGAGAGGAAAAAGAAAATCGAGTGACATACACTTTGCGCGGAAGAACTCGCCGGAGATGTTGAGTGCTTCAGTTCGCACAACGACGATCTTCTGACCATTGAGCAACTGCTTTGCCACAATGCTGGCCAGGCGACCCAAGAGGTGTCCCTTGCCGTCGATAACGACCTGTTCAAACACATCACGGAATTAGCGAGATGACTCGATTTCAACATTCCCATCCCAAAATATGGGACTGACGACGATGGAATCACGGGGTTTTCAAAGGGCTGCAACGTACAACTGGCTCGAATGTGGACATCCTGCTCCTGTCACCGGGTTTCTGTTCGAAAAATATCCAGCGAGACGAAAGGCTGGTTGTTGGCGCGATGGGTTGTCGGTCTGGAGATGAAGGTCTCGCTTGATTGAGGTGTCCTAGCGGCAAAAATGGTGCGCTAGGGCTGCTTGCCCTAACTGGATGCCGAAATTGACTTGGTGCGGCGCTTTGACTGGGTGGGCAAGGCACGTGATTTCAGCCAATCCGCGTTCAACTTCCTGCCGGTCTGCTCCACCATTCACAAGTCTCCGCTAAGCATCTTGCGATTCGAAGCTTTTTACAAGATTCTAATAATTCGCTAATGGTTTCTTATCGAAAGACTCGCTTTGTTTGTGTATCAGATACGCATGGCTATTTGCCGCAAGAGGCGGGCTTTTCCTTACCTCCTGGCGATGTCCTGATTCATGCTGGAGATCTTACAAATACTGGCAGTATATCGCAACTCAAGCGTACCCTTCAATGGATCAAAGATGCAGATTACGAAGCAAAGATTGTAATTGCGGGTTAGTCGTAAAAAATTCATGAAATAGCAGTAATGGTAACGAGAACATTTACTTGACTAACACCATCCTCCTTGACTCCATAGGCAACCACGATGTGACTTTGGATCCGGACTTCTATGCTGAGCATGGAGGAATTTTTCACAAGGAGCTTCAGGATGTCACAGCATGTATTGACATTGTAAATACCGGGGATGGGTCAGTCATTTTCCTGAACCATAAATCTACCTTGGTGAAACTATCTCGTCCTGAAGGGCCCCGAACGATGTTCAAGGTCTTTGGGTCTCCATTCTCGCGATTTCGGGGGCAATGGGCCTTTGGATACAGCACAGCAGAGGATGGCGAACGTTTATGGAGCCAAATTCCTACAGATACAGACATAGTAGTTACCCATACACCTCCATTCGGGTATTGCGATCACCATCCTGCCGATTACGGGCCAAGCGAATCGACAGGCTGCAGGCAATTACTCGATGCCTTGAGCAGGATCAAACCGATGCTTTCTATCTGCGGCCACGTACATGAGGGTCGGGGCTATGAACGAGTAATGTGGTCAGCGAATGCTAGTACAGTCTCAGTTGATAAGGAGGCTTTACCACCTCTTAACAGTAAAAAGCAAAACCTCATCGATCTCACTGGAAAAAGACACCCAGCTTTGCGAAATACAAGCAGCGCATGCACATCTAAGACTACTAGCGTACCAAATTCAGATATGGATGATAATATTCGGCAAGAAACTTGTATTATCAATGCAGCCATCATGGCGAAAAGCTGGCCTCACATTAACGGGAAACAGTTCAACCGACCTATCGTAGTGGATATCAATCTTCCAATCTGGGACCATGAGGGTGGCGGGTGAGTATGAATTGTTTAGTCTGTATTTATGACAGAAGAAAGCTTCTCAACATTTTTTTTGGTTTGAGTAAGGTACGCTGTGCGCACTGCCTAGTCCACCATTCATGCCATTCTCAGAACATCGTTCAAATTGGGTTCCTATGGCGCAAGATGGACTACTGATGAAGACTGTTGATGACCATTGACCTGTATATTTCTTGCAAGTAAGTAGTCTCTCGTTCCATGAATGGTAGACTTGCGGACTTATTTAGACATGGTTACTACAGCGTTTCTCGGATACGTCAATGTTATAAAGCCTCATGAATTGATTTTCATTGACAACTCTGATTTCACAGTGGAATTGAAAGCAAAATATAGCTGTACATCAATTTATATCAATTCAATATTTTGGGTGATAAACTAAACTACTATGGTTAGCTAATAATATATGTAATCTATTAATCTATTATTGTTTCGCATAGTACAATTGAAGCCTCATATTTGTATAAATGAATGTACAGTAGGCTAAAAAAAAGTTTAAATATAGTACCATAAAAAACGGATGAGGTATAGGAGCTCTCCTTATATCAATTTTTATTAAATAATACTTGAACTTTCTCTGTTATCTACAGGTCCCCCCGTCCGAAGAATTCTAAATTGAATTTGGTACAAATTGGTGTAAATGCAGATGAAAGGCAGAAACTCTCAACACTACTATATTCAAACTTGTGTTATTTAGTGTGTCTTTACCCGAAGCAAAACCTACCTACAGAACTTCAGTCACTCCGACATGTACATCGAGGGTTTGCTCAGAGAGGATCAAGATAGTCTCAAGTCACATTTAATCATGCAGCAAAAATGAGAAGCTATTGCCTTTACGGCTGTTCTCGGCGACTACTGTCATACCGATGATGGCGTTATCCAAGATCAAGCATAATGCATTTTGATCACATCTCTGTTACTCATCCGGTGACTCTTCATGCCAAACACTGATTTCATCACACCCGAAATTTGGATGCTTGCTTGCAGATATACTACTCAGTAGGTTGAAGTATGGTATGACTTTCCACCTTTTCTATGAAAAAGGAAATAAGCTCATCCTCCAATTATCAACTAGTAACACTCAGCAGTGACTGGACTGGCAGAAATTTCTCCGCTGGAAAGCCTGGCCGATGATGGAGCTGATCACTTGATAATCATTCTAGACGCCTATCATTGATTAAAATCGATATGAGTGGTCCTTTAATAATATTCTATTGAGTCACGTCGTACAAAATTTGAAGTTGGTGGGGTCCGAGGGGTAAGCCAACTCCCTAGAGAGGTTAGGTATCGGTAAGGTGGAGGTCTGATGGGTCGTGGGCGGCTTTTTTAATTCTTTCTTGTGGTGTCGCACCTCTTTGAGAATAACTATTCAAGGCTTAAGGTAGTATACTCCGTCGACTCTGCCCTTGTCCGATTGGACTGGATGCATGGGACGAAACCCGGTGAGGTGCATGACCAGGCTGCATGACTGAAGAGAAACTGAATCACCTATTCAAGCCCCAGCATGGTAATTGGCCTTTCTCTCTGCTTTTCTGTCCCTTGCCTTGCTTTGCTTTGCTATTCTCTAACTACCTCTGCCTCAGTGCTTCTTTTGATGCTGCGGGGCTCGGTGAGTAATAATATATCGGTCTATGCATTTGGAAACGGTTCCTACCGCAGTGGACCCAGACAGCCCTGGAATATTTGTAGACCAATAGTACCACTCGAGCTATCCATTTGACTTGTCGGATACTATATCGCATGACTCTTACCAGCCAACGAACGGATCATTTCCTCCTCCGTTGTCGCACGCACTGTTGCTACGTATTATTCCTTTTCACTAGACAAGCCTCGCCATCCTACGATTTGATGGCGGCCACGAGAGTCAGAGCCCGAATGAGTTGGCACGGCCAGACGTGGGAGAGTCGCCATGTGGAGTGGGCGTCGTACGATTAGCTTGTTATCGTCTCGGCCACTTTTTGGAGCATTCTGCCAAGTGCCCTATTCGACAAAACCAGGAGCAGGTGCTGGGCGAATAGAGTCTAGTATGGAGTTTTGAACATGGGACCAGTGCTCAAAATGCCCCTCCAGCGCGAGGCGCGCAGTTACCGCCGAGTGGCTGCACTGTCATTCGTTCCAGATAGTAAATAAACTCACTGCAGAGCTGCTAGTTCAGCTGCAGGTGGTTGATTATGGTACCTGTCTCCAACTTTTTGTGTTTGCCCTTGTTTGCACCTGATTGTTGAGGAAAGATTGAGTTAATGATGTTGCCTGCCTGGAAGCCCGTTGACTCGTGGGCTCCGTAGCCGACACTACCGACGTGGTGTTGGGTTGGCTGCCCTTCTAGAATTGGTTTCCATAGTACTATGCAAGAGAAGAATAGCGGGCCGGACAGAGGCGCAGCATCATTTTCAACCAGGTTTGTCTCATAATTATTGATTATGTCGATCTGCTTTCTGTCCTTAGTGACAGCGTCGTAGAAGTAGCTGCCAGTTGTCTCGCTCTGAAACTAGCCATTATTGACGATGGATCTGCTGATATGTATCCACTGTACTTTGACAGTAGGATGCGCGGAGATGTCACGACGTTCGGGTTTGATCCATGATGTATGATCCATGATGCAAGCTTTGACAGGTATGACCATGACCAGTCACTAGACGCGATCTGATACAGGCTCAGACAACGGTCAAGTCATAAAGGGTCATGGCGGATGATTATTATGGCGGATTAATCATTGACCATGCAGCCATCAGTAATCTGGCCGACTCAGAATTAGGTGCATTCCCGAACCGGTTAGCCGCTGTCGTGCAAAGTGGGGGTCCAGCACGGTGGAGTGGATCACTATGTATGGCTGTTGATTGGCCTGTGGGCGGAGGAGGTGGCACGGCCGCCCGGTGGAGCTTAGACCTATCACGGCCAATCAGCGCCGTGGCCTCGGCAGAATGTAATGTACCGCAGTGACTCCCCAGCTACATCATCGCCTGCGGTTCTCTGCCTGTTCTGCGCTGCCATTGACTGCCCTGCGCAACCACAAACTACGTCAGCACTGCCAGCCTGTTGACTCGACAAGGCTTGGAGATGCTCCCTGTATACGGTGGTATCTAGTATCTGGCTGTCCAGTGAGGACCCGAATCGCCAGCAGCCCCAACATGACGATGACCTGAGACTTATTCTCCGTCTTATTCATAGAACTACATGCAGTATGCGCATTGGATTCCTTTGTTCTAAGCCCTGGCCCGCAAGCCCGGGTGCAGGGCTTTTGTTCTCGAAAGCCAGGGTTTTCTAGGATAGTCAGATAGGTGTGATAGTGGCCGGCGAGGCTTGCGGAAAGCAACAAGTCAGGACAAGGAACAGCCAGCCGCCGACAGGACAGAGCAGGCTGAGGGCTAAAGTATGCTTGTTGCCAGTGTTATAGAATGGCATACATCGTATTCCATCAGTAGTTTTGGGGCTCTGACACGAGGAACCGGAGACGAGTAATTTTGTGAACTAATCAAGAAGTAAGAGTAAGTGGTCAGTGATCAGAGGGTGATGGACTTGGCGACAAGGCTCTAGAATGTTGATCAGCATATTTATTGTATCATATTTCCCGGTTTAACGACAGTAGATGATTTCATCCACGGTCGACGGCAACCTTTTTAACATATCATAAAGCCATAACGGCACCTCTTTGCTGTCGTCGACGTTTTTTGTTTCGCTGCCCGTCCACTCATCACTTGCCAAGCGTCCTGTCTCCAAACCCCACGTTGTCTCAGCAGCGGGGTGTGTCGCTCAGTTACTTACGTAGCGAAACAGCACGGTACAGGTGTGCTTGTCTGGAACGCTCAACGAACTTTAGCGTTACGTGTGAACATACTGCGTTACTGGGCAGCCCTCACCGCTGCTTGCTCGACGACCAGGTGGGCAGATGAACGCCGTGTCACGCCTGACCCTTAAGTGAAGACTACCACTGGTTGTACAGCGACAACAATAATATACGCCCGTCAGCCATTATTCCGTGATACGCAGTGTTGTGTGAGCTGACATCGCATCGCGCATCCGAACCCTGACAGTCTCACAATAGCACGAGCCTGCCGGGAAGCAATTCCTCTAGGATCTTCCTGTTGCTTCTCGGGACTGCTCGCTCAGACAAGATCTTAGTAACACTGGCTGGAGCGGACCAGAGTGGCGCAGCTCGACTAGCCAGTAGCTGCTTCAGAGGCCAGCGATCAGTCTGTGGTTTGCCGCCGTGTGGGTGGTCCTTTTTGCCTCCTCACCCTCGCAGTTGATTAGTTCCTGTGCCTGACGGGGGGCCCGTCTAGGTCGCTCCGATCGCTGCTGTTGGTTACGTGCGGGAGGAGGTCGCAGTCGTGGCTACAACAGGTGACAAATACGCAAATACGCGCATAATACCGAGCGGTACCGTACGGGAGGCCCCGTGCAGCCCCACAGTGCCCCTGACGAACCAGTGGTGCACTGTAATTCTTGGATCGTTCCGCACTCCTTGCCGCATCAGATCTTAGCGGTAACCCTCAATTACCACCAGCGAGGGAATAATAATCCTGACTAACAAGTCACTAACAACGTTGTCGCCATCCGTCGCCGCCCGGATATACTGCCACCCCGGCCCTTCCAAGCGACTCTGCGCCATCAGTTGTCGTTTTCTCAATATCATTCCTTCGGCTTCCTCGCTCTCGCGTTCTTGTCAATCTTTCCTGCTGCTTCCGGTCGATGTCTCCGTCATTGACATATTAGAGTCCGCCAGCCGCGTCGTTCATTGACCTGCCGCTTCTTTCAATTGCCAGCTTGCACTTCTGCTGGTCCTCAATGCCGCCACGACCATAATGTGTTGACTGATAATTGCTGTAACACGGACATTTGCCATCAATTATCATCGACTCATTCCTTGACTCACGCCATTATCTATCCTTTTCGCACCCTGCATTATTTCTCAACTTCCACCAGCAACAACCTCATGCTAACATACTTAATACACGACCCACATCATACTTCAACATGTCCAGCGAATTACCAGATTTCGACCCATACACGGTGCTTGGGGTCTCCAAGTCCTCAAACTCCGCTGAAATCAAAACTGCATACCGCAAACTGATTCTTAAATGCCACCCTGACAAGGTTGCTGATGTCTCTCTTCGACCCCAGGCCGCCGACAATTTCCAAAAAGTTCAGCAGTCCTATGAAATCCTCAGCGATGACACGCGCCGCGAGATGCATGACAATTTAGTACGTCTGGAAGCATTGAGAAGTGCTGCAAATGCCATGAATGCTTCGAAAAGCATGTCAAGCCGGGAATATCGTGACGGGCGCATGTATGAAGAACGTGCTCCGGCCGACGCTGCATTTTTCACCGACAGCGATGATCGATTTGCTGAAGAGCCTCCATCATATTCTCAAAAGTACAGCCAGTCCAGTAAGCGCGCCCACACCAAAGTCGGTGAAGAGAAAAAGGCAAAATCGGTTCCTGTATCAAGCTCCAGAACTACGAAACAGAGTGATCGTGACCACGCGAAATCCAGGCATCATGACCGTGCCAAAGATCGCACTAAAGAGCGTCGCCGCGATGGTTATGACAAGTACGAGAGGACCACTGCTTCTTACACCTACGCAAACGACCACTCAGAGTCAGAAGATGAGTTGGTTTATGTGAAAGTTTCGAGTCATTCACGCTCCTCCCCGCGTGACTCAGTTCCACGACGATCCAAGACCGAACCTGTCACAACGGGACGAAGTCGAGGACATTACGTCGAATCCGATTCTGGGAGTGACACAGAATACGAACATAGGAGGGATAATTTGGATAGAAACGAAGACTACTGGAGGGAATATACCGGAAAGGGTCGGGGACATCACCCTACTCGCCCTCATGCTGAGTATGATAGTCATCGTTACGATAGGGAGTCTTCCAACTATTCAAGTCGTTCCTATCGGAATGAAGATCGTGCTCTTTCCCCGCTTAGAACATCGCGGAGATCCCATGACCGCCTATCCTCTCAAACTCGAGGATTGGAACGAAGTGCTACAAGCACTACCTCGCCTCCAAAGCTTTCATCATCCAGAGCCCCTCCCCCAGTCGCTCGCGCCGCGACTGCACCCTACCCTCGAACGCGCCGTGAAGGCTCCAGCCGATCAGAGTCAAACGGGATGTCGAAATTGGTAAATATGGTAGCGGGCATCTCCATGGATGGCCCCAACGTCTCTACTAAAACTCGCCCTCGTGGTGCTGAACGCTATGACTCTGGCTACTCTAGTGGACCTGGTACACCAGAAATGTCCCAAGGCACTAGCGGCGTCCCAAAGTCTAGTCGATACCATATTGTCGAATCACCTGACAGGTACACTGAGACAATCGTTCGGGAGCCCGCAGAAGTGCGGAATTCGCCATCACGATCTTCAACTTCTAGCCGTACGCCCAAGACGCGCACTTACACATACGACTCCCGCGAGCGCGAACCCGAGGTCCTATTGGCGCGACCAGCAGCTTCGAGATCTTCAAGTCACCAGCAATTCACAGACGTTCGATATGCACCCGAAATCAGTATCGGCGGACGTCGTTTTGCGCGTCAGACAGTCTACTAAGGCTTGGTGGTAAACATCGAAAACGACAGGTAAATTTGGGGATATACTGTTCACCCTACTATTCTGATTTTCCATCATACTACATTTTCCTTTGGATTTTTGCCAGGTACGAGGTTCGCACCTCGAACCAGCCTTTCTTTTTATTTCATATCAATGAATGCATGGTTTTTACGGTGTCTTGTGGATTCTGCGGGGCAAAGCTGTCCCCGCAGCGGTGGGTTTACATCGGGATCATAAGGCGAGGGGAGGTGAGGTTCTTTCGGCGTTTCTGGGACGGCTTGCATTTGCTTTTCGGGCTGTCTTCTCTACAACTCGAATTCCTTTACTTCACTACTATTCCTCCAATTTCCACTTGCAATTAACGCAAACCTGGAGAGAATAGACTGGTGTGGAGTTAAAGGAATTTAAACCACTCACTTGCATTATAACAAGAGGGATAATTCATTCCCACTTTGTGGGCGTTTCAAACTGACATCTTCAAATTTCCTTTTCCAATATGCCTACGCATGACTGGGATCATCTGGCTACGGAAATTGACGGTGCATTCTAACTGGATTTTACATTTTTTCTTTATATATTGTGTTTGGATTGGGAGACGTGATCACGACTTTCTCTTTTCTCTCTTTTATCATGTTTCTTTTCGAGATGTGTAATGTCCCTTAAACTATCAGATCAATTTGAAATTGACCATATTATACCCATACATTGGTATTTCCTATATGTCGGTATTTCTACTGTGTAATTCAAAATTGATATTAATCATCAAAGCTCCATATACTGCGGCAATAGAAACTTAATTGATATTTTAAGCCTGTTTAAGGAAATTACTTTTCTATAATGGGATAGAGAGTTTTGAAAACAGAAATCCAGCTTGTATTGTGAGCAGGTCAAGTACGTTCAAGCAGGATGAATCCCATCATAAACATTTTCAAGTACACATAGGTATAATGATATTGATAACCCCAAACTCCTAACAATAACATTTGAATCATTTCTGTAATTCCAATTCCAGACTTTCCAAGACTTCCAAAAATAATAGAAGACAACATTGTAAATCTCAAATCCGCATCTTTTTCAAGAATCCAATTTCCTATCCAAGTACATTTATTCCATTTTGACAACACGGATCAGTTTACCCTCGAACATTAACGTCACAATGCGGTCCTGTTGAGGCGGCTTAGGTCCGTGAAGAATCAGGCGAGGAGATATTTTAGGAGGAAGAGATGAGCTTATTTCACGAATGCGGTTTCCGGAGTAATTGGTGGTAGTGGCGTGGATATTGGCCTCTGAGAAACGGACTTTCTTCTTTTGAGACACTATTGGTAATGGACCCTGCCTGTGTAGGCGCTTTAATGCGGGCACTGTAGAACGATCAATATATGGTTCCATGTACAATCGAGACGTCATTTCTGAAAATGGGTAGAATAATGCGAGAGAAGGAGAGGTAGGCTTACTTTGAGGTTTTGAGATACGTCCGTTACTGTTCTTGGTTGCCCGGTTGCCTGGGCTGTGCGGTGTAGAGCACGAGGAAGATGACGATGCTCTTTCGACTTCGTAAACTTTTATAATAATGTTTTCATCCCCATTGATAGATTTTCCGGTGAGAACTGCCATGCCGTGATGCTCGGTGTTAGGATGATCAGGCTCACAACGATCGCGCTGAGCAGTAGTCTTCCGCTCCTCCATAGAGAAACGCGGGCTTGAAGCCAACATGTTTCATGATCTTGCCATTTTGTCGTAGTTGTATATAGTAGAGGATTATACGAGCTGCAAGACTTCGTTGTTCTGATCTTTGAGGAGGAACAGAAACGAGAGGGGTCTCAAGGAGAAATTAAATCGATGAATCGAATGCAGCTAGTATGCTGTTTGAGCCGGTTCTAGTAAGAACATGAGTTTGATACGAAAAGTTCTCGGCGTTTGAAGCTATCAGGAAGCCAATTATAGCTTTAGAATCAAGCAAATGTAGCAAAGCTTGCACCGAATGTGTGAAGAGGGAAAGTAGATATGTTCTGGGATATCCCATCAGTTTCATTTATAGTCTGCTCTGCCTTATGAACTCATAGGGACGCGATACGGTAGCCTAGAGAACAAATGTATAATATCATCCTACTTTTCCTGATTTGGATATTATATCTACATTGGGTTTAGGAATAGCTGGGGTAAGTCGTCATGGTGATCTGTTAGGGCTTTCTTCTCTGGTATCCGCGTTCCGTACAATTGAATCACCCAGAAAAGCCCTAGTTCTATCGATTGACTTTGGCCATCTACGGAACGAGTCGTTACTGGTGTTAGAATAGGCAGCTCATCTACTCCAATGTTTTCGTGATGTTATCGTAGATGTCATATTTTTGCGTAAGTTAGGACATACTGACGAGTACAAGATTGACGGGCCACACATTCTCTCGAGTTTTACATTTCGTCATTTAGTAGGACTGTTACTCATTCATTTTATTTTGATATGTAGGTAATCTTTTTTTTCGATTTCGAAACTGCTTGATTGAATCGATATGGTGATACTTGGATATGATTGGTCGCTGGGGCGACCCCCCATCCTAACTAGACCAAAAAAACAAAACATGCAAGTAAAATAAGCAAAATAACCCTTACTAAGTAATGGTTGCCCCCTTTTTGGTATAGTCGTTGAAGTTTGACATCTCTTCTCCATCGATATACCTAATATCCTCTTATGTATCATTGGCAAGGAAAGTAAAATGGACCCGAGACGCACCGTAAGTTACATAGACCGTTAGGATGTTTACCGCCGAGTCTGATTACTCCAAGTGTTCACAATGCGGACGGACGTTTAGCCGTCGAGAGCATTGTGCCCGACACATGCTTATACGTATGCTGCTCCCAGTCCACAAGTAATCGTTGATAATTAGCTGATTGCTGAATAACTGTATTAGATGGAAATACACGACCATATACCTGTGAGTTCTGCGACTATAGCTTTCAGCGCCATGATGCTATGCTCCGACACAAAGAAAAGTTTTGTACGAATCGACCAGGCGCGCAAGCTCGCAGTACAGCAGCTCGTCAGCCAAGTGAAAAGCCAAAATCGCGAGTGCGAGTCGCTTGTCAACAATGCCATTCGAAGAAATTGAAATGTAATGGCGCAGACCCTTGCCAGAACTGTGCGCGGAAACAGGTCGATTGTGTTTACTTTAGGGAGCAAAATGATATGGTAAATGGTGTGAAGTCCACCCCATAGTATGTTCGCTAAGGAATAAAATCATACTAGCATGTGATGACTTTATCTTCTCGCCCGGGAAGAGAGGCTGCGAATCAGTCCGAGTCTTCGTCGTTTCTCCAACAGCCGAATCTATTTGATGGGTTGAATGAACAATATAACCTTCACGATTCAACGGAACTGGAAACCCCATTTGTAGGTATTGGTTTTTGCTATTAATTTCTCCTTGTCCCACCCTGCCATCTCTCGGTAAGGCTGATTTTGAACCTGAATGTTGACTCGTTTTTTCAGATGGAGTTTGATAGTAACCTGATGCTATTCGATACAGACTCTTTTTTATGGACAAATCCCTATTTCTTTATTGACCCTATGGATTCTGACGTGGTAGGAGCTGGAGGTGAACATAGAAATGACGTTATAACTAACCCCAACAATATAATGGCATCATTTGAGAATTTCATGAGATTTATCGACCCCAGCGAGGTACTCAAGCTTGATGCACAAGTGAATCGTTATCTACAAACCCCTCATATTTCCCGCCCTTACGACCTCAACTTACTAAATATTTTACTCACCATTTTTATGAAACACATTTCTCCTATGTTTCGATCATTCGATGGATTTCACATTGACTCCAACACTCTACCGGAACAAATTATTGGAGCATCGGCTATCGGTGCCCTCTTCACGTCAGTACCGGGAAATATGAAGGTTGCGAGAATGCTATATGCAGATTGCAGTCGAATGGTGAATAGTTATGTAAGTCGATCACTTGGATGAAGTGCATTTTGCATCGAACAGTTTGTTAGTAACATATTTTTGTCATCCAGCTCTGTGGTCACGAACTCATTTCCTATCAAAAAGTTAAAAGTCTTATTCAATCGGTAAGAGAAATATATTTGTTACATATGCTACATTGAAGCTTATGGATTGTGATTCGTCACTCACAGTATCTACTCATGGAGCTTTATGGTATTCTCAGCGGTCAAAAGCGTGCCGTTGAACTCAGTGAAGCTTATCACAATGTTTTAATTCAAGAATGGTGCGGACTAAGCAGGTTGTATTCTCTAGATGAAAGAGTGAATGAAGCGGAAAAGGAAGAAAGAGAAAGGTATACACTGATAAAATTACCAGGATCATTAAGAGAATTTAATACTTAGATATTTACTCAGGCTATTCTTCGACATTATGATGCTCGAAGCACTTCGGTTTTGTTTGTTACAATTACCTCCCGTCCTTAGCCCATTTGATACACGTTTTGTTCCTTCAACATTAAGAGACTTGTTCACCGACTCCAAACACCCTATTTTAAGATGTCTCAACAATGAAGCGCCTATCCAAGAGCTCTCAAATAGTACCATGTACCAAGACATTGCACTGATCGCCATAGCTGCCTGGAACGCCAGTGGACGCTGGAATCCACATAGCTACGAGGCTGGGAATCGACGATGGCGAGCTGAGTTGATTGAAAACGCACTTCTGCGATTCATCAGACACCACAATGAAGCTGTTCAAAACAACTGTTCTGCCATGATTCTCTGCCATATGACCGTCCTAAGCCTGCACGTCTCATTTAAAATTTTGGTTGGCACAGCGAATAGCGTCATCTCAAAACGTGAGAAGGTCTCATCAGATTTTGAAGAAACAAAAAAGAATTGGATGCAGAGCAGTGACCAACCAAAGGCAATTAGACATGCGAAAGCAATACTGGAAAGAGCTCATGTAGCAATCGTGGGTCGCACTGCTGAGACTCATCAGCAGTCCTCTGCTTCTCCATCCGAATCTGATCCGTCGTCAAGCATTCCTTATTCCGAAGGTCCTCATGATGCGATTTGTATATATCTTGCTGCTCTCACTCTATGGACAAGTCTTCAACCCGATGATAGACACGTGTCGAAGGAATGCTTTGATGCTTTTTATCTTGTCAAAGCAGCGGAATGCCTCCAGGGATTGAAAGCTGATGTTGCATCAAGTTTCAAACAATCGCTAGAGGTGTTAGTCAAATGAACAGCTATTCAGTGCACATACAGTCATATCCATTATGTAATATATCACCAATTGATGTTAAAAATTAAAAGCTACCTCAAATCTAACTACCTTTTCTGTCTGGTATTAGACAATACCCAAGGGATACCCATTCCGATCCGACACGACGACAAGCTGACCTCCGCCGGGCCGCTGAGAAGCATCTTTGATAACAACTCCAGGCAATTTGCAGGCTTTTTCAAAGTCTTCTTGAGAACCAACTGCAAAACCAGGACCAATAGATTCTAGTGTGCCACCCTGTTGACGACGAGCGATATACACAATTAGATTGGCGCCATATCCACACTAGTAGATAATGCCGTTGGCCTCATCTACCATCGTTTCAGTCAAACCAAAGTTATTTGCAAACTGCCAATTCTATCCAAGTCCCCATGTTCGTATTGAACGTAGGCCAAGTGACCAAGGAGAGTTCTATCAGAGCCGGCCATTTGAGAAATGCTCAATGATACATGTAATAAAATCTGAGATGTTCTGATTGTATGATGTTGAATTGGTGATTTAGTAAAAACATCAAATTAGAGGGCCTTGAGCTTAAATTTCAATTTATATCTCGCCGTGATCCATTGATAGTCTTTCGGTCTGGCTTCAACGAAGACAAATAGGTGAACTTGCATGTGATGTAACGTGCTGGTATACTTCAGCGTCACCAGGAGCATAAGCCTAGGGTTTTGGTAGTGTCAACAAATATTGACTGACGTAATTCACCATCCACCCGCCCATCTGTATTGCATATAAAAAGGCTATTTTAAGAGCAAAATATCCCAGCAAAATTATATGTAAACTATAACTGAAAATGAATGTAATAAAAAATTATATATCTTAATCATAATTCATTATATATAAAATTACACAAAAATACATAAAATACATTAAATTACATTATCATTTTGGTAATTTTGGTTAATTTTAATTTTAATTTGTTTCATATTCTTATATATCATTATTATAAGTCTATTCATATATATATTAAGTTTTCAGTTATGGTTTACATATAATTTTGCTGGGATATTTTGCTCTTAAAATAGCCTTTTTATATGCAATACACATGTGAGGCCTGGCAGCGATGAGACGCGCTGCAGGCTCACAGAGGCTTATAAGCGTGCCAACCAAGGGATTGGGCAATGGCCCAATTACCTCAGTATTACTTTTTGGCATTTAGAGGCTGGCAGTGTCAAGGAGCCTTACAACACAGATGGCGGGTGGATGCTTGAATTACGTTAACATTGTTACGCTGAGTAAGCAAGACATTTCAGGGCAATTAATTCATAGAGAGAAAGAATTATAGTAGCGAATCAGCATGTGAGATCAGGTCTGACCATTATTTACTCAGGTTCTTATGTACTTAGGATATAGTAGTCAAAGCTAACCAATCATAAAGCAATACTCAGTACCGCCATACCCCACATTGTTGGGTATGTTTGATCAGGTTGCATCCTGTCACCTATCGACTTGCTATTCCTTTCCTTTATACATGTAACTGATCACGTTTCTCATAATATCTAATGATTTATCTTTTTCAAGCTATTATAAGAATAATGAATGAATAATTTGCACAGTTTTGACTTGCAATGGACCCGAGGTCGACAGATCTTTGGGCCTATCAAAGAACCCCAGGACGATTTGACGCACAGGAAGATCAGGAGCTGAATGATCCGGCGTTGCTGCCTTCATTCAAGAATTCTCTATTGGCAGAGTCTCGGGAGACTTATACAGACTATTTGGGGGCAAGTCCTGCAGAACTGCTGCTCGGATTGACCACGCCCTCTGATTCTAGGGTAAGACAAAATATAAATGGCTCTGATTTCTTAAAATTAACTGACATTCAACCTCGAAGCCAGCATTTCCTATAAACTACTTTGATTCTGTTGATAAGCCACCTACAAGGGATGAATTGAGTCATTTAGGTGGACTATATGTAACGACTTTGCATTCCGAGTTACACTTCCTGAACGAAATTCCCCATGGTTTCTTTTCATTAAACGACCAATGCCTCGCGCTTTCAATTGCATCTCTCGGAAGTATAAGAAATGGTGACATTTCAAGTGGCGTTTATCTATGTAGTCTTGCTTCTCGTTTACTTATTGCGGGCTTAGCAATTGACAACCGCAGGGTGCGCAAGAATCATGCTATTCTATCTGTATGACGCTACCTATTTGATACCGAGCTATGAAGGCTACATCCATTGAACCTCGCTTATACGAGAGTTTGGTTCTAGGGTTTAATCCAAGAGACCGTAGGTGCCTTGACCCATGATGCCAGCACATGGAGAACAACAAATAATGTGCATGGGATTATCAATGTGGTAGATATTCCCTATCGATGGGTCCCATTTCTCATCTACTCTCTGAGTTATATGGCTTATCAGTATTTTAGATGATGAAAAATATTTATAGCAATGGAGTTAAGCAAAATATACAATATGAAAGGTATATATCTCTTCTATCCGTGGTTCGGCGTAATATCTAATATATTTGTGAAAGCTCCCTTTTGGCGTATGCTTTGTTAATTGATACTGTACGCTCTTTACATTTCGGAATGCCGGCTACCATTGCCTCTTCACTTGCAGATGTTCCGTTTCCCTCACAACAGTCGTCCTTTTCACAATTACTGTCTGCGACCATTTTCGGATTCCCAAAGGCTCTGTGGCTGCCTTATTCAGAAGAAAACGCACTGCTGCTCCTATTGCTGATTTTTAGTGAGGAGCAGATATGGAAAACCAAAATGATACATGGTACTATCCCAGCGGGATTTCCGGGAGATGATGCAAGATCAAACAGTTTGGCCTATATGAAATCGATCCAGCGGGCCCTGAATCGTTGGAAAGTTGAGTATTTTGATCGTACAACTTCAGAAATCAAGGCCTTATATCAATTCTGCGAGATATATCTGCTACTTCAGAATTTGGAGAATTTGCCAGATATGGTGAAGTACCGAGAGCAGCACAATGGTGTTCCTGGGTTGTCACAGGTTCATACAATGTCGAATGAGGAGGAACAAAATCGCGCCAAAGCATCCCATCATGCGTGGCTCTTACTAGAGCATGTTTCCGCCTGTTCGAAATCTAATGCGGTATGGTTACCAATAATTCTCTATTTGTCAGGTCTTGTTGTCTGGTACGATATCAATTCACGGCAGGGCTCTCGATCACATGGATCGATGATGGTTCTAAACCTGTTTGTGAAGGAGCTTCGTGGTATGCAATGGCCATGCTGTATTGATATGGCGACCAACTTGGAGAAACTACAATGAAGTATTTGGCCAATGGGCCCATCACGTATTAAAAATTCAAAATATTCAACAGTCACGGATCTTCTTCATCCGTGTCTTCATTTCATCAATCCACTTCTGGCGATCTTTAATCGCCCTCTTTACCCGCTTAACCTCCCCCTGAAGTTTTGCAACCCCGGCCTTTTCGGGCTTAATGAAGCCAGTTTCGATCCCAATTCTGTCGTACAGCTCCTTTTGTGGGTCTTTTGGGCCTTACTGAGGCTACCACCCACACTTTTATGAAATGGCTTGTGAAGATTGCAGATTGAATGCAGATTGAAGATGGGATATCAATTGCTGTATGGCTGTTTAAAAGTGATCGTTATACTTTTCCAACTTAAATAGAACTAATCGGCGTATGCAAGAAATACCTACAATAATTCTAGTTCTACATAAGTCAAACGTATTATGTATTTAACACTCGTTATTCATGTCGATGACATAAATGCAATGCCGAATTCAGACTTTTGCATCCCGATACACAAAGTAGTCTTGAATTATGTACATGATAACTAGCACGGAAGAATTTGGAAAGAAAATAAGGTCGATGGACAGATTAGACACTCCATTCCCCATTTCTATATGAAACGCTCATTCACAGGTAACGTTTGCTAAAATCAGGGCTCTGTCCAGTCTACTTGCTCAGTGACTGGGGTCGCTCCATCTTTGCCATATGTGACACGAAGGCGCAAGCGAAGTTTGGTTGGGAGTGCCTAGTTCAAACATACTTATTAGCAGGTCCTAAACCTTTGTATATGAGATTCAACTTACACCGCTAGCGGCCGCTATCCTCATAGCCTGAGTGCCTTCTTCGCCTGCATCAAGATCTGCCTTGTTGATGGCATTTAGCTGCAGCCGCTGGCTCTTTGGGACTGCAGCCTGTAAGCCAACACTGGTTATGCGGTTGAAATTAGAGTTGTTGCGGAAGCGCGCAAGAACCTGAGCGCCAGTCCCAGTTGGATTACGTTGGACCTGAAGTGTAAGAACAAGATCATTCTTATTGAATGCAGTATGGGTTGGTGGGCCTGTTGAAGGAGCCGGGGCTGGAGAGCTCGGAGCCCCAAGACCGGCTAGAAGATCCTGAGACGTAGATGTAGGAGCGGGAGACTGTGATTGAGCAGGCGACGGTGTCCCATTCGAATTGAAGAGATCCATAATAGCACTGGTATTAGGTGCGGGGGGTTGTGGAGCAGGAGAAGTAGAAGAGCCACCACCCAAGATGTCGGCCAGGAGATCTGCAGTATTTTGAGAAGAGCCATTAACAGTCGTAGGACTTGTAGGGCCGACATCTGAGCCACCTATAATGTCAAGAAGTAGATCTTCGGTTTGTTTGGGAGGCTTCTTGGACTTGTCCTTAAGCATTCGACTTTGTCGCTTGTTTGTCGGCTCACCCAAGACCCTCTGTTCTTCCCGAATTTCAGGGGGCGGCATACGTTCTAAAACACCTAGACGAATTTGATTGTAGCCAAATAGATTACTGTATTCAACGGCCCTTTGCTGAACTTCAACATTCAGGTCAGCCGTACGGGTTGCAAGGAAGCGGCGGATCCGCTCCACTTGGCTTGGGTCCGATAATCTGACAGAGAGTTTCATGGAGGCAGTAGTGATATATTCCGTGACGATCTGCGTCGCAGAAGTGCTGTTGAGGATATTGGTAAATAAGTCGACGATGTCACTTTCGCGGACCTCTTTAACTAGTTCCTCCTCTTCATACTGTCCACCGCGAAGTAGAGCGTCGCCGTATTCACCGATAACCCACGATGCTGCGAGTGTCAACCCCTCTTGAGTGATGTCTTCTTTCAAAGCTGCATAGAGCTTTTGCACAGCATACGTCTGCAAATCTGGAGTCGTGGCAATGAGTCGGACAAACGACGAAAGAATCTGTTCCTTAACAGAGCTACCAGCGAGTTTGAGAACTCGGAGCATAGTATCGACATGCCATCTTTTGTTTGGAGAGAAGCGATCAGCTGCGATTCCGATCTGAGTAGTCATTGTAGGCTTGAACTCATTGTCGGCAACCTCAAGGAAGGCTAGGAGCTCACGAACGAGGACACGGACATTGCCCTCGTTGATGAGGGTAAAGCTCAGGTCAAGTGCCCGGCGACGAATGCTAATATCCGGGTCTCGTAAGCAGTCTAGGATAGTATTCCGATGTCTTTGCACTGCATTAGGCTCGACAGCAACAACCTTTATGAGCGTGTTCAAGGCTACGTATCGAATGTTGTTATCTTTATTGGCAAGGAACTTTCCAAGGATATTGACACCGAGGACTCGGAGACCAGAATCGGCCTCGATGTCCAGAATTGTAAGCACAGCTTCGTAAAGAATAGCATTACCGACGTTCTTTGATGCCTCAGTGTTTGTGGCCACCTGGGCTAGGATATCGTTGATGAGCTCGCTTGTAGCCGCGTCTCCTCTACCTAAAACACGAAGGAAATGAAGGATTTTGACCTGCAAGAAAGGATCAGTAATACCAGAGACATCATGTTCCGGAGCATAACCCGAGGTGGTCAAGCCCTTCAAAACCTTGACGAGCGGGGCGGCCAGTGGGCGAAACATTTCAAGAATATCTTCTTGGCCTTCATCAAGTTCTTCAGCATGTTCACAAAGATCAATAGCAAGAGTTAAACCACAAAGCAAAACACCATGGTTGCGATCGGAAAGAAGCATCTTGGCTTTCTCAATGAAATGTTCTTGAAGATCAGGCACCTTGCGGCAAATGCGCATAGCACACAATGCCGCCTTTCGTCGAATATAGGGATTAGCTGTGCTTATCAATGATTCCACTTCGGTAAACAGATCCCGAGACATTTCGACAGAGGCAATATTCCCCAAAGTACACAGGGCTAGACCAACGACGTATTGATTCGAATGATTGAGATCACTTTCAACTGTCAGAGGGGGTATTGTCTTTGAAGGATGTATTGTAAACTCACTTTTGCAGAGAATTAGTGACCAGCGTCAAAACCTCCTGGTTTTCATCCAACAATAACATGGTACCCAAGTATCCCAAACGCTTGTCGGCGAACCGCGGCGATGCTAGGAGCTTGAGACATTCGATCTGACCGAAATGGGTTCGCTCTCCGAGAGTGAAAAGGTACAGTAGCTTGGCAACGTTGTTCCGCCTGTTTAATTCTCAAGATATCAGCAGGGTGTATTTCGTGGGTAACTACCGCTGGCCAACTGACCGAACATTGGAGTCATGGCTTTCCTCACGAAAGGAGGCACGGATGGCGGCGCTTTCTTTCTGGACGACTGCTCGCTCATCTGCAATTGTCTTGGCAGACCGAACGTTGCGAATGAACTGTTTGACTGCACGGGGGTTTGGTGGTCAGTTCGGAGACCTGTTGCTTTCTGTGTGGGGAAGACTCACGGGAAGTCATGGTGGCCGTTACAACCCCTTGCGGGGTGTGAATGACAGAAAACTGTCACTGAAGCGATTGATAGGGCGAGGAGGCCGAAGCGGCGGCGGAGATGGTTGTCGAACAGTGTTGAAGAAGAGGGGCAGTGATGGAAGTTGCAACTTTGTGCCTCGTTTCGCAGAGCTGCGGATTATCTGTTAATTGTCAATTGCGAGCAGCCGTCATTTAGTTAGTTAGCAGTCGCCGTCGCTGTGGCTCCACCAACTGTGGCGCCACCAGCCACATCTGCCATCTGGACACGGCCAAACGCCCTAGGAGGATATTGAGGCTCAGGATCTTGGAGGATCTTTGGTTTTTTTTGATTTGTTTATTCTCGACTAGCATAGGACGTCCTGAGCTCGGACGGAAATATGAAGGGCAGCACGTGATCGCTGCCTTGGGGCCTTGCTGCCTTGCTGCCTTATCCCTGTCTATTCCACAGCCCGCAGAATTGTCAATCCCTGAGTCTCTAGGGGTACAACACCCGACGCCTGGTATTTGCGTTGTCACTCACCGGGGGCACATATGTATAAATTCGCAGAACTAATTGTTAAGGTGAGCAAGGGCAAGACATTCGATTATTCGATGCATTGTACATCATTTGGTTGTGGATTAGTATACTAATAAGGGGCATGCAACGGAATTCTTGGTGCTGTTTACGTCAATCAACTAGTTACATTGTCTGAGCCAGTTAGCAAGGTACAACGTCGGTTAATAATTTCAATATCAAAGAAATGAAACCATCTTCTGTTTTAATCCGAACTGTTTCCTTAGGGCTGTATGGGCTGATCGCCTTTCATTCAGGGCTACACATGTACACCAAGACATTAGTGCACACTTGCCAATACAACGTCAATATTCAAATGTTCGATCATCGTTCACAGCCCATAGTGCCAGGCGGTACATTCTCTGTGCTGTACGCACGTATTTACAGAGCCGCGTTAGGGCTGACGCTCCAGGGCGGCGGGGCGGCCCCTTACTAAGGCTTACTTGGCAGTTGGTACCGCCGCAGGCTTCCGAGGCAACATTCCAGTACGCTGACGTAGTGGCGTGAGGGCAGAGTGGGAATAGTATGCCATCCGGGATATTATTGATTGACTGCCCTTCCGCCAGCTTCCAGGCTCGGCCCATGACTGCCATCCTACTTTTCTTCTGCCCATGCTGTGATTTCTTTTCGTCCATGTCCCCTACACAAACATAACAACCTGGTCTGTCATCAACCATGTCGACAACAGCCACCTCCGCGGTCTCCCAGAGCTTGAGAGCTCGCACCCTCAAGTCTGCGCACCCCGAAGATCACGATCATTTGGTGCCTTCCCACCCAGTCCTGGAGAGGAACGGCACCGATTCGAGGTCAGTATTGAGATCGTAAAACCCCCCTGCGGTCGCTAAGAGATTGTGCTTCAAATAGCGGCACCTCGACTCCCGTCCCCGACGATGCACCACCATCTGTCAAATCATTGTCATCTGCTCGCAAGCAAGTTCGTGCAAGGCACCGCCTTTTCCATACAATTGACTATGTCCCTCGCGTCTCCCACTTCGACCCTCAGAGCGACTATCATAACTTCCGCGGCTTCTTCACACTCTTCTGGGTTGGTTTATTTATTATGGTTGTTACCACAGTGCTGCGCAACATCAAAGATACTGGGTATCCCCTTCGAGTGAAGGTCTGGAGTCTACTCTCTGCCAATGTATGGCAGCTGGCCATCAGTGACTTGGCAATGGTCACTAGCTCAGCCCTTGCACTTCCGATTCAACGCATGACCCGGAGCGGCTTCAAATTTCTCCATTGGTCTCGCGGAGGGTCTTGGATTCACATAATCTATCAGTTTGGATGGCTCACATTATGGATCAAGTATGGACCTACGCGCAGGCTGTGGTTTCACAATGCTAACATGTCTATAGATGGCCATTCATGCTGCACTGGACTTGGACGGCTCAGGTTTTCTTCACTCTGCATACACTGACGATACTCATGAAAATGCATTCCTATGCCTTTTATAACGGCCACCTGAGCGAAACTGAGCGACGTCTTTCCGAGCTCGACAAACCCGGCCCGGCATCAATGGCAGCTGCGGTGCACTACCCCAGTTCTCCAACCCGCACATTGACGATGAATGCCGGCTTTGCGTTGAAAAAAGACGAACCATTATCCAAGCTTCGCGATGATCTAGCTACCGAACTCACTTCTCCATTGGGCCATGTGACGTACCCTCAAAACCTGAGCACTGCCAACTTTATCGACTTCTTGTTCTGTCCTACGCTCTGCTATGAACTTGAATACCCCCGAACCCCCAACACGCGCTGGACAGAGGTCTTCTTGAAGACCCTGGCCATTTTCGGCTGCATTTTCCTATTGACATTAACAAGCGAAGAATTCATCGTCCCCGTTCTCAATGAAGCCAACATCAACCTTTCCGACGTCACCAGCGTCTCCGAAAAGGCCTTGATCCTGGCTGAAACCACAAGCATGCTCTTATTCCCATTCATGATAACCTTCCTCCTCGTCTTCCTCGTAATATTCGAATACGTGCTCGGCGCATTCGCCGAAATCACTTGCTTTGCCGACCGCCGCTTCTACTCGGATTGGTGGAACTCGTGCGACTGGCTGGAGTTTTCGCGAGAGTGGAATATCCCCGTCCACCATTTCCTCCGTCGCCACGTGTATTTCTCATCAAAGTCCTATTTTTCCCCAACAGTGGCCATGTTGATCACCTTTTTGGTCAGTGCGCTGGCGCATGAATTAGTTATGAGCTGTATCACGAAGAAGCTGAGAGGGTATGGGTTTCTGGCCATGATGCTGCAATTACCTATCATCGCGGTTCAGCGATCACAGTTTATTCGCCGGGCAAAGATCTGGAATGTAAGTTTTCACTCTCTATTTATAGCTGGTCCGATTTCTAAAAAATTATTCTAGAACATTGTCTTTTGGTTTTCCATGATCCTAGGTCTGTCCATGGTGAGTCCTTGTCCCTGTCACTTTCTGTGTATGGCACCCTCTAATTCGATTTTTCTAGATGTGCGCTCTCTATGTCTTAGTATAAACCTTATTTCCCTCGTTATGTAGATCACGATTCCACTTTTTCAACCTGCAGACACCGATCACTTTTCTGTCTATATGCACATGTATATTTTATATCATAAAACAACTTATACCCCTTCGCGTCGTTCTTTTTCTTGGATTTTTTTTTTGGGTTTTTTGGTGTTGCAAAAATCGTTCTTTTCCGGATACTTGGTATCAGATGCTTGTTTGTTGCTTGAGTTTGTGTATAGTAAATATACCATGGTCTATGGTTGTCTGTTTGTTATGGTGACTAAATGTCAAGCTGTAGAGCGGAAATAATATCATTCTTTTGAATCTTTTATGATCGATGGTTGGTTGAATGGTTATCTCGGTTTCAATTATTGAATGTAGTCAATTGAGTGATAATGATTCAGGATAGGTCACGTATATATGAGCTATGTAGTTGATACGATGAAGGCATGCCAAAACAACAGATAACGCAACAAGGAATTAGACACTTGAGCAATCCTAAACTCCCGAAGCCATGATTAATAAGAAAACCAGACGCATAGTTCTCCAAAGTGACGCCAACAGGGCCTGGCAGCTAAACCGGTCACGGCCATGAGATGGACCTAAAGGAATCAAAGGAAGGAACATAATACTCCACTTTATATATGCTCAATGGGTTCCTCTGGAAGTAACTCCTCATGCACTAGCACCTCTCGCTTCGGTAAAAGCGCTTTCAGAGGGGGTCGCACGATATCGTTGAATAGGAAGGTGCCGTAGACAAGCAATACAAAACCGACGACTTGAAGCCATTTGAAATTTTCCCAGCCAAGGGCCAAGGAGACCAACCAGATGAATAGTGTGCGGCAGGTATCGATTGTGCTGCGGGACGTTGCTGAGACGGTTCGTGTTACGGAGAGACCGAAGAAGTTGAATCCGCTGCAGTGGCTGTTAGGATAGTATATTAAGAGGGGGAGTGATAGGCTTACCCAATGCTTATCATTATTAGTACGCTGGATATAATAATTTGTCGGTTGGAGGTAATTTCATGCCAGCCCTCCGCCAAATCAAAGTATCCATATCTTCCTGCATCTGTCTTTCCAACAGTCAAATGCAAGATGATCATTGCGATGACTGTCACCAAGAAGCCGAAAATGCCCTCCCAGCCAACGACCTTCAATGGTGCCATAGCATAGTTCTCAAGAATCCATTCTTCGAGAACGAACTGTGAGGCTGTAAAAATTTGCGCGGCAGCTATCAGAAACACCCCGATCAGAACAGCAACGCTTTCAGGCGTTTGGCTTGATGTGTGAATATCTCGCACATATTTCAGGGATATATTGTTGATGCCATCTTCGAGATCATGTCCTTGACTATTCCCAAAGAGAACGCCAGCAAGACCAACCAAGGCAACACCCAACACGACAACGACCAGACCGAGCCATTGATACAGATACAGTTTGCGATGCAGAAGCAAGACGCTGAAGAGTCCAACAAACAACACAAGCGCACCGCGAGTCATCTGATAAATGCTGGCTGCAACAAACAACAAACCAACATTCATTAGTGTTGTTCCCGTGATGTCACAACATGCCGGCGCGGCAAGCAGCAACACTCTCCACCCTCGCAAATGAATGCGCCCGGTATCTGACCCAATGAGGGGCTTGGCAGCGGGGTCTTCTTCGGAATCAACGAGTGTTTGGTCTTCTTCCTCTTCGCCCTCCTCGTCCACATCATGATCGGGTTCGTCGCTACGAACAGGTCGATAGCCGCCGGCGAGCAGGGGGGCTGCCCTTTGTCGTTTTGAGAAGCGAGTGTAGAGGTGAGATATAAAGACGACGAGCCAGCAGCCCATTTCACCGATAAACATTTGTGCTCTGTATATAGTCATTGTCAGCTAGTGTTGTATCTTGGGGGATTAAATGAGAGGCGTACGTCTGAATGACGGGTTGCTCGAACAAGCTATGGTCTCTTACATCGGGCGAGTCACAGTTCCTGACACATTGCATGTCCTACCAATAAACTGTCAGTCAATAGATAAAAGAATTCGTGTTAGGCAATAACGAACCTGATACTTATTCAGAATGGTATTGCACACCCCGGTCACCAACATCATGGTGACCAGGACGGGAATGAGGTGTCTATTTTCTGTCATCTTGGACCATCAGTGCAGAAGCCCAAGTCGCCTACAGAAAATGCAAATTTACAAATATGGAGAGGATGCGTCCAGTGTGAAAAGCACTGGAGCTGGTATTGTTACTTCAGATGAAGGGCCGACGTCGGGTTAGATATGTCACAGGGTGGCTTATCTGTCACCTGACTGGCGTGGTCATCCTTATCGGCCGCCCCCACCCCGCCATTAGTTCCAAACAAATCAAATGAGGTATATAGCCTCCTGTGACAATGTCTCAGGACATATAAAATAAATGAAAAAGGGCCTTGCAGTGCACTAACGTACCATCTTAGAACCTATAGATTTGGGTGGCCCATTGTAGCACTCAAGTATCTGGTAGAAGGGGCTTGTTAGTCTGAATTCAAGAAAGATATCACACAGGAGTATGAGGAAGGAAAGAGTACATGTATACGTTAAAATATAAATGCTTCGATTAAATGTTACAATTCATCAATACATCAACTGAAAAGTCTGCGCCTTAATCCTACGAGGATCCAGACTGAAATGACACCATCGAAGTTGACTAAACAAATCGATAACCCAATGTTGTTTACTGTGTTATAAACCTGGATATGCGCAAATTGACATCGGGAATGCCAAAAGATATTCAATTCAAAGTGAAAAAGTCCAAAGCATGTAGTTCCTAGCTTCCATCCATGAAAGCATCAATCAATGGTATCGTATCCTACGAAATAATTGCATCACAGCCCCAAATCATAATAAAACCATAGAAAGAAAAATAAAAATATCATAAGCAGGTAACATTCAATCCATTAGTCCTGTGTTGACTCCCAGACATCCTTTCTTATAAAAAGGGAAGCATCCTTAATTAGATATTTTCGCCTGCTGAACGCCTGCCTGACGTTTGAACACCATTCATTGCCCGCATATCCACCACCAGAAAAAGCATGGGAATAATAATAAGAAACAAGAATCAAATCCATAAGAGATGTCATCGAAGTGAAAAGGCGAAAAATTGAATATTTAAGATAAAAAAGGTCGGAAAAGAAATATGACATAGACATCTCTTGCTGGAATCGTATCAAAATATCGCGCCTTAGTTTTCACAAAGGGTAATGTACAGCCGTTAAATTGCTCAAAAAATAGAATATATCTTCTCAGTTGGCCACGACGCAGCCTATCATGGAGTGAAATTATGAGACTGTAAAGGTCAAATTTTCTTCAAGAGGGACCGCTGAGAACTCCTTTGTTAGAGTCTCCCAGTCTGCCCAGGGGTCATCGGTAGCACGGTGACTAAGGATCGGCCCCGGATGACTATACCAATCGGCGGGGAGCAAGTCGTCTGTATCGTTGATATTGATGGTCGTTTCTTCTTTAGCCATCTCGCCACCCTCCGGCGTCTGTGTGTGAAGCCCGTTGCTGTCAATGGAGTCAGGGGTGTCTTCAGCCTGCCCCATAAACATATCAGAGTTGACAAACTCGTCGAAGAGATCACCACCACCAAGACCGAAAATGTCATCGCTCATAGAAACATCGAATGCGTCCTGGATAAGGTCGAGTGACACGTTACTATCCAGCCAGCCATTCTTCAAATTCTTGTCATCAGGCGCAATAGCCGGGTCACCCGCCTTGCCAGCATCTTTGTCATCCTTCCCGGGTGCGTGTTTCGCAGTTGGTACTTTAGCGATTTTGGAGGCGTTGGACCGCGGAGTAAGGAGTTGGTGAGTGGTTGTAGGTGAGGGTTTGGAATCGGTTTGCCCCAGCACCCTTCCTAGTGGCGTCGTGGCGGCAGTTGTTGGGGTCGCTCCCTCGGCCTTGACTTCCTGTTTTGCCAGGTTTATAGGCTTGGAACCAGCCACCGATAATATGTCGATAACTGCCTTCTTTTCATCCGTTCCATCCAAATTCAACGTCTCTTGCCCTGGTACACCAAGTGCGGAATTGAAACCGTCTAATGCATATTTCAAAGGATCATCAATCTGCTCTTTCGCCGTGTGATATTCCTCAACATGCTTATCAAGATCAACCTGCGTTTTAAAGCCCCTATGGTGGAATTCGCAATCAGCCACTGAACATTTAAACATAGGTTGTTTTGATGTCTCGGGTTTCGTTTGCGGTCCAGGGAGATTAATTGTTGGGGTTGCAGGAGTTGTAGGATGGCTTTGCTTGCGGCGTTTGGAGGGTGGAATTTTCATCTTGTCCGGGGAGAATCCTCCGGGTCCGTAGGCTTGAGGCACGCCCTGCGGTGAGAGTTCTCCTAGTTGAAATGGTGGCTGCGTGGCAGTTGGAGCTGCAGGAACAGCTTGATTCTGCGTCCGCCGAGCTCGCTTTGCTTCCTCCTGTTGCTGTAATTGTTCAAGATTCGATGCATTCAAAGGCGTAACCATCGGTTGACTACCAGGTGCGAGCGCATTCGGAGCCTTGGGTCTTTGACTTTGAACCTTGTGAATCATAGTTGTGAACATTCCTCTAATATAGCCAATGGATTTTTTCAAATAATCTGGGGCAACGGTAAACTCATCATTCAGCGTCCAGTCCGCACCCTTGAATTGCTTCATAAGTTGGTTGCGCTAGAATACCAGAGTTAGTCGGGTGTCTTGAAATACAGATGAAACGAGCAGAGCTTACCATTGAGAATAGCGCCTTGATATTCTTGTCCTGGTTAGGAATTTTGCCCAACCACATGACAAGAGTATCCATCCTTGAAAGCATATCGGTGCACTCTCGCAACTGTTGCGCCATCGCTGCCTTGTCTTCCGCTGATATGTTTGACTGCCCTGAATTGTTTTCCTGAGGACCCTTGCCCATTGCCATTTGGGCATACACATGTTTCAAATTGTCTGGCAGGTTTTTGTTCCAGTTTTCTTCCGCAGCGGCTTTCGTCAATGTGGGGCGAGCTTGCCGCTGCTTCATCTGGGCTTCCAATTGTGCACGTTGTTGAGGAGTCATGGCAGCCAACTGTTCTTTGGAGAAAGGCAATGGAGGTCGGGGAGCTGTAGCCATAGGTGGCGGAGCGGAGGGAGCTTGTGATGGCTGTTGAGCCTTGGGGTTCTGAATTTCGATAACATCATCCGAAGCAGGTCGCTTTTTGGCGGCAGCCTTCGTACCGGCATTCCCGGCTTTGGAGTTTTTACCTGTTGTGGGTTGGGGTTGAGGTTTAGCATTGGGTGGCTGCGATGTAGGTGCCTGCTGGCTTGCTTGCGCTGTGGCTGGTACCGCAGGGGCAGCCGGTTTTGCTGCGGCAGGGTTTTGGGCTGGGGCTTGCTGGGGCTGATTCGCGTGCTGCTGCATTGTCTGGTTCTGACCTAGAGCTTGCGGCGGAATGCCCCGAGCTTGCAGCTGCGCTAGCATGTGCCTCTGACGGTTCCTTATAATGAGCGCCTTGATTTGTTCGTCGGTAATATTCGGATTCCCTTGGATAAGTTTTGAGCGCGCAAGTTGAATATCGCCTTGTGTCACGACTGGCATAGGTGGATGTCCTCCAGGAGTATTTTGGCCGTGCATGAATTGTTGTGGGTGTCCAGTCCAATTGACTTGTCCAGCTTGTTCGGCAGTTCGCCCAGCTTCTCGTTGTTGTGTTAAAGTCTGCGCCAGGTGAAGCCGTTGGAGGTGCAGTAACTTAGGCAGGTCGACATTTCCAAGCACTTGCGGGTTCTGAAGAACCCACTCCTTCAACTGACCCCATGTTTTGACAGTCTTCGGCACTGGAGGATTGAGGTTGGAGTTATTATTAAGCATCGTCGGTGGGAAGGGGACGCGGTCCATCTGATTGGTCTGTTCTTGACTCATCTCAAAGGGCAAGTTTTGCGAGCGCATCAATTGCTGCTGTCGAAGGAGTTGCTGTTGCTGTTGCTGTTGCTGCAGAGAAAGTTGTTGTCCTGGCATCATCATTAGGTTGTTTTGTGATCCACCAGCCATACCATTTAGCGGTTGTTGTAAACCCATTGATGTACGTAAATTAGGATCATTAAACTGGCCATTTTGTGACTGTTGAGAGAAGTTGGCTTGCAATGGTATTGACTGCCCATTCGCCTTGGCTTGACTGTTTGCTAGAGCACGGCGCTGCTGGGCTATGAGGAATGCGTTCATCTGCTCGGGGGGCATCTGAGCGAGACGTTCTTGCAAATTGGGAGGAAGATTTGGAGGAATCGGGGCTCGCACTACACCTCCAGGCTGTTGGCCATTCATCCCAGGTGGCCGCGATGGTGGTCGTCCCTGTGCAGGAGACATGTTAGGACCAATTGGACGGTTGAGCATCGGCATAGCGGGACTCCGGTGAGGAATATTTTGATTCATTTGGCCATTATTCTGACCTCCGGCTTGTGTCGACATGGCCATTTTCGCATTGTGGGCAGCATGCGCCCGAGCTTGAGCTTGCGCTTGCGCTTGCGCCTGGGCTTGGGCTTGTATTTGAGCGGGGGATAGATTTTGCCCCTGGTTTTGAGCTTGAAATTGGGGCGTTTGCTGGAGAAGATCCTGCTGAGCATTTTGAGCGCTCTGTAGCTGCTGCGCCGTGAGAAATTGTTGGGGGTTGACACCAGGTCGGTTGACGGCTAGTTGACCATTTTTTCCCTGCTGTGAAGGTGTGCCCTGCTGAAACATGCCATTCGAGTTTGCAAATGGCTGTTGACCCATCATGGATGCGTTGCTGGCGGGGACAACAAGCTGGCCCGCTTCTTGGGAACGAAGCCCATCCACTTGCTGTCCTTGAATGTTCTCAACGTTTCCTATGAAGGCAGTAGTATCCAGGCCAGGTTGGTTGTTCATCTGCATGGCGGCGTTTCGCTGCAAGCCCATCATGTTTGGTCCCATTGATCGCTGGGCAGCATTATTCATCATACCGTCCGAGCCCATCATGGGGTTGTTTGGGTCCATTCCAGGATTACGAAGCATTTGCTGGTTCCGTCGGTCTCGGAGACGTCTTGCAGTTTGAGCGCGTACCATGTACGTTAAAGGATCCCCATATTTCTGTGCAATAACCTGTTGGGCTTCGTTACTCAGACTGCGGGCGACCTCTGCTTTGCGCTTTTCGCGGTCCTCTGGAGACATCTTTTCGATCAGTTGTGCTGCTAATTGACACACTTGTTCATAGTCCGCTGGACTCAGCAAAGCCAGATTATCGTTCATCGGCATTCCTGGTCCAACGCGTTGCTGGCCCATTTGATTTTGGGGGAGGCCTTGCTGCTGGCGATGTTGCTGCTGTTGCTGCTGTTGTTGCATGAGACTTGGGTCGTTCATGCCCATGTGCATTGGCATCTGTCCGGGAATTGGAGAAGTCTGCATGGGTCGGTTCATCTGATTGAACTGGTTAGGAACCTGGTTTGGACGAGCGACCCCGGGGATGCCACCAGCAGGACCTCCATTTTGCTGCATTAAAGCGTTTTGGTTGAAGAGCGCCTTTTGCCGGGTCCGGGTTTCCTTGATTGCGAGTAGTTTATTGGTGCATTCTTTTTCGTAATCCTCCTTGAATTATAAAGATAGAAGTTAGCAAGCGATCATTCAGCCAAGGGTCGAACGGTTCAGGCATTGCACCGTTGACAGAGTCTACAGGCCTATGCTTGAGTGGACAAGGGAATGTACCTTTTGGTTGGCTTCCCGGAAAGCCTTTTCTTCGAAGGAAAGGGCGGCTTGGAGAGCAGTGAAGGTTTCGATTTTCGGCTGGATGAGTCGCAGGGAGGAGATCCTAGTATCAACGTTAGCGAGCGTACGCAGAAGTGGTTGCTCGTCCCGGGGGGAAGCTTACATCTGCCAGACTTTCATGGCTCGTTCCGTGGGTTGCACTTCGGCACGCCATCCAGAGAAGGGCCCTTGAGACTGCAAGACTTGGAGGATTTGGCGAGAGACTTGAGTGTTTTGAGCGTTTATCTGGCCCTGGGGGTTGGGACCCCCGGGCATGCCAGCGGCAGCCACATTGGGGAAGTTTGCCGGATTCATATCAGAAGCCCTCGAGATGGGCAACTGCGAAGGAAGCACGCTGCTCAGTGCTTGATGTCAGCATTCGCCGGGCGGTGCAGGGTTGTACTAGTATGTGGGTTGCAGGGGTTTTGTGTTTTAATCGTTTATTCGCGTAGCGACGTCGGTCGGCAGCTGAGAGGAAAGCACGATATTTTGGAGGAGGAAAGACGGCGTTGGTTTGACTGTTTGGGGTGGGCGAAGACTTTTGGTGTTTGTTGCAGTTCGACACGGGACCAAGGACGATGGATCGTCACCAGGATCGGGGCGGCGGCGGTGGAGTTTCAAGCCAGGCGACAACAGTAGCTGGCGCGGAGCATGCCAGAGCGACAGAGGGTCACACAAACGGGGTTCGGCGAGCAGTCGAGACGGAATGGGCGAGAGTACGAGAAGGACAAGCCGCCTGCTGGCGGAGGAAGAGGAGGAGCGAGAAGATGGCAGAGGCAGTGGCAGTGGCAGGTGGTGGTGTTGAAGCTGGCTTTGGGGCCCGAGTCTGACAGCCAGGCCCAGTCGCCAGCGAGCCCAGCAGAGCAAGGCGACGGGGCCGGTGGGAGGGCAAGTGGTGGGTGTGCCGCCCCGTGATTGGCCAGCGCCGCGCAGGGCGGGCCCTGGGCGCTTATAGTCTGCGTCCCTTCTGGCTCCCGATTATCTGCGCCATACGATACACATATATTATTGTCTACGCAGCGTGGGTGTTACTGTGATATGGCATCGTGAGAGCTGCCCGCTTGCTCAGCGAGGCGGGAGTTATATATAGCCAGGAAGTGTTGGACCGTTGGAGATCGCCCGCGCCGTCCCTTCAAACAACGGGCTTGTTTCAAGTCGCAGCAAGCAAGAACGAAAGGGACGGAGGCGAAGAGGAAAAGATCGGGATCGGGCCGTGCGAGAGCTGTATTATTAGCAGGGATTCAGAGCGTAGGCATTATCAGCATTCGCAGCCTTAATAAAAAAAACTAGCGGGCGCCGTCAACTGGTAGTGCCGCTTGGACAGCCAGCAGGGATGAGAAAGCGGCTCTCGTGTCTGCCTGCCAGTCGCTCACAAGCCAAGCCGCAGCATGCGCCCTCGCTCAGAGTAGGTCGTCATACACGATTATCACGAGCTTGAGCCCGGCGATGGCCGAGTGTAAGTAATAATGATATTATAACATCATCATTATTATTATTATTATATCCCTCCCATGAGAACATCATAATAATGATCATACGAGAACAACAAGCCAAGACAACAAAGTGCACGCCAGGCTGTCCCTGTCGGCGCCGTTGGAAGTTAGGGCGGTTGCCGTTCCCAGCGGCCGCTTTGGGGCTGGCCGTCTGCTGATTGGCTAGCGAGACCCATCGACATTCTTGCTCTTTATTATTTTATATTATTGACTCTCATATTTTATATGTAATTATACATAATTACACGTATACATATATGGAATATGTCTATGCATTACTGTATACTTATGTATGTATCTGTTGTGAGAAACTGTCGACTCTATCAGTGGTCCAGCATCATAGATAACGTCAATTGGATGTACATATGAGGCATGCCGGATCGGCGCCAGACCTCACCGGTTGGAGAGTGGTGCTGTGATCCGTTGTTGGCCGGGGAAGCGTTGGACTAGTCAGGTCGACAACCTGCCATGATCACTCTGTCCGGGGCCCTCAGGACTAGTGAAGAATAAGAATGAGAACAATGTGAGACGCTGGCTGATGATCCCTATAGTTTGCCAGCCGGAAGCAGCATAGCGGATTTGCAGACACGGGAACCGGGACCCCACTCGCTGGACCCAGCAAGCCGCTATTCTAGTTTTCGTGATTATTCTGCACGCCATGGTGTGGTGATACTGGTGCACAGAGAGTAGACTCTCCTTCTAGTATGCTTCAAATTTTATATGAATATAGCACGTAATCACTGTCAATTAACTTATTACGATTCGTGATGCAGATAACAACAACCCAAGAGACCGCATATGATCTGGAAGGGTCCAGTGATATCCCACGGTATTTCATTTGCTTGCATCTGTTATTCTTAAACCATAACAATGATTCTCATGCGAGCTGAAATAAATATTTGCTGCATTTGACTGTGGAGAACTAAAGTGGACTGCCGCAATCGGGCTTTACTTATTGACTAATGCGTTTAACATTCGGGGGTGCCTGAGGCCCCAAGACCCCACGTGACTTCCAGATAGGAAGGCTATCCGTATCCATATCAACATCACTTCTGGGATCATCCTCCGCACTCCCACTACCATCTCGACTGCTTGTTCCGCATCGCCCACGCTCTTTCCAGCCCTTATCCGACGTGGGCCTCACCATGACGCAGTGCTGTGTTACTCGCCATCCACGAACTTGAAAAAAGAAGGAAAAAAAACTCCATCATGTCGTGGTTACCCTCGAACCTCTCCTCGGCCGCCTCATCTCCGACACCCGTCGGATCCGCCGTCTTTCTTGCGATTTCCTTTTTCATCATTTGTATTATTGCACTATTGCTCTTGCGACGCTTTTTAACCCTCCGTGCGACTCCCGGCTATATTATTTTACCCGTATTCCTCGCCTTGGTGCTTCCCGCCAGCGTCGTTCTGCTGGTGCCTGTTGACCTCACATCCAGCTCGAGAGATGGAGCTGGCCCCAAAGGAGTTTGGCTGCCGGATCGAGCGAATCTAGTCCTATGGCGTATAACATATTGGCTAATTTTCTGTTTGACTTGGTATGTCCTCCGGCTATTCCTAGGCTCTGCCCGCGCTGTTGCCATACTGTTAGGTTAACGTGTTGTCACAGGTTCATTTTACCCCTCTTGGGTGAATTCGTTGATTCCGGTTATCGCGATCCTAAAGGTCGCTTACTTTACTCCCTACGTTCAAATGCTCGATATCAGCTTATTGTTCTCGGCTGTGGGATTGTCGGCCTCATATATGTTTCCATCCAAGAGGGATTCGATTTTACTGCGATTAGAGCTCTAGTAATGGCATTAGCTTATATGTGGGGCTTAATATTCGCCATCTATCTCATGGGTCACGGTCTCGTTTCTATTCCTCGCTCGATCTTCCGTAAATCAAACAACGCCAATGCTTTGCGAAGAATTGAAACCCGTGCTCCCAAAATTCATGATCGGCTTACAGATGCCGTGACCGAACTGGAAGAACTCGAGGGCCAGTTAGCACAGTTGCAACGGCGCAAAACTGGAACGGCACGCGACTACGAAGAGTGGATAGAGGAGTTGGCCGACTATTCGAGCCTTCCTGATTCTCGTCCTGCGGCACTGCATTCTGTTGCCGAATCCACCGCCGTGCCTGCGATTATTACAGAGCGCTACCTAGCCGACCTTTCACGAAGACTCCAACGCGCACGGCATCAAAAGGCTCGGTTTGTCGACGAATGGGACCGCCTCGTGCACTCGGCCGCGGATTATCAAACAATCTTGAACTCGACCGCATCCAGAAAGCTCGACTTCGGCGTAATCGGTTCTGACGCGGCGTCTCCATCAAAGCGAGGATTTCTCAGCCCTTATACGCGATACTTCCTTTATATTAATGTCTTGCCGGTCCTCCGGCTTGTCGCTAGCGCTGTATTTAGTGTCGCATCATTCTGTGTCGTCTGGTCTGAACTGATCAAGCCTTTTGCTCCGCGATTGTGTATTATCAGTCTTACCATTGTCCCACATCCAAATGATGCAGGCCAGGTTGGCTTTGGAGGCCAGATTATTTGCTCGTTGTGGCTATTGTACATGTGTACAGCAGCTCTGAAGGGCGTCAATGATGCTCAAGTTTGGGGCAATCGTGCCCTAGTACGACGAAATACGTATGGTGAAAGCGCATGTTGGTATGCAGGGCAAGTTGCGCGTTTGACTGTGCCTCTTGCATACAACTTTCTTACTTTTTTCCCTGAAGACATTCGCGGCAAAACGACATTCTACCGATTTCTCGGTCAATATATTGATTTGACGTCAGTGAGCAAGGAGTTCGATTATTTCTTTCCCATATTCATCCTTCTCCCAGTATTCGCCACGACCTTCAACTTCTACGCCCGGATTAAGAAAATCTTCGGCTTTGGCATGGTGGACGAGGATGATGATGATGGCGAGGCCAACCCCGGCGGTTTCGGGGTGGGTGGCTGGCGAGAAGGACGCGCACTCATCGAACGCGAGCTGATCGGTTTAGGCTCTTTGAGTCTGACCCAAAGCTCCGTCGACCCCGTGCGCAGTACCTCATCCAGCACTGCAACTGCTGCTCGCCGCACCGCACCAACCACGAGCGCCCTCAGAGCCAGCGAACGGACATCACGAACGGTAGGAACAACTAGCCCAGCAGACGCCGCTGCGGCTAGCCCTCTTATTGGCGGGGATGTCGAAGACGAAAACTTCTTCCAGTCCTTTGCCCATCGAGTGCGGAATACCTTCGAAACTACGTCCACGCCAAGGTGGCTACAGGGTGATCTCTCGGGCTTGAGCAGGCCGAGATGGTTATCAGGTGACGGAGCAGCATCGGATAGTACCGGTCAGAATAATAATAATGGAATTCTAGGTGGATTTTTTGGCAGCCGGAATACAAATGGACATGTACGATTGTAATAACTGAGCCGGCGTTATGTTCAGTGTTACCAGAAGCATTGCAGGCGTTGACTAGCTGTCGTTTTTCCGTTTTCTTCATAGAATATTATTATACTTAGTACATACATATCTGCTATTCGCTTTGCATTTGCCGTTTACCTATTTATATAATACAATAAATTCATCCATGACCCATTTAATTTAGAATAGTTCCTTTAGGGGTGACAAAACATCTATGAATAGAATCCTGGTGGCATTGGAGGCATAAATCTAACTGATCATGTGAAGCGCAATACATTGATAGAAGATGGCCCATGAGATGTGCCTCAGGAAGTAGAAGTAGTACCTAAATGTGATGAACATCGCAAATGAACATCGCAAATGAACATCGCAACTGCCTACACTTCAATTTACATCCTTCATCAACCGCAGAACAACAAAGCTAGATGATATATCCATCAACAGAAATCTCTATATTAGAAGCAAAAACGACTCTTCCACATACATAACCAAAATTCGGCCAAATCCTGCACACCCCTATTACAGGATACCCCAGCGCATTCTTCACCAAAAGCTTTACAATAGGGTGACAAAAGTTTGAATACAGCACCACAAAAGTGCATTGGGTATAGTAGTGCTGATCTTGGTGTGGTCGGGAGAATGTCTCACTGATTTCTGGTTTCTCATGTACCGTGTGATACAAAATATTGCTTACCAGCCTCCTCCCTATCATATAATCGCTATCTATCTGAGAAATTGCCTTTAGCAGCACTGGTGGGGGCTTTTTCAGTGAGCCAATTTGCTCGAACCGTCCGTTGGAAAGCTTTTTGCCGTAGTCATACTAAATGACACCACCAAACCCAGCAGTTAGCTTACTGACCACGACATCACCAAGACGAATATCAGAATTTGGGCCAGGAAACCTCCTCCAATTCTGCTCATCAATCCGAATTTGACGCTGCTCGGAAAAGTAACCATATGCGAAACTGCAGTGGAAGCGGAAACCTTCCCGTATACACCTGACGCCAAACATACCGCAATGACGTTGTGGTTGCCAATTTTTCCAAGTGTGTAATTAATTACACGTTGTGGTCTGTTGGTGGCTGAGGAAGCGAGTCCTGGATTTTGTCAAACATGGCCTTTGCAGCAGCCACCTCCACCGATAGCGCGCAGATCCACGCGACAGGGTAGTCCTGGGCTAGTAGCAAAACTTCTATAAACAGCAGTGCGCCCCGCATTAGGCTGGCTCTGGGGATGTATGGATTCTGACTTCCATCATCTGTGATGACATGTAGCCAATATCAATAATAAAGAGTTCCTTAGTGCCAACAAGTCCCTTAGTCCCAACAACATGCGAATTTCCCCTCTGTATAAACAGAGGAGCCTCAACGGTGAGAAAACGCTAGCGCGACAAACGATGAGATACCAGACCTATACCTCCAGTTTGGAGCCTCTTTCGATTACTCGATATTAATATTTTTTTTTATCAGCCACACCACATACTATGGCATCAACTGAGTACTTCGCTTCACAAGCCGTCTTTCCCGACGACTTGCAGCCCATAGCCCAAATGGCGACGATTTCGCTCGCCAGGTTGGTTGCGGGCAGCACCGCAGAGGCCGATGTGGTGCTTCATGCGTGCCGTAAGTTGGGGTTCTTCCTGCTGGATTTAACTGGCAACTCTATCGGAGAGCAGATGATTGCGGAGGTGGACGCTATGTTTGACGTGGTGCGGCAGACCATGGAGTTGAGTATGGCTGAGAAGAAGAAATTCAATCATGACCCACCTCGGGATTTTCGCGGGTATATACTATGATCTTGACCCCTACGAAGAATAATGAACAAAGATATAGAGAGTGAAGGCTAAGCCAATGCTAGTTACAAAGCACAGGGCCTCATGAAAACCGAGACCGGTGCACCTGATCGCTGTGAATTTTACAGTGTCTCGCAGGACGACCTCCTCGGCCAAAGCACCGCTCCACGAGACAATCCAGAGCCTATCGCCTCGCATACTCAGCTGCTAAGGTCGTACCTAGAACATGGCCAGTTTGTGCTGACGCACATCCTACGCACTCTGGCAACACAGCTGGATCTGCATCCAGAAACGTTTCGTAATCTGCAGGAGCCCAGTCATGCGTCAGGGACTATTCTGCGACTGATTCGGTACGCACCTAGTCTCATCTCGACCGACATGCGTACAGGTTTGCTGCCGCATACGGACTTTGGTAGTGTTACCTTGTTGGCCAACGTGCTCGGCGGCTTGCAGGTACTGGCGCCGGATTCTGCGCCCGAGGACGAGAATGCCTGGCAGTGGGTGCGTCCTAAGCCTGGCTGTTTGATTGTGAATATGGGCGATGCGATGGTTGAATGGACTGGTGGTGTGTTGAGGTCGAATATGCATCGCGTCAATTATGCTCCGGGTGAGCAGCGACATGTCCATCGTTATGCTGTCGCGATGCTGGTGAGGCCGTACAAGGAGGCGTCCATGGGTCGTCTACAAGGCGGCCAGATCCCGTCGGTTGAAGACGATAAACGTGACGGAATTGATATAGTAGAAAACACTGTCAGTCATTTGACCGCCCAGGAATGGGAGCTCAAGAAGGCCATGGCTCTCAAGGAAGGTAAGGACTGTGCCCAGAGTCCGGGCGGCAGGGAGTTGAAGCCAAAGTTGGCTGTAACTTGAAGTTGTCAAGTAATAATGTATTAGATTCATCAACTCATTTTATGTAGTATTTTTAATATATTTCCTATTGTTTCACTGTATATATAATAATGTTCTGTCGTGGTAATTCACCTTTATAGAGTTTATAAGTGAGGCTCTCCCAGCTTCCCTGTCCATACCGGGCGCGTTACATTATATGCTCTCATCTTCTTCCGAACCTCTTCAAACGGCAGCGGTAAAATATCTCGGGGATCTCCAAGATCGATATTCTTTTTACAGTCAGGCATTAACCATCGTATCGCAGAAGACTTTGCCGCGGTCTGACGGCCCTTTTTCGACTCGAACATGTCAATACAAGCACGCACCCAAAGGCCCAGAGCATGTTTGGCTTGTGGGAGCATTCTCATTATGAGAATGAAATCATGTGGCATGCCTTCGTACTCGTTCCAAGTCACCGTGACACCGGATTTGGCTGCCTGGCTGGCCACGACTCGGTTTCCATCAATGCCACGCTCTTCGCTCCCACATAGAAACCACATCGGCGGAGCACCTGTCCAGTCCTGAACTGCCGCGGGAGTTACTAGTTCATGATCGAGTGTTGCCGCCACACAGTAAGGATGCTCACGCGGCGGATTCGTAGGCCAGATGCTATCTGTCGGATGGCGTGGCATGCAGGCGGGCTGGAGAACACCTAGAATGTCGTACTCGCCGTTTTTGTGCCACGAGGGAAGCGCATCACATTGATCGCACCATCCACTTACAGTAGCAATTCCTGCAGGAAGTGGCAGAGAGATAGTCCGGCCGTGAAAATCTGCAATGGATGGGACCGGCTGTCCGGACAGCTTCTGCAACTCAAGCAGGAACTTGATTAGGCCCAGGCCGAGATTAGCACCGGCACTGTTCCCAGCTAAAACAATGCGGTCCGCAGGCACAGCAGACCATGGTGCGCCAGGTGGTGGATGGATTAGACTAGCATAAGCCACCAGCGTGTCAAGTATTGGTGCAGGGAATGAGTTATTCGGCGCCAACCGATATCGCATCGATGCGACGCGAGCCTTGGTCATTTTAGCTAGTCGAACGGATGCTGCTCTATATTCTGCAGGACTGCTGAAACTGTGAAATAGCACCTTGAGTTTACGGATTCACATAGGCAAGCACGCAATGATAGTCTTACTAAAGACCCCCTCCATGAATGTAAAGTATCGTCATATCACTCGTACATTCTTTTTCCAGTGCTCGTAGCTTGTCTTCCTCCGGGATATCAGGCTCAGGAGCATCAGAAGCTACACCCGCACGTTCTCCTATAAACTCGACACCAACATCGATGATAGGCGTCTCCTCGGCCGGAGTTATGCAATGATAGTCTCTCTTGAGATGATTGATAACTCGATATAGTACATCACGCACACTGGGACTCGAGGGCGCTGGAAAAGCAACTCGACTGATCCATATATTACCTCTTGCAGGACGGTCGCGCGCAGAATTACGCTGTCTTTCTGCCAGTGGCTCCCAGGGAGTGGACCAATACTGTTTGCACACGAGCTTGACCAGCTTTCTTTGCTCCTCGACTGTCGCCATCTCAGACTACCTGGTTATGGATGAGCCAAAGAAGAGATTTATCCAGAATATTAGTTAGACAGAATAGGAGAAAAGATGACTGAGGGATGCGACTGCTGTGTGCGATTCCTTCGTTGTTTATTAGGCATGGATCGGCCAATCACAGCGCACGACGACATATCCTTATATATTGTCTGTTTGGGACTAGCCAAACTTTCACAGCATGTATGGATGCAAATCAGCCAAACTCATCTATAGTTATTACCACCACCACGACATCACTCCATGGAGGCGACCTTGCTAAGCAATATTGAAGCAGATATCAGCTCATGACGCTTCAATCCTTGTACTATATATGAACATTTTGAATAGAGTAACGCCTTCCTATAACAGAATTCTAATAACTTTACATTAGTATGATCACATAATCTATCGGTCTCGTCAATATCGTCACAAAGATTCTCAATTATGAAGACCCTCCACAGCCTTCTCATGTTCTATCTGCAACGCCATGGGATCATTCGACTCAAACTGGAAATTCCAAATCGACTTGGCATCTCTCCGGAAGCCATCGTCTTCGAATTTGGAGCTCCGGATTCCAACGTGCTGAAACAGGCTTGGGGTAAGCGCCCATCTAATCTCCTTGTTTTCATTTGCATATCGCTCTAGCAGCGAATCTGCGTCCCCCGTCTGCTGTGAATCATACCAATCAATAACATCGGGGACACGCTCGCGGGGATAGGCGATCGCTTGCGTACAGCAGCCAAACTTCGGCATCTGATGGACCCCAGCGGATATAGGGAGCATGGAAACCCGGCCGGCGGCAAAAAATAGGACGATACAGAGCGGTGTACAGACGAGGCATAACACGACGATTATATCCTTACGAAGAAAACGATTCGCGTAGGGTACGTAGAGGGTCGCCATGAGCACGCCGCCGACAGATGCGACGACCGCGAGAGACCCTAAGAAATAAGCTAACCACTCTTCGTCGTTCCAGCCCAGGAATTTTTGGGTATAGAATAATCGAAGATAGAGGTCTGATGCTCGTCAGAAAGGGATTAGAAAGACAAAAAAGAGACATGCACAGTGAGGGGACGAACACCTTGAAGCGCCCATATCGCGCGTCTTCCGTGCTGCATCTTCCAACGCTTGGACAGTTCGATGGTACCATCCGTCCATCGCAACGACATCATCTTCGATTATGATGACATATGGGGTCCCCACATCCTGGCAGGCTTTAAGCAAGTATGTATAATCAAATAACGCTTTCTCCTTTGGCCTCCCCTTTCCCATCTCCAATTTCTTGATGTAATCTATCTGCTTTTGTGGCAGATCATAAGTCAAAACCGTATCTGCAGCTGCCGATAGCCACTTATGCGAGTGAAATGGGTGTTTCGAAGGGTCCGTATGCGCTATCAATAGGGTAAGGTGCATGTCTTCGCGTTCCTGTTCGGTGAGGTCGACAAGTAGAGAGCCTACTGTAGACTCCATATAGTCTATGTCATTGCGCGCAATCGACGCGATCCCCACACACAAACTGGCATTTTTGTTTATTGAAGCGGCGGTTATATTTGTTGCGCGACTGGCCGTTTCATTGACGTGGTGAAGGTAATTGATCGACTGAGAGACCCGGAATCGCGTATAAATAGGCTCATAGCCCCTCTCAGGGTCAAAAAAGTAGGAGGTCGGGTCTTGGTAGTAATGTGTTCGACAATAGCGAATGAGAAGGAGATAGATAATAGTGAAAGAGATGAAGATGTAGCCATAGCCAGACCGAAGAAATAACGGTAGGCTGAGGATGCGCATTGTCGGAGGTGTTCAACCTTCTTCCATCGATGATTGTGCACCTGACTGCTCTGGCAAATATTGTAAATACAGGCACATGCTGATACATATACTATGATAACTCATGAGGCTGTAGTTCCCGTAGGAACTAAACCATGGGACAGATTGACGGCGGAAAAGGACTGACTATTAATTAACTTTTAGTACGTGACGCTGATTACACTTGGAACTCGCCAATGAGCCGCATGGAGAGACCTCGGCCTATAGGAGGTCCGATAAGATTGCATGGAATCGATTAGTCCGTCATTTAATGGTGGAAGAGGGCATTTTCCTAAAGAGTCCGAGCACTGCCTCGTGTCTGAGAGTCTTTGAGACATTTTTGTGGTTCTTCTCTCGAATTTATTTGGGGGTTTGTCCTTGGTTTCCGGTCGCTAGACTTTTTCTGGAGTAATAATGGCCAATCTGCCCAAGTTAGGCCACCGAAACCCGAAAGATCTACATCAATTGTATGGTTAGGGGGCTTATTGAGAAACTAGTCATTAGTTAGTGCGTTGAAAGCGAAATTCATCATCAACGAACTGATCGTCCATATGTAGAGGATGAAACGTTTCAAGATTGAATTAACAGCCTATATTATTATCGACAACACTGGTGATTGTCTTAGGATTCAATGCGGGGTGTCTCTACATCAATTGATGTATATATCGATCTGCCACTATCATTGCCCAAAAAGGATGATTAAGGTTTCACAAGCTGCACTGCCATTGCGACAATAGTCCCCGATAAGAACACCTATAATTTCACTCAATGACAAATGTCCATCTTGACATTACTATTGTTGACCGTAAGTTATGTGAACCCTGTTTTTATACTTTGAAAATAATTTCCACTTGTGACAGGCCTTGGCCATGAATCAAGCTTCAGCCGTGCGGCTGAGTGTGCGGTTTGGTGAGCCTCGGCTGGTCCGCATTTCCGGCTAAGCTTATGTAGGATAATGATGCTTGCTGGGACTCGTAACACCCGAAAGAAAAACTATGCTTGGATTGGAATATTTAGAGCAGTGATATGTGGTTTTAGTCTTGACAATTTTTTGGATATTATTTCCAAAGCCTGTAAGGATTACTTGGAAATTGGTATTCGGGATCATATTTTCGATAGAAACAACCCAAATTTATCGAGATAGAGGTTCAAGCAATTCGAGCTCTTAATTATTAGATTAGCCCGAATAATTTCCCCACCAAATTTGTGTAAAATGAATGAGAAATAATTGACATTATACTGTCCCCAGCGAATTGCTTCATCATAACAAATTTATGTGTCTTCTAATACAGGGATCGTCTTCTATATTGAAGAATCTAAGTCCTTCGATGTAAAACGTGTTTCACTCAAATTAGTCAGTCAATTAGCCGACTTGGCACCTTATACTCCCACTCCTAAGTCCCCTTCTTCATGTTGTTGTATTATCGTCAAATAGTACCTACTTTAGGCATGTAATGGGTCATTATGAGATATACACTGGCTCCTCATATTTATCAAGTGGAGTTATTGAAATTGCCTATGTCAATAAGTCATACCAGCATATGACGAATTCTATGGTTAAGACCGATTTGGTCCGCACACATAGTAGAGAGTAGGAGAATCAAAAAAGTAGCTTATAAAAACCAGGGTACCCATATTTTCCTAAGCGATGCAGGAAGAGGATTGTCGTGCAGATAATAATTATCCTTCTACATACTGACTCGTCGCAATCCTGGGAGGTAGGCCACGGTGGTACATACCCAGACTCCATGGTGAAATAGCAGATTCTTCAGTTTGTATTAGCATTCCGGAGTTTATTAATTGATAGTGTGGACACCCCTACATTTTCAGAAATTTTATACATATGGTGACATCAAATGCAGTTGCAAATAAATAAATATTGACCCTTTTTAGATGCATTAAAACTAGTTGAGCTCACGCTTCGTATGATATCCCTTCCACTTAAAATTCGAATAGTATGGAATTATATACAATGAGCTAGCTATAGTAGCGCAGTGAAAATTTCGGGGGTATCTCTCAGCGTCCGGTTACTTTCACTAAATGGGCAAATGCAAATTACCTACGTAACTAGTTGGGCTGTATGAAGCCTAGAGATACAAAACTTCTAGTCTGATGCACTAATCAAACATATGAAGCAATGGGCAGATTTGATAAATGCCAGATCCTACCCAAGTTTCCTTTACTCCGCGGTCAACCGTTCTATTCTCTCATTTCGGCCTCTAGAAATGTCGTGCTTGGTAAAGCAGGTGTATTCTCACCGAGATGACACTCCTCGTAAACGGCAGGACGCACAAGGCTTCAAGCGGTCATACAGGAGAATGCGAGCGTTAGCCAATTGTCCTTGTTATCTTTCCTTGGCTGCCAAACGAGATATGTAACTCCAATGGTAACCTTTCTTCCATCGCAGATTTAAGTATATGCTGACCGCAGGTCGTTTGATAGTGGTAGGTTTAGAGTACGTTATAATCATAATTTTAATTGTAATGCAAATGAACATGCAATTACATTTGATATTTCGTCCGACTTCAATAGTTCCCTTTCCGGTTCCGACTTTTCTTTTGTGGGACGAATACGGATGAATCGAGAATCTGCGCTTATAGTCCATTTTGTGGAGTAATTAGCATAGTAGCTGTGCTTATTGTTAAGATAGGCGAGAAATTCCTCAAATTGGTTCATTTTGACAAATTTGAGCTTTTTCTATTGGTCTATATACTGTTTTTGTAGTTGATATATCAATATATATACTAATATAGACTTCAACACTGGAAAAGTGACACTACATATATTTCCTGGAATATTCGATATTCGATTCCCCCCCCTTACAACAATAGATAAATAAAAGTGGCTCAAGACACAACATAACTCGTATTACACACGACCCCAGCGGCTATTTATGGCAGAGATAGTTGCCTTTCTCAGGTTCAATGCAGTCTGGGGCCCAGGACCCGTTGCAATATGCAACCCGTCTCGCACGCCTGTCTTCACAATAGTCATATCTTGCAGGTCAGCCTGCTCATCAACTATAGCTCCCGCTTCAGCAAGAACATCATGAGTTTTCCATGTGTAGAAACTGAATTGCGATTCCAATTTCCCCTGAGCATGGACCATTGGTTCCAGTGCCGGAAGGGCAGCTACCTGGACACCTTTGACCAGCTTCTCGCGCTTTCCATCAATATTAATGTCCAGACAAGCTAAAAGTGTAGGGCCATGACAAAGAGCGATAATCGGTAGACGGTGGCTAATTGCATCGTTCATCATACGAAGGACATGGGGTGTCGGCGTGATATTCGCATGCGTATCGTCATCAACGCTTTTCGGCGCTGTGATTGCCACATCTTCGTTGAAGCCAAGTCCACCAGCTAGGTAGACCGCACCGAATTGGCTTGGATCGAATAGGTCAGCTCCGACTGCATTACCCAACAGGTAGTCAATGCGTTCCTTTGGCAGACGAAGAGGATCTAAACGGAGGGGAGCTCCAAGGCCAACTCCTGGTAGGCCCAGGGAAACAGCCACAGCCTCAGTGGGCGGCTCGCGGACCAGCATACTATCCCGCTGGATAGCAATGGGCCGTCCATATGGGGTGAAGACCTGCACAGCATATCCTGCGTCAAGGACCCCGATTGCCCAATCAACAAGCTCCTGCCACTGGGCTCCATGCGAGCTTGCAATTGCGGCGATATTCTTGTCCCGTGGAGTGTCAAATTTGACCGAAAGTTTGGGGAATGCACTCTCAATTGTCTTAAGAGCGTAATCGAATCTTACTGGAGATACCTTCTCCCAAGCTTGGATACGCAACCGCCGTTCGTAAGAGTCAACAGTCCGGTTATCAGTGGGCTGGCGCGCAGGGGAGTCCCATAGACCAATGCGGGGAAGCCAACTGAAATATTCTTTACGATCCTGAAGAGTCAATTCTCTACTGTTTGCCTTTGTAAGAAGGCGCTCGATGTAGGCAATATCGCGGTCAATATCAGGCTTATTTAATATACCTAACAACTCCAAGAGTAGATTTGGGTCGAGTCGGAGAGGTGGAAATTCCTGATAAACGTCGAAATTGCGAAGATGGTGCTCGGGATCGACATAGAAACGATCCACGTAAGCCTTGCGTGCCTCTTGCCATTGTTCAGGCGACAGATTCCCTACTAACTTTCGCAGCAAATCAGCCTTAGATGGATCCTTGGGGTCATGGGTTCGTGTAATGGCGATTTCATGCAAATTTTCGATAGTAAAAGACATCTTGTCGATCGACGGAATACTTATAAATGAAAGCGAGGATAATGGAATAATTCAGATTAAAGTTGTAGCCAAATCAGTATCTAAAAGGAGAGGGTCATTGGAAGTACCCCTCCCTTTGTACAAACCATACCAAGAGGCAGGCAAGGAGGGTCAACTTCATCCCAATTTGCCACTTTTCATGACAGCGAAAACCGAAGTATCACCACCAGTCGGCGTTAAAATTTAAGTCCACCTCATCGAGATCTTTCCATCATGACGTTAGCGACTGCGGAGTAGGTAGAATGGTTCGTTAACTCTTAGAGGCTAGTTATATTTTCGGAATGCGTGTGGCTTATTCTGTAGCGGCGCAGATGCCAGCATTTAGATTTATAATAACTTGATAGTTATCTAGCAACATGATAGCACTAACTCATAATAAAGCCATCACTGTGCTCAACACGTAGTAAGGTCATTTCTAGTCGCCTGAAATGTGACATACTGTGCACCAGAAATAAACGGGTGGAATATTTCCTATGAGTAGTTTCAGTAAATAATCCCACAATCCACAAGAAATTTACTCATGCCATTGCATCTCCAACCACCTACTAAATCTAGATGCATCAAAAAAGGGAAATCTAACCTTCTCAGGAAGTCACAGTGGGGCCCGAGTGGATCCGACCCTAAAGTTTAAACAACTTTGTCCTGTGCGCCGGGCCCAATCTCAGCATTTAGTGCAATTTAGTATGGGCGAACATGGTAAACACAATATCAAAGCTAACTAATCTTTTTGAAAATAATGGCAGTAGGATATTCCACTAAGAAAAAGCGTTTTGGGAGGAGAACTATATTGTTAATCTTCCATATCCACGGTTACTATCTTACATGTAGTGAATGTCGTAGAGAAAAAAAGGCTTGGGCCAATATGATGTCTCACGCGTCATATAAAATCTTCCATGGCTTACTAGTTAGTCCTTATTAGGTAGCACAGCGTCAGTTTACTGTTTGCCTGTGAATAGTTAATGTGCGTATCGGGATTCGGCCTATCGGCGTAACGCCAATAAAACCGAGGCCACTAGCTAAATCTAGATAACACATACTAGCTGGAAATTTTAAGCATGTTAAATCTAGATGCATCGTTGACATCATAGGTCCACGTATAACACCCTCTAAACCCTTATAAAACCCCATGAAAGAAGCTGCAATCCTTCTGTAGTAACACTCTCGTTCCCCCTCCAGCCGTTTTGCAAGTTCGTACACTATTTGAGATCAAACATACAATGGCGCTCTCAGGAAAAGTCGCTCTCGTCACCGGCGGTGTTAAGAATCTTGGTGCCCAAATCGCCCGTGAACTGGCCAGTGTCGGTGCTAACCTTGCTCTACACCACCACTCCGCCAGCAGCGAGAAGGATGCCGCAAAACTAGCCGCTGAGCTGAAGCAGAAACACCCGTCCATCAAGGTTGTCTTTTACCAGGGCGATCTGACATCTGCTGCGGCTGTGACCAAACTCTTTCAGGATACCCTGAAGGATTTCGGCCACATTGACATCGTGGTCAACACGGTGGGCAAGGTTCTGAAGAAACCTATCACCGAGATCAGCGAGGCAGAATACGATTCCATGTTTGCGTACGCAGCAAATATTCTACTGGTCGGGATGTCGCGGTGTTGCTAATTAATTGACTAGGATCAACTCCAAGACTGCTTTCTTCGTCCTGAAGGAAGCTGCTGCCCATGTCACCGATGGTGGCAAGATTATCACCATCGTCACTGCGCTGCTCGGCGCCTTCACCGGCCTTTATACTTCCTACGCTGGAAGCAAAGCTCCTGTCGAACACTTTACCCGGTATGTTCCCTGCCCAATCACCGGTGCGACATCAAACTGATACATGCGCAGAGGTGTCTGCAAAGAACTTCAGTCCCGTCGCATCAGCGTCAACAATGTTGCCCCTGGCCCTATGGACACTCGTAAGTCTATCACCAGCAATTCAAATCACATCTTCACATAAAGAACTCTTATTAACTCTATACACTTCCAATAGCCTTCTTCTACCCTCAGGAATCCCCCGAAGCCGTTGAATTTCACAAGGCCAATGGCATGGGCGATCGCCTAACCATGGTCGAGGATATAGCCCCTATTATTAAATTTCTGTGCACCGAAGGGGCTTGGATTACGGGACAGACCATCTTCGCCAATGGTGGCTACACCACTCGTTGAGTGTGGTAATGGATTTAGACTGAGGACAAGATCCTAAAGTTGAAATGAATGTTCGGGTTTTCATTCCATCCATATTCTACCTAGGGTAGCAGGCAGTAGCGCCTTTTCCTCACAGAGGGCTCATTCCCCAGACTTTTTTGAAATATATCTTTATCGAGCGTGATATTTTCATCATTCCATGGTTGTTTGACCTTGCTGTTATTGGTGTTTTCGCTAACACTTCTTGGTCCTGTAAAAGACAGCGAGGCGTCAAGGGAGTCATCAAATCATCACATAGATCGTAGATCATTATGGATGTTCTGCCAACAGAGTGCTTAGTGAGAAGCTCTGGGTGTACCTATCTCGGGGTAAGCTTACCCTGCATCATAACGTCAAACAAAGACACTGATTTCTTCATCACGAGCTTGCGAGGAATTGGCCTGGGTTCGGATCTGGTAATGACTGCCCAGATAGAAATGTACTTCCCGGAAAATACAACGCTAATCCATGTAAAAAAGCAGCGTTGCGGTCAATCCATATAACGATCCGTTGAAGTAGGCCACTAAGGCCCAATGAAATGAGCCCACCTCGTTGATTAACAGCACTAGCGAGACCCTGCATATGAATTCCGTAGTTTTCAATGCTGCCAAACATGGCTTCGTAGCTCGCCATCTTTGCTATAGCACCTATCAGAGCATCGCTAATAGGCTTGCGTTGTTGGGATTCCAGAGTGCGATTGATAGACTGCACTGCTTCACAACGAAGGTCAAGGAGACGTAGTTTCATATTACGGGAAGGGTTCTGTGTAGAGACATAATGTGATGCGGCAAGGAGCATTATGACCGAAAACAGAGCGGGCTCTGTCATCACTAAGGGAAACCAGCTAGTCCTTAGAAGACCTCGGTTTCCAGGCATGTCGAGCTCAGGTATATCGACGGCCATGTGCACCACGTCTGTGATTATTAGATGGAATCATTCAATCTGTTTCAAAACGGAATGAACTTACAGTGATCTACAAGCATTGGCATCCAGGGTTGGAAAGACATAGGATATGACTGGAAAGGATCAACCCGAAGTCCGCCTAATTGAGGCGGTATCAACCTCGACTTTAGGACAAAAGAATTGGAAGGTTCAGTCTCTTTCTGACATCTATCGAGGACATCTACAGCTGATAAATTCTTTTTTTTGGGCCTCCTACTTGTCGCCTGCAGACGCTCGATTCGTCTCCATTGGTGACGAGTCACGTGGGACCTGATCTCAGGATCTTTCGCTAGCTGAAGTGCATCTTTTGGCTCGTGGACGTTGATGAAGACGAACTTCTTCTCCATTTTTATGCCATGCGATGATTTTGTCTCGCCTAAAGTGTAAGCTGGAGACTACCAGCAGATGGCAAAATAAAGAAGGATGAGTTCGATTATGCCAGTCAGCTAGCCACAGTTATCTCCGAAACCCAGAGTCAATTGCGCCACAAGCGGCGCAAAGGCGGCACTCCACTGAACTTACGGCCGAATTTTGCATGTGCGAAAGACAGCCCAGCATCCCCCATGAGCTAACATGTAAGTTACAAAATTCGTAACAAACCCACGGTCTACATGTAATAACTTGGTAACTACGAAGAATTTTTAAAATTGATATTTAATTGATTTGAATTTTCAATTCTGTCACCCCATTTTAACTTTATCAGTCAATGTAGATTCTCAGAACTATACCAAAATCTATCATCTGTATATCTGGTACATAGCGCTGATGGTGTATGTCATGGTATATTAAATTTTCAACTAACTAATAACTGGGCCACAGAAATCTTGAACGATTTATGCCATCGAGATTACTATTGCTAGTAATTCTATCCGGACTTTAATGGCTGTACGCCTGGACTAGATTAGATTAGAGGTGGCGGAGGGACAGTCCTGGATAAGGAACACTGCGGTGTCATTTGCATTCACTTCCAAGCCAATGCCTCCACTTTGGCATCCCAGATCCACGTCATTCCACACCTCAACTACCTTGTACGTACCATTTGCCATAAGCCCTGGAATATCGGCCCAGACCGCCTCCTTCACGAGCGTATTAGGGTAGGGATTGAACAGAAGGACGAGTGTGCCATTTGAGCTATTTCCTGACCAGAACTCAGCCGGGAAGGTGTCATTGAATGTCCAATCGGGATTCGTGCCCCAGGAGTACGGCTTTGCAGGTTCACCAATCGTGTCATCCTGGTTGAAGGCAAGCAGATACGGATTTTTCAGAATTGAAAGGGTGTCGTTGTCAAGGTTGTCGAGGTCGGTTCCAATCAGCAAAGGCGACTTCATGGCGGCCCACAGGGCGAAATGCGTTCTTGATTGCTGTAAAGTGAGTCCATTACCCACTTCAAGCATGTCAGGATCTGGGTGACCCCAGAAGTTCACATAGTCGAGGTTAAATACATTCTGATTCAGTATGTTCAAGATTCTCGCCCATGACGCTTTACATTCAATCAGTTATGCTAATATAATGGCAAAGCATAGTTTCATGAGACGTACTGTTGATGTCATTTGACATTCGCCATGAAGCAGCAGTGTTGTTGCCCCAAGTCTCGACCCCAGCTGTACCCCATTCACAAAGACTGTAGAGAATAGTCCGATTCTGAGCTTGTAGTGCCTCACCCATAATTCGATATCGTTCAGCCGTGTTGGATTGCGAATAGTCATAACCGGATGGGCAAAGGTTAGGGGTATTCGGTAAACCTAGCATAGGTCAGAATGGGATATCGCAGAATATATAGTAATAGCAATAAATAAATCATCTGATAAATTGGATGGGGATATTCATGACAGAAAATAGGTCACGAAATGGACTTACAGGTGCCGTTTGCAGTCAGATATTGTGAATCGATATAGTCGGGATGGCAAGCATTACAGGTATCCGACCAATTAGATGGGATATTGCAATTGTCATATTTGAGGTCTGGAAGAGATAAATCAGAAAGAGACTATGGCAATTATGGACTAACAAGAAACCTACAGTCAATCCCCCACTCTGCCCACGTCTGGGCATCAATGGTCTCATTTCCAATACTGGCTGGATAACCTGCACAGGCATAAGTTCCGGCACTACTATAGATGCCAATTTTCAAGCCCATCGCATGAACTTGAGCTGCAGTTCCATTGATTCCATCAGGAAATCTAGTGGTGTTAGGCAGAAGGCGACCGGTGGTGCTGTCTCGGCCGTCCTTGTTGGACCAGCAATCATCAATGTTGACCTGCGATCTGTCAATGTCATGGCCTCGAATCTAGACAATATAGCACCCGTACATATTCGTAGCCTGCGTCCTACACATACAGTCAGCAAAGAATAACGCGAGTACTAGACGAGAATCAATTACAGCAAGACCCAAGTCTTTCAATTTCTGTGCCGCCGTCAGAAACTTGTCCTCGTCAATATCGCAGTTAAATGCATTCCACGAGTTCCAGCCGAGGGCAGGGAGTCTGCCAACGCCATTCGGTTGGACCAGTCCCAAGACCGAGGGAGCGAACAAGAGAAGAAGTTTAGTATGAAAGGACATAGGAATGGCTTTAAGTTTATGCGAATATCAGTAAAGATAGAAGAAAAAATCGATTTTGCTTATTTGGGTCCGCTTCTAAGAGGCTATATTTATATATTCGGTGTATTTCCTCGAAAGAATAAACTCAGGGGTCGAAAGCTTACATATGTAGTCGTCCACATAAGATAATGTAAGCTTTTATGCTCATGTAGTTAAAATACTATGTACAGTTCGAATAATTAATTTTCAAGGCAGGATTGTCAATGAGAGAAGCCCCGATTTTAGGGTTACATTAAGTTAGGGCTTATTAAGTGACCGCATGGGTGTTTTGGTTGAGCTCGGGTTTCGCGTTCCCAAGTAGTATATCTTTCGCGGGGGCCATTGCAACTCAAACCAGGAATAACAATGGCCTAGTTTTTAGCTGAAATACGGCGCAGAAAGTTTTACTTATGCTAAAACTTTTGAATATCTTCTTATTCTCAAGTACAAAGTTTTGAAAGAGAACTGTGACTATGTATAGAGCACTTGAGAGAAATTACTTAAAATCCTATTTTATAGCCCATTGAGAACGCTTCCAATCGCATCAGTACATTCTACATATCATAGAAAGTAGTTCAATTTCTTCAATCTATTTTCGAATCGCTCAGGCGTAACGTATTGGAGGAAGAAAAGAGAAAAACTAGCAGTGTTTTCTCTTGTACCACGAATTAAAATAGCATTACTTACAGTTATATATATCTCAGCAAAGTAATAAATTGTCTTAAGCAGCATCTGGATCTGGATGGCTCGCCCAAGTCCGGTTTGTTACACCGACAACTGTCCCCTCAAGTCCAGTGGGTTCCAAATTGAGTATTTGTATGGTGTTGTTCGTCTCTTGCAGCCATACTCCGGGTAAGTAGTAGGACTGTTGAGGTCCAATGGTCCAGAAACGACCCAGATTATTACCATTAACCCAAATTACACCTTTGGTCCACTGTGGAAGCTCCAAAAATGTATCACCGACAGTAGTCAAATCAAAGCTTCCGGTGTAAATGATTGGGGTGGATGAATTCGAGACTGCGACGGGCGACTGAGCATCGACTGATGGGGTTGGCATTTCATCCAAGGGCAGAGTGTAAACATTCCAGCCTGAAATCTCGTCATTACCCACAGTGATATCTCCAAATACGCCTTTCGTTTGAGATGTGATATCTGAACCGAAGTGAATTCGGCCCAAATTCTCATTCAAAAGATCAAGGATGTCTCCCTCGTAGAGTGTGAGAGTAATGTTTTGTTGTTGGTCTCTCGGGTAGATACTGTCTAGCACGCCTTTTCGTTGGCCATTAATATAGACGATGACTCGATCCTTCGGTCCGTAATTCAGATTTAAAAGCCCGGACAGAGTACTGTTGGCGACATGGCGGTATAGGGTATACCCATACCATTGGTTAAGCTGCTCAATATTTTTCAACTGATCCATCTGCAGAGGATCCGGAAGACCGTCAAATAAGTAGAACGAAGGCTGGACGTTGATTGATGGGATTGAAACCAGAGGCAGGACATCTGGAACAGAAGTTATGTTCTTCGCGTAAGGTTTTAGGCTGTCACGAAGTGCATAATAGATGTCTGTAGGGCGGCCAGTTTCATCAAGTGGAGCACCGTAGTCATAGCTAGTGGTGATTGGATTCGTACGGTCATTATTCCAGTATGCACCATTGCTAAAGCCAAAGTTGGTACCACCGTGAAACATGTAGATGCTAAAAGAGCTGCCATTAGCCAAAGCACCACTTAAATCTGCCTGGATACTTTTGATGCGATCCGGCTGTCCAGAAAACGAGGCATGGGTATTATTAACACCCCATTGATCTGTCCCAGCGATGTAGTATTCCCCGTCTAGATTGGGACCCTGACTACTGGCCTGAACGTATTGCGGTCGAGCCGTAAGCATATCATATACACTTCCGTCGGTCTCTGCAAGAACGTAAGGGATCTCGCCGCTCTGAAGAGCACTTGAAGGGCCATCATTTGTGTAAAAGACGATGCTGGAATCAAAAGTCGAGTTGAATTGTGACGAAAGGGCACCCGTGTAGGTGTGATCACTACCATAGAAGCCGTACTCGTTTTCGATCTGGGCCATGATGACCGGCCCCCCATTTCCGATCGCTAAAGGATTCAACCAATTTCCCAACCATGATAGCCATGATTGCGTCTGGTTCAGAAAAGCGTCATTGTTAGACCTCACTGTCATATCGCCAACATTGTTCAGCCACGCTGGGAATCCACCCCAGTCACGTTCACCACAGATGTATGGTCCAACCCGCAGCACAACCTGGAGTCCTGCCTCCTGGGCCTGCTGTACATACGCATAAATATTATTGCTTCCATTGGTGATATACTGGCCAGGTTGGTCTTCGATCAGATTCCAATAGACATAGGTAAAGATAGTGTTTAAACCCATGGCACGAGCGTACGAGAACCGGGATGGCCAGCTTTGCCATGGAACACGCTGGGCGTCCATCTGACCACCGATGATCTGAAAAGGCTCGCCATTGAGATAAAAGCTCTTTTGATCATATGTGAAATTGGTTTTCCCTATGACAAGCTGGACTTGGATCAAGCCAGACAGTAAACAAAGCAAAGGCGGAACACGCATTGCTGAGATTCACGGGCGACGTGGCTCTCTTGCTCAGGGCGGGTTTGGAAGGATAAAAACTACAATGCTCGCAAGTCTATGCGTGGACTGTTCACCTAGTGTCTTTGATGTATAATTGCGAGAACTATAGAAACTAGCATCTCGGCAAATACCTCGTTTGCTGCTGACAGTGTGTAGGCAGAGAAGGGCATTACGATAATATTTTAGGGGTTCACTAGGTGCACACCCTCTAAAATACGCTATATTTTGTATTGTAAGAGTAGCTAACTTTTTAAAGTCTTATGAATTTGTAGATTTTTTAAATGAACTAATCTATTTTAAGGAAAAATCTTAAGATTTTGCTGCATTAAAGGGGTGTGCATGTCACCTTATAAGGCACCGCCATCCCCAATTAAGCAGCCGATAAGTTACTAGTGGTGTGCGCCACTTTGATATGCTGGTTTGATTTGTGAGCATTGTAGATCATCAACTACAATCACAATTTAATATGTCATACAAATTCAGTTTTAGTCCAAGACACGTCTTCAGCCCCCACCCAGTCTTGTAGTGCCGGCGCTTTTTTGAGTAGTCTACTACAAAGCTTAGCGAAATAAAATATCGGGGGTTAGGCGGTGCATGTGGCAACGATTGGTATATCTTTTTCACTTATTATTGTTTTACCAGCTATTTTGACCTAAATATGATTGTGAAGCCCTTACAACAGTACAGACACTTTCAGTTGTAGATGCCTCCATCAATCGCCCATGTTGAACGCACTTTTAAGCTGTGTCTGAATATATGTATATCGTCTATGAGAATTATGTACCACGATAAAAAGACATAATATAAATTAGAACGTTAGAGAGCCATTTTGGACTTTATAATAGATTATCTTATCGAGATGTTGAGGGTCTTTACCATGTGAAGAACCCTCCCACCCTCCCCCCTGAATTAGATACTATTGGGATATGCATAATGCAAGCTCTCTCTTCTAAATACTAGAATACCTAAACATTAACTCTTTTAATTGGGTCGCATTTTAAATGGGTGAGGCACCAAGTAACCAATCCATTTCTTTTATTTTAGCCCAACCTTTTCATTGGATATATTATTAGACCTTCCTTCCGCCCCATGTTTTAGCCCCTTGGTAATATCGGCGTCTTCTTAAAGCTTAGCAAAACTTATAGTAGTATTCCTGTCGTTCTTTAGTCTCTGCCACTCTCTAATTCAATTCTAGTCAGCTTCTCTATCCTCTTTAAGCCTGATTTCAACTATGGACCCTTATTCTTGCCCTCCGAGCACTCCGAGGTCCATCGACGATGGGTTAGATTATCACGATCAAGATATGCGGTATTAAACCCCCATACGCTAATACGTTCAAATTTTATCTAGGTAGTATTTGCTTCATTTGAAATTTATCACGTGCTTCTAGTTCAACAGTAGTCAGAGTAAGCCCTAATGCAGGTACTTCTACGAGCCGACTAAGTTTAGGTCTGCAACGGGGGCTAGATATATATCGCTACATCCCTAATATCAGTCGAAAAGATCTATTCAAAGTCCTGCTCTGGCCATTCTTTCGGACACCGTGCTATCATGACGGTCTCGACACTGCTGGCCCTGGGGCTTATCGCTTCCACGCACATGGTAGCTGCTCTCGCTCCTGGCGATGCAGAAGCTATGTATGATGGATTCAACAACGCCCTTCTAGTGTCCAGCGGCAGCGCTGTCTTCTACAAGAAAGCATTGGATAGCGAGGACCCAGATGGAACATGGTCAGCGTCACTCAACATCCTCGGCGCCGAGGATGCCTTTGAGCGGACTGGCGACCAAGATAAACAGGCTCTTGTGAACAGTCTATTAACAACCTGGCTGAATCAAACTCCACCACCGTGGAGCTGGGATGGATGGAATGACGATATCGGCTGGTTCACATTGGCGCTAATTCGGGGCTACCAAATGACCGGTAATTCCACTTTTCTCGATGAAGCAAAATATGGGTTTGATTACGCCTTTGGTCGGGGCTGGGACACGAAGTACAACGGCGGAGGCATTTGGGAGCAGAATCCGGAGTACCTTACGTCCTCAGATGGCCCCCCAAACAAGCAGGCTTTATCGAATGATAGTCTTGGCAAGGTTGCTTGTATGATTTATCAAAGCACTCATGATTCAGACTATCTAGATAAGTGTCAGCTGATATACAATTGGGTTGTGTCCAATTTGTATGAATCTAGTACTGGACAAATAAATGGTGTAATCAACGAGACTGGTTTCGTCACTCCGGACAGTACAGCAGCCTATAATCAAGGCACATTCCTAGACTATTCGAACTTGCTCTACGAGATCACCGGTAATAATACTATATACGATATTGCACAGAACGCGCTTGATTATGCAATGAATAACCTGACCGTGAACGGCATCTTCAGCAATAATGCAGGCTATCTGAACACCTGGGCAGATGAGGCGGCGCGCGGTGTCGGCCATTTCGTGCGGGATCAGCGGCTTTGGGACAAATATTACGCATGGATGGTGAAAAATGCTGATGCTATTCTCGCAAACCGACGGACTGATCTAAATATCACCTGGAACGGATGGGATACACCCACATCAGATGATAATACATTATCAGCAAACAAATTCGTTAGTGCTATGGCATGGCTTCAATTCACACCTCCCACCCAGCCGAGCGACAAGCCTGGAGGCGTCCATGTTATTACCAATAACCTAACGGGTATGGCAATCGACAGCGCTGGCACCTTTGGAAACAACAACCCCGTGATCCAATGGGGGCTGAATAACGGACTGAACCAGCGTTGGCAGCTCACGCAAAATTCGGATGAGTCTTGGAATATCATCAGCCTTAGTACCTGGCAGGCGCTGGACTGCGGCGCAAGCGATACAAATGGCGCTGAGGCGATTCAGTGGCAATCCACCCGCGATTCCAACCAGCGCTGGATAATTAATGAGCTAAGTGACGGGACTTATAGTATCGAGAGCCAGGCCACTGGGAAGGCCTTGGATGGCGGCTCGAGCACGACCAACGGTGATGCATTGATTCAATGGGGTTGGAACGGGGGCTCTCAACAGCGCTGGGTTCTTCACTGAATCAATGATACTTTCATATTCTATGAGAACTCTTAATACTGGAAGATCCGATGAGAATTCTTTTGAGCTTCCGACTGATATTTTAACATATGTGCTTTTTCCATGGATGTAGAAAAGTGAATGCTAAAATTTTAAATTTAAAAGTAAATAAAGATCACTAATTGAGAGCGGTGGCATTTGACCACGCAACGTCCATGTAATCAAGCTGAGGACAATAACATTAAGTAGGTCTTAAAAAATAGGGTCTATTATTAAATTTTTGTATTTTTTTTAAAAAACGAAAAATGACATGTCTTATAGTCTGAGGCGGTGACACGAGCTAGTTTCTATATACACTAATTTGATAAGAGTTTGAATATAGTATTAGATTTTCTGTCTTTCATCTATATCCACACCAATTAATATTAGATTAATTTTTAACCTTCTTGGGAGGCCGCCTGTATATAATGTACAAAGTTCAAATATTATTAATTTCAATATCGGCTGCGCTTCTATACTCAATCCACTTTTGTGATGCTACATTCAAACTTTGTCACCCTACTGAAGGTAGGCTTAGGATACGTCTAGATGTCGGAGCCAGGGAATATATTTCGGGTTCTTTTACGAATGAAAAGGTTCTCGGCTTTAGTAAGTATCAAATTGAACTCGATATTATATACAAGTATTTTCTAGTTGACAGTCTGTCCGTGAAGTATCTCACCCTAGACAGCAGGCATCACCACTCTCGAGATAAACCCACAGAACCGTTCCGGACTTGAAATCGTTTGGTCTTCGGTCGACCTGCTCTTCCACGGTAGGGCCCCATGTTAAAATTAACAATAAAGATTAAGTATAGTATTGAGCTGATCTAGAAGCGAGGCAAGCATTGCGTCGTAAACACGAGCAATCTTCTAAGGAAGAGCAGCAGGAGCGTAGCTCTGGTCAGGCGTGACCACATTGCCGCTCTCGAGCTGCTTATCGGTATAAGCAGGCCAGACGATCTCGCGCTTGTTGTTGTCAACAACAGACAAGGTAGTGAAGCCATTGCCCTCGCCAAATTGCCCACTCCAGCCCGAGGTAACAGTATAAACACCACAGTTGGAAGGACCACCGTTAGCCTCAGAGGCATTATCAGCCGTAACAACGTAGGTGCATGCAGTCGCTGCGTCAACGCCGTCGTAGATGCCGAAGGTCCAGGTGCAAGAGGAGTTGTCGGTGGCACAGACGCGCTTCATGCTCTGGATGGTCCATTCTGCGCTGGCAGCCATCATGGACTTGGTGCTTGCGACAGGTGCGGCAAAGGCCGTCGAGGAGGCGGCGAGAAGAACGAGGATTTGAGTGAACTGCATGATGGCGGTTTGGTGGTGGGGGTTATTGGTAGAAGAGGCGTTTAAAGTTGGGAGATTGAAAGTTGAGAATGTTTAGGCTGTGAGATTCTGTGATTTGTAGATGGACTGAAAGACGATCATCAATAGATGGACGTGAGGTTCTTATAGTTTTCTCGTTCTCTACCAAATCGTTCTCATTACTATTTCCGTCTACCATTTCTCGGCAGCTCATGATGTCTTAGTTATGTGGTTCCATAGAGTGAGACAGAGTGTACCTCCACCCAGCCATGGCAGCGCTGCATAGCTGCTACACAGAAGGGCTTTCAAGTAGTACAGCTGTCTCGGCACCCGTATAATCCTCTTTGAAGAGCGGTGTATTGCATAAAAATGCGGGGTGATACCTGTAAAAACATTCGAGCTGACGTCAAAATATCAAGACAGCTGGTGGAACACAGCCAATCGGGTTCGTATCACGAGAGAGAGGTACTGTCGATCACTACCCTGCGACGCCACAATTACCTAAAACAAATTTCCTATTTATATTTGCGGGGAGAAGCCCAAGAGTGATCTTAAAACTTAACCACTAAACCGGGCGGATGTCTCGGATGCTGCAGATGCTTTAGGGCATCGGCAGCAGCCACACCGGATCGGTCGAAACCTGAGAGAAGAGCATGCAAGGCTTACTGTGAACAGGCTCACATGATGATGAGAGGGAAATCATGAGGAGAGAAATTTGCGTAGAAAATATTTAGAGACACTTTTTTCCGCACGTGATACTAGGATGCCTCAGGCCTCAATAAGACACTGTCGCATTGGAGCCTCAGGCAAACCCCCGGGTGATTTGGGCTCAACGAGTTCTTTTCCTGTTACTGAGAGCTTCCTCACACAGCAACGGAGAAACATGGAAAAAAGGCAATCGACTCGAGCCAGAAGTATTCTGTAGATGCTCTGCTACATGGAGTCACTCATCCGCGGAGCATTGCTCCCGGCAAGCTGTGGTTGAAAAGGTTCCCTTGTTCATTCCCTTGCTCACTGGTAACAAACATCGCAGGGTTTCGGGTGATAAGAGATGGATCTGGATACACCCAGAAGGTGAATAAGAATATGATGATGATTCAGCCTCGGCGGGTCTTGGCGTGCGGCTCCTTCTGGCTGGGCTGCTGCTCGCTGCTTTTACCCACGCCACCCTCTTCTCTCGCTGCGTCACGTCACCCTCACCACCTCCACGAAATTATCCTAATTAATAAGTTAATCAGAGTATCGGTTAACCATCGCACCCACATCCTCGTCTTGGGCTCCTCCTTCTTTTCTCTCTCCCTCCCCTGACTTCCCGGGTCGAGGATTCATGACTCTCCTGCCGTCGTCGCCCTTCACTCTGTCCTCTCTGACTGAGCTGAGTGAGGCCTCCGTGTCCTACCCGCAGCACCTCATCCGCCGGCTGGCCACCGCCGGCTCATTTCTTGTTGAGCAGCATCCCCGCACGCTGCCAATCATCAAAGACCTATCGACTCCCTCTCTCGCCGCTCTTCTCCTCTCTGTTCTCGCAGGCGTCCTCGCCGTCGCCGCCATGAGCTGGCGCGATTTCTGGCGCCGCCCCCAAGGCTCGCCGCCGCATGTGAGGGACAGCGATTTTACCTACTTAACCCCCGACGACATCGTGGAACCGTCTCGCCAACACCACCAGCCCCAATATATCGAGCGCCGCCCGCTCGTTTCGTCGGACGAAAACGGTCCGGACATCCTACTACTAGTACATCGAGGCGTGACTTACCCTTTGCACTTCCGACCTTTTGCGATTGACGACAGAGAACTTACAATCGGCGACATCAGGCGTCGCGCCGCCGAGAAAACGGGGACCGCTGATGTTCAGCGCATCAAGCTACTTTACAAAGGCAAACTGCTACGTGATGATACACGGCCGTGCAAGGATGAGGGTCTGAAGCAGCAGTCGGAGATTATGTGCGTTGTGTCAGAAGTACGACCGGGCGCAAGTACCAGTGATTTCTCCACGAGTGAGAATGATAAGAGCGAGGCTGTCAGCCTGGACAGTGATGACCGTCATCCCGGCCAGCCAGACAAGGAAAAGACATCGAAGAAGGGCAAGAAAAAGAAGAACAAAAACAAATCCAACAACCAGCCCCAGAGGTCCTCAGACGTATCTGCAGATGGCGGGCTTGCCCCACCGACAGAGCATCGTCCTACGTCGTCCGGTCGGTCATCGGCACCCTCTCCATCTCCAAGCTTCCAGAACGCGCGCACAGGGAACGACAAAGTCGATGTGCTTCTGAATTATTTGCGATCGGAATTGGCTCCTATGTGTGACGAATACATTGCGCATCCTCCGACTGACCTCAAGGCCCGCGACTTCGAGCACAAGCGTCTGAGTGAAGCCATCTTGGCGCAGGTGATTCTCAAGGCGGATGGCATCGACTCAGAGGACGCACGAACGGCCCGTCGCGCGCTCATTAAGGAGGCACAATCCATGCTGAACCGGATCGATGAGGCCCATCGGAATCAGTCTTCGTCTTAAGACCCTTACCGTTGATGGGCTTCTGGCATCATAACCTATACATATACCATCATATACAAGCTCAACTCTGATCTGGCATGGTTTTATAATGACAACCTTTGGGTAATCTTTTGCTTTCCCCTTTCATTCGTCGGCTTGATTCTATTTGTGCATTATTAGATATGGGATAGCGTTGGCTGTGGCAATTTCCGAGCTTTACCCAGGAGCCATTCAGACGGTTTCACTTTCCAAGCTATCAGGGGTGGTCAATGCTTGATCGGCACGCACTGATACTGATTTTATCATTTTGAGCGCAGTTTGCCGTCTCCGCACCGGAGCATAGAGATATACAGTATACAGTGACAGATTAAAGTCAATGGTCAAGGAGTCTTTCGCATTGACGCGTACTACGAGTCGACGTGCAAACACGCCCAGCATGACTGTGGCTGTAAGAGTGGCAGTTAATGCGTGCATGCGTAGTAATAACAGCGGCCGATATTGGCGCCGTTGATCGTCCAACGCGCACTAATTAGCCTTGGTCCCGGCCTTCTAACGGTCAATCCACATCGATGTGGTGAATTGGGAGTACGGCGTCAGTATGCGCAGGCTGGCCGCTGTCCAGCTGCCAGCTGCCAGCGTGCTGGTTATAGGTTAATGATCACTGGCTGTGGCGGTGGGTCGGCGCAAGGACGTAGCCAGAGCTGCAGAGCATCGCAATACTGTTAATATTGGCGATGGTGTATGGGCGCGTTTGTGACCTGTTCATTTCCTTTCTTTTTTCTGGTGGAGCTGCAGCGTAGCATTGTAGGCTTGGAGTATGTACCCGAACTGAAGTTTGTTGTCTGCTATTCGTCCACGCAGCACCAGCAAGTAAAGGCATATCGTAGAGCCCGCATCCAGGGGAACAATAAATCGTATTAACAGCAAAGCAGGAATCACAGCAATCAGAGCCGATCAACGAGTAAACGACTGGAGAGTCAAAGTCAAGAGCCCAGCCAGGCCCCTGAGCGCGAGGGCGACCAGCGCTACGCGCCCTCCTAACTCGACGCAGTTAAGCAGGCCAGCTAAATCCTGTTAGTGCTAGCAGCATGGCCGTCACGCTCCTTCTCCTTCTTTGCTTCCTTCTGCTCATTGTCGACTGTGCAGGCAGACAGCGACTGTCGTCCATCCTTACTCTCTCTCTCTCCTGCTGTCGCTCTTCTCCACCTGCCTCTGTCTCGTTTGAAACCACCCGTGCAGTGTGTACACGCAATAGCCTACCTTCGTGGCTCGACCAGTCCTGTCGTCGTGCAGCTTGCGCTGTGCCTTGCATTGCGGTCTCTGCTGCGGTGTGTTGGGCCCAGACAATAACGTTGTTAGCTTATTACTAGCATTGTTAACGTAGGACCTGTTGTTATTCTTCAATTCTTGGATACCCCCACAGACTATCGCTTCGCGGCTACTTGCCTCTCGACTCTCGCTGTTCAACCTAGCTATCAATCGCGAATCGCACGCTCAATCCTACGAAGCGAAGAATCGAGCTATATTCAATCGAACATATTGAACATATTGTGGGCCGCCTTGTCTGACTACGTGTTGATGATCAACCCAGACTATACGGATTGTATGCGGCGGCTTGATTGATTCGACACGTCTACCCCCTCTCTCCAGGCGTACAACCGCGGTGTCTGGATTGCAACAGGCATTGACCAGACAATAGTCAACAGTCAATATTCAATATTCAATATCCAATATCCAATATTCAATAAAACAGAGTGAAACAGGTCCACGGCCGCTCCCGCGCCAGAACCGTGAAAAGGCGAAAGGGCCTAGCTCGGCTGTCTCCACCTCTGGCGGCCCTTTTTCCTCCCAGTGCGAGAACCTCATCACTACTTGTCCCCCTCGTCCTGCGCGCGACCCCGACGCCATAACACCTGCGACCAAGCCAGCCTGCTGCACGGCGCTGGCTCAATTGCCCTGTCTGTTTGCTGCCCCCACGAGCAGAATTTCGCCTGTGTGCTTGAGCTTCTCTCCAGGCGACAGTTCAGGGGGTAGTGGGGCAGGACGGATATTGACCCAAGATTCTTCTCAACCAGTGGGCTCTTGTTTTGACTGCAATGTGTGGATGAGGCCACCGCCGGTCTGAGAGCGAGCATTCTGCTGTCTGGGAATCTGGGGATACAGGGAACTACGATTTGATTTGATTTGACTGAAGCTGCTGCTGGGATGTCTGGAACGGCCGCTGCAGTTTCCTCCGCCGATCCTTTGGCATCGCCTGCTGGTAATAGCGGATGGGAGTATGCTGTGCCGATAGGACCAGAGGTTTGTGATGTTTCTTAACATGAATTGCACTGCTATAACCACATTGACATGTTACCTTATCCAATAAACGCATGCAACAGAAATAGACGGACAGCTAACGTGACGACAGCATGTCATCGACACCGCATCGCCCAGGCGCGGGTCTAACGAGTCTGGCAATACCTACATCAAATCCAGCTATCGCCACCGAACACCCAACGGCCTCCCGCGATCCCGCAACTCGTCGCAGCCTGGTTCGAGAAGAGGCAGTAACACACACGACTCGCATGGCCGGGATATAGGATCGGCTGCAAGTAGGGAACTGGGGGATGTGCAAAATGAAAGACAATCCCGAAAAAGCGACAGGCCTAGCAAGGAGAACCAACTCGATGACAATTGGATTCATCGTGACAAGCTGGCACGCATTGAAAGCGAAGAGCTGCAGCAAGCCGCCATACGTATCCATCGACAAGTCCGTACCGGAAGTAAATCAAGCAGTATGCATGGCCGAAGCCACGATTCACATAGTCTCAACGGTAACGTCACCACGCCTCCAGATCAGACCACAGAGTCGTGGCCAGGCGTACAAAGAAACCAACTTGAATCGCCCATCCCATTCGAAAATGAAGATGAACAGAATATTGAATCTGAGCGAATGAACTGGGACTTGCGTCGTCCAGAAGAAATCGCTACTACTTCTCCTGCAAACAGTGACACCAGCAGGTTCTACAAAAGCCCCGGTCTCAAAAAGAGCTCATCTCGAATTCCCGTCTTAGCAGCTAGTCCGCAGCGTGCATCTCCAGATGAGAATGATTCCTCTTTCCTGCAGCGCCCCCGAACTCGCACACTCGGCAGTGGCGACGAAGATGGAAATGCTTATCCCCAGAGCCGCAGAGACAGCGAATCAGCCGTCATTGACTACCCAGAACACTCGCCTGTCCCTGTCGATAATACCACACCTCCAACGTCGTCTAGTCGGCCTGGTAGCCGAAGCGGCCCGCAAGGACAGGCATCTCCGACAAGAAAACCGGCTGCTAAAAGCACACCGACGACTCGAAAGTCATCCGCTCCACCCAACAACCGAAAGGCATCAACGAGTGCCACCAAGTCGCGAACTGTCTCAGCAAGTACCGCGAACAAGGAGCGACCGGTAACACGATCTGGGGAAACACGTCCATCGACAGCCGTCAACCGCCCTGAAGGCGATCCTCCTTGGCTCGCTACTATGTACAAACCGGATCCTCGACTCCCTCCTGATCAACAAATTTTACCGACTCACGCAAAGAAACTGCAACAAGAACAATGGGAAAGAGAAGGGAAGACTCCATCTGCTTACGATCGTGAATTTGCGCCACTGGCTATCCGAGCGGACGATCCCCCGAGGCCGGCCGCAGAAGAAAAGACTGCATCGCCTGATTCTACTACTGGCAATGCCGGTGCTTCCCCTGCATGGCCACTCCAGTCCTCGAGAAGCCCTGAACCCGCGCGTCCCGGTACGAGCGGTACAAACTATAGCACTATGCCTAAACTCCAGACCCCGCCACCAGTCCTTTTCTCCGTGTCTCAAAAAGTGCAACCGAACTTACCCCCACCGCCCGAAGAGCCCGAGAAGGTAGACAAGGGCTGTGGTTGCTGTGTGGTGATGTGAAATATCCCCCGTTTGTACGTACATGTCGACTTGTTTTCTTTCTCGTTCCTTTTTCTTTCTTTCCTTTTAATACCCAGATTTGTCGAATCCTCTTCAAGTTGCTATTACATCAAGTTGTTCTTAGCAGGTCGATCCGACCTGCGTGAGTGCTCTGCTCTGTCCACTTCTTTCTTAGCGAAGCTACTGTTTCTCCATTCCTCCGGCGTCTGCTTGTTTCATTTCTCTTCTGTCCGACCATTGCCACCTATCTCGCCTCTCTAGGGCTTGCCATCGCATTCCTTCAGATTGATTGATTCCCTTGGCTTACACTCGTCGACCTCGATTCCCTTTCCATATCTGTATTTAAGTAGGGACTTTTCTATACAGTGTGAGGCAGTGCATACTGCGCATATGCAAATACATCATTATCATTGAACAGATATAAATATAGTAATACACATAAACATAACAATTATTAATAATATAGCGCTAGTGGGTTTCGAAGGCTAAGGGCCTGGCCGCCGGCATTACTCATCCGCCCGCAAACTGACGCAAGCCCAAGTGCATCGGCGGCGTCGCGATTCCGCAGTGTTCAACCAGTGCTCTTTCACTTCGCCCCACCCCATTATTATCGCAGTTCCAACAAGCAATACTAATACCAATTGCTTTCTTCCTTCTACCGCGTTCTGCTCTGCTTATTCAGTTGGATTATACAAAGGTATGTGAATAAATAGCCTCAACCCCCCTCCCCCCTCCCCCCGCCCGCTTCTTCCCCGACCATCCATCCTCTCAACTACATACAGCCCGCCAAGTCAATTCCGCTCTCTGATCACTGCAGGACCTCGTCCTTTATTCACCACCGCCCACCATTTCATCCATATTCACCCGTCTATTCGGCAGCTTCATTGCTCGCCCTGTTTCTCCCGGCACCATGTCCGCTGCAAAAGTGAAGGCCCAGGAAATCATCGCCGACAACAACGTTGGTACGAACCCATCTCCCCATATCGATATATATTACAGAGAATACTAATAGTTATGTGTCTAGTCGTCTTCTCCAAATCCTACTGCCCGTACTGTAAAGCCACCAAGTCGTTGCTCACCGAGTTCGGCGCTCCTTACTATGTGCTAGAATTGGATCAGATCCGTACGTCTACCCATGCCAAAAAAAAAAAAAATAGGCGATATAAGCTAATATGTAGTAGAGGACGGCTCTGCTATCCAGGACGCGCTCGAGGAAATCACTAACCAACGCTCCGTCCCCAATATCTTCATCAAGCAGCAGCATATTGGCGGAAACTCTGATTTGCAGGCGCGCAAGGCCGACTTGCCGCAGTTGTTGAAGGATGCGGGGGCTTTGTAAACACAGAACACTATCGATGACTGGAATTTAAATTATGCAATTTGGGAGGACGTATTTTTGATATATAGGTTTAGGATAGGAATGACATCACTGCTTACATGTAGTTGATTGTATACATATGTAGATGGATTCTTGATGCTATTCAAGAGTAGAGAATTTTGTAGATCAATATATTACATATCTGTACAATGTTCATTCTAATCAGATCACTTTTTGAACGACAGTGCCCACCGGTCGCTCAACAATCCCCATCACTCCGTCTACAATACTCAGTCTCGCCGCATCACTCGCAACCGTCTTGCCAGCAAGATAATTCAGCCACACGCAGCGACTAACCCGCTCATCCGGCACACGCCCCAGCCATTTAATGGCTTGTTTCGGGTCAGGATGGAATAGCGCATCAAGCGCGCCGTTTTGATCCCGTAAAAGCAACAGAACCTGTCCCTTGGGGATATTCTTCCGCGATCCGCCGCCCAGCAAGGTCTTGAACTCACTAACTGATTGGCCAAACTGATCGTCCTCAAACTCACTTGGTCGTGGGTTTGGCTCCCCTGCTCTTATAAGCTCTTTCACCCTCGCAGCCTCCTTCTGCGCCCGGTTGGTCATGTGCCGCACCCAAGCGTCGCGTAGGTGCATGAAATCCGTGTTGCGGGTTGGGACGATGCGCACTGCGGTACGGATATTGCTTTCCCGCAGAATCGATGTCCACGCCTCTTCACCCTGCTCGGGATCAAGGAGCAGCTTCTTCAGCGCCTCTCGTTCCGTCGACACAAGCGATGTTGCCGCAAGAGTACCTCCTTGCTGAGCGAGATGTCCCGGCGGTTGCACCCCCGTCTGCACAAGAGCTTGCTGCAACGCACCAATGTCCGATTTCGCAACATACAACCCCACGACATACACCTGGATAGCTAGAAACGACACCGTGCGAATCCCGAACCCGAGCAACTGGTACTCCTCCTCCGACTCCGGTGCAATTGGCAGATCTTGACCGGGGGATAGATTCGGCACATCGATTGACTTGGGCAGTTTGATGGTTGTCGGAAATAGCGGCACGGCGCTATTCCCCGTCTCGACCTGCTCCACGCCGTCTTGACCCTGGATACGGATCACAGAGGGACTACTCGGGAACTCAGCTGGTCCGTCGAGCTTGATTTTACCGTTGTTAATCGGCGGGGAGGATTTATCAGTCTCCTCTTGGTTCTCATCTTTATTTGCTTTGGGGAGTCCGAATGGGTTCATTTTTATCGTCGTGTATAACCCGATTGCGCTCACCACAATTCCAGCCGCAGAGAGCGCCATGCGCCGTCGGTAATGCGAAATGGCTTCATTTTGTGCCTGGGATGTCTGCGCTTTTTTGGATTGAGCAGAGCGAAGGGGGTTGGTGGTTGAAGGGGCAGCGTGGGAACTGGATAGCGAACGCGAGGATTGGTACGGGCGTGCAGAACGGAGAACTTGGGGGTGTCGAAGGCACTGTCTGCATGTAGACAGTCCGAGTCGTTTATTCCGGGAAATTGTGCCTATGTTCATCTTTGCGGTTGTTGACAGACAACAATAATACAATGCGTCATAACGACAGAGGTCGCAGGCCGGAAGCTCCGATGCTATCCAGGCTGGCACGTGACTTTGGCGGCCCTGACAGCAATATGCAAGTCAATGGAACAAAGATGGCCGTATTATGAAATGTAGTGAATTACAAAGCGTGATTCAGGTCTGCCGTAGCAGATTATTGCCAGTTGCTGTTCAACGAGTAAGTAAAGGTGTCATTCATCATTTAGTCTCATTAGGGTATAAGGTATAAGTAGCTTCTATCATGAACATTCCCACGCTCATCTAACCTCTGTAATTACCATCCTCGTCATCTCCAACACGATTTCGCATATTCCTCCGACCAGCATTGTTTCTTCCTCTTACTTCACTTTCCGCAACAGCAGCGTCGTTATCCGCCTCAGCAGACGCGATTTGGTGTCTACCGCGCACACTTCGAGCAAGTTTGGCCTCGAAACTATCGTCAACTATATCGTCCTCCGCGGCATCGTTGGGTGCTTGTCGTCCAAAGACCTTCCGGACTAATCCAGAAACACCACTTTCACCCACCTCGACCTTCCCTCTAGGTCCCACCATATACTCAATCACTTCTTCACCGCCATCCATCTCCCTGTTTCGAACGAGGTAGCCTTCCTTGCACATCCGCTGCAGCAGACGGTCTGTGCGATCGACTGGTGTGTATTGGTCGGTATTGGTGCGTTGGAGGTATCGGTCTAGTTTCTGCTCTTGAATAGAACCACCGGAGAGCGTGATGATTGAGATCAGGAACGTATACAGTGCCGTATACGAACTCTCAGTAAACGACGATGGCGCCTTTGACGGGGGTAGAATATCCGGCGCGCGAAATGCAGAGGGGAGGGTGCTTATCACGATCCACGACTTGGAAGCCGCAGATGGTTTCTCAACTCGTTGCGCAGCTATCAAACAATCAGCCAAAAACCCTTCCACAATTCCATCATAGTAGAATCGTATGAAACAGACCTCTTCGTTGATGAATCGTCACCTTCTCTTTCGCCGGCAATTCCACCATTTGCATCCCAAACCGACTACGCAGCACCCGCTGCGTTTCATCAAACACCAGCTTGAACTGTCTCGAGCCTTGCTCACCGAGCACTTTCGCGCTAATATCCGTTCTTCGAATCGGCAGACGCGCAAATTCGCTTGATATTGCTAATCGTACCATTTTCTTGACCATGACATCTAGACTGCTTGGTGCGCGGTGGTCTCCGTCCGCAGCATCTGAAACGGACTCGTCGTCCTCGTCGTCAGAGTGGCGACGACGCTGCGGGTTACGTTCGGGGATGTCGTTCACTAGACCGGAATCCGATGCGTCGTTGTTATTTTCTTGCGCTTCCTAGATGGGTTCGTTAATGGTATGAAAATGGGTGAACTTGGCGTCAGTGCGGTTATCACATACAGCGCGACGTTTCCGCCCTGAAGGCATTTCAGCGAAAGACGAGGGTCGTGTAGAGTGAGTGTATTAGTGAATATTCTTTTTTGTATTTAGAGTTCAGAGTTGAGCGCTATCAGAGGCGTTTAGGAGTGGTATGAGGGGTGTTCGTCGAAACAGAGGGACACCGGATAGACGCGTGGAAGCCGACGCGCAGATCAAGCTTCCGGGCACGGACCAATCGCTAGCGTTCCCAAAACGGTAATATGAGTCTATACCTCGAAATGGGGAATAACTGAAACGTGGGTAATTTGAGGCTAGAAAGGGATCTAATGTAAATCTGATACAAATCTCACCTTCGTTGGCCTCTTCTGACATTGGCCCTTCGTGGTTGAAGACTATTTGGAACAATATGGATTCATTTACTACAAATCTCTAGTTGACATACATAAACATTCATCAATTGATGTTTGCTATCAGCACCCTGATAGACCGTGGACACCAGCTGATGCCGTATACTTGCATTTAGCTCCACCGAAAGTAGAAATATTCTTAGCTGGCTGAATGTTAACATTGTCAAAATCAATGTTATAGCAGGGATGCGCCTTCGAACAAGACACCGAGGCGACTACATCACCAGAAGGCTCAGAATTAAGATAGCCGGTAAAGTTGACGAATGCAATGTTGGATATCGACATCAGACTAGTTCCCGAATATGAGCCATTGTTACCATTGTCCTGAGTGATAGATGGACCGGCGTTGGCGCCTTGAATATCGAAATTCGAGAAGAGTATATTCTCTACCGAGCCCCAGCCGCCACCATTGGGCTTTCCGGCACTTTCGTAAGAGCTCTGTGGGAGTTGGACTCCGACCCAGGTTTTGATATATGCGGAATTGTGCATGTCTTCGTTATAGCGAATGATCTAGAGTTACTGTTAGCATGTTCATTGATGACGAAGGAAATTATGGCAATATACCTTGACATCGTCTACTTCTACATTCTTGACAGACGAATCCTCGAGATACTGGCCGAGACTGCCAATGGCAATTCCGTTACCCCCATGGCAGGTTACATTGGTTATGCGAATGTTGTATGAACGAGGTTTGATGGCAATACAATCATCTCCGCCTTGATAGATCAGACCATTCAGCTCAATATTGTCGGCATCCATAGTATCTACCCATTTTCCGTTAGGCCCAAGATCAATTGATATTGTGGGGAGCAAGAATTGGGTTTCTTACCAAATCCGTCAGTATTTTGCACCCAGTTCGTTCCGTATGGGGCTTCTACAGCGGTGGCATTTGCCACAATGTTGTTAAACCGCATATTGGTTCCATTCATAATGTTGAGAGACCATAAAGGAGGGTCTTTGATGGCGAAGTCTTCCACTAAAACATCAGATACATTCCAAAAAACAAATGGCATTGGTCTTCCAGGCTGTGTGTTTCCTTTCTCGGCAGTGTACCACACATTTCCATTGCCATAGATCTGACCGGTCCCGTAGCCCTCAATGGTGATCTTCTTTCCAGAGATGATGAACCCAGCATGGTGATTCTGGAACGTAATAGGGTAGGAATTGTTGCGCCAGTAGTCGAGGTCATCTGAAAACTGCACGAAAAAAATTAGCATCAGGTTGAGGACAAGTTGGAAAAGTAAGGAAACTCACCGTCCAAACACCGCGCCACTCAATGAAAACATCATCAACCACAGGATTCAGGCGACTTGCAATCCAATAATTCTGGTCTTCTGGGAAAACAATTCTTCCGTTATTTCCGCAACGACGAAATGCCTCTAAGATATTCGGGACATCGTTTCTTTTATTCCCCAAAGCCTTGACAGTACAGATATTATCATGCTGAACTATTGCGCTATTCGCAAACACCGCGGATACGCAGGATAGAGCTGCGACACTCGTGTGCCAACGCATTTTCCAATTGCCAAGTCAGGGTCTTGTTGCACTATTGATGCGCCGTTCCTGCGAATATGTTGGCCTATATACCTCTCGACTCGGAATTATGATTTCATCTCATTTCATGCGGTGTTGCACGGACTTGTTGGTGATGCTTAAGAAACGACATGACCGATGTTTCAGTCTATGTTCTCCCCGCTGTAGACTTAATTGGATGACAATGGCTCGGTATATTTAAGCCCGAAATGAGCAGCAAAGAAAACATCCGTCGTATGCAAGAAACCCCCTCAATTAAGCATGCAAAAACAACATTCCAATGTATAGATTGCGGGGAAAACTGGGGTAAAGCCAGGCCCCCATTGGAGCTCGCTCCTTGAATAATATGGGCCGATCAGCGCTGTGTGGCTTCTAAAGCTGGCGTTGGTTAAGAAGCTTTTTTAAGCCTGGATTAGAGCTTTGTTGCTGGACAATATATTCCCACCAATAAGAGACCGGAGATGCACCGTATCCCCTCTCCAAAAAATGGGAATTACGATTAATGGCATTCGATTTCTAGATGTTCGGTGCATGATTTGTGCCGCACGCGGAGAGGAGATATTCTTTGCGCCATGGTGTAGTAATAAAAGCAATTGTACAAATAGGTGCTATTTTCATGATTGACTATCACGCAGTATGTGATTTCGTCAATTATCGGAGCTCAATGTCAGTCTCCTACTGAGTGACCTGAGGCATTGAGACAACTCCAGCCATGGCACTAGTAGCCCAATTTGTATTTATCCAAATCTGGATACTCACTTTGTGCACCATAGTGAATGCAGGAGGTTGCTGGAGGAATACAACTTGTTCAGGGCCTGAAGATACTGCGTTTCCCGGAGAGTGGGAGAAGAATATCTACGCACCATCAACACGAACAGTGCGTCCTAAGAGCATCCTCCATGCCTCTGATACCCGGAGCAAATTTCAGACAGGGTCAGGACACAACGTGCTGAAGGGTAATGGCTCTCAAATCATATTCGACTTCGGCCTTGAAGTCGGCGGAATCGTCACGGTGGACTATACTACATCGGCGGCTGGGAGTCTAAATCTAGCTTTCACAGAAGCCAAGGACTGGGTTGGTCCATTCTCTGATTCATCGAATGGAGCCTTTAAGTTCGGAGATGGTTACTTGTCTTACGATATCACCGCGCCTGGTAAAGGGACATATACAATGCCAGACGCAAAGCTTCGTGGAGGGTTCCGATACTTGACTATATTCCTCACAACAGATGATACAGCGACTCTCAAGATTGACGATATAACTCTCGAAATCGGGTTCCAGCCTACGTGGTCGAATTTGCGGGCTTATCAGGGTTACTTCCACAGCAATGATGAGCTTCTCAATCGAATTTGGTACAGCGGAGCCTACACAGTACAGACGAACGCTGTTCCAGTGAACACCGGCCGTCAGATTCCGACGGTGAAATACGGATGGGACAACAACGCCACCCTAGGGCCTGGTGATACCATAATTGTTGATGGTGCAAAACGTGATCGTGCCGTCTGGCCTGGTGACATGGGCATCGCTGTTCCTTCGACGTTTGTCAGCATTGGCGATCTCGAAAGTGTAAAAAATGCACTTCAGGTCATGTATAACACTCAGGTAGGCTTAATATATGGGGATTTCGTTCTGTTAGCTCATGCTTTATGCAGAATTCAGATGGTTCATTCGCTGAATCCGGACCACCTTTGAGTCAACAAAGCTCGGATACATACCATATGTGGTCTATGATTGGAACCTATAATTATGTCCTTTTCACCAATGATACAGCCTTTCTTGAGCATAACTGGGAGGGATACCAAAAGGCAATGAATTATATCTATGACAAGGTCAATTACCCAAGCGGCCTTTTGAATGTCACCGGACTCAGAGATTGGGCACGGTGGCAACAGGGTTACAACAATTCTGAAGCACAGATGATGTAAGGTTTGAAGACCCTAGTAATCAACGCAACTATCACTGATGGCATACCAGATTGTATCATACCCTTCAGACAGGTGCCAAACTTGCTCAATGGGCCGACGACACAACTGGGCTCTCCAGCACCTGGACTTCGAGAGCAGATAACCTGGGGACAGCAATCAACACATACTGCTTCGATGACGCCTATGGCGCTTTCAAAGACAACGCCACCGCTACAACCCTACATCCACAAGATGCCAATAGCATGTCAATCCTATTCGGAGTTGCCGATGCAGACCGCGTAGCAAGTATCTCGGAAAAATTGACAAAGAATTGGACACCAATTGGCGCCGTCGCACCAGAACTACCTGAGAATATCTCCCCATTCATTTCCTCTTTCGAGATCCAAGCCCATTTTGTCGCTGGACGCGCGGACAGAGCATTGGACCTGATTCGACGGGAATGGGGCTGGTATATCAACAACCCCAACGGCACGGAAAGCACCGTCATTGAAGGGTATCTGCAGAATGCAACATTTGGATACCGTAGCAGTCGTGGGTATTACTACGATACTTCATATGTCTCCCATGCGCATGGCTGGTCTTCCGGTCCCACGTCGGCACTCACAAACTACGTCCTTGGACTGTCTGTCACCGGGCCGTTGGGATCAACTTGGCAGCTGGCACCGCAGTTTGGAGATCTTGAGTCTGTTCAGGGTGGTTTCATGACGGCGTTGGGTAAGTATCAGGCTGCGTGGAGCAGGGCTTCGGACGGATCGTATGAAGTATCATTTGAGGTGCCTCAGAGTTCTGAAGGTGTTTTAATTCTTCCTGCTCCAGGCGGAAGTGGCAAAAGGTCGGCAACATTGAATGGCAAGACATTGAAATGGGGTGGTGATAAGACGAAGACGATCTCGATCAGTAGGGGAGGCTCGTATCAGATAGAAGTCCGTTCTGAGTGAAGATCATAAATCCGGCATGCCATATGAAGTGAGAAAAGGACGAGGAAGCTGCGGAGGCCGCTTGTGCGTTTGCTAGCGGGTGGCAAAGGCGGATAGCCTGAAGCATCCTAACACCGGCCTCGAAGGCAGATACATACAAAAATGAAGCTGTGGAAAGCTAATAAACACGATTTCAATACATAATTTAAGTGTTGAAGAACCAGCAATTGCCGCATCGCCACAAACCCATAGAAAAATGAAAATAAGTCTGTAGACTACTTCATGACAAAAAGCTTCGTGCAGAGTTCTGATACCTAACCATTTTCCTCACGGCAGATGATATAGTGACCCTTAAGATTGACTCCCACCATTCAAGTGGGCGTATATCCTTCCAGATGTAAGCCACAATTGGCGGCAAAGCGTTATTCCTCTATAAGGAAATTGTAGAATGCGTTTGGATCTTCTGTTCTTGAAAGCGTCTGGCCAAATAACTCTTTCTTCGTAAGAGGTATAACTTGTACGGCTAGTGTATTAGTTAGCTTGGGGAATATAACCTATAATATGAATATTAGATGATAAAATAAGAAATATCAGATTCGCTTCTCTTTGGACTCGGAGACAGGATTATTATTAATGTCCAAACCGAAAGGTTTCTATATCACACGTCACTGTTGTTGAAGTTCTTTTTTCGTCCATTTAATAATTACCAACTCCAGATAAGGCGTCGTCTAATAAGCTAAAGCCGCATATCCTCTATTAATTTCGGTCTTATCTCGCTCCAATATGACTCGACGACGATAGTTGGAATATTATACCCGTTGGGCCTAAGACGCCGTGGAACTTATAGCCAATACCAAAATTGGTGTCACCCTTACTTAGTAAGAATTCTAATGGTATTTGTGTTGCATATTTTGTCTGATAGACACTAAGTGCTAAGTAGAAGGAGATGGAAAAACATTGGGTTGTTTGGAGGAGAGATCCGCGGGCAGAGTGGGCCCTGTGGTCATTTGAAGGGCGTGGGGAGTCCTCCCCCCATCTTAGCAACAATCATCTTGACAACCAACGATTGGAAAGCTATAAATACTTAGAACTGCTGTCTTTGTTTTTATTTTACTGTATATCGAGACTTAAGGGCCGTTGGATGGGCAACATCTATTATAATTTGCAAAGACCTCGTTATTTAGTGAGTGCCCTGGACGATTAATCATCCCAAACTAACATAATATATAGGAAAGTTACTGAACAACTTACATATACGAAAATATAAGATCCGAATATGGATCCAATGCCATCAAAGATATCACAGAAAAGAAAGCCATGGATCGAAACTCCCCTGGTCGAGTCCGCAACACTCTCCAAAGCTGCTGGATGGTGAGCCGTCTTTGTACAATATTGGACAAGGGTGACACTCACCAATTCAATATCTAGCCGAGTCTTTCTAAAACTAGACGCTCTTCAGCCTTCTGGTAGTTTCAAATCAAGGTATACAACATGATCAGACGAGTCCTCACATATGTTACGAACTAATCTTACGAATCAGAGGAATTGGCAACTTCATCCTCACCCATCTCTCCGATCCCTCTAACCAAGGGAAAGAGGTCCACTTCTACATCTCTTCTGGAGGGAACGCCGGCTTGGCCGCTGTGATTGCAGCACGCGATCTCGGCTGTCCATGCACAGTCGTAGTCCCCGTCACAACCAAGCCGCTGATGATCGAGAAACTGAAAGACGACGGGGCGGCAGACGTGATTCAACACGGCGCCAGCTGGTCCGAAGCTGATAGCTACCTTCGAGAGAGATTCATCAACACGAACACATCTGTGTCGAATGATACTAATGGAAGCAGGATCACGAATGTTTATGTCCCTCCATTTGATCATCCCTATGTTTGGGATGGTCATGCCACACTGATTCCCGAGCTAGTTACCCAATTACCTCCTAGAGAGAAAAGTGAAGAGGGGGATAACCGATTCCCGGCAGACGTGATTGTGTGCAGTGTCGGTGGGGGAGGGTTATTCAATGGCATTATCCAAGGTCTAGACGAGTATTTATCGAAACACCCTATGAAGTCTAGTGATGGCGCGAAACCGTTACATGTCTTGGCTGTCGAAACACAAGGCGCAGACTCATTAGCATATTCATTGAAAAAGGGCACACTTGCTTCGTTGAGTACCATCACGTCCATAGCATCAACGCTAGGCGCAGTGCAAGTCGCTCCACTGGCGTTTGAGAATGCACGCTCGCCTCCAGATGGAGTCAATGTTACTAGTGTAGTTGCATCGGATGCCGAGGCAGTGAGAGGTGTGGTCACATTTGCCGACAAGATGCGCATGCTTGTAGAACCGGCTTGCGGGGTTTCGGTGGATGTGGCTATGGGGCCACGGTTGAAGGAGGCAGTTGGGGATCTGGGACCGAATAGTCGGGTTGTGGTCATTGTTTGTGGAGGGTCTAGTATTAGTCCGGAGATGGTGGCAGAGTATCGCCAACGGCTTGATGACGGATGGGACGGCCAGTAATGAGTTTTATATACTCGATAAAGCTTCTATAAAATATAGACTACTTATGAAAGTTAATTAGAAGAATATGTCCGGATTCTCCGCGTACCAATTGATCATAGTAGAATGAAATCTATTCGAGATAATCGTCACCTGTACGAAACCTCTTCATCCATAGTAAATAAGTAAACACCTCACACAGTAGTGTCCGGATCCAGTAGAAAATAGGCTAGAATCGTAAAAGTCATGATACTGTATGTAAGAGCACGTTACCGTTGCTAAAGCAATATATATCTGAAAGTAACCAATTCCTGCTCTACTCGCTATCGCTAGCACTACCAGCCCCTTCATCCGCATCTTCATCCGCATGTATGTTCTCATTCAAGACGTACTCTGCCTTTTGCAGAACAGACTTGATCTCTGTGTGATCTCCGTATACCAAATCAACTGGCTTCTGGCCGTGTTTGTTGCGCACGCGCGGATCACAGCCGGCCTCGCACATCATCGAGATCATTTCCCGGCCCAATTCTGAGTCCTGCTCATTCGCATATCGGACGGCCACGTGCAGCGGGGTGTCTTGGTCGACGCGTGTGACTGGGTCGCATTCAAAGTATTGGATGTCGAAGAGGGCGTCCATGACATCATCTGTAATTTGCCAATCAGCACAGCCTTTTCCAGTATGTTCCATATTGTCGTAGTAATAAAAAGAAAGGTGTGAAATGCTTACAGCTCCCATATGTCGCGCAGATGTGCAGTGCGTAATTCCCTAAGGCGTCCTTGACGCTGTTGAAAAACTCGGCTACCTCCTCGTTTGTCTTCTCGGCCATGCCGTCGAGTACTTGTTCGATGAGGTGTTGCTGGTCCCGCCGACATGCCTCCACGACCAATTCACGGGGCGAAGCGCCCTGTTCCAGCATCCATCATTAGCGACACAGGCGATGGGTAAGGAGTAACTGGGCGTACCTCGTCGTCAGCCATTGCTGCCTGGATTGACTGAACACAAGAGGTATACTCTCAAAGGTGGCTGCGGCAAGAGAGGTCGTGAGTGAATGTGAATCGGCTTCGCGAGAAATCAAAGCAATGGACCCAGAATTGGACTTGTCTCCCACTTGGTCTTAGACAGGCACCGATGTGGAAGGGGTTATATGCGGAGGAGGGGCTAAGCAGAGGAGCGGGAGCGGGCGCTTAGGAAGAGTCACGGTTATTGGGCAAGTAGACAGCCAAAACGGGAGTAGGGGGCGAAGTTAGAGCAGTCAGAAAAGCAGATATATACAGATCTTGACATAAAAGTCCAGGGTTAAATGTCAAACTCCGAGACGTTTTCAAAACAAACAAAGAAGTAAAATCATGAAAGGGGAATAGCGCATCGGATAAATAGTAGGTCCGATGGTTGATACCCCGCGCCTCAGGCGGTAAAGCGGACTCGGCTAGGCGCCCATTGCATTGGCGCGCGTCATGTCAGCCAATATAATAAATACGTGCAGATAAACTCCATGCAAACGCGTTACTGGCAGTTGCTTGGGTATTAACATTCTCATATTTCTCTCGCTTTTGTCATTCCTCGAGGGACACTGTTCGTCAATCTCATTCAAAATGCCTTTGACATGTACGTTTTTAAGCCCGATGTTAGTTTTGGCGAGGTGAATGGGACTCTACGTGGCTAACACCAGTTTATACAGTCTGCCCAAACTGCAGCAATGTGCTCACGATTTCTCGAGCCGAGCCGACGGCTTCGTATCCCCTAGGTGTGAACCGTTTCGAGTGCCATTCTTGTCCTTATCAGCACGTCATTGATACCATGGTAAGCTCGAGAAGGAAAGACAATGGGCAGGCGACAATGGTTGCTAATCCTTTTGTGATATAGTATTACGAAAAGCGGACCTTAAAGCAGAAGGAAGCCGAGGACGTGATGGGTGGTAAAAAGATGTGGGAGAATGCGGATAGCATGGAGGGTGAGTTGAAACTTGGGGAAAACAAAAAGAAAATAAATGGTAGGATCGTTACGCTGATTATCGACTTTTGCTTGTACCCAGTCCAATGTCCAAATGAAGGCTGCACCAGCGATCGCGCATACTTCCGTCAGCTACAGATTCGCAGTGCTGATGAGCCGATGACTACGTTTCTGAAGGTGAGTTCGCCATGTTCTGGGATGTTTTGTATTTAAAGATTCTAACTATTACTTCGCCTGCAGTGTACGGTCTGTGAGGCGGAATGGCGAGACTGATCTCAATTGGAGGCTACATGATATTAGTGGGAAATTGGCGTATCACGGTTCAGCATACCTCAGCGTACACATTGGGAGTTGTTATCATGGTCTGGTGTTAAATTCTTGGTTTTTCGGGACACTACAATTTCTAGTAGTATTGTGTTAAATACCCCGTACTCGTCACACAGCATAAAATCTTGGCATCCTAGTATCTAGTTAATTGTTTTTTATTTTTTCTACAGTAGTGCCTGTCAAGTCCGTAGGAGCATTTCCATCAAGCACCAGCGTTCGCAGCAAACGGATCGACAGAGCGGCGCATTGCAGTGGCTGCGGCGCAACGGCGCTATAAAAAACTTTTCAATGGATATTTACCCCTCCTGTGGGCACGGTGGAACTGCAGCCGCCACTAGGCAGGCGCTACAGAAGTCCTTGACGACACCACCCGCACAGGCTTTTTTTTTTCTTCCCGTCAAAGGATGTCTGGTATAGTGGATAATTCACTGTGGTGGTTGCTGCCCAGCTTCCTGCAGTAAAACCCGACGATAAGAGTGTTGTTAGCAGCAGTTTCGTTTGAGTTGGAAGCGGGTCGCGGTCGAGGTTGCGGGTGTGAGGGTCCATTGACAACCCTCATAGTCAACAGTCAACTATGGCACCGCATGTTCTAAACCTGAAGCAGTATCAGTAGCACAGGATTACCAGAGTAAAGCAGAGTACTCGAGTAATAATGATAGCAGGAATAGTGAGAGTAGGAACACGCAGAATCTGCCTGGTGCATCCAGCGTCATCCACCCCTCGGTGGGCCTTTGCACACAGCGAGCCAATCGCAGGGCGGGGCGGGCGGCGGTTGTGCTGATTTTTGTGCTTGCCTCTCGCTTGCCCCTCCATATAAATCTTCCCCCTCCCCCACCCGCAGAATTTTTTCTTCCTCTTTCCTTCCTCGTCAGCTTCAGTACGTATAAACCCGCCCTCCCAGTCTACGTCCATCAAACTCTTTCATCCATTCCACTCACTAACTGTCCTGTTGCTCAGCACCTCTACGCATTTGGGCCGTAGTACCTGAGCAATCTCAGAACTCATCTAGTATCTTACAAAGAAACTACATTAGTTCATACGAACTCAAACACCGCAACCATGGGGTACGTTGTCTTCGCTGTCTCGTGAAAACTCTTTGCTAACCATCTTGTCCTGCAGTAAGGAAGAAAGGACTCACATCAACATCGTCGTCATCGGACACGTCGACTCCGGCAAGTCCACCACCACCGGTAAGCCATCCCTCCATCCACGTCTCGCTACAAGAGGGGTCAAACGATACTGACATATCGTGTCCAGGTCACTTGATCTACAAGTGCGGTGGTATTGACGCTCGTACCATCGAGAAGTTCGAGAAGGAAGCCAACGAACTCGGCAAGGGTTCGTTCAAGTACGCCTGGGTTTTGGACAAGTATGGCTTCCTATCCCCTCCTCATTAGCTACATCAGATGCTAACGCTGCAATTTTAAGACTCAAGGCTGAGCGTGAACGTGGTATCACCATTGACATTGCTCTCTGGAAGTTCCAGACTGGCAAGTATGAGGTTACCGTCATTGACGCCCCTGGTCATCGTGATTTCATCAAGAACATGATCACTGGTACCTCCCAGGCCGACTGCGCTATTCTCATCATTGCCTCCGGTACTGGTGAATTCGAAGCCGGTATCTCCAAGGATGGCCAGACCCGTGAACACGCTCTTCTTGCTTTCACCCTCGGTGTTCGTCAGCTCATTGTTGCCCTCAACAAGATGGACACCTGCAAGTGGTCTCAGGATCGTTACAACGAAATCGTCAAGGAGACTTCCAACTTCGTAAGTTCCAGAAAACATCTACAAGGCATCAGCAACTTGTCAGTTACTAACCCATCATACAGATCAAGAAGGTCGGATACAACCCCAAGGCCGTTCCTTTCGTTCCTATCTCCGGTTTCAACGGTGACAACATGCTTGAGCCCTCCCCCAACTGCCCCTGGTACAAGGGTTGGGAGAAGGAGACTAAGGCCGGCAAGACCACTGGCAAGACCCTCCTCGAGGTATGATCCCTTGTTTCATCGGTTTTTCTGATCTAGATCTAACACGTCCAAGGCCATCGACGCCATTGAGCCCCCTACCCGTCCCGCCAACAAGCCCCTCCGTCTTCCTCTCCAGGATGTTTACAAGATCGGTGGTATTGGAACAGTGCCCGTCGGTCGTGTCGAAACCGGTACCATCACCCCCGGTATGGTCGTTACCTTGTAAGTGGAAGCCTTTCCGGTCATTGCGATACCCATTTCTAACATTTCCAGCGCTCCCTCCAACGTCACCACTGAAGTCAAGAGTGTCGAAATGCACCACCAGCAGCTCACTGCCGGTCAGCCCGGTGACAACGTTGGCTTCAACGTCAAGAACGTTTCCGTCAAGGAAATCCGTCGTGGCAACGTCGCTGGTGACAGCAAGAACGACCCCCCCGCAGGCGCCGAGTCCTTCAACGCCCAGGTCATCATGCTTAACCACCCTGGCCAAGTGTCCGCTGGTTATGCCCCAGTCCTAGGTTTGTTTCCTCTCGTGTCGTTCTGAAAAAGAAATTTGCTAACAGGTTCGTGCCAGACTGCCACACTGCCCACATTGCTTGCAAGTTCTCCGAACTCCTTGAGAAGATTGACCGCCGTACCGGAAAGTCTGTTGAGAACAGCCCCAAGTTCATCAAGTCTGGTGACGCTGCCATCGTCAAGATGATTCCTTCCAAGCCCATGTGTGTTGAGCCTTTCACCGAGTATCCTCCTCTCGGTCGTTTCGCTGTTCGCGAGTAAGTTTTCAAAGCCCTGAACCATTTTTTAAAAACATGTACTGATCTTTCTTAGTATGCGCCAAACTGTCGCTGTTGGTGTCATCAAGTCCGTCGAGAAGGCCAAGGCTGGTGCCGGAAAGGTCACCAAGGCCGCCCAGAAGGTCGCCGGAAAGAAGTAAGCCGATTGGTCGGAAACGAGCATCAGCTACGGATTAAGGGACGTTGCTATGAAACCTTTCATGACTTAAAAATACCGAATTATGGAATTAGACTTGAGCTATGTAGTTAACCCTACACGAACTTGATTCAATATTACTCTTTCATTTGTCCAAATCAATTCTAATACGTGAAGTAGTCGTAGAACTATGTAAGGAAATATTAAACAAGGTTGGAAAGGTTCTGCTAAATAGCTGAAACATTGTGACGGGTCCGGCAGCATCCACATCAATTATACATTTGCAGGCGGTCTCTTAAAATTCGATATACAAGTTAGATATCAAGCAGTAGTCTAGATGAGAATCATTGGCAGCTGTGTATGATTGTAAACACATCCAGTTGTGAAATATACTAGGCATAGAAGTTTTCGAGTATGGGCATATAACTAGTTACTTTCAAATAAGAAAAGACTTAAAAACAAGTTCCAATGCGCAATGGCGGCTTACGTTGCCCACCACTGACTTCCATTGAACAGCGATAACAATTTCGGCTCATTTTTCCTTTCTAGCTTGAGTACTGAGCGTATACAGTTCATAGACCATGGAGTATAGCTAGCTTGTTATATCTGTGGAGTATTGGAGTCCGCTGGTTGCTGTCTCCGATATTCCTCCGCGAACTCTCAGAGGTTTGGCGAGACCCAAGCAAAACCTCACGACCTATCTCTGGGACTCCTCGTAGCGGTCAATTGAGGCAACGACGAGCTTTACAAGGGCGGCGTGTATCTCATCTTCAGATGCAGCTGCTTCCTCCAAATTCGGTAGCTTTTCTTTAGCTCTTCGGACTTGCTGTTGGAGCTTGGCTCTGAGTGTCGACGCATTTCATTCTGGCGCTTATTCTTTTCTGGTGGCATGTGTTTCCACTTGAGGTTTGCTTTGCGCTTGTTGGTCCGCTGTCGTCTCCTATCTCCTGCCCTCCTAGCCGGATATGCTTTGGTTTCATCGTACGGCATCGTAGCTATTCACTTTCTCACGCCTTGGGTTAGCTGCACGCCACTTCCTACTGTATTCCGTGGCTTTTTGGCGCTTGGCTGCGAGTTGTCCTAGCTCCTCATGCATGAGGTTTTTTTCTTCGACTGGCTGACTGTCGTCGTCGATACTCTCGTCCACTTGCTCCGTCTCAGTAGTCTCGGCAGTCAGCTCCTCATCTAGTTGGCCTTCCCTAAGTTGATTGCTATCGACCTCCTCGACCCCTTCGGGTGGAGCAACCTCAATTTGATCTTCTTCATTCGAGTCTTCATCTGCTCTGAGATCGTATTCTGGCGGGGGGACGTGCTTAGTATCATAAGCCGAAAACCAGCGCTTGATCCACCGACTGCTTAATCTTGCCGTCTTTTGACCGAAACTTCCAGGGTGTTAAAGACTCGAAGGAAACAATATGTCTTGTTGACTCCAAAAGACAAAAATCATAGCACGCACCGAGCCATTTCAAGACCTGGGAAGGCTCCCCGTATACACACACATCTCGTAGTTTGGGATTGAATGTTGGCCTGTATGCACCAAGTATAATTGCAAACTTAGCCTCGGCGGTGTTTGAGATTATTCGAATTTCTGTCAACGCATTCTCTCTCGGGTTCCAACCGTAGCGTGTGCAAAGAAGTGTTATAAACTTCTATTTCCTCTTGCCCTTTCAATACACAATGTCCATGTTGTGATGGTTCGGCTGGAGGCTGCACTGCCTGAGGCAGGAAATCTGTTGGCTTCCTCGTTTGCACGCACACAAATAGCCCAAGTTTCGTAGATAGGGTTTTTGCCGTCAGTGAGGATTGGGGGGTCTGGGAGCTTGGTGCTCTTCTTTGCTACGCCATTGTTTCAAAATTTGCTATTTCACGCCGTAGCACACACCAAAGATATCAGCAAGTTGGAGAAAATTCGAGCGTTATCAATGCTATAGACATCTGTGCACCTCTTACACACTTAGAATTTATACTAATACCCTGAGTACGTGTCTAGGGAGACAATGTTGGCCTCGGTAATGTCAATTCATATCGCAAGATCTGGAAAGAAAAGTCCTTATATCTAGTGTGCTGCATACACATAAGAGGCGAGGCTTGAGATTGGCCAATATTCCTCTGATTCGTGTAAGGACTGTAATATTACATATATGATGTTCAGAGTAAGCATTTCATAGCCTCGTATAAAGTATCGAGGAAACAAAAATACACAAGCATATATGAGCAATAAAAGAGCAAGAAAGGAAATCGCTATGTTCGTATCAGGGTGTATGTATCATGCAAGCGCTAAAGAATGCCAGACGTAAATTGGTCTATTGCTGTCGAACCGGTGTCGATGCACGACACTGAGCACATAACACAATGCCGCAACGGCGACAAGCGTTCACATAATCCTCGGCACCGACAGAAGGAACATGATCTGTCGGGGTTAATTGGAGCTCTCCATTCTCCAACAGTTCCTTGACGCCTATGTAGTGATACCCTTGCGGACGATGGAAGAGCGGCCGCCAGCACCGCCCACACTCCTCATGCGTCTGTCCAGTGGCCTCGTCTTCCTCGTCTCCCGAATCGGAGTCCGAATCGTCATCCCATGCGTGGTTGCAGTTAAACGAAAGTACCTCTTCGCCATTGGGCTCCTCTCCCAAGTCCAGATCCTCATCCTCCCAATGCCACCCAGCGTCTAGAGTAACGGTAGGATTGTCATTATTCTGTCGTGTAGAAGGGGTCTGCTCTTCATTCCTCTCTTGGTTATGATCTTCCCCATATGTCTCGAGGTAATTTTCGGCTTCCTGGTTTAGTTCCTCCTCGAACGCCTCGCCCTCTGCCTCAGCCTCGCACCCGCGGCTTGCACAAACCCGGACAGGGCCGGTACACCACCAACACCATTGCGCACCACATCGACACCTCATGTGTCGACAGCCATACATGCGTCGCACGGCGGCTCGGCACCGGGGGCATCTCTTAACACCCCATCGCTTCAATAGTTCAGACAATTCAGGATCTATATCGGCAGTCCTAGGGCAGGGGGATCCAGGATGTGATAGTTGCTTGCAGGGAATGCAAACATGCACCGAGCATTTCGGGCATGCCACTGTTGAGGACTCATCGGGGGGTGTAGGGGGTGGTGTCTGAACGTCGACAGGGTGAGCAGTCTGGTATGCTGGAGCAAAGTCTTTCCCTTTTGGAAATAATCGCGGTGATATAAAGGCTGAACAGGTTGGCACTGGGCAATAGAGCCTGTCATGGGTGCCCCATTCTTCGTATTTTTCTTGAAACAGGATAAACTCATCCGCAGACAGTAGTCGACGGCCACAGCTCAGTGGTATCGGGCAGCAACAGCTAGGCGGCATTTTAGTCTCGTCTTTGTAGGCATCTAGGAACATCTTTCGTATGCAGTCGTTGCACACTGGCAAACGGTGGCTCTTGCAAGGTCGATTCCTTATCGTCTGCTGTACTTCGGGCATGCTCTCCCAGCATATAGAACAGGTCATTGTAGGGACTGGCGTTGTATCAGGATGTGAGGTGTCACTGTCTGTGCTGTTGCTCCGAGCTGTTGTTGTGGTTGCTGTTTCTGCTGTTGGCGCACTGTGAGTCTGGACAGGAGCGGTGGTGTTGACCGGGAGCCTGAGGACACCAACAGCAGGAGTGTCCTCCGCCTCTTTAGAGTTGGAGCAGCCCATTGTTAACGAAAGCGACGAGGTCACATTAGAAGCGAAAGTATATGAGGGATATGAAGTCCAGATGACAGAAAAGAAGGCTGACAAGCCTATTATTTATGCAAGACGAGCATCGGCGGCTTGCGTTGTCACGGAGCAAACGGCCGTGAATTCTCCAATAGGGATGCATCGGGCGTTGAGTCATGCCTCAAGCCCCTCTACTGATCAGGCTGCAGCCAGTGAGCTATAGATGCATACAATCACACAATATTAAATATAATAATGCAACAGTGCAGAACTAAGTTGAGCGGCGCCGCTGCCTGAAGCTGTCCTGCAGCTAGAGCCAACATTGCCGTTGATGCCTGCATATTCAAACTGCCAAGCGTTGACGTGAGACTCGGGCGATAAGCCCAATTATTTCCTCGCTTCTAACGTTATTATTGTTACTTTTGGTTTGGTGCTTAGGCCGGTGTGGGGTAAAAGTATTTTAGTCTACTGCGCCTCTATTGATCGTCTTGCGAGTGATCCTGCAACAGTGAGTCACTACTCCGTTTTTTGTGCGGATCAACATCGATGAGGCTGATTCTGCTCTGTAGATGGGAAAGATGAACAAGGCGACCAATAAAAGTCATCAATCCAAGACTCTTTCTGGTGACAAAGCTACACTGCCCGAAGCTACCCCGCTCGGTCATATCTAGACATAAGTGTAGTTGATAAACTTGATAATAGTGCTTCTCGTGCAAGCCCAAAATCCGTCACATGAGCTGCTCGCGATGAGTCAAGTGAGTAGCGACTGGTTGGAAATGCCCATATGGGGGTCTTTGTATATTAAATATTTTTCTTGGCCAGTGGTCTAGGCCAAATGGCCGCTTGAATACAGAACTTTCACAGCCCTAGTCCTGGATTGTAGCTATAACCCTTATCAATTGATACCAGATCCTCCACATATACACGTATGTGGATCTCATTTACTAGATATAGTGCGCAGGCGGTGTGTCCGAAATAGAGCTGTGGCTCGAAGTGAAGCATCTTCTTGATTCATGCTTCTTCGTATTTGTAAGGTTCTTTCCGGTTTTCCTCTCTCCTCTCTCGCTCTCCTGATTTTGCATTTACTTGAACAGGCTAACAACACTCTGAGTGTAGATAAAATGAGGCAAATTTGTTGATGACACACGTTTGGGTTGAGTAAAGAGTTGAGGGATGAAAAGTTTGGCACATAAACAAAAGCGTTTGCCTTCACGTGATCGAGAGCGCCTTAGACATCTCACTACGCTGACACTGAGTACTCGTTTTGCTCGATTCCTTCGTATTTAATAAGTCTAAAACATTGAGTCTGCTTTTCGGCGTTTTCCTTGCCAACTAAAGTTTTGTCAATTCGTGAGTACTGTGAGTACAACTTATATGGATTGCCGGTGCTTGGAGGAGGGCTACGATGAGTATGTATGCAGGTTCTGTTGGAAATGTGGTTTGTGTAGGCCACAACAACGAGGATTGCCAACAGCGACTGTGCACTGCTTGTGATAAATGGCATTATTGGGGCAACTGTACTCTAGGACGGAGGCCCAAAGTACCCCCATCTCCCATTAATATTACTACATATGGGATTCAGAAGGGGACATCAAATAAAAATTCGTTACTCATATACAATAAACCTCAGAATACAAAGACCAGCTGATCATGAATTTAGAGAAATATAAGGATGTGTCTTATATTTCAAAATGTCATTTTGGATGAGTTTCTGCCGGAAAATGTGCAGTCACTGTGGTGAGGAAGCCATCTCAACGTTGCACTTCCACTTTGGCAAGGTTTCATGAATGATAAGGCGGAACAAAAAATCCAAGAGGCAATCGGCGATAGACACAATTTCGGCCAATATTTTTCTTTTTGAAGACGCGTTTGTGCGAGCATGGGCTGAAAGCTCTAGAGATGCACAATGGCCTACGTAACTCACCGAATCCAATCCTTCAGGATTATTATCGAGGCCATTTACCGCAACGATTAAGAAATCACAGGAGACCTGGGCTGTGAAGAAGGCTGAGAGGCACAGCAGCCATCTATCAGGAATTAAAGCAAAAATACAAATGCAAGCATCATCGCATAGCTTTGTCGTCTCCAGTGGGAAATTTTTTTTTTGCATATCGACAAAATTGTGTCTTAATCTACTCGATGGTGACGAAGTTATTCTTCAGCATCATTCGACACCGACATAACATCCCCATGCGTATGCTCTCAAAGCATTGCCGACAGATCCCGCGAGTCGCTTAGGAGTATCCATCCGCGGCCAAGATAGTGAGGGATCATTCCATTGTTGGTTAATGACACAAGAGAAACTTAGTATATTGAAAATGAATTCATCGGTGGATATTCTTAAAGGCTTCTCTTTGGAATATACCAAAAAATTCAATAGGTGATGGTACGAAAAGACTACTAGAGGTTAGGATATCTAGGTTATTCTCGGTAATAATGCATACAGTGGGTGGACATTAATATTGATATGGCACTAAAAAGGCGCGCATTAGTGCTAACACAATACATAAGACTAAGCCAGAAACTGAAAAATCTCTCGTTTGTAGTTGTTATATTACCATATTTCGGTTATATTACGCGTCATTTAGGTATGGTGCCAAATTATCATGGGTCTTCGTAAGCACTAATGTTGGTGCTATATCAATATTAATGTCTACCCACTATCATTAGCAGATTTGACTAGGATATTTATCTATTGAAATGTAGCTGTCGACACAGTTAATAAAACGTAAGCCATTAGAGGTCAGTTCAATCCGCTTTAAATAGAACTCTTTCGCCACAGCATGTTAGCACAGTGGAAGAGCGCCGGGCTCATATTTATACGTTTCACGTAGATCACCCGGAGGGTAATTTCCACCCAACCTTAACTTCCCAGTAAAGTTACTAACAACTTTGTAGTCCCTGGATCGAAACCAGGACATGCTAATTCTTGTTTTTTTTAAACTTTTTTCCCTAGAAAAATTCCATTATGGAAAAATGAGTACCAGACTCATGTCAGCAAACTTATAATTAATGTAATTTTGTTGTCTCTCGTGGCTGTCCCGATGATGCTATTATTCTATCACAAGCCTCGGCAGTCGACCGTTGATAGATGAGAGTATATATTCAATACCCATTCCGACGCTGGTACACTAACATGATCTGTCTCTCGAAACAGGAAGTATCATTGTATCAAATGAAGACAAAACTCTACACAAAAAGCTCACCACGTCAACAATCAACATGATAGCCACCGACAAAGAAAAAGGAAAGAGGTAATGTATGTACAAAGTGAAAAAGACACGAAAAAGGTCAAAAAAAAAGAAAACCAAGCATTTTCAGCGAATGAGTTATCTATAATTAATATGGAGGACGGCCGATTCCGCTGGTAGCTCTGTGTCGCTCTTCCCCTGTCCGGGAAGCTCCTCCTACATAGCCGGGTATGGTTGAAATAGATTCATTATTGATAGAATCGTCGTTGATGACTTGTGGTAAAACGCTATCGAGAAGTTTGTCTATGTCGAACCGCGTATTCCCGCCTGCACCAAGTGGTGAAATTGCGTGATTGAGAGTAGCGGCAGGCCCGTTGCCCTTCCTGGAAACAGTTGCATTGAGGCTGTTGCTGGATCTGCTTTTCCTCCCATTCATTGTCTTGACGGGTTGTTGTGCAGTACTTTTGCCCTTGATAGATCCGTTCTTTCCGTAGAATCCTGTGGGCGATGGATGATCAGAGCGAGTTGAGCTTTGTCGAGAGAGGTTTGAGCTAGTATCGGGAAAGCCACCAGGAATTGCCAGCCCAGAAGGTAGTGGTGGGACTGGTGGAATGCCATCGTCATTATCGGAGACGGCCGTGTCGTTGTTGTATTTGCCAGATGAAGATACTGGCGCAGGCTTGGTGATTTCAGAGCCATCTCGACTTGCGCTCCGCCCGTCTTCTCGAATAGACTGAGGTCTGCTTTCACTCTCGAAATCGGACGCAGAAAAGGTTCCACTGACCAAGCTTTCGCTACTAGAGCTGACAATACTGCGATTGCCGGCATCTGCGCGAGTTCTTAATGGGCTGGAGCGTCGAACATTGGAGTTCACGGAAACAGTTAGCATTCTCTTCAACTCGTTAACACGAATGGTAGAATCCCGGTTAGACTCGGAGAACGAGCCATCTGATATGCCGGAACCAAGTTCGGCTGAATAATAATTATTCTGGCGGTCTGGAGAGCTGAGTGGTCCTCGATGAGGAGAATAGTTTCCGAATCCGTTCAGGGGGCCGTTGTTTCGCTGGATGGAACTTGTATGTCTTGAACCAGATACGGACGCTGCTTTTGTTCTTTCTCGCTCCAGAACAGTGAGACAAGCTTCTCTAGACCAAGCGGAGAGCATCTCCTCTTTGACGTCTGCTGGCAACTTCAGATCCTGGCCTGCGCCGAAATACGCATTTGGGGAGCTTGGGGTAATGGGGTGCCGTCCTGGAGAGCTAGGAGGACTTTGAGGTGCAGCAATCAGAGATGCAGTGTATGCATTTTCGATCTGTTGGACAAGCTCTTCGGTCGCAGAAAACGTGCGGAGGGGCTCTTGAAGGTCTGGCTTGATAGCTTTATTTTCTTCGCTTGATGGGAGCTGACTCAACGAAAGAGGTGGAAGCTGAATCTTTTCAAGCCATGCCTTACGTTTCTTGCGCTTAGAAACCTCGGCGTGAATACTAGATCCAATTTTTGAGGTCTCAAAATTAAATTTCTCGCTTAATGCCGATAGGTATCCATACACCAAGCTTCCAATGTTGATTTGCGCATCTGCCGAGCTGAGAGATTCACTTGGTGGTACCGCCTCCTGTAGTTTCAAGACCATAGGTAACCCAAAACGCGTTGCATTGACGCCGAGATGATCAACCAACTTAACAAGGAGTAAATGCAAGATAAAGATATCTGCGTCGACGACGGCGAACTCCACGGCGTTGTCATATATTGCCAAATGCAAGAGTTGCAGGAAACTAGAGGGAGCAGAAGATAGCCCTTTATCGATGGGAGCAGTTGATGTCGAAGCTACTCTTGCAGAGCCACCAACGTCCCGTTTACTCTGTGACCGAGTAACTCTTTTGGTTAAGTCTTTTACGCGAAGATCATTTTTCGTTGTCTCAAGTTGAAGCCAGAAGACGAGTGCATCAGTGTATGCAGTGCGAACTTGACGATCAGGGTCACGCAGAAGCCACTGCGTTCCTTCCCACACATTGATGCTGACTTGGTTTCGTGATTCTATGCCCGCACCCGTTGCGGCCTTTTTCTGATTGGCGACCGCAAGAATATCTTTGACTGCTTCTAAAGCTGTAATCTTCGAGGCTGCGGAGTAGAAAAAGTTTTCCAGCTGGAGTTCACTGGCAGCATTGCCAAAGTTATTTGCAGAAGCTGATGGGTCAGATACTGTCTTGACCACTGTACCCACAGTAACATCGATTGAGGTTGATGGTCTAATTCTCTTCAGTAGCGTCCGGATCATGTCGGAAATCTGATCGGCGTAGTAGATATGCGTGGCGAGATTCCCAATGCACTCCTTCAATAGTGACACCAGTCTTGCATTCTCAGGAGAGATGGTAGGCTCACTCGAAGCAATTACGTTAGGTTTTTCGCTGTCCGCATTTATAGCCAAATCGCTAGGGTTCTCGCCCTCGTTTGTCGAATCCAATTGTGGCTGGGAATCTGATGGAATTGGAGTTTGTAGCAAGCGAAGGATATGTTGAACAAAACCAACTAGAACATCGATGACGCTAAGTCCTATCATATTGACAGGGGATTTCAACAAGGAACCAATCAACGAGGCCATGACTATTTGCTTGTTGACGGGATGCCCATCGACCGACATTCCTCTCAAGATCTCAACGGCGGTGAACAGTACGATGAACCGATCTTGAACGGGACACCATTTCACAATCAATTCCATCAGCGACTGGGCCCAGTCTTTGCTTTCTCGAAAAGGCTTCTCAGATACCGAATTATCTTGCTTGTCGACGATAAACTGCAAGACCAGTCCTGCTGCGGTCCGGATCTGAGAACGATTGCTGCTGACAACGAAAATGCGTTCCAAGCATCTCATTGCAAGAAGACGAACCTCCAACTCTGCCACTTTGTCGGCATCTGCAGTTGTCCCCGAAGCCTCAGCCACATTTCCATCTGGGGCGTGGGCATCGACAGTCTGCACGGTGACAGTGCTCGCTCGACGACGTCTTGACTGTGCTTGTTCCGAAGTCTCGTCAAATGCCTTTTCTGATGCCTTTGATTGGAGCGAGATCAACACATCCTCGCTCCCGGCGTACAAGTTCTCCAGGATAATGGGCACGATAATAGAGAGCTGTTTTCCGCCATCGCCGCTGATTGATTCGGAACAAACTATGCTCCTGATTGCTTTCAGACCAATGTTTTTCCAGCGCAATGATATGGGAAGATCGTTAGAGGCGTTTGCGGGAGATTTCAATTTGGTGGAAGCAAAAGCGGCATAGCTACGCACTATACTCAGGTACCGTGTAGCATGTTGTTGTTCTACAGCCAAAACCGACAGGTCTTGGCTGTTGCAAAACATTTCGAAAGTCGGAACGGTTTCCTCGACCATAGTAATATCATTGGAGTGAATCACAGTTTCGATAATTGCCAGAATCGAATGAGCGTAGAGGGGTAACTCCCGAGGCAATTTTTCGATCAGTGCGGTGAGGATTTGAAGGACCACCTGGACATTCCTAGAGCGCCGATGCATTAGCCCACCTATAGAAATTGATGAGCGGCATAAATAAAGACATTCGAACTTACCCAATTCTTCCCTTGTGGACTTCTCTGGCAGCCTTTTTCTCGAGGAAGGCGCCGACCTTTTGCAGCTTACTGCGTCGAGTGCTGGCATAGTAGAGGAGATACGAGAGTTCGCTCGCGTTGGGCTTCACTTGCAGCACACCTTTCTGATAGCGAGGAAAGCATTTTAAAATGAGCACCTGGTGCTTTGGGCGACAGGATTGGCGGACGGCATTCATTGCGGCAAGGCCGATGTCGACCGGGTTCTTCGCACGTCGCCTCTATTCCTAACACGCAAGTTCGACTCTTAATAGACGCTGTTGCATATGAGGTTATTGTGAGTCGTCGATATAGAGTATAACGAGGTATGTGAATAATCCAAACACGAATGTTATGAAGGCTCGATTTTCAACGGAGGCGGATGATGTAACCGGGTACGCGGAAAAGGAGTGGCTGACAGCTGTATCCGCGCGCGGAGCAACGAGTAAAGAGCCAGCACCGGCAGAGGTAGGACTCAGAAATTAAATGTACAATTCGAGATCAAGAAAGTGATGCTTCATCATCTCAAGCGAAGAGAATGATCGATGGGAGAGTGGTCAAGTTGGCCGCAGTGATATTTGGGCTGGGAGTGGAGAAAGCGGAGGGATAGCAGCCCGGCTTCCCCTGATTGGCAGGGCTCAGATCGAACACGAGTCCGCAAAGAACGCTCTTCTCAGTGCTCAGGGAGGACAGAGGTAGAGGCAGAGGCATGTCGAGTAGTTGCAGTTGGTTATGAGCTACAGCTGGAGGGGTCAAGACAACCAGCCTCGGCACGTTAAGCGCCTTGCCATTTGTACGTACATGCGCGAAGCAATCCGGCCTTTTTATTTTTTTCTCCATATACTAATTGGGTAGCGCTGGAGAGCAACACTGCTAACCCTACAATAAGATTGGCTAGTATTAATAGCTGCTTGCTGATAAAATGTATAACATATAAGGAGACTACAAGTTATGCTAAATCGACATGGATAAGCTGCAATTGAGGGCTATGGTTAAGCGAATCACGACGTTCGTGGAATCCCTAAAGCCTCAACGATTCACAAACGACCCAAGCTACACCGCTAGGTCGGTAAACCGGAGGCTCTTAGTGCATATGGGATAGAGGTCCGAGGGACAGAAACGACAATCTATCGAATCGCTGTCTTTCAGCGAGCGCATGTACTACCGTGCTCATCAAATCCATCTTCTTTGTTGGCGATTGGGTCTGTTGGTGGGGTTGTTGGGAAACTTGCGGCATCATCCTCGGTGACACGTGCAGCGAATAGGATGAAAGAGGAGCCTGTACATTATAGTCTTCGTGACCAATAGAGTTGATCTTCTTGTATCAAGAAGGTACATTGTATCGAGGAAAAAAGAAGCATAAATCTCGAAATTGCCAGACGTTGCGTCAGCTGTTCGGGTGGCTTCGACGTCAAATCGATAGAGATATGCTAATCCCTTTACGACCAACTCCCTTGGCAACCTCAGATAGAATCTTCATCTCTAATGCGAGAAAGATGATCATGATGCTTGAACTCCGTTGCTATCCTCGGTCGAAGGTTGTATGTTCTCCACTGCGGCTGCTTGCAAGTCCGCATCTCCAGCTAACAAGCTCTCGATCACCTGGGGTCTAATGATATCCCGTCGAAAGGACTCTTCTTGAAGCAATCGTAGAGCTCGTAAGGTGGCACCGGGATGGGTCAAGAACTGCGCGTATTCCGGTGTTTTCCAATAGGAGTAGAGGTAGGCAAGGTAGGCGTGGAAGGCCTGTGCCTCCCTCGAGACGGCCGTCGATTCACCGCTGCTTTCATCGTCACCTTTGTCAATTGTGGAGGTGCCGAGTAGGTTGGGGAAATTAACGGCGAGGTGAGATAGATAGTAGGGATTGGCAAGGGACAGAACAAATTCTAGTTCCAAGGTAAAACGCGGGTTCGTGAGCGATGGCGGAGGAGGTTGCGTGTCCATGGTAGTTCTCAGAGCGTGGTCAATTCAATTTAAGACAACTGCGGCCGATTTATGGCTACTTGCATGCCATCAACAGTTTCGATCGAGTCAAGTTTTGCAGACCCTCAAATATGTGCCAGGTGAGGTGTTGGATAGTCATTCATCTTCAAGTTTCAACATTGAATCGATTCGCTGTGGTGGAGTGACTCGGAGCGAACCAGCCAATCAGGGGCTGGATGACAGCGGGTGTCCTGATTGGCCCATTGCCCATTCCCTTCGGCTTTCTCTTCCACTGTCCAGGAACGCAGAGTCGCAGATTCCAATAACAAATCCAATCTGATGGCGTGGTTCTATTAACGATGAACTAATACGATCAAGATTATGCATAAATACACAGCAGACGATTTCTTTGCTGAAGCCTAAAAGAAGGCACAAGACTAACGTCAGCTCCATCGCCGGCCTCTCCTGCAAGGGGCTCGCTCGCTCGGCCTCAGACAATTACGGATTGATCATTGTAGTCTACAGCACCAGACAGTACGTACTTGCACCGCCTTGGAAACCGGAATTCGAGGTACATATCGCAGCATAGTTACTAGTTCGCGAGCGTCGAGCGTCGAGAGTTGGCGGATGGCCTGAATCAATTAAGAAAAAGATGTCCATCGACGTCACCAGCATTCCACAGCCAGCCACATCTGGACTATCAAATCATCGACGTGAAGGTAATCGGGGCCAGATTATACGCAGCAGGTCTAGAGCGTCCAGGAGACTAAGACATAGCACACCGCATATCTAAAGGTGATCTTAGATATTTCTTGGCTGGAAACACTCCTGGAAAGAACGGACGGAGAGGAATAGATAAGATGCATAGAAATGAGACATTTCGATTATAGGATCACGAAACCTAGCCATTAGGAGGTACTCTGGAGGCGGGGTGGGGTAGTGACTAGCAAACTCACGGAGGGCTCTCCCTTTGCAGTCACGATATCAGGTCCTGAATGGAGAGCGGCACTTGAGAATTCTCGGAGATGCAAGATGCAGCTAATCAAGTACGTGCCTACCCCAGCACCTCGAGGTCCATGGTTCTGGATGACGTGCCGACCGAGGTTGGAGAAAACAAGCCAAGAAAGCACGGAAACCGAGGCGCCTTACTATCCAGTTTGCGTATTCCAGCATTAGGGCATTCCATTGATATTATATTAGAACTTGGTTAGTATTCCAGATGTCCATTGGGGTCCCAAGTTCAGCGAGGATTCCTCCGTAGTAAGAATATTAAATAACCATTGGCACTGACCCTTCATCGGGAGATTCCGAGTGTTCGTACTGGTTCAAATTTCTCAACCGTTCGCTAATGGCCTGCTCTAGCGATTAGTGCTCTTGCTAATTTGCTGCATAATGCCATCGTCTTCTGTCTTCAATATTATTAATATCGAGCCAGCCGGAAAAGTTTCCTCGGGAGAAATGCAATGCGACAATCTGAATCGTCCAGCCAGTCGGTCGCCGCCATGAACGAATCGTGCGCCTGTAATACAGTATCAGCCGCGGTGGTCAAAAAAGAAACGAGCGGGTAAGAGTAAGAAGAGAACAATAAAGAAGAGAGCAGCGCTCCTGCTCCTGCTTGGGCCGCCGGGTCGCCTCGCCCCTGCCTGCCCGTCTCCTGTCCGCACCTGCCTTCTCCTGCTCCCCCACCACGCCGTCCTTTTAGTGCAGCTCGCCTCCCCCAACTGCCTCCGCTGTCAACCGTCCCTTGTCCACTGTCCAGTCGTCCTCTTCATGCGAATATCGATATTGATACTCATTCGTGCCGTTCGCTGTCGTCAGGTCATTACTAAATACACCATCGTCCGTGCTGTCCTGACTACCTGCCACTCGCAGGCCTCGAAAGCGGAGCCTACTCGCATACCGTGTCTAGCAGTAGCAACCGCCCCGGCGATCTTCGAATTAGATTCCACTTGTCTCTTCCGCTCGGGACCCAACAGGGGGAGAGGGGGTGTTCGCATTTAATAATATTAGCACACGACTGCGCTTTCTCATCTCCAATCACCACACCACCTGGACAGAAAAAAAGGGATTGGGATACTACACAGGAGAAATTGTTTGCACGACCGCCGATTCTGTCGTGCTTTCATTCCTACTGCCATCAACCTATACTTGGCGCCAGCCAACTCGCCCCCCAGGCCTGTGGTGAAACCATCCGCCAGGCGAACGGGGGTTTATCAGGAACTCTTGTTGTTTCAACCCTCCTGGAGGTGTCCACTCCTCCAAGCCTGTAATCTTGTCCGACTGCCTGGCAGCCGCCAGCATACCTGGGCCAACGCCTATCGTTACCGTTCCTACGCAATTGCTTGCGTCGACTACTGATACAACGACTATCGCGCTTCTCTGATTGAGTCGCACTCTCAGACCGACGTCTGAGCTAGATTCCACCAAACCTTGCCACCCACTGTCTGTCTGATACATCTCACCATTTAACTACCACCCAACATGTCACTTGCTCCAATCTCTGTGCCAGGTTAGTGACCCTACTTTGCAAAGCCCCCTGAATTTTTGCAAATGGGTCGATTCGGCCTATTTGAACCCGGTCGATGTGATCAGGAACCCGCAACACCTAGACTAGCAATACTCTTCTTCTCCCTGAGTATTACTTCTTCGTTCAACCAGACCGCAATTTCCATTTGAATAATAATTACTATTATCGCTAACGTTGTTGACGTGGGACTTTACAGAGCGCAAACCTTCTCCGCAGCTCAATTTAAACCTGGGCTCGAACAATCCTTTTCGAAACCGCGCACTTTCTCCATCAAGTCCTTCTCCTGTCTCTCCTGGACAACGACCGGAGCGACCTCGTTCGACCAACCCTTTCTTAGACGATACCGAGGTTCTCTCACCCCAGTCTGCTCCCGCTGGGACAATCAAGTCTCCCATGAGTGATAATCAATATACCGGCAATACGGCCGAGCTATTTGTGAGTGTGAGCGGACAATAGCGCTGTTTCTAGAGACTAATGTCTCTTCTTCTGTTAGGAAAACCTTTCCTTAGATTCCAAGCCAAAGGAGCGTCGTCCGGCACCTCCCCGCCCAGAAAAACCACACTCATCGTCTTCGCGACCACGTCCCAGCGGGCGACCAGATGGCCCTAGTCGCGACAGGCCAAAGGATCGGTCAAAAGACCGAAGCCGTGAAAAGGATCCATTCGATATTTTTGCAGACCCATCCGCCAAGAAGGACCGCCCTCGACCCCGTGAAGGACGTCCCCGTCCCCGCCGAAACTCCGAGTCTTCTATAATGGAGAAGCCAAAAAGCATGGATCCAGAAGAAGAAAAACGACGACGCGAACGACGAAGTCGTGACCCCAAGAGTCGTTCGAAGCGATCGCATGGTTATCGACTGGACGTTATTGATAAGCTTGACGTTACTTCTATCTACGGCACAGGCTGTAAGTGATGAAACGCGCCTTGATTCTTTCCCTATGCTAACTTGTGATATCAGTGTTTCATCACGATGGTCCATTCGATGCCTGCAATCCTCACCGCAACAGGAAAGGATTGCGACAGGCACCTATGCAAGCATTCCCTAAAGACTCGAAGAATATGGCGCTTGGTGGTGCTGGGCCGAATAATTCGCATCTTGACCTGGCAATGATTCACGGCCATACAACTGAAGGGTACCTGGACTATTCTACAAGTGGAACTACTAAGAAGGGTTTGCCTGCTTTCGACTCTGCAACCCGGGTGGAGCCTATCCACGGAGCCGAGAGTATGGGATTAGGTACTAGTACTTTCCTCGAAGGCGCTCCTGCCAGTCGCTCCGCAATCCAACGTCGCCAGAGCGAAAGTGAGAATCAGCCATCCGCAAACGGGGGTCTTCAGCGCAAGAAAAGCTTAGCACAGAAGATCAGAGGGATCAATCGACCAGGCACAGGAAGGATGATTTCACCAGAGCGAGTCCAGAGAAGCCCGTCCAGTGCAGGTCACCCTAGTAGCTCCCATAAAGCCAACGAAAAGAATCCTTTCTTCCAGGATTACGACGACGCCTACGACAGTAAAGGCGCTAAGATCGAAGAAACCTATTTGTCCACTCGAGCTCGCGCTTCTAGCAGCCCGAAGAGGAGCACTGCACTTGAGAGAAAGACTACGAATGGTTCACTAGGGGATGATCTTAAGCCCAACGGAGGCGGGTTTATGAATCGAATGAAGAGCCTGAGGCGACCGCGTCCCGAACGGCAAATGCCTTCTGAATAAGCAGCGCGGGTCTTGATATATCAATATTCTAAATTGTTGCTGCTTTTGTATTCATCATCTACGTTTCTTTCTCTCATGTTCATTCCGTTATCCATGCTCTCTATTATTTGATTTATCTTCCTGGTCTTTGTTTTCAGATAGTGATGGTATTCTGTCAGAGCTGTTGCATAATTCCTTGGATATGGCTGGCGTATGGATGCACTGTTTATTTGCTTAGAAATGACCGCGGGTATTGATACTCGCTAGCGAATGACGACAAAGTTCTATAGGTATTGAATTGATTTTACAGATTGTTTTTCATCTTAGCATTTCATTCCGTTGCTAGTTAATATTACTTCTCTCGTGTCTTCAAAACGAATTTTGCAATCTTAAGCATTTAACGTTAAGCAAGGCAGAACGTAGTTCGTGGACTCCGTTCTAATCCGTTGGATATCCGCAGTAGACAGCCGACTTTATTCGCGTGATAAGTCTCCGTTCTCCAGCTACACTTACCCATCCGAGACTAAGTTTAAGCTGAATATTAGATAAACTGACATGGCAGGATAGAAATATCGTGGCATATCACACTACTATCGCCCGTTTCTTTTATACGCTGCCTTTGTTAAAGTCCCGCATCTGAACTGGGCACAAGCTAGGACAGGGACAGCCATGTCCTCAACCTACGACGTCTACTCAACTCAACCAGCTTTTCCTTTTCTCGCATCGTCTTTACTGGCTACATATGACATGCGAAATGTGAATGCCGATACTTCTAAGGATATCAATTTCTCATCTTCTACTATCGATACACCAGCTGCATCATCATCAACAACAACATCGTCATGGAACCTCAGACCAGATTTTGACGAGTTTCGCGATATGTCGAAATATCGAAATCATTCAAACCATCTATTTCGATGTGGCATCACTCTTGGACTCTCGTATCTGAGGGAGTTGAATACGTCGAACCCAGATCAAAATAGGGATTTACTGGGCGATGTGAGTCAATAAAGAAATATAACAATTTGTCCATGTCCATTATCGTGAACTAATATATAACACCAGATCTCCAGAAAACTTTTAGCAGATTTCCTTCTTGGACTTAGAGGAGAAGAAACCAATAAATACGATGCTGCTACAAGAGTGTATATTGTTCATCCAACTCACTCAACAACATTTTCTCCACATGAGTTGCTCGAGGCTCTTCTCAACATTGATCGAAACTGTCCTGGGCGGGAGGGGCATCCACCACCGCTATCACGAGACCAGGCTATTGATCTTTTAGATCATGTCCAGCTCCTGAGTGTTCATGACTTCGCCTCTGCTAGCCAGGCCATCAGCCAAGTCTCAGATATATTATATCAAACAGAACAACAGCGCTACGGGCCGGAACCAGTTGAGCAAGATGACGACGACAACCAGGAATCACACAAGACCCCAGCAGTGCTACTCATCATCGAAGGCCTCGACACAATGGCCGAGAACCTGATTCGCAACTCGAATGCGATGCGCGGAAGCGCCGTCTTGATGCCTGCGTTGAGAACCCTGACCTATTTATCTCGTACTTACGCTGCTTTTCTCTCGATTATGCTGCTTAATACCACTGGTCTGGGCCCTTCTCTTCCTCCCTCAGCACCACCACCGTCATCATTACCGACTGGGGCCGTACAAACACCATTATCACAACAGCCTCCTCGAACAACAAATACGAATCATACTACTAGCATGAAAAGCGCTGGAGGGTTATATTCTGCCTTCTCACGAACACAAACCCGGAGACAGGATGATAAAGCTGACGACATAGATGGCGATGATAACGAGCCACTGCCGCTTCTGCATACCCTGCTATCGCGGACAGTCGATCAAGGCCTGGACATTCATCTCCTTTTCCAAATCAGACGGAATCAGCTACTCGTCGAGGTAATCAAGGATCGCAATGGCGATGGGCTTGGGAAATGGTGTGAGTGGGTATAGATTAGGGGAGAGGGGTAGCGTTTGTTTTAATGTTACGAGGAATGAGTTGATGAATGAGTAATGCATGCATGTAAGTTGATATTTTTCAGACCATCCGTTCTCTATATACAATTCCTCATATGCATAATGTTGGCAAGCAAATGATCAATCGTGTATCGTGTACACCAGTTTCGCCATTTGAACTCCAGTATAGATAATGGCAAGAAGGTAAAGGGAGAGTGCCATCTACCAATGCTATTAAAAAAGTAAGATTGACTGAGTATACAGCAATATACTCAAAAGCCTTGTAAAAACAGCTTGTTTATAATGATAAGGAAATGATCAACCCTGTTGAGAGCATATTCGCAAGACCGCTCCCTCTACAATGGCGTTTGCTTCTTTCTGACAAGTCTCAAAATCGCCCTTGAGCATCGCTTCTTCGAACTGGATATCCTGCTGGACTAGTCTCACCCACTGCTTATGCCGGTCACATCGTTTCTTGATGCAAACCCCTCTCGACAGCTCCGCAAATTCGGCGTCTTCAGGGTCGTCGTTCTCTTCTCCCTCGCCCTCGCTAGCATCTTGCATCTTTTCATCGCCGTCGTTGTCGCTTGTGCTGCCATTAGTTGGTAAAGCTGTGGCTGGTTCTGGCTCGAGGCGATCATCTTCAAAGGCTTTTCGGCCGGCTTCGGTTTGCGCCCATTCGTCCAGCTCTTCTTCGTTCCAGGACATGCGGGCGTCAAATCCACAGATGTCTTTCCATCCACCCTTGGGCTCTTTCGCTTTGAGTCGGTCAAGTACAGTTTTGGCTCGCGCCCGCACAAGGCCGAGGAATCGGTTGCGTTGGGCGATCATTTCCCCGCGACTTCGGTACTCGTCACGTCGTTTTCGTAGCTTTTGTAGCTTGGCTTCTTCGGCTGTTGTATATATAACACCGGGAGGATGGATATCTAAGCCCATCACATTGCTATGGTCTTGAAACCCTTCTTTATCCTTGTTTTCCGGCTCTTTCTCCTTTTTCGTCTCTGATGGAACAGCAGGGGGTGGTGAGATTAGGCGCTCGCCGAGTCGGCGGAACTCCTCAGCAGACGATACGCCCATGATCACAGCCTTGAGATCGCCGACGGTCAGTACACCGCCTTTGCTTCCCAGATCTTCCGGCATTATTCGAGGGGGGTCGTTTTCTTCATCCTCATCATTTGTTTCCATAGGCGAATCGCCGTCGCCATCGACACTGCGGCTGTCTCTATTACTTATAGCTCGTATTCTGTCAAAGACAACGGGACCAGGTTTTGAAGCAAGACGCTGTGCTAGACGACGCATAAACTCGCGCCCGTGATCATCAGAGCAATATTTACTGATCAGCTTCTTCGATATGCGCGCTGGTTTTCGGCACTCCTTTAGTCGACACATTGGTTTCCATGTTGTTTTGCCCTTCCCCGCTGCATGGCAATTGGGGCCTGGTCATCATTAGCGACCTCAACGAGACTCAAAAAAGGGATCAAACTCACAAATATACCGATCAATCAACTCCTCGTCTTCTTGATTGATATTGACGCATTTGCCATGGAACCAATCTTCACAGCCGCCTTCACAGCCAATCATCCAGGTGTGGTTATCTGGTCGACGACAGATACAAAATATCTCATCAGGATTTTCAACATCGCTATCATCATACTGATCTTCCTCCTCTTCTTGTTGACCTGTGCCATTTACCTCCGTCGAAAATTTCTTAGAGGCCTTTTTGGTAGGCTTTCTACCGACCTTCTTCTTTTTGCCCTCAGGTGCAGGGGATCCAGCTGCCGAGACAGATTCAAACTTTTTAACCCCTGGTCCTTTGCTCGCTCTCGAGGATGCTGGGCTATGTGACCGTCGATCCCCAACGCTCTCGGATTCAAGAGCATCAATTTTGCGCTTTTTAGGATGGACCTTTTTTGCAGTTGAAGCTTTCTTTGTGGAGGCGGATGATGATTTGCGAGCGTTTGGGCCTAGTTTCGACGGGTTCAGTGGTGCTGAGGGTGACGATCTATCAATAGACGATGCCCTTGATATCGAGCCACGCTTCAAATCGGTAATTTTTTTTGGTGTTGGATGATCATCGGCTCCATCCACTTGCGAAAGCCCAAACTGCAGGGTGGGACTCATGGGAACTCTTTCTATACTTGTTGCGGGAGATTCTGTTTTCACTTTGAGATCTCCATTTTCTTGACCGTGATTTTGGGCCCCCGCTTGATTCGATAGCAATGAGTCGTATAAGTCAGCCCATGCTTGGTCATGAGTTGATCTCTCGCCAGAAGCGAATATATGAGAGCGCTCGGGTATCCGGAGTAAACGGTGAACTCGTTGTGCTCTGTCGTGACCAAAATAACCGCTTTGTCTCCAGCCCATGATTCCAACAACCCGGCCGTCATCGACTATTATATTTGGTCGCACCATGTCATTGTGTACTAAACATAACTCTTCGCCAGCCTCCTTTTGTGAAAAGAGAATATCGCGCTCAACGTCGGGTATATCGGGTCGTGAAACGGTGTTGAGGCCTTGACATACATACGAAGGGGCGCTCGGTGGCTCGTCGATGGTTGCGATACGCTGGAGAATGCGCTGGCATTGTAACTTGAAGTCTTGTTTTTGCGAATCCGACAGGTATTTCCATGCGACTTCCAAGGAAACGCCGGGGATGCGAGTTTCGGTCACAACATTCTTCCCATCAATGGTTCCGCAAAAGAGAATTATCGGCACTGCGACATTGAGATCTTTCAACGCTTCTTCCGCTTTTCGCGATGCGACCAATTCGTTTGCATTCAAAACGGCATACCTTTCTGTCGCGGAATCTTCGGAGTTGTTGCGATCGATGCGAATAATCACCTTGCCCACTGCGAAAGCATCTCGAGATCCCACCACGTTCAGCGAGTTTTGCGGGGTACAGTGTTTGTCTATAATTTTTTTCCAGTAGGGAAGAGATCCTGATTCCCCGACGGTGTGCCAGTCAATAGTGGCAGGCGCGAAATCATCGGTCTGAGGAGCATATCGACCGTAATGCGGGCTGCGACTTAAGTACGGATCTTTCTTTGGCACCCGCTTTGGGTCAGCTTCGTATGGGTTCACCCCCATGATTTACTCGATATCGGATCGTAGTCCTCCGAGCACCAGAGATATCTTGTCGCCAGTTGCTCGAGACATCAGCTGTGAGACGTGTGGAAGAATAAAGGGTGATCTGCTTCGTTTCAACTTGGGCGGCTTTCTAGGGTCAAACTTGCGCGATGTTTGGCTCAAAGGGACTGGGCTGACAGTCGCGACAAGGCTAAAACATGTCCCAGCCGGTATCAAAAATGTAGAAAGTACCAATCTGAATAAATCGCCCTGAGGCTCAGAGAGCTGTGTCACGTCCGTACGCAGCGCGCGCTGTCTGATCAGGAAATAGAAATTGCGGAATAGAATCGGAGATGGGGATGCGCTAGCCACAGACCGAAGAGGCGGCGGCCGATGTGAAGAGGCTCCTTTTTTCGTCTTGGTGGATGATCAGATTCTAATAATTCCAATAGACATCAAAAATCACTCGTGGAAGCTGAGATGCTCGGTGCATCGTGACACAGCGACATTTCATCAAGGGGAACGAAGGGAATGCGGCAGGAGCTTTGTCGCGTGCAAAGGCTGGGTGGCCGAAAAGGGTCCGAGTGCCTCTAGCCGCGCGGTTAGGCGCGTCTGCAGGTGGGCGGTTAAACGCCGTCGGGGATTTAGCAATACACATTTACGTAGTTGTTTACTCTATTATTTACAGTCTGACCTGTGACAAGTTGCAAGTTGCGGAAATAGTAAAGCAGCCTTTGATACCTGTGGTACTGATCAAATTGCTATTATATAATACATCCAAACTAAACAATTTAGACTCCGATCCAGTCCAATCCCAACCCATATACATACCGCTATATCAAAGATCATAGCATCATCTCACCCAGTCGGTGTGAAAATCAGTGAAAAAAGACAAGGCAAGAAAAGTTTAAAAATCGGAAATATATACACATCCAGCATGTTTCTTACAGGCATATTTTCTGCCGCATTATTGCAAAGCAGGCATTATGTAACTCGTTAATGGAGCTTGGAGGATCTCTTGTCGTAAATCATTCTCCCACGTAAGCAGGGAAGGCTCGCATATCTGAAGTGTCAGACAGGAATAGAGGAAATCGTTGACGCGCATCCATGAGTCACGGCTCAGGCGCTTTGCGATTTTCAGCATCCGCCCCACGAACCATGGACGAGCGGATGGAGATGTTGCAAAAGGTGAATATTGCGAATAGTCAGGAAAATCGAGGTCGCCATGCAATAGAGCCAGCGGGCTGAAGGCGAAGTTGTCTGAGGGAGAGTCTGTCGGGAAATCTTGACAGGCAAGAAGGATCTGCAAAAGAGCTTCTACCGAGGAGCTCATGTTCACTTCACTATCGAGGATTTTGCAAACAGTATGATCAAGAAAAGCCTCTGCTCGACGGATTGACGATCGATAGTCCCAGAGAGCAGCATTCAACATCATGACAGTTGCAAGTCGAGAAATGAACTGCTTTCGATTTCCGGTTTCTGTGAACCGTTTCCCATTTGGAGATGCCAATATCCTACCCAGAACGGCTCCAGGCTGGAAGGCAGCGTGGCGATTAGGGGCAACAGACGCTGGCAAGGTGGTATGTTGGCTGATGGCTAAATGCTCGCAGCGACTAAGAAAGTTGAGGAAATCTTCACACTGCAGTCTAACTTCAGCTTCAACGGTGTTCGGGAGTCGAGGAGATTCAAGTGATGATGTACTATCGATTGGGACTGAAGAAACTGAACATGGAGGAGATGGGAGCGTTGGTAATAACGGTGCTGTCGGTAAGGAAGGGTCTTTTTCGAAATGGAAGCCGCCCAATTCCGATTCATATCCAGCCAGAATATAGTCTTGCCAGTTAATCAGCATTGCAAGCTTTGTGTTCTCGAAGGCGGCTGGTCCACCACGTTCTTTAATCATGTTGCGAGCCTGTCGCATGTGAATCCAACTAATCTGCTTGCGTTCTGGGCGAGGATCAAAATCCTCTACAGCGGCAGCGCTCATGCAGGCAGTGATGACGTTATCAGACGTGTCTTTAGGGTACTTTTGTGTGTGATCAATAAGCATTTGAAGAGCACGTTGACGGTATTTTAAGGTCACTTCTGTCTCAATTTCATTGCACAGCCAGGCCCGGGTGTTGGCAGCGTGCACCAGAATAGTGTTCACGAAGGTGACAGGGCCTTTCATTGCTTCGTGGACAAAAACATCCCTGTACCAGTTGTGTGCATTTTGGGTTCGGAAGTGATCTCCATAGGAGCACGCGGGCATGTCATTGACATAGAAGTCGAAAAGTTGCTGATCTTGGACGCTCAACTGTAATGGCAATGTGTGAAAAGGGTCAGTTCGTGCGGCACTAAGCAGTGTCTGAGGAGGAGGGGATAGTTCCGTTCTTGACCAGGCCGAAAGAGTCGGGCTGTTGTACCCTGGACCCGTCTCGATGAAGAAATCGCTGCTATCACTCGGAGAGCTGAAGTCCCAGGGCGAAGAAGTGGGAGCAGTAGAGGTATTGATGGGATGTAAGTTCATGTGATAGGACAGTGGAATGGGTGTTGGCTGGCTAGGCTCTGTTCTTAGGGTGGGCTTCAATTTATCAATAGGCGTCTTCTCAGGCGTCTTAATCTCGGGATTTGAGGTCCTTGCGATTTGTTTCCTCTGAGCCCTTTGACGCTTGTTACTTTCGTTGCTGCTTGCCCTCTTCTTTTTTTTCTTCTTCTTATCTTTGACTGTTGTTGTGTCCATTCCATCATCTGAGGTGTCTTGTCCGTGATTTTCAAGGCGCTTCTGGCGCATATATTCTTGCATCACATGGCGTTTAACTTGGGTTAGGTTCTGAGCATTGTCGTTTGAAGAATCGATAAACTGCCACCGGACTGGTGACGGCTTGACGGACTGGTAGTCTGGTGTTGACGCCATGGCCATTCCCTCAACCCCAACACACCGATAATTCGACTGCGACAATTCCTCACTAGAGCGCTGAGCGAAATGAAAACCGGTGAGAAAGGTAATTGTATACTATGGCCTCGTGGTATAAATGCGTCGTTACTCTGGCGATCGGATAGTGCCTATCGATATGCTTTGGGTACACTATCGCAGAGCAATGCCCCTGGAGGTCGGAGCAGTATTTATCGCGATAGACAAGCTGAAATGCCCGCCCCACCACAAGACTGTGAGGACTCAGGAACGTGATCCATTAGAAAATATGCTACCAGGCTGCCAAGATAGCCCCGGACGCGATGCTCCAATGGTGAAGGTGTACGTACTCTTTTGAGCTCCAGTCTGCAACAAGTTAGTCGAGAGTTGCACGGTGCAAGTTTGTGAGACAAGTTGAGATCGGCAGGTGGTGCGGAGAACAGACCAGAACTAGTTTAGCAGTCAATCGACGCTGTTACACCACCATACTTCATTGCTTCTAGCAGCCCGCCACGAAGTCCCGTAATCAAACTCTGGTACGGAGTTCTGGACAACTAAAAGTCCAGGTTTCTATCTGGGGTCTATTTCATCGTGAAGTTTATATACAGTATGTGCGCTCTCAGCTACATTGGGTCCGCCGAAGCGCCTAGTCATGAGCTTTGGGTCTGAAAATAATCTCGGGCTGCAGTTATGTCTGCTGTGGAGGGTATCATTATTATCGCTAAAGTTTGAAACTGCCGCATTGAGGGCTAACTATCTGCGTGTCCATTCAAGATCCGCAATGAACTAGGACGAAAGGTGCTGATCGGCGTAGCACTTTGTCTCGACCAGGTCATTCGTCAGTCGTTCTCTCTTGGTTAATCAGCCTTGTCGACGCCAGAAACGGCTCCTGGCTCCTGGCTCAACCTTAATCAGCGGCCAGAGAGCGCAAGACCGCCTAATCGACGCTCGTGGGGGCGATGGACTGCTACCCGGCAATCCCGGCATACAACACCTTCGCCGGTCTGCGTTGCAACGTTCATTTGACATTGACTTAGTAATGGCACTTTAATTATTGTGATACATCCATGGGAACCTCAGTCCCTGTCTCGTGAGGATCAGTAATCCAATAATGTAAAGTATAAGTTTATCCAGAACTAGCCCCCGGACTACCAGTTGCTTAGCATGCCTGAGACGTTGGTTAACGGCTAATTGCGAATACGTACTAAGCATTAGGGTATGGGTATGCATCTAACTGTTTGTCTTGTACACCTCACTTGTGGACAGTCTTGTCGAGCTCTTATCCACCGATACTTTGTTTATCGGCTTACCACCTAGGTGAGAATGCTATGATCCAGTCAAAAACTTGCCCAGCCCTAATCTTCTTGTGTTTATAGTTTCTTTTTCCATTTCTTCTAAATTTACTTCACCCATCCACGATCATGTGGCAAGGTGTAGACGACGCTCAAAATCTCATGCAACATTGAAATCGGAATATCAAGCCACTTTAATGGGGCGGAAGTTGCAAACGTAGCTTAAAATCTGTTCTCGAAGCCTTCGATTGTTCTACCAAGTCAAAGAGCGGCCTGCTCCACCCGGCCTTGTGCTTAACGACTAGCTAGTACCCTAGTACGTAGTACGTAGTACGTCCTGACTCCTCCGTGTTAGCATTCTATCGAGCACCGGAAGTTGCTCGTCGCCGTGGCCCGGGGACAATTCCGGCCTCCGAGGGCAGATCAAACAACAGAAGTAATGACCAACCTATGCTAGCATATAGATGGTACTGGTAGACGTTCTTGCAGAGGAAGTATTCCTCTGCTCAGTTCGATTTGACAGTACATCTACAAATCTCAGTCATAGTGCAGATTGAAATTACTATATCAGTATACCTGTATGTACGTAAAATCCAAGAGCGCAGTATAGGATCAGCGAGCTTAATAAGATTCCGTCGAATTGGCTTGCTGGGAATCTGCATAGTAGGGCACTGTGCAATCATCCCGACATATCACATTCCAGTATCCGGTTTCCCAAAACGGAAGGCGTCGTAACCACCAATGTCAGCGCAGCAACTGCCCCACCATCATAAGCCAATATCCTGATTGACCAATCAACTCTCCTCCCTAAGCGATCATGCACAAGGGTCGCCGATTGTATTTTCCCCACGCCGTCCACGCCATCGGTGCAGTGCTCTAGTCTTATAGGCTAGCTTGCCTGTGGTCCTGGTTTACTCGAAACATTGCGGATATTAATATTAAGCATGTTTATTATTATTACTGCCGGAAACAAAGGCTTGCGTCAGATCATCTCTGATGGGTAGTATAATGATATTGAGATCAGAATATGTATTATTACGTCACGGACGGCTTCAGCGGGCGCATGTATCATGAGCTATCAATGGATTAACGAATCAAAATGCGGCCCCCCTTCTACATCAGCCCTTCAGCCATTCTAGCCCCAATATAGTTTCTGTTGTCTTGATATTCCATTTTTTGGCCTTTCAGCTTTCAGACTATGAGTGCAGGATACAGATGTGGCTGATATCTATGCCTATTCATTGGATTTATTTCTGATTAATAAGAAAATAAAGTCACGATCTGTGGAGCATTCTTAAAATAGCATCACCATCAGCGGCCTTGCATGAACTACTGATGTTTTTCTCCGAACTGGCATGAATCATTTGAAAATCGTTTTAAGAGAGCCGACTCAGTGCCCACTTTATGCAGGCCACTCGGTCTTTGCCTGATTGAGCTAGTAATAATCAATCTTCTAGATCATGATACACGGACTACTCACTAGGGAGGCTAGAAGGGTCAAGAAAAATCGGGGCGCAAGGCGTGGATTATATTCCGTACTCCAGTGTTTGCCTCCCTTGAATCCTCATAGTCTCATCCTCTTTGTCTCCACCCCATTCTATCAACCTTGTCAATTGATGATTCGGCCCCTAGATAGGAACCCTAAGCACAAACTTATTGGAGGTCCTCCGTTACACGACACTGCAGTGACCACATAGTTCCTTTGCCCCTAGATAGTAGTCATAAGATACACCAGGCGTGAGGCCTGAGGGTGAAGGGTTCATAAGAGATGATATTACTATGGTATCAAGCCCCTTTGGCTATTATTGCTATTTTGGCTATCACAAACCTCGGCGGCTTTCATCAATTGATATCATGGAGCGGATCGTGCCCAGGACCAATAACATCACTTTCATCAGTTCCGTTTTCGGCATGTAGTTAAAGCATTTCACTGTCCACGGTAGATGTGTGCGTTGTTGAACACAGTAAATTGATTGATATCGCTATGATACATGCCAGCTGGTACCTGCAGGGTATCAATATCATCATGGAAAAGAAACTCTTGGTACAACATTGCTGTAGCGCTTTCACCCTCGGTATATTTCCTAAAAAGTTATACACGTTCAATTGTTATTAATCTAGAAAGGTATTTTGCTATTAAATGTTTCTAAATTTGATAATGTTTCTTATAGTAAATAATAGTAATGGGATATAAAGTGACAATTATAAGTTTTATACTATTGGTAATGTTAAATCATTATTAAATTATTGAAGCTGTCTGGATTATTTATAAAACACGTGTCAACCCGCTCCCCTGCCTTGCTGCCTGTATGCCTCGCCTGCCTGAGGGCATTCCTGGGGATCAACAGCGAATTGAGTGGAATAATAAATAAAAATGCATCTAATATATGTTTGTACTGGCCTACCTCATCTACCTAAGTACAATTTTTAAGGGTCGACAGCATGTCAAATAGAGTGTGGAGTAAATATATATCTTGTTATATATATCAATCGATATTTTAAGAGATATAGGGGAGAATTTATATAGAAAGAATATACACGCATACATATATGAATAAATAAGAGGAATATTAAATAAGCAATGCACTTAGTCAATATCAATCTAAATGGTGCTCGGTCTTATTAGTACTTACTTAAAATGGAATTAGCTTAATTAGGAAGGTGTATATCTATATCGTTATGCAACCAGAAATATTGTAAGATTTAGAAATGTTTCTTTCACTGCCATGTATCAAAGAAAGTTTTGGTAGACATTTTGGAAATGTGATATTTTGTCCCGCGTTCCCAAAGTTCCCACGTTCCTGCACCTCTCTCTATTGTTCTTGATGCGAACAATCTATATGCAGTCTGGTGAATCCTCGAGTATATGTATATATTCTTGACGTGAACTCATTTTTGGCTTATCGCTAGGGAAGCTGAAAATTAAATTACTGAACAGGTCTCTCACTGAAGCAGACATAGTCATCATCGGTGGTGGATAGCTGGACTGGTCCGGTCCTAGCTTCCCGTCTCTCAGAAGACCCCAATCTCCAAGTTCTCGTCCTCGAAGCAGGCCAGGACATGCGAGGGGATACTCGTGTGACTACACCAGCGTTGTGGCCGGGATTGGTTACTAGTGACGCAGATTGAAGTTTTACCACGGAGCCACAGGTAAGTCGATTCGTTCTTTAGGGCTACGAGTGACCGTGGGGGTTAATGATACGCATAGCAAGCGCTCAACGGCAAAGTGCTCGCACTGCCTCAAGGTTGTCTTCTCGGAGGAACAAGTGCCCTGAATGATCAAGCTTTCATTGCAAATTCCAAAGCAAATGTCGACGATGGGCTAAGCTGGGAAGCCCTGGATGGGACTGGGAGGGACTGAAGCCCTACTATCAGAAAACATACACAGTAAAATTGCCGTCAAAGGAAGCACAAGAACGATTGAAATTTCAATATGTGGATAAAGAGATAGTCGATGCTTCTACTGGGCCGATTCGGACCCTATCGCGGATACTTGGATTTAGTCGTTCCAGGAGTTAGCGAATCAAATGACGAGTGATCCTTTCTTAGGACAGGCATGTGGTGGTTACATTAATGCAGCATCAATAGATCCGGCTAAAAATATTCGTAGCTATACGGCAATGCGTATTCCGAACCGGTCCAAGAACGCAGCAACCTTCATCTCGTGGCCCGGGTTGTCGTCGAGAAGTGGATTCTCAGCCCACCAAGCACACCGCAAGCAGAACTGATTGCGACAGGCGTTCAGGATTAACATGACGCTAAGTCACGTAGTGTTACAGCACGTCGCGAAGTTATCTTGTCTGCTGGTGTTTTCAACTCTCTCAAAATCCTCGAACTGTCTGGTATGGGCACGTGTGATTCTGGTAAAACACAAAATCCCCGTCTTAGTTACAGTGTAAACGTTGGGGAGAACTTGCAAGACCATGTTCTGGCTGGTAATAGCTCAGAAGTGCGAGAATATGTCCCTACTAAAGACAGTATGATGCACCGCGATCCCAATGTTCTCCAAACCGCCATGGAGGACTATCAGATTCATAAAGTCCGGCCCGTTCACTGTAGGAGGTAACTATGCAACTGCTCTTCTCCCACTCCCCGACATAGCTGAAGATAGGTCCGTGTTCAACAATATACTGGATAGCACTTCTTCCTCCCTGGCAACGGGAAGTCATTCACGCTCGATTATCCAGGATCCCCAAGGAACCACTGGTGGGTTTTTCGCCTCCCTAACCCAATTCGACTTTATGAGTAGCCACAAGAAGGGCAAGGGTATTACAACACCACTGCCTTGAAATTACATGACAATTTGTGTCCAGCTACATCACCCGTTTGTCACGCAGTCAACTCCTAGAGTACGGTATATGCGATTGCTGAGAAGGCGGCTGATTTGATTCAGGAGGATCTGAGCGATCCGGAAGGCAGGTATTCATAATTATGCTTATATAACAAGTGGAGGAAATAGCAAGATTGATGAGGGTTACATAACGTATCGAGTTCTAATGGAAAGTATCTCTGCGGCCGTGTTCCACAAGTTGCATATATTGATACTTAGAGCCGTCATATCGCGCTAATATCAGCAACATGATAAAGTGTTAATGAATATTGACCGCTAAGACTCGACCAAGTCGAAAGAATCCATGGCCGACCTGCACCAATCAGCAAGTTAGCTAGTTATGGAAAGACTACTATGCCAGTGATTAACCGTTATCGTATATCCGTAGAGAGAATGTTGGTGAGATGTTCGAGCTTCGCATTACTAATCACCTTATCAAACATCTAACTTAATTAGTTAATCATTTCAGTTTGTGATTGCGGTTAGCAATAATCAGAAACAACATATTGATACGTCGTCATTTTACAAGCGGGTGCTGATCATGCCTTCATTCACGCTAGTCGTGCTGTTCCATGCACCGTCTCATCTACGCGAGCTTCCAGGCTCGCATGAGGAAGACTGGCGCAGCGAATTGTCGATCTTCGGACTCAGCGGATGTTGGAATAATGACGGGACCAACGCAGGGCTAGAAAATCACGATAGAGCAGATGACCTCTGCTTATGCAACGAGGGGAGAAGATACTCCCAGTATTATTATTATTATTAGCTCATCGGCCTGACTGATCAGAAAAATTCAATTGCAAACCAGGCCGGGCGCCGGTCATGTGAGCGCGAGATCGTTATTAATACTCCAATACTCCTTGCTTGCTTGCCGCCTTGAGCTTTTGTGATTGACCAGTCACAGGCCCCGCGGAGGTAACAAATACAACGTGGGCTCCGTTACACCAGGCGGCATGCGCATAAATATCCGGGCGAGCATAGAATATCGTGTTCATGTCGAGGACGTCGGGCCTGGCGCGATATCCAGGATCAGCAATACCCAGGCTGGCTGTAGAAGTCGCCCTCGTGAGTCAGCATAATTTCGATAATAGCAACAATAATAAGGACGATGAAAATGGCCATAATAGTATTTAATAAATAGCCTGCGACCGCAAGCGATCAGGGCGGATGACTAAGGTTGGAGCACGACAGTTAGCTCCGTCCACTAAACTTACTTTGCAGAAACGCCCCGCATCGGCATTGTCGGCGTCGGCACTCGGAGTGCCCAGCGACGACAGAATATGCCTCATAGTACGTTGTAGTAGGGCTAGTACTTGTACTAGTACGTAATAAAGAGCCGAGTAGGTACTGTGCTCGTGCTGGAGAATAGTCATAATATGGATAACAGCTCGATGCAGGCGAGCCAGCGCCCTGGTGCAAACTGCAGAGCCAAACGGTGCGCAGTGAGAGGAACTGCAGTAGCTGAATAATAATGATTGATCCGGCTTGAGAGGCTCTGGGCGTCGATTGACTCACTCAACTCCGCCCGTGGCCCCGTCACATCGGCATGGAAGATCAGACATCACGATGGAGGCCGCTCTCCAGACGGCAGCACAGAGCAGCCGTGGCCGTAATGTGCTCGACGATGGGAATCATGATGAGGGATGAGGATGTAGGGCATAGTGATAGTGATAGGCGATAAGTGATAACTAGATGATAGCGATAGGAAGAGTAGGGCCAGCCCGCACATGACTGCCATAAACAGCCTAGCCCGCGCGATGGAGCCCGCCCATTCGCTCCTTCCCCAATCGAAGCTTTTCCCAATTGCCCTGGCCCATCATTACGTCTGTCTGTCTGTCGCTCTTCTCCCTTCCATATTTTGACTCAACTCGACCTTGACACTCTTCAACAAACCCCTCCACCCCCCCCAAACCTGCTGCTCTTCAGCTGTTCCTAGTCGTCGGGGCGTATCAATCGCTCCTGTCTTAGGTTAAGACCTTCTCATTTGTAGCCGCTCCGCTGCCGCCGCCGCCGCCGCCGCCGCCGCTGTTGAATCGTGCTGCTGCTGCTGTTTTCGTCACCTGCCACTGAAACCCTGCGATGAGCACCGTGCGTGGTGTTTGTCCTTGTGAATATATCGCCCCGTACACTGTGTACATCGTTTCTTATCGCTAGTTTGCGCTCGCTATCGTCCGCTTACAGAGTTTGGATAAGAAGTTTACTTTTGACCCTTTCCGTTGTATCATTGGTCTAATAATTCGCCGATCTTTCGTCGGCCTCGCAAAACTACACCCTCTCGTTGAATCATCTGCTGTACAAAGAGAAGAGAGAGAAAAAGAAGAAAAAGAAAAGAAATGCGCCTTTGAAAAGATATCGTACCAGTCCAGAGACTTGACATAAATTTTACACCCCGCCCGAGATCCCGTTGCCCGTCATCGAAATGGCTTCCCAATCTAGTCCGCTGAATTCGCCTGGCACTGAGAATAACGACGATGATCTTAGTGCGGTGCCAGATCCTGCGCACGGAGATGAAGGGGCCGACATTCACGATGAGATGCTAGACGATCATGCCGCATCGCAATTGCCACATAGCAAACAGGCTATCCCCATGCAGAAAAGAAGAAGGGTAACGCGAGCATGCGATGAATGCCGCCGGAAAAAAATTAAATGCGACGGGAAACAGCCATGTACTCATTGTACAGTGTATAGCTACGGTAAGTCCGTCTGCTCTCCCAGTCAATAATTTAATAATCGTTGATTGTATTGGCGAATTTTCGTGGCAACGACTGATCCATTCCGTAGACTGTACTTATGACCAGCCGTCAAATCGCCGCCGCAATCCCACCCCACAGCACATTGAAGCTTTAGAGTCAAGGCTGCATAGAGCGGAAGCTCTTCTTCGAATCTTAGCCCCGGATTTGAATATTAATGACCCCAGTCTAGACACCGCTAGCTCGCAGGAGATAGCCGCAATATACCGCCAGCAATCCCAGCTAGGAATATCACCCCCTAAACCGACATCTACTAATGCCCCTTCGCAAGAGCCTAGCAGTAGCGAATGCGCAGATGAGTCCCTTCTACAGACGATGATGGAAAATTCAGGCTCTCTGGATCTTGACGATCAAGGCCATTGGGACTACCATGGCCATTCATCCGGCGTCATATTCATGCAGCGCCTTCGAAAGCAACTCGGCAATTTTGTCACCCCACCCCGTGCCTTGTCCAAACCAAGATCGATATCACAAATTCTGGAGACTCCCAAATCGCAGTCTGAATCTCCCCAAGATTCAAGTCATAATTCAAACCTTCCTCCAACCCATGATCTACCACCGAGGAGCGTTGCAGATAAACTTTGTCGAAACTCATTCGACCATGCGTGTGTGTTAATGCGATGTCTTCACGAACCTTCTTTTTCTGCGATGGTAGATCGTATCTATGCCAGCTCTTGGGACCAATTTACCAACGAAGAGCACACCTTTCTGCCTCTGTTATATGTTGTGATGGCTGTTGGATGTCTCTTTTCAGACGACGTCGAGAGCACGCTAGATGTAGCAGGCTATGAAGGTGCAATCGGGCAAGGGTATGTCACTCTGTCATCAACCTAATTTGTTTTGCTTCTTGCTGACTTTATCACGTTAAGTTTTCAATACTTTAGAGCATGTCGGCAGCTACTGGACATCACAGACTGCCGCGACTTAACCACATTACAGGCTATCTGTTTCATGATTCTGTTCCTTCAGTCGTCTGCAAAGCTGAGCACCTGCTATTCATATGTTGGCATTGCATTACGAGCGTCTCTCCGATTAGGCCTCCATCGAACGGTTGCCGCTAATTTTAATCCAGTCGAACGTGAACTCCGTAAGCGGATCTTCTGGGTTGTTCGGAAAATGGACGTCTACGTTAGTACTCTTTTGGGACTGCCACAAATGGTGAGCATTGAAGATATCGATCAAGAATACCCATTGGAGATCGATGATGAATATATAAGCGCTGCTGGTATTATTCCCATGCCATCTGATACAACATCTTTGATGGCCGGCGCCAACGCACACACCCGCTTAGTAGACATCATCGTCAAGGTGGTCAAATATATCTACCCTGTGAAGCCCGCCAAATATCGCACAAAGTCTGACCACACGTACATGGTCAGTCATTCTAAGATTAGAGAGATTGAAAGAGACCTGCAGGCATGGATGGAAGCTTTGCCGTCTGCACTACGACCTGGCGATGAAGTGTCTACTGAATTAGAACGGTAAGATTATGCATTTCAAACTGAGATGACACACTGCTAACAATTTCAATAGGATGCGACAATTGCTCCGAATCAGCTACGCATATGTTCAAATGATTATGTACCGCCCGTTTTTGCATTATGTCTCGAATGGCTTCCAATCACAAGGTATCGACAAACGGTCTTATGCTTGTGCTGCGGCCTGCGTCAGCGTCTCCAGGAATGTCGTTCATATCACAGCAGGGATGTACAAAAGAGGCCTCCTCAATGGTTCTTACTGGTTTACCATGTACACGACATATTTTGCTATTCTGTCATTGGTTTTCTTTGTTCTTGAAAATCCGGACTTGCCCACAGCTAAAGATAGTGTCCTCAAAGATGCTCTGGAGGGTAAAAACACCTTGGCAGGATTGGCAAAGAAGAGTATGGCCGCTGATAGATGCGCCCAAAGTCTCAATGTAAGAGCTCATCGTTTGGATAGGATTAGATTTACCCTATGCTAATTTTTTTGCAGTCACTTTTCAAACAGCTTCCCGAGAAGTTGAAGACTCGCCAAAGCTCAACAGCTAATCCGGTGAACTTGAAACGTCCAACGCCATCAAGCATAGCCTCTACGCCTAGAACACAAGGGAAACGTCCGTCATCCATGCATTTACCGCTTGGGGCACCACAGCGGTCGAACTCCTTCCCATTACAATTAAATGCTGGGCAATCAAAAACACCACCGGAATCCAACAGCAGTCCTTCGAGTGTCGATGACAATCGCTTATTCGACCGATCTCAAACATGGCATACCAACGGGACTCCTCTGAAAGTCGAAACTTTTGCATCTCCGTCTCCTGTGTTGCCGAACAACCCAACTCCGACGCTTTCCAGCCATTCACAGTCTCACAGCCGGCAGCCGTCGTTGCAATCACAAGGGCTTGACAGCAGTCAAAATTTACCGGATCTTATGCCAATTATGTTTCCATCTAATGATCCGTTTGCATATCCCACACAGCCTCTGTCCACTCTTGAGGATAGGCATTTCAAGGACGAACTGTCATCAGCATCGTACCTTAGAGATCCAGTTCTTCAAAACTCTTCGGCTTTATCCAGTAACAACGCGTTTTCAAATGTTACTTCTGGCTTTGACGGCTACCCTGGTATATACGGACTACCTGCCGCAGCTTCTGCGAGGCTGCCTTCCACACTTCCTTCTCAGTTTCAACATCTGGGTTTACAGTCTCAAGTGCAATCTCCTAGTCCTCACTCTTCAACACCCGAAAAAATCCAAAGCCCTGATTTGGTTTCTCTTCCTCACCAGTTTATGTGGCAAGGTTTTGGGTTTCCCAACCAGAGTGCTGCTCCAAATACGACTCAGCAACCAATGTCGGGATCACAAGATGTGCAAACAGACGCAGCAGTCGGCAACGAGTTTACTTGTATGGGTATGGGCCTCGATATGGACGTTAACCTTGATGATGTCTTTGGTAACATGGGGACAAATATGGTAAGTAATCAGGCCATGAACGACGATTGGAGTCAGTGGATGAATAGTGGATCTTGAAAATTTTTTTTAATTTTTTTTTAATTTTAAAAATACAACGGGTTTGGAATTGGGTTATGATTCCTTTTGAGGATGCGAGCTGGCCTCCTTGGCATTGTTTTACGTTGGGTGCATACGATTCGGTTTGTCATTTGCTATGATTCCGAGACCAAGACGTCTCTTGGTCTTCAATTCGGCGTCAGGGGAGGATTTGAAAGACGGTACAAGTCGCAATAGTTATGTTCTTTTCAATGTGCTTTTATTTCTAATTATCAGTTGTTATTTGAGCTTCCACGGCGAAGGACCATCTTGCCTGCGGCGAACAGAATGTCGTCAAAGGCCCATGGTTTTTTGAGGACATCTCTGAAAATGCCTAAAGACTAATTTACAAAAAGAACTAATGAAGCTACCTAAATCAAATGTACATTCAAAGGTAAACTAACTAGCATTGTACCTTATATTTAACTATGTAGAGTGGAGTGGTAGCCTATCATTTATCACCACATTGCCATTGCCTGATTGGATGATCAGATCTATTAAGACGTTTGTACCTCATATACTCATTATTTTCGTATTCCAACGGTATCCAGAGATGGATATCATCAATTCACCGGGGTTTATCCCTATCCATACAGACCCAGTCACGTCATCGAGCCAGGCGATGGAATCATGCAGCATTAGCTGCATTAGCTGCATTCAACTCACTACGAGTGTCTCCGCCAGATGAATTCATACGCACAAAAGTGTAAGTTGGATGGGGCTTCTGGGGATTTTGAGACATAACAAAATTCCGTGTCCTAGAGCTAATTGGTTACAAGTATATGTGTTGACGGCTAGATCCGACATATATATTGTCAGACTATTTAACCTAGCTAGGAAATTAATCACGCGACATATGGCTAAGAGCCACACATGTTTCAAATACTCTCATGAACTTGAGAAATTCTTGTTAGGCCTTGCGAGAAATCTGGTCTTCCGCTCTATAACCCAGCCCACCATACATATGTACCTACTTAAGACGAAATGAATACCCAGCCAATAGAATTTGAGAAACGGGATGCCACTGAGGACGAAGTCGAAAGCTTACCGCATGTCGTTGACTCCCTGCCATTTGTCGTCTGGATTGCTCTGGTAGCCGGTGGCGCAGAAAGGTTTACGTTCTATGCTGTCACAACGCCTTGGCGTAAGTTGCGAGTCTCTTCGACTGTTCAAACACGAGAACAACTAAACACTGATTATTTATAGAGAACTACATGCAGTATGATCAGAATAGCATTGCAGTCCCCGGTGCTTTAGGGCTTGGCCAAGCAACCGCCTCAAACCTCTCTAGTGCCTTTTACGCTTTTACATTCTTGATCTCTGTGCCATTCGCTATTCTGTCAGATGCCTGGTTGGGACGTTATAAAACGTTATGTATTTGCTTTTTGTAGGCCTCCTGTTTAGTTTTTTATCGCTAGCTGAACTGAACTGTCGATAGTCTTAATTTTTGCGGCTGCTTGGTGCTTTGTGTTACTTCGCTTCCTGCTGTAACAGAACATTCGATCAAACTTTTCGGACTGGCACTTGCAATGGTCCTTCTGGGGCTTGGAACAGGAGGGGTTAAAGCGACTATAACTCCATTTATAGGTGAGCCTGTCCTTGACCATCGCGATATGTGATAAATTCTTGTTCAGCAGTCGATTGGGCTAACCATCTATTGTATAGGAGACCAATATCCAACTATGAATCCGCAGCTGGTCACCACAAAAACCGGTGAGCGAGTCATCGCGGATCGAATGTTAACCCTTCAATATATATATAATGTTTTCTATTGGTGAGGAATGTTCATAATTCGCCAAGACCTGCATCAAGCTTACCTTCATGTTCATTGTAAGGTTTACCAGCATTGCAACTCTATCTCTAATTGCCTCGACGTATTTAGAGAAAGACGTTGGATTCTGGGCCGCTTACCTTCTGCCTCTGTGTTCAGTCTGGATTATAGTTCCTCTATTATTCTTCTGGTACAAACCGTTAGGTATGAAAAAAACACCCAGTTCCCGTCATTCGCCGGAGATGCTAATTATCGATCAAAGTGAAGCTACCACCACAGGGAAACGTTCTGTCCCAGGCATCAAAAGTCATCATGTGCTCAGCTCGAGAAGGATTTCGACTAGACGCAGCAAAACCCGCGTATCAAGCAGAAAAGTACAGAAGGGAAGTTGAATGGGACGACTTGTTCGTTTCGGAGATTAGAAGGGGGCTTAATGCCTGTAAGGTCATGTTCGTTCGTCCTAGCTCATACTTCAAATTCATCGCTTACCAAATCCTAACCTAGGGCCTGCTTCGTGCCATACCACCTGTGCAACAACCAAAGCGTTAATAATCTAATCACCCAAGCCGGACAGATGCGACTAGACGGCGTCCCCAACGATACCATCAAAGCCTTGAATCCTGTTGTCTGCGTTCTACTCGGTCCCGTAATGCAAAAACTTCTCTATCCGACGCTCCGCAAGCTCGACATCCCATTTCGGCCAATTGCTCGTATGGCGTGGGCATTCATAACGATGAGCGCATCCATGGCGTTTGCAGCGGGGATACAAAAGCTAATCTATACACGAGGCCCGTGTTATGAGCATCCGCTTGCTTGTCAAGCCTCAAACGGTGGCAGCGTACCCAACGACATCAGTGTGTGGGTGCAAACACCCGTGTACTTCCTGCTCGCATTCGCGGAGATCTTGGGCTTTACGACTCTGTCCGAGTATAGCTATTCTGAGGCACCCAAGAATATGCGTACTTTGGTGCAGGCATTGGGACAAGTCAGCTCGGGCGTTGGATCAGCATTGGGTATGGCTGTGTCGCCGCTGTCGGATGATCCCAAGGTTATGTATTTGTACACGGGTTTGGCGACGGTGATGGCTGTCTGTGCGTCGATTTTCTGGTTGGTGTTTAGAAAATACGACCGGAACTGAACAACTATAGGAGCTTTCGCCATAGAATCTTTGTTCCATAGGTAGTTATCAATTCAAGAGACAAATTCACGGTTTATCAATCTGTAAAGCAGTTCTAGACAGACAGTCAGAGGAGCGTAGTTACTACAGTAGTATGGTTGGTTGGTGGAGACTCCGCAACGGAAGGCGGCGGCCCACCGCACCTTCCTGTATGTACCTCGACGGCCTCTGCAGAAGCTGGACGCTGGCGAGACCATGCCGGCCATTCCTCATTTTTCTTCGCTTCTTTACTGGGCATTCTACCTGGTCCCGGTCTATCTATTCATAATTGTCCCGGGTCTTCGCGCTCTCTTTCCACACCAAACCCCAGGCCCGTTACTGCAAGATGACTTCTACGACGACGAATTTACTGGCGGGCTAGAGTCTGTGGCGGACGACACAGAGTATGCGGCGCTCAGCTGCCCCGAGGACCCTTACCGCGTACACATATTTTCTCGCACGCCGTTGATTGTATATATTGAAAATTTCCTGAGCGAATCCGAGACAAATCACCTGCTGGATGTGAGGTTCGTGGATGTAAACCAAGTGCGGAGAATCGAGACTAATCTCCGGGAACAACTGTAGTGAAGGCAAATACAAGCCGTCGAGCATATACAACGGCGATTCCGAACGAGTTGATTTTTCTGTGCGCCGTTCCGACCGCGCTCTACTCGACCGCGACAATGTCGTGCGGTGCTTGGAAGAACGAGCCCGGTCGTTCCAGGGCTGGCGGCCCTATCTACATATCGAGCAGATGTGGACGCAAAGATACAACGTCTCGGGTCACTATCGACACCATTTCGATTGGTCGGGGTCTGGCGGCGCGGGCGACCGCGTGAGCACGTTCATGGTATACTTGCAAATGAATGGTACGGGCGGAGGGACGAATTTCCCTCGCTTACGGAGGCCTAGGGGTGCAGAATGGTGTCGGTTCATCGAATGCGATGACGTTACTGGCAAGAATAGTCCAGATCGCCTCAAAGGTATCACGTTCAAACCAATCGAGGGGAATGCCATCTTTTGGGAGAATCTCCGCGCGGACGGCTCTGGGTACCTGGAGACTTGGCATGCGGCGTTACCAGTGTTGTCTGGGACCAAGGTGGGAATGAATATATGGAGTTGGAACCAGCCGCCGAGTCGGTAGTTTCTGCTCTACCAGTATAAACGTGGGGTGAGCGGCCCTCGAATTGTGATTTAAGCCAGTTTGATAGAAAGTAGATGGAATACTAGTGTACATATCGACCAGAATAAGCTGTCGTCATGCTACGTGCACATCTGCTGCATCTACCAGGAACACTCATATTATAAATATGCGCTTGCATGTAGAATCCACCAACAGTTCTCCAGTCCGACCCTCCTGGACCTGTGCTGGTACTAGTATTACGCCGTCAGCAAGACACGGTCGCCACATATTCCCCCAAAGAATGATAATTCCTGTCCGCTGCCAAGCATCGATCTTTTGCTTGGCCGCTGGCGGGCCAAGAAATTCCAAGGAGGAGAAGAGTGAGATCCAACACTGCCCCTTCAGCCGTCAGCATGTCGCAACAAACTTTATTATTTTGGGATATTCAATACTGAGTGATTGCGATGATGCACGAGGCTTGCTTGTATGGGCCCTGGCGAGATATTATTGGCTGGCCGGCGCCGGAGTGCTATTTACGGTTATCCGACTGGCTAGCAGCCATCCATGAATACATATCACATGGAGTTGACAAACGACTAATTATTAATTACTCCATGGGCGAACAAGCCGAAGCCATTCGATGCTAGTATCATCGCACATCTCTACACTCACATAGCATATGTTTGAATATAGTAGCATGTTGTAAGGTTTTCTACCTTTAATCTGCGTTTATGCCAAATAACGTCCGACTAAAAATGTATCAGTCTACGTAAGCACACTCAGTAATTTGCCAAGCAATGGTAACGCCACGCTAGTCTGGCCAGGGCCCCTGCAATGCAACCCGTATACAGCATTATATTCATTCACGGCCATTGCCAGTGCTCTTATAATACTGTTGACTGCGGAAATAATCATAATCATAAATCCATTTATTACAAGGACTATTCTCATAATCATAATTACTTGCACAGTAATGAATGTTCAGTACGGAACGGCTACACAATTCTGCCGAGCAGCCCCATCCCCCACCTGCTTATTGGCTCGGTGTGGCCTGGGCTTTTCTTGGCGCTCGCTAGTTTCTGCGTAGTCAGCAGGTCCTATCTCCTGATTGGCCCTCAGCGGCTAGCGCCAAGGAATGACTGTCTTGGCCAGCGAGCCCTTGTCAACTCCGCCCTGGGCTTTCTGGGCTTTCTGGGCTTTCTCGGCTTTCCTCCCCCCTCCCTCCCATGCTTCTTCATACTACCGAGTTGCTGTTGATGTGTTAGCCAATTCCATAATAAGCTCACATACTGCCTGTTGTCCACTTACCCACTCCCTCCTTCCCTCCCTCCTCCTTCCTGTCTTCTCCCAAACCGCGGCTTCTATTCTTTCTCTACTCTACACTCTCTGCTTTCGTTCTCGCCTGTCGTGAGAAGAATATATCCAGAGCATAGTCGCCAGGCGAAACAAGTCTGCGTGATTTTGGCTGGCAGCGTCCAGTCTAACCCCCGACGTTACGCGACTATTGTTTGACATTATTTGACCGGCGCCCCTCTCCATTCTTTCGGCCTCCTTTCATTCTCCCTGTTCTTTCTACCTCGAGTATCCCTAGGGTCGCCGTGCTCGAAAGATCAGAACCAGGCGTCGTTTTTTGTTCGTCTGTGTTTTTATTGATATCTTGTCTTGCTTTGCCTTGGCTTTCTCCCGCTGAATACCAAGACTCACGTGGCTTGGCAGCATGGCCGACGCAACACCCGCGACTTCGGCTCCTCAGGCCACCACCTCCCCTGCTGCTGCTATTCCGTCGCAGTCGCCATACCCAACCACATCGCAGAGCTCTGATTCGACGCCATCGACGACTGCATCCGCTGCCCAGGCCCAGGCTCAAGCCGCCGCCGCTGTGGCCGTGGTCGGCAACCAGAATGGCACAAACGGCAGCACCGGCGAGGAGTTCCCTTGTATGTGGCAGGGCTGCAGTGAAAGGTGTACCAACCCTGAAGCACTTTATGTAAGTTCTCCAAGCTCATGTCTCGTCGCGCGCACAGTGTACTGACGAGCGCAACAGGAACACGTCTGTGAGAGACATGTTGGTCGCAAGTCGACCAACAATTTGAATTTAACTTGTCAATGGGGAAACTGTCGCACGACAACTGTCAAGCGCGACCATATCACCTCACACATCAGAGTGCATGTTCCCTTGAAGCCGCATAAGTGCGACCTCTGTGGCAAGGCCTTTAAGCGACCCCAGGATCTGAAGAAGCACGTCAAAACTCACGCAGATGACTCGGTGCTTATCCGCTCCCCGGGGCCTGACTCGAGAGGCCAGGATGCTCCCTTTGGCATAGTCAGTAATCCGAAAGGTCAGTGACGGAGCAATCAAAATGTCCCCTCTTCGAGGAGCTAACTATTGGATAGGATTTCCTGCTGGCGGTCATTACTTCGAGCAATCGCTAAACCCAGTTCATGCCGCTCCAGGCTATCATCAGCCTCCTCAGTACTATCAAGGACAACCGCACCCACAACCTAACCCAGCTTACGGAAATGTGTACTACACTCTTAATCAAGGCGATAACCCATCGGCTTATGACTCGCGCAAGCGCATTTTCGAGTCAGTGAACGATTTCTTCGGCGATACCAAACGCAGGCAGTTCGATCCTACCTCATACGCAGCTATTGGACAACGCCTAGGTGGTTTGCAAGGATTGCAGCTACCTATGAGTACTGGCCCTACCCCCGAGTTTCACGGAATGCATGGAGCGGTCGGCGTAGCTCATGGCGGTTACGGCCCAGCTTTGGCTGCTCCTGCCTACCATTTACCCCCAATGTCCAATGCACGCACCAAGAATGATCTGATCGAGTTGGACCGCATGCTCGATACCATCCACACTACAGTTTATGAGAACGACGATCATGTCGCGGCTGCAGGCATTGCTCAACCTGGTGCTACATACGTACCCCGAGCAAACTACGGAACTACACACCAATCACCGCCTGTACAACTCCCGTCGAGCCACGCAGTGGCAGCAACTACCCATACATCGAATGCCTCTATCATCGCCGCAAGCTCTCCAGGAAATACCCCCGCTTTGACACCTTCTAGCACTGTATCCTACGCTTCAGGACACTCGCCGAGCTCGTATTCACAGCGTGTCACGCCGCCACAAGAAATGGCCATGTACCCGCGCCTGCCATCAACAAGCGCTCATGATATGGCCTCAAACTACGTGACCTCAGCCAATGCTGCTACCCCTTCCACCCTGGGCAACAACGTTGACTATAACGACCGTCGACGCTGGACCGGTGGTGTCCTAGAACGCAGCCGCCCTGACGATTACCAAAAGATATCGGAGCTTGACGGAGTGGATGATCGCGAGCGCACTCCAACCGGAAAGGCCCACCCTGAAGAGGCCAAAGAAAACCAGAAGTTCCACAATAGCCTCATCGACCCTGCATTACAGCAGGAGACTTCTTCTCCCAATGCGGAAACCGCGAAGCGGACTGCACAGGCTGCTACCGATGCTGCTAAGAAATCAGAGGAGGAGTGGCTAGAGAACGTCAGAATCCTCGAACAACTGCGTGCTTATGTTAAGGACCGTCTCACTCGTGGAGATTACGAGAGTGGAGATCATGCTGAGGCTAGTGAGAACCAGCGTCCTGCGTCCGAAGCGCGGTCAGACCAGATGGAGGGTATCGAACACACATCTGCAGAAGAGACTGCCAAATCTGCCGAGAGCTTGATCAAGTCAGCAGGTATAAACAATACGACTGAAGAACAAGCGAATGGCTTGTATCCGGTACTAAAGGAAGTCGAGGATGACGGGGACTCGAAAATGGAGTAAATTTGCTTCGATGTCGATTATTGGAATTCATTTTTTCTCTGGCACCCTTTCCTAGGACATTATATGACCTGTTCAATCATTTTTCTTTATTTGCTCCTCTTCTTCACCTTGTCTTTTCATTATCTTGGTTCACTCGGAGCTTTAGGGTGGTTTGTTTATATGTAAAGCCTTTGTTTCCTCTTGGAAACTTTCAGAATCGCAAACTCAACGCATAACTTTGACAACTTCTTATTTCCATATTCCCTTACTTCGTGTTTTCTATTTCAAAGTACCCACCTCTGGGCACGAGACCGTTGCGTTTGTTTGGTTCATGTTGACGAATCCAATTCACACAACATTTTTCTGATCAGTGAAGAAAATTGGATACTTTGCATCCTTGCATTGCTCCTGATAGACACCGTAAATGTACTACAGCAGAATAACAAATGTTTGTATATAGCACCATAAAGTCTGGTGCATAAGGTAAAATTTCCCTCTACATACTGATACTAATAATATTTGAGCTTTTGGCATTGTCTTGGCGGGGTCTTGAGAAGTCTATTTTCGATTTAGCATAAATCGGTGTAAATGCAGATGAAACGCAGAGAAAACTAATACTACTAGTACATATCTAATATTCTATCAGCGTACATGTACTACATCGGCTAATAAATGTAGGGTTGTAGATCGATACGCAGTGCCGAGATTAGGTTGACGGTAAGCGGGGTCAGTGCGAGATCTAATGCAGAGATAGCCTTGTAGGGCAGATTGGAAGACTTATGATCTACTTATAGAATGGATCTGCATATACTAGACTAACGACTAAGTGTAATCTACGTGGTGAGATCTATATGCACCGGTCTGTCATGTCCTGATGGTGGTTTTCATCATAACCCTGAAAGAGGGCAAGTTCTCTGTGAGAAAAAGATTGATATAAACATTTGAAGTGAAATTGAGGCTATCTGGTGCCGTATATTGTCTTCTTGGCATGTGTAGTTTATTGAGTTGGTTTCAATTTTCTTATTCTGATTAGTGCCAGTTGTGAGGCTGGTGGTTGAAGATATGTCATTGTGACTGTTAGAAGATTTAAAGGTCTACATATGTGTATTATAAAAACACTCAATTCACAGTCCTGTCATCAACTGATAGATATAGCAATAAATACTACTTTCAAGCCTTCGAGGACTTCACTTCCACATTCAATATTTTGGACCAAAAGGCCAAGGTTGACGAAAAATGAAGCTACCCTCGGTTACCTTCCCTGCCCTCTTTTTCGTCTTATAACATGTCATTGCTGGACCAGTGGGCTACGGCATTTGCCAGGCTGGCTGTGCAAGTATTGCAATGGCCTACTATGGAGCAGCAGATTTAACTTGGGGTGCTACCTTAGGCGCTACTGCACCGGTGTCGGTGGTTGCGTACAATACAGCTTATTGTGCTGCTGTCTTGCTGACTCCGACACCCTGATGGTGAGGTAGGGAGGCTGTTCTTTTTGTTTGGGGGTATAACATCATATGGCGCTATGGCTTACGGGAGTATGCGCTAAGCTTTATAGTATTGGAAAGCAAGCTTATAGTTTGGGGAGGAGGGGTGGGGAAGGAGTGGAGTGCCAGTATGGAAATTCTAGTAGTGGGAAAAGAATTTTAATGATGCATGCCTTGGGGCATTACGTGATGAGATTGAGAGTTTTATGTAAAATCATAGACGAGGAAAAATACCACCATTTAAGATATTAATCAGGCTTTCTAATGATTGGTATAAATCAAAGCTTGGATAATTCTTGAACATGTACTTGTTTTGATGGTATAACGCAATCTGAGGAAAAGAGTAGTCTAGCTCTAAACCTTCTGCTGTCAACCTCAAATAGCGCCGTTACGACCAACGAAATGAACAGCTTAGATCATACAAGTGAATTAATAAAGAAACCACTTCTGATCCATGTGGGGGTTCATGAACAGGAAAGATACGATCCACAGGAGGTAGTGTGTAAGATTCATGAGACTCGTTAACCACAAATCTCTGCTAGTCCACCATGTCTCGAGATGGTGCGTACTGAAAGCTTGAGTCGCGTCGAGAATTATTTTGAACAAGCTCAACTGTATCATCGTGGTTGTCTAGCCTATGGAAGGAATTTTCACTTCTAGTCTTTGGGTATGCTCCCGTTGAAGGGTTAACACTATTCGGCGAGGATTTTTAAATGATTTCGCGCCAGATAAACTTTATAAGTGGTTGATAGGCGATTAGACACGCGGTAATCTGATACATTCCAGTTTCGATTTCAAACCAGAAGCGGATCACGGTTGCAGACCAGGTTGCATCCTTCACAGCATTCGTATTGGAGACGTCATATATAGTGATTATGCAAGCAACCAGAGCACTGTAGACATTTCATTGAATTAATGAATAAAGGATAATATCAATCTAAGCAAAGGAGATGTTAACTAGTATAAACACTGAATAGGGTTAACAAATCACGTGGAGTAGGCGTTCCCGCCTTGTTGCCTGAGGCATAAATTCACGTGCTCCACCGGGACCTTGAAGGTATACTTCGAAGATAGAACTCGTCTTGCTAACTCGAAATCGCAAGTTCTGTAAAAAGCGATCAAATATTGCTGAGGGCCAGAAGATGCAACATCATGAACAAGCAGATGCAACTTGGTACTATGTAATGTACAGGGCATAGACTTCCATATCGGAACTAGATTAATGGAGGAAGGTCGATGAAACCACAATAAACAATTCAAGAAGAGCAAAAGATAATTCATAACTATCAATTAACACATGTAACATAAAGCAAGTCCGTTCTGTAAACGTCCTCCTCCGCAGTCGACAGCCCCGGCCGTTTCCGGCGATGCCAAACAAGTCGGCCCCAAAACGGAAGATGAAGCAGGACGAGTCGATGTTCTCGTCCATCTGCGACTGTGTAGGCTCTCCGGAAAAGGTCGAGTTGGAAACAAACAGTAAGAAGTGGTACCCCTTCCTCCCTTGGCCGGAATAGTTTTCGTATATAACGACCGACTCACAGCTAAATCGCTTTCCCTTCCTCGATTTTTTCTTCTTCTTTTTCTCCTTCCTCTTTCTTCTTTTGGCAAAGGAAAGCGGCGTGGAGATTCGACTGGCATTGGCTGAACCAGAAAGTGCGGCTGGCCACCGTTCCAAAGGACCGGGAACACAAATCAAGTAGCGTGTGGTGGTGGCGAGAACTGCGCCAGAAGGAAGAAAAATACATCACCTCGCCGCCTATCATCACTGGCTCGATAAGCACTGGGGCTTGTCACGGTACTTGCAATCGGTGTTGGTTGTGGTTTTCCGTCTTTCTCTTGGCCTCTGGTTCCCATTCCTTCTTTAGCATCTTATCTTCGCTTCTCGAGCAATAAGGTGAGTGCATTCTGTGTTTGTTTGGTGTGCGTCATAGTGCGTGCCATCCTGGGGAGATTATAAGGGAAAAAAATTTAAAAAAATAGTGACTAGCGACTGATGAGGCACGCTGATTGATGATTGATGGTTGATTAGTACAAGGAAACACCTAGTACTTACACTTGACGCACGTCGATCTGTTCCCGCCGCCCGCAAACGCTCGCCGAGTTCCCACATCATCACAAACAACAACGCCAACCTCCAGATTCAACGACGAGTAGCCCCGTCCAGCACACAGATCAATTGCTGGCGTGTCAGAAAATATACAGTATACACTATCGCGCTGCAGGACGACAGCACAACGCCTCGCCTTTCATCGCCAGCCTGTGGTGGGCCGGCCGACAACAACATGCCGCTCTCCAGCAGGCGTCGCACGCGCCGCAACGATGTTCGCCTACAAGAAACATCCGACGCGGAGGCCCCGGATTCTTCTCCCAGCCGTCCGGCTAGCAAGAAGCGCAAGGTCAGTTGCTCTACCCCTTTCCTCGCTTTCCACACCTTTCTTCCCAGCCGGTGGCGGCTTTTGCTGACGCGATGCGGACTCGCATAGGTTGAGTCAAGACCGCCTTCAGGCCAAGTTCACACTCCAGAACCTACTAATGCTGACGATGCCGACCGCTCGTCGCCGGATAATGATCTATCGGCAAATCAGGATCTAGTCGAGACCGTCATTGCGTCGCTGAATGTTGCGAGGGAGGAGGTCAACGTGGTGCGTGATCATTCCAATACCAGAGCCGAGAATAAGCAGTCGATCCGGGCATATGCAAAAATCGCCGGCCGTGACTGGACCTACTACGTCAAAAGCCTACATGTCAACATTGGACGCCCTCCAGATCGGGACCAGAAACTCGACGAACAGTCCAGTCCGGTCACAATCGCCGCCCGTGCACTACCAGAGGTGCATGTAGACCTGGGCCCAAGTAAATTTGTGTCGAGGCTACATGCCGAGGTATTTTTCGATGGCGAAGAGTCTGCTGCATGGCGCATTCGGGTCAACGGTCGCAACGGAGTACGAGTCAACAATACGATGTTGAAAAGAGGATCGGACGGGGTGTTGAAGTGTGGTGACATTATTGAAATCGCCAACACTCAAATGATGTTCGTCACGCCGGGCGACAAAGCCACCATTCATCCCACATTTGTTGATCGTGCTCAACGGATTGCTGCCGGCGAAGAAGTGCCCTGGGACGCCTCGCACCATGCTCACCCCTCCCAGGATGCCCAAGCTGGTCGTCAGAACGAGAATACCGCCCACACGATAGCTACTTCCGGTGCTTCGACAGGGAAACCATCGCTGGCACCTGCACCCCAATTCCTGAAGCGCCAGGTTACTCCTCCTCCACGGTCTCCCGACACCGCCGGTGGACATACCGCCAAGCAATCCCCATTGTATAATCGTGGTATGATGATGGAAAGCACCGAAGAAATCGACTACAGCCAAGATTCTGCCAAAGATCTCAAGCCACCGTACAGCTACGCCACCATGATCGCGCAGGCCATCTTTTCAAGCGAGGAGGAGAAGCTTACATTGAACAGCATTTATCAGTGGATAATGGAAAAATACGCCTTTTACCGCCATTCTCAGAGTGGCTGGCAAAACTCGATTCGACACAATTTATCGCTCAATAAAGCATTTCAAAAGGTTCCACGGAGGACGGACGAACCAGGAAAGGGCATGAAGTGGATGATTGCAATGGAATATCGCCAAGAATATTGGAAGAAGCAACTTCGAAAGGGCAATAACTCATCGGCACCATCTTCACCAGCTACTAAAGAACCTTCCTCATCTCGCGGTACAAATGGACAGGCTGGTTCTAGTTACGAAGGCATATTCTCTGCCACCAAAACCTCCCCCCAAGCGCCATCACCTGGGTTTAGCTCATTCTCGGTAGCCCCTGTTGAAGCTTACACTCCGGAGAGGGGCTCAAAGCTCGGACGATCAGCACCTGACCTTCCACGCAGTGGTAATGCCGATTATGAAGAGCCTTCTCCTCTTCCGACGCGAACACGCCACAACGGGGTCGCAGCAAACCGTGCCTATGGTCTTTCTGACAATGCGGCCGGTTCGCCTCCCGTCTTGTCTTCGTCGTACTATGATGAGGGACCATCGTCGATGATCACCCCAGCTCCACAGCGACAGCAGCCTCGTCTGCCACCTCCCAGCACTGCACAAATACCTTCCAAGTTCATGCCCATGAGCTCCCCGGCGCAATTCTGGAAGTTTGCTGATATCGGGAGCACACCGGCGCGGCCGGTACCCGATATGAGCCCGTTGAAAGCAGGTGTTGGGGCGTTGGGTGATGGGTTGATGCCGAGCAGCAGTCCTCCTCCAGCGAACCTTGGAAGTCCTAGCAAGCCCGGTATATTGAGCGGAAGGACACTCGCACCAATCAAGAGGGAGGAAGAGCACGATATTCAGCCCGCTCGAGCAGGTCCAGATGAGGATGAGGAGGAAGACGAAGGATTTGATTTGGCTCGGTGAGTTTCGACTGCTCTTTTCCATATATTATTCAATTTCTAACATTCTATTTAGGGGCTTTCAACCAATCGGATCTTATCATCGACAAATCAACAATTCGGCGCGAGCAAGCGCTACATCTTGAACCTAAGCATACACAAACATTTCACAAACTGGGGGTATAAATTCGATTTTGGGAGTAAATACGGAGTTCAGAAGTAGGTACTTTATTGCATCGTGTTACAATGGAGGTATATTGCTTTTTTGCGGATTGTCTGGGCACGGTGTATAAGGGTATGGTGTATTATTCTTTTACCTCATCTCATAATGAGGTATGTATCGCTTGGACGGTGTTTGTGTGGGTTTTATGGCCTGTTGGGCTTTTATCTGCATGTACATGGTGTTTTTCTGTCGCTTTTTCCAATTTGCTCTCGTGCTCGCGAATCGAGACTCGAATTCTTTACATGCGTGTATTTTACATTTATCTTTACTTTTTCAAAACCATACAAAAAATTTAAATTTTGTACTACATTAAACTGTATACTTGAATCACTTCAACGCCAATGTCCCACTCGCATCACTAACAATCTCCACCGACCTCTTCTCGTCCAACGACAGTCTGCCCGCGTGCAAGATCGCCGTTGTCGCAATCGTGTTTTTTAGCGTCGGCAGCCCTCTCTTGTCGAGTTCGTCGAGCGTGACACGTCCCTCGTTCAGTGCCGTCACCGCGTCAATGAATTTCTCGAAGCTGATGTATCCGTAACCCGTTTGGCCTCCAAAGTTGCCCTCTTCGTCGGGGGAGTAGCGCATGTAAAATCTAGACAGAGATTTGACATTAGTTGAACCTAACCTTGTCCTTCAAATGCTTCTTCGAATGGGTTATTACGTACGGGTTATACCACACCAGGTGACCCTGGTTGTCATCGGCCACGTCGTAGCCGCGTTTGGCCTGGTTGATGCGGATTTCGCCTTGAGAGCCCATATCTAGCTATTCATTAGCACTATATATCACAAAAGTATACATAAATTAGGGGTTCTTACAGTGGAAGTACTGGTTAGAATGTACGCCGGCCTTCTGCGGCGCAGTCCAACTAGCAGTATACACCCCCGTCGCAACTCTCGAAGGATCCGACTTCTTTCTCCAGTCTACAAGCAGCGTAATCGTATCTTCCGTCTCAGGGACACAGCCCAAGTCCCATGCGGTGCCGGTACTAGCCGACGCGGTGACCTTGACGGGGGTATACTCCGGCACCATACTCTCACAGATATCAACGTGATGCGAATTAAGATAATACGAGATATCACTATCCTTCCCCGCCCAGGCTTTGAACGTCTCCAATTGGAATTTCGGCTGACTCATATAGCTGTAGAAATAATTAAAGTCGCCGAGACTGCGTGCCTTGGCCCGCGCATCCGCATACGCCGGGTCGAAGCGTTTGTGGTGCTCGATAAAGACGAATACGCCGTGTTTCCTGGATTCGGAGAGCAGGTCGAGATGGTCCTGGAGGAACTTGGTGGCGGGCTTGGTGATGAGCACGTGGATCTTGCGCTGGATGGCGTATAGAGCAATGGTGTAGTGAGTGGTGTCAGGCGTGAAAATGGTGATGGCGGACCCTGGCTCGAGCGCGTCAATGGCGGCCTTGTAAGCTTCTGGATCGGTCTGGTCATCGGCGGGGAAGGACTGGAAGGAGACGTCGAGACTGTTGTATACATCGGAGATGTTTTTCTGGAGATGTTGTTCTAACAATCGGTCAGGATCAATCATTGCATATTATATACCAATTGATAGATATATATATGGTTATATATTAGGATAACTCACTGATGGCAGGAAATTTTCGGCCCGATACACCTGCCATGCTCAATTTTCCCACCTTGCCTCGTCGTCGAAGATCGAATAGCGTCAGACCGACGACGCCGACTTTCTTGTCTGAGCCAGAGGCACCACCGCCGACAAAGCCAGTGGTGTACTCTCCAGTGCCGACCATGAGAACACTAGGAGGAGCCATTTTGATTTCTTTGCAACTGATATTACCACCTTTCTGTTTTTCTAGACAAATCTTTGGGAAGGTGACAAGAGAAGCATCTGTGGCTATGAGTGACGGAAGAATTTCAGTCTTATCTCGCGTTTACATGACCCGGTTTCAATAGCCGGTGGAGATGCTAGGCGGAAAATCCAATTATCTCTCTTCACAGCCTTGATAGCTGCGAAAAAAACACTAGCTGTGGAAAGTGTCGGTTTGATATGATATGATATGATTGAGATTGTCACGAATTGCTGTTTCCTCTTTTTAAGCTTAGTCTTCTTAACGTTGTGAAGTGTCGCGGCAATAGTTAGTTGTGCCGTTACATCATCACGTCGGCTTTTGAACTTTTTTCTAGCACTACTTTTATGGTAGACAACAGGAAATGTATATCATCACCTAATGCATTCTCACTTGCCCCGCCCCCGCACTATGTCTCTATACTTCTCGGAGCTTTCGCCGGGCGGGCTCCTATTGGTGGAAAAAGTTTGTCCTCCAATAGCATCATGGCCTCGTTTTCATTTCGAATAAATTTCCAATTGTTGTTCTGTGTATAATACCATGCTACATTGTCATATCTCTTTATACAGCCCTTATAGAGGTTGACCATCTCAGAACTATACAGAACTGAACACATCAATATGAGGACTCCCCTTCGTCCCGGGGTATACTGCCCAACAGTGACCTTTTTCGACCCTCAGACCGAAGAACTTGACATCCCATCGATCCGCAAGCATGCTGTCCGGCTAGCAAAGGCCGGGCTTGTTGGGCTTGTCACGATGGGTTCCAACGGCGAAGCAGTACACTTGACCCGCGAAGAGCGGAAGACGGTCACTCGCGAGTCTCGTGCTGCTCTCGACGAAGCCGGATACCAGAACGTGCCCATTATCGCCGGGGCGAGCGAGCAAAGCATCCGGGGCAGCATCGAACTGGCGAAGGAATGCGCCGAGGCTGGTGCAGAATACGTCCTGATCGTGCCGCCCAGTTACTACCGCTATGCCGTGGGCAATGACCAGTCAATCTATGAGTTTTTCACCGGCGTGGCGGATAGGTCTCCCGTGCCTGTGATTCTATACAACTATCCAGGAGCTGTGGCGGGTATCGATATGGACTCGGATCTGATCATTCGCATCTCTCAACACCCGAATATCGTCGGAACCAAGTTTACTTGTGCGAATACTGGGAAGTTGACCCGAGTCGCTCGTGCTCTCAATGCCATTACCCCTCCTGCTCCTTTTGCGACCAAGCCTCTGTCAACAACGAAGACAACCGCAAACCATCAATACGTTGCTTTTGGCGGCATTGCCGACTTCGCTCTGCAGACTCTTATCTCAGGAGGCTCGGCTATTATTGTTGGCGGGGCCAACGTGATTCCTCGCACGTGTGTAGAGATATTCAACCTATGGAGCCAAGGGAAGATCGCGGAGGCATATGAGTTGCAGAAGGTACTGAGCGATGGCGACTGGGTGCTGACAAAGGCAGCTATTCCTGGAACGAAGCAGGCTATTCAGCTTTTCTTTGGATACGGTGGCTATCCCCGGCGGCCATTGCGCCGATTGGATGAGGCGAGCATCAAGGATCTTGAAGGAAAGCTTCAAGAAATCATGACAGTGGAACGTAGCTTACCAGACTTTGCTTAGCTGGTAAATAACATTGATATTTGTTATCTTGTACTAGCAGCAAGGATTGGCGTGTATGTAACCAATACCTGATCGCGCAGTATATAATGGAATGTTCACTCAAGTTAGAGCTCATTCCCTCACATCTAACATGTCTGATAAGATCATATGTTGGTAGAATCCAAATAATTAATCTTGTCGACATGGCCCGTGAAATTGCTTTCAATCGCGGGGAAGTGGCAGACACCGACTACGGAGTGGGTGCCCAATTATTGACTCGGCCGAGCCATGCGCAGTATCGGGATTTTTGCCGACACCGAGTTTGTAGCTGTGATAAGCACAGTTGTGTTTGCTGAAAAATCGAGATTAACTTTGTGAATGTAGACATAAACCCCGCTTTCCCTCAATTTCTGTCCTACCCCGTTTTGTACTGTTGCGCGAAATCTTTACTCCTAAGAAAGGACCGATAATTGAAGCTTTGTCAATAGAGGAGAGAATTGAGCGATCCCAAGATGCCTTATCCCGAGGAAGCTCAGGGTTTCATGATTGATGGGCCTGCAAACTGGACCTCCTTCCAAAAGCGTTCAGTGAGTGGTTATATGGTCAGATTGCAGTGCTTTGTATTGACGTTGTATTGCACAGTTCCCGTTGAAACCATTTGGCGAGAGCGGTATGAGTTGGAAGCTGGGTCTGGTGTGACAATGGCTGACTTTCGAAACAGACGTTGACGTGAAGGTCGAGGCATGTGGTATTTGCGGAAGTGACGTTCACACGGCCAGCGGTAGGAAGCTTCGTCAACAAACTCGAAGGTACGAAGGTATTTCTGACTAGAGTGATTGAGTGTAGGTGGTTGGGGGCCTATGCATTTTCCATTGTGCTGTGGACATGGTAGGTTTTCTGCCGACTGGCCAAGCTTGCATTCTCACAGTAGCCTTTCTCAGAAATCGTTGGAACCGCTATTAGAATAGGACCTAAAGTCACAAACATCAAACAAGGACAAAGAGTTGGCGTGGGAGCACAGGTCTATTCCTGCGGCGAGTGCAAGCAATGCAAGAACAACAACGAGACTTATTGCCCCAATATTATAATCGACACGTACGGTTCCAAGTGGCCCGACACTGGTATCATTAGCCAGGGTGGTTACTCTTCACATGTGCGCGCTCATGAGCATTGGGTTTTCCCGATTCCGGAGAAATTAGACACCAACGTTGTCGCTCCCATGCTATGCGCCGGTATCACGGCATTTTCTCCATTAGTCCGCAACGGTGCCGGTCCGGGAAAGAAGGTCGGTATCGTGGGCATGGGAGGAATTGGGCACCTTGGTATTATGTTTGCGAAGGCCTTAGGTGCTGAAACCTGGGCCATCTCCCGCACCCGAGCAAAGGAGGCAGATGCTCGAAAATTGGGAGCTGATGGGTTTATTGCAACTAGCGAAGAGGGATGGGACCAACAGCACCGTTTTTCCTTCGACCTTATTGTGAACTGTGCCAACTCATCGCGGAATTTCGACCTGGCCAGATATCTTTCCATGATGGACGTGCACGGCCGGTGGGTGAGTGTTGGTCTACCAGAAGAAGAGGGACAAATCATCAAAGCGCAGAATCTGATCGACAACGGCGTCTTGATTGGTGCTAGCCATCTTGGAAGTCGTAAGGAAATGCTTCAAATGCTTGATTTGGCTGCAGAGAAGAATCTTGGGACGTGGGTTGAAACGATCGACATAAACGAAGAGAATCTCAAGGAGGCGATGCTTCGGATGAAGAAGGGAGACGTTCACTATCGATTCACACTGACTGGCTTCGACGAGGCATTTCCATAGGCAAAATAAAATAAATAGATCAATGGAGATTTAAAAAAAAAAAGAAAAAGGAAAGTAAGCTCGAACGTTTCGTAGGAGGGAAGCTGTAGTTAAGACGGCAATCCCCCAAGGTCCTCTCCGGCAGAATTGACATAGAGACATATATATAATATACACTAGTCACGCTTAGACTTGACCCCCAAGCCCAGAAGAAAAGACAGCCTAGATGTCATGCCCAGGTAGACAAACGGGACATTGCCCCAGTCCATCGCATTCCAATTCCAGAACTCGTAGTAGACCTGATATCCAAGCGGGGTCAAGCTGTATAGATGGCCGAGGTCGGCGATCAGTAGGTTCAGAAGGAGCGCCCGCCAGACACGCGAGTCACTGGTTATTCGCAGAAGCAAGGCTTCGTTTAAAGCAAAGAGAAGATACATGTTTGCCAATTGCCGTAACCCGACGTGCATCCCCAGGGGCAGCCAACTTGACTCGGAAGGTATCTTCTCTGTCATGGCGAGATAGTGGCTCGGGTAGACGCCCGCGCAGATGGCTCCTGAGAGGGCGGAGAGGGGCTCGACATAGAGGAAGAAGAGTCGGTAGTAGAATGCAATGCGCGTATTATTTTCTTCGCTGGTGCTCTTGGCCATGGTCGATTACTTAACATTGAAGTAGACTTCAAATGTTAGCTCAATGATTCCTGAGAAAGGGTGAGGAAGCTGAGATAGATGGTTGATATGAAGCTATCTAGGAAGCTACGGAGGTCGCTAGTGGGCGGTGAAGGTGAACAGCCTGAGGCATCCTAACTCTCACATATTATTACTATTTTTATATAACAATCTAATACAGAGTGAATTGCTTAGGTAGGAGAGATCAATGATGTTTGATATACGAAAAAGTCATATTATTAATAGGAATATTAATTGACGAAAACCTAAAACAGCATCGCCTTTTCCATCATAGTCATAATCTCTACCACCATCTTACAAACATCAACACTTCACTCCCATAACCACCTGATGCGACAACTTACTCAAAGCCGCGTTTCCAATCATTCCAGCAATCCTTCCACGGAACCGGATATCCACCATCATCTCGTTTACATCCCACTAGCTGAGACGGAGTACCAAGCTCATCGCGCCACCACATTAGCTTGAACAACTGCTGACCATTCCACAAAATCCACTGCGTGGCACCAAGAACCCACGCATCGCGGACTTCTGGGTTGTCCTGCGAGTGTTCATCCTCTAAGGCACCATTCATTGCCTTCAGTACCTCTAAAGGATAGGCTAAAAAGACACCCGTCTCGTTAAGATGGACTTGAAAGGCCTGAGAATTAATATACCGAGCTGGTCCATTCGCGGGATTGGGCATGGCGTCTGTAATATCTTCGCTTAGGTGTTGATAGAAGCTTGCTAATGCCCATCGTGTATCCTATTGCTACGTGTAAGTTTAATTACTGGGGCATATAGGAATGAAGAGGCTATACAAACCTTCCACTTGAGTTTCTCGACTCGTTCCTAGCTCTTCCCTACAAGTCCTATTAGTCTCGCCAGCTTACAGTGAGAGGGATGGTTGTATGGGATTTCCTCGGCAAGTTCAAGACAGACGCTTTCTAGGTAGCGAATGCCATTGTCTCCATCGGAATAAATGCCTATGGCATGATTTACTGTGTCACCAGTCTCAAAAATTATATCTTAGAAGTTAACAGATGTGGAGCCGCTATGTGGCCCCTTGAAGTCAATTGAGGTTACACGCCTCTTTAAAACCATTTGGATATGGACGAGTTATGCTAATATCGATTTAGGAGTCCTATGTAATAACTGGTTATGCTTCTATGTTTCTATGTATTCTTCAATCAGTTGGCTCTGGAATACCGAAAAGACAATCATAAGGAATTCTGATAAGCGCTGTAAACAAAGAAATACATTGGAAGGAGAAAATATTCTAAAAAAGGAAACTGGAAAAAGAAAGTATGCGAGTGTAGAGGTTGGATGCGCGGCTAAGACGACTATATGAAGCCTACACGGGTATTCCTGCTTCAGTGACGCGCTGGTTTCAGTTCCGTTTCAGCAGTAATTTAGTATTTTTGTCGAAGAATAAGACAATTCAAATATAAAATCTCGCTAGTATGTTCGGTGACTAAAACATTGAATCATGTCTTCGTTCTCCGTGCTATGCTTTGTTACGTGTTACGAGCCAAACAAGATCATTTGACAACCCAGCGCGTCTAATCTCACTCTCTCAAATCTCATCAATATTTTTTTAATTAAAGAGCAAATAAAGAATGGCAGCCACATTGAGCCTCAACATGGATGCCCTGAAGTGCCCTGATACGGATGATAATGAAAAGCCGCCCTTATCCACCAAGTCTCTGTCTATTAGAATCAAGTCGACTTTTAAAACGGGCGCGGTTAAACCAGCAGAGCAGGAATATTCCGTTCCAAAAGGGTATTCGCTAAGTGAACACCGAAGCTACTATTTTCCCAATTGGCATATACAACAAGTGGAACGAACTGATTTTTCGATTTCCAATTCATAATGTCTACTGGTTCATTAGAAGTTCAAAGGATGTAAAAGCAGACCATCCAGAGGAAAGTGGTTACAAAGCTATTCTCAATGTATTCAGTCTCCCTGCATCAGTTTTCAACTGTCCTTCAATTGTGATTGAGAGATGACATTAGGCTTATCATATAAATCAACTCAATAATGGACCAGGGTCCCATATACGGCGAGATAGTAGTATTCAACAGCACGTGAACAATGCACCAAATGTGACACAGATACGACAGACCAAAATACCCTCACAAGTACAAGAATAGGGATTTTCCCCAGCTCTTCCCATCCAGCGGGAAGTCTCTATGAGATACCAGCACATGAGTATCCATATAGCCAACAAAATTGCAAGGGGTAACGTCATGGTTCGGTCTCCAGGAGGCACCTATCACAAGGTCGATAAAGAATATACTCGTGTGGCGATCACTTGCAGCAAGGATATTAAAGGTGTCATATATCACCCTTACAGCCATGAGGGGTTCCAGAATAATTTTCACCGAGCAGAAGAGATATATCCTTCTTCCTCTCGTTCTCGGGGAAAGTGCATAAATCCACGAAGAAGCGTCAATGTCTAATATCAGCTTATATCCGTGAGTTTGGTCAAAGACAAATCTTGGAAGGGACCTGTTAAATAAACTTTACTCTTTTAGTTATTACATGAATTTGTCATCCACAGATGTTCTCAACATTAAAGGCGCATATACATGATTGTTAATTCATATAACTAGCTATTACGTGTATAGCTGTATCGGTTCCTAACCAAATAAACATGATGCAGAGTTTATTCACCGATATCCTATGATTTATATTATATCAACTCTGGTATGTACACATTTACGTAACTAACCTTCGAGTCTGACTCTTCGTGAAAAAATAGCTGGTATCGATGCCGATATCGCACATATGCATCAGCATCTAAAGGTTTGAGCTTTAATCATGTGGCCGTTCCTAGGCCTGAAATTAATAGTAAATCTAATTGTACCTGTATACCCGTGGTTAGTGATCTATGATCTCTTACCTGTGACAACCTTATAAAACGGGTTAATACACTAGAGACTTAATTAATATGCATTGCATTTTATTAAGGGTTTGTGAGGCATGATCATATTGTGCCAAATTTAATCTGAAACCACAGAATTGATGATCAATAAATCAGGAGTCTAGAAAATTCAACAATCTTCAATTTTATAGAGCAAATAAAATTGTTGCAGGCGTCGGTGCCTGAGGCATTCAATAGACAGCTCTACCCTGGCCACAGGCATAAGTTAAAGCATTCACTGAGCGTCTCTAGGCTACTCTAAGGCGTAAGTCTACGGATCATAATTAATGAACAACCCATGAGCCTGATTGAGCGGTACGGGTAGGGCGTTGTGGTTGCTATTATTATGTACAACTTCCACAGCCTGAGAAAATTCTCCCTTGGTACGCATCAGCTTTACACATTTATGGATCAGACTTTTAAATTTATGGAGCTCCGTTGGCCCCAGATCCTTACCCCGGACTACGTCGTATGCACACAATAATTAGAACACTAATATCGCTAGTACGTGCCAACGTGGGATCTAGTTATTATTAGATTACAGCGATCATTTGACTGATCAATTGTTGTAGAAACAGCACTTGAGAGTTTGTCTGGACCACATCTGGCATGCATGATCACCTAAGACCAAGTACTTAGGTCCTCGAATCAAGGGCACGTAGGGAAAAGAAGGTGGAAAAGAGAACTCTGCACCATTCCAGTCTGGCCCGAAAAAGTATTTCTCGGGGCCATCTAGCAGATCAGCACAGGCGTGATTGGCGGGCAGCCTTCTGGCCCCGATCTGTTCGGATCTGAATTTGGATGACAAGTGCCTAAAAAAAAATAGAGAGGAGAGAAAAGAAAAGGGCAAAAAGGTTGAAAAAAATTTTAAATTCAAAGTTCAAAATTTCACGGCCAACCACAGTAGGGCCTCGAGGCGGTGACGGGGAACCCGACGCCACCCACGGCCAAGGCTGAAGGGGGCACTTTGCCCCTTCAGGCGTTGCCATCAATCGCATAATTTCTCCCCTTCGCCTTCAAGAAAACCATTCTTTCATTATCCCCCCCTCCCCTCTCTCGTCTTCATTCCGTCTCTCAGCTGTCTCCCCACAATCGTTATTCCAGCTGTCTCTCTTCTTCCTTTTCCTCCTTTCTTCACTCGTCTCAATTTCTTGTTCGCGCCCCCTTCGTTTCTTGGAGTTGCGGAGCGTTTCCTTTTCCCCATGTTTTGCATCGATTTTGCGGGGATTTTAATATTACGCTTATAGTGCCTGCACCCTGGCAGTGCCCCTTACGTCCTCATTTCTTGTTTGATTCTTCAAAAGCCATTGATACACTTGCCACCCCCCAATACCCGCTTGTATTTAGACTCCAATTCCTTCTTGCACGAGCATTCGAGGCTGAGCCTGCACCAAAAACTCGCGCGCTTCTCTTGAAACCGTCGTTATCTTCGAAACACCATGACGCCTTCCGATTTCAGTGGCTCTCGTTCGTCTAAGCGTCGCCCTTCCCTACTCTCGCGCACTCGACCAAAAACCGCCAATATCGGAGAAGAACTAGATACCACCACTGCTTTGCCGTGGATGAGTTCTGGACCATGGGCTCCCAATCCTTCGTACAACAGCCCGGAAGAAAGCAGCGGGCTGTCATATTGTCGAGATGAAGATCATCTTAACAGTGCAATCTTGCAGGAAATATCTGAATTTCCCGAGCCCATGCCGCGCCATCGTTCTGCGAAGAGCTTCTCTAGCATCCGCCATGGCGTCGATGGGTTACGTGCCCTTGGCCGCCGCTTGTCGGTGACAATCCGCCGGAAACCCTCAAGACATAATATTTATGCGTCACACGAAGGAGGCCAGGAAGCCGACCTTGCTGGAGAGAGCGCCGGACATGCAGGCGATGGAAGACATCGCAACGCCTGGTTCAAAGGACATAGTATTAATCGCCGACCGTCGTTTCGCAGTGTATCGGCATTGCAAACGTTTTACGCTCCAACTGCCAACATGGCGAATTTCATTCCTGGAATGGGCTTTGAACCACCCGTGTTCCCAGATGAATACTCTGGCGGTGCAGCCGCGCGGGCTGCCGCTGCGGCTCAAAACGAGATGGCCAAGACTGGCAGAGACATTTCTGCCGTCGACTCCAAGATTTTTGATGCTGAGAGTGGCATTGGGATTGATTTACGTGACCGTTCTGAATTTTCTGATTCAGAGCTGGCAATTGTCCGGATAGGTAAGTGCCTCGGTTTGATACAAATCAATTTGACCTGAACTAATTGGTAAGCAGACCCTGTCGCCTACCTGCCCACGGAACTTATGTTTCAGGTGCTTTCATACTTGGACCCGCGGTCACTTAGTAAGGCCGAAGCCGTTTCCAAATCGTGGGGCAAAACTGCTTCTTCCCATCATGTTTGGCGCAGTGTCTTCCGTCGAGAATATGACCGTCAAGGATCGAGACCACCAACCATGACGAAGAAGACGCAGTCTGCCGGTTTGGGCAAGACCCTTCCCAACCAAGATTGGAAGAAAATGACATCTGTCCGACAGGCCTTAGACCGGCGATGGAAAGAGGGCAAGGCTGCCGCAATCTATCTCCAAGGCCATACCGATAGTGTTTACTGCGTGCAGTTTGATGAGCACAAGATCATCACCGGTTCACGAGACCGCACCATTCGTATCTGGGATGCTCATTATCCTTGGCCTTGTTTGAAGGTTATCGGCTCACCCTCGGCCCAACAACAGCGAGGATCTGCGGGTACTTATATTAACCCTCAGCCTTTGGGCAATCCGCCTTTTCTTTCTATTTGCCCGCCAAGCCAGGCCTACAATGATGTTATTGACCTTGCTGTACAATCACCTGAATGCCATAATGCTTCCATCCTCTGTCTTCAATTCGACGATGAGATTATGGTGACAGGATCTTCCGATTTTACTTGCATAGTGTGGGATGTTAAGAATGATTACAAACCGATCAGACGTTTGGTTGGTCACAGAGCCGGCGTCTTGGATTGCTGCTTCGATGACAGATACATTATCTCTTGCTCGAAAGATACTACCATCTGCATCTGGGATCGAGAAACAGGACGGCTTGTCAAGAGATTGCTCGGCCACCGTGGACCAGTCAATGCTCTTCAGCTGCGCGGCGATCTCCTCGTATCGGCTAGTGGAGATGGTGTGGCTAAATTATGGAACATTGCATCTGGCGTTTGTGTCAAGGAGTTTTCGAGTAAAGATCATGGACTTGCTTGCATTGAATTTAGTGAAGACGCGCGGACCATCCTAGCTGGCGGGAACGATCAAGTCATTTACCAGTACGATGCCAACACTGGCGATATGATTGGGGAGATCAAAGGTCATTCTGGTCTAGTGCGATCTTTGCATCTAGACACCCTTAACAACCGTGTTGTCAGTGGTAGCTACGACTTCAGTGTGAAAGTTTTCGACTCTACCTCAGGTCAGCTTTCTATTGACCTGCCTGGGTGGACTACCAGCTGGATGTTGAGTGCAAAGTCAGATTATCGACGTATTGTTGCCACGAGTCAAGACTCTCGTACTGTGATTATGGATTTTGGATATGGCCTGGATGGCATTGAGTTATTGGAGGAGTAACACTTTTTTATCTTCTTCAGCCACATTTGCTTTTTACTAAGATTCCCCATCCAAACCCTGTGCAGTCGAGTCTATTGGGGTCATACCATGTTCTCGTCTGGGCTGCCGGGTCGGTGACCGCTTTTTTCATTTCTGCATTTGGCATGCTTTTCTCTTTTGATGTTATTTATGATTACATTCTTCTTTTTGGATTGGCGTCGCGGACCATAATTGCCCTATCACCGCCCATAAAATGTTGTCTGATCCTTATTTATTTGACCATGATAGAGAGCAGCTGCGGGATCTTGCTTTTTTGCTTTCACGTCACTACCATTGCTTTCCCTTCCTTTCTATTCCCTTTTCACTTCTGCATGATAGAGTACCCCCGATACACGGACAGGATAGACTCGGTTTTTTTTTTGATTCTCCCGATAGATGAACCATACTCTGCATCTTGCTTTCACATAGATAGCATTCTTAGCTTTCAACAATGGCTTGCCTAATTGAGCAAGGGTTTTGGATACAGTTTCTGCAATACTCTATTTATACAGTATACCATATTCATGGGTGTAATATCTCTCTCCAGCATCTTGGGCAGCGGAAGAGCAAAGCGCGGCTGTGATTGGCGGGTGTGTTTACTTAGCGCTGGGGTGGCCGATTAGCGGGGATAACATAACAAAAACTTCCCATTCTGTGTGTATCCCATCATAAACAAACAATCCAGAGCCTGCCTGGTCTCGCCATCAATCTTGATAGCTTAGCGCTGTACTTTATAAGACCTGGAAGTCTTCGAAATCGTTCACTAGTCGAATTGTACCTCCGACCCCTTGCACATACCCCGCCATGAGTGAATCTAGGTGTGTTTTCGCAGCCGCCATGGTTCGGGACACCCTTGGAAAGCCTGTTGGCCATCCGAGGGTGTCCGTTCCAGTCTATTGTCAAGCTGACCATGGGTCTACACAACTAGGCAAGAGCTTTTAGCATGGATGAACAACCTGCTCCAGCTCAACGTTACCAAGGTTGAGCAATGCGGCACTGGGTACGATTCTATACCCCTCCCCTATCCATTTGACCAAACCCTTCAATATGTCCAGCCTGTCATATGCGATTTTATTAACACCTCTTGTTTCCTAGAGCTGCATTCTGCCAAATCTTTGATTCTATTTTCAGTTAGTCATCCTCTACTACATGCGCTCGCTCGTTCGACTAACGTCGATACCCCCTTTCTAGTGGACGTTCCGATGATGCGCGTTAAATTTAATGTCAACACCGAATATGCATACCTACAAAACTTCAAGGTTCTTCAGAGTGCGTGACTGTGATTCCCACTCCAAAATGCCTACAACGGTCGTCCTAATTTCCCTTCGCAGACATCTTCAACCGCCACCAGGTTGACCGACCGGTGCCAGTCGAATCACTGGTGAAATGTCGCATGCAGGACAACCTCGAGTTTCTTCAGTGGGCCAAAAAATTCTGGGACCAACACTACCCCGGCGGCGACTATGACGCCGTGGGTCGTAGGAAAGGTTCGGGTGCCCCAGCAGCCGCACCAGTGACTGCTGCGCGCACCACCAGTGCCGGAGCTCGTCGAGGCGGTACCACGCCCACCGGCGCCGGTGTGCGACCTCGTGTCGCTGGAGCAGGCGGAGCTAGTTCTGCAGCGTTGACACAAGAGATTGCGGCACAGAAGGAGGCGATTGCCGGGCTTGAAAAGGAGCGCGATTTCTACTTTGCCAAGCTCCGGGATATCGAGCTGTTGCTGCAGACTGCTGTTGAAGCTGATCCGGAATTGGAAAAGGACGATGACTCCCTCGTGAAGCATATCCAAGGCATTCTTTATTCGACCGAGGTAAGTAGCAGAATCAAAAAAGATTGCTGGTAGTATGAGTGAGTGAATTGCTGACAGCTTGAACAGGAAGGTTTTGAGATTCCCGCAGAAGGTGAAGGGGAAGTTGGCGGAGAAGAACTCGAGACGTTCTAGACTGTGCCATGCTCCTCCTCTTCCTCCTTTTGGCATTCCCTTTTCCTTCACCTGCACGTCAAATACCCTCTATGGTTCCTGATTCGCCACATATTGTGCCCTTTTATCCGGTTTCAGCCTCCACATTCCACCCAATAAAAGAGGCGGTTATTGCCCTCCAGTACCTATTTAACATGAAAACGGCTAGAGTCACATGTGTTTCCTCTTATTAGAATACATATAGTGATAAGAGATAACAGTTCGATTGCGTTGTATCAAGTGACAGGCCCTCGCCCTCGTCGACAAATATTTTATTACAATGCAAATACTTCGAGTGAAGTATGATGCGTATATTCTTGTAGACTAATCCTAACGACTTGAAAGAGACTGGATATGCTGGCAGCTACCCGGCCATCTAACCGAGCTACATAGATGAAAATTGATCTGTCGTCGTATATGTTTGCCTATGGCGCTCGGTCACGTGTTAATCAAACGCTCTTTGTGTTCCTACTCAGTCAACCGTTCAACATCATTTTTGCCGGTTTAGTCAGTCTCAATGCATTCTTATTCGCATCACTTTTACCCCCGTTTACGCACAAAAATATACAGTTCGATATGAGTTGGCTAATCATCAGACGGAACCATCATAGCTAGTCGAGATAGTACAGGTTGAACCGTTCATCGACTGTCGTATTGATAAAGTACATTGGATATTGCCATGACAGGGACAGAAACACCGTAAAACCATACAATGTTTGTGGTATAACCCTACAACTTGTGAATTGGCATCTCCATAGTAAGCAAATGACCTCATCGACTCACAAGAGAGACACCGGAAATAACAATAATCCAATAATAATAGTTGGTGGTGGGTGGTAGTAGTACGGAGTAGGACCACTAGCCAATGGCGGGGCGAGAAAGTGATCAGCCCGCATTGCAATTAAACAAGCCGCTGTTTCGGGACTAGCGGCTGTTAAAGTTAAGCAGGCCCGCCAGTGGTGGAATACCTTAGTCCTTAGTCGTGCTTAGTACTGCGACGTGATCCTGTCAATAATATCAACGATCGACTGATGCAAGGACGGTACACTATTATTATTATATTATTATTACCATCGTCACTAGCATTACGGCCTGATTCCAGTGTATGGCGAGTCAAGCAGGCGGGAAATATACAGGATGACTGCAACCAGATACTGTCCGAGCTGATCGGCCTGACTATTGCCATCCCTGTAGTTATGATTGTGATTTATTGTTATTGTGAATCACTCGGAGTCTCGACCAGGGCCTCCCAGTCTGTCCCGCCCCCTAAGCCGCTTTGGGACAGGCTTCCATGTGCCTTCCCGGTGTTCTATTACCGTTACTTTCGTTACTATACTATAACCATACTCTACTGTATGATTTCTACATGTTTCCTATGTCATTATCAATATATGGTTAGATATAACTATGTATTGTATATATTCCTTGATGACTTGGGTGGTGACAGGGTTAGCATGGCAACAGCATTGTGGAGGTGGTAACGACACCGTATTGAGCCGGTATCTTTGGTCGCTACCACTCGAAACGCCAATATTACGCAGTAATTGTGCCCCACTTGGAGGTTTGCATAGTCAGGAACGGTAAAGACGACTGGGGCTGCCACTGTCAGGGACGGGCGAGAAAAACCGGCCGCCCTTCAATGTTCTCTCCACTCATAAAAACAACCACTAACCAGTAGTACGACAACAACGACCGTCTCTCTTTCCTTTCATGTCTCTCGACCTCTGTCCTGTCTCTTACCAGCCTTCTCCCTTTCCAATGCGCGGCGGGATATCATCACCGCTCGTTATTCCTACTCGTGCCGTCATGTGTTAGCACGCCGGATCCTGACTCTCCTTTTGTCTGCTTCTGTTTGCCTTCTTTTTACCAGGTGCGAGACACCCTCCGACCACGCCTTGGCAATCCTATCGCTAGGATGTTATTCCACTGACCCTCACTGCCTAGGTTCCGTGAAACGGTTCATTGAAGATTACCTTCGATTCATTCATTCCTTTTACTTACTTCAAGCCCGCTTATCGAGCGTTCGTTCATTACTACACAACTCAACAATTCTCTCGCGACCGGGTCATATCAATAGCCCTTTTTCTCTTTCGTTCCCTCCTTCCGATTTGATTGTCGAATATACTATATCATCTATCCAACGATCTACCACTCCTTAAACCACTCCTTAAACTAGTTGGCTGGCCAGTCTGATTTCCTCCGACACGGTTTTGATTTTCGAAACGTCCATCCGAAGTGCGAATGTATGCTCAGTTCCTGACGCTGGTCGAAAACTCCGCAAGAAACGAGATACCAAGCTGATTCGACTGTAAATAAAGAACTGAATGCCGAATGCTTTGGACGCAGCGTGGGTTACTACAAATTCATTGTCTGGATGCCGGTCATTGTTTAGCCATACAGTCACAGTTGAAACAGACGTTGTCAGGACCTTCGAGGATAGCATAGGGGTGTATAGACCCACGGGGTCATTCATCGAGAATGACCCATCATCACGGTCATGGGAGGAGACGGCCCCTCATAGGGTCAGAGATGCGGCGGAAGTTGACGTCGGAAGCTTCCAACATCGACACACAGCCAGCTCTTTATCATGAGCATCACCACTTTCGCCCCCACAATTCTGCACATACAGAGCTGGAAGAGCACATACCGGACGAAAATGTCGTTGATACGCATGTTCAACCTATTGCAGATGCAGATCACGCCCTCCACCGAAGGGCTAGCCACGCTGTACAGACAGTAACGACATATGTGGCCACACAGATAGATTTGATTCTGGAAAGCGGATCAAAGACAGTTGCCCAATATACCGTGTCGTCACTCCCTGCAGTCATCACCGATCCCACGTTTGGCGTCATCACCATCCCCGCCAACGCAGGCTCTCCTGTGACCGCGGGACACCCATTACCAGTACCAGCGGCAACCGAAGCTACGGCGACTAGACCGACAGCTATGGCAGCAACAGCGAATCAGCAAGTACCTATCAATCCATCTTCTACATCGTCATCATCATCCTCCTCCTCCTCCTCCTCCTCCTCCTCCTCCTCCTCCTCCTCCTCCTCCTCCTCTTCTTCTTCCTCTTCCTCCTCCTCCTCCTCCTCTTCCTCCTCGTCATCCTCGTCATCATCCGAACCGTCACAAACATCTGCCACGCAGTCCTCATCAAATTCATCAACAATCTCAGACGCTACAACCTCCGTCACCACAACATCTACCAGTGGTACTATTCCAACATCCATATCCAAGACATTGTCTGATACTACCTCTATTTCTACCTTTACCTCATCTTCTGACTCTACCACAACCGTATCGGCCTCTTCAGGTTCTTCGACTTCTACAACCAGCCTATCGCCGAGCTCCACAACATTATCAGATGGCGCAGTTATACCTATATCTGCCACATCTACCTCCACTGCCACATCCACAGCATCGTCAACAGCAAGTGTTGATTCGTCGAGTAGTGGCGTCGACAAGTCCAAAGTTGTCGGGGGTGTAATTGGCGGAGTCTTCGGCCTGTTGCTGATCTTGGTACTTGCATTCCTGTTTTTCCGGTGGAAGAAACTACGCTCAACTGAGACAGCAGGCTTGGCTAGTCGAGGTGGCCATTTTGGTGGTGATACTCGAGGCTTCCAGTCCCGCTCTGGCGAAATGTCATCTCAACGTTCGAGTAATCCTGTCGCCACTGCTACATTGTTAGGTCGATGGCCTTCTTCTCCTGGCTATGCAGGTGGAAACAACACAAGTGAGCGCGGCTTTCAGAAGATTTCAGGTCGCAAGATTCCGTCGGTCCTCCGTACAGGAGGCGATGGATACGGCGGCGAAATCGAGGAAGAGCCCATACCGGACTTGCTAACGCCGCCTCTGGAAAGTATCAGTCCTGTGTCTCCTTCCAGTGCCATCCATGGAAACCATCATCACTCTCTAGTCCGGATTGACTCTGGTGATATGGCCATGATGCGTCCATCACCGGCTAGGACTCCAGCAACGAGTAGCGTTGATTTGGCATCCTCGGGGTCTGGCTTACACGTAGTTGTTTCCCCATTACGACCTGATTCCTTAGGCCGAAGCTTATCTAGGCATGACGGAAGCAGAGACAGCCGCTTTACAGAGAACATTTGAGTCTACAAGAGCAGCTTGAAATAATTTACGACGAAACCCTTTTGGGTTATGTTTTGGATCTAGCGCATTTATTTACCTCATACACTCATACATACCGACCACGACCTTTTTTTAATGCATTTCAGTGGCTTTACATACGATGAGATCTCCAAACCCTTTCAGATTCTCTTAGATTCTCTTCACATGTGCACATCTTTAATGTCAAACTACATACCCCAGTGGCCTGTCTATACCGTTGAACTCGGCTGGAATTTATATTGCATGACGATTTGCAGTACTGAACTATTCCTTGCTCTATTTTCATTCTTTTCCTGTCTAATGCCTTGGCAAGGAAGAGAGGTATTCTCTTCATATCTTTATTATCTATCATATTATCCTCTTCAGATCTCTTACATGTTCTGATACCCCTTTACCCTCGACTTAGCTTAATGTCTTATTTTCCATTACGGGTCAAAGACCTGTTTTAACAACTACCTTTACTTTTGTCTGTTCGACATTTTGTTGGAGAATGGGGGTGAGGAGCTCATCGGATGCCCAGCCAAGCTAAAAGTTTGTTCGGATATCTGCATTGTCATCATATCTCTGGGTGCGTGCACCTTTTATGTACAATTTTGAATGCAATTACATAACTGTTTATTCAAATATTAAGTAATTGTCGATTGATCTACGCGATGTACTTCTGAAGGAAACGGCTGGTATCCATTACTCTGCCGCAAAGGGTAATCGCTGTATCAAAATATACATCGATTCAAACCGCCATCTATGTCTTTATGTCATATACCACTTTATCTACTAGCCCTGAATAAACAACTAAATTGGGACCAAACAGGCCGAAAAAAAAAGAATAATATCATGACGACACAAATCAGGCCTCTGTAACAATCCGCTTGTTCGACGACGAAGACATCACTCCTTCTTCAGGAGTCTCCGACTTGTAGTCTTTCTCCCCGTCGGCTGTGGGCAGAGGAGAGGTTGGTTTTGTGGCTGAGCCCATTTCTGGGAAAAATACTCCTGGGGAGAAGATAGTGAGGAGAAAAGCTGGGTATAGGACCATCCTATCATCAAGTCAGACATTTCAATTTCTCACTTTTAATGAATTGGTATGAGGTAGAGGAGGATTGGCTTACGCTCCCTCGAGGACATAGAATAGGACTTCGTTGCGCATAACCGAGTTTCTGTATCGAGGGTTAGTTTATAGCTTGCTTGCAACTGAGTGAGGCATTCTACTCACCCCCATCCACCGGCCATTTCGGCGATACTACAGCCAAGTTAGAGAAAGTTACATTTCTTGCGAAATTCTCAGAACGGAACATTACCGATAAATGCACCGAATCAAAATCCCCGCATATGCACCACTAACCGCACCACAGAAAATCCGGAAGCGTCGCGAATACCAAATCCGCGCCTCCTCCGAGCTCCGCAGCTCAGGAGAGGCATTGTGGAAGTGCTTGGTAGCCGCGAGGAAGAAGTCGAGGGATAGCAGGCCAAACACAGCCAGATTGACCACTTGCAGCACTATGCCGGCGAGGATAATGTCATTCCCGGTCTTCAGCCTTTTTGCGTCAACGGGTGTCTCGTTCGAGGCAGCCGCGTCGACGCCCCCGCCGACGGCTTGCAGACAGAGACAGAAGACGTCGAAGGGGATGAAGATCCAGGTGTAGAGCCGAGGTGTGACGCGTGAAAAGGACGGGCCGACGGTGCGCGCCACGTGTTTGAGGGTCAGGTAGATGCCCGCGCAGATGAGGGTTGGTGCCAGGATGATACAGACTAAATCAAGCTTGAATCCTGGATCGGACCAGGGATTTGAGTGCATAAGAATACGGCCAATGTATCCTGTTGAATAGATTGTTACTAATTTATTCTTTCTTTGGGTAAATGATAGGGTAAGTTGTACTCACCACAAGTCTCAAGTATAAACCCTGCGCCGACAACAATCCCAAATGCCCATGTTCGCTTCCATAGGCCTATCGCGACCGTGATGAGCGCGCATAATGCGTATGCTACTGTGAAGAAAACGTTCGCTCCCAGGTTCGGATAGTACCCGAGAGTCGTCGCCGACACTGGGCAGTAGATGGAGACTTCGGTACAGGTGTCTGTGCGCCCCATTGTGACTGCACTTAGCAGCTATAGTTGAATATCGTTTGCGTCTTAGATTCAATGTCGCGATTGGAGAGAGCTGGTTTAGAGTCTGGTGGATGTTATGGGCGTGGACACAGGTAAATGAAGATATTAAAAGAAAGGATATGACATAAAACAAAAGAGTCGAGCGAGAGTATTAGAAGTATAGATTATGCTTTCAAGGTTAAGTTGATAATAATATTTGGACTCAGTTCATGTCGATGGTGGCTCTGGGGCCATCTAAGTACGTCCAACTAACGAAGCCTCAAACCGGATGATGGCCAGCCGAGAGAAAATGTTTCAAGCGTGGCAGCCAGAGCCACAGCCTATCAGAGGCCCATGACAATTGTACATGTACAATGATGAATCTCGCTTGCTCATAGCCTTGAAGGGCAGGCCGCGCTAGAGTCGCAGCCTCCACCTAGAAACGGGGATTTTTGGGGATGTGGATCTGGCCATCAGCACTAATCACGTTGACGACATGAGTCTGACTTATTCAACACCTACAGCACATAGTAATGGTAGGAGAAATTCGTGGTTATAGAAATAACTCCCAAGGCACCAGCGTTGAGCCATGGCGATTCTCCAGGTCGTGTCAAGTATATCCGCGACGTGCCGATACGATCGATGATAGTCTAGTTACTGTATATTCGCTACCTCAGGAAATAGAGCCAAGGCAGGGCTCGTTGGGCGGTGGCCTGTGATTGGCGTGTGGGCCTTGAGCCCCACTAGGCTTACGGCAGACTCGCTTTTCGTATAGCCGTATATCGTATCGTCCGTTTTTCTCGCATCGCTCGTATTCGTACAGAAGTTTGAATATATTATTAATATTCGTATACCTAAACCACTTCTTAGTGCTATATTCAAACCCTTGACACCCTACATATGTACATATGTATTGTATATAACAATATCTAAATAATCAATTCGATATGATGGGTATTATCGATCGAGTCAGGAAATCGTAGATGGGTTGTCATTCTCAGTCATCTCCACTAAGGCATCTATCTATTCATATCGAGCTCAGATTAATTATTTTCTTCGAATGTAATCAACGCCTCACCCAGTCCTCATGCCAGTGAACCCAAAATCCATCAATGCTGACGCCATTTGGTATCATGTCGCGAGAAATCAGAACAGCAAAAAAAAGACCCGCCGAAACAAATCATAGACCCGAGCCCTCCCATTAAATATAACTGTCATAGAATTCTAGTACTCACCGCCGTGTACCGACTTTTTCGATGCCATCAGGCGCCTTGTTCAGTTTCACTCGACAATCAGGGCAGTACCATGTAGCTCGTCGACTAGGCGGTTCCTTCAGGCCGACACATTCTAAATGGAACCATTCGCCTTCACACTGCACATTATTAGTATAGATAATTCCACAAAATAACAGCATCTATTGACTTACATCAGAATTTTCGCAGTTGATCATGATCCCAAAACTAACATCTTTGCAGAGGCAGTAACGAGGCTCATTCGGATCGACTTTTTCCAACACCCCGTCCTCATCAATCCGATAATCATCACCCTTGACGCTGTCTTTGCCACCTGCTCGCTTCTTCGGTTTGAACTTGCGTTTGCCATGAGAAACAGTAGCACCGCCGTCGAGGTTAGCTGACACTGGTCCAGGAGCCGGCCGCTTTTTCCGTCGTATAACTGAGGGCCCAGTACTAGAACCTCGCCTATTTTCAGAGCCAGGCGTTTTTGCTGCAGGCGTTGCACTCTTCCGACGACGAGGGTCACGTAACAATATCATAGAATTGGCAAGAGTTGATGCATCGGCAGATCGACGTCTCGATGGAGGCCGAGTCGTTGGGGGAGTTGGAGTTGTGACTTTCTTGGCAACACCACTTGATATTGACACGATAGTCGGCGCCACAGAGGCCCGAGAAGCTGCTGAACGTGCTCTGGTTGGTGGTGGGCTGGATGATGTTACTTTCAAAGCTGCTGTCTTAGTAGTCTCACTTGGTGAAATGCTATCAACTATAGGAGCGCCAGGTTCCGCAACTGTAGAGGTAGCTGCTGTAGAAGGGACTGTGGCCTCGGTGACCGCCTCTATAGGAGAAGCCTTACTTAATTTCCGCCGTTTAGATGAAGGCTTAGGAGAAACAGTATCATTGCTTGGTTGGACACTGGAAGCTACAGGCACCGGCTCTGTCGACGGTGTCTGTTCGGCCTTTCTTTTTTTGGGATTTTTAGCTTTGGATGAAGGCGTTGAAGGCATTCCGTTAGGTATCGGTGAATTTATCAAGCCGGGGACAGAATAATTCGCTTCGGGCGAGGTGGCAAATAGGCTCTTAAAAGAAGAACCGACATCTCTCAGTCGTTTAGCTGCCATCTCCGCTTCTGCAGCTGCCCAAGCAGCTGCATTTTCGCGAGCAAGGGTTTCACGTTTGAGCCTTTTCGCTTCATTCAACTTCATTCCACGATTGCTAGTCTTAATCTCTTCTGCTGCAGACGTATCAGCAGTGGCCTCGGTCTTGCGGGTGAGCTTTCCCGGTACATAGGTATTTTCGATATCATCACAGTCAATGAATTCCTCTCCAGTCGCCTCTGCACGCGCTTTGGCGGCTCGATAACATTCCCAGCCTCGTTCATTTCGTGCAAGTTCTCGGTTGATCATAATCTCGCTTGGCTGCCAGATGGCGTTCTTCTTCATCTTCTTACGAAGTTTCGTCATTTCCCACTCGGTCAGTCTAAGCCATGGGAGGTCTTCACTGCCAATCTTGGCATCTTCTGGCGGCGGATTGAGTAATGCCAAGGCACCGCTTGTGGAAATTCCGGCGACACTGCGTCCATTGGATCCCTTCCCAGGAGGTCGCGCTGGTCGAGAACGCTTCTTGTCTTTCTTTGGCGAAGGGCCTTCTCCACCCCTTGAGATTGCGTGTCCGCGACGTGATCGTGCCGCCTTGGGTGTCTCATTGTCTGATTGCTCTGTGCTGGCTATAGGCGAATCGGGATCGAGACCAACGATTGCCGAACGACGATTCCTAGATTTTGGAAGACCAGCTTTGTTAGACCCTTGACCATCTACACGGAGCGTAATTCGTGTTGTGCCTTCTTCTGTCTTCCTACCACTTCGTGAGCGTTTTGCAGCTGGCGACAAAGTTGCGATGGGAGTAGGTTCACGAGAGGGGGCTTGGGTAACGATGACAGCTTTTTCTTGATGTTTCCTAAGCGATCATGATGACGGTCAACTACATCATATAATCTGCACGCCTCTGCATAAGATGCTTCACGCGCATTGATGGCACGGTTCAACTGTATAGATATTTTCTCGCGAAGTTCTTGAGGGTTCGGCCGAGACTCAGGTGGTAGGTCGGGAAGCTTCCCATACACTTTCGTAAGCTCATGCACGGTCTGGGTGGCATCGAGGTAGGTCTCGTCGAGACCACGGATCAACGTCAAAGAGCGAATGAGGTCGGATGGGAGGTATTCGGTATAGTCGATGAAATCTGTAACAGTGGCTTGAGCGTCGGGATCGAAGGGTCCTTCGAGGATCACCCCGCCACTGTCATCCGTATCATCTGCCATAATAAATGGTACAAGTGAGCCAAGAAAGATGCTGGTAACAAAGACACAACTGCAGGTCAGCAGTTTCGGGTTGTGGTGTTTCCAAGTTAAGGTGGCAGCAAGACCATTTGCGCAACTAGCATCATCCAAGGCGTGTTATAATGAAAGACAGCCGAGCATAGCAAATCACAGCAGATCGGAAGCGCGCGCTAAAAGCACGGCATGGCGACACTTGTTGGGGGAGGTTGGACAAAGTGTTGCGTGCAGCACGGAGAGGCGACAGGCCTGACTCCGCGTCGTCGCGATGCCAGGAACGCCGGGTGCCGGGATATTATTATTCCGGGCCCACATGTCTATTCGGGGCCGACAATCGCAACACTTCTCTATTTCATCCTTTCATTCTTTCATTCCACTCCACAGATCAGAGAATAAATAAGGAGAAACAAGGTCTGTGTAATTATTTGGGGAGTTTAATCTACCTCGACCCTATCTTCTCTAGAACAGGCCTGAGATGCCCTCGACCAACATAATGGCGCCGCCAATGCTCGTTCTATACTTGACATCAGTGCGTACACACTATATGTATCTGTACTCCAGCTATAGTATCCCAAATTAATGGGATTCTCGGTGTATGCGGCTCTCGTCACATGTAGCTAGCACTGATCTACCCCCACATGACATACAGTTGAGTTGAGGCGATTGCTATAGCCAGAAGAAAGATCCATGTCACATCAAACAATATTCTCTATTCGCAGTTGACTACCAGTGTATTCGAGATTCAATTGTTGCGCAGGTCCGCTCTAGGTCCTCCCCAGAGACTGGTTGTGAGGCTTCGTGCTGCAGCCTGCAAGACGGAGATCTAGTCGCGTATCTCATGTGTCTGTAATAAATTTATCAACCCAGCTTCTCGTTTGTTTTGTAGATGCCTGTTGCCGTGTGTCTTGCTCTGTTTGTCCCAACAGTGTCACGCGACACAGGGTCACACCGCCTTCACATCCTGACTTCTATTTCACGTAGTTTCTCTCTTTTAATTACTTCCATCCAATACACTTGTCTTCGGTTTGACAAATCAAAATATGGGCATGACCGAGCGGCTGGATCTGCTTTTTGCGGAGGATCAGTCTCTGCTGCAGATAGATGCTGGGTTTAGTTCGCTAACTCGCCCTGCAAAGCAAGATGAGGTCGTGGTCGAAGGTGCAGAGACATCTCCTCAAGATGATCGTGCCGACGCTTCAGCTCTCAAAATGGTAAATCCTGAATCGAACCACGCCTTGAAAGGGTCTGGTCAAAAGGGGCCCAAAGCTGAAGAGGCTGATAACTCTACCTCCGACATATGCCAGTGTTCTGTCTTTGAGTCTGGTGTTGAGCCCTCTTCATCTTTGATCACACAATCTTTTTGTCCAGCAGCGGCTATTGCCAAACTGCCTTACAAATATTTGCATGGTGAAAAGTCCAAAACCGTCGGAAAACGGTTCTTTGACCAAGACCAATTTTGGCAGAGAAAGTGGGACTTGTAAGTTTTCTCTGGCCATCACCTCGCGTTCTCATGCTTTTCAAGACTAGGCTAAGGCTCTTCTTGGTAGGCACTACATTTATCCGCCTGCAGATCTATCACCAAGTCCTCTTTTGCTTCTACTGGCATCCCAAGTCCAACAGCTCTTGCAGGATATCAACCAAGAACTCAATATCAGTCTGACTTTGCCCGTGAGTCCTGATATTGGCTTGCTGCTCCCTTTCGCAGAAGATGGTACTCCTCAACCACAGTATCTCGGCCAATCATCAAGCCGCGAAACTAAGGACAGGCTTATGGCTGTTATTCCAAAACCTTCTAATGAAATAAATGATCATGATGCAATCGGGGATGGAAGTTCGTTGAAACATAGCGAGCCTACCAAAGCATTCCGAGCAAAAATGGAAGCGGGACTCGATGCATCCAAGAACAAGTCAAAAATTTCGAAAGAAAAAAAGCGTCTCGAGAAGATTGACAGACAGCGAGAGTGGGCTCAGTCACTGAAGAGGGCACAATGTTACCTAGGTCTACATCCTCATCGGTCATCTCATCCTGATGCAGCTCACCAAACAATCGACCGAAGCGTTTCTGAAGGCCAATCAACAACTCTAATCACTCCACTGATACTTCAGCTAGATCAGCCTGCACCATTTCCCTTCGCATACGAGCCAATCTTCGTGTCTATTGATGTAGAGTCCAACGAACGCCGTCACAGAGAGATAACAGAAATTGGCATCTCCACTCTTGATACTCTAGATCTTGTCGGCATGGCTCCTGGTCAGGACGGTGAGAATTGGATCAGACGGGTTCGATCTCGTCATATCCGAATCAAGGAAAGCGCTCACATCGTCAACCATGTCTATGTTTCGGGATGTCCCAGCCGCTTTGGGTTCGGCGAGAGCGAATTCATCTCCTTTAAAGATGCATGTAACGCTGTGGAAGCCTGCTTCAAGCCACCTTATTCCGCTCAAGTTCCTGTTAAGTTTGTCGAACGGAAACTGTATGGTGAGAAGGCAAATGTTACGATTGAAACTGAAATCAAGGAATGCAAGCTTCGGCCCCGCAATATTGTTCTTCTTGGACATGGAGTTCAGGCCGATATAGAGTATCTGCACCAGTTGGGCTGTAACCTTTTTGGCGATCATCACGCATTTCATAAAACAAAAGCATTCCAGTGTCATAGGAAAAATGACCCGCAGGACGCTGATCCTCGGCTGTTGGATACCTTAGATACAGCAAACCTGTTCCAAGTCCTCAAACGCGAGGCGCAACAACGCGCACTCGAAATCATTCTCAACTCTTTGAGCATTGTCGGGTGGAACCTTCATAATGCTGGTAATGATGCTCGTTACACTCTTGAGGCTATGGTGCGCATTATTATCAACTCACGCCTAGCTTTGAACAATGATGTTGGTCTGCCAAAGGGGGACCTCAAAGATTGGGCCATGGCGTCACCAAAAACCAGTGTTGAAAGAGAATCAGATACATGCTCCGAGAAAGCTTCTACGTCTCGTGACATCGCTTGGAAAGCCGAAGTGGAGCGTCGTGTAGCAGAAACAGTGGCTGACAGCGAGATGCGAGTTCGTGAAGATTGCAAGATTTGGGAAATTGTCACCGGTTGGGATAGCGAGCATCCACTCTCTGCCGATGATTTCGACGGAGGCGAACCAAAGGGAATGGTGTTGCCGAAACAAAGGCAGAAATCGTTCAATAACGACTACAAGAACTTCGAGAAGCATAATACTTCTTTTAAGCGAGGTTATTAGGTTTGATGGAGCTTCACTTACGATTTATGGTAGCGAATGAAGAGTTGGAATTCATGGATGCTGTCACTCTGGGTTGGTGGAAAGCAGTCCTTTTACCTGTCTACGGCAGAATGCGATGAGATATGGCGCGGTGGTTACTGAAGGGAGTGCCCTGGAATGGAAATGAAAAGAAATGTAATAATTTGAAGTATTCTCGGTTAATAAGAACAATTGGTTGAATACGGAGCTTTCGTGCTGTAAGTGAAAATAAACATTTGAATGGTTCTTGACGTCATGAGTTGATAATGCATCGACATGGCCAGTCTCGCCATCTGCTACTGCATATAGGTGCACCCACGTCCATTGACCTACAAGGAGAGAAAAGACAGCGTGCATGAAGTGGTTACATAGGTAAGCATTTGTACGTCTTGTCTGACAGACAGCAACTTCATTCTTCCCGAAACCCCGCACATTAAAATTTCGGAACCTCATCTAGATTACTGTGGAAAGGAGCTTCCATCAATAATATCAACCTTCGGTGATTAGCAGCACCCTAGAAACGGATCTATTATCAAATAGGGCTGAAATACACGGTGGATGCAATACCACCAACGATATATCATGACGTCGAAACCTCTCACCAGCTTGCTCACATCGACAAGCACCGTTTTCTTCGATCGAGCTACCAAGCACCCTTTCCTCAAAGCTGCTGGGCAGGGTGAGGTCACTAAAGAAAAACTATCCCAGTGGCTGGCGCAAGATCGGTTATACGCACAAGCATATGTGCGGTTCATTGGCGGGCTGCTCACCAAAGTCGTTTTACCAACATGCAACCCAGACAGCAAAAAATGCAAGTCGCCGACTACGGAGCAGCGAGTCTTTCGCATCCTAGTAGACTCGTTGACTAATATCCAGCGGGAACTAGAATTTTTCGATGAGGTGGCCATGGAGTATGGGCTGGACTTGACTGCCTTGATTGACAAGCCTATTGAAGAATGTCCCCTGGGACCCGGTGTATTTGGACCAGAACCTATCACGCGAGCGTACATAGATTTATTCATGTCAGCTTCCAGCCCCGGTGCCGATCTTCTGGAAGGCTTTACTGTACTTTTTGCAACCGAGTACATCTATCTACATGCTTGGAAATATGCCGCGTCAATTATGGCTACGTCACCCATTTCCGCTACTCGGCCATCACCAGCATCGTTCTCGGCTGGCCCTGAAAAGGACCTAGATGGAGGGGCACTCCGTCGTAAGTTCATCCCCAATTGGTCTAGCCCTGAATTTGAGAAATATGTCGCGACCCTCCGGGACATCACGGATGAGTTGGCAGGTCGGCTGAAAGGAGCAGAAGAGGTGGAGAGAGCAAGAGGAAAGTGCATTGGCTGGTGGAGGCAGATTCTCTGGTTAGAAGAGCAGTTTTGGCCCAATCTCGACGAACCTTGAAAGAGAGTTTTTCTTTTTGATTGACCTTTCGTGTCGTCAAGGTATAGGTGGAGCGAATCTAAGTTATGTCTTAGGAAGATTGTCTCTGGGTTTAGTCATTTGAGGTTTCACGCCCTTATTAGGAATGACATGGTTTCGATATCGATCTAGAGTCATTCAGAAGCGCAGATTCCAACTGAGTCGTGGCTGTGGTTTAGAAAGGACTTGCGTAGGCATCATCTTAGCTTGGAACAACCACATAGTCTAAAAGCCCAACTACAGATGATATTGTGATATACTTGTGGACCCTTATGGCACGGAGTAGAATTAACCGATCAGAGTTCGGACCAAGGCGTACAGCGGCCGGTTTCAACATTACCCAGTCGCCCTGGTTGGAATTGTGCCCATTTGGTGAGCGAGACGCTCGAACATCTGAATAGCTAGTTAAAGCCATTTCTTATCCTTTTTTTGATACCATGTCATGCAGCCGCGTTCACATCAAACCCAGTCAGTGGAGTGAATCTAGGGTAGTCCGAGGAATAGATCATAAGGTGTTTTAGCGATCATGGTCCAGCATAGAGTAACTCCACTATAGAGGCAGTGCAGCGTCAATTCTTGCATATCTTCCGGTTCTAGGAAGATTAACAATACGAAAAAGATGGTTCAACCTCCTACCGCATTCGTGAAGGGGGGTGGTTCGTTGTAGCCAGTGAGAGAATACCAAGTCTTATTTCGCCTTTCCAAGAAACAGGCTCCATCCATAGGATGCCTATTGTATTTATTGCTACCAGCAAACTTCGTACTAGTTTCCACCCCAAGACAAGAATGGAGGCGCAGCATGATGAGGGTCAACAGAACGCGCAATGGCTTACGTTGTGGGGAAACAGTGGCAAGGCAACACCAAAAGATATTCCCTGCTAAAAAGAGGCATCAGCAGAATGAGAGCAGCTGTCATGTGAAATATAATAATGATTCACGCATCTTATATGATCTACCAAGTAAAGAGTAAGGCGAGGAAGGGCTACCGATCACGTGCGCCGGCACCGCCACGGCGGCACCGAGGCGGGCGGGCGGGCAGTGAAGGCTAGTGGCAGATGTGGCGTCGGCGTCTTGACCCTTAACTTAAACCTGGTTTGTTGAACTAGCTGTTAGTCTGTTACTCCTGGTCCTACCGATGTGCTAGCACCTGCAAGCGGCCAAGGCCGAATCGCATTATTTACGGCCGTTGTACGGACAATATCCTGAATGTGGATACTGTCAGAAATCATTTCTGAGCTGTTCATTGCTTCAGCCTCCTTGAAAATCACCAACCGCAAAGTAACTACACCACGGCAAAGCCAATGCCTGCGCGTATAGCAGAATGGTCATTGGTGACTCGCCCAGGCTGGCGCTAAAAGCCCTGCCACTCAGCACACTGTAGTTTACAGTCTATTGAAATCATCTGAATCAGCCTCGCCATGGGGTAGTCTGTTATGTGTTTCAGGCCTGCAGCAGCCGTTGAGTCGCATTTTCGAAAAATGAAAGATGAAGACCAAGAGTAGTTTACCCTGATCAGGCAAAGCCATCGTCTAGGCGATAACTCAAGGTAAGCTCTCACTTACTAGGTAATCATACCAGTAAGCAGACTGTTTAGGAAATGGCCTCGTGAGTTTCTCGGTATGCTTGGCTTGCCACTCCAGCTCCAGGTGCTTTCATCATCAAATTCAAATCTTTGGGCGAGTTACCCCCCGCCAAGTAATTCAACAAGGCTGTGCTAGAACTACTACAATACATATCCACAAGAATATCTCTTCCTCGGCATTATAGAATCAATTTTATGGGCAAAACCAACACTTTTTACACTTCCCTATGACTTTATATAATTTCTCTTTGAAATCACAAGTCAATGCGGGATATTTGACCAATATAAATTTCACCGAGTTAATACAACGATGTCAGTTTCGCCAAATGGGTTCCTACAACTCCCAGGAATCAGAATAGATTCAGAGGGATCTGGGATAAATACTCAGCCTAGTGACCGCTCTCTTTCACACAGCACACCACAAGGTCTGAGCCCTTCTTCTGCGCTGTCGTCGAATTCAGAAGTATTGTCACTAGAGGGGGCGCCGAGTAACTGTGATAGAAGCTCTCTATCAATTAGTCGGCCTTCATCTTCATTATGGGATGCAGCGACCCTTCGGGACAGGTCGGCATCATTCGCGTCCACAAATACCACATTGTTGAGGTCGCGGGCTGACTCAACCGCTGCTTCTGATGTTACTAAATGTGTCACTTATGATAATATTTCCGCCTCAGAAGCCTTAAAACCAGATCCCCGATATGCCGGTGACTTTGTTGTCGAAGACAATAATTTTGCCTTCTCGCCTGGTCATTTGAACAAAATGTTGAATCCAAAGTCATTACCGGCATTTTTAGCTATGGCTGGTCCTAATGGACTATCTCACGGACTCCGAACCGACTTGTCTGCCGGGCTTTCAATTGACGAAACAAAGCTTTCTGGCCATGTCACTTTTGAGGAGGCCACCACATGCAAACCTTCTGACAAACGGAAGATTGACAAAGTGGAATGTGATACATCGGCTTCTACTTCTGGAGAGCAATTCTCTGACAGGATACGAGTATTTGGCCGTAATGTATTACCCGATCGCAAGACAAATGGCTTTTTTAAACTCTTCTGGGAAGCCTACAAAGATAAGATAATCATTCTCCTGACTATAGCTGCCGTGGTTTCGATTTCTCTAGGCGTGTATGAGGCTCTGAGCGGAGGATCAAAGGTTGACTGGATTGAAGGCGTCGCTATCTCTGTCGCAATTCTACTTGTAACAATTGCTACAGCAGCCAACGACTGGCAAAAGGAAAGACAATTTGCGAGATTAAATAAAAGGGTAATAACTCATTTCTTGTAAATGAAGATCTATATGTACTGACTTGGAATTAAAGAAAGAAGACAGACAAGTCAAAGCTATCCGTTCTGGGAAAGAGATGGTAATATCTGTGTTCGATGTCGTGGTAGGTGATATACTACACCTTGAACCCGGTGATTCTCCGCCTGCAGATGGAGTATTTATCTCCGGGCATGGAGTCAAATGCGATGAATCGTCAGCAACAGGGGAATCTGACGCGATGGACAAAACTCCGGGACGGGAGGTTTGGCAGCAACTCAATGACGGAAAACCTGGCGACCTTGACCCTTTCATTATATCGGGAAGCAAAGTTCTTGAAGGTGTCGGAACATATCTTGTCACTAGTGTTGGGCCATACTCCTCCCACGGACGTATTATGGCCTCATTGCAGACGACTAATGAATTGACACCATTGCAAGTCAAACTTGGAAAATTGGCAGATTGGATTGGTTGGCTAGGATCAGGGTAATACATCCCTAACCCACTAGTGATGAGTTGCTAACACGTTAATTAGTGCAGCTGCTGTTCTTTTCTTGATTCTCCTTATCCAATTTCTTACTGAATTGCCAAGTAATCCTGCAAGCCCGGCGGTCAAAGGTCAGGAATTTATGGATATTCTCATTGTTGCCGTTACCGTAATTGTTGTAGCTGTTCCTGGTGAGTATTTATACTAGATTTAAATGATCCGTGAGCTAATAAGTTTTCTAGAAGGTCTTCCACTTGCCGTTACCCTTGCTTTAGCATTCGCTACGACTCGAATGGTCAAAGAGAACAATCTCGTTCGCGTGCTCAGGGCGTGTGAGACAATGGGAAATGCGACAGTCATATGTAGCGATAAAACGGGAACTTTGACGCAGAATAAAATGACGGTTGTTGCCAGTGTTTGGGGCTACAATCTCCAGTCCAGTCAATTGTCACTCGACGAGGAAAACCAAGAGCCGCAGCGTACCGTTTCAGAGTTATTCAGAGGCTTCTCAGAGACAATCAAAAGTCTCGTAGTTAAAAGCATAGCTCTCAACTCCACGGCATTTGAGGATGAGAAAGATGGAAAAACAGAATTCATTGGTAGCAAAACTGAAGTTGCAATGCTTCAGCTTGCCAAAGACCATCTAGGTATCAACATACGCGAGGAAAGAGCAAATTCCGAGGTCATTGAGCTGTACCCTTTCAATTCGTCACGAAAGTGCATGGCAGTCGTATACCGAGACCCTTCAGTCGGATATCGACTTCTCGTCAAAGGAGCCGCCGAGTTAATGCTGGCTTCTTCCGTTTTCGCAATTACAACCGAGTCAGATCAAGACTTAACCACTTCTCCCTTAACAGAACATACACGACATCAAATCTCCAATCAAATCAACCAATATGCGAAAAGTTCCCTTCGCACAATTGCCATGGTCTATCGAGATTTTTCTTCTTGGCCACCAACAAAATCTCAGGCTCGGAAAGATTCGTCAGTACCAGAATTTGAAAGCATTTTCAATGACATGACATGGATTGGTGTAGTCGGAATCCAAGATCCACTTCGACCAGAAGTTCCTGCGGCAATCAAGAAATGTAATAACGCTGGCGTGCAAGTAAAGATGGTCACCGGAGATAATCTAGCAACAGCCACAGCCATTGCGACAGCATGTGGTATCAAGACTGAAGATGGCCTTGTTATGGAAGGTCCCGAGTTTCGCCAACTATCAGATGGGGAACTGGATAGGGTGGTGCCTCATCTTCAAGTTCTTGCTCGTTCTTCGCCTGATGATAAACGAATTCTTGTGGAACGTCTCAAGCATCTTGGTGAGATTGTGGCTGTGACTGGAGACGGCACTAACGATGGTCCTGCCCTGAAGACCGCAAATGTCGGCTTCTCCATGGGGATATGTGGTACTGAAGTGGCTAAAGAAGCGAGTTCCATAATTCTATTGGATGACAATTTCAAGTCTATTGTTACAGCCATTGCATGGGGCCGAGCAGTTAATGATGCTGTTGCCAAATTTTTACAGGTATGAACACGTCCGCATTCAATGTTTTTTGTTTCCCTGGCTTTGGTCTAACTTGCGCAGTTTCAAATCACGGTTAATATTACCGCAGTAATCCTGACTTTTGTATCCTCAATATACAGCGGATCGCATGAAAGCGTCCTCAGCGCTGTACAACTGTTGTGGGTGAATCTTATTATGGATACATTCGCTGCATTAGCATTGTAAGCATAGTAATTTTCCTCGATATCTCATGCGCATAATCTGATTTTATCAACAGAGCGACCGATGGGCCAACCGATAAGATACTTGACAGAAAGCCTACCCCAAAAAATGCATCACTGTTCACGATGACCATGTGGAAAATGATCATAGGTCAATCCATTTACAAGCTCGCTGTGACATTCACCTTGTATTTTGCCGGAAAGGGCATTCTTGGCTCAGTTCTTGACGACAACAACACTCAACTTCAACTCAATACTATCATATTCAACACTTTTGTTTGGATGCAGATATTTAACGAACTAAACAATCGACGTTTAGACAACAAATTCAACATATTTGAAGGCATACTTCGAAACTATTGGTTCCTGGGCATTAACTGCATCATCATAGGAGGTCAAATCTTGATCATATTTGTTGGCGGTATGGCTCTTGGAGTCACCCCTTTAAATGGCGTCCAATGGGCCATTTGTCTTTTGTGTGGCGTTGGTTGTTTACCTTGGGGCGTACTTTTGCGACTTCTCCCTGACCGTTACTTTGCAATTGCGTTTGACTTTGCCGTTTCTCAAGTCTCGTTACTTCTTCGACCTTTTGTGAAAGGATCTGAGTACCTTTCCGCCGTCTTCAAAAAGGCAATGAGCTCGATATCTCGACTGTTTATGAAAAGGCCCAGGCATGTTGAAGAGCCTAGCTACGTGGACGAAGAGGCAAAGGGACCTGCTAAAAAGCAAACCCACGTAGCTGCTGACTCTGTTACGTCGAATCCGCCTCCAATAACCGTCACGACTGTCACTTAGGTCATAAGATGCACAGTCTGAATCGTGTCTCATATCATCGTTTTCTTCTGCCTTTTCCTTTTCTCGGAGTTGCATGTTTGGCGAAAGGGGCCTATATACGTGGATGGAGCTGTATTATTAGGTTACCAGGCGTTTAGGTTATTTGTGTATCAAGGGACCATTTGAGCGTTAAACCATGCCGAAGACGATGCCTATTTAACCATATCATGTCAATGTTAATCTAAATCCTGACCGCAAACGTGTATCAATAGAGAATATCACAAACTAGAATATTTCAATTTTCCAGACAATATGAACAAGTAATTGAGTAATACTGTTTAGATACTTCTTGACCCCAGTCATAAAATATTAGTCAGCGTCATTCGCATTATGCTCGTTACATGTAATAGTTTGAGTGTTTGTCGATAAAGCAACAGTCAAAGGTATTAACGTCATTCCAATTACGTACCTAATAACAATATACATTTATTCAGCTTTCCGAGGGACATTAATATTGATCGTCACGAAATATATACTGATATCGAGACCAGCCCGATGAAATGAGGATGAAATAAACATCGATGTTAGGGCTTGTCTGTTGATGCCTCAGGCTCTAATCCCACGCCCAGGCGGCGACAACCCAGCTTGCTCCACCACTCGTCCGCAGCACCACCTCCGCACCAGATCACAGACAACTCAATATCTCCCTCAAACAACCACAGTATTCGGTTTTCACTGCCAAGGACCACTGTCTTAGCTATACACTCAATTCGAGGCATCGAAGAGGCATCGAAAAGAGCACCTGATACTTGGGTTTCCTGTGGATTGTATGCCTCTGCGTCGTTATCCTCCCCGCAGCCATTCCAATAGACCCTATTGCTAACCCGCGCGTCATTTTCTAGGTGCACCTTCTTAACCAAGACCGGTAGCGCTATTCGAACATAATTAGACGGGACTTATATCTCCCTCATTGCAGTCAACACGCGCAGTGACTCCGACAACACCGGCTGCTCATCCACATCTACCACCCCACTTATCCATCCACACGAACAAGATGGCTCAAATAAACTACCGCACAATCAACATTGATGTGCTCGATCCAGAGTCATCAGTCAATTTCCCCATGAACACTCTCCTTCCAGCCAACCTTCCAGAACCAACAACCTCCGCAGGCGCAGCTTCGGTCGCCCAACAGGTCCGTCAAATGCTCAGAGGCGGTGACCCGGAAGGCGCTCTTCGGCATGTTCTCGACACTGCCCCCTTAAGCGGCGATGCGCAGGCAAAGGAAGTTCATCTGGCAACAGTGATCGAAGTTTTACAAGGTATTCGACAGGGTGAGATGCTTAAGGTTTTGGAAGGTGTACTTGCTGGTGAGGGAGGTACAGACCGTGCGGATTGCTTGATGAAATACATGTATGTTGTCCTCATTACAAGTTTTGCTTACCAATTGATGCTTACTGATAATGCGAAATAGCTACAAGGGTATGGCAGGACAGTCATCGACAGGAGGTAACCAATCACCCTCCTCGCGCAAGACCCTTTCCCCACAGGCTACTGGCTCTGGCTTTTCACAAGTGCAATCACGGAACTTCGGCGAAGGAGGTGGCGGCCAACAGATGAGCGTTCTTCTGAACTGGCATGAAAAGCTTGTTGAACTAACTGGCCATGGAACAATTGTACGGGTCCTTACTGATCGACGGACGGTATAATGAGTACATTACGCAAATGATAACGTTGGTGACGAGTTTGAGGCTGTCTGACTACTAAATCCATATCGACTTCTGTTTAGCCACAAAATGTAGATCTTTATGCTTATTTTGAAGGTGAAATTTTTTGCCAAGGTGTTATACTACAAATTACAATAACGGAGCTTCTCTCATTACGTAGGCGCCTGACCAAGGAACTTTCTCTTGTAATCAGATTTATTTTTGTTCGAAATCTCCTCCTCCAAGCAGATCTTTGAGGTTGACTTCTCCACTTCCTCTTTGTAAAGGCTGTGGCTGTCCTGCACCTTCTTTCCATCCGATCATAAAAATAATCCTGAATGTTGCTGGAATCCCACCCTGCCCATGTGCAGGTCCATCGCCTGCGTCTTTATGTAGTTCGCGGTAGATAGCTTCATTAGCCAACAGTACGTCCTTCGAAAGAGGACCTCGTTGCAGCGTGGCATTACTTTCGCCCATGGCTTGGAGATCCTCCATTAATGCAAATGTATTCGGGAAGTCGACGACAATATCCTCGACATCTACAGTCAACATTTTAAACCCGGCTCGTGTTAGCAGTCCGCCAACATCTCTTACATCTGCCAAAGGCGAAATATGCGGTATCACTCCTCCACGGCGCTCCATGTTAGCTAATTGGAGGGACGAACGCAATTCGAAAAGGGTATCTCCACCAAACATTGCGGCGATAAAGGGACTGTCGGGTTTGAGGATTGAGTTTACTTGTGCCAAAAGTGACGGTAAATCATTAATCCAGTGAATCGAAAGTGATGATAATACAATATCGAAGGTGTTTGGTACGTAAGGTAGGTATTCCAAGTCGCGAATCACTTCCCGCTCAATAGACAGTTGCTTGTTGAATTCAAGATCCGCATCCCGATACAGTAATTCAGGTGATGTTTCAATACATTTAATGCTTCCGATGCGGTCCGAAAGAGATTGAGAAGGTCCTAAGTCGTGGTCAAAACTAGGAGCAGTCAATGCACGCGCGATATTGCAACTATTTGCGCCGAGATCGAGAGCAGTAGGAAATGTTCTTTTAATATCCTATTCGCAAATTGGGTATAAGTAAGTATTTCCATACTATATAGCATAGCACCAAGCAAATAATTACCAGTAGTCTATCACATAATCGCATTGCTACCTCATCTTTGAGATAGTCTACCTTGCGGCTCTGTTCGACATTCCGAGCTGCACGTTCTTTCTGGATATGCTTTGCCACACGATTAAAAACTTCGAGTGATGGTTTTCCCGGCGCCTGCACAGCGTAGTTTCTCGATGACGTTATGATTGTTGTGTTGTAAGATAAAGGCCGCCAGCGGCATGAGATTTTTGGTAAAAAAAGAACGGACATGGCGTTTCGCTGTTTTTCGAAATTCTGCTAAATTGACCTAGATATTTTCTCGAAGTGCATAGCATGGTACATAAGAGAGTGCTCTGGATTATGGCATCGTCGAGTCGTATTAAATTATTTGGGGCGCGAATCCATAGGTCGTTGTAGGATGACGATAGCATTGAAGAATTCCAGCAAGGAAGCTGGGCAAAGCTCAAGACTCCACTTTCTGCTTGTTTCCCGCGTACCTGGAATTAACACCCCCGCCTCAACAGCGCTTCTTGACCTTTCAATCGGCGTATACTGGACAGTTCGGTATTTTTGATGCGGCATTTCGAATTATTTATCTTCGTATAGTCTGTCCACGTCTGATGATACGTGTTCATGGCATGTTGTGGATTATTAGCTCCACCGCAAATGCCGTAACTGTTTAGGGGTTGGAAATGAATTTGAATTTCAATATAGCATAACTAACCATTGACAGCGTCAAATCTCGCTCGCCTTGCACATTGACATCACGTTATTACCTCCAAAATGTCGCGGCCGTTTCCTTACACGTACATATCGTGCCCATGCGCGCAAAATAGGCCCCCAGAGCCATCAAAACGGAGCTCCAGAGAGCTGTCGCCAAAGAAACAGTCGTCCCCTCGAAAAAGAACCCAAGAAATCAAAGATGAAGTAGAAGAGGGCTCGGACTACGAAGAAGATGAGGAATCGGAGCAAACTTTTGATCCGAAGTCAGCCCGGGCCAATTATTCCTTGTATCCGCCAGAGCAACTCTTATACTGCGAGGACTGCCACCAGATAAAATGTCCAAGATGTATCACAGAAGAGATTGTGTGTTGGTACTGTCCGAACTGTCTCTTTGAAACGCCGAGCAGTATGGTTCGAAGTGAAGGAAATCGGTGGGTTCATTTTGCCATATTTATATTTGAGGCGCAAAGCTAATGAGGCTTTTTGTTTAGATGCGCTCGAAATTGTTTCAGTTGCCCGATCTGCACTGGCCCACTCGCTGTTACAACTCTAGATAATACTGCGGAACATGGTACACAACAAGGTCCATGGATATTAGCCTGTGGATACTGTATGTGGACGACATTGGATATAGGGATCCAGTTTCACAAGCCAACAAATATCCGGTCTCAACTATCCAAAATATACGAAGAAAAGGGTGCAGTAAAGAGTTCTCGAACCGCCCTCGACTTGAAATCACCGTTGTCAAATACCACATCTGGAACTCTAGACAGCCCAGCTTGGGAAGATGAAGGGCCTATTACCGCTACAGCAACGCAAACACAGGATGGGCAAGTGGAACTAGATCCAAGCGCAAGGTTTGCAGCACTCAAGAGATTCTATACAAAACAGATTGAGGATACCTCTATATCAGCAACGGACCCTCTAGTATCAGATTTCGGAGCAGCATTTTCATCGCCCAGCGCGTTGAACCGTATCATGTCAATCTACACTTCATCGTCTCATCATTACGGCGGTAGTGCGAAGAAAGCAAAATCAAAGCCCCCAGTAATGCGAGAGGCGCTCACATCAGACGAGGGTCTCAAGGTGGTTTCTGCTGACAACGATCAAGTAATAATCGATCGGATAGCTTCTGAAGACTGTACATGGGACGATATGCTTTCTACCGAGCAAAGGGCATTCCAATATCCTAACGCTCGATTCATGGACGATCTGCGACCACTTCCTGTGTTACTACGAACTAAGCGATCTAAACGGTGCAAATCATGTAAACACATATTAGTGAAACCCGAGTTTAAACCTGCATCGACCCGGTTTAGGATTCGTCTCATCGCGCTCAGCTACATCCCACTTCCTGCATTGCGCCCCCTTATGCCGGCGGCTTTACCTGGACAATCTGTATCAGCAACATCGTTGCTACAGCAAAATCTGGACGCGCTCTCTCCGCTTCGCCCAATTCAATACCTTCTCACGTTGAAAAACCACATGTTCGACCCCGTGCGAGTCACTCTAGCTACACCCTCAGTCACCCCTGGTCGCGTCGCATCTAAAGTTACTATTCTCTGCCCGCAATTCGAACTAGGCGCAAACAGCGATGTTTGGGACGAGGCGTTACAAGCCGCGCCTACCGCCCCAAGCTCCTCCACAAACCCACTATCTCGACCAGGCGCTCCTGGGTACGAGAAAGTCGCCGAAGCCGGTAAGGTCTGGGACAAGGGACGCAACTGGACAACCGTTGTTCTCGAAGTAGTCCCCGATGCATTACCAGGCACGAACCCATCGATACCACTTCCACTAGTGACAAATACTAGTGACCGAGACGAACAACAAAAGGAAGCAAAAAGCGAGAATACAGGTTTTCTTCGAGAAGATGAAGATGTCCTCGAAATTCCCATTTTTGTGCATTTGGAATGGGATGCGGAGAATCAGATTGATCAGGATGGTCAACAACAGTCGGCGCCTGATAAGCCGCGTGAGAAGAGTGGTGAGAAACTGGACTTGGTCAAGCGTGAGCTAGCGTATTGGATGGTTCTGGGCGTGGGGAGAATATCTCCAAAGATATTATAGGTTGTTTGCTTTGATTTGTATTTCAATGTTTGCTAATAGATACCACCATCATGTCAATTCTTTACATCTAGAATTTTCCTACAGATCGAAAAGGGAGTAGAAGTAATATTTTTGACATTGCCAAGCACGGTTCATGGGACATGACATGACATGCTTTATTTGAGATCGGGTCCCCGTTGGCTACAAACATTTATAACCAACATATAGTTAGGTAACAATGACAAGTTTAGATCGAAAACTGGTCATATTATCTATTTTCATGCAAGCGGAGAAAAAAAAACCAGAAAATGACTTCCCATCCCTTTTTCTCCACTTTCTTTGGACTATGCTCGTTGCCATATTTCCTTTCGTGTTCCATCATATCTCAATTGTAGAGTCGGAAAGGAAATATAACCCAGCAGAGAGATGATTATAAAAGAAAACAAAAGCTAGCACCCGCACGAATCAAACCAAAAGAAAAAGAAAAAGGAACAATTTTTTTCTTTCCTCTAGTATTCGACGGCACTGCTCTGAGGGAACTCGAAAACAACGTTACGGCCTGTCAATCGTCGGTAGACTGCGCCGTAGGCATCAAGACGGTGGTCAACACCACCACGCTCCTTCTCGTCAAGGATGATCTTGATCGTCTTGCTGCCATCCTCCTTGGTGCGGACACGCTTGCCGACGATCTCAACGGGGTAGACAATGTCGGACAAGATGGCGTCGTGGACAGCAGTCAGAGTACGGGAACGAGGACGCTTTTGGGTGAGGGTGTTGCGAGAGCGAGCAGAACGCTTGGGGCGAGGAAGGATGCGGCGAGAAGCGATGATGATGACATGGCGGTCAGAGAACTTCTTCTCAAGCTCACGGGTGAGACTGGATGCCATTAGTTAACGTTGTTTGCAATGTGAGCGTTTGGCTGTTGCATACCGTTGCTGGATCTTGTGGAAACCCTGGAGAAGGGGAACAGGGACGAAGATGGCAATAGCCTTCTTGTCGTGACCAACCTCGATCTAGAGAATTGTCAGCGACTAATCAAACATTGCGCTGAATTGATTCGTATATCCGCCAGGTATATATGATTTGGTGTTGATAGAAATTCGAGGAGTGTATTTTCTCCCCAATCATCCGTAGCCAATCCAATATATTCCACTCATCAAAACAACAGAAATAATGCCTACCTCGCGAGCAGAAACGAACTGCAGAGGGCGCAGAGAGGCCTTCAAGTCCTGGGTGTTGCTCTCGAGGTCGTACAGAGCACTGGCGAGCGAAGTCTCCAATTCGGAGGGGCTCTGTCTCGATGGAGAGTTGGCGGCGATCTTGTTGATAGCAGCCATGATTGCGCGCGGGTTGCAGACAGGTGGTGAGTATCCTGTGGCGGCGGCTGCTGCTTGTCGACTGTCGTGGGGAAAGGGAGGAAAAGAGCGTCGTCAAAAGAAGTTATCGCGGAACACTACACACGCACACAAACTCTCATTCTCCAATGTGCGTCGCTCATCGACGAATCGCTTGGCGGGCCCTCGCTTAGGCGAAATGCTAGCGCTGATTCGGTTAGACCTGCTACTCTTTGGAGCTAGCGGGTCTCGTGATCGGTCTAACGTACTATAATTCTGCCGGCGGACTTGACCGACCGCCTTCCTTTTCGCACCGCATTTACTATTTCACTACCTGTTTCATATTTTCAATGCTGTTAAAAGATTCGTATAAATATGATATTTGTTAGCATAATAGCACTACTAGTGGGAATTGGCTGAGGATGGGTGTGGCTGGTTACAGCTGTCTAACTATGAAGAATAACAAAAAGGTCAAAAAAGGAAAATGAATTGCACGGAATCAACTTCATAAACAAAACATCAACATGCACAACCTTCTTTGGCCGCTGCAGCACTGCGATCACCGAGATTGACTCGAGAATCTTCTCCCGGTCTGCCCGCGCCTAGCGTCGTTTGACCGGCTCCAGCACCACCTGCCTTCGCACCTTTCAAGCTAGTTTCCGGGATAGCATTGGCGATGGCTGTAAAGACCTCTGAGACATTAAATCCCGTTTTGGCACTGGTCTCAAAGAACAAAAGACCTTCCTCTTCTGCATAAGTACGGGCTTCACGAGTCGAAATTTTACGCGCATCCGAAGTCGAGTTATCCTGTTCTTCGGTTTCTGGGTTCACCGCTTCCTCGTCATCTGCTTCTGCGTCTGGACCAGGTCCTCCGTTATCAGCATCGTCATGAGCCGGTGAAGGCTCGCCGTCGGCGCCGCCGGAGCTGGTCAAATCCAACTTATTTCCCACCAGCGCAATGACAATACCGGGGCTCGCTTGTCGCTGCAGCTCAGCTACCCAGTGCTTTGCCTTTACCAGCGAAGATGGCTTTGTAAGATCATATACAACTAGTGCGGCCTGGGCATTTCGATAATACATCGGGGCCAACGAGGCGAATCGCTCTTGTCCAGCGGTATCCCATATTTCGAATTTGATTGTCCGTGTGGGTAGCGAGCACTTTTGTGTCAGGAACGCGGCTGTAGATTGAAAAGCAAGTCAGCAAAGAAATTCGTAATCGCAAACACCAAGGATAGATTATAGCAACTATATGACCAGACAATGTTACATACCTCCTATAGTAGGCTCTTTATTTTCCTGAAAGTCGTTGTTGACGAATCGCAGAACTAATGAAGACTAGTCCAACATCAGCATGCATTCAACCCCCAAACATACTCAAACAACAGCCCTATCTGACTGTAATATCATACCTTTCCGACAGCAGCCTCTCCGAGTAGCACAAGCTTCACACTGCTGCTGGGCTTCGGTCCAGCTGGGGCTGAATCCGACATGCTTGACTATTAAATAACTGGATGTTTGGTGATGCAGGTCTTAGACAAAGGTCAGGGAGGGTATGACGGCAATAGATAATCACCATGCAATTCTCACCCACTCGGCACGTTCGTAACCAGACAATATTCAGCTGCAGATTCCGGCGGCGAAGGCGAGCTGAATCGGAGAGGAAGGATTGGGGCGTATGTGCAGTAGTACAGGCTGATTCAAGTTGTCAAGTTGCGCGAAGAAAAAGTCCGGGCCCGAGGCGCTTGGCCGGCTTTTTCGTTACAGACGTTTTAATAATAGAATATATTTGATGAAAATGAAAGGGGTATCTTCTTCGTGATTGTGCATAGGCAACCCAGTTATTGAGGAGCTTACCTCCGGGTGACGAATGGTCGAGATGTCGTCTTAGTTAGAAGCTCGCGGGCTAGGACGAAAGCAGGGCTAGTGCAGGCGGATATGCTAAACTGCCTAATTCGTCGATAGTGGTACCACGTGATATCCCATGTATGCATGTGCTATTTATAGGATTCATATTGGATTGCCATCTAACCATATCTATAGTCGATATATAGTTGACTCTGCGTTTGGGTTTATAGGTCTTTTGGGAATACCGATATGATTATCGAAACGGGGTGGTGTCTCCGGTGTGCATTAGAATACCGTCCAGGCCAAACGTCACTGCGTACTCCGATAAGGTGGGCTGACATCATCATGGTGATACACAATGAAGATCGCTTAATGGCATTGATTTAGCTTGGTCTGCTCTGATGGGGTGTATGAATTGTCTGGGAGAGTATGTCGTTATCTGAAGTGCCCTAGAGTCCTAGACTGATCTACACCGGCCAGCCTAAAGCTGTGAAATGTAATTGCGTCAACAGGCATCAGGGTAAATTCAAATGTTGTTTCGGAATATTTTGTACAGGCTGTGCGACGTCAAGCTTGTAGCCAGTAGGATCAAGAGAAAGATGCCGGGTATAATCAGACTCCGGACGAAAGTTCATGTCTACGGAATAGCAACTTCATATGTGGACACTGTAGTTGTAATCGTAGATACAATTCTTGGATCTAATATGATATATTAAAGCTATGATAAATGGTAGTAATAAAACAGAGGACCAGCCTCATGCAATCCAAATTGTTGTCGTGATACATGACCAAACTGAAAATCCTCCATAATTAAAACAAAATATCCCAAAACGACGCCTCAGCGCAAACCCTCTGGCAAAAACCAGAAACATGTTTGCACCGTGTTGCCAAATATTGTACATGAGTATCTCAATTCCACGGGGAAAAAAAAAAGAAATGTAAGACAATGCAAGAAGGAAGGGTGACTGCGAAGTCGAGGTTCTAGATCCAATCCTGGTATCTCCCATGCTTAACATGATAACCGTCCAATCTATAATAACGCCGTAGTGTAAATCCAAACCCATAAAAAACACTTTTCAGTTCCGATAGTAAAGAAGTGTAAACGTCGCAAAAGGAGGCGGGGTCGAGAGACCGCGCCGTGGTGAAATCGCCGAAATTGGTCAAAAAGCGCAATAGTAGTAGTACAGTCGCATTCAAAATCCACGACTAAAAGAAGTCTATGTTGGGAAAATTGGAACCAGTCCAACGTGACCGAAACAGCCACAAGAAGAATGGGCGGAAGTTGATCTGGATTGCACATGTTAGAAACCAGTCGACCATCGGTAGCATGGAATAGGCATCACATACATATCACGAACCGCAGTAGGTGATCCTGAGAGCTCGATGTCTGGAGAGGTACAGCACTCAGGCGGTCGTGGATATGCGGGTCGTGGTATCGAGGGTCAGTCGAAATGTGCATTTCGGGTGATGTAGATATTTATCGACGTGAAGGTGGCGGCGGCGGCGCACCGGGTTTCTTCACACCGGTAGTATCATAAGCTCCACGGCCCATGTTGGTAGCTGAGAGATCTCGAAGAATCATGTTGAGAGCTTGAGGCAGAGGATGATGGTCAGCTAAATTCGATGTATCCCTTGCGAGTAACGAGATGGGTGTGGGAATGAGAAAGGGGGGGAGGGAGGGGAGTGGCGGCCGTATTTATAGAAATGACAACAAATAGAGAAAACATTGTCCCTCACCTTATGTAATGCGAGCTCTCCGAATACACACAAAAATGAGAGCGAACAAACAAAAAAAGAAGGGAAAAAAAAGAAAGGAGTGACAGTTGAACGGATGGAGTTTGACTCTCACACAGCCAGCTGGCAAACAAGCGGTGGAAAGCGCCCAAAGTTATGCACAGGTTAGCAGCAGGCCCGATCGAAAAACGTCTAGGTTGGCGATACAGGGCTGGCTGGATTGGACGGGGCGATCTTTTTGAAGCTTTCCTGCAGTTCCGGAAAGTCGGGTGGCACCCTAGATGATGGACGGGTTTTTAGGCAGGAATGTGAGACCAACCAGGTTGGTGGGTGGGAGGCCAGGGATAGACAGGTCGCTTCGGATGTAATTCGCTCCACTGCGATGGCGCCTGCAGGTTGAGTTTATCAGGGTGTTTGGTAAATTTAAAACAAATCGGGCAGGTCGATCCACTTTGTTTTTTTCCGTGGTTTCTTTTCTTTATTTCGGGGAGGTTCTCTTTCTTTTGTTCTGAAGTCGGTCTAAAGCGCACAGGAATAAGAATAGGCAAGGAGGCGCGCAGACAGGTAGGCTGCAGGTAACACGGACAATGTACGGCAGAGGAAGCCGACGAACTAATGATGTGTCGCAAGGAGCCCGCAGGAAGGGAGCAGGCAGGAAGCCGGAGGTATAGGACAGATGGCAATCAGGATAGTATTAGAGAAACGGCAGCAAACAGCGGCACAAGGCGACAGGGTCGATCTCGAGTACGGATAGGATAGGACAGATCGAGAGATATATGGGAAAATGAATGGGAAAACACAAACGCATGCAAAAAAAGAAAGGAAAAAGAGAGCAATCACAACGTCAGGTTGCAGGTCACTAAGGAAGGGGCAGCTAGGGTACATATATTATTATTTTTCTTTCGGGCTTTTTTGTCCCCCCTGCCCAATATTGGCGCGCTATGAATGATCGCAAATGCTAGACGGGACGGGGTTAGGGCGCGCGCCAGCCTCCCCGGTACAACCACGTACTAGTATTACGGTTTACTGCTAGCCTTTGTTTGACTTGGCTGCGATACTCCGACTTCCTGGCTAGTTGGGGCGTAGCGCAGCAGGCTAGCGCCAGCTTGCAGCAAGCGGGTTGGACCCGGGGGACAGGAACGCCAGCGCCGTACCCACACCATTAAATATTACTAATAAATCCTGCATTATTTTGCATCCTCTGGTTGGCCACCTACGTGCCCCCCTGGCGGAAGCGCTTGCCCCGTCCCGGCTTAGCCGCTAAGGTGCCAGCGGACCCAGTGGGATGCCTACGCTAGCCCAGTCTGGTAGTTCTTCTCCATCCTCTGCTTCCTGCCAAGCCACACCTACATCTTTCCCATGAACACGGCGGTATCATGGACTAAATGATGAGAGAAGAACTAATGAGAATTCGATGTGCTTTCTAACCATCTATGAGCGATGGCCGTTGCCCATCCGATGTGGTCAATCGCGATTAAATAATACCACAATACGAGAGGTGGCACTGGACAGCAGAAGGTTGGGATGGGATCCCTGCAAGGACCCGCCGGGCTGTAAGCGACGGAATTGCCTCGAAATTAACGATCGTTTCAACAGAAAATTTTTTTTATGGAGTCATGATTGCAATAGAGACACAAATGAGATAAAAATAAATTAAAATAATGCGTGGGATTAGAAGACCATAGCTATCTGAATCTCTCTCGACTATATTTCCTTTTGTTTCAAAAGAAAGAAAAAAAAGTGTGGGATGTCTAGTGCCCATTAATAGAATTGCGTTCTGGCCCCTTTCCACCCCTTTCCATCGTCCACCCCAAGATAACTGAAGAAGTGAGAATTGGCTGCCGGACTCCGGAAGGATTGTTGAATGACACCGCACCACCGTTGGTGCTAAAGGCCGCCAACAGATGCCGTGATCGTGGTTCCTGGTCCGTTTCAAGTGGGATAAGCTTGCAGCTAATCATGCTGCGGATTCCAAACCCACTGCGTCTGAAGTGAAACCGAGACAAGGTTACCCCGTACACAGAGTACAGAGTTACAGAGTGGCAGTACGGAGTACAGTCATAACATTTATGGCAGTCAGATAATAATAACAACATAGTCACCGGCGCTCCGAGAGAACAAGGTAATCCGCCCCGTTAGTGGGCGAGACTAGTTGCTTGCCGAACCGGGTCCACTGCAGCAGTCTCGCGTGGCTGCCATCCTGCTGTTGATCCTTCTGCGCGGTACACCATACAACCAACTATCCTAGTCAAGAAGTCCCTCGCGTGGAGGTTGCGAGTATGAATACGGACGTCGGGTCACTACTTCCAGGAGAATTCCGATGTATTATCCGACATTCGTTACATAGCAGTTTAACAGCCCTATGGTTTATTACCAGAGTGCGTGGGATTACACTTAGGGGCACATCTCGGGCGGACAACTGCAGGGATCGGCAGATGGTGGAGAGAACTATGCCGCCGCCCTGATAGTTCCGCACGATCACGCCCCATGCAACCTGATTCTACGTCTTCTTCTCGCCTTCTAGCCTGTCGCCTCCTCGGAAATTAGTCGGCTACAAAACTCCGCGGATATTAATAAGAATCAACAAGCGACCAGGGTATTATATATAAAGAGACATTGTAGAAATATTTCCGGATGTCTGTTACATACTTAGTGACAAAATTAGAAGTCCCCTTGGACTATGGACTAACGCAACATATGTTAGAGTCATCGCACGTGCAAACCAGTTTTCATTATGCCACGGCGGCATTTCCCGGCGATCTGTCTTTCAGCAGGTCGATTTCATTGCCGAGAAAAAGCAAATACAGGTACTCCGTAGTAAGGATCACAAAAACAAAAAGAATCCAGGCAGATGAAATCATGAAACAAAGCAAGGTTTATCACGGAAATTGACCTGGCTGATTGCAGCTAGTCTTCGGGCAGGGCCGCTCGCATGCTTCCTTATACATATTATTGACAAGGATTCGTCAGTAGACCCTATGCCGCGCCGCGTCGCACATGTGAAGGGCCACCCTTGGTAGGTTGTACGAGCGATTATCGATAGTGTTGTTCTAGAAAGTCGCTCAATTGCCGGCAGCTCCACCGCGTACCGAGGAACAGGCGCGGCACATGGCGAGCCTGTTTCCATGGAACGCACAGTGTCACGTGTACTAAATCAATTCTTAAATCTTTGTAAGTGGTAATTGGGTAAATATATGTTTTATGGTCGTATAGATAGATAGATAGATAGATAGATGCAGTCGCGTGTGCTGATAGAAACACCTGTAATCGCAACGTACGTACATAAATCGACGCATCACGTTCCCCCCAACTGCCTCGTCAACAGCCAAAAGCTCAGCCACCAGCCGCAGAATACTACCAACAGGTCAGCACTGATTACGATGATACGTACCTATCGCATTCACAACATCTCAGATTTAATATTATTGTGTGAAAAACAATAAAAAATAAACCAAAATGAAAGAATAAAAAATGAGTGGGTATAGGAAATACACCCGACTGGCAGATCGCCCAACCCGGCACCCTGGTCCCTGGCTCTGGCCCTCACCCGTACCTGCAGGCTGCAGGCCGATGCTTGGCCATGCAAGGTACAAACCCCTACAATGGGCTACGCACATCTTGGGGGTGTACCCACTCTGTCCGGGATTGCTTCGGTGGTTCCCCGTCCCTTCTATTCACTATTTAGTATTAGTATTTAGTACATGTATTTATTATCTAACATTTCATTTCATATTTTTTCTGAGCAAAGTACTAATTAGAAGCCGCTAACTGTTGCCACCGAAACCATCCGCTTATAAACGAATAAGTTCACTGTAATAGCGAGGATTATTAATTTATTAAATCTAGTTCAATCAGTTGATAGTTAAGACTTAATACTTAATAGTTCCCACGACAACGGCTATCAGAATACTGACTCCTAGTTACACACTGTGGAAAGCCGAGGGCCCGCGGAAGCCCTTCCGCCCTTCTCCCAAAAGTTGGTAAACTAATGGAAACTGTATTTCTGTTTATCCATAATGGCTGGGCGTAGTAATCCAATAAAATAATAAGGACTCAAGCCGCCTCTTTATTCGCCGCTTTTTATCCGTTAGCTCGTTGAATTTTTTGGATTTTTCGCTTAGTTTTCTTTCTTGGCCAGCCCAACGCGTCGATCATAGAGCCCATTCCGATAAGAACGAGCAATTTTGGGTCCTGAACCTGGCTCAATTTGTGGGCTGATTTTTGTTTCAGAAAATCCCAGGAGTCTGGATACGACTGGAGATGCTCATTGTACATTATTCTCCTCTTTCTGCCACTGGATCCTTCAAAACTGCACTATTGAAACGCTTATCGCTCGGTGTAATTCGAGACCTCTTTTCATCTTTCAATTCATTGTTCTCAAATTAACACTGGTCATAAATCCTCATGCAGACACAGCTCCGTTTTCTTGATTTTAGTTGCTTCTTTTGTTACTCTTTCATGCTTTGTCTGCTGCACTCCCATACACTCTCGTGTTTCTATTTATTTTCATATTAATATTAATATTTCAACCACATAGTCGTCTTGGAGTTGAGGGATGCCCGAGATCATCGCACCGGCACGGCCAAGCCACCCCTAGTCGCCCCATTCTTGGCAAATCAACAAAGTCAATGGTGTTTTCGAAAAAGAAAGGAGAGCGAAATGACATCAATTTGCCTATACGAAATCTACGAACATCTCTCTACACGTTCAGATTCATGGATTTATTCAAGGATACAGGCAGGACTGCAAGTACAAATAACGTCTCTACGGGTCGGCCCGACAGCCAAGGAAATTGAAGCAAATAACTTAATACAACGTTGTAATCAAATAATGGTGTGACTGATCATCCGATCGACGGTCGTTCGTGGCGAATTCTACGTAGTATTTACGGAGTAAGTATACGTCCCAAGCCATGTTTTGTCATTTTGCCACTCAAGTCGCTATGACAAATTATTGCTCTTTGACAGCGTCAGATCTTCAAGGATATGCTAGGAATAATGCCCATTTCACAACTCAACAACGATGTTGGGATGACATATCCACTAATAGTATTCTAGATCAGTCGAGCACCTTCATATGCGCGATCGTATGGTAAGCCATTTCAAACTAAACAGTATCAGCAAACAACATTCGAGCTTTCTTGCAGCCACCAACAAACGACTCACCTGCTCGTTGGTCTGACATATCAGCACCCGCGGCCCATTCCCAGCATCCCGAGTCACGTCCGTCACTGGCGTATTTTCATCAACCGCGCCGTCGCTATTTTTGCCCGCCTCAATGTTGAAGCCAAGACAACTGCATTGCTGAGCAACTGCCTGACGTAAGAGGGCGCTTTTCTCGCCAATTCCGCCAGCGAATACGATTGCATCAAGCTGGCCATGCAGCTTGACGAAGTAATTCCCAACAAAACCTGATATCCTGTCTACGAGGATGTCAAAGGCGAGCTTGTGGTTTTCCGTGGGCGGGTTTTCAACTGCTATTTGCGCGAAATCTGTTGTTCCTGTGAGCCCTTTCCAGCCGGACTTTTTGTTGAGAATTTCCTCGGCCTGGTTACTTGCATTAGCTGCCTGCTCTGTATAGAAAATTGAACAACTTACTGTGCTAATGTGCATCTCCTTTGTACTGGAAGGACTCAAGCTGCTGGCTTCGCTGGTATAATGGAATACTAGGCTAGAAATATATCAGATACATTAACTTTTCGACCGATGCGTGGCCTACCTAGGGTCAATATCTCCGCTTCTTGTCGCTCCAGGAAGACCTGCTAAGGGAGTTAATCCCATCCTGTGGATTGGAATTAGCACCAACCACTATATATGTATCACTCGTTCTTACGATGTGTCGATTGATTTGCCGTCTTTTATTGCACATACTGAAGCTCCGCTGCCAATGTGCATCACTATCAAACTTGTCTTGTCCTGCGGTTTACCCAAAAACTGCGCCACTGACCGGAGGATAAAAGCATAGCTTATCCCATGAAACCCGTATTTGCGCAACTTATTCCTCCTAGCCACTTCTTGGTCAATCGGGTAGGTTCGAACATGCTTTGGCAAGCTGTGATGAAACGCCGAGTCAAAGTGCGCAATATTCTTGACTAGAGGTAGTTCTTGCCGACATGTTCGGATGATCTCGAGGGCTGGAAAGTTATGCCTGTCAAAGTAAGCCCTGATTCAATCTATTCCAATCACGAAAGGTCACGTACAGTGGAGCAAGATCTTCAATTTCCTCTAATTGATGATAGGTTTCATCATTGATCTCAATTGCATTGGTATAATCCCCTCCGTGGACGATGCGATGGCATATGCAGACCACATCCTCTGGACTGGCCGACACGAATACCACCGGGTCGGTGAGGCATCGCTGCAGCAAGTACTTGAATGCCTCTGGAGGTGATCCTAGGTTATACTTTAGTTTCTCTTTTTTCTGGTCGCTTTTTGTGCTGTATTTGAATGTTTGGGGCGGCGCAGTAATCCCGGAGACCTGGGCCTCAATTATCGCGGAAGGCGGGTTGTCCAAGGTGTAAAATGTAGCTTTGACAGAGGAAGAGCCCGCATTAACAGACAGAATTATTCTCGGCATTTTTTGTTTAATAGCAAATAGCAAAAATCAGAATCAAGAAAATAAAAAATTGCGTATATAATTACAACTTCTTCGTTGCAATTCAGTCGTTGGTGGGATGTCTCTCAGTACCCGCGACGACATCATGACGTATCGGCGTTACCCTGGTGCACCTGATGTTGTTTTACATCATGCAATGCCTGCAAGCGGCCAGCCACAATAGGCTCTCTTTTTATTTCAAATGTTATCTTATTTCCAATTCCGAATATTCACTTGCTTGCCTAAATTGGTCAGCTAGATAGGATTTTGATTCTCAATATGCCCGGCGAAGTCATAGACCGTCCAAATCCCGAACCTCTACCATCAAACCTTCCTGATGTGCTAGACCAGCTGATGGTGAAGCTGGACAACATAAACCTCGATCAAAGGGATTATGACTCATTGATCAGGTTTCGTCGGGCGGCGTGCTACATTGCTGCTGGTTGGTTAGATCGTGGCATTTCTTGTGTGGCCATTGCTGACACGTCCATGCAGCTATGATATTCTTGCAAGATAATGTGTATCTGAAACGAGATCTGAAATATGAAGATATTAAACCTCGATTGTTAGGTCGGTTTAGGTATTCTTGAATATTATTACTTTTGACTGAGAACTTTAGGCCACTGGGGAACATGTCCAGGCTTGGCCCTCGTTTACTCTCATTTAAACTACCTGATCTCAAAGCAAGACTATGACATGTTATTTGTCGTTGGACCCGGTCATGGAGCACCGGCAATATTGTCTTGCCTGTGGCTCGAAGGGTCCCTTGAGAAGTTCTATCCACAGTATTCGCGTGATGCCGATGGTCTCCACAGCCTGATATCAACTTTTAGCACCACTGCTGGGCTACCCAGGTACATGCATCCTGACTGCATTATTCACTATTTCTGATTATGCTGCAGCCATATAAATGCGGAAACCCCCGGTGCCATCCATGAGGGAGGAGAGCTCGGATATGCGCTTGCTGTCTCATTCGGTGCTGTTATGGATAACCCTAACTTGATTGCCGCTTGTGTCGTTGGTGATGGCGAAGCTGAAACAGGGCCAACGGCTACGTATGTATATGCACCTACATCCAGATGTATTTCACAGAATTAATTGCATCCAGGAGCTGGCATGCGGCCAAATACATCGATCCTAAAGAATCAGGTGCTGTTCTGCCCATCTTGCACGTGAATGGTTTCAAGATCAGCGAGAGAACAATTTTCGGTTGCATGGATGACCGGGAACTAACTGCCTTGTTTGTTGGATATGGCTATCAGCCACGTTTTACGGATAACCTCAATGATATCGACACCGACTTACATACATCCATGGTATGGGCGGTAGGAGAGATTCGCAAAATACAAAAGGCAGCGAGAGAAGGAAACCCGATGGAGAAACCAAGATGGCCTATTATTATTTTACGGACACCAAAGGTATGTAGCTTTCGTAATGATGGAATTGGAAACGTCATTGACGAGGGTACAGGGATGGTCTGGCCCAAAGAAACTCCACGGCAAATTCATCGAAGGATCTTTCCACTCCCACCAGGTTCCTCTCCCTAAAGCAAAGAAGGATAAGGAAGAACTCGAAGCCCTTCAAAAATGGCTAGAGTCATATAGTCCTAACGAGCTGTTCAACGATAAGGGAGGACCCACCGATGAAATAACATCAATTATTCCGAAACCTGACAGGAAAAGACTTGGCCAACGTGTCGAATCATACTGCAGCTACTATGCTCTTGATTTGCCAGAGTGGAAGAGTTTAGCCGTCGCTAGAGGGGAATACGAGAGTTCAATGAAGGCGATTGCAAATCTCATTGATCAGGTGTTTGTCAAAAATCCGCATACTGCAAGACTCTTCTGCCCGGACGAACTCGAAAGTAACAAACTGGACGCCTCCTTGACGCATACTGGCAGAAACTTCCAGTGGGATCAATACTCCAGGAACCAGGGAGGGCGTGTTATCGAAGTCCTCAGCGAGCATATGTGTCAAGGTTTCATGCAGGGATACACATTGACAGGCCGCACTGGAATATTCCCGACTTATGAAAGCTTCCTCGGTATTGTGCACACAATGATGGTGCAATACAGTAAATTCAGCAAGCTGGTAAACATTCGATAAGCCTCGTTAATGAATGACGCCAAACTCATACTGACATTTTTAGGCCCGAGAAACAAAGTGGCACTGTGACGTTGCCAGTCTCAATTATATCGAAACTAGCACATGGACTCGACAAGAACACAACGGCTTTTCTCACCAAAACCCATCATTCATTGGCTCAGTATTGAAACTCAAGCCCTTCGCAGCACGCGTTTATCTACCGCCGGATGCCAACACATTCCTATCCACTCTTCACCACTGCCTCCGATCAAAGAACTATATAAACCTAATGGTTGGCTCAAAACAGCCAACTCCGGTCTTTCTAAGTCCTGAAGAAGCCGAGAACCACTGTCGTGCAGGCTCATCCATCTGGAAATTCTGCAGTACCGACGAGGGCCGAAATCCCGACGTCGTACTGGTAGGCATCGGCACTGAACTGACCTTCGAAGTCATCTATGCCGCGGCGCTTCTACGAAAGCTCGTCCCGGAGCTCAGAGTACGTGTTATCAATGTGACAGATTTGATGATCCTCGATACTGCAGGCGCACATCCTCACTCTCTATCAGAAGATGACTTCAATGCACTGTTCACTCCGGATGCTCCCGTTCATTTCAACTACCATGGCTACAACACGGAACTACAAGGTCTTCTGTTTGGACGACCTCATCTTGAGCGCGTAACCATTGCGGGATATATTGAAGAAGGCTCTACTACAACGCCTTTCGATATGATGCTCGTCAACAAAGTTTCCAGATTCCATGTTGCAGAGTCGGCTGTCCGTGCAGCTGCGAAACGCAATGAAAAGGTTCGCTTAAGACAACAGGAGTTGTTGGGTGAGTTGAGTGCGAATATTGCTACGACTAAAAGATATATCCTGCAAAATCGGAATGGTGAGTCCATCTTCACTATGTCATCAATTGATCAATATTTCAACGACTTTGACTGATTAATATCTAGATCCCGAGGATATGTACACTATGCCCAATTTTTAGTTATAGATTGTGGTTATAGATTGATGTTATAGATTGATGTTATAGATTGATGTTATAGATTGATGTTATAGATTGATGTTATAGATTATTGTAGAATAATTAACAGATTGCAATTTGATGATTATGATGAATATCAATTATGTTCATTTCACCTGATATTCACACAATTTCTCAAACACGCAACTTTTAAGTTTCGCTTCTAAATGATTTAGTGGCAATATATGTATTTATGGACATATTTGACTGGTCGAAATCAATCAAAGAAACTAGTACTTCGTAGTTGTACTTCTCTTCCGCGCGCTCCGCCGTGACGACAACCGATACGACTCACCTCTTTCCAACTCATCGTCCACGACGGATTCCTCCGAGGACCGTGCAGCCTGATTCAATGACTCGCCACCCCCTACTAAAATACCTCCGTGCCTGTTCCCCGAATGTGCCGATTGCTGCCGATCAAGTACATCTTCCGTCGCAACAAGGCCAAATGTCCCACCTACAGATTCCATCGTAAACGGACTTGCCGTCGGAGCATCCAAAGTCGCCAACTCCTCTGGTCTGAACCAATACGGCATGATAAACGAGCGTACGGGGATTAGTAGCAGAATAATTACCGGAAACCCAATCGCTGCAATTGTTTGCGTAATCGCGAATGTCCCACCGAACCCGATAAGTTCAATAATCACAAAAGCCCAAATCGCGCTTTGGCGTTCTAGTCTTTTCAGTGGGTTAGATCCAGGACTGAAACTACGGTCCTGGGCAAGGAAAAGTAGTTTTTGGGTGATTCCGTTCGCTTGTAGGGCTTGGACGCCCATTATGAAAAAAAGTCCTGCGAGGACACCTTGAGGGATGAGATGCAAAACCACAAGAAGAGGACCGGTCATTGTGCCAAGTGTGAGCAACCCCTGAGCGAGGTTGCTGACTCTTTGTTCAACCACATGGTCTGTAATACGAATAGCTTTACCCTTGTTGGTTTCGTCATCATCAGAGATTTGTCGGGTTACACAGAGAGCCTGAGTGTGAAAGGGCGCCTGTGGGATGAGTCCATTAGGGAAGGGAATACCCAAGAGCCCAGCAACCCCAGTGGTGATACCGAGGAGGAAGATGTCCCAGTGAAAACCGGCGGGTTTGCGGAGTGGAAATTCTGTGCCTTGGGCTATGAGAGATGATACTGTCAGACGGTTAGTTGAGATGATGTACCAATGAGAACCGTCGTTTAACTTACCGTTATGATCAAAGTAGAATAGGATAGTCAAGAGAATAGCAAACGGGATCGCGAGGAAAACCTCGCCAACACTGATATCCCACAAATCAACAAGCCAGTTTCGTTCTGCTGTTGGGAAGAAAGCCTTGGAGGTTGGTAAAGTCTCGACGTGGACATCCTTCATGCGACCATAATGTACGAATCCAGTGAAAAAGACAATGGTTAATGGCGTACCATAGTCTTCAATGAACTTCCGCACATATCTTTGAAACAGTGTGCTTTCGCCAAGCATACCGCAAACATAACCACTCATCAAAACGAGCAAGGACACCATAACGCTGAGGTAGGCAGACGTATCCCCGGCCATGTCCCATTGACGAGTCAAGACTTGGATTCCCTTTTGGAGGTAAATAAAGGCCACATAAAAGCCGAATATGTCGCACGAAAAACGGGTCACGTATGTGAGTCCATTGCAGGCATTTGTAACGGCAAGTATCCAATGAAAAATCAAAGACCAACTATCTGAATCAGTAAATTTGAAGACAAAATCAGAGGTATGCTTACAGTCCAATCCAGAACATGAAGGCGAGATAATTGGTACCACGAGGACTCATAATGTCATATACTGTATAGTTGAAAACAGTGATTGGACCTAGATAAAATGTTGGATTTTGAAGGTGACCTTAATCCAAATGAGCTTAACTCACCAGTAACACCGACAATAACGAGTGGCTGCGCTGCTAGAACTGCAAACACCACGGAACCCAAGACGGAGGCAAGAAGCACTTCATTTACTCCATAGCTATGATTTGTCTTTTCAAACATATCTAACGAGAAAGCTAGAGCAGGAAGAATGCTATAAATCATCAGTACACAGTCGACTTGAAAGGGATCATAGGAGAAAGTTTCGGCAGAGGAAACTACGCACTTTGCGAAATACATATATACCGTGGCGGGCACGACCCTATAGTCCCATGCATCACTCCAATCACTCCAATAAAAAGGTGCCCTCCTCTTGATGTCATTAATCATGCCTCGAAACAAATGCACCTTCCACCACTCCTCCCTGGTGGTGGTGCGACTGGTCCGACTCCCCTCTCTTGAAAGAGGCTGCTGGGTATCGTTTTCGAGAAATCTATTGTCGTTTCGCGAGCGAAAAGGCGATAGGCGCGAAGGGTGCCATCTCCTCTTGTCCTTTTGTGAATGAGAATTTTCTAGACCCGACGCGATAGATGAGCCACCATGCAAGTTCGACACTGGATTTAATGCCAAGTCTCCTCCAATGGACTGGGAGGAGGATCGTTCTAACACGGTTGACATGTTGTATCACCTGAGGTTGAAAGCAGCCAATGAAATGACGCGATGATCCAGGCAAGCGAACTGAATATCCAGGCCGCTGGTCGGAAATTCAGTTTGTGCCACTGTCGTGGTTCTGTACATGTGTCGCTTCAATGAAGAAGGCGAGATGGAAAATGAAAATTCAGACATAATCATTAACCAGCCTTTCATAGCAAGAGGCCAAGAGCTCAATCCGGCCTTTTCTTCTTCGGGAGACCTGCGGGGACGGTATGCAAGTTCGTTGATTACATCAGTCGGCCTCTTCGCCGATATGTCAATTGATGGATTCTCGATGCTATCTTTTTCTCTAGGGAAGAGTCTACATGCACACGCAGCTATTAGGGATAGTGTTTAAAGAAAAATTTAACGATTAGGTATCATACACGCATCGCTGCTATTCGAGAAGGTGGCGTAGTTGACACGTTATATTATTACCTCCCAGATGAAATTGCATACTGCATTTTACTAGCAAGTCCCTAAACTAAAATTACACTGCATGTTTGATAAAGCAAAGTTAGTAGTCAGTACTCGGTAATTTGGCAAACTTTGTCAATGGAATAATGAGATCAGATTGTCGACAAATCAGGCTGCTGGAGGGGGTGGAGGAGGCTGGTCGCTTGGTGGCTGCAATCTTTGTTAGTAATTTGATTTTTTTTAAATATGAGAAGACATCGGGACTACTCACAGGAGGTGGAGGTCCTTCACCAGGTGGTGGCGGGGGAGGTGCTCCGGCACCACCATAGTACATGGAATCCAAGCCTGGCGGAGCGCCAGAAAGGCCTGGAGGAGCACCGGGTATCGAAGGATATCCAGGATAGCCGTAGCCATAGCTTGCTTGGCCTCCAGGGGGCGGTGGAGGAGCTTGTTGCTGCCATGGAGCGGCACCTGGAGCGGCACCTGGAGCGCCGTAACCACCCTGGGAACCGTAGCCGTAGTCGCCACCACGATTCTGTTGAGCCCAAGGGGCAGCTCCATTGTCGCGGCCACCGTAGTCATCGCGGCCACGGTTATCCCGACCGCGCTGCTGCCATGGTGCAACATCGGAAGCAGGGGGTCCGCGTTGTTGCCAGGGTTTCAAGTCTGGATCTTGGTCGTACCCACCGGGACCACCTTCAATACGGCGTGGAGCCTCACCGTTAGGGCCGCCGCCACCGGAAAGTTCTTGCATAAGTTGCTACTTGAGTTAGTATCAGGCTCATTTTAGAGACAGGACTGAAGCTACATACCTCCATTTCACGGTCAACGGCATCGCCGGTTCCGATTGCACGTGGTCCGCGGCCACCATTGCCTCCGTTATTTCGCCAGTCAGTACCACGCTGACGATCAGGGCAATCACGGGCCATGTGACCAGCATTTCCACAAACACGACAAATAATATTGGCGGTGAAGTTGCGCTGCTCGGGGCAATCGTACTTGCGATGGCCAATTTGTCCACCTAAGAAATTGTTAATAACTATTCGAAAAAAGCACCGAAAGAAACCAGATTCTATAGACTTACAGTTCTGGCAAGCCTGGTTCTCATCATCACGAAGGGTACCGTTGAGAGCAGCAAGCTCTCGAAGCTGGTTCCGTTTGAGTTCATTCTGTCCCTCTGGAATGGAAGCAGCCTATAGTAAAACTTTGAGCATGTCAATTCATCCAAGTATGATTGGATAGACTTACTGTTTCGATAACGTTGTGGACTAGCTTCTTAGCCTTGTTGACCTTTTCTTCAGTGTCTGCCATGATCAAACAGTGAAGATCCTCCTCCTGGTTGCTAGTGTGAGCAGCGTCAGAACGACCCTTTCCTTCCTTGACGGAGCCTTTGCCTCGGATGGCAATTTTGGCTCCAGACTCTTTCTCCATGGTCTTCAGAGTATTTCCACGGGGTCCGATAAGTAATCCAACTTTAGTAAAGCAAGGGAGCTAAGTGTTAGTAGGTCTGTTTTTTCAAGGATAAAGCAACATTGATAAAGCCAGATGGTTCGATGGGTTAGCAAGAAACGAGATGAGACATCCAAACATCGAGATGTCTCTCAAGCCCGAATCGAGCGCAGATAATAATAGATAAGGGCAGGTTAGGAGAGTTAGAGGGTTAGTTATCATACTGAAGTTAATTTCTGGATAGTCATTCACAGGCACATAGACCTTTTCCTGGGTCTTGGTAGGACGCCTGTAATCAGAAGGTGGGTGATAGTTGGGAATGACCTTCATAGCCCTTTCGACAAGCTTGTGGCGCTCATCTTCCAGACGCTTGCGGTAGCGATATTCCCTGGTGTTTACACGTCTCCCGAAATTGTCGTACTGCGGCGGGGGCGACGGGGATCTTCACACAAAATCAGAGGTTAGTCGACGTTTTGCATAGTGCCAACCGAAAAAACGAGGGAACTTACCTATCACCATCCGCAGGGACGACGTCGTTGATACGAAGCTTTTGACTGATCTCCTCAATTCGGAGATGCAGCGTATACGCTTCCAGCTGCTCGTTAGTGAAGTTGGCCATGATCATGGTAGGCAAGCCCATGAGACCGGCAGCCTTGTTCTCTTGAGCGTCTCCCCAGCGGTTGCGCTTCTTGCGCCGTTTCACGCCATCTGCGGGTGGATCAGCTGCATCATGTTAGTCTTGTTTTCTTCTGCTGCTCATTCTAGGATGATGGGCAACCAACCTCGAGTTGGGCTTCTGCCACGGGCAGCGCCATTTTCTGAAGCTGCAAGTGTTGGCGTGGAAGCCTCGCTTGTACCCTCCTCATCGCCGCCAAAACGCCTCTTTCCGAGAGGAATATTGTTGGAGCCTGTAATCCCCTGGTTGCGCCACGACATGATTGCTATGCTCGCGATGCGGTGGTGAATCAACAGATGTGCAATGTGGAATTTGTTCGTTCTTTTTTGAAGTTCGCGGAGGTGGCGAGCGTTGGCTAATATAGTTAGGCACTAGCCTTGTCAGGCGAGGCGCTATTCCTGATATGTCAGTCTCTGAACGGTCCAAGTCACCTGACCTCCATCTTAGTCAATACTTTATCATTATTCTCTCTATTGCTGTTTGCTACTACTGATATAGTTATGTGGCATACTACCGTCATCTCGTGAAAGACTGCCATTATATTCGTTTAAAACTGACTGCTTTTTCTTTAACTGACGCGAACTGACTACTTCTTCGCATCTGCCGCCATGCCTTGTTGCACCCAGGCTCTCGCTGAAGCGCTCTGCTGCTCGGCCAGCGCTTTGTCTTTCAAGACATCTTTGATCGTGTGTCTATCTGGCACGTGCCGGCCCTTCTCAACTCCAGGTCGGGCCGCCAATTTCTCCTCCCATGCCTTGAGATTCGGGAACTCGTCGATGTCGATGCCTGCCCAGCCTGCACTGGCAACCCACCCCCAGTGAGAGACATCGGCGATGGAGATGTGATCGCCCACAAGATAACCAGATTTGGAGCTGGCAAGGTGTTTGTCCAGCACACCGTAGAGACGGCGAGTTTCATTCACGTATCGGGTGACACCATATTCGATGCGTTCGGGTGCGTAGCGATTGAAATGATTTGCCTGGCCTTAGGTTTGTCAGCGGGGTCAGTTCAATGCAGGAAAAATAAAGACTTGCCCTGCATAGGTCCGACTCCAGCGTTCTGGAAAAATAGCCAGTTATTAACCTCATAGTGTTCGCGTGTTCCCTTAGGATAGGAAAGCTTGTGATCAGGATCATAATTCTCAACAAGATACTGCAAGATGCTGCCAGACTCGAAGAGGCGGATTTTCTGGCCATCGGTAAAAGTGTCGGTTAAAGCGGGGATACGGCCATTGGGATTGATTTCGAGGAACCAAGGTTCTTTCTGTTGGTTTTTGCTGAATTCAAGTTTTTGGACTTTGTAGGGAAGTCTTTTTCGATCCCAGTGTTAGATTAACCCATCCATGTGCTCTAAAATTTCAAGACGCGAAATGGGTTTCATAAGCTCACCCAAGTTCTTCCAGCGCAATGGAAATTTTGATTCCATTGGGGGTCTGCGCTGTGTAGAGGGTGATGTCCGGGGTTCTTGCAGCCATGGTTGCGATAGTGACAAGGCGTTTGGTCGGCGGAGAGATAAGAGGGTGGTACTTTCTAAACAACAATGTGGGCGACCATGCACGCATACTTATAAGATGATGTATAACTTTATCGTACAGAGCATGGGCTTACAAATGCAGGTCACACCATCGCCGGTCTGGCCTTGACACCTTAACAGCCCCGCATTATGCTCCCATGACATAGCACACCTTAATGATACTGTAGTTAGCTAGCTTGCCTGTCTATGTTATCGTTAGATTTACTACTGCCGCTGACATCATGCTTAACCTACGATCCCGCACGCTCATTGGCTGAGCAGCTGGTGCTTATGAATCCTCCCGCTGCTGCTTTAAGACGTGACATCAATGTGCATTAGACCCTTTATTTGTATGTAAGAGGATTCGCTGAGGCTGCAACCATTGCATATACATTCGTACCTACCGTATCTATGTTAGTATCATATACTGTGAGACACGAGGATATTGTGAATGGCTTAAATGTACTGCAAATCTTGCTTATGTTATGAATTTGTAATATATACAAGGGGGAATAGAATGGAGATAAAAGATGGTCGTAATGATTTGGGGTTGTAAATCGAACCCCTAGATCCAGAAGAATAACTGGCCCTGAAAACCCCTGGCTTAAACGAAAACATGAAGCTATTTCCAAACCCCAGAAAAATGTTCAAAGCGAAACGAAGAAAAGATAGAAATCGGGGTAGCTGTCGGAAAAAAATCTACCAAGTGAAGCTTTCTTCAATAAAATCAATATTGCTAATTGCTTGCCTCTCACGACAGGCACGACGAACATCATCGGCCATCCCGCCACTACCACATACCATCACGCCCAGAGCGCCGACTTGGTTTTCGATTTCCATGTCAAGCACGGTGTTGATATTGGGTCGGCCAGGAAACATCTGAACCGTTGAACTGGGGCTGTGGATTTCTTTGGTGTTGCGAGGACGGGTGATGAAAAGCATCACGCGCAGGATGTCACGGCGACGCTCCATTTGTAAAATCGTGGTCATCCATGGCCGGATCCATTCGAGATGCTCAGGGTACTGGATGGACCAGACCAGGGTCACTCGACGAGTGGCGACAACACCGTCGGCATAGCCCTGGACGAGATGGCGGACGAATGGCACGTGGTGAGTAATGCCTACGCCTCCAGCAAATAGAACCACTGATCCATACGAGTCGAGATTATGGAGGCCACCGTATGGTCCTTCAGCAAGGGCAAATAATGATATTTGTCCGTCAGGCTCTTTCGAAGCTCGTTTATACAAAGTATTGGTAAATCCAGTGCGACGACGAACAAGAAGCGAGATAGTTTCTTTCTGCGCCACCATCAAATCTTGCCGAGTCATGATAAGACCCTTTTCTTTGGTCAAAACTTGTTGGCGCTCACTCCAAGCTACGCTAAATGGATGAGAGGTCCAGAGCCCAACTGAAGGGATGTACAAGTACATGTGCTGGCCTGGGCGCACAGTCCAAGGCCGAGCCAGCTTCAACGTAATGCGCATAGCGTCACCTGGAAGTGCTTGCACAACAGCCGTAGTTTTGCGGCCGAAGAAGTTACGGTAAGCATTTATGGCGAAACGGACAAATCGCTGATATCAAGTCAGGTTACTTCGAGAATATAATAGGAGAGTGTGAATTTACCTCAACACCCCACGCAATCAACGTGATTAAGAGATAAATCCGCTGGGGTAGATCTTTCAAGTGATACCAAAGAGCAATAAAAGCCATAAGCGCCAGTAGAATGTGAAGATGAAGGAATGTTTCGTAAAAGGCATGTCGTAGAGGGGAAGATGCGGTGAGGCCAAGAGCAGCGAAACCAACAACGGCCTATATCACATGGTTAGCGAGAACATCTCTTCAATCTGGTTAAATGGAACACATACAATCAAACCAGTCATAATCAATTCACTTTCGTGGAACGCGGCTGCAATGGCAGCCAATCCTCTCTCGTCAGCCGCGGCGACGATCCAACTAACTGTGTGTGCAATAGCTTCTAGAACCACAATTCGAGCGAGCCAGCGATGATAAAAGTTCCACGTATCGAAGGACAACCCAACCATTGGAATGAGGGGGTTGTTGCGGCCAGCCAGAATCACAAGAGGAATCAAATTAGCCGTAGCAAGAGTACCGGTGCGATTTCTCAGGATATCGGCAAACGACCCCACGCCTTGGCTGAAAGGAATATGCAAGACACACAGCACAACATTCATAACAATGAGACCTGTCAAGCAGAGAGCCTGAAAGCGGCTGGGGAGCGTGCCCATATTAATCGCTTGGGACAATTGGAACTCGCGGTTATGGCGAACGCGGAAAAGGGGAGCATCAACGATGTTTCTTTTCAGCCAGGACATACGGTAGTCATCACGAGCAAAGAACCTCTGCGTGTCGTTACCGAGTCCATGTAAACGCCGCATGTGAGCATTGAGAGTCATCATCATGGTCCAAACAAAATATAAGGCTACGGTCCCAGCCATAGCTATGAGTATAAAATGAGCGTACGACATTTGTAGGGCATTAAAAAACTGGCTGTCACTGTTCTCCGCGCTGCCATGCCCTCCTTGGCTCCCTTGGCCTTGTTGTGCAAGGACAACCGTGGCCATGCTGACTGTCGAGGTAGAAAGTTGCAAAAGCCCCATTGTGTCGGTACCGACTTCCTGGTCGGATTCGACAGCTGAGATGAATAAGAATCTAAATGGTCGAGTACCAGCTCTACCCGAGAGGGAAACGCAAGAGAGAAAGAGCTATTATGTTAAGTCGTTCAGAGCGGTGTGTTCATTTGGCAGACAGAATCGAAGTCATAGAAGTGGGATTGACTAATACGTATGTTTTGGTCGGCCAACCCCAAGGTGAAGAACATCCAAAATCAGGCGAAATAAAGGAATAGACGAAAAACCAATATCAAATGTAGACCGACCAAGCTAGTGGCGAAGTCTGCAAAGATCTTTCCCTAACGATGGTGTCGGTGATTGGTGATTGTTAGGGTGATGGCAGGAATGTAAGTGTGTGTGTGAGCCAGCCACATCAATACCTGAGAGCAAAAGAATGAAGACTAGTTGCGCAGCCCATAAAGCAGAAGCAGGAACAGGATGAATGAAAGAGAGAAAGAAAGAAGAAAAATAGATAAGAAGTAGATTGAGGCAATGCTCTGAAATTTTCAGGCGGGCAATGCCTCAGAACACAGAAAATTGCAAGATCGAGCGAGAGGAGCAATGATGACGAATTCAACCTACGTCTGCCGACTACGACCACACTCCAGAAAGAAGGCTATGGAGAGATAAGCTTCTTAGACGGGACGGCATAATCCGGACAGCAGCTTCCCTCGCATGTCGCAAGTATGGCCAGGCCAAGAAACAGGCGTCGGTGGCATGGTGGAGCTGGAGCAGCCCAGCAAGGTGGCGAGTGTTTTGGAAGGGGGAATGACTGGAAGGCCAGGGCTGTGAGTGGCCGACGAGGGGGTCAGAGATCTGGGAGGGCAGGAGATTTCATTAATGCCCATACCGACTAGGGCCTAAGCTAGGTCTCATGAGATATATTGCCATTTTTGTAGTGGAGGGGCAGTCGATTGTTTGAGAATGATGGCCGTGCGGATGACGATGGGTGGAGAGAGGACATTAACAATGAGTACAATTAGGAATCAATTCCGACAATGGGGCAATGGGTGGAGATGCGGGGGGCACGGAGTCAACATAGTGACAGTCTGTGTCTGACGAGTCGTCGATCGATTCGATGATTATCAATTTCTGATAAATAAGAAACTAGCTACGCCCAAGATACTGGCTTGAGCTTGGCGGCTCGCTGCAAGGCACGCACATAGCGCAAGCAAGGATGGCATGGTTTGTGCCTGTGCGTTCTGGACGGTGAGTGGTGGATGGTGATATTGGTGAAACGCAGACGACCGGCCGTCGCAAGAGAGGAAGAAGCTCGATCGTCGGCTGCGAGGCGCCGTTTCAGAACCTCTGCCTAAAGTCTCTAAACTCGGCCCGTCCGCCAATCAATGGCGCCTCGCCTGGTGATTTGTCGCTTTGGCGCTGTCTGAGGATGAGTAATATTATTGAATACCAAGTAAGATCCTGACCATTTCTTGGCCAGTGGATCATTAGTGAAGAGCTATGGTAGAATACCATTCTAGCAAGCCCTTCGAGATACTTCGTGTCTGCAAGATGGATCAGCCCAACAGCCTAAAGTGCAACCTCAAAAACAAGCGCATTGTCGAAAAGGGACAAAGACCACAATAGCCGACAGCAGAGAAGAATCAATGCATGAATGACAAGTGCTGGTCTGATTAGTAACTGATGTGAGACAGGGATCTGGATGGGTAATCTAAATTCAATTTTAACCCGTTGTTTCATCACTCCAGATACTGTATATATCCACCCAACGTTTTTTTGAAGCACTGGAAGGGAATAAAGCAATTAGATTGGGCTCCGGTATGCCGCTTATTGTATGGCCTGTCAGTATATAATGTATACGAGATATTATTTCGCTTCATGCGACCTTGGATAGCCCTAAACGACCCTCTATATAGTATATTCAGCCACAACCCATGCACTACATGCAAATTCATCAACCAATTTCCCTGGGTATCTATCATATGACGCCACAATCCAGAATCACAGCCAAAAAGAGGAATAAAGAAACAACAAGAAAATTAAAATTAAAAAAGATCGGGTATTAAAAACAAAGCTAACCAGGCAACAGTAGCCCATCAAATAGGAAAGAAAGGAACAACGGAGACAATAAAGTCGGTCTTCTCCACATGGTAGGCCGACAAGTCGCTAGCTTAGAAAGCTCAGTTCGTCGTCACTATCCTCGCCATCTGAGCAAGGTATGATGAGAGAACGTCGCGCCAAATTTCGGTGCCCAACAATCGCTGGCATGGACGATGGCTGAGACAGTTGCTTACGAGGCCGACCAGGGCCGCGACGCTGTGATGTTGGGACTGGGGAAAACGTTGGAGTAGGCGGATAATGGTTGTAAATAACTATTTCGAAGTCTCTTCCCTTTTGCATAGTTTCATGTCGTGCGTCGCTGTCCGCGTCATAATCTACTCTTTTTGTTTGGGCTGGCGATTCACTGGATGATCGATTACCAAATTGATCAGATTCTCCGCCACTCTCATCACTTGAAAACTTATCAACATTGTCGTGTGTTGAGTTGTATTCTTTAGTGCCATCAATAAGTGGCGCCTCATTCGGCTGTATTGATATTCTTGCAGACTGTCTAGTCTTTTTGTAAATCTTTCGGGGTCGTCTGCTGCGACGGCTCTGGTCGTCGTCAGCCCGAGGCCGTTTCACGTTTAGCGACTTTGTTTTTGAGGCTATGCTCAAGTTAATACCAGGAGAGACTGGGTCCGACACTCCGCTGCCACTGGACAGTGAGCTGCGTCGGCCAATCTCTACGATGGGTTGCGGCATAATTCGAGACACCGACCCTTTGAACCTGGCCAAGGGAGTCTTGGCAACCCATTCCCCAATGCCTTCCTCCCATCTAAACGATGGGATATGAGCAACATTGTGGCCTCCGGCGTGATTCACCTTCCCACCAGTATTCAGACGTTGTCGGAGAGCTCCGACCTTTTCTTGTATGTCGGCTGCACAGGCATGGTCTTCAGCATCCTGGCCGTATTGTGCAAAGTCCAAGGCGACTTCTACAGCAACTTTGCCCAAGAACAAGCTCAGCTTGTTCTTTCCAAACTTCTCGAATCCTAGTAGCTGCGTACACAACTTCTGTGCTTGTCGACATTGGGCTCGCTCGCCACGTTCACAGCAACGGATGACCTGGCCAATCATCGCCGATAGTTCCTTGATGATTTCAGGGCTGTTATCTAGCAGTCCAAAGAAAGGCTCACAGGTTTCCTTCAAAATCCCTTCTGTTCCATCGTAGTTAAGTAACAGAGGATCTTGTTTACATCTTAGTAGACAAAACCCCAAAAGGATGTAGCCTCTCCGGAGGGACTCAGCCTCCGGTAGCTGATCTTTGTCACCAAATCGCCCGAACCAAAGCTCACGTTCCGTCAACACAGCCAAACCCGTCAATGTATTCACCACTCTCATATAGGAATCGTCATTTGAGCTCGTAGCTTGGTCCATACGGACGAAGCACATACTGCATAGTGCAACAATCAAACTGGAGACCAAGTTATTTAGAGCGTCATTAATGTATACAGGGCACCGCCACAGTTCAGTTCCTGACCCATCGACGTGGGAAGTCGAAAGATTGCGAGTAATCGCTAAGTCTGCATGCAAATTTGGCAAATTCTGGGCACTTTCCACGACATCCAGAGTCCAATTTACTTTGGATGCTGATTTCAATACTGCTTCGATAAGTTTGCTTGCCGCTGCGTACTGGTAGTCTCCGCTAGACACAGACTTGGTCGCAGAGACCACACAGCCTTTCCAAGGCATCGTAACCATCCATTCTGTAGGAAGAACTCCTCGATGTAATAATTTTTCTAGCTGTCTGAATATGTAGGAACCGTTTTTGGAGCGCGTCCAATATTTATGCAGTAGCCGAATTGGATCGCGAACGGACCCAGCAGATCGCCAAGGATCAAAAGAATCGGGATAATTATAATTGCTCAGATGACTCAGCTGAGCAGCGAGTAATGATTCAACTGCATCGTTCTGCCCTGCGTCAATACACTTATTGATCAATGTTGATGCTGTGAATGAAGTTATCCAATGCTTCTGCACCATATTATAAACCAAGTAAATGCCTTGCGAGCGGACTGCTTCACGCAAAGGCTGCCATCCTCTAGTCATTGAGCCATAGGCTGACTCTAACTCTGTAAAATATGCATCCGCCATGTCGACGTCATCCTCGTCGTCGAGCTCATCCTGTAATTCCTGTTCATTGGCAATAAACTGTGGTAAACGTCGCATAACCGTCGATAAGAGTGACCTAGAGTTACCAATACTCTGTGTATTTCGACAGTCGAGAAGGGTTGTCTTTTCCAAAAACTTGAGAAATAAAACATCAAGGCGTTGAACAATGTCGACATAATTTGCATCATTTGCTGAATCTAGCGAGGCCCTCCACTGACTATCTTGTTGTGGAAACGCAGATGATTTTCGCCCTCGTCCCTTATATGAATATATACCCCTCGATGACTGAATATCAACCTCCGATGAATTTTCGCGATTTCGACCATCTACTGCCCTACTCTCATGGTATAATTCGGTCGTGTGGCTCGATTTTCCTGTGATCAATGGAGTTGCGATTTCAATTGCCCCTGGTAAAGTTTTGACAGTCTCGGGGCTACGCAACATCGGTCTTATCCGAGCCCGCCTCCCCAGTCGTTCACCTCGTACGACATACTTGTGTTTCACGCGCCGCTTGTCCGATTCGCCCGGAATCCACGAGGGATCTTTGTCACCACGATCTGAGTCGTGGTCCTCTCTATCGCGAGATATCTTCTTGGTCGACGTGTGAGATGTTATTCCTTTATGGATAACTCGGGTAGGCTGTTGCTGAGCTGTATCTGTAGACTGCAATTCGCGATATTTCCCCAGACGATGGTGAAGAGAAGTCAGCGGGCGCAACATTCGATTTGCCCATTTTGCAGTCGCGTAGGCGTCATCCATATCACCGGGTAAATAATTTATACTGATTATCCAAACAGACACGCGGAATGATACATTCGGATCGGCGGTCGCGTATAATGCTCAGGGTCAGCTTGGTTCGAAGCTCGTCATGATCTCCAAACGCATCGAGTAGAGAAAACCAGCTCAAGGAAACCAGCTCAACTCCGACTATGGTGCCATCAATTATATTCTGCTCGCGGAATAATCATACAAGATAACGCGCAAGAAATATACTGGCTCTTTAAACAGAGAGTTGAAGGAGGAAAAAGACAACAGGCGCAAACCGGAAGGAAGGCGTAAGTAAACAGAGGCGCTATCGGAGCCGATAAGAGTTCATCGGCCTGCGCCACAGTGAGGCTAAGAAGTTCTTTCCTTTCACAATATCAATTGATTAACCATTATTAACTTAATTCTAACACTTACTCCTCAGAGACACTCTAATCCAAATTATACATTCCATATTAATTAAACAGTGCATGCAATTTTCTAATCTCCATTACGAGTTGACTTTCGCCCAGCTCTTCGTTTTTGGTTTGCTTCTCCCATGTCCAACCTGTATTCCTGACTCCATTTAGAGAACCCAAACGTGTACCCGACGCTATAATAAATTCGAGTATCGATTCCCGAAGACTTCCTGGCCAATCACCCTCGTATGTAGCCAACCACAGAATTAATACCCAAAATTAAGTCTCGTGCGTGAAACCATAAACACCAGAAAGAATTTTAGGAAAGCCATATTCTAGATCAATTTTAGCGGGCTCTGTGAAAGTATATTAGATATGACGGGGAATTTTTTCCTGTAAGAATTCTCTACGTATAAGACAGCTCTTTCAGTTCTTTTTAATTTGCATTTGATCTGCTATACTTCCGATTGTCTCTGTTTACAAATAAAGCATGGCAGCCCAAAATCTTCGTCTAGGAGCAAGAATTAATCCAATCTCTTCATCTTATTAGCATAACATGGAAGAACTTCGTCTCAGAATAAATGATATTGACTTGCTGAGTAAGATATAGGCGAATATCGGCTTTAACCGGACTTAAAACGATCACTTCAGTGATCCTTCTGTGATGAGAATCCTGAATAAGCGGGCAATCCCCCGCCAACAATATCTATGAGCTAATCATAGGCTCGTAACCTATCATTTACCACGTCTATATAAAGAATATTCTCTCTCTCTCTCTCGTTATTTTTTTGCCCTCATCGGTTTTCCTGCTGCCAGTAAGCCAACCACATCATCACAAAATTGAATATATCAATTATAACCGGACGAAAAGGAGAGAAAATGGAATCTAGCCGTGTAAAAATAGCAAAGCAATTCATTGACCACTTTGCAACTTTGGATACACAAATCCTCAAAACAATACTCTCCGAGAATTATCACCACGAATTTGCACCGTCTTCACTCAACCCACCGGGTCCCTTCAACAAGCAGGGATTCTTTGAGCATCATGCCGGACTTGATACCGTCCTGGCCGGTTTCCCTGTGACGGCGAAGGAATATATTGACAGTGAAAGTAGTAACTCTGTCACCGTCTGGGCGACAAGTCGTGCTGTCTTTCGGGATGATGCTAAAGATGCTTCTATATCAGACTGGGAATATGAAGGGGAATATATCTTTATATTTACATTTGACCCGACTGGAGAAAAGATCGTCCGTACGATCGAGTTTTTAGATAGCAAAGCTACAGCGGACAAACTCATGGTTCTGATGAAGAGGGCGAGAGAAAACAAGAACAAGTCTTGATATATCAATTGGTCACAAGGCTGTACAAAGGTAATATACATGTAAAGGAGATGTGCGGCTATCACCTTTACTTCTTACTGCTCTTACATTACCTCATGTGACCAATCAGACCAGTTGCCATCATTCACTGATCTATGCTAAGCACCCACTAAGACTCTATTGAGTCATGTCATTTATTAAAATATTTATACTATTTACATTGTCTGTACGGCTATATTAATTCTAGTTTTATATGAGCCGGTCAAATTAATTAAATTCTATTAACCTTTTAATTAGTGAAGTCTCATGTGGAGCAATTAACTGCGCGTTTATCTACTGAAATTGAAGCCTTGTAATTTTAATATTATTCTAATGGCGAGTACGCCAGGACTTTCTGTGGGGACGAATATTAACAGCTGTGGCGTCTCCAGATGGTTGTACGTTGTTCACTACGTTTTTTATAATACATGTAGTAAAGAAATATCCCGCTGTGATTTTCAGTATCAATTGATTGCGATATAGTATAATAAATGTATTTAGTATACATGTATTAATTTATACCAGTGAATTTCCCTTTTCTTCAAGGATATTAAGAAATCGATGACTAAACGCAACTTCTACCATTACCGTCTTCCCTTACTTTCTGAAAGGAAGCCCATTATCACAGATTAAATGGACATTTTCTTCTTGCAACTGGCTCTTGATGATACCCCAGACACTCTCGGACCAGGCGAGGTCAGCGTGGCCAAGATGATCGTCGGGGCAGAAGTTTTGAACGATGAGGTTTTGAACATTCGGCTCATCGACCCTGCTCACATTGGGACTGACGAGGGTGTCGTAGTTGGACATGATGATAGTAGCATTTATTTTGTCCGGCACGATCTTGGAACTGTTCTTGAACGCCAAAAAGATATCCCCAACATTATTCTCCATATCCACGCAGGCAGCACATAGCGGCTTGATAGCATCGTTGAGTAAGGATGGAATCGGGGCAGGTAAAGACTGGAAGTAGTCCGTTAATCCGAAATAATGAGCACCATGTACCGCCGGCCCCAGTGCAATAGCATGGTCAACGACGTAAGCGACGTCGGGTTGAGTCATTGGTACATACAGAGTCTGTACCCCTCCCTCTGAGTGACCAACAAGATCAACCTTTCCACCTCTCTTTTGTGCGACCTCGAGAATAAATGCACCAACGTCTTTCGCTGATTCAGTCATTTCTGTGAGACCACCGACCAAAGGTGGATCTATGGGCGAACCGTATGTCTGTGAAAACACACACCACCCTTCTGATGTCATGTTTTTGTGCAGGAGGTTCAGATCGACCTCTCGCGATGCCGATAAGGCGTGGATCAAGATAACTGGATTCCGGCCTTGAGGGTCGATGCAGTCGAAATCGTTTGCTGGCGCACCATACCAAGTCCCCGTTAACAGGCCATCGGGAATAGATACTCCAAGGATATTGATTGCTGTGGCCCTCGTAGCCAGAGCCAATGCCATTATTTGACTGGTGCGCATTCTGTTGAAGGTGGAATGGATGCCATTCAAAAGAGAAATCGGTAATAAACTCACTTTCGAGATTGACGCGGTTGAGAGTGTAAAAGAGTAGGAAGGAAGACAGAAGGGAAAGAGTAGCATTTATGAGAAATTGGTATGAATTTCGTACACTAATAGCTACCTAAAGTTTAAAGACTTGATATAGGCTCGTACACTAGTAAAGGGTAATTTTGATGACAGGCTAATGCACTGGGGGCCAAACTATGTGTCCACAAGATTTGACTTCATAATAGGATCTAAATTTTAACGGAAAAAACAAAACAAAACAAAAATTGGATGATCGATTGCATATAAGGGTGCAATTGTTTACTATATAATTGCCTTTGTAAGTGGTGCAATAATAAAGAAACTTAACGAAGTCCGCCCACGTTTTCTCGTATACGTCCAGACATGGAAGTGGAGGATTGTTAGGCAGGATGCACTTGAACATCAAGAACCACACGCTGCGGGAGCTGGCTTGCCAATTTTTGAACAGTTTGAACCAACCTAGCTAGAATCATGTCTACAAATGATGCATCTTTTTTGCTTCTGCATTAATAAGGCCTATATACCAAAAGCAACAAAAATGGTGCCCAGATTCCAGTATTATCACTGCAAAATATGATAACATGATATATATCCTTGATTTATGACTAAAAGTATCTTTTAATTACATTGGTAACTTATTTTGTATGCCTTGTATGATAAAATCTATTATTACTAATCTTATTATTATAATAATATTTTTGTTATTTTTTGAAGTTGATAAAGATCAGATTATTGGTAACATGCCTGAAAAACAGTTGACTCTTATTATCAATTGATACATGTATTCAATATTACAAAATCAATGTTCTGAATATAATATTTTCTACTGATTTCCCGATGTATTCTCCCCAAAAATTGGAAGAAATCTGCCCAGAAATACAGCCATTATGCAGAATGGAGTAGAGATGCTCATAATAATACAAGACCATACATCAGTTTCACCAGCCCAGCCATGAAAGATCTCATCCAAGCACGCGCCATGCATAAAAGTGACAAGATACAGAAGGGGCAAAACATTTATGGGCAATCACATATACCTGAGAAATGACACATCACAGTTTGCTTTTTATATAGTACAAAAATGGGAAGGCAGAAAGGTGACCAATCACTTGGATTGTTTCGCAGTGCGAAGTTTAGGGTTAGCAGTCCCTCTCTTCTTCTGCTTGGAATGCTGGCTACTGGAATCACCACCTTCAATGAATTTCAATAGCTCGTCGATGCTTCGGTTATCCATTTGCCCATTAGCAGCAGACGAGCTTGACACAAGTGCAGAACCCGGCGCTGTTTGGCCGACTTGAGGTTGAGGCTTGGTGCCTAGGGACACACGCGTGCTGAGATTGACCCTGCGAAGCCGGCGAGCTTGGATGTCCTTGGCGTGTTTGGCAATGGACACGGCGTTCTGAGTGAGTTGTTCCAACCAACTTTCAGCCTCCTTTGTGTTGCGGTCTTCCGGACCGAGTTCGCTAAGGAAGATGTTGTATGCGTCACGCATACGGTTCACCGCAGCCTTTGAGTCTTGATCCAATGCCAATGCTTGAGCGAGCTGGAACAGAATAGTAGCTGTGTTGACGGATTGCCGGCCAAATAGCTCCTCACAGACGGTAAGGGAGGCCTCGAACCACTTGCGGGAATCGGGGTATTGTTTGAGATGTTGCAGCATAACCGCAGCATTGTTCATGGTAGTGATCGAGTCGGGGTGATTTGGTCCGTAGATGATCTTCCAGAGATCCATGGCATGCTTAACATACACCAAGGCCATCTTGGTGTTGCCAGTGCCATGTTCGAACAAACTCAAGTTAAGATAGCTCAAAATGGTATCGGCTGAATCAACACCAAGAGTGCGTTCGGTGACAATAACAGCCTTCCGTGCAAGTTCAACTGCAGCCTCCTTTTCATCGGTCTGATAGTATAGCATTGATAGCTGATGGTACAATTTGGCAACCTCTGGATGAAGAATGCCGTAGATCTGTTCATGCAAAGACAGTGACTCTAGGATCAACTCCTGACCAAGCTGCTTTTGGTTCTGCATTAGAGAAATACGGCCAGCCTCCAAAGCCTCTTCTGCCAAAGAGCTTCGTGGTGCTGCATCCTTGACTAATGGAATAATATTAACAACGTCTTCGGATACAAATGTAGTGGCAGGTTTGACAGCGGCACCACGAGATGGAGAGACATTGTCACCAGCAGCCTTCTTTTTCTTTTTCTTATTAGGCTCTTCATGTTTGCCTCCGTCAACGCCATTTGCGGTAGTGGAAGTTTCTTGGCGCTGAGCGTCAGCCTTAGTAAATGCGAATTCCCGAGCAGCAAACTGAACACCTAGTTTGATCGAAACATCGCGGAGAAGTTGCAGATGTCTTAAAGAGCTAGCCCAGTCAGATGGGAGAGAGAAGCGATATCTGATCTTCACTTGCTTCTCAATCTCTGCTCGGAGAGCAGCAGGAGTGAGAGCCTCAAATTCAAGATCTACCTCAGAATAAACCTCACGCAAGGCCTCATCGATGTCTGCCTGGGGAGTCTCATTGACATCTGTGCCAAGCAAACAGTTGAAAAGGTGCGTGATGCCGGAAGCCGCAAATGGGAGTGGCAGGTGGCGGAGGTAACGATTAACAATGTGCTTGAAGGCACGAGCAATCATCTCCTGAGTGACTAGGACAGAGAGGGAATTAAGACGATGACCTTTCTCCTGCGATAGCTCAGCAAGCTGTCCTAGGTATCGAATGTTGATACCACGTTTGTGGAGCAATTGGCTAAGGGATTGTCCATCCATTGGGAAGCCAACGTCACCATCATGAAGATCCTGAATAAGCTCGGGAAGGACCTTGGATCGCAAGTAACCGCAGGCATTACGGACTTCACGCTCGTCCTCCGCCCACTCCTTCTTCTCCTCTTCAGTCTGGGGGACCTGACCGCTGAAGACGTCTGGGTTGAGAGCGAGGTGGAAGCCTGAGATATCGACCCGTTCCGGGTCCTCCTCAGACTTTTCAGCCTCTCCACTCTTAGCTACAGCATCATTCTTCTCGGTTTGATCTTGCTCTTTCTTGTTTCGTCTCTTCTCCACTTCTTCCTTCACATACTGGCTCATCTTGGAACGCCAGTATGACTCGATCAATTCGAGACGAAGTGTAGACATGCGGTGAGGATAGGCGTCGTTGTCTTCCTCCTCGGTCCACGACACATCAAGAGGAGCAATGCGATACAAATCGAGCACATACTTCCGACCATCAGTGCCGAGGAGACCTTTCGTCTCGACACTACCCTCAAGATCATGTCGCTGTCCTTCCTTATCCCAGACGGGATGTTTTTTCACGCGCAGAGCTTTGGAAAGCTTCTCGAAAACTTGGACGAAGTCAGGGTGCTCCGCCACAACTTCTTTCCCCTCCACTCCACCGTAATCGATTTGATGTTCACCGGGCTCCCGCTGTTTGAAGATACCGGGTACAATGCTTTGACCAACTATACGCTTTCCAAGATAGTCAACAACAACAGTTCCCGGCGTGAAAAGGCCCGAAATATCCAGCTGGTTAACTGCTTTGATGCCCAAAACATCTTTGCCAACTGCCACACGCGCAGCTTCATCACCACCCTCAGAAGCGAAAGTGCCAACCCCATCGGCTCCAAAGGAATAGAAGATATTATTATATACAAAGATCTGAGCGTCACGGCTTTCAGTAGGGTTCAAGGGAGCAATCTCTCCTCTGGCGACCAGCACCGCGCCGCGAACAGCGGCGTCGTTGTAATCAGCGAAGAGTTTAGATGTCAAGCGCTCCCGGAAAACTCGGTCCTGAACAGCTTCTCGTGGAAGCTCTCTGGTTGTTTGGAACTCCTCATTCCAATCCCGAAGGGTCTCTGAGTTATCTACCCCTGAGAGCAAAAAGTTTTCTTGAGATCGCGCAATATCAGGTTGGTGGGCCCCGAGAGCAGTTGACATAGGAGCCACTAACCACGGGCTGTTAGGAATAGCATTTTGAAAGGGGAATGTCGTCAAGAGATCCCGCTTGCTGTTAGACTCCTGGAGAGCCTCAAAGCTACTCTGAAAAGAAGGCGAGAGCTGTGATATTAAATTGAGCAAAGAATGTGAGCTAGAGTTCTTGAGCGCCGCACGGGGAAATGGGTCGAATTTGCTATTTGAGCACTTGTTGACGTAGAAACCAGACACGTGGGCGGTTATTTGATGTTGCTCACCTTCGTTCGTGGTGGCTTGGAGGTAAAGGAGGTGGCCCTTCTGTCGGAGGTTATAAGGTGGCGGGTTCCAGGGGGAAAGGGAGATGGACTTGACTGTCTTGGGCAACGGGCTTTGGGGTCGAGGTAGGATGGTGTTCAAATGACTAGGAGCATTAGGCTCATAGCCGGCTAGCGGATGGTCCTTAGCCGCAGAGGATTCGTCGGATTCGGAGATTTCTTCCTCATTTGCCACGGAGTCGTGAAGCGAAAGGCCAGCCGAGATGCCATGAAGGTTGTCGACGCGATCGCCGGCAGCGCCAACCAACTCTCTGATGCGAATAACATGCATCCGGGCTTCCTTCTCGGTGTACGGATCTTCGACGAGAGTGATCTCGGAGTCGGCCTTGAGTCCCTGGACCTCAGACAGCTCGATGTAGTCGTTGATGCGCTGTCCATTGAATTCAAGATGGAAGCACGTGTACTGGAAAGTACTGGGCAGCTCGACAATGGATTGACGGACATCCTGCACTTGTTCCTGGCTCGAGACCTATCAGGGCATACCAATCAGATATAAGCTCCTCCACTGCGAATGCATTCACAAAGCTATATTACCATTACTTGAATCTTGTAGGGCTCATGCGGTAGTTTCACGGCAATCTGGAAAACGCCTAAGAGAGGGAATATTACAATTAGCAATGTATCACCAAACGACACAAGTCGGTTTCCATACCTCCTCCATTAGTATCCTCAGCACCCTTCTCGACATCGCCGCCGTTTATGAGGTTCTCGGTTGGCTGCGGCTGCGCAGTGCCTGCACGAAATGGTAAGAAGCTAGACAATCAAGGGCCATTGCTCCCTGCAATAGAACAGCGTGCACAAACCATTAAAGTTCTCCAATTCTCCATTGCTTGTTGCCATGATTTCAAATGACGAAGACTGTTGGCCACTTGTGATGCAGAATCAGGCTTTGACTGAGCGGCTTTTTTTTTTTTGCCAAGTCTAAACAAGAGGGCAAAGCAATGGCCAAAAACACAAAACCAGGCCCCGCAATGAAACAAAATTAGAAAGAAATAGCAGGTCCCTCCCAATAATCCAAAAGAGAATGGGAGCAAGAGAGCAATTGACGGAGAAAGAAGAAAACAGAGTATGGAGACGGAAGACAGGCACGACCAGCAGAAGCTCTACTTGACTCGGCAAAAAAAATTTGGCGGATAACGGCAAAGGGACGAATTAGCATCGGGAGTGCTCGGGCGGGCGATCCCCACCTCCGGAGCACCGGCAGAGCAGCAGAACAGCATACGGCACATTTACTATTAAGTAGTCGTGGTTATTATTATTGTCTGTGATATAATCCAATATGATCATAGCAGGATCACTTGGGTCCCTCGTACACGGGCTGCGTGTCCAGACTCTATCAAACTAGATGTAATAAAAGCGTCGGCCAATCACAATACACGACTATGTTTGCTTACAGCTGAGGCTGAGGCTTGAGCTGACTGTTCATTGTGGCGCGGCTCCCTTGGCGTCTGGGGGCTTCAACCACCTCTCACTTGCGCGTCCACTGTGTTGAGTGCCCTTTCTTCCTCTAGGTTTGTTCATGCTTTTTTATTTAGTCGCTCCTTTGCATTCGTGATTTCTTTTCTTTCGTCAGCAGCTAGTCCACGCGACATCACTGGGTTCTTCTGCCATTCCACTCGCTCTTGATAGTTGGCACTTGGAGAATTCCCCATCATCAATTGGCCGGTCTTATGAATCCATAAATGCTCTGTCATCATATGATGGAACTTTGATTCAAGAGCCGCCAAGAAAGAACCTAATAAATAGGAATACCAGAAATAATGTTCTCCTATACAGTGGTTCGAAGGTCGGCGGCTGTCCTCGGCCGCTCAAGACCACGGCCTAAAACGCCATGGCATACAAGTAGTTTCAACAGCATTGGCACCAGGAGATTCATGGTTGGCAGTGGTCCCCAAGATGCGCCTGAGGAAGAGTCCCCCAAGGCCCAATCTAGGCCCGACTGGAAGAGCACCATTTTAAAGATGCTAGAGACAGCCGGAGCCACATTGGCATCAATAGCGGTTTTAGGGTACTTGTCATATTTTTCGTTCATGGCTTGGAGTACATATTAACGGACGAATAGCCTTGCCGGATACTCATATCATAAGTATTACAAATATCTTGTTCTAAATAAAATCGACCATGCTTTTGACCCAGGAGATCCTGCCCTAGATGTTGCAGGTGCGTCTCCCGGGAAGGAAGACGAGGATGCTGAGCACTGGATTGTACGTGACGAACAGCACAAAATTGATCGAATTGTGTCAGGTGATCTCAAGGGCCACTATTATCTCCTCATTGGTGAGAAAGGCACTGGTAAAACATCCATGTTGTTGAATGCGATGCGCAAGGTAAATGCAAAACGAGTTGCAATGTTTGAAGCCCACGCCGATCTTGAAATATTTCGCATACGCCTGGGCAAGGCTTTGGACTTTGAGTTCCATGAAGAGTATGTGCTGAATCCATGAGCTTTTAATGTTTCCTCTAGGTTATCTGGATCCTAACGGTGCTCTTTTCTTCCGTCTAGTTATATCGGCAGTCTATTTAGCATTAGAGGTCCACGAGATACGACTGCATTGCTAGATATCGAGCGTGCCCTCAATAAACTTGAAAAGGTTGCTCTTCAGAGACGGACCAAAGGAGACTCTCCTTTGATAGTCGTCATCAACAGTACGCATCTGATTCGCGATGATGAAGACGGCCGAGATCTCTTGGAATTAATGCAGCAACGAGCGGAACAGTGGGCGGCCAGCAATCTAGTCACGATGAGTAAGTTATATTTGATCCGAGATGATCTATAACCTATTCTTACGAGAAGGAACCAATTTCTAGTCTTCAATAGCGATGATTATTGGGTATACGAGCGTTTTAAGAGATATGCAACGCGCATGGAGCTGGTCCCGGTTCCAGACTTGTCCAAACAAAAAGCCATGAAAGCTTTACAGAAATATAGAAAGCGATATCATGGAGAGGAGGTCCCGAGCGAAATTCTAACTCAAGTCTACAACCAGGTTGGGGGGCGTCTGTCCTTTCTCAATCGAGTCGCAAAATCCCCTGATATGCTGCAGACATGCAAAGACATCTGTACGGCTGAGAAAAGCTGGCTGCTAAACCGTTGCTGGATACTGGGTGGTGAGATGGACGACGATGTGATGGACGAACAGAAATACTCGGTACGTTTTCACGCTTATGATATACGCCCATATTAAACACTTACTGACTGCATATCTTGCTAGTCCGCCGCCATGGTGCTCGCTAAGGCGCTCGTGGATTGCGAGAAGGATATGGACAAGATTTACGACGATGAGCACGGACATATCCTACCACAGATGCCGCTGCATAAAGCCCGGCAGGTGATGACACGCGCAGACTTTATTCAAAGCTACGACCATGACAACATCTTCACAATCGACTCCAAAGCAATGGTACGGGCGGACTCGGTACCTATGCAGAACGCGTTTCGCGAGGTTTGCGCCGAGCCCGGCTTTGACGAGCATCTCGAGCAGACTCTCACCCGTATCGGAGATATCGAGAGCTTGGGTAGAACGCGAGAGCTGACGATCAAGGACCTGTGGGATCAAGGGAAGTACCGGGTTGTTGTGCGCGACAACAGAGGCCGAGAATCTGGAACTGTCGAGTTTTCCGTGAAGGAAAAAGAGGAGGAGTAATTCGTCATTCTAGTATAGCGTGTGTTCCGAGTGTTGGAAATGAAATCAGGTTTTATTCATCATTATTTTGATTGAGTCACAAATACGATATAGAGCGTAACAACGCATAACATCGAGAGTAACATCGAAATAGTTAGAGACGTGGGCCGGGTTGTACGGTGGACTATAGGGAGGAGACAACTTTGTCAAAGTTTGGCCCGTGCCCAATTTTTCTGCCGGCAGAAAATCCTTAAATAGCATATCTCATATGGCCTGATTAGACGTATATAATTGGCCAGGCAGCTTTAAAAAGCCTTATAAATTGTATGAGGCAGGCCCTCGGGGGCTCCCGAGATGCGCTACGTAGCGTTTATTAGTACAGTAGATAAATCAACCCTACCTCGTAAAAACTAACCTTCACATAAACGCTGCGCAGCACCCCCTCGAGGAGGCCCTGCCTCATACAAATCGACCTGCTATATAAACGCTGCGCAGCGGCCTGCCTCATAAAAATCAACCCTACTATACAAATATACAAACTTTCTATGTAACTAATCAAATTCGCTTGCTTACTTAATTCAGGGCGGTGAAGGTCAGCTAAGCGGTGAAAGGACTCGGGCTGAAATAGTTGCCACCTCCGTATAGTCCCCCGTTGGCAGGTGATGTCATGCCACCATCAAAGAAGCTTAGCCGCTTGGTTGGCCCGGCAGAAAAAAGACGCAGTGTCCGTCAACTCGTTGCTTGCCAACAGCCATTTGGAAAGAAAACCAGCTATCCAAGATTTTTCGGGTGGCCAGCCTTCAACATGGCCAAGACAGACAAGCGTGCGCACGACAGCAAGCACGATGCTGCTGTCGGCGCATCCCGCATTGAACGCGTACCACGACTAGGGAGGTACTTGCTGCTGGTTCTGGGCAGCCTGTTTCTAAGCTCTACCCTTCTTACAATCAGCACCCCACAAACAGCTGGGCATCTCGCCGGTGTAAGCAAGCATCTGGAAGAGTGGTGGGAAGTCGGCGGTCTTATAGCTTGGAGAGCCCTCGAGCTAGGACTGGTCTGGGTTTTTGGCTTCGATGGTGTGTGCCTGAGTTTAGTCTGTTGTTATTTGTTTCGCGCTTAGCTGACTTGGAGGTTATTGTGCCAGGCTGGGATGTAACAGAATTAACCGTTCTCACACACGTGCCTACCTACTTCCTCTTGCTTAATTTTTACGAGGTGAAGCCATCGGCGGTCGCTATCACATTCCTGATTGATGTCGTCTCAAAGACCATACCCTTCATTGCTTTGCGGGGACCTAATTCAGTCCACAAACTCTCGAGTCCGCGCGCAGAAGAAGTTTCGAATATTGGGATCCTGCAAGATTGGTTTACGACCGTCTACACATCGGTTGCGGCAGCTGCCATCTACACAATATTCCTTTATCTCAGCTTCTATACCTGGCTGCCAGTACACCTGGTCACGTACTTTGACGGCGTCAGCGATATTCGGCTGGTGCATGCCGGGCCAGCGGGTCTGCCATCCGTGTTCCTGAGCCTCGTACTCGGTGGATATGCAGCCTATGATCTACTGTTTGTCAGTTCTGCCGGATGCTCTGCAAAGGACAGTTCTCAAAAGAGCGAAGACCGTGAGGGAGAATACCTTATCACATCACTGTGCAACCGGACCTGGGGAAGATTCTCTCCAAAGGGAAAAGTTCTCGCCAGCCGCACCATTATTCTGGCAACGATGACTCTATTGAACACGGTCATTCAGGTGTCAGGCACGGTAAGGGGCGTCGATGTCAAGGGATCAGCCGGTTGGGGCGCGCTTTGGGCCACGGCAGCCTTGGTTGTTGGCGGTACATTTGCCTGGATCGAGGCAGTGCCAGGGGTTTAAAACTAGGCAATGACGAAGCAGAGTGATATATGCACTGGGTACATTCTACTTCAAGAAACTTCCAATCATGGTAAGTTGATAATTTCATGGGCTTGAGACTAGACCACTCTTGTCTCGCGGCTCCGTAACTGTGCCGTCACGGAAGTTCTTGCATAGCTCCATATTCTCCGAAGCTTAATTTACTTTTTCTCGCGCTATCGCTATTTTTAATACTCCGTTATTTTTGTGCTAATTGGCCTTTCGTCAACTAGCCAGGCGTTTTCGTCTATTTCAAGGAAATTCGGGTTACAAAGGTCTCTTTGCATTCTCTCTTTTTCATTCAGTGGGATTCTCAGTCTCGCAAGGTTTCTTCGGGATCCGTGCCATTACATTTCAAAATTCAAGGCGTACGATTCATTAAATAGTGCTAATAAAAAAGAGTAATATTACGCTCAATTGGTATATACTACCGGCTCTATGTATAATCTATCGTGATGGGAGAAGGAGCATTGTACAAAACATAGCAATAGCAAAGGGAAAAAGAAGAAGAACTCCCGATTATCTTTCCTCCAGAGGTTGGGCAGGTCCCAAGTCAACGCCATCCCAGTCATCGACATTCTTCTGCTTTGGCATCAACCAGCCGGGATGGACGAAATTGAAGACACCGACGGCAAGAATCATCATCGCGCCATCCAGGGCAATAAAGTACTTTTCGTGGGAAATCAAATAACCTGACCAGCCCTGCAACAGCTCAATGGTACGATAGATGCTTCGCGCATAGATGCACACAACCGAAAAGATCATGGCGGCGAGCAATGGTGTAATTGAACCTTGCATTGTCTGTAACAGCCTCTGTCTCATAACACGCAGCAAGAAGTCGCAGGCAAAGTACACGAAGACGGTGATGGATGCCATTTGGAAGACGATGCCGACGACCATCACATCGGTGCCGGGCTTGGTGTTACCGTCCACCTTGTTGGTTGCTGCGGATGCCATACCACCGCCAATAGCCTGGACGACGAGGGAGACGATATCGCAGGTGCAGAAAATCCAAAGGTACAGGGCGGGGCTAAGTATCGATGACTTGCGGCCGAGTAGCTGGATGAAACGCCCGAGAAGGACGTAGATACCGGCTGTGAAAAAGGTTGGCGCTGTAACGCATGTCAGTTCATTTTCTATTTCTTCGTGGGGATCCAGCAAGTGAAGATTGATGTACCGATGATAAGAGTGGAAATTTGCATTAAGAAGGCGGTCATCTGGTATGGGCACTGAGAAGACCAGGTCCGCGCAGCCCAACCAAGAACCTCGACTACATCAAAAATCAGCAATCGCATTCCAAATTTCTCTCCATCGAAATCTGCCTCACCCATAGCTCCAATACTAAACAATACACACCACCATGTCCTTTTCCATATGAATTGGACGGTGTGTGCAGCCATAGTCAGGCCGAAAAGAACGCAAAAGACAATGCCAGCAGCGAGAGAAGGCACATAGTTGTATGCGGGGTCTATCCCATCGATGTAGGCGTGGCACGTCCCCCTCAGCTGTTCTTTTATGTCGGTGGTGTTCGCCTGAGACATTTTGGCGGTATTGTATCCTGATATGCTGTTGTAAGTCCTCAATGTTGCGAAAAGAATCTGAAAATGAGAGTCACGCTTGCTCTACTGTCCGAAGTAGGCGGAACCACCACAGGGTAGGAGGGAGTTGGCCAAGAGCAAGACAGAAGAGTAATTCGATGGTAACGAGCGATCGGCGTAGTCAAATATGTTGATCAATTGATAGAAAACACGGATTTCGGAGTACGAAAAGGGATTTACGAAATATATGTATGTATCGGGCCGATTGGCAAGCGCACGACTCGAGATAACATTCAAACGCGTCAACAGGCCCCATTGTTATATTATTGATGGGCTGGGCCCAATGAGAGGATCCACGTGGGGAGCAGCCTCAGCTCGGTCTTTAGTCGTTTTTAGTATCCGATTCCGTTGACGCTTGCGATCATCGAATTAACTACGCTTACTCTTTTCATGATACATGGACGAAGTAGTTATAGTATGGTAGTATATGCGAAGATGGATCAGCCAAGCCGGGTAACGAGCCAATTACAGACCGAGCCGACCGGCCCCGTCGGCTCTCGGTGCTCGGATCACTCGTTTCTTTTCGACCTAGATAATTCTTTTCTTTCTTTTATGTTCTACCTCTTTTCCTGCCCATGTGGCCGGCCATGTGCTGCACATGTGCAGTACGTGTCTCTTTAGGGTTTCGAGGATCACGAGACTGATTCGTACCAATTAGTTGAACGACCCAGATTATTTTCAATATTATTAATTAATATTGTTTCACATATGATACCCAGCCCTCAAGGCTCAGTGACGACGATTGAGTCTGACATGACATCTACGTAGGCATAAATACGAGAACCCTTGTTGGTCCGCAACATTTGCTATTTTGGTCTTAATGCTCCGTACTCTTCATAGTTCAGGGCCAAGGCTGGGGCTGAGCCGGACTTCGGATAGTTAGTTACGCCTTGCCGAGTCAGTCATAATCGCCATTGACCTGCATCAAGCAGTATCGAGCGACGGATATAGGAATATATCGTTATACGGCCGCATGCCCTGTTCAGCCTTCACAGCCTGGCGCCCAAGGCTTTTTCTTCGGCCTATCTAACTTTATCGTTGATCATTATCCTGCCGGTCTTTTTTCAGCTTCATGCAGATACAAGACCGACTCCGGCCGCGACGCCTGGATGGATTAGTCATTCGTAGCGGAGTGCTGTAATTTGAGTTGGGCCTCAAATCATGTAGCCGCGCCAACTTAGGCATCATTAGACTCATTGTGTTTTATTTTCCAGTGTGAATGATGGTATTGTCTGATTGGTCGCGATCTACGTGTTCCCCAGACTCCACCACCGGTGTATCGATAAACATGCCTGATAAATGTGGTATACAGCTGATAGCTTAAGTAGACATACTGGCGCTCCTAAGACATTTAAGCAATAGAACAAAGCAGCCCAATTGAAAGATAAAACAGAATGCAATAATACAGACAGAGATTTTTCTGGAGCTACAAATACTTTCGAGAAAACATCATGTTTTATGAGAAGTTCAAGCCGTTCTCGTTCAACAAAGAGAGCGGCACTGACGAGTCTGAGAAACAGAGGTGCGAACCATAACCACATGAACCAATACCTCCAGACACCAATAATAACAACTCCAACAACAATACCGGTTAACCCCGTTACCACGAGCGCAAGGTAGGTCCAACTTCTTCAGCAACTATAGAGCCCCTAGAGCTTCTTCCCTTTAGAGTCATAGCTTCAACATCTCTATTCTTGCTGTGTGAAAGTTAGGTGAACTTTGCATGCTACAAGCCAGACGGTCACATATGATGGCATCCCAGCTGAGTTCTAAATTTGGCCTTGAAGGCGTCGATGAGAAAACATGGCCGAAAGGTTACTTTATATCAGCAAAATGACATCATATCTAGGCATAAAAAAAATAGGGATTTCTTCTATCGGAAAAAGATCTAAATCCTGCCTACCGTATCCTATCCTACACTTGGGCACGTTATCGTACGGACGACCCATGCTACAACAGTGATGGCACGGGAGATTCTCTCCAAGTGGACGGCGTGGATTGAGCTATTCCGCCAATCGACACCAAACGATTTAATCGCAAGCACTTTAAATCGGTTCTTCAGACAATTGCTGGAAAGTGTGATTACGTGTGGGTTGATGTTATAAGCATCCGTCAAGGTACCAATGTCAATGACGATGAAGTGAACAATCAGATGGCCAGCTTCAACCGCGCAAAAAAATTCATTTATCTGACCGCACAATCTCGATAAAGATACGGGATTTGCCAGTATCAAAGCTCTAGTTGCATTCATGAGTATCTTACATCCCCATGATCCTAATCTTGTCGAGCGGCAAAAGCTTGATTTCACCCTTGTCTGAAGATATGTGGTTTCCACCCCTCTAGACCCTGCAGGAAGCTTTCCTACGGAAAGACGCTTCGATTCTTCCGGTTTCCGACAACCAGATTACGGTAGGGTAAAATGAAAAGCAAACCGATGTAACTGGGGATTCCTTATAAGCACCTGCAACACAATCCAAGACACTACGATAACGGTAGGGTCAGGGCTCCCTGGAAGTTTTCCGTCGACATCCAGCAGTGGAGTCTCAATTCTCTAGGATCAATAACTCTCTGGTACTTCTCCAAGTAGCTCGTCGCCGCCAATGTACGGTTACCTGTGATCAGATCATGGGAATTATGCAAGTGTTTGGTATTAAGTTGGACAAACCTGCAGATCAATATAAACTTGAGGAGCTACAAGAAAGTCTTTTCTGCTGTATCAACAATCGCTCTCCTGCACTTGCACAGGCTTTCGTTCATAGTTATCCCGAAGATTTCACCAGGGGAAGGTCGTGGCAAGCCAAGCTTGGGACCCATACCCCAGATAGAACTTTCCCAGGAGGTGGTGCAAGGAAGTGTAACGATGAAACAATGTGGATTCTGGAAGACATGCATAATTCCCAAGAAGTACCTTGTGACCTAGGAGACAGCATATCGTTTCGGTAATCTCAATCAGCCTTTCGAGGGGATATAGCTTCGCACTTGAGAATTTGTTAGATGTGTGGCGGAACACAGAAACAATATCTCCTCCCGACCAAGCTCCTTCTACAGATCGAACTCTTTTGCTTGTTCGGTATATTTTGATAACGCTCAGAGGTCTCTCGGCGTTAAGAGGCTCTCAGTGGACTTCTCCCAGTATGAAAGGCCGTTGAATTTGATGTGAAAGCTATGTCAGGTTTATCCGCAAGTAGTTCTAGTATTCCTCCTTGGACAAGTGATTGGCCCCCTGCCCCGAGGAGTCAAATAGCACATGGGTGGGAATGATGGTCGCGACAAACCGTGATAATTCAAGTCCTAATGTTGGGTCTTGTATGGAGGTAGACTTCTCAAAATCTGGAATCTACAAACTGTTCTATTTACTGAGAGCTTTGGATTTCTCGATGGGACTACTAAAGAATGGATAGGTGTGGATTTCGATGCTATGAAATGCTTAGAAACATGGGGATTAGGTGGAACAGGATAATTCATAGGAAGGTAGGAGCTATTATTATTTAATCAAGTTTAACGCCTATATCCAGTCCAACAGACTATGAACGAACATAGGCTTTTAGGGGATATGTAAGTTATTATAACGCGATTTCATACTTTTCTAAAACAAAAGAATAGGTTATCCCTTCTAGTTCTCTTAGTGACGACATTGATGGTGACCTCATCGATATCCACTCTCCACGTGTGCTAAAATTTTGCATGTGGGGTTTGTTTGCTACTAGTATTCTCTTTGTTCAGCCAGAATTTGCCAACACTGATATGTCCCTTCACAAGACGCATTATTCAGCGTAAATTTCAGACACTCTAAAAAAAAGAGTATTTTCAGGTAGATACGTACAAACTATAGCCACTACAGTGTATTAATGTTAATGCGTGTCCTCTAAATTTATCTCCAAATAAACTGTGTTATATACCTTTATGACATTGCCCACCTTCCTAATCCAGGTGCATTGAGAATGTAATATTTATATAACATTGAAAGACTGAGACAGACAGACAGACCTAATTATGCAAAGAAATTATGCTGTGAGTAAATACTAGGTAGTAGGGAGAGAGAGTATGTGTGATTATGAGACAACAATATGAAAATAACAATGATATGAGTGAAAACATGAAGCTATCTAGCGAAGGATTAATGGATGCAAATAGGGAGAGGCGCCTGAGACATCTAACAGTGGTAAACCACCTTCAAGATGTTATGAGTTAGAAAAATATCAGCCTTATTGAGCACATTCCTTACAAAGCAAAGCGAGTTGATCACTAATGACCACCATCAAAATGCGTTAAATCGTAAAATATCACCCTCATTGAACGCATTCTTTACAAAGTGAAATAAGTCGACTAATAAGTGACTAGAAGCTTACGAGTCAATTAACACCACGACTAGCGTTGATTACGAATTCTTAGTCAGACGATGCCCAGTCTACCAAAAGAACACGCCTTTTCGACTCATCACAGGTACGGTACGTAACGAAGCAGTAGAGTTGTTCATATATTAATGACTGGCTGTACTATGGGCTAGTGATATGAGATGATCTGGACCGTTAAATTTAACCCTAACCCTAATGAAGCTGATATTAACAGATGAGGTTGCAAAGATGAGTTGGAGAATGAAAACTAAAAATTAAGTTCTGAGCACAGACCACTACGGCCGCTAGCGCAACCGCCTGGCTCCACAGTCTCCACGTGTCAATTCGATCGGGACTCGCCTTTCTTCGTGAATGGACCCAAACCTAACCTCCTCTACTTCTTTCTATAAGCAAAAGGAAGAACTTAATAAATGTATGACTTCGTTTCTTACAGCGCACGAGATTGCATCTCCCGGTATTTCTTAAGGGCATTGACTGCATCCAAGATTACTTGGGCTTGATGCTGGGAACAGGCATCGCCATCTTAAAACATCTCGCCGAGATCTTAATCGGCCTTGATGACAACCCACAAGCATCCTTGGGTCATCAAGAGTGGCTGTCCGATGTGATCAAACGTAGAACAACGTTTAGATACCGTCCGAAGGTGGCTCAAGAATAGCTCAGCATAGGTCTCCTGCAAGTCGTCTAGCCAAGACAACGAAATAAACAGAGAAGCATGTCATGTCACATCGACTTTCATCATTTGCTGATTGACCTCGTTTGCTATGTTTTAAAGCTGAAAAAAATTCAATGTTAAGTGCTATTATTTATAATCAAGTGGATCTCATCGCAATCTGTCACGACTACACACTAGATAACATGTTTTGGACTTTTATCCTAGAATGACAAAATAGGAGACTGGTGGCACTACCACCATAACGCCTTAGTTAGATCGGGACCAGTCGAAGCCCTTTGCAGAAACTTGCAACCCACTTGTAGGTTGACGCCACAAAGTCACTACCTAAGGTCACCATCGTCATGGGCTTTTCTACTGACTCGTTAAAGGTTCAAAATATCAACATATATAGCTGGTCCTGCTGTCCTACCGCAGAATAAATTTTTGAGTCAAACGTTTTATTAGACGTGTTCGAATATTTCTATCGTTTAGTTGAGTGCTTTCTTTTGTTTATTTATACTTTTAATCATATTACTGTCCTGATTATCTTCATAAACCAAAATGAGCATTGATTGTTCCGGTATGGCATCACTGTACAATAAGGAACTGCGTGCGGCACCTCACAGCTGGCCTGCTGACTATACTGTATGGCCGGAACCTTGCCTTGTATTTTCTGAGGTATGACAACCGCATCCTCGCGTGGAAAAGTGCCAACCATCGTTTCTATAGTTGCAAGATCTACAAAGCCCTCGCGACACCAAATTTTCGAGCAATTATGCAGATCCTGCGTATGGCGGCGAGAGGCAGTATCAGAATACATATGATGACGACGAGCTGCATGCCGTCAAATGTCAAAAATCTGATGAACACTCGCAAGCCGAGTCCCGCCCCTCACCGCCAGATTGTCAATATGACCAAAACACACTGGTTCAAGACAAGTGCAAGGTATCGTTCAGGGTCCCTAGGATATCATGTGAATCAGAAACTAAGTCTATAGACGAATGCGCAGAAAAGAAAAGTACAGAATCGCCTAGCCCAGAGAGCATATCGAGAACGCAAAGAAAATTACATACAAAACTTACTTAAGCAAATTGACGAGATTAATCAGCAACATATGCGTCTCATCGAAAATTACCGGGCTGCAAAAGAAAATATTATATGCCTTCAGATCCAGGTGGAGGATCTCCAAAGAAAATTTGATGTGTGGAACAACACTAAGTTGCTCGTTTTGAAGGTTGGGACCGCACGTCTCTAAATGCACAGGTTGCGCTCTGTTCCATGATAGTATCCGATCTGCTGCGGGAAACGGAGCCGCAGTCGGTCTCGAATTCGTCAAGTCTGGTCATATTTTGATCTCTGTATGTCGTTCCGGTCGGTGCCGGCAATGTTTCATTTTTGCTTTGCGGCGAATTCAAATCTACTAGGAGTATACCGGATGACAGTGCGTCCTACGTGTCAGAGCTATTTCTGGGAGTCCTTCGCAGTTATGATGCGGTGTTTGAGAGCAAGGATACTGCTGTGATGATATACCAATAGCGAGATAGAATATATAGTTCATCGAATTTTTTGTTTCTTGACGTGACCACGGAAAACAAAGCACGATGGTGCAAAATCTCCAAAATTAGTCTAGAAATATTTCCTGTCTCAGTAAGAGCTGTGGCGCTTCACGATATGTATTCCTCGAGGAATCCGAATGGACCAGCGTTCGGACGGGCCTTGCGTTGTGCACGACAAGACTGTCGATAAACTCGACACTCCATAGATGAATAACCAGCGTTCAGGAAATCGAAAAGCGAAATCGTCATGCCATATCGATCAATCGTAACGGCTTTATGCTAGATCATCAGCTTTTCCGTTTGTGCGCGACAGCTCTGGACGGAGTATACCCTGCCATCCTGTGCTGTCCTCCCTCAATTCAAGATTCAGCGGTCACTGTGCCTCAGGCAGTATGTAGGAAACGGAGGTTACTCAACTGGCGGGCATGTCTTGCATAGTGAGTTCTAAAATAACATGTTCATTTTAATATTCTCTACTTGTGGAGAGAAAACATGAAATCGAGCACAAATAGGTAGGAAACCACCTGGTACGAAGAGGAAGATGATAAGGGAAAATCTGTAGGGCTAAATAGAGTCCTTAAACAAAACAGATGCAAAAAAATACTGAATGCTGATCAATCATGTTGATATTCTCAGCAAAAGTATACGGTTTTAATTGGCCCTATTATCGGAAGGCTTTTGCAAAATCTGATTCACTGCGACTTCAAGAAGATGGCTCAAGTGAGAGGGCGACGCGGGCAAACATTTCTGTGAGTTATAATGATAAGGGTGTTAATGGTCGTTATTGTCCTAGTCTGATACCTAAAACAACGTACCATATACCTTTTCTCTGATATCCGACTGGACACCGGCTAAAAAATCAGCTGCATTCTGGACGAAGTTTTTCTGCTGGCCCGGCTATCGACCCAGGAATTGCCACAGCGCGCGGGGTTGTACAAAATCCACTTCAGAAACTTCACTCTGGAATTCAGATATCGATCCCACCCAAATGTCGTGATATTTTTCCGGTTATAGAGGTGAAACAATGAACGTCCTTTGCAACGACCTCACGTAGTTCGGTTCGCTACCGTAATTTCTTTTCAACGACAGGAAACTTTCGCGTTTATAAGGGAAGTATACGGGGCTAATTGAGGCATTTGAAGGCAGCTGCTGATAAATCAGGGACGGTCTGTATCGGGTAGGATCTGGATAGGCAAACGTTCGTGCTTAGAGCACTGCATGAGCAATTTAGCAATTCAGCATACACCGTTTTACCTGTGATCATTTAACAAGAACTAACTTGGATCTGCCGACGGCACTATTCCTGGAACCATAGCAGAAGGAGAGAATGCCATTCCTCGATATCTTGGAAATAATTGGTTGGCTACAGTCGAGAAGCTAGTTAGTTACATCGTCAAGAGACAAGACCACAAACTATCTCTACTCACATTCTCATTCAAAGTCAATTTACCGATCGGTCGCAGCGGAAAGTCTGCATGTGGCCAGACTTTTGTCATGTCAAAAACATTGAAACGGTATGTCTCAACCTCTTCCTGCGTCATGACTTGCACACATACGGGCCAGCTGGGGAGCTGGCCTGTTACAATGCTTTGGAATAAATCTCGAGTGTGATGGTCTATGTCATGCCCCATGAGTGTGGAAGATTCATGACGTGTCAGGCTCCTGACGCTTTGGTCGGACTTTAGGTGGATTTTGACATATTTGCTACCATCCTTGGGTGCAAGACAATGATCAGTGAACATCCCATACATATTGTTAACGATTCCGTACAGTTTCGTAAATTCGTAAGTATGCCCACTACAAGCATCTATATTGCGAAGTGTGGCCAGGTGCTCCAATCACTTAGGAGAAACATTAACGCATAAATACCTTCTTGGTTGGTTGTATGGAAACTGCAATAGTCAATACGTAGCTTACTCATGGCATCATGAGATTAGTTACTCCTAGAACATGTTTGGATCCACGAGGTTGGTTTGATGGTGACGCTTATGAGATCGATTCAAGGATGGGAACTTTCTAAGGCCCCGAATGAAAAACATCGCCTAGGTGGTTCTTGTAAGTTATGTGATTGTTTCAGAAAAGGAGAAGAAAATTTGTGGAAGCTTGTCTACAATGTCACTGAACACCCAATCCTGATTCCCTTCCTTGGTGAAGAACTCCATTGCAAAACCTCTCAGTCACGATCATGAGTCACGGCTGTTATAGGATGTTCTTGGAGATTGTTGCCAGCATCTGGAAGTTGTACAACGCACTCTATCCCGCCTGCACACAGAACCTTGGGATCTCCAATTTCTGAAAGCTCCAAGAGTCGGGGACTATGAACCGAGCTCGCCGAGAGTATCACCTCTGCCGTTGCAAAAACTTGATGAGAAACACCATCGAACCAAAATTCGACACCACGCGCAGTATCAGTGCTTTGATCCATTATTACCCTGGTCACTGTCGCATCCGTCAAAATCTTGAGGTTCTTGCGGTGAATGTTGGGCATCAAGTATCCCGTAGCTGCATAGCTTCTAATAGCCCTGTCACCATCACGAGTTATTGTTGAGAGTGTGCCGTAGAAACCAAGATGGTTGCCGCTCCATGGATCTTTTGGTCGAAGCACACGGGATAACCTCGTCGAATGCTTCCATTATCGAGTCTTCGACCGGCACTCTCCATGGAGAAAAGGAAGTTTTGATCGGACCAGAATGGCCATGGAAGACAGGCTCTTTGCTGTAGAAGTCCGCTTACCAGGTGCTCGCTTTCTGCCATCTCCATCCAGCATCTCACTTTTGAAGTAGTACGGGGCGAGATCAGCCCATGACCAACCTTTGTTTCCAAGCTGTTCCCAGTTACCGATGTCCTCTGCGGATGGTCTACTGTAGGCCAAAAAATTAAAATTGCTGGAGCCTCCGAGGAGTTTGCCAAGAATACATGATGAACTCGGTTATCTGTTCCGGCCTAGTCCAGCGAAAACTGTGATTAATCACCTCACACAAAGGATACAAATGAGTAAAAGAAGCTTACTTGTGGAGTGGATTTATACATCCAATCATATCAGGATTGTTCAGGGCAGCTGTCATTCCAGTTGGCATTTCAATATTCATATCTCCCAGTCTTGATTGGCCCGCCTCGACCACCCCTACTCGAACTGTTGGATCTTCGTCAATCGAGCTGCGAGCACCAGCCCGGCTGTTCTACTACTAACGATGACATAGTCAAATGTTGAAGAATCTTGTAAGAAGTCGGCTAGGCTTGTTGCAGGCTGTGCCATCTTTCTTTCTCTGACTGAGGAAGTGATTGTGTGTTCAAGCACGACCAGAGAAGTAACTCCTAGATCTACTTTATAAACGTCCACTAGGTAAGACTGACAGGTATTATTATGTAATATTTGAGGCAAATTCTGTACGTAAAAGATATACTCTTTAGTTTTGTAAATACATGGTCGTAAGTTTAGAAGCTGAAAATTATAAGCACGGATGGGTTAGATGTGACAATTAATTAGCATGCGTCGTTGATTATGCGAAGAATGCTCGGAGGTTCGGTAAAAGATGACGGACTTACGGCCTCGAGCCTCCGCGTTAAACGAGGCTCGGTAGTACTCGTGTATACGGAGTTACATGTCGATAATCCATCAGCCGTTTAGATCTAGAACCATCTACCCACAGAAAGTTATGGGCTTATCTTTCGGTTGGGTGACTAGTTAGAGCGTGTATTCCGGTATACTTTCTCTGACTACATGTTTCTTCTGGAATTATATTTTTATGTTCTAACCTTATACAGTAATAATTACTAATTAGGGGTTTGGTGGCTCACGGGTCGGCCGCTAGCGCCAACTCTACTCGTCGTTCTAGTTGCAAAGGACTTTCAATTGAACTTCAAAATCGCGATTTAACACCAGAACTGGAAGTTCCGGTCATAATACGCGCGTTTTCCTGTCGCCAAAGGCTGCATGACAACCGAAAACTTGTCCTCGGCATGTAACTTAGGCAACAATATCACTCATCATGGCTAGCATTTTCAAAAATTGTCCCATTTGTTAACTAATATTTTAGCGTTTGCATTTGCTATGACCCATATGCTAGCTATATAAGCCCGCACTGGATTCCGTGGATAGTCGTTCTAGTTATCGGCACCATAGTACCAAAATTGTCTTCATATTTTCAAAGTTAAACTGGAAAATCAGTCTTGAACATGTCGGGCAGCCTGGCTGGCAAAGTAGCCCTTGTTACAGGGGCCTCCCGAGGAATTGGTCGTGCAACTGCGATAGCACTCGCTAAAGAAGGCGCATCTGTTGTTGTCAACTACGTTTCCTCTGTGGGTGCCGCAGAAGAGGTAGTGAAAGAGATCGGAGCTAATCGGTCAGTCGCCATCAAGGCCGATGTGTCTGAGATCAATGAGATCATGGATTTGATCCAACAAGTTGTCAAGAAATTCGGAAAGATTGATATCGTCGTTCTCAATGCGGGTCTCCTATGGCAAAATGGAGCCCTAAATAATATCGATGAAAATGCTTTCGACAAGATTTTTCAAACGAACGTCAAAGGACCTTTCTTTCTGGTTCAGGAGGCCGCAAAGCATATCCCTGACGGCGGCCGAATTCTCCTTTTCTCAACCTCACTAACAAGCGTCAGTATGATCACCCCAAACTACCTACTCTACGTGACAACCAAGGGTGCGGTTGAACAGATGACGCGTGTCATGGCCAAGGATCTTGGCAAAAGGGGAATCACGGTCAACACAATTTCTCCTGGTCCCATTTCCACCGATACTTATTTTGTCGGCAAGACAGAGGAGATGATAAAGTTGCAGAGAACTTTTGCTCCGGCAAACAGAATTGGAAAGGCTGAAGAGGTCGCTGATGTTATCACGTTTATGGCAAGTAAGAAAAGTCAATGGATCAACGGACAGAACATTCAGATCAATGGAGGTATGACCGTTGGTTAGAAGCTGGAAAGAGATTTCTTTATTTCTTCACTTCTTCGTTTTAACGACACTCGGTTCCTATCACGGAGCCTTCACTGTGTCCCTTGCCTTTAGATAATTCACACGTAAAAATAAACATTATTGCTCGCAAACATTAGCAAAAACAACTCTGAGTTACGTGATTTCTTTGCTCAACTAAGGTGCCGCTTGCCATTTCCCTTCAAACACCTCAAGTTTCTTGAGATAGTGACCTATCAACGGCAATAAGTTAGCATAAGATCATGGATCGTCTATAGCAGAAGGTAACGGAAAAAAGTTACGGGCTAGTTTCCATTTTTCACAAGAAAGCTCCAACGTCCTTTTGAGTGCACTGGTGTTTTCTTGAGGCTGGTTAACCTGTAATGCCGCAAGAGCTGCCATCCCGGTACAGATTACTGCTGGCAGAGGAACTAATTTTGCCTCTGTACTCGTAGCCACCTCGTTAAATTTGGCGCAGATCTCGCAAATCATATTAATAGTGGACGACACGGCCAGTAAACCCTTGTCCACAGATCGTCGTTGGTCGACAGAACCCAGAATTGGCGCTTCTTCTGCCATACGACCCTGTTGCAGCAGGATCATGGTCCTGGAGGGGAATTGTGTGAACCTAGTGGCACATGCATGAAAAACGGGACAAGACGACCTACAACAAACAAATGGAATTCGCTCCGCAAAAAACAACCCATGACCCAGGTGTTTGATCAAATAAGATTTTTGTCATATAAAGTACCTTGGTCTCGAGGTTTTCTAACTTCTCAAGGAGCTCCAAGCTGTCGTGGATGTTGATCAATTCCTGGGCCTGCCCAAGCAATTCACTCGCCTGGACCTCACGAGCGAAATATGAAACGCGCATTTCCACAGCTGTCGCCAGGGTAGCTCCTGGTATCTCGCCTCGCATTAGCTCGCACGGCCCGTCCCAAATAGCATCTGGTCCAGGCAGGCGGAAGGTCGGGTCAGGTACGCCAACTACATGAGGGGCTCTGCAATTAGTCGCGGCCTGCATCACAAGTCTAGATTCGGAAAACAAACAGTCAGTAATGGACAAGGTATGATAGCCAGCCTCCAAAGTTGACATACCGGTCCAATATGAACAAGCCCAGCCAGACTCTGCGCCGTTCTTCCGCCTCTACCCATGCAGGTGATATATTTCCAAAGTCTTTTTGTTGGTCCACATGTAAACCCAACGCATATCCCAATCTAGCGCAAGTCGCTATACTCACAGAAGCTGCAGCAGAGAGCACAGACCCGACTTCGAACACCGTAATCAAGAGCCCACATTGAACCATCTCCAAGCTAGGGGGCTGTACTATCTGTAGAAATGAGAATAGATATTTGCAGATATAATAGGCTTCGTGCTGCGCATTCTCGTTCTCGGGAGAATTACCCTGCCCTTGGGCTGCTACATACATACACAACAATAGGAGGGCAGTGTCTGCTCTTGGTGCATAGCGAAGTTGGGTAACTCGGGATCGGAAGCTCTTCTCGTGGATTACCGGTAGCCAAGACTGTAATGAAAAGAAGTAAACGGACAGCACATCTTGCAGGGGAACTCTACTCTTAGCTAAGCTTGTCATTATTAATTGCACTGCAAATTGGTCAACATGGATCCTCCGGCCTTGAACATTATCTTGATATGGCTGTAAGGCCTCCAGGGTAACCGGTGGCAGCCATATTTGTCCTAACGCTAAGGATAAACGCATGGGTAGCGATGAAGCGGAATTGGCGAGCTCTGTGAGATAGAAATCGTAGTCACAAGGGATTCCCAATCTTACGCAGACAATGAACACATTGATATCTCCCGCTGCGACTTTGAAAGCAACTTACTTTTGGCATCGCGAACATGACGGCATCGCCTTGTCACATTTTCGCTTTTGACTTCGACATAGGGCGCAAACATTTGCAGCGAAGGGGCGCGAGGTCAGTAACGTACCGCTCAAATTCATATCGACGGAGACTGCGAATTGACCGTTCACTCACGATATCGCATTGGCACCATGATTATGATAACACCAGGTTACGGAAAGCCGTTCATCTGATGGGGTTGTAGGGCGAACTATACGCGCAACCTTGCCAAATATGGTCTTAGATCCACGTGACCTTGAATTGTCACCGCCTTTATCCGATAGCGGGTTTTCTGCCGTCGATTTCCCAAATCTTAATTTTTTTTATTTTTCCGTCCACCCTAGTTACACCAAAACCAAGATGGCACCCTCAGAGACCTCAGCAGATAACTCTGATGACGACGTTTTAAACTCGTCGCACTCGGAGTCTTCCGATATCGAGGACACGGAACAAGTTGGCCGGCCCACGAAAAGAAGACGAGTCTCTATCTCATCAGAGGCCTCATACAACTCAGACAACGGTGTCGCAACTCGACCTGCGATTGTGCCTTTGCCTAGTCTCTCGCGAATAAAGAAGAAAGTAGATGTGGAAGCTCAAACTACAACACCAGCCGACGAGGAACCAGTGACTATTGCAGACGCACGCGAAATTGGGCTCCGAGCTTCTGATTCTACCTTTGATTCCCTCAATGTGGCTCCTTGGTTGGTCAAATCTCTCTCAACCCTTGCAATTCGACGACCTACCGCTATCCAAAGGTCATGTATACCCGAAATCTTGAATGGGCGAGACTGCATTGGTGGCAGTCGCACAGGTTCCGGAAAGACGGTGGCATTTGCGGTACCAATTCTGCAGAAATGGGCGGAGGATCCATTCGGGATATTCGCTGTGGTTCTGACCCCTACTCGGTAATTCTACACGTTCCATTAATTGTTGCTGTATGCGCTAACGCTATTGATTGCAGTGAGCTCGCACTCCAAATATTCGAACAATTCAAAGCAATCTCAGCCCCGCAGAGTCTTAAGCCGGTACTTATCACCGGTGGAACTGACATGCGACCTCAAGCGATTGCGCTCTCGCAACGGCCGCATGTCGTTATCGCAACCCCGGGGCGCTTGGCAGATCACATTCGAACTTCGGGAGAAGACACAATAATCGGACTGCGTCGCGTCCGCATGGTAGTCATGGATGAAGCAGACAGACTCCTCACTAGCGGTAATGGCAGCATGTTGCCAGATGTTGAAGTATGTCTGTCTGTGCTGCCGCCATCGAGTGAAAGACAATCACTCCTTTTTACTGCCACTGTCACCCCGGAAGTTCGCTCGTTAAAGGAAATGCCCCGTCCCGAGGGCCGCCCTCCTGTCTTCGTCACCGAAATTGGCACCGAGACCCATGCTCCGATTCCCCCGACTTTGAAACAAACATATCTACAAGTCCCTATGACGCATCGAGAAGCTTTTCTCCATGTCCTTCTCTCCACCGAACGCAATTCCACCAAACCAGTCATTATCTTTTGCAATCGTACGAAAACAGCAGATCTCCTTGAGCGTATGCTCCGCCGTCTCTCCCATCGAGTCACTTCATTACACAGTCTTCTGCCTCAGTCGGATCGGACAGCAAATCTGTCCAGGTTTCGAGCCAGTGCGGCTCGTCTGCTAGTCGCCACTGATGTCGCGTCTCGTGGTCTCGATATTCCCAGCGTCAGCCTTGTTATAAATTTTGATGTCCCTCGGAATCCAGACGACTACGTTCATCGTGTCGGTCGTACGGCTCGTGCTGGCCGGGAGGGTCAATCCATTACTCTGGTTGGCCAAAGGGATGTCAACCTCGTTTTGGCCATCGAGAAAAGAGTAGGCAGACAGATGGTACAGTGGGAAGAGGAGGGTGTCAACGTTGAAGGAAGAGTGGTGAAGGGAACCACGCTGAAGGAAGTAGGCGAGGCGAAGCGAGAGGCCGCTGGAGAGATTGAAGAGGGCAGAGACGTGTTAGGTCGTCGTGTGAATAAGCTTAAAAAGATACGATGAGAACTGCTGTACATAGTAAATCTAGAAATTGATACCCGTGCATAGAGCAGTGGTTTCGTCATCTTCGTCAACAGCCATGTATGTTTAGGGCGATGTGTAGAATTCGGTATTCAATATGAAAGGGTATCCTCATAATATTGATATCATGCTCTTATAATACAATAAAGGAGGCGTCCACACGCCTCTGCATCCGTCTGTAGTTGCGCTTCTGAAAAAAGGCTGTCTGGGATTCCTGGCTGGCTTCTCCCTATAGAACCAACTCAACCAGATATCAGTTCGATACCCCAATAAAATAGGTTTCTACTTGAGTCGGTACTCTTTAGAAATATATCCCGACTCTCATGGTCCAACAGTTTAATCTAACTGTGTCGAAGATTGCGTCAGTTTAACAAATTTGTCTAGTGCGTTTTCTTCCCCGCCTTGTACATCCTTTATTTCATCAACATCGACATAAGGTCTTTGTCGAGTTTCAGCTTGTGCTTTAGGAGTTTCTTCCTCGTCTTCTTCCCTCTCTCCCTGAGAAGTGTTGTCACCAGGGTCTGATGTTGGAGAGGGTATCGATCCCCGCGCAGAAGAGCGTACAGGACGCGAGCGGGGCTGAATTGGGAGCGGGGGTAGAAGAACTCGCTTTTGCTTCGGTGACGTTTGAGATGTTGTTCCGGTTCTGAAAGAGGATGAATTACTCGAGGAGGTAATGGTGGTGAGAAAGGGACGGCGACTAGACGCTTCGAATTGAGAAAGAGCGCGGTCAAGGGGATTTTTTCCCACGCGATGCATCGCCGACTGGAGTCTTTTCTTGACTAAAGCAGCTTTCTTAAAAGATGTTAACCTGGGCTGTGCAATATTTCGAAGTTATCAGCTTGTCCTCACTTCTTGTATGAATATCCTGCGTGCAGCAGGCTCTGTGGGAACACTACTCGCGGATTCCGCGAGCTTGCCATTCGAGCTTTCCTCTGATAATGCTTGGAGGGGAATGTCCTCTTTTTGTGGTGATTGGAGTCCATTAGAGACTTGTTTTGTCGTGATATCCGTAGTCGGCACCTATTTCGGATCATTAAGTTATTGTCTGAGCATTCTATGGACTGGGTACAAAAACCAACGTTTTCTCTTTGGGGCGAAACCGATCGTGCACTCTCATCAAATATTTGGAAATCCTTACCAGTCTCAGACTGGTAGGTCATCATAGGTACTTTCCGGGGCTGATCGTTCTCGACATCTTCGATGACGTTGTCTATTGTTCTTTTCTGTCCGGCATGGTGAGGCTCGGAGGATGTGGTACAGTCCTCGCGTAATTCGCTGAATTTGGTAAATGGAATTGCATCTATTGTCGACTTCTGTAGCTCGAGCTTTCTCCTTGTAGAAGGAGTCAAAGACGCGTTAGTGGTCTTTTCGCCGAGAACGCGTCGTCCAGCCTTCAGTGAGCTGGTTTCTGAGTGGGATGACTGCATTTTTGGGGAGGGTGTTGGATCAGGTGTAGCAAGACAGATGCAGTGTCAGCGAGTGGATAGGGCTTCCTGGAGTAGTGTCTGATCAATTCAATATGAGGTGACGAAGGCAATTGCTATATCCGAACAGTGCCAATGCCAATGTTGATGCGTAATATGCAAGATCCGAAGACTATGGTTGCGGCACAAACATAACTCTTGCCTGCCAGGATCACTAGTAAGGCCCAATTGACTTCCTCGGAAAGATTCAAAGTCGCGTGAAGCACAAATCGCGTCGTTGGTTCTATTATGATATTATTGTGAGGGACCTGGGAAGCCTCCGCAGTGTCACCGAAAGTGGAGCGCCGGGACAGACGCTCTGACCACCGCTCCCTTCCACGTCGTTTAACGTGTGCGTGTAGTGTCTTGCGCGTCTCGAGCCTTGGCTATACCAATCGTTAGCCCGTGCATCCGCTCCGAATTCATAGATGCCTTGGGTTGAAATTTCGGAATGATACGTATTCAACAGGAATGTCAGGTCGCGTGCGTCCACGTGTACGCCTGGCATTCTTGGGGCCGCGATGCTCCACGTCATTTCTGTCATCGAGTGCAGATTTGTGGCTATGTTCACTTGTTGGCTGCGTGAATGGAAATTACCGGATCCAAGTTATGCCAGATACTCTCTGAAAACTTGTGAGAGTGGCACTTCTATGCTGCTGGGCAACGATGTCGGCTAAGGATCAGCGAGTGGGAATACCGTCTTGTTCCACGATCGTTCGCTGGACACCTGTTGCTTTGCGAATACGCAGTGTCATTGACATCAACGCTGCGAATTGTGTGACGCGGCTAGATTGTGCTTCAATTCGAAGGGAGAGAAAGCGAAATATGTTCTAAGTACCTAAGAATACAAAATAAGAGTTACCTCCTGCTTCGATAGATTTGATTTTGTCGTATCCATGATGACGATTCTCGGTACTTTTTTTATGGTCCAGATGTCAAATGGTGCTTTGCAATGATCGAACACTCCAGTCTACACCATGTGGTAGGCGGGAATATTGAAGCTTTTCGGGTACTTTTTGTAAATTAACACATTGTCAATTAAAATGTGGTTTCAAACATTGTTGATCAATTGATAATATATTCTGTTGATGGTTTACACAACATCGAAGCGATTGAAAGAATTTCAATTCTGATCTAACGCATAGGAGAAATATATATCAGAAGGCGCACAATGTAGAGCCTCAGAGCCGTTTGAAACAGAGGGAGTAACACCAATATCAAGTTGGCTAGAATAATATTGGATCGCTATTCAATACTATACCTATTTCATTGCTATGGTAACAATTTGAATAATACAACGGCCCTGATCGATATTCAAGAGCCATCCGACGCTGCCGACGCTGCGGTCACGGGTATATAGAATACCGCAACATTTGAAGCCATTCAAGGTGGGTCCTGGACACAGGATTTGATTCGCTGCTGCGGGGGGCTCCCCCACATGACCTCATAGGCTCGCTGCTTCCCCAGAGACGCCAGGCACCGCAAGCAGGCACTTCCTTCTATCCATCTCGAGCAGGCCCTTCGAGAACATTGACCTCGCAATATTCTCTATATTCTCTATACCCATTGTACCCATTGATATCGTAGCCGACCACTCACTCCCTTCCTTCTTCCTTTCCTTCCTGGCTGAAAGGAAAGCGCCTCTCCATTCCCCATGCGGTGGTCTGTCGTAGCCCTGGCTGGGCCGCTGCTTCAGTCTGCCCTTTCCGCAGCGTCCGCACTCACCCCGCCCGTTCTCCCGTTGACCGTGAGGAACCCGTATTTCAGCACCTGGCTTGCCGATGCTCGCGATGTGCCGTGGTCGAAATGGCCCATATTCTGGACTGGCGAGGAGCTTGGTTTCTCGCTCCTCGCCCAAGTGCCTAGCTCCAACACCGTATACCCACTACTTGGAAGGCCTCAGGATTCCCTGCCAAACGATGGAAAATCTGGGTATGCATTACAGCGAGTCTCCCACGCCGCCAAATTTCTGACCTAGGAATATTTTCTTTGTAGTTATAAAGTTGATTACCCTACTTACAACGGCGCTACTTACGATGCCTCAACTACCAACCTGACTTATGTACTTCCTGGATCGAGTGACTCGTCCAAACTGGAAATAATTCTGTCTTTCTTGTCCCCGATCACACCCACATCGACTCTGCGGCAGTCGATTCCCGCCTCATACCTCACCATCCATGTCGCCGGCAGTGTCGATGTCAATGTCTATGTTGACATGAACGGTCAATGGGTAAGTGGTGATCGAGATTCGCAGCTGGTATGGGACTTCAACGATATCAGTGTGGACCGTGGCGCAACAAAGCTCAAGAAATGGCAATTCACTCGTCAGAATGAACTCTTGGTGTCCGAAATTCGGGATCGAGCTGAATGGGGAACGTTACATTTCGTTGCGCCGAAGGTGAGCATTTTTTCACTAGCATGGATCCAAAAATTTTGCTCAATTGATATTATAGGATGTTCGACATGAAGCTGGTACTTCCAGAACATTGCGTGATCGTTTCTCCAGGTCAGGCACCTTGCAGGATACGGTGGATCGCCGCTTCCGATCGATCATGGATGAAGAGCCTGTCTTTGCATTCTCAAAACACTTTGCCCTAGGAAGTGGCTTGTCAACTAGCTCGGATTCTGTGAGATTTACCATCGCTCATACCCAAGATATAGTTATTCAGTATGCATCTTCACGCGGCCTTACCTATATGAGACCGTTGTGGAAGTCCTGGTTCCCAACAGCCGAAGAGCTCCTTTCCTTCCATTACTCGGATTTCTCCGACGCCAATAGCTTGGCATCTAATTATTCGGATCAACTGGCTATTGATGCATATAAATCTGGTGCTGATGATTACGTGGATATCGTCACGCTCTCCGCCCGCCAGGTTCTTGGTGCCACAAGCTTCTCTGGGACAGCCGAGAACCCCCTTCTCTTCTTGAAAGAGATATCCTCCGATGGAAACACTCAGACTATTGATGTCATTTATCCAGCGTTCCCATTTTTCTTATATACAAGTCCTCGCTGGCTAGCATATCTTCTGGAACCGTTGGTCGAACATATGTTAAGCGGGCAGTATCCTAACACTTATGCCATGCATGACCTAGGAACCCATTTCCCAAATGCTACTGGCCATCCAGACGGAAATGATGAATATATGCCAGTTGAAGAATGTGGAAATATCCTCATCATGGGACTTGCGTTGGTCAACTCTCTCCGTTATACTGATAGTCAAGAGTCTGTCTCCCCATGGGCAGGCCAAGGCCATTTAACCCCGGAGACCCTGTATGAGGGCGCACCTTTATTCCCCTTACTCGACCTTCGGACAAACTTTGGAATCGACAAACAGGATGGCAGATGGGGTGGTCCAGGCCATGGAGCCAAAGACGCTCGCAAGTGGGTGCAGAGAAGCTACCGATTGTGGAAGCAGTGGACAGGTTACCTCGTGGAGTTTTCCTTGGAACCAGAAAACCAACGTAAGTTCTCGCGAACATTATATTGGGAATGACATGCTTACTAAGATTCATTAGTTTCAACTGATGATTTCGCAGGATGGCTTGCTCTTCAAACAAACTTGGCACTAAAGGGAATTATTGGTATCAATGCTATGAGCCAGATAGCAGATGTTGCAGGTCAAGCCAATGATGCTTCCCATTTCAAGGTACGCTTCTATATGACCTATTTTATGACTCGGTTGATTGATATCATCCAGAACATCGCCGATGACTATGTTGCCAAATGGGAAGAATTTGGAATGTCCCGTGACGGCACTCATGCAAAACTAGCCTATGACTGGTACGGGTCCTGGACTACTTTGTACAACATCTACGCCGACGCCCAGCTCTGTTTCCACCTGGATGGTGTGACGGAAACAGTCGGTGACTTTGCCCAGACGCCCCTTAGGCCAAAGAAGCAGGGTTTTGTACCCAGGCACATCTATCAAAAACAATCAAACTGGTACCATTATGTTCGGCAGAAATATGGGTTGCCACTTGATAGCCGCCACCTGTACACCAAGACTGACTGGGAATTCTTCTCTATGGCTGTTGCCAGCGAGCAAGTCCGTAGCGAAATCCTGGAATCTGTGGCAACCTGGGTGAATGAAACTGCCACTGACCGGCCGTTTACTGACTTGCACGAGACTGAAGGAAATGGTGGGTATCCCGGTATCTTCTTCATAGCTCGACCGGTAGTTGGAGGCCATTTTGCCTTTTTGGCACTGCAGCGAGCCTGTGGGGGAAAGGCTATGGATGGACTTTCATTCTTGGATGACGTCGACCCAGATGGGGATGAACTCACTGCCGCAGCGGCCGCCGAGTTCAACCGAATGCGTCGCCCATCCTTGAATGGTGATCTGTGATAAGATTACTGTATTGTTCACGTGAGAACGCGATGCTTTGAGTATCAATATTGATATTGTTGTCGTGGGTGGAAGACTTTTTTCATGTCATTTTTACCCTCCAAAATCGCACTCTTTCGAAGAAAACTGTATCTTTGAGTCGTTGAGTCTCTATTTATATAGTCCATGATCATGAATCCTTTTGAATGGTGTCCCTGCTGAGAATTCCTAGTACTCTAGATACAACCAAATATCCCAATATTGTAGAACCAAAGTCCCTTCTATATACGTGTCAACGATTTATTGAACGGGATAGTCTACATTGATATTCACGATTCATCGTAGTAAAGAAAACAAATGTCGTGTCTAGTAATACATATTGAATGCCGTTCACGACAATATTTTCAATATCTCCAAATAGAGCTTAACTTGTCCAATTGTTGCGTGATAAAAGCAAGGGCCATTTGAAATATTGCCGAGCCCTTGGTACATGAAGCCACAAGGTTGCATGCATATGGAGAAATCACCTTTGACATCAATTGATATTGTTTGGAAGGCTGTTAAGCGTTTTATACGAAGTAGGGACAACCGAACCTGCAGTGCTCGGAAGCATTCCTTAGACTAACCTACCCTAGGACGGATCGCTAGCTTTCTAGATTGGTTGCATGAGGTCCACTAGCGTATACAGGCGTCAGGTACCATGGGTGCTGGCTGGGCTGTCCAGTGTGAAGATCTATCTAGGACTCTTAACAACAAAGAGGCAGATCGCTTAGCAGAGCGTATTGTCATTGACTTCGGCTCAGATTCATTGTATTTCAGGCGTATTAAGGCACGATATAACTGTTCGAATAAACTATATCCAGCCAATGATAAAAAATTAGGGTTTCTTAACCTTGCGGTTTGTGAGCACTTCTTATGCACTAAAGATGTCAAATGTGTTTAATTACGGATGTTAGCCCAACACAAAAGTCTATCAGAACATTGGATCATTCTATCCTTACTAGTCAAAATAGATTGACCACAGCGTAGTGTTATATAGGTTCGACACCTACATAATCGCTTTCTGTTGTACTTTTACGCCTTGAGATAGAAGCACCTAGCATCGTGAATACTAAGAAGATCATCATTCAACAATAATGTGTCATTATACTAGAAGAAGTGTGATCTATATTTCAATGACACGTTCATTTGTGGCAAATGCTACTATCTCTCGCTTGCAGACATCCTACTATGCTGTGCTGCTAGCACTCGGTAATGAGGAGTTATATGTAATTATACCTGGCTTTCGACACTTCGAATATAAATTATATGACTGGACAGCTTTTTAATATCATAGACTTTTTCTTCTGTTTAAGCATTTGGTTTGTTGGCCGCAATCGACAAAAATGTATGGCCGAAAGAAATTATGCTTTTGGGAAAATATGCTTTTGGGAAAACATACATATACCGCCTATTGGTCTCGACAGTTTTGAAGATGAGAACACAAAAGAGTTAGAGAAATATCTCGAGAGATCCCTCCGCCTATTAAATGTATCAAAGCTGCCCGCTGACAAGGCACCGAGCAGAATTTTAAACTAAAAAATTGGATTTCATAGATTTTTGAAGACACGTTTTCGTCTTTCCAGTGCAATTCCCGTTTTTTGTCCAACATATCGAGTCATAGTTCCTCGAAAATCTTCCATTTTGACAGGAATATTCAACATGCAGCAGACGGACAAATCTATTTGCTGCCCAAACTAGGGAAGTTCTTGTCGTCAACGGTAGGGCCAGAGCCGCCAGCACGACCGCCGCGGGGACCATCTCCACGTACGCCATCTCCACGTCCGCCACGACCACGACCGCCACGCGCACCTCCACGAGGTCCAGCTCCACCGCGAGTACGGGGCTGCTCCACAAAGCGCATGTCAACATCAAGGAAGTTCTTCTCCTTGCGCTGCTTCTCGCGCCTGGACTTCTCCTCCTGAGGCTTAATGTAGTTTTCCTCTTGGTTGTCACGCTTGAACTCCTTGGCGGCATCCCATTTCTTGTCCTTGGCACCGGCATCAGGAGCACGGGCTGCCTTCACACCGAGGTCTGAGCTCTTGGTAGCGGCCTGCTCAGCGAGATAATCGGCATATGACTTGGACTTGTCGACAGGCTCTTCAGGCTCGGCTCCCTCGAGAGGAGTCTGGGGCTCGTTCTCGTCCGCCTTAGCAATGGCTTCACCGGCCTTTTCATCATTCCACTCGGCGTCGCCCTTCTTGCCTCCCCAGCCCTGACCAACTTGCTTTTCAGTATCGCTGCTCAAACCGGTTAGTATATCATCCACCACGCAAATTTCGCAGAAAAACGTACGTGTGGCCAGTGCGGGCGGGGTGACGGTCACCGCGGGGACGACCACCACGGTCGTCGCGGCCTCGGTAGCCACGACGTCCAGCCTCCTTCACTTCGTCAATTGGGCGGTTACGGTTGTTGTAGCTGCCAGCGTTACGGTCACGGAATGCTATGCAATTATCAGTCTCCTCGTTTCTTCCAATTCCAAGATCCATTCTAGCCACCGACCTTCATCGTTTCCGTTTCCACGGCCGCCGCGACCACCGCGACCGCCACCTCGGGGAGCAGCGGCAGCAGCAGGGGCGGCTGGCACCTCCTTGGGAACATCACGCTTGCCATGACGAGCGGCCGGCTTGTCTACTGTTTTCGTAGGAGGGGCAGGTTCTTTGTCGGAGTCATACTCGGGATCATTTCCTGTCACCAGCAGCATGTTAGGTCATGATGTAATCGTGATACGAATTACGCGGCAGGGAAAAATACCAAGAAGCTCGTAAAGGTTCTGCGCGACAGAAAAATCGAGTCAGTATCAATCAATCACGACGACAAACAGGGTATTTTGGCAGCATTGGATGGGATAAGAAGTAATTGATGTGATTGTGTGGACGTACCTTGGACCGGACGTCCGCCATGACGCCTGGCTTGTCGAAGGAGGGCCTTCCGGGGGAAGGCTTCCTTTAATTTTTTATCGCGACAACTCGGGTGAGAGGGATTGGCGGGTTGAAGAAAGGCAGAATCCTCGGAGTGTAGGATTTCAGCCTTTTTCTGGAGGAAGGAGGGCAGGTCTGGGATAGGGTGGGAGAAACCTCGAAGGGAGAGAGAAGAGAGGTAGAGAGGGAGGCGAGTGGTGGAAGGGCCAGCTGGATGTGGATGTGGGTAAGGCAAGGGCGAGGATGATTTGTGGTTTGTGCTTGTACTGTGACTGTCGCCGCCTGGGCTGGGCCTGCCACACACTAAGCGATTGGATCAGCCAACTGCGGTTGCGCGCTTGCCCGCATCCGCTGGCCGTTAGGGCTTAGGGTACGGCGGCGCTTCTACATGTGTACATTCTGCGAGACAGCTTGATTGTTGACTGTTGATTGTAAATTGATTGTGAATTGTTTGAATCTTGAGTATAAGTATTGAGTATTGGATTGTGTTATTTTATAATGTTTTTATACTGTTTGTTTGTTTTATAGGATTTTACTGCGCCGCTGCGATGCTACTCCAGTCCGGCTTCAAAAGTATCCACAAGCTGAAATCAAAAGAAAGAGAATACCGCCTCCCCGCCAGTTGCCATCGCCAGTATATCATCAGGACAGGGTATAATGAAGAGTGAACAGCCGTTCATATGTGTACAGACACGCACCACCTGCCAATGTAAACCAATATCGCCCAATCCAGGGATTTCTCGTAAATGCGCTAACGCCGGTTCAAACAATAAATAAAACACTTTTTTCCCGGATCTTCCACTGTCATCACATGCAAGGTATTCGTATCAAATGGCGAAAGAGGCTGCAAGATGGTATGAAGAAAAAGATGAATGGACAAGATATCTTTTGCCTCAACAATTGAAATTTACAAGGAATCGAAGGTACTCCACTGATGCGTGGGATTCAGCTTCAATGGCGGAGATTTTCCTGCTCGTAGCTGAACGGGGTTTGGAAGTGCATGCTGGCACTCAACCCAAAGGTATCGCTGTCAAGCACAGGCTCATATTGGCTGAAGAGAGAACCGCCAGCGCCATACATTCCATGATCGACATCGCCTGTCTGCAGAGCAGACGTACCCGACAAATTCATGCGGTTCTGGTCTGATGGTACTGGAGGTCGATTGAAGTCATGAACGTAGGTGTTAGCGTTGTGACCGTCTTCCGCAGTTTCAGTATCATCGAGCATGTCAGCTTGAGCATCATATTCCTGCTCTGTAGTGGATCAGAACTGTTAGAAGTGGCGCAACTGGAATTCGCAATTGGAATTCCGGGTGGAGAGACTTGCCTAATTGATCATAATGCTTTTGAAAGGGGGTAGCGTAGTAGGATGGCATGCGAGATGCCATTGTATTCGCCGACATCATCGACTGCGTTGCTGCGCCATACGGATCCATTGGCCCTACTTGAGGCATTCCCATCGGCTGTTGTTGGGCGAAATCTCGAGGCTGTGGTAGTAACGGTGGTCGGGCACGCTGTTGCTGTTGCGCTTGGAATTCTGTGTTCTTCGGAGATATAGCGCCTTGTAATGCGAAGCCCGGTGATTTACCTGTCGACGGCGACGATACATGGGATGATGGAGTAGGTTGAGGTTGGGGGGATGTTGTATTGAACGCACCATCACGCTGCTGGGGCTGATCCGGCTTTGGCGCAATGCTTCCAGAGCCATGGCGTTGAGCGGATGTTCTGCCAATTGCAGCACGTTCAAGAGAAGCAGGCTGTTTTGGAGCTAGAGGGGTTGATTTTCCTGGAGGGGGGATTGTTGAAGTGCTTCCGGTCTTGAGTCTTAGCTCTGTCTGCACATCGATACCTGCTCACACATACGGGTCAGTCAGTCTATTTATTGATAGCCATCACGGCGGACTGACCTTTCTCGAGGAGAATTCTTTCCAGCAGCGAGTTTTTGTACCGCAGCATTAGACATTCGTCGGCGGCGCTTCTGTGGCTCTGCTGTAAGGACTGAAGTGACTCTTCATTGCGCTTGATAGTCGTCTCTAGTTGTTTAATGTACTCGGTCCTTCTTTCGCGAAAGGCCGCCTGGGCCTGCCGGTTTCTCTGTTTGCGTTCTTCTGATGTGGCATAGATCTGTTATTGACAAGTCAGAATCGACATGAGCGATGAGCATCAGGCCGGACAACGTACCGGCTTCCTTCCCCCCTTCCTCTTCTGAGTTTGCACGGCATCCTGGGCCAACTGTTGTTCTTCTGGTTCGGGGGTCGAGACGGACGAGCTCAGCTCAGCATGGCCGTCTTGCGCGGGTTCGGTTTTGGGGACTACCACGTCCATGGAAATGTCATTGTCATTCAGGGCCCCGGCGTCGACCATAGAGACCATGGCAAGGCAACGGCGAGCGACGGCGGGGGACGCCACACAGGGGCAAAGAGACCCTCTTCACAGCAGGGAGAAGGGTCGTGCAGCCCTGGAGAAACTGAAGAAAGGGGAAAGACAGCAAGATCGATCGCGGGGTATGAGGGCAGCTTCCCAAAGGGCCGGGATTGCAGGCGCTCGAAACGCGCGGCAGGGCGGTTGTTTTGGCAGTAGGCGAGAGCACGGACGAGTCACAGGGCTGGCTGGCAGTTGCAGTGACATAAAAGAAATTGCGTGATGGGATGGATTGCAGGATGGCAGCGAGCAGGGCAGATCGAGGCAGATGGGCTGGGAGAGAAGAAGATGTGAGGTAAGAGAATTTACTAAGAGAAAACAGCGTTGCAAGACCGCGCAGAAGAGACAGTTGGTACTAGCCCAATAAGACGTGCTTTCTCAATGAGCGTGGGCTAACGTTGCCAGTATTTTTTTTTCTCTTCTGTCTGCTTGCTGGCACTGCTGTTTCTGGACGGGGTGGCAGCTGGATAAATTACTTTCCGTACAGACACGGTACGGGGCTCATACGAGCAGTGGGCGGGCAGCCAGTCAGACGGGCAGCTCAGCCCCGCTGCCGCGATCGGTGCGGAGTGCCATTTTTCCTTTTCCATTTTTTCCTTTCATCTTCAATACGTCACGTATTAAAATACAGCCTTCTTCGACATTGCTTATGCTGCCTCCGTTGCCCCCCAGCGCGTCAGTCGAATATTGTTCTCGCTACTCCGTAATCACTATTGGAATCCTTTCACCGGCGACATCCATCATCCAACTACACGCGTCAGCAGGGTCCCGGCGGGCTGGAGACTGGGGTGGAGTAGAGTTTGGCTGCATGGTTTGCTTTTTCTCTCCTCTTTCGGCGGCCTCCGGACAGCACAGAGCTTGCACCACGCGCTTTCAAGGGACTGTTCGGAGTGGACAGCGCCTTCCGAACAGCTCTATATAGTAAACCTAGACGACGCTCCTTTCCTCCGCCTTGCCGTCCAGTGGGTCAACCGCAGGGTTCCCAACGATGCTCGTTGTTCCGTAATTAATTATTACAACCATCATAGGAAATACGCAGAAAAAATAAAATACATGCGTAGGCAGTGCCGTCCGCGGAGAAGGCTCTGCCCACCCCCATGGCCAGGAGCATCCACGAGCTTGGCATTAATATTATTGCATCACCCTCGGGCCTCGAGGGCGATTGATCGTCCCTAGGTGACGAGGTCAGGCATCTGATCCTGGGGTGTATCCAATACGCACCATCTAGGATGGTGCAAGTATATAAGATACTGTTTCTAGTTGAGAGATGAGATATAGTTAAGTTATAAAATACAGCATAACAGGTATGGCAGGAACAAGGCTGCAAGGCAGCAACGTGGGCGGGGTTGCGATGCAGAAAATTCTGCTCGAGTCACGCGCCGGCTCGTTGCCAAGAGGAAGGAGCTTAGGGGTTGCTTACTTCTTAGCGTTCCTTCCTCTTCGAGCGCCCGGCCGTGGCTGCCGTCTGGGGCTGCCCGCATGGTCTTACTTTGCTGCCAGTCATTCTTCATCGCTGAGTTTGACTCTCCTCTGAACTTCCTCGTTCAGTTAGTCGCGCCATATCGATCGCTCCCAGCCTATGATCGTTCCCATGCGATTGACTTGTTAATTAAGCCTACTATGGGTGCCGTCGACCCAATCCGACCTCCTCTCCTCACCTGTTGCGCGCCTGCCCTGCCGAGACACGCCTTGCAATGGTTGGAACAATAACCTCCGGGTCTCGAGCACAGCGCCCAACAGGTCTTCGTGGACGCCGACTAGTTATGTGGTTTGTTTGATGTCAGGTTTCATGTATGAGGCAGTGACGTCACGTTGTCTTGCAACTCAATTCGCCGAGTCGCCGAGACGATGATGATGATTGTTATTCGGCTTGGTGAGCATCAGAACAGGAGACCCGATCCACGTGATATCCTGGCCGCTCCAGATGACGGATGTGATACCATGGCATCGTTTGTGTAATAGTTTATGCGGATTGAGCCAGATTGTGGTTATGTTGTTTGTTCGGCAACAGATGCTTTTAGAGGATAGACTTGCCGCTTATTTCATTGGCTGTCGGCGTTTCGTTGATATCTTGGTATCGTCTGCGCATCGACCTACCTTTGGAGGTATAGATGCACTGGTTGAACATAATCTAGTCGGGAGGCCACCTGTCGCGGAAAATGATCCGATTCATAGTCTCTCAATCTTTTTGTGCCAGCACTTGACCAGGAAACCGCCTTGTTCACACCTAGAATACGTCTCTAGACCAAATATCAAGATCCAGATACAATGGCACCCCTAGCTCCTCATCCCTTGGACCCATTGCGGCCAGAAGAAATTTCCAAGGCATGGCAAACCAGGAAAAGCGGGAGAAGCCTACTAATTCCATTGTAGACAGTCAGCATTCTAAACAATGCATACAAGGGCCATACACTGGTCTTTCGAGTGATAACGCTTGCGGAGCCTCCAAAGGCGGTCATGGTACCCTTCCTTGAAGCAGAGCATCAGGGAATCATTGATCAGCCGCCGCCACGTTGTGCTCGTGTACAGTTCTACCAAGATGTCGCCGCCCAATTTTACGAGGCACTTGTGGAGCTGGAGACAGCAAAGATACTTCGCCAAGAACACCTTCCGGGGAGGCACTCTTATGTCGATTCCACCGAGATGGAGGCGGCAGAGAGAGCATGCCTGAATGCTGCCGAAGTTCAGGATGTAATCCGCAAGCTTGGGCTACCTGAAGGAGCTACTGTCTGTATAGAACCATGGACCTATGGCACCGATGGCATGAACGATATGGCCGAGCGGATCATCATGGTTGGAGCCATCCATTCTTACACATAGTTTTGGTGTTGACTTCCTGACCCAGTGTTACTTCTACATGCGACTTTCTGAACATGGCGATGCCAATCATTACGCATATCCGCTGGACATCTGCGTAGAAATGTCTGGAGATTTGAAGGTGAAACGAATTCTCTCACTGCCATCAGGGCAGAATGATCGCTGTGGAGAAGTCAGCCAAGTAGGAGTACAGCCTTTTGACAGAAACAAAATTCACTCTACTCGCGAGTATCATCCTGACCTTGTAACCGAAAGACGGACGACAACGAAACCCTACTATGTCGTCCAGCCAGAAGGTCCTTCCTTTGAGGTTTCTGGAAATTTGCTCACTTGGGAAAAATGGAGGATGCGAGTGGGATTCAATTACGTGAGTTGGAAAACGACATTGATAAAAACACTGGTTGACTTTGCTTAGCGCGAAGGCCTAACATTGCACGATATTACATACGATGGTAGAAGTGTGTTCTACCGGCTCTCATTGTCTGAGATGTTTGTTCCTTATGGTGACAGTCGAGCTCCATATCCGCGGAAGGGTGCCTTTGACCTCGGCAGCAACGGTGCTGGTGTGAATGCGAATGCGCTTAATCTGGGTAAGTTGAAATCGTCAATCATTCTAATTAAGGAGGCTCTGGCTCAGATGTTGTAGGCTGTGATTGCTTAGGGCATATTAAGTACTTTGATGGTTACCATCATACCATTGCCGGAGACCCTGTCGTTCTTCCAAATGTCGTTTGCTGTCATGAAATTGACGATGGAATTTTGTGGAAGCACACAAATTATCGCACAACTAACGCCGTCGTGACTCGGTCCCGTATACTGGTGCTTCAGACAATAATCACCGTCGGAAACTACGAATATATCTTTGCTTTCCAATTTACACAAGATGCTCAAGTCAATTACGAAGTCAGAGCAACTGGTATCTTATCTACAGCACCTATTAATCTAGGAGATAGCGTACCTTATGGCACCATGCTTGGACCCGGAGTAATGGCTCCATACCACCAACATCTGTTCTCATTAAGAATCGATCCAGCTGTGGATGGCCAGAAGAACTCTCTGATGGTGGAGGAATCGCAGCCAATGCTAGTGGACGATCCAGCTGTCCACAATCCCTTTGGGGTTGGCTACACCACGGTCACGAAGCCTGTTGAACATGAAACACCGCTTGATACAGATGTCAGCAAAGGCCGCGTCTTCAAGATTGTGAATGAAAATGTGATCAATCCGATTACAGGTGGCCCTGTTGGATACAAGCTGGTCCCCCATTACTCGCAAATGGTGCTGGCCCATCCCTCGTCTTATCATTTCAAACGATCCGAATTCGGTGAGCACGCTGTATGGGTAACCAAGTACCATGAAGACGAGCTATTTAGCTCTGGACAATTCACCATGCAGTCACTTGGGGGAGAGGGTATCGCGTCTTGGATTCGGTCAAGGGCACCCCTTGATATTCGTAATGAAGATATTGTCGTTTGGCACACGTTTGGTACCACTCATAACCCGCGAGTCGAGGATTGGCCGGTGATGCCGGCGGAGAAAATGCTCGTGTCGCTGAAGCCAGTGAATTTCTTTACTGAAAACCCTGCCATAGATGTTCCCATTAGCACGCAGGAACGGAACGGCAGTGTGCTTGTGAAGAGCAATGGAGATGGGAAGCCCTGCTCCCAGCAGAATACTCCCCAAGAACACGCGTCTTGTAACCAGTAATAGGGTTGTGATCACTATTGTTTATCTACTTTCAGATACCGACATAGATCTAAATGGATGGTTCTTTTTGCATGTGAAAGTGGTTCAACGCAACTGTTGTAGACCACCGTTAAAATGTCGTACCGCTGGATTACTTGATATGATCAATATAACAGCAGCAGTTAATCCATAGAAATATATCCAATACTGAATATAAAAAGGTAAAAATACTAAAATCATAAGAAGCATGGGTAGAAGTGAAGAGCGAATCGAAGTGGAGACCAGGATCTTTGTTCCCCGCATTAGCTTTTAACGTTCGGTCTTCCTCGGTTGAGACCCAGAAAAAATGAACATTCGCCTTCAAATAACTTCTCACCAGATATTATTGATAGAATAATTCCTATCTCGCCTGAATTTGCTTTCAACGTGCCTACAATGTCATCCACAGAGCAGACAAGCGAAATCACTGACAAGACTGATGAGCAACTAAGTCCCCCTGCTCCCAGCCAAGGCGGGGAGAACACAGCAGCCCAAGTTACGCCGGCCAAAGCCCAGTATGACGACGATTCAGATTGGGAAGATCTAGACGGTATACACATACATTGATTCAATTAAAAAAGGAGAAATATAGGTTATCACTGACATTCTATCCACTGTTACAGATGTCCTAGATGATTTCAACCAGCCGAAGCAATCAAAAGCGACGACGAAAGACGCCGCCACAGCAGCCACAAGCGCAGCCAACGATGCTCTCCCCGACATTCCTTCTAATCTACCTAATATGGAAGACCTGGATCAAGAAGCGTTTATGAAGCTACTAGAAAGTGATATGTTAGCTAAACTCACGAGCGAAGCTAGCATCGAAAGCCCATCATCTCAGGAGCCACGCAAAGCCGCAGAAGAAACCGAAATTCCCGCCGAGAATACCGCGTTTGAGAAGTTATTCAAAGAGATTGAGGATAGCGGCGTCAATTTTGAGCAGCTTCTAGGAGGGTTACTTGCTGAATCGGTGAAGACGAATCAGAAATCGACAGAGGCAACGGAGCAGACCGGTAGTAGCCGTTCGGAAACCCGCGAAGGTGCTGCTGCTGGTGCTTCAGGAGATGTTGCTGGGGAAAAAGCATCGTTTCAAGACACGATTCAGCAGACGTTGAACCGAATGCAAGAATCAGGGGACAAGGCCACCGCTGCCACGGCTGAAGATGGCGATTCGGATATGATTAACCAATTATTCAAAACTCTTCAACAAGGAGGTGGACTGGGGGAGGGCGAGGATATGGACATTGATAAGATCTTCTCGACGATGATGGAGCAGCTTTCAAACAAGGAAATGCTGTATCAACCAATGACGGAACTGAACGACAAATATGGCCCGTGGTTGGAAGAGAACAAAAGCAAAGTCACAGCCGAAGAGCTCGAGACCTACGAGACCCAGGCTCGACTGGTTAGTGAAATTGTGGCTAAGTTTAACGAGAGTGATTATTCGGATTCCAAGCCCGAATGTCGCAAATACATCTGGGACCGAATGCAGGCGGTAGGAAATCTTCACTCAAGTATTTCATTTTTCCCGTGACTGACTACTTTTAAATAGATGCAAGCAGCCGGAAGTCCACCGGAAGACCTCATTTCGAACCCTCTGAATGATTTAAATCTTGGTGGTGGCAATGATCCGAGTGGCCTTGTGCCGCCGGATTGTGCGCAACAGTAGTTAGATAGTCAAGAGATAGATCAGGCTCGGCATTAAAATGCGTTGGATTTGCTTTGCTTTGCTCTTATATACGTTGGTCCTTCCGTGGCTTTTGCACACTAACATGTACATATACCCCCTCACGATATCCATATTGGTAGAAAATATTAACAATGTACTCAAACAATACATGCATCCTGCCAAAATTTCCCGAAACGCCATTTTTCAAATCAAACCTGGCAAACCCGCAAATCACCCCGACATATCCATATCCAGTGACTGCTGTTGATCGTTGCCCACAAGCTCTTTGAAAATATCTTCATAATCCATGTCATCATCAAACGACTGCTCACTTTTTGTGGGCGACACTGTTGTTTCATTCTCCGGTATATTCTCCAACAACGCATCCATCTCATCCTCGTGCGAAAGAATCTGCTCGAGCACATCCTGCTCGGAATCAACAGCCATTTGCAGGTCCTCATCGCTGAGTTCTCCTTCGTCTAGGTGGTACTGCTGGAAAATCATATCCGCTTCCCGCCGCATTCGCTCCTGCCACTGCTTCTGCTCGGAAATGTGCTCCATCATCATGATAGATTCACCACGAGCATTGAATCGCGCGTTGTCGCGATCTCGTTTGACCTTGTTCAGGAAGACTGTGCGTTGTTTGGAGGCATGTGCAGTCGATGAGGATGAGCCACTAGATGGCGAACCAAAGATCTTTGCGAACGGCCGATTCGATGAGCCGGATTTAAAGCGTTGTTCGTATGTAGACTCTTTCTCAGATGAGGTTGGTGTGAATGAGAGTAGGTGGCTAGCATTCTGCTGGTTCGGAGAGTGGAAGCCAATGGATTGGTTATTGTTATTCTCCTTGTCGGCGGCGCGGTTATCGGCATTGTTATCGGTGCATGTGTTTTTCATCGTCGAGAAGATAGGTGCTGGTTTCTTCACACTGTTCGTGTTGCATAACCCCAGTGGCGATGGGGTATGCGCGCGATAGGCGGCAAAGGGGTCGACGAGGTATCCGAAATGGAAGTTATTTTGTTGTTTGAAAACTTGGAAATGCTGAGGATGCTGTGGCTGTTGAGGAAGAATTTCGTACATGTTTGTGACGTCTGATGTGTCTATTAAGTGTTGGGAGTTGAGTATTGTTCAGAGATGATGGGATGATTCGGTAAGAGCCGTTTGTGTGATTCCGAGGTTGATAAAAGAAACCAAAGATGCTGCAGTTTTTCAATGCCAAAGAGCACACAGAGCCGTTATGTATCAATAATTTTGAAGGTTGTGCATTACCCAGCCATGAGCATGCTCGATTATTGTGAAGGTCGCGTCAGCACGCGTTGAGCGGCCGATAAGATCTGCGCTTATCACCTGCCCGCGATTGCGCTAGCCTGATGTGGAAACCCCTTGCAGACCTGGCATACCTCAAGATACCTACTCCTAGTCTACTACGTCTTTATTTCTTCTTGGTGCTACTGAAGCGAAGAAATTTTCAATAAGCTTATTTTATCTCCATGGCAGTGGGGAAATATACTGAGATCCCTTTCTATCATCATACCTGATGTAATAGAGGCGGGCTCTATTCCTCCTGCGTGATGATATGGTTCTATACGAAGACTTGCTCCAGACCTGCTCTAACCGATCCTGATTTTCTCTAATAAGTTCTCGAACCATGTCAATCTACTATGCGCTCCAGTTGCCGTTGTTCTCTTCATATATTATTGCTAAATACATACTACGAGCGATCCGAAATGGAAGACAGTTCTATATCATAATATGCGTCTTCTTTTTATTCATTATATAAATGTGTATAGATGTTATGTACATTCAAAGCTTTTTATAATTCACATTTTAAGATATCCTGGTTTTGAGTGATGGTCGTGTATTGGATGGTGGACTGCGTAGTGGAACTAGCACTCGATGTTGTGATCAGAGGTGCAGTCGTTGTAGATACGCTGCTAACGCTGCTAGTAGTTGTTGATGCTGTGGCTAATATGGACGTTGAGGATGAAGCTGAAGTTGATGTTGAAGTTGAAGTTGAAGCTGAAGCTGAAGCTGACGTTGAAGTAGTGCTTAAGCTTGTACTTGTACTGGTGCTTAAACTCGTGCTCGTGCTAGTAGATTCAGATGACGAACCCGTCGATGCAACGGCTTTATTAACATTTCCCTGTGCTGCGAAGCAGCTGCCTGTGATAACGGACTTAGGGAAAACGCCCCTATCACATATTCAGAGGATTGCACTGACTTTTCTGAGTTTGACAGTCGGAAACTGTATAGCTTATGTTTGTATTCTGATTTGCTGCCTGGTTTCCATGAGTAAAAGAAAGCAATATTTGTGATTTCAACTGCCTCACCCGCTGACATTTGTTGAATTGAATATTGCAGCTGTATAATTGATAATAGATCAGCCTCATGTCAGATAAATATTGTAAAAAAACAAACCTTCGCTGTCCTGCTGAGATAAGGTCTGTCTGTAGTAATCAGTCAGCCCATACCCAGACGAACAAATGGATGAACCCACAAATGTATTATTTCCAACGGCAAACGGTCGCATTGGGTCGTTTGTTCTGTTAATAGGCGGTGCAAGGCCTCCTTTATCACCGGTGTAGCTCTGATTATTCAGAAAAAGCCAGAATTAACCCAGCACATATCAAGCCAGGATAGTTCGAACCTGTAAGTTGCCTACATCGCCACGCTTTTCCACAATCCCCACCACGGTAGACTTGATAACACCGCCGCTAAACCCTACCGTGGTCGACGAAGGGTTATACCGAAGTGCAGTGGCGACGACGGGGCTGAGCAGTAGGCCTATTGAAAGCAGGGCCAGGACGGTTGATGACAAGGATCGCAGCGGTGTTCTTGAGTTAGATTGATGTTTTCGGCCGTGATAGGGAAGTTCCATGTCTTCATTTGCCTTTTCCTGCTCTTTGAATGCATGCATGTAGAGAATCAAAGCCGGAGGCTCAAATGCTCGAAGAGCGATGAAGGGGTGGGAGTGGGAATAGAGGGGACTAATAGGTGGGCGCCATGATCATCAGTGCTACTGTATGATATGCGGAATACGAATGGACACAGTTATAGCAGATCAAGGGGTGGATTCAGATGCGAGCAACCTGATGTAGACATGATACATCGGTGTTCGCAAGTGGCCTGGTTGGGCTGGCGATGGGTTTCACAAGTGTCGGACCATGCCTGACGGTTGGCTGTTGACGGCGCGCTGATTGGCGGATGCATGAACCATAGTTCCTCCGTGATGCTGAACATCACCAACCAGTCTGTAGAAGAGATGCTGCTTGAAAATAGTTGACTTCCCTGGAATGACGTAGCCTACTGGATGTTTGTAGATCTGCAAGTATTTTTACAAGTGATTTCAATTGACATTGCCAAATATTATTACATACATACAATAATGGGTGAGCTCCAAACCCAATTATCGGAAAATCAAATGACGACGACGAAGTTTGTGTTCTCAAAACGCCTCAACCCACTTTTCGCCTTAAGAAAGGTGAACTAATAATAGGGTATTCAGGAAAAAGGTATACGGTACTCTCCGCTGATAAAGAGTAAACCGTCATGTGCGGGCACGATGTCGCAAAACGTAAGGAATGTCATGGTGTAAGCCTCGGTGGAGTCGAATCAATGCAGTCAGCTAAACGCGCAGCCCCTGCAGGGATGGTCTATTTCCAAATCAAAGTCAAGGAAAGGATAGCGAATTCGCAAAAATTAACACGAAAAAAATCATATCTGCTAGAACTTTCTCCATAACGCCGAAGAAAGATAGGTAGAAGAATTTTGTTAAAAGTAACTTGAAAGCGTATTGCGTTATGGTCTTTTGAGACACAATTTGTCTAGAAGTTGGAGGCGGCGTTCACAGGGCCCGGATTGTGGTACTGGTCAAGGGTAGATCGGAATGGCGTTCCAGTAGATCCCGGGCTAGGTGCCTTTTCGCGGAGGTTGGAGCCCACTGCAGTGCCGGTACCCATCAGATCATCCTCATCGTTGTCATCACTATGTCGGTTGCGTCCCCAGACTCTCCACAAAACGAAGGCGATCCCAGCGATCAAAATGGCACCACCGACACCAACGACAACACCGATGATAGTATTCCTTGTGTTTGTGCTCAGTCCACTGCTGGAGCTGGATCCACCCGTGCTGATGCTGGCATTAGGGGAAGTGCTAGATGCTGCAGCATCGGTTCCAGTGCTGGTTGAGGTTCCGGAAGAGATAGTGGTGGTCTCTGTAACGGGTCCAGTATGAGTAGCGGAGGCAGTCGCGTCTGGAGCAGTCGAGGTCGAGCTAGTTGATGGGGGGTTGGTGGTCTGAGAAGCGACTGTATCCGTGGTTGACGTAGACGATTTAGAAGATGTAGTAGATGTAGACGAAGTGGACGAGGTCGACGAAGTCGAAGTCGTCGATGTAGACGTGGTCGGTGGGGCCTGTGATGTGGTAGAGGTCGAGGTAGGCTCAGGCGCAGAGCTTGTTGATGATGTTGCGGGAGCAGTTTCGGTCTGCGAGGCAACAGTGTTGGTTTTGGTATCACTGGCAGATGAAGTTGCAGTATCGCCACCAGTGGCACTTGGCGAGGGAATGATATCGCTCAGGGGATCAGCTCGTTCCTCGATATCGTTGATGGCACCAGAGACAGCAGCGAATAGATAGACACCGGCGAGCAAGTAAGACGAACGCATCTTGATGGGATTGACCCGTCGACGGACGGACTCGAAGAGAAACAGGAGTACCCGGGCGACGAGGCTAAAGTATGTGAAGGTGCGATGGGTGTAGCTTCCGCGTCTCTCGAGTGCGATGAGAGACCAGGTCGAGAGTATGCAGAATGGAAAGCGAGTGACAGAAGAGAGGAACGAAAGACCAAGGGAAAATAATGCACGGTGAAGAGAACGAGTGTGGTCCTACGACGTTGTGATGGCTGACTATGACTGACGGACGGGGGGGAAACAACGGAAAGGGAGGGAAGGGAGGGAGCGGTTTCTAGTTGGGAGGGAAAACACAGGCTCCAGCCTACAATGTACAAGTGTGCGACTCCACCCGGTCTGTCAGACTGGTCCGCCGCGCCGGCGCTAGTGACAGACGGGCCACTCAGAGGTCATACATGGGCGGAGCCGGCCCCTGTTCGACGCTGTCTGTCCCTGATGGTGGCCAATACCAGCCTATGAGAGCCCTCATAGAGACCCACTAGCTGACTACTTTAGCTCCTGGCCTAATGCGGTCTAGTGTATTTCCGACTGCTCCCACGTTGCATGTCACGCTACGTATTACTTGTACTTAAGTAGCAACTGCACAACGCACACTATTATTTATTATCATCGTCATACTATTTATCATTTATTATTATTGTAGTATGACCGTTGACTACTACTGTAGCGTTTATGGCCCCTGGCGGCTCCTCTGTTGCCGCTGTGAAACATGGCTAGGCCGGCCCTGTATGCCACTGCTTGGCACTGCTTATGATCAGCAATAGTGGCCGTATTATTGTTGTGGCAATAATTCATTGAGGCGCTGCCAGAGACCATTACATCACGAATATTATTCCGCCGGGTTTTCACAATGTTGCGAAACACACTACGCGTACCTTCGGTTATTTCAACTGCGTTACTCATGGTATGCCAGTAAGAAGGATTGATGCGCTCATCTCATTGAAATTATTGATTATGTCGTCTCGGCAGTGACAGAGCACTATAGTTACAGGTGGGGGAGGGGCCAGGGATGCTGACTGATTCACATACAGTGACGGAACAATCGGCAGTTGTTCATGTAATGGAGGCTGCAGATACTGTACATACATATGATATAGTGCATACTGATGACATGGTAGGCATGAACGGCTTCTATTCTGGGCATCGACAGTGCTACAGTGTTGTGGCAAACTATATTTCCAATTTTCCATAGACGAAAGGTCTAGCAATAATAATAATTACTAACTAATAGTCGTTCTGAGGGAGCTTCAGAGTTTTACTTGCGGAGCATGTCGCACCCCACAGGGCCAGGCCGTCACAACGTTCCTTTTGGCATCTGACACATGCTAAGGATCATTTGCAATCATAGTAAGTTGATTACACCTTCCAAACGTGGTTACTTAATGTCCTGGTCAACGGTATCTGTTGCTTTGATATACTTATAACCAGACCTCGTAATAATCAGGACAAGCAGTGGAATAGATCGTTGATAAAGACTCTTATTACTCTCGTTACTAACCCTCATGTATATGCGTGCGCTTCGCAAATCAAAACCCGGCCACTCAATGTGAAGTTCCATAAAACAGCCGGGTTAAGCGGAATGAAGCGTTGACTTGTTCTTTGGATGGAATGGGGGGGTCACTGAGAGTAACCGCTGAAGCCTAATTTAGACTCGGTCTCGTTTAGTCTATTTACAGGACTTCCCAGTGACGAGAGGTTTGTACAATCAACTCCAGGCATGTAAAATTATGGGCACAAGGAAATCCAGGTGGCTTGCTGATATATTCGATTTGTTATTCACATTAGCTTCGCTTCCGAGGCTCGTCCTTGAGTTGATCCTTTATCTGCTCTTTAAAAAGCCGCAAGAAATGTCTTATCCCAGCTGTGCACCATAGATGTTAGTATAGTGCCCAGCATATATCGAAAACAGGCAAGGTGCGTTACGAACAAGTCTCTTCAATATTTGTCCCTCCCATTTCTTCGGGTGGCACCCCGTGTCTTACACGTTCGACCCTCCGATGAACACCCCGAACGATATGATGAAAAGTCGGGCTGCGAAGAAGCTACCCGGGTGATATCAGAAACGAGAGCCACAGTGGCATAAGATGTCGCACTTACGCGATTGATTGCCCAAACCTTATGGTGATTTGTTAGTGTTGGCTGATGCGAGATGACCAAGCTACTCACTTCCAGAACGCGAGTCCACCACATCTTAGCTCATCGATCACAGCTATTTAGACTTTGTCATATATTATCATGTTGACTCCAGTCGACCAGCGACCCGATGTGGCAGAGAAGGACTGTTGCCAGATCTTCCGTGTGTCGATGTAAAGAGAGAAAGAAGCTGCGGCGATATTTCTTGGCACACGGCCGCCACGGAGCAAGGCGGTAGCCTTATAACGCTGGCAGAAATGATGAGTAGAAAGAAACATAGATCAGCTAATCATTACTATGCATTATCGACCAAGCAATAAATACTCGATCTCAATAATAGTAATGAAATATTGAAGATACATCCCTATTTGACGGCGAACGGACGTATCATGGGCGTCTTGTTCACAGACATAGGGTCCGTCCCAACCAAGTATCTAATAAGGAGTGTAATCGGTCTAATCGATGTGAAAAGCAGCCTTCTATACAGTTTAGAGTTGATAAGGAGAAAACAGCTCGATCCTTTGGGCGTGAAAGCATAATTATAATATCAGATAGGTGCTGCCATGGATCCACTTGCCTAGTCTTTACGGCATCTACGGCTGTGTCCGCAGTCGCCTTTGAAGTAATGACTCCGCCTCCAGTCCATTATTTTTTTCATTTGTGATATTTTCTTCAGCTTCTTCGTCAGGCAGTGATTAAAACAAACGCCTGCATCGTCATCACCCACAAAGGGGCTTTTTTCAGCAGCGCAATCCTTTTTCTTCCTCCCGACTCCCGGACTGCGGGCCGTCCTAGGACGTCTTTGGAGGTATTTTTTTGAGTTGAGCGGCATCGCCTCACCCAATACTAATAGCCAACGAGGCAGTTGATAGGCAGATCCTGGACGATAGGCGCTACATTCTGGGAACGCCTGGCCAGGGTTTGCTCGCAGTAACTCGTCCCTCCTGTCCGCGTGCCCAGGCCGCAATTCAGTAGTAGCACCCCTCCGTGGCCGACTGCGGCCCCTCCATTAGCAACAGCCGGAATCCTGGACGCACACAAATCGACCAGCAGCTCTCACAGCTGCCCGGATCTTTCGTCGCTTCAGATTTCGTTGCCGGTGCGCGGTCCTCCAAGCCCAATCTCGCCCATCCCACCCGGCGATTTGTCCGAGACTGAGATAATCTCTCGAGCGTCGTCCCCAGAGACCACACGTCGTCACGGCCGGTCGCAAAGGATCTCTGCCACCGGCGCAAGAGCGTCCAGAAAGGCCCGTAGCGTGCTGGGACGATTTCACGCCCTTCGGCACATTGCAGCCAAGAAAATGGCCCAGTCGCCCATCCGCATTGACACTAATTTTCATGGGACAAAACGGGGGTTACCGCATGATGGGAGTGATGGCATGGATTATTTGACCGTGCCCGACCAGCATCAGGTACAAGACAGGTCCGCGATTCTGGAACAACTACCATCATTTTTAAACCTCTCGTTCGCAGGTTAGACCGATCACCAGACTGAACGAGACGCACAAGTGACTGATATCTGTTCGATTCTAGAAACACGGAAAAAATTCGAAGATCTCGAATGGCTTCAGCGATCGCGCATAGCAGAGGGTCAGATGTCGAAAGATCCTGCCCATCGCTGGGCGCTAGATTCAGATCCAGAAGTCAAAGCACGTAACCGATATTTCAACGTTCAAGCTTGGGCAAATTCCCGCATTCGTCTGAGGGTGCCACAAGGCGAATGCGACTTCATCAATGCATCACCTATCGTCTTGAAGGATTCTCAAACCGGGATGGAGACAAGATATATTGCTACTCAGGTATAGGGTTCCATGATTTTGTTCTACCGTTTGTGCTACCATGCTAACTCTGATATCCAGGGCCCGAAGGATGGAATTCATTTGTCGCATTTCTGGAATATGGTGTTTCACGAAAGTCTTGAAGTCTCGGTAATCGTCATGTTGACACAGACAATTGAGGCTGGGAAGGAAAAGTGTGCGCAGTATTTCCCTCTGGATCTAGATGATCCTGTGATGGAATTATTTTCGGAAGCCGACGATCCGAGCACTAGCGACGATGACTCGCAAGATGAAGACAACCTTCAGGTTTATGGAACAATTACACTACTCGAATCTCAATTTGATGCTTCGTGCCGATCTGAAGTTCGAAAGCTGGAGCTGAAAATCGGCGCTGAAAGCAAGATTGTCTGGCACTTTTTGTTCGCTGGATGGGCGGATTATTCGAAGCCAGAAGGGGAAGATCGTGAAGCACTCCTTCACCTTCTTCATGAGACAGCCGCAAAATCCTCCCCTGAAAATCCTCGCGTTGTTCATTGCAGCGCAGGCGTTGGTCGGACAGGTACTTTCATTGCTCTTGACCACCTTCTACGCGAACTCGACTCCGGCGAGCTATTGAGCTTCGTCGACTCTACGGAAGACCCCGTTTTTGACATAGTCAACCAGCTACGTGAGCAACGGATGATGATGGTCTATAATGAGATGCAACTACACTTCATCTATGAGGTTCTTCGTGAACAAAGCATTATCAAACTCGGCGGTTCTCTTGATGAAGATTTTCCTTCTGAGCTCCGATCCCCCAAAGTCGCACGACTGTCTGGTGAAGAAAACTTCACAGCTTCCTCTAAGCCCGAACTGGAGCCTATGTCTGATCATAGAACACCATCAGCTACGAGTCCCATTGACAACCCAAGTGTTTCAGACAATGAGTAATGTACATTTTTTTTAGACTGTCTTTTTTAAGTCTCTTGATTTCGTGCCATGCAGAATGGATAGATTGGTTTGGCTTGCCCTTGGTTTCACCCTTTTTCATACCCGGGTTGGTGCATTTTAGCATAAGGTTGATGATTATTTACGAACTTGCATTCTTTCTTTTCTGTCCCCCCATCGTATTTTTATCTTTTCAAGGCATTATTTTGTGTCTTCTTTTTGCATTGTAAAATGGCATTTTTTAAAATTGCTTGTTAAGTTTTATTTTGGAGCACAGCGTACGTTGCAGCGGGGGTGGCTTATGTCTATTCTTCGATGCTTTACGATTCCATGAAAATTACTCTTGTTTGTATGCATTATATCCCAATTTGTGAGTACTCATCTCTCTCTCCCTATCTCTCCCCTTTTTGGCCAGGAAACCACTCTTCGTCACTTTTTCAGCCAGGGCATGTTTCCCCATTTGCACCACTTCACATGGTTTTTTATGTCACTCTGTATATTACTTCTGAGTAGTAGATATATCGGCTCCCGCATCCTGGACCAATTATACAAAAGGTGCTTGAATATATAACAAAGCAAGAGATTGAGTCGTAGATGGGATGGAGTAGAGGTATATCAACTTCTGACTCGGAATATCTCTGTATGACGAAGTTCATAAATTTTCAAAAGGACGTAGTACATATGCAGCTCTCCAGTTTACATGTTACCTTTGTTCTAACCAAGACCTAATTAGTCTGGCCCTCCTTTTATATCAATTGATATGCGTATTTAAAAAGGTTCAATGTTGTAGCCAGCTTCAGCGTAATGTTCAACAGCAGAGTTACATATGTAGAGTTATATGGCAGGACATATTATCCTTCAATGTTGAATACCAGAATCTTCAGACTTCACCATGCGGGAAATAGTCATCTTGTTAGTGAGGAAACAAATAATAGTTGATGACTAGATAACGTTCCCAACAAAAACCTAAATCACACGACGCCCGAGAGTGTCGAAAAAGTAATAATAAAAGAGCTAGTAGGATAAACATAACACTCGTTTCCATCCAGCAATTCATTCAGTCATTCCTCGTCTTTGAAGCATCATGTTCATTAGTCTCTTCAGCTGGACCGGGGCCGTCCTCTGTATCCCAACTATCGACAGCATTTTCATCCCAATTGTCGACTTCTTGTTCAAGAGAAGTCACACCGGTTTCCTGGGGACCGATACCATGATTCTCATTGCCACTCAAGCCCAATTCAATGTCATCTTCAGCGCCACCACCGTCTGTGAGAGCTCCAATGCGAGCCTTGCGGCGTCTCTCCATCATGCGTCTATGGTACCAGCCGCACAGGCCGATAGCGCCGAGGCTGCCAACGACATTGGCGACAATATCGAAAGGATCGAATATTCGACCATTTGGAAGAATGGCTTGGAGTATTTCGGATCCGACGCCAAGCAGAAGCGTGCATACTAACAGACTGATTTGAAGAGCTCGTCGGCGAGACGTATCGGGGATCCAGTAGAACACAAGCGACAGCAAGAAGAAAGTCACGAGATGCAGGAACTTGTCGCTAGGCTGTAAGTTGGTCGGAATCGAGCCCAAGGAGCTGTGAGGTAATAGCCCCATATATCCCGACAAGAAGAGGAGCAGCACGAAGGCGCCTGTATTGTGTGACAAACATTAGAAAGAATAGGCTATTTAATAGAGCGTGTATTGTTCGAGGGTAGAGCTATTAGATACATAAATACTGGACAGCTCACCTAGAAAATAGAAGCGAATTCGCATGGTGCCTGCAGTCGTGATAATGTTCTTAAAATCGACGAGCGACTGAGCGAGCGCACAGGTATAGTTCTAGCCAGGAGTTCTCGAGCACCAGTTGAACAGGCAGGCCGATCGCCTGTTGTGACGTGACCACTGCTTGGATAGAGAGAATCAGTGGTTGCGCAGTTTGCCCAGCTGAATATCTCTAGTGTAGACGACAGCAGGCATCACAACGCAATTTAAATATCATCGAAGGTCGAGGTGGCGCGGCATGGGACAAGAGACAGAAAGTACATGGAAGAGCGTGAGAATTGACGTTCTCTAGCTTGAGGTTATGGAGTAAGAAGCTAGCTCCGCAAGCTAAAGACGGGAGCGGAAGTGAGGAAGGCCTGAGGACTGCGCAGGTGGTTTGCGGAGGCTGCCCGACTAGACGGAGTCTCTTGACCTCCATCGCTCACAACCACCAAAAAGAGCCGCACGTCAGCCATCAACCACGTCCTTGTTTTATCGTTTTTAGGCCCCAAATTATCACCACAATATTCCTCGCATCTCGTGTTTCCGCTGGACACCCTTTTTTCGCGCCCTGAAATCCTCTTTGCGGCGCTGGACCGGCTGCGCAGAATAAGCGTCCCCCTCGACGGGGTTTATTCAGCGCGCGGCCATGTCCGTCGGTCAAAATCAGGCCTGGCTGCCCCCAGGCCACCTTCGACCACCAGACGACCACCAGTCAGATGCACGCGGTGTCAATGGAGTCTCGAGATTTTCTTCTGGTGCTCGAACGCCTCAAATGCGACTAGTTTCCACAAGTGAGCATGGTTCCCAGGCCGGAAATCTGATATCCGACGCCGAAGCCGCCGCGGAGGAAGACCCTCGCATTACACTTTTTCGGGATCTCTACAATCGCAGCGAATCCAAGATAAATGCGCTATTCAGCACCAATGGAGATGTATCTGCGCCTTCTGTGGCCGATGCCATGGAAATGGAGGCGCCGGAAGCTGCCCCGGCGCGTTCTGAGAACCTTGAGCGGCCTCCTAAGAAAGCTGCGCGGAAGATTGACGACGATGACTACGACGAGTATGACGACGATGAAGGAAGCGAGGAGCAAGATGAAACCAACGCATCTCCTTTGAAAGCGAAATCCGCCATTGCTGCTGTTCGTGATGCATCGCCTGCTCAACGGCCGACAACCGCCACGAACACCCCCATCGAAGGTGCCAAAGAACCAAAGAAGGATACGTTAGAGGGAATACGAAAGAAACTGGAGGAGGGTAAAAAGGCGACTGAAGAAGCTGCGCGTCGAAGTTTCCAGACGATGTTCTACACTTTGGAAAATGATCACGACGCAATGAAAGAGCAAGAACGACTTGAAGAATCGGAAAGATTGGTAGAAGCTGAAATGTCAGGTCAGGGTGTCAACAGCTCCGGGGCCAATGCAAATGCTAGCACGAATGGCTACGGTTCGTTGAGCAACGCGAACCTCGGCGCGTCCAGTTTGACTCTGAAGAATCTTATTGCTCGCATTGATATGAAACGTACAATGGTTCAGGCGTCTGATGCGGAACTTCGTAGCTTGATGAGTGAAGTTCGCAAGAACCGGAGCAAGTGGGCAAACGAGGACAAGGTCGGGCAGGAGGAACTCTATGAAGCAGCAGAGAAGGTTTTGAGCGAGTTGAAGGCAATGACTGAGCACTCGTCATTTTTTCTATCAAGAGTTAATAAACGTGAGGCTCCGGATTACTATACTAGTAAGTTTACCTGCCTGCTATCTAATTTTCATGTTAAAACTAACACCCGGAAGTTATCAAACATCCTATGGATTTGGGAAGTATGACAAAAAAGCTGAAGACTCTACAGTACAAGTCAAAGCAAGAATTTGTCGATGACCTCAATTTGATTTGGGCCAATTGTTTGAAATACAACGCAGCCCCGGAGCATTTTCTACGCAAACATGCATTGTACATGAGAAAAGAAACCGAGAAGCTTGTTCCTTTGATCCCCGATATTACCATTAGGGACCGTGCGGAGGTGGAAGCAGAAGAACGACGACTCCAGTTGGCTGAAATGGATGGTGCAGAAGAAAGTGATGATGAGCCTATCATGTCCTCAAGGGGTAGAAAGGCACCTGGAAAATCATCTATGAAAGGAACTGCCCCAAGTCGGCAGACTCCAACTGGCTCTGAAGGCCCCTCGGGGCTCAGTGGTTCGCAACCGAAAAATTCAGTAGGTCCAGATGCGGACTTGCCAGCAGAAGGAAGTCAAAATGGCCTCTCGACTCCGCCACCAGGGACACTTACACCACTCGGCGCAAACGGGATCGGGGTAGCTGGCTCTGGCAGTCAAGTTGACTCTATGGACATTGAAGGCTTCCCCCCTGTCAACTCAGTTACAGGTGGCTTGTCTGCAATAGGGTTCGATTATGACGACCCTGAGTATCAAGTATGGAAACAGGTCACCAAGAAAGACAGAGCTCTGATTGCAGCGGAGAGACACAAGCTTTTCAAGGGAGATAAACTGAATGCCGATGAACCAGCTTTGCTTCGTACAAAAACAGGAATGCAACGATGGTTGAAAAATCAGAAACAGGCGGGCCCCGAGTCTGATAAAACCGCCGAGTCCAATACGGAAACCTCTCAAGCAGGACTTGCCGAAGGCATTGAAGAAGAGGAAGAAGATAAAGTTATTCCTGACTATTACGATGTCATGTCAGGTATTCCAGACATCCCCCCGCATTTGGTATGGCAGGAGGATTCTCAAGGTAACGTTGTCGATAACTCCGAGGAGTTCTTGCACATTCTTCCTAAAGGCTCCTTTACTCAACCTGATAGCAAATTGTCGAAGAGAATGGATGCCAATATGCGACAGATGCAGGAAACTCGGAAAATTTGCTCCAAGGTCGGCATCGTGAAACAAATGCAAATTCAAAGTCAAATGTATCAAAACCAATTTCAAAAGTATCAACCTGAGCCATTCATCGAACAAGATGTGTCGACACATGTCATGAATGATGATGGTCCCGTGATTAGTCCTTGGGTTTCGAAAGCAGCCCTCCAACGATCGGTTGCAAAAGTGCTGTATCATACGGGATTTGAGGAATACCAACCATCTGCTCTTGATGCTGTTACCGATATTGCCTCTGAATTTTTCACGAAGATCTGTGAAACCCTGAAAGGGTACATGGAAAGTCCAAAAATTCCAATTCATGACGCCGCGGAGGTGACCACTTCGAGCGCTACACAGTACAAAATGCCCTACACTCAACAAGAAATGATTTTACATACGCTCTCGCTGATGGGGACTGATGTAGAATCTCTTGAATCATATGTGAAGGATGATATTGAGCGTCTTGGAACTAAACTTGGTGTCATCCATGATCGTATGCGAGCTCACTTTACCGAACTGCTTCGCCCTGCTCTCCACGATACTGGCGGTGATGGTTCTCACGCATTCAATGATGGCAGCGAGCAATTTGTAGGAGGGGATTTTGCTGAGGATATTGACGAGGACTTCTTTGGCTTCAAGGAAATGGGTTTGGATAAAGAATTTGGTCTTGCAAGCCTAAGTGTTCCGTTTCATCTTCTTCAAAATCGCATGTTCAATGCGCATCAGTCGCAGAACACAAGGTGCGTTACCCTAAATCTCTGACTGCGTAATGATGTACAATGTGCTAACTTTGACCTAGTACTTCGCAAACTACAAATACTCTTTTCCCACCACCTGTTCCATATCCACGTGTTACAGTTGACTCGTTGCAATCTCATATCGGCTTGGTACGGAATTTCTTCATGCAGAAATTGCAGGCCCATGGAGATGAGCCTCTAGTAGAGGATCTCGAATTACCGTTGAAACAACGCCCTTCACGGCCAAAGCTCCCAGCATCAGGAAAGATCATACCACCAAATAACACGTCTATCCATATAAGTCCTCAGAAGCGTCCTCTCCCACCCTCACTAGCACAAGCATCCAGTAAAGCTGGCGGTACTTCAGAACCGAGCAAGAAGAAGGCCAAAAAGAACAACGGCACCAATGCCGATGCTTCTTCATCCATGGGACCCCCTGGTGGTGGTGATTTGTTTGGTACTTCAACCACCGATGGAAAGTCGTCAATGGACGGCAAAGCTGCCGATAAATCAAATGCAAATCCAATTGCTGGCAACGACACAGACGCTACGGTTAATGGAGGTCATACAGGGGTTTCTGATCTCGGCGGAGAGGGCAGTAGTGTTTTGCCTGGTGATGTTGATTCACAGCAGAATAAAGCCAATGGTGTGGCCATGTCGACTTCAAACGCAGAGAATTCTGGAAACCAAGGCGCCGGCATGATGAGTCCTGAGAGCATTAATGGCCAAGCTTAAACACAACCTTCTTGTTCTTGATGCACATTGGCGCCGATGGTTTGAAATACCACAAGTTGGAGAGACCGTAACATGTCTGCTCTCACTATGTTTCGTTTTCAATTTTGTCTTTAATAATCATTACCAAGAAAATGGCGGCGCACATTCGGTGAAACCGGCTATCTTTCAGGTGGGGGTTGTTTTTTCGATTGTTGGTTCTGCTCATTCATAACAAACCAACCATCACATAGGGTGACAGTTGTGTCTCTCTCGCTCGGTCAACTTGAGACACTGTATTCTACCGAATTATGTTTTCTGTTTGTTTTCCTCTTTCTTTTCTAAGTTGTTCCTTTCTCATTTTTTCCCCTCTGCATCAATGCATTATACCTCATCATCTATGGCATTACTTTCTATTCGCTTGTTTTATTATTTTCTTTCCTCTTGCCTTTAGTTGTTCCTTTCCCTCGGGGTTTTTGCGGGCCACTAGGATTGGGGGTGATGTGTACATACATACATGCATGATTCTAGAAAACGATGTCATGTCAACAATTTTCGCTCGGCGGATTATGGTAGATCTATTAGCATCTGCTTTGAAGTCTAGTTCTAGTCAATTTAATGAAGAGGTGGCTTTATGTTATTCTACAACGCTTGCTTAACTACCATTCGCAAACATTGACTCTTGGCAAAGAGTCACTATAGTTAATCAAGTATTTCATTCTTAAGCCGCCTAACCACCATATCCTCCCTGCTCAATCTCGCAGTTGGCAAGGAATGATTCCAGCTCAATCTTCCCATAGAGTGACCATTTACGTCGGCAAACAAAACACTAGACCACTATACGTAGCCATAGCATCAAAACAACACTAAACTGACCTTTGCACAATTGTCAACTTTTGCAGGCTGCTAAGATAACAGTCATCCCGAGACATCAATTGATGGTCTCACTCGTACTAGGTCGATTTCAACACTCATCCTTTATATTTCTTCCTTCTTAGACAATCTTCTTCGTTTTACCTCATTCGATTGGACTTAGACGACCTATGGAATGCCACATCGAGGGAGTAAGAACTAGCGATATGCGTCTGTCATGGCATCGCGTCGAAACTTCAAGCACTAGATCACATCCTAGCCTGAGTAATTTGCCGCTGTTTGTAGAATTTGATGCCGTAGATGACAATCTGCTTCATACCGTATAAAACACAAGATATCGGCATGGTGTTGGTTTTGCAGAGGGGGATAAGAATTACTCAATCTTTGTGAATATGGGACATTCTGTCAGTGTAGTCAGATCATGTATTTTATGTCGGTATCTGAAGTCCTGATGATTTCCTGCTAGGCAATTCAAGTGCTGCCTGAATTCTTACATAGAGGCCAATGTCGCTACAGTTTGAAGCCAAAGAAATTTTATGGTAGGAACAGTTGATTTGATTTCTAGAAGCTATTCTGGTTGATAAAGTACTAAACTGCAAATTTCAGGCATCGATACCACCAGGGATTGTTAGAGCTTCAAATCAAGTTCGAAGCAATCGATCGACCTGGCGGTTATCATCAATGAAGAACACATGGCTGAAAAAAAGAAAGAAACAAATCATTGATCAGAGCTCTCATATTTCTCTTGGGTATCCGCCATTCTTTCTATTCTCATAATGAAAGCTAGACGAACCACATCTCCAGGTGATTGCGAGTTTCGTTCTGTACCATCTTTAGCAAACGTGGTGGTGTATCGTCGACACCTTCCATCTTGCTCAATGCATTTGGGTTCGAAGATCCCGAACCAGTCTTCTCGGTATGTTTATCTAACTTGATGTATGCGCCACTCGTAGGACCTTGCTCTTCTGAAACACTCTCATGTGGACGTGCACGGTTCGAGATGAGATGCGCGTAATAAATTGCTGGAACTGGAACTAGTTAGTATGTATGCTTAATGATAGATAGTATTTACTTACATAGCGAGACTGAGGTAGTGGAACGGACATATTGATAGGAGTGATTGTATATCATGTTCTGCAAGTGAGTGGCAGAATGTCCGATTTCATCCCGAATAACATGGTAATGGACCGGCTGAGAAGTACCCTGAAGAGCGACGTGTGCAATAAGAAGGAAGTCCCAAGTGTGTGGGCTTGTGATATCACGTTCAATTAAAGTACCTGGAAGCGGATTGCCATTTCTATCAGCGGCCGATTTGTCAGTCGGTTTCGGCACAGCACGGAGATGGTGTCGCTTATTCGCGATGACTACCGTGACCTTGGGCGGCAATTTGTCGCCGCTTCCATGATGAATTACATCCTTGATCATTGGAACTTCCTTAGCGAGAACCTGGGCGAACTGGCCGGTAGACACGCCATCTCGGAAGTAATAAACGTTTTGTGGGCGACGGCCTTGACCGACTGTCTTCGTCCATTGATCAACAAGAGGCACCAACATTTCCTTCATATTTTGCTCGTCGATAATCTCCACACGTCTCAATCCAGTTTCACATCTGCCCATGTATTTAGCACCAACCTTGTCAGCTGACACTGAAATAGCCGTCAGAGAAGGAGCAAGACTTCCAGGAGACGCATGAGAGACGTCTGCGCCAATAATGATAGAACCAGGTTTAATCTGTGCTTCTTTGAACTTGGGAACGGCCTTGCAAGTAACACCTCCCAATTTGGCATTAACCTTCATGGAAACATTGGACATGTACTGGGGGTTCATTTTAGCGACTTGAGCACACTGAACCACTTGAGATGGCACACCAAAACGACAGTCACAGTTCTTTTTGATTCGAGTGTAGGTCCAAGAATCTCGGTTTGGTACCATGATAATAAGTAGTTGGGGGCGTTGTTTGAAATGGTTCCCGGTACCCTCAAACAAACGCTGGATAGCCATTGCAGTGTCTCCGGTAAGCTCCGTGACGAACGGGGATGACTTGACCTTTCCACCGTGACCCATATATTGGTTCTTGAATCCTTCGGCCCATTTCTCAGCTTCGGTCTTTGTAAGAGCGTTGCGACCCTGTTTGAAGACACCAACGCCCCAGGAGCTTAAGGGGAACCGGTTCGTTTCGATGAACTTTTTGCCACGAAGGTCCCAGCGTCCCTGAGTCTGTGGATCAATCTTCGCGTTGGCGAATTGTATATCTGGAGCTGGCAGAAGGCGCGCCTTGGTGATGATTGGGGCGTCAGAGATTTTCATTCCGAAATGTTTTAGAACGGGATCACCAGCATGATCGAGTCTCGTTTTTGCTTTAGCGATGTCACCAAACCTAATCTCTGGTTTACGCACAGCAATTCTCAGCATGTCCGCAGTTTGTCGTTCATCGAGCTTGTGATTGTATCGCTGCAGAGGTGCGACTTCAAGGCACTCCATCGGATAAAGAACTCCCTTCTTGGTCATTTCCACAACGGGCAACTCTGGACAATGCAACACCTGGTTGTACTTCTCCTTGAAGAAGGCTGCAACTGAAATGGTCCTTTCCTTGCCGCTAGCCGCATCCTTCAGTGGGAAAGTAGCCTTATGGGCATTGGCCGTACTGACTTGGTAGATGTGAAAAGAGCGCGTGACAATGCATCCTGGATGCATAGGTCTCACTTCCAAGTGTCTCATTTTGCTCCAGATGTATTTGTGAGCCGGGCTGTACTCATACCCTTCCCATGGATTTTTAGGATTATTGAGTCGGGGTTTGAGGGCTTTCGCGGTTTTTTGCCAGTCAAATAAGCTCAGAAAAGTGTCGGCGTGACTGGAGAGACTCGCCTGCCTCCAAAAAACACATAGAACGCTATCGACGTTCACGATAAGACGACCATTCTTTTTCGAATAGTTAGCAGATTTTCTCGAGAAGGTGTGAGAGACAAGTAATATTATGACTCACAATAGCAGCTCGAATAGCCTGATAATATCCTTTGAGAACATTCAGGTTGTTGTGGAGATTGCCACCATCTTCCTTCTCGTTGTAGAACGCACGTTTGATAGGGGTATGCTTGGTTGATGGAACTTCGCGCATAAGGTGATCTAGGAAGTTTACGGCTTCTAGAACGCTCTCATCGAAACTATATTTCTTCTGCAACCAGCTTTCGAGAACTTGCAGGTTGATAACTTTCGACTTGCGGACCATCAGGCGGAAAGCGCTAGTTTTGTCCCTAGCCAGTTCCTTTTTCGTATAGTCACCCAGTTGCACCAAATTTCCGCTGGGATCATCATAGCTGTTGTCAGACCTAGTCAATCAGTTAGCAGCATACATGAAGTAGATAAAGATGGACCATTACCAAGCAAGTTTGGCCCCATCGTAAATCATCTGCCTGAATTTCGATTTACGAATATCGGAAGCCCAAACCAATTTCCGGGCAGTAGAGGTCACGGTGGCACTCTCGTTTCCGGCCTTCACAATAGTGACCTGTTGCGTAGTTATCAGCATATAGCTAGTAGCTTCCGGGAAAGAGAAACTCACGTCATACTGATAGATCTTCTTGGTTGGGAACTGGGATATTTGATAGCAATTTGTCTTCAGCTCGACTTCTTTGCCATTTTCGTTAAAACCTGGACGTGCGACACTGGTGCCGTGGTCCATGTACTGATAGAAAAGCTCGTTAGCTCTGTCCCCCGATGTCAGGCGGTCCTTGGAATTTGGGCCAATGTAATAGGGATCCTCGACATTGCCAGAAGCACGAAGAGCAACTGGTCCCGAATTATCCGGACGCTCTTTTTCCTTCTCATTGGGGTCTGTCTTGGGAGCAAGGCGTTCACCAAAGGCATTCACTGGCACCACATTGACCGTCCTAGGATCTCCGACCCATTTGTAGTCGGGATCACCAGGCCGAAGCTTGATCTTTTCCACGGCCTTGTTATACATGGCAGTGCTCCGGAGTTGACACCAGATTTTCTGGGAAGAATGTGCTCAGGGGTACAGGAAGCGATGGGGACCATGCAGTGGGCAAAGAAATGGCTTTCAATAGTAGGGCAGACAGGGCTGAGATATGTGTAGAAATAAATAGCTGGGGGTGAAGAAGCCAGGAATTCGAAGAAGGAGAAGAGATCAGGGATGGAGAAGTTGGTAGGGAGAGCGGAGAGGCAACAAGTAGGAAGATATGCGTATGCCAGCAGATAGCCGATCCCACGAGGCCAGAGATGCGGTATCCCAGCCTCCCCAACACCGCATTCCCCACCAGAACAAAGGGAACGAGCCGGATATAATATTACTGGGAAATCGGGAAGCTGCATTTGAGAGGGCCAGGCGTCTCAAGCAGGGAACGCGGGGCCCTGATCTTTGTTGGTGATTGAGAGAGGTGATTGAGATCGGTCATGGGGATGAGCGGCGACGAGCAGCGTAAACAATATGAAAACGCCGCCTATTCTATGGGCTGGTAGAAAGAAAGCTAGAGATGACTTACCACGTCTAGGTCGAGGTTTGGATACGGATTGGGCGCAGGGCGCGGGTCCCGGGCGGGATCGCCTTGCAAGGCCATTTTGGCAGATAGGTGGTTGATGGTGTGTATGATTGTGGGTCAATTGGGAGGTTAACAGAAGAGCGGTAGGATAGTATAGAGATAGGTGAAGGCGGTGTAGCACAGAGCGAGTCAGAGGGAGAGATAAAGGAGAAGGTAAAGGAGGAGAGCGGTGGGAGAGAGGAGGAGTGAGTGGCTGGGTGAGTGGTTATTTGTTTGTTTGTTGGGAGGGAAGCAGGGAAGGAAGGAGTGGGTGGTGGGCAGAGGGAAGGAGCGGAGGGACGAGGTGAGCTGTCAGATGGCAGCGGGCAGGTGCAGAGGAAGGGGCAGGGCACGCAAGCAGAGCGCAAACAAAGATAGAGCAGCCCAGCGGTGGCCAGAAGAGACTTACCGAGTAGAAGTGAGAGCACACTGGGTGCTGAGGTGAGGGTTGGGTGAGTGGAGATTCGAGCCGAGTGTTGTGTTTACCTGAGGTTGGGCGAGGGTGAGTGGTGACGAGCTGAGGTGGGAGTCGAAGAGGGAGAGGAAGTGGAAGATGTAAACAAGAGAGAGAGCCAGAAGCAATAAGCTATTTTAGGAGAAAAGAAGCACCAGGAGCTGAGATATCAGAGGTACCACTGGTTACTGGCTGTAATTGTGAATGCACTACTACCTTGACGAGTTAACACCATTCCAAGGCTTTACTGCAGAAGATCAATTTTAAAACTATCATGCGGAAATACAGCAACCCAGCCGTAGAGATCCAGTGTTGTCAGAGATACAAATTCTCAATGGTAGAACCGTCACCTAAGCAAAAGCTTGTTCAGCTTCAAGTGTTAAAAGCGCGGCCTCAACATCCAGAGAGTGACATTGAAATCTAGAGTGACTTTAGCCACACGATCCAGGGCAATAGAAGGTAAATTTTGATCATTTTGATAACCGTCCCGAGAAGCAGCCGGCATTTATTTCAGACTTCAGATCTGCCAGTGGAATAGTCACGCTTGACAGTGGCAACGATGCAAAGTCGCCATTCCATGACCGTTTCGACACCCTTGAGAAAGTTTGCGTAGCCATGTTTCATCTGCGAGGTCTGAAAAGAACCAACGCTAGGGCTGGATGAGCTGATTTCGAAAAGAGCCATTGTCTTCCTTGTGAGATTGTTCAAAGCAAAGGGAAGGGACTGACAACTTTTTTTGGCGAAAGAGACATAATGATTCCTTGGGTTATATCTACCCCCATTTTACTTCGTTTTTCGGTGATGATCCCAGCCAACCAGGCAAGGGCTCATCATATGTTGTGTCGGTGGCTTTGGGCGTCAAAAGCCTGCTTTCAGTAAAGTTGGCAAGATAAGATCAATGCAGCAGTTTCTTCGGTGTTTCTCAATCTCATAGAGCAAAGCTGGTGTGGCCTTGAATTATTAAGTTCAGTACCCAGTAATTTTTCATCTGAAAATAATTCCTTCATAACTGTAGATTTAGCCACAGTCAGTCTTTGTGTACAGAAACATGAAGCGAGAAGCATCATGAAAGCCTCAATAATATTATATTGACTGTTTGACTGAATAACCGAAGGAGTAAAAGTATAACCGGGGGCATTCTCCTCTAACACAACCGCTCGTCGAACATGTGGCCAACAATGAGCACTTAAGGTTCCTTTTTGGCGTAGCACCGAGTGTCAAAAAGTATTTAAATTCATTAGTTAGGACTTGCGTGAGGACAAGCAGCCATTTTGTTTTTCTGGCTTTGCTCGAGTCACTGTCTACTAAGTCTCCAAGTGCTAGTAACAACTGTAAAGTATATATAAGAAGCTCAGGCATGCTTGGTTATGAGTCCAGGAGAGCACAATCAGATCACAGAAGCTTAGGGCAGATTATTTTATTATATATGCAACATTGGCGGTGGAAATGTCAATGGTTAGGGGTAAAATGGAGGGAAAGACATCAATTTCAAAATGGTATTGATTCCTTGACAGAAACAGTGGTAGCAGTGGCTTTAGCTTTTGTTTCAAGCCTTTGCCTCACCTTTCAACCCAGCAAATATAGTATAGTGGTTAGAACTGGCCTCCCCTTCTCTTATGGGCACTTACTCATCTTCCCTCTTAGGTTAGTACACCTCGTTGTGGTAGCATCTCCGGAAGAACTCTCTGAGTAGCTCGTGTTCTTCGCAAAAGAATTTTAACTCTCTTTTATTTGATCTTTTGGCTCAATGCTGCGACCTTAGCGCAGTTGTTTTCCTCTCTATCAACTGTGGTCAATTCGATATATTACGAATTGGAGTGTAGGTACCAATAAAAGATAAGTAGATATTAGTATATATACTTTAATATAAAGATAAAATAAAGAGTTTCAATTGAAGAAGATTATAAAATTCAATGAATTATTGAAATTTTTATTGAGAGATAAATCTGGAAGCCTCATCTAAAGGCGTGTGCATAAGCCGGAGCAAGAATCAGGAACAACAGACAAGCTGTGCCAACGTATCTGGACAAACCAAATCAACCAATAAAGGCCTCATTAAAAACCTACAATATAAACCACAACCAATCCGAACAATAATGAGTCCATTGAGAGCGTGTTAGAACTAAGAAATTAATCGGGGAGGCGTAAAATGTCCATGGCATATAAACCACCGGCTGGAATGGCAGTGTGTCTGTACCCAATGAGTTGATGATCTCTGCAAAATTTATAATTTCACAGACATCTATGCAAATCAAGATGGAGAGCAGCATGTTGTAGTATTATGAAATTATACCACCATTAAAGTTAATCTTGGTTCTTTCTTCTGTAAATTCTAACCTGTCTGGTTTTATGATTTTTCTGACTCTGTAAATACTCTTCCTTTATTGATGTATGAGCCAACCTGATTACCTTTTTGGAGGCACGGATCGACATTTCAAAATTCCTGGAAGCAATCCCTCACTCACGGAGATAACACAGTAGTATATATCAACTATGTAAATAAATGTAATCACTAAATGACCGTGTTCGGCTCTTCATACATCCGAGTCTTTCTCCAATAATCCTATACCGAGATATATATCGAGCCCGAGACTATTGCTATATCAATTAATGGACAATAGAGGGACAAATCAGAGTGTAGGAGATGGTAGGCTGGACATGCTTCGGAATATTTACCCCTGGCGTAGATCTACTGTTACCCTAATAATTAAGCTTAAATGTCAAGCTGTATAAGGCTTAGCGCATATTATTACGACACCCAAAAAACTACAATGTCCGAGAAAATCCATCCTAACTTGAAGCTCTTTCTAATTGGGGTGAAAATAACATGGAAATCAGGGCCTAGGTACTGTCTTGTTGTTTCTTCGGAACCAATTTAGCCACGATGTCTACCCAACTTGCTAACCTTCCACTCAAAGGAACGAATGGGACCAGTTCTTAGACCGATAATATTCATCAACACAGAGAGACTGTTTTCGGTTATGGACATTATATGCATCGTATCTATGAGAAAGTTGAACTGCTACTTATGATATTTTTTGCCGTGTTCTTAATCTACGGTTGTGTACACTTAGAATCTTTTAAACGTATTATCAAATATTAGGATTGATGCACAAAAAGCATTCTCATTTGAGCTCACTGGCCTTTTCCCTGTACATGATAAAAATTGAAATTTCCAGAAATAGATCTAAGCGCCGTGCCTACTTGCAAACCCATGGCAGGCCATGCATTCAACGCATCAAATTAAGGATCGAGCTTAATGAAGACCGTGTTTTTGGATAAGGAAGCGGAACAATATTAGCTCATACCGTGCAAATAATGTACAAGTCGTTTTGAGTGAAGATTCAAGTCATTAGAAGCCACCTAGAAAGTCTCGGTCAGCGCTTTCTCTACAAGTCAACGAAATTCAGAAAGTAACTTACTGCCATATGCCTGCGAACTCATAGCAGCATGCGTTGGCTGTGCGAGTGGTCGGAGTTGGGATGTTGATGTTGGAATATCAATTCTACGTATCACGTCAACCAGCTTCTCTGCTGAGAATCGCACCGCGGTATATGCTGATGCAGGAGGAATGATGCTGAGAAGTTGGACAACGTCGCGCGGTAACGGAGCTGCCGATGGCTGAGGCCAATATTGTGCTCCACCAAGGGCACTACCGTTGCTTTGTGGTGGACGTTTCAGTTGGTCAGGTCGACGAGCCGGGGCTCCTTTCAGAGGAGACTCGGCACGTAGAAATTTTCGCGGCCGGCTGCCATCATCATCGTAATCGTCGGTAGGATAGGCACGTTTTGGCGAATCAGTGGAAGGCACATCTAAGTAACGCGAGGGAGTTCCTTGCATGGAGCCCGGCTGCTCTACTGAAGTGATGCTTCTAGGACGGGTTTGAGAGGTTGAAATGATGATTTGAGCAGCCGTAGGATCAAAGTTGGGAGTTGCATGACGATGTGCAAACTGAGAAAGTGTAGGATCATCGGGAAAGAGCTCACGCATTCGACTTTCAAGGTTAGTGACTTGAACTAAGTCACCATATCGAGATTCGTATTCATGAAGAAAGGTGAAGATTGGCTTGGTCTTATGAATGTTTTCTGGTTTGGTGGACAGCCTTCTAACGGTCATTTCAAATACAGCCCGAGCATCTAGGAAGTAAGAAATTAGCCACGAAAGTTAAACCCATAGTGAAAAAGAAAACTCAATGTTCCCAAGTTAAATGCTTACTGGTCACATCGTTAATATCCAATAAATGTTTCAGATATTCGAGGGCAAAATTCTCATCATCTGGAAACAGTCTAGCTCCACGTTCAAAAATTCTCGTAGCGGCTGGGTCTTTGTAGCAATGATATTCAATCAAGGCACTGGCAATATAGACGTCGCTGGTAATGCGTCCCCGCTTGCGAGCTTCAGCGAACACTTGCCTCGAACCTGCAAGCTCTCCAGGCTTGCCCTTCCCTTGGATACGACGCATAGCACGCATCAAAGCAATCCAGGCAAAAGAGATTAGTTTAGAGATAGTAATAAGCTGCGTAGAATGTGAGTTTTTGATCGCGTTGATTTGAGTTTCTTTGCGGGCTTCTTTGGCTTTGGCCTCGCGGGAACGTTCATCTTCGTCTTCCTCATCAGCAACTGGCTGATAATCATCTTCCGCGTTAGCGAATTCATCTTTGACTCGAGCAATTTGCTGCTCTTCTCGCTCGCGGGATTTCGTATGAAGAGCGTATAGAGCATCCAATAGCTTGTCATACGATTCTCTAACTTTTGCACCGCGTTTCTGAGGGTCTTGTTCTGACTCTGACTCGATCTCTGACCTATCCGCGCGTTTGAATGCTAAGAGACAACTTTCGGGGTTACCCTCTATGCCTTGTTTAAGCAGCTCATTTCCTTCAGCATTCATATCATTCTGAAAGCAAAATTCGGCAGCTTCGAACCAGATATCCGGAACAAATCTTAGCGCCATCAATGCCTGCTTATAGACGAACAATACTCGATTCTTAAAGGCAGAGAGATCTTCTTCCTTAAGCACGAGAGGATCGGTTTTCTCCCAAGCAACCCACCTTCTCCACAACTCGACTTGCTGTTTGAATTCGGTATATCCATCGTACCCTGGGCCAGGAGGAAGCCGTGGAAGCGTTGTGCGGTCTAGGTCTCTAGTGAGATTTTGTAACTCGGTGTAAGAGCTTCGAGCCGTCATATAAGCTGGTGATCGCTCTTGCAAAAATTTTCGGCCCTAGAATGATGATTTTGTTAGGTAACAAATGAAGAAGAATGAAAGGAGAAAGTGTTACCGTCAACTTGTTTAATCCCATCTCAAATTGGTCATACTCTTTCCATAGTGTGTTCAGCGAATGAGTGGGGACACAAATAGCTTTTTGGTAAGCTTTACGCAGCAAGTCCATCTTCTGCTGGTCCTGCCAGCCTGTTCCCCCGACATTGCCGGGACCTGTTTTGATAAATTGTACATAGTCGGTCCATAGAGATGCGGATTCCCTATCCATCCCGATATGCGTGAGAGCCAAATCATAGGCAGAAGAAATGGTTCGTCGTGCTTGGCCAGAAGTGTCCGTTGTCAATGGGTGTCGTCGACGGATGTAGTCAAGGTATACTGTCCACAACTGCACATTTGGTATGCTCAGAAGTGTACGATTAAAAATCTGTTCTAGGCGTTGCAGCTCATTATTTTCCGATTCCATGTTCACATATGCAACCCATTGTTCTGCCTGAGTGCCAAGTCAGCTGAAGTCGCAATAAAAAAAATTCAAGAGTTACCCTACAGCAGATGGGAACACTCCAAAAAATCGCTCATAGACCTCGCGGGCATTGTCAAGCCTGTTTCGACTCCGGTGTTCACTAATCAATTCCAGCCACGCTGCAATATCACCGCGCGGATCTTCTTTGATTCTATCTTCCAACAAGCCCACACGATCATGGGGCAAGCGTGACGCAGAAATAGGAACTGACGCCGAAGGCACTGGCGTTGGAACATTGCTATCTGGGTTATCTGCTGGCTGGGACACTTCAGTGTACGGGTTCTGGCCGGTTGACATTGAAACAAAAGCAGCATGAGAAGAAACAGCATTATTAGAAACATCTTTGGAACTGGCCACTTGAGGCGCAGGCGGTTGTACTGATACACCAGATGTAAAAACAGTTTCATTTGCATTCTCAGAAAAAGGACGTTCAGACATGCTTGCAGAAACAGACCCAATGTCGTTGAAGGCCCCAAGTACCCCAGGCGGTTCGTACTCTGCTTCATCCTTGTCATCTTCTCCACCTTCTTCTCCTTCTTCTTCTTCTTCCTCCTCATCATCGTCCACCACAAAGCCGCCTGTAATCTTGGCCGTTTGCTGTACATGAGATGCAGACGGAGGTGTGGGTTCAGAAGTTTGCGAATTAAGTCTGGATGGAGGTTGGGGTGTTTGCAAAGGGGCTTGGGCATGGGAATTGCTATCTTCAGGCTGGTAGGAGATTTGGGGGTTAGACGAGGAAGCGGAAGTAGGATTGTTTTCAACGTAATCATCAATCTGATTATTTTCTGCTATTGAAGTTGAGTACTCATCATTTATTGGATGTGATGGGTCATAGTCTTCAGAATCAGACAGCCCAGCCCCGTGAATCGGGCCACAAGGATCATACTCGTTACTCATGGCCTGGGCCTGGAAGAAAGCCTGCTCCGCATCCTCCTCGGCCATGATCGAAGGAGCGCACTCGAATGCGAATAAGGCGAGGACTGTTCTGTACTCCAAATGGATCAGTTAGCAAATTATCTGTATGACATAGTTATAAAGCCAATAACAAACCGTCGCACCAGGAATGTGATGTGGATTGATGGTCGCAGCTAGTGGGGTTTGATAGTGCGAATAGCGCGAATGCCAGGATATCCAGGGGGTTATCATAGATATACAGGGCTAAAGCATGGTATTTGAGAATAAGGGTTGTTGTTATGGACAGCGCAGCAGAGACGCAGCTCCTGATGTCTGTAAGTAGTTTTGTTGGACGAGATGCAAGCTTAGCCCGCAGTCATGCGAGGGAGTGTCACGTGACTAACTTTAATTGGGGCCTCGCGAGAATGAAGGGAACGCGCAGGCGCGTGTCGTAGCTATTAAAAGGGTCCCGACGCCTCCTCCAATTTTATCATTATGTCTTGAAAATCCCTTCATCTCTCCAAGCTTCGTCGCGAAACCAGCCCATCAAGCATTGCACCCGAAATTTCTTCAGAATAACCTTGTATAAAATACGAATCAGCATACTATCACCGCCATGTCTGTTGTTTCACTTCTTGGCGTTAAAGTGCTAAACAACCCCGCCGCTTTCTCCGATTCCTACGAGTTTGAGATCACTTTTGAGTGCCTGGAACAACTGCAAAAAGGTGACGCCTATCCTTGAACTGTTCAAGATGAAACTCTCGTCTAACAAAAATGGTAGATCTTGAATGGAAACTCACTTACGTCGGATCCGCCACCTCGTACGTGTTTACTTTTGCCTCCCAGTGGAAACTGTTCGCTAATTGTGCAGATCTGAACATGACCAGGAGCTTGATTCATTACTGGTTGGCCCTATCCCTGTCGGTGTGAATAAGTTCATCTTTGAAGCCGACCCGCCGGATTTGAAACACATTCCTCAGACCGAGATCCTTGGAGTTACAGTGATCTTGCTCACCTGTAGCTACGATGGCCGCGAGTTCGTTCGAGTTGGATATTATGTGAATAACGAATACGATTCGGAGGAGCTCAATGCCGAACCGCCGGCCAAACCTATTATCGACCGGGTGCGCCGCAATGTCCTCGCAGAAAAGCCTCGCGTAACCCGATTCGCCATCAAGTGGTATATTATCCTCCCACATCTTCATATTAAAGCAGTGCCTAGAATTCTGACTTACATATTAGGGATTCCGAGGAATCTGCTCCTGCTGAGTATCCTCCCGAGCAGCCAGAAGCCGATGGCTTGGAAGACGATAGTGCAGCCTACGGTGCCGAGGAGGTCGAATTGGAAAATGCCCTGATCAAGGAACTCGAGGAGGCAGAGACTACTGGTCAAGGCGTGCCTGAGGGAGAGGATCATGAGATGGAAGGCGCCGAGCCCACTGCTGGGGCTGGCGACGATGACGCCTCGGATGCAGGCAGTGAGGATCTTGAAGCCGAAAGCAGCGACGAGGAGGAGGAAGATCTCGAGGAAGAAGAAGGTGGTGAGGAAGATGTTGAGATGGGAGATGATGCTGCCTCTCATCAACATCCTCATCAACCTGAGGTCATGGTCCACTAGACTTGATCTTATTCACCAAATTTCGTACGAATTATATCGACCAATACCCCGGAGTTAGGTTCTACAACGGGCTTCTACCTTGCAGGACGAATTTTTTATGATTTCATGCGCTAGTATTTGATAACGAGCTTTCATTTTCACATCACCCGCCAGATTCACGCGGCCATATTTTCCTTCTCTCTTCCATATATATTGATGACGATAAATGGAAATATATAGGCACTCACGAGGTGTACATGGCTAAGACTGATGAATAGTTTTGCTTTTCTTAATAGAGGAGTATCTTGAAACTTGTCAACCACATTACGTAAATAAATACAAAGAATTTAAGAATCTTAAGAGCCTTGGGAGAATTTCAACACAATGAACGGCAAGTCTAACCTTGAAAGCATTGAAGGAGACCCTCATTCACCATTGATGTAAGGGCTGAAATGTGGGTTATACATATATTTTGATTCTACAAAGTGGGACTTCAGTAGACAAATCTTTGACTTCAATAATCAATAGCCCCGACGATCCTGCCAAAAGTGTACGCGTATGATGTGGCTTCGGTAGCCACAGAAACCTAGAATGCCCATTCAACAAAAATGTAAACAAAAAGTAATGGTATCATTCAGTCGTGTCTTCGAGAATAATCATTCGAAACTTATTCTCCTTAACAAACAAGTGACGTAAATATCTAAACAGCTAAAACCCAAATTTAGAACCAAAGGCTATCGATTTCTTGGTTAGTCTTGCACTCCACAGTAAACAGAAAGAAAACCACACTCACCGCCTAAAACCGCCTTCCGCTTTTGATTTGATACAAATTTGCTCACGTCGTTAGCCCAGTTACTGCTGTTCTCTTCTAGTCTGTCCATGCTATCGCCCGTTATACCAAGTCGTTCCGTCCGCTCTTGCACCTGACGTTGCATGTAAGCCCAGTAGCCCTCATCATTACTTCCAGATAGCTCGGGAGGGGTGCGGCCTTCTCGAAGGGCTTTGCGGCGTTCGCGTTCTTCAAACTTCAACTGTTCCATCATCCGTTTTGATGGCGGCCGATCGGGGCCACTGACTGTAGGAAAGGGTTAGACCGACACAAAGGCTTTGAGACGTATATGAGAAACATACTCAATAGATCCATATCGGCAGGTGAGACGTATTGCGTTCCAGAGATCCATTGGAAATTTGATATCGTAGGTCTTGGGGGTATGACAGCTTCTGCATTGTAAAGCTTGTCTTCGGATGGTGGCCTAAGAGGGTTGATTAGTCTCTTTCTGTACAAAAATCACGCGAGGAAACATACAGAGGGGCCCCTGCACCCCACACATTGAAAATAGCAAGTTCCGAGGGTCCAGACCACCCGAGAACATCGCCTGATGGCGATATTACGGCGTCTGAAAGACGTTGAACATCGAGGACACCGTTGATAGATGTGCATCCAATCTCTTTCAAGCCAGGGATTGAGTATGCGCGCGCATTTCCGTCTCCAAATAAACCAACAATGCTATATCCATGGCCTTCCGTTTTCACGACGCCCGCAGAGTAGCAAATGAAATCATCCCATGTTTTAGATGCGCCTTTGTTTGTCGCTGGTTTAAATATCTTGCACCCAGATGAAGTCACCGCAACTACGACCCCGTTGACTTTGGCGCCGTTCCTCAGTGCAGCAACAACATTTTGCGTCGCTAGTGCAGGTTCACCAGTGTCGGCGTTGATCAGATGTATCCCCAGAACGGAATCGTCGACTGATACACTTCCAGCGAAAGCTACCGAATATGTACCATTGGCTGAGGGAAGAATTTTCAAGGTGGCCAGGTTGCCACGGTTTGTTCCCACAAAGCAGCAAATGCTTGAGTAGTCTCATGAATAATGTTAGAGGTGGATATTTTCAACGATATGAGGGTACATGCTTACCTTCTCCTTCCAAAGTCAAAACACCAAATTGAATACTAGTCGCCCATTCTGAAGAACTTTTCTCGCCCGTGCGACTCCTTCGAATACTAGCCCGTTTATTCGCCTTGGCAAAGTCGCGAGTATTAGCATTGTAGATGATTGCCGGGCCACGGAGATCAATAACAACAAGATTGCCCTCCTCGAAACCGGCACAGACAAAGCCAACATCGCTATGCTTGAGAGCTGTGACGGGGCCATTTTGTGTTTCTAGAAGAGTCAATGGAAGAAGCCCGTCTTTCAAATTTGGATCAGCTCGGTGTGTTATATTCGTCATTTGTCCCGGACCTGCATTTGCACCAGGAGGTTGTTCGCTTCCGGCATTTTGATTTCGTCCCCATCGGAAAATGACAATTTCACCATTGCGAAGGCCGACTGATAGTTCACCAGATGCGCCTGCGAACGACAACTGGGAAACAAAGGTATTGACATTACGGGCGACGGCACGAGCCATATCTACCTGAATAACATCTCCATTTTCAATCTCATCGTCATGTCCCGCATCCCAAAGCCTTATAATGCCATCTGCATGCGCAGTAACTGAGATGTTGCGATCTTCGAATCGTTTCATGGGTCTTTTACTCTCTGCGCCACCAAGAAGAAATTTGGGGCCCAGAGCTCGTCTCTCTTTCAAACCAAGCCAATTCGACCGACTGACTGGTGTGCATATCATCTTGTTGACAAAGGGGTGCACAAATGATAAGGAGATGTGGAGCATATTACTGGGGGAGATCGGGTGTCCATTCGGGAAACTGAGCGTTACAAGCTCCCCTGATGACAGTAAAGCAATAATAGCAATAGGATCTTGGGCGCCTGCAAAGTAAGGAGATGATCGAGGAATAATGCAGAAATCCACAACTTCCGCCCCAGGTGGAACCGGGAGAGTATGTCGGCTTCGAGGGGTTTCGAAATATTTTGAAAGAATTTGCCATGATGATGTCTGATAATTAGGGGTTAGTCCCAGATCCAAAAATGTCAGCCCTTTGTTTCTGTCATTCGATGGGCATCCACCGGCAATTAATAAACCTGTGTTATCTGGATTCTCCTTAGCGCACCATGCAATCTGGAAAATGGGGTCTTTGACTGTGAATGTTCCACCACTAGATGCCGAGCGTTCTGGCCGAGTGCCAGGTTCGTTAATATTGGAATCTTCAATTGTCCTAGCCATGACTAAACGCCCATCTTTCGCATCCCAAAAGACCAAACTTGTATCTTCATGGACGGTGACGATGAAAATATTGGTTGGGTGCCACAAGGCTCTTTTCAGCTTTGGTTTTCGAACGTCACGAGAAAGAGTTGGATCCGAGTCAACACCAGGAGCGCCAGCCGGAACTGTGTATTCGAAGAAGTTCTGGGCAACGTTCTGTTTGAAGGAGTATATGACAGCACCATCCGGATAACCGATCAGGAGTTTCCCTATATCTCGGGGTGCAAAAGATAAAGATAGAACAGGTGCCATCCGAATCCGTGGGTTCCGTTCAGCCCAGAAATTTGGTATCTTCCATGGCGCGAGAGTCTCGCGATCCATATCGTAGGCAATTGTTTCGCCTTTCAATGAAGGAAACTAAAGTCAGAAACAAGATCGCCAAATTCCTCGCGAGAAACATACCATTTTGAAGGCCCAGCAGCACATAACCTACACTTGGATCGGTTGCGATTGCAGAGACATGGCTTGGCGGGGCATACGAAACCAACATCCGCTTCGCCTCCAGTGAAAAGAGGCATAGTTCGCTCTTTGAATCGACGCTGATGAGTTTATCGGCACAGAATTCTAGAAACTTGGCCGATCCCTTGCGCGGTAAGTTGAAGACCACGGAAACCCGACGCTGGCCGAAGACATATATCTGCCCACTGCCGAACTGACTGTCACTGGTGCCAACCGCAATGAGAGACTGGACGGGATCATAGGCAAGGGCTGATATCCGAGAATTGACCCCATATCGAGCATACTGAGAGCATCATGTAAGACTGGCCCCCGAAGATAGAAAGACGAAAGCAGCTTACTTGGTCAAGGGCAAAGAGTTCTGGTGACAGACCTTCAGAGAGATCTCTCTGGATGCCCGCTTGCTTGCCGCGCAGGAAGTGAGCCATCAAGGGCAAGAATAAGAGACAGGGTTGATGTCAGCAGCAATATAACACGAATGCCATGCAATTGATTTGCAAGGCAATCAGAACGTTGTTGCGATTGTTTTGATGATTCCAGGCGGGGTGACGACATGTAGTCATGCATTGCATAGCTGGGCAGCTATTAACTAGCGGCTTGGCTAACTGTAAGCGTGCAAGTAATTAAATTGCCTACGATCCGTCCGAGCTTTCCCCGCCGTCCGTATTTATTTTTATCCCATGCCATCCATCGTTTTGTCTCGGCTCTCGGAACTGGTGAGTAACATTTAATAAATAATATTCAGAATCAGAATCAGAATCATACTTCACTAAGAACAACGTAGTACGCCGACATCCACGGCAACGGTTTCTGTCGATGAGGAACGCTGCTCGTTGGATTGCTCTCTACCTATGTATGTAGTTGGTGTGTTTCTCGGGCCTCCCAGTTATCTATTCCCTTTTTATTGTACCGACTGTTCTAAATATATGAAACCATCTTTAAAATCACCCGCCAACGCCAACCGATCAATTGCATAGAAACAAAACAGTTTAATGCCGACAGCGGTTGAAACAACAAAGGCAAACCCTTAATACGGTCGATTCCGTAATTATATCTACTCGTGTAACCGTGAGGCGTGCCAATCCATCTCTGTTTCTGTTAAGACTCGCAAGACTTCCGTCAGTTTTCGACGCGTATGCATTTCTGTAGTATCATCATTCTGATTGTGATAATAAAGTTCGGTGATTTTATAAACGCTTCGATAACAAGAATACCTATAAGTCGAAATTAGTTGTGTTTAGGCATATGCAGTGTCACTACATACAGAAGAAGTCTGATTGATTGAGAAGGTTCATCTGACGGAACCGACCCAAAGGCGTGCAATAAAGCATCGGAAGGTGATTCAAATATCTCAGCCATCAAGATATCGCCCCATATGGCACTCCCAAGATCCAAGATACCAGATAATCCTTTTAGGTCCGAATCTAGCAGCACCTCTGAAGGTCGGCCAAAGTTGACGATCACAAGTCTCGGTAGTGTAACTTGATCAAGTGCAGGAGCCAATCGGAAGAGCTGTTCTCGAAGCTTGCTATATGGCAAATGGATGAACATGTCTTCAGCGTCCCGAAGTATCTCTTCGAACAAGGAAACAAAAGACTGGCGCCAAGACGGGCTTCCTGCGCCTGCAGATACCTGCGTCAAAGGTCCAAACGCTGTCGAAACTTGCTGCCCGAGCACCTTCATTAAGGATCCGAGATGTTGATCAATATTCTTGCTAGCTTGTGCAGAGAGACGATTCCCACTTTCTAAAAGCGAAGTACCTTGCACGTATCGTTTCAGGAGAAAGGGGGTTCCAAAATAATTATCCTCAGAAGCATAATGAACTAACTGTGGAATAAACGGATTTGCAATGTCTCGAAGTAAAGTGAGAGCTTGCGCTTCAGTCTCTAAAGCAGATCGCTCTCTCCGCAGCAGTGGCACGGTGGAGGGTGGTGAGAGTTTGATGATGAGTTGATTCCCATTCGACAGCTTCAGTAGACACAACGGATGAATATGCCCATACAGCCGCTGTACATTCTGGAGACGAACCGTAGGTGGATATAGCCATTGTACCACTTGCTGAAGACGACTCGATTCGAGCCAAGTCGAATGTACAGGAAGTGGTATCGTTATATTAATGTCGTGTGAGATCTTAGACATGGGTTGTTCATCAATATTCTCAAGGGAAGGCAAACGCATGGTGCTTTCTTTAGTGTACCGTCTATTCCGGACACAGGGGCAGTTCAGCCTACCAAGAGCAAGCAGTAGAGCTGGAGAGCGTGTTTTGATGATATACCAAGACTTGTTCGTGAAGCAACCATTGATTGAATAGTTCTAGACAACCTCGAATTATATCAACTCCTTCCCAACATGGCGACAGACACCGATGCGGCATCAGAACTGTCAGACCTGCCGCTGTGAGGGAGAATCGAAAGGAGGCAGATATGGGCGATGTGAGTGCTGTTTTTCAACAAAAGCACATCTCACATGTGCAGAATCTGTCATTTTGTATGGCACCCCCCACAGTCACACACAAAAGCTGATGTCAATGCACCGCGAAAGAGAGGCCCCTGTTATCGCGTAGCTCTCGGGTGTTTTTCCGGGGCGGTCTCTTGATCTGCCGTATAGCTGGCTCTCCAAAGGGCCATAGTGGCATAGATGCGGTCTAAGTCAGCAGCTGGCGGTTCCAAAGATGGAGCCATGGCTTGCAATGTTGCCAGGGCGTTTCAAGCGGGCATTGAATGGCTTGCTGTCGCATAATAACCGAGATCGACCACTCATCGTATTATTAATAATACGTATATAACGCAACAATATGGCAGTGGCTGTGAGGTTGACGACCCGTGTAAACGTATTGAGCGAGGGACCAGGACGCATGGGCACTGACATAGAAGCAGTCTCGACCGTCCTCAGGCGGCGACTCGCTTGGTGCTGTCCAATCAGAGACCGCCATTGCCGAGACAGCCGTTTCTCAGGCTGGCGCAGACCGTGCGCGCCCTGATTGGCCCGCTCGGCCATACATTTAATGCCGTATCAAACAAACAGTTCCGGACATGATACTCGTTCTGGATGCCTCGCATTTGCACGTCGTAGTAACTGCAGCACTACTACTATTATTGACTCGGCTTTTCCAGATAGCTAGCCTCCAAAAATTATCCCGCACCTCCAAAATTACGTCAGCTTCAGTGCCGACTTCCCGGAGTCTGGAGTGGTATGAGGTGGCAGGCTACATATCGCAAGTTCATATATGATATTAATTATTGTACTCAATACCGCATACCACATGCCACATAGTTACATGATTATTCTACAGTATGCTCATTGAATACACTAGACACTGGTCCCGACGCCTAGCACCTTGCTCCACCACATTTGTTGGCGGTCCACGTACCTTCAAAGCTACGTCATTAACTCATGATCCGTACCATAACAAATATCAATTAGTTCGTATTTTTTTAAGCATTGGGAGTTGTGTGCTCTTGCTGCGACTTGGAGTGTTGATTGCTCTGCATATTCGAGGATGGCCGATAAATCTCAGCCAAATTGAAGCGCTTGAGGCTGTCGTAATCGCTGCCGACAACGCTCATGCCAATGACGTTCTATTTTATTGCCCAAACATTAGTGAATCCTTCGATACAGCCATCTATCGAGCTAAAACTTACTTGAGCGACTTCGACCAGAATTACATGGTCGTAATTTTTGAGGTCGACTTTGTGTTCAGGCCCAACCGCTGCTGCGACGGTTTGAATGATGATATCCCTATTCAGTTGATGACAGTTCCGAATCGTAGGGCGTATGGCGTACTATGAAATCGCAATTATTAGCCCGGCAATTTGGTATAGTTGCTGGCAGAGGAGCGATCCGCCCTCGACTAATTACAAGATCCAAACCAATCGGATTGTCAACAGACACATCAGCGATGACGTACCTTTTTTGGTCCACTACCTGCATGAAAGTGTGGTTTTAAAATATCTGTAGCAAATTCATGAAGGTCATATCTTAAGATCTTCCGGACCTGGGTGAGTGGGATTACCCGCTTAACCCATCGACCTTTTTTCTGACCTGGATTGGCCCTGGCCGCTGTGCATAAATCATGAGCCATTTTGACTGGATCTAGGGATTTGTCCATTCGAATAAAGGTCACTGGAAGATATTAAATTTTTGTGATGCGACCCACATGGTTAGATAGACAGTCGGGAACACTTACAACAAGGTATGTCCAATCTGATGGCTTGAAATAGTCGACGAGCCGGGGACTTGGGCTTGAGGCCTTCGACTTCTTTCTGAATTTGCGCTTCAATGTCATCGTCACCATCCTCATCATCGTCGCTTTCAGTAGCGGCCGACGTGCCTTTCGAGTCTTGAGAAGACTCGTGTAACTAGATACAGAAATTGCTTAGCATATTCACGATGAGAGCCCATTAAATATACAATCAGCATCAAGGCCAAGATAGAAACTAACCTCTGATAATAAATCTAGTATCTCGGCAATGCATTTCCCCTCTTTACCCAAATCGCAAGTCACCAAGACCCCCGCATCACCAGCCTCAATAGACGCCCCTGGTCGACTATATTTTGACTTGTGATAGTTGTCTGCCCCCTTTGTCATGTTAGGGCTTTCCTGGTGGTCGTCTCGGAGAAAGGAAAGACATGAAAACCAACCTTCTTTCTTTTAGAGACTCTGTTCTTGTCTTCCATGTTTTCTCGATATCTTTTTGGGTCTATCCGGATTGGAGAAAACTTAAAAACTGGTTAAGTCGGCAAGATGGCAAATTTCATGTAATAATGATAGCCGCACTCTCTTGGCAGATATCCAGAATTCATATAAGGTGGCTGTGTGCAGATGTAATTGTCGGATTGTAGTGGCTTGTCGTTTTCAATCGATCACATTGGTTGAAAGTGTGAAAATTATAGCTGCAAAATGCGGGGTCATTATTGGCGGATAAGAATCTCGAAACTTAACGATGATAATGATCATCGGCGGAGCTGACCAGCCTAGATACATTAATTTTGAAATTTATTTCTCCTGATGATGACAATCTGAAGAGCTACTATTTTTCCAAACTCGCTCTGCTTTTTTTCCGATATGCCATGCTCTGGTTCACGGTTGGCACGGCAAGGCCCATCGCGATACTGGAGCAATTACATCATGCCTCAATCATGGCCCAGTGTTTGTTGAAGTTAGTGCCGACACCTATAAAGCCGCCATCACAACCTTTTTCTTGTATTGTTATACAAGAAAAGCAATATTCAAGACGTCGTTGAATGAACCTTTTGCGTGATGCCTGGCGACATAGTAACAAGAGAACTGAAAGAACCAATCACTTTGGTTGAGTATCTCTATCGTCGTCTGTATGAGGTCGGTATCCGCTCGATCCACGGAGTTCCTGGTATGCGATCATGTCTTAATTTTATGCGGCGACCAAGCAACCAAGTTTTGACGTAGAACGATAGGTGATTACAATCTGCAGGCTTTGGACTATGCGCCCGGATGTGGTTTAACCTGGGTAGGGAACTGCAATGAACTTAATGCTGGTGCGTTATTACGTCTACTTTGGTATTCATCATTATAATGCACGGTTTACTTATGATTTATCAAGGGTATGCTGCCGACGGCTATGCTCGAATTAAGGGCATCGCTGCTTTAATTACAACATTTGGTGTTGGCGAATTGTCAGCCATCAACGCAATCGCGGGTGCATATTCGGAGTACGTACCTATAGTACACATCGTCGGTCAGCCTAAAACTGCATCTCAACGCGATGGAATGCTTCTTCATCACACTCTCGGCAACGGAGACTATAACGTCTTCGTCGATATGAACGCTAAAGTGACGTGTGCAGTGGCCCGTTTGAACGACGCTCTCGAAGCGCCAATATTGATTGATGACGCAATTCGAGAGTGTTGGATTCGGAGCAGGCCAGTTTATATCACCCTTCCGACAGATATGGTGCAGCAGAAGGTTGAGGGAAAGCGATTAGAGACACCAATAGATCTCGCGAATGCACCTAACGATCCCGAAAAGGAAGAATATGTGGTAAGCCTTATATTAAGGCTTTTGCACGAGGCAAAGGATCCTGTCATTCTTGTTGATGCATGTGCTATCCGTCATCGTGTGCTCGCTGAAGTGCATGACCTCGTGGAACAATCCGGCTTACCCACTTTTGTGGCACCGATGGGAAAAGGCGCCGTGAATGAGACTCATCCTAATTATGGAGGAGTTTATGCGGGTGATGGCTCTAAAAAGGGCGTGCAAGAGAGAATAGAGCAGTCCGACCTCATTCTCAATATTGGTGCTATCAAGTCGGACTTCAATACAGCCGGCTTTACTTATCGGATTGGGCAATTGAAAAGTATTGACTTCCATAGCAGCTACATCAGAGTACGATACTCAGAGTATCCAAACCTAAGCATGAAAGGGGTTCTTCGCAACGTTGTTCAACGGTTAGGCAAGCTGAATATTGGCTCCGTCCCACATGTTTCCAACTCGATGCCCCCGCAGGAACTCGAATCAAAGGACCAAACAATAACGCACGCTTGGTTGTGGCCTATTGTGGGACAGTGGCTTCAAGAAAATGATATATTCATCACTGAAACTGGCACTGCGAACTTTGGAGCTTGGTCTACGAGGTTTCCGAAAGATGTGACAGCTATAAGCCAGACACTATGGGGATCGATCGGATATTCTGTAGGTGCCTGTCATGGAGCTGCACTCGCTGCGAAGGATGAGAATTCAAATCGTCGGACTATTCTATTTGTTGGCGACGGTAGTTTCCAATTAACAGCTCAGGAAGTGAGCACTATGCTGAGACAGAAGCTGAGACCAATTATGTACGACTCCCTTTAGCCTATTTTCTCCTCAACCAGTACTTACATGGTGCAGATTTGTGATATGCAATAACGGCTATACGATTGAACGCTTCATTCATGGATGGGATCAATCTTACAATGATATCCAACAATGGAATTTCATCGAAATACCGTCAGCTTTTGGCGGAAAAAGGGACGAATACCAAACACACCAGGTCAAAACACGGCGTGAGCTGACTGATCTTTTGGCAAATGAGGATTTTTCTGCGGGACAATACTTGCAGGTGGGAGATTCTGCTGAATTTGATTACTAGTGTTCACTAACAAGGACCAGCTCGTGGAATTGTATATGCCCCAATACGATGCCCCTCTCGCATTAGAGTCAACAGCCACCGCGTCGGCGAAGCAGAACCAGCGAAAGTAGAATTTATCCTAACCCATTTTTATACCCAAGGTTATAGAGCAAGACAGTTAAGAGGTAGATGGACTGTTACTAGACGAACAACAAGACAGCGATCCTGATAGGCATACATCGCTAGTAAATTAATATTAATAGTCATGTTATTCTTGGTTCATTCGCATACCTCAAACTTTCCAGGCTATCTCATGATAAATATTCTTGATCCACTAATATTAATTATGAGGATGCATCTGTATACGGTGATTGGCCGACTTCGTGTATGGAACTATGGACGAGGGCGGGGGAGCGAATCATAGTAACCAGCCTTACAGATGGCGGTGGGCCGGCAGGAATGGGCCAAGTACAACGGCGCCAAACTTCAGCGCAGCGAATCGCAGTACTGATTTCTCATTATTTGAGACATTCCAAGAACCTAAGGACCAAGAGGCTTTTAAGGCTGGCCCTGGCCGATTCGAGTCCACGTGATTTTCCGATAAGGGCCCTAACTGCAACTGCCTCCAGGCCCAGATTCCAAACAATCATCCTCAGCTAGCTTCAGTTCGGAGAGCTCGTGACTTGCGCTTACCACAACGCTTCTTTCCTTTCCTGCTGCTTGATGACCTCTGCTGCCTAGTGTGGTGCGCTGGATATGCTTTAATCATCGCCGTCCTGCTCATGCTGCACTCGCTCGTGTTGGATACACGTTATTACCTCTCGAGGTGTTGTGGCCGTTATCTTAGGTTGATCCCTCCTCGAGAAACGAGCGCATCTCGTAACTAACTTTTTAGTAAAGCTACATTCGTTTATGAACACTGTGCGGCGTCGACTATTCTCCCCTGAAGACTGCGATTTGAATTGACTACAAGGACGATTCCGGGCCCACCTTCACCTTCACCACATCGTTGCTGCCCTACGAGATTTGTCGCCCCGCTGATGGCCTTTCAACCCTTGGACGCACTCGAGTATGATATTTGATCAGAATTTGCTGGACAAAGTTGTTGTGACTCGGTTCGAGAGGATTCCATATTGCATTCAAGCTACGCGACTGGGAGGCCGACAATGTATTAACTCGTTCTCGACCCTCATTGTTTTTGATATAAAATAAGCCCAGTTGCGTTGAAAATCTCTTGCGTTGCGGCCTCAGAGAATGGACCAACGACAACAATATATTCCACCTCCTCCTCCGCTATCCCAGAACAATACATCTCATATCATCCCGTTGCCCCCGCCTCCTCCGAGGCCATCAACACAACATGCCTTAGTCCCTCCGCCGCCGCCATTACCGACTCCCTCTGCATATTCGGTTTCAGGTCAATGGCAGCCGACCTGGCGAGCGCAGAACTTTCCTCCTCCACCTCCACCACCACCTCCACCGCAACCTATTGTTCATCCGTCCCTCATACCCGCAAACCAAGCATACGGCCGGCAGCAGCCTACTCCATTGTCGATTCCCATCTCGGGTATTCCTCCACCGCCTTCCGAAGTAAATCCATTGATGTCTGCTACGTATATGCCTACTGGCGAATCTTTTGGACCAGGAGTCGGCATCCCCCCTCTGTACGACAATTATGGCTCAGCAACTATAGACAGGACGCGACCTACAGGGCAACTGTGGGAAAGCACTTCTTCGGATAAGTTCTCAAGAAGAGATGGAAACGTCCCAGCAACTCCCTCAGGTCGAAACTTACCTCAGTCACTTATGCTTGGCGGTGACAATCAGGAAGCAATGTCGCCCGGTCCTTCAACAGCCACATTGAATACATACGGCAATGAGCCAGTGCGGGCATCCAGCCATATACATAATGCCAGCAGTAACTTTGTTGGTGGTATGTCCGCCGGTGAAGCTGCAGCAATGTGGTCACTCGAGCGAGTCATCAGTTGGCTTGCAAGGAACGGTTTTTCCAAGGAATGGCAGGAGACTTTCAAGACTTTAGAGCTTCAAGGCGCAAATTTCCTTGAACTTGGTAATGGGGCAAACAGCCGCGAATTCCTAGCCAAGATGCACCAAGTTGTTTATCCTCAACTATCAAAAGAATGCCAGAAGACCGGTAGTAAACATGATCTAACCCAGGAGCGCAAGGAAGCAAAACGTATGCGACAACTCATTCGTCAGATGCAAGATGATGGTAGTGATCCATCACTGTTGAATCATAAGCGGCGGGAGTCACAGTCGCTGATTGCTAGTGCCTCAACTGAAGGAGGAGTGGAAAATTCTCCAAATTTAGGCTGGGAGTCTACCTTTCCCCCGTTAGGGTCGAACTCTATAGATACCGGTTATCAACACCCTGCTCATAGGCCGTTCCCATCTACTGCTCCCAAACAAAATAGCCAGGGACGATCTGTCACCGCCCCGGCTGCCCATAAACCGGATGGCGTTGATACGCGCACAGATTTCTCTCGTATTGCACTTGCGAGCACGGAAGAGTTCCGACGGCATAGTCCTTCTTCAGGTAGCGATGGTGGGCCGATTAAAGCTCATGAAGATAGCCCCCAAAGCGGCAGCCCAGCTACACAATTTGTCACACCTATTCACACCGGTCCAATATCATCATCTGCGAGTGATTTGACCGGTAGGTATGAACACCATCGAGGGGATAGCACAGACTCTCTCGGCCGTGGGTCCTCCACCGTGCCTCGCTTTTATGAGGGCCGGAAGCCAGTCACTGATAATACTCGACCTACAACTCAAGACTCGAAGGAGTCAGGGAAGAGCCTTTTGAACTTTTTCAAGAAGAAGACTAAGTCTCATGATTCCTCGCATCCGTCCCCAGATGATCAATTACTGGATTCCCCAACGAGTCCATCCTATACCCGTCCGAGTAGCTTTAATAGTCCTTTCATCAAACCATCGAATAACCACAGCGATGTATCATTGGAAGACCGTCCTCTTTCGTCGACTTTCTCTGATTACGAGAAGTGGGCAAATAGATCTACCAAACAAAAGAAATATGTGTTTGCGACTTTGGATGGATGGAACTATCGCCTCGTAGATATTACTGATGCCGAAACAGCTGATAATATACGCTCTGCCATTTGTCAAAATTTAGGTATTGGGGATTGGTATAGCGCTCAATTATCTTTTACCGAGCCAGGGCAAACTGCTCACGACGATGTTTTGGACGACCCATCGCTTGTTCTCAGTCGGCGAGTGCGGTCAGACAATCTGGGCACATTGAAATTCTACGTTCGTCGTAACATATCTCCTGGTTCCGCTGGCTTGGGGGTGTCGTTTGATAAGAACACATCCTCGCCCTTATTTGCGCATCACGACCATGTACGCAGAAAACCAATTGAGGATGACATGTCGAAGAAGAGTATGTTAAAAGGTCAAGTGCAACCCAACTCTCCTCTTGGGTCACGCCAGTCTACTTTGAAGGCGAGTTCGGGTCAACCTTCGCCATCTTTACATGGCCCGTCCCCAAGCGATGCAAGCCAGGATGCAGACTTCATGGTGAGACAAGAGTACAACCGTGAAGTGGAACGCAAGCAGAATACGTCTTCCAGGTCAAAACCGCCCACGCCTTTGCAGCTGCACAAGGATAATTACGGAGAGACTGGGTACCGGAACGTGGGTATTATTGATTTTGACAAACGGCGAACGTCCCCTTATGAGGATAAAAAAATCGAGACTCTTGTACCTCAACGCAAACCTCCGCCTGCACCTTCTGAGTCTAACACGCTCACCAAGGCCAATTCTTTCAGAGTTGACCGCAGTCGAGTCCCGTCAAAGAGGCAAGCTGAGTCGTTTAATAAATATAAATTGATTCAAGAAGGAGATTTTACTGCTGTCGGTGTACCTAACCAGAGAAGCTTCTCTGCAAGGATGTCTACTTCTACAAGCTCACCTTCTACCACATCACAGACACCTTTAACAGAGAGCGGAACTGGTCTGGTCTCCAGGCTACCGCCCCCATCTTTGCAAAGCCGGAAATCTTTTGGACCGGAGTATGATTTCGAGGAAACAAAGGTCAATTTTGATACACCTCACACCCCGGCGAGTTCAGATAGTGATGACTCTGATGATGGTCTCTTTGCTGTTGAGTTATCAACAACTAAACCAAAACCTAATCAGAAGGGAACCGCACCACCAGAAGCATCCCCCGCACATAAACCTCCCCTCAAAGTGAATACATCTACAAGGACTGGCAAAGGTCGTTCTGTGACCTTCATATCTCCTATCGGAAATGATGAGAGATCCGCGAATCAGTCATTTCCTAATTCAGCAGACGTTTCTAAAGATGTGCGCTCAGGCTATGATGGAAATGGAACGAACGTGGCGCGTTCTCCTGAAGACGAACGATATCATCGCAGGGCATCATTTCCAACAAGAGATGATATATGGGCTAGTCGTCCCCCCGTCGAAGGGGTCATCGACAATCTTGATGATTTTTTCCCTAACATCGACCTCGATGAGCCATATCTGGAACCCACAGGTGTTTCTTCTCCAGTTTCTCCACTAAGCTCTTCGATGAAAGACCAGCCTGCGCCTTTATACCAACCATCTTCGAGCACAATTCCTACTGCATCTGATATTCTGGGACCAGACGAGTCAACATTGAAAAACTCAGTTGCCACGCGCAACATCAAAAAAGCTGGAGGTTTGACTCGTATGAAATCTATACGTGAGGTTGTCAAAGATGCGCAGCAAATCAACCGAAAGCAGAGTATTGTAAACCCAAGTAGCAAGAAATCGGGCGAGATACTTCGACGGAAGAGTACGAAGATGTTTGGTGCCAAAATCATGCAAATCAGTCCGAAACCTGGCAGCCGCTTGAGCCAACTTGAGCCAATTCCTCAGGATAGCCTTCTAACAGAGACTGTTCCACAGCGACAACAGACATTCCGTATCATCCGCGGTCAGCTTATTGGAAAGGGAACCTACGGAAGGGTGTATCTTGGTATGAACGCTGATACCGGTGAAGTTCTTGCTGTGAAACAGGTAGAAGTCAACCCAAGGATAGCTGGTCAAGACAAGGATAAAATCAAGGAAATGGTAGCCGCCATGGATCAAGAGATCGATACTATGCAGCATCTTGAACATTCTAACATTGTTCAATATCTTGGCTGCGAGCGTGGCGAGCTGTCTATTTCAATCTATCTTGAATACATTTCTGGCGGATCGATTGGCAGTTGTTTACGCAAACATGGTAAATTCGAGGAATCGGTAGTCAAGTCTCTTACCCGCCAAACATTGAGTGGGCTGTCTTATCTCCACGACCAAGGCATTCTTCATCGAGATCTGAAGGCAGATAATATTCTTCTAGACCTGGATGGCACATGCAAAATCTCTGATTTTGGTATATCTAAGAAAACCGACAATATTTATGGAAATGATGCATCAAACTCGATGCAAGGCTCCGTATTTTGGATGGCGCCTGAAGTTGTACAGTCTCAAGGTCAGGGATACAGTGCCAAGGTAGATATTTGGTCTCTCGGATGCGTGGTTTTGGAAATGTTCGCAGGACGCCGTCCTTGGAGTAGGGAGGAAGCTATCGGTGCCATTTTTAAGCTGGGTAGTTTGAGTCAAGCACCACCAATTCCAGACGATGTGGCTACAACTATCAGCGTAACAGCGCTGTCATTTATGTACGATTGCTTCACGATGTAAGTTGATGCTTCCCACCCAAAGAAACAAATAAGAAACTATACTGACTGGTCTAGCGACACGTTCGATCGTCCAACTGCCGAGACATTACTTTCCAGACACCCATTTTGTGAGCCCGATCTACAGTACAATTTTGTTGAAACGGAATTATATGCAAAGATTCGGGACGTGCTTTGATACCATCAATGTGATGAATATGCGTTCATGCAAGCGTTGGGTTTGGGTGCTATGTCAATTACAAGCTTCACATTAATATAATTCTCCACATAAAGTTATATAATGCATGGACTATACGTTTCACTTCGTGCAGGATATACAGATACTAGATTTCATATCTAACAAACATCATTTTAAAGAAGACTATGTCCTAGATGATACTGTTGTCTCATTTTCAACAGATTCGATATCATCCTGTTCCTTACCCGGCTCCTCTGAGTCATATTCGCCGTGGGACTGCGTGCTAGCAATTCCAACCCTAAAGACCTCCTCACTCCATTCACCGAATGTATTAACATCCCAGACTGCGTCCTGGCGTCCTTTCCCTTTCTTACTGATTGGTTTTCCTTTATTTCTTTCCGAAGCTGTGTAACTGTCGAAAAATTCCTCGTAGATTTGCAATACACGGTCTTGTACCGCTCCAACCAGCGTCTCTTTTGTGCGTGTATCTTCAAGATAATCATCCAAAGCTTTGCGAAGGACTGGGACTTCTTTTTCGATGTTTCGACAAACCGGACTGATCACTCCTCCTTCTCCCAGATTTCGTTTCTCGATAAATTTTGTAGGTAATGAAGCTGTCATACGCGTAGCGAAATTGTTGGTAAAGTCATTGATAACTGTACGGAGTCTTCCGTCTAGCTCAACTTTTGCGTCTAGCATATTCTCGATGACTCTGGGAAGTAGACCTCCCCCAACAAGCCGCATTAAGTTTCGGGGATTGAAAAGACCACCGCGCTCACGGATTTCCCAGAATGTATTTGTGACGCCAGAGAAATCTAAAGAGATGTCAGGGGTTACGTATTCAATGTCGAAAGCAACTATTTGCTGCTTGAGAATAAGGAGATGTTTAATTAAAAATAGCTGGCCGTCCGTCGTAGATGATTTGCTGGATATTTGTGTACTCGCTTGGTGTAGGGACTCGGTCGTTTGGTGGACTATTTGATGAGCAAGGTCATCAAACACCGTAGACTATTTCTAATATTAAGCACCTTGGTTTAGAGTTAGGAGTCTAAAACATACATTGACGAGTCGATATATACGGCTGAGAAGCCAGATAGCCTTTCGCAACGTGGGATACCAGCCCTGAAACATGGCTTGCGCATCGATATCCCAGAGTGCGTCCTTTTCAGTGGGCGAGTCCGTGTCCTCATCTACAACAGTAGGAGTTTTGGGGAGCAGATGTTCAGAAACCTTACGACCTGATAATGGGGCATCCGTTGATGAGTTCAATGGCTTTGGATTTCGACGTGGATAGTCCAGATCATCTGGTTTTGGGCGGTATCTTTCAATTTCGTTTCGAAGTATAGCCTGCACCTGAAACACTAAGCGGGTCTGAGCATCTTCCAGGGCCGGTTGAATGAGAATTGAAAATTCTAATTGGTTTGGGTCATTGTATTCTGTCTCTTCTTCGGGATCGGAGAGGTAGCGGGTTTGCAGTAAAGTGCATAGTTGACAGAGTTTAATGAGTTTCGTCTCGTGAATGATCCTAGGTCTTAAATAGTCATATAGGGGCTCACAAACAGCCTCCAAGAAGTCATAGAGTCCCGATTGGCCATGAAACCATTCCCCCCAAAGGTCAAATTCATCCAAGCAAATACCACGAATATAACCGATACTCGCTCTAGCAAATGATACTAGGTCTTTCGAAGTACTGGGGGCTTGAGCAATACTAGCAAGTTTCTTCCGTACGAGAGGTATGATGAGCTTTCCACGAGTGGCAGCAAAGCTTGTGTGCAACTCGCTCATGAGGCTCTCGTATTCTGCTTCGGTTCCTTGTTCAGGGTCTACCGGCGGGACAGCCCTCTTTTGAATTTCTAAGCCAAGTTGTTTCAATTCACCCGCTCCAACGCGGAACTTGGCATATAGCAATGCTGACATAGTTGTATCATTGAGTTGCCTATCGGCTATCTTTTTTGAAACACCAGATGACGTTTCCCGCAACGCTGCTACAAAGTGTCCCCGAATGAGCGTTAAAGCGCGTGTGAGTAATAATCTGTACCTAGATCGATAGGTGTCGGCTTCTTTTTGGTCGAGCTGCAAGGCGTTAGATAAGAAGTACCAACATTAAATGCGTTTGAAACCTTACGTGGCTTTCCATGTAATCCAAACATTCGTCGAGTCTTCTCAACATATCTGAGAATTCTTTCCTGCGGACTGCTTTGCCCGCACCGGGAGCATTCAACTTCCGAGATGCTGGGTCCAAGAAATCATAGTACTCAAGGTTATCTTTAATATCGTCGGCTAAGCGCGTATTTTGTGACTGCGCATTCAATAGTCCTTCGCACTGTTTTTGAAATGTGGATGTCTGTAAATCGACAGCCTGGAATGATTCGGAAAGCGTCGATAAAATCCCCAGCGTCGCAGAGGTATCTGTTAGGAGTGACTCGAGGTCTTCTTTGGCTGCGTCCAACTCACGCAGGCATGATCTAAAACAAATGAAACCTATTAGACTTGCCCTCAGCAGAAAGATCTTGTGCGTACTGATAGCTATCGTAGCTTGCGTCAAGTAGGTTCCCCTCGATTCCATTGTACCATCTGCCAAAGCCAAGCTCATCATCAATTTCTGTCAATCTTCTTTGTTCCTCAATTGGTACAGATTCCACTGGAGGGTTCGCTATCTTCGGATCTGGCCCATCTGAACTCTGCATCGGCCCCGCGGATTGTGGCAGCATCGCGCTGACGGGTATTGGGATTGGAGATTGCCCTGAGGGCGTCCACATTTATTGCAGGCTGTATTATCGCCAGTATTGGGCCATTGAACCCCAGAACCAGCCTTTTAAGCGTGTTATTGCCGGTCATGCAGTACCGGCCACCTTTGGTGCTTCGTGTTGTTCATGTGGAGAATTCTGCCACCGCCCGGGAACAAGTGACGTCGGACGCTATCAACATTGCGGGAGCTTCCCTCGTCGAACTGACTCAATTGTCTTCATTTATGAGGGACAACCCGGTTTTGATGGATATTTCAGGCTTATAGGCGATCGGAGAAAAAGATGTTTGCAAGAAATACGAGGAGGCAAGCCTCGGCAATTTCAGGATTATCGGCGCATCTTTTCAAAGCTCGAGTCCACTCTCGAAATACTACAAGGAGTTATAGCCAGAAGACATCAAACTCGCCCAGCGGCAATCAAGGATGGATTGGACCTACGGTAGCTCTCGTCGGAACTTTTACCTTGGCATCGGCTGCCTATCTTTATACCAATAAGGAACCCGCGGTCAAACAAATACCAGCACGGTCGATGAAAGTTGCAGTTGCAGTTGAAGAATCTAGGGTCGATGATACTCTGTCAAAAGAGCAGAATCGAGAAGCCCTCAGCACCCAACATGCTCAGGTCCGTAATATGTCAGACAACCCTGGGGTGTATGCATGGGGAGCAAATAGCCACCGAGTCGTTGATCCCGACTCGTCCGAAACCATAATAAGAAGCCCTCATCGCATACGTTATTTCGAAGGACGATACTTGAGGGATATCAAGCTCAGTGAAACTTCGGGGGCAGCTGTTACAGATAGTGGTGACTTGGTTCAATGGGGAAAAGGTTTCTCGGAATCTGAATTCCAACCTGTGCCTACACTAAAAGGAAAGAATCTCGTCTCAATAAGTTTGTCTCGAGACAGAATCATAGCTTTATCGTCTGGCGGAAATGTTTACTCGATACCGATATCAAAATCCGATCAGGAATCGGGCCCCAAGCCTCGAGAGACCTCGTGGATCCCATTTCGATCACCCAGGTCTCACATTAGCTATCGTCCGCTCACTCCACAGCTAGGCCTGGGTGAGAAAGTCACATCAATTGCGAGCGGCTTGGAACATGTATTGCTACTTACAAGTGCGGGTCGCGTCTTTTCTGCCGCGGCTGCTACTGAATATTATCCCTCGAGAGGCCAACTCGGAGTTCTTGGATTAACATGGGCAACTCGTCCAAAGGGACCAGTTGATCGCTGTCACGAGATAACCTCCTTGAAGAACTTCAAAATCCAAAAAATTGCAAGTGGAGACTTCCACTCTTTGTTATTGGATAAGGATGGGCGTGTATTTGTTTTCGGCGATAACTCTTTTGGACAGCTTGGAATCGGTTATGATCCCACTACCCCTGTGATCGACACACCCAAGCAACTTCCGATGAAAGGCTTATATTCGAGCAAAGGCTGGGCTACTCGTGTCACTAATGTCGCAGCAGGTGGTTATACCAGCTTTCTCACCATTGATGCGCAACGGGCTGAAGGATCTCCTGACGACAAATCCGACCTCTCTCCCAAGCCTGCTTCTGTCAGCGTTGATACCTGGTCTTTTGGTAGAGGCATCCACGGAGCCCTTGGAACAGGAAAGTGGACACACATTCAAGACCGCCCCAGCAAGGTGAAAGCTCTCAGCGGCCTTTCTGAATATGACGAAAAAGCTCAGAAGGTCTTACCAATTCACCTCGTCCAAATTGCTGCTGGTGCTACACATGCCGCTGCTGTTCTGGGCAATAACTCTCACTTAAGAACCTCAAAACGGTCATCAGTAGCTGACACAACATGGGGCCAAGATACCCTCTGGTGGGGAGGGAATGAATCTCTCCAACTTGGCACTGGAAAGCGAAGTAACATTCCGACTCCAACGCATATTCTCCCTCCTCCAGATATTGTAACCTCAGCCAATCCTGATGAGTCTCGATTTCAAATTCTTCCCGGTCAACAGCGCATTGAGTGTGGCAGACAAGTAACTGCCGTCTACTCTGTCAAGAGCTGAGCGCGCAGTTGTCAGACTGTATATTAGCTCCCCTCGTTCTCCTGCTCAAAAAATTGTATTATCCAGGAAGTCATGTAATATATGAATATAATTATCAAACCCTTAATGTGAAACATTGAACGCTATGAAAGTGAAACTTCCCAGTTCGTTACTTAGTGAATCATGCTCCCACTAGCACGCTGGACTGCTAGTCCCACACAGTGATGCAACCCATTAAATAACAAAGCCCTTTTGCCAGACCAACAAAATCCCTTCTCACCTTATAAAAGCTTATATATATTATATCTTGATATAAATCATAGAATTGAAGATAGCCTTAAAACCAACACATACATAAAATTAAAACTAATTAATTTTATCTTTTAAGGAAAAATTTTTAAATTAAAAGGTGTGCATTAAAAGGTGTGCTCTCGGTAAGAATCGAAACCAATGGGTCCACAAAAAAAAACTGGTAGCTTCTCTTTGATTGAGCGTGTCATCCTTAGTGCAGGGGCCATGCTAATCTTCTCTGTATCGTTTCAAATTGACTAAATGTCCCGAAGGACAGAAGTAAAGGCCCAATTAATAATTATAAGGGGACCCTGAGAACGAATACTTTCCTCTAATTGGTCATTTCTGCAGTTATATTAGTCACCAACTAACGATTGTGAGCGATCACTCTGGGTCTGGTTAGCTACATAAGTAATATTTAATGTATGTAGGAACTCACAAGAAGGACAGGGATAGATCAACAAGAGGCTACTGCAAGCATAAATGAGGACGAAAAAAGACTTCTAGGAATATTATTGCGCTATATACAGTGTGCTACTGATCTCGCTAATTATGTGGCGGGCCCGCGCTAATACATATATGTATTACCCCGCCACTTTTCTAATAATCATGTATTGGTTACATTTTTGTCGTCATTGGATTTTATGCTTTTAAATAAATATCCTATAAGATGTATTTAATAATGCTAATCCAAATGGATTAACACCTTCAATACCCATAGGAGGTCATTGGGCTCCTAATTCTATACTGGAGAACCACTTTATACATATAAATAAAATGAGGGGTATTCACATTTTTAAAAGTGAAAAGTATTACACGCTTGTGTACCAAATACCCCTGCTCAAATTGAGGTTTCTCGTCATCCCCTCAGTCCTGGCATCTATGCACCGCCTGGGCCTCGTTTCAATGGTATCCCTTTCAAGTCAATCAATGAAAATATTAGCTCTGCAAGCATTCCGTTTGCCTGTTGCATGGACAAATCTGGGACCCGGGCAATGAACCAAGAAAGCTAGTCTAGCTCCAGGGTCACTGTCAAGAACGTCTGTGGCCTAGCATTCAGGATGCCTGTTGTGGGGTGAACTGATTGCTTGGACTGTAATAGTACCTGGAAAATCCCGAGAAGATTTTCCATCCAAATAGTGAACTGCTGCAAAGAATGGTACTATGTTTAAACAAAAAGGCTAGCAAACCAGTAGCCGGAATAATCCTTGCCGTTTTTGAAGTCTTGTCGGCTACTGTCCCAGCCTACAAGACTTCACTGTTTGGTCTGCCCGCCTCACTCAATGTATGTACACGCTGTTTCAGAATTGTTACTTTCGGGAAACACCTCAACCCCCGATTTAAGCGCATCTTCAATGGTGACATCATCAATATCTGCTACTTCATTTTGATCGCAACCATCCGTGACCTTCTTTTCCGCGTCTTCCACCAATATGTGCATCGTCCCTAATCGCTCTTTGTCCCCTAGAAGCTCAGCTAGCCCATTCAGATTATTATACAACCCGTCGACGTCTTTTATCTCCTCAGTTGCAATTTGGCCGAAGCGACTTTCCCAACCTTGGGATAGGGCCGAATCATGTTTTTTGGTCGTTTTGCATTCCTTGCCCGATTCACCTTTCTTGTATGGTCGCCTAGAACGTGAAAGGAGCATAAGCAAGCCCTCGGGTCAGAGTACCTCCCCGTTTCTGTAATTCTGTGAGATCATTCTCGGTTCGAAACCCTTTTCGGAAAAGCTAGGCTGGAACGATAGGACTATCGTCGATGGAGTCATTGCCTCAGAACTGTTTCTCTCCTCGTGGTGCTTTTTGAGGATGATTCTTAACGCCATTTTCGATACACAGAAGTAATGGAAAATCCCCTCCGTATCTGTCAAAACAATTACACACTTGGTTATCTCGCCACCCTCTGTAGACTCGCTCCTGAACTTGATCATAAGGTTGCCAAAGATGTAGATGGTTGGAAATTAAGTCCCTGTATCTCATTTCCTTTAACCTCAAGAAAAGCAGGGAGACACCTGCAGTATATCTTTAAATCGAATGGTATAATATCCACTCCATCAGGTTTAATAGCAAGAATACGATTGTATCCGTTCTTTCCATCAAGTGTAATTACCTTCAGAATGCTCATTTGGAGCAGAAGTTGGTTATACTTGATAAGAGTTGACGTGAGAACAGTCTTGAAACTAGGTGGCCTGTGAAGATTATATCGACGAGGGTCTGAAAACAAAATTAAGGAATTTCCATCATTAAATCCGCTTTCTTCAAGTCCCCATGGGATTGGCGATTCATTTGGCTCAGAGGTCATGATTGGCCTACCCAGAAGGATGACAATCGGTGCATCTAGGCTTCTAATAGGGAATACAATCTCACTATCCTCCTTTGTAGTATTTCGGATAGCTTCAGTAAACCTAGTATTCTAGTGTTCTAGCCTTGATTGACGATCGACTGGAAAGCTAGAATCTCTAAAAGGTAATCAGTAATACAACCGCTCAATTCCTCATACAGCGGCCTCAGAAAGACCCGTAGTTGATCCATTTTGAATTGTTAGATACTTATCCCACTTGGTGATGCCTTCATCCTCTCTTTGCTTCCAAGTTGCGAATCGGAAGGCTGGCCAATCCTTAATTTGAGGGTCATGAGATATTTCAACTGCCCTGATGAATTCGCGCCGAGAAACATTATTCATATCGATGCCCTGGTATAAAGGGGTAAGATTATTCAGCCCCAGTCCAGAATATGGCGGAGCTGCTGGAGTTTCAAAAAACTCTGAGAGTATTTTTGCTAGTAATGATCGAAAAGCTCGTACAAAAGCCACGTCTAGAATATTAGAACAGATAGCTTGTGTTTCTTCGTCATCACTTAGACCACGCAAATTTTCTGGAGCCCAGAGCCGTATGAAATTCATCGAACGATGCCCGTTGCATTCACCATAGATTAGGGCTTCCTATTCTATTGGATAAGCACTATACTTGGTTCTTTGTCTCCATGAGGCTCTAGTTGTACATGCTTCTCAGCCGGGGCTGTAAGTGCTTAAAGAGCCATATAGTCAAGTATCTTGTATATTATGATCTGGGCTCTTGCCGAACCACGTATGCGACATTTATGTTTTTAAAAATGTGCGAATACTTCAGTGTATCCACCACATATAATGAGCCTAAGCATGTTATTACCTGAAGGTATATGTCATATACAAAAATCCGTATCCTCGCGGCACGGAACCCTACTGCTCAGATGCACAGCTCTCGCCCGAGGTTGCTTTTGGTTTCGGCAGAAGTCCTGGCTCCTGTCCTGCTTGTACCTCCGGATATCGAATGATCATAGCGTGGAGCTTCCATTTTATTGACAGATGGCTATGATTTTCAAAATTATGGGAACTAATATTAACCACAATCACGGCAAAGATCACGACTGTTTGGTCTGCTTTTTTTTGGTCGTCTTTCGCATTGGATTGCATAAGATTAATAAGTTGGGGGTAGGCGATCAAATGCCTCAGGGCACATGTGCCGAACAGAGGCCGATGGCACATTCACTGTATGTTTACATCCAGAAAAATATATCAGAGAAGGATGTTCCCACCAACAAGTAGAGTGATGAAATACCGAGACCTATTAATGCCGCTATAAGAATCTTGGCTTGCTTGTCCTCGCCAAAGTATGACGTATGCCCTGTGGAGCTGAGGCACCCCATCAATTGATAGTTCGAACTAGAGATTCACCACGAAGCGGACGCCTCCATTGTAATAATGTATACATGTATATAATGTATGCCTGAAATGTTTGAGTGGAAACAAACAAACGGTGCAAACCCAGCCTTATCAGGTTATCGCAAGTGCACGGACCAATGCTTATCAAAAAAAAAAGTCGTGAGCAACCGCCCAATGCTTTAGCCACACACATTCGACGCACCGCGAGACACAATGCCCCGTGAAAAGCAGAAGCGAGGTCGCCGTGCACAAGAGAGGGAGAAGAAGGAGGGGGAGGAGGAATATAAACGAAAAAGAGAAGATGACACCGAAGCGCCAGCGGTGAAACGCCACAGAGTATCCGCTGAAATCGGGTCCGAAGATTTCGTTCCGCTCAACGTCGATGAGGACGACGTTCAAAGACCCGATAGCAATGACACGCCATTTTACGGTCTTCTTGACCCTGAAGAACAGGATTATTTCTCCAAAGCATCCGAAATATTAGAGCTGAATCAGTTCCAAAGCCCGGAAGAACGGGGTCTTTTTGTCGAGAGTGTCTACGAAGAAGCGAAGGGCAAGGAACTGAAAATTGCCTGCAGTCAATCATGCTCGCGGCTTTTAGAGAAAGTGATTGCGCTCTCGGACACAAATCAGATTCGGCGGCTTTTCAGTAAATTCCTCGGTAACTTTTTGCATCTCGTACAACACCGCTTTGCAAGTCATTGCTGCGAAACTCTATTCACCATGGCCGCTCCAGCTCTCTCTGACAAGGCAACCAACCGGGATAAAACAAAACAGCGAAACAACGAGGAAGGTGACGAGGAACAAACACTGCCACTGGCGGATATGTTTCTACAAGTCATTACAGAGCTGGAAGGCAATTGGGGATATCTTTTGACAGAGCGCTTCGCATCTCATACCATTCGCGTCCTTCTCTTGGTCCTAGCTGGGGAACCTGTGGACATTTCGTCAAACAACTCGGTTGTCGCGAGTAAAAAGAAGGAGAAGATTGGCGTGCTTCCAGTCGACACGAAAGACCAGGCTGCTTCTATTACGTCCCGGACCGTCCCCGGAGCATTTGTACCCACTCTGAAAAAAGTTATGAAAGACATGACATCCGGATTAGACGACACTTATTTGAGGGCCTTGGCAACTCATCATATCGGAAATCCTGTCTTGCAGCTATTGGTATCTCTGGAGCTTTCGCACTTTGGCAAATCAGTTTCGAAGGATCCCAAATCCATTATCCATCGGTTGATCCCTGATGATTCGATGGAAGAAGGTGCTCAGTCTGCTATTTTCTTGGCAGGGCTGTTATACGATCCTGTTGGCTCGAGGCTAGTAGAAACTATTGTTCAACATGCGCCTGGAAAGCTGTTCAAAAATATACATAAAAACGTGATTCAGGACAGAATATCATCTCTAGCGCGTAATGAAATTGCCTCATATGTCCTCGTGCGCGTTCTGGAGAGGATAGGGAGAGATGACTTGCAAACTGACCTTGATCTCATCGTCCCAGATATTCCCAGTCTTATCGAGAAATCACGGCTCAACGTTCCAAAGGTGTTGATTGAGCGTTGCTTAGTCCGAAATGTTGACACTACTTCTCTTGCAAAGGCTTTGGTAGCATCGCTTGACAGGGATCCGGCTACAAGATTGCATCAGCTATTAAAAACGGAGAAAGATAAGAAGGAAACCGAGGTAGAGGCGGACACTGATAAAATGAATGGGAATCCCGAAATACAAAAGAGTCTGTCTGCCGTGCAGTTACATGCGTCCCTACTTGCGCAAACAATGCTGCAAGCCCCCGGGCCCTTGAGCGATCTCATATACGCTGGTTTACTTGCTATTTCTTCGGACGATCTTATAGCAATGGCGCTGAATTCAAGGACGTCACACGTGGTACAAAAGGCTCTGGTAGCGCCCACGTCAACTGTTCAATTCCGTCGCCAGTTCATTCCTCGTTTTTCCGGTTACATCAAGAACCTAGCTCTAGATAATAGCGGCTCCCATGTTGTCGACGTGCTTTGGGAAGCATCGAAGGATGTTTTCTTTGTCAAAGAAAGACTTGCACAAGAACTTTCCGATAATGAGCAGGCACTCCGGGATTCGTTCCTTGGCAGGGCTGTATGGAGGAATTGGTCCATGGACCTTTACAAACGACGTCGAGGAGAATGGAAAGCGAAAGCCAAGGGCATCGTAGATCAGACAGGTGCCACCAAAATGATTGAGAAGAAGCCAGTCAAGTCAAAGCTCGATCTTGCAAGAGAACGGTTTGACAATGCCGAGAAGTCTGCAAAGCTTGGGGGCAGCATGGCGAGCATTGCGACAAAATTCCAATAGTACACGATGCTTAAACAAATATCACAGCCTTGAATTGGCGTTGGTAGTGCACATATATATAGTATTAAATCATCAATGTACATGTATCAGTTGACATGCCAATTGATATCGATTGATCAATTCATCAATTGATGTAGTGATCACTTTGAAAAATGTAAGGTGGGGCGCAGAACGCCGAATATCACGTCACACAGCTGCTCCTTGAATGTTGTTGTAGTCAGAACACTTAAGTGCATGCGCTTCTAGATTGCATTTGAACATACGAACCTGTTTCTCGCGCCTCTCGTTAATATCATTTATATCACTTGTTCTCAGTACACAACCAATGATGTCATTCCCAGCAAGCGGCATTCAGTCCGAATGGCGCAATCGCGGGGACTTGCCTTCCTGATGCGGAGCCGAGAGAAAAAAATACATTTCTTCAATATTAATAATATAGCTAGGTAAAGGACTGTCTCTCAATGGATTCCTTCGCTCAGACACATTCTTCTGCCATTGCATTGTTTTAGATCGTTTGCTATTGACACTGGATTTGGAGCTGCGCAATCCATGGCACACCCTTTGAGTCGGGCTGACGAGGTTGGCAGCGTATGTGATACTTTCATTTCAATCTATGATGTTTGATCCTAATGATGGATTAGACTGACCTCAATTGTAATATTAGCTCCTCGCTGCCGTCCAGAAACTCCTCATTCCGTTCATTCGCTCTGCCGATGCTCCTCACTCTCCCGAAAATGGTTCTACGAATGGCACAAATGGCAATTTAGCCACCTCTTTAGTCAACCACAAAAGCCCAGATGAGCTGGAGAAGCTGCTGAAACTCGACTTCCCACGCACCGGCCAGGGACAAGGAAGATTCCTTGAGGTTGTGCAGCAGATTTTACATTACTCGGTGAATACTTGGCACCAAGGCTTTTTGGACAAGCTCTATGCGTCAACAAATGCTCCAGGCGTCGCTGCTGAGCTTATTCTCGCGGCGCTGAACACCAATGTTCATGTTTACCATGTCTCTCCCGCCTTGACCCTCATCGAAAAACACACAACCAAAAAGCTAGCGTCGCTGTTCGGGCTCGACGGGCCTTACTCTGGGGGTATTTCTGTTCAGGGTGGTTCGGCTTCAAATACAACATCCATTGTGATCGCAAGAAACATTCTGTACCCGAAGACCAAGGAAGAAGGGAATGGCAGCTACAAGTTTGTTCTCTTCACAAGTGACCATGGCCACTATAGTATCGAAAAAGCGTCTCAAATGCTTGGGTTCGGAAGCAATGCCGTCTGGTCTGTACCCGTTGACCAAAAGGGCCGCATAATCCCGTCTGAACTTGAAAATCTTATACAACAAGCTAGAGATCAAGGTAGAACTCCATTCTACGTGAATGCGACTGCTGGGACAACCGTTTTAGGGTCCTTTGATCCATTTAATCAGATAGCAGATATTTGCCAAAAATATAACCTTTGGCTTCATGTTGACGGCTCATGGGGCGGCTCGTTCGTGTTTTCCAAGAACCAAAAGTCTAAGCTCGCGGGAGTAGAGAAGGCCAACAGCATCGCCATCAACCCTCATAAAATGCTCGGTGTTCCTGTAACCTGCTCTTTCCTATTGGCAGCCGACCTTCGCCAGTTTCATCGTGCAAATACTCTTCCAGCAGGATATCTTTTCCATAGCCCCGATGATATTGAGCAGCCTAGTGGGAAGCCAGAAGACATATCAACTGACTTACAAGTTGACTCTCCCGAGGTCTGGGATCTTGCAGATTTGACCCTTCAATGTGGTCGACGAGCTGACTCTCTGAAATTGTTCTTGAGCTGGACATATTACGGATCTGAAGGCTATGAGCGCAAAATCGACGAGGCCGCTGATGTTGCCTCATATTTAGCAACTGTCATTGATAGTCACCCAGATTTACTTCTTCTCAGTGACAACCCGCCTCCATGTTTACAGGTGTGCTTTTACTACGCACCCGGAAAACGCTTAGTTTACGATGGAGAGAGTGAAGATCATGTCTCCGAGAATCTACATGCAGCCAAGAATAGCAAAGTAACCGAGAAAATAACCCATGCACTCGTTGCAAAAGGCTACATGGTTGATTTTGCACCACCAAGTAGTAATGATATTGAGAACGTTGGGAACGGAAAGTTCTTCCGATGTGTCGTTAACATCTCAACAACCAGAGAAACCATAGACGGTCTGATTCACGCTTTTGAGGAAGTAGCCCCTGAAGTCATCCGAAAGCTGAAAGGATAAGTAGGGGAACTTTTTAAGCATTCTAGATATTAAAACCTTGAGACCTGTATCTATCATCAGAATACATAGATGTGAGACTATGACATAGACATGAATACATACATTTTTGAGTAAAATAAAACATTAAGAAGTTAAAGTTCCTGGCCTCTTTCATACAATTTTGTATTTCGTCTATTCCTCTGTACTATCAATATCCCCCCGAGATCATTGCTTCGGATATTTAGCTGCGAATCTCAACTCTTTTCTCTAATACTGATCTCGCCTCTGCTTCAGTCAATGTTTCAATGTCCAACTCATTTAGTACTTGACGGGCAGATTCATTGTTTGCAAACAGTCGCCTTTCGACCTCCCACAAGCCCAACTCTTCATTCTTGTCTGTTTGCTCCTCTTCAGACTTTGAAGTGACATTTTGTGGTTTAATTTTCAAACTCAAGAGAGTCAGACCCTCGGTAAGCTTTCTGATAGTGCGTCTCGATTCTCCCTGGGATGCAGCTTGAGAGCTTAAAGCACTGTCGACCACGCCACATACATGATGAACATCACTGGCTAGCTGAGAAGCACCGGCGGCGGAAAATGAATGACGTAAAATAACGTTATCCCAAATAAAGCCCTGCGTTGAAAGAAGTACTTGTCTCGTTATTCTTCGCAAAGCCGCGGTGCCTAGAGCTCGAGCAAGGAAGGAAATGTTTGAAGATAGAATGCGGATGGCAGACGTTAGTTCAGAGGTGAGTGGATGGGGGAAGCTTGCAGATGGTGAAGAGAGTGATGACCATGTCGAAACACGTGAATAGAGCTTCAGGGAGTTTTGCACCTCGGATGAGAATGTAGAAACGATAATGCTTTCTGACCGCATCCTGAGACGGCGGTATGCAGATGCGGTTTCATCAAACAAGGCCCCTTCAGACATATTGCTCCTATGAGTCAAGTGATTATCAGCCACTGCCTGAGAGGTTCGTTGGGCCACTTCAGCAACGGACATAGGCCCGACCACATTCTTCCCATCGTCCTTGCTCTTTTGCACACGGTCCTGAAGTTCATACCACAAGTCGAGGAAAAATACGTCGTCGCTCCAGTCTTGCATTTTCTTTTCCAAGTACTCAGCACTTCCAAAGATACGGCAGAGTCTTTCAAGGGCCGACACGCCTTCAAGGCCCCCTTGGTCCCCTCCCTGTACGGTACGACCAATAGTCGAGGTCATAGCAAGATATGCTTCGAGGCCCGAATGCAAACGTTCGTGGAATTGATCAAATATTGTAATTTGTATTTCTATCAAGAAGCGAAGCTTGTGGCTAAATGACGACAATGGCTTATATCGTTCAGTTATGGTTTCCAGAAGATCATTGACACGTATAGCGGCGTTTGTGGGTTTCGTCGCATTTGATTCAACTCCATCGTAGTCGATGTGACCACTTTCTGGAGTATCAATAATATCTTTATAGCGAGAGAGAGCAAACTCCTTCTCAACCTGTAGCCATCGATCAAACCAATTCTGCTGGGTGAGCACTTCAGAAGCCAGTCCTTTCCAAGTTTCGGTAGAATATGAATTGGGAAGGTAGTTCCATGTTTCTCGAAGATCTGTGTCGAAGGTCATTAATTCGTGCATAAAGTGGCTGAGAAGTTGAGGGTTTGTTGCCACTTGTGGAACAAAACCGCTTATTTTCTGCCTGATCATCGGGAGTAAGGCCGTGATAAAAGCGTTTGTTGCGCTTGAAAAGTTCCATTTCAGTCCATCAGCAGCAGAGCCGGCTCGTCTGGCCAAGATAGGCTGCAAGTATGTTGCAAAGAAGCCTGCATGAGCGCTGATCAGGTCGGATACGTGGGAAAGAAAGTATTCAGGCTTCCATCAGTTAATAAATATCATCGCATCGAATGAAACATGCTCACTTTATCTAGCCTATTAGTCGGCTTTGTCCCGCTGAAGTGATATTTGAAGCGAAGCTGTAGCGGGTGTACCATAACTTCTAACGGAAGCAGGACTTGTGCCTCTTCTCCATGCTCAATCGCAGAAGGGTCCGAGACACACAAGTCGCTAGAACATTGGAGTCATTCGTTAGCTTATATGTTTTTTCTAATAAGACCCTTCGGCGGCATTACACATACGGCTCTTGGAAATCCAACAAAAGGTCGACGCTAGCTTCCCATTCTCGAAGGAACCCGTTATTGAGTACGAGGTCTTTTCCAGGCCATCTTAGCTTTTCAAGTGTCTTTTGCAATCGGTTATTGAAATTTTCCTGTATTTGCTTCTTCACAGAGGTGGTGAGCTTTTCGATGTGATCAACAAGATGAGGAGCAGCACCCTCTGCGGCAACTTGGGCATCATTCAGCGAAGATAATATAGCACGTAGACGTTTGTATGAGGGCAAAGCTTGATGGGGAGCGGATTGTATACTCTTGGAAACATGGTCGCTGCGCGATTGTTAGGATGTATTTGTGTCGACTAGGCACGATTCAATCTTACCTCAACCCCTCAGCTTCGTGTAATAAAGATAGGTAACCCTTCGCTACATCAAGGCGCTGCAACTTGTTCATGCTCAGCTGAAAAAGCCGCACTGCTTCATCACTCGTTTCTGATTGAGTAATTATTTTCAATCGTTGGTCGATGTCTTCCTGCTGGCGATTGAAGGCTTCGGCCTGTGTTCGGACGGCATCACGATGATTCTTCGAGGCAGTGGTAGCCTTTTCGAGTGCCTGCTGCGCTTCCGCCAGCTTTGTTGTGTCAGCAGAGGATTCAGGCCCATTGATTTATCCCGAAGCCTTTAGATCGCATACCTGCTTGCGCTGCAATTCATGCTGGGCGCGGAGATTCGACAGCAGCGAGTCGAGACCCTCGAGATCGGCCAAAGATTGTATTTTGTCGTTCAAGTAATCCTGTACTCTCGCAGCCTCCTGAGAGGAGAGCCGATCGAGAGATGCCGTCATTGTGGATTGACATGCGCGGCGGGGAGAAACGGTAAATCTGTCAGGTCCGGCTTGGGCATTAGTTATTACGATGACGCCAGGGAGGAAGCAGCTACTGACGTGGAGCTGCTGCCGCTGCGGAGGTTGCGGAGCTAATATTTAATCAGTAGCTGGGCCATGGGGCTTCCTTGCTCTTCGCCCTCACCTTCTTCGAGTTGGCCATTACACACTTTACCCTTATGGCTTCTTCTACAAGCTTGGGGGAAGGATCATGCCTAGTCCAGCCAAAAAGCGAAAAACAAATGCATCGGAGCCAGCTGCCGGGCGTATGAGGAGCATTGAATCATTCTTCGCCGGACCGCAGCCACAACCAAAACCACTGTCGAACACAACAGAAATATTTCAAAAAAAAAACAATTTTACCGATGAAGAGTTGGCGCGTAAATTACAGGCTGAATGGAACCAGGACGATGATACGCTGCAGCCCTCTGCATCTATGGAAATCACCCCTCCCAGTAATACGTTGAAGGATACAACGTCGTCACCTGCCGGAACACTAGGCGCCAACAAACCAGCACCGCCTGGGAAAACGTTTCAGAATGACATTCTATCCTTGCAGTCTCCTCTTGGGTCCGAAGATACCATCGTCTCATTTATACCCCTTGATGAAAGCCCGCTGGTGTTCGACCCATCGAAATATGTGGTCGAACTACAGAAGCACTGGGCGCAGGATAGCGGAAACGCTTCATATGCCCTCTTGACAAAGGCTTTTGTTTTGGTTAATGCGACGACAAAAAGGATCAAAATTGTTGATACTCTCGTCAATCTCTTGCGAATACTGATTGAGGGTGCACCCGACAGTTTATTACCGGCAGTCTGGCTGGCGACGAATTCCTTTGCACCGCCATATGAGCCAGCGGAACTAGGTCTGGGCGGGTCGGCCATATCAAAAGCCTTCAAAAATATATACGGGTTGAATAGCCAAGGATTGAAAGCCTTATATAATAAGCATGGAGATGCTGGCGATGTCGCTTTCGAGGCTAAAAAGCGGCAGAGCTTTACCCTAAAAAAGCCGAAGCCATTGACGATCAAGGGCGTCTATGAATCACTAGTCAAAATTGCGAGAAGCAAAGGAACTGGGAGCCAAGAAGCCAAACAACGCATTGTGGAACGCTTACTTCAAGATACTCGAGGAGCAGAAGAAAGCCGCTACATCGTGAGAACCCTCGTTCAGCACTTGCGCATTGGTGCTGTCAAAACAACGATGCTCATTGCACTCGCCAGGGCTTTCCTGTTTTCCAAGCCGCCAGGTGCTGAGTTTACAGTCGAAGGGATGAGTTCCCTAGCCAGTTTGAAAAAGGAGGAACTGACTGAACTCTACACCAAAGCCGAAGAATTGGTCAAAGCATCCTATGCTCGTCATCCCAACTATGACGATCTTGTACCATGTATGCTTGAGATTGGAGTCACAAAGGAATTACTCATACATTGTGGGCTGGCATTGCATATACCCTTAAGACCTATGCTAGGAAGCATTACACGTGATCTATCAGACATGTTAACCAAGTTACAAGGCAAAGATTTTGCATGTGAATACAAGTATGATGGCCAACGAGCACAGGTGCATTGCGATGCGAATGGGAAAGTGAGCATATTTTCTCGACATCTCGAACTCATGACGGACAAGTATCCCGACCTCGTGTCGCTGGTGCCCCAAATCCGGGGGGAATCTGTATCGAGTTTTATTCTCGAGGGAGAGGTTGTCGCTGTTGATCGAGAGACCGGCGAGCTACAGGCTTTTCAAATTCTTACCAATCGGGCCAAGAAAAATGTTGATGTTGAGAGCATCAAGGTGAATGTCTGTCTGTTCGCGTTCGACTTAATGTACTTAAATGGGGAGCCACTACTCGATCGATCGTTTAGAGAGCGGCGGGACATGCTTCGCAGCCTGTTTACAGAAATCCCCAATCGGTTCACCTGGGTCAAAAATTTGGATGCTACCTCTACTGATTCAGAGGCAGTACTGGAGTTTTTTAAGAATGCAACTGAAGTCAAGTGCGAAGGCATCATGGTCAAGGTCCTCGATAACGAGGCACGCGGGACAATCATAGAGGCAACAACTAATGACGATAATGAGGCGAATATGAATATGGACCAATATGAACAGGATGAACAAGTTCCCGCACAGTCAAAAAAGACCAAGTCTACTCGACGGAAAGCCCTCTTATCAACCTACGAACCTGACAAACGCTTGGACTCCTGGCTCAAAGTGAAGAAAGACTACAGCGCATCTTCGGACACTTTAGACCTCGTTCCGATAGGCGCATGGCATGGTAACGGGCGCAAAGCCAAATGGTGGTCTCCCATCCTTCTCGCGGTGCGCAATTCAGAAACTGGTATCCTCGAAGTTGTCACCAAATGCATGTCTGGTTTCACAGATAAATTCTACCAGGCCAACAAGGAAAAATATGCACAAGACAGCGAAAATGTTATTTCTCGACCTAGCTATATCGATTATAGGGGGGAGCCCGATGTATGGTTCGCACCGCAAGAAGTATGGGAAATGGCATTTGCTGATATCACATTGAGTCCTACATACACGGCTGCCATAGGGCTTGTTAGTGAGGATAGAGGTCTTAGCCTGCGCTTCCCCCGGTTTCTTCGAGTAAGAGAAGATAAATCCATCGATGAAGCTAGTACATCCGATTTCCTTGCTGGACTGTGGCGTAAACAGGTCGAGCGAGCGACCGAAGAAGGCATACACGATGAAAAAGATGAGAACGTCAACGAAGAGCTCGAGCTTTGAGAAACTAGTTTCTTCTGGCAGCATTGTATTGATCATCACAGAATTATCTACCGACGTCTCATGTGTGGCTGGATATTATAGGCGACAGGAGACCATCGAGACTGCACGCGATTGACCTTTGCGGACGACGCCGAACATATTGTTGGCGCTAATGAAATATCCATTAAGACTCAGCCAATGAAGTTGCAAACAATTCAATAGTGCATCGTGGCGCTTGAAATCACCAGAATCAGGGCTAAATTTTAATCGCCACATGGTCCCGGCTCGGCTCATATAGCCGTGGTTTTATTTAACCTTTGGTACCTTTAGGGCATTGGAAGCGAATTATTGTAAATAGCATATTATTGCCACGTTTTTCTACCTAGTCGGGAGTTGTTGGATTCTGAGGGGCACCAAAGTCCTATAATAAGAATGTCTGCAGCGCTCAGCAGAATTGCTTTTGAGATTCTTTATCCTTTCTCCAGCCAGGTCCATTGATTTCAGTGCGGTCTTGTCTCTCTTTGTGGAGCACGTTCGGCACCAGTGTTTATTAGAATAATGCGCTTCATACTCAAGTCTCTCGCTTTACTAGCTGTTGCGGCGCAGCCCGCTATAGTTACGGCTGTCCCAGATACTAGCCCTGCCTCCTGCACTGTATCGACTTCACCTCCAATCACATGTTCCGAAGGCGTGTATCTACAAGGAAGTTCATATTATCAATGGCACTGCAGCATGGGATTGAGTGGTTCGATCTTTTCGAGCGGCACAGGATATTCACTGCGGGCTTGCATGGGTGCCTGTACAGGTAACTCAGCTTGTTCTGGGGTAGATTTTATTCCTGCAGCAAATTTTTGCCGTTTTTATACAGGTCCAGTGACTTTCGTTGCAAACGGTTTTGAAGCAGCTGTCAAATACACCTCTAACCCTTGCGACCCAACCACCACCACTTCCTCCTCATCCTCAACGTCCACCTCGACTTCGACATCAACGAGTGCTTCAAGCTGTGGTCCAATTACTACAACTACGGTCTTTCGTCGAGACCAGATAGCAACGATGCGACATCTCAACCCGGTTGTTGTGAGGGAACACCCATATAAGAGAGATCTCTTATATGTTCGCATTACTACGAGGACGTCCGCTTGTTCGGATACTATCACTACCTCGACTACTTCTACAAGTTCTGCGACGGTTGTGACAACGCCTGTATCAACGCCTGTATCAACGCCCGTGTCAACGCCTGTATCAACGCCCGTGTCAACGCCCGTCTCAACGCCTGTGTCAACGCCTGTGTCAACGCCTGTGTCAACGCCTGTGTCAACGCCTGTGTCAACGCCTGTGTCAACGCCTGTGTCAACGCCTGTGTCAACGCCTGTGTCAACGCCCGTGTCAACGCCCGTGTCAACGCCCGTGTCAACGCCCGTGTCAACGCCCGTGTCAACGCCTGTGTCAACGCCTGTGTCAACGCCTGTGTCAACGCCTGTATCAACGCCTGTATCAACGCCCGTCTCAACGCCTGTGTCAACCCCTTTGACTTCTTCAACTCCAGCTGTCGGAACAAGTTGCCGTCCATCCAGGACTCCTTGCAGTGGCTCCTCTCGTCCTACCGGCCGACCTACCGGCAATACATCGACCACAGGATCTGTTTCCACAATCATTTCTCAATCGCAGACACCATCAGCTTCGTCAACTTCTCTTTTTTCTCAGACTTGTTCCGCAGGCCACACAACCATAGGATCTGCTTCCACAACCGTCTTTCAATCGCAAACAACGTCAACTTCACCCACTTCTCCTATCTCTCAGGTCGGTTCCACAGGCCACACGACCACGGCACATATGACCACTGGCACCGTGCAAGGGCAGTCTACATCAACATTATCAATCCCCATGACTGCTCCTTCGAAGACTTCTCCGGAAGAAGTAGTCACGATCACATTGACTCAAACATACGTCGTACCCTGCTCCACGGGCTTTGAAACATCCACCATCACACTAACCACCACCCATTGCGGCTGCACCGAAACTCCACGACCCACTGCTATTGTCCTGACGACATATACCACTGTGTGCCCACAGAGCTGGGGGTTCACCGCTCCAGTTGCCGTCACTGTACCTGCTACGCCGTTGGCCGTTGTTCCTGCCGTACCTACATCTACCCGAGCCACAGCCACGGTTGCTGCTGGCGGGACACTCCCAACTGGAACTTTTACCGCGACTGAGCCCGGTTCAAATACCGAAACTGAAACAGAGACGCAGGATGGAACTACTACCGCTGTCGCAGGAGGCTACGTAGCTGGAGGAAAGCCAACCACTGTTACCAGCGTTACCACGCAAGTAGCTTCAGCAAGCTTATCGACAAAGGGCTCCTCGGCATCAACTACTGGGCTTCCATTTAAGGGCAGCGCTTCGTCCTTGAGTGATCACACCAGTTTTGTTGGTAGTATCATTGCTGTGATGGGTGCTTTGATACTTTTGTAAATATTTCCACTATCATACAGCTTATTTCAATAGGCGTCCTTGAAAATTTCCATTCTCTATACTCTGTCTGTGGGTCTCTAGGGTACCACACACAGATTATTGCCAGCATTAATGTCAATACTCTCACAACACTTTCAACTTTCTATAGATCTAAACCCAATCATAACATTGAACAATTGATTGCCAAGAACATTGACCCAGCCAGTCGGATATTATCCTGCCCTAACCAAAAGCAGACTAGACTCATTCGCGAAAAAACGCGTGAACGCGAAAATCGACGCGACGCGACGCGGGGAAATTGAATTTGAGAGCATTCAGAATTGATTTGCCAGAAACAGAGTCTAGGTAGTGTCTGGTTGTGATTACATACAGCTTTGATACTGGGACAGAAACTGCCACGGCGAATGTAGTGAACAGCGGGGGAAAAAAAACCGAGTCTGGCTGAGTCGTGACAGGACAAGACACAATTGTAAAGTAGAAAATAAAATGCCGCACCATGCGTGACAAAATAGGCCAATTTGAAAGTCAAGAGGAATGTGATGCATGTATAGACATCGTTGGAGGTGGATAATATAATATACCAACAAGGAGACAGCCCCGTACTCGAACATGAAGGGAGGAAGATAGTAACCCACCTCATGGATGAAAAGAAAAGCAGCGATGAACAACTCGCTTGTAATATGCAACTGTACCGAATGAAACACAGGATCATACAAAACAGAATTTCATGAGTTAGTCGTATCGGGCGTAACAGGCGTGGAAGAACTGGGCTGCATGTTTATGGCCGAAGCTCTTCGCCAAGTTGTAATGCTAAACCGGAGTCCTTGCCGCGGCCGACCGGGCTGTTCATGTCAGGAGGTAGAAGGTTGTCGAAGTTCAAGGACTTTCGGGCGGTCCTCATCAGAGGGGTTTTGGAAAGGTTCCCTGGAGTACGGCCACCCCAAGGACGTTGGGCCGGACTAGGCGTGACATTGACGAAGTCGGCAAAGTTGAATTGTTGTCCTGGGGTACCAAAATTGGGAAATACACCACCGCCAGGCGTAGGGGTCAATGACGGCAAGGCCGCATATTGGCTCGGCGGAGTAGATGGAGGAAAGTCCCTCGTCTGCAATTTGGTATTGATCCGAGCGGGGGTTGGAGAGTTCGCCAGGTAGAGAAGCAGATCTGCACCATCCTCGTTCTCATTTTCCTTGCCATTTCTGGGTTGACGAGTGGCTCGTAGAGGTGGAGTGCGCGGGGGAGAAGAGCTAATCATGGAAGAGCTAACATTGTGGTCCTGGCGGGCTGGAAGCTCGAGGTCATTCTCTGCATCTGAATTGCCGGGAAATGCTAGGCTTGGGATGTCGAATGAAGGGGGGTGGTTCGAGTAGATTGGCAGTTGACGGCCAAGGCCTGGTGATGATTCTGGCAGATGATGTGAAGCCTTCCATGACGTCCTACGGGCCTTTGCTGGACATCCTGCATCTGAGTCGGACCGCACCCGCTTCCGACTGGCATTCAGCATCGGCTGCATCACCTCTGGGTTGAAAGTCGCAGCATGCTTGTTTCGTGCCGATCGAGGCAGCTCGTGAGAAAATGCAGCGTTCCTTGCGGGTGAGGAGGTCAGAGGGGTTTCATAGCGGCTGTATGGTATTTCTGATGACGAGTCGGATGGCTTGTCGGACGCCAGCTGGTCATCCTGATTACTCTCCTTCACCTCCGCCGAGGCTGTCCGGCTCTGCTGGTATTTGACCTTGGCGAGGCCTAGCCGATCTTGAAGGCTCAGGCATACCTAGAGCCAGTAGTTTTGTAAGCATTGGCATTGTCCTTGAGAGCGAAGAAGCAAATTTGCAAAAGCGTCAAACTAACCTTGGCGATGTTCTTGCGAATGGTCCCGTTCATGGTTCGTTCTTGCGTGGGAGACATGTTATTTCCTTCCCTCCTTTCTTTTTTCTCTCTCCAAAATCCTCTCACTGAGTCACATCCGGGGGTGGAGTGTGAAATAACAGCTTGAGACTTCGGACGGGGAGGATGGGATGGAGGCGCCAAGCGCTGTCTTTTTTCCCAAACCCTTCCAGCAGCAGCGAGGGTGCGGGAGAGAAGGCAGCTCTGTCGCCCGTCAGAGGAGACGACAGTCCAAGAAGGGCGGTCAATTGACAGCAGAGCAAAACAAGATGGTCTCGGAAACCTGTGGTGACGAGAGAGAGGCAGGGCTGAGTGGACTGGGAGAGTACTTGGTACTTACTAGGGTGGCAGGTGGCAGTGGCAGGCACGAAAAAGCGGCAAGGGTGGGCCCTAGTAGTAAGTGCATTATTTACTCTTTCGTATGTACCTTGCTATTCACCATTTCCTATGTCTATTTAATGATTATTATATATGTATATGTAGCTATTTACTATCTAATAACCTGATATCAATGGCTCCCTGTTGACTGTTTGAACTACTATCAATGACTGAAAGGTGAGTGGTGATGGATGGATGCGACAAGATGGACATTCTTGAACAGCTCACATTCCAGAGGCTTGCACAACGCTACGCAATATGCATTGATCATTGCTCCTCACCGTTTGCAATAACCTATCTGGCTGCATTCTGTCATAGTTGGGTTTGAGGGAGTGTGCGACAGTAGGTAAGTGGAAAGATAGAGTAGCTGGTTTTCTGTGCTAGCATATGCATGAACAGAACAATACGTACAGTAGCGAAACAAGAGGGGGTATCCGCGTCATCGCCGCCATTGCTGATCTGCTTCCACCCGCCAGAATTCCTGACCAAGGTTTGTTTCTCTGCCTCTGCCTGCCTGCTCCAATGGTGTTTCCACCAGCAACGTCCAGGTGGAGCCGCCGGTGCACGGGACATGTCCGTGAAGCTGGTTTCTGAGCTGATAACAACAATCACGAAGAATCCTGAGCTTTGCTGATGGGCCTCGCCGTGGCCGCTATTGTCGTCCCAGTTTATTATTGCCGTTAATATCGGTTGCCCCCTATTTATATTCATATTTTACCACTGCGATCAGGCTGATTCCTGCAAGCTGCTGCCGTCATTCCCTGCGGCTCGCCTCCCGCCGTCCCACCGTCGCTTGTCTCAGATCCGTGCTGACTGACTGCCTACTTGATCAGCCTCGCAACAACCCCAGTGATAGTCACAGTCATACTTACATTCACCGTCACCGATACGCCTCGCTCGTGCCTGCTCTGTCGGCTGGCATGCGCGTTTGTTGACCGGCAACCTGCAGCATCATTTTCTCCGCAGACCCCTCAACCTCAACGCGAGACAGAAAGTGAAAGAAGGAGAGTAGGAGAGAAGGAATTGCCCGCCTATCGTCCCTGCCACGTCCAACCTGCTCCTACCCAGCTGCTCAGGGCGCGATACCGTCAACCCCGCCGAAAGGCGGCCTCAATTGCATGCACCGCGACTGCTGTCTATCCTTTCTTTCGACATGTCCATCTTCAAGGAGCTTCGACGCCGGTCCAAGGCCAGCTTTCGCACAAACACGTCCGGTGTATCGCATTCCAACGGCGATATGACAAGTGGCCAGTCCTCGTCGACCTTGGAGACTTCATATAGCTCCAGCACGCCCCCGTCGTCAATCAAACCTACTTTGTCCACCAGCAATCTCCAGACTCTAAGCAAATCAGTCAGCGGATCGGAGACTCCCATGCAGTCGCCGCCTCCGCAACGTCCAGTGCCCATATCTTCCCAATCAAACAGGAACAGTTTCTACGTATGTTCTCATTCATTACCTAGAGAATAAGATGCTAACAATTTTTGAACCCTCCAGGCCGGAAACAGCTCACCTGCAAATGGCTCTATTCGTACCCCCGCTCCTACCTCCCCATATGCTCCTCGAATCCTCTCCGTCTCTGATAATTCATGGGTAGGACCAGACCAAGACAAGAAATTGATTTCAAGACTGCTGACTCCATCTGTTTTATTTCAGGTCCATCAAAAAGTCCTCCTCGTGTACGGCCAAGTTGGCGATCCGCGACAACATCCCATCAACGGCACTTTGACAGTCTATCACAATCAGGAAAACTTTCCTACGACCACCTGGCCTGTCTGCGAATCTCATTTCAAGGTGCTGGTTCATCTTGTACCGGGCCCGAATCGTCTCCGCTTTGATTTTACCTCCTCTAAACAGTCAACCAGCTCTGCCTCGAGTCATTCTTCCTGGCATAATATCAACTACCTCCCCCTCATCAATTCCCCTCCCCTCGATCTTGTCATTCTTCTAGCTAAGGATTCCCCCGGCACTTTCGATGCGCTACCCGATCGCGCTCAAAGAGGCGAGAATAACCTTGAGATGGCTGTACGAAAGTATCGAATGGCTGCCTATCTCTGGCAGGCTTTTACGGGGGAGCAAATGTTCCGACATTCTTTTGGCCGACGCTGCTTTCGCTTTGAGGAAGAATGGCAAGCGGGGACTCTTAGTCAACGAGACGCCCAGACTGGGCAAATGAGAAACGAGGCCAAGATTCACATCGTGCGTTCTGACAAGACGGTCGCAGAGCTACGGGACCTAGATCTTGCCCAACAGCATGGGCCTGCAACCAAGAAAGATGGACTTTTTGAAATCGCCAAGGATGCCGTCACCAACCACTTTCAACCACACCCTGATCAGAAGCGATATGTTTCAGTGTTGTTGCTCGATTCCCAATGGGACACCCAATCGAGAGTGATCACCGGCCATGCAGCATTGGGCTCAGATAGTGGCAATATAAAAATGGCTATCTTCGGCTCTCACAGTCTCCAAAGCTACCCTTCTTGTCTCGAGGAGGTCGTTCCAGCATTTACTGACTGCACCAGGACTGACACACAGTTTCTTGCGAACGACTGCGAAGAAGCAGGAAGCAACTGGGAGTCAGCCAATATTGGCATAGGCGCACATTTACACGAAGTCGGCCACTTATTTGGTTGTCCTCACCAAGAATCTGGTGTAATGCTCCGAGACTATGTGCGTCTAAACCGGACCTTCACCAGCCGTGAACCATTTTCAACTCGGACAAAGTCCCAGGGCTTGAAAATATGCACACCAGCGGATGAGTGTCAATGGCACCGGCTTGATGCTCTTCGGTTTAGGTTCCATCCTTGTTTTCGCTTGCCCAGCGATCCCCCCTCACACCATGACGAGAGCATTCAATTGTGGCCAGTAGAGAATGGAAAGATCCTTATTACCGCTAAATCGGGGGTGGCTTTTCTCGAAGTTTATGTCGACGGAGACGATCTTTGCCACCACTTTCTAGAGTTCATTCACAGCGAGTCGCCGAATAGCAATGTCCCTCGACAGGTGACTGTCACGGAGGCTGAGCTACGGCAGTTACTACCGTCTGAGAAACAGAAGAAGAAGTTTCGCATACAGGTCTTTTCAGGCGGTCTCGGGAAGCAGACTGTCGATGATGTCGGCCTTTTTACTTCGAAAAAGTCGTTCGTGAAGCTCCCCAAGGGTCAATTAGGCTTCAAGGGTAGCAAGCTCGGCAATTCGCAGTTGGATAATACTGAACCGCAACAAATCCTCTTGGACAGCACTTTTATCCAGACCAAATTGTTGACATCCATCAAAGTTTATCATGGTTTTGCATTGGACGGTATGGAGTTTTTTTACGAAGATGCGACTAGTCAGCTCTTTGGCAAAAGAGGTGGTAAGCCGGGCGGCGATGAGTTTGTTCTTGGTAAGTATTCTTAACCGTAGCAATACTCATGTTATTGACGACATGATAGACACGAGGCGTGGAGAGATTTTGCTGGGCTTCTATATCCGGGCTGGCCTCTGGATCGATGGCATCGAGATTCTCACAAGCTTAGGAAGAAAATCAGGGGTTTATGGAAATGCACAGGGTGGTTCAGGGTATGCAATAAATGGGAAAAACAGGAAAGGTGCCAATCACTTGCTGACTTGCCGATCTAGACATACTCTTATACCTCCTCGAGGATACAGCATTGCTGGCATATCGGGCACCTGTGGCTCATGGGTCGACGGGCTTTCATTGATCATTATGCGCTAAGAACGCTACGCATCTATGTTATTACGGCCTAGTTATTGCTTCTCAAGCAGAGGCGATAAATGTTGGTCCGCATGCATCACTACTACAAGAACAAGGAGCAGGACTACAACATCAGCATTTGCTTTTGAATTCCCGTTAAGATAGCGCACCCTGCCAGTGTCTGGGAGTGCCGACCTCTGTTACAGCTATTTCGATCGCGTGTTATGACAACGAAGCTACCTCGCGGTTTGATGCATTTAGCGAGTTGTATAAATCGCCAAACGTCGCCTCAGGGTAGTATTAGGGCCCTCGAGGCTGATTTACGTCTTTATTGGAGGCATCAACGAACCTCATTTTGTCAGTTGTATAATTACACATTAGGTTGGGTTGCATATTTTGGATGCTGGATAGATATGTAGGATATCAATATCTAATCCATGATTGTTCAACACGTGCATCTTTAAACAACAAGGCATTCACGACAGCTCCTTGCATTGTTATCAATAATATGTTATAGATTTGCATGATGCTAAGTACCAGTCTGTTCAATTGACACCTCTAAGAATTGGCATTTAAAACTACATATACATATATGCATGAGAACATTCTCCTCGCGGTCTGCACAATCGGCGCACTGCAGTCAGAAACATGCTGTTCATATAATCGATCTACAAGGAAGTGAGAGGTGGTGACACAAGCGTCCTTTGCACACAGTAGACAATTTCCCTGCGACCCTGGCTTTTGAAAAAATATTAATAGCTAGTCATGCTCAACGAGTCAACAGTCGAACAGTAGGAATAATCTGAATGCGACGTACTATAACAAATCAGGCCAAATTCCCGCTATGCCTTCTCGTTCTCTGATTGGCTGGAGCTACGTGCCATCGTGCCAAGCCAGCCATTACCGCTTCATTCCATGTTTGCACTAGTGCGTAAGGAACTATTTGGACAATCTGATGTATACGGCCGCGTTCTATGTTACGCGTATCGTATGTATGTATGGCAACGATCCGCTCTGATACGTTATGTCTATCACTTTCCATTCTGGAAGTATCATGTACTGACTGTCAAACATTACAGCCTATCATGTCTCATTATGGCGTTTGCTGACATCGAGCAGGCATAATTCATGAATATTAATGGCGTTGGCTGAGCGAGTAGGATCCACGCATTCGGAGTGTGGCTTATGCGGGCATTGATATGTGTAATGTCACGTCTATAGTCGATGAATGTGTTCGTGTTCGCGCAATAACGAAGGCATATTATTATTTGGGCACGACTGCACTTTCGCCTTTGGAAGCGGCCTTATTATGGATCGCATCTGTGTAACAGTGTCGATTTATCTCGGAAATGATCGATGCATCCATTTTTATTTCCACGGTCCGTGGCGTTTCGTGCCGGCAGTGGTTTGTGATGTCGAGTCATTATAATACATTCTTGTCAATCCAAGTCATTAATACTAGTGCTATTGTTATTGTTACCAAGAGGGAATTAATTATACACACACGTAGCCAAAATATCCGCCTCCTACGTGCTTTAAGCCCCAGCTAGCTTAGATATTACCGTGGCTTGAGGTTGTTATGTCACGGCCGAGCACTTCTGCGACTTAAATGTTACACCAGCTACGCCTCCCAAACCATCAATATTAAATACCATTAATAAAATTTCTTTCCTCATCCTGAAAACAAATGTCCATCGCTGGGCTAGGTGATTGGGTGATTGGCAGTGGCAGTGGAGGGGGCCACCGCCGATCACTTGGCGCCTATCGCCACTCCGGGATTTCGCTCCGAGGAATCAGAAGCGGCCCTGCTACATGACTAAGCATGTGCTAGCTGTTTCGGGCCGGCCAACGGTTGCGATCTATACAATACCATCAGTATCTACTATCAACTCAACGAATAAATGTGAATTTTTGTTGATTATTAAATATTGAATAGCGCTGTTGATACTGATGATGTCAATTTCAATACACTTGAGATGTTCGTCTTTCTCTGTTTACCGGTAGATGGAATCTAGGAGCTGCAGCCGTCGCACAACCCACCGCGCATCAAGATCATCAAGATCATCAAGATCATTCAGACAGTGTGTGCTATGTGCCTCGCACAGCCTGTATACAATGGCCACGTATCGATATTAATGATTATCTGCTTCACATGCCACACTATGCGAGCTCAAGTATTTAGTCCCAGCCACAAGAAGCTGTATCATTAGTTAATATTGCTGTTGCTGGATATCATTTACTAACCAGGCGGTGCCTAATAATATTGGTTGCTAAATGTGTATCTATGCAGCCGTGGAGATCGCTCCAATAGTATTTCTGAGGACGTTTCATCCTCGGCAGTCCGCATTGGACAGAGCCGACTCCCGATGAGTAGAACCCTCTAAAATATAGTACTCGAGTCGTTGGTTTTATGGTAATTGATCAACTTTCGAGTCCACGTGGAGCGAAACCATTGTCAATGCCATCGCTCTAAATGATGATTATACAGTTACAAGGCAATGAATAACAAATAACAAAAAAGAATGCTCTCTTTGTCTATTTTTGTAGCTAGAATTTAACCTTGTATTCATAGTTTGTATGGGGAAAGCGGGGTCATCCATAATAAAATGAGTCAATAGTATGCAAATACCAAGAGTGTCTGAAGTGGCAAATAACAGCACAGACCCCGGCAAATTGCAATATTGATTTTTTGTGTCTCAAGCCTCAGTCAGAGTGTTTGGTGCGTTTTCATCTTTATCACATGTGGCTTGTAAATCATTGCCTTATGCTTAGACCGATTGTCTACCAATTCTTTGGTGGCAAAGTCATATTTCCACTATTTGATTTTTCCCCTTGCCCTTTTTGTCTACGTTTTTTGTCGTCGGTAAGTTATCATTGTGTGAGTTTGGTATGTTGAAATATGTAAGGAAACGGGGCTTTCTCCGACATTACAGTACCAAAGACGAACCCATGGTCAAGCCTAAAACGGTCGCCCTGACCATCCTCGACGTTTTGAGGCGTTAATGACGTAACCTGCTATATCCCTATTTTTAAAATGCAATCATCTACCTGTGCTCCAGCCACAGGTTCTCTTATCTCATAGATTCCGATTTAGCGGTGGTCAGTTCGTCAATTGTGGCTGAACACTTCCATGGATTACAGAATCGATGTTTTCGTCTTCGGTTATTCTCCTGGGTATTTTCCTGTCATCGCACATGCAGAAAATCTGCTGTATTTCGAGTAACATGTCTATGTGACAGTATTAGGTGCTGTAGTCCTTCCACTATCGTGTGCCAGTCATATTATTGATCGCCCCGAACAACTACAAGTACATTATAGAACAGCTACAAAGATAATATGATTGGGTTGCTCTGACTCGGTTTGACAATAAATAGGCAACAGAGTTTGAAGACACCAGAATGTGGGTTTCGTTTTATGTCTCAACGCTTCATAAATGAGGAGCAAAGGCCATTGGATGGAAGACTTTCCCTATGTATGCAGTTGCGGTATGCTCGATGATCTTAACTAGCTCTCCCGTTTCAAATGGCACTACTACCCACAGGCAGACGGGTTTATTTTCCGCTCATTCGCATTTTCGGAATGGCGTCGCAAGGGATCCTCCTATCTGGATACTATCTCCAGACCCAATTGACGAGTTTTTGATAACATATCGATTTTAACCACCAACCATAGTGGCGGCATCACGGGAAACCATTGACTGTCATTGTTGTTGTGGCTTGAATCCACAACGACCACTTTTTCTTTCCCTTGCCCCGCTGAGATTTAATAGGCGATGTTATAAAGAATGGGCTTCGAGAGGGACCCCCAGTGGGCCTGTGCGAGTGCATACGCCATGCAAGCCACGATTCGAAAATCGATCCTATTGCGTAATGGGCTGGAATGCGAGTATTCGAAGTCCTCGCCCATCACCTTCTGAATAGCTGAATAGTAGCATGTCGAGTTACATTGAACGAAGGCATGCTCGCGATCCATCGCGGGCGATAGTCGCGGCACTAAGAAGCATGCTTATCGGCCAGATTTACATCTAGAGCAGCCGAAGATACGTATAGTACCTTGGCGTGGTGGCAGGCGTTAGAAAGCACGTGCTATTAGCTTCGATAGTCGATTTCTTGCAGGGAGTTCATTGCTCAATTTCACGGCTTCGTTTGTTCACGACGGAACATCCGATAGATAATTGATTGGATTATTTGCCCTGCAGGATCATCCACGTCGATGCGAAATTGAGATCCACAAAAGTCGAGAACGTGGTAGCGGTTGATGTATATCAGAAGGGCGATCGATCTGACTCGCCGCCTGGCAGCGCAGCGATAAATCGTCATTTCCACAAGATTTGTTTTATTCATCGAAATTGTGAAAATGTCGAGGCTGTCAGCTAATCGCTGGGAACCAATGACCGGTCGGAACCACAGCCACGGAACTGTTAGTTATTCAATAATTTTTCCGTTCCATCTTCTCTTCTCCCATGACGGTCTGCATTGGCTCAATTGATCTGGTAACTGTATATACCGCATACTGACATGGCTGTGCTGTCTGCTTAAGAAAGCTAGCTATACACGCCTACAAAATAAATATAGCATGTTTCGAATGCCAGCTGGACGGTATTAATAGCAATCATGGCGAATAAGACTGTGGGGAAGCTACCGTCTCCGATGCAGCTGAATGAGCCGTCTCACCCGAGTGGACGAGCGGCGACGCTGACATCAACGCGCCGAGCGTCGCTCGCTCAGGGATGGTGTGAGGAGATACAAGCGGCACGCTGAATACCAGCCATTGTTGAATGCTCCATGATGTCAAGAATAGTATTGTAGAATTGATATAATACAAGCCTTAATACAAGAGCATACTCAAGACAGAAGGGTATTTGACGGCACGCTAGTAACGTATCTGGTCACGGCCATACCGCCGTGCGGGTCCATCAGCAGGCGGCCCCGCAATAGATTTCAGGCCCCACTCATGTAGCTGCTGCTGCATGAATAAGGTATTACAAGCCAATCAGCAGGTGCTGTGTACACCAACGCCCAAGCCTCTTGCTGGGATGCCGTGCTGTGGCTCGCACAGTAGCTGTTAGTCCGCCCGTTCTGACTGGCCCAACCGCAAGGGGACTGTATCAGTATGTCTGTGCCTTTGCCTATACTGAGCGTAATTATGAGGGTATTCCGTATCTCGACGTATTGTGCCGTACGATATAGTCTGTACTGTCACCAATAAGGGGCAATGCAGCGCCTGTTCATATTCGGAATCATGCTATATCTCAACAATAAAGATTCTTATTTCCAATATCCTATTTCTGGGATTACACACTCTCGCCATCGACCGCGGCAATGCGTCCTCGCGTTCCGTGGTTCCATGCGAAGAAAGCGGGTAGCACCGCACCACACCCCGCCCTTGTAAAGCCAATACGTAATTATTGACACTGACCACCACCACCTGCCCTACTCTCCTCCTGATCTCAAATTATTACTATTACTATTACCTATCCCTGTTCATTACCTCTCTTCCTCTTCAACTTCCTTTTTTTTAATCCTCAATCTCCTTTGCTTTCCGCTACTTTACACTCTCGTCGACCCGTTTGCGCTGACGATAAACTATACACGACACTAATCTCGAACTATTCCTTCTGTTTTCCGCCCCTCGTGCTTCCCACGCCATAGTTATCTTCCACCGTCTCACTGCAGTTTGTCTGTGGCATTACCATCGACTGCACCTGCCACTCGCTCGACGAGAATCACAACAATAAATCTTGATCCCGTCGCATAGAGGAGACTTTGCGATAGAGGCCTTCGTCGCTGACACCGAAACAGTAAGGAGAGCGAGAGAACCGAATCCGTGCCTGCTCCGAATGTGGCACCTAGTCCGGCCCTCGTCTCTTTTCCTTTACGATTTCCTTTTTTCCAGCTGTCTGCTGTTCTAATTCCAGTCCGAACAACTGTTGTCGCCCCTGATGTTTCGCAACCGGTTCGTCCATTCATCGTCTCTCGAGAAAGCTTCCAGCTAATCAGTTGATAGTAGAACATCGCAAAAGCCCGGCGAGGAGTTCATCAACAAGTTCCGCAAGTCGTTCCCCGACGTCATTTCTTCGATCTCTTTTCCCGGTGATGACAGGCAGGGTAGTTCGGTCAACCAAGCTACTCTAGACTCTGAAATCCATGACAGGTTCGTTTTGGCTGCGAAGTGAAAAAGTAGAGATTGCTGAACAAGGAATATAGGCCTGAAAACGATGAAATCAATAAACCCAACGATCCGACTCCGAGGGCGCTCCAGGACATCAGATTCACACCCTCCGTTTTGGATCCAAACTCGTTTCAATTCATGGACTTTGCAAACCAACCCCCCGGCTACTATACACCCAATACCGGGGGAATGACAACGATATACCACCCTCAAGCCGGCGACCTTCACACGCCGTTACCCTACAACCTTGGCACTCCGATATCAATACCAAATACAATATCAGCAAGCCAGCCTGTCGACCCTCCCGGCGACATGAATGTCAACAACTTTACTCCAAATATGCAGCACTTCATGCCCCAGCCATTTCAAAATATGAATCCTTTCGCCGAGCAAACAGCCTTCGCTCCCAACTCATTCATACATCGAGATTCGACATACGACCCTATGGATAGATCGGAGGAATCTTCAATGGATCAAATGACAATGCAAGGCGGCCAACCTTTGAACATGATGATGCCAAATGTTGGATTCTCGGAACAAATGGATGTTAGGTCTGATGCGCAGACCGAGAAGTAAGAACCAAAACTTTTAATCAAAAATCCGTCCCATATTCTGTTCAATATCAGTCCACATTTGATCACTATTTTCTAAAAGGATATTGCTCCTGACACTACGCAGATTCCGATACGGCGTTACGTTACGTGCCCCAACTGCCATGATCAAACACCATGATGAAATACCAATGACTTACCTCAACAAAGGACAGGCTTATTCGATATCCGTTGTAGATACTGCTCCTCGCCCCCCCAGCAGTCAGCCTTGCAAATACCGCACATTTATACGCGTCTCTTTCGAAGATGAACAACAACGGTCAAAGCCTGCTACTTGTTGGCAATTATGGAAAGAGGGACGAGGTTCTAGCGAAGCTTATCAACGAGGCGGTAAGCTCCTTGCCGTGGAATACGTCGATCCCATGCAGGGTGGAGATGAAGATCAACGGTATCGGCAGGTCGAACTCCAAAACGCTTCTTTCGATGGCTTTTGTGTTACTTGGACTGCCAACCCGACTGCTGGTTCCGCTGATTGTGCGATTTCTGTTCGTTTCAATTTTCTTTCGACCGACTTTAGTCATTCGAAGGGTGTTAAAGGCATCCCTGTCCGGTTATGCGCGAAGACGGAGATTTTGACGCCGAACGATGCAGCACCTAGCCTGCCAGCAGCCGAGGTGTGTTATTGCAAAGTCAAGCTTTTCCGCGATCACGGCGCGGAACGGAAATTGTCAAATGACATTGCACATGTTAAAAAGAACATGGACAAGCTAAAGCAGCAAATAGCCCAGATGGAGATGGGAGGAGGTAATTTCAACAAACGCAAACGTAGTAGTGTGTCCATTGCGACCAAGGTTTCTGACCATCGACCAGTCAAGATTCCCAAACACAAACGCACGTGGTCCATGGACTCACAAGAAAACGGCGGCAAGCTTTCTCCCGAAGACGATCTCCATCTCCGATATTCAATGTTGCAAGACATGTTTTCGTCGACCCGTCCGATCAGCGTTCTTAACCTTCGAGGCGACGAACAAGACGACCCCGATCTCTTCCCCGTCGCGCTACCGAGCCAGAAATTCGATCACCTTTCCCGCCAAAGCACTCTCGAATCTTTACGCAGCGTTGATGGAGGCTCTGGTGCTTCAGTTATTTTGTCACCGACTAACAGTAGTATTTCACTCAACTCTCCTCGACGACCGCCGGAACTGCAGCTACCAAATAATGCATCAAATCGGAATGATGATGGTATAGATTGGTCGAACGCTAACCTACAGTCATCTACACTCAACCAGCCCACGAAGGTCAGAAAGAATACGACTACCGGCTATATCGAAGCAATAGATATCGACCCAACTTATAATCCGCCGGCAGAGCGTCCGCCAAAACCGAGTACGTTACTTGCTTGAGTTCTATGGTGCTTTTGCTAATGTTCTTTAGTTGCATGTTTCTATATTCGCTTTCCGTCTGAGCAAGGGGACGATTACTACCGTGCAGTTTACTTGAACGAGCGCACTGTTCATAATTTGATGAATAAGATTTCGGAGAAGTACAAGATAGATGAAGATCGTATCGTTCGACTTCTTCGCATCAATCACAATGGACTGAGGATCATGATGGACGACGACATTGTTCAGCAACTTCCTGAAGGCCAAGACATGGTGGCTGAATTTTCCGATGCATCTAACTTCCAGATTGCTACTCCCGACGTGGACTCGCCCACATCCGCCGTCGAAGTGAGCTTGAAATATTAAAACTTGCTTCACGCAATCATTTGCCTCCTTTCAATTCATACTTCAATTTACTCGATTCCCACCTTCTGATACTGCTCCGTTTTCCCGACTACGGCCGTCAACTCGACTTGCATGCAAACCGCAGTTGCTGAATGGCAATATCTAATCTTAATGTCGCTTGCTGCGTGGTATATGCAGGGCATACGGTGCTTATCAGCGAATTCAACTATGGTGGTTGTGTCAAACTAATGTTTGACTTTATTGCATTTATCTGCCTCCTTTTGGGCTGTGTTTTATACGGCGTTTGGGCTGGTCTTTTCTCTTTTCCGGTCTCCTTTGTTTTGGGCGTTGAATACGGGGATAATACACGAGTCTCCGAGCAATGATACCCATGTCGTTATATCTGTCTTTTTATTTTCTGTCATTTTTGTTTTGAGGCATTTTTGCGAGTTATATACAGATGGGATTTTTTTTACATGGCCATGAAGGCGATACAGGAGTCTTCACGCAACAATGGCAAGACATAACAGCATTCTACACTTTTTTCTGACACATCTCATAGCTGTCAGACTTTTCGACTCTGAACTTTTTTCAGCTTTTTTCAGCTTTTTTAATTGTTTGTTTTCTTCTTTCTCCTTGCCTTCTTCCTTCTTTGGAAGAGCACGGTATGAAGTACACGAGATTGATACCCTGCTGGTTTTGCTACTATCTATTCTACTCTCCACTTCCAAGGACCACTTTCCATTATCTCTGTTTTATCTACGTACTACCTCTACGCATGTACGTTTACAGTTGCTATGTGGTGCAGATTCGGGAATTCTATGTAGTTGGACACTATCTCTATCTGATATAGACTATAAAATTCTAGAGTCCAAAGGGTTTCCAGCAGATCCAGCTTATGTCTTTCTGGGAGTGGTCGATCGAGGCTAGTATCAATTTCCGAGCAGCTGTCTAGATGCATCCTAGAATCCGGGGAAATTTCAGGCAACCTAGCACTGTTCGGGATTGACACTTATGCCGACACCTCGACAGATATGTATTATTAACTTGATTTTGGACTTTATTGACTACGATACATGGAAAGTATGTTTGACTGTATCGAGGATGCTCCGCCACTGCTGCCTTCGTAAGTACAGGCTCGACTATCGGACGAGGATCGTAGCAGGCCCCTTCGTGAGATTACAAAAGTATCACAAGGAACGGGTTCTGTCCTTTAACTTTGAAAACTTACAAACAGGAAACATCCTGCCGATGATGCAGGCTCCGCGTTGTTTCAGTACGGAAGAGTATAATTGGATGCCGGTCATTGGCAGCAATGGGAAGGCAATTATGTTGAACACAGTGGTCCAGTTTGAGCCAGCGGCGAATGTGCCAGTAGAGATTGATAGTGGTGATGAACGTTAATGAACCTTTCAGGGAGCTCCTAGGCTCACCCTTCATTATCACGAATGCCGGATCCTTTCTTTTCTATGAATGAAACTTTTCGGCCGTAGCCGTGACCCCAACCATGGTCTCAACAAGTATTCCCTTGTCCGCGAGACTACGAAGCAAGTCAATGGTCAGGTATGACAACTGTGTCTCGCCAGCCCGGCTTGGGGAGGGGGGGTGCAATAATATGACGCCATAGTCTAGCTTGCCCCGTAAACACATTTGGGCTCTCTGTTACAAGGCACCAAAAACTTAGTGTTAGGGTTATCTGTGTCTAGTTTAAACGACCCCTGACTGAAGAGAATGGATATTCGTATTCCTTGTATTTAAATTTACATGTTAATAGAATAATAATCAAAACATAAGATTTGGTATTATACTCAAAAGACGAGAGTTGACATACAGGGCTCTACGCTAATCTAAAATGAGAATGGAAGTTTCCAAATTAGGAAACACGCTACCTGTTTTGTCGCTTCGAGCCTTTATCACCTACTAAGTTGAGCAGAGCAATGTGATGTGGACTGTGTACAGTCGGAGAGCGTGCCTGAGGAGTGCCTGAGAAATGCCTGAATAATTCCTGAACTGTAGTCAGGATGCCTACCTTCCGCAGCATGGGATCGCCCTTCCCCAGATGTCGCAGCCAATTCCTCTCTCCTCCCTCAATCTCGCTCGTTCACCATTTGTCAACCATACCAACTCTTATCGTGCCAACACCAGTCTTTTATTTCAAGTCATTGCAAGCCCGTTGTCAGAATGATGGTGCCTCTAGTGCTGTTTACCATCTTGGTTTTTGGGCCATTGGGTCTGTGTCTGAGTAGGTTACACTGACCCACGACCAAAGGTGTTTTTATTTCCCTCGTCAATACTGACCGTGAGTCGGCTTAGAAGCTGACATCAGTCCATCTGCAATCTGTAAATAACCCCAGTCCAACAGAACCTCATTGCTGATAATGTATTTAGGTAAATTGGCTCATAATATCGATGAAAACCGGGGTGACTTTGTATGTCGAGATGGTAAGCTGTCTTTATTCAACTTTCTCTCTATCTACTAATTGTCACTTCAAGTCGCTACTTCCACGTCTATAATAGTCAGCCACGTTCACGAGACCTCTTTCAGAACCATTACCATTGAACCCAGCTTTCCTGGAGAGCAATGGCCAACTACAGCTCCTACAACATTTTTATTACCAACCGAAACTTTCCCTCGCCCTCCTCACACTCCAACGCCCTTCTTGACTCCAACAAGTTGGCTCACATCGGTGTCAGCTCCAATATCTAATGTCTCAATGCATAGCAGTATGTCCTCGAACGTGGCGACACCTGGATCATTACTCTCCACAAAGACAACCGAAAGTGAGTCGCTCACAGACACACGCGACACATATACGGTACCTGCTCCTACCCATACCACCAAATCAGCACCCAATGTCGCGGTTGGAAAGAGCGGCCCTAGCGCTGCGTTTGGTGGGATGGCGGTAGCGCTTTTGAGCCTTGTCATTGAAATAAATATAGCTTGAAGGAACATTTGCGGCCGACTCTTCTTTTCAAGCGGTTTATGCCTCGTTTCTATCATTTGAGAAGATATACGTCTTTCACATTGCAAAGACATTATCCAACCCTATAGCAAGCGACCTGAAGGATATGGGAAGGAGTCAATTCCAATTTTACAAACATGTATATCACGGCCACCCGAAACATTATGAATACCACGCAAGACGGGTCACCTCAGAACTTCCTAGTAAATTGGGGGTATCAATGCAAAACTACAGAACCATACAAAAATCCTACATCACAACATGAAATCCAATCCAACTAGACCAAAACTAATTGTTCATACTTCATGCACCTACTGGGACAGATGCATTCTCAACTTCTCTGCCCAGTGCACAAATTCGACACCCGTCCCCGATCCGATCACGTATCAGACGCGCTGCATTGACTTTGGGTCCGACAGTTCGAGATGCCGCATAATACGAAGGATCCTCGGTTTCATAGTCTTCCTGTATTGTCGATGACTCCTGAGAAGTCTCGTCCGAGGAGGCGTATTCGTCGCCATGCGAATGGGCCTGCTCCCTAACGTGAGAGAGATGGAAAATGTGGCCACAAGCAAATCCAACGAGTATCTCTTTTTCTGTACATCACAGATGTTAATTAAAATATGGAAAGACTCAAAACTGCCTGTGATGTGATATGGAAAAATATGAAACTTACCATTTTTGTGAAAAGCTTTCAAACAGCCCCCGCACAACCCAGGGGCGACATGGCGAGATTTATTGAGTATGTCACGAGGGCGCTCAACTCCCCCATCATCTGCATTTTTTTCGTCGTCGACATCTTTTAGTTTGTCGTTCTCCAACACTGAAGAAGAGACGTCTTCTGACGTGCAGATATCAAATTTAATGCCTCTCCGCTGTCCCCGACGAAGATTATCCATGCCAACTGCCACCTCACTTTCTAAAACCTTGGCTGCTCCTTGACTGATGCTAGATTGAACATCATGATCCCGAAGTAACCGGGTAAGCCCGTCTCTAAGTCCCTCGATTTCTAGTCCGCTTGGGATGCGCTTGACGAGTTTAATCGGGTCGATTGATGTTCCCGCTTCGGTCAACAATGCGTGTATGAAGGCTGGTTTGTCCATCGAGTAGTTTAGCAAGTCCTCCCATAAGTCGGCGTCATCTTGATCTTTAGCAAAGTTTATTGCCTGAGAGACATCATTCAAATCGGATAAAATCAGATTGAGGGCCCTCTTTGTCTGACCCGTCTTAGAGAGAAGGTATATGAGTTCTGATGTATAATGTCGCATTTCACAGATCTTACAAGCCTCATCAAAAGAGTAGGATGTGCTTGTTTGCAGAAAGTCCATCAGCAACTGCCGGTCGTAGTCGGCAAATAGATTTAATGCAACATCGGCAAATGGCTCTACCAACGTCCTTCCTTCATCTGCAGCAAGTTTTTCGGTCGCGTCCCGAGAATAGCGTCCACGGGCCCGGAGGCGAGGCTTTTCTGCTCTGGATGGGTGGTCTTCTCCATTCCAGAGTGAGCGGAGGTAAAAATAAAGATACAGACGGCCTGATGCAGTCTGCAACTGCGATACGACAGTCTCTGGGTGGACGATACCATTATATGCTTCTCGAACAAGGATTTTTATGGATTCGGCACTGGCTTCTTCCAACTCAGAAATGGGTGCTCTTTCCGCTTGCTGTTTTGAAACACGGATGAGGATAAATTTCAAAATATCGTCTGAAATGGCGTGCGCTAGACGAAATTCTCGAATCAAAGAAAGTGCGGCCTCAGCATCTTGTAGCCGTATATAGCATCGCAAAGCCTCACGATAGCGCCCATCGGCTAATAACAGTTTAGCAAGCTTTTCCACCAAGATTCGCCAGTCATCCGAGTCCGCCTCGATGTATCCCTCGTTCAGTTGCTCTTCGATTGCTGAAATAATACTCGAGATTTCGAATAGATCGGGCGGCCACTGATCAAGCAGTTTTTTAAACCGTGACTTGTCGTGAGAAACATAATATTCGAGAATGACGACAAATACCTTGGACGGAAGTGGGGGGAGTATGTCGACAGGAATATACTGTGTAATCTCGTCAAACTTGCTCGCCTCTATGAACCTCCAAATCCAATGCTCCCATCTAGGTGTTGTGTTCAGGACCTTGGCACAGACTTCGCCTGCCCTCTCCCACTGCTTTTCATGAACAAGTTGTTCTAGCCACAATTCGCCTATACGACGCTTTTCTTTTTCGGAAATTGTGTTTTTGGACTGGGCCACAGTTGTCACAGAAGAGCTGTCATCGGCAAAGAACTCTACCAAGCTAGTCTGAGACCTGGCGTACACTTCATTTTGTCCTTCTGATGAAGGATTTGAAGCTTCGGGATGCTGATCAACGAGGTTCCAAGCTTCTTCGTATTTATTATGTGATTCGAGCCACAAAAGATGGTCTGACAGATCTGTGGGCGCAGCAGCTATACAGTCGAATGGACTATGGACAAATATTTTGATACCTTTTGTGGCGGATACAGTTTGCAGTTCCTTTGGTATGGTAGACCCCCCTGAAGTTAGGTTAGAGATGAATGAACTAGCAGCTCTTTCAGAGCCCTTTTCACCATTACTTCCCCCACTCCGAATACTGGCATTTGATGCGAAAAGTCTTGCTGGATATAGCGTGGCGTCCAATAGTCCCGTACCCAATACGCCGAGGGTACCTCGTTGCACAACAGCTGGTGAAATTCGGGGAGGCGAAACAACACTCATATGATAATCAGACGAAGAAAGGGTCTGATATCGCTGGACAGAGAGTGTGTCCGCGCTAACTTCTTCTTGCGTTTCAACATCGATGAGACGAAGTTCGGGTTCTGCGGCTCTTTGCTTCCGGCTACTTTGCGAATGCTTCTCTGAATCATCCTTTTCGCCTTCTAGGTATGCCAAAACAAGAAGTAGGTTTCGGCTATACATAGCGACACCGGAAATAATACAATCCGTTCGTAAACTTGCGTATTGTCAGTTCTCTGGATGGAGTAGGCGAGGTGCATCATTTTCCCAGAACTCACATTGTGACTACCTCGGCGTCCCCAAGTTTTCGATCACCAACTCGGCTCGCAGCAGGTGGAACACGGTCAGGATAGACATTGATAACCCATATTGTCCCGCCCCAGCCAATCACAAGTTTCTCGGTCTCCTGTGAAATACTAGCCACATGAGGGCGATCAAGTTGACTGGAATCCAGCAGAGGTTCGTTATCCTCTAAAATGTCAAAAGATTTTTCGTCCACCCATTCCGCATGCGCTCTCCAAACGCCTGCCATCTCTTCCCATTGAGGACGATTTGGTCTGTCGATGTGCCGTATTCGTGTCCATGCATATTCTGTGTCAGTGGGGTCAAGGTGAAGATGTGAACGCATGATCTTGATGCCTTCTTCATTGACCCACACAACATATTTCCCCGATAATGACCACTTGATTGTATTTATAGCCCCCTCCCCGCTGTGAAGCACAGTATCTTTGCCAGAGTTAGCACCTAGGCCAAGAGACCCTAACCATCCAGATGCAGTCGCCGCCGCGCCACTCAATGTCGTAGAATTTTCAGTCGTTCCTGGCCGTCCTCCAACAGTTAGAATTAATTGCCCAGCTCGACCGCCTGATAGATAAGTTCGATCATTCTTATACTCTGGAGAGAGCGCCACAGCTTGAACCGGCCGACCAAAATTCCGAAGAAGGACATCTTTAGGATCGAGCAGTGAATAGACACAAACATTTCCATCAATTGATGAGGTGGCTATATAAATGGAATTGGAAGGTGTTGGTGGTAGCACCAGTTGATGAGAGTCTCTCGTTTTGCCCTTTCCTCGCGCGGACGCATTAGGAGACTTGGCGGCAAGAAGGGCCTCATCTTCAGACGACCTATTGGCACTGGTTGATCGTAGACCTGGAAGAGGTGGTGGGAATGGAGACGTCGAGGCAGATGTGACGGTTGCAGAATGCGCTGTGTAAACTCGGAGAGTTTTGAATGTCGGTAATGATAGGATATGCTAGGATGATGGTCAATTATACAAAATCGTTTAATTCAATACGTGCCATCTCACAATATTTCCGTTATGTGTTCCGACTATCTATACAAGCGCGATTCATTAGAAGTAAATCCTCAGTTGCACTGAACGTAGCGTACCATCTTATCTCCTCCGGCTAGGAATGTACTGGTTGCGTCTCCACCACGATATAGAGATGGAATATGTTTGGTGAGATAGGCATATTTCAACCGAGGCTCTTCATCCTCTTCATCGTCGTCGTCCTCTTCCTCATCCTCGTCTCCGCCTTCAGTTGTCTCATCTCCACTAGCATCTCGGTTGGTCGCATCTTGTTCGTCGTCGATACCGTTGCCGTGCGTCTGATTAGCAGTGCGAAATTCATGTGGTTCAAGTTTTCCCAGTCCGTCGGGAGACTCAGCGGCAGCATCGACCGACTCCATTCTTGGGGCCAGGTCAGCGCGTCGCTGAAGCTGAAGCTGGGGCTGGAGCTGCTAGTACGGATTGCTGGGGGAGCTTGGGGTAAACGCCGAGAAACCATGCCGGGTGACTAAGCAATGGCTTCCCTCCGAGCTTCTTCAGGCTTCAAGACCTGCTTCTGTTCCTCATCTTCTCCAACAATTCTAACTCCCTGGCAGACAAGAACCTAGGTATGGTGATGTCCTTCTATTTCCGTGTTGAGCTGAGGTTCTTGGACTTTTCGAAACCATAGATGAATCGTCTTAACCTCCTCGGGCCACCGCCAACCTCCCTTCACCATGTTTGCTCGTCCAATAGTCTGCTCAGTTTCTCAAGGGTTGCTTAGGCCTGTGCAGAACCTGTCACCTTGGAGATTGACTCCATTTTGTGCAATCGGACAAGGTTCCTTCTCAAGCCTGTCCGTGCGGTTATCATCGAAACAGTCGCCACCAGGAGAATCGACTCGGAAGGCGGCTGTTTCGGGATCGGGGACTCCAGTACACCGACGGAAAACAGCTGCAAATACGTCGCTTCGTCGGGTTGCGGTAGAAGCGCAGCGCTCGAGGAGCGGCGTACTTTCGAGGGACCAGCTCGCAGAGAAAGGGCTAGATCAGAGCAAGGTCATTCGCCCGAATGTGTCTTTCTTTTCAAACATGGCTAATCGTTGAGGTAGGCAGTTAATGCTTATGCCGTTGCTGAGCGGTTTGATCTTGCTCAGGTCAGAGATATCGTACAAGAAAAGGGCTACGAACCTGACCCCTTCAACACTCAGCTGTACCCGCAAGTTTTACATATTCAAGTTCCACTCGATTCTGTTCGTCGATTGTCAAACCCGAATGTCACAGATCTACCCTCTGATGAAGTCGGTGACGTATTCGTTTTCCCTTCAGGAACCGTGGTCTCATGGTCGCTCCCGGACAACTTTACAGAGTACTTCGCATCCAAAACACTGCAACCAGCGGCTGTGGGTCAGCATGGGGATAACTTGGAAACAGAGAATTTAGATTTTGTCGAGGATGCGGACCGCGATAATAGCTATATTAAGGGAGATACTATTATTCTGGGCACCAAACATAGCGTGAACGAACAGGAAGCTGCTATGGCCAATCGCCAGAATGTTGACACGGTACTAACAAAGATCGCGTTTTCATCTGGACTGGCGCGCAGTACGAAACTTGCTGTCCTAGAAAGCCTCCTCTCCGATTATTTTGAATCAACACGAAACATTCCAACCTTGCTCTCACGAGGCTCACGTCTGCCATATACGAGGGATTTCATTCTCCGGAAGACAGGTCAACTGCTCAGCGTCAGGGCGCAGTTAAATCTGTACTCTGAGCTAACTGATTCTCTACCAGACATATTCTGGGACAGCCGCCACGACCTCGGTCTTGAGGGCTACTATGAACAAGTGGGCAGGGCCCTGGATGTTGGCATCCGCATTAAGCTATTGAATGAAAAGATGGACTACGCGCAAGAAATTGCCAGTGTCTTGCGTGAAAGGCTAAGTGAGACCCATGGGCTCCGGCTAGAATGGATTATCATCCTGCTTATCGCGGTCGAAGTGGGCTTTGAAGTGCTCCGACTGTGGTCAGAACGCGATCAAGGAGAGGAGAAAGCGGACGAGGCAGCAGCAACAACGCGATGATATATCTGGCGATATATATATTCCGAAATATTGTAAATAAATCACTTGATACCCATCTCATCCATCAGCAAGATGTTTAACCAGAACAATAAAATGGCTCTGTGGCAGTGTAGATGCGTAAGCAAGAGGAGCAGAGAGCAAGTTACTTGCCTGTTTGGTGGCCTGGAGCAGCCTGGCCAATGGGCACGGGGCATACTCCACATGTCGCGGTCATGCGCATCAGCTTCCCTACGCAGCTACTTCTACTGCCTCAATCCCCCGTCACTCCCCAGCCTCTGTAAATATAATATTTTTCTTACCTAATTCAACTGTATACTGACTCTCCGCTATCGTACATCTTTTTTTTCAAGCTGAGAAAGAGTATAGGAGGCGAGGAAATCGATTCATGATGCAGCCTCTTCTCCCGGGTCCACAGCGAATTCTGCAGTCACTCAGTGGACCTCTGGGCTTGTTGGCATCTAATAGCCCCTTGTTTGGAGGGGTGCACCAAACAGATACCAAGTTTTCTGCTTGTTCAAGGCCAGAATTAAGCTGCAGGACCCAGTTCCAGAGCCAGGATACATGTTGTTTCAACTACCCGGGAGGACACTTCCTGCAAACCCAATTCTGGGATACCGACCCAGCTGTTGGTCCAGACGACTCTTGGACGATACACGGATTGTGGTGAGCGCTTACTTCGTCTATTGAATTACCGCACCTAGTAACATTATCTTAGGCCAGACCACTGTGATGGGGGATTTGACCAGTACTGTGACAGCCACAGGCGGTATAGCAACATATCGTTGATTTTGGTTGACTCCGGTCGAGGAGACTTGCTTGAGTATATGCAAACCTACTGGAAAGACTTCCGTGGAGATGATCCTGATTTATGGGAACACGAGTGGAATAAGCACGGGACTTGCATTAGCACTCTAGAGACCAAGTGCTACTCAGATTATGTCCCGCAGGAAGAGGTTGTTGACTATTTTGACAAGTCCGTTGATCTGTTCAAGGGACTGCCTTCCTTTGAGGTTTGTTTCAACGAATTGTGCTGCCAAGTCTCAATTAACCATATATGATGTGTGCAGACTTTATCAAAAGCTGGCATCGTTCCATCCCACGACGAGACCTATGATTTTGCCGACATTCAAGAAGCCCTTGATGCTGCACATGGAGCTCAAGTTACTGTGCGATGCCGTAGAGGCGCATTGAACGAAATCTGGTATCACTTCAATGTTGCCGGTCGACTCCAAACCGGAAGGTTTGAGCCGGCTGATGCAGGTAAGCAACAACCTATATCATCCAAACTTTAAATGGTTTTGTCAGTCTCCTGATAGGAATATGTTAACCTATTCTAGTTGGTGGAGGATCAAACTGCCCTAGATCAGGCATTCGCTATATTCCAAAAAAGCCAGCGCCAACCCACCAGCCTCACCCTACAGTCACAGATGCTCCCGGAGGACCTGAGCCTACCGGTCCCGTGCAGACGCGTAAAGGAAATCTCAGAGTGTATACTTTGAATCAACAGCGCGGGTGTCTAATCAGCCGTGGCACGTGGTTTACTTCTGGCACTTGTGCAACATTCAAAGCGAAGGATGTTACAGGTAAGGCATTGATTCTTGTCTCCCTAAATTGACAAACGTGGTTACTAATGACAGAGTATTTCTAGACGGGTTCCATGTCGAGTCTCGGCGAGGTCCTTGTGGTTTTGTTAAAGACATTTTCACTTGCGGTCATCAAATACGAAACCCAGCGCTTTTCACTGTAAGATGCAGACTTTACTTGTTCCTTACATAGCATTCACTCATTTGGATGTTCAAATTCTAACATGATTAAAAAAGATCAACGACAACAATATTCTCGTCTATAGTGGAAACAGCACTTTGTTCGCCGACAAGGCGCCCAAAGGCCATGTCCAGAGTAAAATCTTTGCTCATGATGGAAACGGGGAACATGCTATTGAACTGAGTATAGCTTGGTTTGAGACATAGTTGGCTAACAGGAAATCGCATTGCATTTCCTCTTTATTTTTCTGCATTGCATTGCATCTAGACACTTCCACTTTGGGTAATTGATTCTGTATAGCTAAGTTTTTGATTATTTATCGGTCCGTCGTGTAATGGTGTAAACTAAATATCTAGCCTTGGCGTAGAGTTTGACGTGAGATTATCTTCTACATTTATCATTATAAGAGACGAAGGTGTTTAAAGAATACCTCTGATTTTGTGGACTTCTAGAATACCTTGCCATTACGCTACTTCCTCCAATAAGAGACTCTCTATCTCCTACTTGGGCCAATAGACAAACCATGTCGTCCAATTGAAACATAAAAAAGGAAATTAGAAGTAAACAAATGAAAAGGACATTAAATAAAAACATCAATGGAAAGTTTTGCGTTGCAGGGCATTGTACATCAAAACCTTCTCTGGTCAGACAAAAAGGGGGAAAGCAGAAAAACACAAAAATGATCAGAGAAGTACATTTCAGAAGAGTGTCACCCAGTCTTAATGCAACGCCTAGTTTTCCTCGCCTTTCCATATGCATTTGCTCTTTCGCTCAGAAGGTGAATCGAATGTTATACAGGTTCATTAAAGTGCGGTCCGAAAGAAAATTGATCGAAGCCCAAGTCTATCCGTGTTGAATCTCATCAGTCCCATATCAGCATGAAAAGTCGTGTCTCATCAGTGTTCAAGCCTGTCCCAAAACGCCGCCCCTAAACTTGGAAAGATTGGAGGTAGAAAACATGCTACTCCAATAAAGGAAAGTTCCGATCAGAAGAAAGGGTCATTAGATTGGTCATCGGTGAATTCCAAAAATATGTCCTCGTTCATGGAGGGAGCGGGTTTGCTTGGAAACAAATCCATGTCATTTGGAAAGCTCGACCCGTTGTTGAAGTCTGAGAAGCTGGAATCGTGGTTTATGAATATGTCAATCTCCGACCCGGCTCCAGGGCTCGTTAGAGCGGGGACCGGAGGAGGCGATGAAAAACTTGCCAGACTTCTTTGGATTGCATTTTCTGGTTCTGGGTCAAAACAACCGGCAGCCTCTGAGATTGGAGGGAGATCAGGGATCTCTTCCGGGATATCCTCAAGACTTTGCTTCGATGGAGACCGTGAGAAACACCCATCTTCGCTAGATGGGCTGTGGGATCGAATACTTTGGGCTGGGGAAGGCTTGTTTCCAGTGCTATATCCTGGCGATGCGGGAGGAGTGAACGTAAAGACATCAGATGGCATACAGTAGTCTTTTGTGTCGAACAAGGTCACATCGTCTAATGGGCTAGATGCTTGAATGCTCATTGTTTCGAAGATATCTGATGGAGGAGAACCACAAGAGCTGTCAGAGCCTGAGACAGATGGAGCAATCACACTGGCAGCTATCTTTTCACGAGTTCGAGAGGCTTTGTCCTGTCTTTCGTCCATGTCTGGTCGGTTCTTCTTAGGCCGACCACGCTTGGTGGTTTTCCGCACCACGCCAGTATACCCGCCAATGCACATTCCACGTTGTCTGTGACGAGTCAAGGCATCATGTCGAGCAAATACGTTTCCACAAGGGCATTCGTAAGGTTTGTCACCTGTGTGGATTTTGGCATGTCGTTTGAGGTCATGTCCACGCACGAAGCATTTGTGGCAGTGATCACACTTGTATTGTCGATCGCCAAGGTGGGTTTGGACATGTGACTTTATGTTCTCCTTTCGCCCAAATCGTCTGTTGCACCCTGGGTGCACACAGACCCATTTTCCGTCTATCGGGTCGGGACCGGAAATGTAGGATGCAATTTCATCGAGTGTGATGCCAGTTTGAGCAATAGAAGCTTGGACACGAGCATCAAGATTCAGGTTATCAATGGATGCAACCCGTGGCGATAGTTTTGCTTTTGATGGAGACTCTGGTGATGATGGGGTATCCATCTTTTGTGGGCTTGAATTGGATGGCGTAACCAGGCTGATAGACACTTTGGGCGTTTTGGAACTGGCTGTGGGCAATGGCATGTACGCAGTCTCAGGTGATGACTGGAACGATGTTGACGTTGAGGAAAGCTGGACATGATGTTGTTTGTCGTTTAATGCAAAAGACTCACTTTCGGATGGCAGTTGGAACTCTGTACTTTCGAAATCACTCTCCTGGCTAGTAAGCAAATCAAAAGAATCGTAATCAACAGGGGCAGTGTTAGGGGGGGAAGGGACATCAATTTGAGGTTCAGTAAAATTGCTTCCAGGCACTCCTTGAAGCGACTTGGCTCTTTGCATATACATAGGCTGCGCCGTCTGGTAAACGACGTTTTTGGTGGGTAGTATACGTAAATTTTGGCCATGAGTAGCAAGAGTCGCATTTCTCCGGAAAGGAGTGGCCTCTGGGGTGAGAGGAAAATAGTCTTTATCGTAATTAATGTATGGTTATGCTTGAAGAGATTGGTTTCGCTTACTTGTATGTATCTGCTTGGGTGGCGTTGACGGTGTGTACTGATGTTGAGATAGATCTGACTGAACAGACATGCGTCGCAAATCGTACACTTGGGGTAATCCTGATTGACTTATCTGCCAAGATTCTTCGTTCATTGATTGGGTTTCAAGACTATTGGTGAACGCTATACTAGCCTTGGAAGGCTGTTGCTGCTGCTGTCGGATGTTTCCGATGGCGGGCTTGGTTTGACGATTCTTGAAATCCTCGAGCTCAATGTCGAATCCACCAGTGTTCATGCAGGCATAGTTGACTAAGTTTTCATTGCTGTGTGTGTTAGTAAAAACGTTCAAGCCACCAGGTCCGAGTTGTTGGCAGTCGGTGTTTGACGACATATGGATATTCGATTGATCAAAGTATGGTTGATTGAGACGGCTCATTTGCTGTTGTGTCTCCTGGAGCACATTTGGGTGTCTATGATAGCTTGTGGTTGGACCATCTTTGGAGACGACGCCGGGCTGTAGATTTACGGCTCGCTGGTCTAAACTCGTTCCTCGCTTGTGCATTGAATAACGATGCATTGCAGCTGCTGGGAGATTGGGAAATTTTGCTGCCTCCAATGCGACTGGGATCGAGTTTTGGCGGCGGTGCAGACGCTGTCGCCTTTGAATGTTGCTCGATGGACTGACAAGCATGGCTGTGATTGTGCGATTGGGCTTCTTGGGAAATTATTTCAATTGACTTGACGCCAGGCGTGAAGTCTGGTGGTGGGGTGTTAATTCAGGAGGCTGGTTACGCTGGTGTTTGCACGGGTGTATATCTACCAACCTTTGAAGAGACCTGGCGGGGAGCCGCCCAATCCACTTGAGAAGAACACGATAACTCGATGAGAAAGTAATACTCGACGTCGGACTCGATATGTCTCTTTTTTCCTGGTTGCTTGACGGCGAAGGCTTGGGACTCGGAAACCGTCCTCGTGCTTCCTATGTGAATCAGGTCTTGGTCAGCTTCTGATCTCTCCCACGAAAACTGCAAACGCTAGAAACTTAGTCTTGTCCTGGAGGAAGCAAGCCCTCGAGAACAGTAAAGTGTTTCTTTTGAAAAAAAGTTAAAAAACAACTCAAACTGAGAACTTGAAAGAGCTTTGGTCTCAGAACTGGGGGTTTAGGGTGAAGGAGGAGTCCTTTAGATATCTAGTTAAGGAAGGAGTATTAATTACTGAGGAAGGAACCGCCGTCAACAACGGGGCCTGTTGCCGGGGTGACGGGGGCCTCCGCCAAACTACGGACTCCGCCCTGCGGCCGTGTTAAGGCCAGCCCGCTGATGCGCCTGTGGATCTCGATCAGCCAAACACTAATATTTAGTAATAATATTCATCTTGCTGCTCCTCGTCCTTGCGTCTATCATGATGATTTAATCTCGGCTTTGCAGGGCTGATGGCAGCCATCTTCTCGATCTGGACCTTGTTCGTACTGAAACCAATAATTGATTCGAGTCCAATATTAATTATATTAATTAGACGTCTAGTCTTGGCTATTCCTGCAATGGCAGCTACTCTGCGTCACTGGTTTCCTGTACCTTATTATATTTCCCCCAAAAATATCCAGAACATTATCACCAGCTTCTTCGCTGCAATAATCAGAGTCGACTGGTTTCGGGCCAGGTCATGTGACTCGCTGGCCCGGGATAATCAAACTCCGCCCCCGAAAAATTCCCTCACGTGATCACACAATGATTTTATGAGACTGCTCCCGCTTCTTAAATTTGTCTCACCACGATTTGCACTGAAGGTTGAGGAAGACAACTTGTCGAGGTATGTCACAACAATATATTTACCCAAACCCCACGCCACTTTCTCGCACGAGAATCTTTTTTCTCTCGCCGTCCATCGAACACCCGGAAACTCGAGAACTGACAAGATGATCTCTACAGGCCTTCGTCAAGATGCAGATCTTCGTCAAGACCCTCACGGGTAAAACCATCACCCTTGAGGTTGAGTCTTCGGACACCATTGACAATGTCAAGTCCAAGATCCAGGGTAAGATGAATTATCTCTCTTTTGTATTACCGTCTACCCGATGTAGTACTAACGTTCTCCTTCAGACAAGGAGGGAATCCCCCCCGACCAACAGCGTTTGATCTTCGCCGGCAAGCAGCTTGAGGACGGCCGTACTCTTTCTGACTACAACATTCAGAAGGAGTCCACCCTTCACTTGGTTCTCCGTCTGCGTGGTGGTGGCAAGAAGCGCAAGAAGAAGGTCTACACCACTCCCAAGAAGATCAAGCACAAGCGCAAGAAGACCAAACTCGCTGTGCTCAAGTACTACAAGGTTGATGGTGATGGCAAGATTGAGCGTCTCCGCCGTGAATGCCCCTCTGCCGAGGTATGTATTTTTATTTAGTGCTTGATATAAGTGGTAAACGTCGTCTAACTTATTTACAGTGCGGTGCCGGTGTCTTCATGGCTGCCATGCACAACCGTCAGTACTGCGGCAAGTGCCACCTTACCTACGTTTTCGACGAGTCCAAGTAAATGTTACGATCAAGTGATATATTCAGGATGATAGGTTATAGTGGCTTCAAATAGAAAGAGACCAATAAATCAACTCTTCCGTTTGAATATACATCCTATTTGTAGACTATACCTGTAATCACTATTGAAATATATGCCTATGCTGTTGGCATGCCTGCTCGTAAATTGTCAAACTTCGATTCTGGAAACTCCAAGTTGTTGGGAGACTGGTCCAAAGCGCCAACACCTCCAACACCATCAACAAAAGTACCAATCAGACTACCATCAGCCTTATTAGCAGCTTTGCCTCCTTTGTCACCGCTGCTCTCCCACCACATTCCTCCACCTAGCCCGTTCTGACGGATGAAATTGGCCTTGATTTCGCTGGCCGCAACATTGTCATACGTCACCATGGTCTTGGTAGCAGGATCATAGCACCACGACGCACCAATCTGCGGATCAACAGCTTCCGATGCCCCTGGTCGAGGAAGCGCCTTGTAATCCCACACCCCTTGTTCCCAGCTGCCTTCACCCACGCCACTGTAGGGGGCGCCGGGACCTTGCGTATTCTGAAAAGCGCGGCCGTAAAGCGGCATGCCTAAAACCATTTTGGAGGATGGCACACCGCTAGATTTGATGTAATAGTCAAGAGCAGCTACGGTAGAGAATGGCGTGGATACGCCGTTCTGGTTTGATGGGAATATATTGGCTTGATGGCCAGCGGTCTGGTCCCACGATCCTGAAAATGGTAGTAATGTTCAGCTGAAATTGCTGCGTGGTATTCTCCTGGGGCTCAATAAGCACTGACCAGCATAATCGTAGCCCATAAGATTATAAAAGTCAAGGTATGGCGTCATCTCACGAAGGCGAAGTTTTTGGTAATTTGATGGTCCTAAGAGAGTTGGTTTATGTTACAACAGTCCAAACAGAGTAGGTTATATCTAACCTGCTGGACAAGCAATTGTAAGAAGAAATCTTCTGTTCGGGCCTGCAGCTGCATCGAGAGTCTAAATTCCGAGTCAGTAATATTCTCCAGTCACATGAGATATGCTCGAGGTACCTGTCGGCATTTTTGCAGAAGATAAATATAATTCTGGGCTTGCGAATCATCTATGCGACATTTCAGGTTCCAGCTTCAACCGTGAGTGCTAATCCGGCACAACCTACCCTGCGGATACTCCCAATCAATGTCAATTCCATCCAGACCCAAATCCAGCACTAATTTTGTCGCAGTCTCCGCGAAATGGGTCCGACCAGCGTCAGTGCTGGCTGGCTGGGCAAAATTCGATGAGTATGTCCATCCACCAATGGACAGGAGTACTTTCAATTTGCGGTTCTGCTTCTTGAGCAAATAGAGCTGTTTGATGCAACCATAGACATTAGTGCCGCTGTCATTCCATGAATCAGTTGGGTAATGTTTATCCGTGTCAGACCAAGTGTCTGTCAGGTAGCTATAATTGAACAGAAATTTCCGATATTCAGCCCAAAACGTTCAATCCGAACTATCAATGCCAGGATTGTTGAGTACGTACACCTCGCCACTATCTGGGCGCACATTAGCGAACGAGTACAATATATGAGTCAGCTTGTCGGCAGGAAGATCCTGTGGGTTGTGGTTGCGGCCATAGATGGCCTTATAATATGCAACCCCCAACGTTAGCCTTCAGCATATACTATACTTAATAGGGGTGACTCCACGTGAACCCGGTTGCAGTAAAAAAGCTGAGGAACCATACCCAGTTGACAAAATACGCCACCGATTTGAATCCAGACATCTCGGAAACAGTGTTTGGCTTCTCGTAATTGCTCGATTCAAGAGGCTTGCGGGTTTCAGCACTATATAAGACCTTGTTGGCAAGAAAAATGGCGCACACAGCCGCAGCAAGAGCAACGAGGAAGAGAAAGGATATGCAAGACGCCCGTCCAGATCGATTTGTCGGCGCCACAGTTACGAAGAAACGAGCTCACGGCAGTCAGTATGTACAGGGATCTAGTTATTCATTGAGGAAGGTCCGAATGATAATTCACACTTTGACGCAAGCGTTGGAGGGGCTTGGATGACATATGCATGCACGACACTGCGCCACCCCATTGGGGTTGCTACTGCGTCGCTAATTGGCCAACTATTAATACTTCGGCAAGAATTGACAGGTGGCTGAGCAACAGATGTGGCTTGACCCTTTTCCCCCATGAAGCAAAACCGCGCGATATTATGGCATTATTATGGAGCGCGGTCGATGAATATGACATAAGAGATAGAAAAAGCAATGTTAGCCGGTAGCAATAACCGAACAGAGCCGGAGGCACGTTGACATTCTAAATCGAGGATGATTAAGATCTCGATTTTCTAGTAGTAGTCGCGTAATGCAAGATCCCAACATGGTCATGCAGGAGTAAGCATTATTCCCGAAATGTGTTTCTATATTGCACTCTATTATACATGTACATATGTAATGGTTCAGCCTCTGACGTTAATACGTAGGGGGTGCAGGAAGCCGGGCTATCGGCAAGTCCGAACTATATAGACTGAGGAATGGCGGGGGCCTAGCAAACCTAGCGAGTTTATAGCATTTAACGTTGGGTTGGTTGTCTCTGTTTATAGAAGTGTTGCCACCTGCAAAGCCATCGGCACGTTATGACATGCCGATGGCCATGCACGAGAGGTCAGAGTTCAAGTGAACACCAGCGCACTGTCCTAGCTTAGGTTTCGTAGAAGTTCGCGAGGTGCATACTGCATAGTGGTAGCACATGGCCCAAGCGGCTAGGGTGGAAGTCCTAACTAATTAAAATAGTTATCTGGTACGTAGTCTAGCTTAGAAGCTAGTAAGAGTAACCTAGACATTCAATCGGAAACGACCCTGCAGTAGTTCGTAGTTCTTAAGTTAAGCAATCTCTGCACTCATATTGATCAATCACAGAAATATTAATTATTTCGATTGGGGCTGTGCGACCTTCCAGACTTTTCCATATTCTGCACAACCTGCACCATCTGTATCCATAATCTGTACGGAGTGCGTCGATGATCACTTCAATAGTGCCAGTGAAGATCCGTCTAGTCATGTTAGGAAGGAAGATGGTATGTAGGACGTACAGGCATAGCTGAAAAACAAGACGCACAGCAATCCCGATTAGGGGTCCGCCTATGGTATTCCAAGAAAATGAAGACCGAGATGGGCCCTCCCCTATCATACGTCAATTGTCAATTGTCAATTGTCTTTTTCTTTAAAAAAATAGAATTTCATTAGCCGAGAAGCCAGCTTAGATCTTAAGCGTTAGTGACGAGTAGTGATGCTGGGAACATAGCTTCTGCGGGTGCTGATTGGCTGGTGTTTGCAAGTCCGCTCGTTGCAGAATTGTGGGGGCGCCTGATTCTACAGGCACCAAACCGTGCCCTAGCCATGGTTTCAGCTGGGTATGAACGCACCGTCACTTTTGTCACTTTTGCTAGGTTTTTCGAGAACGGGTATACGGCACACTGTGGGATAGTGTAAGAAGATCATGACGGAATGGCCGGGCAATTCTAGATTTCTCGTGAATCACGGTTCCGCCGTCAATCCGTGCAACACTACGACTCAGCAAAGAAGTTGAGATCTCCAGGCTAGTGATCGGCTCGGTCTTAATCATGTGGCAGTTTCAATGATGCAAGTCGGGCAGTGTTTTGTCTGTGAAGATTCCATTGATAGGCAACTAAGCCATTATGTAAAATACATTAAGCAGCGCCCGGCGCTACTGACCTGTGGTCCTGCACAGTAGCCGAACTTGAGAGAGAAACGCCCAGAATGGTAAATAATAAAAAAAATGATAATCAAACCCGTAATGCCAATCGCTTCCTTATATGCAAGTAATGTCGTCGCCATGCAAGTAAACTTTTCGCTCCACGCGAGGAACTTCTATGAGAACAAAGGGTATCAAGGAACAATCAAGCAGATGCTGCCCTGAGAGCGAATATACCTTCAAGGGATTTGGGAATCAGTATCCTGTACTGTTTCCACGTTGTGGTTATCCGGAAACCACAACAGATTTAGTATAGTATATATTTGGCCAGGAAATCACAGTCAGGGATATATAAGGCGATTGATACCGGCAGTCGCCTTCTCGGTAGGATTCGGCATATCCCCCCAAGATCGTAAGCTAGAGACCCGAAAGACATAGCATAGCGTTCATTTCGTCAGCGATGTGAGTTGATCCAGAGCATAATGGCCGCCAGCGGAGGGTCTTCGTCTACCCATAAGCCGGCTCTCGCATCAGCTTCTCGTAGATCGGAATATATAGACTGATCAGTGATATTGCCCAATTCCTATGTTTTGCAGATATTATTAGTGATAGGATGGCATTTAGGGAGTCGGCGCATTCCGACACGTACATTGTGCAGCACTTGGTCTACTTCTCGGAGGCGCACGGCGCGCGCACCTGTTTTGGGGGAGCGTAATAGTGCATTGTGGTTGACAAGCCATCGCTTCGCAGATGCAACACGAAGGTAGATCTTGTGAGCTTGGAATCGACGGACGCTTGCATCAAGGATGACTCTAAGAGGGGGCCACGGGTCATTGAACTATCGCACAGGAAGACGGAAACGGGGGTTACCCACTGGCGGAGCTGGGCTTTTTGGCCTTCAGCGCTGTTCCCATGCTCTTGGACAGGAGTGGTCGAAAAGCCAGCGGCCAGCAATTGCTGAGCCGCAGCAACGCTCTGAGCCAGCACGCGATAGCCCTCTTGCTGGCTGTCTCCCATTGACAGGCCGGACGTCTGCTGGGAGATGTGAAGCTGCAGCGTGCGGTAATCGTTCATTAGTTCGGCAACTCTCATGGCTCGTGCATCGTTGACTATACAGCAAGACGAAGAAAGAAAAGTCTGTGTCAGAAGAAGGGGTTTCGGCATCCACAATAATAATCACGTCGGGGCTAACGCTCGTTCGGGAAGGCAGCAGGACTCACAGCCGTCAGCCATAACTATAACTGGTGTAAAACACACAAACAAGCAAGGACAGAGGAAGGGTAGTGTAGAAACAACAATGGCAATGGCAATGGACGAAATGATTGCGAACCAAGACAGCGCAGTTCTACTCGAATCCGTCTACAGCGAACAGGATCTGCTGTTCCTTTTATGCAAATTCAAATCGAACATGATGCTCGCTACGGCTTCTTCATCCAACCCGCGTCACAAAAAAAGAGGACCCTAGAGCAGAGTTCAATATCGATCCAGGAGGGAGGTTGGCCAATGGCAGCGCGAGGCTCCGTATTAAGAGATCGGCCGAGCCAGGACTAATCGACCGTCTGGAGACTAATCGCACCGCCTGGAGCACAATCGATGGAATTAGTGGACCTGATCCTCGGGCACTTGGACGTTTCCCCGTGCTGGGCAGTATGCCAGTAGGGCGTATGCGTATGGCGTTGGCATTTGGCATTTGGCATTGGAGCTGGGAGCGGGCCCGGGCTCGCATTGACTTGGCCGGCGGTCGCGGCAGAGAAAAGGAGCAGAGTTCGACGTCAGCCAGCCATAGTTCTTAATAGAGTGAGCCTCCCAGGCACTTGGACAGTTGGACGTGGACAATGGACGGTTGGGGCCGCGGTGGATAGGTGGATAAGGGTTGGGTGTGGGTTTTGTGCTGGGTCGCGGTAGGTTGACGCCACATGTTGACTGGGGATGCTATTTGCTGGGGGGGGAAGTACCAGAGGGCTTTTTGTTTTTCGAGAGCAGGCTGGCTGGTGGGACATCCGCAGCAGCGCGAGAGCGAGAGCGACTGTGCGTTGTGTCAAGCAGGGCAAGGTAGCCAGAGTGGGAGTAGTGGGAGAAGGAGTATACCACGTACTACAATACTAGCATACTAGCAGCAGAGACCCCAGCTGAAAGAGGCACTGCCGGCCCCGCCCGCGACGGATGTGTGGCTGACGCTGTGGCAAATGCTGTTTCCGAGATATCACCAACAGCAACATTAATACATTAACATGAATCTTAAGAGCTATGATCGTTATTGATCAATGATTACTGCTATTAGCCGCGACCCCTCGCTTGGCAACTAGCAGAGGCGCACCTGAAGATACCAGCCCGGAATCCAATCGGATTCGCCAACGCGCTTCTAGATGGCTTCCGGATCCTCGGGGGAACGTTGCAATACGAGCAAGGAGACACTTGTATACGAAAAGGGAACACGTTCAACCCTGTAATTGACTGATACAGGCGGTTCATAACCATGCAACACGAAATCCAGCCCGGCCCACCTCCATCGAGACACATCGATCAGTCCTTTTCACTGATCGCCTGCAGCCGTTCATCAATCTCCTCCTCCGTGAGAGCGCGGAACTGAACATCGGTCCCATCCTGTCCATCAGCCCGCGGGCCTCCGACAACGCCAATTTCTATCTCGTTCTTCTTGAAGTCGACGCTGAGCACGTTGCTCAACGTTGTAATGCCCAGCTCCACCACCTCCTCCCAGTCACCCTCAGCATAATCCTTGTTCTTAAGTTTTTTTTCGAGATAGTTTATCGCTTCCTGCTGCTTGGGTCCGGATGCAGTAGCCTTGTAGCCAGCATAGTACCCGGCCGGGTCACATTTGAACAATTGGGGACCGCGTTCGTCGTCGACCGAAATCACAATAATATCAACACCTAGGGGACGCATATACGCCTATAACAACACCAGTCATGTCAGCCGAGCTGTAGTTTGGGCTCATCCAGCATAACAGGAAGTTCGTACCCGTTGTGTATAAACCTGGTTGATGTTGGACAAACGCTTGGCCAGTACGTCACAAGGCATCTCGTAACCGTACTTGTATTTGAATTCCGCGGCCTCACCACGAGCACGATCCACGCATGCTCGGGCATCAGCTATAGATCCGGTCATGACAGAGCCGACTGACGGAGAGATTTTGAAGATGTGAGAGACTGATGAAGGATCGATGAGTTTGTCCTGAGAACCTAAACATCAGCCAAAAGTCCGGGGTGTACATGAGGGACACAACGTACCGGGACCTTCTTTTGCGACAGTACAACGGCACAGTTCTTGCCGCGAACAGCGACTGATGTTATATTCGCAGCTGTAATGGCTTTGAAAGCATATTCTGTGGTGCAGCATCTCGTTAGCTGCTTGCTTGACAATGCGGACCATTACCCGGGTTTGACGACGCTTGTAGTGGCGATTAAAGAGGGTCGGATAGACTACTCACCGACTTGGTAAAGACGGCCCTGGTCAGAGAAGATCGTAATGTGCCTGTCATAGCCTGCACTTCCTATTGGGGTTGAAAGGTTAGATCAGCCGCCGATTCAAGAAGATGCATGGAGGAACTCACCCGACATGGTGGCGGTGTAGATGGACCAGTTGTTTCCAATGGAATTTTTGAATGGGATGTTCTATAGGCAGCCAACAGAATATTCACCTTGAAAGAAAACAGCGCGAGGGAAGAGCAGGGAGAGATGGGGAGAGACCAGAGCGTGAGGTTGCGCGTTCCAGAAGCTGCCTGAGCTTGGAGCACTAGCTCCAGCTCATTCTGCCGGCCACCTCACCGCCTTAGAATCACACCAATTATGCTACGCAATTACACTACTGTACCTTTGACATAGTTAGATGTCTGTTGTTGTTATTTTATAACTTTCCGCGCATAAGGGTAATGCTTAGCACTGTCTGCTTGTGAACCGGTAGAATATATTAGTTGTTTTATTATGAATGCTTGACTATATGTACTGTGGAAGGTACAATTGATGAATTGATGTAACTGGGAATTGTTTCCCGCGCCATATACGATATGATATGCCCCATATTGAGGATCTATGTGGATATGGGTCTGGGTACTATCTTCTGAACAAGTTTCATGTTGGTCCTCCGTGGAATATACATAGCACAGTATAAGGATACAGCATGCCATATAGAGTATCATATGGAACGCTATGACTATTACGGCTAATGTTCTTGGCAGGGCTGGGGGTTGCCCTTTCTGGCGACAGGCAGTGCTCTCCTCCAACAGTCGTCATGACTCTCTTCCTCCGCAACACTAGCAGCATGCGCTTTGTACTTCTCACATTCAGCCGTCTCACTGCGGCTGTTTCTGGTTCGAGATGCTGCTTTGCCACCCCAGGTCACCAGAACATCGACATGATTCGCTGCAACTAGCGTAGGACCAAATCCCTCTACGCTCAAGAGTCGAGGGCGTTGATGGGCTAATGCATCCTAGTTATTAGGTCCCTAGCAAATTAGGCATTCGAACAGCCCTCGAGAAATTACCTGGATATCATCTCTCGGGCGGGGGACGGAGTACTCCGCGACAGTATCAGGTGTGACATATCGGGGTTGAGCATCGGCTCAGCGTCGGTTGCGGTCGCTCCTAGGAATTGCCAATGCGAGTATCGCTCTGCAAGGCTCCCGCTCTGTCAAGTGCTAGGTAAATGGTAACCCATTCATAAACCATCATTAAAAGATCGACGATGCTCACCATCCATCTCGCCTTTGAAAGCGCTCTCGACTAAATTCATACTGTCATATTATTCGCCATACCAGCAGTTGTTCTAAATCTGATAACTCAACTCGCAAGGATCTGATACTTGATTTGAGAAAGCGCAAGCCCAAAGCCGGGTATACGTCCTACCTAGACTGCCAGTGCCAGCTAGCCACAACCATCTAGCCACAACCATCGCCGTCGGCAGTCACCGGCCATTTGTCGGTGGGATTATTCAACACACGCGGAACGCGTCTTTTGTGGGAAGTAGCACCTACGTTGGAGCCTGTCCTTGGATAGATAACACGCACGATTAGCTTGTGTTCTGTATCAATCAATGACCCCTGTTCCTGATCTTCCTTCGAAGGCTTAGCCCAAGGGTACTACGTACATTAGTCCTTTTTAGGCTGGTTTTCTTGGATTTTTGCTGGTGCAGGATATATATATGTACAGATTAGCATACATCGGGGTATCTCAATAGGTAACTCTTATTAAATTCATTTCATGGCTCTGAACTATCATTCAGAGTCATGACTTGATTAAGAGCCACAATTTAACTTAAGAGTTATAAGCATCTTAAAAAGTCCCTGTTATTATATTAATAATCTTACTCATTTCTCCTAATGTCTTTCTTCTTTCTCTCTGCTTCTCTGTGTTATACGCATTTGACATTACTTTTCTTGCCTCTTGACACACCAGTATCCATGAAAACCATCACATAGCAGCAAAGCACAACAGCCACACATAAATATGAATAAACCAACTTCTTTCAAACAGGCAGATTCTGCAGGTGAGGGGAAAGCCGGGAGGACGGCTGAGGAAACAGTTAGTTATATTCAAAACATGGGCAACTATTTTCTTCGAAGGGGTGATACGCAAAAGGAAATTCTGCAATGTTAGTACCTATTTACCCATTCATTTAGGTAAAGGGTGTTCTATAATAAGCTAATTAAAAATCCCTTTAGTGAAACATGAAGAACAATTGAGAAAAGATAGAGAAGAGCAAAAAATGCGAGAAAGGAGAGAAGCGGAAGAAGGGCAGGAAGAATTGGCGAACGACGGGGCGAAAGGAAAGGCAAAAAAAGACCCCGAGCAAGCAGATACTGAGCAGGTGGATTTTGCCAGCAAGCCACTAAAAGCCATGCTTCCACCTGAGCAGGGAGTTGTGCGTTTTCAAAACCAGAACGAAGCAATGTTAAAAATTACGGATTATAGGATGGCAGTGGAAAAAGGTTCATGCCCATTCAGCCAAAGAAAAATAATTCTTGTGATAAGCTTACTGACAGTGTTTGTAGCAAAGCACGACAGAACAATAGGAAAGAGAAAAAGCCAAGATCGAGCAGATGAGTCAATATTGATGGTAACCGAAAAATGACACTGTTCAAATCAGCGAAAGAAGGAAATGCATCGTTGAACTATTTGACACAGCCTAGCCATTGCGTGGCTCTTTCTGGATATACCCGAGCTGATGGGACGTTATATTGCGAATTTCACGACTTCTATGCGGCCATCGGAAATTTTGATTGGACGTCAAGATTCACTAGATTCTGGAATATTCCTCATACCTTAACCATTATCTCAATTGTGGCTTTCTTCATAAAATATGTATTTCTTGGCCTACATGAAGATACAGCTCTCTAGCTTCATGGTTTGACCGTGTGATTCGACGATCAGGTTAGATTACAACCACAATGGGTTCCTGAAAACGAATCCTGGAACTGAGAATAGAAGAGATAGTCAGATGATAGTTTGAGGTTAGATTTGAGTCGTCTTTTCATGAGCAGAGATCTCATTCATGACAGGTAAAGCTTCGGCCCGTTTAAGGAGTGGTTTCTGAGGTTCTGAAGAATAATTCCTGTTCTCTTGCACCTCGTCTTATGTATGCACGTATTGTAAATTACTGTTCGTGGTACAATAACAATACTCTTCGCAATGGCCCAGTCTCTTCACCACAAATCAGGACGCGGTAGGTCTCAGCATTGAATTAATTCTAGCCTTCTTGAATAGGAGACAATCTTTGATACCCCGGGAGTGAGCAAGAATGCCGGCACACTCAATCACTATCGCTCTCACTACTGCTGGATATCTCCACCAACATCGTGCGGTTCTTCCTCTTCTTCCTAGCCGGGGCTTTCTTATTCTGATTCCCCTCTTTACCCTTATCCTTGGCCGACGATGCTTCCTCATCAATGTTCTCTAGAGCTGCACGAGGCTTTGTTGACCCAGCATCGTTTTTGCTAATCTTCCCAGACACCGACCACAAAACCAATTCGGCACGTTTTCTCTTTTCAAGCCTTTGCTTGAGATCCGGATCAGCATCCTCCAGTGCAACCCCGTCGTCAAAATTCTTGGCACCTGCATTCAGATTCCCCTTAAATCGACGAACAGCTTCATTATAGCTTTCCTTCGACGAGTCAGGTATCGAGGTTGACCCGGTATCAGCAGCCGAATCTTCACCCTGCTCAACTTGCTCTTGCACCTCATCAGACTTGATACCCTCCTGCGCATTTTTCCGCAGTCTTTGCCTCGCGCCTTCGCTTTTCAGCCCTTTCAAATACACGAAAAGTGCCCGATTATACTCCGCCGGAACATCATCTAAGGACAGAATCTTTTTGAGTAGTTGAGATTCTCGATTTTTTTGAAATTTCCATTCTGACCGGTTCTCGGAGTATTGTGAAAGATACGAAAGAACGGGTGTTTCATCCGTAGAGTTTGGTGTCGGTGTTTTGCGAGAGACCATTTCGCTTTCGCCGATATCTTTCTTCCGTCGTTGTTCCCGTTTCTCTCGTTTTCTCTGTTTCCGAACTTCTGGAGATATCTCCTCTTCCACATCCTCTGTTTCAATCTTACCCTGCGCGCCGTCTTGGTTTTGCGTGGCTGTAGCTGGTTCTGAAGATGCATCTTCCTCCGACGTCCCAACCTCCTTAGTATCATCGGCAAAAGAGACCGATTTCCTCCGCTGCGATTTTTTCAATTTCTTCGATTCCATTTTTCCTTCGTCATGTTCGTAATGTTCGTCGTCATCATCGAGTCGGCGCTTTTTTGATTTTTTCGTCTTTTTCACTTCGACTGTAGTGACTAATTCGCCGTCGTCGTTATCTAAAACTCGCTTTTGTTTCTTGGATTTTTTCTCTTTATTTTCGTTTTTGTTTTTGCGATCTTTGCTTGTGGTTTCTTGAGACATGATTATACTCTATTGAATACCCATGAATATGAGTACTTCAATTGAGGGAAACAGAATAAAAACGGGTTTGGTTGTCAAGAGAAACAATCGCGAAACTTTTTTTTCTCCGCAAGCTCGATAAAAAGTACTGCGGGTCAGGTTCCACAATGCGGTTCGGCTCTTGGCACGTATCATAGTATCTCGTCCACTTATCAATTGATCACTCAGATCTTTCAACATTGGAAGCTTGCTAGATACAGAATAGAAGTTTGACCTTGAAAAAGGCGGGAAATTGCGGATCGTCAATGATTCATATTTCTATTTCCTAACATTTATTTAAAAAGGGTATATTGCAAGACTGAATTTCAATGGCTCTATTGTAATAAGCTACACCCTACGCCCTTTTCCAATTGACCCCACCTTATGCACCTGAAAATCTATACAAGTCATCCCAGTAATACCGGAAAATGCGAAAGAAGCTGGTTATTGTTGTGTTGATCAGCCCTCAGCCATCTCGGTGGCTGCACCCTCTTGGGCGTCCTTGGCTGGATCGGTTTCTTTTCCTCCGTCCTTTTCATTTTGCGTGCTAGACGGTATTCCGCCCGCTTTACGACGTCGATCTTTGGAGGAAGAGTTCGTCGTAGTGGTGGTGGTGGTACGGCGTCGTCGCACAGGCTCGTATACGTCGTTGAAATTCATGACGACTCCGAGGAACCGCATGTCGATATCGGGCTGGTATGCGAGGTCGCCCAGTAAGACATTGAGACGGGCCTTGAAATCGACAGAAAGGTCACGGAGTCGGACTTGTAATGATGGGAGCATATGGTCCTCGGCAGAGAGTCCTCCTCCCTGGCTCAAAAGCGGAGACGGGGTGTCTGTAGATGTTGATTTCAAATGGCCCTGTGGCCGTCCAGCAGAAGCTAGTAGATCACGCTCAGTAACTCCCCAGAGACCCTGTGCAGTCCGGGTTTCGATCTTGGCACTCAGTTCCTGACGCCGTGTGAACTCGGCCACCGAAAAAGAATACAAGCCGTCCACAACGTCCTTATAAGCGAGCATAATCTTAAGAATCTGGTGTAGTTGGCTAAGGAAGCTCTCCTCTGGCTGTTTTCCAGATGTAGAGCTGCGGGAGGTAGAGGCTGTCCCGAGGAGACCCTTGTGAGTAATTGAATTGAGGTATTTGGTATGAGCTTCAATCAAGTCATCCAGTGTACAACCAGGTTTGGAAATCGCAGCTTGCAATTGGTCCCAACTAGCCTCAATCACCTCGAATAGGATATAGTATTGTAGCTGACAGACAAAGTGGATCATCTCCGCCATCGCACATCTTGCATGCTTCCAGTCAGGGCCAATCTTGTCTTCTACATTACCGAGGACTCCTCTCGCGCCCGTCATGCATCTGCGCCAGGTGCTTCCAAGAGCAAATTCCACTCGCTTCACTCGCCAGAGAAAGTTGAACACCTTGAGGTACTGTGTTGAGCCCCAGGGGGTGATCACTACATCAACAGGGGCGTCAATCTTATACTCAAGTGTAAAGCAATCCCATCCAATCTCGCCGTGGCTAAGTTCCAACATTCGTGCATCTAGACGTCGAAGAACATCAGGTGAATCAAACTGTGCATTCGAAGACCGAATTGCATGTTCTAATTGGGCTGTGAGTGTATGTCGATATTGTGAGTTGGCAGGACGGTCAAGGTTTGATGCAAGAGACTCCATAAGCAAGGCGATAAAATCGCCTTGTCCTAGTAGGAGATATTTTTTCAAAGCTCGCAGGTGTTCGAATAACTTGAATTTTGTATCCATTAGATGAATCAGACGCGCCATGGTAGTCTTGTAAGCTTCATCGATTGAAATTTCTAATGTTGCGGTGTCCCCGTAACGAAGCTCTTTAGACGCCTCTTTCGAATAAGCTTCCACCCAAGCCGAGTCGCCGCAGCCATACCGGATAAAGTTGAGAGACTTGCCGATCAGAAATACCTTTTTGGCAAAGTCTTGAGTGATGATACTAGGAATCATGTCTTCATCTAGTCTGTACTTGTCCTCCCACACGCTCGAGGCAATACGACGAGGATCTGTACTTGGCCTGAACTCAGGTTCTGTAACGAAAAATTCCTTGTACGGGTCAGAAAGCTCTCCATCATAAATCCATTGTCGCAACATGTCATAGAATGGACGGGTGACATGCGATAATAGCTTCTCTGCAAAATTTCCCACAAATGGATCACCGTGTGATGACGAGAAGCCGTGTACCAAAGATATTAACTGGCCGCCCTTTTTGCCTAATGCACAGTTAGTTTTGCGTCACCGAAGTGAAGTAACAATAGTAAATCATCCCACCTTTTGATTGTTCAACCATCATACTCATCAAACGTAACGCCATAGTAGCTTCTCTAGTCCATATCACACAGCGCTTCAGGGTTACAGCGCCTTTGACTAATCCTTTAGGGTCGGTTTGATCAGCCGCGGCCGTCAGAGCTCTTCGAATTTCTCCCTCTAAAGTAGCTACAAGACTCAGGTAAGATCGCAGTTCGTTGCCAATCGCCGCCCTAAGAGCCTGGCTTACAAGCCCACCTTCCGAACCGTCCACGAAAGACGATAGTCCTTTGTAAAGTAGACATGGTTCAGCAAGTGTGTGCAATAGCGATATCATCGGAATAGAAAGATTGGTCGGTAATTTCAGGACTGTCGCAGACGAAAACTCCACATTGGCTGAAGACAGACCTTGGAGAATATAGGGAAGATCTCGCAGCAGCGACGGCTCTGTCAATTTCGTTGACGTAGGATTCATTTCTTCCGCCTGCGGAAGAGTAGGTGACTGATGAACGACTGTCTCCTTGGCGACACTCGTCGTTCTTGACCGGCCTGTAGGACTAGTTCTATCATCTTCCAACATTGGCTGAATTCGCTGTTTCTGTTTTGCAGTTCTTATAGAGGGTCTCTTCTCTAGACGTTCTCCACGTTGTGAAACTGACGAGCTGATCGCAGGGCCATCATCATCTTCCGCCATCCTCATGCCTGTTCGCGTGTCTCTCGATCCTTTGAATATCATATTATCCAAATCTCCCTCGTTCATAAGCGGGCTTCGACTTCGGCCAACACCGTCTTCATCTGTGCCGTCTGACAACTTGAAAAGTAGATAAAGAATGGCCCACTTTTGGCTAAGAACAGGCTGGGTTAATAGTCGGGAATAAAGGTTGGAGAATCGCACAGCCTTGTCAGGGCTTGCGTTATCCCTGAGTAGCTTTCGTTTGATGAGATCAGAGGCGTTGTTGATGTTCTCGGCGGCCGAAGCGTCACCTTCTGCTCTAACCGTGTCCAAAATATGCCAAGCACGGTCGAGACGGTCTCGATGCCGGCGCTCCTCAGCTGCCGCAAGCGCATCTTCTTCATCGGCGGAATACTCGTCACCAAGGGCGGAGAAAGACATGGGTGGCAGAAGAGAATCGACAAGTTGAGACAAGGCATCATCAACACGGCGAGAGCGAGCCGGAGCCCGTCGAGCTGACATTGTCAAAAGGGTTTCTGTGAATATTCTAGTGCACTGAAGCAGGACGCGGCTCCTTCCAATGTATTCTTATGTAGCTTGCACGCTTAGTAGGGTCGTCGGTTGTTGGCGTCGCGGGGGCATTGCAATCTTGGTGATACAACGTTAAATGGATAAAATAAAATTGCATCTCGTGCCTCATATGTCGACAGAGACACAAGAGTAACCCCGAAGTGCAAGGTTTTTGAGTTCGGTTGCAGATTTGGCAATTGTTGTAGCTGGGTCAACATTGACCAGCTAGTCGCGGTGCGGGACGTGACGTTTGTATTGTTTGGCTTCGATAGCAATGGCGGGGGGCCACATCAACATGCACTTGTTATAGCAGCAAACCAATTTGATACGTTGATCTATGCTAAGCTTGATGAATATAAAATATGAAAAACGAACTGTTCGTTTACTAAGCTCATTCCTCTAGCAAGCTATCCGGTCTGAGAATATAGCTAATAATAATGGGTCAATCGAGACCAGGCGATATCCCACGCCGACTTCCGTTCATCTTGGACGAGAACAACAAACGAAATATAGCGTGGGATAGAAACTATCAAACATGAAAAAAATATGACCTTCCGGGGAGTAAAATAGAATCCGGAAAGAGGAACAACAGAAAAAAAAAAGTAGAAATAACGTCAAACCAAGTACAGCAAGATCCGCAACACCAGATAAAGCAAGCCATTCCGAAAAGATCGCCACCAAACCAAACCTAACCCGTAATAAAAAATACACGGAAAAAAGACATAACCCAGGCAAACGAGTAAAAGGGAAACTGCGCGCCTCGAGGTGAAAAAAAGATGTACATGCCCATATTCCAGTATCCGGTTTTGACCATGTCCATTTCCGTCCAAAGCATCATTAGAACTCCGCCCATGCCATGGCTTCAAGTGATGTCACAAGTTGAGGAAATTTCGACCGCCGTATCCAATAATGCAATAACGGAAGATAATAAGGGAAAGAACTTCCAGGTAAAAAAATTAGAGGAAGCCTTAGGGTTGAAAAAGGAATCGGACGGCGAAATGTGATATCTGTTTTGTTCGTAATACGTTATAACTTTGCGCGTTTTTATCTGCGCATGGCTTGGGCAGGAATTGCTGCTCCAGGTTGCATGGCCATAGTGTTTGCGATATTGTAGGGATGAGGATCAAAGCCCGCTGCCATGCCATTCATTATCAACGGGCCTAGACCTTGAGCTTGGGACACGGGACAGTCTTTATGAGCAAGTAAGAGTGTCTTTAGATTAACAATTTCTTCGCGAAGTTGGGTGACAGTTGCTGTAAGTGCATCGTTCTCTGTAGTGAATAATTCGACTTTTGCTTGTAAGTTGGCAAGCCACTGCTTTTTACGTTGACGACATTTAAGGGCCGCAACACTGAGTACGAATTCGATTAGCATAGTAATTCGAAGAAAATGAGGTTTTTTTTTAGCATACCGATTTCGTTCAAGGAAATTCTTTCGCTTCTCTTCATCAGTCATTTTCTTCGGATCCTTGGAGCCAAATTCGTCCTTGATATCTTCATCATCCGACTCCTCTTCTGGAGTAACTTCGAAGGGCGCGTTATTCGTCTTTGCTTTCTTATTTGGGCCCTTGGGCATATCCTCAGCTTTACGGCGTCCGTTTACCGATGCATTCGATTTAGTGGGAGGATTTTTCTTGCCCTTGGCTTTGGAAGCTGGCTTAGTCAGTTCGCCTTGAGTGTCGGATCCGTCGGCCGTCATCTCGCTGCTGATAGAATTATTGGCGTTTCGCGTCGACCGCTTGGCTTCGTCTGATGTCTTGTTCGGCACTGTGAATGCGTCGCTATTCGCTTGTCCGCCTTTGGCGAGCATAAAGAGACCGTTGGCGGCGTCGGCGGCGTCGTGGTGGGTGAATGGGTCAACGGCAGCTGGTTGCGAGGTCTTGTTATCCATGGTGGTGAGCTGCTCAGGTTCGCTGGTCGGATTTACATTGAAGCCGTTGCGCTTCGCAGCGCTGACGGCTGTGCGATGGAAATCGAGGGTGGAAGGAGTGGCGCCACCGCTTTGCAGCGAGTTGAGAAGACTCTGAGTATTGGGACTCGGGGCGGGGAACATGGAACCCCCACCACCAGGAGTCAGGCCTGTCCTCAGCGAGGACTCGTTGGGCGTTGGAAAGCCGCGTCCGATGCTGTCAAAGTAATCGGATCCGGTCGGGCCGGCCAGCATGGCAGGACTCAAAGGCCCTGCTCGCAACGAGTTGGGCCAGTTGTAACCAGCCGAGCTCGCACCAGGCAGAGCAGGCGAGGCGATGGATGCGACGGGCGGTAGGAGCGACTTGTTGGGAGTCTCCACGGGCGACGGGTTGCCAAACGACTGCTCGAAGGGATTAGGCTCGAGGGAAAAGGGGTTGTGGACGGAATTGAAGTAGTCGGGGGTGTCGCTGGCGCCAGAGGCAGCAGGGCGAGGCGGCGGAGGCAGCGATTGCGAGTCTTCTGCGCGCTTCTGGTCTTTGGAGTCGGTGGAGGGGTCTGCGATGACGTTAGAGGTAATTTTTTGAGGCCGTGGCAGGTAGGATGACTGGCAACACAAAGCAGTCAAAGCAGTCAACGCAGTGTCACAGGGCAACGATGCGGGCATGCAAGTAAATAGGAGGAGTAAATAATGCAGCGCCAAGCACAGACGTCGAGACTATGTCCTTTTAGGCGGTGGTGATTTTTGCGACGACGGGGATGCGATAGATGGGGAGGATTGGTTGATAAGGGTAATTGTGAGGTCATGCCGCGCAGACGTGAACCATATTGACTGGTGGCGGGCCCGCTAGGCCTCAAGGGGAGATGGTACAGAGGTAGGGGGAGCAGAAAAATAGGGAAAGCGCTGGCAGCCACAGAGCCGCCGAACAGATTTTTCTTTTCTCTTTTCTTTTCCTTTCTCTCTATAGGACTGACCTTCGGCTTTGATTGCGTTTTTCTTCGCATCCATGGCAGCGGCGGTTCTGCCTGGCGAACCCCTCGATGCGACGGCGGCGGACATGGTTCTGGGCGACGACGAGAGCGGACTGAGGTCTCGATGACCGGCACGACGCGTTGGCGGAAGCACACACGACCAGGGAAGAGGAATTAAAGCGATATAGGATTATCGAGGAGAAGAAGGGGAAAATAAGAACAGACCAGACAGTGCAAATCAGAGGTTGTTGCAGACAGTCTCGTTGTCGCAGGATGCAGACTGCGAGGCTCATGCGCTTTGGGTGGTGAATGAACGATTAATGTGATGATGCAGTACCAAGAACGGATTTGGGGGAAAGGAGAGAGGAGAGTGACGTAGCTGTTCTTAAAGGGTATTTGAGGGTGCGCTTGACTTGCAACGGGCCAGCCTGGTCTGGGCGAGTGGCCTGTCACTGGCCAGTCGGGGGCGAGAACCCACCGGGCCATTAATAATATTTAATAATTCATCCTTATTCCTGTCCTTGATATCTGGTTACGCTTATTCCTTGATGTCTCGCATAGGCGTATTCAATATTCTATTCCCTGTGAAAGGCTAGTTTGCGTATGATGTACTATTGTGATGCTTCTATCGTGTGCGAGGATTGAATATGAATATGAACATACATGAACATGAGGATGCTAATGCACTGAACCAGCCATTGCCCATTGCTCATGCCAGATCATTGGCTGGCAGCGGCAGGCCAACCACGAACGGGCCATCGGCCCAGAAGGATCTATCGTGCAGTACTCTTAATGTTATTCTACTATGCTGCTTGTTCTACTTATTCTACTCGTATTCTGCGTCCAATTGCTCAATATTCAACGGTGATTAGTCGCGCCCGTTGTTGTATGGTGATAGGATAGAGGGCGATAACAGGATGCCAGCTGGCAGATGCGATACTGACGCGTGAAGGATGAGATCACGGTGACGACGACAGGAATTTCGGTCGAAGCGAATGGCAAATGCGAGGGTGTGGGTGGGGCTCTGCCACTAAAAAGCCTATTAGCACCCTGCGGGTCGTGAATTTGGCCCATTCAACGCCTGTTGATTCCCCCTGCCAGCGGGGCAGCGGGTTGGCTACGGGGGGAACTGGTGCTCAGCTCCAGCCAATAGCGGACCAGAAACGCTCCAATACAGTCTAGTCCTACACCGGCGCGGCTGGCGACTGGCTGCCTGTGTATGGGGCTCCATGCACCACGCTGATTGGCGGTCTATCGATGACGCAATACCATTCTTCCTAGTCTTCCATGGTAAGAAGAACATCGACATGTACTACTAATTACTAGTTCCTGGTTCCTAGGAAGGACTGAGTTATTACATTCGCACATTATTATAACTGTTATTTGAACTGTGATCCAAGCTGTTCTCATGCATATAATACTTGTTCATTCGCTCGGAGTTTTTGTAGAACCCGCTAATCTCGAGGTGCAGAAAAACGCACATTAGTTTGATATATGAGGAGCGATGAGAGATCTGCATATGCTCGGATCCTTGGCGCTATCAATCACCTGTCAGCAGCCTGGAATGTAACCAGACTCGCACTACAGAACACCTAACTACCGATTGGTGCTTTGTTTCCCCTCTGCAGAGCTTCAACATGATTCGACTGGGGGCCATTAATAATTCCATGTCCAGCGTTTCAATATGTATGCACGGACGGCACGGCGCCGGTTACGACTGGCGAGATGAGCATGAATCAGTTGGCAGCCCCGCCACTTCGCCAATAGTACTAACTACTCAGTATGTTCATGACTGCTGGAGCATGTACACTTGAAGTAGCTTGCAGATGGCCATGGATTCTAGAAACGGCGGTCACTGGATGGCCCTAGAATAAGACCAAGAGTGAGGAAAGACAGAAGCGCCGAAAACGCCACGCAGACCGCTAATGCACCTTCATTAGCCATGTTGGAACCGACTTTACAGGACAACTTGAACAAACCTGGGGTTGGTGTGCGTGGGGTCTCGATCAGACTGATCTTTAAATCCACTCATACTTATAAGGCTTATCTAATTCATCAACCATATCCAACCCACGGTCGTACAATTTAGATTATATTGCCGTATAGACAGCGACGTAGTCTTTCATCAAGACACAATGGCCGACGTCACATACTTGACCTCTTTCTCAACTTTCCACAGGTTCACAGCGGATTTACCCGGGGTTTAGCCAGGTTATATATTACTCGATTACAAAAAGTCTGCAAAAGATTGACATCAGATACTGCCAACTAAGGATTTTATAGAAGAATAGGTTAAAATTATTGTGATTCTCGACTCCTCGCTGCTATCAAATCTACCCATTAGAGATCATTGTTAAGACCCACGATATGTTGAGTAACTCCAAGGTCCCAGAAGCACCGGAACATGATAATGCCGCCAGCCTTCTTGGCCTTCGACACCGCGCCCCCGAACAGTGAATTTGACCTCCACTTCTGGCCAAAAGCTCTCGATGCCCTGCGATTCAAACCACGGTCCAACCTCGAATCGAATCGACCAGTGCGTTTTCGCGTCCGCCTCAGGAAGGGATCCAAGTATAGTAGCAATATTCTCGGTCGAAGAGGACGACGGCACCCAATTCTTGATTCTTCCGTCAGAATCGGTCGTTGCATGGAACGTATCCCTGACCGCCGTACCTGAGAACAGTGACAAAGTGCATGGTAGATTCGCGGCGGGAGTGCCAGTTAAGGTATTGAGCACGTGGCAAGTAATTGGGTCTCGAGCCATCACGTTCAACGAGTTGTGAATGGTAAGGGCCGATGTAGATGTGGGACGATGCTCAATGGAGCCGGTGATTTGACGTTGGTATAGGGTAAGACGATCCTCGGTAATTCCTCGCTGCTTTTCGTGGAGAGCAGTTTCGTCGAAATTTTCCATGAGAGAAACGCCTATAGTGTTCTGTTTGCGTTCTGTTCGAAACACGTTTTCACTGCGGGGTTAGTAATAGATATACTCTGTTATCAGGTACGCAGGTATCGGAGACCGCCGCCCGCCATGAGCTTTGTGGGACTTTTCAGCGGAGCTCTGGGTTCGATGCAGCCTCAACCACCGAGGCCCTATGTAGAATCTAGATTATTAAAACATAAGTAAAGACGGGTTTAAGAAGGAGGGCAATGATGTAGCTGTAGAATGCAGTCAGTATCTGCGGAAGTCGCTCCCCACACTCCGTCCCACCACCAAGCTAACGCTGGCCTTTCCGGAAGCTTCGATGTGCCCAGACAAAGAACCTCAAGCAACAACAGAAAGCAAACAACGTTGTCCTCGACGCCGCTCGAAGATAACAACTTGTCAGCTCCGCTGCCATTCTATCGCTGCCTTGCAGTATCTTCTCGCAGACTCGACCGAACGCGTTGCAGCCTATCCGTTGCGCAATGTCCTCTACCGCTCTGGTTCACGACGACGAGGCCCTTGAGCCAACCCTTCAATCCATTCTCGACCAGAAAACGTTGCGATGGATCTTTGTTGGAGGTAAAGGTGGTGTTGGAAAGACAACAACGTCGTGCTCGCTCGCTATACAACTGTCCAAGGTCCGGAAATCCGTGCTTTTGATTTCGACCGACCCCGCGCACAATCTCAGCGATGCTTTCGGGCAAAAGTTTGGAAAGGAAGCCAGACTCGTCGATGGATTCACAAACTTGAGTGCGATGGAAATTGATCCCAATGGAAGCATTCAGGACCTGCTAGCAACAGGCGAGGAGGGCCAGGAGGATCCATTAGCGGGGCTTGGGATGGGTGGCATGATGCAAGACCTGGCTTTCAGCGTAAGTGATATATCACTGTTCTACAAGAATTATCTTTTGTTTGATTTGATGCTATGATTTTCGACTTTTTGTATATGACCTTCAGAGACTAACCTATCGCAGATTCCTGGTGTTGACGAAGCAATGTCGTTTGCCGAGGTCTTGAAACAAGTCAAGTCGCTGTCCTACGAGGTCATTGTGTTTGATACAGCACCAACCGGTCACACTCTTCGCTTCCTGCAGTTCCCTACAGTGTTGGAGAAGGCTCTTGCAAAATTATCTCAGCTTTCCAGCCAATTTGGACCAATGCTGAACTCCATACTCGGCTCTCGCGGTGGGCTTCCTGGGGGACAGAATCTCGATGAGCTGATGCAAAAGATGGAATCTCTTCGGGAGACTATCAGTGAAGTCAATACACAGTTCAAAAATGCAGACATGACTACATTCGTTTGCGTTTGCATTGCAGAATTCCTGTCGCTCTATGAAACCGAACGGATGATCCAGGAGCTGACCAGCTACTCTATTGACACACACACAATCGTCGTCAATCAGCTATTGTTCCCTAAGAATGACAACCCGTGTGAACAGTGTAACGCGCGGAGGAAGATGCAGAAGAAATATCTCGAGCAGATTGCGGAGCTATACGAAGACTTCAATGTTGTGAAGATGCCTCTGCTCGTGGAGGAAGTGCGAGGAAAGGAGAAACTAGAAAAGTTCGTTGCTTCTTATTATTTTATGCCATTTCATTGGAATGCCGATACTGATTTGCTTGATTTGCAGGTTCAGCGAGATGCTAGTGAAGCCTTACGTGCCACCAAATTAGAGGAACCGTTATTGACGATGTTGAAAATATTGAGAATGAGTTATGAGAATAGAAGTAATGAATATATCATTTGGTCACTAGTTTCAAACGACAAGTTTTGCTCCTTGTACTTAGTTGTGGAGTCTGAATAACTCAACACCGCCAACATAGGTTAGGATTTGACCTGTTTCCGCCGGCATGGAAATGTTACCGTATGAGCTCTTTCCTGAAACTCCACATTACATGCAACAGCAAATTTAAATATGTGAATGGAATAAACGACGATGATCATGGCTGAATCAGTGGGCGTACCCACGCCCAAATCACTCGGCTCTCTTCGATGTGCGCCTGATCCCGAAATCATCTTCATTTGTGAGGCGTGCGAGCCTGCCTCACTCTTGCCCTGAACAAGACCTATTCATCTTTAGGGTCATAAGTGCGCCACATGGTCCAAGCCCAAAGCCCCAAGCTTATCGAAGTCAAGTCTAAGCCTATCGAATCCCAAGCCTTGTATTATTCGAGGAACACAAGATATAAAAAAGAAAACATCCGAATCACTTATTGCTACTTCGAACCCAGTATAGCTGTGTGTGTGTGAGCAGCGGTCACCCTTGAGATGCACGTATAATATGGCTATATTGCTGAACAATCATGCCAGCTAGGTGAAATTTTGCCACTGCATATATGAAACATGTGTATAGTATAGCTGACTGCTATCGCATGGTCACAGTCTTCCCTACACTCTTACGCCTGGGTGAATACCCTAGCCGGTTTGCCCTTTCGCAGCGTCTGGATGCCGCATTACCTTGTTTATAGATGGTATCTGAACTGAGGTAAGTAACTGCAGTAGCTGCAAGATCCCGATCTGGACCAACCATCAATGGCAAATCAATAATAATAGCAAGGTTGAAAAAAGAAAAGAGCTGTTCGGACAGTTAATAAGCAGTCTTTCTACATTCGGAGCCATCTACATGTGGATATTGCCTCGCTCGGAACAAGTCACCGTATCGATTTGTACCCACCTTTTAACTCGCAGTCAATGGAGATCGTCACTTACCCTAAGTCAGACGAGGGTAATTTTATAGTTGATGTCGCATTCAAAGTGTTCTCGATAATTGATGCAGGGATCTATTGTTTCTAGAGTCTGTTTCAAGATGTGTGCATGCCTAGTAGAGAGAAGCAGTAGAAATTGGTTTTGATTATGTTTATGTTCAAACAGAGAGATATATTCCCCAAACCCTTTATGATCTTGTAAGCTTATGTTTGGGAGGAAAGGTTGCTGCTGATGTTCGTGATACTAATTGTGTATCAAGCCTTAGCCTTACTTTGGTTGCAGGCTTGGGGAAAAAGCAATTCTGTATCATTTTACATGAAATTCTGGAACTTCTGGCTTATCAATCAATGACAGCAAAGTATGTTCCCAGTTACAGGGCGTCTTATCTATTTCTGTGGCAATAGTCAACAGACGACGACTGATACAGATCGTGGATGTTGAGGCCACTGGAGTACATTTCACTTCAACCATGAATATTTTAACCAGGATGAGTGATCAAAATATTTAAGTTTCAGGCTTCTTGAGTTACTACCGATAGATACCGTGTGATACCAAGGCGTTGCCTCACTCATTCAAACTCTCCCTTCGAATAGGCCCTTAAATCCGTCGATCATGAGTATTCGGTTAGCTATAGAATCGATTACGAGGATATCCCGTCAGAGATCTAGCGACCCGGGCTAGTCCAATTTGAAGTATATTCAAGCCTGTTTTTGTTTTTTCTTTTTTCCAATTGCGTATTGGAGAAAAGAAATGTGCGTGCACGTATCCGGTTGTTTTCTAATGTTCCGCTGTTTTAATAAGCTATTGAAGCAACACCAACTCTTCACACATTGATGTTATCTAATTTATCACCATTAGACATTTCCAACTGGCACACAACAAGATTTTGAACGCCAACTACATACATGTACATATGTAGGCATGTACCAATCAGTTCAGGTGGGAGTTCCAGACCGCTTCTGAGGGGCAGAGCATTGCTTCCTGCACAGGAGAAAACCTGGCCCACCGGGGCTCAGGACTAGGTTCAACAAAGCAGAGATACGCGCATCTAGAAAGTCTGGTATTCCATCTAGAACGCCCGTTAAATTGAGCTGGGTTACAACTAATACCGATTATACAAATTTGGCGATCTGCAGACGGCCGAGTCCGGCAAGCTCTGTAGAGAAACAACAGGCGACGTACCTCGAACCTCGACACGACAAGCCTATTAGGTACTATTCCACCAAGTCAATGCGGTTAAGAGACTTCCACCGAGGACCCTTCGAGACCTGCGACTAGTTCTGGTGGTCTTTCTGGGGCCACGACAGCTCAAACCAGGCGCTGCATGCAGGACTGAAGTAGAATGATGACAAGCCAATTTTTCAAAAAGAGGAAAGGAAAGTCCCACCAGCTGCCGTGAAAGCAAAATAACTAACTGCGAGCACAATTTGAGAAGGATTGTTTTCCTCTACTTACATTCGCCGGAGAACAGTCAGCGGCCAGCCTCACTTTAATGTTTCCAAAGTGAGGCGACCACACCGTCTTTCCACCACTCCCGCCCCTCAACACGCAAAATTGTCAATGGCCCTAGCGTAATCTGTCAGGAGTTGACTACTATTCACTACGGTCTCAATTACGCTGGCCAATTGGCAGGCAGCTTGCGAAGAATCGCCGACGACGTACACATGCACAACATGACCATCCATCTATATCAAGGTTTACATATGGCGGGTACCTTTGCACGGACACGGATTAGTACGGTAATCAAAAGTAGTATATTAAGCGCCTTTCGACGAGGCCATTCCTGTTGCAAAGTGAACGGGCTGAATCTATGCACAGGCATAAAAGCCTACATACATATCCCGATATAACCTTCGTTGCCCCTTGATCTATTATGGGTGTCTCGTCCTTTTTGACTTTATCCACTTCCCAGCGCACCAATCCGCCCAAGGAAATTTCCGCCGTACTACTTTAGGACAATCCAGAACTTGAGAAGATACCAGTGGTATTGATGATTTGGTTCTGCCTCTTATGATACCATCTTGTCTGCTTCTTTTGACTGTTCTATCCTTGTCTACCTGCAACTATTATATTATCAAATATTGACTTGCGACCATGTCCCAAGAGCAGCAATATTGGCTTCCTGGCTTTGGTCTTTCTCGTCATATTGTTCTTGGACATATTCAGTACTTTCTCGGTCCAAACGCCTCCGTAAGGCCGTTTACATATCAGGTAAAAACACTTGGAGCCAGGAAAGGACTCATTGTTGACCTACCTAAAGGGTCGTGAAGGCTATTTAATCAATGGAATGCCTTTGACACGTGTAAGTACATACAAACAGCTTCATAACCAACGGCATAGATCACTCACCATCCTTGTGCAGGAGCAAATCAACGATCTGGCTGTGATGTCTCGGGAATACGAACGTCAAGAGGCCGCCAGAATGACCCATGCCGGCATGGAAAGCTCATCAGAACCATACATTAATGAACCAATTCCAGTGAGCCAGCGTCCTCGAAGACGGGTTCAACATTTCGATAACCGTCGAAACCGCTGAATGTACAGGAAATCCTTTAAGGAAGATAGGTGTGAATATCTGGTTATGCATGGTTCCTTCTAGAAAAAGGAGAAATGAATGAGAGAGGCCTGCATGTATATTTCTCGATCTCATTTCATTGGCACATCTTATTATCAATACGTAACAAGGGCGAGCTCTCTTGTTATTGTTATCTTTTTGCCGGGATCACAGTACCGCTGGCTTCTCCTGCATCGACGTGTCGAATTCAACAACCGACCGTCGCCAAGACCGAGTCGGTCCTGGCCATGCTCAATTGATGAACGGATGAAGTTATTAGTCTTCGACCGGGGCCTGCAGCAGCAAAAATCACTCATTTCAAGAGAGTAGGGTTATATATCGCCATATTTTTCGGGGGACTCTCTTCTAGTCGTTTAGGATCAATTGATACGTTAGGTGGCTGTCTGATTACTTGTGTATCATTTCGATGCTATGGTTATAGTCAGTACATCCTTTTTCTCTCTTTTTCCTTCAGTATCTTTCTATCAGCAATTCTACCCAATCCTTCTTATCATTTCATTGCAAAGCTACAATACCGGAGGTATGAAAAACCTCAAGACAAAGCACAAAACAACAAACAACAAAACTTCATGGCTGCAATGCAGCTTTTGCCCAAATACTGACTTCAGATGCTGATACAGCGCACTACCGTATATGATATCGTGACGAATTGGGTTGGCGTTGACAGGAATAAACCTGACAGTCTCGCCCAAAAAGCCTGCTAAGTTACATGAAAAACATGCATCACGACCAACAAAATCACGATAAAACAGTACTTTAATCCAAGAAAGTTATTAAAATAAACTAAATGGACTGGAGCGCCAGCCTCGTGCCCTTATCACGTTACCCTAGATGTATGTAACATCTTAGCGAGTCATGTGTTACTGCCGCTTTTGCGGATCCTTCTTCAGATAGCTCACCCACCCGCTGCTCACTCCAGCTCAGGCGGAATTCCGAATAGAGTAAAACATAGGGAGGGTGTGAATAGTAACAACTATATGTCTGATCACCTGCCGTACTTCTCCTTGGGTGTCTGGAATTACAACCCTTGCCGCTAGAAATGGCCCCCCTTCACCTCTTCCCCTCAGCTCTCTTCCTGCCGGAATCGAATTTAAGTACCGCCTCTATTGGCTATAAAGAGGCCTATTTCTCCCACTTATGGTTCCCTGTAGTCTCTGGAGCAATCATCATATGGTCCGTTTGTATTGGACTTTATTGTTCTCCAGTTGCGGGTGGAATACAGTTCCCTTGTCCGTAGAACGGGTGGAGTGAGGGATGCGAAGTAGCTCAGGACCTCGCATGAGAAGGGAAAGAACTCAAGTCGAGATTCGGGTTATGTATTAATCTGTTTCTTAAAGCGATTAACCCTGGCAGGCAATTCGATGATTGGACAGCAGTCGTAGGTAGATCGCGGTTGCTAACTGACTTCAAGCGTTCTTGATTATTGGATCTGACGTAGGGCTTCTTTTGTATTATTGCTACTACCAAGGACATCTGGAAGCTGTAATCTTTCTTCCCAACCACAATAATCTGCCTATCAATGTAGACCGTGTCTTTACGACAGGTTAATAAATGTATATCTTTCATAAAGACGCATCAACATGCAAAATCCATCATCGTCACTTATTCTACTGCTGCTTTGAATGATTCTCAATGAGTAAAAAACCACAGCTTTAACAGGAAATACTTCACGCCTTTTGGGCTTGCGTCAAAGACGGAGCAGAAAAGGAGAATGCTTCTGTCTAGCAAGCCTTTTTTTCCCCTGCAGAAAATATGCAAGCCCAAAAAATGAGATCAGACACAAGTGAAAGGGGAAAAAATTACAAAGAAAAGGAACTGAACCACCTGAACGCCTGCCTCATGCCTGAAGCCCCGAACTTAGTAAATGGTAGATTATAGACGCTTGCCGTCGATCAATAACCTTGGGACCTGAGAAACCGTCATTCAACTCGTATCATCGCCGCGTTTATTTTGCCACCGCCGCACTAGATGACGAGTCAGACTATAACAAAACAAAAGATAAAGAATATAGAATCTGAGACGAACCTCAAGACTTGGGTTCTGAAGAAAGCGCCCTTGGTCCTTTCAATAACTTGCTGATATACTGATTGAGGAGGATGGTTCATAACGACCGTTCCTTCTTTGTAATCAATCTTCGCGTCAACTCGGGTGTCACGAATGAGGTTGACTATCCATTTCTCGCCTTCATCTTGGTCCAGACCCAGTCGAGCAGATAGATCCCTATCAAAATATTAGAGGGCTCAATTCCTAATTCCATCTGAGTATTTCTTACTTGATATCTATACGTTGGTGGATCTTGCAGTAGCTCTCAGAAATCAAATGCCGAGCCGCATCAACGAATGCGTCCGCTGCCGAGACTAGGAAGAAGTCACTGCGCAAAACTTCTTCGGCCTCTCCCAATTTCTTCTGAGCCTCCTCAAAGTCAAATTTGACATAGAGAGCCTTGATGAAATCAGTAATAGGATCCGAGTATTCATAGTCCTCTTGACGAACGACGCGGATAAGGTCCTTCAATTGTTTCTGGTAGAGGCTGGTATTCTTGTGTGCGCGACCTCTGTTTGTAATGACTGCAGCTGCCAAGTACCTGAGGACCCAAGGGCAGTTTGTCTGGATGGTGTTGATGTAGGCGGGGGAGAAGAAGAGGTCGGTCAGAACGTCCCGAGCGGGGTCGTGATTGAAGTAGGGGAAGAGAGACCAGTGAATCAACCAGGTGCGGTGTTCCAACTGGCCGAGAGGATTGTTAAAAAGACGTGTTTCAATCAGATCTTTAACCTTCTGAACTTCCTCCATGGCGGCGTCCCAGCTGGTGGTCAGAATCTCGGAAGCAAATTTTCCCCATGTTGCGGATGCAACTTTGTCGTTATCGGTCGACAAGACACGGAACTGATACAAAAGCTCTGCTGCATTTCCGTAGCTGCCACAGCTGTACTGAAATCGGCCGTAGTCAAAAAGACTGTTGACCATTTCATTCGTAACACCATGCTGCTCCTCGAGGAATTTCAAGTTGGCAACCTTGTCGCTACGGAGGTTTCCAACCACAGCATCATCCTGCAGAAGATCCGTGATCTTCTCGCTCTCTTCTTGATATTTTTGCAACTTGGTGAGCACGTCCTCCCTCTTCTTGACAAACTCGTCTGGGATTGTGTCTGAATCGTTGATTTCCTGCCACAAGTTGGCGACGTAGTCGGTCATGTTGGTGTGCTTGAGGAGCTCATACTTGGCGCGCGTAATCTCCAAGTTGTCATCATCCTGTCCGCTGCTGAATTCTAGAAGGGGGAAAACCAGATGGCGGTCGAGGTATGGGATCAATTTGGGGAGCAGGTCGTAATCTTTAGCGATCTCTTCAGCGGTTTTGGGGGTGTGAGCAGCAGCGCCCTTTAGCAGGGTCTCTGCAGACGGAGGGGCGTTGTCCGCCATGGTGGAAGAATGGCAGTTTCGCAAAGAGCTAGACGGGGCAGCGGCGGTGGTTGAGGATACAGAAAATCAGCGGAGGAGGGGATCCAAATGCATCTTTCCAGTGTGCGGCACATTTTTAGTTACTGGCGAAAATGTGCCGCTAAGACCGATTCACCCTAGCGCGTTATGGCCACTATCCAGAGCGGGAAAAACTCCGCGTCCAAACCTGCTGCAAAGGCGACCGGTCGTAGCACGCTGATACTATCACTATCTGTCTGCGTTGTGTTGTCTCTTCTGTCCGTGTGTTTTGTCTGTTGAGCTAGAACAACCGCCTGCAGTAGAGGCCAGCTCTTGGACAGGACTCATCGTGGGCGATAACGAGCAATCTGCGAGCTTGCTTTCGCAATGGCTTCGCTAATGCAATCATCGGCTGTGCCGTCGACAATTCGGCATCAGCTATCCTCAATCACATCGACCATTTCTTCTTCGTCATCTTTTGGTAGTATAAGGGCGTTTTCATTGCTTTGCGGGTCGCAACGGCGAACCCAAACCTGTAAGTGTCCCCTGCAATTCGAACCCGTCGGAGTTTTGAATAAGCACGACATCTAACGACTTTAGACCCTCAAAAAAATAAGCACATCTATCTTAGCGTGTCCAGTCCAAAGTCGTTACCGTCTATCCAACAGTCGAGAACCTTTCTAGCAAAACTCGCCCGCAAGTTCCCGGCTACAGCTCACACCACACCACCAACCAACCCCGCGGACGTCGAAGTAGGACAAGCTCAAATCCCTCCCCTTCAGCTCACCAACCTTCCATACTTTGTACGCCGTACGCCGTCGAATCAACTTCCAGTCTATTTGGAAACCAAGGCTGGCGGCACGAAAAAATTGACGAAGATTCAGAAGACGGAAGGGGATTTGGAGGCCTTGAGGTCAGACCTTGCAAGAACTCTGGGTCTCGAGACTGGTGACCCTCGTGCTAAAAAGAGTCCTGAGGTGACTATAAACCCTACTAATGGTCATATTGTCGTCAAGGTATGTCTCCTATCTCGTCTACTGCCAACTTACTTTTCGATTAGAGCTAATTGTATTTTTTTCTTTTTATAGGGCTGGAGGAAACCAGAAATCCAGCAATTCCTCACTGAGCGAAATTTCTAAGATGAAAATCACGATGTGGTTTCATGGATCAATTGTACAGCGCAATAAATTATCACCTTGCATTACCACCTCTCTCTCACCTTTGACCTTGCCGTGTTCGCGCCTGTTTCCCGGTTAATGTGGCTCTTTGATCATCTCTGGCGTTACATGCATTTCGTGTGCTCTTTTTTGAACGCATTTTTTTATCTATGGAATGGGTTGTGCATGTGGGAATCGATTTCCTTTCCCCCTCTTCTCTATTAGCATCTCTTAATCTCTACGATTATCCTTTCTGCTTGCGATTCAGTTGTGCTTAAAAAGTTGTTTTTGAATTCTTCTTTTGAAGAAATAATTAATGTATATCACGCACTTAGCGAATTCTATCTCGCTCTTCCTATCTTCCAGCTGTAGGGGACTTTGATGTATACTAAGCATTAACGAAACAATATATTGAAGCGAAAGAGTAAACTTCTAGTAGACTTGTGTCATGTCCAGGTCATGTACAATAAAATTGAAGATAGTGAAGCTATATATGGACACGGTCAAGCGGTCATCATCTCCGGAGCGCCCAGACCCATCCTAAAAAACACCAAATTTTCAATATAACGATACAGTAAAGGTACAAGTATAATAATAATGTTCAATAAGTTAAGGTATCAATTCACTTCCATGTTCCAACATCTCGTACGGGAAAATAAAAAAATTTAGTCATTATCGACTCACTCTCCGAGTCCTGCGTATGCAATTAATTGCCTCACAACACCTGCATCTAACGTTGGAGTCAACAAAGCACCCAGCAGACTTTCTCGTTTTGGTAGCACGTTGAGCGGGAAACTGCGGCCTGATGTACAATCTTCTTGCTTTACTTTTTCAGCCAATTTTTGAAGAATGTTCAGTCCTCTGTTGATAATCGACGCGTACACATGAGTTTCCGGGTCTGGTTGGCCACGTGCTTGTGGGTGTCGATGAGCAGCTGGTGGCATACGTTCTGTGCTAAGCAAACAACATAGACGTAGGAGATGAACAGCGAATCCATCCGCTGACTGCAGCCAAGATCGAGCAGTTGGCCCATCGGCGAGTTCGGTAAGAATCTCGCCAGCTAGCAAACCTTGCATGAGAAATATTTTGCGTGCATCCGCCAAAGGCAGAGGTTTTCGTGGTTGGTCCGGGATAGGGCAGATGGCCAAGGCAAAAGCGCGGGTCAGCAGCTCATTTTGGCTAGGGAAACTGTCACCACTGAAGATAGCTTTGTAGTACATCCGGTTCGGCTCATCCCTAGCAAGAAGTTTGGCTAGGCTGTCAATTGCTGTAGGTGTATATTTGTGAACAGAGGGGTTGTATGGTGTGAACGTCACTCCTTCCTGGGTAATAGTAGGTGCAGGCAAAGGCGCAAACGATAAAAGGAAATGTAGTAAACATATAGCTTCCTCTTTCCCAGAGATATACACTGCTTGAGCAACATTGCTAAGATAAGTAACAGCATCTTTCATGAAATCCAAATTATTTTGGTGGGTTCGTAATATCATACTGCGGGTGCCGAGGTAACGAATGATAGTGGTGAACATTTTAACAATCGGAGCACTTCCTAGGATACCAAAATTTGGTTCCGTGAAAGAGAAATTCCTTATGATACCAGTGATACAAAGTACCCTGTCAGCTGCACGATCCAATTCATAAGCGACACTACCAAACTCTGGGACGTCTAGAAGGGATGTCATTTCTACCCTACAACCACGAATGACGTCTTCGTAAGGCAGTAAGCTCATATCATCGGAAACCTCTGCTGCATTCTTAGCAAGGAATTCGACTTGTTCTTCAGCACAATCAACCAAGCTTTCCACAAGGTCATCACAGTTATCCAGAGGAATCTGAATATTTGGTTCAGAAGCAATAGTCGTCAAGGTATCCAAAGCCAGGCGCACCTCGGCGTGTATTCCCGATTTGATACTCATAGTCAATGCGTGTATATCTATGACACCCAGTTCTCCAAAAGAAGGGACATTAGGCCGCAGTTTCATTATGTCTTCCCCAATTGGATAGATTTCGTCTACCACGATGGGGCCATGCGCGGGAGTATCTGTTAAAACAGTTGCTTTAAATGTATCTCCAATGTGTTTTTTCACGGGCTGGGGTGGCGCAGTTTCGAGCCCAGGTGCGGTTTTGCTGGGAGTGACTGAAGGTTTAGCGGGCGTCGCAGATGGGGCAATTTGCGAGGACAGAGACTGATCAGCAGCGGATGCTGCAGCTTGCGGTTGTCGAGGGATATTTGGCCGTTGATGGTTCTGTGCATGGGGGAGTTGGGGCTGTTGAGCCTGCGGTGGCTGTTTGACTTGGCGAGGTTGTTGTGGTGTAGGAACGCCATTACTAGCAGTTGTTTGAACGGTGTTCGGTATTGACGCGCCAGCTTGGGGAGAAGATGTGAAATGCTGATTTTGTGATTCGAATTCAGATCCAGGTTTGATTGGGGACTGCTGGAACTGCATCATATTCGCATCTGCAGACTGTCTTTGCATAGAATTCTGTTGCATATTTTCCATTTGTTGTTTCTGGTGTGACGAAATGAGAGCTTGCTCGTAGCTTGCTAAATTTTTAGCATATATATCCCGAATTTCCACAGCTGCATTTGGATACTGCTGAGGTGCAAATTGAAGTGACTGGGCAATAGCAGGCCACATATTGCTCGCAGTAACCTTTTTAAAACCACCCATCTTCATAACTGAAGCGTATAACTGCATTAAATGTATAGCCCGGCCACTCACGTGCGGTGAAAGTTCCAACGGTTGATTACGCGTCATCATGAATTTCTGGAGAGTCTTCAGAAATACCTCAGGACTAGTTGGTTTTGGCATGTTTGGTTGCGACATGTTTTGTTGCATCTGTCGTAAGGCGGCCATCTGAGGATTTGCCATTGGATTCATGGCACTACCAGGACGTCCCGCCATAGCGGGATTGCCAGCTTGCTGCATCTGACGGGCTTGGTTCTGTAGTTGCATTTGGTATAGACGCTGGTTCTGAGCAGCCATAGCTTGTGCTGAGTATCCTTGCGACATATTGGCTAGATGGGCTTGCATTGGTGTAGGAGTGGCGTTCGAAGTCATCCCTGTAGATTGCGCAAACTGCGCAGGCATGCCCTGTGCATAAGCCTGGCCGGCCATGAACGCGTTGTTTTGCGGCGTGTTGACACGACTTCCTTGGTCAGACTGGGGCGGGGAGATTTGATTCCCGACAGGAGGGCCGGCCGGAGAAAATGGACTAGGCGAAGCTGTCTGTACCCGTTGCACGCCATGCTGGTCAAAGTCTTGTAGGCTAGGGGACTGCGTGGTGTTTACAGAGACTCTTTGTTGCTGGAGATGTTGATACGGGGTTGAAGGATGTGTAAACTGAGGGTTTCCATTTGTTGGTCCCTGGTAGCCTGCAAAGGGGACCTGGGGCGTCTGAGAACGCGACGACGGCAAGCCAGCTGGGGCTTGCCTGGGAGACATTGACATGCCATCTTCGGGTCGGGGTCGTTTTGACGGGATGACTTGGTTCAGGTTGTGGAAGCCAGGCGAGACATTGCGTGGGACGCCGTTTTGAAACATGCGCTGGAACTGGTTTGGATCCTGAGGTGTCGGCGATGGTTGTAGAAAAGCCATCGACGGATCGATGGTCGCATTATTGAATGCCCCATTGTCATGGTTGGGGATGCTCGAGGCGTCGGTCAGCCACGCATTCATGTCGTGTAGATCGACCAACCCATCTGTAGCACGAAATGATCAGTAAGTCATCAACAAATACACATGTGCCAATCACAGTCAGCAGCGCGCCGCGAATGCTGGATTGCCTGCCGGTAGAGATCTGTAAATAGTTCAGATGAAAGCGGAGTGATGCCACGTCTGAAAATGTTCTAGACGCGTCGCGAAAAAGGCTTGCAAGGGTATGACAGGGCAGGCAAAGCAGTGGGTATAGCGCGCGGAAACGAAGAGTTGGGGCTATGCGACTAGAAAATAGCATTTGCAGAGATGCTCAGAAAGAAGCATACGTACCGACGAGGTTGGCTAGCTGTGGTGGCGTGGTGCAAAGAGCGCTGTGGTTGAGTCGGGGTTCCGAAAATAGCGCTTGTGGTGTGAAGGCGACAAGTTGCAAGCGTCCTCGACGGAACTGGACAGGTCACGGGACCTAGGTGCCGCAGACAGACTGGAGGCAGGTTAGTCTCTCAAGATCATAATAATAGGGTTAACATGGAATCCGATTGCGATATTAATTATTATAATAATGAGAATCATAATAATCATAATAACAATGCTGGGCAGGATGTTAATTCGCGTAGTGCTGATGGAATGAATCAAATAACGATGGGCCAGCCAGTCAGTGCGTGGCGGGCCCTTGGATTCAGAAGAGTGGGAAGGACCAGTGGTACGCATGTCAAGAGAACAACACAAATCAGGGCTACGGGAGTATACGTACCTGGAACAAAAAAGAACGGGCGCTGTCAGAGGCTCTTTTTGGGAAGGGCAGAAGTGGAGGCGCAGGAATGGGACAGGAATAATAAGGGGTCTGATGAGAGTCGGTCGGGGTGACGACCGCGGTGCGTGTGTCTGGACGGGGGTGGGCAGGAATTATTTCGGGCACAGCACAGGCAAAAGGAAAGGAAGCAAAAGCAGAAGCGGGGGAGCGATCAGACAAGCACCGCAGGCAGCGAACAGCGTCTAGCCTTTGTCAGAGGGAGGAGAGCAGACAAATTAGTGAACAACAGTAGTCGAGGCTGGTCAGTGGTTTCACGGGCAGAACCAGAGCAGAGAACGGCGAGAACGGGTTACGGAACATGAAAGGAGGGAAAGAACGCGGCGCTGCCAGCCAAGCTCCTCAGGCAGCACTCGGCCTTGGCGCCGCTGCCCTAGGCCTATCCGGGCCGCAACCGGAACGGGCTGCCATTGGCCCGTCGCCTGCATATGGTGCCTGCCGTCATTATTCTATCTGTCGTCTTTCTTTGTACACAGTGCACACAGGAGAAGACCGATGCCAGAAATTGAAAATGCGCGATGGGATGCTTATCGTCAGTATGGTTGGTACCATAGGTTATATGTCGGGGGCAAGCTTCGACAGACCATCCTCCCTAGCTGCCTGTTGTTGGCGGCGTGGAACCGAGTCAAATAGTGGCACAGCATCGTCAGGTCTGTTCGAGATGGCAGACAGCACGAGGTACGAGTTGAGCGAATTCGCTTCTGGGTGTCAAAGCATCATGGCCAGAGAAGCCTGAAACTCGACTTCAAGTTGACTCAGAGGGACAAAAAACCCGCAGAGAGGGGTGTATCTGACCTATATATAATGTCTGGTGATCTCCGGGCGATCCATGGGCAGGTGCTAGTCTCATTACGACTGTAACTTGCTGCACGATTGACCACTACTAATTAATTTCTTATGGTTATGACATCGAGTCGGTTCGTCTCTGACGGCTCCGAGGCCTCTAGCCGTTTAATAACACATCTCCCAGTGCCACGGCCTGAGCTTGTCCCACTCGCCTCTGTTACTGATTGGGCTACCCTCTAATTTCCAATCTCCATAGTCCATACACATCCACGTCCACCGGTCGCACCACCAGCCAATCATTCGCATGGTGACGATGATTTCGTGGTCATATGCATGGACGTTTTCAAAATTGTAAGTCATAAAGACGCAAAATTATGAATCGGTCGCTTTGCTCTTACGTAGCTGCAGATCTGGCTGTGTTTTCCTCCATCGTAGGTAAAGTCCTAGTGTTCTGCAAGGAAGGACCGAAAACTTGGATTTGAAGATTGAAAATATAGACAAAGCTCTAAATCCTGATCAATGACCTGGACTACCAAATCACCCTCACCTGTAAAGTTAAACTGGCTGCTCTTTCTGATTCGTCGTGGGTCTCATCTAACTGTCACGTGACGCGCCTATTATCGTAGGTGATGACAGTGCTTGGATAGCTCCTGCCGTACAAGAAGCTTCCAGCACGCTCCCCATCTGCCAACCCCGTCATCCCGTCTTCTTTCTGAATCAAAATTTGCTGATAGGAATCCTGGAAACCATTGAATATACTCTACGATTCGATATTTCAATCGTCGTTCATCATGGCCGATGTTGCCGTTGAAAATCCAGCAAACAGCGTAGCGCCGCACAGGCGACCAACTCCTGCAGACTCAGTGCCCATCATCGACTCGCTTGAGGGAACTGGAAACGATGGCGGCGATGAATACGTTACCCTAAAGCGCTTCCAGAGATACATGGAGTATGTCCACGCTCTTCTCAAAGGTGCCTTGTTACTGACCCCGGGTGCCATGTAGATACCTGCAACTTCAAGAAGAGTACATCAAAGATGAGCAGAGGTAAGGCTCTTGATATTTCGATACGTAATGCTGTTCTGCGGTGCTAATCGGGCCCTTCCTATATGCAGGAGTTTGAAAAGAGAGCTGGTTCGAGCTCAAGAGGAAATCAAAAGAATACAGAGTGTTCCGTTGGTTATCGGGCAATTCATGGAAGCTATAGATCAAAAGTATGCTTTCCAACCTAAGGCTACCATTTAACGCCTCAATTCTAATTAATTCGTCGCTATAGCACGGGTATTGTACAGTCATCTACTGGGTCGAATTATGTTGTACGGATTCTTTCCACCCTCGATCGGGAGAAACTGAAACCTTCGTCGTCCGTTGCACTCCATCGTCACTCCAACTCCCTCGTCGATATTCTTCCTCCGGAAGCAGACTCATCTATTGCTATGCTTGGTGCACACGAGAAGCCTGACGTTACCTATGCCGATGTGGGTGGGTTGGATATGCAGAAGCAGGAGATTCGGGAAGCTGTGGAATTACCTTTAACCCAGCAAGATCTTTACAAACAAATCGGTTCGTTCGACTGTGGTCATTCTGAATACCTAGATGCCTAACAAAGACTACAGGTATCGACCCCCCACGTGGTGTTTTGTTGTACGGACCTCCAGGTACTGGAAAGACGATGTTAGTGAAGGCTGTGGCTAATAGTACAACTGCCAACTTCATCCGTGTGGTCGGTTCGGAGTTCGTGCAAAAATATCTGGGAGAGGGCCCTCGTATGGTCCGAGACGTCTTTCGCATGGCCCGTGAAAATTCACCGGCCATCATCTTCATCGATGAAATCGACGCTATCGCGACTAAACGATTTGATGCCCAAACAGGCGCCGACCGTGAAGTGCAGCGTATCCTGCTGGAACTTCTCAACCAGATGGATGGTTTCGACCAGGGAAGCAACGTGAAGGTGATCATGGCGACGAACCGAGCAGATACATTAGACCCTGCTTTGCTACGACCTGGTCGTCTCGACCGAAAGATCGAGTTCCCCTCGCTTCGTGATCGTCGTGAGCGTCGGCTCATTTTCACAACCATCGCCTCCAAGATGTCTCTGTCACCAGAAGTGGACTTGGATTCACTCATTGTGCGGAATGAGCCCCTCTCCGGTGCCGTCATTGCAGCCATCATGCAAGAAGCCGGTCTGCGTGCAGTCCGCAAGAATCGCTACAACATCATCCAATCTGACTTGGAGGATGCTTACTCGAGTCAAGTCAAGACTAGCCAGGAAGCCGACAAGTATGTTCTTCTTTCCTAAATTTTCAAGTTATATTGTTGCAACTCTTATAAGCTTCATTATTGATCTCACACACTGACTTTACGCGTCTACAGGTTTGATTTCTACCGGTAAAGGTAGAGACCGATTGACTGTTTTGATTTGTAATGTATCGCAACATGAGCACATCAAGGGTGTGCGAGATTATGTATACTAAGAAATACATTACTTATTGCCAATCAAATCACATAATATAACCTTTACCAAAACCTACATCAGGTGTTCTCCGTCATCTAGTGCGAATAGAATAGGACCTACTTAATGCTAGAAGAACATAGCGTACACTTGCTAATTTCACATTCATTGATATCTCAATACGTCATACTAACTCTGGATGTCGCAACTGCAATATCGTTAATATGTTCTAGTAGGGTGACTAAGGTTTGGGTATAGCACTACAAGAGTGGATTGGATAATAAAAGAAATTTCAGAGTAGATAGGTCTAGAAATGGTCTTGATTGCTTTGAAGGTAAATATATTAAGAAAATCTAAGCTGATAACGTGGTCAAAGTAGAACTCTGATGGGTGTAATAAGAGTGTTATTATGCTATTTACTCATATTATATCTTATCAAGAGACTCTATCAATTATTGATTATATGGCTGATTAAAGGCAACAGTTAGTGGTTTTAATTTTGAACTTTGCTGTTCCAAATTAGAAGCCGCATAAGGTGGTAGCTGGACGATGTATTTGTTTGAGTACGCGTTCAAACCTTCACGCGGTGTCCAGCGTTACTGTTCAAGGAATAAGTCAAGATGAGCTAGCTTATGAAGCAAAACAGGCAACGTCAGAGTCAGCCGGCAGGAGGTGGGGTTTATACGACATCCCAGGAGTTCCGGGCCAATCAGCGGCTGCCGTGCTGCCCCTGCCTGGCCAAGTCACGAGCGCGCCGAATCCAGCACCGCCCAGCCTATCCCGGCCTAGTCTCGGCCCGCTTTGCTCCAGCAACCACCGCATCATCGTCATCACCTGCCTTGCCTTAGTCTCGCATCCATCCGTAGTCACCTCCTCTCTCGTTCTGTTATCATTCGAGTCCTCATTCATCTCCTCAAATCACGCATCTTGCTTTCCCATCGTTGTTTCGTTCTCCTTTCTTGATAATACTCGTTCGGTGCGGTCAATCATGAAGACTACTACCGTGCTTGCAGCCGCCGCGCTGCTGGGCTCTGCCTCAGCCAAGGTGCACAAACTCAAGCTGGACAAAGTGCCGCTTAGCGAGCAATTTGTATGTCCATATCCTGGCTCTCGCCGGACCCGTCCTGGCCGCTAACGAGATTGTAGGAAAAGCGCAACCTAAATGACCATGTACAGTCTCTAGGCCAGAAGTACATGGGCATCCGTCCCACGCACCGCGAGGATATGTACCAAGACACTTCCATCAAACCTGAAGGCGGCCATGACGTGCTGGTGGATAACTTTTTGAATGCCCAATGTATGTGACACATCGACTGATACTGAGCCTGTGGTTAATCTAACTGATGTTGCCGGGCAGACTACTCAGAGATTACCATCGGCACACCTCCCCAGAGCTTCAAGGTCGTCCTCGACACCGGTAGCTCCAATTTGTGGGTCCCGTCATCCTCTTGTAGCTCGATTGCTTGCTATTTGCACAGCAAGTACGACTCCTCAGCCTCGTCTACTTACAAGAAGAACGGCTCTGAATTCGCTATCCAGTACGGTTCTGGCAGCCTGGAGGGCTTTGTATCACATGATGTTGTCTCGATTGGCGACCTGAAAATCAAGGACCAGGATTTCGCCGAGGCCACTAACGAGCCTGGCTTGGCGTTCGCCTTTGGCCGCTTCGATGGCATCCTTGGTCTCGGTTTTGATACCATCTCCGTCAACAAGATTGTCCCACCCTTTTACAATTTGCTAAATCAGAAGGCTCTTGACGAGCCTGTCTTTGCCTTCTACCTTGGTGATTCCACCAAGGATGGCGATGATTCAGAAGCTACCTTCGGTGGTGTGGACAAGAGCCACTACACTGGAGAGCTAGTTAAGATTCCTCTGCGGCGCAAGGCCTACTGGGAGGTGGACTTTGATGCTATTGCTTTTGGTGACAATGTGGCCGAGCTTGAGAATACCGGTGTAATCTTGGACACCGGCACTTCTTTGATTGCCCTTCCCTCTACTCTTGCTGAGCTTCTGTAAGTTTCGCATTAACGTTATCTATATTTTTCAATAGCTAACCCTTGCGATAGGAACAAGGAAATTGGCGCCAAAAAGTCATGGAACGGTCAGTACACTGTTGACTGCGAAAAGCGCGCCTCTTTGCCTGATCTTACTGTCACCTTGACTGGTCACAACTTCTCCATCACCGCATACGATTACATCTTGGAAGTTCAAGGTTCCTGCATCAGCGCCTTTATGGGCATGGACTTCCCCGAACCCGTTGGCCCTCTCGCCATTCTCGGAGACGCTTTCCTCCGCAAGTGGTATAGTGTTTATGACCTGGGCAAAGGCGAGGTAGGTCTTGCCAAGGCCAAGTAAGTGATGGAGATAGCACGATACCCGAAGTGTGGATGGTCGCATTAGAGAGTCGCAATTTGAATGGTCCATATTGTCTCTTGACAGAGCAGACAGTTTACAGGGATCAACCTGTGTCACCCTAGCTTTCTTTAGTGTCTTCTACGTATTGCTGTTTTACTGTGGCAAGGTCTCTACTACCATGTAGAATATATTATTATAAACGATCCACCGAGAATGCACTATATATATTGACATTTCATCTACGATTATTATTTCTGTATTCACAAATGTAATTAACAGCAACATTAGTACATGTACACATGTGGTGTGGTGCAATGCAGCCAAGTTCTGGAGGGAGCAGACTGAGCAGGCAGTGAACTGTGAGAGGTTCGGCCGGGCTACCGTCTCCACCCGCCCGCGCTAAGGCGATTGTCTCGACTGCCCACTCTATAAGCTTCAAATGACTGACTGTCCCATGCCTACCGCCACTGTTTATCTCTATTTTCGCCGACCAATCTGCAGCCTAAAACCTCACTGGTTTTTCATTCGCAATACCCAGTATTACTACAAACTATCCTATCTTTGTATTGTGCAGGTAGAAGAACTACGTCAGCGTCTCGTCCGCATCTGCCTGTCACGACAATTGGTGGATATTCCCACGCGCACGCGAGACCCATCGAGAGCTGCTTTCACAACTTTCGCCCCAGAATATCCTCAGTCGCAGCAATATCTACAAACCCTCTACTTTCCTCTTGCGCCCCGCTTCCTGATATTGCACGTTCAGCCAGGCGCGTGAGTTGTGCATCATCATTACTGATGACAGGCAAAGCTCAGAAGTAAATTCGCATCAACCGCGATTGAATCTTGGTTAGTCTTGGTTTCTTGAACAGCGCCGTCCTGGTGCCATGGCCCAGTGATATTGCCTTCTCTTCGCGACGAGCAATTATCAAGAAAAATTTTCACAAACAAAGCCGAGGGGGGACTCTTGGTGGTTGAGTGTAGAGCATGCTTTTGCAATTACCGCCCACGCTTCATTACCCGATCACCGTGACATCGCTGCTAAAGCGACCGGGCGATTTGGTTGAGCGGGGTGATCATTTATTCTGGTATGTCTACAAGACTACGGTTATCGAAGGGGACGGGCTCGGCAATGACGTCGAGGTTGAGAAGGAGTTCCCGATCAAATTCGAATCGAATGTCGATGGGGAGATAGTAAGGTGGAAGATTTCCAAAGGAGATATTATCGATGAGCCGTAAGTGATCAACAGGAAGAAGTGGTCTGTCGATTGCTAAATGAGTCAGTGTCAATGTACTCGAAATTGACGAGCCATGCGCCCACGAAGTTCAGTTTGGGGGGATGTGTGCAGAATGCGGGAAAGATATGACTGCGTAAGATGTCGCTGTTAAATTATCCTGCTCATTACTAACGGCTCGTTATATGTCTACGCAGTGCGACGTATAATACCGATGTTATGGACTCTATGCGTGCGCCGATTCAGATGACTCACGACAATACAGCGCTGACAGTCAGTCAAAGAGAAGCAACGCGAGTAGAAGAGGATGCAAAACGTCGACTTTTGGCTTCAAGACGCCTGTCCTTAGTAGTCGACCTGGATCAAACGATTATACATGCTACGGTGGACCCGACTGTAGGAGAGTGGAAGGAAGACAAGAACAACCCTAATCATGGCGCTGTCAAAGACGTTCGCGCTTTTCAGTTGACGGATGATGGGCCCGGGATGCGAGGCTGTTGGTATTATATCAAGCTCCGACCCGGCCTGGAGAGTTTCCTACAGAATATTTCTGAAATTTATGAGCTGCACATCTACACCATGGGTACGAGGGCATACGCACAAAATATCGCGAACATTATCGACCCTGAGCGAAAACTGTTTGGCGACCGAATTCTCAGTCGTGACGAGAGCGGTAGTTTGACTGCAAAAAATCTACAGCGCCTTTTCCCGGTTGACACTAAGATGGTCGTTATCATCGATGACAGAGGCGACGTTTGGAAATGGAACCCCAACTTGATTAAAGTGTCACCTTATGACTTTTTTGTCGGTATTGGAGATATCAATTCGAGCTTTTTGCCTAAAAAACAAGACTTAACGCCTGGCCCGGCTACGAAGGCTAAGCGCGAAAAGCCTCATCAACCACCTTCCACAGAACATCATGTAAATGGATTGACCCAAGCCAAAGACGGCGAGAATGAGGTGTCGGCACTGGAGCAACTTGTTACTATGGGCGGAGGAGATAACCCAGCAATGCTTCAGGAACAAACTACACAACAAGAAGAAACCATTATGCATCAAGTAGAGGATCGGCCATTGCTGCAAAAGCAAAAGGAACTGGATGCAGAAGATGATGCCTCTGAGTCACAAGCAGGTGCTGACAGTGAGTCATCATTTTCGAGTGTGGATGACACCCAGGAGTCGCAACGACCAAGGCATCATCTGCTCGAAGACCGCGACACCGAATTATTTCACCTGCAAGACAGATTGGAGAGGGTGCATCGGGAATTTTTCGAAGAGTATGATCGTCGCCGCAATAAGGCTGTTGGAGGAAGAGTTTCTGCTCTGCGGGGGGACAGAATCCCTAGGGATAAAGATGTTGACTTGAAACTATTGCCTGACATCAAAATAGTCATGCCACAGATCAAACGTAAGGTTCTTGGAGGTGTTGTCATAGTGTTTTCCGGCGTGTTACCGTTAGGAACTGATACACAGAATGCCGATATCTCTCTATGGGCTAAAAGTTTTGGAGCCGTCATCTCAACTAGGATTGGGTCCAGAACAACACACCTGGTGGCTGGGCGAAACCGCACAGCCAAGGTTCGCGAGGCGACAAGATACCTAAAGATTAAGATCGTCACAACGCAATGGTTATTGGATAGTCTGACACAATGGAAAAAGGTGGATGAGGAACCTTATTTGGTGCCAGTCCACCCAGAAGATCGTGGTGATCCTGTGCTGGGCAGTTCCCCCGGATCTAAACTGGAAAGCCCCTGGCTTTCTTCGTCAGAAGACGACACAGGTGTGTCACTCACAGATGATGAAGGTTAGATTATCAGCAGACGCGGTGACGGCCGATTTGATGAGACTGACTGTCTAGATATAGAAATTCCCAGGTCTTCCGGGACGAATGAATATTCACCAATTGGCTATGATGCAGACGAACAGGCAGCGGTACACGATGAGCTGAGGGAGTTCTTAGGTAGCGACAATGAAAGTGACACGGACGCAAGTGAAATCGAATCAGTAATGGGTGCTGAATCCAAGAAGCGCAAGCGAGAGGGCGGTGAGGATACCGATGACGGCGCCTCCGAGGGCACTGATTCTCGAGTTCCACAGCGTCTCAAGGTGTCTGGCGCTGGACGCAGCAGTAATTTGAAACAGACTATTAGTGCAGCCAGCGCTGGAGAAGGCGGGAATGAAGAGAAAGAGACATGGACGGGCAGTCAGCAGCGCGATGATGGCGACGATGATGCCAATGTGGACAATCCAGATGACGACGAGGACGAGTTGGAGCGAGAAATGCTCGCTGCTTTTGAAGACGGCGAATACGATGAATCTGGAGGTGATAATTAGTGATTCTTTCGACCTTTTCTATTTTGCATAGCGAGGCGTCTTGAGCAATATGCCGTGATGACATGGTACTTAGTTTCTGTTTAGCGTCCGACTATCTTCGTCTACATGTACTGCTGTACTGATAATAAGTGGATGGTGAATAAACAGATTATCAGATGTATAGTGGTCATATCATTAAATCAATCGATCTGTATTTACTATCTGAAACACATAACTATCATAGTATAAGTAGACATGATTCCGTCCTCCTTAATTGGAAAACTTCTCTGGGATGTGCTTCCTATTGAAATCATTAACTGCCGGCCACTTCTATTTATGCAGCTATAGGAATCAATACTAACCCTGTGGCCTTCTCGAAAAGGCTACGAGCAGTATCGGTGATCTTCTCGTTGGTGTCCCTCATTTTGGTGGGATCAACCTTGCCCTGGCCGAACTTCTTCTCAGCGGCATCAAGACCTAAGCAACATGTTAAAAAAATTGCCCAAACATGATAGTATATGTTGGAGATGTCAATGGAGTATACCTTTGTCGAGGTAATCCTCCTGGGTCTGATTTCCTTGTTGGTTGGAGCTCATGTTGGTGGTTTTGCTAACGACACTAACTGGTATGTAGAGGTTATGTTAAGATATGGTTAATTTGAAATTAAAGCAGGAAGAACACGCCAATTTATACTGCCCACCTCCCCCCTCGTGGCTACTAGTAGCTGGCAACAATCAACCCCTCAACGCAGCTAGATGATCTGGGCTTGAGGGCTTGGCTGCAACCACTCCTACGTCATCCGATCGGGCTTTGCCGAGAACAGCCTCGATTTGACATTGCTTCGCCACACCGATCTGCCTGCGTCCAGTGAGATGTGCCGCCAAGAGCAGTACTAACTTGCTTCTCAGTAATGGATCTCTCGAGCCCTAAACTAGTCGTTGCTATTAGCTGGATTGTAGATTCAATTTTGGGCAATCTGAAGGAGAAGAGGGGTACGAAAGTTTATTGCGCGCGACTATCATCGATGATTACGGCCGATTGTTATCCACTAGATGATAACAATATTGAATTCTAATAATTTACCCAAATACAAAGGCGATGTCTTAATAGATGTAATTGATAAATATATGTGTCTTTCATTTTCACCAAGCTATCCTCCTATCTTGGCTTTGTATATTCCCCTTTGGCTGGATCTACTTGCCTCCTTGTCGTAGGCACTAAGTTTAGGTATAAGGGGAAGATTGCACCAGCACTGATAGTAGTAGCCGTAAAAGTTGTTGCAGTCTTCATGTACTGTCCTGTTCCACGGAGTGAAATACTGTAAATAATTGGAGAGGCTCCGCCTTCAAAATAAAAACACCATCGAATCGTCGACGTCGAAACGCCATATCTAGATATAACCGAGATGTCTTCATACAGAGAACGCTGAAAACAATCATGCCCAAATAGGAAACGAGAAGGTTGAAACAGGTGTTTAAGAATGTCCATTGAACAAGGGCTGAAAGAAAACGAGCAATGGCGAAAAGTGAGAGAGCAAGTGAGATGTGTCTAATCGATTCCCAGAATTTCGATGGCAGTGCACTGGAATAGCAAATAATGAGTCAAATAGGCCGTGTCCGACGTGTAGGAAGAAACGGCAGGCGGTTGTGGCAAGTTTCTCTGTTGTTGCCAGCGCCTATTGCAGAGGCAAGAAAGTATACTACTCCCAATACACTTGGGCCGAAATTCAAACATCGATGCACATTCCAAAAGCTCGAAATAATTCATGCATAGGTATCATAAGTACTGAAAACATCACCAACGCCTGCATTGCATCATGATTACATTTTGCTTCAAAAAGATCACAATAAATTCCTATTAAGTGGCATCTCTATGCACTTGCCACGACATGACCATCATCCAAAAATAGAATATCGTATTGACCACCTCAAAGGCGAATGCGGCTTTCCAGCAGTTACCTAGAACAATATTTTAGTCAGTAAATATCCTTTGCCCTTTCTCTTTGTCGGCCAGAGGATATCCTACATATCGTGTTTTGTGTCAACCATGCCAGCGCCTCAACAGTATTGCCCGAGTACGGCATATTTGTCACGTAGTTTTGGCAATTCGAATTGACGTTCGCTTGACCGCCATACAATTGCAATGCCGTTTCGATCAATCCCGTCAACCACAACGAGAAAAGAATAAAACTGCCGATTATTATGATTCCGGGTAGCAGAAATCGTTGAGCAGCAAGGACCAGGATGGTTATGACGAATGCTACCCCAAGGGCTCCGACAGTGACCATGAACGGGAAAAGCCTGTATATTGGTTAAAATCCAGTGTCAGCTACCGTCTCACAGGCCTTTATCTAGCCAGCATTGAACTGGAAACATACCATGGGATGCCCAGGTTTAGTTGTGACTGAACGACCATAAACCATGCATATACTCCGAGACATGTTGCTGAGCCCACCAACACCGTGAGTAACCAAATGTTTAACTGTAGTTCGGGCCAGTGATAGCGCCTCCCAGCGGTTGGTCTGTAAGCGGGCATGCTGTCGGTTCAAGATGTATGGGTGCTGTTCCCAGCGAAGCAAAACGTCTTAGGCGAAAAAACCCGATGTCGAGGGTTTGCGATCAATCTGTAGATATGCGGGGGAAGGCGTCACCAAGTTGCACCGCCGGGACAACCAGGTATAGATTGAAGAAGATAAAAAAAAGAGCGCCAAAGGGCGCAATACCGCTAGAAGTCGGTCAATTTATCTTTTAAATCTCTTTTTCTGGCAATTTTTGGACCGTTGCTAGGCGTCGACTCTTTCAATCAGCGATAAACACGATTGCGATGCCATGTGACGATGGAACAGCCACGTCTTGTTCCCGCCCAGCGGATAGGTACCCAATTGATGGGCCTTCTTAACACGTCGATGCCGGCGAAGGTAGGATATATGGGAGAACAAATCCGAGGAGGTCTATACGCTTTTCATCTTATCGTCGGACATCGCAGGTGAGAAGCAGCTTGTTTACCCGATTATTATTTAGGCTAGTAGTAGCACCTTCCTTCTCAGCAACGCAGGGTGGGGCCGCCGGATCTGCTGCAGGCAGGGCTCTTATTGGTTGTCTCGAGGACTAAGCGGTACTAGCCAATCGTAGAAGTGCTAGTGGGGCAGGGTGACGAAATCGATAACAGAAAAAGTAATCACACAAGTCGGCAAATCTCTAATTTTTCCCTGTCTTTATACTCTTTCTTGTATGAGTGGACTTTGCCTCTACAAAAACCAAACAAAAAACCCACTTTCCCGCTTGGGCTCTGTTGTACAGCAATGCGAAACAAATGGCGGCCAGAATTCCGTCTGGGCTGCTGACTACGTCAGCAGCATATTGGATTATTATCTATTGGAAAGATGATATCAATTGATATAGATAACTTAAGATGTTTGGTATTTAGGATATAAAAATCGTCACTCTTTATGAGCAGTGCTCGTCAAGTGTTCTTCGGTCTTTGAAGTCCCGCAAGCCCCAAACAGCTCAATTGAATCATGAACGGAAATGAGCAAATATATTACAATAAAGTATCGCCGAGGGCACTGCGAACCAGCGAGCAGCCCGTGCGAATAGTCTCATTGGCGCCCATGGCCTCCAGGCTAGGGTTAACTTCCACCAGGTCCATAGCGATCAGGTTGCCCGTCTGGTGTACGCACTCGGCAATGAAGTCGCCTTCTCGGAGCGTAAGGCCTCCTCGGACAGGGGTGCCAGTGCTGGGGGCCCATTGCGGATCGAGGGCATCAACGTCAAAGGACAGGTGTATCGGTGTATCATTGCCAACGTGTGCAAGAGCCATCTCTACGACGCGGCCGATTCCATGCCTATTGTCAGGCTCATTAGCATTGCATACTGTATAGTTGAAGCCGAGTAAATAGACGTACCTGTCAATGTCATGCATGCTAAACGCTTTAATTCCATGCTCTTTAAGAATTCTCTTCTCTCCACGATCGACATCGCGCAAGCCGATGTATACCAATTTGTTGACGTTGACCAAGTGCTCCTTGCTCAGCCACCCGAAAATGTCTTTCTTTTCTTCCGTTGCAAGGGCTGTGAGGAACGCCACTGGCATACCATGGATGTTGCCGCTGGGGCTATCCTCGGGAAGGTTGATGTCTGCATGGGCATCGACCCAAATGACTGCCAACTCCCGTCCAAGGCGCTCACGGATTGCTTTTGCGGTGCCTGAGATTGTACCAATGGCAATCGAATGGTCACCTCCAAGAGTCAGGACCATCTTCCCTTCCTTGGCATGGTCGTACACCTGTTGACTGAGCTTCTCAGTGACCGCGCTCACTGCTCGCGGCTTTTTCATGCCTCTGTGGTCTGGATCGTTGGCGGGGATGATATCCGCGTAGTTATGGACGGCGTTGTCAAAGTGTACGTCATAGCCGAGGTCCTCGTGGAGTTGATCAAGGAGACCAGATTCAATGAGGGCCATGGGCGCTGCTTCGACGCCTTGCTTGCACTACAACATCATTAGCTGGTCGGTGCGATAAGATCATGAGTGTGACTTGATCCAACCTGGCCCCCAGAAAAGCCCACAGCAACTACTCCGAGGTCATTTGGCCGAGAGAGGAACCGCTGCTGGAAAGATGGAGGTGCTGTCATTTTGTTTCGAATTAATTGATTTGTTCGTGTATCACAAAGATTCGAAAAGAGCGTCAGTCTGAGGGAGAAAGAATGCGGGGAATGCGTAGTTGGAGCAAAGATAAGCGGAGAAGGCAGGAAACGTGGTGTTGGGGCGAGAGAAAATGTTGCAGGTCACAAAGAGGCTTTTCAAGCGATTTAAATACGCTGGGCTCCGAAGGAGACCCCATGCTTACCCACGGTGCGAAAATGAGTCCGCAAAGTCAGTCAGAGATCGGGTGCAGCTGCTTTTAACGGTTGGTTTGGGTCTGCTTCCCGCTGCCAACCGTTATCGGTCTGTAACATCCCCATCTTTCTTCCCCTAAGTACAGGTTGAACCGGTCTCGCGAATCGCGTGGAACTAAGGGGAAAAAATCTGCCATGTTGCCAAATTGCGCCCGATAATTCGCCTATTGAGAAGTGTCGCGGGGATATGCTTTTTTCCCGGTGTTTCGAAGCTTGGTGGTGTGTTATTTGCTTGGATTCTTCGCAGGGGGGGTATCATCAATCTATCTATATATACATGACTGTTCTATACCATGACCATGTCTCGCCTCAAATATACACGTGCGGGACATGCAGATTCCGATAATATGAAGCATCAAATATCTCAACCACCCAATATCAATTCTCGCAGAATATCCTCAGCTCGTTGTGCCTCAACACGACCCTTTTCGCCAGCCCGCATCATCTGTCCTACAAACCAACCAAGTTTTCCTAGTTGGTTCTTGTCTCGAATTTGTGCAACCATCTCGGGATTTGCCGATATTAATGGTTCTGCTAATGCAAGGTACTCGTCTCTGGACAACGGTCGTAAGAAGAGGTCCTCATCTTCAAGAAGGTTCTGAATAGGGCGCTTGTCTCCCTCGAAAACCATGGTTAGAACTTGCTTTGCAATCGGGCCGGTGATCCTTTTCCGTAGCAATTGGTCGATCAACTCTGCCAACGTGCGAGCCGGGACTAGGTCTGAGTCCCATCCGACGTCTGCCTTGGTGAGCATCCCTCCTAGCTCGTGCAACACCCAATTGGCCACTGTCCTACCGAGGGAGTTCTTAATGACCACTTCATGGCTTTGCTGGAGAGTTTGAAGAATATCAACGACATCTTGATAGTACTCCAAGCGTGCACCGCCGTCTAGCTCAACTAGCGGTTTTGCATCTGCTATAGAAAGTCCATACGACGGCCCTACTAGCGTATCCAAGAGCTGATCTGGCAAATCAGGCAGAGTATCGCTCAATGCCGATACGAGCTGGCTGTCAATGAACAAAGGTCCCAAATCAGGATCTGGCATATAGCGATAATCAACTTCTCCCTCCTTAGCACGTAGTCTGCGAGTTTCTGTGCTACCAATCGTCCAGCCCCTCGTTTCCCCTATAACTACACCGCCACTCTCAAGCAACGTAACTTGGCGATTTCGTTCTGCAATGATGGCATCTTCGACAGCCTTGAAGCTACTCAAGTTTTTGATTTCCGTACGCTGGCCCAACCCTCGTATGCCACTGTACTCTCCAAGCCCAGGTGCCGCGTCGCGTTTGCGAACGGAAATGTTAACGTCTGCCCGCAAGCCGCCCAATTCCATCCCGGTGGTCACGGCGCTTGTAGCCTGTAAGATTGATTGGACTTTTCTGACGCAGGCAGCAGCCGTTGCTGGAGAGTGAATCTGAGGCATGGTGATAATTTCAATCAGAGGATGAGAGACTCGATTGAAATCTAGGAGTTGTGCAGAAGGTGGGTATTCTTGGGATTTAGCGGTATCTTGTTCCAATTGCACTTGTTTGATGTTGATGCGGACCTTCTTCCCATCTTCAGGCGCAATGCCATCGTGCTCAAATAGATCGATGAATCCGTTTCGCGCAAATGGCTCTGTTCACTGATCAGCTCTTTTTCCTGTATTGTAACGGCGTGGGTTTGACGAACCGTAGTATTGCGTAATCTGATATCCAGCAGGCTGGTCTTGGTAAAAGTAATGCTTGCGGTCGAAACGGCTAACCGGCTGGATTTCGCAATTGAGGGCCATAGCCGCACGCAGCGCAGGTAGCAAGATCGGACTCTGGAACGCCTAAAAAATCGACACACATTAGACCTTGCTGTGTTTCGGGTAGAATTAAACATACCGGCTGCGAGCCAGGAAATGCCAGATCGAAAAGGGCGACGTTGGAATTTGGTTCTGCGGCCAGTTTCGTAGGAGCCTCTAAGCCATATGCGTTAGAATCTTTGCTACTATCGGTGAACCATCAAATAGAATGACGGACTTGAGAAGAGCTTTGTCTCTGCGTTTAATTGGGCATGTATTTCAATGCCAACGGTCAACTCCCATCCATCATGTTGGGGCGGTCGATTCGCTCCCTTTTTAAGACGGTTCTGCGTCTTCAGCGACTTGGCTTCATCTTTCAATTGCTTCCGCAGCGGTACGCGAAGGTTAGGTTGCTGGGTAGATCTGTCTGTGGTTACCGTGCGGCGGAACGCAGGCCAGTGGCGGATGAGATTGTGTTGTTGCTCACGCAAAGCCAGGAAGCACCCGCGAGGACCAGGTAAAAAAGGGGCCCGAGGAGACCATATTCGCAGCATGTGTGAGAAGTACCTGGATTGGCTGGAAATTTGCGATCGAGAAAACACAGCGCTGTATTGTTTGTTTCTCCAATGTCTTGCTTGACGGTGGTCCGGCAGGTGGCAGAATAGTTTCCAAGAGCAGCAGTGAGGGCGGTCTGCGTATTGCGATTACCGCAAGGTACCATAATGCGCCGCTCTATTGGCCAATTGCCTGTGGTATTTGTCTGACCGCATGCTGTTGTGTTTACTTGATCACAGAACCAGGCAATTACAACCCAGATCCTATCATCATCATGGTGGGAGCAGTTTAATTATGTCCATCATCGACATCGGAGTTCTTAATGGGCATTGGCCGATGCAACACCAAAGCACGCCACCCAAGCAACTTGAATCTGATGATAGGAAATGCCTTAAATTCGTATCACCATTGGCCACAAGCCTGCTCTTGTAGTCGTCTATCTTTATACTTTATGCGCTATCTGCACCTCAGCAATGGGTTGAAGTGCTTGGCGCCTTGATCCCGAGCCGCGTGCCAATGATAGTTGCATCATTATCGTTATGGCTAAACCACTGCGGAAGGACGACTGCAAAGAAGAAGACGACTATCGATAACAACATGACTAGCGGTCAGCCCACCACCGCGGGTGATTAGTTCCCCCGCCTGAGTGGAAGATCGACGTCCGCTAAGTTCCAGTTTATTGATTGTGGAGTCCAGACTACTGAGAGTATGGATGATGATGATGATGATGATGGTTCGTATGATTTTTGTCGTATCGTGCCGATACCAATGCTGAATGGTTACACAAGCATTCAGAACGCCCATAGCAGGGTATCATGACTCTGGGTTCTAAACTCAAAATACCAAAAGCAGATGCAGCAAACCCGGACGGGACCCGAAGAGTGTTCGTCAACAGCTTTCGGTTTAGGATCAGCAAATGTCCGGAATAATAACTCAGCAGCCTTTTTTATCATTTTCGGAGGACAACTGCATGGTGCACGCAAGGGGTCTCGCGCAGCGAGTGAAGGGTGGCCAGCACAGCAAGGCTTGCGTTCGTCTGCCGTTGTGATTCATCCACGCCCAAGTCCCACTCGCTAGCTAGTCCTAGGAGTCTTTCTAGCCGCGAAAGACAAATAAAGGGCAACAAATCAAGAGAAAGAAAAAAAAAAACAGAGAAGCAGACAAAAGGAGCATGATGCCCACTTCTTTGCCGAGGAATTCTTGCCCGTCACTTATTGATGAGTCGTCCTGCAGCACCGGAATCCGTGGGAATGCTGTTTTTCATTTCTTTTTTTATTTTACATTCGTCCCTTTCTTTCAATAATGGCAGAATTCTCCGGGTATCTTCTGCCACCAAGGAAATAAAAGCATCTTGGATCACTATGGGGGCCAGTCACACTTAAACTGTTTCAGAGTCGCAATCCCCAGACTTTGTCCGCCGTGCACCGAGGCACCAACATCGAAAGGGCGTGTCAGCAGAGCTTCCAGGCCTTCAGCACCGATCGGGCACGCACATTAATCTCTTTTCTATCATCTTGGACGTCATCTGGACCCCAACTCTGTACCTGGGGGCTGCTGGCCGAAACCCTACATCATTTCTATTGTTTAACTACGACGACAACTGTAAGGAGGTGGTCGACTAGTCTCAGCCCGGGTTTCTTATTGGCGAATGCTATTCATAGCCCTGGTCAGCCAGTTGATTCCTCTAAGCGCATCTCCCTTCTTTAATTGCACATGCCGGAATGCGCTGCGCTGCGCGCCATGAACAATCCGATGATAATAATATGATTGTCTCTTTATTTTCTCAGTTCAACCATCCCGATTCTCATGAAAGCACACTCTTCGGAATTATTATATTCGATGTGAAAACCGAATAAGAATCTGGTGGTAGTTACCTTGGTTACCCTATTAGGCACCGTTAACGTGCACCAGCCTCAGGCTCCATATTAACAAAATGTCTTCGAGTGTCGCCGGTCGCCGCAAGGGCAGCAAGGGCAGCAAGGTCGCGAGACCTAAGAGTGATTCTATACCTTCAAAGTCCACATCATTAACCATTAGTGGACCGACAAAAGCAATGCAGTCTTCTGCACGAACTTCCGCTAAAAATGGCAATGGTAATTTGCCCACCAAGTCACAGAGTCGAATGACACAGGGACAAAATGCTGCCGACCCCAAACCAAACGTCTTTGAATTTCTCCAAGAAGGCGAATCCTCGTCATCCCCTGCATCTGAAAGCGACTCGGGAGAGGAGGAGGAAGAAGAGCAAGAGAATAGAGGAACAGTAGAGGCTCATACCCCCGTTAATTCGCGATTGGCGCGGGACGTAGGCTTGCCCTCTCCCGAGTCTTCATTCAGGGCAAGCAGCCCTGAACAAACGTTCTCTGTCGCGTCAAGAGACTCAATCTCCACCGATATTGAGCCTACGACACCACCAGATGGGTCACCCGCTGCCGCTTACCTGCGACTAGCCCATAAACATATCACGCAATCGCGAGGTCGGCGGTCTGATGTCCATTATCAAGGACGGAGCATGTCAAGGGACCACCAGTCTGATTACTCGGCTCCGGAAGACTATTACATCTCTACGCGCTCACGACCGCCACAACGTAGAAAGCATTCTTCATCACCCGTTCAGAACGGAACAGCAGGGCCTTTGGTGCCAGCTGATAAGAAGCGGGAGATGACGAAGAACGACGGTCCATCGAGTGAAGCTGGCTGTGTGTCTGGTTATGCATCTCTAGCCTCTAAGCTTGACTCTTCAGGTAAAGATACTCAAAAGCTTACACCATTGTACCGGCGATTTGAGAACGTGAATCACCGTATTCTTTTGTATCTGCAAGACGAGATCTCTCAAATGGAGGAAGAACTACAACTAATGGATAAGTACGATGCGAATCATCGTGCTGCTGTTGCCGAGGAAGAGGGTGTTCTTCCTGAACCTGCCTCACGGCGCATGGATGTTGAGGCTTGCCATTTCTCTGGCTTTCATGCTAGACGGACAGAGCTTATGGAGAGACTTTCTTACAAGATCAATCAATACAGTAAGTTGCTTTCCCACGGTTGGAGATACATGCGCCCCTTACTGATTTCGCGCCTAGACGACGCTCTATACAACTACAATAGAATGCGACAATCCTTGTCGCCGGCCTCATCTAGAGACGTACATACATACCGCGCATGGATACACGAGAATGCACCCATCGCTAAAAACGAAACCAAATTTCTAGACCATGAGCTAGATCTTATCTCTATGAACGCGGTCGCAAATGCCAAGGGCGACAATAGCATATTGTACTTCATCATTGGAGTGATGTCAGCTGCATTGTTGCTACCTCTTTTGGCATATTAAACGGACTTTTTCTTTCATATCTTTTGTTACTCAGTTTTATCTCGGGCTGGATTCGGGAAGAGTAAAACAGCAAATAAAGCGCTTCATTTCGGGAAATTTTACGATCGATGTTGATTAAGGCTTAGAAAGTCTGATAATGCTTCTGTATATTTGTTGTGAGATGTTTGATTACAAATGTATGAAGGCTTAGGTGGAATTCTGTCTTTTGATTATTATCCTAGTATCTATGTTGACAGGTTCTCCATGAGTTTATTAGGAGTCAGGAAGTTAGACACATGGTTTTGATGAATGAATGATACGACTTGATGTCAATTTCGAAGAAAAATACCTCTAATCAACTACTGAGATAAGAATAATACAGAAAAAAAGAAACAAGGTAATGCTAGTAATAATAGTAAGGGTTATTCCATCGAAGAATAAAACAAAGAAACCAGAAACAAGCAATTGATCCGCAACACCATGTACCCACCGTGACCAAACCGCTATTTTGACCACGCAAAAAACACCCTGCGCCAAATCTACTACAAAAAGAACAAATGAGGTTGAGAAAGGTACTACGGCCATATGCCAAGAAAACATTTCTTTTCTTGCTTGGTCACACCAAAGGGAAGGCAAAGGAGAGAGAAAATAATACGGGATGGCACTTGAAGAGCACAGAAATTGAAAAAAAAAAAGATAAATAGTCCAAATCCAAAAGTAGGGGTATGGCTGTTTTCGAGTAGAATGACAAAATCAAAAAAAAAACAGTCAATGAAACAGTCAAAGTTAAAGCACGTTTTGAGCGATCTAGACGAATAATGAAGTACTCATACATAGCGTTTTTGCCCCGGTAAAGAAGTACAGCGGTTAGCCGAATGCGAAATCATATTGCATGTGGAAAATGTCAAGTCAGTCACCAAAGAAAGGCTCAATAAGTTGAGTCTCTCGTTATGTCGCTGTTGGTGTAGGGGTGGCATTCGCCTTTATAGCCGGACTTGCACTGCCTTCTTGAACACTGCTTTGCTCGGCGCTTTGTGGTGGGTTAGGGGTACCCGAGGTTTGCCGAACTTGGGCTGCAATCTGCGCTTTATTTTGTGCCATTAACATGGCCTGCTCGGCTGCGCTGCGAGCATAATTCGCCGCAGCAGCTGAATTTGAATATTGGGTAGGCGTCTGCGTCGAGGAATAATTTCCATGCATTGCAGGAGATTGGCCCGGTTGTTGCGGGTAGTATCGTTGAGGATTACCCGATGCTGGGTTCAGGTATGCTGTACGTGTGTGGTTCTGGGGTGTGGCATACATATGCGGCTTCTGTGGTGACGCGCTTCTTCCAGCTCCGTATGGGCTTTGTTGGTACCCCTGAGAAGGAGAAGCACCTGGATGCCCAGCATATGAATTATAACCGTTTGGAGTCGGTCGAGGAGGATATTGTCCTGATGGATAACCGGGAAGGCTGTTCGGTCTTTGAGATGGAGACGCCTGTGGGCGAGGCCCCGGATAATTCTGATGTGGCGTTCCTCCTGGGGTATATGGAGTCGACGTTGACTGGCGACCCGGATAGTAGGGTTGTCCGCCAACTGCAGATTGTTGTGGTCTCGAATTTGTAGAATACAATCGCTGGTTAAAGGCTGGTGAGGCTTGATAAGACCCGGACCTTGACGGCGTGGCAGCTGGGGCTGCTGCAACGATTCTCTTCTGCAAAAGAGAATAATCATCCTCTTCCATAGTGCCACTATATGATGGGCCTTCCACAAGAATTTTCTGGCTGATATTCAATTCAGCCAGTTGGTCCCCATTCAATTTTGAGACAGCATACGGTGGCAGGTTGGCAATTATTGCAGCTAAACTTGACTTTAATGTTTCATACGTAGCTAGCTCAGCCGTAGAGGGGGCGTCCGCGCTATTCTCATCTTTTGAACCCGCTTGCGTGGGCAGCTCGAGGTTACGATTCCGGCGGAATGAGTCGAGGGTCTCTAAAAGTTCTGCAACATCGCGCAAAACGTCGTCAACAGCTTTGTCATCTTCAGTTGATGGTTCGATCTCTGATTTGTCCTTATCTTCAATGTCCGGATTAAACGACTTGATATCTTCCTCTAACGTAGACTCATCAAGGTCGTCAAGGGCCAACTGCTCTCCTTGCGAGCTAGTCGCATTGTGGAGCGACAACATGGTGTTGAATCGCCGAGACCCTCTTTTAGCCCACCAAACAGCATTCTTCTCATCCAACTGGGTAACAGCATGGGAACTATCCACAGATGGGCCAAACGAAGTGTAAACACTTTGGAATAAGTTTGCTTCATCCTTGGTGCTGTCGGAGCTAGTGCCGTTAGTTGCACTTTCGCCGTCTTTTTCGGAATCATGTTGTTTCTGTCGTCGGCGCCAGAATGATGATGAAAGATGCCCTCCATATTGCACCCAGTGTGATGCAGGAAGGTGTGTAAATGAATAATGGTGCTTTTGACCCAAAACGGCATCAAAATTTGTGGCAGCGTCAAATTCGTCTATCCACATTATCGAGGGGTCTCTTGCCCATGGTCGTCCGTGCCGTGGTGGTTCTAACTGAGGCAAAGTTGAACGAGGTGCAAATACTTCGCCAAATGTTTTGGCAGGCTTTTCATCCATATCTAGATTGAATGGGATGACTTGAGTGATCGTGATGCCATTTGGCAGCTGGCCCTCGGGGAAGGGTTCAGCTTTCTCTGACACGGGTTGCGTATCGTCCGAATTTGGTAGACTGGAAAAGAGTTGTTTGGCGTTGGTTGAGTTTCCACCATAGAGCGTCAAGACCTTTTTATCCTGGCGAACGGTATGGTGAGCTGCAACATCCTCCAAATTTTCAATCTCTCCGGCCGACTCCGTCTTGATGTTCGTAGTTTTACGAGATGAAACTTGAGCCAAGAGACTATGCAGATGTTTCTTAAGTGCTTGAACTTGTTTTTGCAGAGAGTTCTCATCATATTCAGTCTCTCCAGCCTGTTGCTTTTCAATCAAAGTCACTGATGCCTTGTCTATATCATCCACAAACTCCTGTAGAGAAGCATATCGACCGGCAGCGACACGGGCTTCGATAGTAACTATTGTATTACTCTCCTCTGAGAGCTTCGCACGTTTGGAGCGGGGTTTTGATGGTGACGGGGGGATAAGTGTACACTTGAAAAGGTTGAGGTTTTCATCGTCTCTGTTGTTGGGCGCAAGTTAGCGAAAGTAGAGGACAATATGAGAGCCCAATCAGGACCTCATTTGACTAATTCCTTTACCTAGAAAGTATTTGGAGCAGGTCGCGCAATGTCTGGTCGACCTCTGCTTTATCGTCTTCCGCAGACGTGGGCTCATTATTTTTGATTCGCTCTGGAGAGGCGGCACGCTTTCGTTTGCCGGGTGTCGATAGAGCTGGCGACTCATCTGATGGGGGATGAAGCTCCCCATTCGTCATGGGCACGGTGGCCGCCTCCCCTTCTTGTTCACTAGCCATGGCCCCGGAGCTTTTCTAGACGCGCAAACAGTACACGTCCTCAGGAAAGACAACACCACGCCAATGCTGCTCACGCCCAAGTCATGCAGAAGCAGTAGGCAGAAGAATATTATCAAAGGCCTACAGCACTGCGAATTTGAGACAGAAGATGCGAAGAGGCCCAGTTTTTGTTTTGGAACTGCAGGCTGATGGGCGCGCGATGACGGGAATCCAAGACGCTTTTGCACCGAAGCGTCAACTGGGGTCCACGCCACGGGAACAGTAGTTGACGGGTAATGTGTGGCAGCACCACGCGCAATACAGTGCTTGGGAAGACACGAAGCAAATGAAAGAAGCCGCGACGGCCGAAGTCAGGATTTGAAGCGAGAACAGGGACTCAGCAAAGGATGGTCTTCCAGCGAAGGAGGTGCAATTCTCTTTGGATCTACGGCTCGCCCAATGCGGCTAGCGCATGCGCCTGTGACGCCCAGAACCGCCAAATGCTTCATCACGTGATTTGCGGTGTCGCGGCTGCTGATTGGACCGCTCCCATCGTGATTTCCGTCCGGGTTTATTCATGATTGTTGTTGCTGCTCATACTCAACCAGCTGGCTGCACGGTCTGCGAGCTTTAGCGTCGATAGCCCAGCATATCCAGGGCTTCAGGACTTCTCATGGATGTCATCGGTCCTCGGTAATGCCTCATTCCGCCCCCGGGCACAGGCATTGAAGAGCTCGCAAATATTCTACGCCGCAGCTTGGCGTCAGGTTAGCATACACACAGCTCCTCCTGATTCTCGGGCCACTTTCTCTGACCTAGATTATGCTATGTGTAGGATGCCCATTGTGCTCTTCCAATATCCCGTCCCCAGAACTCCGTGCGGTACATACGACATGACTCGGCATTGCAAGATGACCAGTCGAGTGGCCCTAGACCAAACTATCGGTTGGGTGACCACCTTCATGAGTCGAGAGGGTGGTTCCGGCGACTACGCCGTCGAGCGAAACAGAATCCTGTTTCTAGCGATGGGGTCAAATCAACGCAAACTGCGCCGAGTGTCGCGCCTGAGCCAGTTGTCTCGAATGCCGTGAATAAGCAGAACGAAAACGAAGCATCACATCCCAAGCACACTTCTCGATCTCATAAAAACACACAAGGCCGTAAATATCTTTCTATGGAGATTTTTCAGCGAAATATGCTTCATCTCACACTCTATCGGTCTTTTCCTCAACTAAACTACGAATATCCCGCTTTTCCCACTCGGCCAAATGCGGACCAGATCTCTCTCTTAGAGACGAATACAACAATGCGAGTAGTGTCTCTTCCAGGGATTCTGCAACAATACTTGGCAATATTGGGCTCGCGATCTTCTTTCAGAACAATCCTAGACCCTAATTCTTCCGAGGTTGGCGGTGCCATTGGTAATGTTTTTGATGCTACAGCCTTGTCGTGTTTGTCCAAGAAAGGCTATTCACCTAATGATGTGATGGTATGGGCATGGATTCTTACTGCAGAAAAATCGTACCGGGCCGCGTTAAGGCTCTTTATTTGGGAGTCTCAACATCCTTCGCGGCCGCGAGCGCCACTATTTGTCGTGAAACTTCTCATGTACCGTGCCTCTCTCGACATCAGGGCTTTCCGCCTTCTTCTATCCTATTCCTTGTCACGCATCAATCAACAAGCTATAGGGACAATAACGCCCATGATTCCGTTGGACCCACGCCATATTGAAAATACATCCTCGTCTGAGCTGCAGGGTATCCCAATGGACGCCAAAGTGACTAGTTCCCTGGTGAAACTCCTACTACGCAAAGCGCGTCAATTATGGCCTGCAGCACAACTTCATATCGCGCAGTCCTTTGCTTATTATTTAGTTCACCAGCTTCCTTTACGCCATACGTATACTGCAGAACATGATATCAATACTCTCCGTACTCAATGTTTTAATGAGTGCCTATCGGAATTAGCCATACCTTCTCGTCATAGTCCTTTCATTTCCACATCCATCCAACAAAAGGCTCAGTTCGAACTGCTAAAGGCTATGGCTACACACGAACCCGTACTCCCCGTCAGTCGCCAAGGTTATCAATCCGTTGTCGCAGTACAACTCTCCCACAAGAAGACCCCTGCAGAGAGGATATATTCCGCTCAGAAAGCACCTTCGTGGCCCCCATGGAAGGAACTCAAAATGGGGATTGATACCTACCGAGGCAATGAAGGAATGAAAAGTCGCACAATGCAAGCCTTGTCTCAAATGAAAGCCGCCGGCTATTCCCATTCAAACTGGGAAGCAATTGCTAGCATTCTCGCGGGTTGGGATACAGACGGCAGCCCTACAATTCAAACTCGAAGCTTGGCAATATTTCCAAAGTCTCTAAAATACCAATCCAATCATCAAGAAAAGGATTCAATCCTTTGGTCTACACGGATACGGGCTACTCGGACATTACGAGAAGCTTGGGCTTGTTTCTTGTCCTATCAAAACATTTATCCTGTTCCTAGTGAACGAGTGTATCATGCCATAGCGAAAAAAATAATTTACAGTGATATCACACGGGACCATAAGCAAAGTACTGCAGATGCAGCACTGCCTGGTGACGGACTGGAAGTCTTTCCTGAGCCTAGCTCAGCTCGTGATGTCATATATGTCCCAACACAACCGCCTCCTCTAGAAGATCTACTCAAGGAGATGACCTCTCGAGGAATTCGCCCGAAGGCAGAGTTTATCTCCTTGCTATTACGAAATTGCCTTGACTTTTCCACCGGAATGAGATACATAAACACCTATATGAATCCAAAACAAAAAGAGGCCCTGTTGACTATCCGTTCCGAAAACTACAAGACGATCAAGACTCTCAAAGCCATGGACACTCGTCTGTTTGATTCTTTCATTGTGTTTCTTTGCTCACACATGAACTTCGATGACCCAAATCACCGCCCACACAAAACAGATGCATTCCCAATCTTAATGCAGGCGCACCCTTCTACGTCGACAAGAAGTGTCTTGGTTGCTCACAAAGATTGGTTTACCGGAGGGAGTAAGGCTCGTAATTCGCGGGCATTGTCGCATGCCGTACAGCTCCTGAAGACTACTAAGCCGCGACGAGTATCAGCTTGGCTGCCATTACTCAAAACTTTGGCTTCCGCAAGGGGGCTAACGAGCGAGCATTATCTCCACCGAGATAGGCAATGGATCCTGGCGTGGTATGAAATCCTCGAGGTGTTAAAATTGATGACAGAGCTAGAGTTGGAACCTGGAATGGAGGGCCTTACGATTCTCTGTCAAGTATTCTCTCACGCAGTGTCGGCTGGTGTCAGAGATATAACCACGGTCGAAGAAGGGTTATTTCTGGCCGAAAAGGCAAACCAAGACAATCAGTTAGGTTATGCTGTTGCTGTTAGCTTTGAAGATTTCGTCTACGAAGGCCTTCGATATTTGAAGTCCTATTTCGATCGGCTTGTATACGCAAAGCCTATTCTCATGTCGGAAGCAGCAGAAAGCCCTGCCATCGATAAGGGGGCATTCTCAATTGGAGAAGAACTTCCTGAAATGCTTCAAGTACCCAGCCCTGCTACCCTCCATGCCTTGGTGAGAGCGTTAGGCGTGGCTGAAGACAACGATGGCGTATTGAACCTGCTCCAGTGGATGAGTCGAGCCTCATTGGATCTCAAAGAGCGATCCAACCAGCTCGGCAATGGTGAGAGAATGATGCGTCGCACTCTGACCGCTGTTCGGGTGTTCCTTGAGGGTTCACGCGGAGAGAACATGGTGCATCGTGATGTTGATCCCCAAAATACGGGGGAAAATTCAGAACTCCAGCATACCTTCTCTGATGGCCACGTTCAAGAGGCGTACAACATCATCGAGGCCACCAAGAGCTGGGGCTCATGGCCTTCAGACGCGGAGGTTCGAGAATATTGTTTATGGCAAGCCAGGCTTGGTGCTTGATAGGATAATTTCTAGTTCCTGTACATATATATGATTTGTATAATATCTGCTAATCGCGTAGCTAAGATACCACCTGCATGAAATCAGTTAGACTGTTAAGTTTCCATACGTCCAAAATAGACTCAAAGCATTTTTCATCTCGCAGACGTATCAATTGATGTATTAAATGTTAACTCGTATCTAGACACATGCATTCGGGTGATTGGCCGATAGTAGCCGAGCCGGAGATTGAGCTTCCCCGCATTTCACCTGCAAGCCGAAGCTCGACTGTCCACAAGCAACTGCCATCGTCCAAAGAGAAAGATAGATTTTGGTTTCGCAGCTTGATTGCTGATCTGGTTCAGGGCATCTATCTGTCTCGATCGACCGAGTCTTGACGTATATTCACGATGGCGCCCCGAGTCGCTGCCATCTCCTTCTCCTTCCTCCGACCAACGCCATCAGTAACACGCCTCCAGCAACCGTGTTTCAACATACGCATACGCGCCAGCTCTACAGTTGGCACCAGCGCCGAAGGTGGCGCCATCAACATCCAACAAGTGCCCGCTCCAGGGTCTGGCTACGTTAGAGTGCTATTGCTGAACAGACCCAAAGCGCGGAATGCGATCTCCAAAGAGTTGCTGAATACGTTGCGTTTCCACGTCGATGCGATCTCCGCAGAGCAGGGAAATGGTCCAACGAGGGCCTTGGTGATTGCTAGCAATGTGGACTCGGCATTCTGCGCTGGGGCAGATTTGAAGGAGCGGAAGGGTATGACCAAAGAAGAGTAAGAGAGTACCGTCTAAAGAATATATTATGTACTTTGTTTCAGTTTCTCACGGGGTTTAAATTAGGACAAACGCCTTTCTCACCAAACTTCGAGGCACATTTGCTAAACTTGAGACATTACCTGTTCCTACGATATCCGCAATCTCATCGGTGGCTCTAGGGGGTGGATTGGAACTTGCCCTGTGCACACATCTACGTGTCTTTGGATCGTCAAGCGTCGTTGGCTTGCCCGAGACCAGACTTGCTATCATTCCTGGAGCGGGGGGTACTTACCGGCTGCCTAAATTGATTGGCGCTAGCCGTGCCCGAGATCTTATTCTCACCGGTAGAAAAGTTTCTGGCGCTGAGGCGTATTTTGTTGGACTTTGTAATCGCTTAGTCGAGGTGACGCCCGAAGAGGAGGCGCAAGAAGGTGTTGCCCGAACCAAGGTGCTCCACGAGGGCATCAAACTCGGTCTTGATATTTGTGAAGGTGGCCCGATTGCTATTAAGCAGGCCATGCAGGCAGTTGACCAGTTTGAGAAAGGCGAAGAAGCTGAGAATGCCGCGTATGCAGGCGTAGTTGAGACGGAAGACCGCCTCGAGGCACTACGGGCGTTTGCAGAGAAGAGGAAGCCGGTGTACCGCGGGCGGTAGAATGTTGTGCCAAAAGAGCTAGAATTCCTTAGCCGTATAGGTCAATACAATTTTCGTGATAGAAGAAATCTGAGGTACCATTCGCCAGATCGGAATGGTGCAAAAAAGACGCTGTTCCGACGTAGCCATTCATTCACTCGGTTTTTTCTAGGCGTGCTATGAAGGGTCATTTGACCTCGCATTTGGTTCTGACCATGACCTAGTCAAGCCCAACAATTGCCCAATCACGGCCATTCCCTCCGTGCGAGGGCAGCATCAACGGCATCCACGGTGGTGATTCCTTTGAACCAAGCCAGCAAGCAGCCGTGATGACACTGCAAATACCCTTTCCGGCAGGTATCGTCTCGATGCTATGCTTGTATCGCATCGTCTGAATCATTCTGACTGGCGAGTGATCTTTCCAGGTTTGGTTCGGCTCCTGAGTCACAGGAACAGCCCCGGTTGAGACGCTGGAAGATCCCTTTAGAGCGTCACATGATCGCATCGACCAGAGTCGCTATTGGGGCTATCGCAACCGGTGACCTCCAAAAGTGTCCCCGTACCGTTTTTGCGAAAAGGCAGCAGCGCAGGCATGGGGTTTTGACGGTATTAATAATGAGAACGAGGGCGCACAGCGGATCATGGACGAGGCGAGATCATTGGCGGGTACCACGGATGAAGAGTTGCGATGCGACGGTCGCCATGCCCGACTGATCGATGATCTGGCCGGCGTCGAATAGCAAGTCAGTAAGCACCAACCAGTGATAGCAGGATATAACCATAACTTAGTCCTGACCGGCGTGTGTAGCGCATCAGCTTACCCGTAACTTATGGATGTGGCTTGATCGCCCGCGGACCCGCCCCGTACAGAGTCAGAACCCCTGATTTAGTTTCTGCAGAACAAGGCTGAGACTGGACTGGACACACTAATAATGCGGCTGCCGGGCGTTGCCCACGGTGGCTATGCTGTATCGCCCTGTTTCTCGGCAGGCAAGACAGGTAGGACAGGTAAGACGGACAGGAGGCGTATTGCAGGTAGGTAGGCAACTCCGAGTCAAAATATTTCATAATAAATATCGTTTCATGGCGCGGATTGCAGGAGTATGCAGCTAGCAAAGTAGCCAGCGAGCTAGCCCAAATACCCCTCGTTCCCACCCGGCTCGCATTTAAAGTCGCTGCTGGGATAATAATAATCTGGATGTTCTCACAGTGCTGCTGAGAGTAATGCGCCGTGACGCATAATCACGGGACTGCCTGGAGGCTGCTGGGTTTCGCACGAGTCAGCAGGCGCCTGCGCTAAAATATTAAGCTGCTTTCCGTCTTATTGCTTGCTGGCTTCCTGTCACTTTCACGACTCAACTCATCGTCAGATTTCTTCATCTTGTTTGTTCCCTGTGTATGGTGGTTTGAACCTATAAAGGTGCTTCGAGGGCGACCCTCCCGTGTCCGCTTTCTTCTTCTTGTTGATTCGCTCATACGCGGCCCCTGTTAACTTCTTGCTCACCATGGCTGCCACACGTAGGATCAAGGAGTTTGGTCTAACTGAAGTCTACAGCTCCCCAGAGAAGCCTGCCCAGGTCGAGTAAGTACCCTTCTCTGTGTTTTCTTTCTTCTTGGAACCTTACTGATGATTTTCTAGCGTGGTCCTCGTTCACGGTCTCAACGGCCATCCAAAGCAGACATGGACTAGCAAAAGCGGGGATGCCTTTTGGCCTGCCGACATCTTGCCGGAGTTCCTGACTGACCTGCGTGTGCGAATTTTGACCTATGGTTACAACGCCAATGTCACCTCCTTCACAGATGGCACGTCTAGAGATCGGATTCATCATCATGCCGAGACCCTGGCCAGTGAGCTACATGCAAACCGAAGCTTGAGAAACTGCCTGCAACGGCCGATCATTTTCGTCTGCCATTCACTTGGAGGTCTTGTTGTGAAACGGTGTGTCATCATGTGTCGAAGTGCCGAGAACGATAGAATCAGGCATCTCCGCTCTATCTATGTATCCACGTTCGGAATTTTGTTCTTGGGCACTCCTCACACCGGTTCCGATGTGGCCAAATGGGGCTTGCTGCTGCAGAAGATCTGTAGTGCCGTCTTTCCCAAGCGCTTCCTAGACACCTCACCACAGCTTGTAGAGGCTTTGAAGTCAAATAACGAAACCCTTCAGAACATCAACAGATTGTTCAACGACGCCTTCAGCCGCTTCCACATCTACTTCTTTCATGAGACCAAGCCGCTTGATATGAAGGGTACTCGCGAGTTTATCGTCGATGAAGCTTCTGCAGCACCTGATATTGAAGGCGCTGAACGAATGGGCATTGAAGCTGATCATAGCAGTATGGTCAAATTCGAAGATGACTCCTCGCCAGGGTTTGAAGCTGTTGCTGAAGCTATTGTTCGCTACTCTCGTGAAGCCCCGGAGGTAATCGCCAACCGATGGGATGAAGAGAAAGCGCTTATCCAACTACAAAATCGATCAAAGGCAAAAGAAATAATTGGCTGTGAGTGTGCCTACTCGTACATAATCTCCGAAAGCATATTACTGACTGTAGCAAAGCCTCCCTTGATATACCTAGGGAGACTTCCAGATCCAGAGCAGAAGAAGAGAGCAGAATGGGTAGGAAACCACAGCATCTCCTTACAAATTCTGATAACACCCCAACACTAAGCGCTTATGAAATTGACGAAGCAGAACCTGAGGAGCAATTTGAAACTGTATAGTATAGTCGGCAGTCTTTCAAATACATAGAAATCATGTATCCTGCGACTAGAGAGCTTTGGTGCACAGGATGGCATGGTTAACTTTCTACGACTTTGTTGATTTTTGATTTTTTTTATTTCCTCATTTTCCCCTCTTTCCCCCATCCTTTTTATATATTTATCTTACGTCCAAGAAAATTTACACTCTGATTTGATTCAATATGACTAATTTATACTTGTAGGCAGTTCTACGCCATGTCTTTCCCCGCCTAAAGAAGCTGAGAACAATCCTCGGATGTCACATAGCGTAGAAAATCTACGTTCGCAACGCAGCAATTTGTTTGTTGTTCCACCGGGATTTCATCCGAACGCCACGTTTATTGGGATGGAAAAGGAGCTAAACGAACTTCATATCCGTCTTTACCGAGCCAAAAAGAGGGCAGAGAGTATCGCGGCTGTGCTTATTTGCGGAGTCACCGGATCAGGCAAAACACATCTTGCTCGAGAATATGTTCACCGCCATCGGAGAGACTACCCTGGGGGCATATTTTGGATCGATGCAAAATCGTTTTTGTCGATTTCAACTTGCTATTGGGATATCGCTAGAGCAGCGGCACTTACCAATGATAGAGACGCAAAACAACAAGCTTCAACCGACTCTAGTGTCTTTGTGAACGAAGTCTGTCGTTGGCTCGGAGCTAAAGAGGAATGGTTACTCGTGTTCGATGGGTTGAGCTTTGACGAAGACAATCAAATCAATACTTTCAAAACATACCTACCACCGAATACAAAGAACAGCAGCATTATCTATACTTCAGTTGATCGAACCTTGGCTAAAAAGACCCGACTTCTCGAACCATATTGTCTAAATGTGCGGCCGCTCAAACCCGAGGAAGCTCGTCGTCTGCTGTTCAAAGACTTGGACATTAAAAAGCCAACACCAGAACAATCGAAGAAAGCGACGGATATCGTTGAATATTACCAGTGTTTACCACTAGCCATCCATGCTATCAGCCACCGTTTGACAGCCACACGCAAGCCTTTGGAGAGATATCACATCGACTCTCATCTCACAGACCAGAAGCTTGCGGAACCTTTCATCGGAATCATGGAAGATCTCTCTGAGCACAGTCACTTCGAGGCTCTAAGTTTGATTAACCTGCTGTCATTCTTTGGACATCATGTTCCTGTTGGACTGATCACGTGGGGGAAGAGCGCTTTGGACTCTTTAAACATACAAATCTTCACAAGCAGTAGATCGGGTGAAACCGGCGATATAGACACCACCCTAGGTGTTCTCATTCAATATGGGCTTATTGAAAGAGTCTCCGACCCCTACCCAGGAAGATCACTTATTTCAGAGAGCTCCACGAAGCACAGTGACAGCCCTGAAAACGAAACCGTTGGATGGTCGTCGGAGTCATTCACTGATAGCCAGGAAACAACAGGCATATATCAGAGCACGGTTGACGTGATCAAGATCCATAGTGTAGTCCAAGGTTTCTGTCGCGATGAGCTCCATAGCCAAGACCAGGAAATGCAAAAAGTCAAAGGTATCAGCGACCCTAAACAAAAGACAAACGGTACACAGGGAGACCCCAGTTATTACCTCTTATGGCTGCTAGCCGCCACCAAACTCTTCTACAAATCTTACGAGAATGCCCGGTATAAAATGACGAAGGACAACACTGGCTCTATCTTCATCAAAGACCTGCGTGAGTACGAAACTCATGCTGAACGAATCATGAGTCATTACAAAAGAGCCAATGCACGATCACACATTACCGAGACCAAAGCAGCAAAACAGTCCCTCAGGGATGTGGTGAAAGACATTAAGAAGGAACTCGCCAGAATCTCGCCCAACGCGTCTGAAGAATCTCTGCGGCATGAAAAATCTATATTTGACCGTTCCAGCAGCTCATCATCAGCACCTTCATCTTCTATGGAAGATAGTGGTGTGTCTCGTCGCTCTACCTGGAATGCAGATGGGGAGGAATCTATCAAGGTTGAATCCCCGTTAGATATGGCTCATCCAGAGCAACCAGACCGGGTGCGACTTGAGCTGTTCCCTCCTCATATCTATCGCGAAACTACGGAGGAGAAAGACGATGGCTATCTTACCGATGGAGAAGGAAAAACAATCTCAAGTCGTCGACCGTCCGTAACCCCGTCCCAGCTTAGCCAAATCACAGAGAAGCCTGCTGCACTCGATGGAACGATGTCGGATGAGTCTAATTGGAAATTAGTGACAAACAGAAAGGAAACAAAGGCGAAAGAACCTACCCCAAAGATATCGAGGTTTCGCGGAAGGCCCAAACGGGCCTTTCGAACAATAGGATCATCATATCGACCTTCGCCTGCACTCACTAAAGTATCATCGGCTCAGGGGGAGGGCTCAATGAGCCTTCCATCCACCTCCTTTGGATGGATTTCGAGACGAACAAATGCGCAGAGTATTTTAGCACCTTATCATAAACGACAACCGCAAGGGCATGAAAATACGAAAAGCTCCCCCCTTGCACCAGCTCCACAAAGCGAGAATGAACGCACATGGGCGACAGTGGCCGCACCCCCTCAAGGACCCGTACCTTCCATGTTCCATATACAGTCTTTTTCCTCTTCAGAAAGTGCTCATAGCGCTTTAAATCCTAATAGAGAATCTCCTTTGATCGGAAAACGTCCTACGAGACGCAGGTTGGGCCTTCAAACTGAGTTGTCGATAGAATCACCAAGCAGCGGACAAAGCAGCTCCATTCCATCACCGGTGTCAACTGACTTCAAGCAAAAACATCTGAATGCTCTAAGTCAAAGCGACCCTGCTCTTGTCCCGGGAAGAACTTCAAGGGATGCCAGATCCGACCCTGGTTCTCGATACCACTCAAGACATGCCTCTGCAGTGCCCGATACTGGCCGAGATTTGTCAACAAGTCCGCCGTATCGACTACGAGATTTAAGTATGGAGGGCCTGAATTACAACCAAAAAATTGCAATGACATCTGAACGACGCTTTCTGTCACCCCAACGCCCACTGTTCCACCCGCCACCACTTTCAGACGCTATCCACGAGATACCATCACCAGTTAGGAGCAAAAGTCCAAATACGCACCCGTCTGCTATTATGCCAGGATCATCTCCTCCTTTTGCTCCGGACGGTTACACATCCGAGCCACTTTCAGCACCGATGTCGCGCGATCCATCCAGCCAATCTCACGACTCTTGGCAAACTGAGCCAACCCCATTCTCGCGTAGCATTTCCCAGGCTCCAACGATTGGTTATGGATATAATGGATATAATGGATATAAATTTCCTGTGATGGACAGTAATGGATCTGTCATGATGACTCAAGCTCCTTCATATACTGTTTCAACCGGCCCTTCCGTGTTTAGCCCAACACCGCAGAGGTCACGATTTGAATATGGCGGCGAGCCGATTGAGTCAGATTCAAACCGAAGAATTCATTTCGGAGAGCATGAAGTCAATGTGAACCAGGCCCGTCAGAGGGTCATGGCTTGGAATGAGCGCCAAACAAGCGGGTTTAATACCTTGCCGACACAGCAGGTCATGGCGCCTCAACTCACCGAGAACAGGCCCATCCTAGTGGAAGCACCAGCTATTCCCTCTATGCAGTCCAGCAGCCGCTTAAGAGCTGGAAGCTGCCCCCCGGAGCCAGATTACCCTGGGTTGGGTCTTCGATTTGCTCCGGGTTACCCTCCAAATATGTGATCAATAAGTTCCACTGTCCTTGGATTTTGAAATTACAGCAGCATTATACTTTATTCCGTCTTGACTCCTCGAGGCTTATATAATTATTACTCGGGACTTGCAACTATACTTCCTCATTCTCGAGCCTAGCAACCCTGTATTTCTTTCTTTCTTTCGTTTCTGTTTATTCTTCTTCATTTTTTTGTGTTAAACATTACTCGAATCCCTTGTTTATGCATTTAAGTTGATTTTTTGAGGTGTACCTCTCGATCTTGGTTGAAGTACCATGTCTTGCACAAATGGTGTTGAACTGTTCATGCATTGCCGGCGCGAAAAAGAAAAGATATATGTGGATGACAACGAAGGACATTGGATTTGCCGTTTTGTTTTTTCTCCACTTTTCCAGAAGATACCCTCTTTGCAGGATCAACTAATGTTATAAAACGTTACACGGGGGAGACGGAGTAGACTATTCTACATTGAGATCAAAAAATAGCGAATAATATGCATTATGCGGGGTCATTGCTTAATCTTGATGATAGCAATCTCAAGTGCTGTAATAATAACGCCCCCATCAAAAATACAACGTGTAAAATGAGATCAAGGAGAGTCGGGCATCCGTAACAGGCAATTTCAGTTCTGTTTAGGGCTAAGTTCTAATATCTCCCGCTAACCCTCTTCCGGCCGGCCTGGAAAGCCAATGACCTAATGACGACGCAACCCTGACACATTATTTCTCTAGGAGCTGCTCAGAGCCGAGAATGGCACAAAGCAGCGGAGGTGCCATGCGACTGAACCTGCTTCTCTGTCGCGATGACGTAGGACTGCCTGGGAGTACAGGAATATATATATATATGCGTTGTGAGGATCGATCCTGCAGGGGGTTCTGTCATAGATCGACCAGACATCTACATCAATCGACATACACAAGAATACATTGAAAAGCGTGTATGCACACACACATCTGAACACAGCCAACTCCCATGCTAATTCATTAGGCTTGAACGTTGCACCATGTCTTTCCTTCCAAAAACCATTCTCACCACGACCCGGGTTACTGTTGCCCCCTCCTACCGCACATACAGATCATTTTCGATAACCCTGGCGGCTAAGAAGGGCCCGGTCGAGGGCACCAAGGACGCGCTCAAAAAGGTTGATCGAACCGTGTCTGATGCTGCTGTAAAGGGCATTGAGACTGGCGGTACGTGGCTGGACTGCAGCTTCTCCAGGTGTCGTTATATATGCTAATTGACCTGGTATATAGAGAAAGCCACAAAGAAGGTGCAGGAGACCGTTGGAACCAAGGGTCACGAAGCAGCGGCTAAGGCCAAGGAGGTTGCCGGCGAAGCCAAGGCCAAGGGGTCCGAGCTAAAAGACCAAGCAAATGGAAAGGCATAGGGGTTTCGAAGCAAGACGAAGTCAAAAAATTCAAATGAGGTCGGTCTGGCCTAATTGAATATCTGATTGTGCTTGTACATTAAAGTTTCCTGCATGAGTGATAGCGCTTGAAATGTGTTTTCATCAACATCCACGTTAAATGTCTTGTTGTCAAGTAGATATGCGATTGGTTCCTTTTATTAACTACAGTCGACAATTATCATTCTGACGACAGCATGAGCACGTAGTCTCTTGAGCTCTGACCGAATTTCAAAACGTCTTTGTCCCGTAATTCGATATAGCGGCCACCGGGCACCAGGTTGCCATTCACTTTCGATCCGTTCGCACTTTCAAGATCAATCAGATATGGCCGAACGTGTCCAGTCTTGTCTCCATATTCGTTTTTCTTCTCAACGTAGCGAAATTGAACGACTGCGTGCTGCTTTGAACAGCTCGGATGCTCAATGGGGAAGTCCACCACTAATTTCTCTCGTCCAATGAGCCAGCAGCTACGCTCGCTCAGTTGTACCATCTCCAGTAAGTCTTCGCCTCTGAAAACGTAAAGTCGCCAGTCGTCCTTTGTGGGTGGCTTGCGCGCTTCGGGTGGCTCGTGGTATTTCAACACAACAGACCCGCCGTTGACAGTGACAGTATTGCTTTCTGCAGCAAGCCGTCCCGTATTTCCGAAATTTGGTTTCTCTTTTTCAGGTGCAGGCTGCTCCTTTTTGACACCGTCTGTTGAATTGAATGCATCGTTCTGAGACGGCAGTGGGCCACGAGATCGTACTGGGGCTTGCGGCGAAAGGCTGCGACTTCGCGTATCTTGGGACCTACGGTGTTCTCCACGATTTCTTGAGCGTGATCTCGGACGGGAATAGCGTGTGGAAGCTTGATCATTGTCCTCACGTTGTGCCCGATCTCGGTGTCGTCTGCGGCGTGATTCGTCCTCCCTATCTCGGCTTCTTCGCCTTCTTTTGTCCGCATCTAAGCTATAAGATCGCTCTCTCCGCCTTTTATGGTGATATTCTCGACCGTCACGGTTCCCATCTCTGTGGCCACGAGGAGACCTTCGCCGGCCGGCATCTTCATTGTCTCTGTATCGTTCTCTGCTGAGTTCGTGACGCCTCAGTTCGCGCCCATTGCCAGGAGAGCGCCTGCGAGGTGACCTGTGAGTTCGCTCGTGACTTTCACTGTCAGACGACGGCATATTGAGCTCGTGGTATCAATCAATAAAATAAAATGACTGGGTAGCTAGTTTCTCGATTATTTCGAGAAGCTAACGGGCCCCCTCGACACGTGACATCGGGGGTTGATATCCCATTGCGCTATTCCTAATCGAGATCGTCTTGCTCAAACGAGTCAAACAGGTTTGGGATTGTCCGGTGCCAACTTCCCCGCCTCGCTACAACACTCGGTATCCCATACCTTCTTCTCCATTTCCAGATGTGATATCGAGGGCTGGCTTATCCAGACAGCCTATAGGAAGACAAGTGATGAGAGGATGCGCTTGCAGCCGTCCGTTTTTGGGGTGCCGATATTGAATTCGACAGAGTCGCGTGCCTACCGCTTACAAACACCTTCAGTTCGAAAAACCGGGTATGCATCATTCAATCACGTTTATTGCAAGCGATATGCATCAGTAGCTTCAGGACACCCACATCCTGATTTATACTGGCCAACAACGCCTTCTTACACCCCATACGATGTCTTCTGCCAAGAGCAAACCGCCCCGTATTCGAAGCGACGGTACTACGAGCTGGTGAAGGTCTACCATCCAGATCACCGCTCCAATGATCACCAGATACTGAAACATATATCTGAGGAAGTTAGACTACGGCGGTACCGTTTAATCGTTACTGCTCATGAAATTCTATCTGATCCGGCTAAACGAGCGGCCTATGACCGGGATGGGAGTGGATGGCACAGCCATCCGGATCATCCGGACTCAAAGAGCTTTTCGCAAACATATGGTTACGCGGCAGATAAAGATGACTCAATTTTTCAGAATGCTACCTGGGAAGATTGGGAAAGATATTATAACAGACACCAGCCAAAACAAGTGCAGGTGGTATCGCACAGAACGTTTGTAACATTCATCGTACTTTTGGTTACCTTTGGCGGTTTTGCTCAAGCCTCGTGGATTACGCAGTACCAGACCAGCTTTGACCAGCGCATCCAGGAAATGAATGAAAAGTCGGCACGCCTACTTGCTAAACGTCGCCAACAGAGTGATAGCCTGAAATCGACCGAGAGACGGGTACAGAATTTCCTCATCCAGAGAGACCCAAAGGGGATTGGGTTGAAAGAAGAAGAGGGAACTGTATACAGACAGACCCTCGAGCCACGAAAACAAGCACTCCCTGAATCACAGAAGGTGCAACGTGAATAGTTGCGTGGAAATGTGCTATATACAATTATTCCAGTCACCCGATCTCTTTTGCTATAGATAGAAACTTGTACACGATTTTCAGGAGTGCTTTCATCCTTTTTTTGATAATTGACTACTTGGTAGTATATACTACAAACTATATACTGTGTATAGTGCGTATGACGTAGAAGTAAGCTTAATGCCTAAATGTGCACTAGGCCTGGTGATTGGCTGGAAGCCCTGGCCTCAGTGCCGAGGCTTCCACAAAGGCCTGGGGAAACTGATGAGTGGTTGCTCCTCTCCGACTCCACTCTCTGCTGCCTTGTTTTATGAGTTCATCGTTCTTAGATTGCTGTTGTTGTGCACAGGATATGTTTTTATATACATCTTCTATCCTTGTTGTTGCTGTTTAAGGCCATTCCATACTCGCAAAGGACCACAATGTCGGCTTTAAGGAACCCTACCGCCCTACTCAAGGCGGTGCTGATGAGGATACCCTTGCTCTTTAGGACTCTGCTCTTTCATGGCCTAAACATGTCACCAGTGTCGGGGAAGCAAGATCTGCGCACAGAAATGACAGTAACAATCATTCGATCGCTTCTAGACGCTTCGTTGCCCGTTGGCAAACAGCAACATCGATCAATGAATGACCCGGGTATCAAAGGGCCCATGTGGATATCGAAGGTAGTCTTGCCGGCACCAGAAGAAACAATTCGCACAGCCGTCATACAAACTGCCGATCAGTTGAAGAACGACGAGTCTCAAACATTCGAGATTCCACCGGTGGTGCCTGTCGAGGCTGAATGGACTGGATATCGTGGTGGCGTTGACAAGAACGCTCCACAACTGGATATCTCCGAGGAAAAAAAGTACCAGGCTTTGAAGGCGGATGCAAAGTCTGACATGGTCATACTCTATATCCATGGTGGCGCTTTATAGTATGGTCACCGCGAAGCATATCTTATATTCTCTGAACTTATGCTGACTTGAATGTATATAAAAGTCTCATGGACCCTTGCACACATCGTGTGCCCGTGTCACATATCTGTAAACTTACAGGAGCCAGAGCTCTGTCTGTTCGTTATCGACTAGCTCCTCAGAACCCATTCCCCGCTGCTCTAGTAGACGTTCTCACCGCCTACCTGAGCCTCATTCATCCTCCTCCAGGTTCTTACCACGAACCAGTTCCTGCAAACAAGATCATCATCTCTGGCGACTCTGCAGGAGGAAATCTCAGTCTTGCACTATTGCAAACCCTTCTTACCCTGAAAAAAACCGCACCAACTGTACAGTTCCATGGTAAAGAGGTACCTATCGAACTGCCAGCTGGTGTAGCCCTCATCTCGCCGTGGTGTGATGTCACTAGGTCCATGCCCTCTGTCAGCGGAAATTCGAAATATGACTATATCATGCCTCCCCATCAGCCAGCGGAGACAATCTATCATCCTCCGCCTCATACCCCCGACGACGTCTGGCCACGGACACCACCTCGAAGTGACATGTACTGCAATGCCAGTATGGTGTCACATCCATTAGTCTCACCTTTAGCCTGTCCCAAGGAACTATGGCAGGGCTCACCACCGGTATTTGTTACTGTCGGCGAGGAAGGCCTTACAGATGAAGGCTTGCTTACAGCCCGCAAAATCCACCAAGCCAACGTGCCTGTCATCGTCGATGAATTCGAAGGCATGCCTCATTGTTTCGGGCTAATTATGCTCGGCACGACCGCTGGAAAACTCTGCTTCCAGTCCTGGGCCCGATTCTGTCGTGATGCAGTCGCTGGCGCAGTAGACCCGGCGCGTGGAGATGTTGGATATGTAACTTTCCATAACTTTGGGTGGCATTCGACTAAACTGATTGCACTGAATGAAATTCATGCGTTCAGTGATTTAGATATAGAAAAACGATTGGAGCAAAGCAGGGATCAGCGAATAAGGACGGAAAACAGACTTCTCGAGGAATGGCAAGTTAAAGCGAAATTATAGGATGATTGCAACGAACTACATATGTATTCTGAACATACTTCCATTTACATTATTTAGTGTTTTACATGTATTCTTGACCCTGTGAGTTCTCATCAACGGATTCAATGTTGATACCCAGTACTATGTCGATTCAGAAAAACTTGTTTATCCTTTCAACATTGAAGGGTGGATTGAAAATGAAACTGAAACATGCTAAGATACATGTAAATCTAGAACGCCGCCGCCTTCGAGTCCAGGATGATGCAGCAGTATAAATAATGAATCGCTCACGCCTGATCCCCAGCCTTGAAGTAAAAAAATATTAAAAACAGCGAGATATTAGTGCGCCGAAGACCTTTCTTTTCCTAGTAACAATGCACCACTAAGTATCCTTGACAGTCAAAAGAAATCACAGTATTTCGTCATCCTCTATGCTGTCAGCAGCTTCTGCAGGAGCTTCATATCCCCGAACAATGTTTTGTAAAGGAGTCGCGATCGGCACAGATGGAGGAGTAGACGATGTTAATACCTGAGGTACATCCTTTTTAGAATTAGACCACAGTCCCAGAAAACCGCTCCCACCAGAATTGCTGCCGATAGCGATATCATCCAAAGCTGAGGACAGCCATGCTGGTTTTGACAGATGAGCATCATCAATGTACCCATCCCAGAAACCTAGCAGTTGCGCAACGAGGCGAAAAAATGCGATTGAAATTGTGATTATTGGTGACAGAATAACCGAAAGGTGTGACCATCGCCACACCATAGTCGGAAGAGTAAAAGGGAATTGTGGTGCGTCAGGCTGTAAACAATAACCATCACAAACCTCGGCGACGGCCGGATGGCAGAAATTATCGCACATAATACACTCGGTCATATACCAGCAGCCAAAGATGACCAAGGCCCAGCTGACAATAGTTAAACGTAAGCGTTTCGATACAGGATGTCGATACCATAGGCGGGGGATAGGGATAGCGAGATATATACGCCCATCCGCATGTTGGTTCTGGGTGCTTCCGCATGCTTTACACGCTTTGCTATCTTTGTGTGGTAGAACGACGCCGTCAGATACAATCACGTCTTCCAATCCATCAAGACCGGTTCGAGCATCTTGAATACCATGGATGATTGATTGTATCTTGAAATTCAGCTTGTCAAGCGCCTGCGCATCATTTTGCGTCTGAAGATCGTTAATATCTGACTCCAGTGCAGTGAGGTCTACTTTTATATCCTCGTCTTTCAATTCCGCAAATCTTGAAAGCTTAGCATCGGCACCGTCCATAAGACCTTGAAGGGAATTTATGGTGTCGTCGCTCAAAAGCAATGGATTCCCGTTCGATTTTGCATCCTCTAAAACAGTATCTAGGGCACTTTTAGGCAGCTTTGGTTTTATGCGTTCTGGGTTCGCTTGTCTCTCACTATCCGAGTCTAGCTTGTTCTCTTGTTTGAGGTTTGATTTAAAGGGTTCTGTCGAGCTGCCACCCTTTCCTGCCGCTGTGTTTCTTGAATCTATATGGACATTTTTACCATGGTCTTCGGAAGATGAATGTTGAGTCGAAACAGTCGTTGACGTAGAATTGGGACCTAGTTTGCTTGGAGAATCAAGCTCTTTCGTGATATTCTCTTCAATTGCCCCCGCTGTAGGTCGTACCGTCATTGGTGTGTCTACCCAAGCTCCTATCACCACTGGGGTTTTGTCCGGTAAAGGTTTGTTTGCTGGCTTTTGTGGCTCTGGTGTGTTACTCTGGTTAGGGCTTTCCGTACGAGCCAACTTGCGAAGAAGGTCACGAGAGTCACTGCGTGGTAACTGGGTTCGATCTGTAGAGCCTCCACCCCTGTACACGACAATTGGAGTGTTTGGGATCGCATCGCCGGTAGAGATATCTCTCTCTGAAGATCCTTTAGGCCACAGTCTCTTCTGAGGGCTGCGTGACCTGGAATTATCTCTGGTGATCTCTCGTTCAATGACGCGTCTAGGTGGCTTATCGCGAGACAAGTCGCCATTCTGCTTAGTGACCGAGCTCAACCACTGTCGGTGGCTCTTTGACTTATTCCCCCAATTTCTAGGTACGTTCAGTCCAGGCTGCGGTCCATCATCATGCTCTTGCTCTTGTACGTGCATTTCTGTTACTTCCAGCTCGCGCCTTTGCAAATTTTCTGCCCTGGTTCCGCCTTTGGCCCGGCTGAAAATTGGCGACTGGCTTGTTGTTGCGTGTTTTAAGCGCTCCTCATCACGTTTATAAGTCGACAAAGTCCCGCGCAAAGGGTCGTCTGTATTATCCTCCAAATAACCGAGTTTGTATCCCACATCGTTATCCCTTCTTTCATATTGTAATTGCTGGCGATCTGAAGAACCGGAAGACTCTCGTTTTCGGCGCTCGCGGGAGCTTCGTCGCGACCAAGAATCTACACCATTATCCAAATCGTCCTCTGAGACCAAATCCGCTAAATAGTCCGCGTCATTAATTCTGCGATATGTTTCTAATAGCTCGCCGGGAGGAGGGCTATGAACTTCTGCCAGCGGAGAAGGTAGCGAGAGATTCCGTTGGTGCCTGCCATTTGGACTTGGCGTTCGACCACCAACAGCAATGGGCTCAATCGTCCCACCTTCGTTGCTCTCCATGGTGAGTGCTGGCGAGGTTGCTTCAAACGCGTCTTTTAATGTTCTTGTCTTGCCGAAACTTGTTCGGGGTCGCACGTCATATTTCGAGGCGGGGCTGGGTATTCGCGAGGGTTCTGTCTCGAGAAAGTAGTCGCGTTCGAGAGAGTATGAAGCTCTGTAGAAGGGAGGGTGAGGTGAGGGGTTTTGTGGCTGTTGTGGTTGCTGCTTGTAGTCACGACGACTAGAAGACCCACGGTAGCTGCGACTTGGTGAGGACATAGTGAACTAACAATGACAGTTGATTCACATCATGATTAAAACAAACAGAGCAACCAAACCAAAAGAAATGATATATAAGGTTATATTAAACTGTCGCTGCCATGTTGCCAACATGAATGCGCTACATTTCACAGGCCATAGTTAGATCGCGCCTGGAAGTTAGTGCAAGCTGCTTGACCAGATGCTTGTCTGGAATAGGCAAGGCGCAAACATGCCAGTTTGTCAGGGCATTATGCATTATGGCTAATTAGTGAATGTACCAACCATGATTATAGTCAAGACGGTTTAAATTTGTAAATATTATTTGTTAATATATCTTACGGAGAAAATCCCCAAAAAACATAGCATTATAGATCTGGTGCTGTTTCAATGTGGTAGTCTGATCATTATGTGCCCAGTGCACTAGTTGCTCGTTAATTGTCTAGACATTTCAATGTTGTGAATTCTACCAACTTCAGCCAACCTGCAATAATAACCATGCCCAATACTGGCCCATAACAGTGACAGCATTTATCAGGACCGAATTATGCAATATACGTCCAGGTTTTTCATTCTTCCCGCCCCACAAGGTTCAATGATACAGCATTCCATTTCGTTCCTGCTACTCGCTAGACCGCTTCTTGCTTGAAATTCAAACCTTGAATATCCCGAATGATACGACCATGACGAAGACCACAAGACGGGCTGTAAAGAACAAGCAGCCTTCTTCAAAACCCGCACCGAAGCCGCTTAATCCGTTCGTCCCCGCGCCCTCCACCTTACGGCCCTTTCTAGACGTCCTCTCGCCGAACGAGATATACCTTGCGCATATTGACAAAGAGGAACCGAGCTTCAAGAAACAACTCTTCATCGTCCCCATCCTTCTGAACACCACTATAATTCTTGCCATTGCATATCGTTTCTACAACGGGATCCATGTCTACCCCGAAATCCTAGCCTCCGCATTGGGGATATCCTCAGTCCCAACGGCCGACTTTTCGTCTGGATCATGGCAGCAAATAGCAGGCGTGATTCTGCGACGGGCCATAACCTTTTCTATCGATTATTTCCTAATCACCCTTTTTCTCCCCTGGCCCATCCGCTTTCTCCGAGGTCCCATATACTGGCGTCGCAAAGTCGGGTTTCGTCAGCGCGAGATCGTGATTCGGCAAAGTCGGAAGCCCTGGTCGTCGAAGCTGGCTCGTAATAGCTGGATATACGATGACCAAAAGACTGTCGACGATAAAGTCGTTCCTGCTATTACCCCGCAGAGGCTCATGAAGAGCGGGTATCTTCTTATTGATGCCGACTGGGATCTTGATTACAATGCGATGGTGCGAGCCCATGAGCTGGTGGACCTCACCGCTAAGGGCCAGGGAGTACAGCTCGACGAATTCCGCACTGCAGTGCTCGTCAATACAGATGAAGACGGCTGGCTTCTCTGGCGAGTCGCGGATGAGGAAACGACAGAACGTGGGGACCAACGAGACCAGTTATTCGCATTCCGTCAAAGGCTAGCTTCTATGGGCAAAGAAGATTTATTCTTTCGATGGGTTGAATTGGTCCAGTATGAAAGCACGCAGCCCGGTGGATTTACGCCGGAACGACAGCGCAGCACGATGCTCCAGGCAAAAGAGATGTTTGAGGCTCAGGGAGTTGACTTTTCTCGCTTTTGGCAGGAAGTCGGAGGTATGGAAGGTGGTTTAGAACTGCCGTAGATGTGCATGTAGGATTAATAGAGATGAATTAATACAAAAGCGTTTTAAATGTATGATTAGAACTTTTAGATAATGGCTGGCTTTTCAGCGGATGCTAAAAATTTAGACCGATCATGTGTAACAGCAATTAAGAAATTCTATTCGTTCTTTTCAGCTTGAGGTACATATCTATGTATTCCGCTCAAGTCCATGAATACAAAACATAAACATTCGAAGGTAATAATGCCAAAGGGGTATCGTTCCAACATCTTTCCATGCTGTACTAATAATATCAAGGCGAAGTAAGAAGTATATCAATATATAAACATATATGTCTAACCCGAAAGTAGACTATGTGCTGGTGATAGGTACAGCAGGAGACAACCTCTAAACTCACTGCTTATTGCCCTCTAGCCGATAATCCAAGGACCAGAGTTTTCCCCAAGGCCTTAGCCTCGATGCTCGTTTGCTAGGCGAGGAGGCAGCAGATTGGACATCGACGTCGTGTCGTGTCATAGACAGAGAAGCTACTCCAGAATCTCCGACTTCTCGAGATTGTTCCAAGGCCTGTGGAATCAGTCAGTCATTCAAAAACAAACATACAGGATTCAGCGCAAAATAGTCTCGGGCCGCAACCTCAAGACTTTCGCATTAGGTCACGGCGAACCTCATCGAAAATAGCGGCTGACTCGTGCGGCTGTGATCCGGCATCAGCTTCAGCGGGCTGAACGTTATCGCCAACAGATTCGGTTGTCACCAGCGCCGGAACTGGTGTGCCTTTCTTGGATGCAGAGCTGTTTCGGCGGCTATCTAAGCTCTTAGTCAGAGTCTTCGCGACATTCCCCTCGGCCGTTGAGCGTTTGAGGCGAATAGATCCCTTTGCGTCTACGTGTGCTGAAGCAACTGTGCTTTTGCCTAGTCCTGGTGTGCTGGGAGCACCTGGTTTTTCTTCCGTCGCGTCCAAAAGATACCACCGTAGACCATCTGATAACTCGAAAGGATTCTCGTCGTCAGCTGAGACTTCATCGCTAATTATGGAATGACGGTCCTGGTTAGCGCCATTCATAGACCGAGACAAATCGACGACTCGCTCTTCCACTTTATTGATTCGAGCCAGTAGCCAATCTCGAGTTGATAGCTTGTGAACATCCTGCTCGCGCAGGAAGAAATGAGGTGCTCCGACATTGAAGGCTGCCCATGACCTGATGGCTTGATTGCGAGTGGGTAGAAACAAAGCGAGGTCACCTTCTTTGAAGGATCGATATGCAATTTTATCATGCGCCTCGCTCTGGGTACGGTGATATTTGTCTCGATATCCTCGCGCTTCTTTTTGCCATTTCCGAGCTAGCACCTCTATATCCTTCTCTCTCTTGACAACCGACTCACAGAAAATCTCCACATCAAACTTTTCCATGGAATCCATGAACCTCTTGAACTTGATAGCCTCCTCGTTGGAATCATCCTGAACCCAAGTGTGTAAAGTCGAATCTAGACGTAAAGAAGCGATGATTGAGGACGAAGATGCTTCGCCTATTCCTGAGGCACTAAGTTTCGAGGCTCTTTGAATGACGAGTTGATTATCCTGCTGAACAATGGCAAATCCGAGTTGCTCTAACATGCGTCCCATCTTTTCTGCTTGCTCCTGAAGTTTTTGCGATACCTCTCTAGCGTTGGCTCCTCGCGAATTTAGTCGAGTGAGGGCTTGCTGCTTAGCATCTTGGGCCTCCATTGCCTTTTCTCGCCATTTTTTGGCATCTTCTTCCGCTGCACGAGCTTGTCCATTGATCTGGACCAACTTCTGTGACAGAGAAGTGACCTTGCTTTCTTCTTCTGCCACACGTTCCCGAAGAACTTCAGAACCGGTCTCTCCAGCGGCAAACTTTGACCTCAAGTGATGTAATTGAGATCGTTCCTCAGCAAGCTCAGTCTTCAGAACCGATACCTGAGATCGTTCCTGAAGCAATTCATTTCGTAGTTTGGAGACTTCTGTATTGTGTTTCTCTATTGTTTCCCGTAATTCAGCAACATCAAGTTCGCCGAACTGAAGTTTCTCCTCCAGGGATTTCTTTTCCGCATTCAAGGCAGAATTCGACTCCTCTGTTTTTCTGGCATGAATTGCTAAACCTTCCGCAAGAATTTCTATAGCCTTGACCAAAGACACGAAGTCAGACGGCGCTGAACCTTCGGGGGAGAGAACGCCATGTGCAGCCTGTAACGTGTTAAAGTTTTCCAGGTTCTGCGTATTCATTTCGTCCAGTCGTGCTTGTAGCTCGGATATTTTCGCATCTTTGTCAGATAACAATCCTTTTCCAGTATCAACTGCGTGGTATAACTCCTGGATGCGCTGTTTTTCAGACGAGTAGTCTTTTCGTAAAGCTTCGACATCAGCCTTGGCGCTCTCCAACTCCTTTGCAGCGTCAGCTTTGACGGTTCCAAGCTGTTCTTCCAACTTTTGTGCCCGGTCTTCCACATCTTGCTTCTCATGATCTCGACGATCAAGTACCTGACAAAGTTCTTCTTCGAGCTCCTCAATTCGATGTTGCAATTGTTTAGCGTCGGCCTCAAGATATCGACGCTCGTCTTCAAACTCTCTCTGCCTGGACTCTAAATTTTTGATCAGGTCTTCTTTTGTTGATTGCGCCTCTTGCATTCTGTCGGTCGATGACTGGCGCTCAACGTGTGCTTCTCTTTGAAGACGCTGAACTACCTCTCTCTCTGCTAAGAGATCTGCCTCAAGAGTTAAAACCCGCTGGACTAAAGCTTTATCCTCGCCTGTTTGGTTGGCCGACAAACGTCGAGACGAGACCGAGGAACGTCTGGATAATGGATCCAGAAGAGGAGAAGCTGGTGATGTTGGAAGGTCCGAGCCAAAATTTCCACTTAGAGGACGAGTTATGTGGCTCTGGCGATGAAGAAGATCCTCGAGTTTGCGAATTCGACTCTCTGAGCCTTTTAATTTGTCTTCTAACTTGACTTTTTCGTCTCGTAAACTACGGACCATATCGTCACCACGGATGAGAAGTGAGCTACGACCCATGTCGATAACGCTTCCGTGTTTGAAGGCTTTTGCTCGCCGTTTCTGCTGTCGAGTAGGGTTGTCGAGGTCTGCATAAAGTTGGGATAATTCTTCTACTACTGCTGTCATCCCACCCTTGGACTTGAGGGCATCGATGTAGTTTTCGATATCTTTCCGATGCACCTCAGGCCATTCCGGCCCCTGACCTTGCAGGTTGATCTCCAGGCCAGGAGTCATGTCATCAGGAAGGGCTATGAGCTCTCCAGTTGTCTTGAGCCATTTCTTTCGTCGGCGCTGCTCTTCGTCTCTGAAAACAGCCATTTCTTCAGCTAGTGTAAGTGAGTCGGCCTTCAACTTTTCCCTCCATTCACGTCGCCGGACCGCTTCAATAAGCACGGAGCCGTAGACCACTGGTAAATGAAATACTGCATACAAGACCTCGAACACATCACCATCAACGTCTAGGTTTGCAATTTGCCCTTGGATATCTGCGAGGCGTGATTCCAGAGACGAAACTTTCCGCATATGCGTGATCGCCATCTTTGTCGCAGTATTTCGATGTCGGACAGCTTGTTCAAGCGCATTCTGCAGTTCAAGGGTGAGCTCTAAAAGAGATGGCAATAACTCTTTAGTATGAGCCAAGGCCATTCTAGATATATTGGCCAGGCTTTTTTGATTGCTCGGCAATCCCAGGACGTGCTCATAATCTGAGCTTACTTTCTTCGCGATAGTCTCTACCTCTTCCAATATACTGTGAGTCTCATCCAAGTGCGGTGGTTGGGCTTGGTCCAGCAATACCCGAGTGTCCGAAGCAATACTACCAACGGCTTTTTTCACTTCATCGATCCGGCGAGAAAAACTCTGGGAAACGGCATTTCCCCGAGAAGCGGCTCGGCGAACATCATCAACGTCTAGGAAATCTTGTAGTGTCCCATTCGAACGGTCTCTTGTCCCCTTTTTCGGTGTGGAGGGGCGTCCGAGAAAAGAAATATCCTTTCTGGCAGGTATGCTTTCCAATTTCTCCAAGGCCCGTTGCCATCCGTCCAAGGCAGACTTTTGTTCTTTGATAAGATCGTCCGCCCAGGTCTGGGCTTCTTGAAACTTATTTTCTAAACCGGCAACGTGAGACTTCAGATTCTCCAGAGCCACGCCCACACCACGGTAGACAATTTCCGAGTGCTCGTTGTGCTCCTGAAGCGAGCCATTTATAGTAGTGCAGCTTTCTGCCAAGGCCAGTGCCCATGTTCTTCGGGCCATGTAGAGATTACGCCAGGCTTGAAGATCATTCTGGTCGGCCAATGTATCGGGAGGGTTGCTTGGTTTGAAAGAAGGAGGTGGAGGGACGTCGGGAAGGTCGACAGACCCAGGCTCACTGACATATTGCCTGTCGTATAAAAAGATCTCGTTCTGAAAGGCGATCAATATCCCGAGACGGGCAACTCGGCTTGCAGTGAAACGTACCTCTGTGGCTAGCGTTTGGATTTTGACATTCTTTCCACGGGCGGTCATCAAAATTTGTCTTTGAATAGCTATCGATGTATTGCGGGCAATCCATGATCGAAGAGCGTCCGGACTGTCCTGGTGTTAGCTTCTGTAGCAATATCGATAGTAAGGCGTCGGGTAAGACATACGATGCAAACGAGACTGGGTCTGCCAGCAGATGCTCACCGGTGTGAGCAATGTAAATGTGTAACGACATAGCTGGTCTCCCAGACGGAGCCCCAAAAATCAGGGAAGTCCGATGAGAAGCTCCAGCGAAGTCGCGATGCTACTTCAAATAGCTACAGCGACAACATCGATCATGATCAGTAGAGCTGTCGGGGGTGCTTGGTAACGTGACGCAAGTTGGAGCAGCCAAAACGGGCTAGTCTGATGTCGGATCGGCCCCGCACTGGACGCGACTGACCCGTCCGATTTCAGGCACAGGAAGGAATCACGAGATGCGGTGATATGCTCTCGTGAGACCTGTGTATGTTCTCCCGCCGATGGCATCTTTCGTCCATGGCATCAAATGACAGTGCCGGGCCTCCGTCTTATGCCGCGGGCTTCGATGAGCCAGAGGCCGTGCTGCTGGAACTAGCAGCTGACAACAGTCAAGATGAGCTTGAGCTCTCTAGTAAAGAGCAGTTGTTATTGCGTCTTTACGACCAAATACAGGAATTAGACCTCGAACAAGCCGTGCTAGAGCAAGGTATGGGGCTCTTTGGCGATTTGCTGTACCTTGGAATTCCACTGATGGCGCATTCAGACCCAGAACAGCCTAGGAACGAAAATGTGGATGAGCAGCTTCGCGTGGCAGAGCGAGAGCTGTTAGAGGCTCGCGCGACTTACACTGTCAGGAGGAGAGCAATCGAATCAGTTCTCATGACCGACCCGATCCTCAAGGCCGTACACTTAAGGGCATCCACACCCGCGGAAAGGTGCGATCTGTGCTAATTACTTCGGTAGCAACCTCTACGAAACATACTGACTTGATGTCGCATACAGGGCTCTTCTTCCTCTCATCAACCGTCGTGACTTACTCTCGCTAATCTACGAAAATCTGTCTAATGCGCAAGCAGCTATACTGGAGACACGTTCGAATGCGGAAGTGGACAATATACGCGCGACAAAGCTAAACCAGGAACTCGCGCGCCAGCTCCTGGGCTTGACGGCAAAAGGGGAATCGTGGCGCGATGATGTCAAAGATAACACTCTACAGTCTCAGATAGAAGAGACTGAGCAGCAACATAAGAAAGCTCGATCCCAATGGGATATCATGAAAAACATCGTTAGCGCAGTCATTGTAAGCAGCGGAGTCGACTGGGCGCGCGACGACAGACTACGCGAACTAGTGTTGGATGAGCTAGACTGATGCCAATGAACTGGAACAAAACTAGCGAAAGCACTATTCTCCCCCAGCATACGAATGAATGATATATTTCTAGGCACTGATGCCCTTGAGGAGTGATCACTGGGCTTTCCCGAGAACTCGGGCAGTCAGCTCCACATCAGCTCGTTCTCTCATTCGACCTAAGCGCGTTCTAGACGTTAGCCCTATGAGGCTAATAGTGTTGATACAGACCGGGTTGCTAAACATATGATTGGCTGGGCAAGTTCTCATGGTCTGATCGCTGATTAAAGTCCTTCCTGTATCCCCGGCCTGGAGACCTCCCCTTCTCTGTTTCTTATAGCCGACTTGCCCTATCCCTATTCAGTACACAGGAGTAGTGCAAGGTTCGAATGGTGTGCAGCCGGAGATCGCACTGAGCAAGAATTGAGTAATCATGATCAATCATTACAAGGTGAACAGCGTAGCCTGCTTGCAAACGAGATGTCAGTCAGGCCGTAATGCCGACAACAAACAAGGATGCCGCCCATACAAGGGCAATCTAGTACGGTAAGGCTAGCTAGTCAGGCAAGTAAGGCAAGGAACTAGCAAAGACGACCGCACGCATACGAATAGAAATGTAGCAGCTCTGATAGTATGCAGATACTAGTCATACTCTATGGACTAAGCGGGAGAACTCGTCGACTAGTCAGTAATTAAAAACAATAACAAAAACAAGAGTAATAACAAGGTCGATTGTCGATTTCTGCGAGTCATCCGGGCACAGTGAGTGAGTGGCGCATAGCATCATGTTGTCTCCACCCTAGGGCCCAGGGCGCCGGCCGTGGCTCTGGTGTGGTAGCTCGTTGCATCATTATTCTTCAGTCTACTTACAAGGCGACCGATGCATAATTAGGACATGTGGAGTTACACGATGCGACTGCGGTTAACATTTTATTCTTCCAAAAGTCACCATAAAACAGATGCGGTGAAAGCGATACGAAATACTGCGCTTTTCACGTGCATTAGCAATTGGGTGCGGTACCACTGTCGTCAGGATATCCCGTCTGTAACAATAGGGCCGTATTATTATTATGATGCCGGCCGTCGCGTCTTGCTATGATTGATTGCGCGGTAGTTAGCAGCTGCGGGAGAATTAACTAGATGGACATAACTTGAATATTACCGATTCCTGCGATTGATCCTACTACCTCAACTGGTTACGAGAGTTATTATTATGTAAGCAGAAAATGAGTGCTGGTTCCGACACGATTGGCGCGTCGGTGTTCGCAGTGTCGCATTCCTGCGGTATACAGACTACACATTATATGAATACGTATTACATCGTGCACAGAACATAGTTAGTACATAGTAATACTAAGGTACTAATTATTCAGCACTGAGGCGGTTGCTCTAATTCTATCATGCTTCGGATCCACTCAAGGCCGAGGTTGGACTTGTATTCGCTCGATACGGCGTCCATACATTTAGACATATCTATATCTCTATCAATTGATACATGTATGTATGTATATTATATAGGCAGAGATGTATATATGTTTGTATAGATTGATATATACAAGCATGGTGATAAAGTACGTGGATCTGGGATGTATGTATGTATGTGACGGTATGTTACCGGCCGGGTGCAGTGTTATCCCGGGCTATACCCACCCCTCGCGATAGTGTGACGGTACGGTACAGTACGGGCAGAATGCGCCCTTGCGGCAACGCGGTGGTGGACGGCAGCGAAAAAGTGGCCCGCCCGTCCCGCACTGCAAGCAGGCTCGCTCCCTCCTCTCGCTCTCTTTACTAGGTGGCCGCCCGCTCTCACTCTGTTCTCTTCTCTCACCCATTCTCCCCATACAAACTGCCTCGCATACAACCAAGCTCTGCGTACACTGCCATCTAGGTAAGCTTCCTTATAGAGATCCCGACTATATACTATATACATCTGCCCACCATGTCCACCACCGTGGTCGCCCACCACTTCCTCCCATTTTCCCATCTTGTTCGCTTCTGAATACGCGTCATTTGTCCTTTTTTTTAATCATGTTTTTTGCCTCGAACCGCCATTGCTCTTGCTGTCTCTGCGCGTCCACCACTGCGCCAGCGGCCCTTTGAAGCTGAAGCCAGTCAATTTCCCAAATCCGCGCATTCTATTAGTTGGCTATCTGATTCTCTTGTTTTCTACGCGATATGCGTTGTCGCGGTACTGCAATGACTCTGCTGTGGTCTTGGATGCTTCAAAACGCGATCGCTTGGTGTTGGTTCCGCGTCCGCGCCTACTACCAAGCAACATGCACCTGCCCACCCCCTACGTGCACAATCTACTGCGCTCTGATCTGTTGCCTTGCTTTACTGTATTTTAACGGTCGCATATGTTCAAGAATCGTCGTCGCACGTGAATTGAGCGATTTAATCTGCTTGCGACGCGGCTGCTAACACTGGTCGTCCAGTCATCATGCCTAAGGAAAAGACCACACGCAAGACCAAGGCCCGCGGTGAGGGTGGCAAGAGAAAGAAGGGTAAGAGATGCACTGCTCACTCGCGCATCAACGCGTAACTCACTGTCCCTAGACCCCAATGCCCCCAAGCGTGGTCTCTCTGCTTACATGTTCTTTGCCAACGAGAACCGTGAGCGCGTCCGGGAGGAAAACCCCGGCATTGCCTTTGGTAAGTTGCTTTCTCTTGACCTGCCGCTGCTCCGTGTTAACGTTCGGAACCCAGGCCCTCTCGGCCGCAAGCTCGGCGAGCTGTGGAAGGCAATGGGCGAGTCTGACCGCAAGCCCTATGAGGACAAGGCTGCCGCCGACAAGAAGCGTTACGAGGATGAGAAGGCCACTTACTTGGTAAGTATAGCGCCTTGACACTGATATCGAACACGCTAACACCACGCCAGGCTGCCGATGAAGAGGAAGAGTCTTCCTAAGTAGATGATGCTCAAAAACATGACATCTTTATCATCGTTATCGGCTGACGCCTTTCTCTCTTCCACCTTGTATTCGTTCTATTTTTCTTTTGTCGGGTCTTCGGTATGGGCTGACGGGGTTCATGTGTTTCGTTCAATGTGTCTCATTTCGTTACGAGGGGTTTTACCAACATGGAAATCTTCGTTTTCTCTCTTTTCCTGATTTTTCTCACATCGGATAAGGGTCGGTTCAGTCGTGGCTGCCAAGTAATCGACATGCTGCCCACCGTACCCGCCCGTGGTTGGAGATAATGTAATCTTACTCGTGTCAATCATATCAGATGCCCGTGTGAGCAGATGAATTCAGTCCAGAATCAAAGTATCGTGTAAAGAAGCGAGCATCGAGAAGAGCTCGCCCGGCCCAAGCTTCTACAAGGCGGGGCGACAGCAGCTAACCCAGTCAATGGAGCTACTGTTCTGCATGGGTCTGCTGGGTCAGCCGGCCAATCCTGGATGCCAACGCATCTGGAGCCAGCGGTGATTGGTGGGCATAAACCGCTTCAACGGCTGAAATGGGATATTCGACTGTAGTTGTAGAACAGCGATGTGGTGTATGATCATCACAAAGGTGCTCTGAATAGGACTGTCTCTTATCTCACAGAGTCCAATCTCAACAGGTTACAAGTCTCGCGGTTGAATTCTCCATTTGTATAGTTGCTTGTAGCGTAAAAGTAAAGCCCCTTCTCGACAATTAAATATACGTACATCTCTTTCCATATTTATCGACATATGACATACTCATCACCCACTTTACCATCAATAAAGAATTCAATAGCTGAATAAGAAACTAAACAAGAATGTCTTCTGCTCCGCTGCTGGCCAATCACCATGAACAACACGCCTGCCGGATGCAACCACTGCAACCCGCTCAGACCGTCGAGGGCGTACCCAGGAAGGAGCCACTGAGCTATATCCCTCACAAGGACTAGCCTGCCACATGTGCACCTTCGATGTTTTGCCCTCACACCACATATCCAACTTCAAATGTTCAATGTTGGTTTGAACAATTGATATGAGCTCCCGAGACGTCCATGTACACATCAATTCAATATTGATAAGGGCAGCAATGCAGGATTGTGAGTGACTCACTCGTAATGTCACCCTTGATTGCAGATTGCAAATTGCTTGTGCTTACTGCTATCCATTGACAGTTGTCTATCTTGCGCACTGTAAGATGCGTTGACTGGTAACGACATCGACACGATCCTCCGCCTCTTAGCAGGCTTTTACAGACCCCCTTCGTTGCATCCTTGCATGTCCGCATGTTTGGCTTGGTGGGGATGGGTGGTGCGAGCTGCTGCGTTTTTCTCTCATGACAGCATAAACATCCTGTGTTTGCCATTTCTATTGGGTTCTGCCGCAAGCTGCAGGATGGACACGTCAACGCACTAAACCAGTCCACACTTGGTCTGCTTTTCCGCCCCGTCAATTTGCGAACAGAGCCTCAAGGTATTAGACGCTTTCCGAATAATAACTCGTTGTGTCCCGCTTGTGCAGCCCGTTTCCTGCGACGCGATGGTCCTGGCCAAAAGTCCGCCACAGCCCTGAGAGAGTCATAACCCTCCATTTCCTTTCTTAGCCTCGGCTGCTCCCACTGTGCATTCCGCCTTTCACCCGCATTATAGCACTCACCCCTTTTCTACCCTGAGCGTGAGAAAATGGAAAAAGGTTGCAATATTATCTAATGTTCCATCTATTCGTTACCCTACCAGCCAAGGCCGTGATGACAGAAACTTTGGGACAAAATTAGGTCGGCGCCGTCGTATACCCCGCACCCATTGGAGTATTATCACAAGAAAAGAGAGAGAAAGAAATGGATCTGCGGATTCCAGATACTATCGCCTTCGCGGAAGAGGTCGCTGTCGGCTTCACACAGTTTCGTGCTCATCTTCCAGAATACAGTGCAGAGATTACAAATTTGATCGCCAACCTTTATGCCACCAGCGCAACCCTCACATCCCTGGAAGGACTAACCAGACAATTTCCTCGTAACTATGCTCGTATTAAACCGGATTTGCAATTGCTGCTTGCCAGCCTGTGCTACACGCTGGATGAGATAACAACATCCTTTAAGAAGCTCGACAGGAAGCGTCTGGACAGCTATCGATATGTGTGGCTTGATTTGGACTCATACTTCCGTGAAGAAAGTAGCTATACGTTGAAGAGACGGCTTACCAGATATAAAATGTTCCTACAAGAGCTAGAAGATATGATGCAAAAGTATACTACAGATCCACCTCTTGCTGCCGCAATGTGAATGCTAACCCCTAGCAGTAAGGCGCCAAATGCTCACTTCATGGCTGAACTGCGTAGCAGTTTGACCACACTTCTGTCTGAGCAAGATGGCCGTCTGGCAGCACGTCTGGCAGGTTTCTCGATCGGTCGACCAGACTCTTCTGTAAGTAGCAGCCTGGATCCTGGAAGTCCTATAGAGCACCATGGCCCTGGGAAACGTCGGTCGTATGAACGAGCACGACCCGGTGTTGGCCCATCTCATTTCCCACCGATTTCTCCGACATCATCATCTCAAGGGGCCGCCCCGCCATGGGTGCCTGAGGTGCCAAGTTCACCGACGTCGACGACTACAGCAACAACGATGTCTAACCTCTCATCGGCGGTTTTGAATGATCACTGGGCAAGGGATATCTTTGCGGATGACACTTTTAGCACCCCGATTCCTGCTGATGGTGAGAGGTGAGCTAATTAAAAGCAGGCAATGTCTTATAGCAATGAAGCTGACATTGAATAGTTCAAAATGCCTCGGCGAAGATGTAGAGGATATTAAAGAGTGGCTCCATACCGAGGGGTTTGATGAGGTGGCCTATCTGTAAGATAGAAATCTTATGCCTGCTTGATGTTGACTAACGATGCCCAGGTCTTTCAATGAAGATAGCTCCAATCTTTCCGTCTCTTTCTACGTTAGAGAGGATGATAACCGCGCACGAATACTGTGCAAGGTGCAGAGAACTAGACGCTCGAGTAAATACTGCTGTCTTCCTCTTAACATGCTGGAAGTGAGACGAGTTGGGTCGTGTTTGCAATTTTGTCGAAGACGAAACTCTGGAACAAAGCTGATTCCATGGCTCAATCTAAATTTTCGCACCATCGAGAGTAAGTAGGACGGGGGGATGGCTTTGGGTAACAGCTAACTCAGTGATATAGAGATGGTGACTTTTTTCTGTACCTTTCTCGCATTGCGGTCGCAAGATTCCCGTCGACAAGTGCATAACCTTCGGGATTACGAGCTACACGCTGAAAAGGAGAAATTCGGAGGGTAAACCTAGATCTCTGTCAATTGAATAATTGACTCTACGAGTGTATATGCTAATCAAAATCCTTGTAGCCTTATCGTTGATGACAGTTATCTTCACGCTTTACGTATTTACAAAGACCGCATTTCTGGCTCCATCAGATTACAGGCGTCTATCCACCAAGGCGAAATGGAAAGGTATATGCATATTTTCGTGAATTAGTATGATGCAGGTGCTGACCAGTCGTCAGAGCGCCTGTATGGACGGCTTTTATAACACCATATATCGAATCTTCGTTCTGGGCTCGTCGAATTGGCAAGAGGGTCGTTCTACGCGACTTACGAAGGATTATTCTTTACCCCGAATACACTCCACCGAGAACATCTCGTGGTGAACATATTTTGAAGTTCACATCCGAAGCTGGTGTGTAGTTCCATCTTATATCTCATTTTATACTCTTGCTGATCTCTTCTTCAATAATGGTTAGATGCCGAAGACTTTATTGCGGTCATCGATAAGCTCGCTTTGACTGATTAATCACCGTCTCGTCGGATACATGCACTTCAACGAAAACAAAATAATCTTCGAATTGTTTAATCCCAATATTACGTTAAAACGACCAGTAATGAATCATGAGATATGATACTACGATTGATACCCTGCTTTTTCTGATGTTGTGGATTTTTTTCCCTATATTCACGACTTTATAGTCAAGGATGGCCTAGTTACTATAATTTACTCATCAAGTGTCCAACTGCTGTGTAACCACATCTTATTAAAATTATTATTCATAACACTATGTACAAGTTTTTCTCACGCTTGATTATCAAACAAATTTCATCCCAGATCAACACTTAGCCCCTTCAAAAAGCGGTCTGCGTGATGTCTACTTCTCAATTCCTGGATCTTTTTCCTTCGTTCATCCTTGACACGATCGCGCTCAGCTTTACGTTCACTGCGCGCTTGTCGCTCCCTCTCTGTTTCTTGCCGGGTATTCAATAATTCCTCCATTTCCCTCTCTCGCACTTTTTCGTCGGACGAAAACTTGTAGAATCCCGTACCGCGAGTACGCACTTCAGCCTCTGCATCATAATGAACCTGTTGGGGGGTGTTGCCGATCTGTCACGCTTCGATGCGAGATAGGCCATCTGCGATGCCATGGCTGCGTCCGGGTTGAATGCGTGAGATTGGATAGTCTCGCCATGTATTAGGTTTGTAGGCCGCGACGGCCGCGACTTGTCCACCTCATCACGCCCTCCTGCCTCGAGTCTAATTAATCGAGCAGCCTCCGCAGCTTCGGCTTTCGTGCCACGCCGCGTCCGGCCAAACTCGTCTTCATATTCCACCAGCGAACCAGTCTCATCCTCGTCGTCGCTACCATCTTCCCCCCTCGTTCTTGTCTCTTCTCCTCCTCCTCTGCCCATTTCCGATCAAAATCCACAAGAGCATTCCGTTCCCGGCGACGCATCCTCGACATCTGCTCATCATCATTATTCCCCACCAGTCCCTCCTCATCACTACTACTGGCCCCATCAGCTAAATGATGGCCCCTTTTCAGATCTTCATAAAGAGTTGCTTTCTCTTGCATACGTCGCTTCGATCGTTGCAGGGTGGCAGCATCGACCTGGCCAATGTCATCACTCTTCTGATGGACTGGTCGCACCCCATGCACATCTTCAGCTTCATCCGCCGCGGCGCGTTTTAGGGTACCTTTGTTGTGAACGGAGAAAATATCGGATTTTGCGGTTTTCGACGGCCGTGTGCGTCCTTTGTTTGTATTTGAATCGGCATCTTTGGAGATGAGCGAGGAGAGGTGTGTTGTAAAGGCTAAGGTTGATGAGGAGGTGATATCTTTTTGGCTGACGCCTTGTCTGGAGCGCTGGATGCCGTAGAGCGCGTCAGAGGGGTTTTTGGAGGTCATGTTATATTCGTGTTTGGTGGTGGTCTATTGAATGATCGTGAAGAGGCGTAGTTTGACCAGTTTGATCAACGCTTGGGGAGCTTGGGCCAATCAGCCAGCAGCGGTGGGCCTCCGATAATCGCAGGCTAAACTTATCGCAAACGACTTTGCCCCGCATGGGCCATACTGCCATGACAGACCGAAATAATTCCACAGTTGTTTGAGTTGTTTCTTCTGTGACATTATTTAAAAATTCAACCAATTGCATATCCATCATTCACATCCCCCTCAATTGTGAGCCATGCCATCGAACCCAGTCTATCTCGGCGTCATTGGTACAAACACCAACAATCCACCTCTCCAGGTTCTATACTAACCCGAGTCCAGGCGTCGGCGGTGTTGGCAATGCTTTCCTCCACCAACTCGCCAAACTCCCAGCCCCTCCCTCCCTCATCCTCCTCGCTCGCTCTTCACAAACCCTCCTATCCCCAGCGCCCGCGTACTCGCCTGCAATCCCCGCAGCAGACTGGCAAACCGCATCCGCCACACCATCTCTCACCAAGTCAGGCGCCTTAACCCCAGCAGAGATCGTCTCCTACCTCTCCTCTGCGCCTGGCCGCTCCGTTCTCGTAGACAACACCTCTGACCCCGCCCTAGCCAGCGCATACCCCCAATTCCTCAAAGCCGGCATCTCTATCGTCACCCCCAACAAAAAGGGCTTCTCGTCCGACCTCTCGCTATGGAAAGACATCTTTACTTCCGCAGCAACCGGCAACGCCCTTATCTACCACGAAAGCACTGTCGGCGCCGGTCTCCCCGTCATTTCCACCCTTCGCGACCTCGTCGCAACCGGTGACGAGGTTACTCGCATCGAGGGCGTGTTTTCAGGCACTCTTTCTTTCCTATTCAACACATTTGCGCCTGTCTCTGGCGCGTCTTCGGCGAAATGGAGCGACGTGGTCAGCCAGGCCAAGGACCTAGGCTACACCGAGCCCGATCCGCGTGACGACCTGAACGGCATGGACGTGGCGCGGAAGCTGACCATTCTCGCACGCATTGCGGGTCTGGAAGTGCAAAGCCCGAATTCGTTCCCTATCGAGTCGCTTATTCCAGCGGAATTGGCTTCGTTGCCTAGCACGGCTGAAGGTGTGAAAGAGTTCATGGCCCGACTCCCGGACTTCGATGGCCAGATCGCTGCGGTCAAGGAGCAGGCGGAGAAGGAGGGTAAGGTTGTTCGGTATGTCGGTAGCATTGATGTTGCTGCGAAGCAAGTCACGGTTGGATTGCAGAAGTTTAATAAGGACAGCGCCATCGCCGGGTTGAAGGGTAGTGACAATATTATTAGCTTTTATACGAAGCGCTACGGCGGTAACCCGCTTATCATCCAGGGTGGTGGTGCCGGTGGCGAGGTGACTGCTATGGGGGTTTTGTCTGACCTGATCAAAGTGTTGGAACGGCTGTAAAGAATCTACCGTAAAGAAAAGAGAAAAGCAAAAGAAAGACGAGGTCTGATAGAATTAAAATGTACTTATCAACAAAATCTTAATTCTTGCTACGCAGATACGCCTTGACGGCGTCCGCCCAGACAGGGCCTCGCTTATAGCCATGAATGGCCGGCGAACTTCCTTCTTTCAGGCCATCAATAGCCACCGCAAGATCCTCGCCCAGTCCCTCCTCTTTGATCTGACTTAGCGGATATGTGTAGGTATGGAAGCCAAATACAAGAGCCTTTGATGTGGGTAGACGATGTAGAGTCTGACGCTCGCATCGAAGCAGGGTCTATCAAAATGTCAGCCAGAGTTTTACTCATTTACAACCCTAATAATTCAACATACCGTCTCAATGTCCAACTCCCCCTCCTTAATTTTCTCCTCCTTCTCTGCTGCATTACTGTGCAGTCCGCCGAACGCAGCGAATAACTCTGTATTCGTCGAAATACTCCAATTCACCCGTCTCACATACTTTCCCACCTCGAGACTCTCAAAGTACCGATCCACACTCTTCTCCAACTTTTCTGCATAGCCTGGAACCGGCTCGTGGATTTTTGCGAGCCGGTTGCCCAGCTTCTTGCGCGGGTTGAAGCCTGCAGGATAGCATGTTTCGTAGGCGACAAGTCTGTATTTAGATTTCTCATCTGCTTCATCTTCAGGTAGAAGAATTAGGAAATCCTCATCTACCGTCTTGAGCAGAATCTCCAAAGCGCGCAGTGGTGAGGTGAACTTCGTGACCTCCGAGGGATATAGCTCGTTCATCACCAGATTCTCCAGCATATACGCTTTCCCAGACTCAAACGCGGTTTCGTGGAGACGGAACATAGTTGGATAGCGCACGGGGAGATATGTTGACATGATATACCGGTATAATTCGCTAATGGCGCCTACAATACGTTTGTCCGACTCATCGTGGATCGCGACGACAATGTCGTGGTGTTCCCTGAGTAGCTTGCGTCGGTATCGGATTCGCTCCTTGTATGTCATGTCCATGGGGATGAGTTCGGAGGGGTTGAGCGTTTCGAGGCCTGTAGTGGGATTAGTCTTTTGCGCATGTTCCACTGAGCAGGGGGTATTTCTTGCCCATTGTAAGGTGATACTTGGGTCTGAATGGTCGGAACTTGAGCGGCTCTTGCGTCGCCAAGTTGAAGTTCTCTGCGGCTTCAGGGAGTGGGAACCCAGGGGAATCGAGAAATCGGGATTTTCGCACGGATTTGAAATTGCGCTGTGGTTGTCAGTTATGATAGCAGTCAGAGCAGGGCCAGTATAAACATACAAATTTAAAAACTAATTGCGAAAGCAGTATAGTCGCGACCGCTACCACAATAGCCACCTGCGTCCGATCCATTTCAGTGACATTCGTCTTGATCTGCTCTATCGATGGAATGGATTCGATGCTCGAGTGAAACGAGGCGATAATCAAGTTGATAATGTCGCGGGTAGACTCCTGGAAGCTCTTTGTAGGGTCCATGATGAAGAGGCTAGATTTTCACACGCGACAATTATTCAGAGTCTTCCTCCTATTAGACTATCAGTGCCTTATCTTGTGTCGGTCGTTGCTCCGGTGTTTCACAGAGCGAGAGTTGCTCTAGGCGATTGTCGACGCAGGCACTGCTTACCAGAATGGAGACAGCAGGCTGCAAGTTAGTCGCCCTTTGATTTGGGGCAATGCATGTAACAATGAGCAGGCACAGGTTGCAGGATGCGGCTTAGTATTTATTGACGGGGAATTAATGAAATGATTGATTAGTTGGGGAAGGGTTCTGGAAGCTTGTCTCCGCATTTGGCCCCGGTCCTTGCCTTATCTGGTAAGTCGATGCGAACTCGACAAAGACAACGATAAAGAAGATACTGTAAAGAGTTTGGCTGACAATAGGCTTAGATGTGTATTATTCAATATTAATTACATACACTACTTGGTCGATATACTGTTTCAGTTCAGCTATCCTTAATCACAAGCATCCACACTGTATGAATTTGAAAATCAACCCCGGTAATAACCATCCAAGTTGGGTACACAGTTCGCTATTCTTGCATGATACCTGGAAACACCCAATATTGAAAACAATGCGCACACAAAAGAGTACAATGTAATGTGTAAACGACCTAGACTAGTGATCTTCACCCTGTGTCTGAGTATGCCTCGATTTCAACCCTTCCGGTGGAGCTTTTGTTGATGATGATGATGATGATGGTATCCCCTCCTGTGTTTCCCCCCGCAGACTGAACGCCCTTCGACGTCCGCTCGGACGCTCTGTCAATGACGGAGCTCGCGGTCTTCGCTGGCCTTGGGCTCGACCACCAATAATAGGAATTTCATAACTGACGACACGAATCACATAATATACCAGGTCGAATACGACGAATGCTGCCCACGGACCGATCATCAGGATACCGAGCAGAATCTAGTGCGTCGTCGCAATGTCAGCGGATTTTCTGTGACTTGGAGGTTCGTTGCATCCTTACGAAGAATCTGGAAATCCATGATTCCCATGTTTTGAGGTATTCCGGGAGAAGAGAATACCACGCCATATCCGGTTCTGTTTCTACTCTAGACTAGTAGAAATAGGTCGCAAAAAGAATATGAGATAAAATGGTAATATATATGGCGGAAGTATCTATGCGATATGGTTGTTATATGGTCGGCCGAGCAAAATCGACAAGGTGATGATTGCCTAGGCCTTAACCCCTGATCTCATGCGGTCCGGATGCCGAGGATAGCCATCCAGATGCAAGTGGTGCGCTGTGCGGGAAGAGCCGGTCAGACCATGTGATGACAGGCCATATAGAAGCATGGCGCGAGTGGCCGGTATTCAGAACACGCAATGGCCAACGCTGGAGAAGGCAAGTCCTGATCAAAGTGAGTGTTGACACAGGATGCGCCTTGATGTTGGAGTGTCAGCGCTAGTCCTGTTGGGGCATGGCGTGCTGGCACCGCAGTTATGAATGACCCTCCTCTCGCGCACTCAACGACAGCTGGTTGATGTGATATTGTATTTACTTACGAAGAAAATTAGACGCTGGCAGCTGTCTATTGCTGCATCGTATTTGTAATGGCTGTCGGTGGGTGTGGGGGTGCCTCGCCGTAGGACAATTCGAATAATTACAGTAACTAAGCAGATCGCCCCTCTTTCTCTAACTCGGCATCGCATTCAATCATCAAGCCTGCTACGTATGACCCTTCGTACCAGCATTTCAAGGTCTCCTATACACCTGCTGCGGAGAAAACTGTCTTCTAAGAATTATAACAACTTTCTCTTTCTTCTTCTCGCAGGTTCTCCAACACGATGAAGATCATACTTTCTACTTCGTAAGAATTACCCCGCCGCTTAACAATCATGGCTACACGTAGCGCATTCACTTCCTAGCAACGACAGCACAGATTGATACAATGTCTCTATGCATTTGCTAACGACCGTGACTTCACCAGAAATATAATGACCGCGGGTCCCTCAGTCATCCGATTTTATACCGCAAAGTCCAACGTCGAACTAATCAACTCTCTCAAATCGAATTTTCAAGCCGCGCAACAGAGCGCCAGTTATAACGAAAACAATGGCCAAGCGAACGATGCAAATTCATGGACTAAGAAGGACGGCGACACGTTATATATCCCCGCGATAGACTTTGCTCAGTCCGGACTACATGAGGACAGAGCGCAATACGACATTACGGTCAAACTATTCTACCTGCCGGGAATTCCAGCATCAAGAAGATGTGCGCATACTCGCGAGGCTATTGATGTGGTATTGAAGGAGTTGCATGTTGATTCTATCGACTTATTGATCGTCTCATTTCCAAGCGTGTCATTCGATGCCGATGATGAACCGGAGGAAGACGACGAGGAAGGATCAAGGACAGGGAGCGGCAGCAGGGCTAGCGAAAGCACAGAACAAGCCGATGATTTTGAAAGCATAGTCAAAACCTGGCATACACTGGAAACGTTGGCCGAAAATGGCAAGATAGCCCAACTAGGTGTCGCTGAATTCGGTACGGAACGACTGGCCAAGTTCCTCTCGCAGACGCGCATCAGACCGTCAGTAGATCAGATCAACGTGAAAGACTGCTGCGTCGTGCCGAAATCACTCATATTATATGCCAAGCAGGAGAAAATCCAGCTTCTCACCCACAACGACTGCACTGACATCTTACCCCGAGGAACAACCCGGGAACTGTTAGGATCAGGTGACAGCAATGCTGAAATATCAACCTCGGCGCCAGTGCCGGGTGATTATTTACAAGGCGACATCGAGCCTCAGTGGGTGGTTAAGTATACTGCAGTCGTCAAGGATCGCGGGGTGATCGAGAACAAGGGGTATTTTGCCCTTGCAGAGGTGGGTAGTTGTATCAAGACTCACGACAGAGCTTGAGTATATCGAAAATGTCCTTTTTTTTTTTTTTTTTAGCGATGGCGTTTGATGAACTTTTTAAAAATTCTCATGGCATATAGTGGCGTTTATTAGATGGCCTTCAAAATCCGATCAAGCTTGTTCTATAATCAGTAAACCCTTCTCTAACCAAGCATGCTCCTCTTTCGTCCGCGCATTCTCACATCCTCTAGCTTTCTGAGGACGCTCTGTGTGCCTTTAAAGCTATCCGAATAACCTTGTAGTACATGGTCAAAAAACCCTTCAGTCATCGGGTGTGTGCTACCAAACGCACGCTCCAGCACATATAAATCGACCGCACGATCCTCTTCCTGCACGCTGGAGCTCGCCAGACCAAAGTCGATAAGAACGATCTCGCCCTCCATAGACGGTGACTCATTCACCTCCATCTGCTTATCTCGATCAAAAGATTGTTCTAGTGCCTGGCCCGGCACGGTATGAAGTGGCCGTAAGATCAAGTTACTCGTGGTGAGGTCCCCATGCACAACGCCAGCTTTGTGCATGCTCCCCACTGCCTGGCCGATACGCTTCATGAGATCTTTAACACGATTTTCCTCCGCCTCTTTGAATGCTGTTTTATCTTCTTGGCTAGAATCGCCTAGTGACTTCTTCATCCAGACCTCCCACCTCTCTACCACGACCCTAACAGCAGGTCCGTCGATCCATTCCATCAGCATCCACGCACCTGTCAAACGTTGTTGGTTTTGCCCGCCAGATGGCTCCCAGTCCACTGATAGTAGTGCGGGAACACGCACGCCCTCGCGGACAAGCTTTAACAAACATCGAGCCTCATGCAGGACTCGCTGGCGAGTTAGTCGTCGGTCTAGAGCGTCATGGCGGTACGGTTTCGTAGGCCGCACTTTGAGGGCTGCAGGTGTTTCGGGTGTGAGGAATGTTGTCTTGTATAAATGAGCTTCGGCGCCTTGGAATAGAAGGATTGGCGGTGGACTTGTGTTTGTGAATAGAGGAGGGAGTGGCGGCGGGGTATGCGTCGCGACAGCCATTTCTTCGATTTACGCCAGCTGTTCTTATTGGCTTAGGTGTTTCTTGTCGTTTCTCACTTGCAAATAAAATTAAAGGCTGTCAGGATGCTGACAAAAGTCGAGATGATCGGATTAACGTGCTCAGTGCTGAAGGAAGAAAATGAAGAAAACGTTGCGGGGAGGATTCTCCACCTCCGCTCCGATTGGTTAGTTAGTATTAAACATCCAAGTTCTATCTATACAATTATTACCAATCAAATGTTCAATGCCTATTAAATATCCCTGTTTCTCTTATCGAAAAAAGGTGCGCAATGTATAATTTCCCTTCTACCAAGAAACCAGATGAGTAACGTATTTGGTGTCCATATCTCGCTAGAATCTACTAGACGGTTTCTACTTTCAACTATGTCAACATTGAAGTGTTCATAGTTTATCCTCAATTGCCGCCAGTTCTGCCATCACTTTACGGACGAGCTGCTTCGTAGCTTCACTAGCTGGCTCATATGGGGTCCGAGGCTGGAACTTCTCCTCAGCATTCTCAATGCCGGCCTTGGGCGCTGAATATATAGCTACAGCATACTTGGTTGTAGCGATGCCACTCTTGCTCGGGCTTTCCGCGAGAGCAGCCTTTTGATGCAGGGCCAGTGCTTCCTCGATTTTCCCAGCTTTGTAGAGGTCGTATATATGCGATACTGTCTTGGGAAAGACATTTGCAAACGCCGCAATGCAACCTGCTGAGCCTACAGAAAGGCCGCCTATGAGGAAATCGGACTGTCCGCCAAAAATGGAGAACTTGTCCGGTCCAAAAACCCCAGATAGTCGCGTAATCTTTCCAACTTGGGCACAGGTCAATTTGACACCAACAACATTGCTAACTCCATTTGGAGACGCAGCTGCTGATGCGTTGACAATGTCCGTTATAAGTTCGGAGTCGAGGTCGACCCCGTTGGTTACACCGGGAAAATTATAAAGAACGACAGGAAGAAGAGATTTCTGTGCAACGTCTGCATAGAATCGTTTGATAACGGCCGGCGTAGTCTGCTTGCCAAAGTATGCTGGGGGTAAAACCAGGAGATAATTAGCCCCAGCATTGTAGGCATCCTGACTGAATTCAAGCACCTTGGGAAAATCATATTAGAGAGCGATTTTTCTCCTGTCCAATTATGTGATAATCACCTGCTTTGTAGAATGGCCGCCTACACCAGCCATTAGGGGATAATCTGGACCAACGGCCTGCCGCGCAGCTGCAATAAGCTGGGCTCGCTCTTCTCGTGTTAACAGGAACGTTTCCGCATTAGTGCCCAGAATCACCAAACCGGCCAGTCCCGCCCGAGATAAATAAGCATAGTATTTCTTTGCTGTGTCCAAATCGATCGAATCAGTCTCTTGGTTGAAGGCGGTCACTGCGGGAGCCCATACCCCAGGGCGGGGTACATGCGACAGCTGTATGGAGCCCATGTTGCGCTGAATGCTGGCAGCTTCTTATGGATATTTGTCGTCGCAGTGAAATTATATTGATGTCAAAAGAGGGGATTCGGAGGTATACACATAACCCCTAGTGATATAATTATATATACTTGATATCAATTGATCTGTCCCGGCCCGGGCACAGGCCGGCCGGCGGAGGATGTCCGGTGGATGACGAGCGTTGAGGCGGAGATGGACCGAAGCTCTCGGTTGCAGCAAGACGGGGCCGATATCGCGATATTATTATTGCTGTTGTACCGAGACATGTCTGGCTGCGATTTGGAGAGGAATATCAGGATGGTTGATAATTCGTGTCATTTGACGGCATAGCTCAGCTTGCCATCGTCAAGGAGTGTGATTCATGTATAGTAGCTAAGTATCAAACTTATTGCCAAGAATACATAGATGCGAAAGATCAACAAGTTGCCACAGGAATGAAGAGACAGAATAGCTGAAACAGGCTCCATCGCAACAGATGCAGATGTTTATGATGGAGAAGAGGACTGAAAGAAAGAGAGAAGAAAATGCGAGCCAACTTTTGTTCCCTCCCATATACCAAATACCAGAAGCCAACCCTGTTCACGCTCAACCACTTGACGCCTCGAAAAATACACATCTAACCACACACATGGCCGGCCTTACCATGCCCCCACTGGTACCCTTGCGTGCTCGTTTCGTTCGTATTGCACAGTCACGTTATCCGTCCGGCGGATCTGGTTCAGATCGGTCTGTTGGCGGTGGTCGGGCGAGAGGATGCTCTCCTGACTATCTTGGCCTTCGACGTTGGTGACACTGATGCTGTGCTGCTTGCTTCGGACGCCACGCATCTCAATGGAATTGGACCCGTTCATACCCTGATTATCCTTGTCGAGTCGGTTGAAATATCGGCTGTTATAGTTATAGCTCGACCCCTTTTTCTTCTTCCCGAGAACAAGCTCGAGGAGTGGCGGAAGAGTTGGTATACACGAGGCGATGACGACTACATCAGCTTCGACACTATAGGAGACAGATATCAATACAACTGCTATTTGGAATTGGAAGCTATGGGGACACTCACTTTGTCCAAATGACAAGTTGCCAGGTACCGACTACAACTGTTAGTCAACAACATTCTTTATTCGTTCAAGATGAAACCTTGCTTACATGTGTAATCGGCCGTATCCGCAAGACCCTTTAGTTGGGTGCATTTGACGATGGCCATGGCAGCGGCACTAAATAGCAATGCTCAATTAGCCACATCGTTTCCCAAACAGCACAAAATTGAACCCACACAACACCAAGACCTAGTGCAGCACTGAGGGCCATTTTCTTTTTCGATGACATTTTGAGTTTCCATAACACAACCGACGGATAAATTGCAAGGTACAAATCTACAAATGCGGAAAGGGCTGTGGGTGTCAGTAGGATAACCGTATCAGTAGCCAGTCAATTTACTCACCACCAGTGAACACAGCATAGTCAATGAGGATCCAGGAATCACGACATTTTCTACCCGGTATTGTCACAACCCATAGGGACTGCGGTGGCGTGCACATTGTGAAGAGAATGAGAATGCAAACGACAGATACCACTGCAGCAAAGCCAACCAAGCCGAACACAAAAGCCTTATGCCCTTTGCTTGGATTAAGGATTCGAGTCAACATGAATGCGACAGCGATTTTGGGTAGTGTAAAAGACAGAATCCCAAAGAGAAAGCCAACGGTGTTGAGTAAGATTGCCTTTTCAAGATGTGCCATATCCAAGGTCTTTGCATGTCTACCATAACCTGTGATCACATTGGCAGTGGTGAGACCAAGATAGACGAGTCCCATAACCTATTGGTTGTGCATTATATGTCAGCATCGAGATTTTCGAATGATATTCTTGAAAGGGGCTGCATTTATACATACCATGGACACCATGATTGTCCAGTCATCAACTCCCAAGGCCTTGACAATCCTAGCTCGGATGAAAATTCTGACACACACCAGTGTTGTTGTAATCATGGTAAGAGCCCACATAGGTGCAAGGATATTAGGGCCCTTGTTCTCATGGAGGTTGATATCGGTATTTCCTGAGTTCGACATAGTGGCTGTCTGTCAGATCCGTCGAAGATTGACTGGGCTGAAGGGAAAAGCGCGCCCAAGGAACGATAGTTTAGGACTGACAGTGCTCAAAACACTGGTATTTATTGTCAAAGAAATAACGTGGAGGGTTCCGATATTCGTCTCTGCGAGGTTTACATATGTGCGCGTAGATCCTGATAAAAGCAAACCCTTGAGTCGGCCTTCATGTTTGAGCTTGAACGTGCTACAGCCTACAGCTCTCGCCACCGTTAGTACGCATTATTATTTTCACCTGTCAGTTCAACTAGTCTATTTTTCCGTGCTCAATCAGGGGTTTGGTGCTGTCTATCACCCAGATAGTGTTACCGGGAAGGACTTGGCCGTCGAATCAGAACGGTAACGGAGCCCTGACCTTTTGGTAGCAATAAGTCTAAGTTAACTTCTAATACGAGATTCGGCTAAGATAAAAGCACCATCTTGTGCGTTGACCCATTGATAATAGCACAACCTTGCTGATAAGGCTTTTTTGGACACAGCGTATGCCTCGGACATGGCCTATTGCTGCAGACTCAACCAAGTAGCCTTTTTTGTTCTATGTATCTCGTCTACTTACTGGAGGTTTCGGCTTCTTCTAACTTCCATACTTCTCTAGGAGTTATAACTAGAGTCCATCCGTAAGAGCTTACCATCTTGTTAGGTGACCCGCGCTTATCCCGTCCCTTCTTCCGAAAATTGCGTCCTCAGTCTTACCTAGACAGCCCCATGACTAGTGATGACAAAGATACTGTTAGCCTCAACAGAAACAGTAAGTTATTCCCAAGCAGGTTTATGTCAGCATGACTTGGCCACTTGTAACGGTCCAATGGGCGAGACTTGACGTGAATAAATGCGGATCAACTGCCAGTTTCACGACCCGCACATTATTATGTTGATCTAAGAGTTGACTTGACACATTATTTCATTATTAGCGCGCTCTTTGGGTTTCTCTAAAACCGGTGCCCCATTTGGCTCTGCTTCCTACAAATTATGTACTGACTGTAATGAAAGTGATGAAGTCTCGCTCACGCTCGGCCATCCAGGAGGCGTCCCGGCATCATATTGTGATAAGAGCGATTCCCAAAACAAAGGATGCAAAGATAAATTCTACCAGCTCAGTTTTTTGTCTTGATCAGCATTTCTGTCAGTTACAGAAGGGCTGGGAACTTGGAAGACATGCCCTAAACTAACGGCGCTTTAGGCCTGCCGATCCGGCCCCGGGAAGACCCAATTACCTTCTTTGACAGCTGGCTGTGGATGTTAAGCTTCCTCTGTTAAGCTGTTAATTCGTGAACATGCGAACACACTAACCTTCGCTCAAGCCTCGAAAGTGGCCCGGAATCATGACGGCCGTACCCGGAACCAGTCCATTGGCCTGGAATTCCACGTTGACTTTTGGGCTTGATGTTAGCGTAAAACAGCTAACTTCCACCATAACAATCTGTCAAGCCGTATTTTCTCATCCGGGGGGCTGCCAATGCAAATATAGGCCTAGACCTCGTATTGTCTCATTTGCCGCGTTGTCTCGACGACGATCTTAATATTCAACGGTTTCAGACACGTCTACTTTTATACTCTATACAACTTGTTAGACTTGGGTGTTTCTTCCTCGGAGTCTATATAGCCGTACATGTTACCACTTCTGGTTACTTTAGCATCTCTTCGTGTTGCGCCCGGGCTATCTACTTCTTCGGCAATCCTGTTGCGTTCAGGGGCCTGTTACGGGGAGAAAACCCCGTGTCTTGGTCAGGAGCTTAACTAACAAGAGCATAGCACCAGTCAGCAGCGATTTCTGATTATAGCTAGATACAAACACTATTTATCTAGGGCCTGCATAGGTTGGGATTCGGCAGTCGGGACTGTTACCGCCACGTCTTTGCAACCGCCTGGTTAGCAACTCATTGGCCACGAAATACTGTTAATAAACAATTTAAGGCCTTGAGCACATAACTACCTAGGTACTACCCTATGGAGCAATGGACATTACTCGCCATGCAGCTAGCAACTTATCAGTCCCGTCAACGTGCGCCGGTAAGGGGTAACGTGCTGCAGGCAAAGTCAAGCTTCTTTAGACTGCAAATTGACGTCTGCAGCTGGTGTCTTTCCGTTAAATCCTTCTTCCTGCAGCAACGCGGAACAAATTTCTTTTCTTTTGGAACACAAGGTTGCCTCCACAGTATCCTTGACCCTGAAGGAACCAAACCTCTTGCAAACATCTTCTATACGATTGTATTGTTTCAGAAATACCCTAAACCTTTGATAGAAAATGGCCATTACCAATAGAACTACAAATGGAGAAGCCAACGGAGCAGGTAACATTGTTGACGAAAGCATCGCGGTCAAGCCCAATGCTATCCATGACGTACCCCGTTTACTCGAGGAGGTATCTTCCCAAGGAAAAAGTCTAGTCCAATACGGTGCCCAAAATCGCCGACAGCTTCTGGAAGCTGCCCGCTCCTTGGTTTATGCCCTCGAGACTCCTCGAGAGGCCATCATTCGGTTCTGCTGGTCTCAGGTAAGTTATAGCATAATTCTCTGTAGAAATTTATGTATAATTTTCTTTGACAAGCTAGCTAACCAAGTGTTTGCCTTCCTATTTAGAGTACTATATATACTGCGATCGAATCTAGCATTAATCTTGGACTTTTCAAAGCTCTGTCTCAGGATGACAAGCCCAAAACTGCTGGACAGTTGGCAGAAGCGACTGGAGCTGAGCCTGTTTTTCTTAGTGAGCTATTGACCTGGAGTTCCTAGTAGCATGTATGATCTAACCTATCAACAAGGTCGTATCTTGAAGCATCTCGGTGCAATGGGTGTGATTAATGAGACCGGTCCCGACACTTACAAGCCAACCAATTTTGCGAAGACCTTGACCATTCAGAAATACGCTGATGGCTTCCCATGCATGTGAGCTATCATAACCATGTCCGTTATACCTAAAGTCCCGAACTAACCAGCTTAGGACCGAGTGTATCACCTCCGGGGTAGAACAATTTCCACAGTGGCTCAAAAAGAATGGATACGAGGCCCCGACAGACGGCAAGAATTGCGGGATGCAGCTGGGGTTCCAGACTGACCTCCACTTCTTCGAATTCCTAGCAGCAAACCCCGAATACCCTGTGCGATTCATGAATCACATGGCCGCTTACCACCAAGGCCGCCCCAGTTGGATGGACCCTGGGTTCTACCCAGTCCAGGAACGGCTATTTGACGGCCTAGACAAGGATGCACCCCTGCTAGTTGACGTTGGTGGAAGTACTGGTCACGACTTGGAAGAGTTCCGTCGCAAGCATCCGGAGGTCCAGGGCCAATTTGTCCTCCAGGATCTTCCCGAGGTAGTACAGAAGGCCCAGCAGCTTATTAGCCCGGAGATCAAGGCTATGGAGCATGACTTTTTCAAGGAGCAGCCAGTTAAAGGTAAGTGCGATTCGCTACTTATCGGATTTTTCTAACGGTTCTTATGTGAAGGTGCCCGTGCATACTTCATGCACTCCATCCTCCACGACTGGCCTGACAACAAGTGCAAGGAGATCCTCACTAACCTCGCTCAGGCGATGACACCAGGGTATAGTAAGGTTCTCATCAATGAAAATGTAATTCCAGACACAGATGCGGACTGGCAGACTACATCGCTGGATATTATCATGATGACTATCTTCGCGTCTCAAGAGCGCACGGAGCGCCAGTGGCGCGCCCTGGTCGAATCGGCTGGGTTGAAGATCGTGCACATTTTTACGGCTGAGAAGGGTGTTGAGAGTTTGATTGAGTGTGAGCTTGCTTGATGTGTAGACAAACGCAATTTTGCAACCCGGTCATACATCCCGAATTGACGCCTAATAGCGTTAGCCTAGTGATACAATTTCTCTTTTTAATGAGTCACGACTCAGCGGGTATGGTCCGTGGGTTGATAACCGGAGAATTTCGGTCGTGCAGAGGGGACTTAATTAAACCCGCTAACAATAATACTAAAGGATATTATATACCATTATATAGTTAGTTAACCACGGATAAGTGACAGTTTTAGTGACCCACTGTCTCCACCCGTACCGTTGGCTCACTGCTAGCGCCACAACTTTGTTCTACCTTATTCGCCAGGAGCGTACACTATATCTTTGCTTTTTCAGGGAGGGATATAATTCTTTATAATAAAATTAATAGCCCATGGTTATTAGATTAATTAAGATTAATGACCAGAAGAGCTGCATGGTCGCTGGCTGTTTGTCCATTTCTTTAGTCTATCGCCTAGACAGGAGTGAACCCTGTGAACGCGGAGTTGTATCCACTGCAGGTCCGTTAGACGAGGCGTGCGATCGACAATAATCATATTCTCTATGACGGCAGTTAGGGTTTGACTGGAGAAGGGGGCTTGTGATTTCCAACTCAGGATTTGCGGGACATGTCATTATATGCCAAAATGTCAAGTCTCAAGAACATCCAAAAGGACGCGATGTAGGGATGATCATCCATATTCAGCCATTTGCATGAAGCTAGACCGGCGGATGGGCTTCCGGGCCTAGACAGTAGTAATAATTTGACGGTTACACTACTAAAATTAATAAAGAAGCAGCTGGGACATTTTCTTTGCATCGTTACTTGGCGGATTGCAAGCGACTATGACTGCCGTTGCCTAGGATTGTTCCTCCTAGCGTCATTTGACTGTGGTCACAAGTTGACATGTCCAAAGACTCTTCCTAGAACATTGGTATAAAGTGGATCAGTATTGCTAGGTAAACGTCGCTTCCAGCCACATCGCTCGAGAAATTGAACTTACGGCTGGTGACTGCGTCGCAATTCATCCAACCAAGACGGGTAAAGAGAATGTAGTCGCGGACTCCTTATCTCGTCTACCTTCGCCGAATTTAGAGCCCTCCACCCCCTTGATGATGTTGACACCTATCTAGTTTATTTTGCAACTCTAGTTGAAATGTCTTCTAGCTTGAAGAAAAAGGTGAGTGAGGGTTACGAGACTGATGAGAAATTCAAGAAAATCCAGCAGCCTGCGCCACCATACCAGTGGTAGGACAACAGCTTGATATTCTCCATAGACAGGTCAAGCTTCGACAGCGCCAAAAGACTGAGCATTCCAAGAAGCATCATGAAAGACGTGTTACACATCGTCCATAACCAAATGGGACAGGGCAGAATACAAGCATTATTCTTGTGCGATCATCTCTAGTCGCAACCGAAAATTTATCGTGGACCTCTGGAAAGCGATATTCCACAAGCTAAAACTCGATCTACTCTACTCCACTGTCTGCCGTCCTTAAACAGATGGGCAGTCAGAGTACACGAATCAAACTACTGAAATCAAATTTTGCTACTTTCTGCTTGACCTTGATGATTCCGCTCAATAGTAGTCTACATTGCCCTTCATCGACTCTCACCACACGAGCTAATATACAGCAGATAAATAAACAGCCCTACATCTCTGTGGAATCCAATTGTCGAATACCATGTCCGATGGGCTGGAGGAACGAGAGACTCAGACTGGTGGCTCAAAGAGTCGGAGATATTAAACGCGAACGAGGCCGCACCAGGGTTTGAAGAACAAGCTTCTGGGAACGCACTACCAGCCTCTAGGAAGCGCAAAGGAGACCATGTACAAAACCGGTTGGAGTTGCGTTTGCCTACATCCGGAAGAGTCAGAATATCCCGCAACAACGCCTACTCCCCAACAACCACTCCTGCAAAAATTTCTTGATCATCCAACGTACGCTAATACAAGGTAATAATTCCATATACAAAACAGCAGATTCGTTACTTCATTTAAACTTGGCCCACCTACAGTAATCTATCACAGGCTGAACAGCTGGTTGTGATAGCCTCACTTTACCAACCTACCAACCTCTCTCACTGTAGTCACAAAGCTTGCCTCTTATACGGGCACAAGTCCTACTGCAGCTACGTCTAGCTGCTAGTTTCTTACTAGTACTCTAATCTTGAATAATGTTTCTTTCTAATCTTGATCATTTCGCTGCCTGGGCGGCATTGCACTGGCAAGCGATGCCCGCATATTTGGCCGCCAGCCCCTTTTGAAATGCCCACTAAAACGAGACCTTCATAGCTTAAAGCTGGGTAAGGTCGTTAAACCTAATTAAATAATAATAATAACAATAATACATAAGCGTTTTTTCCCCTGTCTTCTCGCCTTTCCAACTTTTAAGACCGGCTTAGTGATGATTCCGGTGGCGGAATTATAAACTCGGTCTTGCGGCGCGCCGAAGTTCTACTTGGACACTCTGATTGGCTGCGTTTAGGGTTTTGACGTCACCATTCGCTCTATATCCGACAAGAGGCTGAATTTGTTAGTCCCACGTAAGCAATGATTAAGTTGTCGCGGATTACGGATACAAGAGCATTGTTATTATAAACGGACTGATCAATGGGTAATATAAATATGGACATGTCCGTGGGTTGGACAGGGGATAGAGAATACAATCAGTTGCTTTCTTAACTTCTGAAGACAATAGTGAAGTTACAGCCTGTCAAAACAACAAGATATCGACATCGAATCTTATATTCATATTCACAATGTCCAAATTGATCACCGTCTTCGGCGCCACTGGAAACCAAGGTGGCTCCGTCGTCAGAGCCATCCTGGCCGACGCGACGCTCTCCAGGGAATTCAAAATTCGAGGAGTCACGCGCGACACGAGCAAACCCGCCGCAAAAGCACTTGCGGAGAAAGGCGTTGAAGTAGTCACCGTACGCCAATTCCAAAAACTTACATATCTACTAGTTACATATAACTAACATCCAACAGGCCGACCTCGCGTCACCGGCATCCGTAACCCAGGCCGTCACCGGCGCCGATACAGTCTTCCTAGTCACAAACTTCTGGGACTCAATGTCGGAAGACACCGAATTCAGCCAGGGAAAAGCAGTGACAGATGCCAGCAAAGCCGCGGGAGTCAAGCACCTGGTTTTTTCGTCCCTGCGTAATGTGACTGAGATCACCGGTGGTCGTATGCCTCATGTCACACATTTCGACGGCAAGGCCAAGATTGAGCAGTATATGCGTGATAGTGGAGTTCCTGCTACATTTGTGCTGCCGGGGATGTTTATGTCGAACTTTTACACCATGATTAAAAAACAAGAGGGTGTGTATACCCTGGCATGGCCGGTTAATCCGGACACGGCGAAGGCTCCGTTGATTTCTATTGAAGAAGATTTTGGTAGGACTCTTCTCCTCTCCCCCCCTAAAGCTAATCAAATGATGGATCTAACATGACTGAATTATTGAAACAGGTAAATACGTCAAAATCGCACTGAAACAATACCCCTCTGCCATCGGCAAGCGCATTCTCGCTGCAACAGACTACTACAGCCCAACACGCCTAATCACTGAATTCAGTGAAGTCACCGGCCACAAAGCGCAGGCCGTCCAGATCCCCGCGGAAACCTTCAAGTCATTTATGTCTGCTCCTGTGGCGCAGGAGCTGCTCGAGAATTTCCTTTTGTTGGATGATGTTGGGTATTATGGTGGTGAGAGTTTGGAGGAGACGAAGAAGTTGCTGGAGGATGAGCCGGTTAGTTGGAAGGATTTTGTGGCGCGGAATAAGGGGAGGTGGCCTTGAAGGCTTGACAGGCTGCTGGCAAGTCTTTGAAGATGAATGCCTTGTATCATGTATTTAAAGTTAGGCACAAAGCATTAATTACTTGCAGCATACTGATACTCATGTACAGAGCAGTAAGACTGTCTAGGAGTAGTCGAAAGACACCACCTAGATTCTAGTTAATATAGGAGACTCGAATGTTATATATTCTATCATGCCCGAGTCCTACGGCGCATCACCAAATCCCAAATGAAGAAAAGGAAAAAAAAGAGAAGAGTAAGTATATAGTAATGCATGCATGGTGAAAAAACGCCATAAGATGATCAAAAAACAACTCCGAGACCGCCGTACAAGTATCCAAACTGCAGTTTCTGATTTACTCGTTATAATGGTACACCTGTAACAACAAAATCAGCAATCGGTAATGTATGCAAGAAAGAAATAGACACTCACAAAATAATCAGGAAGCCCCCAACATGTATAGCCTAATCGGCGTGCCATCTTCGCGAACCCTTCCGTCTCTAGCAAATGATAAAACGGGAATGCAGGGAACATGGCACCATCACGGTGGACATCGGCTTTCACCAGTAATGCCGTCCCGCCGACTCCGTCCAATTCCACCTCTTGATGAGGATCTGCGTCCTCTAACCCGCTCGCCATATACGCCATCAACGCCCTGAACGTTGCCATGTCAGAGTATCCCTCCAAAAGAATCTCGTCTGGACCCATTTTTGCCGCCATATCAAGCGCTGTGTCGCTGTCACGCCAGGAATTGAAGTCATATGGCCGTACATCCATCTGCTTCGTGTCTTCGTTGAAGTATCGTTGGAAGCAGTTGGGAACAATCACCGGCTTGTCGTGTTTCGTCAGGTCCTCAATTAACGTTGGCGGGGTCTCGACGATATCAGCATCAAGCCACAAGACCCAGGACGTCGCGGGTCCAAGTGTAGTAAACAACAAGCTATTCCGCGCGCGACTCATAGACTCGCGTCGCAACTTCTGGTTTTCCTTTTTGTGTCTTTCCTGCTCATCCTGCGATATGATTGGCGGGTCGAAATCCTGTCGCAGGATCGTCACACTCGCGAACCTGCTATCAATTGGGCCGGCTTGCGTTTTGGCTACTGCTTCTTGCAGAGCGGTCGTGGCGGCACTGCCTTCTTTTGTTTTCGGGAGGATGAATCCGAGGGAGATCAGCTCGTGTGGATATTTCAATTTGGCCAAATTGTCCCAGTATTCCTGATAAAAGCGACTCATTGGCGTCAATATGAGAATGCGTTCGCCCTGGGCGGCGGCAGAGTCCGAAGAGGTCAGCTCATTCAATTTGTAGTGTACCACCGGGGGCGGCACTTGATGGCCGTCAGCTCGCTGTGGATTGGTTTTGTAAAAGGGTTTTGTCGGAGGAGAAAGAGGGTGAGCGGCCGCGTCGTCTTGTCGTTGCTGAGCAGTGACGGGGGGTGGCGACATGGGATCGAGGAGAAAGAAGAGAAAGCCGATCGTGAGGAGGGCGGCTAGCACCAACGATATCGGGCTCGTCCGCCGCAGCGAGCGCGAGACGGTCATGATGGCCTGTGGATAAGGAGAGTGGCAGGGAAAGCGAGGCGGTCAGCGGGGAGTGAGTGAAGAGCGCTGTGTGGAGCAGCTCTGATGTTCTTGGGGGTGGCCGATGCAGACCATTCGAGAGAATGGCAAGACAGCTGGCTAGGTGAAATGAGCCATGGCAGGAAGGACAGGATGGTCCAAAGAAGAGAATAAGTGTCTAATTGCAACGTGTGAAACTGGTCGTTGAAGATCGCCGGCCGATCTCAAGCGCCGCAGCCGGCTTCTGATTGGCCGGACCCCGTCTCCTGAACAACATACAATCAGACCATCATTTATTATTATTTAAGGGCCCGTCATAAGTCACTATTAATAGTCCTCTACGATCAATATTAAGATCGATCGTGGCGCTCAGGGAACCGGTTTAGTGGCTGGCTCTACTGCTCAAGATTGCAACGTTACTTGGTCGCATTGAAAAGCATGTCTTGTATGTCTCTCGTATATTTCTCGTTAGATTCTCTTGTGAAACCTCAAGATCGGTATGATGCAGGTTCATCACATACCATTATTGATGAGTCCGCACGCAACTTCTAAAATCGTCTATATATCTACATGCAAGTGGGTATCAGTACATCACAGACGTGGTCTCAGCCAACTACGGCAGCCATCTCATCACCCCTTCAAAGGCCACCAGCGCCATAGCATTGGCCGGGAATGCGCGCAAGAAGCACGGCATGAACCCTCTCCAATAGCCCTGCCAACCCCGCTCTCGGCCTACAGCGATCGCCGCGTCTTTCCATCGACGGAAGCGCCTTTCGCCGTCACCGTGCGCCCCTCCTAGTGGATCAGTCATGAGTCTGTTCTTCACCACATCCGACGGATACGAGGTTATCCAAAAGATCTGGGCTGAAATACCACCTGCCCAAAAGTTGATAGCCGGTGCTGATAGATTGGTCCTCTCTCTCATGATTCGCGATATAACATCATACGAGCCCCACCAAAAGAAAAAAAAGGATCGAAAGAGGAGCGTTGCACAGAGACCACGGAAAAGGCCAGGAATCCCATGACTTCGGAGCTAGAAAAACAGAAAAAGACGTCAATCAGAATGACGGTGGAGACTGGAGAGCAGGGGTTATACTGACGATCTTGCGAGTGCAATCAATAGGGCCGCTATACATCCGTTGCTTCTTATCTGCAGCGTACTGAATCTGCAATCGAGCCTTAACGTGTTCAACCGGCGCTGCTATAAAGCTAACTGTACAGCCTGCCATTATTCCAGCAATACCGTGGCCAACGCTTGGGAGGGTGTGAGGATCTGTGCCTTTAGCGAACGGAATCGCGTCTCTGATGCGAGGATTCGAGAAGACATTTTCGAGGAGCAGACGCCGATATAGCGTAAGAGAACCTAGCATGCTGCAAGAGTGGTGGGTCTGCATCAGAGGGCGTCTTTCTGAAATTGCTATGTAGTTGCACCGAGTTATACTTACACCGAGTCCATTATCATCCACCCGACCAGCGGGGGCGTTGCTCCCTTGTACAATCCGCGGAGTCCCTCTTTGCGAACAGTCTGTAGGACGCAGTCCAGTGGGCCTTTGAATTGTGCATTCTTGCTTGTTTGAAGTCGGACTTTGATAGTGTCGAACCTGCAGGCATCCCAATTAGACATTTCCTTCAAGACCAAAACCAACGTATAGCATGTTGACAAGTCATTATGTCGGTAGTTGAGGAGCGACGTACGGATGGCCCACTGTCCACACACCACATGATTAGCTTCAATCTTGTAGAGAATCAGATGGGAAGATGGCATTCAGGCTCACCACTTAATTTTGCCACCCCAGAAAACACGCCGGCCACAAAACCTTTGTAGTCGCGTTTCGGTGCTTTAGTCACCTTTGCCGACGAATCCGACAGAGCGTCTCCTGCTCGCATTACAGACGTGGCAGTCTGTGGTACGCTTGTAGATGTGGTCATTGTGGAGCGCTTAACGGGCAACGATTTCCATTGATGGAATTGTACATGGGACGAGGGTAGCTCTTGATGCAGTTGGATGGAATGAAGGCGCCTCGGCGGATAAAATGCAATCGCTCACGCTGAGGACGGATTCAAACGATCATTTGGCTCGTAATAAGGGAAGATCAAAACAAGTTTTGACGGTTTTCACAGAAAGAAGACATCGATATATACAAAGAGAAGTAGAATTCCTCAGTGTTGAGAGCGAAATAGTATTGTCAGCAACAAGAGCAGTATCCTGTGGGGCAACACTGCGATTGCGGCGGCCGCCCGGGGAGCAAAGGCTGTGCTCCGTACTCAGGCTAAGGCGGGGTCTTCGGATTTACATTTACGTATTCTCCCAACAGATTGCTACGATCAGATATATATATATATACATATATATTGAAGGCCAGGACTTGATATTCAAGAATTTCGCCACATATTGTATTCTTGTCACGTACTAACTGGATTGGTATTCCCCAGATGCTAAGAACAGACGTAGACAAATGAGCAGTCGCCATAGTGCTCATGTCTCATGCACATAGTTTATGATAGAAATAACAGCATAGCAGGTAGAAAAAGAAAGAGAAAAGGAATGCCAAAGGAGGATATGCAATGTCTAGCATAAGACATGTGGGGTATAGAGTCGATAATCTTAGAGAATGATAACACGCCATGGACGCCAAGGTGTATGTAAACAGGCCAAAAGTGGAGTCAACGCCGGTATGTGATAGGCCCAAATGGAGCCAGCTGTTCGTAAATCGATCAGCGGCCCTTGCCATCTTTTCCGCGGACGAGAACCACTCGCTCTCGTTCAGCAACCATTTCCGACTGACGTTTGGATTGCTTGTCCTCTGGCGCGCCTGATCTAGCGGCTATATAGCTGTCTGCCTCTTCGAGAGCCAATGGAGTCACCGGTCCAGGACTCCCGAGAGGATCGAGCCGAGGAGCCGAAATCTCGCTGTTTCCAGACATGGAATTACGAGGCAACGAAACACTAGCGGCAACTAGTTCCCGATACTGTCGAAGGGCATCCCGCGAAGCACCAGATGAAACACGATATCCAAACGACCGCTGCTGGTTGGCCGCTGAGGGTGACAATTGTGGGTTGGAAGGGCTGTTCGGAGACTGGTATACAGCCGGATGGAAACGGGGCAGGTTACCCAAGTACATGGGTGCGTCCTTGGGACCCTGTTTTGGAGAGACCTGGCCTGGCTGTGATGACATGGTCAATGAAGACCCTTGAGCATGTGGCATCCTCCTAGTATGGTGACTGCGAGAAGTAGGGACGGGTGACGACAACGACGTCGAGGACGCAGTCGGTCGAGTTTTCTTCTTTCGAGTCGATTTCTCGTCTCTCGAGTGACGAGGTGAAACTAGTTGGGGGTTCTTGGATGGACGTTCCGAAAGGTACAGACCGTGGTCGAAACGGCCAGTCAGAGGCGTCAGCGGGAGATCCTCCAAAGAGCGATTTGGATTGGCACGAGGAATGGGAATCGGTTGAGATCCGGAGGTAGACACGTAAGGCGCCTCAAGTGAAGCGGGAGACGCGGGAGGGGTGTCTACACACGACGACGGAAAGAATGATGGATTGGTGGGAGAGGTTGACGTTAACTTTCGTAAAGAGGATGTGGAGGAGACTGGGGTTGGGGGGCCGTGTTTTCTAATGAGGCTAGCAAGATGGTCGCGAGCAGAGTGATGGTCGTTGGATTGGGATCGCTGTGGGCGAGGTGATACGGTAGAAATATAGTAGTCTGCTTGAGCGCGGGACCCTTGTTAGAACAGAAACAGAATAGAAACAGAAACAAAAACAAAAATAAGAGGCGGCGGCAGGGCAAGGATCTCCAGGCATGTACACACGAGTCGACGGGCGATTTCATTTGACCAGAGATCCTTCTGAGGAGCCCTTCGATCGCCCATCGAGGGAGAGTCGGCCAGTTGCCGGTGGGAAGCGGGGATGGCCGCCAATCAGCAGCAATGATATGATCGGATAACAAGCAGGGATAGGCAGGTACTTACAGTCGCGGGGAGGCGAGATGGAAGCGCAGGAAGACGGATAGTTGGAAGCTGACGAGAGTGACGAGCTATAAGAGGCGGACGTGGAGAAGACGGGCAGGGGAGGAGGAGGGGGCCTGTTGGTGCTGGTGGTGCTATTCTTGACTCTCTCCATGACGGCGCCTGCCGTTCCCGCAGGCCTCCTGGGCATCGTAATTAATTAATGGTAATGGTAACGGTAATGGACTGTGACGGCTGGTACACAACGGCGGCAGGTGGCCAATCGACGGGTGTCGTGGAGCGGGACCAGCAGAGACGAGCCAATGGGAGCGGGCTGTCAACGAGGAGTGGATCTGCCAGGACGGCTGTTAGCAGGACAGTGGGACAGGACATGTCGTCATCGCGAGTTGCGCAAGTAAAGAAATGACAGCACGGCGTAATTTACTCGGCAGGTGGAGACAAAGGTTTCTGTTCCTGCTCGCGCTCTGCTCCTTCCGTGGGTGACTGGAGGGGCCGCAGGGAAGGAGCCAGGGGTCCACCGTGGCTGCCGTGGTTGCCGTTTCCTGTCGTGCAGAGAACAAGAGAACAAGAGAATAACAGAACAGAACTGCAACAACTCACTTCATGTTCCACGTCCTCCCTTGGACTCGGCAAGCAAGAGGCGATGGCAGGCAGCGTTCACTCTTCAGTGGCATCAACGTCGATCGTCAATGGCCACGACACGCTGGGCGGGTGACGATCTGCACTCTTCGTCAGTTAGCAGCCTGTCTCGAGTCACTAGCATCGTAGTGTCATTTGGGTCAAGAGAGGAGGAAGAAAACTTTGCAAGAAAGCACGGCCATCTTATGCAAAAGAGAAACCAAAAGACAAGGGGCAAAGGCAATCATTGTGGAGGACCAGCAACCCTGAACAGTGCATGACTGCAGATCCATCCAGACTCGCGATTCGCAGGCAGTGCACCACATAATGGTCCATATTGGCTGTGACCGTTACTACCTGGTCTCCCCCGCCATTATTTCGCTCGGCGCCCACCTGGACGGTCACTAGCGCCCGCCCGGTCTCCAGAGTTGCAGACGCAACGACGCCGAACTAGCAGGTAGTGCGTAGTCTGATGGCACGAGGGTCTACCGTCTCGCTGCAGTGCTGCAGTGCTGCAGTGCATCCCGAGTCTTCTGCCAACGGCTAGTGGCAGCGACAGACAGGCCGCGGAGGGCCCTGTCGCGGATCGACCCTGTTTGGAGACTCCACGAATTGAAACGGAAAGGAGGATAACACGGCCCAGCCAAAACTGCTATCTGAGTGGACAAGGATAGAAGACAGAGGGGAAACAAACCAGGATAATAGTGCGATCAAGTACCGACTCGTCCGTATCGATGCAGTGTCGGCCGCTGTTCTTCAAGAGACCGTCGAATGAGTGAGAGCAAAGGAGTGCACAATGTGTCTGCTAACAGCAGGAGCAGTCAGCATAGGTTATGATGGAGAGATAGACCTATATAAACTACTGCGGCGAACGAGTGTCATGCAGCAAAGTTCAAGTGGCTCGTCTAAACATACCAAAAGGCAGCTCAATTAGTGAGCTGCAAGCGACCGGCCCTAATGCCGAGGGGACCCTAGCGGTGTCTGCCGATTTGGTCGCTGTGCAGCAATAGCTTCACCAGGCGGCGCCTTGACTGGTCGGTCATGCACACTCTAGACTAGAAAGTGGTTCTGTGGTTTGGGCTTATTGCAGAAAATGAAAAAAGTACGTAGTCATGGCGCAGACTAACAGTGAGTCGTCAACAGGCAGGAAACATGTGGCATATTAATAGTTCTGACCTGAGCAGGCAGTCGCTAAATAGTAATAGTCAGCTATGTGAAAGAACACTGCTCCTCACGTCACGATGGCCTCCCCCGGCCGCGAGGTCAGTGGAGCACCGGGCTAGATGTGTCTGCACGCGTGTGTGTGTTTCATCGAGCCACAGTCAGTGGAGTCGGCACATCACCCTCTCATCCGTACGGTATGGTCTCCAAGGCGATGAGGGTGACGATAACGATAATAATATTAGATACAGATACAGGCCCCCGCAGCTTTTACCCTCATGTTTCATGTTTCAATACGGACAATAGAAGGTTCTATCCTTGCATATGCTTAATGCAGCGGCATTAAGCCTGTTGACGGGGGTAGAAAGCGTGGCATGCTGTCTCCACGAGTGCCGTTCTGAAACCAAAAATGACACAGCCTATCCATTCTTCAAAATAGCGTTCCGGTAAGTCAACTACGTAGGTGGTGATGTGATGGAGGATTGATCGACTTGATGGTGTTGACACCGTGAACCTACTATGTCGACACTAATTGCATGATCCCTGGCACCTAGAGAGAGATTCCAGGCGATGAGGAACCAACCAGCGGGACGGCTGGCACGGTCGGCCCGGCCCCATTTAGTCTGGCGGACGAACTTTGCTGTCTTCCTTATCTCACTACGGGCATCATCATTCATCTCCGGTACGGCTTCAGCTGAAGCCCTTGCATAAGCCATGCAGTCTTGATCGAGGTAGGCCGGACGGGAAAACGGTTGTCCATGTGTTGGCGGCAGCTCCCGTAGTTAGTTAGCGAGCGATTACGAACGACGCGAAGAATAATTTGCCGACAGTGCCAAAAATCTAGAGAACCAGGACATACCGGACGCCTCCTTGCAGGTGCGCATCATGCAGGCTGTCAGGTACCAAGCTACGGTGCCGGGGTGGGTGTCGGCTTGGTGGCGATTGACTGGTTCACGACTTGCATGCATGATCTCGAGGCTCTCGCTCGTGGCTCACGCTGCGCAGTCATGCGGAGAGCTATTGCAACCCTCACATTCCAAGTTTTTATCGAATCCGTCCAACTTCGGCCGGCCAGCCCTACAACGCCCGTGCTTGGAGATCCCCAGCGGCTATCAGCGGTGTAGGCTGTGACCACTACTTGTATCGCACAGGCCACCCTCATCACTGTTCCTAACTTCTTATGCCCACCCCCTTTTATTTCCTACTACTTATGGCCATATCTTGCTTTTGGCCTACACTAAACTGTCAATGTAGTAGTCATCTCCGGGTGGCCGGGCCAATAGCCGCACTCAAAGCTACCACACAGATTGTCCTGCATTCAAAGCTGAGGGCTGAGCTCTTTGAGTTTGTTTAGTACCACTCAAGTCTACTCCGTACAGCTAGCCTCATGCGGCGTCAGATCGTGGTCCATGGCACTAACTGCTTGCTCCAAGACCCCGAGTCTCTAACAGCCGATCCTGCGACACCGGTTCCACCTTCCTCGATGATTTTGGGTATTTCACTAAGGACGTTCTAGTTTGGCGTCCTGTGGGTCGGTCAGATCTCCGATTTGCATTATCACCTGTTCACCCGTCGACGACGTATATCGAGCCAAGTAGGACAGCTAAGTGGATGGCTGTTATAACCGTCGCTTAAGCAGCCGAATTTTTAAAGTTTCAAAAAAGAAAAACCACAGCAGCTCTCAAATATATATCATCCGATTACAATCCTAACCTTGGAATGAGGCGGCGCAGCAGCGAGCTGAATGCTGTGATTCACGAACCGCGATCTAGGAAACCCTGGGCGACCCAGGGAATGCTGGCTAACACTGCCGAGTCTGAGTGCTGACAGCCGTAATTACATGGCTTGGAAGCAAGGGATAGACTTGAGTGCCGGACGCCGAGATAAGCGCCCTCCATGCATTCGTTTCACATGGATTCGATTATTCATTAAACCAAAGTGAGTGTCATGTCCATGATTCCATTTAGTCTTTGTTGGCAGATAGATGTATCCTATAGAACAACATATACGCGCTCAAGCCTCTCATGATTAGTATTCGGGGACCAGGTTCGTAATTCAAACCCAAGGCATTGGATACACTAGTCAGTTGGCTGACCACCAGGTCAGCCCTAGCCTTAACCTTAGCCCTTAGGTCTGTCATTGTGTAAGATCTTAGAGTACTGATTACTGTTCCATATGATGATTGCTTACCTCCAATCAAACTATTGGTTAAGTGCACGGAGCTAACGCCAAGATACCGAGACAACCTTACTATCAATACGAACCCCGTCCTACGATCACAAACTTTTGGAGGACGCTGTGTCCGGCTCCACTTGTATCTACTAAGAAACACCGGCCGCTAGCATGACTACCTACTAGTTCTTCGGATACTATAAAAAGATATCTAGACGCAGCATCTCTATCGTCGATACACATGTAGTTGAACTGATGGAAATACCAAAAGAATAATTTGAACAAAAGGATATACCGTTATATGAGAGAGCCAGGTATATTTCTTTTCAGTTTATAGTACTATGGGGCAGAGGATTGCGTCCGCTGTTGCTGTTACTCCTCCCTCCGCACTGTAGTTTTAATTAGTTGCTTCTGTTTCTGCCGCTGCTTCTTCTTATGCCTCCAAATCCTGAATACGGCGCCAAAAATTAATCCCAACACACTACAGGGTGCTGAAATAGCGATCCCAATTATACTACCGGTTCCTAGGCTAGGTCCGCTAGATGAAGAAGATGATAATCCAGACCACTATTACCTAAATTATTAGCTGGTGATGTTGTTGTCATCGTTATTGATGAGGAGGAGGAGGAGGCGCTGTTGGTGGCGTGTAACCGTTGACAGCTGCATATTTTACGCCAATACTGAAACTAGTGCGTTCAAGATTTGCATATCCAATATCGGTACAGGTGACTTTATAACAGTAAGGTTTTGTTGCCAGTGTACTGTGTTGCGTTAGTCTCTGCTCAGTCAGCACATATGTATTATGGGGGCTCTACCAAAGCAGAACATATGGATCCGCTGCACATACCACAACGCAGTTAGTTGATGCGTCGGTGAAGTGATAGCAGGTCGTTTTTCATGCACAGGTGCTGTTGTAACATCCTTCTTATTTACTAACGCTGCCCTAGTCATAACCATTTGAGAAGACGGTGGAGGGACTCAAGCATCAAACTTCTGCCATGTTCTTATTGTTGTGGTTTTAATCTGAACGCTGGGTATTATGCCCATGCTAGTCAGGCTGAACAACAGATGTCGAAGAGGCCGTCCAGCCTCTTAGCTTGGTTAGAGGCTTTGTGACGTAGTCGGAGTGAGAACAGCAGGTGTTCCACAAGATTTCGGCATATAATAAAACCGGATTGAGCAGTCTATGTCTTTTTCAGGGAAAGTATCAGGCGCCGTGTACGAGTAGACATAATTTCCAGTAAATACGGTACCGTAGTAGATCTGCAAACCCTCTGGTATCTGCACGCGGCCAAATGGGTGGCTGTGTCGATGGTTAACATGATCAACTGTTGGGCGGAACTGAAAAGTGCTAATTATATGCTATATGTGTACATCATTATTGGCTATCAGGAGCGTCCAATCACAGAATGACTGAGATTCTAACAAAATGTTGATTTATATGAAACCTTTTGTTAACAGAGAACGGACTGCTTCTTCACAAATTACCAATGAAAGAGAGTATAGATAGATGAGGCGTTCAATTTGTCTGTACCTTTTTCTAACTAATTAAAAAATCGATTCGTGTCCAACCCTAATTGCCGTGTATCAACTCCGAGAGACGTCGTTTACGAAAAACCAAGTGTGTACCTTCCTACCAGTTGCTTTTCGCTCCTTGCATCGAAAATTTCTAGACGAATGACACCACGTGCAAGCTAACCATGTGCGGCCATTCACCAACTGCCGTGGACAAAAATTACTCCGTGAACTGGCGAAGTATGCGAGAGAACATTCGACTAGAAAAAGAAACGAAACCCCCCTTTTGCAAGTCTCGGCCCTTGATTTACTCGTATTACGTACGGAGTACAGAGTGGAGCATGGATTGTCGTTGAAAATCATTCCAAAAGAAAGCTTAGCAAGCTGCCGGTTTTCTTCCCCCCTTGCTTCATGTAATTACGGATATGTAGCATTATCGCCACTGAATGTGCGTGCCCGTTCGGCAAAGTCGAATTGATCCCGAGTACGGAGTTTATTCTGCGATTTGATTCGGGCTTACAGTCGCGATGTCTTGGGTAGATGGCGATGCTGACACCACATACCTTGCGTATACCTTTACGGAGTACATGCACGAATGGGCTACTGTGTTTCATGAGCCTTCCATGCAGAAGCGCACGTTTCAAATACTGCAAGGTGTGAGTACATGTATTATAGAGGTGTACGGATAGGGTAGCTCGTTGTCCGGTCAGCCTTCAGTAATGATATTCATTTCTTTCGGGATCTATTTCTCTCTCCACTGGATGTAAGCACTAACCAGTAGATGCTTGGAGAGGCGGTGCTGCTCGGTATCCAGTCGGGAGGCGCGGAGGGACCTGCATGCATGATACATGTGGTACATGTACACATGACTATGTTATGTACGCCTTTACGTACTAAAAAATTGTCTTAGGTTTGCTTCTTCTGAGAGGCCCATGCGCCAATTCCGAGGAAGTGAAAGGTAAGCATAGTATTACATTGTATTTCAAAAATAATAAACGTCACATTGTAGTATCGTACTGAGGAGAGCTGGGTTGATGTCGTGTGGGATAATGTTGTGTCTGGTCTGGTTGTTTTATCTATCTATCGATTTTATCGGTCTCGGTCAATTTGATATAATATACATGCAGTGTCTCGATCAAGACCAGGAAATTCTATTATCGAAAGTCAGTAAAAGTAAGAAGTAAAATATCGAATTGAACCAATCTCACCCAAGCATGATTCCTGCTCCAGCCGCCATTGCCAGGAATTGCAGTAATGTTTTCCTAATCTCGAGTGCCTTATTCTCGCCAGTCTCTAGCAGCTCTGGAATCACTGCAACTGTACCCACGTAAAGAAACGTGCCTGCAGTAAAAGGGAGCAACAAATCTCCCCAGCTCAGTCCGGTTCCAAGCAATCCAGCCGAAGCTTCGGCCGATGAGGCCACAGCTCCACTGCCACCCAATTCCTGCACAGCAATACCAATAAACGTCCCCAAAAAAGCACCAATGGCAGTAACAAACTGTGCTCCCATTGCCTTTTGCTTGGAAAAGCCAGACTGAATCAGAAGCGCGAAATCGCCGACTTCGTGAGGGATTTCGTGGAAGAAAACAGCCACGGTGGTGGTGGCGCCAATGGTTGGCGAGGCGTAGAATGAAGATGATAGAGCGAGTCCATCAGTAATGTTGTGGGTGAAATCGGCGATGAGGTTCAGATATCCGCCTAGCTTGACGCTGGTGTTGATTTCCTTGTCATCCGTGTCCTCGCGCTTGTCGGTCGCTTTGGAAGAAGCGGTGGGGTTGTTCTTTCGCTTTCGTAATTCGCCGTCTTTGTCTCCAGACTTGGAGCTTGTGGTGGTGGCAGACTCTTGCGCGGAGTGTGAGTGGGAGTGTCCGTGGTCATGTCCGCCCTCACCACCAGTCGCAATACGCAGGATCTTGTCCATGGCCACGAAGGTGACGAATCCTACCATAATCCCAAGGCCTAGGAGAAGATTCTTATTGTTATCGACGAGAACAAAGCGAGCATGTTCGGGGGAGTCCTCTCCAAGGAAGATCTCGGGCAGCAAGTGAAACAACGTGTCACCGAGCAGTCCTCCGACAGCGAATGCCACCATGATGGATAGCGACGAGGGGTCTATGTTCGGCGGACATAAAGCGAGAAGGAAATCTGGGTTTTTGTTAACTCAGTAAAACTAATGCATCACTGTGAAAAAAACTAACTTGGCGGTCCGGAAATATATAAAGTTGCCAGTATGGCATTGACTGCGGGGCTCCCTGGGAAGAGAACCGCGAACACACGCGACGCCCAACTGGCATGTTCTGGCTGGGATGCCAATTTGTATTCATTCAATGCTTGTACGACAGAGCATTTCTGCAGAAGGCTTCAATTAACAACGTATAAATATCAATGAGGTTCTACTATACCTGTATCTCTTCCTCAATTTCAGCCGCTGTAAGACTAGCCACCGAAGCTTTGCCCGCAATTGTATCTGCAGACGTCAGATATGAGAAAAGAAACACTGCAGCAACGGATGCTACGAAGGCGCTCTTCGGCGAGCAAAGCAGTTTCGAAACCATTTTTATTTTGCCCTCGAAAGAACGAATACAAGAATTGACACGTTGGTAACGCCGACCTGATAGTTGAGGCTCGGGATCACCATCAACAAACAAACATGCCAAGGAAAAGTGTGCAAACACCCTCATTCTGCCGGCAATGATAAGATAGCGGCGACAAATATTTCATCAAATTTTGGCAACCCGATTTTAATAGCAGATTCGATTGCCCTGCGCCACACATTGACGATGGGTCGCGAAATACAGAAGAAAAAGAATCGCTCAAAAGTGCCCACGCTTAAAAAGAAGCGCAAGCTGACACGCTATGGCGATAAAAAAGTCAACGTTTTTGGCAATTCCCTGATCGCCGAGAACTGGTACGCTGTACACAATTATAATGAACCATGATTGTTTTGCTGACGCTGCTGTTATAGGGATATGGGCCAGACCTTGGTGCAGAATTATCGTCGACTAGGCTTGACAACTCGCTTGAATGCTCCCACGGGAGGCGTTGAGAAACCCAAAGGTGTCGACGCCGTTACAGCAGACAGACTTACCTCTGATTCCTTATACATCACCAACAAAGCCACCGAGGCGCAAATAGAGGCAGAGGAAGTACTTGTGGAACGCGACCCTGAAACTGGAAAGATCGTTCGTGTTATCGCAGACGAGGACGACGATGAGATAGAGATCGGTGGCCGTAAAGTCAAGCGCTCGAATCCCCTCTCAGACCCAATCAATGATATTGGGAAGAATACGAAGAAAAAGACAAAGAACGATAAACCCCAGTCTGATTTTATTAAAGGGTTAGAGCTGCGTGCTCTGCAAGAGGAAGAGGCTGTCAAGAAACGACGGCCGCGGCAACAGAGCAAAAGAGAAGAGGAGTGGATTGAAAGATTAGTTGCTCGGCATGGAGAGAATGTTAAGGCCATGGTTCGTGATAGAAAGTTGAATCCGATGCAGCAAACCGAGGGCGATCTGCGAAGGAGAATTTCCAAGTGGCAGGAAAAACAGTGCTCTTAGATGTCTATCTTCATTTTTGTGATGGCACTTTAATTGGCGAATCGGCGTATGGGGATTAAAATTGGTGTTTCAATTTTTTTTACAGGGTCTACACGTATATGCTTAGATGAGTTCAATGATACTATGTATCCTTGATATGACCTATCACAATTACATACGCAAATCTGATTGATGCCGCTGCTAAAATAATTCATTATTAATATTCATGCTGCCGTAAGAAATCCTATTACCATGCCAAAAGAACTGCCTTTAGTCTCGATTAAAAGCGCTTTTTGTACCCTTATCGGATGCTGGAACACTGACACGGTGTACAACACGAACCCATCGTCGTCGTCGCCATTCACCAGCTGCCTGGGCCTGCATTATCTCTTCCCAGTCCCGGCTTTGGCCGCCTTTGATTGTAACCTTGCCTTTGGACGTTGATTCCGGGTTAGGTGACTCGTTCAGATCCCCATATGCCATTACGTCAAGATCGCCGTCGACGGCGGCAGCTGACGGCAGATCCCATACCCATCCCCCGACTTGATCCTCAGTCAAGTCTCCGTTCCCTGTAGGGCTACTACCCGGAATTTCGAACCCGACGCCGGTGATCATGCGCTCCACCACCCATTCGCGACACTCCAGATCAAGTTCCCACTTTTTCCCTTTCCAAATCCATCCCAATGGGGCTTGTACATCTTCAAAGAAACGACAGCCCCTAGGTCGGTCGCCGGCGATTCGAGAAGGGGATAATGGGTCGTAAGGAAGCGGGGAAAATAACAGTGTCTCCCACTCAGATGATGCAGAAAAAGGAGATATAGAACGGTGTTGCAACTCAAAGATCTCTACTTCTCGCTCTTCCGGAGAGGAGTCAAGAGAGATCTCTGCCATTGGGCCGAGTAGGGTCGGCAGCGATGGAGTAGGCTTCAACGAGACCTCTTTATTAATGTTCGGCTTTGAAATCGATTGGTCTGCTTGTTCATCACCGTGATCCATAGCCCTCCTTAAAAATTCTTGAACTGCGGGATGGCTAGATATCACGGCAGCATTGCCACCAAAAAAGAGAGCCAGCCGCCATGGAATAATGTGTGCAACCAGAAACAAGGATGCAGTGACAAAAGTAAGAATTAAGAATACAGTTGATGATAAAGTCTCATCGGAGAAATTCGTGGGCGGTGAAATCGCAGCGACGAGCGTATCGTGCAAATTAGCAAAGTCGGCCATTGAATTCTGGAGGTCTCGCATGTTGCGGAAGAAGTCTTTGGAGGTTTCACTGGCTGGCTTGATGGTTTTTGCGGGAGCCAAAGCTGGTCCCTCATAAGAATAGTAAGGAGTCGTCCCTGATGTTGACGCTGACGGCGGGGGAGGATGACGAGCTAGGAAGGCTGGAACCATGATGAATAACAGCACTATTGCCGGTGGCAGCACCACCAACAGATACGGGTTCAGGCAGACAAATGAATACGCAGCCAAAAACGACCACGTCTTGGTAGGATATCTCCAGCTGAACAGATGTATCATGCGATTCTGAAACACGAATGCGATTCCAATCCTGGTGTTTCTTAGCAGCTTACGGTGATAATGCGCCTCGGAGGACATACCTTGCGTTGAAGCGACGGAAGTTGGTCGTCATCACCGGAAGACTGAACGGCGGGCGAGCGACATGTTTTGTGCGTTTATCTCCATCTTCGTCCTGTTCGCCCACGTCTTCAGCGGGCATGACCTGCTGTAAGAGCCTAGAGCCAGGTTAGCTTTAGTCCCTGCTTAGAGGGTAAGAACTAGCATACTTTGTGAATAAGCGATCCTGTATCGACAGACTATTCCGTTCATTCTTCCCTTCATCTTCCTTGGGTTCTTTGTTACTGCTACCGACGAGGAGCTTGGCCTTGAGCCTCTCTTTCGGACTTGGCCTGGATGACGTCGCAGCAGGGTCTTGATTGCCGAAGGACGAGAGCAACGGCTCGTCGCGATTGGCGAAAACGTCAGCCGAGTATTCGTCCATCATGTCCGAGCCACGGGGAGGCGTCTATTGCGGGCGGTGGTTTGCATTTGCGATGTGGGAGAATAATGGATAATGGATAATAGCGGGATAGGCGCGGAGTAAGTATTGTTTGGGACATGTGAAGGCGGCCGAGGTGGAGAGCCCCGAGCGGTTCATGGTTCGCTCCTCATTTGCTCGGCCTCTCCACGCGGCTGTTATTATGGAGAGTCAGTGTGATATTTTTGTTATAATAATAATTAAATGATTGTTCAGTTGGAAACAGCATTAGTGCTTAGAGGCAACAGCGGAGAATCCGTGATAGCAATGAACTAAACATAGACACTAATTAGAACTATTGGCGCTGGTGGGCTTTGTACGATTCCATATTACTACAAAGTGACTCAATGAAACAATCCATCGACGACTGGAATTGCGACGATACTCGCGAATGACTGCCCAGAGACTTCATTTGTGAATTGTAGCAGTATCAAATAATTAATCGATAGTTATGAAATAAAAGAACAAGTTAACGATGATCCAGGGGCAAGAGCAGTGGCAGCTAACCAGCTCCGGCAGGGAGCAGCCACAGCCACTAGTCGTCGTTAGGAGTAGTATCCGTGCTAGCAACTGGTCCGCCGTCAACATTTCTGCCACCTCCATTCGCTCCCCTGCTCCAAACTCGTCGGCTTTTCTCCTGCGAAACCACCAGCTGTGCCCCCCCGCTGGCATCGCTCGCTGTTGTGTTTGTGTACTGATTGGACTTTGCCGAAGGCCCTGGTGCGTGTTGGTTTTCCTTCTTGACGCTGTACTGTTGCTCTTCTTCGTGGTTGCTGCGGTTGCTGCTGCCATCCCCAAACCACCGCGACCAAGAAAGAGCCGCAGGATTCGTCTACTACCATTGTGGCCAGCGCTACCCTTGACGTACCCCTCTAATCACGCTTTTACACTAGATATCTGGTCTCTCGAAATATATAGCGCTTCCGATCTGTTGACGACCAGCCGCAGGCTGGGAAGCCGGCCAGGTCTTGCATCCTCCCCCGCGATGGATAGATAGCCCACAGACAGGTCGCGGAATTGTTGACCAGACCACTCGAGCCCGAAGAAACAAACTCAAGAAAACCTACGTTGATGCCACCCCAATTACTCTAGCCGCCCGAGCCTCTCCCTCGAGAGTGTGAGTGGGAGTCTCGTCCTCTGCACCGGAACATTCTCCTAAATCTGGGGTTGCTCAGAATCTCATGGCTACCAAGATGACGACTCAGCCATCCCGTGGAAATACACACTCTAGAGTGACCTCTTCAAGGACCTCGAACTCTTCCCGCAATGATGATTCCGGTTCAGGAGGTGAGCAATACCGCCGTTGTACTTGTCCACCCATGCTCACCACCAGCCTTATGCACAGCAGATGCTCCCGGGCGAAAGAGACTTCAAAAGACGGGCACGAACGCCGATTCTGCGTCTACTCGCGGCTCTAGAGCTCCATCAATACCGAGAAGTGTAACTGATCCGCGTCTCAATATGCCCGTTAGAAGAAGACAGTCGATTCGGGAATCAAACATTATTGGGCCTAGGGTGTAAGTGTTTCCAAAGAGAGGTAAAAGACAAGACCTGACGTTTACAATCATAGTCCCCGTTCTGGATCGATCCACTCTGGCACTTCCTCTATCGATACCACCAACGAGTCGATCAGGAATGCCTCCATTAGCAGTACCAATTCTCGAATGAGTTTAGGAATGTCCAGCACTAGCAACTCGACCCAGTATGGCATCAATCAGACCTCTTCCAATGGCCTGGAATTTTTGGCGCCCATTAACTTTGACGATTTCCACAATAGTATACTAGATGACCCGAGTTTGAACAATTTTCCTTTGCCAGGCCATGGAGGTACTGGATACGGCAGCAAGGCAACGACAACCCGATCAAATACTACGTGGAATAGACCCGAGGGAAGCACGAGAACCACAAGGTCTAATTCTATTCGACAGCAGAGTGAAGCTAGCCGCCTTGCCGGACTGGCTCCTACAACAAACACTTCGATGCCTCCTCCCCCAGCGCCTTCGTCAAGGGCTCGCCGACAAAGCCATATCCCACCTTCATCTTCTACATCTATGTCTGCCCGCCCACCGAGAAAATCCATAGGCCCAGGCGTCTTGACACTGGAAAGTATGGGCGATTCGATGCCAAAGCGACGCCCCAGTCTTTCTACTCGCAGACCTAGTGTTGACACCGCCAAAACCGACTCGCCTGCCCGTTTACGAGTTCAACATAATGAAACCAGTAGCAAGGGTGAGGCTGGGTTTCTTCTCAGTACCCGGTCATTCAAAGCGAAATCACTCCAGCCACCGTCCAGGGAACGACCATCACAGGACAGTTTATCAACTCCCACGGCCGAGAATAGTGCCGCTTCGAATGGTTTCTTGACCCCCGTCAAGAATGTGCCTGGCAACGCTACTACACCAACCTCCTCATCTAAACGTCTGTCTAGCATGCCCCATGCCACTGGACTTGGTGCCCGTACAATTAGCCCTACCGATGCCCGGAGGATTAAACGCATGTCCATGATGCCGCAGGCTCCACCTCTTCCCTTTACGCCTCCTGCTCCGCAAAATCTTTCAACGGATACACCTACTTTGCGTCCACGTTCATCACAGTCTCCTTCCATGATTCCCAGAAAAAGCGTCACACCCTCCTCGTCCCGAACGACTCCCGATCCTAACCGCAAGTCGTATAGTTCTGGGATGTCATTGTCGTCTAACACAAGTTACAACTCTGCTCGAAACTCTAATGGCTCCCTTCAACCACGTCTCTCTATGACGTTTTCCTCGTCAAGATTGCCCACGCCGAAGCCTCGAACGGAGACATCAAATGGTGCATCGGAAGAAGAGGTTCCACCCGTTCCAGCTATTCCCAAAGCATACGAGTCACCAAAGACCGAGTTCGATGCTTCATTTCCTCCCACTTATCGGAAATCGAGTCTGCCGTTGGATATAACCGGCTTGAGCTCTGACTCGAGACGCGGCTCTGATTCCAGTGGACCGTCTGCAATCACGAGCCACAGCCAAGAGAGCTCTGTGCCTTCTGCGCGTGGGATGACAGGATCAAAAACACCTGAGACCAAGGGGAAGCAAGCACGTACTCGAAATGGATTACAACCTTTGAAATTACCGCCCTTGAACCTACTGCCGCTTAGCACTCCTATGGCTGCGAAGATCGACGCATTGAAGGATCGACCCACTCGTGAGGAATTGAACCCATCTACTCCTCTTCGTGGGAGTATAGCAAAAACGCCGAGCACGCCAATGACTGCCTCTAAGGCATCCTTCTTCACTGCGGATGAGACTGAGATGGAGCCACTTCAATTCCCCCGTAGCAGCACTTCTCATTTTCTTATCAGCACCTCCAACTCTTCTGCATTCCGGGCTCCCAGCAGCTCTAGTGCTATTGTACCCCTAGAAATGCCGCCGAGTAAGAGGAACATATCGCCTTACGTATCATCCTCTTTACCCAAGACTAGCGGCGATTTTAACTTCATGCGACACAAGAATAGCGATGAATATTCTCAGAGCTCCCAACAGACTGGGAGATTGACAGGCCCTAGGCCCCAAACTCAGTCTTCAGTGTTTTCTTTCAATATTGAAGCCGGTAGTCGACTTTCCAGCACACCGGATCCTGATAAACCCACTTCAGTGTCGAAAGGCAAGGTACCCTCGACGCTTAGACATAGCGTATCCAAACCTCAATTGGCATCCGATTTGAAGATTAACCCGGCGAAGTACGATAATATGCCTCCTCCTCGACTGCCAGCATCTGCCACATGGAATGGTCTCTCATCGGTTGCTAATCGAACAAGTCCTGCTCTGAAACCGGCTTATCTGATCAACCGGCGCAAGTCATCTGTTTCCAGCTTGAATAGTGCCAAACAGTCAGACCTGAGCAATGAGCACAATACGATAACATTGCCCAGCCCTGTGGTTACTGATCCAGCTGAGTCCGACTCAGCTGGCCATACCCGCCAATCATCCTCGATTTTGTCACCAGTCCAGAAGATCATTAACTCCGCGAAGTCTAGCAACACTGCACCGAAATCACGTCCCATAGACACGAACGTCGACTCGAATGAGTTAGCTGCTGACGATGAAATGCGCAGACTTGGGAGTAAGAGAAAGGACTTTGAAATTGCCGCCAAAGAGTTGGATGAATTGTATCGCAGAGCCAGTCCGAAAGAACGCGTTGGTCCCGCGCAAGCACTCAAGATGGCTAGTCTCAATATATTCGAGCGAGGCGAAATCATTGACTTCAAGGATATTTACTTTTGTGGTACGCAAAAAGCCAAGAAGCATGTGGGTGACCTCAAATCTCAGTCTGCAAACTTTGGATACGACGATGATCGTGGTGACTATCAAATTGTCATTGGTGATCATCTTGCCTATCGATATGAAGTGGTTGATGTCTTGGGCAAAGGTAGCTTTGGTCAAGTCGTTCGGTGCGTTGACCACAAGACGGGTAAATTGGTAGCTGTGAAGATCATTCGCAACAAGAAGAGGTTCCATCAGCAGGCCTTGGTGGAGGTCAATATCTTGCAGAAGCTGAAAGAATGGGTGAGTTTGAATAAACTACTGTGGTAATCACACTCTAATCAAGTTTATTTCTACATTTAGGACCCCGATCGCAAACACAGTGTTGTGAAATTTACACAGAGTTTCTATTTCCGCGGCCATCTATGCATTTCAACCGAACTTCTTGGAATGAACTTGTACGAGTTCATCAAGGCTCATAACTTCAAGGGCTTCTCTTTGAAACTCATTCGTCAATTCACCAAGCAGATGTTAAGCACTCTGGTACTTCTCCATTCGAAGAAAGTCATACACTGTGATTTGAAGCCCGAAAATGTTCTTCTTGCTCACCCGCTGCGGTCTGAGATTAAAGTCATCGACTTTGGCTCTAGCTGTTTTGAGCACGAAAAAGTATACACGTATATTCAGAGTCGATTCTATCGCTCTCCTGAGGTTATCCTAGGCATGTCATATGGTATGCCTATCGATATGTGGAGTCTGGGGTGCATCCTTGCGGAACTGTTCACCGGTTATCCTATTTTCCCAGGAGAAAACGAACAAGAGCAGTTGGCATGTATTATGGAAATATTCGGACCCCCGGAAAAGCACTTAATTGATAAAAGCACACGCAAGAAGCTTTTCTTCGATTCAATGGGCAAGCCTCGATTGACAGTCTCTTCGAAGGGCCGCCGACGCCGGCCAAGTTCTAAGGATCTTAGACAATCCTTGAAATGCGACGATGATTCTTTCTTGGATTTTGTCTCCCGCTGTCTCCGATGGGATCCAGCTCGCCGTCTCAACCCGAATGATGCTTTGCGCCATGAATTTATCACGGGGGTCAAACCTACTAGCCGGCCTCGAGCGTATCTTTCGAGTACAAACTTGGCTTCCAAACGGCTAACAACTGGAGGGGTACATTCGACAGTGAGGCCCCTACCAGACCCTCCAGGTACAAGTTTCAAAACTGCATCGCCTGCCAAAATCACGAGCAGCTCTCCGGTAAAAGCTGCTGCAAAACGGGTCTCGACTGCCAGTAGCATGCAACCTGCTTCAGGAAAGCGAATTTCCAACAGTGGAACATACAGTAACAACCCGTCCGCGTTGCCACGCAGAAACCCTAGCGGCAACATGGCAGCAGCCGCGGCCGCTACAAGTTTGGCGAGCAAGTGAACATCGATTTGCTCTGCTTATCAGTGGACAAACAGACACGATAGTTGATGTTGTATAAATACGCTTATATTATAATAATAATCTTCTTTGTTTCTTTTCTCGGCCATTTCTAGCAGCATAGACATGTTAGAATTTTGTCCCCCTTATGGCTTTTGGTTTTTCGCTTTTTTTTGACTCAGTTAGGCCATTTGTGGCAGGCGATCAAATACCCCCATTCCCCATACCCTATGAACTTTTGCATGTTTAGTTCTTTATGACTTTCTGTTCTTTTTATTACTGATGTTACGAAACTGGAAGTCGGGACTTGCTAGGCAATATATCTTTTCTGTATTATGGGACCGTGTGATGGCTGGCTGATTTCCTTTCAACATTGATGTGGTTTGTTGTCTTTTTATGGAGGGAATGAGGGAAATGCCTTGTCATTTCATGTCTCTTACAGCTTACACTTGCATTTGCATTGATAACTAGATGGATACCTACTGAGAATAGTTTTATGATGCGATCTTACTGGCGAGTGTCCCTGGATAATAAATCGATTTAGGAGCAATTTGAGTATTGAGCAGTCTTCAATATAATCAGTTACATGTATTTTAACGGAGCGTAAGTATTAACGGAAGAATTTAGTAAAGATGGATTGATATTCTGAGTCATTTAATCTTATTCAAAAGCACTCAATACAGTACATGTGTAATTTCTAAATCCAATTTTGATTGGTATCGGTATATAAACATTTTACATTCTTGAACTCCAGAACAGCACCAAAGTAGCTATAAAACAAAAAATACAAGAATAAACACAAACACGCAGACGCAATGCAGAATGAAACACAGAAAATAAAATGAGGATCATTTCACTCATCATAATCACCCGAGTGCGCCCGCCCATTCAGGACACCTTCCATATTGCGTCGACGACGCCTCAGCACCTCGGACGCCCAGCTACTCAACTGAAACAACCATCCACCCGTGACAATCACACCGGACACAACATTCACCAACCGCACCAACAGCGCCAGAAAACTGCCGCGTTCTTCATTGACAAATAGCAGGATGGGCTCAATGTTGTACTTGAAAAACACTCCAGGCGTGTTGTACGGATTCTCGGGGAGGTCGAGTGATTGGCTCGTCGCGGAGTATTGGTTGGTGAAGATTGTGTTTCGCATCTTTTTGAACGCCATGGCCGGGTTGGACGTGTACTTCTCGACGACGCCGTTGCCCTTGGAGTAGATTGTGGGGACGACGTTGAGGAAGTATTGGTATTTGTAGTAATGCGCGTCAGTCGTGGCGATGGTTTTGTCGAGAGGATTAAGGAGAGAGGGGTAGTGAGGTCCAAAGGACAGCTCGGTGATCATGTGCGAGAAATTGAATTTCGAGTGCTGTCTGGTTTAGTTGTGTATTTTGAAGGGTATGGAATATGAGTGCTTACATCTAAATGTTCACCCATGTCGCTGTAGCCATGTCCTCGCGCCTGTTGACACCAATCCATCAGCTATGGGTTCGATATAGAGTGTTATATCTACTCACCGTCACATGAAAGTCTCCCTGCACTTTATTCCCCTCCAAGCTGCCGTAGATGCGGCACGAATCAGCGGGATACTTTGCGCTCAATCTCGGGGTCTTGGGGAACTTTCGGCGCGGATTGCGGCGAACATGCTGAATGACATGGCGGGCATGTATATCCTCCTCCTGGGCCAACAGTCGATTATTATCCTCGGCATTGAGCGTCTGGTACTCATGCACGCCGGCCGAGATCTGATTCAGCTTGTTGTTCCACATTTCCCAATTCGTATTGTCTTTATTGAGCAGCATACCGGCCATAATGTGGTCGCCGGAGGCATCTTGCACGTTGACGCGCAGATCTGCGCAAGGCATGTTGACCACCATATCCAGATTCATCTGCAGCTCGCGTGACACGCCCTTTTCGACGCTAAAGTGCTGGTTTTCGGTGCCGCGGTACCATGTTAACAGCTCCCCGAGTGACAGGATCGTGCAGATCGCATAGATGATTACTGTCCACTGTCCTCCGCGACGAGTCGGCGTCATATACGTGGGTTTGGTTTTTGCTGTTAAAGGAGAGCAGGTCAGCGGGGGCTCATCTGACTCATTTATCTTGAAAGCGCAATTGTGTAAAGTTTCAAGATTGGAAGTGAATACGTACGGAACGCATCGAATGTGCGCAAGCCAGCTCCCGCAGTTCTCTTTTCCCCAAAGGCATCCTCGTCGAGGGGATGGTTTGAGAAGCCGTTCATGATGGCTAGAAGGTAGTACTTGTTTACAATAGTATTGCAGTCGGTTGTCGAAAAGAGAGTGATTGAAGGAATACGTATTCAATCAAGGAGACATTGTTTCCATGAATTGAATTGATTCACTTTAAGTGTAGAGAATGGCGCGAAGCCAAAAGTTATAGAGGCATCAGGAAAGAGTGTAGGTAGTTAGTTGAGTTGATGGACAAGCAAGTGCGGAGAGGCCAGCTATCCCGATTCCGCCAGCCGCTAGCCCGTCCGATAAGGCTGGCTCTCAAAGAATTCTCGTTTGAACTGTCATAATGCGATCACGAATAAATTATAAATACTAATACACTGTCATCATTCGTATGCTATCAACTACTGCATCCAAGAACTGTAGCTACACCTCGAATATCTCGCCCAGTGCGACGCCGGCCCCCTCTGCTCCAGCTCGACTGTCGACTAGATCCAGCCTCCAGCCTTTCCAACCTTTGAGTTTCTGTTTGACTTCGCGCGCCCATTCCACTCGTTTGCGCGCTTCTTCCTCGGCCTGTGCTAGGGCAAATGCATTCTCGTCAAACTCGTCATTGTCTTCTTCTGCGAGCAGCTCCAGACTGCCTCGGACTGCTGGCGGATGGTTGTGGGCATTGTTGTTATGGCTTGTGAAAGCAGCGAAACCGCTAGAGAGAACTGTTGTAAATGATGAATGCTGCTGCTGTGACCGGCTGCGGCGCCGTGAATGGTTTGGAGTACCTCCTATCAGATCCACCTCATCAAAGGTGTTTCCTGGGCTCGTTGATGGCTCCGTTTCCTCGTCTCCTTCTTCGCCTCCAAGCTCCTTTCGTCGTTCTTTCCATACTCCCCGTCGTAGATCAAAGTTCTCGCCTTCGAGTTCACGCACTCTGCGTTCCAATCGATCGCGTTCTTCATCTTCAAGCTCATCCAAGCCTTCGTTTCCTTCGCCTCCAGCTTCTCGCTTCTTGCTGCGCTCCTTTTCTTCCTTTAACCGAAGATTCTCGTTTTCAACGGTTGTGAGTTTCTTCTTGAAAAGAGCCACTTCCTTTTCAAGTTTCTCGTGGTCTTTCAGTCTAGTTTGGTGTCGAGCTTCAGACTCCTTGTGTAGATTCCCGAGCGCTTGTAGCTTCTTGTCTAGTGTTTCTGCCCTTTTCTCTGTGGTAGATTTGGCTTCTTGGAGCTCCTCAATCTCTCTTCGCAGACTCTTGATTAATGTCTCCGTGCTCGTTTTGTCAACGCCTTCTTTCACCGCCTTCTCAGACGCTCGGGTTAATGATTGTTTGACATCTGAAAGCTCTCGCTTTGTCTTCTCGAGAGCGCCTTCACTCTGGGAGAGTTTCTCTTCTAAAGCAGTTATCTGGCTTTGATAACTGGTGCTTGACGTCGATTCTGATGATAACTTAGCGCGTAGATTAGATATCTCAATTTCCATGGCCTCGATGGTTGATGATTTCGACTCCAGTTCCTGCAAGAACTCTGACGGTGGAGAGTCTGAACTTCCAGCCACAGCTGCATTAGCTCGGTGTGTTTTGGATTGGAGTAAGGAGTTCTGTCGTTGCAGGGACGCAATTTCAGCTTTCTAGAGATAAATTCTGTTAAAGCAGATTCCACCCCAATAGAACGAATTAACCTACCAATGACTCTAGCTCAGCGGCCTGTTTCTCTGCCCTATCCAAGCGATCTTTCAGCTCAACCACCTCGACGCTCGATTCGCGAAGCTCTTCTAGCTCGTCCTCGGACTTTTGTTTCCGTGTATTCGCATGTTCGAGGTCTTTCTCCAGTCGTTTATTCTCCTTTTCGAGCTCCTCAACTCTCGCAGCTTGTTTCCGGAACACTTCATGGACTTGCTCATCTGGAGCTAACGGTGGCAGGGGAGGCGACTTCACACTAGGAACCTGCGGAATAGCCGACGAAATCGACGATCTGAACGAAGAAGACCGGTTTTTCGACTGCATAGACAACGAGGGCTGTCGAGCATGTGCGCCCCGAGTCGGTAGCTCTCGAACCTCGCCACCAGCAGGGCTGGCGTCTGGTGCCGGAGAAGTTGGCGCATCCGGCATCGGTTCAGTGGGTGATTCATCTCCATCTCCCTTTTCTGTATCGATCTTCTCTGGCTCGGCTTGTTCTGCGTCGGCATCATTGCTGTCTGGTTTCGCCGCAGAGTCATCCTTGCTTGTTTCTGCAGCAGCGGATTTCTTGCCTGCCTTTTTCCCCTTTTGCTTCTGCATTTGCGCAACCTGTTTGTAGCGTCGATTGTTAGTATACAATGCAAGTATGCAGCTCAGACAGGCGGACGATACTCACTCGCTTTCGGGCGGCGGCGAGCTTCTCAGCCTTGGCCTTTTCCTCGTCGTCTGCCATTTTGACGGGCGATTAATTGGGGAAATATAATATCGATGATTCTGAGCGGATGGTTGGACTACATAAAGTCATGCAGTATCAATAGGTCTGAGAAGCAGCAGGCAGAGTATGTACTATGTAACTTAAGTTGCGTACTGCGGAAGGGACAGCTTGCTGCTTGTGCACGGACCAGCGGTTGCCGTATACAGCTATATATGCACGCCTAATGTACCTAGACATGATTTCTCTAGTATCATATAATCAATCAGTTCCTTCATTGTCTTCCAGTGTCAAGTTATGATATATGACTCTATTCTATCTATAACGCTCCTGGCAAGCGCCATCCTCTTACAGTGGGATGTATCATGATTACAAAGAAGCGAGAACCGTATCCGCGCCGGATTTCTGAGTCAACCTTGGTTAGCAAAACGCCAGCATGATTAGTTGTCAACTCACCTGGAGCGAGCCCCTCTCAGTCTCAATATCAGCGTACGTGACCTTTCCGTGGTCGATCACGAGAGCATAACGCTTGGTACGGCCCGACGCGTCGTCGGCCCAGTCGATAGTCTTGGAGAACTTGGCGTCGGGGTCCGACAGGAAGAGCTATATGCATCAATACAGCCTTTCAAATACCTTTCACATCAGATGAATCTGATCGGCACTTACAATGGAATCGTCATTGACCCTGTTCGCCTTGCCCCAGGCACTCATCACAAAAGCATCGTTGAACGCCACCACGGCTACGATGTCCACCCCCTTGGCCTTGAATTGCGGCAGATTCTGGATGTAACCCGGCAAATGGCTCACGGAACAAGTAGGCGTGAAAGCGCCTTGGTAGGGACGTCATTAGCGTGAGCAAAGAAAAGAAAAGAAAAGAAACAAAAAAAAGGGTAATGGCCCCCACAGTTGACGTGGGGTTGTAGGCGTACCTGGAACAGAGAATAGAACGACTTTCTTGTCTGCCCACTCTTTGGAGGCGTTATAGGAAACTGGGATTCCGCATGCGGTAATCTCGCCTTTCTCCTCGGTGTAAGGAATGTGGCTAGGAAGTAGTTAGTTGGTGATGGTATAATGGTGTGGATGGTCAGGCCCTACGAGAAGACGACGTCGGGAGGGAAGCTATCGCCGGGTTTGAGGACAGGCATTTTGTCTATATTGATTTGATGAGTCGGTTGGTAATGGATCAATTGGTGTTTGCAGGAGAAGAGTCGGTGATGTAGAGTTCAAAATGTGGATAGAGGTTAGTTACTATTGCATCAGCGGGATGAAGACTGATGCAAGGCGGGGTGCGGGGAATTGCCGACGATAAGATTGATTATTAATGGCAGCCATACATATCATACAATATTATAATATATTAATTGTCTATACCAACGCTTCTCGCCCTTTCATACGCTTCATCTAGGTTCTCATTCCACACCCACTTCATGCGATCCTTCAGCTGCTCGCACACAATGGGTAAACAGTCATCGTAGCTGAGCCCGACCATCTCGCTGGTCTGCATCTCGTACACATGGCCAGCCTGACGGGACGTTTCTTGTGCCCTTTGCACACGCGGCAGTCGGACCTGTTGATACAATTGGGTGTATGCTTCGAGGGTGCGTCTGGGCTGTCGTTGCAGGTAGTCCTGAATAGCGCGGCTGAGCACGTAGCCATCTTCGATTGATTGGCCGGCACCGGTACCTAGATCAAACTTAACATCAACAGTACATCTACAAACCATTGATTGTCGTACCTTGATGAGGTAGCATCTATTCCAATGTCAGCAAATTCCACGTGTACATCGACATCCAAGAAAATCTCACCGCATGAGCTGCATCCCCCATAAGCACGACCCTTCCACCCTCAAATACCCACTGATGAATTTGTTCCCGATCATTCAACAGCCATTTCGTCGGCAACTGGGGCATTTTCTCAATAATTCCTCGCACAGTCGGGCTAAAATCAGCGAATTTGCTCGCCAGCTCTCCCCGTGTCGCAGTAGCCGTCCAGCTCTCTTGCAGGCCATCCAGCGGACTTTCATCTTCCGTGACAAAGGCTACGATATTCAAAGTGTCGTTTTTGCTGATGGGGTAGGCGAGAAAATGCTTGTCGATGCCTAGCCAACTAGCAGAGTATGAAGGGAACGGCCACCAGGGTTTTAGCCGCTCAATCGGTACCAGGCCGCGGTACGCAATGCGGCCGCTGTACTGCGGCTTGTCGACGATGTATTGTGAGCGGATGACGGAATGGATCCCGTCGCAGCCTATGACTAGGTCTGCGGTGGAACTGGTGTTGTCGACAAAGTGGACTGTTACGTCGCTGCCGTTATTCTGTTGGTATGCAATAAGTATAGACTGAAAGCAAGTGAGAGAGAAAGAGCGTACTGAGATGGAGCGGCATTGCTTGTTCGTCCACAGCCTAGCAGCACCTCGTTCTTTGATCGCCGCGAGCAGAATATCCAGGAACTCGGCGCGATGCACCGAGCACTGCCGAACCTTGCCCTCGACAGCAGGGACAGTGATGATCTCAGCATTGTCGTCGAACCGACGAAAGGAAATCCACACGCCGTTACGATCGCCGGAGATGGCAGCAACTCTCTCCCCAAGGCCGATCTTGTCCAACAGTTTGACGGCATTCACGCCAATGCCGACGCCTGCGCCGATCTCTTTGTATTGGGATGCTTGTTCGTATATATCTATGCTCACTTGGCTTCCGCAGTGGTAGTGGAGCGAAAGCGCGGCGAATAGGCCTGATATGCCTCCGCCGATGACGGCTATCCGAAGCGAGGACTTCGCCGAGGACATAGCAGAGCCAGTTTGGTGAGAATCGTGGTTGTACATGCAATGAGAGATAGGGGGTATCACTCAATTAGTCTTGTGATATGCGGTGGTACATATGTATTTGTCTACATATTTGGCAAAGACTCGCCGCCGCACTCGCCTTTCGTGCAACATGCCGCCCGCGTGTTGAACATTATCTCCCCAGGTGGTCTCCGGGGAGAAAATATTCTTAGTGCCAACGAGAGTTTGAAGGAGCATGGCGGCGTGCGTAAAAGGGAAAGTTGCATGACAGAGGAGTGTTTTAACTCCCCGAGTAACTTTGGACAGGTCGATCCATTTATTTCCCACATACCGTTGGGCTTCTCCAAGAGGTCTCCAAGAGGCTATGGCCAAATGTAACCACACATATTAGCATTCGAAACACACGCACACATTAGGATCGAATTGCAGTCAAGAACCAACGTATCTTGTTCCAGCTGAAAGAGCGAAGGAATCGCGAATAGTAGGCCAGGCGGGCCATATCCGACGGTCGACCAGGGTGAAACATGGCACTAGCCGTAGCCGGCAGGTCTTCGCAGTCTGAAGATTCTATTTTAGATCTGGATGCAAAGCTTGCACCGGGTAAGCTAGGGCAGGCTAGGTACCCAATCAGTTCCACTCCCGCTTCCATTGTTCCTGTGCGAGCTGCGAGCCGCGACCCGTCTCGGCGGATTAGCATTGGAATGGAATGGGATGGAAGTGCAGATGACGCCAATGAGCTCTCATCAATCGACGTGGGAGGATCAAATAATCACAGCGATTGGTGTTGCCGGTGAAATAATGGTTCGAGAGAGGCTAATAGTAGTAATAGTAATAGCAATAGCAATAGCAATAGCAATAGTAATCGTGATATAGGAAGAGTGGCCGAGAGGAGACCAGCGGGGACCTAATCGAGGATGCGCTATGCCCCAAGCGGCTAGGCGCTCTAGCACCAGCGATCGCTCCCCGCTAAGTAATGCTTAGTTCCTGCTTAGTTCTGCGTAGTGTTCTGCGCGCATGGGGGGATTCTAGGCAACAGCAAAACGCTCTGTTCCAGAATGGTTACTGTTCTTGTTTTGAAGTGAAACATGTAAGATTAGTCCATGCTAGATAAAGTTAATTGTCGTTGACGCTGCAGAGTCATATTATTGGCTGCATCGTTGAGTATTTACGAAGAGCAAGGAGCAATAGTGAGCGGGCGGCACTTGGCGGCTCGCTCCTGCCTTTCTCCGCGCATGCCCTCTGCTCTTTCTCAGGTAATGAATGCTTCTCAAGTCTACCCGGCATGGAATTCCAACTGACTGATCACAGCCAGCGCCGCCAAGTTCATGGAGGCCCAGAATGAGAACCATCGAGCATCTTCGCCGGTGAAGCAGCCGACTACCCCCGTCGAAACTGCCGAAGATGCTCAGAAAGTGACCAAGCGACGCCGCCGCGTGCCCATCGCCTGCGCCAGCTGCCGCCTGCGCAAGACAAAATGCGACCACATCGTGCCCAAGAACCCGCCAGAGTCGTCTCCCTCAGGACTGACGACCGGCGCATACGAGTCAGTTGGTTCCTGTCGTCTCCGGACGTGACGTTTTGACTAACGCGCTGCAGCTACATCCGCTCCCTCGAATACAAGGTCAAACAATACGAGACGCAGTTGATGGAACTACAGAGAGAAACCGCCTATCGACCCGCCGCAGAGACAGCGAGAATCTTGCCTGCACCGCACGCTCAAGCTCCGTCGCCGTCGGTGTCATTGCCCTACCAACCGTCTCCTCGAGTCCAAGGCTCCGCCGTCATCACCGCCGCGAACCCGTCGCTGTTTCTGGCCGGTCATGGCGCCATTAATTTCACGCAATTAATCCTTAATGCGATGAATCCAGGTGCCCCTGATAGAGTGCAGTCGTCCAACCAACTCTTCCCCTCACCCCGCGATCCGTCCAGAGAAATGCCCGATACCAAACTTTATGACCTCCCCATCGATGCGCGAGAGCTCATTCAGCGATACTTTGACTTTCACTATGTGATAACCCCGGTGTTCCATGTGCCTTCGATTTTCGCTCGATTCGAACTCGCATTCGCCTCGGAACGTGCCCGCAGACATGAACATACCGCGACATTGGCCATCATCAATATGATATGTGCGATAGCAACGGCGCATAGGCGGACTGGCGTCGAAACGTCGACTGTGCAGACGCGGAGACTCTACGATCGTGCGATGGCGCTGCTGGGCCCGTCTTTGTTTTACGATTGGTCCCTCGAGAAAGTCCAAGTATTGTTGCTAGGTGCGCGTTACCTGCAAAGCTCCAACTTTCCAGACGAATGCTGGACTGTTCTCGGCTTGGCTATAAGAATCGCCCACGCATTGGAGCTGCATCTCCCTCCACCAGACCATGTCGACTGCATTACGAAGGAAGTACGGAAACGTTTATGGTATGCTTGCTATACTACCGACCAGCTGTTGTGCACCATTTACGGTCGCCCAGCAGCTACGGCATCCAGCACCTTTTCTACTCCACTACCCGAAGATCTGGATGACGAATGCATTCAACACTCCCGGCTGTTGTACCCGGCCACACCCACTGTCTCAGCGGTAGGCTTTTCGATCCACAATGCGAAGCTGTTTAGGATTATGGAAACAGCGGCCGCGCTTGTCGACCCGCCACTGGAGAAGATCGTCGAACTGGACGAGTCCTTCGAAGCTTGGTTCGCCCAGGTTCCATCTGCGTTCAAGATTTATGAACAAGAAAGCATAGAAGATAACGAAGGCTTGATCTTAGCCATGCGAGCCAACATGGTCCGCATCTTAGTTCACCGACACACGTTGGTTACATCACTCAGTCTCCTTTCTCGGGGTGAACGGGTCACGCGCCCGGCAGATGGGCTCCGCGCCAACATGATGCAGAACAGCAGGCAAATCTGTGTCCGGACGGCAGAGGAAACTATCCGATTAGTGGGCCACCGGCACGACAGGACAAAGAAGGCTGTCGGCCCCAGCTGGTGGAACCTATACTACTGTAAGTGGCCGTAGGGGTTATTTGGTGTAGAATGCTAATTTGGATAGTATTCAATGCAATCTTGATCATTGCGTCCCACGTTGTCCATCCCGAGTATCGCAACGACAAAGAGGCGCTGGCGCATTTGGAAGAAGGGATGCGAATGATTGGTCAAATGAGTGCGAACCACACTACCGCTCAACGAGCTCATATTTTCTTGCGTCAGCTTCTGGACCTCGTTGAAAAGGCGTTGCCAGCGCAAGATCGAAAGCCCGCGAACAGGAACCCGGCTGTGTCCAACGGCCACCCAATACAGCACCCATCAGTCTCGGCGGCCGAGGTTATGGGCAGCCAAGTAGGTTTCGACAACTCTGCGCCCAGGGAGTTTATGCAGCTATGGGACAGCACGGAGGACTTGACTATGGCATTGGGCTCTCATCTACAGTTCTATTCGTCCATGGGTTCAGGGATGTGGACATGGGGAGCACCCGGTGACCGTACGTAGGGTAGCCGCCTATGATGGGTAGCACAGTTTCCATTGCACAGAATAGTGTAACGGTATTCTTCTGCTTTGTAGTTTACTAACAAAGAATTTCAAATAGTCGAATATGCAGACCTTCTGACTTATGCAGTCTGTGCTAGACGAGTGGCTTGGCGTGTCAAGAACAACCAAGGCATTTGTTACTTGTGTAACTTGCGCTGTCTTTTCTTTCACCGAAGAGCACGCGTGCACTGATAACGATCTGCACTGAAAGTAGCTGCATCTTGCTTTTGAGTTTTGGCTGTCTGTCAATGCGGTAACTCTGGTGGAGTGCTGACGCGGCTCTCCGAAGCTAAACCGGATGTCAGTGTCGCTGATAGCTGAGCTCCATAACTCGTTTTTCGACACTCGTCAGGACTCTTCAGTGTTCCCTTACTACCACCGCTAGTGATCTGCGCATGTTCTATGGAATGAGCGGCTCCCTGCAGCGACTAATGCATGCCAGGCTGTAGTTGGGCAGGGTCCTGGCCAACGCGTTGTCCGCCAAGCATTCCGATTCGCAGGGCCATTTGATAGCATTAATATTATCACCGAGCCTCACTGCACGGGGTCTGCGATCGCATTACTATTTATTCTCCTCAGTCTGTCCTGTTTTTCAGGTGATTGACAGCTCTGGCAATGGTATCCGAGAAAGACTCTTCTACAGAATCGGTGCGTGTTGGTGACAATGCCGCGCCGTACCGAGATCCGCATGGGCTCTTACTCTCACCCCAGCCCTCACAGGATCCATTGGATCCGCTGAACTGGAAGCCGTGGCTGAAATATATGGTATTGGCTGAGGTTTCTCTGCTGTCGTTTTTATCCCTATTGAGTGCTGCTCTAATTGTACGTTGTCCTTTACATCTCCATCACCGAAGATACAAAGTATGTACTAAAAATTGAACCGGATTGTAGACTCCGGCGTTTATGCCGCTGTCCGTGTATTTGGAGTATGAAATGGATCAAACGGTGTATGTGACTAGCATGTTTCTTCTTGCAGCCGGATTGTCATCGATCTTCTGGAATCCAATATCAAATGTCTATGGCCGACGACCCGTATACATCATCACCGTGCTCGTCGGTTTGCTCATGTCAGTAGCCTCCGGCCAAGCCACATCTTACGGCCCTTTACTTGCATATCGCTGTCTGAACGGTTTCTTCGGCGGCGTTCCAGCCGGACTGGGGAATGCTATCGTGTCGGACCTTTTCTTTACGCATGAAAGGGGTTTGTATATGGGTATCTACACCGTTATTTTCATCACTGGCGGCCACATTGCACCTATCATTGGGGGTTACATCGCGGTAAACTTATCCTGGGAATGGTGTTTCTATATCCCCGCGATTATCACCGCAATCGCCTGGCTCGCTTTTGTCCTGACTGTTCCGGAGACACTATACCTCCGTTCGCCAGGCCAACCGCAGCGGACGTGGATGCAAAACATGACATTACAAGGGCGTGCTAATTCAGCAAGAAAACTACATCTCATCGACTTTGTCCGCCCGTTCCAGATGTTGATATACCCCAGCGTCCTCCTTCCAACCTTATACTATGCTGTGGCGTTTAGCTACGGCAGCGTCCTATTCATCATTTCCAGCGCAAGCTTATTCGCTATGAACTATCAATTCGGTCCCACGGAAACCGGCCTGCTGCTAGGCATACCCATCACCGTCGGTAGTCTTCTAGGTGAGTTGATATCAGGGGGATTCTCGGACTGGATTAGCGAACGGCGAGCTATTACGCGCGGGAGACGAAGGCCCGAGGACCGGCTTTTGGCCATCATCCCATCATTTTTCATAACCCCGCTTGGGATTATCGTCGAGGGGGTGTGTCTGGCAAACAATACCCATTACATGGGCACCGCAATGGGGATTGCGTTAGCTAGTTTCGGCCTGCAAATCGCAACAACGGTCGTTTATACATATACATCGGAGGTAAGCCAACACCAAACAAAAAGGGGGGATGGAAGTTAATTGAAGTAGTGCTATAAACCGCAGTCTCCCGAACTCGGCTCAATTATTAATTTCTCAAGGCAAATCCTCAGCTTTGCAATGAGTTTCTACGCTCTCCCGTTCTCGGCGGTGATTGGTGTGCAGGATGCGTGGATTGTGTTGGCTTTTCTGATCGTCGTCTTCTTCATCCCGTTGATTCCATTGTATTTCTGGGGCGCGAAGTGGAGGGATGAGATTGGGTATCCGTCTTTCAACTCTGATCTATGAGATCATTATAGGGGATAGATGTATGATATATGGATGAATGCTAGAATACAATAATCCGATACCGAATATTTATTCTCATTGCACGCTTTGATATTTACACACTTCGTGCGCAACTAGAACTACCGTCTTCGAAGCCGTACCATTCCCAGCCCTAAAATCCATGATATATCGGCTTCTCCTGCCCTCACTCGTCGCCGGAGTACTTACCTCACTATCCGCATGCCTGCATGCTACCCCTCCATCGCTGCAGCGTCATCCTGATATCAACTTCAACTCCAGCTCCCTGAACGCAGCAATATTACATATGTACGTGCTCCTCTGCGCGCCGTACGCCTGCCCAGCTTGAAGATGTTGTCTCGGAGCCATCGCGCATCAATCGGTAATCGGTTAGTTTGGATTATTTGGGGGAAGGGAAGCCATTGTAGTGCTTGACTAGTTGGTGATGCGGAGAAAACTCGGCCGATGAAGAGTATTTTATTTTCCAGTTACAATGTATTAAGACGGCACATGATGCTATTTTCATATGTCTCTTGGTTCCGTATCGTACAGTATTAGCTTTGCTATAAATAGTAAGCTGTTTTTTATTTATGCGGTGATGTGTGGTAATACCAAAACACAAATCTATTAGCGTCGGATCAGCCGCGACCCGCGATCATACGACCGGGAATGGGCAAATCACAGGCAGTCTTGGCTGCAAACCCGTGCCAGGCAGTCGTTTTCCAGCATGATTGGTTGTCTCCACCTTCAATGGTCAAGTCGTGAACAAGAGTTTGCTATTCTGACGATACTCTTGTTGAATGAGAGGGATAAGTATCAACGACTTGAATTTTGATATATCCTCCCGGCCAAAACGTTCCTACCGGCCAAAACGTTGGCCGGCGCAAAGAATAGGTACCACTGCTAGACAAAGATCCATGAACTGCCCGGAATTTGGATACGTCATTCAATCACCTTACTCTGCAACCATCAGTCGCCGCACTCTCGCATGACTCAAAGCCCCTTGGTCAATGTCGGCTTGGCTCCGCACTCGTCTCCGACAGAGGCTTCCATGGACCTGAATGCCCTGTCAGGCGACTCTGGCGATGGCCAGGAACAGGACTGGTCTCAATGGATGCAGTGGGACTGGGAAGAGTCAATCTCAAACACAACATCGAATATCGGCCTGACGCCGTTAGAGAATAGCCCCAGCTCAAATCTAATGCCGCTGCCGGACATCGATGCTGTGGATTTTGTATCTGGCCTAAGACAAAATGTAAAGGCGAACCTGGACATTGCTATCCCGCATGGTGACAGAGTTCCGCGCACAAGTCCAAGTACGAAAGGGTCGTCAGTAAGCAGCCTGTCAAATCGGAAACGCAAGACGTCAAGTGAAGACGATGGGCTCAGTCGTGTAGATGACGACTCGCCCCCCGAGTCCAAAGCGCAGCCATCAAAGAAACGCTCACACAATGTCATCGAAAAGCGGTACCGAGCCAACCTCAACGAAAAAATATCAGAACTCAGAGATAGCATTCCCAGCCTACGCGCCCTATCAAAGCAAGGAAACGGCGATTCTCTGACTGCTGATGACGACGTCACCATCGGCAACAAGCTTAATAAAGCATCCATTCTATCCAAGGCGACTGAATATATCCGCCATCTAGAACTACGCAATCGACGGCTGGAAGAGGAGAATAAATCTTTGAAAACAAAACTTCGACAACTTGAAAATGCCATGGCTATGGACCAAACAACCTCAGCATCTGTCGGGTCCGCTTCATCACCGGATAGTTATTCGGGAACAATTGACAGTTATGGCTCTCCTCCCAGTGTGTTTTCACATGTTGAGGACTCAACAACATCCCGCAAACAGTCAGAGTCTGCGGGTCCCATAGAAGGGATGATAAAAGTCCCGGATTACATCAAACAGATGCGATCCAATGCGCCGACTCAAGGCATCTTTGCCGAGTCATACATCAAGGATAAACCGAAACCTTCACAACCTAATGAGAACGCACGCAGAGGTATGACTACTTCAAGCAAATTTCTTTTGGGTACCATGGCAAGCTTGATGATCGTTCAGAACTTGCCCACAGAAAAAGAGAGCGAGTCGAGTGAAAGAGGGCTGATGGCAGTTCCAATTAGTCTCTTTAATGAGATTTTGCTGCCATACTGCAAATATGCACAAAGCAGATTCCTTGTTTGGAGTGCAGACGTGGGACTGTGGAGATCATGGCATTTTAGAGCTATATTGAGTTTATACCTAACAGTTGTTCTGGTGGTCGGGAGTGCCTTCTTTGTCTTCCTGTATCTATTCAACTCCCGTCCGCAATCTGACCGTGACCAACAAAAAGTCATCTCTGCTGCTGGGGTCAGGATGACGCCGGCGGAATTCAGAAGACAAGCTTGGCTAACAAGTATGCAAAGAGTGGGTGTGCCGCGCCACACATTCTTTCTTGAATGGTTCGCAGTCACCTGCAGATGGGTTGAATATACTCTCGGCTGTGTGCTTGGGTGGAAGCTGTACTCTTGGATCACGGGTATCACTGAAGAGGATGAGAAAGGGCGAATCAAGACGTGGGACATTGCGATTGATGCTCAATTGGCTGGCGGAGATCCCGAAATCAGCAAGTCGCGTCTGGTGCTTACAATCTTTGCTTCTGGAACATTACCGCGCAGTCCTGGAAGAATAATGTTGAAGGCACTCCATTGCCGTATTCTGCTTTGGCGAGTCGCCAATGGTGGCTCACTTGTCTCGAGGATTGCCAATATTGTAGGCCGAGCTTTAGCCACTTATCAATGGGGCTTGGCAAGAGAAATGCATCGGTCCCTACCGAAGGATCATCCAGAGGCACTACCACGGCATTTAGCTGCCCTCCTAGAGAATGATTGCAACGACGTTCTCCTCGATACTATCGTTCAGCGAGCGGTAAATCTCACCTGGAGCCAGCCCACGCAAGAAGGACTCGACGAGGATGAAGCTTTGCTGGATGTAGTGGTCGACGACCCAGCGGTGCAGACTTCCCTGGACAGTATTGCAGCATGGTGGTCTAGCCATATATTACAGAATGCATTACTACAGTCCCTCAGTGCCGGTGCAGATGGCACTGCAGTCCTCAAAACACAGATTGATCTTGCCTCTAGAGTCGCGCCTCGTCTGTGCGTCGCACATACTCGGGCCTTGGCTGTGAGAGCAGTGTTGTTTGAAACCAATCGACTGCGTGATATCCAAGTCGTTCTTGCAGCTCTGCCTTCTAAAAAGAACAAAAACTCTCAGGCCACCAACTTCCTCGATTCATCCATACCCACTTCCGCTCGCGATGAAATTGCCATTGCAGTTCGTTGTGCAATGATCGCTGCTATTATCAAGGCACGAACTACAAACGACACGTCCTTCCCATCTCACCTAACGACTCGAAAAGCTATTTCTTGGCTGAATCAACTCCCGCTCGATCCTATTGAACTCACTCTTGTCGGCTTCGTTGCCGTATACCATTTACTCCACCTGGTCACCACCTACGACGACATCCTCTCATCCTCATCCCAAACCTCATCTGATGTATCTACCCTAACAACGAAATCTGCCCCTTCTTCACTTCCAAACGAAGCGTCATCCTCTCCAAAATCCATCCACAAACGTGTCCACTCGAACGCCATCGCTGAACCCACCCCACAATACAGCCGCATCGCCGGCGACTTGATGTACTGGGCCCGCAACGCATACAATCCAGCCTTCTACGGCCTAACAACCAAGATGGTCGACAAGGTGGAGGCAGAATGCATTTCTGTTTGCAATAACATCGGTATCAAATTATTACCTCCAAATCAGAGCAAATCCGTAAAATCAGGGTTGCGCAAGATTGTCAAAGAGGAACGAAAACACGTCAAGAGGAATTCTTTGAGCGCGAAAGAGGAGAATCGAAGAGAATGTGGTGATGGTAATGATACTAGTGGATGGGGTAATGATGACTCAACGAGAATAGACGAACGAATTATTGCATTATAAAAATAGGAAAGAGGGTTTATGAGGGTATGATAGGATGTATAATATGGGGAATATAATAATTAGTGTTTCCTTGTGTAATAACTCACGATACAATGCAACTACTTGTTTGCAATACATTTCTGGAACAAGGTTCTAGTTGATATGTAACTTTATCTCTTGTGAAAGAACTGATGCCGAGGCACAGATGTATAATATGTTAAGAATAGTGTAGGCTCTAGCATGTATTGATAATCTCGAAGAGCAGTGACTTTTACTCTATTAGAATCCATATATGTATAAAAGTCCAGTTTATATTATTTTACTTCTCAAACACAGGCGCATGCTGCGCCGTACAGATCTTATGTACACGCATACGTGCAGTCACATTTAAACATAGTAATACACATCATAAGCCGTCATTTTGCATGAACCTCATTGGTGACTAGGCTATAAACTGGCTTAAGGCGGCATCCAAGGAATTCGCCTCTATAAGAGGCGAAGACCCTGGCAACGCTGGCAATCCAATTCGATTATGCCAAACAACCGACATCCCCGCGGCTCCAGCACCAACAACATCCCCATTGCTCCCAGCTACGAAAACAGCTTCATCCGGCCGCACACCAAGGGCCGCGAGAATATCACGATACGTATTTGGATGTGGTTTATAAAAGCCCACCTCCTCGGCAGTAACGAACGCATCGAATGTCGCGGCGGTCTCACCACACCGCGCAATTGCGCGCTGGCCCAGCTCAATCGAGCAATTCGATACTACACCCAGCAGATACCCGCGTGCTCGTAGTTGGGCAAGAGTCTCCTTTGCCTCTGGCCATGGTTGTAGTTTATCCCAATTGGCGATCAAAGCGGCTGGCGCTGATTCGGAGAGGCCAACATCGGCAGCTGCAATGCGGACGAGGTCCTCGTAGGGCCGGTATGCGCCACAGCCAAAGGTTAGCTCGAGGTACCGTTTGCGCCATGTGAGTGCTTGCTCCGAGTCGTTGGCTGCTGCGGTGGTCCAGAGGCTCCAGCTATCTAGCAGAGCGGTAAGGAGGTCGAAAACAATTGCTCGGATAGGCATGGTGGGTTTATTAACGTTGTTCAGTTATTATTTAAACATTAGCTAGGTAAATGTCACTGAAACTGAGGTAATATATAGCCTATTTCGATTCCAAAAAGTTACATGTAAGGCGAGTGAGTATATGTACCCGAGCACTGCCGTGATGCCGAGATTTCCCGGAGGATTTAACAGATGTTACTCACCGGCAGACAAGAGTAGCTTTTGCAAATTTTTTGCATGCTGTTCTGATATTTGCTGCTTACTCGGCCTTTTCTCCGATGCAGTTTATTGGGGATAGTGTGGTCATTGGCTACCCAGGAGGCAAAGGTATAACCATAACTTATTGTCTGCACTCGCGGAGCGTACTATCTACTCGAAGGAGGTTATGTAGGCTCTGCAATTGTGAGAGATGACCATTCGGTATTCAGTATTTTCCACGGGATCTTTATTGGGGGTTGACGGGGAGAATTGACTATTGCTCCAATTATCGATTCATCCAAGGTCTGCTATTATTTCAAGTCTACTAATCACGGTCGTTTTGCCCACTAACAAAGGATATAGTAATAATAAAGAAAACCAGGTAGTGCCTGTCAAAGGCTTAGGTTAATAAAATTAAAAGAGACGACAAAGAAAAGGAAAATAACATGAGAAAATAAAATAACACCATAGATATCTAATCTTGGTGGCCACGTCTGTAGCTACAAAGCCACAGGGAAAAAGTAGAACTTTAGAAGGGGAAAAGGGAAATGAGAAAAGAAGAAAGCAAAGGGACTATAGAGAAAATGAGTGGAATGATTAAAAAGGTCACCACGAAAAGCTCTCCTCAAATAAGTCCACAGCTTTCCTTCCCTGAACCTCCCTTACAGCCTTTCGGACCTCATCACTCATACCGCCTGGTCCACAGACGCTGACTGCCATTGCTCCGACCTGTTGGGCCATTTCTCTCTCGAGGAGTTGACGAAAGAGTGGTTTTCCCAAGCTGATTGTGATCGGCGCCGTGGTAAGTTTTGTCCAGTCTTGAGTTTTGAGAGATTTCGCGTGATCGTAATGGTTGTAACAGTTGCTGTAATCATTAATATTATTTCTGCCGTAGGTTGTTTTGCTGGATTGGTTATTATTGTATTCATCATGGTGATGGTTATAGTCATTGATAAGCGATGTTAAAGACGGACGATTCGAGAGGTCGTCCGGATTCGAAGGATATGAGTATCGGTATGACGAAGATAAAGATGATATTGAGCGGTGAGAAGGCAATGAGATATTCTCGGAAAATACTGATGCATCAATAGGATCGAAATCCGCGTTGCTGTTGTCCTCGTCGTGGCTCAACAGCGACGAGCAATCAGCTGATCCGGAGTCAACAGGATTACTGGTGAAATTCGTGTCACTGCTGTAATACGAAGTTAAGTGTACATGAATTGAAAGAGATAGGGTTTGCTGGAAATAAGCGTCGTCATCAACAAAGTAGCCAGGATCGCGCGGATTCGTTGACCTGCTGGAGAAGGTCACGGCGCCCTGTAAGGCTGGGTGGTTTAGGATGTAATTCATCCATGGCTGAACCCATTGCAAATGGTCTATATGTTGTCATATGCATGAGTGACATCTGTTCAAAGACCATCAGGATAGTGCATACCTATACTACGCACAACCCATAATAGCGTGATTCGCCGAGTTGCAACAGAACGATTTGTGAATCCATTCACGAGCTCGCGGAGATATGAAATCGGATGCGTGATGCCAATACCGCCGGCAATGAGAAGAGTAGTTCCGTAAGAGTCGTATGAATGTACTCCTCCTGCTTCTATTAAAAATTGAAAAAGTGCATATGGAACGAAGACATACCATACGGACCCTCGGCTAGGGCCAGAACGTTGATTTTTCGTCCGTGTGCAGTCCCGAGCGACTTCATCATTTTCTTAGTAAAACCGCCCTTTTTGCGAATTAGAAACGAAACCGTTGTTCCCTCTTGTCCTATCGAGTTGCCTCCAAGGAGAGTTTTGAAGGAATCATTGCTTTTTTCTGAGTGGAATGATCTAGGTCGCTTGACTGATTTCCAGGCCGCGGAAAAAGGGTGAGATGTCCATAACCCTAGAGCCGGGATGTAAAGAAACATGAACTGTCCGGCGGTGAAATTGCCAGGACGTGTCGCGGATACATCGACTCGAGCTACGTCGCCTGGGAGAAGTTGGATGTTAGCTTTGGTGAGGCGTTTACCACAATTTTTCCATAACACAGTGCCAAGTCGAAACATTCGCTGGAGGCTTGTTAGTCTAGAGTGGAGGATCTTAAGAAAGGATACTCACGTCAATTCCCCAAGCTATCAAGGCTGCGAGGAAAATCCATCTTTGCATGAAATGTGCTAAATGATGCCACAATCCAACAAAAGAAGCGATTGCCAAGACTATATGAGAATGTAGGAAGAACTCATAGAAAGCGTGTCGAAATGGCGATAGAGAGTGTAACAAAATAACAAGGAAAGACGCGGTAGCCTTTGACATAGGTTAGAGGAAAGATCCTGACTTTTCCATAGAATTATCATTGCTTACCACAAAACCGAAAATGTAAAACGGAATGTTGAACAGAGTATGCGGTACCATTTGCCATCCTCCTATCGAGCAATCAGCGTTATGTCTTCCAAGAGATTTGCGAATACTCACTTTTCTGACCCATATTTAAAATCACAGCCAAGGTATGAATGATTGCCTCTGCCACAATCGTCCTTCCGAGCCAGCGGTGTACAAGATTGAAAGTGTCAAATGGTAATCGAAGGAGTGGAATCAATGGATTATTGCGAGCAGCCGTGATGACCAACGGAACTAAATTTACTACAGCCAGAGTCCCACTTGTACTACTCAACCTATGCAAAGATGTGGCGAGACCTTTCGACCGATCGATCGTTATCAGACAGAAAACGACGTTCAAAACCACATAGCTGAAGATGAGTAGTGTCTCGAGTCTAGTGGGAATTGTTCCCATATGTACCCGGCGGCGACAGATTCGGAACTCCCGATTATGCCTTCGATTAAACAACGGAGCGTATATCAGGTGTCGGTTGAGTTTGGCTTTGATATAGCTTGGTTGACTGAGTGGATTTTGACATGGATAGTGCAAAGCGAGGTGGAGTCGTTGACGGTTCAATAGATCTGACCAGAGACGATAGATGAAAAGCACGATAGTGAGACCAAGCAGGGCCATGATGGGTACATAGACAAGGACTATGTCCATTGTACTTTCAGGGTTCCTATTGTGTCCGGAGTGGTTTCGATTGCTTGTGCTTTTTGAGTGTGTTCTTTCCATTTTGCAAAATCGACCATCAGAGGGCAGATGGGTTTTGTTGAAACCTTGTAAATATAGGCGATAAGATTTTATCTTGTTCTCAGAGTTCTGATAATTGTAATTTAGGTAGGACCATTAGGACATGATTTTGTGCCGGATATCGTGCTGTTTGTTTATAAACCTGCCAAGTACATCACTCATTTGATGTAAAGTAGAATTCATAAGCGTCTCTTCAGATAATAAGTGACGTACGTACAATGAACTTTTAGAAAATAAGAAATTTTGGTCTTATTATCTCTGTATAGCGATAAGAATGCGGAGAGAGGGCAAACATTCTTGATTTGTGGTCATGGGCAACGAGGCCCCGTCTGGAATGTTTCGTCGGCATGCGACCAGCACAAACGTATATGAATTTCTGCAAATGTGTTCAATTCTTAGTTATAATGTTGCTCTGAGTGACTGTTATCAATGGTTAGTTGGAAATAAATAATTGTCAATGGTGCGTCTACGAGTTGAGTGAAGATTTGTTGTCCCAAGCTTTGTTCAAGTTAGCAGTAAATATGCTCTTAGACTTATGATTTCGGTCGTATCAATAGCACCGGCCAATTCTTATCTGACAGCAAAGCTACTTATCGGATGTGGGTCTCTGATTATACTGTTTTATAGACTTCCAGGTGACAGTTGACATGCCGAGTCTTAATTTCAGTTGGCTATTAGGGCTGGGAGATCCGCACTCTATTTTTACTAGTTGCATACAACCGTTGCGGATTTTGATTACTCTGAAGCAGCATTTGTAACAAATATCCATAATTAATGATCAAATTTAAGTATACCGTATATCTCCTTGTTGCTGGTTGCTCCAATTTCGACTGTACTGTCCGTGCTGGCCGTATTGAGATTGACCGTACTGCTCCGCCTGCACATTCGACACATTCTTTTGAACATCTTCTTGCGCTATTAACTGTACAGGCTCATATGTGGTCTGCTGAGCGTGGCGTGGCTGGCGAGCCTGCCAGGGCAAACGATATCGTACTCGATCCCATTTAAATCGTGCATAAATTGCAAAAAGAGCTGCTAGTATACCCAATGCCAAATAGACGCCTCCAAATGCCTTTTTGCGGAGCTGACAGAATGGGAAATATGCATCACTCGAAAGGGCTCCTGCTGTAACGCCACCAGCGCGCACCATGACGCTCATTGCTAGAATGAGCAATTCCAAGGGCGTACCAGGGAGTATCAGGCTCCAGGGAAGAGCGAGATAGATGTATAAAATCAGCGACGCCACCCACATGTTTCCGTTGCGTAGAGGTGAGAGATAGTATAGCACCAGAGTGAAGGTCACGCATGCCAGGGCTAGGGCTAGAAACCCTCCGGCAAGAAGAATCCATGGGTTTCGAATCCGGAAGTAGGAGGCTGCGAGCATCCAGAACCCCATAATAGCTACCGGCAGAGTGGGATAGACCCATAAAGAGATATTCCATCCAGAGACGGTAGGGTCGCCTATGCTGTCGGTGGTGACGTGACATGCTTTATAGATGGTCATACAAGTAGCGACGATTGTCAGCGAGTCGACAACCAGCGCTCGCATCACCTGCATTAAAGCCATCGGTCGTCGTTGCTCTTCACTGTCAGGATGGAACCCATGGTAGTAAATCTTTGCCATTTCGTGGGTTTCTTTATGATGATAAAATGCATAAACAGCAGCCACACTGGGCAGACTGATTCGAAGACATTGCCATGAGATAGCATTGATGTAGGCGCGAAAGCCGAATTTCCAAGTTTTTGGAATATCAATCAGCCACCAAGTAACATTGACGGTGATGAAGGTGATGACGAGCGAAGCCCAGTCCAAGGCCGTAGCATCGCATTTCTCATAATCGGGCACATAATCGGAGTCAGACATCTTGGTGGCCCTTACTCCCCCCGTCCATCCGTATCGCGAGTCGCATCAATTTACGATCGTTGATGTGCACTTTAGGATCAAGGTTTTTTTTTGAAATATTCACTCCCATGCCAACTCTGCCCCATGAGGAGCAGCACGCGGCAGAATACGAGGCAACAAGACATTATAGTGGCCCGTGCCAATCGCGAAGATCGCTAGCGTGTGCATTTCAGCTTGGCTTGTGTTGTGGACAATTCATCGATCTGATTTCATGTATGGTTATTGATTTATTATTCGACCATGTTCAAGACTGAAGGTGTACGGCCACCACTAGTATTGTTGGTCGCGGTAGGGCGCGAACACAGTGTTCCATTTATTTGATCCATGTCAAACAACATGATGTTGAAACTTTAAATGTCGCATAGATTCGCATGGGCAGTTAGAGTGCTTATCGATATCAACAGTTGCTTAGCGGCGATCGAAAATTAATAGACCAGGGCCCTCTATTTAGACCTAGAGATTCTTGTTAAAATCGTGGGTTCACAGAGTTAGAGCATGTTCATGACTCATAGTTAGAAGTGATTACAGACTAGGTAGTAGTACTAAGCAATGCGGACAAGCTCCTATGATTGATCGCTGCCCGGGCTTCGGACTCCGAAGAATGACATATCGGCCTTACCTAACAGCGTGAAACACCAAGGCTGCTCAGTGCTCGGACTTGTCTATGAAAATAATGTAACAGTGAAAAAGAAAATGGATCCGTGTGGAATCCTCTTACATCGACGCTTTAGAATCGTTAAATCTGAGGAATCCTATGCAACGGGCCAGATTTCCCTTTTCGATCATATCAAGACCTTTTCGCAAGACACAATAGTATCGTTGTCTCCGTGCCACGCTTTTAACTTCTCCAGGGCATTGTATCGCTCAGATAACCGGTTATGTTTCACACATTACAGCAACCCGGAATTTTTCCAGCGATAACTAACCTACCTTTGTCTGAGAATCCATCTCCCCGTATATCGTCTCTTGTACCTCAAGTATCGGATCAAACGCTAGAACAGGATCAGAACTACGGAATCTTTTCTGTATATATCTACAACTTACCAAACCCATTTGTCCCTCCTTGGGATACAATTCTATCTTCAGTGTGTCCTTGAAATAAGACAGGCTCAGTCCCTGGGCCAGCGGAAAGGCATGAGTACAGACAGCACTGCTGTTTTGTCCTCATACGCTGCTAGAAGATGACGAAGCCCGGCATTCCCTATTGCGAAATAAAACCACCGTCTATCAGTCATGGAATAGACCTTTTGTCAGAATAGCTCTCATGTTAATATTTCGCCACGTACATATAAGGACCCAGCAGCCCATTCAAGGCATGGAATGCTAGAGCACTGTCCTCTGTTTAGACGGGGCATTTATCTGTATACCATACGATTCGGAATTAAATGAAAATTAGAAGTCTAGCTGGCTAGAGCTAAGCGGAGTAGAAAAAGTGAGGCTATGGGACATCTCATACCACAGTAGCTGTATTGCGATACTTGTCGCGTGCTATCTTTAAAGAGCCCTAATTTCCGGAATTCCATGAACATGACACTGTCGGAGTTGTACTACACTTTCGAGAATAGCTTCAAACTTCAGAAAATTTCCATGCATTACCGGTAGCGAAAGTACGTATTGGTAACTTGATAGGAAAATGGGTTTGGAATGCAAGGGATGGATTCGAGAAAACCAACAGCCAGCCACTGTCCACTGTCCATTATAGGCTCGGATCGCAGCTGACAACAGACCAACCTACAGCAACTAATTAGGTTATCGGCCCCAATATCGGGGCAATCAGCGCTCGGCATGTGTAATACTCCGCGTGGATGGAGGGGCAGACTAATCATAATACGTAACTTAGTACTAGTTAGGACTGATAATAACAAACTAGAACTGTCTGTCAGCGCTACTTTTTGTTTCTCGAATGCCGTTAATGTCAGCTGTTTTAATTCCCGAACGTCTCCCGATATTCTCAAAATCGCTCGGGTTTCGATCCCGTCAGTTCATTCAACTTCATGATTCTTCAATAACTATCAGACGTCCTAACTAAACGAGAGAGCCATCACGATGGGGAGAACAATCCGCATTCTGGGCCTGCACGGCTACGGAACAAGTGGCGCCATCTTTGAATCACAGACTGGCAAGTAAACAATAATGCAAAAAAATCTGTAGGAAATTAACTGGTTCTTCGCATGAATAGCTACATTCCGACAGCATCTCAACAAGGGAGACCCGTATAATAGCGGAGATAAATTCGAATTCGACTTTGTTGACGGTCCCTTTCCCTCAGGCCCCGCAGCTGGCATTGAGCTGTTCTATAACCCTCCGTACTACTGCTTCTGGCCAATCAATCACACTCTAGACGACATCGCCGCGGGCCGCAAGTGGCTGTACGATTACATCCATAAGAATGGACCGTACGATGGGGTGATCATGTTCTCTCAGGGCTGCGTACTCGGCTCGGTGACCCTACTACACCATTTCAAAGACACGCCGACAAAACCTCCGCCCTTCAAATTCGCGATTTTCGTCTGCGGTGGACCACCGCTGAAGGAGCTGGAGGATAACCTCGGATTCACGGTGCCGAAGGAAATCTGGGCGCTGGATTTGGCATCCCGCAAGGCTCTGGCGCAACGGGCTGATACAGCAGCCATCCTGGCCCGGGGCTCTGATCGATGGCAAAACGATCTGCAGGATCTCACGGACCTGACCTCTGAGGAGTTGGCAGAGCTGATCCATGGCCCAATTCAAATGAATATTCCGACAGTACATATTGTTGGCGCGAAAGATCCGCGCAATTTCTCTGGGTATCAGCTTCATGCGTTGAGTCACCCGGATGTGCGCAAGATATACGAGCATCATGGTGGCCATGATATTCCTAGAGATGTGTCGACGAGTACGACGATTGCAAGCTTGGTTCGATGGGTTTCTTCACCGCTTACGGCGGCGAAGTTAGGACAGAATGGGGCTTGAGTATAGTATCTCGGTTTGGTATAAGTCATGATTTCAGGATAGACTAGACATTTGCGGGCATGCATGTGATTTTTGGTTTTTTCATGGCACGGATTTGGCTTTTTTTTTTAATAACATGGCCGAGATTTGACTTGGTGGCGAATTACATGTATGGAAGATGTGGCATCATATTATATTTACATACAACATTCAAATGCTGAATGGTCCCATCGATTTCGGAGAAAGGTATTGTTTCTGAATTCAATTTATTGATGATTCCCACTAGTGTCACCTATGTAATCATAATGAAATTGTTAATGTGTCACAACTATTCGAAAGCATTTCCATTTTTCTTGGACGGGAATAGACTGTTACCATTTATTGCATGATGTATCACCTCAAGAATTGCCTCCTCTTTTCAAAATGTTCTCGCCTAAAATGGGACTGCATTAGACCGTTGCCAAACCCGTTTCTCTATCTTCCATTATTCGGATAGATTCAATATTTGACTCGGATATGTGATTATTGGGCTCTTGATATTTGCCAGTGGCCGTCTTTTCGCGGGCTTCACTGTATTGTTCTTCAAGCTAAGGAAGGCTTTGTTGGTATTATCCCTTGTCACAATCACTTTCACGGTACTCTGCATTGAAACAACTGGCTTGACAGCTAGAATTACGACTCTTCTGCTACTATTCTTTGAAGGCACCTTCCGTCCTCTTGTCGTTGCAATGGAAGTGCGTGGCGCAGGACACTATACGAAAACAGCTGCTAGCCTGTTGGGAGTTGCTAATATTGGTGTAGCATATGGGCCAATTGCTCAAGATGCTGCTATACCGGTCTATAACGAATTCTATGCTTGGTTTGTTATTGTTATAAATTTCTATATTGGAATCATCTTCCCTTACCTGAATTTATTCCCAAGGCAAAGAAGCGGATTGACCCACTGTATGATTGATTTGATCTGGGATATTGTTTGTTGATATGATATCGAAACTTTTCCGTGTCGGCATATGCCCGATGTCGGATGCGATGTGACATCGAAAACTTCCATATCGCTAAGGGATTGATAGAGAGCATTCAGGACTCTCACCAGTCGTTTGGGACACCAAACAACGCCAGCTATTCGTGCATGATGTATGGCACATCTTGACCGATGCACTAAAGTCTTTAGGTCTCTTAGCAGTCACTCTATGGAGATATGAGATGCGACAACAGCGCATGTTATTCAACTGAGATTAAAAGACCTTCTTGATAAGACGGAAGCGAACTCAACGAATGAGAAAGAAGAGATGGAATGGACTCGCCTCGGTTCATGCTCATAATATGTCAATCTATGGCGCAGCTTACGCGAAAGACGATCAATGAGCTTATCCAAGGTGGTTGTTATATGAACTATTAATTACCTGAAGCACCAGGGGCAAACGCTTTTGGTGCACTGGTAAAATTTTCGAATTACATCAATTGTTATGTAAAAATAATCAAATTGCCAATCTGTTATAACTATTCGAAAACAGCAGTGTTGAACTGCGACCAACAAAGCAGACACGAACCAGTCTTCAAGTGCCACCATAGATAGCAATGTGTTGAACATATACTTCTTCCTTCTCCCTCTTCTTCAAAATACTCATTTCATCTCCACGCTAGGAGACGTCAAACGCGATTCCGCATCTTGACCAATCAACGCGCCACCGCTCTTCCCGTTTCCAATCCCAAATGCACGTTTCGTGGCTTTCCAACTCTCAATAAGGGCCAGATACACAAGAACACAGCCAAAGACAACCCCCCATTCCCAAGTGATAGCTTGGTGTTTGAAAACGGCCCTGTTGATCACGGGGAGATATACAATTGGGAAAGCCATAACAAAACCTGCAAACACTGCCCAGAAGAGAAACCGGTTTCGCCATAGCACAGGAAATATGGAAAATGGACCGGGATAGCGGTTTGGGTCGAAGTGGAAGAGGGAGCGTGAGAAATGTTTGACTTCCCAAGCCGTTACAAGAAGCAGGAATGTCAAAGTGGCATAGGTACAAGCTCGCCCTCGAAACACATTGTGGCAGGTCTCATTAAAGCCTTGGTTGCAGTTGATTCCCAAATCGCCGGACCCAGGGCCGTACACTACCGAGACAAAGGAAACTAGGCAAAGGGAACCCATTGAAATTCCATAGATCAACTGGTCCATTATAAGCTCATTTGTAAATACTCCAGCTTTGTGATTATGAGGTGGACGGAGCATTATGTCTGGCTGTGCTTCTTCTAGTCCGAGGCCGATGGCAAGAAACGATGAAGTGATCAAGTTTGTCCAGAGAATCTCGAGAGGCGAAAGCGGGAATACCGAATTATCCTGATCATCTTTAAATGCCAGTGCAGTCAAGAGCAAAATAACCTGAGCTGCATTTGAGGCAAGAAGATGAAGTAGAAACTATTCGAAGTTAATGAATTTATATTTGAGCCCAAATCAGAGGACAAACCTTCTGAATGTTGTCGAAAAGCCTTCTTCCCTCTTCTATAGCCTTAACAATCGATGCAAAGTTATCATCAGTCAATACCAAATCCGAGGCTTCCCTGGCTACATCACTTCCAGCTTTGCCCATGGAAATTCCGACATCAGCGCGGCGAAGTGCTGGGGCGTCATTTACACCGTCTCCAGTCATGGCAGCAAACGCACCCCTCCTATGCATCGCCTCTAGCATGCGTACTTTTGTTGACGGGCTGCATCTTGCAATCACCAGTGGGAGAGTCGCCATTGCATCAATTTCCACGTCGCTAAGCTTGTCGAAGTCGGCTGCAGTCATAATGGCAGTTCCATGCTTTCCGGAAGGCATGCATTTACCCAGAATGCCCACTTCATAGGCAATCGCTGTTGCCGTATGAATGTGATCGCCTGTCAGCATATGAACGGAGATGCCGGCCATTTGTGCCTTTTGAACTGCATCAGCTGTTTCCGGTCGAGGAGGATCACGAATACCAACTAGGCCTAAGAAACCCAGATTAGACTCGGCACCGTTTCGTTGCATAAGATTCTCAGTGCTCTGCGTTTTTAGAGCTTTCTGTGCCACACAGAGAACGCGAAGCCCTTCTCTGGCCATGTGATCAGCCATATCGAGTATTCGGGCTTTCACATCAGTGGTGGCTGAGATAACAGACAGCATGTTTTCGGTTGCCCCTTTAGCGTAGACTTCATACATATCAGAATGAGAATTGTGATAAACGGCAGTCATTCGTTTTACGGAGGAATCGAAAGAGTGTTCGGTAATAAGTCGCAGATTTCCTCTTGCTAGCAATCCCTGTTTGCCACATTGAAGCTTCACAGCTAGAACCTGTAATGCAATCTCTGTTGGTTCTCCAATAGCCGTCCAGTTTTCCTTAACAGATGGACCATCGGCATCACGAACAACAGTGGAGAGATTGCAAAGAGCGATAGCAAAAAGAAACGGCTTCATTTTCTCACTAGCCACCGGCGACTCAGAGAGTGGCTTCCCGTTGATTCTGGCAACTCCGCTGGTCGGGTTAAAGGGATCCTGTGTATCTTCAATTTTAAGGGTGCCAATGTCAGGGATCCAAACCTCGTTTACCGTCATTTTCCCCTGCGTCAGTGTTCCTGTCTTGTCGGAACAGATATGTTGGACACCGCCAACTGCCTCTAGAGATTGCAATTTCCGTACAATAACATTCCCCTTCGCCATCGCTTTGGTCCCAACGGCAATGGTGATGGTGAGCACGGCAATAAGCGACTCTGGGATAACGGCTACGCCAACCGAGATTCCATAGATGAGTACTTCACCTTTCAAATCCCATAAGGCAACGGAGAAAACTACAATGACTAACAGGATAGCTAGAGCAAAGAGGAACAGAGCAAACTTGCTCAATTTTATCTGAAGCGGAGTACCAACTAGACCCAGAATATTCAGGAGACTGGTTTTGATTTTGAGGGCGAAGCCGGTCGTCAGATTTGAAGGTGATGGATAAGTGCTTTGGCTACGAAGAAGCTTCGCAATCTTTCCAACTTCAGTCATCATTCCAGTGGCCACTACTATCCCTTTTGCTCGACCACGTACTACGGTGCTTCCTGAATAGACCATATTGACACGATCACCAATAGGAATGTCCGGGAAGATCAACACGTTGTAAGGGTTCTTCGTGATAGGTAAAGACTCTCCGGTAAGCAAAGCTTCATCAGCCGCAAGATTCATTCCCTCAAAGAGCCTAAGGTCGGCAGGGATTACATCTCCCACAGACAATTGTACAATATCACCGACGACGAGAGTCTCTGCTTTTGCGGATGATAGCTTACCATCTCGTATGATTTTACATACGGGAGCTGAGAGCTGCTGTAGAGAGTGTATTGTTTTCTCTGCTCGAAAGTCCTGCACAAATCTAGACGCAGCTATTAGATCAGTATACATTACCTGGGTCTTAATCACGCACCCAACTATAATGTTCAAGATAATGACACCGCATATCACACCACCTTCTATATAATCAGAAATGCCAAAGGATAGGCACATTGTGAGTAGCAGGACCTGTGCATCGGAATTTAGCTTTGGTGGTGTTCATGAGAAGACTGGCATGCGAGCGGACCAAAGTCAAACTGTTGGTAACCTGCCTTAGCAGAATTTCCCACATGGGTACCCCTTTATCTGCCTCAATCTTGTTAGGGCCAATCTGCTGAAGGCGAGCAGCGGCCTCGTTTTGAGAGAGGCCATTTCTAACATAATCAGTATGAGGAGTTGCGCTAGCGATACTTGATACGGGGTTGGCCTTACCTCACGTCTACACCGAAGAATCGAGAAACCTGTTTCGATGTGAAGATATGGGCATCGATGTGATGTTCATCCCAACTACCTTGTATTGGCTGCTTCTCCTCGAAAGAACCATCTAAATTTCTCTCTGGATTCGAAGGCTCTTCATTGAAACCCGGAAGGTAGACAGGTTTTTTGGAGTTTTCCTTGATGAGACTACATATAGGAGGCTCGGTCGATTCTTCGACATCCAAACAAGAATTCTCAATGCCCATCCAATATGAATGTGCACCTTTCGGGTGACGGAAAACACGCAAGTTGGAGTAAAAGGATAAAGTGCGTTCTTGGAATGGATAAGGTAACTGAAGTTACGATGAAGGAGCAATCCAAAGAAAACCAGGACTGAGCTGTCTTCCTAAGGTGTCATACGTATATATCCTGTTCTTGTAGCACTGCCTCACATGCTCTTGGCAGTATGAGGGGTTCTTGTAACCTGGAAGATGTCTGTACTTGATTCTCATTGATTGGCTGGGGAGAAGCTCACTTAGAGGGACCCCACATGCCTCCAGATGCCGTTGGCTCGTGGCTCGGCCAGCGCTTTTTCTTGCTTTATGCTGACGTTGCGCTTCCAGAATTGGCCATTGGTGCATTTGACGTGCCAAGATACCGATTTCCAAAGGACATCCGGTCGTGCCGTTACTCAAATGGGATGATTTTAGGATAGTCTCCCTATGGAGAGTCGATGATATAATTCATTCGTGCATTGATAAGGATGGTACGTCTATTCACCAAGAAACAAGAATTGCTGGCTATCTGACAGCATTCTCATGATTGGGCTAGAGTCCTGTACACCCGAGCTATTGATTGACAACATTGTCCACGTAGATGGCAGTATCGTGTGTTGGAAATTGGGCTGTTGTTACGACCGTTTCTGCCCAGGGAATTAAGTGAACTCTATGCACCAGGCTTTGACTGGTCACACATTATCTCGGTGGTCTGGCCCAGTCGGGATGTACACTGTACGAGTATTGGGATGCCAGTCCAAAAGATACAGCTTCTGTCGTAGCGAACAGCTGTTAAATTGTTTCTTCATATTGCAGAATATAATTAGAGTCGAAGCATCCGACTGCGATAATGACCAGGAGGAAAGTACAGCGTGAATGTAGAGATGTAGAGGAAGGCGCTGTAGAGCCGGGCCAACCAATCAGGTGCTTCCCCGCACAAGCTCCGGCGGAGGCAGAAAAATCCAAGCAGAAAGATTCACACAACCCATTCGCTCCTCCCTACCATCACGCGCCTCTTTGTCGCCAATCAAGCACAACATACATCAATGGCAGAGCCTATCGCGAGTCTGTCGCCGTTGAGCCGGTCGGACGGGTCTGCCGCTTACAACTGTCCCGCGTCCGGCTTTCAGATCCTGGCCGCTGTCACAGGCCCCGTCGAACTGCCTGGTCGCCGCGATGCCCAGAAGCCTGAAGAGGCTACGCTGGAAGTATTGGTCAAGCCTGGCACAGCCCAAGGCGCTATTGGAGAAAGATATGTCGAGGACATCTTGAAGACTCTACTCGGCAGAGTCGTCCTGGGAAGGGACAAGGGATTTCCGAGACGAGGGATAGTGATCACTTTGCTGGTTCTTGGGGGCTCGGGCGGTGGGAAAATCCAAAGGGGTGAATCAGTAAGCTTATTCGTTGACTTGGATTTGATATTGGCTAATTGTGATGCTTGTACTAGTATCTGCCTATCCTGCCTGCGCTACTCCATGCCGCACTCCTCGCCCTTCTTTCTGCAGCGATCCCCATGTCTATGACGTACACCGCAGTCGCCTTAGCTGTGACCAACGCAAATCAAATAGTTCGTGACCCTTCGCCCAGTGAGTGCAAAACAGCAAAGTCGCTGCATACCCTTGCATTCTCCTCCAAGGGCCATCTGCTTTTGAATGAAAGCCAGGGTAGTTTTGACTTTGACACGTGGGATCTGGTATATGACCGTGCATATTCCATTTGCAGGGGAACAAAGGTTTCGGGGGCAGATGGTGATGTTGCAATGGGCGAGAAGCCTAGCTTGGAGAGTGTCATCCGAGAAGTGGTCGAGGATAAAATCTATAAGGATTACGCGTGGGCGATTGATGCAGCCTGATGTTTTTATCCCGGGGTCTTCAAAAGCCACAAATGACAAGATTTGTTCTAGAACGCACGGGAACGTACCTGGTGTCAGCTCCCTATTTGACTATCAGAGTCCTCTGCAGAGCCCAGACTGGAGGCTTCAGAAGGACAGTCTGATACAGCGGCAAGCCAGCCGGGGCGCCTGATATGAGTGACATACAGATGGCTGGCTAACGCTCTGCCGGGGAGTGCAAGCCGGCGTCTCGGGATATTCTCCAAATAGCAAGCGTGGGTTTATAGATTATTAGGGCAGGTTATTGCAGGAGCTCCCAGGGGCAAAAGCTACAACCTGCATCGGCTCAGTTGTCACTGTACCTATAGACTAGAGTGTCAGGCCAATCGTCCCCTTACTTTACATCAAACGAATAGATTCTTCCAATGATAAAATACTGAATTCTCTTCATGGTAGATTGCAGCTCTCTAGCTCGCGTCAGAGCTGAAAGTTACGATAGCGATCTGAAACTCCAGCCTACGTCAGCCCAGTCATTATTGCCTGCGCCGGCGCTTCAGGCTACGCGATGATCTAGGTCTCAGTATCATACACAACCTGCTACGTGTGTTTGAGCTGGCCATCGAAAATAGACATTAATAGATTATAAGCTCTTGACTGATGTAAAATGCCTGCATCCCGTCGGGAAGAGTTGCAATTCAATATTTTCAGCGCTGGCAGCTGATGACAAAATAACCAATTCGCTCTTTGTTGTATTTTCTTTCTTTCTTTTTTATTTACTAAAAAGATTAATAACTGCTGGCTTCCTCGAAAAGTCACTCGTGATAATATTTCGTCTTTTGCTGTCTGGAACCCCGCAAAATCCCCCGCTGCGTCCACTTATTAATCGATCCGGCTCATCCGTCAAATCGGCAGCCTCACCTCTCTTCCCTGTCGGTCGCTGCATGAACGCGACATATCGACAGCCAGCCACTACGATATCAAGTTTGCACAGACGAATTGACACGCCTGGTGAGCACACGTTCACAGCAATCAGAGCAGTCAGATCAATCCAGCTGCTGACTTAGCTGTCCCTCCATTGATAGGCACAAGGTTTTTGCGCCGACTCGCATTGACGCAGCCCTAGAAAGCGCCAGAAAGTTACCGACAACGACAACAACATTTCACCATGTTCACCATGTTCACCCTTTAAGCAGAATCCCTTGGAGCTTGTTAGCGAGCTCGATGCTAGCGACAACCTAGCCTAGCTGCTGACAAACAACATCAGTCATCAGTCGTCGTCCACCGTCCTCCGCACATATGCTGCGGTGGCATTTAATATTGTCATTTATCAATAGCCACACGCCTCTGCTCGGACGCGAACAGTGAAGACTTAATACTGAACACTGAACACTGAACTGGTGAAGGGAAGAGGTTACCTCTGGCTCGTATTTAGTTTACTGGGCTATTATTCCGCAGTTTAACTCCGATGGCTACGGCCCGGGACGATTCGTCCGCCAACGCCGGTATAAGGACGCTTATGCCCGCCCCAACTGAGATGCCTGCGGCTTTCACTCACCCCATTCTATCTCCGTCAACCTCTGCAAGTGAAGCTGCATCTCCTGCAGAGTCTGCCAGCAAGAGGCCCTCACTCGCCGTTCTCCAGCCTTCCAAGGACGCGGGTGAAAAGGCGAGCGCGTTTCTAGCCTCGCGCGGCCCCTCCTCTGTGTCATCCGTCGGAGGGTTACTCCTCCGGGATTATGCCCGCACTGTTGACCCTTCGTCTGCAGACCAGGACATTCATGTGAGGGAGCATTCGGTCGTCGAGGCCCGACCCGTGGACAGTGTCCATCAACAGGTTGAGCGTTTTCCTCCTGTGGAAGAGTCGGCGTCGCAATTATCGACCGCGGCTATTGCGGGACTGCGTTCCAGATCCTTCTATCAGCGACGGAGGAGCACTTTGTTAATAGACTCGATCCCACGTCAGACCATCATGAAGGCTCTCGCTTCAAGATCACCCAGAGACCTCAATACGCTGGCCCTACCCCAGACTTCATCGTTAAATGGGGTCTTGAATAGGTCTAGCCAAGGCAACAGCGAGTCCACCAACGCACCACAGAGGGAGCGTACGAGTAGCAATGTGTCAGGTCAGAAATTGTCTGACGCATTGTCGGGCCTACAGTTAGGCATGGCTACGGAGAAATCCTCACCAACCGCTCGTCTCGCCTTGCAATCGCCTTGCTTTTTCCATCAGCGCTTTGAGGAACTTGTCAACATTCAGAAGGTGCTCGAAGAGATAGCCGACGATGAGTGGCTTTCACATTCCCGACTAGTCCAGACAGCAACGGGAGTCAGAGAAGTGTCGAAGCAGCTTCAGCGGCGGCCTATCAAACGGGCTGTCAAGACTGTTATGATAGTCACAAAAGCGCGGGACAACCGTCTCGTTCTGCTGACTCGTGAACTAACAGAGTGGCTACTGAGCTCACCCCGATACGGGCGGGATGTAGGCGTCAATGTCTATGTAGACTCGAAACTGCGCAACTCTAAAAGATTCAATGCTCCGGGGCTCTTAGCCAAAGACAGTCGATTCGAAACCATGCTGAAATACTGGACTCCAGACATGTGTTGGACGTCGCCGGAGAAATTCGACTTGGTTCTTACTCTAGGTGGTGATGGAACTGTCCTATTCACGTCATGGCTATTCCAGCGTATTGTGCCTCCGATTCTCTCCTTTTCATTGGGAAGTCTGGGCTTCCTCACCAATTTTGAATTCGAGAAATATAAAGAACATCTGAATCACGTGATGGGTGAAGGTGGTATGCGCGTGAACTTGCGTATGAGGTTTACCTGCACTGTATATCGGGCTGACCGAAGTAAAGGCGCTACGCCTGGCGACATGGTGGAAGGGGAGCAATTTGAGGTGCTCAATGAGCTAGTAATAGATCGAGGGCCATCACCCTATGTCTCGAATCTAGAACTGTATGGAGATAACGAGTTGTTGACTGTTATCCAGGCGGATGGTTGTATCTTTTCAACACCCACAGGTAAGATATTCAGCATGGGCTGTTCTTTCTGCGCAACCCGCTAACTGTTACGAATCAGGCTCAACTGCGTACTCGCTCTCCGCTGGTGGTTCTCTGATTCACCCGTCGATCCCCGGCATTCTATTGACGCCGATTTGCCCCCATACCCTATCATTTCGACCAATGGTGCTGTCAGACACCATGCTGCTGCGTATTTCAGTGCCTGACCTCTCTCGCTCAACAGCCTACTGCTCTTTCGACGGCAAGGGACGTGTTGAACTGCGACAAGGCGACTATGTCACCGTCGAAGCCAGCCAGTATCCTTTCCCAACAGTAGTCTCTGGCGGTGTCGAATGGTTCGACAGCGTCCGTCGCGCTCTCCGATGGAATGTGCGTGGCGCAGTCCAAAAGGGCTGGAGCGGTGGCGACGGCGAATATGCCGAGACCGGCGGCGCAGATGACGACGCCGAGTTCGACATCGACTTTGACAGCACGCCGGCCGGCACAGACAGCGGCATTGGGCCGAGTGAAGACGGCGATGCATACGGCGCGGGCACGGGTACGGGCAGCCCGATGCGACGACAAATGAGCTTATTGAACATGTAACGATACCACACGCCTTTTTGGGAAGAGGCTTAGTTAACATAGCGATTGGACGGTGTAATAGAAGATTGACTTATGAACAGGGTAGAATACCTGTGAGGTTATGACTAGGTTTCGGCTTGCTTACAGAATCCTTAGATAGAGCTAACGAATACACGAACACTATGTACTTTCATTCTCTTAATTACTTTTCCTAACTTGGAATTGATGTATCAGATGACCTCAAGGCAATTATAACCTTATTCACTTAAGTCTAGTCCATGTATTGAAGCTACACAGTGGCAAGGTCACATGCGCGAATCCATAATGCTATACTTAACATGAGCAAGCTGACAGACGCGTCAATTGCCCCAAGTTTATATACCTGCTTTTCTTGGCGACACCACATCAGCTGATTTTAGCCGCTGCATTTGCTACTGCGTCAACCGGGGGAGGAGAGGCAAAAGGTGGTGATTTCAGGCCGGAATTCCATGTCCATTGAATATGCTTGGTGATCGGAAGAAGCCGATCGAAAATATTCAATAGAAAAGTGTTTGGGTTTAAGCTGGGAAAAAATAGCATGAAGAATATGGTGTCATTTTGTTTCATTCACAGGAACGTAGAAATTGAGTTTAACCCCGCCATTTTCTCGGGGTGGACTCGGGATTTTTCACATCCAAGCTCACTAGTTATAACATTTTGAAGTGTTCACTAGTTTGTCAGCTACCTGTCATTAGCTAATAGAACTGCTTGTTGGCGCCTTTGTTGGCTTTCTTATTTACCCTGGATACATGCCTTTTTCTTTAATATTTTCATTCTTTTTACTTTCCTTTATTACTATACAAGCCTTTGTTCAAGATGGTAAGCGATCGTGAAACAGAAACTTGACCCGCCGCACATGCTAATATTGTCTAGCCCCACGCCGATTCTTCGTACTTTGCTGCAGGGTCCTCGAAGGATCAGGTCTACGAACAAGTACTGGAGCAGGCGCAAGGGTTACTAGCTGGGCAGCGCAATTGGGTATGCAACGTTGCGACTCTACAATTTTACAGGCTGGTTGATGGCTAACACATGGAATGGAATAGGTGAGGTGAGAAGTCTCGCCAACCGCGACAAACACACACACACATACGACGAGACGGTTCCTGCTAACGATAAGACTCAGCAACCTCGCAAATGTAGCATCCCTCCTCTGGCACGCATACAAATCTCTCCCCCAACCATCGTCATCTGTCAATTGGGCAGGCTTCTACGTGCGCGATGACCGATTCCCTGTGCTCGCCCTGCCGCGACGATCCGACAGTTTAACGACTATAACGACAATTACCACGAGTTATGCATCGGACGAAGAAAAGACGCTTCTCCTCGGCCCATTCCAGGGTAAGCCGGCCTGCCAGGAGATCAGGTTCGGACGAGGGGTGTGCGGGACGGCGGCGCTGAAGAAGGAGACGGTCGTTGTGCCAGACGTGCTGGAGTTTCCGGGCCATATTGCGTGCGACGCGGATAGTCGCAGTGAGATTGTTGTACCGATTCTGTTTGATGGCGAGGTATGTATTATAATCATTCAGAACGGGTGACGGATTGCAGGCGCTGACGGGTTAGACGGTCGCTATCATCGATATCGACTGCACGGAGCCCAATGGCTTCGATGATGTTGATAGGAAGCATCTGGATGAACTTGCAGATCTGCTTTCGCGTAGCTGCGACTGGTGAGCGATATAAAGGATGTTTTGGAGTTATAGTTGTGTGGGTGATATATCATATGGGAGACGAAGGGATGCGAATGTCACGTGTACATGTATAACTATACAAATGAATCAGAATCGGCGGCACATTCAAAAGGTTCATCCGTAATGATCGGAGAGGCGCATGCTTATCGAGGCTGAGCATCTCGTTTAAGCAGCCGAGTGTAACGCAGACAGCCGGTAGCCAATCAGCAGCCCTTATTCCACCACTCCGCCCCAGCCGTAACGACCGATTTCTGTACGAAAATTACGGTGCTGATACGTGTCGATACAATACGGCACCTGAGGCTCACCTATTTAGACCGCACTCGCCACCCTCCTTCAAACTTCTCTCTTTCCTCTCCCCAACTTCATACCCCATTTTCATCAACTTGTCAGCGTTGATAGCGTTGACACGTTGACAGCGTCCAGCGCAGGACCTTAGTCCTGCCGTCCCCCGCCTCAAAGGCGCCCTCTTAAAAAGCCCTCACAATCCAATCTACATGGTCAGCGGTTCCTCCGGAGTCCCCTGTCCCACCATGGAATACAACCTCTTCTACCAGCCAAACCGGCGTGACGCCATCTTCGGCTCAGGATTTGTGGCGTGGTAGTGATATCAATCGACAGCCGTCGTTTATTGATATCTGCTTCGAGCACAACAACATCAACCCCCATACCTCTTCCTCTTCTCATCATATACCCGCCCGCGATTCATCATGGGCGAATGCCGCCCAAGTAGAGTCACTGGAGCAACTTTTGCCTACGTATTTCGACTTTGATTTATTCCTAGACCCGGCTTCTGCTGGTCTTGACTCGTCTTCATCTTCTCATACCCCCTCGACCACTTCGCCCAATCAACTCGACTTGCCGCTTGATCTCCCTTCGCACGAATTTGACCAGCCCTGGCTGGCCGGGCAAATCGACCTGGGCACGATTGGTGTGGGCGAACACGCTGAAAATATGCTTCAACCACGTCTACACCCGACGACAACAGGGCCGATGGCCTCGCCACTTGATCTTGTCGGTCTCGAAATGGATCGCTTTACCTCTGCTAGTACTGACACTACTGTCACTTCCATCTTCGACAACAACCCCACCACCACTACATCGCCAATCTCGCTAAAGTCTCGACCCATCCTTGCTCCCAAGCACACGTCTCCAGCAACCTCCTCCTTTTCTGTGTCCCCACCCATCACATTCATTGATTCAAGCACAAAGCCCGCTACAACTGCGAAGCCTGCCCCGAGCAAGAAACGGTCTCGCACCGAATCTTCAATCGCAGGAGACTCCAGTCATAGCGCGCAGGACTCAGAAGACGAGAAGGCGGTGGAGAAGCGTCGACGCAACACCATGGCTGCGCGTCGATTCCGGAAACGGAAACTAGATCATGTTGCCGAATTGGAATCGAAGCTGTCTACGGTGACGCAGGAACGGGATGATTTGAAACTGCAGATTGCCAAGTGGGAGGGTGAGGTTATGGCGTTGAGGAAGTTGTTAGAAAGGAAGGATTAGTTGTAGCTACGAATAAATTTTTTTTTCCACTGGATTATGTTCCTCTCGACGTAAAATCTGCATTTAACAATCACTGGAATAATAACCCATCAATTAGGCAGTATACCAGCACGCACGAGGAATAGTATCACCCTTTTTCCAATTCCATATTCAATGCGAAAGTAATATTCCCATTCTTACATCCACCGATAATCCAAGCTATATACATGCCCACCGCCATAAGACTCATCCTGACCAATAAGTCCAACCCAACAGGCCGAACAGAGAAGAAAATAAACCAGCTAATTGCTCATCGTGATAGAAAATGAGTACAGCAGCGACACTACTTACTATAAAGGCAAAGCCACGCACGTTCGTTGCCCAAAAACTAATCCTATTTACATACATATTTACTTCCTCACCTTAACTCCTATCACACAACACGATACCATCGCTACATATGAATATATCCTAATTGTTCCTCTCCCTCTCTACATATCTCATCACCACGTTTGTTTTGTCCATTGACGAAACCAAAAAAACCAGCATTCTACTATTTTCCCCCCTTGTATCGGAGTATCACATGTAATACAGGTGTCTGAAAAATACAAATCTTACACATACAACTAACCGTCCAATCAGAGTGTGTAGAAGTGAGTCATAATCTGTCATTCTGAGTGCAGTCACTGCGGCCGCCGGATTGGGTTAGAGTGCTCGGGAGTGGAATTGTTAGGTCACGTGAGTGATTATATAACTATGTATGTGCGACAGTGCTGTCCAGGGGATAACGGTGCATAGGGTGATCTAGATTGTGGGGACTTGGCAGATAAATAAACTACGATCTAGATTATGGACACGTGGATAGGTAGAAAAGAATTGATTAACTAATACAGATAATATCTGCAGAAATAGGGTATAGATAACAATGGTCAAAGTATCAACCTGAAAATACCAGCGGACACATGATGAATGAAGCAACATGTGACCGCGAATTACACTCATGCGAGTAGCTACACGACACGCAAGCACTGAAAGAGTTCAAAGGGTAAGAGTTTAAACGGCAGTGCTGGTCGCGTCGGCCTTTTCGATGGCCTTTTCGCTCGGGACGTCTTCAGTGGCGTGCTCGACGTGGTCGCCGCCCAGGGCAACAGCCTTGGGGTCGATCTGGCCTTGCTCCAGCTCGACGACGCGCTTGAAGGCAACGCGGGTCTTCCAGGGAGCGGTACCAATGTATTTAATACCGGCCGGGTCCTCGAACATGGCCTCGGTCTCTTCCAGAGTCTTGCCGGCAGTCTCGGGGAATCCGAAGAAGACGTGGATGGTCATGCAGATGTTGAAAACACCAAAGAGAATGTAGGTCTTGTAGCGGATATTCTCAAAGGACGTGGGGGTGAACAGACCCAGCGCCGTGTTGAATGCCCAGTTACCAGAAGTCGACAAAGCCACACCCTTACCACGGAGACGTAGTGGGTACAGCTCAGGGGGGTAGATCCAAGAGCAAGGACCCCAGGTAGGAGCATACGACGCAACGAAGAGGTAAGTGCAGGCAATAAGCCCCTTAGCAGCGGAACCAGATACTTGCATCGACTCCGCTGCAATATTGTGAACACCACCGGGTACTACAACACCGGTGCCACCCATGATACCGGCGTTTGTAAACATCCAAATGGCCATGAGAATTGAGCCGACCATCATGGTTGGACGACGTCCCCAGCGATCGATGTAGACAAGGGCAGGCAGGGTCATGAGCACGTTAATGATATACTGGATAGACGAAGCCAACAAGTTGGCATTGCCGCTGTATCCAGCCATGCCAAACACGTAGGTGATGTAGTACATCATGACATTCATACCAGTGAGCTGAGACCAGATCTGAGTGAACAGGCCGATCACGGTACGGTTGAGCATATCGGGCTTGAAAAGATCGAAGTAGGTGACATTGGCGTGGCGGCGCTCAAATTCGCACATCTCCTTGATGTCCTGCAATTCAATGTGGACGAAGGGATGGTTGGGGTCACCCTTTCCATGGACAATGGCTAGAACTTGGTGGGCATCCTCCCAGCGGTCCTTGCGGGCCAACCAACGAGGAGACTCGGGCAAGAAAATCATGGCAAAACCAAGACCAACGGCGGGGAGCATCTGGAGACCCCAAGGGACTCGCCAGGCAGCGGTGCTCCAGTTGTCGTTGTCCTGGCCTCCGATGAAGGAGCATCCGTAAGAGATGTAGTACATGATCAGAATACCCCAGGTGATGGCCCATTGCTGCATGCCGACGAGACGGCCACGCTTGGATGGGGGAGCGATCTCAGAGATATAGACAGGGACCTGAGCAGATTCGATACCGACAGCCAGACCGTTGATGACACGGCCAACACAGAGCATGCCGATGTTTTGCGAAGCGCAGATAAGTGTCGAGCCAACCATCCTGCCCAGAATTAGTCGCCAATGCTGCTTAGCTCAAGCTTAGGCGAAACATACCAAATAACACAGCCGATCATAATGGATGTCTTTCGACCAACGCGGTCAGAGAGAGGGCCAGAGATGAGGGCGCCCAGCCACGAGCCAGCAGGCATGGCAGCGGTGATACCTCCCTGATGCAGAGCCGTGGGACCACTGCACTCTTCATCGTCAAATGGAGGACCATGAGGCCCTTGGTTGAAGTAGCAATTGTAAGCGGGCATTGCCAACTGGGCAGACATAGAGGCGATATCAAAACCGAACAGACTACCGCCAATGACGGCGGTAGCCGCGATTGCATAGATGTTGCCGACAACCATGGTGTCTATCAGGTCACCAAAGTCTCCAGAAGGGGCAGTCAGATCAAGGAGAAAGAAAAGAAAGCTTGCGGCGAGACCGACGAGGAGCAAGAGGTTTTAAATAACACAGCTTTTCCAATTTGCATGCGGCGCTGATCACTACCGTTTCCATGCCGATGCTTTCCCCCTCTTTCATTAGTTACTAACGCACAAACTGATTCGGAGAGATGCGACGCTGTAACGAAACAGAGCAGCAGCGGCCCCATGGCACCAGGCTGGTGGATCCGTCACGCAGGCGTTTCTCCAATCCCCAGAGCAGGAATCCCCGCAAAAGAGCGCCGGCTGATTCAAGGCAGCTCGCAAGCAGCCAGGACGCAGTGGACGATGGATGGAAGCCGGCCATGTGGCTCTCCGAATTGGGATGCGGGCCAACCAGGGGCGCGCAATCCAGGGCTTCCCAATGCGTCGTGGGCATTGTCCACATGGAGGCCCAGCGTACGAAGGCAGGGTTGCAATCGGCCCGGACACTACCCCGAGTTGCCTGGTCGATGATTTGGCGGCCGAGGACAGCGCTTGACGCAGGTGGCTCGTTGCACGCAGACTTTTTCCTGCCTTGCGTTGCGTGGTTGGACTAGTCATACCAGTAGTACACGTACTTGGAGCTGGGGAGCGGGAATAACGCACTCGATTGAGTGGGCCGGCACGGCTCAGGCTGCCGCTGTGGTTGGCGGGATGATTCTGCAGATCGTTTCTGAATAGGATGCGGACCAACAGTACCTATGTAGTAACTACATGATGATGGCAATTTGACGGCTCGCTAAAGGCGCTGGTGAGGATCCATTGTGTTATGTACGTTGGAAAGAAACGATGCAGGACGCGGGAGAAAAAGAGAAAAAGAGAGAAAGAGAGAAAGAAAGCAACAAGAGAGGAAGGCGCGATTGGGTGATCAGCAGCGGCGGCGGCAGTGGCACCCCGGCAAAGGCAGTTTCAGTTTCTGAGTTCGCGGAGGAAGTCACGGGAGCGCTCCTACCCTCTGATCCCTCTCCCTGCGCCGTGGCGTGTCTAACTTTTCCTTAGTCGAGCTCTCTCTTGACGTCCAAAAAGCTCCTACGGAATGCTCCCTGTTGGTGCACTGCGACTATTGGCTTTAGGCTACGGCTTAGGCTATGTTCTGGCTGTGGAGCCGCTGGATAGTATTATCCTGTTTTCTCTCACTGGGAATTCACCCGTCTGACACCATGATCATGAAATCTTCCAGAAAAATCACCAGACACGTGTACGATGCGGATAAAGGATGGTGCGAGTGGAATGCTGGCCCACTGCCTACAAATCTCTGCTACGATGGAGCCAGACTGACTATTCCCGGAGGATGAGTGTTTGCGACTGGCAGGAATCCTCCGACCGGCCAGCCCATCGCAATCAACCGCAATCAGGCAATGGTTCGGCGTGGGGACACTAACCGCCTTCGTTACTGTCCGGGGCACTTGGCGGGGAGATGCCCTAAATAGCACAAGTTCAGACGTCCTCTGTCACTGGTACACTGGTTCATATAACTACTACATACACTGGTACAGTAATAATAGGCTTCAGCGGCGCCAACCGCCTCTTCCCAGATTCCTTCACGGTCTAGTTCGTTCGAGAAGGCGAAATTATCGGTCACGTCCAGAATAAGCCCAACAGAAAAACCCTCAGTGGTGTGGCAAGACTTCACTATTGTCCAAACTGGGACTCGGTGTGAACCTATGTTACCTGAAACAAGATCGGCCCTGTGCGACACATTCCACATAGCTGATGCCCTGATATGACTCCTCACAGTTGCTCGGACCAGCCAGGGTTCGACTAGTTTGTTGTGGATTAATGATCCGGGGAGATAACATTCAATAATACAGTAAACCGCCATCGTGATGTGTTATGCCAGCAACAGCGTTCTCGGGCGGTGGTTTCCTTCGAATGAGCGGATTAATCTCAATCTCACCTGTACCAAGTTTTCTTCCTTAACCCCTAAATTATTGTTTTTGATTGAGTGATCCGGCACAACTGATGCTGCCAATGACCGTCAAGACCAGCCTTCCAAGGGTTGGCTCTAGTGATGATGTTGCATTGGCGCTAGCCAAGAAATCCAGTAAGCTCGATTCTCTGGCTAGTGCGTCTGCAGAAGCTTAGACAATGATTCAAACCCAAAATGACTCGATTAGAATCGCTTTTCTTCAGCTTGCAGGATGTCCGTCATGTGGCAGAGCCAAAAAGAGTCAACGTGACCAGACCCTGACACAACCTGGTGTATTAGTCGCCGGGGCCGAAGCATTCGTTCTCCGGCATGTTTAACCCCGCGTTTCTGTGCCGCGAGATCCGTTCTATATGCCGCGTTCAGGTATGACAGTAAGAAGACTACGATTAAACATCGAACAGCCTCGACTACTCATGGGAACAACAAGTAATCCGTGTAGATGGATAGAAGGTGTGCATGTTCCGTATCATTGGAAAAGAGTCTGACTAGGCCCTCAACATTTACTTCGTAATACGTAGTCATTTCATTCTCGTTGAAGCTAAGCTTTTCCTAGTACGCTTATCGCCAGTCGACCAGTCGATCATTTTTGCTTTTTCCATGACGGCGAGCACTTGCACTGAAATTTGACTCTTTGAGTCTTTGATGCTTATGGGCGACTGTGCATGATTATGATTGGTTGCAGCGAGACACAGACCGCAGGACTCTGCATTTCGAAGTAGTACGCTTCAATCAATTATTAAATACCATTCTACGAGGCTATGTGCTGCACATCCGGGTATACAGGGTACGAGACGAAAGCCGATCTCAGCGGAAACGTGCAGCATGTCGTCCAAGGATAGATTCGGCGTGTTTTGGGGGGCTCGTACATATAATGCCATTGTATACGTTAGTAACCGCTTGCAGTTCAACGTAAGCCCAATATTGCTACATATATGCAGCTTATATCATTATTTTATACAGCCCACTATATGTACAGCATAAGGACACTTTCCTCAAGTACATGTGGGTGTCCAAATAATGCAAAATAATATGTACATGGTGAGTCAACAACTGGCCACGCGCAGCACCAAGTAGCACTTGTTTTAGTGTGTCGACCTTCGTACACCCTTATCGGTGGATAAACGCCTTACATGCATCGGTGGATCAGAGTCTAGTAATACTGCTTGCAGGCCAGAGGTCACTGATTGTTGGAAGGCATTTTATTTGCCGAGGGCTCTCCTCGTGGAGAAGGACTTTTGTAAATCTATCCTGGCCTTGCGGTAAAATAAAGTCCCTAGGGGACATGCAGGCCGCCACCACTATAACTATCCTGTACACGAACACATTTCTTACGGGCGATCTCATGCAAGAAATCACAGTTCGTATATGCCGGATCAACTGTAGTTACCTAACCAATGTCAATGCCCAGAAAAATTAACAATTCCCACTATCAGATTACGAATATTCCGTGCCGATAGCGTATCCTCAGATAAACCGTCGCTGGAGCTCTCCGGGCCTTGTTTGCGGCGCAGACAGCTTTCGGCACAGACGGCCAGCTAAGCTGAGATGCTGATGTGTCTCAAGTATTAATCTTTGTTTAAGCTTATGCTTTTGTATTATCCTGTTACTATCTATAGACCAGTACGTGGATAGAGCAATTGATAGATAGCTATTGGGGGATGGTTAGGAGGTGATTTAGGTCTTGTTGTGTCATGTGATCGCTAACAAGTTGGAATCGCCTGTGTACATTAGCATTCCATTTTGCTTAAACATAATTTGCAACTCATGCAAGTATCCCAAGTCGATGCAACTCCAGCCTGGTCTCCGATTTTCCAACATGTCACATTGCTACCTATGGCAAACAACTATACCTTCCCCTTTATGACCTGAAGAGCGCACTCCAAGGTCACTCATCCGTGGCAATGGAAGATCTTCCAGCATATAGTAAATGTCGCTGTAGCATCATCCAGTCACATTCAACCTGAGTAAAATTTCTTCAGGCCCTATTGAATATTTCTTTATATTGGCAATCGTCCAGCTTTGTCAGGTAATTAGTGTGCTTGCCTAAGGCTAGGAACTGGAACCTCTTCTTACGGTCAATTTAAAGGCATGCCCATTATTTGAGACAAAACCAGCCTTAAAAATAGACGATAGTTGTCCAAGCCATTGAAATTAGCCGTGAGTATCGTATTGCCATGTGGCAATATCATTTAGGCTTAATTACATGTATCTGTGTTCTGTATGCATTCTGAATATGTATAATGATTGAGACTGACAGCACATAAATGTATTCAAGAATCTAGACATATTTCTTCTCCTGAGTCCAGTCCATCGGTCATTTCCGCCGGAAGGAATGCAGAAGGAATTCTTAATGGAGAGTAGAGGTCATCTAAGTGACACGTAGTGGACCCCTAAATTGCCAACACCATGCTAGCGGAAAAGAAAAAATGAATCTAGTTTCCTTAAATGACAAAAAGTCCTGCCCTGTTATTGGTCTGGTTTTGGGTCGTTGATAGCTTTAATCCATTTAGAATTTTTGAAACACATTTTTTGCTGTCCGTGTGCCCTTGCGCACGTGTATAGCCGACTATACGAGTGCGGTTCCTGCGAGCACCTCGATGTTGTCGATCTATCAAAGCCCCCTCGGGATTTATGTATCTCATCACAGGAGACATCCTTCATCAAAGCAACAAATGAAACTAGCGATAAACGAATACGAGCAGCCTCGGCCTCTTTTTGGAAGACACATTCGTATGTAACAGGCTAGTTAATCAATATTATCAATTAATATAACTTATTGTACGTGGCTTATAAGTAACCCCGTATCTCATACAACATTAATAGTAATTTCTTGACGAAAGATTGGTTTCGGAGAAAAGGAGCTTTTGGCATGCATTCTTCATACTTTGATATCAAATTTCCTCTCTTCCGGCTGGAGACGACTACTAACTATGGCCTGGAATATAAAGCATATATTACTGGCTAGATATATTGAATATAACTTAAATAAGTGATGTCTTGGTACATTGTTTTAGACCAGAACTTGCGATTTCCCAATTATTTGCGAAACACGACCTCTCATTGGAAATTTCATAATGACTTTTGATTCCCACCTACTTCTGTTATTTTGCGCTTTACTGGGTGTTGTTAATGCAGCAAATCCAGTAGTCAAACTACCATATGCTTCTTATAAGGGTGCAGTGAACAATGATCTGGGGTACTCACTAGGATATGCGTCTTTCGCTCTGAAGAAGACTAACGTTGACAGAATCATCTCCTATCGTGGCATTCACTATGCTAGCCCCCCAACTGGTGACCTACGCTGGCAGCCTCCAGTGCCAATACAGAACACTGAGCAACAGAACTCTGTAATTGATGCAGCCAGTTCTGGTCCGACCTGTCCATTGGCAATACCCTCGTGGTTCTTGAGCGGGCCTGTCATTCTCGAAATCGCTGCTGGTGGAGGAACGGTTGGGTTTCCCGCGCTGCAGGAATCTGAAGATTGTCTACTTTTAGATGTGCTGATACCAAGTAACCCTCAATCCGATAACCTACCCGTCATCGTTCAGATCCACGGTGGAGGTTGGATTCCTCTCGCAATTCTTGTATGAAAAATTGCATGTCTGATGATGATACATAGGATATACCCTTGGCTTCTCTGAGCTATATGCTGGTGACAACTTTGTTTCCGAATCTAAAGGGTCAGTGATCTATGTCGAGATCCAGTACAGGCTAGGGCCATTAGGTTTCCTGTCTAGTCAAGAATTGAGACAGAATGGCACTGCCAATGCGGGGATTTTGGACCAACGGTTAGCATTAGAATGGGTACAGAAGTACATCTCTTATTTTGGAGGGGATCCTTCCAAGGTTACTATCTGGGGTGGTAGCGCAGGAGGAGGGTCTGTTGTCGCTCAGCTGATGCTAAACGGCGGAGAAGAGAAGCCACCTTTCTGGGCCGCTATTGCTGGTAACGCTTCCCATACTAATGCTTACATGAACTTGAAGCTGAACAGTCTGGTTCTTTTAGAATATCCCTGGATACAGCCATATCACGACGACGAAGCGCTAGAGACTCAATATAACGCATTTCTCAAAGTGGCAAATTGTTCATCTCTCCCATGTCTGCGCGCCCTTTCATCGAGCGATATAACTAACGTGGTTGGCTCTGTAATGTCTGCTGGTTATAACCTCGGCGAGTACGGGTTTGGTGACTTTTGGTTCGGTCCATCTATCGATGGAAGAGCTATCAAGGGTCTGCCAACGGATGAGATTGCTGCTGGTCGGTTTAGCCGTGTTCCTCTGTTAACTGACCACGAGGAATTTGAAGGTAGGCAAACACATTACATTTAAATTGCCAGAGGTATATTCATTCATCGATTCTTAGGTGTGCTGTTTACCAACATGTCCATCCATTCCGAAGATCAAGTCGAACCAGATCTCCAGGATGTGTGGCCCGCAGCAAACGCTTCTTTCTTCGAGCGGCTATTCAATCTCTACCCTCTATCTGATTTCTCGGGAAATTATTTTCAAAAGAGTTTCTTTCTAGACATTTTTGCGCTGATGCCCACTCTCACTCTTGACGCGCCTTTCTACCAGCGACAGGCAATCCTAGGAGACGCTTTCATCGGCTGTCCGACACGTTTACTCGCAAACACATTCCAGAAAAATGGATTGCCAATTTGGAAGATGACATATAACTACGGAATTGCCATACACTCATCTACACAGCCATATCTGCTCAGAGCCTCTAACGATGTTTTGAATCCACAGCTTGCAAGAACTATAAAAGATTATTTCCTGTCTTTCGCTCTGGCTAGAGATCCAAATGCGATATCAACAGTGGCTAAGCCGATGTGGGTTCAGTACGACACTAACTCGACGGTGTTAGGTATTGATTCTGATGCAAAGCCTACACTAGTTGCAGATGTAGATGACTCTGAGAAGTGTGAGTTTTTGTTGAGCCAAGGACATGTTCTTCGAAATTGAATCAACTCTCTCCTACAACTTCAGTGAGCAAGCGAAACAACTAGGAAGACCACGAAAATTTCCAGTCTAACAGAATACTACATCAGATCGTGGCATAACAATCAGATAGTTATATATTTATATACTATACAGCTATCTTATGGAGCCTATTTTAAGAAAATGATTGATTTTTGTATATTTCTTTATTTAGTCATTTATACCCATATGTAATATCCACTCTCCCGCCTCATCCATTGATATTGTGAATAGCTCTTCTCTGTCCGCCTATTTGCTAGCGAATGTATTTGTATAAAAGTACAGCTTGCTATGAATGCACTGTGATTGGCCTAGCCGCTGGTTTCAAGGAGCAAACCGAGCCGCTAGTCCGTTTACAGTCTAGTGATCCTCGCCAGGTCTCTGGCCATCTGTCAGAATATCGACAACAGCATCCAAAAAGCCAGAGCAAGCTTGTTGCAGATCATCCTGTACACAGACAGACCATATTCATCAACCAGACAATCTTTACGCAGCTACGAGTGCTTCCCGATCGTGTGGCTCACTGTGCGAAACCCCTCCATCGCCCGCCTGCATATTGTAATGTGGCATTAAACCCACCCTAGCTCCGCTCCGCCAGCCGTTTTTCGCTCACCACTGCTCCTCTGCCCACAACAAACCCCGACTTGTCGCGAACAGTCTGCTTTTTCTTCCCTCTACAAATAATCATGCCGGTTCAGTGAGTAATCATTGTGCTCGCCTGATATAAATTTCGAAATTGACCTGTACTTCAGCTACCTGATTCTCCTGTCGCGCCAAGGGAAAGTGGTATGTCTCGTCGCCCACCTTTTGATTGAGGGTTTTGATGAAGTTTCAAGTTCACCGACTCACAATATTTTTTTTCTTCTCTTAGCGCTTGGCCAAATGGTTCACTACACTCTCGCCCAAAGACAAGGCCAAGATTGTCAAGGATGTCTCCCAGCTGGTCCTGGCTAGACGCACTCGCATGTGCAACTTCTTGGAGTACAAAGGTTGGCGGCACGCCTAATACCGTTTTGTTTTGGTCGATGCTGACGTTTCCTAATTTTCATGACAGACCAGAAAGTCGTTTATCGTCGCTATGCCTCCCTATTCTTCATTGCCGGCTGCTCTGCCTCAGATAACGAGCTAATCGGCCTCGAGATTGTGCACCGCTACGTCGAGCAAATGGACAAATACTACGGCAACGTGTGCGAGCTGGATATCATTTTCAACTTCCAAAAGGCATACTTTATTCTTGATGAGCTTCTGCTGGCAGGGGAAATGCAAGAGAGTAGTAAGAAGAATGTCTTGAGGTGTATCAGCCAGCAGGACAGCCTTGAAGATCTCGAGGTAAGTGGTGATGTTTCTTTCGCCTCTCGCTGTCCATTCTCTCTCTTTTCCTTTACTGCTCCAGCATATCAATACATTGTACCATCCATCCACTGTGCATACCCGTTCGCCTCGAAAAATTCTCCCATGTCCACGACTCCCACTGGCTCTGGTTCCTTCCACCATTTTCCTGTCGCTAATTTCATCTGCCCAGGTCGAGGAGGATTCTGTTACAAAGATCATGTAACGACTTATGTCGCTGTTTATATATATATATATATTTTCCTTGGTTTCGGGGCTTCTCGCAGCGTTACGGCGTCATTGGTGTCACATACTTTCTTCCTTCTGTTTCTTGCTATGGAAATACTAATACTGGCTGTCCGGGTGTTCCAGATGACAGATGATATTGAAGTCAGTTTGAAAAGGGCCGGGCTATGACGCTGCTACCCGTTGTCTTTCAATGTTCCGTATTGCAGCCTGCTTTCGTCCATGTGAAGTAAGCGCGGGATATCACTGGCTGCGGCCGGTCTCACCACGTGACTGCCCTGCTCGCAACTCCGCAATCACATCACCACTTGACCTTATCTCCTGCTCTCTCTCCTCTCACTTGTACTGTTCCTTCACCCCGACCTTAATTTCCAATACAAACAAGTCGCTCTTTACCATGGCTTCCTGCTAGACGATCATCGTCTGGCTTCCATCCCTTCCCCTATAAGCTTGTTCTACTAGCCAACTTGGGAACACCTTATTACCGGTCGTCGCGCGACGCAGCTAGATCTCATTCTTGCCTGCGTTCCCATCGCCACTCCTAAGATTACAATCTTGTCTAGCGCGCCGACTACCTACAGATTCACAAGAACGCTAGAATACTGCGCGGAGCCTGGTTTCCAGCTGCGTGCAAGATGAAGGTATGTCTCCCTGACCTGGCGCGAGTGTCGCTTGATAGATCTTTCTCACGCGCATTGAATATAGTACCTTCCCTTACCCTCTATCGAAGAGGTGTCAAATGCTCTGAATTTTGACACACCGGATCTTAATGTCGTTGGCGGATGCGACCTCTACATCACAAAGGCAGCGTCAGACGATCGCAAACTGTATAACAAGATCGAGCAATCGTTGGAATCGCAATATGAGTCGCTTCTGAGACTGTCGGCGTCGTTGTCGCCACCAAGCGCGACAGCATCTAGTGTCGCGCTCTCACTTAACCTCTCGCGATCTAGTCCGTTTGGGCCACTTACGGAGCATTCAAGTCGCCGCACTTTTGCGTATTTGATTGCGACTTTAAATGCAAGTCATCCTGATTACGATTATAGTCATGTCCTGCGACCCACGGATTTTCGCCGCGAGCGAAATTTGAAGAAAGTTATGAATAACTTAGACATGACGCTCCACAATCTTCGCCCCCATCTTCGTGGGGACGGCACGCCTTCGCCGCCAAACGATTCGTTTGCAGGGTCTTACAGTCCTGGGTCCACAACGGTATGGGGACCGCGGATGTGGAAGCATATTGATGAGCAAATGAGTCTTAACGAGTGTGCGATATTTTCTTACGCACCTGAGGATGATATGAATGATGATGACGATGGAGCGATATGGAGCCACAACTACTTCTTCTTCAATAAACAGCGCAAGCGCGTCTGCTATATCTATCTTCGTGGCATCCCGATCATGAGTCACGAGGATGAAGACACGTGGGATGGGCTCGCTACGTCGGCTGGCAAGAGAGGACCAGAAGATGCCTACCTCACGCCAGACGTGACTGCGAAGAAGCGCCAGCGGTTTTGGCTTGGTAATCTCACATCGGATGACGAAGCAGAATCCCCGACAAAGGACACGAATTCCTCACGAGCCCACAAGGGCTTCGTTCGTGCGATGAGCGAAGAAATGGTTGATTCAATGGAGGTGTAAACGGCAAGCACCTGAATTCACTGGCCTTCTCACTATAAAGGCCAAATTTATGTGTCACAATTCATGCCGAGTGTGACCTGGACTATTATCTTTATCGGTGTGTCGTATTCTGAAGTCCGTTGGGCCTCGTGAGGTCCTTGTTCTATTTGTACTGCGCGTTCTGCTATTTAGCATTGCATGGGATCAGGCGTTGGCCGCTGGTGAGAGCAGTGGCCTTGGCCTTAGGGCCGAGGAGAGCTTTTGCTTACTGCTATAACTTCTTTATATTTCTTTTCAAGCGAGTATGATATTTGTTACGTTCGGGTTCAGTGCGGAATGGATGATGGGTTAGGCCGGCGTTATATGATGGCGCGTAGGCTGTTTGCGTTATTTTCGCAATGTATTAATCTTTTCTTTTCCTTTCCAATTTCTTGCTGTACACCTGGTTTGCTCTCCTCTGGATCGAGATGTCCTCTGCGATGATGTACTTATTTTTATTACTTAATGATATGAAATTCAGAATAACCAATTGATCAATCCACATCATTCATCAAAATAAAAGTACTAGCCAAGTAACACGTAATCACCCATTACCCGACAGATCCTGATCCTCCCTCCTCCCCTGGCACTAGCTTCACAAACATCAAACAACCTCTCTCCCCATCCGCCTTATACGGCCCATGCCTCATCCCCGGCAACCTGAACGCATACGCGCCCTGTCCCCACGCCTTCCCCAGACTAATATCCTCCAGACCCCCTTCCAGAAAGCAAACCTCTTCAATATAAGTGTGCGTAATGACCTCGTCGGTGGCGGAGGTCGCACCCGGCTCGTACCATTGCAGCACAGACCTATTGTGCGATCCCCGTTCGCCGTTCAGATGTAATTCCCAGATCCCAGGCCCGATGGAGTACCATTGGTTGGTCTCGGTGGGTATCCAAACTGGAGGTGTGCCTGGCGCTGGGTGGGGTGGTCGTGTGGTGAATTCTTGTTGGGTGAGTGACATGGCTGAGGTTATGAGTGTAGTGTTGGTGGTTAGAGCGAAAGTAAGGGTTGAATGTGAGAGAGGCTGTATATGTATTGTATATTGGTAGCCAAGTTGGCTGGTTTCGAGAATATTGAGTTATGGCCGCATGTTATTAATTCTGAAAGGGATTCAGAATGTTCGGTAGTTGGGTATATTTATTACATAATATCTCTCTAAGAGTACTTCCAATCTTTGATGGTTACAATGTTCTGAAGGACTAAAGATGGTGTAATAATATGTATATATTAAATTATACAGAACGATATCTCAAGTCTACTGCCGATAGCGACAAGAGAAGGTTAAAAATGTTGAGTATGATTCAAATGCTAATGAATTCGATTATAGTTCAAATTTAATTTCCATTATTATTTTTTGGGGCGAAAAGTCAAACTAATTGAGGATGGTAGAACTATGTATAACATCAATATAATACCAGAAAAAGCGAAGGTTAATAGCACTGCATATTGATTTCATTTATCGGTGATGTAAACACATGGTGTTTATGTGCTTCACATATGTGGATCTGTCGATAGACTATATTGTTATAGTTAACTAGCTATGATGTTGATATTCAATTTCTAATGGCTAGAAAAATATGAATTGAAAAAATATTGTCATCTCAGCAATTTCCTACATATAGTTCATTTTTCATCTTGATGATAGCAAATGAATGTCAATCACGAGTGGTCGAAGGATAGTCCCTGATTGGGAGACACTACGTAGTACATATATAGTTATGGTTGGATTCACTATTTGTTTCATTAGTTATTAAATCTAAGAAGACTTTGTGGCTCTACACATCTACGAGCCTGATGCCCTACACAGTTTATTGGATCATAAGAAATATGAGAAAGGCTAGCATTGATTTACACATGCAGTGATAAATACAAGCATATAGATCAATGATGATAATGAATGATAATAGTTGGATACAGGACAGTTTTCTCAGCAGATAATAATAGAACTCGACACTACCAGATTACATTCATGAGCTTAAGCAGTGAATATATATTCAATTTAACATATCTCATCTGTTGGACGAGATGAGGGCTCTTGTGCTTATGGAATATCGAGGAAAAGAAGATCTTTCACGAACCCCTGGGTTTTAAGCAGGGGGGTGAGGGTGAGGCTTGCCAGTTGGAGGAGGAGGGTGGTCACCCTCATCGCGCTTCGTATGCGGTGGGTGAGGCTTGTCAGTGGGAGGAGGTGGAGGAGGATGCTCGCCCTCATCGCGCTTCGTATGTGGTGAATGAGGCTTGTCAGTGGGGGGAGGTGGAGGAGGATGCTCGCCCCCATCGCGCTTTGTATGCGGTGGGTGAGGTTTGTCAGTGGCAGAGGGAGGAGGAGGAGGTGGTGGATGGTTTTTATCGGCATCACGGATTTCAGGGTTTAATTGATTACCTGCGCGGCCCAAGCAGTGGGAATTGGTAAATATATCAAATGAAGCATCTGAGAATAGTACTTACCGCGCTCTGCTACAGGCACAGCAGCAGCAGAAGCCAAGCTGGCAACCATGAAAGCTGACAAGACAATAGACACCTTCATATTGAGAAAGTCTTCGGATATGAGCGTATATATAAAGGATATGAGAAACAGAACTTAGACAGGGGACTCTGTAATATCAATTGATGATGACTGATTGATAGGAAAGTTACAGGTAGCAACTGGAGATTTCACCATGGCTTTATAACCACGAAGCTGCTAGAGATCACCCTTGATCACGCCGGTAAATGAATAGCTTTCTACCTCATCTCCGTGGTATATTGCGAATATAAGTTCCCATGTATGACTTCGTCAGCCTTTTCGTCATCAATGCATGTAGGGGACCAAGCCTTGTTGTTTTTAGGATGGCCCATTACGATGATCTGATCGGCCGGCCATGATAGGTGTTCGACACGCATTGGAAGATGGCTCAGCTGTTGCCCTATAGATCGTGATTGGAACACATGTTATTATGAATTATTGCCGTTACTGTTTCTGTTCTGAATCTGATAAGTATCATATCCATTCATCAATTGATACTTGTAGTTCCCTTGAAGTATAGATGTTGGATGGATTGTTCATACACCTTAACCACTTCTTCTTCCAAGTACTATTACACCATGTGTATTGAAATGAAGAAGCTCTGGCCAAATAGCGCTAGCCCTTTCATAATTAAGCTCTTTACTTATTTAGTTACGTAAATTATTTTGAAATAGACGTTCCTAATTTTGGTCAAGTGATTACGCGGCAAGCGTCAATTAAAGCTCACATTGCGAAGCTTCCTGGGGATTGATCGGCAGATCGTCATAACTTTACATCTATAGGTTCCTGCCCAGCCCTGTGCCTAATCTGTGTAAGGTGATCCATCCACTTTATTGCACTTATAGATACACACCTGCGTAATTTCACCGACGCAACAGCAACCCCCGGTCTGAATTGAGGGAAATTACGCGTGTTCTGGCGGCTTGGCCATGGCGATCACAGGCATCTAGGGTTTGATGAACGGAGCTTATTTAATTACGGAGTGAAGCAGCTCTTACAGTAGGAGATCCATTTGCTGTAAATTAAAATGCGTTGATTGGTCTCATACGCGCTAGTTTGAGTACTAGAATGTCGAACTGACTATGGAGTATGAACCATACTTACACTAGAGCTATTAACTTAAGGCCGAAACGTATTTACCTAATGGGAAGGTTTTCACAGTTATGAACCCAGAAGGCCTAGTTGAGCTCATAACTTCTTATAAGACCCTAAAATCCTTAATTCAAATGTCTAAGTACCGAGAAGCTCTTACTATACCAAATTAAAAGAACTGGAGCTATAATAAGCCAAGCCAGCAAATATTTCGCGTTATATCTCAAAAATTACCAGCTTACACAAAACAGAACGTTAAGGTTTTTTCCTTTATAACCTGGGAGAGATATATCAAACTGAATATGCACCATATTATACAAGATATTAAGGTGAAAGCTTTTTAGCCTAAGGAAGAAGGAAGATTTGACACAAACCTAGCAAGTTTACGTAACAGGCTGCTGGTGCATTTATTAAAAGTGGCATGACAAGAATTAGAGATTTCAAACTTGATATTCGTGGCCTGCACACTTCGTGTACTTGATCGCATTCACAACTCGTTACCGTCAACTGGTGTATCCTATTGTTTCTTGATTGACGTCTAGCGACACTTTGCGGTGAATATCGAGGAAACAATGCATCCAGTGTACAAAACTTCCTTGCTAATGCTAAGGAATGAAAGACTGGATGTAATTGATCCGAACACGCTGATTACGACACCTCAATTGATTATTGATCTATGCTAAATGCAAAGCTTAGTATTAAGGGGATTGTTGGCGGCCTGTGATTTAAGTAAGCATCGGGCCGGTTCCGGGCCGGCGCTGCCCCCTACAATACTCCAGCTTCAGTCGTGACATCCATGATCACTTTCGCTCTCTCAAGATGCAACTGGACTGAGAGAAAAGCAAGTCTTCATACAAAAGGTCCCACCAATTAATACATTCAACACACTGCCGACTCAAACCTTGCCTACACCTACAAGGTTATTCGGCGATCAAGTATATAGAGCTCGGCCAATCAGAAAGCACCCTACCACTATACACCCTCGCTTCACTACCTTCGAAATTATCAAGAATGGACTATATCGAGAGACTTCTCGCATGGACTCTTAGCAAGCGCAAGGGCCACGACGCGGGATTAATATCCAAAACCAAGCCCTTTGAGAAGATCTCCAAGCCAACGATAACCCTCGAATGTCCGGACATCGGCCCATCGGGCTCAAGAATTCCTCCCGAGTATAGCTTTTTCCAAACCGGGCACTTCCCAACCCTAAAATGGACAACAGGGGCAGAGTCATCATCATCCGTGAAAGAATGGCTTCTGGTTGTAGAAGACCCAGACGCGCCGCTGGCTGAACCAGTCACACATGGTCTTTACTACTCGATCCCGGCAGCCAAGACCAGTGTTTCGCATGAGGATTTCGAGAGCAGCGAGGAGGAGGGTGCAGCAAATTTTACTCTCAAAGGTGGGTTCAAGTATGGTTTGAATCGGCGGAAAAACGTGTATATTCCGCCGAGAGGATTGTTGGGTCATGGTCCTCATCGATACTTTTTTCAAATCATTGGTCTTGGTGAACCGCTTGATACAAGCAAGTTGAGTCCGGCGGCGACGAAGGCTGAGATTGTTGAGCAGATGGATGGTAAGCTGGTTGCTTGGGGAGAGTGGATTGGGGTGTGGGAGAGATCGTGATGGTATTGATTTTGGCCGCTCTGCTTTTTGTCGTGTTAGGATTATCAGGGTGCTTGTTTTTGCTCGAGTCTGTTATATCCGATCGTATACATGGATTAGGAGCTGAATATATGGCGTTATATTAGTGGATTTTCGTATTCTGGAGCCAGTAATTGATTTGGTGATTCCAAGTATGATTGATTTAAATGCTCTAGATCCACATCATTCCTGCATGCTAATTGTGGCAAACCAATGTCGCTAAGAGAAAACTATATACACGAATCAAAGCACAACCAAAAGCTATACCTCTTGAATATAGTTTGCAGGGACACTTTTCACCTGGCCACCTTTCTCAACCTCCGCCCAGCCGTCCCCGCTGTCTTTAGTGACCAATACAAAGCGATCGCCTTCGGACATGGTCCACTCGGCGTCGGATCGTGCTTCATAGTCATATAATGCTTCTACATATTGAAGCTTCTTTGCGCCACGTCTGGGAGCCACGGCAGGGCCCACTTTCTTTGCAGCTACGCTGCCGGCCAAAGAAGCCGAGGAATTGGAATACGTTGAACCAGGCCGATCCGTTAATCCCGGGCTCGTTGGTTGTATTGGAGATGGAGCTGCAGTAACCTCAGCATAGGCTGTTGGTACGAGCCCCTCTTGAGAGCCGGCTCGAACACGCATCCAACCAGAGCCATCTGGAACTATATTAGCAAACATGGTAATGGGTAAAAGGCGAATTATGAAACTCCGCTTACCGTCTGGTTCTAAGACGGCAATCTCTTGCCCTTCATCTACCGTTATCTCCCCGTCGTCATTAGCTTGGTAGGGATAAAGCATCTTCCCCTTTGGATTGCTGCTTTTCGGTGCCTCAATAACTGGAGGCGGACTGACGTATTGAGAGGGAGGCGGAGCAAGAATTCTGCGTTTTGAAGCTGCTGAGGAAATTGATGGTTTCGGTTTCGGCGCAGCGGCTTCTGCAGGTTCTTCTGCCGCGGGTTTAATGGACACAACTGAACCCGAGACTGATCGATGTGCACTGGCCGCATATCCTGAACTCAGCGAGTTCATCGTATCCCTGCGGTCTAAGGCAGGCAGATCGGATGCACCGTTTGATGGTGTCCCTTCGGCGACGGCTGGAGTAGTCTGTGCCTGCTCTTGGCGTTCGGTTTTCAACTTTTTCTTCTCTTCTTTGGTTTGTTCGCCCGGACACTCTGCTGGAACTTTCATTTCACACTTGCTGTGACAAGTATAACCGCAATCACGACAATCAAATCCCTTTGCAGACAAGCCCCATATCCTATCTCCACAAAGATCACAGTTGGTCGGGATTTTGAACGTTTGAGACCGGAAATTGTGACTCTTGGCTCCCAGAGACAAGTCTCCAACCACAGACATAATAGTAGACGTTTCAACTTCTGCTGTTAGTCGCTTGCGGTCAACTTCGTGGAATCTCTCTTGTAAATTGAAGGTCGCTTTTACGACCTCAACTTCGTCGCGCTTATCTTTGCCTTGCCTGACATTCTCTCGAACCTTTTTTGCGTTCTCCACTTCTCGTCGCTGTTTATCTGCCTCTAGTTTCAGCTCCCTAGCCTGGACTTTACTTTTCGTGAGCAAATTGCGTAAAAATACTTTCGCAGACTCGTCGGTCACCATTGTCTCATCATCATGCCAGACAGGGCTAGGCTCGAACGTCAAATTTGGCGGTTCCTGTGATTGGGCGGTATTATGCTGAAGAAACATCAAAGAATCAAGTTTCGGGTTGTTGCGCGGAATCTCACTTGCAAGGTGATCTATGTGTTCAGTGCTTTGTGCGAAAGCGGTTTTCTCCAACTGAGCTGCGAGGAGCCAGTAAGAATTTAATTTGGCAACTCTGGTGTGGTTGAGATCTTCTAAACTCTGAGCAATGATCTTAGCAAAAGTTTCACAATCTGTAGATTATGTAGTCCTACATCGAGTAATTCCGGAACATATTCGTGGTAGAATTGATCCTTCAATTTGTTTGCGACATTAATGCTAATGACGTAAGTGTTCTAGAAGAGTGCCATGTTAGAATTTACTGGTAGCGTATCGGTATAGCAATGGATAGATGCATACCTTGACATTATTCATCTCGAGAAGCTGCTGTTGGTAGGCAGCCTGAGCCTTGGTTTTATTGTAATCAAAAGAGGATTCAGACTTTTTGCGCCGATTTTCAACCTCCTGGCACACGCCATCATATTTGCCTTTCACCTTCTTGAGGTCACTTAAGGATGACTCCCGCTCCTTTTCTAATTTGCTATGATAATCCACGTGGCTTTTGCGTAGTTCCTCATATCGTGTGGATATCTGTCGAAGTGGATCCGCTAACTGAGAGATAAGATCAACTCCAAACTTGTCGCGAACTGCTGCGTGCGACTCGACCGCATTCAATTGGGTAGACCAGGTGGTGAGAGATGCAGACTCGAGCGACCCCGGGGTCATGGTGGGTGTATCTCCGACACTCAGACTGCTGATCTTCTTTGCCTTGCGATCTGCATACTTTTTGCATAAGGCGGACAGCTTCGAAGCATACTCTCTCTCAATAACGCTCCTCTCCCGGTAAAATTGCTGAATGTCATCCAACCACGAGATACCGTTCGACACCTATTCCGCTAATTAGTAATTATCGAATCGCCGTCGCAAGCGTTATCGAAGTAAAGGGCCTGGGAGTTCATACCCAAGCGTTCACCGGTTTGAATGCATCCTATCAAGACAGAACGTATAAGCTTTTAATGTCCACACCTACATGAGTAAAGACCGATCGGACTGGTACCTTCAATTCCGCCCCAAATTGGGGGTTCACATCGACCTCGGTCATGGTAGCTCTGCAAGCACTCGCTCACGTGGCCAATTCATATGCGCTCCAAACTCCAAATTCCAAGAGTGCGCTGTTTGAGTCGAGTCGGGACTGCGACGCTGGTGGCGTGGCTGAGCAACCTGGCGGCAAACACGACGCTTCCAAATGCCTGCTGGTGTAACGGCAAGCGGGCTCGGGTCGGTACTTTGGCGAACGAAAGTAAAGAATCAATATGTCGCCGCGCGTGCAAACGGTCTGCAGAAGTAAGCGATATGTCCAGGTTGTTGCCCTTTTGACGATGGGCACCGGCAGCCGGAGATGTGTTCACTCTGCGGGGGGACTGACTCAGTCTGGAGCAGACGCGGATTGGCTGGGATATCTTCGCTATTTGTTGGACATTCGCAGCGCTTGATCCAAAGCCGGACAGAAATAGACACCTCGCAGTGCTTGCATCAGAAATAGCCCTGCATTGCTTGACGGGAGAGCAATCGGCGACAGGCAGCGAGGAACCCTGCTTGCTGCTCTGTTTGCCTGCCGTCCCAGAGCGGTTTAGCGCCGGTGTTAGCGGGGGAGAGGAAGCTGCTGCTCTGCCGCAACTTTTACAGCTGCATCTTCCTCCGTTCTTGTTGCTGCTCCGTCTCGAGATCGGCTGTCAGTGTGTGCTTGTTGAGACCGACCTGAATTAGTTGTTGCTCTGCCTTCTTTGCATCTAACTTTCCCGTTTCTGTCGCTTTCGCAACCTCTGCCTGGCGACTGTTGACAAAATCCAGGATCTACCCCGCCCCGCTCAACCAGCTCTTTTCTCGAAAAGAAACGCAACCATGGCCTCGGATCAGGGTTCTGGCACTGGTAAATCCTTGGAAGAGCGCATTACCAAGCCAGAAGCAGCCTCGACAGGTGCTTAGCCTTCCTTCTTGTGGTTGTGTGTGTCCGACATGCTAATATGTGTGTCAACAGACGCCTCTGATAACGCGAACAAAGATGGCGCATCTCAAGCCCTTGGCGGAAGTGACCTCCAGGAGTCAGAATACGACGTTCAAGTCAAGTTAAGCGACTTGCAAGCAGATCCCAACAACCCGCTTTTTTCGGTCAAATCTTTCGAGGATTTAGGCTTGTACGTATACAATCGACACAACCAGACATGCGCAATTCTGACACTTCTTTGTCTTTGATAAATAGGTCGCCGGAAATTCTCCAGGGTCTTGTAGCGATGAAATTCCTAAAGCCGTCTAAAATCCAAGAGCGCGCCTTGCCTCTTCTTTTGAACAACCCTCCGACCAACATGATCGGACAGTCCCAGTCAGGTACCGGAAAGACTGCCGCTTTCACTCTCAACATTCTGAGTCGACTACAACTTGACACCGAAGAGAACAGAAAGGCCCCTCAGGCGCTTGTTCTAGCTCCAAGTCGCGAATTGGCTCGTCAGATCGGAGGTGTCATAACCGAGATGGGCAGGTTCATGGAGCATCTATCGGTTGGAATGGCCGTGCCAATGGAAGGCAAGCGACCTTCTCGATTAGAACATCCCGTGGTGTGCGGAACTCCCGGTACTGTCATGGATCTTATCAAGAAGCGCATCTTGATCACGAACAAATTGAAGGTTCTTGTTCTGGACGAAGCGGACAACATGCTGGACCAACAAGGTTTGGGTGATCAGTGTATCCGTGTCAAAGCGTAGGGCATCTAACACGATCCGACCAATATGGATGACGACTGACTTGTAGTAGACTGCTTCCAAAGACTGTTCAAGTTGTGCTTTTCTCTGCCACGTTTGACGACCACATTCGCCATTATGCTGCGAAATTTGCGCCCAACGCCAACGAAATCGCGCTGAAACAAGAAGAACTTACTGTGGAGGGTATTAGGCAATTCTATCTCGATTGCAATAATGACGAGGACAAGTATAACGTGCTCGTTAAATTCTATGGTCTTCTTACGGTGTCCTCTTCTATCATCTTCGTCGAGGTTAGTGACGTTTTAACATTTTGAAAGCATGTTATCTAACATCATATAGACCCGTGCAACTGCTGCCGAGATTAGGGAGCGCATGACGAAAGAGGGCCACACTGTTGCGATGTTGACTGGTGGTGTCGAAGGTAGCATCCGTGATCAGATCATCGATGACTTCCGTGAGGGACGAGCGAAAGTTCTGATCACCACCAATGTCCTTTCTCGTGGTATCGACGTTTCTACCGTGTCGATGGTCATCAACTACGTAAGTCAAAACAGAGTCATATTTTGAATTATGCTAAACTTCTTTGGCAGGATATTCCACAGCATTTTAAGCCCGGACAACCGCGTACCGGCGATCCTCAAACATACCTCCACCGTATCGGTCGAACTGGGCGTTTTGGTCGTGTCGGTGTGGCCATTTCTTTCGTATCCAGCAAGGAAGAATGGCAGATGTTGATGGAAATTCAAAAGTATTTCAATACCCTTATCGAGGGTATCCAAACCCGTGACTGGGACGAAGTGGAAAAACTAGTCAAGAAAGTCATTAAGAACCCACGGGCTCGGGGCGATTTTGCGGTGACGTCTTGATAGAATTCTTAATTGCAAATAGTCGTCCTTTACGAACGGAGAATTCTGTTGAATTTGAGATTCAAGAAAAAGTTTGTGAAGGCGGTCTACCTTAATTGATGTCGTTTCTCAAAAGACGGGTGCTGGTGGAGATGAAATACCATAGATACCATTTCTTTGCTTAGGCTAATGTTGATTTAATTTTCGGATATACATTGCGTGTAGGTATCTACTCATACGTAACAAAAGCGAGATCAATGGGAAAGCCCCGTCCCAAATAGACGGTCACCAATATCCCCGATGCCGGGCACAATATAGCCATGTCCATCCAAACTAGGATCAATGGCGCCGACAACAAAATCCGTGCCTTCAGGCCAGACCTTGGAGGCAGTCTCCAGTCCTATTTGACTCGTCAGCATCGACACAAAGGTGATGTGTTCGACGCGCCAATCCCTGCGGATAGAATTAGCTTATGCATTTCCTTTTTCTCTACACCGCAATTGCAAAACTCCACCAACAACAAACAAGCATGCATACCTTAACACTTCAATGACAGCGCTGGCCGTACCCCCCGTAGCAATCAACGGATCCACCACGTACACACGCTTGATCTCGGTATTATTGTTTGGCAGCTTGTTATAGTATTCGACCGGCTGCAGCGAGACTTTCTCGCGGAACATGCCAATATGATAAACGACAACATCGGTGTCTGGCGCCAGCTGGGAGAGAAAGGCGTCGCTCATGCCCAGCCCCGAACGCAGCACCACAATCAACGCGATCCTGCCGCCGCTTTGCGCGATAGCGGCCGTCTCACGGTCGTTCTGTGTGGCCTCGACGGCTAGAATGCGAGCGATTTCAGCGGTGGTGGCCCGAACTGCGCTGCTGCCCAGTGATCGGTCGCGTAAATGGTTGAGCTTGGATTGCAGGAATGGGTTGGTGGAGACCCGCGCATTGGCGGGTAGCGTCGGCGGTGCCATTGATTGCTCTTTTTCTTCGAGGGGATGGCTTTTCTGGAAGGGGATTTGCTTGAGCTTTCCTGCTTTCTAGCACACGGTAATGTAGAGACGAGCAGTGTTCGTTCCTGATTGAGGAGACCAGATGAGGGGATAATGCGGAGGAAGCCCACTCGGCGGATTGGCTTATCAGCACTGATAAGCCCCACTGGACAGCTTCAGCGGGGTATAGAGAGGGAAGACGACAGAGCAGAAGAAAAAGAATAGCGTTGGGAGGAGTGAGAGTAAGAATGGGAGAGGCATGTAACGGATGGCGGCGGAGTAACAGCAGTAAATAAAAGACGCTCGTAGTATGTTGTGTTTGGCTGGGCTGGCCTGATAAGCCTGTGCGATGCGGATGGGTCTGGACGGCAGCCGCCGCAGATAGGGAGATCACATGGCCCCGTTGCAGTTGCAGTCGCAGTAACAGCAGGTCACTGCCCCTCTGCGTCATTCCTTCTCTCTTCCTTTCCATCCTGCATCACTTTTCTTCTCTCGCAACATACTCACGAAGAGAGAAATGCCCGAGTCTGTGGAAATCCCGCCTTTCACGGCGGTGCCGGAGGCCAAGCCCGCAGACGCAAGCTCTCCCCTAGAATCGCCCAAGTCGCAGTTCAGTAAACACATCTTGGTGAATTCAAGTCCTTCTCCAAGTGGTCGCGCACCACAAGCCAACTGACAGATGCGTTGCAGTTAACCACCTATCCCGGCTTGAACGGCGTCGACCCTGTGCCGCTACAATGGGGGGCAGCAGATGCCAAATCACGTGGGCCGATTGTCGTCTCGCGCAACTCGTCGCAATTGAAGCGTCGCAATGCAATGGGTGCCCATGGTGGTAGCTATAGTATCTACAACGCCTTGGCCATTGCCGCCGGCGACTTGCCGAAGGACTTCAAGCCCGACTTTCGTAACACCGAGCCGACCTTTCAATTCCCGCAACAACCGGCATGGAGTGACCGCATGAAGATTGTCTCGCTGGACCCGTTCGGCCATGATATCATCAAGAACTTCAAGGAGTATTTGGATGTTGGCTGGGATTTACGACCAACAATGGCCGTGACGCGGGCAAACATGAGATTGGCTGAGATTGAAAAGGCTGTTAGTGAAGGCAAACTCGAAGTTGATGGGTCGGTTATTGTGGGCAAGAACGGTGACGTCAAAGTAACCAAAGTTGCTGTCGAACCTGTATGGTATTTGCCAGGCGTAGCCGAGCGATTCGGTGTGGATGAAGGAACCCTTCGTCGAATGTTATTCGAACACACCGGTGGAAGTTATCCAGAGCTGATCACTCGGCCTGATCTCAAAGTCTTCCTTCCTCCGATTGGTGGTCTCACTGTGTATATTTTTGGTCCTCCCGAACGTGTCGCTGATGAGAACGTGAAGCTGGCTCTTCGAATCCATGATGAGTGTAATGGTAGTGATGTTTTCCAGTCAGATATTTGCACGTGCAGACCATATCTCGCATTTGGTGTTCAAGAGGCTATCAAGGAGGCCCAAAATGGAGGAAGCGGAGTGGTGATTTATTTCCGAAAGGAAGGACGTGCTTTGGGCGAGGTGGTGAAGTATCTAGTTTACAATGCCCGAAAACGCGGTGGTGACACTGCAGACAAGTACTTTGAGAGGACTGAGAATATTGCTGGGGTTCGTGATGTATGTCGCAGACTATTCTTTACGCTGATTATTCACACCTCAATAAACTCTACTAATTCGTTCTCAGATGCGTTTCCAAGCTCTCATGCCAGACATTCTTCACTGGCTCGGCATCAAGAAGATCGACCGTATGCTATCAATGTCGAACATGAAACATGATGCAATTGTTGCTCAGGGAATCAAGATTATAGAGCGTATTCCCATTCCAGAAGGTTAGTATCTCTTCTCAATTAGTATCTCTCGAAATAATAGCTGACACCATACAGAAATGATCCCCCAGGACTCCCGCGTTGAAATCGACGCAAAAATAAATGCCGGCTATTTCACAACCGGAAAAAAATATACAACGGAGGAGTTGGCGCAAGTCAAGGGACGTGGATGGGAGAAGTGGGAAGATGTCACGGTGAGTAAATCTTTTTCAAGGACCTTGCGGGTTAGGAATGAACTGACATGTTGATACCATAGCATTGATTTATATGCACTTTTATTTTGAATACAAGAATTTTATATTTTACCCTCTTTCGTTCTATTTAGAGTAATATTCGAACTTCCGTTGTAGAAATACTTTATAATATAAGGTTAGGAGTATAGGCGAGAAATTAAGAAGTATAGGCCTTGATTAATTAATTAACTAATATATGCCTGTGATGATCTCGGTTTCTGTAATTGGTCTACTAAGCATCAAGGGATCGGCAGCCCATACTGATTGACATCAACATGGGCATCTGATACAGATAAATCCTCGGGCCCAGAAAAACATAGATTGATAATCCTTAAATTAAAAGCCCCTATCCACACTAGTTTCCTGCATACCCCAAAGCGTTCCTCGTCTAGACCAATCAAAGTGTTTAACGTCGCGCTGTTCTATACCAGGGTTTAGTATGATCCACAGGGGGCCACGCTCCAGCCTCGCGGAGTTGCGGTTACTAAGACGCCCCCAACGTTTAGTTTAGGTGCATATGTAGTGGATGGCGGAGGTTTCATCCTATCAGACGAATATCATGGTGACATTAAGAATTCTGTTTTTAGCCATATTACGTTAAGCACTCAGCACGAGCATTACTAGAGATTGGTGCTATTTTAGTCATTGTCAGAAAGTGTAGGAAATATCAATTGATGACTGCACTCCATGCAGCACATGTATACTATAAAAGATGAGTGTGGATTAAATCACTGCTAGGTTATATCGAAGAAACTAATCGGATTTGCCGGTGTATAGCGTTGGCCTGAGGCACTCCTATCACGTGTATGCAGCGTCTTTGGGCTTTTATATGCCAGATTTTGTCTCCTTTTCCTATTCCTTCCTCATCTATCAGTCACCTCGCGAGGTTATCGAGAAACCTTTTGCTAAGGTATCTGCAGGCACCTAGCCTTCATGATTACCCTACTTGACACTAACCACATACAAGACCAAGCACATAGAACCATCCGCACCCATACTCTTCTGTGAAACTTCAACTCGCAGCAAGTAAACATGAACCCAGTAAGAAGCCTTAGGCATGACCTCTCCACCGCTCTGCTGCCGATTGATCCGTCATCTGGTCAGCATGAACTGACACATGAATCTCCTTTTAGAAATCGCTCACCATCCTATTCACATTATTCTCGACCGCTGTCCTCGGCTCCGCGTGCTACAGCCTCTACTCCGCCGCCGACTGTCCATCCAACAAGGTGATCAACAATGTGACTCTGCCCGGATGTGTCGGTAGTGGGCACAGTGATACTTGGTCCGTGATGCTCAACTACCCCGTGGCCAGTAGCAGGGGTTGCAATGTGCACATCTATGGCGATAGTCCTGATGGTGGATGTACTGGAAACCTGCTGGTCAGTTTGACTGACGTCGGCGAGTGCGTGAACTTGTCTAGTGCTGGACGCAGTGCTAGTTCCAACTGCTGAAACTACCAACTCCGGCCCGTTCGATTGGCTGGTTGGGTGATATGGAGTTCTGGGCCTGGCGTTTGGTGAGGAGGACGGGGATTGAATTGAAATGTACTTCCTTTATCCAGTCTTAGATTGCGAAAGGAATGTCACAGACAGATGGATCATTAAAGAAACATAGACAATAGGTTCGAAGAACCTAGTAGTGTACAGATGGTATAGAGTAAACATTCCGAAAACAAGTAGATTCATGTTGGTGGAGCCTGATTCAACAAGTAGGACAGAAACTCTGTATTGTCATTGAGATCGAAACCGAAATCCCCAGCAGAGAATGCATTATCCAAGGTAAACGACCGATTATTGGCGAACGACTGCATCCAATCCATGTTGCTGCTTGCCTCTTCATCCTGACACTCGCCAACCTCTCGCAAATCACACTCCACCGGGCCTTCATCAACATTAGTCTGATCAAATCCAGAATCTGCCTGCTCAGCATTGAGATTTCTCAGCATCGAATCACAATCCCTCCCAACTTTCTTCTCTCGTCCAGACGAATCAGAATCCAGCGACTCGATACTAGATGAGGTCTCCGTCTCTCGATTATGTTTCAGCAATTGCTCGAAAAGCTTCAGCACCCAGCTGCACACCGGCCACGACTTTTGCATCTCGCTCAAGCTGAGCATGCACTGTCGCGCATGGTTCTCGGCTAGTTTCTTCTGCATGTCGTGCTTCGAATTGCGAATGACGAGGACTTGGATAGCCAGTGCGGCGAAGATGCTTGGGATTCTATGAACACGGAGTTAGAATAGTATGTTAATCAGGGCTGACGCTGATAGTGTGCATACACATGAAGCTGGGCCTGTCTCAGGGTATCGGATATCATCAAATTCTCAATTCCGCGTGTCACTGAGCTTGCGGCGCTAAACGCCAGATTCTTAGCGGAGAAACTTTCGCTGTCCGTGTCGGTGAAATTGGGGCGGTGGAGGAGTATCAAATGATGGCTGTCATGTCAATATTAGCCCAGAGTTGCTACTATGCTACTATGCTACAAGATATATGGAGATGGTGGGCTACCTGTAGAGAATATCGAGAATGTTCACCCAGAATTGAGAGTCTGCAGTTTGATTGGCACAGTGCTGACTACTCAGCTCGAGAGGGAGCTCTCGTCGCCATGTTTCCAGTTTCTTGGTTAGGTCGGTTTTTTCGGATTCGGTCATGATTGGCCCTTGCACAGTGAATTTGACGAGGATGATTTGGCCGACTGTGGTATGTTTGATTAGCTTTTATAGGTGATATTTTACATCAAGGGTGTGTATTACTCACACACGATCGAGAGCTTTGCCAGGTGAATCGAGCTAAGGATATGAACTCGCCTTGGCGTGCTAAAAACTGCTGGATTTGGAGATTCAGTGCCTTCGAAATCTTCTTCCTGCAGCATTTCAGCATCGCAATCCTCATCTCGAATGCGTAGAGGGCGGCCTAGAGCAGCGGCACTGTGTCTGTCACGTATCTGGGAAGAGTGCTTTTAGTGCATAATTCAACCTTGAAGCAATGTTAGGAGGGAATGTTTACGTAGAGAGACCACCATATTCGTTTCCATAACCTTTGTTCCTTGAGGCTCAAATCCGTTCCATTCGTCCTAATAACTTAGATTAGATTAGGTTCCCCTATTAGTTCTAGAATACTCACGACCGATGCATCCCTTGCGCCTGGGCTAACCCAATAGCTGCTCCGAGCCAGTGCCACATATCCTTCTCGTCCATAAGGCCATTCCAGCAAAAGCTAATGATAAAAAGACTTGTGATGATAGCTATCTTATCCGTTTCATAGTCAAGGTGGTACAATGCCTTGACACGTTTGTGAAAGGTTCTCCGAGCCATGAAACGATTGGAAAAGCCAGCCTGGGCAATCAAATCATCAGAACATAGCGTTACAGCGAGCAGATAGACAGCATTTAGTGAAAGCAAAGACAGACGGCCGGTGTTGTATTGGAGTATAAAGTCGGCACTGTCGAATATAGGAAAGATTGGAAAAACGTAGTCGGAGAAAGTCTTTACCAATCGATCGCTGATTTTTCTCTCTGGCACAGAAAATGCTCCGACCGAGTTAAGGAATTCTAGTTCGCCCGGGTCAAGCTGTGGATCGTATCCTAAGTTGCGGGCCTTGTCGTCAACACTTGCTGGCACGGACCACTGTAACTTGGGTTGTGGGTGTTTGCGTTTTTGCTGTTGTAATGGTGTAATTGGAGCTGGAGAGGAGGATATGTTGTTTGAAGTGGATGGAGGACTGTTGATCTCCTGAACGAGGTAGCTGAAAGTATATGATTCCCCCATATATACGACTCGGTGGCTACCCGGTGGAGTAGTCGACGATGGCCGCGGTGATAGGTAAGATTCACATAACCTCAAATAAAGCATTTCCGACCCTTCTTTATCCTTCGCGGCTAATTGTTGCTGCTCCGGGTTTGCTTCAGCAGGGATTTGGCGGTCCTCCTGTGCTGGCAGTATTTGGGAATGACGATCAGCCGCTTTTCGTGAACTGTCTGCCGAAGCAGTAGTGACATTGTGTTCGCCGGTTGAGAACGAGCAGAATGAACTGGCCGATACTCCAGATATATCGTCAATTGAGAATGTCGCTGTTAATGGTTGGGATGCACGGCTGGTTGCCTGTCCATCGGTGGTAATAGTGGATGACCAAGCGCGCTGAGTTGGGGAGTGCCTGACATTCTTTCGAATGTATCTTCACGATATATCGGGTTTAGTAAAATCACCTATCCAGATTTGAAGTAGAAGCAAGAATAAGATACTTACTTGCCACGCTTCGAGTCAATCAGTATGCACGACTGCCCCAATGCGCTGCAATTCGAGCACGAGGTTCCCGGGGCTGCATCACATCGCGTTCTCCGCACGTGGCAAAACGTGCAGGCGACTCGCCCCCGACGAGAAGGGTTGCTGGTATTCGGTTTTGAATTAGAACTTGTGTCTGCCCGACGCCCTGTCATTTTCAAGTGTTTTTTTGAAGATGGAATCGTTGTCCTGAAAGCTGATTGTTTGCGCTCTCGGTACTTTGGAAAAGGAATGCGGGGAGAATCTGGGGATGTGGAGGTACCCGGTCGCAGGGTGGGAGTTGCCACCACGAGTCAGACGATTTTCGTTGTGTTGGGACCGCTATGATTTGGGTTTACGTTGTAATATACAAGTAAATTACGTAGTGCGAATAACGAATTAAAGCGAAAAGAAAGAATAAGGCATGATTTCTAAAGGAAACTTCATACTTAAAAAAAAGAAATGAAATGAAAAGGAAAACCAGGCACTCGTATCCATATCTTGGCAATTTGACGATACCTTATTCCCCCATATCCTTCATTTGATGGCCTGCGCGATCGCTTGACCCCGGATTTTACGAATCATCTTCACAAGGAAAGACCAAATCTCTCTGTCTCTAAGAGACTCGCGCTGTTGAGATCTCCAGATTGAATGCTAGAAAAATCTAGTTAATCACATTTCATAATGCCTATTAAAATAACTTACTGTTGAGTTATTGTTTATTTCGAAGAATATAGGTCTTCGGAATCTGAAATAACACCGTAAACTACACTGTTTTTAGGATTGGTGTTTTTTGTTGTCTTATCTCTTTTCTGGTTTGTGTATGATGCCTTTAGAAGTTAGCATTATAAAATCATTAAGAATAGAAGTATAACCTGCATATGCCAGGCACTCCAGGCATCGTGCAAGCCCATCGCCTGCGCTGCATTTTTCCATTAACAGCAGACAAAAATCTGCTGTGCCTTCAGAATACCATAAGGCATAGTTTGCCTTTTCACTCAATGTGAATTCTTCGCCATATCGAGTGATTGTGATTGCTGTTTGATAGCTTTGTTCGAAATCTTCGCATCGATCACTAGCTAGTTAGCTCAATGGATTTTCCTCTTAGCTTAGCTCCCTCCATTCCTTGGGAAGTTTAGCTTTTATCGGCATGCTAGGTGTGGAAATATGGATAGATGCTCATGTTCGTGAGTGATGTGGAAGGTGAAGCTATCTACGCTATCTGGTGAAGCGTGCATGGTTCAGCCAGGGACCATTATTCTTTGACAATTGGACTGGCTATTTGTTTCTGCCTCTCTAGTCATATAAACAACTTCGCTAGACTAAAAGTAAATTTCGACCAGAACTCGTACCTCTGATATGCTCGGGGACCGATCTTCTCGAGCTCGTTAGAGTTGCTATGCGGAGTAAACCACGTAAACCAACACATATGAAACGTAATATCAATCTATAAAATTCACCATATCGCCGTTTTCAAGTTGTACCATTACGGCCTATGGTTGACCACCTCGGGTGAGGGGAAATAGTTCGAAGACGGCGATATGTGACCAACTCGGTCCGTATTTACCGGGTAGAAACAGCCTTGGACAGCCCCAAAAGGGAGTCATGTATTTGAAAGGTTTAGTTCTAAGAGACCAAATTTAGTAACTAGCTTCGTAAATTCTTGAAACCCGGACACACTAGTATGTAGATTTCGTAAATGTAAAATTATCTTGGTAGCCGCCTTATCCCTCAATATTTGTTTTACAAACTGATAACTTTTCAAAACGTCGAAAAGATGCATGATACAATGGCTACACATTCCAACGGCACTGTGTTAGCCTGCGAACCTGATTATTTTGACAGCAGCATCGTGCATAAAGTATCTCTCGACAATGTTCCCTCTCAAAGATATCTATCCGGCCCAGTAGAAGAATGGGAGAATGTACGTATCTTCGATATATTGAACAAAAACCGCTAAGTTGTATACGAAAAGTTCAATGCTGATAATACCTGAATGTTAAAGTTTTACAAGGAAAACCAGTCGATTATACCATCCTACGAAGGGCCGCTAGATCAGCTTAGAGCGATATATAACAACACAAAGCAAAGAGCAGCAGAGTCAAAGAAAGATCTAGTTTCGGATGGACTCCATGTCGAAGATATTGAAATACCACGTCCGAATGGACAGTCTGGGATCAAACTACGAATTTACAAGCCAGTAACCGAGAAAAGCACTCATTCCGATCTTGCAGTGTTGATTTAGTAGGTGGAAATCCATACTGCCCGTATATTTGAGATTCTTATATATTACTGTTCTCTGATAACTGTAGCTTGCATGGCGGTGGTTGGACGCTTGGAAATCTAGACGCCGATGACCCTGTGTGCAGATCCGCATGCAGTCGCTGTAATACTGTTGTTGTTAGTGTGGATTATGCATTGTATCACCTTCCCTATTCCCCCTTTTCTTGCGAAAACGTGGCTAATTTGAAAACATGGCTCCCGAGTTCCCGTATCCTACCGCGATAATTGATGTATGGGAATCGTTAAACTGGGTTAGTAGTAGAATTGGCTGCCATGTTGATGCAGAGACTTTGCTGACCATATTTCCTATAGGTCCTAAATCATTCAAACGAACTTCAAATATCTCGTTCACGTATTATTCTTGGAGGTAGCAGTGCCGGTGCCAATTTGGTAAGAACTGATATATCCAACTTTTGTAAGCTTCGGGACTAATATGGCACCTGTCCTTCCAGGCGGCTGTGGTCACCAGAAAGGCTATTTCCAATAGTATTCCGATCTCTGGCACCCTACTACAAATACCAGTCGTTTGCCATCGCAACTGTTACCCGTCAGAGGAATATGAACTGCTGAGCATGCACCAAAACAAGGATGCGCCGATGCTGTCAAAAGCTGCACTTGATCAGTTCTGGGCATATTATAATCCTCCCGACATCACTGACCTCCAAGTATCACCGCTATTGGCCAAAGACTTCACTGGATTTCCACAGACATTTATTCAGGTCTGCGGCTTGGATCCGCTGCGCGATGAAGGGCTAGCGTATGCAAGAAAGCTTTGGGGATTTGATGTGCCTTGCTCGGTTGTGGTGTACCCAGGATTTCCTCATGGATTCAGCGCTTTTACTGAGTTGTCTGCTGCTAGAGCGTATCGTGAGGACATGTTGAATGGGCTGAATGGTTTGATTAGTGGTGAAATTACAAGTGGAGTTAGAAATTATCATGGCAAATAAAGCGGTTAGCTTATTAGATACTGAATATAAGACAAGGCTCAAATAATTTCAATACTCAGTGAAATATGCCCGGAAATTTAATTGAAAGAAGAGAAGATCCTTGCTGGCCGAAAGATATCATGGGTTCCTTCTTGAATGAATCACTCATTAATTTCGCAACATAAATACATGTAGTAATCGATGACAAGCGGCCGATGTCTAATATATTGGAAATTGACAAAGTAAATGAAAGATTCCATACAATTCAATTTGTGTGAGTATCAAGTAGAAAGAGTTAGGCACAGATTTGATAAGCAGCTTCTCATTCAAAACCGTTGGTGATCACATCGACCAAACCGCAAATAATTGAGTACCGGCTTAGACTGATACATTTTTTCCAGAAAATTCTCTGTTTCTGACTTCGTAACGACCAGCCTCCTTATCTACATTCTCAGTCTCCACCACTTCCACCTTTCCTTCACTCTCATTTAGATGTATCACGACATCATCCCCGAACTTTCCACTGATTTCCTCAAGTGTGATGCCTTTGGTCTGTATTTCCAGAACATGATTAGTATTATAATGAAATTAAACGCAGAGAAGAGTAAAACGAAAATGCGAAGAACTTACTTCAGGGAGGTAGAAGTACATAATGGGGATATTAATAGCAGTCAGCACAATGAATACAAGGTAATACTTCCATCCAATTGTCGCAAATGCTGTAGGTGCGCCTTCGAGGAACGGTGTTGATGTCACATACAATGTCACCATAGATAGTGCCATTCCGCGCGGACGAATATGGGTTGGAAATATCTCGGCGCAGTAGACATATGTGTTAGCGTCGATGCAGCCACCGTACCTACTTGATATATTAGCTATATCCCAAAGCATATGTTGCGTAGTACCAGTGGACATACCAGACAATGAAGAAAAATATGAAAAATGTTGCTGCCTTCAAGCCCCCGGGATTTGATGCTCCAATATATTCAGCAAGTAGAGCAGACTCTACACAAAGGCAGATCAGACAGCCGGTAAGACCGATAACTACCTACTGTCAGCCAATCCGAGGGTTTCTGATCTGTTAATGCACAGATAGATATCATTGGTACTTACTAAAAAGATTCACTCGGCCTATACGATCAATGAGAAGTGCACATAAATAGTTCAAGAACACCGATACAGAGCAGTACACGGCTGCGAGAATGAGTGGGATGACGCCGGTCTGCCCAAGATCTTGGTATATTATAACACTGTAGTCTGAATACTTATTAATTTCCCGATGCCCTGAAAGTAGAATATAGAGATCGGAAACTCACTGGCAATGACGAGATTCCCCGATGCTTGGCCTGCATACATGACAAGGAATGCACAGATACATCGTTTGCGGTAGCTTGGCTTGCGGAACAAATCCCATAAAGTCTCGTTCTCCGCTACGGCTTTGTCGGCGCTGATCTGCTGTAGCATCTGCTCGAACTCGGCTCGAGCGAATCCTTCATGGTGGCCGTGATGCAATTTGGAGAGGACTTTCCAGGCAGCTTCAGTATTTCCATTGGCAAGTACTTTGAATTTCCTTGTTAGTCTTGAAAAGCCAGAAATAGTAGATTGCATTGCTTCCACTTACACCAGCGAGGAGACTCTGGAACAATCGGCAAGGTAGCTAAAAGAAGTAATGGCCAAAGAATTTGCACGGCAAGCGGGAATCGCCATTGAAACGCAAGATTTGCTGAGAAGTAGCAGGCCACGCCAATCCATGCAGCCAGACTATAGGCAACCACGATGAGAACACCATTCAATGAGACCAGCATTCCTCTGCTCTCTGGCGGTGCGACCTCAGATTGGAAGACAGGTACAACAGTGATTAACATGCCTGGAATGATAAGCAACTCAGCCATGAAGATATAAGGGAGGTTTTTGAGAGAGAAAGGATATACCAGCTCCGAATCCAGATACAAAGCGTCCTACAAGGAACATTCCAACATGAACAGACCCTGTCTGCAAGGCACCGCCAATCAACGTAATGATGGCAGTTATGCTCAAAGTTCTCTTTCGACCATGTACCTCGCTCATCCAGGCAGAGAATATAGCGCCGAATACGCCACCAGCAGAGAAGATACCATTGATAGCACCGATAATTCGGTTCGTATAGGCATATTTCTCGGAATCTGTTGTATCCGTAGTAAGATCAAAATAAGTATAGAATCCAGGCTGTCCCAGTGTATTGGTGATGACGGCTAGAATGTAGCCATACGTCAGACTGCCCAAACAGAGGGCTAGTATGATCTGTAAAAAATCGCATTAATCGATGTTCAGAAGGCTTTGGGAGAGAACAGACAGATAAGTTGAACCAAGATACTTGTCCCATCTCGGTCGATAATGTGGGTTAGTTTTGTGAGCAGGTTTGATGACTGTCGCGATACACGTAGAAGAAGGTCAACTGAAAGAAGATCAAGTCCGAGGCCATCGTCCTTTGCTTTGTATTTAGCCCAGGCTTCAAACTTTGACCTGGAAAGTGTATTTCGTGTTGTTCTATCATTTCATACTCAATAATAGCGGCAATGAGTCGGTAAAGACGAAAGCAATTTCTATGGGGTAATAGACGTTCCCCGTGGGGTAATGAGTCGGCGTCTCTCATTCACTTTTGATTCGTACACCCCCAACCATTAATTTGGTTTTTATGCGGGGAAGAAAGTCTAAATTTCAACACGCATGTTGAGATTGTCTGATTTTGTCCATGCTGTGACAAATAACTTGAGGAGTCGAAGCGCGCTTTTGATTTCATGAACTTCGTACTATTTCATCATTTGCGCGGACACGCTGAGACCATCATCGGGAGTGGAAGATAATATAGGAACTAAAGCATTTAATACTTTACGTGTGTACGTTGCTATTTAAGTAGGAAGTAGGCAATAATAGGTTTGATACGCCTATTTTCCTGATATAGTGACTGACTACATGATATGGTATAAAATCAAATCATTTTCACCCTTCTACCTTCCTCAGAATCTCCATAACCTGCTCAGGTCGTGTCAAAGAAATCGGATTTGTTCGACACCAAGGATCTTCCAAGCTTCGTTGAGCTAAGGTCTTGAGTTGCTGCTCACCAGAAACACCCACATCCTTTAATGTTTGAGGTACACCCAACTCCGCAAATAGCCCATGAAGCGTGTCTCCCAGATCACTTTGAGAATGAGTAAGACCACGTCGTTCTAAAACATTGGAAATATATGGGTCTTCCCACAAGGTATCCAGGGCACGTTTCTGGCGGTCTGCGTTGACGGAAGCGTTGTATTTCATCACTGCTGGACTGAGAATGCAGGATGTGTGACCTAAAAGGTGGGGGTTCCAGTTATTAAATATAATTACATTCTTTAACCATCAAGTACTCACCATGGGCAACATTCATAGTCCCAAGCTGATGGCCAATAGCATGTGAGGCACCTAGGTGGACGCCTCGAGATAGACCTAAGTTGTTCGAAATAAGTCACGGGTGAATAAAAGGATACTCTTAGGGGATATACCATCCATGGCATAATTAGATCCAATTTGAGTTTCGAGTCGACTATCAGCATCTTGCGGATTCAGTCGAAGCTTGAGTAACCCCCGTGCGACCATCACCAGCCCCTTTTTGGCCGACTCTTCTGTCAGCGTTTCATGCTGGCGGAGGCTACTCAGAAGTTCCACACAATGGTCAATTGACCGTACTCCTGAACTCATCCAAACCCACTCGGGCACTGTTTTAGTGAGCTCAGGATCAAGAATCACTACGTCACAAATGAGGCTTTGGTGGATGAATAGTTTTTTGACACCATCCCGTGGGTCGACTGCTCCAGCATACGGCGAGTATTCACCAGCTGATAGCGTCGTCGGGATACTGATCTTGGTCAATGTTGCAGGTTTGATATTAGGCGAGTCAGTGTAGTTTGCGTAGTCATTGTCAGTTTCCATAGTGTATGCTGTGGCCTTGCTGAGGCCCTCGAGACTATCAAAGTCATGGACGTCGTTGGCGATACTGAAAGTGACTAGCTTAACAGCATCTATTATTGATCCGCCTCCTAATTTTGAAAATGTGAATTAATTCTAACACCAAAGGTTTACAAAACAGCAAGGAACAATAAGAACAAGGGAAAGAAAAGAGACGCACCTAGGGTAACAACTGCATCTGCATCGGCTTGTTGACTATCAATAGGTCAGTCATCAATATTAATTTACAGCGGAGAGAACACAGATATACATGTCGCTAGTGAGTCTCAAAACATCTTCAAATGGTGGATGACTTGGGAATCCGATTTTGACCCCGACCAACGTCGTTCCCAAGCATTCCTTTAATCTGTCCAATTCATTGGTACTTTCCGCGAGTGATTTAGACACCACAACAAAAACGCGCTGCTTTCCCATGCGGGTGAGATGGGCATGGAGAAGTTCTGTGAAAGCGCATCCATATGACAAGAGGCCTTTTCCAGGTCGCCATGGAAACATGGGACGAGTCTCCTCGTTTGGAAGGGGATGTTCGTTCGCCGGCATACTAGTGGTTGGTGGTGTGGTCACGATGCGCAAAGGTATAAGTTTGGCCGTGTATGCTGTAGTTGAATGTATTAGATTTAATGGTGTTGCAAGTTATCGCTCTCCATTCATGTAGAGTTTGTTCCCGACCCTTAGCTTATTGTAGCCGTTTAGGATACAAGACGCCGTTTTAAAGCACCACCACAACCGCCATGTGGGAGAGACTAATGACGGAAAAAAATAATTATTTAGAAGGCATCAATATGACTTGGTATTTATTTTTATTAGACTAAAATTTTCATGCTCTTCAACTCCTAAATTTAGTAGCAAGGAAGTAAAAATATTCCGTAATTAGTCCTTCCATCTATGCGTCGGTATACATAGATATTTTAGATAGAGACCTCTTAAGTAAGAATTAAAAAGTTCATATTCTTGGCTTTTGTATTTTCAAAGAATCAAGTAATAATCTGAATCCATTCAATTTTACTATACAGTTTACATGTAGATGTAGAAGAAGTGAAACAACTGGGCTGGTCACCAAAGCTACTGACCCAACAGCTACAATTAGTCAAAGAAACATTATAGAGGTCACTTTCTCCGATGATATATTTATGAAACTACAAGTAACTTTCCAAGCTCAAAAAATTATGAGCTGTACGGATCAAAAAAAGTAGTTAACCATTTTTTAAATATCAATTATTCTGCTGAATGAATCCCTCAATTTCATATTACCTATCCAAGGTCTCGGATCCATGACAGATAATAAGGGAGAAGGAGAATGTCATAACATCACGCAACCCTCTTCTGCCGAAGCAAGTTTTATTTTCCCGCCCACCTTCAAGCCGTTTCCTCCTTGTGATCAGTTGTGCCGGTCCGATCTTCGATTCCCTTACTTTCAATCTGGTGCGCCAGAATACTGATTTCCGTACCCACAAACTTGGTTCTGTCGGTGTTACCGATAAACCAGGGACTCTCGGTGAAGAGCTTCTTCATTTCCTCCAGGGGTAACTGATTGGTTTCGGGTAGCATGGCCCAGAAGAAGACGGCATTTGTGAAATTGCATACCTAGGTATGAGGATTCAGTCGTTATTGAATTCGGATTTTATATGGTATGATACAATTCGAGGAGGGGAGGTACTGACCACAAATAGTATATAGAATCTCCAACCGGAGTTTGCCATTCCAATAGGTGTCACTTGGCCGATCATCGTGCTAGAAGAAGGGGAATATTTTAGTTTTGATGATGAGAAGAGTAAGTACAGAGCTGGATGACGCACTTGAAGGCGAAGGATACCATGCAACCCAAGGCTACCCCCTTGGCTCGGATTGCCGTATCGAAGATTTCGGCAGGGATCATCCACGCTAGGAAAGTGTCAGTAGAGGACTTCATGACCAAAACAAAACAAAGAGGGACAGGAAGGGGAAGAACCGTACAAAGTGAGCCCATACTAGCAAAGCAGAAGTTGTATACCCATGTCATGATAATGAAACCCCAGTGGGCGCCGTTGTTATGCGCCTCGGGAGGGAACTTGGAGAGAAGGATGGTACTGATCACATATGTGAGGCACATGGCGAGGTTTCCACCGACAATGAGTTTGCGACGGCCAATCTTATCGACTACAATCATGAGGAGAAATTCACCGAGGAGGCCAAGGACTGAATTGATAGCTTGGTAGCGTAGGGTATCCGTTCCATCAATGCCAATTTGTTTCTAATACAGAACCACATTTAGCCATTGGGCTGAAGCAAGGAGAGGGGAGAGGAAGCCCACAAAGATGGTGACCGAGTAATATTGAATCGCTGAAATGCCAGTCATCTGGGTGGCAGCTTGCATAGCGCAGGCCAACAGGAGGCGGCGGAAGTTCGCCTTATTAGTGAACAAAACATTGAATGAGGCCTTCGTTTGCTCCTTCTCCTCGGCAACCTGCGTTTGAATTTGCTCAAACTCGGCGAGAACCCACGGGTCGGATGTGTTGCCATTGGCATGCAGTCGCGCCAGGGTCTTGAGACCCTTCTCTGGGTTACCACGGCTAATGAGCCAACGAGGGGATTCCGGGAAAAGGAAAATCAAGGCAGAAAGAAGAGCGGCAGGGACAATCTGGATGGCCAAAGGAATACGCCATTGACGGTTGTCAGTGAAACCGACGTATGTACCATAACTGATCCAACTACCACACACGCCACCAACGCCAAGCATAAACTGCTGAAGCCCAGTCACCAAGCCTCGAATATTGGGGTGGACTAATTCTGCCTGGTACATGGGAATGATCATGGTAAGAACACCGATGCTGGCAGTCGTTGGTTAGTCAACCACAGACAAGGAAGAAATCTCGGCGAAGAGGGCTCACGAGACACCTGCGATAAAGCGGCCACCCAAGACATAGCCATAGTTCTGCGCGCCTGCCTGCAGTCCACCACCCAAGCAGAAAACCAACCCGCCAGTCAAGATGGTGACTCGACGACCGAAGTAATCTGAGCATGGGTAGGCCAACCCGGCACCAACAAATGCGCCAGCCGTGAGCAGCGACGCGACCAGGCCGACCTCGGTGGTCGAAGGGTTGAAGTAGCTAAGGAAAGAACCGCTGGATACCACTGGTCAGGGGAAACAGAAGCTGTGAGTTTCTTTAAGCAGATCTAGGGGGTCTGGCTGGTTTTGTTTACCTTCGGCTACAATGGTCAAGTCGTATCCATAGAGAAAAGAGCCCAGCGCGGCAAACGTGCCGACCAGAAACTGGTATACCTTGGGAGGGAAACCCATCTTGTTTCCGTTCTTGTTCCACACAATATCCCCGTATCCAGGGCACATCGCCCAGCTTTTAAACCCGGGGTAGCAGTAGAAGCAACTCGCGTGCGGGGCCCCATTGCAATCGAACCAGTGTTTGCCCTATTCGGCAAGCTTCCGGATCCACGACCTGCGGAAAATTAGCCAGTCAGGATGTGAGCTTTCCGCAGCGCAATGGAGGCCGACAGGTATGGAGACGCATGGGCGCATCACAAGAACAAGACGGGGAAGAGCATGGGGGCTTCTCGGGTTAATAGGAGGCGAGATGAGACGAGACGACTAGAATGCATTCATTCCCTTCCCTCCCCCCTTCCCCTCAATAGAGACTCCAAGCAATATTACTCAGAATGGCCGAAATCGTTGCATTGAGATTCGAGCATCATCCATCTGGCCTTGGGGTCCAATGTTCTATCCCTCGCATCTCTTGGAAGCTCTCCGCCGTGGATGAGTCGGTCAGCGACTGGACGCAGTCTCAGTATGAGATCGCCGTGCGCCGAAGCCCTGGTTCGCAGCCCGAGCGATTCACCATTAACAGCTCGGACTCATCCTGGTTACCGTGGCCTAGCACGCCGTTGATATCGCGAGAACAGGCCCAGGTGCGAGTTCGTGCCTATGGCAGCTGGACTGATCGAACGACCAGACGGACACACTCGGGGTGGGCCACATGGTCCTCCTGGGCGACCGTCGAATGCAGTCTCCTATCTTCGCAAGACTGGATTGCAGAGCCCATATCCAGCCCATCACTTCCTACGAGGCACAAAGATGAACCTCTGAGGCCGCTCCTCTTTCGAAAACCCTTTGCCCTCCCTGTCAACTTTGGCACAGTGCACCGGGCTAGATTGTATATCACCGCCTTAGGGGTGTATCGCGCGTATCTCAATGGATCTCGGATTGGGGACCATGAGATGGCGCCTGGATGGACGAGCTACCACCATCGCTGGGCATACCAGGTGTTCGACGTCTCCTCCTTGATCACTACCACTGGCAAGAACGTGCTTGGCGTTGAGGTTGCCGAAGGATGGTTTGCGGGCCGGTTGGGATTTGACGGTGGTAAGCGGTATATGTATGGCGACCAGATCGGAGTCCTCGCTCAGCTGGAGGTAGACGGGCCCGGTGGTGAACGATTCCACATCGCCTCTGACCTCAGCTGGAAGTGCCATGCGAGCCCCCTCGTGCGCAGCGAAATCTACAATGGCGAAGTGTATGATATGCGAGACGAAGTCGGCCACTGGCATCGCCACAACCATGACTATCTAGATGCCCACTGGGATCCAGTCTGTGTCTTGGGGTTTCCTCTGGCGCGGCTGTTCGTACCGAATGCGCACCCGGTGCGAAGTACACAGGAGGTAGCGCCAAAACGAATATTCACAACACCTGCCGGCCGTATTATCATCGATTTTGGCCAGAATCTAGTCGGTAAGCTCTGGATCCGGTCGCTGACGCTGCCTGCAAACGCCTCAGTGACCTTCACGCACGCCGAAGTGATGGAGAATGATGGAGAGCTGGGAACAAGAGCCCTTCGCGATGCGCAATGCGCCGACACAGTCATCTCGTCCGGGCAGCCGCTGGTCGACTGGTCGCCAAAATTCACCTTCCATGGCTTCCGCTTTGTACAAGTCGACGGATGGGACCCTCAGACAGAGTCGTCCTGGCAGGACAACATTCGGGCGTTGGTGATTCACACAGATTTCGCGCAGACAGGATGGTTTACGTGTTCTAACGCGGACATTAATCAATTGCATCAGAATGCCTGCTGGAGCATGCGTGGGAACTTTCTGTCCATTCCAACGGATTGTCCGCAGCGCGACGAACGCCTCGGGTGGACTGGAGATATCCAGGTTTTCAGCCCGTCGGCGACCTTCTTGTATGACTCGGTGGGCATGCTCTCAGACTGGATGGAAGACGTAGCATGTGAGCAATCCGATCACCGCGGTATTCCCCCTCTGGTGGTTCCCAATATCTTGGACCATGTGTGGCCGTCGATTCCCCAGGCTGTCTGGGATGATGTAGTGATCATCGTACCCTGGGTCTTGTATCTGTCCTCCGGCGATCGCGACATCTTGGATCGACAGTATCCCAGTATGACTGCATGGCTGGATCAGGGCGTCCGCCGTGGCAAGGATGGACTGTGGGATCCCGAGCTCTGGCAACTGGGAGACTGGCTGGACCCTCAGGCGCCGCCTGACGAGCCTGGCGATACCCGAACGAACGGTACGTTGGTGGCAGACGCATACCTCGTGCATGTTACTTCTCTCATGGCCGACATCAGCTCCATCCTCGAGAAGGAGGCAGAGAGCATTCACTACCGCCTCAAAGCCCACCATCTCCGCCGTGTCTTTCAAGACAAGTACATTACGGCGACTGGTCTCATGGTCGGGGATTCCCAGACGGCGTACGCGTTGGCGGTTGTCTTTAAGCTGTTTCGCAACCATGACCAACTTGCTGAAGCTAGTCGCCGACTCGCCTTGCATGTCCGCACGGCCAAGTTCCGCGTAGCGACCGGGTTTGTCGGCACGCCTGTGATTCTACGTGCTCTCACTGACACCGATAATCTCTCCCTTGCCTACCGGATGCTCCTGGAAGATAGCTGCCCATCATGGCTATACCCCATCACCATGGGCGCCACCACTATCTGGGAACGCTGGGACAGTATGCTCCCGAACGGGTCTATCAACCCCGGCCAAATGACCAGTTTCAACCACTACGCACTCGGATCCGTGGTCAATTGGCTGCATGAGACGGTGGGCGGCATAAGGCCGCTCGATGCTGGGTGGAAGACCGCCCTGGTGTGTCCACAGCCGGGAGGTCCTTTAACGCATGCCACGGTGTCGTACGAAAGTACCTACGGTCGATGGAGCTGCCAGTGGGAATTGGTTCGGGATGGAGCTGGAGACGTGACGCTTAGTGTGGATCTAACGGTTCCGCCAAACTGCAGGGCAGTCGTCAGAATCCGAGCTACAGAGAGCGGGCCTAGCAATCTGGAGACGGTCGTGGGATCTGGAAAGCATCAATGGAGAGTTCGTTTCTTTCCCTCACCATGGCCGCCTCAGGCGATAGCTCCATTCGTCACAAATCCTGGAAAGAATTTCAATTCTGTAGATAGCACGTAAACAAGCATTACAATGATTTTGCATAACGCAGTAGTTGACATCCAAGTCCTGTCTGCTGCCCAACTAAGTAATATTACGGTGTCATGGGTGGGATCCAATTCATTTACACATTCCTTTATCTACTCGGTGAAATGCAGTTTTGGGAATAAGCTCTACTAGCCAAAAACCAGGCGTATTTCCACTTGATTAATATTTACTTTTCATTTTAATGTAAACCCTAACCCTAACCCCATCCATGTCTCGGGTGAACACTCCCCGACTTATTCGACGAGAATGAGGATAACCCCCATGCCTCGGACAAATTCTTCTTGTTTCCCCACAGCTAGGGTGTCAGGCTTCGGGACATTCTTTAATCGTGCGGGGTGGAATTGTTCGACATTGTACGTATATAAAGAGCTGTCCTGTTGACGTGTCTCTGAATTCACCAGACCGAATCAGATCAGCAGTAACAAGGCTCTGCAGCAGTCTAAGAATGATGATATTTTCTTCCATGCTATACTTCGCCGCCAGTGTGGCGGCGTTGACACTCAACATCGCTTCGTCCGGCGGCAATCAGTCCAGTTCTCTTCTGTATGGGTTCTTGTACGAGGTAAGCCAGCAACTTCCTCCTTCTCCCCACGTATACCCATTCACACAATGTTGAAACAGAGACTGATGGTTTCTTTTGAGGGCAGGACATCTACCACTCCGGTGATGGCGGTCTCTATGGGGAGATGCTCCGGAACCGAGGTTTCCAAGGATCCTCGTCCAATGGAGTCGCCAGTCTACTTCGCAGCACAGATTACTGGCATCCAGTGGGCGGAGTCTCGTTGGCCATCGACACATCGTCTCCCACGGTGTCGTCCAGCCTCCCCTACCAGATGAGGATGGACGTGCCTGCAGGCACGACGGGGACTGTAGGATTCTACAACGAAGGCTTCTGGGGCTTCGACGTGGACGCGACCAAGCGTTACATTGCCAGTTTCTACATGCGCGGCAATTATTCCGGTACCGTCGACTGCTACTTCCACAGCAACACGACGGGACAAGTCCTCGGGTCAACGAGCGTGAGCATCGACCAGACATCTTCCAAAGGATGGGTGCAAAGCTACTCGGCCACATTCCAGCCGGGACACACGGGGTCTGATGCCAACAATACCTTTTACTTCACCTTCGACGGGTCGCAGCTGGCGGGACAGTCGGTGTATTTCAACGTGTTGAGTGTGTTCAAGCAGACATTCGACAACCGCTACAACGGCGTGCGCCAGGATCTGGCCGACGCACTACACAACATGAATGGGAAATACATACGGCTGCCCGGCGGTAATAATATGGAAGGTATCGGCGCCCCTTATTACTGGAAATGGAACGAAACCATCGGCCCTCTCACGGGTCGTCCAGGGCGTCCGGGCACTTGGGGGGATATTAATACTGATGGGTTTGGCCTCTTGGAAATGATGCAGATGGCGGGTGATCTCGGCCTCGAGGTGATTCTGGGCATCTGGGCTGGGCTGTACCTGGATGGAGATGTCGTTTCCGATGCAAACATCCAGCCGTATGTGGATTCGGTCATGAATGAGCTGGAGTTTCTGCTGGTGAGTTGAACCATATGAATATATCTATCTACAGGCACATACACACACATGTATCAATTATACGCACAAATACATTTATATATCACTAACAGAACAGGGAAATGCGTCGACTACGTACGGGGCACAACGAGCAGCCCTAGGATTCCCTTCGCCCTTCACTATCAACTGGATCGAGATCGGCAATGAAGACTACCTCAACGGCGGAGACAGTTCCTACTACGCGTACCGATTCATGGCCTTCTACAACGCCATCCACGCGGCCTATCCGTCCATTAATCTCGTATCGACCATCAACCCAAACCCCGTCACAACCGCCGGCAGCTCGCTAGACTTGCACATCTACGGCAACGAGCACTACTTCGTTTCCCTGTTCAACACCTTCGACCAGGCCAGCCGCCAATACCCCGTGTTCGTCAATGAGTACGCAGCCACCAACACCGGCTCCAACAGTAAGGGTCAGGTCGGAGCTCAGACGCTGGGCATGTCTTGCGCCGAAGCCATCTTCCTCCTGGGCTGCGAGCGCAACTCAGACATCATCCTCGGCTCCGCCTACGGCGCCATGATCAAGAACTTCAACGAAGCGCCCGACACTGTCGCCCTCATCAAACACACCGCCAACGAGGTCCTCTATACCATCAGCTACTACCTCCAGAAGCTGTTCGCTGACAACATGGGCACAAAGACCCTACCCGTCACTGCCGTAGGTGCAGGATTCGGCCCCGTCTACTGGTCTGCAACAGCCAACAGCTCTTCCACCATCCTGAAGCTCGTCAATTATAACGGGAACACTGGATCGTCTAACGCTGTGCAGGTCATTGTTGAAGGGTCGTCAAAGACCACCGCCACATTGATCTCCTTGACTGCTCCAAATTCCACGAGTGTCAATAACTTGCCGTCCTTGGGGGGTGAAGCCAGCACCATCACCACCACAACATTGACTGGATCTGCTGGCCACTTCTCCGTCGCCTTCACTGGCTCTTATGAGATTGTAGTTTTGGTTGTCTAGGCATGGATGAATGAACGCAATTTGTGATATAACCATCCCTAGCGAAACTAAAGATAGGCATTCAGCATATGTACATACACGGTAATAAGTAGGGTGTTGACCAAATTTAACTACACTCCGTAGTAACTAGTTATATCATTGGCTGCAACTAATCTGATTCTTATATTAACTCTATGAACGTGAGAATTATTTATTTATTACTCTGAATATTGGATCATCTATGTAGATATTTGTAAATAAATACATCTCATAAGTTGCACTCTCACAATCCCTGAGGCAACTCCGATCTAGCCTCTGGGCCATTCCAAAATGTGGACAATCGTCCTTGTTGGGAAAACATCTGCGCCTGTGTGGAGATAATCTCCATCTCCGCAGCTGAGTGAGGATTCGCAGCCTTGTCATTGAGCGGCAACGCGTACTCAAAGAGGAATCGCACCATCCAACGATCGAGACGATGCGTGTGGTGACGATATGAAAAAAGAAGGCAGGTATTCTGGAAGTTCAACAAGCGATTAATCTAAGTCGATGTGTCAGTCAAAGAAGTAGGGAGGGGAAGGGAGATATTTTACCATGGCTTTCACACTGGGCCAAAACCGTTCTAACTCGAGAAGAGCTTCGAAATTTACCTCGAGGCAGTGGCGTGATTGCGGGAGATCATCCTCTGTTCCAAACAGAAGCGTATGAAGAAGAACAGAGGACGAGACAATCGCCATATGGCCTACTGTTGGATACACGGCCTCACATCCAGGCAGTTGTCGCCCGTTGGCGAGCAGCATGCTATATCCGAGAGCATGATACTTGCACCGGGCTGCGAAGCGCCGGGTACGCGTTGTCAGAGTGAATCGCGTGTCGAGGTACTGGTAGTACAGCAGGGTAGCGTAGTGGTGGAAGCCTAGATGTAGGCCCATGAAGATGCCCCCCGTGCCCCGTTTACTGTGCTCGATGAGGTTCGATTCGGTCAGTTGGACGTGGCGTGGAAGTCTGTCTTGCCAGTCATCCAACCGCTGGGCGAGACGATCTGTGTCTTGCTCGAGTTGGTCTTGGAGCAGCACCTCACCGTTGACTGCGCGCCAGTTGAATTCTTGGATTGGGCCGAACAATTCGATAAGCGTGGCCATGTATGCCCACAGACCCAGGTCCAAGTCCAAGTACGGCTCGTGCAATGGCTGATCTGGAGCCATCTCAGCAAACCGGCACTCATCCATAGGTAAGCGAGCTGGCCGAGGCCAGTCCTTCATCTGACGCTGTAGACCGAGACTCGAGGAGCACCAGTTGTCCGCCGCGAACAGCGACCACCAGATCCGAACCCAGATCTCGTTGATTACTGCCTTGCCATTGACATGTCCCGTAAAGGGCTGCATCAGCTGCACCATGGCAATTGCCGTTCCTGTTCTTCCATTTTAAATGAGTTTCCACACATTCAGGATTGACTGCACCAGTTGATGCATGATGCATGAATACATGTATATAACTGGGACTACTTACGAAAAAATAAAAACTCCGATGAGGGATTCGCATGTGCGACACATAGGTTCGCGACGAGGATGCAAGTCTGGATATTCTCCAGACACACGCGCTCAATATCGATTTGTAGCAGCCGTTTAGACTCAGCGGTGAGCAGTGGCTCGAGCGATTGCGCGGTTGGCCGACTGGAGACATGCGCTCCCATGGCGCAGATCGCCAGCAGCAAAGCCTTTGAGAGTCGTTGCTGGCGAATATCGTTCCACAGAGTCGCTGTGTGGAAGATGCTGTGGGGTCGATCGTGGATTTTGGACAGGTACTCGTGGACGAGGTCCACAACGGCGTCCTCATCGGCCAGAAAGTCATCTACTGCGTTTCGTCGAGACTGAGATGCAGGTGACTGTGACCGGCGTGCCCCGAGCCTCCGCGTCCCAGCTAGCTGGGGTTGGGAGCGCGAACATACAAGATGTCGGCGCAGGCAGCGGTTGCAGGGGTGCAACAGGTTAGTGGCCTTGCTGGGGACGCACTTGCGTTTGGCGTGTCGGCATTGCTGGCACGATTTCATGGTGGTTGTCTATCTCAATGAGCATCCGGGTTCGGGGAGAAGTACCAAAACTGCGGAGTTGCCATGTTTTTCATTGGTGGAAAATCCGCACCTCCTCAACAGGATAAGTCCCCAAAATGAAATCTTAATTTTGATAGAGAAGAAACAAATGTAAACCTGGAACCCTCGGCTACGTAGGCGAATGCCGTTGTAAGTAGGGCTTACGTCGCCCTCCATAGTTAATATGAAATTGATGCAGCCTCCCAATCAGACTTTCAGCGTTCATAGGTCGCAATCCGCCAAAGAGATGTCTTTTAGTGGTCTTTCTGATACGGAGTCAGTTGGCACCAAGGAAAAGGGGCCAAAGCTATTACAAGCTATTTTAATCGAACGAATTGACGCAATTTGATTGATCCGTTTGGATGGTTTACTCCGCCACATTCGGGCAGTGTGACTAGCCTATCGGCTGGTGCCATTCTCAATGCCTATATTTTAGTATACCTGAGGTCATCGTCACTCGCCATTTTTACATATGCAATTTGTATTTACTCATTATCTATTCTTACAATACTGCAACAAGCGCTCAATCACTTTTGCATTCTCGTCGAGGAAACGATGGAACCAACACTCTTGCCTCAAACGTATCCTGTCGCAATAGCAGATGGTTTCATCCAAAATGAGCCCGAGCAACGTACGATTTATATGCGTTGTCCTGATGCTTTGTTCAAACATGTCGAGGTGCTTGACGAGTCAGGGAAAATATTATTTACTTCGGAAGGCCATCCTCATACATCCCGTACCTGGCGTCGAACAGTTAGAGATGCCGCAGGGACCACTATTTTCCATCTCCGCACATATATTCTTTATTGGAAAGTGCAAGGTCCAGGGGATGACGACATCTGCAAAGTCGATCACGTTGCAAGGCAGAGTAACCCAAAGGCTCTTGACCTAATTGTCAAAAACCAGGCAGATAAGGGTATTGATGAGCTGGTTGAGGTTCGGCCAACTGACCTAGCCGGTGTCACTGTCTTGGTTAATATAAGAAACGAACCTGTTGCTTCAATCCAATTGATAGGAGCTAATCCAACATCACCATTCAGGAAGAAATCGGATAGAAGTGTTTGGAAGGCTCAAATCGCCAATGGTGTTGACCTCGCTCTGGTGAGTAGAACTCTATATTCTCTTATATTAGCATATAAAATATTAATTTATCGGCTTAGATCGTTGCTATAATGTTATGTCGAGCAGAATTACATCTCTCTATCGGTTAAATGTTGACCTAAATATTCTAGAGAACGTTGCAGAGATGAATTGACATTTGTACCATGGTGTTTCAGGAAGGTTGGCTGATACTATTGATTGCTTAACATGTATTTAACAAGTGATGGCTGGCGATACGGTATTGAATCTGGGATAGATTTAATTATTCTTGAATAGCATCTGGCATTTCAACTGCCAATTCATTATCCCCAAGCAACACCACACATGTAATTCTTATTAACCTGTCGGGGGTAGAAGAGCGCCTGGGTTCTCTTTTGTCCCAAGGTAATAGGAGAGGTCACTACCATTAAACTCGTCTATGGTGAAACCAGTACCGAGAAACTCAAACGGGTTGCGACTCTCATACCGTATATCATAGTCCTCATACCTTGGTTCTGCTAGCAACTTAAAGAATACCAACCGCGAGCCAGGGAAAATAGTCAATGGCCCATCAGCCCTGCCCTGTTTAAACCAACTAGGACAGCCAGAGCTCCATGCTGTACGCTTTAAGAAGAGGTCTGCGTGCTCTGCAAAAGCCTCTGCTCTTTCGCGACGGGGTGCAAGAGATCGTATGTTTTCTGTTTGCATCTTCTTGACGATCGACAGGATATGTTGTGATATTAACTCGATAATGGGTAGAAAGGAACCGTGTCCAACAGGGCCGTAAGCCCCCCCATTGTCCAGTAATTTGGAACTAGAAGGATTTATCAGTTTTCGTTGAACTATTACAAATTCTGCTATGGAGAGATGGCTCACTTTCTGGCACCCCAATTGCTAGATATGAAACCGGCTTCTCGGCGTATAGTTCCTGAATATTATTACCTCGAGCTACTACAGGGAATCTAGGACGCCACGATGTATCGAATCTATGATTTAGTTAGCTTTTTACTTGAACGCTATTGGGTCACTTTCACTCACCCAGTAGCGCAGATAATGACGTCCACCTCGTGTTCAATCCCGAAGTGATCAACGAATCCCGTGGGTGTGATTTTCTGCACTTCTCCAGTGAATGTGTGAACATGAGGTAGTGTCAAGGCTTCTAAGAATCCATTACCGGGCTATATTCAGTCGTTAATTACTGAAAGCATCTAATAAAGCACGCTTTGAGAAGCGGTCACTTACTGTCGGTCGTCTACAACCTACTCCGAATGTAGTCGGAATTAGCTTTTCAGCCAGCTCGGATTTGCCTTGTAGTTTCTCTTTCATTTGATCGACTGCAAACTAAATTTTATAGAAATGGAATGATTAGCATATCCAGATACATCCTAGGAGTTTCAATATTTATATCGATGTAGATTTGGCTTACCTGTTTTGATTGAACGGCTTCCGGTGTTCCATTTAGAATAAATTTGAAACGCTGATTGAGCTCATTCTCGATAGCCTTGCAGTAATCCTGGTACTCTAGATACCTCTCGCCAAAATCCCGCTTTTGTTCGGGGTATATTCGAAATTCGTACCATTAGGACCCGCATATTTTTGCGCAAAACCAGCTGTGATCCATGTAGGCGATCTAACCCAGGTGTATAATTTAGAGACTTTGTTTGCAATATTAGCGACGACCTGGATACCGCTAGATCCGATTCCAATCACAGCAACACGCTTTCCATCCAGTTCGGTATTCGGATCGTAATGTGCTGTATGACACAGTGTGCCCTTGAAGTCGGATATTCCCTGAATATTCGGCCATTTCCAAGCACTTTTTAATTCGGATAAATCAATATATAAAATAGTAATAATCGGAATATTGGGTCTTACTTAAGGATACCACCTCCGTTAATAAAGATTTCCGCACTATCAATGAAAATCTGCCCACTGGACAGATCTTTCACATGGACATCCCATACCCCTTTTCCGTCGTCCCAGTATGCCCCAACAACCTGGTGACGGAGTTTGAAAAACTTCATAAGGTCGAATGTATCCACGACGTCTTTAAAATACTGCCAGATTTCTTCCGAATACGAGTAGAAATGGGACCAGTCGGGTTTTCGCGCCCAGGTAAACTAATTAATTGAGGTTAGATGCATGAATCATTGCGGAGGCATTCATTCCTATTAGTTGAATAGAATTTATGCCGTGAATTAATACCTGATAATTGACGGATGGAATGTCACATGCACATCCAGGATATCTGAGCCTGACCTTAGTAAACTGGACTTGTGAAAGAGGAAGGTAGAGAACCAGATACCTGTTCTCAAGCCATGTTCCTCCAATATCCTCATTTTTATCGTAGCATACCAAAGACACATTTCTCATTCGATCTTGAAGAAACTTGCTGAAGCAGATGCCCGATGCCCCGGCCCCAACATGAATGATCCGCAACGGCTTCTCCATGCCGAAGAGCTGCTCCTTGATACGGTATCCATGTTCATTTTCCCTTGGCCATCCGTATTTGTCGGGCAACGAATCTAGATAGGCGAGAGAAGGTGGCGAGACTACCGGGCCGTCTCCATTTGTCTTCTCAGGATCCATCGTTGACATCTGGAAGGGTTGGTAGGTCGAAAAATACCAGTGTACAACGGGGATACAAAAGGCTTATATAAAAAAAATATCCAGTTTGCCTCTAAGAAACTTGTGTTACTCTGGTCTATTCTGTGAACACTTTATAATATCGCTAGCCATTAAGTACCGGTAGTATATCTCCCGGTCACCGAGCAAGAATTATGGAGAAATTTTACTCAAAGGGAGATATGAGTTTTGCTTCGAGTTGATAGTTGACTTACTAATCATTGATATTGTATTCCGTAACTGAAAAGGCGTTACTAACTGAAATGCGGGGAAGCGAAAATACCGAGAAGGCGTCTTATTTCCCTTTTCAGAAACATAGTACGGTTCGCGAAAGCACCGCCACTGTAAGTCATCAGTAACGATTATTTCATAGTTATATATCTGAGGCAAAGAAAGCAAACCGCATCATCTCCCTACCAAGGCCACCGCGCGTTTCTTCTCTCAAAAGCATCGACCCAAAGTCTGCGGCGCAGGAATGGCTCACAAACCTCGAAAAGGCGTTATCTTTCGCGACAAGATCAATTTATGGACATTTATTGAAAAGGAAGACAGTTTCTTCTGAAATAAGATGCCATATAAATTAATATGATGAAAATTTGAATATAGTATTAAGAATTTCCACATGTCTTTCATCTGCATGGATACCAATTTATGTCAGATTAATTTTAGGCTTCTTGTAGGTAATACAGAAAATTCAAATTTTATTAATATTGTTATGGGGAGCACTCTTATACCAATCCGCCTTTTTAGTGCTATATTCAAACTTTTGTCGCCGTACTGTAGGTAGAGAATCCCTTCCTGGGTGAATTCATTGCTGATATATCGAGATCCCCTTGAGTGAGTATCGCGGAGCGTAGGGTGAAGATCTAGGACCAACGCGGATGGCTCCGGATCAATACATTTAAACACATACATCCGGGTTTACGAATACCTCATCCACGAACGACTAAAGCATAGCCATGAATTTGGGTGTTCACGCTGCCTAATCATATTACGATCAGGGATGTTTGCAATCCTTTCGTCAGTAATACTTGACACAAGTTAGATAAATTCGCGTGCTTTGGATTGGCAATATTGAGATTTGACATATGCTGATAGAAAACTCTATGCATTAATAATATCGCTAGCAGGCAGAGTTCTTAAAAGGAAATAGAGAAGCAAAGAAGGATTGGAATGTGAGTGTATTATTTCCGACGTAGGCACTTCTACGGGATCCTGGCCAATAAACATGCGGGAATTGCGGCATGGAAAGCCGTCGTTGCCGTCCATCGGAACATTGAAGGGTTGTCTTCAGCTTAGATAATTTCAATGGGGGGTAACGGATGTTAATAACAACTTACTATTAAACTATTCTTAAAACATAGCTAGTCAGTTTGAGTTTCAACATGACTGGACTAGGCGAACAATCCAGCAATGGTGTTAGCCTGTAGATCAGCGAGCGGTCCGGGCCCGGTCCGCTGGAGTAGTATAGTAACTCCGCATTCCCCGGAGACTGCTTGTTGGCCTGCATCAGAATTTATTTCTGCAATTTAATATACAAACATATCATTTATTACGTTATTGTCATTTATCCGTTTTTTTAAAAAGAAAAATCTGAGCGACTCGCCTCGATTTGACAGGTATCCCATATAGGCAGAGAAGTGGATAAGCCTAACCCTAACCACGAGGAGTCGAAAGGCCATGGCTAGCCCCAACATCATAGAAAAGAAAAAGTCACGACATCCACGAGCCAAAGTTGCCTGTCTGATGTGTCGCAAACGTCGTGTTCGGTGTTTTGTATCTATCAATGGAGAGCCCTGCAGCAACTGCCATCTCGATAGCTATCCATGCATTTTCCAGTCGCCGAGAAGGAGGAAGATAACTCACGAAGATCTGCTGCTCGATGCGCAAAGCGACTATATTATTACAAAACCGTTGAATGGGCAATATGTGAGTGTAGCAGAGTTGGTACTCTCTTTTTGGCCTTTGGATTAATGTTTTTTGGAATCGCCGCAGATGGCGGAATCGCCTCGAGACGAGTATTATCGCACCACCGTGAATATGCACTCTAGCGCAAGTGACGCATCCTCGCCTGCGTCTTCTTGTTCGGCTGTTACGACTATTACGTCCAAGAGTGACCAGAGAACATCGCAAGATACTTCAGCATGGTATGCGCAGCCGTCTTCACAGCTTATTGGCCAGAAGAACGCCCCTGGGTGGTTCGAAGTGGCTGATCTGACGGATGAAAATGAATATGAAGGGAGAGAAGATCAGCATTATAGTCTGGATAATCTGATCATGGATATACCGCTGTTTGGAGAATGATGAGTGATTTTCCATTTTATTTATTTTCCTTTTTGAGCGCGTTGGTTTGGTGGTGAATGGATATTGCCGGCGGTGTACTATTGTGTTATACTATTGTATTACTTAGATGTCAATTCTTGAATAATATCAATTTGATATATAATTTCACACAACTTGCGACAGGATTGATAACCATAACACGGCAGCACCATTCCTACATCGCCGACGCATAATCAGCAACCCCAAAGTTCACCGGCAACTCCATATCGGACACCGTAAGGTCCGCATCAACAACACCCTCAAACAAATCGAACCATGAATTATGTACATCTGAGAGTAAATCCGGACCATACTGAGCACTATCTTTAACACGACTCGCACTCGGCGCATTCGATATAGTACTATAATCCACCAGAGTCAACAACGTCTCACACTCTTCCTGAGAGAAGGGCTTGATGATTAGCGCGTCCGAAATGAGCTCAGCGAAGTTGTGACTGTCGTCTGAGAAGCGCTTCAGGGCGGTTGTCTACGAAAAAATCAATATACACAAATCTTTTTATGTCGAAAGGAAGCTCCCACTTACCATGTATGATACATTGTTCCAGTATCGGCTAATATCCTGTAAGAAATCAAGACTAGCCTGTAAAACCACTGTCGCCTCGGCTCTCCTTGACCCAGACGCATGGTTCAACTGCAACGCCGCAATAGACCCAGCCACCACAACGCAATACCCATAAGACGACGTATGCGCGATCGCCCCGGCGCTTCGCATGTCCTGCAAAAGCTCGATAGTAGCTTTCGCATGCTCCCACGCCGTCGTCGAAGCGGCCGAGAGAAACCCCGACACCGTCGTCTGGCGGAAGCTGGAGGAATGGCCGAGCAGACGCTGTCGAAGCAGGAACGGGTGGTGCAGGAGGCAATAGCAGAGATGGTACAAGGCTCGCGCAAAGATTACGGGGCCGAGGCATTGCTGATCGATGACCCTTTCTCCGCCGTTCCCGCTGG